AGCAGAGGAAGAGGAAGAAGAGGAAGAGGAAGAAGAGGAAGAGGGGGAGCAGGAGAAGGACGAAGAAGGAGAAGCGGAGGAGGAGGAGGAGACCGATGTTGACGACGAAGCCAAAGCTCCTGCAGAAAGAGCCGAAACTGCTACCTCAACCCCGCAAGAACCTGATCCTATATCCAGACAGCCCCAGGCACTGTCCACTCCAGACGAGCCCAGTAGGGTGGAAGAGCAATCTGTTAACAGTGTTGCTACGTCCAGTGCTCGTATCATACCCCCCGGCATGACCGAAGAAGAATACGATGAGATTTTGAAGAGAAAGGCCAATCTTACACACGAACAAAGACAACAGAACAAACTACAAGCTCGCAAACTCACTCAGCAAAGAGACAAACAAAGTTCTCCTCTAGTGGCACGAAGCCAAAACTCGCAAGATCTTGTGAGCAGAACTAAGAGGCAGACACCAAGTGTGCTCTCGGATGAGAAGGTTCCATCATCAACGCAGGCAAGTGTCAAGCAGTCACAAAATCCGCCCTCAACCCAGGCGTCACGAAGCAAGGCAGTCGAGGGCTCAGCCACTCCTGCACCCACGAACTTGTCCACTCCTCAATCTGCTCCACCGAAAGCGCAAGCACAACAAATCGCGCCATTGACTGCTACCTCTTCGTCCAAGCTGAAAATGCTACCAAGTCATGCCACCAAAGCCACCACAGCCGCAGCAATGGACAACGACAAACATCTAAACCCACCCTTTCGACAACCTCAACGAAAATCACTCACAGCAACTAATGCAGCAGCTGCCAAACCCACCGCCACTCCTACAGGACCGCCCAGAACGATGCGAGAACTCAAAGCTATCATGAGTCGTGGTCACAGCGCCAGTGCAAGCAGTGTCAGTGCTGCTCAGTCACAGGCTCTAGCAGCCAAAGCACGTACACCAGCCAGGAACTCTCTACAAAAGAAGGGCTTCTCACTACCGGGCGATAGCGATGATGAAGATGACGATGAAGAGACAGACGATGAAGAAGCCAACGCCAATGCCAACACAAAACCGAACGCATTCAAAGCGGTAAACGGCAATAGTATTGGAGCCGCCAAAAACACCAGGAACGAGATACCCTTTGAAAGTGATGTTTCTACTGATGAAGAATGACTGATGTACTATTTGTTTGCTTGCCTACTTCTGTTTATTGCAGGACAGCAGGTAGTGTCAGCGATGTAAACGTTTACTAGTGAGATGGTTGGGTTCATGAATCTAGGAATGAGCTTTGGCAAACTCTTGCAGAGCAAGTCCCAGGAAGAACATAAATCAATGATGAATGTACAGATTCAGAGACGATACACTCACGATACGAGCACAGAGCAAGAACGAAAGGTGAATCTTATCGCCAAAGCAATACTCATTCATATGCCTCAACAATGTTCGTACTAAATATCTGCTTTTCGTATAGCTATACATTGTCCTGCCTCGTCTTCTATCGAAAGGTGATCTCCAGCATTCTTTCACTCATCACCTATAGCCAATAGCCTCCATAGGACGCATCCACGTATGACCAGCTTATCAGCTCGCTCCGTGGCCTTCTCGTTCGCTGCTCATATTATCTCCTACTGCTGAGCGTACTGTTGTGCTTTCAATCCAATCTGAAAGCATAGGCTATGGATAGCTGCAATGTTGAGGTTCGAAGTATTTGTAGAGGTAGCTGGATCGTTGAGGCGGTTGAGGATGTCTTGTAGATCGTTGACGACATCGAAATTATTAGTACTTATCGTTTGTTCTTGTCTCGTATTCTCGGAGGCAATCGTCTTCTGCTTTTTGCGGCCATCACGAGAAAGAATCTCGGCATCTTCTTCTGCTTGTTTTTCTGTTGTACTCTCTACTTCAGCTTCGAATTGAGACAACGTCTGCGTGGGTGGGCTATCTTCAGCCTCGGACTGAGCAACAGTCTTTGCCTCATCCTTGGCCGAAGTATCTGCTCTTGGTGGTACGACAACGCGTATTTGAGTAGTCGGACTCGCTTCCTGACTGCTAGCAGAACGTGTTTTTCTATCAGAGCGGAACTCGCGCCTTCTGTTACTTCTTCGTGACGAGCTTGTACTTGCAGGCGACAACGAAATTTGCGAGAGGGCTGGCGATTCCTGACGAAGGCCTTTTGTTGTTATCCTCTTGGGTTGCCGTGCTTTCTGTACTTTTAATCGCAAACCAGGAGCGTTGGTATTCACAACTATACAATCCGCCATTTCCTCATTCAGGGGTTGCTCTGCAACATGGTCTGTGCGAATTTCGATTTCCTCTTTATCCAATACTCGAGATTTTTTGTGCCTAACATCTTCACAATCGTGCCCTGACGATCTCTTGCGTTTCGTCTTTGTTTTGCTAGACTTCAATACTCTCTCTCTAGAGTCAGAGAACGATTGACTCTCCTCGACAAGACTTTGCGACAGCTGCGAAGCAGCGAGTGCATCGTTCTCATCGCTGTATGATGTGGGAGTGGAGGTAATAACAGCTTCAGCAGTTTCGTAGTCATCAACTGTCGAGTCCGCAGTATCAACATCCAAGAGCAAAGGTACTCGAGTGGGCGATCTTGCTTCTTCATTCAATCCTTGCGGATGGCAAGATGACTCCACAGCCTTTGCCTGCTGCTCTTCGACCTCAGTGTGCCCGTCAACCTCAACGATAGTGTCCAATTGAATTCTGTCGTCTCCGCCACGAGGGTGCACGATAGGGGAGGATGTGATTGCGGATGCTGCTGCTATTCGCATGTCGTTCTCCACCACCGATGGAGGTGAGGATGGCACATCCGGTTGGAGGCCTGCATACCACGGTTTCTTTGCTTTTGGAGTCGGAGTGGGTGGCTCGTCGTCTTCGTGTAGACGCGAGGCAGCTGCAACAGGTGTAGTTGGAGTATTCGGCAAGGATGAACGCTCCTCTAATAGTTTGCTTGAATGTACATTATCCATCTTTGCCATCGGGCTCGAACGTATATCAGCAAAGGTAATAGGCCGTTCTGTACTCTGTCTATGCCGGACATCTTTTTGACGCGTTGTCAAGAGCTGGGACTCAACGTCCTCATAGTTCGAAGGTGATGATTCTATGGGGACAAATTGAACTTGCGAATCGTCATGACGAGGCTTGTTAGTAGGCACTTTCAGGTCAGGTGCAACAACCGAAGAATTCTTAAGTCGAGACAACAATCCCGGAAGTGGGCGGCTGAAGGTAGGTTTTTGAAGCATATCAGCAGTACGAAGCTCAGCTACGGCGGCCAGTAGCTTCGGGCCAAAATCATTGGGGCCGACATGGCGAAACTTATCTCGTATATCATCAAGATGTGTAGCCTGAATGGTATACTGCACCGAGCATATAGAGGCCAGGAGTGAATCGAAGTATCTGTATGTGGTAGGTGGTAGAGCCTCAACGAGTCTGCATGTGACCAAGCAGAAGGATTGACAGGTAAACATCTGAGCCTCCGGAAGTTCGTTGTTAGCAAGACTTTCACCGATGGCCTTGAGTAGAAGTGCAATAGCGTCTGAGAGTCTTCTGAGATATCGATGTGCTTCTAGAGCAATACCGTCCAAACACCGATTGACGACCTGCAATGTTGTGATATCAAGAGCTGGATCTTGATTGGTTACCTTTGCCATGAAGCCGCCGAGTATATCAACACATCGGTTTAGTTGAGCCTCATGCGCTGGTTGTTGAATACCGGACTGGTCGATTGTCCGCGTCAGCTGCGAGAAGACCGCAGGCAGGACAGCGCTCGCTCTTTTGCCATCATCGTTCTCAAAGGCCTGCAATATTGTGCCTGCACCTAATACATCAACAGTGATCCTTGCCAGCAGAGTCCTTCGAGCATCGCAAAGGGTCGCGGTCTTTATTGTCGTTTCGGGATCAGGGAGCTCCGTTAGAAAGATCAAGACAGCTTGCAATGCTGCCTTTGTCTCTACTGACATGATGATCTCTTTGCTTGTGCTGTCGCGAAGCGCGTGCATTAACTTCTTCCAGGTTTGTGCAACGTAGGCTTGCTCGGAAACTGCTCCATTGGGCCCGAAAGAGCTATGTTCGACTAGAAGTCGAACTACACCTAACACATCCACAATTTGACCTCGAATCCATTTAGCGTCAATCGCTGGAAGCTCCGAATAATCGATGAGATTGTTGTCGTACGCTCTATTCTCGTTCCAGTTCGGTACTGCTTGAGAGGTACGGAAGAGTGACCCTAACATTCTGCAGCACAAATCACAATCTGCACCAGATTTCGAGAGGAAATTTGAAGTCATCAGCTTCGCCACATATGCTGTCCACATCCGACTGTACTGCGCTACAGATCGTGAAGGTCTAAATGCATAGTAAAGTAGCATGCAATAACTAGAAACAACAACAGCACGGATGCTTCTCGCTGCATTCGTATTGTTGTTTCGTTCCAATTGCATGATAGCTGGCTTGGCTAGCATTGAGATAACCTTTTCGGAAGCTCTGTAGGGCCTCGCAATATGGTACAAACGATTCCAGGCTCTGAATGCCTCTGTCCGAACTGTATCGTTATTCATATTGAAACAGCGTTGAATGAGCCTCAACCATTCATGAAGCTGTGGCCATGTTTCCAGCTTGTGGGCTGTGCCATGACAAAGCATGATCGTGATGATCCATATTTGGGGTATTTGTGACCTCGCGCTATCCTCATCTTGCGCAGCTAACAGCTTCTCCAGTCGATTAGTGATTGACTCGCTCAAGGTACGTTCTCCTGTCGTCTCTGCAAGATACTCTCGGGCAGTCTGGTTGATAGATGCAACATTGCCGAAGGCCTTACAGACCTCTAATCCCAAGCAAATCGCGTTTTTGCGTACCTCTTTGGAGGAGTGGCTCATGTCGAAGAGCAAATCTTTCATCCAAAGATCTGGTCTTTTTTCCATTACAGACTTTGCCTGATCGACGAGTTTTTGATGGACTAGCAGTCTCTCCAGAGCTATTCCCTTTCCAGAAGCATAATCTGCCACCTCATGAATCGCTTCCAAGATATGTAGATGTCTGTTGTTTGCATTTATATTCTGCCGGAAATTTTGGGTAGCTAGTAGGTGCATGTAATGCATGGTAATGGCTTTAGATGTATTCCGATCTTTGAGAACACGAATTGAGCGATCTAGAAACCATTGCCGAAAGTCGTCTGTGAGGTCTTTCGAATATTCGTGACTCCATACTAAAGTGATCAGAACCTTTAACGCGCTCGTGACCAAGTTCCCTAGGCTTGCTCTCTCCTCCGACGGACTCACACATAAGTTATCGTCCAATACCATGAGGTCTTTCTTGATGTATTGCTGCAACTTTTGCATTCCTCCTCGCAAGGTCTCGGACTCAGGTGGTTGGCCGTAAGACTTCACTAGGACAAGAAATGTCTGGTAAGCATCGATAACTGCTGCACGATCGCCAGAAGCGAGATTTGTGAAAAGTGAATCCATGTCGTCCAATAGTGCTCTTCTCTCATACTGGACGAGGATGTCAGCCACTCTCTCCTGGCTCGGTCGAGGCTTCAAGATCGGTCGAGATTTGAGGTGACGGTCGCGGGATCGTGATAAAGGCTTTGAAGTAGGTGCTACCTCAGACTCTGGAGTTGATAGTGCTTTTTCGGAGATATTGGTAGTATACGGGTAGAAGCCGACTTTCTTTGTCACAGAGTCCACAGCTTCTAGGCCTGGTTGATCGGTGGTGATCTCATCTGTAGAATCGTTGCCGCCATCAACGTTGGTAAAGAGAGGCATTGGTGCTCGTCGCTGCCTCTCTGGAGGAGGACTAAGTGGAATGGTTCGAGGCATGGATATGCCTTCCAACAGCGGGTCGAATATCTTCACCACATGGTCTAACACCTGCAGCTGACCACTTTACTCCACGCGAGAATATCAGTAGCCCGGAGGTGTTGCAGCAGATGGATGTAGAGAAAGCTGGGTGTTTATGTGCAGTGTGGTACGTCCAGAGCACGCGACTTCTGGCACTTAACGCGTTAAAGTCGTGCATGACCGAAAATCTGCCGGACCACATTGTAGCCGCGCGTTTTGTGGTTCCCTTGCATCTTCGTGAATCGTGATAGATTCTTGGCTGGGAGATGCCAGCCGAGCACGTCCTCTGATGGTCAGTCGCCTGTTCTGGGCATGACATTGTACATGATCCTGAGATCGAAACTAATTTCACGAGTTTTGTTTTTAAGCTTGGCTTCGCTCAACATGGGTAATCCGCCAGACCAAGCCCAGAAATACCTGAATGCGCTCGAAGCCGAGCTAGACAAAGACACATTCGATGACAGAGTAACAGCCAGCGAGCTGTCGAGCCTCAAGGTGCTTGCTCGGTCACCCCAGGCTGCGCCCTGTGTCTACTGTAAAGACGGGCTCAGCACTCTTGCAAAGACGGCATTTAGAAACGATAACACCACTCGACCAGCCTCGAGTCTAGAAGCCGCGAGAATTATTGCAAACGCTCTGCTGTTGCAAGATCAGATGCAGCAAGTACTTGCGGACCTAGGTTGTCTACCAGGTCTGCTCGACTTCTACAGACGGCCAGGAGCTGATTACGAATTTATAGGTGGGCGCATTCTCTTCCTCCTGACTTACAAGAGCAAGGTCGATTTTGTCACGCTGATCGAATCTCAAAGCCTGGTTGATAACATAGATGAACATCTATCAAAGCACGTGTCCTTAGCATCTGCTATTCACTCCACAAACGACTCCATGAATGTGTCTGCATTGGTCGAGACTTTGAAGTTGCTGTACAACCTTGCGAGCAAATTCCCCACTCAGATGCACTTCTTTTCATCCACGACCGATAAGTTGATCAAGATTCTGACCCGTCTTCCACTACCACAAAATCCTCTTAGTATCCCTACGACCCAAATTTTGAATGCATTAGCCATGATAGATTGGCCATCAGCACTTAACCAGGCCAAGGACGCAGATATGGCGGCATTCAGTCGACGTTTGATCGAAAATCTTGACTGCAGTGTATCCGTTCTGCAAGCACCTCAATTAGAAACAGCACTCGTACCTCTCCTGACTGTGTTACGGAAAGTCAAGGAAGTCGACGATCAGCCATCGGACGAATTGTTGAGGTCAAGTCTGCTACCTCGAAACGAAGAGCGGAACAGACCTCTCGGAGAATCGCAGTCATTGGCGTCCCGACTACTGAAGCTTCAGACATCAACCGGAAGCACGATCTTGCCTGAAGCTATATCTGGATTGTTGTTTGATCTTTCGGATCGTGATGCTATGAAGTTTGTACATAACATTGGATACGGCCATGCTGCAGGCTATCTTATGGCACACAAGATTGTGCTGCCAGAGGGCTTGGCCGAAGGATCGATATCTGACGATATGAGCACCCCGATCCCAATCAACCCTGTCACAGGTCAGCGCCTCGATACCGAAGAGCCGGCGGCCACGCCAGAGATGACAGATGCGGAGCGGCAGCGGGAGGCAGAGAGACTGTTTGTGCTGTTTGAGAGGTTAAAAGCGACCGGGGTCGTGGATGTTGAAAACCCACTGAGAAGCGCTCAGCAGTCGGGACGCTTTGAAGAGCTGTCAGATAGCGAACCGGACTAATATTGGAGTGTGTTGTGAAGAAGCCTCAATAGTACACATCACGACGTTAGGGGCCGAGCTCGGTGCCGTGTCTGAAAGCAATGCGGTGAGTGTACTCGGCGTTGTGCGTTATCTCTCACCTCGCAAGGACATCCCATGCAAGACTTGTGAGCTGGAGCGACCAGTTTGTTTCTCAAGCGAGTGTTTGTTCTCCTGCCGTCTTCTCCAGACCTTCGAGACTTGTATTTCCGCTGTCTTTAGGTCGCAGTGTTTGCCTTTATCACGCAGCGCACGAGTCAATCGTCTCGAAGCTGGAGCTCTTCGCGAAGCTTATGAATATACTACAGTCTGCGATCCACTCTGTTCATCCTTGTGGCTGTCTTGATCTGGTTCCTTGTATTTTGACCACGGACGGGCAGACTCATAGCATGTCTTCTTCCACGATAAGTTCCAGTGTCGCGAAGTCTCTGAATGTCCTGTAGTATCGACCTTCTCAAGTCGTTCTCTATCTTCATGGCATCGAGGGTGGCGTTCATCTCCAGAATTTGTCCTTGCTGCAACTCGCCGACTCTGCATGTATCGTGAAGATGAAAACGAGCCATCAACCTGGAGCATGTTTGGTGTCCGATGCCAAAAAAGGAAGTTAGGGCTTGTTTAACGAAGCGTCTTTCCGGAAAGTTGACGTTGAAGATGAACACCTAGATATCGAGTTAGTATAAACCAAAGTCTCGTCTGTAGAGAAGTAGTACCATGGTGTCGGTCGTATTGGTATGCCCAGTTCGATCTGATCACAATGCTCGTCGCGAAGCTGGATAGTCCAACCTCAATTTCAAAGTCGAGGAGAACACTTCGCCGCACCTGCCAGATATCGACCTGGAAGGCACGTCTTCGTGCTGAGGCTGGAATGTTGCCGCTTTGGCCATTTGAAGTGCGATACATGCGGCTTTTCTCGGAGGACACCGTGGGGGATATGCTATACTCTCACCTCCTGCGCTCAACCAGAAGCCACCTCTACTAGTCTTGTACCTGAATTGATTTTAACAACCTAGCTTGCCATAGACAACATGGCAAACTTGCAGAGGCTAGTTCTCTCCCTCGTGGTTGTTCTGGCAGCCTCTTTGTTCCTCTTTGGTCAGACCGCAGAAGCTGCAAAGGGTCCCAAGATCACTCACAAGGTCTACTTCGATATCAAGCATGGGGATGAAGACATGGGTAGAGTCGTGCTCGGTCTCTATGGTAAAACTGTGCCAAAGGTCTGTGTTATATGCTTTGCAGCCATTGTCCCTGTGTTAACATCGTAGCAGACAGTCGAGAACTTCCGGGCTCTGGCAACTGGCGAGAAGGGCTACGGTTATGAAGGATCCGCTTTTCACCGAGTAATTAAGGACTTTATGATTCAAGGAGGTGACTTCACAAGAGGAGATGGTACCGGTGGGAAGTCCATTTACGGCGACAAGTTCGAAGACGAAAACTTCAAGCTAAAGCACACCAAAACCGGTCTGCTTAGCATGGCCAACGCTGGAAGGGACACCAACGGCTCGCAGTTCTTCATTACCACCGCCATTACCAGGTAGGTGACCAATTCCTGGTATTCCGACACCTATGCTGACATTGTGTAGCTGGCTTGATGGTAAACACGTTGTTTTCGGAGAAGTCCTCGAGGGCTACGACATTGTGGATAAGATTCAGAATGTTCCCAAGAACCCGGGTGATAAACCAAAGGAGAAGGTTCTCATCTCAAAGAGTGGCGAGCTGGAGGTGCCCGAAGAAGGTATTCACGTCGAGTTGTAATGTCGGGAGCAGACCCAGCTCTCGACCTACAATCATTGCGAGCACGAACTAAGTGGTTGCCGATATAGAAATCTTCTCTGATGCACATCCGGAATATTTGGACGACGACAGCGACATAGTTACCGTTGCAGACCCTATCCAAGAGAAGCCCGCTCAGGACGAAGCACCACCTGCGACCAGTACCGAGCAGCAACCGTTGACAAGCGTGAAGGACGATTGGATTCTCAAGTTAGCTATCGTCGGTTTCGGTTTCGTCTTCGTCATGTGGTTGGTGTCGAGAAGACGCAGCAGTGCATATGAGGCCTTGAAGCAGGACGAGAAAAGTACAGCATGAGCATTGCGATTTGACCGTACTCGTACCATCAATGAAATGCCAAAGTGAAGCCTTCTTTTATGCCTCATAGATCACCCGAAAGTTTAGTAAAACTCTCAGGCATCCAAAACTTAGTGCTTTTGTCGCCACTAGCATGCGTAGCGCCAACAAAGGAAAGTGCTAGCAGGGCTGACCAGGCCGATCTAACCAATTCTTCAAATTTCTCGGCTTGGCGCAGCTAGATGCTGAAGGCTGAAATTTCCATCCTCCTGCAGTCCCTTTCTTTCTTTATCTTCTACCTGAAATCACAAGATACCCAAATCACTATATCCTGTCCTTCTGTTTCTGTCCTTGACTTTCTTTCGTTATTCTAGATAGATTTGGAGAGGCGTTTTCTCTCCTCTATCTGCTTGAACGCAAGGTCGACTAGAAATCCCAGCAAACTTACTCTGTTACCCACGCTTTAGGAACTTCTGATAAGACACGATCAGACCCATCCGAACCCCTACACAACAACCACAACCCATACTCCAATACTGAGTAAGTTCCATCCCTTACAGTTCGCCCTTTTCACAAGATGGTCGCGTTCGATCATGACCCATCTCGCCTCATTCGAAAATTAGGCAGACACAGCAAACCAGATCAAAGGATTGAAACTGACAGTCTTACAGAATATTCCGACCTACAAATATGGCTGATTCACTGAACATGAACGGCTTGTCCCTCAACGAGTCTCGACATGGACCTGGACCGAATGGCATTAATGGTGGTCGCTCGGCCTATATCCCTCCCCACCTTCGAGGACGCCCTGAACCAACTGCAATGAAACAGCCCGATGGCCCTGTACCAAGTGCTGGTGGACCTGGTCTCGCCGGAAGCGCATGGGGCAACAACTCTCAGCCCAACGAAGACTGGGCAAACACTCCTGATTTCAAACCAGGTCCTGGTCGTCCGGCTCCATCCGCCCAGAATGGCTGGCCAGTTCCAGGCGCTCGACCAACCGCCCCTCCCAGTGGTCCTCCTCGATTCGATCAAAATGCCTATGGCAACCCACGAAGTGGTGGTGGTGCTTACGGTGGTGGCGCAGGTGGTGGTGGGTACGCCTCAAGAGGGGGTTCTGGAGACGGTCAATGGCGAGATGGTCAGCACGTTCCTGGCCCCGCCAATCCCAGAGTCGAACGTGAGCTCTTCGGTGTGCCTAACGATCCTACTAAGGCACACACTGGCATCAACTTTTCCAACTACGATGACATTCCAGTCGAAGCCTCCGGTCACGATGTTCCTGAAGCCGTTACCACTTTCACCAATCCTCCTCTCGATGACCACTTGATCAGCAATATCAAGCTGGCACGATACACAGTCCCCACTCCTGTACAGAAGTACTCCATTCCCATTGTTATGGGCGGTCGAGATTTGATGGCCTGTGCTCAGACCGGCTCTGGCAAGACTGGTGGCTTTCTGTTTCCCATCTTGTCCCAAGCCTTCCAAAACGGACCTTCCGCCAATCCGGCAAATTCCCAAGGTGGTGGCTTCAGACAACGAAAGGCCTTTCCAACATCTCTTATCCTGGCTCCAACTCGTGAGCTGGTCTCACAAATCTACGATGAATCTCGCAAGTTCGCCTATCGATCATGGGTTCGACCTTGTGTCGTCTACGGTGGTGCTGAGATCGGAGGCCAGCTGAGACAGATCGAGCGTGGTTGTGATTTGCTCGTCGCAACACCTGGTCGTCTCGTCGACCTCATAGAGCGAGGTCGAATTTCGCTAGCTAACATCAAGTACCTGGTCCTTGACGAGGCTGACCGAATGTTGGACATGGGTTTCGAGCCTCAGATTCGCAGAATTGTTGAAGGTGAAGACATGCCAAATGTTGACGGCCGACAAACTCTTATGTTTTCTGCCACATTTCCTCGAGACATTCAGCTTCTCGCCAAAGACTTCTTGAAAGACTACGTCTTCTTGTCCGTTGGCAGAGTCGGTTCCACGTCGGAGAACATCACTCAAAAGATTGAATATGTCGAAGACCACGACAAGAGATCTGTTCTGCTCGATATCCTACACACTCACTCCGGAGGTTTGACCCTGATCTTTGTCGAGACCAAGCGTATGGCAGATACCCTATCCGATTTCTTGATCACTCAAGGCTTCCCAGCCACTGCTATTCATGGTGATCGAACTCAGCGAGAACGTGAGCGAGCTTTGGAGTTCTTCCGAAATGGTCGATGCCCAATCATGGTTGCTACTGCAGTCGCTGCGCGTGGTCTTGATATCCCCAACGTGACCCACGTTGTCAACTATGATCTCCCCACCGACATTGACGACTATGTCCACCGTATTGGCCGAACTGGTCGTGCTGGAAATACAGGTCTCTCAACTGCCTTCTTCAACCGAGGTAACCGAGGTATCGTCCGAGATCTCCTTGAGCTTCTCAAGGAAGCCAACCAAGAGGTTCCGGGCTTCTTGGAGAACATCGCACGTGAGTCATCTGGCTTCGGTGGCGGTCGGGGCGGTCGTGGTGGTGGAGGTCGAGGTCGTGGTGGCAATGCTACTCGAGATATGCGACGAATGGGACCTCCATTGGGTGGTGGCGCTCCATCTTGGGGTAGCGGCGGCGGTGGTGGTGGCTTCAGCAGTGGTGGCAGCAACTTTAGTGGTGGCTACGGCGGTGCTAGTTCAGGAGGTTATGGCGGCGGTCACTCAGGTGGCTATGGAGGTGGTGGCTACGGCAACCCAGGTGGTGCTAGTGGCCCATCTTCATGGTGGTAATCTTTGTCGCTCAAGACTACTAATTACTAACTCGTACGACACATCGATCTACATTTCCTTCACGTCGAAGACGTCGGCAGGTCAACACTATACTGGAGTTGCAACAGGTTTCCAACAACACGATACGACCTTTACGACGAATTCATCATTTAACTACGGCGTACTGCATTATAGAGAGCGCTGGCTTTTTCGATTGATTTTCAGATACCCCGAAACAACCTTTTGTGTCAATCATTCCACGCTTATAGTGGAACGGAAGGATGACATGTCCTGGAGGCTTACATGCGAATGGCGTCTTTTCCTTGCAATAATGTTGCATTTGAGAGAGGATTGGTGAGGCTGATGAATTTCCAAAAGCTCTCATTAAAAAGTTTGGCTGTCCTCAACGGAGCAGTCGCGGTTGCAAAAATTAAGTCAGCTTTCAGGACATGGGTACATATAGACACGAAAGTTATGAAAAACGATGGGGGCTCATAGATGGCAATGCGATACGACTAGAAAAGCAGGCGATTCTTTGAACAAAAAGTTGCTGGCTTTTCACATGGAAAGAGAAGAACACGGGCTGGCGTTGTGCACGGGAACTACATACCTAGATGAAAAGGTTCTGTGCATTGCTGGCGCAAATGTCGCTCTCGATGAGCCCTCATGAGCTGGGAATCGGTTGCTAGACCTGAATGAAGGGTCTAAGCTGGGTATCAAAATTACTTTACGCAGATAGACTGAATCGAGCATTACAACTCAGTGAATTCTGGACTCATACGTAATGTTCTTCCTACCTTTTCACGGTTTACGAAAGGCCTTGCTGCTCGTTCTTTGCCTGTCCAACTCAAGGCTGAGAAAGCACATTCAAATTTGTTGGGCAGTATGATTTCGTTGGCCTTTTCAATGACGTTGTGAGTTCTAGCAGATGCATCGTAGTATTGTACCCGGTAGACGACTCGGCCGAATCGTAGATGTTACTCTAAAGAAAATAGAACAGGCCTAGCCATGTAGTGTTCAGTGAAGGCATCCCTCCAACATTTGCAAACCGGGGTTATAAAAATGTAAGAAAGTCAAAATACCTTACAGTCCAAATTTTATCTTCGACACTCTATAGACATGCACTGCTACCATGTCATTCAGTGTGACATCGCATGAGTCACATCGACAAACATCTCTGTTCGTCTCACGCAACCACTCGGCATCTGCTGAACGGCCTGGTATCCTAGACCTGCAGTCACTTCAGCATAAATAGTCATCTTGCTTACGTAGGAAGCCTATTGGTTGAATTCCCAAATCACCTGCCTAATTGGGACAGCTTCACTCACAGACCGAGGTCCCTTCAAGATTTGTGGTACTCGAAGCTCGCTACTTGCTCCTTTAAGAACTGATCCCGAGCGCAACATCACTGTTGACCTCATTTACGCTGCACATGTACCAAGGGAAGGTCGCGACATACCCCAGATTTTCACGTTAGCTTCTTCTCTGACATGGATTACCTCAGGCGATGCGTGTACTGTGCAATGGCTACTGTGTACTCCGCACCTCGAACTTCGTCGGCACATCCCCAGATCGTGGTCACTGCTTCATAGATTTTGAGCTACTTACCGCTTTTGGCATGGACGTCCGATGCGCCAGCTCTATAGTAAGAGCAAGATATTCCGCTGATGTAGGAAGACTTCATCCTCCTTAAAGACATTGTAAGCTCCAGTAGCATACGTTGTAACGACGGACTTTCGACAACATGCTTATGCTCAATCTTGGCGTTGCTTCACTCCTGGCAGGTATAGTGGCGAGCGCACCGCCTCATCAGAATGTTCAGAGACAAGCTGCGACAACATCAGCACCGTCGGCAACGATTGACTCTGGCGTTGTCATTGGCACCCAGACGTCCATAGCTGGTGCACCAAGCCCAGTGGTCAATCAGTACTTGGGAGTGCCATTCGCAGCGTCCCCTACCAGATTTGCTCCCGCTCAAAGTGCAACGCCATGGTCGTCGGCATATATGGCTACGCAGAGAGGCCCCGCTTGTATCCAGGTAAGAATCTTCTAGGAATCCCGTGCTTGTGCTTGCCTAGATGGGCACCACCAGCTATAGCTCTTCGCTGAGGGATTCCTGAATCGGACTGTAACTCACACGTTGTTAGCAATTCAATTATCCGGAGTCATCTCGAAATTTCACTATTGCGGCTTTCAACACCCCAGCTCCTCCTGAGTCAGAAGACTGTCTGAGTGTCAACATCTTTGTGCCAGCAGGTGCTCAGAATGGTGGCGGATTGAAGCCGGTTATGTTCTGGATTTATGGTAAGCTGATACCAACACAACGACTACAGCTCGTTTAGCTGATGGCTTCAAGGCGGCAGCTTGCAATTTGGATACAATGGGCAAGCTGCATATGACGGAAGCAGTTTTGCGGCCAACCAAGACGTGATCGTTGTGGCCACGAATTATCGAACAAATGGTTGGTTTGACACAATCGTTGCATCGTTCGCTGCTGACACCTGATACGTAGTGTTTGGCTTTCCATCGGCCCCTTCTTTGCCTCTCACAGCACGAAATCTTGGCTATCTCGATCAGCGATTTTCCCTGAAATGGGTTCAACGAAACATACGTTCTTTTGGTGGTGACCCGAGTCGAGTCACCATATTTGGTGAAAGCGCTGGATCGTTCTCTGTCGACTCTCTCGTCACGTCCTTCGGACCCTCTGCACCAGATGGTCCACCTCCTTTCAATGCAGCAATTATGCAATCTGGTCAATCCTCTGTCACGGCAAGACTAGGAGCTGATTCTTCCAGCTGGACAAGGCTCATCAGCCAACTAAACTGCACCACAAGTGATGATCTTGCATGTGCCCGAGCAGCACCTGCAACGACGCTGAAGAGCATTATCGAAAGAGGTGCTATCGCGTTTCGTCCAACTCTAGACAACTATACGCAGCTGCAATATCCTGAGGCGGCACGTCGAGCTGGAAACATCGCTCGAGTTCCCATCATGACAGGAACGAACGCTAACGAGGGCATCCTCTTCACCTTTACGCAGAATGATACTGTAGCGTACTTGAGGTCCACCTTGCCAAGTATAACAGATGCTCAGATTCAGGTTATTCTTTCCGCATACCCCATTGGGCAAGCAGGAATCAGTACCCAGACCGATCAGATAGCACGCATATATACTGACGTCGGATTCCAATGTCCTTCTGCTATTGTCGCGAACGACACAGCATCAGCTAGGATACCAGCCTGGCGATATTATTACAACGCCACCTTTGCAAACATTCAGCCGATACCTGGAGTAAATTTCGGGCCATATCACGCATCAGAAATACCGATAGTGTTTGGCACATACCCGACATACAATAGCCCTGCTAGGGGATATGCGACACAGACACAAGCCAGGCTGAGTGAGCTCATGCAGAATATGTGGGCGACGTTCGCGAAGAATCCAACTGGCGGGCCAGCACCTGGTTGGAATGGTGTGATCGGCGGGGGATTGCAGGTTATTGGCGGATTGGGAGGGCTCGATAGTCAAGGAAGACTGAGGTCAAGTGCGCCAGTGGCTGCTATCGATGGTGGTAGATGTGAGATCTGGAGAGCTGCTTATGGTTTAACCTCATAAGAGAGGCAAGTTCTTGGCTAGTGCAACGTAGACTTTGCGGTCATGTTCGACCGTTCTGCGTTCTCAGCTGAGCCATGCTTGAGTTTCGATCAATACAGATTGCTCTAAAACTTGCAGCAGTGAGAGTATCACGCCCTTCTATCCTAGATAATTGCAGGAAGTATGATCAGCTCGGATAGACTCCTGCTGCTGATCGCCAAGGGCAGTAGCGAGAGTGGATCCGAATAGTTTTGGGACAGAGCTACCCGCATCTGGTTGGCGCCTGGAGTGCCGAAGCCTGCCCAGCCCTCTAAACTTCAATCTATTACGATACAAAACTCTTCCCGCCCATCACGTTCAGCGCCGATGATTTGGTTGCAAAAATCCTTTCACGTGTGTGACCGCCGCGAAGCACGTCAAGCTCGCAATAGCTTTGCCCAGTGTTCAGAATGAAGTGACTGGAAATGACATGTGCCTCCCACGGTTGCCCTTCGTGTGATCTCTACGTGACAGATACACGCACTACATGCTCTGACCCTTATAGTTGCTTACTTTAGAACTGCTTAGGATCACCTTGATCAACTTGGCCAGCGAAAGTCTAAACCCCGCAGCACTCAGAGAGGCCCCTACAGACGACCACAAACATGTCTACACAGCAAGGAGGAGAGAAGATGACCCATCACTTTGGTCGTGGAGGCGCAGGTATACACACACCATGTATGTCTACGACCGAGCTCGACTAACCAGTGGCTAGGTAACATTACCACCAAGTCCGACAAGTCGCCAGCACTCCCTCCTCAAACAACCCCGACACTGAAGAGCAGGAACTATACCACGGGTCGAGGTGGTACAGGAAACATCGTGACCAACGACAATCCAGCAACAGCGCGTATAGCACAGGACGTGGATGTGCCAGGCATTGCCCTGCCTGAAGGTGACGTCCACACAGGTCGAGGTAGGGCGCACAATGCATCGTGCAAAGGTTAAAACTTCTGACACAATTACAGGTGGTGGTGGCAACATCTACAAACCGACGGAGGAAGAACGTCAAACTGCCAAGTCTGAAAACGAGAAATTAAGATCAGCCAGTTTTTCGAAGGACAGAAGTGGTCTGAAAGGTCTTGCTGACAAGGCCAAGGAAGCGCTCAAGGGTTCTAGCACATCTAACAAAGAATAAACGCTTCCGCTGCAGGAGCAAGTCGTCAAGAGACGCGCCTAACATTGAGATACCCATAGTTTAATGTGAACTGTTCTGGCCAGCCATCTGCTTGAATAGCGGATCTGCCTCAATGTCGTTACTGCAGGAGCAAAGTTAACCAAGGGCATACAACTCCCGTTACGTGTATCTTCGAAAGGACTATCAGGCAATTCAACACGGTCGTGCCGCCGAACACAGGTCGTGCTGCCACATCTCACTATCCTTGAACTTCCTTCCACTCGTGCAGTAGCGTTGAACCTAAGGGCTAGACGATTTACTGAAGAGACCAGGAACATAGATTAACACTGATGGGCTCGATGTTGTTGTGCAACACGCAAGCATGCCTGCACTACGCTTTGAGATTCCGGAGTCAAGTCTGCATTGTGATGGAAAGCCGTTAGCACGACTGACTCGCTCAACAGTTGATTGGGTATCGCACATCTTTAGAAGCTATTTCTTCAGCTATCGATCGACACCCACATTTCGGGAGTGTCAACCTCCTCAGTCAATAGCGTAAATAGCTAAAATCATCATTGATACTTTGTAAGGGCGTACCATTCAATAGTGCGAGTCAACTCGAGCATCGAGTGTCATGCAGAAACCTAAATGTTCATGCACAGGTAGAGTAAGTACTCGGCTTTGTGAGACCGCGGATAGACGGATTTTACAGGCTTCGAGGTTGTCAGGCTCCTACTGGTCCCTCGTGGCTTTGCAGACGTTGTACAAAGTTTGCTGTTGATAACTCTTCTGAACATTGAACACAATTGTGCTTTCTTCAGCTGCCTCAATTCCCTCGTTTGTACATGCGACATCCTCCAGCAAACATAAACTGTATCACTACCGAGCTCGAAGACGACCGCAAAAGCCCGCATCACGCGACAAGCACCGACGAGCGAGTCGTTGTTGGGGACCAGACTAGAATCACGAGCTGAACAAGACTTACTTCGTTAACCCATAGCATGAGCGTGTGACTCGAGGTTGCGTCGATCGACCTTCTTTCAGACCCAAATAGACCACAATAGCAGATAACGAACGTTTGACTATACGAGAGGTTTTCATCAAATTGCACGAACGACGAGCTTACTTAAGTAGCCATTGAGCTCTATATTGCAGCTCCATCTATTTGTGTTGCACAGCACTTGCAACACCACCTTTCGTCATTCGAAAACAACAGGGTGCGGGATTGTGTGAGCCATCCACAAGGACTAAGTCTTTTCGGGAATTAACAAGCTCAATGCTGGAGAGATGAGTACATTATTGGTGATCCAGCTTGAGCAGATTCCGACGACTTGGACCAAATTGCTAGGTGCCTAAGTCACTTCTCCCTACAAAGTCTCATTACATCCACGAGCCGCTCGTTCTTTCCTGGTTATCTGTATGCCCACGCTTCTCCCTACAAATTCGCAACCATCATGAGCCAACATCATCATCAGGCGAGTTTGCACCAATCTCGTCCACAACAACATAGCTACGATTCCCCCTATCTTCAGCAGTCATCACATCATCAATATCAGCATCCGAACCAGATGTCGCAGTACTCAGAGAACCCTCCCCATTATCAGCAGCCAGCTCAGACGCCGCTGAACACTACCTCCCAGTTGAATTATCAAGGTGCCCCACAAGCGCCAGGCTACACACCAAATCAGGGACCTCCACCAGTGTCACATCATTACCCACAGTACCAACCACCCATCCAACACCAAAACACAGACACCCAGCAGTACCCATATACACCGCCAAGTCCTAGTCAATCCGAAGGCGCGGAAGAGGAAGAGATTATAAGACGATCACTTCCTGATCCACCAGCCGAAGTTCGCACACAACATGGCAGAACATACGCCCTCGATGTGGTCCAGCAGCCACTTAGAGCTCGTATGTGCGGATTTGGGGACAAGGTGAGCTGACAGAGTGATTAGTGCTGATAGGGCCGCAGACTGACATTTCCACCAGGATCGAAGACCTATCTCGACAGCACCAATCGTTAGAGCAGTGATTAGGGATGCACAGACCGGGGAGGAAATTGATTACAAGAATGCGTAGGTGCATCCGCACATGGTCCGAACGTTTTATTGACGCGATACAGTGGTCTGGAGGTGTCGCAGTACGTGTGCTTCGCCTGGATTTATGACATACATGCACGAGATGAGAGGTGTAGTGTCAAAACTGCACCAGGTCAGGCCATCATCAGTACCTCTATGACTTGTGGATATCCCACCACAGTCATGTCACAAAGTCCTGCTCGAGTCGCCCCGCGAGTTCTTGAGAACGACCCGGCACATCAGATTCGTCCTCCATACGCAGGTCACAACGCTTTGCCGAGCGGTCACTACATGCAGAACGGACAGAGTCCTTTTGTACATGGTACACGACCAAACAGTGGCATGTTTCCACCAATTCTCAATCCGCCTCCCCAAATCGCGGGCATACAGTACGGATTCCAGCCCGCGCCAACTCCGTATGGAGTAGCTCCCACTCAAGCACCACTACCGCCACCGAATGTTCGAATGCCTCCTGGTCCTGCTCCGCCACCAACTCCTCCTCCCAACCGGCATGAAGATCTAGGTCAGCGCTACTCACAGAATCTGATTGGAAATTTCGTGCAGACTGGCCAATTGTTGGAGGACCTTGATGGTAAGACAGGCATTTTCTTCATCTTCTCCGATTTGTCTGTTCGTAATGAGGAGTGGTTCAGGCTAAAGTTTGGCCTCCTAAATGTTGGGTTGAAGACAGATGATATGAGCCACGAGGAGGTCTTTCGCCTCGCCGAACAACACAATACCGCTCCCTCGGCAGGCCCAAACCTTGAAGCAGCTAAAAATGGTACCAGGAGGCTCGAGGGACTTACTGCAGGTCTGCTCGAGCAGAAGCCACCCTACCTAGCGACCCGATTCTCTCAGGCTTTCAAGGTTTATAGTGCAAAGAAGTTCCCTGGTGTTGCAGAGAGCACAGAGTTAAGCCGGAAATTTGCCGATCAGGGCGTGAAGATATCAGTTCGCAAAGAAGGCACGAAGGAGGGGAAGAGAAAGCGCGGCGACAATAGTGGCGATGAGGATGACCGTGACGACTAGTGACGGTACTGTTGACAGCCAATAGTGCCGCCTCGTCAAGGACTTTCGGGTTTGACTATCTGTTCTAATATCTAGAAGTTTGTACATGAGCTGAACAACACTGCCAATCGTTCTTATAAGCCAATTCAACTCGCCTGGTAACACGTGCGCTGAGGAAGACCTATGTCAAAGTTGTGCCTGTCTACTCTTCCGAGTTCCGAACAAGTTTCGAACGAGTTCGCGAAACTTGAAGTACATTTGAGCCAAGCGTGTATGCCAAGCTTGCGGGGTGTTTAGCTCCATCGTTTGTGACTGTCCGTGCACAAAACTGAATCCCTGCCTTGCTCCACGAAGTTGGCACGAGTCCATGTCAGGCAGGCGTTCAAAATTTGCAAGTTCTCTGTTTGTCTGGCACTCGATTATTCATCTGTGTATGGCCATGGCTTAGCGTCCGCGCCGAAGCTACGCTTGCTCAGTCAACACTCCAATAGCGGAACGATCTCCATAAGTTTCCCACCTGTCACAGTGCTTGGATGGGTTGTCGAAGCTATGGCCGGTCTTGCTTCCGACAACAGGTTTATGATGATCAAGACTAGAGTAGGAGACCGCACAGTACTTTTTTCCGCTCGAACTTGATATTTACACTTTTCGCATACACTTCGCGACCACAAAGTACACAACACATACGGTATACTCTACCAGCACTATGCGCTTCGCACTAGAGAGTGAGTTCCAACACGCAATACCATCTACAACCCATGACTGACCCTTCACAGCAGATGAGAAGCAAGTCAATCACAACGATACAAACGGTCTCCATGGACAGTCCAAATATGACCCTGACATCGCGCATCCAGCTGCTGGCTATACCACGGGCACCGATGCACCATACTCGGATGCTACGCCTCCGGAGGGTATCTCTGAACGTCGTTTGATGACGAAGATCGACCTTCGTGTTATCCCGGTGCTTTCTATCTTGTACCTGCTGGCCTTTCTCGACCGCACCAATGTCGCCAACGCCGCAGTCTTTGGGCTCTCCAGCGATCTGAACCTGACACCCATTCAGTACAGTACGGCGCTGACAATTTTCTTCCCACCTTATATTTTATTCGAAATCCCCAGCAACCTCATCTTGAAGAGGCTGAAGCCTCACGTCTGGCTAAGCGTATGCATGTTCATGTTTGGTCTGGTCACTTTATGCCAAGGTTTGGTCAATAACTGGGGTGGGCTGATGACAACACGGTTTTTGCTCGGTGTCTTTGAGGTGAGTCTCAAATCCATTCAATTGGGTACCCTTTGAACACAACCCAAATGCCTAGGGCGAGATCCGTTCAATGGGCTGTTCGTTGGTGGTACTATTCTACACAGACTGACACAAGCCTAGGCCGGCATGTTTCCTGGGTCTTTCTACTTGATCTCGATGTGGTATGTTCGAGCAGAGGCACAGAAGAGATACACTTTCTTCTTCGCAAGTACATCTCTAGCCGGAGCTTTCGGCGGTCTTTTAGCATCCGCCATTGGCAAGATGGACGGCCTTTCAGGATACAGGGGCTGGAGGTACGACTTGGGATCTTGGTTTCAACAATACGAGCTAATATGAGTCTAGATGGGTGTTCATCCTGGAAGGACTTCTTACCTGCGTTGTCTCCTTCATATTCTTCTTCATTATACCCGACTTTCCCGAAGAAGCAAAGTGGCTTACTAAAGCGGAAGCTGCGTTTGTCAAGGCTCGTCTGCAAGATGACCAAGGAAAATCGGCTCGAGAACGGAAAATCACGGGCAAGGACGTTCTCAACTGTTTCAAGGACTACAAGTTCTTTCTGGGCGGTTTTATGTACTTCGGCCTAATCGTTCCGGCCTATGGCTATGCTTATTTTTCGCCTACTATCATCAGATCTTACGGATACAGTCCAATCCAGACTCAGGTGAGCTTTCTAGCCATGACAAAAAACCATATACTGACACAGGGTTTTTAGTTGCACTCGGTCCCGCCATGGGCTGTATCGTTCGCTATGTCAATGCTGATAGCCACATTTTCGGATTGGACCCGGCACAGATTTCTGTTCACACTCATACCTATTTCTATTGCCGTTGCTGGATTTGGGGTACTCTTGACGGTCCACGATAATAGAAATGTTCAATATATGGCATTGTTTTTGGCATCCTCGGGTGTATATGCTGCAATGCCGATCATTGTTTGTTGGTTCCAGATGAACCTGGGCGGGCATCATCGCCGTGCAGTAGGTTCTGCATGGCAAGTCGGGTTCGGAAATATAGGCGGTATCATCTCCACCTATATCTTTCCAAGCTCGGATGCGAGGAACTTCTTTCGGCTTGGTTACAGTGTGTCTTTGGGCTTCATCTGCTTGAGCGCCTTCACTTGTTGTCTGTACTTCGTGGCGGTCTGGACTCAAAATCGAAGCAGACTGAAGGCGGGTCCTGATCTAAGCCTTACAGAATACGAGAAGGTCGAGAAAGGAGACCTCAACCCGGAATATCGATACATGTTATAGACGTTGTGCGAAGCTACTCGCGGCAATCGCCGTGTAAGGGAGGACATTTGATACTGGAGGTTCGGCTGCGAAGTTCAGAGACGATATGTCAATGTACCTGGAATTGTGCGTTGATGGCAAAGGAATGTGCATCGTTTCCGTGCACTCAAGTCGTAAGAACTCATTAGCCGTCAAGGCCGTCTGATTGTCGAAGTTGTTGTTGCTACATGCGTATCTGGCTAGCTGCTTTACAAAACCGGGACATTCCTAATCTTCAACTTGGTGATTTTCATGTCCTGGCTTGCACAGGACTCGTTATCGCTTGGGGGACACAATCTGAGAACCCGTTCTTTTTTCCAGAATAGGCGAGAAGTTGGAGGTTTGTCAATTTAATTATCCTTGGCTGCCAATGCTACTATCAAGACGTTCTAGGCGCTGGCACGTGATGTTAGGCTCCTTCTTGGGTGGCGTCTGCCCGGCACTTCCCTATAGCTTGGAATTCATGTCTACCTCATTCAAATATCATGCTGAACACCTGGGTAATAAAAGGAATCGTGTCATGAGTACATGTACTATATGCGGTACATGGTCGTCTCTTCGAGATATTCTGTTCGGAGCCTGAGAAGAACAACAATATAATTTCGTTTGCCTCGTGGTTTATATAGCCACTGCAGGTCCTCAATGACACCCCGAGATGACATGACAGCGTGGTACATCAAGGCGGCAGATTATTGCATGTCTTAAAGCACAAAGCCTTTCAATAGCTTCTCTGTGTAAGAGATACGATCCTTAGCACTGAGCTCTACCGTGCAAAGTTCCTGCCTCAACATCGATATTCGATATCGACAGCGATACCCGCACTAGGAACCATGGGCAGGCAGAAAGGGCCGGGACAGATGACATTCAAAGTTCAACCACAGGTTCCCGCGAAGCGTAATATGGACCAAAGACAATCGGGCTTCGGAAAATCTCAGTTGAACCAATTCAACGTTAGATTTAAGCCCAATAACGACACCGGCTCCGGTACCCTACCAAGCGAGGTCTCAAACAATGAAAACAATGTTCCAATCACATTCGCATGCAACAAGACAACAGTTGGTTTCACCGAGCGTAGAGAGAAATCAGATGCACCACCACTGAAGAAGCGCAAAGTATCCAGGTACCCGATGAATCATTCGGCTGTTCGCCTGACTTCACGCAAGCCAGTGACTGCGTATGTGCCCATAGACGCTTGGTCACTTATCTTCAGAAGATGTCACCCCAGATTTCTGATTCAAGCTCGACTCGTGTGCCGAGACTTCCGCGATATATTGAAGCAGCAGTCCATCTGGCGAGAAGCGAGAGAATACATATACGGTCCGTCGCTACCAGAATGTCCACATGATTTACATGAACTCGAATTTGCGAAGCTTCTTGTTGGTCGGGGTTGCCAGATCAAAGGTTGCACGCAAAGACTCACCAGGAAGGTGTATTGGGCATTCATGTTACGAATGTGCGAACAATGCTTTAGCGAGAAGACCCAACGACCAGATATTGATGGAAAAGAAGCGCAGCAGTACGTCGAATTTCGCGAAAAGCTCGAGCCTGAGGTAAGACAAACAATACCTAACCACCTGGCTGGGTTGCTCCCCGCAGGCAGTATGTGGGCAGGAAAGTTTTCGCAGGTCAGACCTATCGACAACGAAACTCAAATGTGGAGGTTTCAAGACGATCCTGGTAATTATTGTGTTATGAAAGACGAGTTCGAAGACTTAAAGAGGGACTTCACGCAGAAAGTAGTCACCGAGCCTTCGTATTTTCTGTTCTGGACACGCCTCCACTGGGGAAGAACAAAGGCGCGGATTGAGATTGCTAAGGAATTTGACGGGCATGATGTTATGGTCAAAAACACGTCCCAGAAGCTGGAGAAAGTGGATTTCTTTCAAGACATGGCTGAAGGACTCGACCCGCCGATGACACCGGCTGTTCTGAGGAAGATGGCGGCCTACCACAGAGCTATCGACACACCTAATGCTGCCAGCTTACGGGCTTGGGATGGGCTCAAAGCCAAGATAGATATACCTGAGCTACGAAAGCAAGCTGAACAGCTGCTCAAATGGGAAAGAGACGATTCCGGGTGGCGTGCGTCAATCGAAGACGATCTCTACGACAAGCTGATTATCCACAGACGCAGGAGGCACAATGAAGGCGACAAGCCCGGTCCAGAGGGAAATTGTTGTGCGGAGCAACAGTTCGTGCTGGACATTGCAAACCGTGAGGTGACTAATCTCATTGACATCGTACATGATGAGGACGTACTTCTTAAACTGCTCGATAGTGTGCGATGTTCTTACGAGGCTGCGCCAAATAAGCCCCAGGGTTTGAATGGTGATGGAAGCACTGGTCAATATCGTCTACTGCTAGATGACGCTCGAGTGGTTGTGACTGAGATACTCACGCCACTTGCTACTAATAAAGGTCCTGTGCGTGCGAAAACGATAACAAGCTCATTACGCTGCATGGCTTGCACGCGCACTGACTGTCACCGAACCTTCACATTCGATGGTCTAATGGTTCACATTCGAAACAAGCATGCCGATCTTGTCGGGGAAGACTTACACTTCTGGCGCTTTGCTGTTCCAATACAGTCGCGAATTCGAAGGTACACGGAGCAACTGGCATGGTATCACATCCCTTGGCCGAAGACTCTACCCGCTCTACCGTACCATCGTAGGGCAAACCCTGGCTTGATATGGCATCCTGACGAAGAGCAGAAATACGTATCACATTGTGTCGAGGATGAGGTGCACATGTTCGACAGAGTTGAGCCAATACAAGATCCGACCACTAACGACGACGATTTTGCGGGCTGGGTCTGCAAGGCTGTAGAAATACTAGCGAACACAAGATTGGATTCTGCCGCCATGATCAGGATCGCTTTCGAGTACGCTGCGAGAACCTTATCGAGGCTACACGAAAGCGATGAGTCAGGCTTTGACCTCACTGTCGCTCAGCTGCAGGAGATGGAAGGGGCAATAAAGACCCGAACACAATCAAACGTCGAGTTCAAGTTCAAATGTGGATTGTGTATGAAAGACCCTACGAAGTCAGCGAGTGGACGTCGGCCACGAGAAACCCTCCACCCTCAGCCATTATCACTCCTTGTGCCACATTGGCAAAATAAGCACTCATTGCTGGCACATACTGCACAAAGAGATTTCATCTATCTACCATCAGACTTCGAGCTCAATCAAGCCATGAAGCAAGAGGACGATAAGCTCGAGTCTGAAAGGAGGAGGGTACTGCTGAAGAACAAGAAATCGAAGGCTGGTTCTGGTAATGCAAGTGCTGGAAAGAATACGAAGGACCCGCGAGCTGAGGCTCTACTGGAGATACCTTACATTCGAGATCGGTTTCATATGTTGTTCACACCAGCTGATGGGAGTGAGGCTGCAGACAGTTCAACGGATACGAGCCGATTGACCAGTGATGGGGAAGATACGGACTGACACTGAGCTGAGCAAGATCTCGCCGAGCCGTGGAGGTGAGCAAGAGCTAGGTGTTGTGACCTTGCCATTGTCGGTACATGCCCTTCGAGGTTTGTAACAACATTTATCATTATCAAGGAAAATTCCACGCAGTCCAGTGGGATTATGTCTGGGGAAGAGCGTAGTGCACAAAAAAGATACCACCACAACGTATTATCAAAGGCGACAAGATTAAATTAGCCTGCACGAGTACGTGTTGGGCGAGTCAGAACAAATCGAGTAAGAATTTCTGTCCATCTCATCCACGCGAAGGTGCATATCCGCACTCATAAACATGCTGTAGAGTCTCATCATCTCTTATTATACACTGTAGCTACATCGTCATTTACTAGCTTACCATCCACGGCCCACTCGATCTTCGACTGCCACTCAAAGCAATCGGCAGAGGCAATCTAGGTACCGAACTCTGACTCTCCCTCGACTGACGACCGACAGTACTAGGTGTTAACGTGCCTAAACTGCTTGTCGGCGAAGATGAGCCAGAACTGCCACTGCTACTACTGCTGTACCACTCACTGACGTCTCGATTCGTAGCTGGTAGTCTTGTACTGATATCGGTTCGTCTCCTCAGCCATCGACTCGAGATACTGCTGATGGTAGATGTCACTCTGGTTGAGGACCGTGGAGCAGAGGTGTCGTGGTGAGCGTAGGCTCTTGCGTGTCCCAGACCGGTTGAACGGGTTGATGGACTTCGATCTGGGGTTGTAGTCTCAGTCCCTGTGCTGGAATGGTCGGGGTTAGTAGCTGTGATGGAATTCGGTCGAGCGGTTGGTTTCCCGGACTGACGAAGGTCAAGACCTAGATTGAAGAACGGTGCGCCCCAGCGAGGAGGAGTGGGTGGTATCGAGGGAGTCCTCGTGCTGGCGGCAGGTTTTGCGAACTGAGTACCTGTAGAATACCATTTTCTGTTTAGGAAGGATGATCGGCCTCGGCCGCGTCCTGCTGTTCTTGTATGCATTTCCTCCTGCCGCAGTGTGTCATTGGATGATCGTGGTTGGTGGCCAAATATGATTCCTGTCTCTTGGTTGGCAGCAGGCCAGTTGGCTATGTCTCCTTTCTCGAGGGACGCTTCGCTTTTGGCAGTATCTGGCCTGCTAGGATCGGGACCTCGGCATCCGCTCCGGTGGTAAGATCTGCGGCGTCGCATAAGGCGATAGAAGAGATATATAGTGGTCACCAAACCGATGAAGCCGAAGATTGCGGCAAGGACGATTCCTGCAGTACCGACCGGTGAAGAAGTAGCTTTGGCCTCAAACGCTGGATCAGCGACGTTGTTTGGAAACGGATTCGAATCTGATGCCGGGTTTGATGAGGTGAGGTCTTGACCTGTAGACCTTGCTGGAGTTTGGGTCGATGTCGTCGTGCCTGGATTGGTTGGAGTGCTGGAGATAACAGATGTCGAGGTGGTGAGGGGTGGAGCGGTGCTACTTGACGCGAAGGTCGTTGACGAATTGAATGTCGTGGTACTGATAGTGGTAGCGTTGCTGGAGGACGAGCTTAAGGTTAGAGAGGACGTCGTAGATGTACTGGAGTAAGTATTCGAAGTTGACTTAGATGTGTGATTTGTGTCGCCATCGTGGTTTTCGTCGTCATCTGCCTCGCTTTCGTCGTCACTCAAGTCGTCTTCATCGTCGCTGTCGGAGTCGAGTGGAGGTTGTGATGCTCCTGGAAAAGCTGTCGACGTTGGAAATGGCATGGTCGTCTGACTTGTCGTGCTAGATAGTGAAGACATAGTTCATACTCCTCACGAAGAAAAAGCCGCAGAGTTGTAGTATTGCTTTGAGAGATTCAGCTGCAAACGTTAAGATAAAAGTAGGAGGTGTATACCAAGGAGATGAACGAAGGCGCTTTACTGGTCACAGGTACGACACGTTGGACAAGGTAAGAGACGAAACAGACCAGCTGCTTGAAAGATTGGCGAGGTCATAGCGGATTTACTCCATAATATATATCGGGTATCTCTGCTGTAGAACATGATGCACGCGTGGCTGTAGTAAGAGGCGCTCTGAGGCAGAAGGCCTGTCTGATGGTGTGTCGTACGCAAGGTGATAGCATAGCGGATCATGACACCTACCATGTCTCGAAAGACATAAGTTCATTGACGAAGAGTCTAAAGATGTGCTTGATCACAAGTGTGGTACGATTGAGGTTGTGCTCAAACACTTGGCAGTGGCAGATACGTCGTTGGCAGGAATCGAAGTTTGGATAGACATGTCAACATTTTTGACAAACAAGTCAGAGCTTGGGTTGAAGGGTTAGGCTGCTCCACATCGCGTCGCAGTAGCCATCCGAAATGCGAGTTGAAACGCGTTGCATACATTCTCGCATCACGTTTCGGTGTCCTGCATCGATATTACTAGTGCATCTCGAAGGGAAAGCTAGTGATGGAACATATATAATTGAAACATGTGAGGAAGCTGACTGATCAAAGCGCTAAATTGTATGCTACAAAACAAAAACCTGTACCACGCTGTAACATAGACAATCAATCATCGTAGAATACAAGGCAGCGCACCTCAATACTCTGTCGTCCAGGAGCGTCGGCTGGCGAGTTCGGATCGACAAAAGCTGTATGAGGGGTCATTCCTGCGAGGTCTTGCACACCACCCACACTTTGGCTACGAGAGTCGAAGCACTTGATGAACATGGCCTCCTCTGGAGTCATGTCCTTCATATAAAAGAAACGATGATTGTCGCTAGGAGCCACACCGTACGTTTCTCCTTTGATCTCGTAACCGGCGGTCGAGTTCTCTTCCTTGGACGCTACCGCGGCCTCTTTTCCTCGGTCATCTCCATCGTCGTCACCCTGTCTGGTTGGGTAAAGTAGATCCACCTTGACAAAGTCTTCGGGTTTTGTGGTGCGCCAATCGATGACTGCAAGAGGGAAGTCGGATGCAGGATGACCGATTGGTCTCCATACATTGATGATTTGGTACCGCTGTTTGAGAAGTCTTTCAGCTTCGTCAGATGGCACATGACGTCGCACTCTGACGGCAGCAGCGCCTGGAGTTTGATCGACGTGAACCTGCTGCACTGGCTGTCGTGGCGAGGCCTTTTGATTCCTGCGAATGGTGTGATCGAATATGACGACCTTTGTAGGTTTCTGAGGGAGTTTATCCATCAGGAGCTGCTCGACCTCCTTGTAATAGCCATCTCGGACCTGCTGGTCATCTGTGAAAGCCTTCTCTTTAGCAGGGTAGTGATAGACCCCGAAGCCTGAAACATCTGGACCAAAGTTGTTCTCCTGGCCTCGGATATTTTCCACAGATCTCTTTGTATCCGTATACTTGTAGGATCGGCCACCATCGTCAACCTTGCCCCATGGCTTGACGAAGGGCTCAGAGCTGACAACGTAGGACGCAGGGTCCATGTACTTGAACGATGCGGTCGTCATGGTGGAGGCTTGTCGTTGAAGGATCGATTTACTGAATCGAGTGGCCAAGGGCAATTGCTGTGTAAGTGTTGGACGCAGAGCAGATCGTATATGAGATGTCACGAATCGCATATATGAGCAAATCGTACAATGTGTATGTAAGATGGGACGTACAGAATGACAACTACACCTGAGACAAAGCACTTACAGATATTCAATATATACATATGTCCTTCCAACTCTTGCTGGGTTCATGCATTTGTAATGTCGATGATTGCGTGATACCTTTCCTCGGACCTGTAGGCATGACGTGTTCTGACAAAGCTTTCACATCGAAAAATTTGTTCATTGATTCGACGAAGGAAGTCCGACATCTTCGACAAAGTTCTCGAAAAGTTTAGAGACTTTAGTGCTCGATTTGTCTGGGGAGTTGGGGATTAATTCGATGCATAAGGTATGCATTTAGACCACATTATGAAATGCATTGTAAATGGATACATGTCGTCATATCGTAGCGTTTAGGTCTTCTGAAATGCTCCAAGGTTTGAGTACTACTCCCATTAGCTCATAGTCTAGCATTAAAGAGCTCTGTCGATGTGTGTCCGTCTTCTCGTGTTGCACCACAAAAAGATGCAGAGGTGTCTTGGTGGACTGGCGTGAATTATGGTTAGGTGGGAGTTGAGAATACTACTGTGAACTGAAGGAGTTCAGCTGGTCTGCAAACAGCCAAGAGGAGAGCACAAGGCTGCTGTTCAGCCTTTTCGTGCCTACTTCGGGCATTAGTTTGCGGACCTGCACGCCTGTTTCAAGTTCCACTGAGACCACTGTGAGCAACACGTGAAGTGCTATTAAAGTCATTGTCTACGTTGGCTCGTTCGTCTGATATTCCACCTCAATTGCACCTTACAACAATGATTCGTCTCTGATCGTTCCTTCCTTGCGTACAACAATCTTCTTCAGTTCAAGCCGGCAGCTGCGACTTGCAGTGCTAGCAACGACTCGATTGCGCCCTTGGGTGTACTACCACAATGGCTTCTTTTCTCAACACCACCTTTGATGATGAGGAGTCAGAGACCGAGTTTAATCCAGGCGCAGAACAAGGCTCGGAAAATGAAGGATCAGACAACGAAGACACCAAAGTACAACCTTCTCGTAAAGTCGAACGCGCATCGCCTGTGCCAGAAGCAAATGGCTCGAGACCAAAACAAAGAGATTCTCCTGTCAACGACTTGAAGGACGATGACGAAGATGATAACAACGGCGAAGACGACGAAGGAGAGGGTGAAGATCTACAAGATGGCGATGACGATGAAGAGGACGAAGAAGAGGAGGACGAAGACGACGAGGATGCACTTGTTGGCAGGCCGAAGAAACGAAGGAGAAGGGGCCTCAATCAGTTCATCGAAGAAGAGGCTGAGGTCGACGAAGACGACGACGAACTTGAAGCTGATGAGGACGATATCGCCGAGACCGGCTTCATTCAAGATACTCATCCTGACGATGACTTAGGCGCTGATGTCGAGCAAGATGATAGGAGACACCGAGAACTCGATCGTCAACGCCAGCTCGAACAATCTATGGACGCCGAAGCACAGGCTAATAGATACAAAGAAAGATATGGTCGGCGAACAACAACTGGTTTGGCCAAAGGCTCCTTCGTACCCCAAAATCTGCTCATGCCTAGTGTGAATGATCCCAGTATTTGGTCTGTTGCGTGCAAGCCCGGAAAGGAGAGAGAAACAATCGGTTTCATCATGAAGAGACAGATCGAGAGGTCAAAGATGGGCAAACCTCTGAGAATCTGCTCCGCTTTTGAACGTGGAGGCACAACCTCGTCCATGGCTGGCATGATCTTTGTCGAGGCAAGAAGAGTCGACGACATGAAAGAGGCCCTGACTGGCGTGCCTAACGTATACATGAGCAAGATAACCAAGTTTCCCCTCAACGAGATGCCCGATCTACTTCGTGTTAGAAAGACGAAGCAATTGGAGATTGGAGGTTACGCTCGTATCAGGAAACAGGGAGTTTACTTCAACGACCTTGCCGTTATTGAGGAGGTCGAGGACAACGGTCTCGACGTCGTTGTTCGTCTCGTCCCTCGTCTTGACTATGGCCTCAACGAGGACGATAACAAACCGACCAACCCTGCCGAGAAGCGAAAACGAAATGCTTTTGCCCCAGCTGCCACTCCTCTCGTTCGACCTCCTCAAAGATTGTTCAACGAGAACGAGGCAAAGAAAAAGCACTCTCGCTTTCTTACGCAGAACAGGGCTCTCAGCGGTCGTAGTTGGATCTACAAAAATGACACATACGAGGATGGTTATCTCTGGAAGACTTTCCGAAGGTCTCAGCTGCAAACAGAAAACGTCGATCCGAAGCTTGAAGAAGTCACCAAGCTTACTCGGCAAGCGGCTGACGGTTCTGAAACACTAGACATTGAGCAGATTGCAAAAGATCTCAAGAACTCGACCGCCGAAGGCAATTACGTGCCAGGCGACGAGATTGAAGTATACAAAGGGGAGCAGAGAGGCCTGGTAGGCAGGGTAGAAGGCGTAAGCGACAGAATTCTACGTGTCAAGGTCATCCAAGGTGAACTCGCAGGTCAAGTCATTGAGCAACCTGTAAGTGATGTGCGAAAACGCTTCAGAGAAGGTGATCACGTCAAAGTTATCGGTGCTAGCAAATATGCTGGTGAGATTGGTATGATCATCAAAATCAAAGACGACAGAGTCACCATCATTACCGACACTAGCAACCAGGAGATTACTGTTTTCAGCCGAGACTTGAGAGAGGCAGCGGAGGCAGGTGGCACTGAGATCAAGTCCCATATGTTCGACGTGCAAGACTTGGTCCAGCTCAATGCAACACAAGTCGGAATCGTCATCAGAGCGGACCTTGAGGCTGTTCGCATTCTCGATGAGAACTCTTCTGTCGTGACTCGCTTGCCAACTCAACTACAAAAAGTCGAACAAAAGAAAAATGCAGTTGCCACTGACCGAAACTCGGCAGAAATTCGTGTTGGTGACACGGTTCGAGAGTCAGGTGGAGAAGGCAAGACTGGTCGTATCTTGCACATACATCGTGCACATCTCTTCCTGCATGACCGAGAGCGCATGGAAAACTCAGGCTTGTGGACGACTCGCTGCATGAACGTCGTTACTATTGCCTCGAAAGCGAACATGACTCAGTCTGGCCCAGACCTGACCAAAATGAACCCTATGCTCAATGGTCAACGAGCGCCAGGCGCCATGGCGCCACCACCTCAAGTCGGCCGTGACAGACTCATCGGTCAAACTGTACACATTAGGAAAGGACATTTCAAGGGTCATAGAGGAATTGTCAAGGATACCCAAGGCGAAGTCGCCAGAGTCGAACTTCAGTCTAAGAACAAGGTTATCAACATTCCCAAAGTTGACCTTGCAGTCGTTGAGTATGTAACACTTCACCCGCTCGCAGAAATCTTGCTAACATTTAATAGTCGAAACACGGACAAGACCATCGACTACAACACCTTTGCACACTCGAGAGGCCCTGCTTTTCCCCTTCGAACTGGCACTGGTGCGACCAATGGTTCGAGGGTGCCAGATTCAGGATTTCAAGGAGGTCGCACGCCGCAGGTTGGCAGTGCAACCCCAATGTGGGGAAGCTCATCTCGAACGCCAGCTTGGAATGGCGCTGGATCCGCGATGGACTCAAGGACTCCTACCTGGAAGGCCTCAGGCAGTGCAACAACCTATGGAGGTTCGGGCAATATGACCAGCTATGGTGGTCCAGGCAATTACGGCACGAACAACAGTAGCAATCGCACACCGGCCTGGTCATCTAGTGCGAAGACACCTTATTCTAGCGATCATGGTTACGGCTCATCATCAGGTGGATACGACGCGTTTGCGGCAAGCTCGCGCACGCCTTTTGCAGGAGGAGCATCATCGAGAACGCCAGCGTACAACAGTGGTATGACGGAGAATACGTCAGCAATTTCAGCACCTACCCCAAGCGGATTTGACAGTTCAGGGGGCGGATATACCTCTTATGCAGCCAATGCACCTACTCCAGGTGCAGGTTTCGGATCAGGTCCTGTTGATGCACCAACACCTGGCATGCCTAGCTACGCTAAAGCTTCGAATCAAATTCCACTGAAGCATAATAGACTTGCTGCTGCAGCAGCGACGCCAGGAGCCACATACGATGCACCTACACCAGGAGGTCCAAGATATGCTGAAGATGATGACGATGATTAGTCGTGTGCTCACGAATTTGTATTGTGTTTGAAGATTTCTCCGGTGCTCTTCTATGAGACGTGGGACCTGTGTACGCTAGCTTTGGACTCTGCACAAGTGGTTGTGCGAAAAAAACTTTTCAGCTCTCAGGATTGAGCTTCATGGTATTGACCAAAAACCTTCCGCATCGTGTAGCATAACTAGGATCAATATGCTTTCAACCTTATCATGCTTCCAAAAGCTCCTGCAAATCAATCAATTGAGCAAATCGTGACCATGTCATACGTCATCAGACAATGTTGTCTTATACTTACTATACAACTGTATTGTAGTTTAGAAAAGTTTCTTTTATTCATTGCATACCTGACACTACTGATACTAAACACCACAGCCGGATCTCAATCGCATAGACCTCACTGCTGTACTGAATAGAAACATGGACTCGGCGCCTGCCCAAGTCAATGGAGGTCAAACTACTGCTGCCGAGTTACCTCCGGAGGCAATAGCGCTTGCAGGAAGAATGTTCGATGCTGCGAGGAAGGGAGACGAGCAAAGCATAGCCCTACTGACACAAGCACTCGCTAGAGGCTTGCCAGCAAATCTGACGAACGGCAAGGGCGATTCACTGGTAAGTCTTCTTGGTGATAGATGTGTGAAGATACAGGGTCATAGCACAACTTCTATGGTTAAGTGAACATAGGCACACTGGGAAAAACTCAATACGTATCACGCAAAGCATCAGGAACCCGGACTAATATGTATCTGTTCGTCTAGATCATGCTAGCAGCCTACCACGGTCACGCGAATCTAGTCCGTCTCCTGCTACAACACCACGCGGACGCAAACAGACTGAACGATCGAGGGCAGTCACCACTGGCGGGTGTTGTTTTCAAGAACGAGCGCGAATGTGTCGAGGCACTACTTGAGGGTGGTGCTGATCCGCGGATAGGTGAACCATCTGCGTTGGAAGCGTGTAAAGTGTTTAAACAGGAGGAGTTTGAAGCTATGTTTTTGGAGCAGGCTGACAAGTTGAGGAGGACTGGGAATAGTGCTGTCAATGGTGCGTCGTGAGGAAGGTTGGAGCAAGTCGGTTGTCTGGTAGGTCAGATGTATTGGTCTATAGTCTGGTTAGGTCAGGTCGGAAACAGAGCCGTTTTCGGTCACGAATCGCGATAGCATAACTTAAGCATAATAAAGCAAACGGGACCCAAGTAGTCGCTACCGATGATGCTTGGGAATTATTTCGAACAAAGTCCTAAGGGGAGTTAAGGTCTGTGCAATTGATTGTAGTCGGCTCGACGCGTCGCGTTCCTCCATTTCGTACCAAGTGCGACATTCTGCTATGGCGTCCACCTGAGCTATTCCAGGCACATCGACACAAAGTTGTTTTTCGTTGGAAAACTGTAGCCTCGTACGGAAACTGTGACAACAGCATGCCACTGTTCATGTGCGCATCTGTTCGTACAGTTGCAACCAGTTTGAATCTGAGACGTGGCTACTCCCAGCCACGACCTGAATAGTCGTCCTGTTAAGCCTTTTCGTCATTTAAGGTACTATTTTAAGCCAGGAAATTTTCATTGGCTATATTGTTGCCTGCGATTTACGCGTGTTTGTCGGGAAGATGTTCGGCGCCATGCAGCTTGGCGCGAAGTGAATTTTTGAGAAGGTTCATCGTCGTAACGTTCTTCTTGTTTCGTGGGCAGAATATTTCCACAACAGTATGTGAAATCTCAAATGTCTCTGCTCTGCTCGGCAAAATCACCTCCCGAAGTTCGATCCATACACAGTTCAACGTTTCCACTGTCGTGTCAAACAACTCCATCCACCTGCTGACGAAAGAGGAGCATTATGTTGCGCGACACGATACCACATGAATCGTGGCCAATGCTAATTGCCCCTGATCATTCAGCTTGACTTCGATGACCTATTTTCATGTGCTCTCGCGTCGGATTGACTAGCCATAACTATGAATATGTAGTTGTCGCTCAAACCTTTGAATAATCCTTGTCACTTCCAAAGAATTACCTAACCTCTAATCAACTTGCCCATAGCTTTTTCAGAACACATCGAACAGAAGAAGCAGTCCGAACCAACCACTATATTATAGGTTTTGGGACCGTGTTCATCCTGCTTCGAGAACTTCACCGGCCTGGCGTTTCCGAAAACAGGCGGCTCACATTACGCAGACCTCAACGTCACAGAGAGCATCACAACCTGCACAAAATAGCATCAGAGGTCAGTGCTTCGGTCCACAAGCACTGCATTCTTCAGTTCAGAAGAGTACTTGCTGCCTGATCCACCTAGCGTCATTCCGGTCCACTCCGGTACAGGCTCACATCAGCACCTCGATCTGTACTGCAAACAGGATCGTCGTTCAATCAGCTTGCCTCCGACAATCAGTTCTTGGTCGAAATTCACCACTGAGTCAGGCACAATCAGCATCCCACGACAGCATCGATAGGCGGTCCGGTTGACCTCCACACAGGCATTTTCGAACACCAGTCGTGATCTACAACAACTCGACTGTATTTCGTTTCATCGACGACCATCGTCTAATAGCCCATCGTTCAAGCTGTCAATCGAACACTACCTCAATGCCTCAGTCAATCTCTGACTATGACTCCCAATACCTCTCCTCTGAACGACGGAGAGGTCTAAGCTTTTTACCCATATCAAAGCTATCAAAGCAACGTCATCAATCGTCTCATAACAACCGGAACTCCATCCCTCCTCCTCAGCAAGAGCCTATACGGCACCACAACCATCATCAGCACAATAACTCCAGCTCTGCGTCACCCTCTACCTCAGCAGCAACCTCAAGATCTTCTACAGCCACATCTCCAGCAGTCCCTGCTTCTGTTCCAGTGTCGATCAAGGAACTAGGATCAAAGGCACAGGAGATCCGTCCAAGTGAGGAGATAGCAGAATGGTCACATCAAATACATGTGACCCAAGGTCGATGCTATTGGTGGTGCCAGTTGTGCTTACCGCAGGACGTTACCAACAAACCGTTGGAAATACCCAAATCCGTCGGTAAAGTTAGCACGGGACGAAGAGCCAGAGTGACTGGCCCCAGTCATTGCTACGATATCTGAGACGACGCCAGAACTATAAGAACTGTACAAAATCCAGACGGTCCAATATGTAATATATTTGAGCTTAGCACAGGCGCTGGCCGGCATCGTGTTTTTTGATAGAATGCCTATTCTCACTTGAACATTTAAGCACCTTGAACCTTCCCACGCTTGACCAGCTCATCGCTGCTCCAAAGTGTAAGCCTTGCAGATTCAATCTGAAGGGCCAGGTGTAACGACCTCATATTTGTTCCCCAGCCAGGCTCGAATCTCGTCGGACCCTCATCTCAAGCTCAGTTCGTGCTGAAATTCGAGAATTCACGTGATGGTGAAAGAAGCGGAGCTATTTCGTCAGCCAAATTCCCGACCAACACGCGCGACGCGTGCTTTTCTTGCGTCGTATCGTTCAGCTCTTTCAAGCTGACAATTCGATCTTGTTCTGCGATAGTTATTCACCTCTTTGCAACACGTTTGTTCAATACTAGAGGTTGCACGTCGTCGAAATGCCGCCGAAGCGCAAAGTCCCTGCACGAAGGGCATCAACCGGTAAGCGAGTCTCATTCGGTGGAAATGCTGTGCTGTCCCAAGCAACCACTCCCTCTGGCCGTCCCAAAAGATCTGTTACCAACGACGTCATGTACAAACTTCCTTCTCGCAATTCAAATGCCGCGTACGTATCTGCAACGCAACAGGCTAAAGTTGGACAAGATGCATTTGCTGCTCCCATACCAGCGAGCCCGAAGAGAAGAGGCAGGCCACCAAAATCTGCTGTCGGTACCGTGACCACAACGCCGAAAAAGGCCGGCGCGTCTCCAAAAGCCGTCACTCCTACTGCCGGACCCGTTGCTGGTAAGAAGCGCGGTAGACCTGCAGCAGCAACGAAGGAGAACGCGCCAGACAAAGCAAGCACAACGACTGCTGCGCCAGTGAAGGTTCCTGGTCGCCGTGGTAGACCAAAGGCCGAACCTCAAGCAACTCCAGCCGCTCCGACCTCAAACAAGCGCAAGCGCGATGAAGAGGAGGTCGCTGCACCACCTAGAAAGCGCGGCCGACCTTCGAGTGGTACAACGGCTGCACCAGCTGCGAAGGCTACACGAAACCTGGCTGTTAAGATCGATAAGAGTTCTTCAAAGACAAAGACTACTACCCAAAAATCTAAAGCTGTAGTTACGAAGCCCGCCGGTAAGCGAGGACCAAAGCCAGGAACCAAGAGAGGTCCTAGAGTTGCTAAGGACAGCTCTAATACGGCTGTCGAAGACTTTACTGCAGGACTCACTTCGAATGACCTTCAGTACGAAGGAGACGACCAATACTGGCTGATGAAGGCTGAACCAGAGACTCGTATAGTCAAGGGCATCGACGTCGCGTTCTCCATCGATAAGCTCGCTAAGGCCGCTGAGCCTGAACCTTGGGATGGTAAGTCCGTTCAGCGCTCTACTCCAAACATGGACTCATTTCATCTAGGTGTCCGAAATGCTGTTGCGCGAAACAACATGAGAGCCATGCGCAGAGGCGACCTTGCTTTCTTCTACCACAGCAACTGCGACGTCCCAGGCATCTTTGGTGTTATGCGTGTCGCGGAAGAGCATGCAGTCGACGAGTCGGCCTTCGACCCTCAACACCCTTACTACGACGAGAAGTCTACTCGAGAAAAGCCAAAGTGGGATTGTGTTAAAGTTGAGTTTGTAAAGAAGTTCAGCGAGCCTATTACGCTTAAGACGATCAAGTCAACGAAGAAACTAGGTAATATGCTGCTTGTACAGCCAGCTGGTAGCCGTCTGAGCGTGCAGAAAGTTCGACCAGATGAGTGGAAATTTGTCCTTAAGATGGCAAATGAGTCAGAAGATCTAGGCGTTGCTGACAAAAAGAGTGGCTACGAGGCTGATACGAACGGAGAGACAGACAAAGAGGCAGCGGAGGAAAGTGTGGGCGTGGACGAGGATATTGACATGAACGGAGCTGCCGACTTTGACGTGGATGCTGCGAAGATTGCAGCCTATGGCAGTCCAGACGACTTTGTCGATGATGGTGAAGGGGTGCCAGTCGCCCCTGAGCCTGAGGATCAGCTGGCTCTTGAGGCTGGTTCTAATGGCGTAGTACCGGACAGCCAGGAGCTTGCTAGAGCTCTACACAATTGAAAAAATACTGTATCAGTCAGTGGTGTGATCTTCTGTTTTCGGTACTGTCGATCGAGTGCCTGTACAATATTGATCAATGCAAGAGATCCACCAGCATAAAAGAGATGAGCATGAGGGATGGTCAGATCTGCGAGTTGAGCTCGGGTATACAGATGTCTGATATGTCAAGCTGCACACCAAGAGCTTTTGCATTTTGAAGCGCAATACTGACGGCGACGATGTCTACATTGTTTTGCACAGAAGGCTTTGATCACTTTCAAGGCTTCTACTTTGGCCTCAAGGCGTACATTTTAACAGGATACAAGCTCTTCGGGAATCCACTTTGCAATTCCATCTTGATGATCTTCAATCCTGCCTCTTCGAATAATGCCTTCCACTTCCGATCACTCCTTGTCACGGAAGAGTCAGCATCGTCGAATATGTCTTCGCCCCAATCATCGGTGCTTAGATTCTCTTTCACCATGATCCAGCCAAGTGTCTCGTTGTCCTTCTCACTGTTACTATCGGGCTTGTACCCCGTCAGCGTCTTACTGGTACGCTGCAGGTATTCTACGACCTGCTTGTCCGTCAGGTGGTTCAAGCACCACTGGTTCCATATTATATCATATCTACAATCCGGCGCAGGGTTCCACGACTCAAGCCCCGAGTTGAATATCTGACCTATACGTCCTTGCTCTGCTGTGGGCCTATACTGAGCCAGCACATCGGTGAACTTCTTGAGCGGCTCGACGACATCAACGGTCTGTGCAATGTTCAGCAGCAGACCTGTCGTTATACGTCCTATACCGGCGCCACCTTCCAGTACACGATTGAGCTTCGTGTTCGTTTTTGGTGGTGTTGGGTTTGCCGAGTCTTTACCTGATGCTGAGCTGGGTTTTGTTGTCGATGAGGGAGAAGAGTTGGTTTCGTGAGATATGCGGGTGAGACGTCGTACTTTGGCGATGAAGTTTTTGGAGCCTTGGAGATCGATCCGGCTTACTTGGGGATAGCCGCCGAGCATACCGTCGACATCTGCTGTTTGGGCGTCCCAGTAGGATATTTGTTGAGAGTGGGAGATCTGTGAGTCTGTTGTTGGTAGGGAGTTGCCTAGGTTGTTGGCATGTTCACTGGAGGCAGGATTGAGATCTGATTGTGTGTGTACATCATCGGTCGTTGCCATCTTGCTTGACTGGTTCTCGTCTCAGGTCTAGCTCCTGGTTGAAGTGCTGGACGAGGTAGTGGTAAGTTGACTTCAGCAGAACCAGGATCAAGCTTGGGCTCGGGACAGTGTTGCTTTAGCTCGTTGTAGCCTTCGAGTTCATTCCTCTATGATGTGGACCCTGGATATACAGTACAGCATCGGAGCTTCCAGTAAGACCAAGATTGTAGGCTGGCTTTACCTCATTCCACACCCACCGTACTCACCTTAATGCTTGTTGTCCGGCGGTCCTGGTGCTGTACGAATAAAAATGTCGCTAAACTGACAGGCCAATGCCCAGACCGAATGCGCTGCACCTTTTACTAACAAATCCCTAGGAATATATCATTGAACAATCCTCAACGCACAGCTGTTTCGTAGATTGTGTAGCCTATTTCGCCAGCCTACATTTGTCAAGTCTTTCAGTAAGAAGAGTAATATCATGGTTTTTGTTCTTCCAGGCAACAAGGCTCTCACACAGGGCTTATCATCCATTCACCTAGGCTTAACGTAGCAAGTCCATCCTTATCGCTGTGCCCCGCTTGTCGGAGCTCTGCGTCGATTGGTCTTTCCGACAGCTGGGAGAGCGCGGCCTGCGTAAAAGGAAAGAGAATCCATGGTGTCAAGACAAACGTACAGTATATAGGAGTAGCTATCGATTTTCGTCAAAGATTGTATGCTGACTTTCAGGTTGCTTCGGGGAGCTGCAACACGACACTTACTACCACGACACAGAGTCTGTCCGCATATTTTATCCATCAAGCAGAACGACAGCATCGTCCCTGGTCGCTTTGAGATAACACGGACTCGACGTACTAGGTTCAGCACAGTCGGACCTCAATTGAACATGTCTGACCTCAAAGTTGACCTGACGGCCCCTAATGGCAGGAAGATCACTCTCCCAATTGGCATCTACATCAACAACGAGTTCGTGAAAGGAAACGGAGGTGAGATCGAAAGTATCAACCCTACTGACGAGTCAGTGATTGCAAAGGTTAGCGCTGCCTCAGCAGATGATGTCGATGCAGCTGTGAAGGCAGCTCGAAAGGCATTCAACGACCCGTCATGGCGCGATCTGCCAGGCCCAGATCGTGGCGCGATCATGTTCAAATGGGCTGATCTACTCGAGGCCAACAGGGAAACGCTCGCGACCCTTGAGACATGGGACAATGGTAAACCGTACAGTGTCTCCTACAACGAAGATTTGGCAGAAGTCATTGGCTGTCTTAGATATTATGCCGGCTGGGCCGACAAAATTCACGGTCAGACTATTCCTACTACACCAGGCATGAAGTTTGCATACACTCTCAAGCAGCCAATTGGCGTGTGCGGTCAGATAATCCCGTGGAACTACCCTTTGGCAATGGCAGCTTGGAAATTGGGACCGGCTCTTGCTTGTGGCAATACTGTTGTGTTGAAGCCAGCTGAGCAGACACCTCTGAGTATCTTGTTCGCAGCACAGTTCATTTCTGAAGCTGGCTTTCCACCAGGCGTCATCAACATCATCAACGGATATGGTAAGGAAGCGGGGCATGCTCTTGTATCTCACCTCGACGTCGATAAGATTGCTTTCACTGGCTCGACCGCAACGGGCAAGGCGATTATGAAAACAGCATCTGTAAACATGAAGAACATCACTTTGGAAACAGGCGGAAAATCACCATTGATTGTCTTTGAGGACTGTGATCTTGATCAGGCTGCTAAGTGGTCACAGATCGGCATAATGTCGAATCAAGGTCAAATCTGTACGGCGACATCACGAGTCTTGGTTCAAGAATCGATCCTGGATAAATTCGTAGAGAAGTTCCAGGAGGCCATCAAGACGACTTCAAAGGTTGGCGATCCCTTCGCAGACGACACATTCCAGGGACCACAAGTCACCAGAGCACAATACGAGCGTGTACTCTCCTACATCGAAGCTGGTAAATCCGAGGGTGGCAAGCTGTTGACTGGTGGTGAGCCACACAAGAATGTTGGAGAGGGCAAAGGATTCTTCATTGAGCCAACAGTCTTCACGGACGTTACAGAGGAGATGAAGGTATATCAGGAGGAAATTTTCGGTCCTTTCTGCGTTGTTGTCTCTTTCAAAACCGAGGAGGATGCTATTCGGATGGCAAACAATACGACCTATGGTCTCGGTTCAGCCATCTTTACTCAAAACCTGGAAAGGGCTCACAGAGTGGCTGAGAAGATTGAAGCCGGTATGGTTTGGATCAACAGCTCACAAGATTCGGACATTCGTGTACCCTTTGGAGGAGTGAAGCAGTCGGGCATTGGCAGGGAGCTGGGTGAAGCTGGTCTCGCAGCCTACTCGCAGACAAAGGCTGTGCACGTGAATTTGGGGTTGAAACTGTAACGCAGCAGTAGTCTAATAACGATTCAATGATTTTTGAGCCGACATGCAGTAGCTCTGTTGACTTCTGTTATTTATCAGATGTATCGTAAGCTCGTAGTTTTCAATTGAGGGAGATTCGATGTCCACTACTGATGCCAGTCACGTGGCCCAACAGAGGTTACTAAACCCACACGGGCAGGCGTACTAGTACTGAACAATACTTCTTGATCTGGTAACACTCTCAATGGTCTTCCATCGTGTACCATAGGCATACTCTCAGCCCTTATCAGCTCCCTTGCAGGTAAAGTTTAAGGTTCGTAGTGGCATGATCAGTCGATGAAGATCATAACCTATTTTGCCGTGTATTTGTACCTAACGATGCTGCAGGGCTAGGCACCGAAAACCCTCCTTCAGTTCTTGCTGCCCGAACCGCGAAGGGATGATCACTCGTATCAGTGTACTGTCCTGCCCGATCTGCATTGTACAAAGTCCTCCTCTGATGGACTGTTTCATCTTGTGGTACGTCAGAGAGCTCCTTCCGCGGGCACTCCGATGCAGAGGCAAGCGCGCAAAGTTGGGCATTAAGATGTACCTTTCCCAAATATGAAGTGCTGCGGGTCATTCCAGAAGCCGCGCTCGTACTTCCATAGCGTCAAGCCCTTCACAGCCGATTCCAATTCTGGTCTCTCTTTCTCTGCACGCGAGAGTTCCTCGTGTAATTCATGCAAGGCGTTGTTGATGACCTTATCGTCTGTTACCTTGTTCATCACGGTATAGTGTAATTTTGGAGGTGCCGAGTCCTGCTCACTCAACCAACCGGACCACTTCTTGCGCAGTTCAGCATGGATTATGCGAGTCATGTTTCTTTTGTGGCTGCCCATCTTCGGATGCTCAATGTCATCAGCAACAGCTATTGCGACGCCTTTGGATAGTCTGAAGGCATTCGTGGCACGAATACGATATTCACTGGTCTTTGAGGTGATGTCCTGTATGGCTGGAAGCACATCACTCTCAAGCTTAGACTCAGGAAGAGCGTGAAACATGGTGATATGAGCTTCAAGCTTGTTCAGCTTGGCGGGAAAGTACTTCTTGCGAAAAGAGGTCATATACTCGTGGTGAGCAGGGTCTGTCAGTAGAGTTAACACATATTCCTGCTCGTCGACGCTATTGTCTGCTGTCCTGGCTCGCTGACTTTGTAATCGTTCATTGATTGCGGTCGTCGAGAAGTCCTGATGCTGGCCAACGCGATGTGTCGCATCTCGAGACGCATGTGGCTCGGTATGGACCGTCATGCTCATCCAGTACGTCCTACTCCTGTGATGGACCAACGGCAGCACTTGTCCGTGCAAGTATCGCATCGACCGTCACTCTTGCTTGCAGTCGTGGTGCTGTGCACAAATACCTGGATATGGACCCTGTACTGTTCCCTTGGGTTTGGCTTGCTGTCAAGTCAAAGAGATGCGGTCTATCTTTTCCTATGCAGGGCACGGATACCTACTTGCATCAGGCATGGTAGCTGGTATTTTGAATGCTACGCTAAGCTCAAAGCTGTGCGAGCAAGTCAGCGCGTAAGTCATGACGCGACGATCGAGAGCGTGTTTGACTAGCCCCTGCGACAAGCTCATCGCTGAAAAGTACCATACCGTACAGTGTTGAGTCTAGCCTTCAAAAAAGGTGAATCAGCTCTGCAGCGTATTTACCAAGTGGCAACGAGATGGAATAAATGCGTATTTCTGCACTGTAAAGCTATCGACGTGGGTGCCCAAAAGAACGATCGACATTGACTTTGGGCCGCCGTGGAACAACGATCGACGTTCGACCACTTTGCGATTGGTTGATTACCGCAAAGGTATAAGCTTCCAGAGCACTTCTGCTCGACCAGCTGTTCTGTCCAGGACTTGTCTTGCTGATTTCAAGCATTTGATGACATACGCTTCTGTGCTGTATTATGTGTCTCGAGGTCAGTTCAACACTGTTGCTATCGCTAAGAGACTTTGTAAGGCTCAATTCCTCTAAGGCCTCTTTCGGCCAGAGCACCGCGCTCCGAAATTGAACATGACGCAGCGCTTTGTCACAACATCACATCCACAAGGCGATTTCGAGACGTCGACGTCTGCTCAAGTCCTCGCTGACCGAACGACAACCTGCAAGTTATCGATCAGGCCACCATGACGGACAAATGTGTGTACAAGTACCGACCGGGAATTTGGTACATTTGTAGTTGTTTCATCTTTCAGCCACCAATCTTCTACGACATTTCTAGAAGCATGATCAATCGCGTTAGCACGAGCCGGTACTTAACAAGCCTCTCCTGAACCACTAAACGAAATGTCCACCACATTGAGGCTTGCAAGCAAATGAATAGCTCCCAAGTCCCATACTTGGCCCCAACAGCAATGAGGCCTTTTCATTCTCTTACAGGCTTCGCGTGTGCCGTCTCTTCTTGTTCATGTGCCATAAGCTTTCACCCTTCACACTAAATGGGGCGATTGGTGACATGGGAATTGTTCCTCGCTTCATTTGATGGTTTCAGAGGCATCCGTCGAACTTTCTGGTGGTGTGATGACCAGACTGCTATGCTCTTTGATACGAGCCATCCACATAGCGGCCTATGCTCGGCACTGACCGGGCTTATGCCGTCTTCGGCAGAATCCTACTACCACGACCTCCCCTACCCTAGGTCACAGAATGAGGCTGACGTATCCACCAAAGTCATAGATCGACGTTGCTTAGTGCCTCGATGTCTTACAGTGGTTGCCAACCTCGCTTCCGGAACGGTGGTCAAGCCTCCAACGATGTCTCCATCAAGGTCGACGAGGACGAGTATATCCTGCTCTGCTTGGAGTCGTGAAACAGAACGGGAGGCACGTACGCGCTAGAACAGACCTGGCAGAAAAAGCTATTGTGGCTGCTTTGAAATGGTAGTTGCCGGATGAAGGGAGTGCTTCCGCAGCCCTAGCCGAAGGTCGACTATACTTTGTGAGGTTAGGCCATTGGTGATTCTCGAAACGTTTCAGGCGACGATGCCGTCTCTCAAAGCACGTGGTGCAGATCCTTTTTTTGGCTTCTCGAACTATACTCTCCACGACGTGAGTCAAAACAAAGGTAAACGATGTTGCTTGGGCATCGTGTTCTGCTCGTGTACTGGCTTCCCGTGACTGAAATACAATGCATGCTTCATTGCCATAGGTCCGAGGATGCAAATATGCTCCGCATAAGTATGTTGGGCATCTGTCTCCCTACTGGAAGACGCCCAATCGAACAGTGTCTGATACAGATCTGGCTGCAAGCGGTACTGGCGTCATCAGCTCTGCTTTATTGGTTCGAACGAAAGACTTCCAAACGGGTTCAGGTGGAGCATCGTCTAGAAGCCGTTAACGAGGCTGCTCCAAATCCTTGAAAGACAACCCGGTAGTGCTCCCTTACCAGGATACAGGCTTCATATCGTTGTTACCAAGAGACTTTCCAGCTAACCTATTAGGCTCTTACAGGATTGCGGTACTTGTTCGCTGATCCGAGGCTTGTACCTGGACTTGTAACGCTATGTTCCTCTGAAACTGATCATATCTCGATATCACGTCTGACAACAATGCGCCAAGCAGCAGTATATAGTATCGAATCTACCCATTGCTGCCCAACATAGACCTAGATTTACCACCCCAACGCTGCACATGACAGTCGCCCAACATCCATCGCTACAATTTGCCTGACCAGCAGACGCCACACTGCCAAACGCTTTGGTAATCGCTACAGCTATTGGAATTGCCTTAAGCAGTAGCTAGGAGGTATGACGAATGGTCTACTGGGGAGTCTTGCGACGATCAGTCCCTTCATTCAGGTCTCTCTACCACATTCATACTTAGCGAAAGGAATGAGTACTGGAGACAGACCAACCATCAACTCTACCGATACAATAATGAGCACTTTAGTGTCAGGTTCAGTTGCAGAGCAAAACCCGCTGGATTATGTTCGGTACGAGTCCTCCCCATACTACCTTGTGAATGACCTCAAAGTCGAATCAGACCCACTGACATGTCGTGTGGCAGAAGCTCAAGCTACAGAAGCACAGGTGCTTATGACCCTTTCATGGCTCGACCGCACGGCCGATATAGTCCCCCAAGAGCAGACTTCATAAGTGGCTCGTCATCAGAACACTATGGGTCGAGTAGAATACTGCCCTTGTACGAAAGTGTGCCTTCTCATCTGGCGAACTTTGTAACTTCATCGCCCTTTTCAGCGGCGGATGCGTTGTCGTATGCACATCACGACAATTTGCAACGAGCAACGATTATTGAGGATGATCGATCCAGCCGTAGACAGAGCCAAGATAGCTTCGGTCCCAGAACAGCGTCTCCTCAGAGCCAGAACTACATGGAGTACGATTTCGAGCTGCAACGTCATGGCAGCGAGACAGGTCGCAATCAGCCACGGTACCACTCACGCAGACGGCCATTCAATCAGGACGAGTTTGATGGTCCATCACAATATTTACCTCTACCTCTACCGCATCAGGATGCTAGCCGAGCACAGGATTTGACAGATCTACCAGTACACCTGGACATATCAGAACAAGAGGACGTCATGCGGCGAGCCAACGACATTCTGTCCGAATGTGCTTTCCATTTTATTGCCAAATATCAATTTCCCGTTCCATTAGAGCGGGACAAGCCCAGAGTCAGGTCCGCGGCCGACCGTGAATGGACTGAATGGGCATATCTGCTCAAGAGACTCGCTACGAAGCGACGCATCCCAGCCAGAGTGTTATACGATAACCAGATCAAACAGCTAGTTACGACCCTTGAGAATTCTATCGCAGCTCGACAGTCAGCGAATAAAGAGCAAACACACCAGAAGAGAAAGCCAAAGGACGACAGGTATATACTGCAACTTGTCAGTGCAAGCACGCAGGTTGCGAAATTGTTGATGGACTCACTGGCCATGGAACAGCTCAACGAGCTGTATGGCAGGACTGAAATGGTCATTTTGGAGAGGCGTCAGCAAGCTCGACGGTCCCCTCGGCATTGATGTTCTTATCAGCGATTATACCTTAGGTTCGTATCATTTCGGGCCTGTCCTAGTCTACGAGACGGTGTTCGGGGAGTTTGTAAGCAGAACAATCTGGAAGCATATAATGCTTTCGAGTAGGCGCGGCAGAGCTATGGCTTCTTTTCTACGCAATCATGAAACTACTCGTATCAGAATAGCAAACATATAGGCCATTTTGAATGGTCGGCCACGCCTGAACAGTCCTCGAAGCCACTCTGCGAATACCAAAGTTGTGCAAGGTAACGTCTACTTCATACGTAGTGCAACAGTCTCGTGATGGGGCCGATCCTTCTGCTCATCTTGCTACTCAAGAGATGTCACAGACCCGGGACATTCCAAAGAGTCCTGGATAGCGAGGCAACCAATAATACGAGGCACCGTAGACATGTCCTCAAATGTAAATAAATGGCAGTAGTCTTTTGTATTGTCGAAACAGTAAACTCCTCGGGGTCTAGGCATACATGTGCATGATATTGTAGAAAGTACATCACAGCTTCATACCCAGCGCTTTGTGCACCCTCATACTTTGCCGTATACTCAGGTCCAGCATGATCTCCTCACTTCCACCCGGGATCTTGTAGGCCAGGGTATCTCTGTACAGCCTCTCCACTTTGCCACCTTGACCACCTCTGCTGTAAGCCAATCCTCCAAATATCTGAGCAGCCTCTTTTGTGCAAAACTCGAATGTGGTTGTAGCTTGGGCCTTCAGTCCAGCGATAGCACCGCCCAGTCTCAACATGGCTTCTGTCTCGCCCATTCTCTGGCACTGATAGACGAGGTTCTCGAGCCAGGAATAGGAAGACTCTATTTGTCGGGCCATGTGGGCTAACTTGAGTCGGATGACGGGATGGTTGATGAGTTTTTGACCGAATGTCTTTCTTTTATTGGCGTACTTGACACATTCTTCGAAGCAGACTCTAGAGAAGCGCAGACATTGAATAATGATACCGATACGTTCGTGGTTGAAGTTGGTCATGATGACCTTGAAGCCTTGGTTCTCCTTGCCAATCAGGTTTTCGACTGGGACCTTTACGTCTTCGAAAGTGATATATGTTGTACCTGATGACCATACTCCTTGACAATCCATCTTGCGAGTGCTTACGCCTTCTGTGCGCTCGATGAGTAGCACAGAGATGCCATTCATGCCAGATTCAGGAGTTCCTGTCCGGACAGCAGTGGTGAGGTAGTCAGACCAGATGCCGTTAGTGATCCATTTCTTCTCACCGTTCACAATGTAGTGTTTGCCGTCTTCTGAGAGCTTAGCCTCACAGGTGAGGTTGGCGACGTCAGAGCCAGCATCTGGTTCAGTAATGGCTAAGCAGATACGTTTGTCACCATTGAGGATATCAGGGAGGATTCTGTTGACGAGAGGCTTCTTGCCAAACTTGACGAGAGGAGGACAGCCGATACCGAAGCCGCCAATCAGGTTCCAAACTAGACCACCACTGCCAGTTCGGGACAGCTCGTCAGTAAGAAGCATTTCGTGGAAAAGATCCCATTTCTCAGGTGGGACGCTCTTGACTGTATTCTTGGTCATCTTGGCGTCGTAGTGAACACCCATAAGACCGGCGAGGTATCCCTTTTCTCCCATCTGTTTATAGATCTTCTCTGGCACTCTCTTTGCTTCGTCCCATTCTGTAACGAAGGGTTCCAGCTCGTTGTCGACCCATTCTCGGACTTCAGCTCGGAGGGCAGCGTGTGACTCGTTGTAGTAAGGCGAGTGGTAGGACTGATACCAGTTTGGATCTGCGAATGGTATGAGGCTACCGAATGCGTCCATGGCTTCCGCAGTCTCTTCGGCCGCGGCAGGACCAGGTGCTGGGACGACAACCTGGCCAGGCTCGGAGGAAGGTACAACTTTCTCACTCTTGTCATTCTGCTCTTCTGGTGCTGGAGGCGGAGGAGCAGCTGCCTCGACTTTCTTGCTATCCAAGGATCCAACCTGCAGTTGTGCTTTGTACTTCTTGAGAATACTTTCATTGTGATACTTCCAGAACTGCTTTGACGCATCTTTGCCTGCGACTCGTTGTAAGATCTTCTTGCCACCCGGATGATTGTCCTGGAAATTTGTCAAGTCATAGACGTCTTCGTCGACCACAATGTAGAGGTCAGTGGGTTTGTTGTGCTTGGCCACATCAGCCACGGAAAATGATGTAGACATGCTTGCTGTAACAGTTGTTAATAATACAATCTATCAAGAAGAATGAAGAGCGACTGCCAGTAGGTCAAGGAGTGACAGATGTAGGAAGATAATCTGGTGGAAGGAATGATTGTGACTTTGGAGTAGTTTCACATGCCAGCAGCTTGCGCTCCGTGCACATGCTCTTCGCATTTCAGGTACACACTGTTGCTTATTTCGGCTTCTCCAGGAAGTCCTCCGTGTGACGCGCGCCCCAGATTCTGACGCACTCAAGGTCCTGTAAGACTAAATCCGGGGCTTCTTAGTGGTTGAAGGTGAGATAAAGCATCAAGTGACCAGTTGTGTTTACTCGTAGTCATTGTCTTGTCGAGCCCATGCCTCGGCTCTTTGCCTGGAGCTCACGTGTGCTCACTTGCACATGTCTTCTGCGACTCCTGAATGACTGTACCCATTGTACCCAACCATGAGCTCTCGTTATGGCACTGTGTCTTCACCATAAGAAGCCCGCCGGTGATTGTGTGTATCCGGAGTCAAATTGACAGATGCCGTGGATAGTATTGAGCTCCAGCACATTGACAGCTGGCTCCGAAATGGTTAGAAGAGACCTCATAATAATGTGAGCACTCCTAGGAACAATGTCGAATCTTGTGGACTTTGGTTAGAGGGATCTATTTGATATTCATGTGTTAAAGCAAGACAATAATTTGACGTGCGGGATATGGGAGAGCAGAGTCGTTTGTTGCAGGATCTCTGAGCTTACTGCGAAGCACAGAAGGATCACGTTAGTTGCACACGGATGTCTTGATCCCCATCTGATCGGGGTGATCATCAAGAAGCCCATTAGTATCAAGCTCTGTATCTCGTGGCAAGAAGAAAACAAAGATTGCAAACAATCAATTGCTTGCTAATTTCGAAGAGGCCAGTACCGAATGCTGATCGATTGAACGCGCTTTCTACATCGTCCTGTACCTACCTACAGAGAACCCTTGCGAGCTGTGGAAGGTGCCCATACAGTTCTAACGATCACACCTTCCGAAATTACCGAGTACTGGTATGGCCGCAACTTCCAACTCTACCCAACAGCATCTGCCTCTGTTCGATAAGCTAATCGCCCTCCTGAGCGCTAAGATTTCAAGAACTTCTGCCACCTCTCCATGACCCAAACTTGACTAAATACTGATCACCAGCACGTACTTGGCCTCGTTATTTTGTCTTTGACCGATCTCGAACTTCTCACTACAGTACTAGTTGATCGAATGTCGGACAAGGCAAGTTCAATCTGTTTCAAGCTCATTGATGCGGCAGTGCTGATTGATTTCTTCCAGTCACAGCAAAAAGGCACCATTGAGGGCAAACAGCAGAGTATCGAGGCAGAGTTCGATGGTTGTGTAAAACATGTCCAGGGACAAATTGCTGCATGTGCTGAGAAACATGCCGCAGCTATGTAAGTCTGATTTGTACTGCTTGATCCTGTATATTGAATTCTCTAAAGAGGTGATATGCACACAGATCGTGTCAACGAGCTACGAGGCCTGATACAAAAACGAACAAGAATTGAGAAGGATATCGTGGAGGCGACTGCGGAGCTTCACGAAGCCTACGAACAGAGCAGAGAACTCTTCGACGCTGTCTTGAATGCCCGAATGCAAGAGCACGAGGAGGATCAAAAGCACATCGAAGATATTACAAAACGGAAATGGGGACGTGGCAGTGCCTGACAACCATAAAGAGGATATCGTTTGACGATGTCCAGTGGGATTGTGTCGTACGTCGATACTACTCATAGAGGACTATACCCTCAGCCACAAAGGTGGTTTGACATGGTGACGACCACTAATCTACTTGCAAACAGTATGCCCTGGGTTGAGTCAGCCTCGCAGTTTCAACGCTTTCCAGACTCAAAAGCTTTGTTTCGATATATCCTAGTCAACTATCTCCAGTTATACGTCTTCAAAACAGTATCTTGGCTCGCCAGGTCATTCCCTGTATTGTACGAAGCTGGGGCTGTGCGACGAGACAGTTTGAGCCTGAGCCAAGGACTTCGGTATGGAAAACGACGACTTCCCTGCAGTGCGTGAGCTTGGATGGAATCCACAAGAACTGTATGGATACTCCGCTGTGGGCGATGATACTACCACATACCTTAACGGTACAGATTGGGCAGCGTCTCCGTCACAGCTTGCAGGTGCTTCAGTGCAGCCTTGTATGCCTCAAACAAGCCAGACGCTACTACCCCCACAGGCCGTCCATCCTGAAGATACACACGACCAACGATGTTCTACCATTCCGCTAGGACCCAATCCCGGCTTTGCACCACACTTCTTTATGCAGGATGAGGATCATTCAAGCCTATTTGCTTCGCAGATAGATCAGAATGGTTATCAGTATCCACCAATACCTGATGCGATCCCCATGCCAGCTGCATCGTATATGCCGCTGGACGAACAAGGTTCTCGCTCGTACCGACCTGGTTTGATCACCGAGTACGATGGAAATCTCGATACTTTGCTGGTCCAAGATCCGAATATGGAAACAATGAGAGCATCCGCGCCGGGACATAGCATCACTGAATGTAAGCAGTACAAGACCACCTCCACTCTCCGTCCTGATTCGCATATACGTAAGACACTACCAAATACACAGGGCATTGTTAACTTAAGCTCTCTTCGTAGGGACAGACCTCCAGCCTTACAGTGCATCTGCTTACACTCTCCCGCAGCAACCTCATAGCCGAGTAAGCACCTCCACGTTATCTCCTAGATCATGGCCTCGTTCCCAAACAGAGACTTCAACCGTTTCTCGCCAATCTTTAAACCAGCCATCAGGTCAAGCAAGGAACAAATCCAAGTTCATCCCTGCAAGAAAATGGTCACCGTCCCGCATCCGGACGATCAGTCACGAACGACGTCCGAAGACCCTCCCTAGTCGAATACCATGGGACCATAAAGGCAGGAATAATGCTGGTACGGCTCGTGAGCAGATCGAAGACCTGCCGATCAAGGCCCTGGTACAGCCGTTCTTATGCGTGAAGGCCGTAGTCGATCCTCGTGAATTTGGATATGGGCCCGAGATTGCCATCAGTGTAGGCAGCAGAACTTCCCATGCGATAACAGTTAATACTGGACATCCTGGCTATGGGGTCAATTATGGATCTACTCCGTTCAAGGTGGTTGTGGCGGGAGAAGATGGCAGCGTGGTCTTCACCTGGGACTGGTCGTGGGATTGTGATGGTCCTACTAACAGGGAGCGTTCAGTCGAGTTCAGCGACCAGACAAGCGATGTGGTGACGAGTATCGAATAGCTTTACCAACAATATTGACGTAAATTGCATTACTGCACTTCCGCGGCAATGGCTGTTGTAAGCCCGTACAGTGTTTATCCTTTTCTAATCCATGCTCTTCTATCTAATCAAGATGTTTCTCCCAAGCACTTTCCAAATCGATCTTTACCTTCTATATGGCCTGCCAAGATTGTGCCAATCCTTTGGCTGTATCATCCCTCCCAAATACTCCAAGCGCTATGCAAAGTTCTAGGTACCCTTCCCATACAAATCCCCCACTACACACTGTCCAATGTACTACAAAACGAGCGCAGCAGTGCTAACAGCAATAGCCAAACCCATCAAACTCATCGATGCCAGCCCTCCAGGAGCAGCAGCACTACTCTGCACGTTCACCGCCTGAAGCTTAAGTGGCGGGTTATACGTCTCAGGCGTCGTGGAATTCAGCGTCCCATCCCAGCAATACTGCTGGAAACACTGCTGACATGCCTGGGGCACAGTCGTTCCTGTCCTGTCAAAGCTTCGGGATAAGATCACGCACCCCACGCATTGCGGCCAGTTCTCATAGCCAGACAGGGTGCCGTTTGCCATTGTGGCGACTTCGTAGCCGTTAGCGATCATGGCGTCGCGGTAGGTGTTGTTTGTTTCGAGGGTGACGGTGGGTTGGTTGGACATTGTTAGGTATGGGGCGTTGGGGAGATAGACGATGATGGGTGGTGTGTTGGAATAGCTTGAGCTGATGTTTGATGCGTCACAGCCGAAGAAGGTCGGACGGTTATTGAGGCCAAGGTTGATGAAGGTATTGGTGTCGGGGACATAGGGGAATGCTGTGCCGTTGCCTATTGGCTCGAACTGGCGGGCGTAGGTCTGAACGAGAGACGATCCATTAGGCCAATTTGTGGAGGTGTCGGCGCTGTTGTCGTTGGCGAAGATTACGTCCAACTGACGTGCAGGTTGGATGAGAGGGTGAAGAGGGATGTTCTGGTTGTCGAGGCCTCCATCGACTAGCGAGAGGGAGGTCGCTTCATGGTTGTAGCTGTTGCCTGTCGGATTCCAGCCGAAGAATGGGTTGGGTTCGTAATCTGCAATGTCGTCTTCATCAGCCGTGATACCCTGGACGATTGAGCTGACGGCTTGGCGTAGGGCATCTGGAATATTTAGACTAGAGTCGTTGAGACCCAGAATGAGCGTGTTGAAGAGACTGGAAGAGGTGCCCATGACGAAACTGGCAGAGTCAAAGCCAACGGTGCAGCGAGCGCCATCGTTGACAACACCGTTGGTCAAGTTGGTGCCGAGGAACTCGGTGGAAAAGAATCCATAGGTAGTCGGGTCCCATGTGCCCATCTCAAAGGCATTGAACTCATAAACACTGCTATTGAGGTTGATGACTATTTCGCCGGGAGGTCTGGCAACAGCGATCGAGATGGGGAAGGGTTGTTCGCCATTCTGGAAAGCTTCGCTCAGCTTGATTGAACTCCATGTGTAGGCAGGCCCGCCATCGGTTGCGTTAATAAGCTGGTAGGACAAGGCTCGTCCCCAATAGTCTGTCAAACTGGCGTCGTACCCAGCATTCCTCTTCCCATCCACTTGACTGAGCAATGCAGCATAGTACTGTGCAATGTCCAGAATCTGAATGCCACCAGTGGGAGGGCCTTCAATAATGCTATTGTCAAATTGCCAGACGGTTGGGCTTGCCTGCAAAGCATCAACCGTGCTGAAGTTGTTCATGTAGATTGAGCCAACAAGCCAATTACCACCACTAAGGCCAGCGATATAGTTCGCACTCTGGAGTAGTCCTCCCATATGACCAGGAGCAGTCGAATTATTTGTTCTACTGTCAAAGGCCTTCAGAACACCAGCACCATTAAGTAATGCTCGCCAACCACCTCCTGAGAATGCGAGACCAATATTTGGTATAGCCGATGCATTGTTGCTGTTGTCGTCAATGTATTGTCCGGCGTCAAATTCTGAGATATTCATACGACTCAGAAAGTCTCGCATTGGTTGTATCGTCGCACTTCTTCTTCGCGATATCCATTCTGTTTCATTTTGCGAGAGAGCAGTCGCTAATCTCACAGACACTCCGGAGGATGGGCAGTCGACTTCGGAAGGCGTGTAGCCTTGTGGGGAGACGGGAGCTGCGCGTCGGACGAGTTCGACGTCCACGAGAGCATTGAGCGCTTCGTGCTTGATGGCGCCAGAGATAGCTGAGCCTGTTGATATCAATATTCTGATTCCTATAACGCATATCAGGGATACTCACCTTGCACACAGCTGACCACGCTACACGCAGCAGCGGTGAGGGTAAAAAACTTCATGATTAGCGAAAGTCAGAAGAAACAATGCAAAATGTCAAGAAATCAAGACTGCTTAAGTTAATGTTAGATTTCAGAAGGCAAGGCTGCGCACCAAGCACACATGCTCTGCGGATCAATACGGCGGTGCATGGCAAATCATACTGAATGGTGACATGTTCTCGAGGACCGGGCAACGCGTCGTGCGACAGTTCCTAGAGACATCCACTCCGCTGGTACTCGAATCAAAAAGATCACTTTTCGACCGATTCATCCGCTGAGATTCTGACACAAGGGGCGAGAAACCATGATGAAGGAATCGAAGGCTGCTCCACACTTGGACCGTAAGCATTCGACTCGACTTCGTCCGCCTGCCTCCTTAAGCAATGAAAACCCTACTCGTTCATTGGGATTCTAAGATTCTGGTGAAGCTTCTGGTTTTGATTGAGCTCTATCTGCAGCACCATGCTTGTTCAGAACAATATGCATTGATCGAAGTTGAAAGAGGCTCAACTACTGGACTTTCGCTTTCGTCATTTCGCGATCGTTGAGCTCCAAAGACCTGCATAAGCTCCGGTTAGGCATGCACAAGATGTGTCTTGGCTGGCCGCAGCTTCCGGATGCCGAGTTTTGCTTGCTACTACAGTAATACGCGTATCTAAGTGTACTGTCGTGCTAATTGATCCACACCTTCCTCCTGTTAAGCAGACTGGCAGCGGATTCTGACTCGGAAATGCCAGAACGAAACCTGGACTGCGACTGGGATGAGAGTGCGCGTCCTTGAACATTTTATCCACCTCATGTAGGCTCACCATGAGTAATGGCATGAGGTTGTCACAATACAGCCGTATTGTGAAGAATTGTCTATGTCTAAGAAACACAAATATCGTCTACTAGCTTTGCCAGCTTCTCGTCCAAAATTTTGACAGCAGCCTTGAGCTCTTCCTTTGGTTCGAGTTCTTTGGGTGCAATGAGGCTACTCGGCATGATATACGAGACTTCGGTCACTATCTCATCTTGTCCAGCCGCCAATACCTCCCGAACTAATAGCTCTACAGGCACAAATAACCCTGCCCTGGTATCGTGCTTTAGCATGGTGATGGCAATCAACGGATTTCCTAAAATGATTCTGTAGGTCTTCAGAATTTGCTGGCCATCCTCTTTCACGATGTTAGTCCACCAGCCATGGTCGAACTCCTTAAAGATCATGAACCCGTGAGGTCCAAGCTTGCTCTCTACCAGTGCAGTGTACGATTCGGCGTTGAACAATTCCGTCGACGGCGCAACCAGTCCGCTGCTCTGATTGTCCGCCTCGCGCCCAACTGACTTGAAAAGGTTCTCCAGGACGTGCTCGTAGGAGACGTTAGTATGCTTGAAGATGCGAGTTGCGGTAAAGTCGACATGTTGAGACATGACGAATACGTGTATGGACCTAGCTGTTTACACGATCAATTCGTTACTTTGTACTCGTAGAGATGAGTACTGTCACGGGAGACATTGATCAGGAGTAGCTTCGGGACAGTGGAGGTTCATCAGAATTAAACACTTCTGCGGAGAACATGAACATGAATTGAGTACTATATGCGCGAGCATTACGCGTAGGCTGTGTTCAAATCCTACCATCTCGTCAACATGAGACGAACTTACGAGTACTACCGCCGTCACGATATCTGCACAACTCAAGTTCAGGTATGGCTTGAATTTCAAGACCCTGAAGTGGAAACACTGTATCTTTATTCCACAGGCTCAACGTGTTTCTTGTTCGTAACGCTGATTGAAGGTTGCCGCTAGTCTAAGCAGATGAGTCATTGAAGCACGGTAAGTTCTCATGCATTCCTGCATACAGTAAACTCTTCGGCAGAAAACTGGCCGAGCTCGAGAGTGAAACACGAACTACAGCACAGTAGTACTACTCAGCACAGCACAAGACCAGCGCATTTACATCTTCATCTCCATCCATCCTGCCCACCATGTCTGCTCGGCCTGTCTACTGCCTGCGCAACCACATCCGAACATGCGTATCACCTCTACGATTGCAGCGGCGATGGGCCCAGGTCCACGACATACGCTTTGTGGCAACACGGCACAACAGCACCTCTATACACAACAAATATCAGGATAAGCTAGAAGAGAAGGCCCGAGCCGAGGGCTTTGAGTCAGTAGAACAATTGAAAGCAGCATATGAAGATAGGATAAAGAAGTTGCGGAAACGAGTAGGCCAAGAGTTGGATAAAGTCACGAACCCAGATGCGCAGATAGCAGCTCAGCAGAGCCAGGGTCACTCCCAGTCTCAGAAGCCATTCCATCCTCCACCACCCCCACAGGCGCAAACCTCGAGTCAACCTACAAAGTCACCATCAGCAAAGCAAGATAGCGGCGCACCAGGGATAAAACCATTATCCTCCTACCTCGACCTCGACAAGGTCGCTTCACTACCAAACAAGGAGATCGAATACCTCTGGCGGCTGCGTCACGCTTCAGATCCCAAGTCCTTATGCGCGGTCATACCCTTGGAAGTATACAAGCGCATATACGAGACAGCAAAGACACATCCTCGCTTTATCCTTCCACTCCCTCGACCAGCGGCAGATGACGGATCTGGAGATATCAAGCAGTCTGCCGATGGCTTCAGCGACTCGAACGAGCCAAGAGCAGCAAGTGATATTCATTTCTTGCAGTGGTCTTTCCATCCGCCAGCTGGTCCTCCGCCTGCGCCGGGAAGTCAGACGGCGAACACGCATACAAGCACTATCTTGTTCACACACCTGGCAGCATTCAAGCTGCATGGAGAGTACGCACAACCCCATACGACGGTGACACATCATCTTGACCTTGCAGACTCGCATGGTCTGGTGCTGCTAAATGGCAGCGTGGTGGATTCACGAGGTGTGAGCGCTGAGGAAGCCAAGTGGTTGTTGTTGTGTATGCAGAAGTTCTACGACCATGGTGGACATGGTGGTGGGATTGGAAAAGAAAAGCGGCAGAATCTGCTAAAGAAGTTTAGTCAGGGTGATGCGAGTTTCGATGTGAATGAGCTCGTGGATGAGGCGGAACGAATATCATGATTGTAAACGTAGATGTATAGTTAGACATTAGAGGCTCGATCACAGAGCTGAGCGAGGTATACATACATGCCCCCCATGTTCTGTGTGTGATTTAGTGCGCGAACAGGGTATCACAAAGTGAGGACAAGCTGAAAGATCGGCCAAGCACCAACGCCCGCAGAGCTATGGAGGTACGCGCAGGTCATCCTCTTTCACATCCGTGTAGCCTGTGCCCTTTTGCTTTTCTTCCTCTTTGAGAACCTCTTCGGAGAGCCAATCCCATATAGAGTCGAAATAGCCTGGCTCAGACACTGTCGAATTGTGATCACCGTTCTCGAATGTCCGCCACGTTCTTCGGTCTACTTTGCAAAGGTCGTATAAAGTCCGCATCATGCTTGGTGGCACAATCTCATCCTGCAGGCCTGAAAGAAACAAGATCGGCGGTCCGTCCTGTGGCAAGGCCTGTACGAGGTCCTCAGATGGCCACCTCTGATGACAAAGAAAGCTGATGTAGCGAGCCGGTGGAATCACAGTGGGAATAAGCTTGCGTATAGACAGGAAGGTATTCTCCAATATGACACCCGCGATCCTGGTATCTTTCTGCTTCTCGCTTCTGTCGTCCTGTGCAGTCTTCTCGAGGTTATTTGCTAGCAACTTGACAGCCACAGCACCGCCTAGACTTTGGCCGTATATGACGATCTTTGTCCTTTGCATTTCCGAGTGTGTGCGTATGTAGTCTAAGGCAGTCTGCGCGTCGACCGTCAAGCCTGCTTCGTCTGGAGTACCGGTACTTTTACCATAGCCACGGTATTCGAGCATGAAAACATGGCAGCCAAGTGACTCGGAAAAAACCTTGCCTATAGGGAGTCGGTGTCCGACATTGCCAGCATTGCCATGAAATGCGAGTATCGTCACGTTCTTTTGCACTCGAGCGTTCGGTGGTCTGAGGTAGTAGGCGTGTAAGGTCTCTCCGTCAGGTGTTGGGATGTGTAACGACTCGGCATCGCGGATGTTGAACTGAGATGGTGGAGGCACATCAACGCGAGAGTTGAGTATGGAAGATGGGTATATAAGGGAATTCTGCTTGAAATACAGCAGTGACGAGCTTAACGCTGCAAGGCCAGACGAGGCAAGAAAGGGAACACGCAGGTAGCTGGCTGCAGTATTAAAATAGTTCATGACGCTGTTGCTCCGCGGTTCTTCATTGGCGTCGTTTGAGGAAGCCGTGATGGGCGGATCGGTCAAGTCGAGCGGCAGTATCTAGAATAGGAATAGTATTGCTGTCGCAGAGCAGTGTAAGAATACTCTATGGTCGTTGGAGGAACGGAAAAGTACATGCAGTGCACGCGATACTGAGATGAGGAGGGTCTCGATGTCATTCGCGACGTGGGGGTCTTGTTGGAACCCCCGGCAGGGGCTCGCAGCACTAATTTAGGTCCCGTCACGAGCCCTAAGCTTTCTGCTGCACCGTGAACGCGTCTGTCGTTTGCCTGCCTGCCTGCGCCTGCCTGACCTTGAGGTTGTTCGTTTCGTCAGACACATTGCAACACAATTCAACTACATCAGAAATCTGCTCCTTACTCAGCCTGCTATATTTGTGGACTGTAGTTGTACTTTCAGAACGAGTGGTAGATCTTTCGGACGGACCAGACAGCAACCACCACGATGGGACCTGATATGAGGACGGGCATGCTGGGCGAGGACGGAATCCATGTCGATATGAACCATCTCAAGAAGGGCGAGGTCAATCTTGGTACTTCAATCATGGCCATCAATTTCAAGGACGGTGTGATATTAGGAGCAGATTCTCGAACCACAACGGGAGCATACATTGCCAACAGAGTCACGGACAAGCTTACTCAAGTTCACGATACAATATGGTGCTGCAGATCGGGCTCGGCGGCTGACACACAAGCAGTCGCAGATATTGTGAGCTATCATCTGGGTCTATATGGTGTCCAGAACGGACAAGGTGATGCACCAACGACACAAACAGCTGCAGCACTGTTTCAAGAGTTGTGTTACGACAACAAAGATCAATTGAGGTGAGAAGTCTCAACAACCTTTCTGGTGCACTGGCTAATTCTGCAATAGCGCTGGCATGATTATAGCTGGTTACGATAAGCGACACGGTGGTTCCGTCTATTCAATTCCACTTGGTGGCTCGCTGCACCGACAATCGTACGCCATTGGTGGATCTGGCTCGACATATATCTACGGTTACTGTGACGCCAATTGGAAAGAGAGCATGACTGAGGAGGAAGGCATCAAATTCGTGAAAGGCGCTCTCTCTGAAGCCATCAAATGGGACGGCAGTTCTGGTGGTGTAATTCGCATGGTTGTCCTTACAGCAAGAGGGCACGAAAGACACCTGTACTTACCAGATAATGGCTATACAGGCCCCGGACGGACTTGAGTGACGTAAAGGATCTTGAAATTGCACGACCAGGTCTGACATCTATATCCCTATTCTTGCTGTATGGTCTCAAAGCCTGCTCGGGAAAGAAGAAAGCAATTCATAAAGCTCAGCATGTCCAGTGATGGTTGACCGGTCTGAACGACGAGGCCGCCGTCCAGCTGGTGGAGGCTCAGGAAGTCCGTGCTTGCGTGTCCAGCTTAGGATGTTCCCTGTCATCAAGACTGTTCATCCACAGCTATAATCAGGCACATCAATACACAGCCATTCACATGACTCCCCCGACCTTGCACAGAACACTCTTGGTTCTAGACACGCTGTCCTGCTGGCAGTCGGTTCACCAGTCATCGTCGCTGTGGCCCTGGCATGTATGTGTGTATAGTGACGTAGGCTGGACATTTCTGAGCAAGTGGATAACTGTTTGAACGTTTGTACTTTACTGTGTCTGCTGGGCCGAAATCCATAGACATCCACTATACTCTTGTTAAGTCCATGCACATTGTGAGCAAAGACAAAGAGACCTCTTTAGTAGACGCTCACGCGCCAGTGTACGCGAAGACGTTCTCTGGTCGCCACAAGTCGTGTTTGCAATGTACCACAGTAAGCTGCCACATCACCTGCGTGTCACTTAGTTCTTGACGCGTCTCACGCGTTCATCACACTGCCACTGTTTCGTCTAAATCTACTCTAGACACACACATACATCCTCTGCCAATACTATCCAAATATTCTGCTGGTCATCATCGGAACCAATCTCTATACTTATTAGGTGAGTGACAAGTTCTTATTGGTGGTTACTTGATCTACGGCAAAGCAATATGTCATTGGTACAAAAAACCGGCACATGTCAGGCGCTACAAGTACAGGTAGCAGATCTTCCACACCTGCATACACCCTCCATTGGTTGACTCGTGGCACGTTTGCCTTAACTTCCAGCCATTGTCATTCACCTTGCCGACCTCGTTTGCGAGAACTTCTCGAGTTCCATCCTGGAAAGTTGAGGTCTGAAGAGGTTCAAGCAGCAATCAGTGACCAGAACCTGAAAATCCCATCGGCCGCAAGATGACCGAGCAAACAGCGAATCGGAAGGAACGTTTTGTGCCCAAGCCTAGATATGGCTCCACGGGAGCCACCAGCCCCTCCGAGATCAACGCATATCGAGCTGCGGCTGTGCCCTGGGACTGCAATCTGCACTTCCCTTCTGCAGGCTCTCTCTTGCACCTGCCACTAACACAACCTTGTATCCTTCAAGCCCTGCTTAAGCCAATACCCATAGACTTTATTCCGCCCGCTTCATAACTTTCGCATTTCATCATCCTTTCGTCTTGCGTGTTACCGTCGGCTGGTCCGTCGAAAGAATGCTGACAACCAAGTTACAGCTCGTGAGATTAGCGTATTGAGATGGGATCATTGGTAGTGAGCCAAGTGGCGCCCAGCCTTGCTCAACAGCACGCCTATCAGCACATAATGGTTGGCGGTGACCCTCAGCACAGTCAGTCTGAGACAACAACTCGACCGCATACTCATCGTGCGACTTCAACACAATCGCAGACAAACACACGACCTGCAAATCCTCCCGCCCGCCCTCCATCCCCTCCACTCCGCTCCTCTGATGCCTCTGCGAACTCCCAGATCCACCCACCCCCTGCTGCGAGAGGGACATCTTATAGGAATCAACAACACCATGGATTTGACCAGTCGGGCTTCCCTTTATCAAGCGACCCCCGAGGTTTACACTCTTCACCTTCCTCGCCTCGTCTGGGACCTACCCACCGATCCACCAGGTCACTGGCAGGATCGGAAGCTACATCACCTAGTAGGCTAAAAGTGCGAGATCTAGCACACATTCAGAGCTTCGCAAGTCAGGAATACCTTGCCAGACCAAGGCTGGGAGGTTTCTTGGAACCTGGTCGTCAGTATGAGATTAGTTCAATGCCTGTGACAGACATTATCGAGATGGTCGCTGGCTTGCTGACGAGGATCACTACTACCAACGATCGACAGCATGAACATGTACATCGACCGGCCACACCACAAGAAGGCACTCTCACTGCTCAGTCGTCATGTGTATTGGCATTCCATGGCAAGAATGTCCCGAGTATCACGATCCTAAGCTATCTCAGCCGCATCCACAAGTACTGCCCCACTACGTATGAAGTATTCCTCAGTTTGCTCGTCTACTTCGATCGCATGACAGATAACTTCAACAAGCGTTTCCTACAAAGAGCAACCCATCCAGCCAGATCAGATAGCTCCGACTCCCAAGCTTCAGCCGACACGGTCACAGACCAGAGTGTGCATCATGAAGAGGAGTCTCGCATGGAGGAGGACGACACCGACTCACCACAATTCTTCGTGGTTGACAGTTATAACATTCACCGGCTGGTTATTGCAGGAGTTACTTGCGCCAGCAAGTTCTTCTCTGATGTCTTCTATACCAACTCAAGATATGCCAAGGTAAATTCATTCTATCCTCACCTTGAATCTGACTGACATTATCCAGGTTGGTGGTCTGCCACTGGCAGAATTGAACAACCTCGAATTGCAATTCCTCCTTCTTAACGATTTTAGACTGAGCGTTCCTGTGGAAGAGCTGGAAGCTTATGGCACCATGCTGGTCGAGTTTTACGCAAGAGAAGTGGTCGCGCAACAGCAAGCTGCTGAAGCTGCACATCAGCAAATGCAGCAACCCTCACAAGCGGCAGATGATATGTACATGCAGAGCTCTAGGACGCCTCAGCAAACAGCTTGAGAGATCCAACTTCCGGCTCTCAACTTTAGCAGACACAACAGTCGCCGGACATACACGGATGTGGACCGTCGCTACGACTTACCTATTAGTATAGAAACTGTCTTTTCGACCTAAACGCAACGTTGACGAAGCATGAACTTATCGGTGGTGATATTTTGGCACATAGACGTCGGGTTCGGGCTTCGGCGAAAGAACCTGAGGTGCGTTGAGGGTTGTTATCTCGAAGCATATTGGCGTCAATGAGAGTTGTCGTCGTTTAGCTCATCATGATACCCAGGCGCCAGCGATTGCCGAAGAATTCATGACTGAAAGATGTTTCTATTTACGAGCCTCTACCATGTCGTCTTGCACTAACACGCCAAGCACCAGGCACGAGCAGCGCTTCTTCCTGATAATGAACGTCTTCGAGGAAGTCCAAGTAATTGACAATGGGGCCCAAGTAACGTGGAATACGGCTCTAGGCGAATATATACGCTGATCAGAGGGTTTCAAACGACTCATCTGACCAATTACAGCCGAGAGTGATTTCAGAACGATGCAGGCGTTACTGCGAGTGACGTGGTCACCTTCGTCGCTGACGCACGTGGTAAGGTTTCCGTTCGTTCAGAGTAGGTACGTCTGGGCCCCTACTTGAGTAGTCATTGTGTCTGGAAGACAGAACTTAGCCACAAGCATGTATGACATCGTCAATGATAGTAACCAGTGTGAAGAGATCGCTTGATGGATGGTAGGCAGATGAGACCATAAATTACTGACCTGTTCAGAATCACCCTTCTACCTGATCGTAAACCCTCCATCGACCCTTAGATCCGCACCATTAACCATCCCACTATCATCCCGGCACAAATACTCGACCGAAGCCGCAATCTCAGCTGGCAAAGCGAAACGACCTGTAGGTATCATACTCTCCATAGCCTGCCTCTTTTCAGGGTCCGCCCAAGCCTTCTTCCCAAGCTCAGTCAACACCACAGTCGGACTGACAGTATTACTCGTAATCCCCACCGGACCCCATTCAAGCGCCATACACCTCGTAAGCGCATTCAGACCAGCCTTTGACGCACAATACGGACCATGACCATCCAGCGCCACGTGCGCAGCCTGCGACGAAATACTAACAATCCGACCCGGCGGCTTCGACACAGTCTTGTCATTGATGTGAAACTCCCGCGCCGATCTGTGAGTCGTATATAGCCTGTAAAAAGCCTGACTGACGATCATCGGCCCCAGCAGGTTAGGCACGATATTTTTACGTGCTTCTTCCGCCGATGTTTCGGCTAATGGTTGTACTGATACATACCCAGCAGCGTTAATACAGATAGACGGGAAGATACTCCTCTCCTCGGCGAGGGCTTCAATTGCCTCAAAGGCTTCAGCTACGCTTGTATCTGAGGTGATATCGCATTCAATCGTGGTTACTTTTTCGGGAGTTTTGCTTTGGAAAGCTGTTGAGAGAGCTTCTTCACGACGGGATGCTTCGAATGGGGCGTAGAGAAGAGCGAGGTGAGCTCCTTTGCGGCGGAGGTTTTGGGCAATGGCTGTGCCTAGGCCGCCTAGGCCACCGGCGATGACAGCTAGTCGACCTGAGTATGCCATGTTAGCATTGGAATTTAAGCCGTAAAACTTGAAGTACTGTTTAATTCTCAAGAGTAGTCATGAGCAAGAATGCACGAGCTGAGATGCAATGGTCGTTGCTTCTGCGGGGGCTTCCAAGCTTATGCCGAGTTCCCCATGGCCTCAATCGAGAAAAGTGGCCGGTATCGTGACTCGTTTTCTTCCTTCACGCCCTGAGCTTCAATAATGCGACCCATCACTGGCAACAAATACATACATTGGTGTGTAAATCTGTCACCTGAGCTAAGCGGAGTGTGAGGTTCTCATGTAGTATTAGTATGAATCTGACCAAGCTGGTGCCTGCGCAGTGACTCCAGGTAAGCTTTCTTTGTCCGGCTGCAACACCTTTCGTGCCTCGAGGTCAAAACAACAGATGGGAAAGAAGTTGAATTGGTATCGAATGTTCTACATGAATGGCACTGGGTGACAGCACTCTGGCTCGCGCTGGTAATCTTAGTACAAGAATTGCAGTTTGTTAGTCCGCTCAAACCTCGGCAGCTTTCTTCTGCTTGATATCTTCTACCACATCGAAGCACCTTTTGCACAGCGCTTCGTCGTCCTGTTTCGGTGTAGGAGCAGTGTATGCCCAACATCGAGCACACTTCTCTTGTGTTGGAGGGTACACCATTACTTGAATTGAGGAATTTCCAAGCTCGACCTTCTGGGAATAGACCCATTCCTTCTGCTCCGTATGTGGTGTAAGATGCACTTTAGAGACGACAAGGAGGTCTTCCCAGAACGATTGTGGGAATTGAGCGATGGCAGGGGCCCTGTCATCTCCGTATCTGATTTCGACTTCGCAGGCAAGTGACTGACCGAGACGTTTGTCGGCACGAGCTTGTTCTTGCGCAGCTTTCACAGCGGAATTTATCGCCATTACGTTATAGACTTGAGCAGCAAGTACTTCGTTATTCCAGTCAAAAGGCAACTCTTCCCAAACACGTTGAAGTGGGTGGCCAGCAGCAGCTTGGATCTGCTCAGGTGTATATTCATGCGTCTCCTCGATCAACAGCGGCGTGATGGGCGCGAGCATGTTCTGAAATTGTAGAAAGATATGGTACAGTACTGTCTGGCTAACATGTCGTCTTGTGGCATGCTCACCATCACAGTAGATAGAGTCTTTGACTGCTTCGAGATAGAAAGCCGACAGATCCCGAGCAATCCATTCATTGATAGCAGCAAGCGCTTTATGAAATTCGTAACTCGCCATGGCACTCCTCACGTTTTTGACCACTGTGTGGAGCTGCAGAAGAGCAATGCAGTGCAAATCGAACCGGCTCGACTTCATGGTTTCGTAGTTGACAATGTTCACAGGATCAAAATCCGACAACATCCCGAGCAGGACTTTCATGGTAACTCGATATTTGCCCAATGAACTGTGCACGGCAGTAACTACCTTCTCACTGATCACAACGTCAGATGTCCAGTCTCCAGTAGCGGCCCAGAGTCTCAAGGCGTCAGGCCCATAAGGATGTAGGACTCGACCCTTTTTAGGCGCTGGCTGAGGCGCCAAACCAGCAATGATTTGGTTAGGATTAATTACGTTGCCAACTGACTTGCTCATCTTCTTGCCGGCAGCATCTAGAGTGAAGCCATGTGTTACAAGTTGTCTGAATGGGGCATGTGCCGTAGCTGAAGGATCAGTTACCTTTTGGTATGCAATGTTGGTGAGAATGCTCGACTGAAACCAGCCGCGATGCTGGTCACTACCTTCTAGGTATACGTCGGCCAGTGGGCCTCTCTGCTGGTGATCCTTCAATGGAGCAACCATGAGTGTCCAGCTCGTCCCACTATCAAACCATACGTCCATAGTGTCTCTACCCCGGACGTATTTATCTGGTGGAAGACCAGGCATAAGCCAGGCAGGGTCGTCTGGATCATCAGACCACCAAGCGTCGATGCCACGTTCTTGGACGACTTTGATTATATGAGCGATACTTTCAGCTGTCAATATGGCCCCATTAGTGTCCTTCTCGTACAGTGCTGGAATTGGTACACCCCATGCACGCTGTCGCGATATACACCATTCACTTCTGTGTTCGACAAAGCTTCTCAGTCGTGATTTTCCTGATTCGGGCCTGAAAGTAACGTTGTTCAGGGATTTGACAACATCTGCTTTGATACCAGAGATGTCTGCGAACCACTGAGCGGTGGCTCGGATCATGATAGGCTGCTTGGTTCGCCAATCGACAGGATACTTGTGTCTGAAATCGTAGCTTGAAATAAGCGCGTTCTTCGTCTTGAGAAGGTCCAGCACAGCCTTATTGCCTTCTTTGAAAACATATTTTCCTGCTAATAATGTGGGCTGGGTAGGGCTAGCGAGTTCACTGAATTCACCTTTGTCGTTGACAGGTGCTTTCACTGTAACTCTTCCGGACCTGATCATATTCTGCAAGGCGTCGAAATCATCGTTGCCGTGACCAGGTGCGCAATGCACAAGGCCGGTTCCATCCTCTTCTGTCACAAAGTCTGCATGAATGAAGGGTCTGTTCAAGGCATCCTCCCCAAATTCTGACAAGCCTGAATATGTGCTCTCGAGAAGAGACTCGACGGGCAACGCTTTGACTATCTTCGTCTCTTCCTTGAGCATTTCATTCAGATATTCCACTCGCGATAAAGCCACAATCAGCAATCCATGACTCTTCGAGCTGACTAGGACGTATTTTATATTCTTGTTAAGCGCAATAGCTTGGTTAGCTGGCAGAGTCCAGGGGGTAGTTGTCCAGATCACAGCGTGAACAGGCTCGGTCGAGCCTCCAATCACGGCCGGAATGCGAAACTTCACCACGGCCGCGGTGGAAGTATGCTCTTCTCTTTCTACCTCTGCCTCGGCTAGAGCAGTCTGCGAAGAGGGAGACCAGTACACAGGCTTGTGTCTCCTTATGATAAGGCCATGTTCAGCCATAGCTTTGAACACTTCAAGCTGTCTCAACTCAAAGTCCTTGTCCATACTCTTCCAATGGTTGTCCCAATCGGCCATGACGCCCCATGATCGGAAGCCTTTCATCTGCTGTGCAATAGCTTTTGCTGCAAACCCTCGTGCTGCACCTCTGATTTTGACCGGGTCAATTCCCGATCCACGTTCCCAGCCATGTTTCTCGAAAGCTTTGAGCTCGATAGGTAGACCATGGCAGTCCCAACCAGGTACGTAATTAATACGCTTTCCTTCAGCAAGTTTCGACCGACATATAATATCTTTGGTAATCTTGTTCAAGGCATGTCCAACGTGTAAGTCACCATTCGCGTATGGAGGTCCATCGTGGAGGACAAAAGTTGCGCTTGCAGGTCGCGCGTGACTCTGCCAGGCGTATAGGTCATCACTGCATTGTTTGACGTATCTTGTTACGGCTTCTGGCGACGGTCTAGGAGGAAACTTTGAGCTCGGCAGCCTCAGAGTCGATTTGAGACTCATATCAGTACTGCTGCAAGAAAGGTCAGTTCAACTCCGAAGAGCACGAAGAAGACGGCAAGGCCGATGTTCAGCCTCGCCCGGAGGTTTCAAAAGAAAACATCCAAAGAAGAAAGTTCTTTTTATTGCTTCCGGCCTTAGGATGCTCTATTTTTGCCCACTGCAGTACCCGTACTGCTGTTTTGAGAAACAAAGTCGGTTTCATCTGGATTTACTGTAGATCCGATTCTGACTCGATTGTATTGCTACGAGCCCGTTTTATAGACGGTCAAACAACTGATGTGGTCATTTTTCAGGACCTCGAACAGCATGCCCGGAAACCCAAACAATTCCGTATTGTTCAGACTCGACATGCTAGCATCTACACCAATTCCAGACGTGGCCTGTCCCTCAGGTGTTGGCCCTTCTTCGAACCCTCCTAAGAGCTCGATCGAGCTTTCCGGGCTGTCTGCCACGCCCCACCCACGATTGAGTACCATTCCCCGCTGCATTTTCCTCTCCTCCTCACCGTTCGCATAGCTACCATGGTATATGTCCTTCAAGATATCCGAAACCTCACTGAACCTCATCTCTGAAGTAAGGGATAGAGGATGTCCATTGTCGTCAAGTAAAATTCGCCAACGACTCCTTCTATGCCTGTTGAAGGAGTAAGACCCGGGGATGTTGCCATGAAGGAAAACCTTAGTAACGACAAACATTGCGGGTGTGTCAACGCCAATCTCCGACGCATGGCTATTCCTGCACTGCTGCGGGGTGGATATTAGAAGATCGAAGCCATGGTGGAAGTAGTTGTAGAAAGTTTCTGAATCTCCTCTGTCATCTACGTTGTCATCGATCGTGACTTCATTCTCGGACTCATCAGTATAACTCCGGGAGGAGGTCTGTTCATTCTCGCGAGAGTAGGGCTCAAGCCCTGGAGACATACTAGGCCGCCGGTCCTTGAGCGGTGCACTGGCATGGATGGACAAGCCGGTCCGTGACTTGCGAAAGATTGCGTCTGGCGGTCCAAGTTCTGCCACAATATCTTGAGGTGTGGTTTCGTTCAAGTTAACGACGAAGGGTGATAGCGAGCGGCGAAAGAGCTCGAGCCGGCCTCCAGTATGGACTATGACCTCTTCAACCTCGTCAGGTACGGTTTCCGACGTCCGGCTAGCAAGAACTAGAGATCTTGGTAGAAGAGGACGCTCGCTGAATAGATTTATCCGGGCCTCCGACCAAGATGTACCCGCGAAGATAGCCATCGTTATAGCTAGAGAGGCGGCTGACGACGACAACAAGGTCACGAAATCAGCCTTGTCTGACCAGGCACGATGTCTTAGTGAAAATCTGGCTGCCAGACCTGGCCAGGACAAAACGTAAGTCCCGTCGCCATCCGTTGTGGTTGGTGGAATGTACTCCCCAGCATATGTAGGTCCGAATAGACGATTGTACAAATGCTTGAAGGATGGGCCGGAAACGTAGTCAGGCGAAGTCTCACTTGAACTCCCCACACGGCGAACCAGATCCATAGACTTGTAAGAAAAGTTGGATTTTGAAAAGTCGATGATCTCAATAAGTCGAAGTCGGTGGTCAGGTCCATCGAACCTCAGTCGCAGGCCGTTAGCCGGAAGGTTGAGTACAATCGGATCGAGGACTGGCTCTGAAGATGAATACGCAAGGTCAATCTTTGGATACAGTTGCGGTTGCGACTTCAGCCGTGTCAAGACTGCATGCAAAGAGGCACCCAAGGTCATCCAACCCAGGCCCCGCGTAGGCTGAATGACAAAAGACGCGCGCATCTCGCTCATCGCAACGTACCTTCTGCTAGATCTTCGACGCTGATTTAGAGTGAATACAACGGGACAACTTCTCCAACAAGTTGAAGCTGAGCATTCAATGGCTACGGTTGTCGTTTGCTAACAAGCATTCCACATGACCATGTACCATGAGACATCATCGTCCACGCGATGCAGGCATTTTTCACACATTCAGATCTTTCCAACGTAACCTCTGTGCCTCATGTATTACTGCGACACACCGAGGACCCGATCACTGACGACAGGGAACAGATTTGCTCGCAATATTGAAGCCTGTTGGTAGTAGGAATCATCCACAGGCGGTGCCTGGTGGATAGTGCTCATCGACGACGCTAAAATTTAGCGGCTTCCTGTTTGGGCCACAACAAACAGTGGGCGGAGAGACAGCTGCGCTTCCAAGCCAAAAGCCAATATGCACTAATCCTGGTCAACATCGTAACCTTGTATACTAATTCGATCATATGCTTATACACTCAAGCTGTATATCAGGTCAAGCACCATGCACCGGCCGAATCAGCCAGGTCGAGGCTACAGTCGACCACCGAGTGCACCACCACCTAACGTGAGCCTCAAACGCAAAGAGCGCGACTACGATCAGGACGCTGGGGACGAAACGAACATAAACGTCGTTGTGCGGTGTCGTGGACGCAATGAAAGAGAAGTTCGGGAAAATAGTGGTGTTGTCGTATCAACGACCGGAGTGAAAGGAAAGAATGTCGAGATTTCCATGGGACCAAATGCTCTAAGCAACAAGACCTATCAGTTCGACAAAGTCTTCTCACCTGCGGCCGATCAAGCTATTATATTCGACGATGTCGTTCTACCTATACTCTCAGAAATGCTTGCTGGTTATAACTGTACAATCTTCGCCTATGGGCAGACAGGAACGGGCAAGACATATACCATGTCGGGGGACATGACTGAGAGCTGCGGACTGCTCACTGACGCAGCTGGCATAATACCACGAGTGCTGCAGTCCCTTTTTCAGAAACTGGAAGCAGAAGGAGCCGAATGTAGTGTGAAATGTTCGTTCATCGAGCTTTACAATGAAGAGTTAAGGGATCTACTATCGGCGGAAGATTCTACCAAGCTGAAAATCTACGACGATACCAACAAGAAGGGTCACAATGCGACAATCGTGCAGGGCATGGAGGAGTCGCATGTCAGTAGCGCCGCAGAAGGTATCATGAAGCTTCAACAGGGCAGTCTTCGGAGACAAGTCGCCGCGACGAAGTGCAATGACCTCAGTTCGCGAAGTCACACAGTGTTTACTATTACTACCTATGTCAAGAAACCTGGCGGTGCCTCAGATGATTACATCTGCTCTGGAAAATTGAATCTAGTTGATCTGGCTGGAAGTGAGAACATTCAGCGAAGTGGCGCAGAGAATAAGCGAGCCACAGAGGCAGGTCTAATCAACAAAAGCTTGCTCACACTCGGTCGTGTCATCAATGCGCTCGTTGATAAAAGCTCGCACATCCCGTATCGTGAGTCCAAGTTGACGCGACTCCTTCAAGACTCCTTAGGTGGACGAACCAAAACATGCATTATTGCCACTGTCTCTCCATCTCGGAGCAACCTTGAAGAAACCATATCTACTCTTGATTATGCTTTTAGAGCCAAGAACATTCGCAACAAACCTCAAGTCAATGCGATGCTGTCGAAGAAGACGCTACTTAAGGAGTTCACAGCAGAGATTGAGAAGCTGAAAGGTGAGCTCATTGCGACAAGACAGAGAAACGGAGTATATCTCACCAACGAGAAATTCGAGGAAATGACAATCGAGAGCGAGTCTAGACGAATCCTTAGTGAGGAACAGAAGGCTCGTATCGAGACAATGGAGGTCAGCCTACGCAACAAAGTTCAGGAGCTTTTCAGTCTCACCAACAACTTTACTACATTGAAGAAGGGAAACGAGACAACTTACGCGGTTCTCGAGAGCACCAAAGACGTGTTACAAAAGACAGAGATAGCACTCTCACACACTAAAGCGACCCTTGAGGGAGAATCAGAACTTCGTCAAAGATATGCGGTTACAGAAGAGAAGTTACATAGCATGAACAAAGGGCTCGTGTCGACGCTTGGCAGCTCTCTGCAGGATATAGACGCGCTGCATGCCAAATTGAGACGACGCTCTGAACTGCATAATCAGAATCACCAAAGATGGGACAAGGCTCGCAGAGATGGACATATCACCATAACATCGATTGGGGACAATCTGGAAGCGCTTGAGCAAGAACACAATGCTGCCTTAGAGGCAACTTCACAGCGACTCGACAGGTTTGTGATTGCCGAGCTCGAACGAGCACAACAAGCACAATCAGGTCTTCAGCAGAGTTTGGAGGTACTAGGAAGCAGGACTGATATTATCATATCCCAAAGCTCTGATGCTAGAGATACTACGAACGAGGTTCTGGAAGAGATAGGAACCTTGAGAGACGATGTGAAGACGAAGGTTGGACAGGGTCTGAATGGTCTGTCCGATGCCGCTGTAAAGATATCAGGAGAAGTGATCTCTGAGCTCGCTCAGTTTCACTCGCAGCTTCACACCTCATACAGCGGCCTTGGTAAAGAGATCAAGGCCGTATTTGACGACCTGTCGAAGCAATTGCAAGCGCAAAGAGAGGAGTCGGACAGGCTGCGATCCGCTCTGCAGGAGGCAAATCGTAGGAATCTGCAGGCGTCGCTGGCTGCTGCAAGTGAACTCGAAGCCACAATCGAGGAAGAGCGCAAAAATTCCGAAGAGGAGCGTGCTCAGCTCGTGCTGCAAATTACCGAATTGATAAACAATTCTTCACATGGCAGGAGCAACAGGGTCAACAACGTCCTTACATCGACACAAACGAACTTGGTGGAAACAGCAGAGCAAATTGAGCTTGCAGACAAGACGTATAAGGAGAGCATGGATAGATGGGCCAAGCAAGATTCGACTATTCGCGAGAAAATAACAAAATCGAAAGAAGATGTCAAGAACCGCTTCAAAAAGGATTGGTCAGCCGTGAGTGAAAGGAACGGCAAGATCCAAGAATCTACCAAAGCTGTTCACGGAGAGACTATCAACATTGTCAATGCTCAAGTCCAGGAGATGGCAGTCCAGATGGCAGCCCTGGATGAATTTGTCGTTCGCGCCAAAGAACAAAACAACCACCACCATGACGATCACGTCGCATCTCTCAACACCATGTCCTCTCAGCTCGAGAACAGTCTCGAAAGCGTACAAAGCCGACTTGGTCACACATCCCTAGCAGCCTTCAACACAGGCATGAAAGCACACCTCGACGAAATCGCATCCACCTTCGCAGACGTCGAAGACAAGGCTCGAATGCCACTCCAACAACTACAAGAGACTCTAACAGCAGCCAACCTAGCCAACTACGTCCCAACAGGCCACACACCACCGAAAAAGCACTGGACGTATCCCACCGAACTACCACGAACTCTCCCATCCACTACCCCTCAAACATCACCACAGAAATCCCCCAAGAAATCGCCTAAGAAGCAGTTATCACCGCGAAAATTGTCTCCTAAGAAGCAGATGGTGCGTCCTGACAGCCCCGTCCAACAACAGCTTAGAGAGCTCGATATCAATGTCGTTGCTCCCGTGAGACCGGCAGTCGTTGCGGTCAAAGAGCTCAAGGAGAACGAAAGAGAAAAGGTGAAGGAGAAGGAATCGATAGTGCCGGCTCCGGTGAAGACCGCGGCGAGTTTTTATGCGCCGAGGATGACGAGGAGTAGTACGGCGAGATTGCTGGTTACTACCGCTGAGCCTCCGGAGATACAGCGGACGAACAGTACGGGTGTACAGAGGAGCTGATGTACTGATTGCCTTTGAGTATTTCTGGTCGAGCGAATGTGAGTTCTGGCGGGTAATTGTTATTCAGGACTTGGCTTTGAGATACCCAAAAGAGCATGCTATAGAAGATGCGAGTATTAGTAATATCGGTAACTTGTGGATTTGTTTATGTCTATCAGTCCTGCTCATCTAGTACAGCGTTGCCGAAGCCAGTTGGCTGGAAGCCTATACCTACGAGGCCTCCTTGGGCAAACATATCGCCTCCCTCCTCCTCAACGACCTGCTGCTGTTCACTTTCGTCGTCAAGGTCGACCATTAGCTGTCTGATCTCGGACAATCTAGTCCGAAAGCGCTCAATCATATCTTCCATTGACTCTCCGTCTCTGCGTTGCACAAGCTTATCAGGACTGTTCTTTCGTCCTTCGATACGGAGCATTAGGTGCTGTTCGTCCGGGTGCCGCTGCTCGGCATTCATGGTAGGAGCATTGGTAATGTTCGTACGAACGATCTGCCAGTCTGCTGAGAGCGACTGTGTAGCTGTGACTGTGTAGGGGTACGTCTTTGCTAAAGCCTGTGTTGTCTCGAATGAGCTGGGGCTGGGACTAGGTAGGCGGTCTGAAAACTGTTGCTGAGATGCTGGAGCCATGGTAAGAGGTGTGGACTGAATGTCGAGGATGAGGTAGTGTTCTGTCAAGCCGGATTGAGGTTGTGGTAGGCGAGACTCTGTTTGCTCCACATCGTAACTTTCATGCTCCTGTATGGCGGTACTCGCCTGATTCGACTCATTGGTATTTTGTTCTAGGCTTCTGCAAGCTGCCTCAGTGATAATGTCTGGTTCATCGTCGGCGAAGATATAGTGGACCGTAGGATGGTAGTGCTCGTTCATCAAGGTATCTTCGATCAGGGTAAAGAACGGTTGAAAAGGTCGTTGAGGCTGCGGCGCAGTCTGGTAGGAAGCATCGTCATCGTTTGTGGCAAGTTCGTCGTCTTCCTCTTCATAGTCAAGGGTTTGATTAGGTGGAGAATGTGGAAGGAAGTGATGTTGGGTTGCTTCCGATGCGAAATGTGTGGTTGGGCCTAGGCTACCACTCTTCAGCGCAGGACTCTTAGTGCTGCCACCTGTGCCGCTGACTCTTCTCAAGGATGATTTTGATGGAGAACTCGATGGCTGGTTGTTATTATGTTGAAGTAAGGACATCGTCCAATGTAGAGGCTACATAGTGTGCTGCTTGGTCAGATGCTGCAACGTACTGCTTCTACGACTGTGGTTAGGCAGTTGGGGACTTCCTGCAGGCGGCCACTAACTTCGAGAAAACCGCATGCTCGGTGGAGTTCTGATAAGATAAGCTTCGAGCGCCTTTGCACGCGTTGGTCTGCTGCGCTTGTAAGAGCTCTATAAATCTGGCGAAGTTGTTGGTGCTGGTGCTCCAGTATTTAGCGGTAGTTGCTGGCCGTCTGCGCCTTGTTTCCACTCGAATTCTATCATAGTGTCAGTTCTGCCTATTGACGTAGAAGGATGACGCTCACTTTGACGGCACATAGGGCACAATCCTTTCGAGGACTCTTGTCGGATCCAAGTCAACAAGCAATGCATGTGGAACGAATGACCACACTTTCCCATGACTGATCTCTTGTTAGTAGAAGTTTGTCAGTGGTATATCTGCCTTACGCAACGTGCAGTCATCTCCAGGAAACTTGCAAGTCGGACATGTACCGTCGAACTGTACTCTGCATATGCCGCATACCTCATCCTCTGGCATATCCCACCTCCATGTTGCCACTGCATGCCACTTCTTGATTTTGACCTTCATGCTTGAAGTGAAACACTTCTGTGTGAAGAAGAGGACTCAAAGAGGCACAATAGGAATTGGTGATTGGCCTGAATGCGGCCTTCAAAAGTCAGGAGCGCGTAGGCATGTGATTGAGCTCTTTCCCTTTCAGGATACCGTTGAAAATAGCTGTGGGAGTCCACTGCTGATCAGCCTCAAGGACTAACTTAATGACAGCCACGTTGTCACTCTGTCTGACTCGACCCATCACTGAGCAGGTGTTGCTAGAAGATGTTCGTGAATTACTGAACTGCTGGATCGGCCTCAATTGCTTGCATATTCGTATTCAAGTTACGTCAATTTAAGCGGAGCAGCGCTTGGGTCTCCACCTGGAAACGATAGCTATCTCCATGTGCCTTTGCCTGCTATCGTGTTCGTGACATTTTAATTCAGTTTATCTTTGCGCTCGTATAAACCACCCTCTGCACACGGGTCGGCTCTTCAATCAAGAGAACCATGGGTCGCGATTGAACAACAAGAGCAATGGCCCTCGGCAATTTGCTCGCAAGAGTGTCTACAAGGCCTCTTGCAGCTCGAGCGTGCCGCATGTCCACACAATCTCGAAGTTATGCTCTCTCCTCCTACGTCGTATCACCCAAAGAACTTGAGGAAGCCTTGAACAAGAATGCGCCTTCTCCTATATCGACTGATCCAAAAGTCATTCCAATATGTGCAGCATGGTTCATGCCAAACGACCCCGAAAAGCGGACTGGCATAGAGGCTTTCAAGAAGAAACGAATACCAAATGCAAGGTTCTTCGATATAGATGGGGTCAAGGACCATGAATCACCCTATCCACATATGCTGCCAACGTGCGATCTGTTCGCCGAGGCCATGGCGAAAATGGGTGTGACAAAACATGACGAACTAGTGGTGTATGATGCCGAAGAGCTAGGGCTATTCTCAGCACCAAGAGTCGCATGGACGCTGAGGGTGTACGGCCATCCTCGTGTGCATGTGCTGAACAATTTCAAGCTATGGGTCGAACAGGGGCTGCCGGTGGAAACAGGTCCGCCATTGATACCTAATATTACGACTTACAAAGTTCCCACCTACAACACCGATATGGTGGTCAAGTATGCCGAAATGAAGACGATCGGCTATGACTATGGCAAGGAGGGCGCCGAAGAGATACAAATCCTCGATGCTCGCTCGAAAGGAAGATGGGAAGGCACCGAACCAGAACCGCGACCAGGTCTGCGCTCTGGTCATATGCCAGGCTCGACAAATCTGCCCTTCCAGGAGCTGCTAGATCCAAAAACGAAAGCACTGCTACCCCCGGAAGAGCTGAAGAAAGTGTTTGTGTCAAAGAATCTGGATCCTGCCAAGCCAATCATTGCCTCTTGCGGTACTGGCGTTACAGCTGCGATCATTGAACTCGGCTTGAAAGAAGCAAGGTTCGGCAGCGAAGATGACAGAAGATTGTATGATGGGTCTTGGACTGAGTGGGCTTCACGAGTAGCACCAACAAGCGGTCTGATAAGGACGAGTAACAAATGAGGATTGACGTGCCTGCTTCACATATGCTGGTCTTCTGCGTCAAGAAGATCGTATGATGACTCGTTTGCTATAGTGACCATACTTGTTCTTGATTACGATTGATCACGATGCGCACGTTCTCAGCAACAGAAGTAGTACATGGATAAATTGCAATGTTCCTGCCAGTAATCGTGCCTCCACTTCTCCACATCGAAGCGCTGTTTCGCCCTCATTCACATTCAAACAAAGCGTTCCTTTCAACACTTCGAACACGTACAGGTTCGGCCTTGCAACGTGCTCCTTCTCACAAAACGTTGAATGTCTTCGCAGTTCATTGATCATATGTTGTCGTTTTCTCACGGCGACTATTGACTGCCAGCCACAATGTCAACCATCGCTTCCATTATTACAACAATCGTCGTCGTTGCGCCCTCTTTCTGTGAGTACTCACACTGTTTGCTGCCGCCATACTTTTCCTTTTCCCTGGAGAAAGATTACGCTATCTTGCGCCAGAAAATTGACAGCTTGGCTGACTGAGGGATCAGTAGTGGCACAAGGTTCTTCGAAAACCTGAAAGCGCCTTCATGTAGTATTGATTCATATCAAATCACCAAACTTCTCTACTCCAAACACGTCGCGATGATATCGAACGCAAAAGCGATCCACTGCATCGTGGACGACACAGCGCTTATTACAAACCTTGACGAAGTCGAGGCTTGGGTGCAGAGCGGTGCTATTGCCTTGGTCGTCCCGCTACACAGTAAGATTGATCGATGCGAATACATACGAGGCGGGTCTTAACGAAGCATATAGCACTCGAACGATTGCACTTACTCAAAAAGGATGCCTCACAACTTGGACAGAATGCGCGGAAGGCAGTCAAATTCCTCGATCACGTTTCCTCTACCGCAGACCTCCCAGGAGAGCCAGTTATAATCCAAGGCCCAGACGACCAATATGTGAACTGGACGGACCTTGAGCACCGCTATACGGACTCGATTGTGCAATCGCCTGATGTCGAAGTGACGAACAAAGAACAAGATGTTGCGCCTGTCGCTGAGCAGAAACCTCAAAAGCACAACGATTCGCCTGAGAAAATGATCAACGATCTCAGTCTCTCATCGGACGACATCAAAACCTCGCCAGTATCAACGCCTCCCTTGTCTCCCTCTTCTTCAGAACCACAGAGTGCCAAGACGAGCCCCGAAGTACGATGCGCAAAAATAGCGAAACAAGATGCGACCCCTATCCCACCAGCGCTGAAAGCACTGATCAATTTTGTTGTCTGGTATACATACGAACGCAATACAGGAAAAGACAATGAAACCACGTTCTTGACAAACTCTGCTGATGCTGCGCAAATAGCCAAGGACTTCAACGTTACTCCAAAGACAATCCACCAATTAAGGGCAAGCATCCCAACTGAGCAGGAGCTAGCCTCAACTTTTGAAAGCCAGATCAAAACTAAGAAGCGAGGTTCGCATCGTACTTTGAGCTCCAGAGATGACTCAGAACCGAAGACCTTATTTCGTTATGAGGATGGTTCTAGCGAAGACGAGGAGCTCATCTTCAAGCCCCGTGCCAGAGAACTTCCCCGACCACTGTCTTCGGCGGGCAGACCTAATACCAAAGCTCCAGCTCGAGGTCGAGGAGCACTGCACTCTCCGTCCAACTCAATAAACGCGTCAACTTTACCTAAACCACAAGTTCCTGTAGAGGAGATTGACCCAGATTCCTTCGACCGTGGTATATTTGCACGTGGTAGTACTCCTCTTGCAAATGTCGGGAACCACTACGGTCAACCAAACAATACTTCTCCAGCCTTTGCGAGGGGTGGCCACCGCAATTTCAGTTCTCCCATGTCACGTGGTGGACATCGTGGTGGTACTCTACGAGGACGTGGTCGGGGCAGGTTATTTGTGCCATAATCCATAGGCTCGAGGCAGTTTTCACCAACTGTCCACCTTTTAACACTTTACCCAGGAGGAGATGCTGGTCTGAAAAACGACAAGTTCGTGCATCGATCCGACCTGCGGCGGCATCGAGAGCACAACTTAGACAAGTTGCAGTTGCAAGGCTGAGCCGTCACGATCCGAAGGGTTGGAAAACTTGAGACTATTGCTCATGAGTCCCTCTCAAGCGCTTGCGTTCATACACTACTGTCACATTGTAGCAACCGTCCTACAAATTGTTTCGACCTTTGGAGATCAAGATTTAAACCAGCATCGCGGACTAAGGACCAGCAATGACGAGCGCTTCTTAGGTGTGATGGTGTCCGTTGCACGTTTCATACCGAACCCGCGATCGGGCGTGTGAATATAGGCCAAGGCCCTCAGTGGTCAAGTCGCCATGTTCTAATACAGGTTATTTAGGAGGGGGCTTGTCACTCATTCGTATGTTCGCAGCAGCTAGTGTTCATGATCACACTCATTCCGGTACGTGGGACACATCCTGCTTATTGGAGTTGTCTCATCGTTCTTCAATTTGAAGACCTCAGATCAATCATGCGAATACTCTTTCTGGTACTCGGTTCAAGCTACTGTATTCAGACAATGGCCAAGTACATCGTCACGAGATCACCCATGACGTTGGTGGCTTGCTTACACATTTCGTGGCTCTGCATGTTCTTCCTTTTTGGCTCGTGCCTGACAATCAAGACTCGAATTCACTTGCGTTTGCTCCATCACAGAGCGGACCTTGCCTTTTCTAGCAGAAGCGCTAGCTTATCTTGTCACCGTGGCTCGACTTGGCCAAATCAGGGTGCACCAACTGCGGTCCGCAAACATCATGAACCACAAACATGGTCACGAAGCACGATGCCAATTATCTTAGCGACGTCAATCTTATATCATGAGGTGGCTATGGTAACGTTACTTTCAGATTGTGACATTCCGCGGCCCCAGATTTTACAGGAGGATTGATTTCATAAATCAACGATACAATGTCAATGTTCCTTCCACTTCTCGTGAATACGTGATCTTGCCACTTCCCCATATCCAGTCGCCCAAGGTTCCACCTAACTGTCTGTTCCACGAGAAGCATCGCAGCCACCACTTCCAATCACTTCTCTTAGGATCGATCGATGCAAGACAGAACCTAGACCCATCAACAGCAGAGCGGTATCGAGTATCCAGCCAGAAATTTGTTCGACGGGACGAGCACATCAGCATTCAAACACCGAGAGCTCCAATCCCTTGACTGGAGTACCACTTGATATTCAAAAACGAACTCGAAGGCCAGATGACTTCTTTAATTTTCTGGGGTCCTTATTTAGCGCACAAAGGAGTGAGTAAAGTCTTGGACTTGTTGGGGCGATTGCTCACAAGCCAGCCATAGTCTCGTTGAGTTGGTTCATGACTAACAGTTGATAGTACATCGGCCATAAACGTGAAAAGCAAAGAGTAAAAAACTATGAGCGCTGGGAAGGCCTCCGAGACGAATACGACGACCAGCGCAAGATAGGTCGGGAGTCAAGATCTTTGGATATACAACGAACTGCTTCATGGGATCCTGTCACGCAACAGATGACAGGCAACAACAACTTCGACGACAATCACAGACCGGTTTTTACGATGCGCGACCAGCAAGAGCTGAATGATGCAAGAACGGGATGGAGACCACAAGAGGCTTGGGAGAACCCAAGCACGCAGTTGCAAGCACAAATGACTGGACAAGTACAACAAATACCAGCCCATACTGGACATCCGAATCCACCACAGAGGCATGTTAGCTCCACACCAGCGATACCTGCGCATCTACAAAATCTACCTTTAAAAACGCAGAGGACGGGATATACCTGGGATGAAGGTCTGCCTGCACCATTGCAAGTATCTCGACGAAGCTTCGATGATTACGATTATGGAAGATACGGTGGTTCGGCACCTGTCTCGCAAGAGGCAAGCAGACAGCCAAGTCGCACCCGACAAGAGTCAAGACAGCACAGTATTTCAAGGACACATACGCCAAGCGCACTGAGGGAAAGCACACCTGCACCACAATTACCTGCACTGACCCAAGAAAGAAGTCTGGAAGTTGTCCACATTCAGGAATTGCCGAAGAACGAATTTGGTTTTATTGATGTAGAAGCTGCAAGGTCAATGAACGTGGCAGGAGGGAGGATGGCAGAGTTGATTGAGAGAGGTTATTGAGATAGTAGACCGAGTCCTATATTTGCGTGGCGTTGGTACGGCCACGATAAGGGTTCAGGCACGACCATTGAGGTTCTAATAGATAAGAAACCTTGAACTAAATCGTAATGTTATATGTCCTGCTTTGAAAGCATAATATCTCAGGTCACAATGTTCGATGTCAGCATATCCACATTCGGAGACCCGACAAGTAGACGAGAATTGTACTTGTACCAGCAGTGTTGTGAAACCAGGGTGGAAGGGCTCGAACGTGACTCCTGAAACTCGGCTGTCATAAGACTTTAGTAAACAGCATTGCCAAACGTCACTTTGGTATGTCGGTGCCACACATCAAAAAGGTCCGTTGCAGCTGTGGATGAAATCTTCGATTTTTGGTCAAGCACTCGCCTGTGGGCAGGTTACACGTACCTGTAGAACGGAGGATAGTAACAGAAATCGTCCAGCCTCGAAGTGTTAAGTCAACCTAGCAAAAGGATTAGTTTTGTACCCAATGGACTAGAGCACAAGTACGCTCTTGATGTTCGGGACGTAGTGACGTGTGATTGAGCCACATATCACAAGAACATGTTGATACTCGTACCAGGGGAGCTGTCTTGATATGCAGTGGCACTTTCAAGTTGTCCAAACCGGAATTGGTCCAGTGCAGTGTGGCTCGGCAAGGGGCTCGACTTTAGCCGTTCCTAGCCCCAGGATCCATTTTCTCAGTCCGCCCAAGATCCTGTTTCACGCTAATTCACCTGACTCCCGCACATCGTCAGCGTTCGTTACCAAGGGCGTCCTATTCTTCTTTACTTTCGATATTGTACGATATTAACGTTGGCCCGATATATCTGCCGGGCTCGTCAGATGTTTGGCTATATATCAAGATCCTTCACTCGTATACGTTATGGGACCTTCGCGGCACTCTCGCGGAGGCACCACCACTAAATGGCTCCTTGGGACGTTATGTCTTCTACAACTTTCAAGCCTCTCAACCACGTCTGAGATCTCAAGTGGGAGAGACCCGCCGGTAGTAGCGACAATCCGTAATGCTCAAGCTGGCCGCAGTCCAGCTGAGATCCCTCTACTCAACCACGATATCCCTACCCCAAAATTTCGAAACACGGACGATGAATACGAACGATATCGAGCCTTAGCTCCAGTAAGCCGCGAGCCTGCTGTTCGAGCACCATCTGTACAGTCTGTAGAGTCGCAAGCACTCTCGCCGCTAGGTCCAGCGCGACTGTTGTCAGATTGGGAGGCCGACGACATTATCCTGCTCTCTACAATTGACGGCGCCCTTCATGCCAGAGATCGAAGGACTGGCCGCAAAAGGTGGACATTGGAGATTGAGAATAACCCAATGATTGAGACCATTCACTATTTGCAAAACCGGTCCAACGCCGACGAACTCCTGGCACAAGATGATTACATCTTCATTGTCGAGCCGAGCAGTGACGGCCAGCTGTATGCACAATTCGCCGACCCTTCGCTCGGTCTCCTGAAACTTCCTACAACAGTTCGTGAGATGGCCACGAAAGGTGCTGTATCCATGAACATTACTGGCGAGTATCTTACTACAACGAGTTCTCAAGAGTCGAAAGCATACACGATCGACGCTCAGACAGGTGAAATCCTGAGCGAGTTCCCAAGGCCGAAGACCTCTGTCAAGACAGACCTACAACCACGATGTCGTCCTCGTTCAGGTCTAGATATTGAGGATTCTGCATGCAAGCCTGAGAGAACCCTACGACTAGGCCGAAACACGTACACCTTTACTATCTCTAGTGAAGCCACAGGACAAGAGATTTGCACAATCCGCTTTTCGGAGTGGGTCAGCAACAGAGCAGATCAGGATTTACAAACCCAACACTCGAGGTCTCTAGATGACTACGACATACATACCTTTCACAACGGCCTGGTCATGGGCGTCGATGTGACCAACGACGAGCACAGACAACACAAATATCGTTACTCGCTAGATACCCCGGTCGCACGCATCTTCGATGTTGCTAGAAAAGTCAACACTGGTACTGATGATTCCGACGATCTTGTATTACTTTCGAGATCGGCCGACTACATCATTCCAGGAACTGCTCAGCTCATGCGTCAAGACCCCGCCTGGAGTCAACGCGTCTTCATCAATCAGACCGATGGTGGACAATGGTATGCCATGTCAGAACAATGTTATCCGGGTGTTACTACAACAGCTTTATTGGCAGGTGTAGAACAACGGAAACAAAATCCTTATCTTACTGATCAGCCCTTGGATTTACATGGAGAGCTTAGAGAAATTATCGGCGTGCACCAGCTTTCTGGAGAAGTGACAAATCCACAGAAGAGGTTGACTATTGGGGCACCGTCACCCGCAGCTGCAGCAGATACCGATCTGATCGTCGAACCTGAAAAAGCTTTATTGCCATCTGAAACACTGCTTGTCGATAATAACCTATCCCAGAAGTTCTGGGGAGGTATTTTTGGACTAGCATGCATTGTGTTGAGCTTTGCGTATGGACGATATTCGCAAAGTCGAAAGACAGGCTTACTAAAGCTTCCTGCTGGATTCGTGTCGATCTCGGAGGAGCGTCAACCAGATAACCAGGTTCCGTCAAATCAAGTTGCTGAGAAGCCATTACCGTCGCTACCTGTTGCAGCTCCACACGATACTCCTGAGCCTCCAGTGGGCGAAGCACTAACTCCTAGCCATAGTCGCATGCAAAGCGTCGCATCTGTTGCCAGCTCACCGAAGAAGGGAAGGGAGAATTCATCCGATGACGAATCTGAAGATGAAGAAGGCCTAAACGGAGATAACACAGTCCAACCTCTTCCTGAGGAGAGGAAGAAGAAAAAGACTAAGCGAGGAGTACGTGGAGGACGCAAGAATAGAAAACGTGGAGATGCTACAACTTTCGAGCCGAAACCAGTCGTCTCGCAAGAAAAGCATTTGAAGGACGGCATGGTCCAAGTTGGACGTCTTACGTACGACAGCAAGCTTGAGAGCTGCCTAGGGCAAGGCAGCAGTGGTACAGCAGTATTCCCCGGAACTTTTGACGGACGATGCGTTGCCGTGAAGAGACTTGTAAAGACTGCAAACAGTCTTGCAGAGAAAGAGATTAGACATCTCGTGTCTAGCGACGAGCACCTGAACGTCATTCGCTACCACGGCAAGGAAGAATCGCCCAGCTTCTTCTACATCGCACTGGATCGGTTCGACACTTCTCTCGATCAGTTTGTCGAATATCCTAACAAGTACCCAACACTTGTCTCATCAACTCGAGGATATGACGTGAAGAGTGCGCTCCGACAAATCGCACAAGGTGTACAACATCTCCACTCGCTGAAACTTGTCCACCGAGACATCAAGCCGCAAAACATCCTTGTGCGACCTGTCAGAACAAACAGACCTCTTCAAGAAGGTCAGCTAACACCTCTTCTTTTTGTCATTTCTGATTTCGGTTTATGTAAGCCCCTAGAAGACGGTCCAGAATCAGTCTTTGCTGCAACTCGAACTGCCGCTGGCACTACAGGATGGAAAGCACCTGAGCTCCTAGTCTCTTCGCGGGACGCGATTGCTGCGCCGACTGTCACGACCCCTGGAGTCATCAGCTCTACACAGTCGCCGTCATTCTCCAGATCGACGAACACTTCTAGTGATGGCACAATCGTCGATCCTCCAACAGGACGTCGTGCTACAAAGGCAATCGACATCTTCTCTCTCGGTTGTGTCTTCTTCTACGTGATGACTCGAGGCGGTCACCCCTTCGACAAAGGCGGGTCGCCACTTGCCCGCGACCTCAACATCAAAGAAGACAAGTACGACACCTCCCTCCTCCGAGACTCCTTCGTAGGCTACGACTACGACGCAGACGACCTCATCATGCAGATGATCATGCACAACCCAAAACTCCGCCCCGACACCACCGGCGTCCTCCAACACCCCTACTTCTGGAAAATCGAGCACAAACTCGACTTCCTTTGCGGCGTCTCCGACGCCTACGAAGAACGCAAGCAGAAGATCACAAACATCCACGACGAAAATGCCCCACGCACACAAACCGAGCTCGAGTACCTTGACGAACTCGCCGCTCTCCAAGCCAAAGCCGAATATGTCATCGGCCTACGTAAAGACGGCACTCTCCAGGATTTCCTACAAGCTCTACCGAAGTCCTTCCTGAATGAGATGGGCAAACAGCGGAAATACACAGGTACCAAAATGATTGATCTGCTACGTGTGATCAGGAACAAGAAGAACCATTTCCATGATTTGCCCAAGGATGTCAAGGAGATGATGCTCAGGCCTGTTGTTCCTGGTGCTGAGCCCAGGGGACAGATTGAGGGGTATTATTCGTTTTGGAGGGATAGGTTTCCTAGTTTACTGGTGAATTGTCATCAGTTGTTGTTGGAGAGGGGGTTGGTTGAGGAATTTGGGATGGAGAGGTATTATGATGGGAGTTTGTTGTAGAGTTTGGTTAGGGGTTGGAATGGGAAATTGTTTGGAGTGTGAGGAAGAGCAGTGATCTATTACTTTTTGGAGTCTTGGAGTCTTGGAGTCATTCGTTGTCTACCTGTCTTTTTCAATGGCTTCCATTTACACCATTTGTGGGTTTCTCAACAGGACCTAGCTTTTCTCTGCGGGTCTTGACTGCGTTTGCCAGCATCTCTAGTACCGTTTCTGTATCTTCCCAGTGGATGCACGCATCTGTTATGGATACACCGTACTTGAGCCCCTTCTTGCCCTCTGGTGGTACTTTTTGAGCACCTACGCCATTGTCAGTATACAAGCACATATAGTAATAGTAGTGATCCTGTTCGACTTACCCTCGTTAATGTGACTCTCAATCATGACACCCATGATACCCTCATCTCCACCCTCGATCTGATCTGCCAAAGTCCTGGCAACCTTTGGCTGGTTCTTGTGGTTTTTCAAACTGTTTCCATGACTGCAATCCACCATCAATCGCTCTTTCAGACCCTGTTTGCGTAGTTTCTCCTTGGCCTCCGCGATACTCTCGGCGTCAAAGTTTGTGCCCTTGGTGCCTCCTCGTAAGATGACGAAACAGTCCTCGTTGCCTACTGTTCCGACGATAGCTACGACACCAGGCTTGGTAACGGAGAGGAAGTGGTGCGGATGTCTCACTGCGCCAATCGCATCGATGGCTACACCTAATGTTCCGTCTGTGCCGTTCTTGAAGCCGACTGGGAAGGACAGGCCGGAAGCCAGTTCTCTGTGTAATTGTGACTCAGTGGTTCGCGCACCGACTGCGCCGATGGAGAGCAGGTCTGCTAGGAATTGTGGAGAGATGGTATCCAGCATCTCACTGGCCAGTGGCATGCCTTTGTCGGTCAGGTCGACGAAGAGCTGCCGACTCAGCTTTAGACCCTTGTTGATGAGGAAGGAACCGTCAATTTCTGGGTCGTTGATCAGGCCTTTCCAGCCGACTGTTGTGCGGGGCTTCTCCAGGTAGGATCTCATAACGATGAGGAGGTCGTCCTTGTATTTCTCTTTCATTTTTAATAAGCGATCACAGTAGTCGAGGGCTGCTTCTGGGTCGTGAATTGAACATGGTCCGATGATCACCAGTAGACGGCGGTTTGGGTCCACGTTCTGGACGACTGCGGCGCATTCATTTCGGCCTTGAAGGACGGTCTGTTTGCTTGCTGCGGTTGGAGGGATCTCGTGTTGGAGGAGGTCGGGGGATGTGAGAGGGTTGTAGCCACGGACTGTTCAAAGTAGAAAGTGTCAGTCGCTGTGCCAGGAAGCCTCTAATGGTGCGTTTAAGTAGAGATTGGTTGGATAGAACATACTTCGCCAGTCTTCAGCGCTTTCCTTGTTGCCAACATTTGGGTTCTCAATGAAGAACTGTGTGTGGTTGAGTCAGTTCTTGTATTGCGAAAGAGTCGCGCATGTATTGAGCTGTGGGAAAGGCATGTTCGTACAACCGTGCGTAGCAAGACAGCCAAAGAGTAATTCCTTCCATAGGCAGCGCGAACTGTAAGAAAGTGCTCGATCGCGATTGACTCACCGACATGGTTTGGAGCTTCACTCTTGTTTGGTATAGAGGTATTTGCTTTCAATTCGCCCTTTTATGAGGTCGAATACCTATATCGATAGTGTAACAAACTTTCAATTCGTCGTGGTTTTCAGACTGCGGTCCAGCCAGCAGCTCGTAGCGATTTAAAGTGTGTGTGGTCGCAATATCGTATGAGCAGAAAGTTTTTCGGTGTTTTGCGGTCGTGATGTCTCCTACTCCAATTCTCGCAGTTGTATGTGGGGGCACAAGCAGAATCTCTTTATTATGTTAGATTCACTGAGACTACAAAACACACCCTTTGAGTACAGCTGGAAGCTCAATGGTAAAGGCTACTTGCACCAATAGCCCGGCTGCTTCGATTGATCAACAAAACTCTTCATCTATGTATAAATCACGACCGAAAGATGTCAGCAAATTGACAGCAATGTGTCACGTTCGTCGCTGCGTCGACCAACAAAAGACGAACGAGCAGTCTATGTTCAGTCACTATGTACCAGTGTTCAAGGCACATAATTGATAGATCTTCGACATCAATGCACGTCTAGTCCTTGTAATCCTGATCGGCATCTGCAAGCACCTTCTCGACTACATCCTGGTTGAGACCACCCCAATTCTTTCGTGCCCATACAACCCATGCTATGCCAGCCACTAGCCACACGAAGACATTGATAGGTAAAGCATAGTTGAAATATGCGGCGTCAATTGGCAGGTAGTTGGGAAAGACAAGGAATACCCCAATCCATCCTGTATAGATCAGAGCAACAATATTGATCGCCCATCCATATCGTCCCAAAGACCAGCCAGCGTCTTCAACCTGGCGTTGAGATCGGGCATAAATCATGCAGGAGATGGCAACGAAGTATGACTGGAACAGGCCGAAAGTTCCCAAGGAGATAACGACGTTGATAGCGACGCTACTGCCCAGATTGAGGAGGCAGAGCAGCATGACGATGGCCAGCGACAGCCACAGAGATCGAACCGGTACACGATATCGTGGATGGACGTAGCCGAACCATTGAGGAAGTGCACCGTCTCGACTCCAAGCCCATGTGAGTCGAGAACTTGAGGCAATGCAGCCAAGGAAAACTGCAATGACCGTAATCAGGAAGCACCCAATCATTGCCGATCCACCTCGAACAGATCCTGTAGCATTGATGACAATCGGCACCAGCCCGTAGGTGCTAGCTAGCACATCTTCGACAGGACCCAAGAAGTACAAGAAGACCAGAGTCATTGAAAATGCAAGAACGCTGTTCATGACGATCGACCAGAACATGGCGCGTGGTACGGCATGGCGAGCCTTGCGCACTTCTTCCGACATGTGGACAGCCCCGTCAAATCCTGGAAATGGTCAGCTTGCTCACAACAAACAGATCGGACTTGTCTTACCAACGAAACCCCAGGTAATGAGGATGATACCCAGGTTGAAGGAGACAAAGTCGTTGTTCCATCCCGACAGATTCGACTTGGACGTGAATACAAACTCGCTGGAATGACGCTGTCCCAGGGTGCTGAGCACAACCACAAACACAATGAACAGGACGATATGCAACAAGCCAGCAGCCATCTCCACCCAGGGAATCAGCCAGAAGGCATATTGATTTACCATGCCAAGGAGAATGCAAAAGGCCCACATAATGAGCGTGATGTGATAAGCTTTGGGAGTATAGTCTGGGTATTGGACCGTTACCAATGTTGCAATAATGTTTGCCGTTACATTGGCCGTGCCTGCGGTGATGGCGATCCAAGAAGCCCAGGTGATCCAGCCCTGAAACCAGGTAATGAGCCTGCGGTATTGTGGGGGTGCATAGTAGTGCGTCCAGACGTACTGTGCACCGGCGATAGGCTGGACAGACGCCATCTCGGACATTGAAGCGACCTGGCATAGAGTACCCGGGATGACGATCAAGAAACCCCAGACCATGGCTCGTGGACCACCATTATAAAAGATTACGCCGATGTTGGCTAACGAGCTGTCAGCGTTGTGTCATTCTTGTTATGCTCGCGATACATACTCCCCATGGCTTCCCAACTGTTCATGAAGGTCAAGGCGAAGAAGAAAATCTGTGCGGACGAGAACAGTTTCTGCGCTTCATCAGCCAATTTTCATTGTCGACCATTGACCTACTTACTCGCACTCGTGTCGCAACATCAGATGGGACATTCGTCCCTGCGGCCGCGGAACTGACGGCATGATCGTTCTTCTCGTCCACTGTGAGCTGCACAGACTTCACTGGTAAGGCGGCCATAGTTGCTCGAACCCCTGCCCAAGCACCTTCGTGTTGGTAGGAAAGAGTGTGCTGTAGATGTGACAGAAGTGTAGACAAGTAGAAGTGACAATTGTCTCTCGTGGCTTAAAACGCTGCAGATCGCCTGCCATGTGTGCAAGCGAGGCCTGGGTTTGACCTCCTTTGCGGAATTGTGGGACTCGTCTACATGATCAAAAGCCGTGGCATCAAGAATTCATGCTACTCGTGTCAAGCGGCCTGTCACACAAGATGCGAAGCATACTAGTGCAGTATACATGCTTGGTGGGGCTGGCCAGACGCTTGATCGAGTATGGTAGCATCGGGAACCTGGTCGTCGAGCATGCTGGGCGACATGATGCTGCCTGCGTTCGACACAAGATTGGCTTGAGTGGGCTTGCACCACCTGCATCCCCGTGAACCGCACTTCCTTCGACAGCTGCTAGCAGGGCCATGGCTCGTAGCGCGCTTCACGGCTCCACTTCACATCTCGCCTACTCGTAGCGCTGAAGATCTCACCTCGGGCTATTCCTGAACCCTCCAATGCGATAAAAGCTTCTGGCAAAAGTACCGAATAGTCATGATGGGCGTTATTGCTCAAAGCTGTCATGATTACCACTATTAGAGCAGCCAAGTATAGGAAGAACCAAAATGGTTGACGAGCTGAGCGTTCGATTCTGAAATGGACAATAGAGCTATCACCAGGGGACTAACGCCCAGCCATGGTTGTTGGCAGGTCGAGGGGTACTAACTGCATGCTGCGAAGCGAAGTCTAAACACCTTGGCATGAAGATAGGACTTCGGTGGTCGAATTGTTCTAGCTTAGCACAAAGTCGATCCTGGTGAACGTACTGCATGAAGATCTGCTTCTGGAAGATTACACCGTGTAACCAGATGCACGAGCATGTCGGTACATAGAGACACGTTCTTGAGACCACCTACCTTGCCTGGTAAAGCGTTCGAACACCACTATTGAGTTATGGGCTTCAGTTGCAACTTGTGACCGAGCGGCTCAGGGTATGATCAGGGTTTTGGCTAGCAGGCCGCTGCTCCACAATTCCTCACGGACCAGGCCGTTCCAAGTGAGGTGTCTAATCCAACGAGCAGGTACGATTCTTTAGCTTCGCAGTCATCACATCTCATTTGTGCAGTGATTTGCTCTTATCTTCTACTTCACTAACCACAAACTACGGTACAGTAGCGGTTTTGAGAGATGGTGACTCTGCCTACTCAACATCCAACCCTGATCCGCGGCTGGGTTTCCTGCTCATCACAGTCAGCGGACGGCACAACCTTCTCCGCGCTCCCACGTCGAGCACTCGTCGCGTAGCTTTGCTTTTTCAGTAACGGGAATTTGTCATTCACTTGGTCTGCCAGAACAGTGAGGGCTATGCAAGTCTACTGACCTGTTTGTGGCTCGCCATGTCAAAGCACAGTAACGCTGAATGTCAACCAGATAACAACGAGCCTACCTGTACATACTCGGATAGGATGAACGGCAATACAAGTGTCAGACTACTCGGGCCACGAATTCGAGCTAATGGAGCCTCAGCGATAGGACATGGGTGATCCTGATCGAAATCATCTGCTTCCTATTATCCACTCTCCGGCCTGTGCTAGCTCAGCCCTCGACGAGACACTACTGCAACATTCTTCTCACGCAGGAACCGGCTTGCAATAGATCATCCTTGCGAGTGATGAAGCAAAGAAGGCAGTTGCAAGCCAGCAACAGCGTGTGGCAGTACTTCGTGTTTGATTACATCAGGAGGTCTTCAGCTGCCGACAAGATGTAAAGGACCTGCCGACCATGCTTGAGGGCTCGACGTCCCTTGGCTCGATTTGCCTCTATTTACCTCATTGACCCGACGTCGCGAAGGTGTCTTGCTGTAGCAGAGCTCGACGGTATGGCAGAGTCAGTGAGTGGGGATGCGACCAGTGGCATCTTCGAGCCTCTGAAGCCGCCATTCCAAGCACTGAGCGACACCAATGAAGGCCCCTTGATTATGGTTGTATCGATACCAATGATCGCCGTTGCTTGTCTCACCGTCCTAGTCAAGTCATGGACGGCATACGGCACGACGAGGCGGTTGGGAGTCAGCGATGCTACTGCTATCAGTGCAATGGTGAGTATGTGTCCCTTTGAAGAAAATAGCATGTTATTAATAAGCTGACCAGGCCCTCGGCATCGGTTACACAATAGCATTGAACCAATCTGTTCAGCAAGGCTTAGGAAGGGCAGCAGTTGAGTTGGATGAATCTATGAATGAGGCTTTGGGCAAGGTGAGTTGCTCTTCACGAGGTCAATATGTGTGCTGATGTCTCGCAGTCCTACTTGACGTCAAGCATTCTGCTGGTTTTGGCACTCGCATGTGCTAAAGCAACAGTCATCGTTTTCATTATCAACATCAAACCTCAGCGACTTGTTCGGCTTGCTTCTTTTGCAATCCTCGGAGCCAGTGTTCTTTGGGGCGTCGCCAGTGCTATCGCCATCGCCCTGCAATGTGGCCCGAATCGTTGGGTTATGGGGCCCGACTCCAACAATACCTGCGTTAACCAGCGTGCTATGCAGGTAGCCATCCGTGCCAGTGATGCACTATTGGATGTGGCAATTGTCATGCTGCCTGTTTTCATGATGGTGCAAGTACAGACTTCCTCGAGCAAGAGATTTTGGGTCATAACACTGTTTGCTACAAGAATAATGTGAGTATGTCCAGCATGCCACAAGCCCCAGCTAATCTCATGGACAGCACACCCATTTTGACTGGCATAACGATAGCCACTCTCTCAGACTTTTATAACGCGTCGAACGAAGATCGGCCGTTCCAAGCTGTCACCCCTGCAATATGGACATCCGTCGCTCTTGGCCTCTCGATGATCACCGCCTGTATACCATGCATCAAGCGTTTCCTCGCAGACTGGGCCTCTGGACTATCACATGCCATGATCAACGAGTCCTTCGAAATGGAACATACTGCTAGCGGGTCCCGCACGAGGAACCAAGAGTACGCTTCTGGATCTGGTTGGCACGGTTCGCTAGTCTCAAAACTGAGGATGAGCAGGCTTGGTGGTGCAGAGGTTTCGAGCAAAAGCTTCGGGCGAACGCAGGACAGCGAGCGTGGCGTTCATCCAGAGAGAGCAAAAGGACACTCGGAGGACACAAGTGATAGCGTCAAAGGACTCGTCGACGGGGTCATCATAAAGACTACCGATTGGCGTATCGATTACGAGGATGCGGAAAGGACGTCGATCGACGGTAACGGCAGCACAGATAGTGGTCATGGGACTGTACCAAAAACTATACGATGAGAGCACGAGTACGACACCTCAAACCAACAGACCAACAGTGGCCAAATGTAGCAATACCATGTTCGATTAGGATTGATCCCTGATCTTGATGACTCGGTGATACCTCGGACCTATTCTGAGAGTGCCGTGTTACCATGTCATCACATCCCTCATGTGGCCCGAACATAGATTGATGTTTCGTTCTATCTGCATCGAAGCTTATCTATCTTCCGGGATATCCACCACTTGTCAGCACCATATCGACGAGGGACAGCGAGGAGCAGCACAACGAGCAGGCAGGAGAAGGAGCATAATTAATTGAGTCGAGAGTCAGTCTTGTATTCGTTGATGTGGACAAGTCGTTCATGTATCACCGGACAATCTAATCACCTTGACTTGTATAAAACTTCTAAAATCCTTCGTTTCGCAGACCGAAGTAATATTGAGGTGAAACGTGTATTCGACAATATTACCCAGATCGTCAGACGTCTAGCATAGTGAAATCGATAAAAGTATAGGGTAATGGAAATGATATTGGAATAGAGACCCTTAAGATCTACGACGACCCAAGACACGATCCTGGTCTCTCGAATACTACTATACAAGTATTCCAATTCTCTGAGCTTTGAAGCCTGCAAACCTCTTGCACCTACTCAATGGACGCATTTCGCAAGTCTTCCAACCACTTCTCACCCTCATTCTTCTCCTTCTTCGGTGCTTCACCTCCTCTTATAGTGCTGTCTGAGTCGTAGGCGTCTGCTTCCTCCTTATCCCATGCCTCAATGTCCCACTCCAGCCAAACTGGTGGATCGTTCTTGAGGCATGCCATGTACTTGCTGGCGTCGTGGATTCGGTGCTTGAGGAAATCTTGTCGATCTCGCATATCACGAAGGCCTACTATCATAGCTGACATTAGTGGACCTTCGTGAGGCACTCCTTTCTCGACCATGACTGCCATATCTATTAGTGACTGTGATCTAGTAAAGTAGGTGAAACGTACGCCAGAACATGTCCCATGCTCTCTTATACCACTTGAGTTCGTTCAACGATATGTCCAACATGCCTAATGCCAGAGGAGCTTGCTCGTGTGCCATCTCGAGGCCATGAAGGAAGCAAAGCCACTCTTCGCTGTTTTCAGCGTACGTGTCGGGAATGTTGGAATATTTGTTCTTGGACAAGCAATATCGCACCTCAACGGTGTCGAGCTTGCTTTTCCACTTGCGTAGCGATCGTAGCTTCAGACCACTCACGATTAGTTTTCGATAGCTGATGTATGTTGATTCGTATGGCTCCAAGTGGTACTTGATCCATCCTTGTCGTGATTGATACATGTCGACAAGGACCTCGACAGAGAAATCGGCGCCTGCTATCTTAGTTGTAGGTAACGTCCAGGCGGCAGTAGCTGGATATCGGAGGCTGAGTTCTGCTTCTGCTCAACGATGATGTGTTAGCAGGACGGTAATACCGAACATGTAGAAACAGGGGCTGCCACTTACCTTCTTCTACTGTGTTCTCGTCGCTATCTCTTAGTCCTCCACCGAAGCAGATGGCCCACCACTTTTCAAGGCTTTGCGTTGATGAGTAGGGCACTTTGTTCTCGATTTCTAGAAGACGCTCTGCTGCAAGGATAGTCGACAGCCACCAACTTCCATCTTCGTCCAGTGGACGTGTTGCTCTGACATGCTCGCAAATGTGCTCAACTCCCAGGAAAAACTCAGCTCGGTGGGCTCGCTTGAAGAGGAAGCTGATCTCTAGACCAGCCACCTGCATGAAGCAGTGGCCGTTGTGTCGAATAAGGTCGAGTGCCATGGTGTGAGTGGGAGGTTAGTGCGGGAAGAAAGTTTTGTGCGGAAAAACAATCAAATATAGGAGTGAGGTTGCGGGCAGGTTGGTGTTGTTTGCTCACACTTTGCTTGCATTGTCCTCACCGATTGTACTAGGCTCGTAGGAACCATCATTATTAGGACTGCGTCTCCGCAGATGCTGCTCCGGAGTCATCCCTGATCGGTGTGAAGACTGTATTCTATCGAGCGCCTGATCTCTAGGTAAGCCATCTTTCTTAGAGCGTGCCTCAAGTTCCTTCTCCTCTATCCAGCCTTGCAGTCCCGGAGCGAAGAAGAGCTTGCCTTGCCAAACCGCCTTGTAGAATGTCAGGGTAGCACACATAAGCCAGAGAAGTACAGTGAAAACCGCACAAGCAGCGGCCCAACCCTTCATACCATCATTACGAAGCAGATTTGCCAGCCGACAGAAAGCATTGGCGTATACTCCGCACGGAAAGACAAAGCTCCAGACACCAATGTTGAATTTCTTCGGAACAACAGTGATTACCGCTGCGAATGCCTCGATGAGAAAGAATGAGGCCACACCAAGCAGGAACAGAGCGCCAACCACGCCGATCCAGAGCAACATCTCAGCGACAGCGGCTTGGGTCTCACTGCTCAACGGAGGCTCCCAAGTTTGACGGAATCCAAAATGTGCTTGGGAAACATTGCGAGACAGTGCCACGGCCAGATTGACCCAGACGTACTGCGATGGTTAGCAAGAGTTTATCAGCATGACCTGAAAGGTCACACAAGTCCACCCAACCCGCACGACTGGGATAGGGCAGAACTTACAGCACTCATCCCAAAAGGTCCAACGGGTACAAATGTGCTGACAATGGCTGCCCTGGGCGGCAGCTGGTCGCTGAGAAGGCGCCATAGATAGATTCCCAGCAGCAGGAACGAAAGACCAAGACCAAGAGAGAGCATGAGGTAAGACACCACAATGATCGCGAGGCCATTTCCGAGGGACAGAGCATTGGCCAGATTCGAACCAAATGCAGCACCAACAATCATAGGTATGAAAAGGAGAAACCATGCTCCAGTCACTTCGCTCAGATCATGTTGTCCCTGACGTCGATATATGGCATACACTCCTCCACAGGTTACGGCCAAGCTCATTGCAACAGCAACCCAGAAGAAGGCCTCAGCTACATATGCAGCAGACTGGTGAGAGGAGTAGAATATGACGATGCCGGTACCAATTGTTTCCCAAGCAATGGCCACTGCTCCGAAGTAGCACGTCTGCTGTACATCCTGAAACGTGGTTTTGGTGGCACTGGTGAACATCCAGGCCCTGGCGCCGCCAAGTATAGTGAAGACTGCAAAGAGGCATATGTCGAGAATCTGGCTCGAAGATTAGCAGTGTGCTATTCGGTCTTTATGGAGGATCATATACCCAGAAGATGTAGCCGACAGTTCGCAGCCATTGTGCTGGATAGGGGAAATTCGAAGCTAGCAGCTGAACACAGATACCGGTTCCCATACATATTAGATACCAAGAGGGATCAGCTGTGACAATTCTTTCTCTCCATGATTCTCGGCCTAGCCACTTTGAGTGTCCAGCTGGTTGCTTTGCGGGCTGAGACATGGTCAAATGACCAATTCTACTAGCTAAGTGAATAGACGGTGAAGCTGCTACTCTTCGCGGCCATCCTGTCGTCAGTTCACGACAAGCATTGGCGTCGCTAAGAATTTTGTCGACGATGTCAATTTGTTGCAGGGATGTTGCTTGTGGAGACCCGGTAAGCATGTTCCGTGTAAAAGGGAAGCTGCGGAGGTGGGATCTATCGGCTACCCAGGAAGCACTTGCCTCCTCCATGACGACAAACGCTCTTCTCATTTTACGGTTCTGCTGTTCCGATTTACAAATAGCCTGCAACAAGCTTTCGAGCTTACTTCACCTAGCTCGTGTCTGCCACTCTGAGCAGCATGAAACCATCCCGGCTCGACCTCTTTCTCCTTGGAGACCAGCTGCCAGTATGAACACGTAATGGGTGGCTGAAATTCTTTGCAGTGTGCTTGCATGAGAGGGAAATAGACGCGCTCGACTGAATTTGTTCCTGATCCTGATATTGTCCGAAATCGTCACGAACTGCTGCTTACCGTGCTTGCCCCCCGCATTTGAGAGCTCTACTTTCCACAACTGAACACCCGACTAATTGACTCGTGGCTCTGTACTAATATTGTTCCAGAATTGCTAAAAACAACAGGCTCAGGCCGAAGAAAAATGCCGTGGGACAAGCTGACAGCCCCCGTTGTTTCCAGTAATCCCGGCTCTTCAGAGCAGGAGATTGGAGACGAGCCTGACTGGGGCACCGGACACAACCACCGAATTGGCTTCAGAAATCGACAAGGACGTACACCAGGTTTTACGCACGATGGAGACCATGATCCTTACGAAACAGAAGAAGACAGGCAGTTTGCCGAAGAAGCTATTCGGAAATACAAGGAACTGCAACAACGAAAGGACAAGGGCGAACTCCTCAACTTTCGAGATATCATGAAAAACCAGTCTGATTTTCAAAAGCAGAGGCCTGAGAAGTACCCTCCAGGCTTTAGGTTTATGGTCCAGGCTCGAGAAGACTGGGTCAAAAAAGAGGAAGATTGGCCTGCTAATATCAAGCAACGAGAAAAGGAAGAGCAGAAGAAGAAGGAAGAACAGGAAAAGAAAAAGCAGAACAAGGACCAGGATGGCGAGCAGAGAGACGACGAAACAGAATGGCGCCGGAGTACAGGCAATGGTGGACAAAAGCATCATGATGCGTACGGCAAATCTGAGGGAGATTCTAAGACTTCGAACGGTGTTCAGCAGAATGGCAATGAGCAAGGCAGCCAATCACAAAAAACTGAATATCAGAAACTTCGAGAGCGGTACACACCAGAAGAGATTACCCTCTTGCGGCACCTTCAGCATGAAAAAGACCAGACAACTAACTTTCAGCAAAATGACGGCAAGCAGGACTCGCCAATGAAGCACGAGGCTGAGCACAGGGATATTGCAATCGAGGCAGTAGATGCAATGACACCGGACAACTGGATACCAAGAAGCAGTAATCTTGTTAGAAGGACTGGTCAGCATCCGCTCAACGCTGAGCCGCGTCTGGAAGCTCTGTTTCAGGCTGGTCTTATCACACCTAATTCTTTGCACTACGTTCGCAATCATGGGAGCGTTCCTCGACTGTATTGGGCGACTCATGTTCTAGACGTGTGTGACGGCGCTCTGAAGCTCTCTATGGACGATCTTCGAAACATGTTTGATCCTGTCAATATTCCGATTGCGTTAGCGTGTGATGGAAATAGGCGAGGCGAATTGAACAAAATCAAGAAGAGTAAAGGCTTTGACTGGGGTGCTGGGGCTGTCAGCTGCGCGTACTGGAAGGGGGCGTTACTATGGCAAGTTCTCGAACGAGCAGGCGTTGTCCGAGATAGCTGGAATGGAAAACGTCTGTGGGTCAATTTTGAAGGCGCCGATGAACCAAGCGAGGGCAAATACCAGACCTCCCTACCACTTGATTATGCCTTGGATAGAGGAAACGATGTACTATTGGCTTACGAGATGAACAATACCAAGTTACCTGCAGATCATGGATTTCCTGTTCGGCTCATGATTCCAGGATTTGTTGGAGGACGAGCTATCAAATGGCTAGCACGAATTTGGATTACAGACCACGAAAACGACTCCTACTACCACATTTGGGACAACCGAGTCCTTCCAGCTTTCATTACTGAGAAAGATGGCGAGTTTGCTAGGACTATGTTTCATCATCCGAGCACGGCATGTAACGAGCAGAATCTCAACAGTGTCATCGTGAGACCGGGTCAAGGAGCGAAATTTGATATTGTTGACATTCTGAAGAAAGACACCTACAGGGTTGAAGGCTATGCATACGACGGAGCTGGTCATGAAGTCCAGAGAGTTGAGCTCTCCATAGATGGGGGCAAGACGTGGCTTTATTGCTTGCGGCATTTCCCCGATCGGCCAATCCGTAATGGCACCAAGTTCTGGTGCTGGATCCATTGGCACATTGACGTCGATGCGGCCCATTTCGTGCGTGCAGAATCGCTGATTGTCCGCTGCTTCAATGTTTTCAAAAATACACAACCCGAGCATGGTGTTTGGAACACAATGGGTATGATGAACAATGGGTGGTACCGAGTCGAAGCGCAAACCGACAAGGACGGCAAGCTAGTGTTTCGACATCCTTTCCATCAAGAAGATGACGATGGCTGGATGAAACCCTCGACAGAAAACCAGCTCGCTGCGGCTAAACAAGACAGTGGCGTGCCTGACAAGCAGTTCACTAGGGAAGAGGTCGAAAAGCACAATACCAAAGAGGATTGTTGGCTCGTTGTCAATGGAAATGTTTACGATTCTACCTCGGTGCTCTCGTGGCATCCAGGTGGATCTGCTACATTACTTGCTAATGCCGGCAAGCTCTCACTTGAAGTGACGAGCAGTTTCCAAAGTATTCACGACGAATACGCACACAAGAAACTGTCCGAATGCGTGATTGGCAGAGTAACAGACAAGGCTCAGCAATTCATGCAGGAACAAGCCAAGGCTGAGGCGGAGCAGAGTATGAAGGCCGGGCCGAAGGATACGCTGCTGCAAAGCAAGAAGTGGGTGCCTGTAAAACTTGCGGACAAGAAGCAGATTTCCGAGGATACTTTTACCTATACCTTCTCATACAAAGATGATCCTAGTAAAAAGAAGCTCGGGCTGGGGACGTGTCAACATATACAGTTTGGCATCCACATGGTGGACAAGATGCTCGTCCGGTCGTACACGCCTACAAGGCCGATCACTCAGAAGGATGACGACGGTACCTTCGAGTTGACGGTGAAGACATATTATCCAGATGAAAATCAACCAGGTGGAGCGTTCTCCAACTTCCTGCTTGAGCTACCTGTTGGCGAAAGTGTTGACGTTTGTGGTCCGACAGGTGAAATTGAGTATCTTGGAGAAGGCGAGTTCGACATCGAAGGGAAGAAGAACAAGTTTAGCAAGATTAGTCTGGTACTGGGTGGTAGTGGCCTTACACCAGGGTATTCGTTGATAGAAAGAGTTCTCCGAGAAGGCGGTAACACAGAAGTTTGCGTTATCGACGCCAACAAAACAGAGGACGATATCCTACTGCATGACAAGCTCGACGAGGCTGAGAAAAATAGCAAGGGTAAGATCAAAATCACTCACGTGCTCAGCCATCCTAAGGACTCGGATGCTTGGAAACACAAAGGAGGTCTGTCAGGTCATGTCAATGCAGACATCATAAAGGGGAAGCTCTTCCCACCCGCCCAAGACTCTGTGGTTTTCTTGTGTGGACCACCCGGCATGATCCAAAAGGCTGCGCTGCCAGCACTGAAGGGTAAGTCTTCCCAGCTGGTCGAATTTTACGATACATGCTAACTGATGCCTACAGATTGGGGATACGTCGAAGACGAGAATTGCTTTGGTTTTTAGTACTCGACACATGAAACAGTTTCTGCAGGACAACGCGTCAAGTCCACACGATCCATGCGACACAACGTTTCTGCTATGAGTGAGTAGTTGAGCTTGTTGCAGTGCTCTCTGAGGTTCGATCCTCTCTATTGGCAGGGATGGTGAGGGTTAGCACCACCTTACCAGACGGTTGTAAATTAGATTGTTTCAATGAAGTGGCAGATAGCGTCAACCACTTGATTGTTCGAGTTCAATAGCTCGGCATCGTCAGTTGAAGTTACGGGGTCTTCGCGTGAAGTTAGACCCTGACTAGTGCTACAACAAGCAAGCAGGTTTGCGGGATTGTGCGTCAGCGGCGACTCTAGCGCAGAGTCACGGTTGCTGTGCCACCCAAAAGATGACCACTGTGTCTAACAACAATCGTAGAGGGTATAGAAAGCAGCACAACGCCCGCAGCTTAAACACTGTAGCTACCCAACTTTGTGAAAATCGCACTCCTCCAAACCCAGATCGTATACCCTGCATCGTCCCCTTCGCACCACCACTGTCTGGCAGAATTGCACGTGCGAATTTTGAAAGTGAGTGAGACCCTCTGTTTTGGATGTTGACCTCATCGCTCAACCAGCCTGTGACTGTGGCGGTTCTCCGCCTCGATCCGGCCTGGTTCTGTGGCAGCGGCAGGAGGGCCAACGTCATCATGCTCCCAATTTCAGTTTGGAGGCAATTTGCAAGCTCAGACTGTCGAGACTCGCGTTTTCTTTTTGAGCTTGGAAGCTGTTATCACAATTCCAGCCTTTCTTCCTTCTCTTAATCCATCCATATCACTCTCGCGCGATTGAAAACTAACAATCGTTTGATTGCAGCCAAATAATCGCACCTATCGCAAGCGGTATACCCTTCGCAAACCACTCTATCAGCACAACTCGTGCGACCACAGGCTATACCACCTGAATACTTCTTAATACACCAATAAAATCCGCCAATATGCATCGAACATACTCAATGCGCCAGTCGCGCGCACCAACTGCGTCGCAGCTGGAAACTCCTCCACCACCATCTTCGTCCACAAAAGCTGGAAGGCTCTTTGGTCGCAGCAATTTTGGTAAGTATACCACTACGCGGAACGGCCTCGGATCGCTATCCAGGCGTCCGGACGTAGTACAGTAGCAGTGATGCTAATATGCGACAGGACACAAGTTCAGATCCCAAGCGGCGGGCGCATTCGGCCCAGATCTAGCCAAGAAACTGACACAACTGGTCAAGATGGAGAAGAACGTCATGAGAACGATGGAGCTGGTTGGTCGTGAGAGAATGGAAGTTGCTGTAAGCCATTGCCCATTGTCAACTCTATCCCAAGCCTGTTTACTGACACTTTCAACAGCAACAACTATCGATCTGGGGCGAAGCCTGCGATGACGACGTTTCCGACGTAACTGACAAGCTCGGTGTCCTCATTTACGAAATCGGTGAGCTCGAGGACCAATTCGTCGATCGTTATGACCAGTACCGAGTCACAATCAAATCCATCCGAAACATTGAAGCCTCGGTCCAGCCATCGCGAGACCGCAAGCAGAAGATCACCGATCAGATCGCACAGCTGAAATACAAGGACCCCAACTCTCCACGCATTGTCGTCCTGGAACAGGAACTCGTCCGAGCTGAAGCCGAGTCCCTGGTCGCTGAGGCGCAGTTGAGCAACATCACACGAGAGAAGTTGAAGGCTGCATTCACCTATCAGTTTGATGCACTCAGAGAACATTGTGAGAAGACTGCCATCATCGCTGGCTACGGCAAACATCTCCTCGAACTGGTTGATGACACCCCAGTCACCCCTGGCGAGTCTCGACCTGCATATGACGGTTACGAAGCCAGCAAAGCCATCATCCAGGACTGTGAGGACGCTCTCACGAACTGGGTCCAGTCCAAGGCCACCGTCAAGTCCAGCCTGTCCACCAGAGCACGAACTCTGAGCCAAAGACGCAAGAACAAGATGGGCAACGGCGAGGGTCATGACCTCAGCCACCAGGATCAACCACTAGAGGGCGAGCGAGACGGCTGGGTCCCAGCCAGCCAGCACGGCGAGTATGAGAACGAAGATGACGATGACGAGGAAGAGTCTCAGGTCAGAGGACGACAGGAAGAGGGTCAGACTGCGTAAGTCTCCAATGGACTCGCGGAACCCAAGCCCCAAATAAGTAACATGTGTCTAGTGACCGACCCATGTTCTCCCAGGAGACTACGGTGTAATGTACTACCAACCATTGCGGCACAAGGATGGAAAGGATGAAGTTGAAGATGATGTATACCCCCAAGTGATGATCTTACCTTTTCCTTTAGGTGTGGAAGAGTATCTAGCAGATATTTGATGTTGATGTTAAATGGTAATGGCGCTACGAGTCAGTACAAGTTGGCACCACAGGGTAATGCTTGAAGTAAAACACAGATTCAGTACTAATGATTGAGAAATGCATATTTATACAAGAAGATGTTTCTTCATCAGCCTTTGTGTCTTATTGATTTGTTGTGACTTCGGAACGTATGGAACATATTCCTAGTGCACAGGTGTAACACGACACACAGACCGTCATTCGATATCGTGATGTGTTACGAACACAGGTCGAGTCCTGGTTGGGACTTCCAACATACCGGTGTATGCGTCCACTTGCAGCACGAATAGCGAAGTCTCGTGCCAATGTCAAACGAGACACAAAGAGTTGATGTTCCACTCGAATACCTGTCACGCTCTGCTTACTTGCGCTCTGCCTCGGATCAGTACATCTAGAAACGGCTGTTGTGAGTAAGGTCTGTGCTGTGTGACCGTGTGAGACAGTGAGACATGTTGGAGATTACTATCAACCCTCAGGAGTACGCTCTGCTCTATCAAGTTTGCAAATATTTGTGGTTCGGAATTCGACAGTGAGAGAATCTCATTCTTTCTTCAGGTTAGAAGATGCAGATCTTAGTCCTCCTTAGCTTGATTGGCCTGACTCTGGCTCTCGCAAGTGATAACGACGCTCTTCAGATACTCCAGCAGCCCATCTTGATCACACAGCCTGGCGTCGTTCAAGACGATTATGCTGGCGGCCAGGGAGGCCGCTCGGCAGCACGTCCGCAAGACGTCTGGAGACTTCGACGTACAAAGAGGAGGAATTTGAGAGAACTAGAAGATGAGCATGAGGATAGCGCTATAGTGCTATAGTGCTATTAGGCTGAACGAAGGATGAGATCTCTTCGACGCAGGTGGACCTGGTGGAAATTTTGTGCTGGACTTGATCAAACGGGAGCGTCCATGATTGAAGTTACCTCGAGGCTTGGTTAGGGGCACGAGTGTTGTCCTCTGAACGACGTATTATGCTAGGAACGTCGCATTGCATCACGTCCTCTGCATCTGGCAATCAAAGATCCAATACCTCCGGGATCCGTTGGACACGAACACGACTTTCCAGATCTTCCCTTGAACGGAATGTATACCAACACGCTACAGTACTCGGATCGAACCACCATGCAGAGCCTTCAGTGCGCCTTCGTTATCCAACCACTTTCAAAGTCGGCAGCAGATGCACTGGGGCAACAAGTCTTGCTCCGTTAGTGAAGAGAGTCAATCCATAGGGTAGTCGGAAGAAACAAAAAAGGGGAAGTGATTATGAAATAGACAGCTGTATGATAGAGACCAGAACAAGTATATTCTTACTCGAGGTCAACCTCGATTTAGAGGATTTGGGCTGTAGCCTGGTCGTCGGGCTGTGATCAATATACATGGTCAGCAACGGGAACACGAATAGACACCCAGTTTATTCGAAATTGCCCCCGCATCACTAGTAATGCTCGATTCGCAGGTGTAACACCCCACCGACTCTTGCTAGACGACGATGGTAACTTACAATAGCGATGCTTGTTAATGGCAAGACATCGCAGTGGTGTACCAGGTACTCTACTTAGTCTACGGTACTTGTACGAAGAGTTGCAGCGTGCCAAGCACGTTTCGCAACCATGTGGACTCGACGCAGGGCAGCTGCGACGAAGGTGGGCGAGGTACGTCATGCAAAGCTTGATGCTGGCAACTTGTGCAAACTGTCCGTGGAACGCTTCGTGATTTTGAAACAGATAGTTGCGCTGAGAATGGACGCTCCCACGAAGGTGGAAATATGCTAAAACGTGAAAACTCCGAGTTTCAATGGTACAAGCAAAGAACAGCAGCAATTCATACTCGTTTAAAGCCTGAGCATCCGGTAGCCATCCCAGAGTCAACCATGGACTCGGAGCCTGCGAACCCGGAAGAACGCGCTCAGCAGGATCTCCCTCCCAAGTCCTACGCGGATGCTGCTCACGAGGCAGTGAATGGCGACGATGACTACAAGCACAGTAACGGCCACAGTACCCCCAATAAGGAAGCCGTGTGGAACCTGGACGAGAACAAGATAGTTTACGAGAAATATAAAGATGGAGAGGGCTCTGTACTAGTCAGTGTCAAGCCAGATCCCTCCTATGAGGAGAATTTGAAGCACAACAAGGCGACGGCGCCTCGGTCGAGAGGGTCGAGTACAAGCGAGAATAAGAAATTGCAGGACACGCCCAAACCACAACTGCAGGCGGGTCGTAGAGCAGGTGCTGGCTGGGAGCGATCAGCGTATGTTTTTGACAGAGACCTACGCAAGTCCACGCTAACCGAGTCGCAGCATTCGTTGGTCCCCTCTCAATGTACCCTTGCAGCGTCGACTACAGACTCTTGCAGTCCTATGGCACACCACTTCCATCGCCCTTTTCCTGTCGCTTTTCTTCCTTCTATCGTCTATCCCTCTTTGTTGGTCGATCCTCCTACCATACCTAATCTATACTCTTATCTTCTCTGAAGACTCCACTGATGGCCGCCTACGTCGAAGGTCTCCATTTCTTCGTCGATCCAAGGTCTGGTCTGCTTTTGCTTCCTACTTTCCAGCTCGACTTCATCGAACAGTCCCACTTATTCCTACAAGAAAATACATCTTCGGATATCATCCTCATGGCATCATTTCACATGGTGCCTTTGCTGCCTTCGGCACTGAAGCTCTAGGCTTCTCCGATCTATTTCCAGGCATCACAAACACTTTACTTACCCTAGACAGCAATTTTCGCATCCCGTTCTACCGTGATTATGCTTTGGCATTAGGACTAGGTTCAGTTTCGAAAGAATCCATAGAGAACCTCTTGTCCCGCGGAGGCATCAACAATGAAGGAATGGGCCGAGCGGTCACTGTCGTGGTTGGCGGCGCAAGAGAATCACTGGATGCACAACCACACCATCTCAAACTTGTTCTAAACTCGCGGAAGGGCTTCGTGAAAATCGCTATCCGACAAGGCGCTGATCTGGTTCCAGTCCTAGCTTTCGGTGAAAATGAACTCTACGAGCAGGTCGACAGTCAGGAGCACCCCTTCATCCACAGGTTTCAAATGATCGTCAAAAAAGCTATGGGGTTTACCGTCCCTCTCTTCCATGCAAGAGGCATCTTCAACTACGACGTGGGCTTGATGCCATATCGTAGAGCTATGAACATCGTTGTAGGAAAGCCTATCGCTGTCAAACAACAAGGCGGCGCAGGCAGTGACGGCAAGGTCGACGAAGCTTATCTCGACGAAGTACACAAAGCCTATGTTGACGAATTGATCAATATGTGGAACGAGCATAAGGACACTTTTGCCAAGGATCGCCTGGGAGAGCTCGAGGTCGTGGAATAGCACTCCTTTGTGGCATCCCTTACGACGTCCGAGCGAGGAAAAGAGTACAAGTACAATCATCACGCTTCAGTCGGGTTCCAAGGGTTCTACGAGAAACTTCCAGCAGTGTTACCCACCTAGACGAGACAAGAGCAAATGGCGAGCTACTGGACTCATCAACACGAAAACACGAGATCATCTCTGGACCTACTTCAAGTCGCACATCACAACCCTAGGCCACTATTTCCTGCAAAAATCGGGCGAGTTTGCCAGACCCTTTCGTCCCTCTTATTTGGCTGTAGGCCTTTTCATCACGATAACCCTGATAAGATTACGCGCTCGGCTTGTACTGCGTATGGAAAATGCTGCCCATGCAGCTAGGACTGGAAGTGTTGTCTCTCGAAATTCAAAGTATGTGACCTTGAATGCTTGTCAATTGGTCTTGCTGGGACACGAAGGAAGGCTTGGTGTATAGTATGCGATGAGTGTGGTTTGTTGATTGTCCGGGTCGACGAGCACAGAGAATGTTTATAGTGTATATATTTCTTGGCTACGGGTTTGTATTTCAGGTTCTCGGATACGGTATGCATGATTTTGATGAAACGGGTAATGGTTAGCAGACAGATCGGTTACACTTGGGAAGGGGAAGAGACTGTACTGGGAGAAAATGGGAAGCTTTGTTGGATTGTAAATTTAGGACCGAGCATTTCATCATGTTTGCTCGATACTGAGCGAACCTCATCGAAGACTATATGCACTCATATGTCATTTCGTTCTGCTCCTCTGAAATCGTGTAGCCCTGAAGCACTTCATATTGTCTTTGGACATCACTTCATCGTTTGCTTCGACAAGCTAGAGCAAATGTCCAGGTGCCTGTCCCAGAGTATCTGTAAAGCTTCTGCGTGACCTTCCTAGTGTATCTAATACCTCAAGGCTCACTAGAGATTCTGCTCAGGAGGACTTGGGAGCAAAGCCAAATCGCTTGTTGTCAGCGTCAAAGACTGCAAGAACAGCCTTCAGGAAGATATCACCGTAGATGCTGAGACCGACTCCTTGGTTGGATTGCAAACCACCGAAACAGCTGCTGCTTCCGCGTGACACGGCTCCTAAACTCATCAAGCCGCCAGGAATAGTGGCCTGACCACTACCGATTCCCAAAATCATGTCAGGTAGCAGAGCGGAGCAGGGGAAGACATATCCACCTTGCTGCTGATCCACTTCGGCACCATCGACCTGGCTGTAGTAGTCTTCGACAATGGAGTCATCCATAAGTAGCAGGGTAGTACCAGTGTCGGCAATAGCGTCAATGTCCTGCTCTTGGAAGTTTCCATCGCCGACTCCGTAACCAGTTCCAGTGAACTCCCAGAAGCCTTGAGATTCGTTGATGTCGGTGTAAGTGATTTTCCCAGTGTACTTGCTGCTGTCAATGTAGCCAAAATCATACGTGCCTGGGGCACCTTGCTTCAGATCGACAGTGAACAGATTCTTAGCGAAGAGCCCTTGTGCAGCTGCGGTGTCGAACCAGGTGGTTTGAGGCTTGGGCTGGACAGTGTTGATAGAGCTGAAGGCGAGGCCGAGGAGACCATCGTTGTCTGGGTCCTGGAGGAACTGAGAGCTGACCTTGGAAGCAAGCTCAACTGCCTGGCCCTTAACTGTAATACCAGCTACCTCAACATCATCAGTGTAGACATCGCCACTTGCACCAGAGCCATCACCGTATCGAATTTTCCAGGTTGCGCCATTCAATTTCTTGGCAGTTTTTGACTTGTTAGGGTTGTAGATGGCGTGACCCTCGGTGTACGAGGAGGCAAGCTCGCTTGAGAAGACCCAGCTGTTACACAGTTAGTTCCAACGCCAAGTACAAGCTGAAGAAGCAAGAAAGGGCGATAGACTTACAGATCAGCAGATCCTGTATCAAAGTCGAGAGTCAGAGTTTGTCCACCAATATTCACTTCACTCAGGTAAGCGACATCCGACTCTTCAGGTATTGCTGGAACACTGCCAGTCTCTGTGGCGGCAGCAGCTGCAGCAGCGATATTGCTTGGAACTGGCTTGCCATATTTCTGTTCTTGTTGTTAGCCTAGAGATACGAGGGGTTATGAGTAGCGATGCAAATTTGGTATGTGTTGGTGTAGTTCTTCAGAGTACTCACCTCGTAGACTCGAGCTAGTCGGACAGGATAGGCAGGCAATGGCTTAGCAACAGTACCGGTCACACTGAAGCCTTTGGTTGTTATTTGTGGGACTGGTTTGGTGAGAGCGAGAGTTGCTAACGAGGCAACAAGAAGGGTGGTTAGAGAATGCATGGCGCCCGTCGGTAGAGCGACAGGTAATGGGGAACAGAGAATTTGTCGTATGAAAGCGTCTTTTCCGATTCCACGCCTTATGAATGCTCGGGACAGCACAATAATATCAAAAAGAATGTGGGGATATGAAAAGAGTGACAGTCAAAAGAATTGTGAATGTGATGTAAGTGAAGTGAAGTTAGAAGAGACATAGCTTCGTTCTTATATTTGTGAGTGAAGCCTGCCGTGCCTGCTTTGCCACAACTGAGCCTATTCTGAATTTCGAATTCGGGAAAGAGTCTGAACGCTTCCGTCTTGGTTTTGGTGTACAAGTAAAGAACGGTGACCTGCAGGTGGGACTTGCCTTCTAGTATAACGTCGTAGCTTGTTCAAGTTGTTGTTGAACGGACATAAGTGCTAGAAAAGGCACGTCTTCCACCCAAGCGACTGCCATGAGAAGCTGATCCTGACTTGTCATTCGACAGACAAGCAAGAACAAGAAGTAACAAGCTCATCTCAATTTATGCTTGTTATGCTCGCCAACGTCACCAAGGGATGTCCGAGGGTAGCTTCAAGTCGTCTATTGGCACTCGAACGATTAGGGACGCTTTGCGACTTACTCCAAGGGGAACAAAGTGGGCATGAAGATTGTGGAGCGTGCAGGTAATTATTTGAAGACTTTCAGTATGCCCCGACAATATACATCATGCGGTGCAATCTTGGACAGTCCCACGGCAATATCGTGCAACAGCAAGTGTGTTTGAGATTTAGAAAGACGACGTGAGACTTCTACTTGGCTCCAGCCTCCCAAAAGCCAAGCTGCCAAGTAAACTGCTTGGTTGGACAAGCTTTCAGCCCTCGAATGCACCAAGTGGAGCTTCAGACTGTCACTCTGCCTTTTCACGTCTGCTATTCGTTCGCTGGATTAGATGAGGACGATACTAGCACATCTGTAGATCTTGGACTTCTATCAAGTCTCTCAATCGTGTTTTTCTCGTGTCCTATGTGTCTACAATCGGTCCAAATATGGTATAAGGCATCGGGGTGACACATACACAACTTTTCAGTATTCGATATTGCGGCCGACTATCTTCGGACTTTGCATGAAATACTCGTGTAAAGGTGAAGCAGGACTTGCAACCCGTTTTCGATGCGACTCAAAATAATCACTTCTACACGACAAAAGATAGAAGGTCATGGTCCTTTCAAATGGTTGATAGGCACAACTAGGGAGTAAGGCAGCTTTATAGAAGCATCTCGAGGGCAGACAAGCTTGCTCCAATAACTCCGGCCACATGTGCAGCGTCATACCGTCATTTTGCGCAAATTACAACTTCTGCACCGAAGGATCTCAGAACTTGAATGCCGCCTCAACTATCGACGTCCGTATGAGTTACCCTTTGGTGTTCTTGCTGGATCGAATACCTGTTCTCGCTCGGCCAATCCAGCCAAAGTATCTGCGGCTTCACTTTCGGATGTTGTCGGCGTCTGATTCTGCGAGCGGCTTCGTCTGACGGATATCTTGTCGGAATGAGGATTGAGGTAATGTGACGAACTCAGCCGCTGCGACGTCCCAAATATTCCAGGCGGGTTAGTAGGCGTATCGCTCCGCTGTCGAAGTGGAGGCAAGGTCCGTTGCGTAACGATGTCGCTAGGGTTTCCGAATGATAGATCTACAAGTTGCGAAAGGGGCATAGAAGCAGAGTGCTGAGACGTCTGTAAGGACGTATCGACTTGGTTCTGCCGCACGACATCAATGTTCCGGTCCATCCAGGGCTCAAGTGCGGCTAACCCAGGACCTGATGTCGAAGAGGGTGGACCACTTCCGGAGCTCACGGCTGGTATGGCTACTGACGAGAAGTTGTGAGGGTTTGACAAGTTTTGTCGCCTAAGTAACGCCTGAGATTCAGGACTATAGTACTCTTGACGAGCAGATCGAGAAGCAAACGCCGATGACGATGACGTACCAAGTGGAAGCTGTGAACCTCGAGCTACGACATCGTTCAACTCGAGGCTTCTCCAGCTGCTTTCCTCCGACATCGAGCTCTGTCCCGAAAGTCTTCCCGGCAGCTGCCTCTCTTGAACAGGAGGTGGTGTATGTTGACCCGCGGAACCTGGCAGGCTCGGGATCGATGTCACGATATGCAGAGTTGACGCACTAGATTCACTGAGCGACCCACTTTGAGAGGTTACGCTCATGGAGACGAAAGACGGGCCTCGCTTGTGTGCAGAAAGATCTGAGGCTCCCTCCATAGAATCAGCCTGAGACGCTGCTGAGAGGCTCGAGCTACCACTCGGCTCGAGTCTCGGTTTCTTCCATTCGCTCGTAGTAACACCGCTGTGCTTAGCCTTGAAGTCGGCAAGATAATCCATATATTGTTGGTAAGCATCCGTTGTTTTATAGTCAGCAAGCTGAGCATTGTACGTATCCTTCAACGCTGCAGCATGACTTTCGAAGATGTCCTTTTGCGATGGGTCAAGCTTCTGCCACCTCTCGCCAACTAGTCGCGCAATGTCTGTGAATGACATATTGTCTCCCTTGACTTCTTCACGAACTTTGTTGGAGAAAAGAACATACGCGGACGGTGGCTTTTCGGGAGCATGTTCATCGGGTTTTGGATGACGACGGTACTTCCTCTTCTGTTCCCCTACAGACGATAACGTATCCTTGTTGTGTCTAGCTTGCTGCGTGGCTGAATCTGCCTTTGCACTCTCCGGTCCCGGTGCAGCGTTGGAAGGCAATGGCAAGGGGCGGTCAACGGCAACACCTCTATAGTCGGCGATTGCTCGTTGCAATATCTGGACTTCTTGTAAGCTAATCTCAATGGAAACAGGACCGGTAGTATTACACGCCTATGACCCAGCTTTACATTGAGGACTGCCCTATAATGTTCATCAGTATCACGAGAGGGCACATTGGTGGTAAATCCTACAAATCACTTTCTTGGATGTCCAATACAGTTTCCCATATCTCGAACCCTTCAGCAACCAATGCAGTATGGTACTGTGACAGGCCAAGCTGCTCCAAAATGGGTCGAAGTGCTGTCATTCAAGCCCGTTCCCGTCATCGATTGTAGCTTTCAGTGGCCGAATCAGGCGTAGCAAGCTGCTGGGTAGTGCGCGTTGCGGTAGATCTATCGCGCCGTGGAGTGCCTCACGACCGCTTTTGCATCGATTAAAGTGGTTGTATTACTGCGACGAAAAATCCCCAGTAATTTCGAATATGAAAGTGTTCATGGGTGGGTTAGGTTAGCTATTCTGTTTGACCAATGCTGCGTCTCGCCTCTGTTGCGAGTATGCAGGGGAGATCTATAGCCACCATCGAGATTTTGGTTCGCTACGAAAGCTGGTAGCACAATGCCGGGCACTAGAAGGCAAGGAAGAAAGTCCAGGAGAATTGTTCGAGGCGAGCACAATTACTTCTATGCCTTGGAGAATGATCAGGTCTTGACGAAGATAACGAATCAACGCTTCTGATGTGGGGTCGATGAGGTCCAGTATGTTACCGAAAGACCCTGATGAACGTGGGTCTTGAGGCTCTGCGGGTGATGATTGGAACCTTGTCCGAATGTTGGAGAGCAAAGGGCGAGGTAGCGAATCATAGGAGCTTCAATGTATGCATGGGTCCCCGCGGTCGCTCTTGAGCGAAAGATGTGGTAAGAGACACTCAATAGACCTTAGGAGAAGTACCATGGGAGGAAGTATAAGTAGCCAGACGACGGAAACTATGTGCGGCATGCGCCAATATACAGATTGATAGAGGTGTGAAGGAGAAAGGCGGAAGAGGAAGACTGTAAAGTGGTGATGCTGTCAGAGCTAGAGTTCGAGTCCAAGAGATTTATGGTGGATAAAAATCACGACTTGCACCCTGAAGGTTGCAATTTAACTCCCCATCGCCGATGATCTAGGGGAGATCCAGTACCTTGTAACGTGCTGAGACACCAAGCTCCAATGTCAAAAGCGACAGTATATAGTGTACCCGTACGGCCACCAGAATGTTGTGAATACCAATTCCTTGCTTCACCAAGAGCATGCAGGGAGCAAGCACGCTCGTGTTGCAGCTGCCAATTTGGACCAGGAAGATCTTAAGATCTAATCGGACAGCGACATCGCTGGTTGAATATGTAATGCCGCTCTGATGAAGACAATCATCCTCGCCACAGACCACTAGTCGTACTTGAGCATGCTTTGTGGACAGAGAAATTATTTCGGTCGAGTGGATTGCGCGGCACGTTGTCCATGTGGACAGACGGGGCGATACAGGCAAATGATAGGCAAGGCAGCATGGTATCCGGGTAGAGAGATAGATGATGACACACGATTCTGCTGCACTTTCACGATCGATATATTGAGATCCTAAGCGCGGAGTGTTTTGTTTCCTGGTCGCCAAATAGAGATGGAAAGCCAAAGCCACGATTCGACCGAGGAATTGAGTAAACCAAACGCGGGAATCGCTTCGAGACTGTCCTTTTTTGACGCTACTCGTATCTTTCTGAAATTTTGATTTCGCAAGGGTTACGAGAACGATCGACGATCTTATAAACATGAGCTCTTGGCAACAGTAGTGCCCGACCGAGTCATAGCCTTACTCAAATAGGGTAGAGCGGGGTGAAATGTGGCGTCCAAGGACCCGCACTATAGGGACGAGCGAAGCATCTTGGATACGAGCAGGACTGCACCACGATCATCGTCGTTGTTCCAGCTCCTACGAGTTCACTGCTCTCCGGCTACTCACTATACTTGGCAAGGATAAAATATAGCTGAGCAGGGCAGCACCAGGCTGGTGCAAATACACTCCCCAGGTGCGAGGTCGGTTCATGATGGCCCAAGAGCTAAATAGAGATCAGGCTGAAGAGAAGGATAGCAGGAATGGTCTACAGAACCCTCAGCGCATGGCAACGGAGATGGCCAAAGCATTTCAAGAGCTTGCAAAGTGAGAAAAGATATTGTCTACATTGGGTACCTGCTAATATATGCTCAGAGGAGAACAAACCGCGTCGGCTCTTGAGAAGCAACTTGATGGCATTGAAGGTCGTATAGACGAGCTTCTGGCCGCAGCAGAGGAGGCAGAACGAGAAGCGAATCAGAGAATGAAGGATCGCGATACCGAGAAAGAACCTTCGTGAACATTACATTCCACCAATCGTCGATGGGCGTGTTTCGAACGTTGCTTCTGTTGTATTGGCGAAAAGAGGCTGGAAATTGAAAACACCATTCTCCTTCTCCACGACCCCAACCTCTGTGATGACACCATCAATGAGATCTGCAGGTGTAACGTCGAAGGCAGGATTCCATACGTCAATACCGTCGGCAGCAATATTGATGGTAACAGTTTCACTGAGGTTGCCATGAGTATCGATTGTCGGACCTTGTACTCTGGTCACTTCTTGTGGCGCACGTTCTTCAATGGTGATGTCTTGACCAGATGCCGTATCAAGATCTATAGTGGTTCTGGGAGCAGCAACAAGGAATTTCACACCATGATACCTTGCAAGCACAGCGAGAGAATATGTTCCAATCTTATTAGCAGTATCGCCATTAGCTGCTACACGATCTGCACCGACGACTATAGCAGCTATTGACGAACCTTTTCGTGCAAGCAGAGCACCTGCCATTGAGTCTGTGATGAGAGTGGCTGGGATCTGGTCGTGAACAAGCTCATAAGCTGTCAACCTCGAGCCCTGGTTGTAGGGCCGAGTTTCGCAGGCATATGCTCTGGTCAGGAAACCACCCTCTCGCAAAGAACGAATGACGCCCAAAGCAGTTCCATAGCCAGCTGTGGCAAGCGATCCAGTGTTGCAGATAGTCAGGATCTCGAGTTCCTGAGTTTTGTCGGAGCCCTTCAACTTCCCAGCATCTGTGTGCTCGATTATCCACTTAGCACCATTGGCACCAATAGCCTTGTTGTCCGAAACATCGTCGATGAGCATGCGCTCGGCAGCTGAAATATAGGCTTCAACAACTGAGCTATCAGAAGGTTCTTGAGCAGCCGCCGCTTCAGTTACAATTTTGCTCAACTTGCCAACAGCATCTCCCAGGTTAACCGCAGTGGGCCGGCTTTTCTTCAGGTACTGCAACCTTCCGATGATGTGGTCTTTTGCGGACGAAGCAGACGAGGCTGAATAGTTGGGTTGGCTGAGCTCTGTAGCTAAGGAAAGTGCCGCCACGATTGCAATGGCTGGAGCTCCTCGAACTTTCATCTGCTTGACGGCGTCGAATCCATCTTCGCACGTTTTTATTTCGATGTAGGTTGACTGGTGCGGTAGAAGAAGTTGGTTGAGAATTTGCAAAGTTGCAGCCTTTGCACCTGATGCTGGTGTGTACTTGATCGCTTCAAGAACCATCTTGCTGCAATATGTCGACTCCTACTTGTGTCAATGATCGATTAGTTCGCCTTGATCCGGGCAGATGAATAAGATGCTGCGATTCTCGTGTTCAATCACCTGTAGACAAATCTTCCACTCAACAGATCTGGAAAACTTATATGTAGTTCACATTGTACTACTAGTTCGTGGCTAAGATTGTAATTGGCCGCTCTTGAACGTTTTAACGGCTTACACCGGCTACTACATGTACACGTGGTCGTTGATGCACAAGGTGGGGCAAAGTCCTAGAAATGTTCAATAGGTGAAAAGTAAGTCTTTGTGTAATGGGCCATGCGTGTGCTAAGCAGTACGTTCTTGTACCATGCCAGCGTCTCGCGCACGAGCAAAGTCCAGGTTTTTGTGGCATCCCGAACAGACTTCGGTCTTGAAGACATCGCTCGTACTGATCCATAAGTACAGGTTCATCGACCAGCTCTCACAAGGCAGTTCTCGTGTCATGGTGTTGAACGCTCGTCTCTACTTCCTCTTCTTTACGCTCCTGCCGTCACTCCGAGATTCGTGGTGCGAACCAGTCACGACAGGTCCGCCCTTTTGGCTCTGAACAAGATCTTACTCCATACCAGTCACCTAAGTCGAGTCCAGCCACAGTCGATCAGCCGTAGATGATGAGTCATTGTTGTCGAAAACGAGGTGTATGTTTTGATAGAGTGTTGTTGCTCGTAGACACTTCGAAAGGGAAAAGTGGCTTCTGCTCAGGCCGATATGTAGAGAACATTATTTCCTCGCACAAAAGCATCACCGTAATTCCTTCGTAGCTGACCATTAACATATTCGGCACATTTCTCGAGCGCGATATTCATGTAGCCGTCAACAGATTGTAGCTCGCCCTTGTATACCACGCCTGAGTTTAATTTGACCGTGACAGGAGCGCCGATGATGCTGGAAAGAAATGCTGCTGGATCTCTGCTGTCCGAGGAGTGATTTTCCATGACACCAAATCCTTTGGAGAATGTCACAGAGATGAGGAAGTACTTTCGGCGACGGTAATAGAGCTGGAGTATAGCTTTGTGAGTCCTTCTGATAGTCGCCTAGTCGATGTGTGAGATTTCTTATCGAAATAGGATTGGATAGAGAAGAGCAGACAAATAGTGACTGTGAGAATCCCCCACATTCACGTCGAAACGCGTGACGCGACTACCCCAAATTGTTGCCACCACCAATCAGACCTGTTACACTTCTCCCAGCAGATGATTGCCGTTCTCGGGAACATGCAAGCCGTACAAAGAATACAACCAAACCGGCACAACGTTATACTTTACCACGACTATGCTGCTCTCGAAAAGAGTGTTGTTGGAGGATGCCCGATGATACACAAATATCGGATCGGCGATGAAGAAGTCCCTGTTCAACAAACCAGCATGGGCTGCGAAGGCATCAGCCAAAGTGGATGACAACCGCTCAATCTTTCAGCAAAATGTCTACGAGGATATACTCGAGGCGAACAGAAGGAAGGAAGAGAAACGACGAGCAAGACAGAAGGAGAAGGACGAACAGCGCAGTAAAAGCGCCAGTCGAGACACCAAAAGAGATGTTGATGAACAGCCAGTCAAGAAGCAACGCATCTCTACAACGCCGGTTGACCTCGATGGTGATGGTGGATCTGAGTTCTGGAGATCAGGTTCTGGTTCGGAATCAGACACGAGCACGCATAGCGCAGGAAGTCGTCGGCACAAGAAGGACAACACGTCTCCTACGAACCACTCTATAGCATTCCAAAAGACGCTCGGAAACGAAACGATCCCAACCAATCATTCTAGCAAATCAGCGGACAAGACTGCTACCAACGCGTCAATACCTTTGGACGATGACGATGAAATAGTAATTATAGCGACAGAGCCTGCACCACGGTCTCAAGCAACGAAGCAACAACTTCCAGAGCCTGACTCTGATTCCGAGGAAGACGAGTACTTGAGGAACCTCAAGAGTGCAGCTCGCGCAGAAGCGAGAAAGAAAGACGTGCAGGTATCACAACAGCAGGGGACATCTGAGGCAGGATCAGCTCTGCAAACTGATTCGCCACACGGGACAGACTATACTTCCAACAGGGACACATCTGTACCATTGGCGAGTACTGTTCTTGACCCTGAAGTGCAGATCCGCATCAAGACTATCATACCTGGCTGTGACGAAATATACATCAAGCGTCGTGCTTCGCAGCCGCTTGACATGGTGCTCGAAGCCTTTATTAAACAACATGATCTCAGACCTCAAATTGCGCAAAAGGTCTTTTTTACGTGGAACGGCACTCGGCTTTTTAGGAGCACAACCATGCGCAGCATTCTCGCACAGATCAAAAACAAGTATGGCACTAAGAAAGACGGTAGCGACATTGCCGATGGAAAGATCGAGATAGAAGCAGTAACAGACGAGATTTTCGAACTCAGACAACAGCAAAAAGAGCGAGAAAGAAAGAGGCTCGAGAATGAAGACTATCCTCTAGATCACGAACAGGCCAATCCTGGCACTCCGGACCCTACCACCGCAAGTCACCAGGCTGACGCACAACAGTCCGCGACCCGTGGTCCAGGGACGGTAATACAGTTAAGGTCAAACGACGAACGGTCTCTGCCTTCGATGCACTTGAGAGTACGTAGTGATACCAAAGTAGAGAAGATCATCAGAGGCTACAAGAAGAGAATGGGCGTTGATCCGTCGATCAATATCTATCTGGTTTTTGATGGTGATAAGCTGGAGGACGACCAGATAGTCGAAAACATTGGCTTCGAGGACGGTGATAGTGTTGATATCAGGTCTAAGTGACCTGATTTTCCACCACTGGTCATCGTTCAACATATCGTGGGCAGGATGTGCATAAGAGGGTCGATGTTGGTAAAATTCAGATTAGCGCAGGCGTTACTTAGTAGGTATTTTCGCTTTCAAGGTAGTTCAAGTTGTGCAAGGGTAGCACCGTTCATCCGGCTGCCGTCTATTCTATGTTCACGGTTTGTGACAACGACCTTTTCGATCTATATTCTATCCACCCACTCGAAGTTTGAGAACTATAGATAATTCCTTGCCTTCCTAATCCAATCTGCATACTCTCCACTCGGTTCCGTAGAATCAGAACAAGCATGTTCTGCTATTACTCGGTGCTCAGGCACAACCCCATCCTTGAAGGGCGCCTGCAACGCAACAGTTTCCCTACTGCTGGGGTAGTATGTGAAATGTCCGATTCCCAGTGTGTCAGTAGCCACAATGACAGGATTGACACCTTCTACAATCCACAGCCCATCAGAACTAGGATCGCCTGGTAGCCCTACATGGGCTATTCCTTTGAGTAGTATGAAGAGCATGGGGTGAGGAGGATGGTGTAGCCCTTCAATAGACCGAGGTGGTAGACTGACATAGGTCAGGTTGGTTGTGTTGGAGAGCAGGAATGAGGAGCCGATGGTGGGATAGCTGAGGAAAGGAGCGGCAAGCTCCCAGCATTCTATCTTGGCGGCGTGAGGTGGGTTTGGATCGTGGACGACGGCGGAGACGTGTAAATGCTCGGTGGTGTTCTGGTCTTCGTTGTTTAGCTTTACTTGAGGAGGAGCAAGTGCTGAAGTGACTGTAGCAAGCAAAAGGAGTGCGTGGCTTTGAAATTGCATGGTCGGTTGGTATGTTCAATGTACATCTACTGTCACATTCTGATCATGAGGTTTTGGCGGCCAAGTCTTACACTCCATACATATATTGACCATGAATAAACATACAGAACTTCCGTCTTGCTACACCATAATCACGATAGTAGCAACTTACTCAATGTCTACCACTGCTACAATGCCAGCCAGCCTGAACAGTTTGCTGCTGTCAATAGATGAAATAAGGATAGCTCTCTATCTTTGTGTGCAGCAAGTGCAATCCGGTAAGCTTCTTCACCCGTATGCTCGTCTCCGAATACAGCCATGCCAAAGTAAGCGGTCTCTATATTTTCCCTCGTTATCCGTCGAACCATTTTCGCGAAAGTTTCGACGTCGATGAGGAATGATCGTTGCACGACTGTATTTCAGACCGATCATGTAGAAACTTACAATCGGTAACTCATAGTGGAACGCGCCTGGTAACAAACAATGACCATCATGTGTAACACGGTATTGATACATAGGCGGTTCTGCCACTTTTGCTACCTGCGACGATGATTTCTTGCCAAATCTGAACGTGTTGTTAAGCAGTAGACTCGTCCCAAACAACCTATCATTCGTGGAAACACATTTGTGCGGATAGATGTGGTATCCTGACTCCATGGGTGTGAGTAGACACCTGAAAGACGACGGCTGTAAGCACCAACAATAAAATCAATATACAGTAAAAGCTGGACTCTCGTTCACGCTGTAGAGCTCATCTTTCTCATTGTTAAGCACTTTGCCATATCAGGTAATGAGATCAATTGTGGCAGAGCTTGAATCTGCCTCGCATGTTAGCTGGTCTGTGTTTGGTGCGACTACTACTGGCAGTAGTCAGCCACGCCGTGATAAAAGAGAGTGTCCGGGTGCACTGGCGTACTGGCGTTCACCAAGGCGTTCGCCTGTCTTAATCGAGGCGTGTCATGGTACGAAAACGGTCGTGTAGTCAGTGTGAGAAGAGTCAGACAGTAGTATGTACCGTCGTTGCGCTCAAGCACGAAGCTGGAATATAGAAGTAAGCTGTAGCGCTGTTCGTCATGTCGGTAATGCATGCAGTCAGCAACGATGAGCGAAAGATGAGAAGCTGAAATAGCGGCAAAAGAAGGGAGCTTCATCAAAGTTCTGCCCCGTAAGGCAACCACAAGAGACTCCGCACGAAGCTACAGTACGATGCCAAGTGAAGCTTGCACTCGTCACAAAACATTTAGTGCAACCTGTAATCTCGTGTAAGTCGCTGGCTCTCGCTTAGACAGGCCTGATGATGGCTATGCACCTTTTGCAGCTGCAGTGCTTGCTCGTTAGAACCCTAAACAACCAAGAATTTGTTGGCACGAGCTTAGTGTCGCTTGCTTGATTGGTATCTAGGGGCGAATACCAACCTGTAGTGACTACGTACTACATCATTGATCGCCGCTTGGTAAGACCACCAGCCTATTTACAAGTGATACCTACTCTCTGGATATTTTCAGGACTATTTTCAGACAGTCCACTTTACAGCAAGCGACAACCATAACACAACACTCCTGCAAATCACAACAATCATCATAATGAAGTTCTTTGCAACTATCCCGCTTCTCCTCCTTTCAACTCTCACATTTGCCAACCCTATCGCAGAACCGGTCGCAGAGCCGGTCGCAGAGCCAACGCTCGAGATCGCACGGCGTGAAGCAGTACCTGTTCCAGAGCCGATTCCAGAACTGTTGGAATTCCATGAGCTCGAGAAGCGCAAAAAGAAAGGTAGTGGCTCGAGCAGCTCAAATAGCAGCAGCGATGCGACCAGTCTGCAGAGTTCTTTCAGCGCTGCGGGAATTGCGCTAGTTGGGTCGATGCTTTTGATGGCGTGAGCTCACTGTGGCTCTATGCGACTAAATAGACGATCTGAGGGAGATGAAATACGTACTTAGAGTTGGCTGAGGGTGTTTCGGTACGACTCTTTCACACCAACGAGCAAAGCGACAATGCTGAAACGAATTTGGTGCTCGCGCAACAAGTAACATAACAATCTCGTGATCCATATGGAACAGTACGATTTATGCCAACCTTTCAACCCCCAGCTGAATCTGGGTTTGTTAGTCCTTATTTTCACGAAACGCAACGAACGCAGAATTTAGTAGAGAGCAACTGACACGGATGTACACAGGAGTTCGAATGGAGGAGTACTTGTATGTTAATATCATTTCTGCTCCGCAACTATTTTCGGAATTCAATACAGCCAGCTGTCATTGAGCAGTGCGACCTGCCTTATCCAAAATTCATGATGGCGCCAAAGTGCAGGGCACGCATCTCGCTGCTAAGAACTACATATTGTGAGAAGCTGGCCAGAAGAAGAGACGAAAACTTTTTGAGATTTCCGAGCCGTGCTTCGGAGGAACCAGTCTCGGGTGAAATGTAGGAGGTGACAAAGGGGCCTGTCAACCTTGTAGCTCACTCTCAATTCCACCAATTGTAACACTCTTGATGATTGTATACTCCTCTATACCATACCTAGATCCTTCTCTGCCAAAGCCTGACTCTTTGACACCACCAAATGGCGCAGCAGCATCGGATATCAAACCAGTGTTGACACCGATCATACCGACCTCTAGGGCTTCGGCAACTCTGTATATCCTGTTCACATTGCTGCTGTAGAAGTAACCAGCAAGACCGACAGGAGTATCGTTGGCCAACGCCACGACTTCCTTTTCGGTCTTGAACCTAAACAAAGCCCCAATTGGACCAAATGTCTCTTCCTGAGCGATCTGCATGTCCATGGTTGCATCACGAATCACTGTGGGCTGGAAGAAGTTGTCACCTAGCTCAGTCATTCTCTTGCCTCCAGTCAACACCTTGCCACCTTTCTTTTCCGCATCTTGTACATGAGCTTCGACCTTGCCCACAGCTCGATCATGAATGACGGGTCCATGGGTAACACCATCGTCGAAGCCATATCCAACCTTGAAGTTCTTGACCTTCTCTGCAAATTTGTCGGCAAATTTGTCGTAGATGCCGTCTTGTACATAGATTCTGTTGGCGCAGACACATGTCTGTCCAGAGCTGCGGAACTTGCAGGCAATTGCGCCTGCGACAGCGGCATCAAGGTCGGCACAATCATCGAAGACGATGAAAGGTGCATTTCCTCCTAGCTCCCAGCTAACCTTCTTCATTGTGCCTGCTGCTTGTTTCATCAGGAGCTTACCAACATTGGTGCTGCCGGTGAAACTGACTTTCTTGATTCGTGGGTCCGTTGTGAGTGCCTCTCCAACCTCGGGTGTATTCTTCAAGGCGGTGACAAAATTGACCACACCTTTGGGTATACCAGCTCTTCGGCTCAGCTCTGCCAGCGCATTGGCTGTGAAAGGTGTCTCGCCAGGTGATTTGGCGACGACTGTATTGCCTCCCGCAAGCGCAGGACCGATCTTCCTCGTAATCATTGCAGCAGGGAAGTTCCATGGCGTGATTAGACCACAGACACCGACTGGCTGTCTGATAGTGTATACACGGTTTCCCGGGATCGAGGCTGGAACTGTGTCGCCGTGGATGTGTGCAGCTTCTTCACTGAACCAGAGGAAGAAGTTGGCTGCATATTGGGTCTCGCCTTTCGCGTCGGTTAGTGGTTTGCCATTCTGTACGATATTAGCATCGAATTCAGTTTTGCATAGCTAACTCGAGCTCACCTCCCATGTAATCAGAGTTGCAATATCGGCAGCGTTCTTTTGCATCTCATCATACCATTTTCGTAGATATGTGGCACGTTCGCGTCCTGTCGTTTTTCGCCATGACTTCAAAGCCTCTTCCGCAGCCGCTATTGCCTTCTCTGTATCTTGCTTATTGAATTCTGGACATGTGCTAATCTTCTTGCCCGTGCTAGGATCATGTGCTTCGAACGTCTCGCCTGATGCAGCATCGACGAACTCTCCGTTCACGTAAGCTTTAGATATAAGCAAGGAAGGATCATTGAGCTTGGGAACTTCGTGGTGACCCATGTTTGCGACAAATTTCAGCGGAAATGGCCTGAATGGAATACGTGGAGCTGATACAGGTCGAGCTCTTGTTACAGCTGAAATCAACGAGAACTTGCTCCTCAAAGCTGTGGACGCCATGATAGCAGTGCTTGCTAAGCACGACTCCCGTATCGTCACCACCCCTCGCAATTAGTGGTCTGAAAACTGCAACACATTACCACGGCAGAATGGCTGCTCCAAACGAGGAGATCGGGGTCTTGAGAAATGGTAAAAAGCAGCCAGCATCGACATCCGCCCATGACATCAATTTGTGCGGATATATGCGTCCTGGAGCGGAGTATCCAGTAGGACAGAAAAGTGATTATTTCCGCTTTCTGACTATATTGGCACGCCTTTGTGTACAGGAGTACACTATATACCGCGGGCGATGAAACATCAACAACACGAGGACCGAAAAAGGTACTGAAGTGTCGTGAAGTGAGAACACATTTAGAGCAGACCAACTGTATCCCTCCTGGCTACCTATACTGTCCAAATTTGAAGGCTAAATAGGAGGACTTGCAGCTTCATAATCGTCTTGCTGCTCGTAGTTTTCTTGCAATTCGTGACCTTCTCCTTGGCTAGCCTGATACTCCGTCTGAGTCCTTGGCCGACTCCTTGAGCGCATCTGGCTCCTATCGTATCTGCCTCTCTTGCTGTTGCGCCCGACAATCTTTTTGAAGCTGGCTAAGTCGAAATCTGGATGTGCATATCCGATATGTTGGTACAGCCTAGTACGTCTGCTGTATACGAACTTGCTCTGTGGACAAGTAGCGATGGGACACCTGAGTGACGTAATCTCGAACATGTGGCCAAATATGGGCAGTCCTGTAATTTCTGCTAACTCGAGTGGCTGCGATTGACGAGGCTGATAACCACTGATCCCAGGAAGATTCTGCTCTGTTTCTCTCTGATTGTCTAAGCCAGCGTGGTCTTCGTTTGCGTAGGCTACTTCCTCTCCAAACCACGGGCCTGCTTCTGCAACCTGTTCGGCCGGTGCAGTATCCTTCTCATGAAATGTCCTCCATAACATGTTTTCTCCGAACAGCCTTGCACATCGTTCACTTGCTCTGGCAACAGTCACTGTATCCCAGCCCGTAAGTGCTGCCATGCCGACGACGTCTGACCAATCCCTCAGACCAGGACCCTTCGCCCTCCTTTCGTGTCCTGTTTCTCTGACACCTGAACTTTTGCGGGGTCTTGAGCTGGATCTCAATTGAATCGACGAATCTGCTGACTCCTCACTGGAGGAAGGTGAGCGCTTGCGCTTTCGACCCCGATTCCTGCTTGATACACGCCTGCGTTTTCTGTCGTCTTGGAAAGCGCCTAAACGTTCACCATCTGTGGTATCTGCATCGGTATCGCGTGCGGCTGAACGTGAGCTTGAGTATAATCGAGGTTTAGGGTCCTTCTGTCGGTTGGCATAAGACGCTCGTGATCGGCGCAGGCCTGTAAGCAGGTCGTCAATCTTCGATAGGATGTGACGTGCAGAAGGAAGTAACAGACGTCGCGTTTGATCTTCATCCACCGAGAAGACTGCTTTGTCGTCCTCGTCGTCGTCGGACTTGATTAGCTGTCCTTCCTCGGAAGTGCTAGAGGAATTGTTCTCGAGGAAGGCTTGTGAGCTGAAGGTCTGTATACCTCCAGGAAGAGGGTCGTCTGGTTCAGTATCATCGACAAGCGAGTCGTGATCGCTTCCTTCCGTACTATCACTGGTTCTTGTCTCGTCTTTTGAGGCATCCCCGCCTGTCAGCCCAGCATTGTGTAGTTGTCTTTGCGTAGACATCTGCTCAACCTGCCAATCTCTCTTCTCAGGCTTGATCTCGGGATTTTCTGGAGCCCAATTCCTGCTGTTCCATCGTTCATTCGCAAATCTAAGTGTTGTCGCAATCAAAGCCTCCTCGAGTACCGCACTTGGACTTGGCACCTTCCGCTCTGGTAAGTCTTCTCGAGGAACATGCTTGCCACGCATAGGCCACGCAGTCCATACCTCGGTAGGAGTAAATTGCTCAGCTATCTGATGTGATCGACTCCGTGACCTTGATCTACGGCTTGGAGAGTTTCCCCTCGCACGCTGCTTCAGGGCGAAAGCATTGTAGGCGTGTATGCCAAGATCGCTTGCACGTTTGAGATCGAGCACATCCGTTACGGCACGATCTCCTGCTGTCCAAGACCGCCATGTTGAAGCTGAGCCATAGTAGCGATTAGGTCGGGTGAAGTATGTTGGTTCTGCTGCAAATGGGTATTGCTTGACATATTCCTCGAATTCAGCGTCCGCGAGGACTGTGTTGTCTGGTGATGCCTGTGATTGCGACTCGGATGGTGGAGACGATGAAGTGAGACGTGCATGTGATCCATCAACTGTGGGTGGTATGATGTCCTCGCTGATGTTCATCGTAAATGGGAGAATAGACGATGGTAATCACTTGTGGCCATCTGTCCGAAACAGCATCTGTTATCCCTACTGTCAAGTTTCATCCAAAGTCGTAGCCTTCGTGACAAGGCAGAACGCGTTTCGACTTGCCCACCATCATCAAGCCGGCCTCTAGGCCTTATGAAACCATTGTCGATGTTCTCGAGTGTGGTCTCTGAGCCTGAATCACATGCGTGCTACTGCCGACCACATGGTACCAGGGTGTTGGTTCGGAGGGAGTACTTTTATCCATGATCACGACCTACCACACAGCTCAAAACCTAACAACGAGGAAGCTCAGCGTCATCCACTGTAATCTACCGACGACACAACGTCCAGAAATCCCAGTCAACGAAGACATCGGAAAACGAGTTATATCACTCAAGTGTGGATTGGGAATGCGCTATATCGCAGAAGCCACTACAGGCTTCACTATTTTATGAATACACGCCAATGGTCCAGCCCATCATACAAGCATCGGGTATCTCTTTGCACTCCTCAACTTATGCAATGGTAAACTCCATAACACCCCAGCATGGATCACCTATCCAGATTCCTCTGTAAGAGATGTTCGCAGAACTCCTAGCCCGTGGGATGTAGCTTAGACGACGTGTTTGGCCTTAGCTCTTGTACTTCCGGCATGAGCAGCGTCTGTATGACCACTAAATTCTAATTGCTCTTCGGCTGGTAGCTGAAGCACTTCCTTGAAGTTTTTCCCGATCTTGAGCAGAGTGTCCTTGCTACCTGCCTTACCAGTTGTTCGAGTCCAAAGACCGACTCTGTAGAAACCTTTTCTGACGTTGATGACCACACCCATGACCTCGTTATCACCCTCATCTTCAAGCGTCTCGCCAATGGCAGCGAGTTGAGTATGTAGCCAAAGCTCATTGATATTGATCAGCTTCTTGTCCTTGAATTGATACGCCCATTTACCACCGTGCTTGTTTTGCTGGTCTTCCCACTCTGGTCGGACGCCCTTCTTGAAGAGGTGGTAGTCAGATTTGATTGCTAGATCGCTACATGCTGTGATATTGTTCTGCATACAGATCAGTATGTTAGACTTTGCATTAAAGGGAAGACCTCACATAGACGCCCCAAAACTCCTCGACTGTGTCGAATGAGACGACCTCCTTTAGTAGATCATTCCAGTTATCACCTTTTCCAGAAGGTGGCTTGGTGAACCAGAGTGACCATGTGTTCATGAGGGGGTGCTTGACATTGAAGTTGTTAACATCATGGAAGACGGTCTTTATCTCATCTGCTGATGCCTCACTCTCGTCTGCGGGCGCAATAGCTGGAACTGGCTGTTGAACTGCTACTTCCGCCATATTGGATCGATGTGTATGATAATTAGTTCTCGATAGTAGGGTTATTTGAACGTAGTCGCGGGAAATTCAGGGAAAGTGGATTGTTTGAGGAAAGGATGCCCAAGAGCTGTCAGTTCGTGAATTTGCTGGGGCGAGTGCCTTGTTATGTTTATTTAGGAGGAAGGCACGAGACGAAACCTGTCAATTAAACAATGCGACAATTTTGTGATATTAATTAGATGCCTGAATGCCTAACATCATTTCCAACTGCTACCCATTGCTAGCTTGGCCTGTGCTAACATCAAGTTCTCTGACTTTGCTGAGCGCATTCTGGACTCTCTCTAACCTTATATTGCCTCGATATGCATCATCTCCGACCAGAAACCCTATTTCAATCGATCTAAGCAGTAAAATGATTTTTATATGCTGCGAATATGAACGCTAAATCTTCCCACTGCACCTCTTCTCCGTCCAAGCGCCTTGAAGCCAAGGAACTGAACGCGCAGTCCTTCTGTGCCGCAATACATCCGAAGCCATGTTGGCATTCGTGTAGTCGACAATCAATTCCGTCGATGTAATGCAAAATCGAGTATTTCGCGTTGCTTTCAGAGCGACGGGCGACACGAATTGCCGCTGAGTTGTAAAATCTTCGTTTCGTCAACTACCGGAGCCAGCGTTCAGATAGGACAGATAGCAATTCCAGCCCAAGCTCACGATATTGACCACCAACACCCTGTGCTCAAGCGGCACCACCGTGAAATTAACACCCTGTACTGCTGGCCATATTGCCCAATTGGCCTTGAGACCAGGTAGATATGCTTTTTCCAGCCTCTTCCTAGGAGATTCACCTTCGAGGTAAGCCATAGTAGATAAGAAGATGGCCATATTTGTCGTAGCGAAAACCAATTGGTCTGCTGCTACTCGAGCGATCGTCGTGGTCGTCTTGCTACCAAGATTCACGTTCTTCTGCAGGAACTGATACCACTTTGTGGCAGCTGGGCCGAAAACCACTGGGAAACCGTTAGCACCATCGCTGAGTCGTCTCGAGAACCTAGACTCACAACCACCATAGGCAGCCATTCGCGCTGTGCGTTGCAAATCATGTTTCTGCAATCCTTTCCTTTCAACAGCTTGCTGCGCAAGGCCATCGCCAGCTCCAAACAGCACAGCAGTTGTAACTGCTTGAGTCAGGAGAGGTCGCTGTGCGAGCTTAGCTTGATACCACCGCAAGACCATCTCTGATGAAGCTCCTGATTGCCAACCACGAGAGCATATCGAATAGAGAAAGCAGTGTTTGCCGCGAAATTGTAGATCTCTGTACCACTCCCAAGCATTACCCTTTAGCGCATGTACTTATCGATTTCAGGTTCTGATTTCGACCTTCCAAACTACGTCACAAGCATGGGAATTCTCCTCCTGTACGTGTACGGATAGCTTTCTGTTTTAGGTCAAACTTGAACACAGCAGCTGCTTGCCTTGTGCACAGCCCTAGACGTGATACTACAGACGTCGTGACGGACCACTTGCGCCGCACATTGACAACTCTTGGCACAATCCGTTAGCGTTTCGATATTCGCTGCGAACCACGTTTCCGCGAAGCAGCTTCTTGTAGTCGCGACGTATTCCTCTCTCTACACACCCGACGAGTATACACAACACTTATTCGAAATTATGGCTGACGCACCAAGAGGAGGTGGCCGAGGAGGCTTTGGCGATCGAGGACGAGGTGACCGCGGCCGAGGTGGTCGAGGTGGTCGACGAGGTGCCCGAAGAGGTGGTAAGGAGTCCAGTGAGAAGGAATGGCAGCCAGTGACCAAGCTCGGTCGACTCGTCAAGGCCGGAAAGATTCAGTCCATGGAACAGATCTACCTACACTCTCTGCCAATCAAGGAGTACCAGATCGTAGATTGGTTTCTGCCAAAACTGAAGGATGAGGTTATGAAGGTATACTGTCTTGCAGCATCAGGAACCATATAGAATACTAACAACATGTCAGATCAAGCCAGTACAAAAGCAGACTCGAGCCGGTCAGCGAACACGATTCAAGGCTATCGTAGTCATTGGCGATAGCGAGGGACACGTCGGTCTGGGTATCAAGACTTCTAAAGAGGTTGCAACCGCGATCCGAGCTGCCATCATCATCGCCAAACTCTCCGTCCTACCGATCCGAAGAGGCTACTGGGGCACCAACCTCGGTGAGCCACACTCCCTCCCAACAAAGGAGTCAGGTAAATGCGGTTCAGTCACCGTCAGACTCATTCCTGCCCCTCGAGGTACTGGTCTCGTCGCATCTCCTGCTGTCAAGCGCCTGCTGCAGCTTGCTGGTGTACAGGATGCATACACTTCTTCTGCTGGATCGACCAAGACTCTAGAAAACACACTGAAGGCTACATTCGTGGCTGTAGGTAACACATACGGCTTCCTGACACCAAATCTGTGGAAGGAGAACAAGCTTACTCGAAGCCCGCTGGAAGAGTTTGGTGACGTGCTGAGAGAAGGAAAGAGATACTAGGTGGTGTCAGCTGCGGTGTGGCTGCGCTCTCCAGAAGTCTTCACGACATATGTACGCAGGCATGACAGGAATATCATAAACAATGTCTATGGAGTCCTGCACGGCGAATGGTGGTAGCTAAATACTGCTATTCTGAATGTTCAATACCAAACTCATTCTTCTTGCACTTCTTCCCTGATCAAATCGTTAGGCTACTGGTCTTTGCAGGTCGAAGTCTTCTCCTTTATACGTGACAGCACGACATTTGTGCGATTTGGAGGTTCAGACCGTTCATGCTTCTACACCACGTAGTCATGGTGTAGAGCTTCGATGACACCTGTAAACTTTGTCGCAAACGTTCCTGGTATTTGTACACTCCACAGCATAGGTGTTCGGCCGTCGTACAGGCTGCAACGAATCTTCCAGTTCGCTAAGTCGCTATTTTGAGAGCTCCTCAGTCTTCCATGGCCATTTCTTCGACTGCAGCTAAAGCATTCTCCAGCTCTTTTATCCTCGGACCTGTCCTTGTTTGGACTTCTTTTGCTGTTTCTGGATCGCACTCTTTGACAGCCTTTTCATATGCCTCTTTCAATAACGCGAAAGCTTCCCTAGCTGCCTCACGATCATCAGCGGCATATATGGTCTTCTTCTCTGTTTCTTCAGCACACATTTCGAATTCGTCCTTCGCTGTCGCATATAGATCATTTAGATTTTCCATCACAGCATCGGCTGTAGGAGGCTGTGCAGAAATGCTTGATGTGATAGAGAAGCTGCGATATTGAGGCATGTGCTTCCATGAGAATCGTGATGTGTACGAGCTCTTCGGACGTGTCGATATTGCAATGCTCCTTGAGGAAGAATGAATGTGGCGAGACGCGCACTGCTGTGATGGGCGCAGACTATGTTTCAGCTGCCGATATAGGGGCTGTAACATGCGTCTTTGAGTCATGCTGTGGTAATCGGTGCTTCACGGTATATACAGTACAGTGGTGTTGGCATTCAGTAAAAGCTCACGCAGGAACCTCCTACTCAATTTGTAGCTGATGACGTCGACTGACAGACAGGGGTCGAGCCGCGGAAGGACGACTCGCTGGAACACGCCTCACACTGCGAGTACCGCCCCAGGAACGTGATTATCGAGACTCGAGACGGATTTTATGCCATCGATATTCCGCAGATTGACAGCAAATTTACCAACGTCAGCACGACTTCGTCGCCGCTACCTCACTATGACAGACACAAGTTCAAGTCAACGTCCACGCCAGTCCACAGTGACGGAACATTTGGCTGGGACCAACGATTCATGGCATGGCACAATCACTGACTCAGGACCTTTCCGCCCCTCATCCCGTCGTTTCCATCTCTATTTAGGCCTATTCTGCCCTTTTGCCCATAGAGTAAACCTGGTTAGAGTACTCAAAGGCCTGCAAGACATCATTCCCATTTCTGTAGTTCGACCTTATCCCAAGGGAGATGAAAACGGCTGGCCTGGCTGGCGGTTCCCCAAAGACGAGAAGGAGTATCCTGCCGCAACGGTAGACCATCTCTTCGGTAGCGAGTATCTCCATGAGGTATACTTCAAAGCCGATCCAGCATATGAGGGCCGGTACTCAGTACCTGTCTTATGGGACACCGAGACTAGTACCTTGGTGAACAACGAGAGTGTTGGTCTACTCAAAAACTTACAGACTGCCTTTGACAGTCTCCTCGAGAAAGAGGGTAAGCACGTAGAGGCAAGTCTTCATTTCTATCCTGAACATCTTCGCTCAAAAATCGATGAAATCTGCGAATGGATGCAGCAGAATCTCAATACCGGAGTATACAAAGCCGGATTTGCTCCAGATCAAGAGACCTACGACAAGAATGTCATTCCTGTCTTTGCAGCACTGAACAAGCTCGAGAAGATCGTACACTTACACGGCGGTCCATTTGCGCTAGGTCAAGAACTTACTGAGGTGGACATCCGTCTCTTTCCAACCTTGATACGCTTCGACACAGTTTATGTACAGCACTTCAAATGCAACCTGGGCACAATCAGGCATGATTATCCTGTGCTCAACAATTATCTGACAGGCTTATATTTTGGCCTTAACGAGGTGAAACTAGCCAATGGTTCAAAGCATCGGATCACTGCGTTCGGACCAGAGACAGTCGATTTCAAGCATATCAAAGAGAACTATACAAAGAGTCATCACGATGTCAATCCCAAAGCCATCACACCAAGAGGTCACCATCCCGACGTCGAGGAACACTTCGAAAAAGATTGGAGCAAACTCAAGGTAGGCGAAATTGCCATGCGAGAGGTGAAGGAAGCGGAGAAGCTTCTGCCCGGATGATATCAGATTTTTTCAAACTGTTTACTCGCTGGACTCGTTCCCTTCTACGGCCCAAGCCAATTCTCAATGGCCTTCATATTGACAGAGGCATCTGGTGGCCAGCAAAAGCAAACTGCTCCCTTTTAGTGTGATATGCGTATATCCGAGGAACCACCTTTGCTGACCACCAGGTGAGAGGGTGCTAAACACCTCCTTCGTGCTTTCCTCCCACCATGTACGTATTGCAGCATCTTCCGCCTTATTGCACGACATGATGTCTAACGATGGTCTCGTTGATGTTCGTAGATAAGTGTGATTGGCAAAAGGGTAGTGCAGGACACCAAGCGAGTGATCGGTCGTGCTTCACTGGTGAAGACATCTACATCCCTAATGGAGGTTTCGTCTTCAAGGACACATCGTTCAGGCATAGCGCTGTGTGTTTGGGATGTGCCTGTCGACAGTACACTTCGGTAGTATCATCTGAAAGTCTCGCACGAGCGAGGATACTGGTACTCGTACTGAGTCGCATCCCACGAAGCGTCTACAATATTGAGTCCTTGAGCCCAATGATCAGGAGCAGTTTGCTACTGCTGCTGCCGTTACTCCCCCACTGCTTTTTCGGCTTCTGGTACGGATCCGTATACATAAGCCCGACTATATTGTCCGAAGAAAGTTTTGTGCTCTTCATTATGAATCTGGAAGCCAGGAATACAAATCGCTTCTCTTCTTCCCAGATGTAAGAGTCCAGCTACAGAGTGCAAGCACCATCGTTTCGATAGCAGACCTGAGCGGGTCTGAAGGCATTGAGATCGTTAAATACCTACCATGTCTTGTTGCTATATGGTAACTCATGGTTGCGGGCATTCCGGGACAACTATGGTTGACCCCAGCATCAAGCACGAGCTCAATCGGATGACATTGTGTTCTCATTGGTCCCATTGCGTAGCCTTCGCGGCGGCTCGAGAGTGGATATGGTGATCGCCGCTAAGCAAGGGGCACAATATCATTTGTGGTCTAGGTTGACAGCCACGGCTTTAGCACATCCCCATCACAACCAAACAAATCATGGTGATGAACGCCTCGCAAATTGCTTGACTCTCTAATGTCGAATTTCGATTTCGAGGAACAAGCGCATTATCATGCGAAATCAGCATTTGTAGAACGGCTTTGGCCTTGCTACACAGCATCATTCCTGAAACTCACTGTCCTGCGAATTCTATGCAATGTTATCGACTTTCTTGGGCTGAAAGATCATAGTACCTGTATGTTCTCGTGGATGACAATCTGGTGGAAACCCTGCATCGCTGGAGCCCGAATAAGGTAGTGATTGAGAAATCAGAGTCCACCAGTACATTAAGGCGAGATGAACCATCCTCTACGAGCTCCAAGTTTTGTACCGCACATCAAGTGCTCTACATGCGAGATCGATGTCCCCTTACACCTAATGGCCTCGCATGTATGTAACCAAGGTGAGCCTCTCATGTCTTGCACGCCATTGGTGTCTCTTCTGACCCGACAATCTATAGTGTTTGCGATGCCCTTAGCCATGGAACCCGAGCCGATGCAGATGTCCTCAGGGACGGCTATGCCAAACACATCTTCTGAAAGCAGACGACCCCGGCCGTTCGTCCCGAGAATCGACCCGCTCGCACCCAGCAGATCCATATCGCATGGCGAGTTGACACCAGCAAGCAGTGGCTCGGATTCTGCAGCCATATCACCCACCAGCTCTGGCAACAGGCTGTTACCGTCCTTGAAGCAAATGCGCAAGTCGTCTGCTCCTGTAAGACGGCCACCTTCTCCAGAGCTATTGAGTCAGGATTGTGCCTTCCCACCATTCCCAACGAACAGGACGAAGAAGAAGGAAAGTCAAAGAAATGCGCGGGAAAGAACGCAAGCACGCGAATCGTCTAGGTCGAGATCGTCCGAACATCAAAAAATGTGGTCGACCTCTGCAGGTCCTTCGAGGTCACGAGTGAGGCAAGGAACAGCCGAGTCTTCAAGACCTTCAACAGCTAGCAGTAGTCGACGCCCATCAGTAAGCAGTCGATCTGGAAGTCGACAGGGAAGCTTAGATACCGTGCCACCACTGCCGCCACTGCAACCAACAAGTTCCCACTCTGCTTCGAACTCGGTTCTGTCAACAGGTGAATCGCTACGTACTGGTACTTCGCTGTCACCTGCCGCGCATTCACCTCCCGACTCGTCTGTAGCAGCAGACAGATCACCTTTTCCAGAATTCCAAGAAGTTGAAACCCGGAACGTCGAGCCTGATGCTGATGCTCCAGCTGCACCAAACACTTACCTGCCTTCTCAACAAGAACTTACAGACTGTCGGACACCGTCTTACAGAGCTAAACGTCCACCACCAATTTCTGATATGCCATCTCGCTTACTTGTCGAAACTGCTGTGGACAGCCACGAACAATCTCCTCCAACCCCCACCGCCTCCATTGCGCGCACATTAACAAGCCTCTTCAGCCGAAAACGAGGTACTTCAACAAGCAGTAAGAAAAGCACGGCAAAGACCCCTGTAGCAGATGGCCCTCGTTTCATCGCCTTATCTCCTGAACCTGACCCACAAGACACATTGCGGATTGAGAATACTTCTCACAACTCACTAACACCATCTCACGAGTCTCTCACGCCATCGAACGGCTCTATGAACACAGAGATGGTGTCAAGTCCACTTATACATGACGTTCAAGAAGCACCGCACGCTTCAGTGCACATCAGACCTGCGACCGAGAGTCATCCGCTACCTCTGGAGGCGCAAATTGCAGTAGTGAGTGACGATGTGTCAGAAACGCCGCGGGATGTGCCGGAAGATGTAATGGAAAACGAGCCTCAACCTGAGACCTCACAAGCAGCGCAGCGCGATACATTACAGATGGAACAAGATCTGGAGAGGAGGTTAGCAGCGATGACTGGTGCACCTCAACTAGTTGTTATCAAAGAGGATCCCGAAGATATGAGGCGTGCATCACTTGATTCAGCTTCGTCGTATGGATCTATTGGATTTTCGCACAGCAGCACCAGCTCGAGGTCTTTCCGTAACTTCGAGGGCCATTCACATAAATCAAGTATCTCGACGGCCAGAACGACGAGTACGAGTGAAGATGCTTTTATGCTGACCGCAGGACGTACGAAGCATCCCGGCTCCACACCAGATTCGCCCACCGACCCTTATCTCCAATCCAACAGACTGAGACCAGTCGTTGAAATATCGCTACCGCGGGAAAAAGAAGAGAAAGACGTTGACTCGTATCCATTTGGTGAGCCACAGCCAACCATCCAAGATGTTTTCTTGCCACTGTCGGAGCCAAATCTTGAATCTACGGCACAGCAACCACCATTAACATCACCTGCTTCAAACTACGACGCACTAAAATTTGAGTTTCTCATCTCACCTGAGCACACGCCTTCCGTACCACCTACACCTAGCTCAGAAGCGGACAGTCTTGACTTTCCGTTTGCATCCCGAACGCGGAGGCCATCGACGGCGGGTAGTAGACGAGGAACGTGTCGAGGATGTTCCAAGGACATTCTGACTGGACAGAAGTCGGTCTCGAGCAGAGACGGAAGGTTGACAGGAAGATACCACAAGGAGTGTTTCGTTTGTATGACCTGTAAAGAGGCATTCGCGACAGCAGATTTCTATGTGCTCAACGACCATCCATATTGTGCTCATCATTATCACGAACTTAATGACACTTTGTGTGAAGGTTGCGGATTAGGCATTGAGGGCCATTATTTAGAAACGTCGACCGTTTCTGGAAGTGGCGCGAAGAAGTTTCACCCACAATGTCTGAAATGTGCTACCTGTAAGATCCAGCTTGACGACGACTACTTCGAACATGGCGGACAGGTATATTGCGAGAGAGATGCTTTTCGTGTAATCAGCGGGCCTCGATCACCATATGGTACAGCACCCTCTCGACCGAGTCCACTCAATCGCGAATATATCAGCAGTGCTGAGCCTGGGCAGGGCCTAGCCAGTGGCCGGTTTCCCGAGAGGAGATTGACGAAGCTTATGACAACTACTTGAGTCCCTAATTGTCAGTAGACCACGACTAATAGCTGGACTTTGGTACAATCTCTTCAGTTGTGATTTTAGCGAGCTCATTTGGTATACCCATACTGGGGCAGGGGCGGAAGCATTTTGCGAACTTTGCATGACGGGGTCATGCATATTGCATCCTGTAAGGGTCAGAGGCAATGAGGATAGATGCCGTGATGAAGTAAGAAACTTCTTGGACATATATACGATATTAAGGATTAATGTATAGTCAACTAAGTTGGTAAGCTCTAGTCAAGTCAAGGACAAGATTACTTGTTGCCAATTGCCAATTGCCAATTTGGCGTTATCGAATCCTGCCAACAACACCTGGACCAGGTATGACTGCCAGCATGTAATTGCTGGATATAAAATGTACGTGATTGATGCTGAGAAATTGTGCGATCTGACAGCGCAACTGCTTCTGCTGTGCTGGTCACACGTGCCTCCCTAGTCACGTCCTCGAACTTGGCGCAAGCTCGACCACTGCGACTCGGTGGACCTTAAAAACTCATGCTGCAGGTACCAGCATCGTCTTATTGCGAGGCTGGTCGACGATGCATACTACCGCTTCCACACACTCATACTTCGATATCAATCCCTCTCAACTGAAGGTCCATGTTCAATGACCTGAGCAATTGGACACGGTTGAATGCAGAGTGTGACCACACATCAAGCCGCGATAACGGTGCATATGTGCAGGTACGGGCACTTATATCCCATCGTGTTATCGCCTGCTCTCCAACCTAATGTTGTCCTTCATTGCCTTCAAAGCTAGGCCACGAGAAGCATCTCGTTGCATTGCAGAATTGCGGTCAAGATTCGCTTGATTCGCACGTGAAGATGTTCGTTCGGAAGAGACAGGAATCCAAGATATTGACTAATGAGCTGGCCGACGCTGTTCGGAAAGTGTGAGCGTGGGTACGGTGTGACCTGGCCCCCACCTTCCGCCAATACAAAATCTCTGTCCTGTCCTCACAAAATATGTCGTCCCTCGTTACTTCCAGATTTCGCAAACAGCTAGATTTTATCTCTGCACAGAACTTCCTCCTCAGACAGGATCACACTTTGGTGATCCACCAACACCGCCAAAACGTTCGCCAATCTTCTCTCTTCGTAAGTAAACACCAAGTCCTCAACCATGCAGGCAACCTTACAATCATGAATTGTACTTCAAGGCTCGATGCATTATAAATTGGTCGATATCGGAGTCAGCGTTGTTAACATGTTTTCCTCAATAGGGTCCACAACCCGTTCAACGGTAGCCGACGTTCTGCTGCTCGTGCAGGGTCGTCGGACGCGCCAATCACTCTATAAGTCGATCTTTGACACAAGCATCAAAACAATCTTCTACTCAAGCAATTCAACATGGCTCCTCATGCAGAAGCAGATGCCGGTGGCATGGATGGCTATAGCCTGAATGGGTCGAGTGGACCAACGAGATCTGTCGACCTCTTCACTGTCAATTCTCCCGATGTCACGTACACTGACGCTCATATCAAGAGCAAGTATGTCTATCGAACTACCTCGGTCACAAAGTCCCCAGAGGGCAAATATGTGGCCAAGCCAAAGGAGACCACATATGACTTTCAGGTTGACAGAAAGGTTGGCCGAGTGGGCATGATGTTGGTCGGTTGGGGCGGCAACAATGGTACTACGGTTACCGCTGGCATCCTCGCCAACCGACGTGGCCTTGTGTGGGAAACTAAGGAGGGCAAGCGTGCTGCAAACTATTACGGATCAGTTATGATGGGTTCTACTATCAAGCTTGGTACTGACGAGAGTACTGGTGAAGAGATCAATGTGCCGTTCCAAAGTGTACTACCGATGGTCCACCCCAACGACCTCGTCATTGGTGGTTGGGACATCAGCAGTATGAACGTTGCTGACGCTATGGATCGAGCCAAGGTTCTGGAGCCTTCTCTGAAGCAGCTTGTTCGGAAAGAGATGTCATACATGAAGCCTTTGCCAAGCATATACTATCCCGATTTCATTGCTGCGAATCAGGAAGACCGAGCTGACAACGTACTTCCTGGTAGCAAGGCTTGCTGGGGTCATGTTGAGCAGTTGCGGAAGGACATCAGGTAAGACATTCTTGCATCGTGGATAATTGTAACTAATTTGACGAACAGGACCTTCAAGTCTGACAACTTGCTTGACAAAGTTATTGTCCTCTGGACCGCTAACACTGAACGATACGCTGACATGGTTCCTGGCGTCAATGACACGGCTGACAATCTCCTCAATGCTATCAAGTCTGGTCATGAGGAAATCTCACCTTCTACCATATTCTCTGTGGCATGCACTCTGGAGAACACTCCTTTCATCAACGGCTCCCCTCAGAACACCTTTGTTCCAGGGGCTGTTGAGCTTGCCGAACGTCACAACGCATTCATCGGTGGTGACGACTTCAAGTCAGGCCAGACCAAGATGAAATCTGCCCTGGTCGACTTCCTCATCAATGCCGGCATCAAATTGACCTCAATTGCAAGCTACAATCATCTTGGCAACAACGATGGCAAGAACCTCAGCTCGCAAAAGCAGTTCCGCAGTAAGGAGATATCGAAGTCGAACGTTGTCGATGACATGGTTGCAGCGAATAATGTCCTCTACAAGGACGGCGAACATCCAGATCACTGTGTGGTCATCAAGTACATGCCTGCTGTTGGTGATGATAAGCGTGCGTTGGATGAGTACTACGCCGAAATCTTCATGGGTGGTCACCAAACCATCAGCATCTTCAACGTCTGCGAAGATTCTCTACTTGCCTCACCACTCATTATCGATCTTGTCCTTGTTGCCGAGATGATGACCAGAATTCAGTGGCGTCTTGCTGGTACTGAGCAATACAAAGGGTTCCACAGTGTACTGAGTATCCTCAGTTATATGCTCAAGGCTCCCTTGACACCTCCAGGCACGCCTGTTGTCAACAGCCTCAGCAAGCAGCGAAATGCACTGACTAACCTCTTCCGAGCTTGCGTTGGGTTGCAACCAGAGAGCGACATGACGCTTGAACACAAGCTGTTCTAAGCCACGATGGCACTAACCTGCATCAAATTGCAGTATTTCGTGCCATTTTCAATTCTTGTCTTGCGTCTACTTCGGGCAGTGGTGGCTAGACTGAGCGTTCTGGCAGGATAGATGGCAGCAGACGTGATCCTTTTCGAGTACAAATTTCTGGACAAGCTCCGAAGTCATTCCTTTCGAGGTGAGTACGTATGTCAAATACTGAGCTGGACGGCCAGCTCAATGTTAACATGCATATTCCTACATATACTGTTAGAGAATGAGAACATGTCATTTCCTGACAACCAGTTCAAGCTACTATGATACAGCTTGATATTCGTGGTGCTGTACGGTTCGTGCTTTCCGAGCTCAATTCGGGTCTGCTTCTGTCGATGTCCTGTACAAGCACAACCAATGATATCTCGCATGCTTCGTACATCTGGAATAGCCCGTAGTGCTCACGAGAGCATCAGAAGAGTTCTACCATCCTGACAGCGGGTGTGCTAGATTGTACACTAATCTGCTATATCTTCTGTACCACATCTACCACAGAAGCCGTAAATCGAACAGTAAAGTGTAGTCTTTCAGATGATAGCAACTCATACCACCAGCCGCAACCATTGCAAGTAGCAACAACAAGACTTCATGATATACACTGCTTCCGTCCACTCTCATACCACACCTTATCTCGCCGTACCAATAGCCTTCCTGTGCTCCGCAACACCCAGCTTGTGCAAGGTCTGGGCGCGTCTTCTCTCACCACCAAACACCTTTTTGCCCAAAGGATCTTCCCACATTCCCTCTTTTACCTGCACACGAACCGTGCTCGAGCCACCTCCCGCAACAGGCGTCGCATACGGACCCGCAATGATATGTCCTCTCTTCAAACTATAGTCTTTCGGCTTCTTGAGATCCGCAGTAGATTGACCAGGCTGTAACAATTTCTGAATATTCAACGGGTCGAAATCCTCAGGCACATTCAGCACCAGCTTGGTCTTTCCAGGCGTCCGTGTCACAGATACATATTCCGGACTACCCTCGCTTCCCTGCGTCGTGTTACTCGGCAGCTCAACAACACGTAGCTGCGCCGCGCCGTCTTTGACGAACTTGAAATCACCGCCGACTCCGTACTCGCCATTTCGAAACTTTTGTCTCCATCTCAGGAGGTATCTTCTTGTGCGGGCGGGTTCGACGCCGAGCTCTTTGAGCTCTTCGGAGGAGAGGGTGAATAGTTTGTTCCAGGAGGAGATCTTTGAGGCTTGGGCGCTGAGGCCGCGGCCGATGAGGGTGAGGAAGGTCTTGACGTCGGGGACGAAGGGAGTCGGTTTGGGTATTGATGCGTCTTTGGTTTTGTGTATTGTTCGCTGCTGCTGCTGGTGCTGTTGGTGTAGACAGGGTGCGCAAGTGTAGCGTGAGGTAGGGCCGCTTGATGGTCGTAGTAAGGTCCGCAGTAAGGGTGATGCGGATTTTGTTGTAGACATGTTGAAGTATTGTCGGCAAGCAGTTGCTGAGATGAATGGTATGCTACTAAGACTGGGTTGATGGCTTAGCCAGCAGCTTTCAATGTCGGAATCCGAGTCTGTTGGCTGTGGTCATTACTCGCAGGACTAGGATGTAGGTTCAAAAGCAAGATGACCAAATTTAGTTGCTGCGATAGACCCTCGCGATACCTCGCGTGTATGCTGGCTTCAGCTCAGGAACAATTTGCGGAGTGCAAGAAAGGAAAAGGTCAGTCACGTGATTTTGAACCTGGCTGTCGACGAAGGAAGTAGTTGAACCTCACCATTCCCATCGTTTGGAATTCTAATTCCAGATATCATGTATACGGAGGTGTTATCGTGAGCAAACGTTCCACTGGAATTGAGTCGCATTGAATGCTTATGCTGAATTGAGCATACTGACTTGGCACCTACCCTCGAGGCAGGGTTATCGGCAAACCTTTACCAAACACACGAATTGACACAGCGTTGCAGGAGGTGTATGCTTCGTGCCCATTGAACGCCCGAGATTGACCTCAAACTTGAATCAAAAGCGAGGATTAAAGTGTCTACATCACGATGGCAACTGCTAGAACGGCACCATCACCACTTCCGCCTCACATTCTCTCTCCCCACTCATTGCAACAGAATGGTAAAGCCAGATCACCAATTGGAAGGACCTTACCACTAAGAAAGCCATCTCTCAAGGACGCCACCGCCTCGCCAAAGAGGAAAATACCTGATGAAGCAGCGACGAACAAAACCCTGGACTCTCCACCAACAGCCAAGAGGCGGCGTGTAGAGCCTCCTCCTGAACACGACATGGCAGAGCAGATGAACAGAGACGTCGAAATGAAGTATGTCATAGGCAAGAAGATAGGCGAGGGAACTTATGCCGATGTGCACAAAGCTCATCTCAGAGACGATCCGAATTATCTGGTCGCGGTCAAACGCTTCAAACGAGATGAGATGAAAACGAGAGATGGTATCAATGTCGATACCGTCCGCGAAATCAAGTATACGACAGAACTACGGCATTCAAACATAGTGGTCCTCTACGATATATTTGCCGAACGAGACCAGAGACTATGTATGGTTATTGAATTTGCTTCGGGTGGAAACCTGGAGGAACTCATAAAAGACACCGATGGTATCAGCTATGGCATTGCAGACACAAAGGCATGGATGGGCATGCTCCTCAGGGGAGTTTATTTCTGCCATAGGAATTTCGTGCTGCACCGTGATATCAAGCCAGGGAATTTACTGCTTAATGCTGATGGCAATCTCAAGCTTGCTGATTTTGGGTTAGCGAGATCCTTTGCAGGTCCGGAACAGGTCATGACACATGTGTCAATCACCTTGTGGTATCGACCACCGGAAATGCTGTATGGAGCAACACATTATAGTGGTGCGGTTGACATATGGAGTTGTGGAATGGTGTTTGCTGAACTGCTTCTGCGAAGACCGTTCGCTCCAGCGAACATAGCCGAGGATGAATTCCAGGGAGGTGAGCTCAAGCAACTTGATGTGTTAAACACGGCTCTAGGCTCTGCGACAGAAGAGGTTTGGCCTGGTGTCAGTAAGTTGCCTCTTTACCACGAGCCGCAACCACATTATCCGATAAGAGATAGGCGCTCCTTCCGGGGTATCTTCAAGAACGGCGATGACGTCGGAGTCGACCTCCTGCGCCAGATGCTCACTTATGATCCACGAAAGAGACCTACAGCTCAGGGCTGTTTAGAAGACTCATGGTGGAGCACCGAACCTCGACCGACAGAAGCAGCCTCTTTGCCTAGGAAGAAGAACATAGACGAGAAGGCTATGGGAGATGCGTTAGCAAATCCTGGTAAGGTAGAACCTCAAGTAGACGAGAAGTTCAGAGGCGTGGCCAGGAAGCTGGACTTTGGTGCTCCAAAATAACACAGAATCTTGAGTGTAAAAATTTCCAAGCTTATCCCACAAGTCATAGGCTGACTTGTGTTTCCCTCATTCGGCTGCGAATGACCAATAAAAGGCTGCCTGGGCACGACTCATTGTTATTTTCCAACAGCACTCAATTGTACTGATACTGCCTGTGTACCTCGACTTTGACGGCCGTGCTCAGAATGCTCGAAAGTGTACAAGATAAGAACTGTGCACCTGTGCACGACATGTCGAGCTCAAAGCTGTGAAACAATATCGCTGGCGGTCCTTTTCAAAACGTGTCTCGGCTCGATGCCTACAGCCTTCCAGAAATCGGAGCTATTGAGCACACGACCTAGCTGCTGATGCGACCGAGGAAGTTTTTTCAATTCTTGTTCACGCTTCAGCTCAGCGATCCATTTTGCATATTCAGGTTTGACGCTCTGCTCAGCATTCATCTTCTCAAGCAGCTTGCTCCAAGCCTCGATAAGTTCCCACCAATCATATACCTGCTGGTCAGTAACTATCCATCGCTCACCACCAACAAACTTTTTCTGGTGGTAAGCCAAACAAGCTCTTGCCACATCATCGCCGTGTATGAGATGCAGACTCTTCTTCTCTCGCAGCTTGTCTTTTGTAGGAGCGATCTTCTTGACCCAGTTCCATGGGACACGCTCGTCACCCCAGAGGCCAGCTAGGCAGAGAACAGAGCCTCCGAGCTCACGAAGTTCTTCCTCTGCTATTGCTCTGTCGTTGATCTCGATAGGACTATCCTGGTCTTGGATCTGGAAAGGATTGGTCTCTTTCCAGACACCTGTGCTACCAAGTTGAATCCACTGTGTGTTAATGGCACCAGTGTGTGACTGCTTGTACTTTTCGACGAGTTTCTTGGCCTGACCTCTGCCTTTCAAGGGAAATGTGATGATGATAGTCTGTGCTGTAGGCAGTTGATTATACTGTGCATCTTCCTGGTCTGAGGTGAGGTGTGGGACGTGCGCGAAAGTGGAACTATCTGGGGTTGGTTGAAACGCGAAGGGAATGATTATGGATTCGTCATATTTGCCCTCACACAGTTTGTTTGTCTTGCCTGAGGTAGTGGTTAGACGATATTTCAGGCCTTCAGCTCTAAGATGCGGGACAAGGAATTGTGAGGTCCAGCCTGCGCCTAGGATGAGGATATCAACATAGTCATCTGCAGGAGCCATTGCGGCGAGTAGCCTTCGAGTGTGACAACAGTTCCAGCACGTCGATTACTGCTGCGTTCACTTGATACTGCGGGCAGGCCTGGTTATCAGAGCCTACTCCATTTTATCTCTGTGGTTGTTGCAGGATTTAGATGTGACGCGAATAGAAGCCCCGCGTTTTGAACGCGAAGGCACGTGGTAGCTTACGGGGGTGTTAGATAGAGGATCTTCTATACGTGCTACGTACTGTATGATGTTGGCGATCTACCAATCTGTTGACCTTCCTGTTCTGCCAATATCTCACATCCAAGGTAGCCATCATAGGTCACAGCTTCTCACGTCGCCGTGCATTGGTCCACGGTATGGGAAAGGTTAGCCTCTTTTTGTCACTTTCCGCCTTTTCTGCGACCGTCACCTCATTGTGCAGTGTCTTGCCTTTCTATCACCTCGGTTCTCTCAAGCTCTTACAGAAGTCTTCCTAGTCTCTGCATGTTCTTCTACTCAGCTCTTCGCCTTTGAAACCTATGTCGCGTGAAGGCCGCGGCTGGAGTACAACATCCACATAGCAGTCCGTAGAAAGGACGATCGAGTATAGGCTGGTGTCCAGTAACTGATGTTCGAGGCCCGGGTCGTCTTATTTGCTTCGAAGTTGCCTGCTAGTCCATGCGTGTCCTCAAGCGATTCCCTAACACATCCCGTAACTTTCATTGCCCCATCCCACATCAGTACCCGGTCTTCGCCTCACTTCTGAACCTATACACAACGTCCGCAAAGCCATCCGCCGCGAAACAATAAAGCCACTTTAGATCGCTGTCATTCGGGTTATATACTCCATGCTCGGCGTCGCCTGGGATGAAGACTACGTCTCCTGATCCCACCACTTGGTCCTGACCATTGATCGTGACTATGCCCTTTCCGGATATAATGTGATAGATTTCTGCATGCGTATGCCTGTGAAGTGCCAGACTACCGGTTCTGGGCCCACATGTTGCAATACCGACTGTGAACGTATCCGATCTTGTCGAAGGCGCCGAAAGAAGGGTCTGCCAGGTACAGCTGCCTCTATGAGACTCTGGGAAAGAACTGACAGGAAGACTGTCTATCTGTGATTGCGAGATGATCAGAGGCTCGGAAGAGGAAGTCATGTCAACCCTTGGTGTGTTGGATGAACGTGGAGGAATGTGGTCTTGCCACACCGTTTGCTCAGGAATTGTTTACCTATGCTAATGGTAAGCTTGTCTTGTGAGGTTCCTTTCAGAAGGAGTACGACGTCGCAGTGTATTGTCTTGTTCAAGTACGTCCTTGCTTGAGCTACCATGAAAGGTTGACCTACTAACAACCTGCCTCTGACGTATTTCTCTTGGAGCACTCTTGGGAGGCTCGACACTTCGAGTATACTCCAATTCTATGACGGTAGGTCTTGTCGACGTCGAGCTTCTATCTTGGTTATTAGTCCGAATTTGTGGGCGGTAAACTACGTTGCAAGCCAGTCTCATACAAGCTGATGCGACGCATATTGAAGCTAGCCACATCCAGAATGCTCATGCTACTATAGACAAGCACGCCGAATCTTTCGCCTGGGCACGATGAGATCGGAGTATAACCGTGGATGCTGGTGTTCATGGTGAAATCATAGGAAGTAACCAGCCGAGATTATCACAATGGGCTATTGAGAAGACCTAGTAGCTGAAACATAGTGCGATCGAGATAGATAAGATGATGGTCTGAAGTAGGGACGAGCCATTGCAGATTTAGAACCAGCACCGCGTGTTAGGAAGACAACATAATCCACATCTGAAGAAGAATGCTGAGATTCTTTTTCCTACTCATACGTGTACCGACAAGTTATCAGTGCATGCGCCCTAACAACTTGCACTTGAAAAGCAGAAATACATTGTAAGATGTTATAGCTGAACTAGGAAACAAGGCCGACAGGTGGCTAATCATAGCCTCGTTTCGAGAGCAAGGCTACCACCACTGCGGGCTACCGAAATTATTGTGTCAAGACTCACAATCCTGAGTTGCATAACTACAAAGACTCCCGCAATCCCACAGGTTTTCGAAATCGCATAGTCTTCTATCGAGTACGATACCGCACACAGCGAACACAGAATTCTGGAGCATCGTCAGACCTCCCAGCATGGCTACCAATGGTGATTTGCCCTCGGACGAGGAGTTCTCACGGCCTGGCACCCCAGAAGGAGATGAGAACAACATTTCAGATCCAGAAGAGACGAACGAGGCACCAAGATCCATACTTCGCAACAGCGGTGCTGTTCCAGCATCACAACCAGAACGACCGATATTACCAGAACAACCAGATCCAGAGAACCTGAAGATAGACGAACTCACACCACTTTCCCCAGAGATCATTGCGCGGCAAGCCACGATAAACATTGGCACAATCGGCCATGTGGCTCACGGAAAGTCGACAGTAGTAAAGGCAATTTCTGGGGTACAGACTGTGCGATTCAAGAACGAGCTGGAACGAAATATTACCATCAAGTTGGGATATGCCAACGCGAAAATCTACAGATGTGACAATCCGGAATGTCCAAGGCCTACATGTTATCGAAGTTACAAATCGGAGAAGGAAGTCGACCCTCCGTGTGAAAGAGAGGGATGCAAAGGCACATACAGACTGCTCAGACACTTATCGTAAGGCAATACTGTACCCTCTATTCTGTATCATGCTAACATCTGTGCACAGATTTGTCGATTGCCCTGGCCACGATATTCTCATGAGCACCATGTTGTCAGGTGCTGCAGTCATGGATGCTGCTCTTCTCCTAATTGCAGGCAACGAAACATGCCCACAACCACAGACATCCGAGCACTTGGCAGCCATTGAAATCATGAAACTCCAAAACATCATAATCCTTCAAAACAAAGTCGACTTGATGCGACAACCCGATGCACAGACACACTACGAGTCGATTCTGAAATTCATCAAGGGCACAGTCGCTGACGGGTCTCCAATCATCCCCATATCTGCACAGCTGAAGTACAACATTGACGCTATCAATGAATTCCTCGTCACAAAGATCCCAGTCCCAATACGAGACTTTACAGCAGCACCACACATGATCGTCATTCGATCTTTCGACGTCAACAAGCCCGGTGCTGAAATCGAAGACCTCAAAGGTGGCGTGGCAGGCGGTTCCATCCTAACAGGTGTTCTCAAACTCGGCGACGAAATCGAGATCCGACCAGGTATCATTTCCAAAGACTCCGCCGGCGCCACTATCTGCAGACCCATCATGTCCCGAGTCGTCACCCTCTTCGCAGAACACAACGACCTCAAGTTCGCTGTGCCAGGTGGTCTAATCGGTGTTGGCACCCGCGTCGACCCAACCCTCTGCCGAGCCGATCGTCTCGTCGGTCAAGTCCTCGGCCATAAAGGCAAGCTCCCCGAGATCTACATCGAACTCGAAGTCAACTACTTCCTCCTCCGAAGACTGCTAGGTGTCAAGACCACAGACGGCAAACCCAACAAAGTCGCCAAGCTGACGAAGAACGAGGTGCTCATGGTGAATATTGGTTCTACAGCTACTGGTGCAAAGGTCATGGGTGTACGGGCCGACGCTGCGAAGTTGGCTTTGACAACTCCTGCGTGCACGGCTATTGGAGAGAAGGTGGCACTGTCGAGAAGAATCGAGAAGCACTGGCGGTTGATTGGTTGGGCTCACATTGTGGCTGGAAACACGGTTGAGCCTGAGGCTTCTTAGGAGGGAGCCTCGAGCATCGATCATGTTAATGTCTACAACGGGGAATATGCGCGACGAGAACAAGAAGAGCACGACCAAGATGCGATATTGCACTGAAGATTCTAGAGGTCATTTGCAAAGGTGTCTTGCTGAGTGTCGTACTACGACAAGTGCAGACGAGACTGCAGTCAGATATCAAATGATATGTGCTTAGTTATCGTGCCTAATTGTCTTGGCTGTTCGTGTAAAATGCTATGCTCGCTAAATTTCCCAAATCTATATGCAAGAAGATGTCTTTTGCTCAAATTTCGTGAAGTCCTTGGTCATAATTGAGCTCTCCAGCTCACCTCACCGGCTCGATCGATGTTCCTCCACCAACCTTTTTGCACTTTCTCCCACCCCATCATAACGCCCAATATCCGACAACCACGACTACTCGCCGTACAAACCAGTCTGTCACTCTGCGCCAGGACCGCCAGGTCCAGTAAATAGGACCTCCCAATGTGATTACGCAGGCGCAATGATGCTGCGGTCGGGTTGGACCGGTAGTCTCTGTGCGGGTCGTACTCTTCTCCATTCGCCGCAGAAATGCCAAGGACACGCTGCTCGTATTTGGTGTCCTTCGTAGGCGATGGCGATTCTGCGAGATTGAATTGCTGAGTTCGTGCCTGTCGAGGAAGGCCTAGACCCCAGAATGCTGAGCTGTAGAAGCCTCGTTCCCAGCCTTCGTTGAGTGGGTTTGAGAGTTGGTTGTTGTGGGCTAGATCGATACGTTCTTGGGCACGGATGGTTGAGTTCTGGAGTTCTGGGTCGTGGTATACAGCTTCGTCGTCGCTCGCTAGGACGAAGATCAGTTTCCGGCTGTGCTTTGGCTGCTCGAGAGTAGTGAGAGAAAAGGAGCTCGTGTCGCTGACAAGCTCGGTCAGAGCCTCGAGGTATTTTGCGAACGGAACGTATCCCCATTGGTATTGAAATTCTTCTGGGTGCTTGTCTCCTCTTCTGATGTGCATGCCTGCTAATAGCGTCTCTTCTCCAAGGATTGTCCTGAGCTCCGTCACACGTTGGGCAACATATAATTGGTCATCTGGTAGTAGCTTGAAAAGTCCTTCGTAACCGACTCGCATTAATTCGAAGACTTCCTTATCATTGAACTTCTTATGAAATGTGTTTCCAAAAGTCGAGCTCCAAGTGCTAGCAGTCACAACCAGGTGTTGGCTCATTCTCGGACACGGCACACGATGGGTTGGGGGAGCAGGTCGGCAGTTCGGTCGTGAAGGTGGCTCAAAGAGACTTGAGTATCGGCCATACGCAAAATGACTATCGTCGATGAAGAACGACCTCTTTTCTCGTTGAGCCAGACCATAGGAGAGCCAGAGGCCAAGTAAGCTGCCACCCAAGCCAGCATCGCTGGCATCGAGGATGTAGATCAGGCTGGACTTACAGACTGGAAGCTGACCAGGTTTCGTGGGTACGAAGTTTGGGTCGAACGGGATCAAGTCGTTCAGTTGAGCTTCTGCGACATCAACATAATTTGGATCTGCGTCGTAGTAGCCTCGTTTGCTATTGGCATCCTCTTCTTGACCTTGAGCAATAGCCACATGGCGAGCGACATCGTCAATATGACTACAGATTTCTGAGTATTCTTGCGACTGGAGAGGGAAACCACGGTTCGAAGGAATGTGGATGGTCCATCTCGAGGAGCCACTACTATCTGTCACTGCAAGCGGTGAAGCATAGTCAGGTAGCTGAGAGTCTTCCACAATTTCATATGCATGACCATTAGTGTGTTGGTAGACTTTCTCTAGAGCATCACTGGGTAGATTGACTCGTAAGCTGCGAATAAAAAGGACAAGGTAAATCGTCGTCGTCACGATGAAGAGCCAGCTGATGTATCGTAAGGTCCGGCGGGTGTTGAGGGCTGGCGGTTTCTTGCCATGTCGAGGCAAGATAGATGGAAGAGCTGGAGAGGGTAATGGACTATGCAAAAGGAATTCCTTCAATGCTGCAGTGTTTCTGGATTGGGTTGGGACTTGCAATTGTTTCGGTGGGCTTGCTCGGCTTGCTAGTAGCATTCTTCTTTCAGGCATACAGATAAAGTGTGTACAAAGTTCTGAGTAGAAGGAATGTGATCGTAGGGCTTCTAGCCTATTCGTCTGTGTCGTAATATTCGTTTCTCGTGAGCGTTTCTATCTGATGTCGTGTGGGAAATGTTCGATTGTGCAGCGATGAAAAGAACAGATTGAGAGCACCAGGCCCGCGATCTTCCGAAATGAGAGACAAAGACACGAATGCTGTGTAACAGAGTCAGATCTCCGGCAGCAGTTTGTTGAGGCCGGGTGAACGTAGGGCCTAGTCAAGAATGTCCAGCATTAAAACAGGCAAAATGTGCAGGATGAAGATAGTCCGTAGCAAAAACGAAAGAGCATATCAAGGGTACATAGAGAGCAATGCCGAGCAACACCAGAAAAGATCACTGATCAACAGGATTACGAAAGACGCTGGAACTTCGAGAACTGCTTGCTGGCGGATACAGACCGATGACTCAAACGATAGCTAGACCAATCAGTACATATCGGTCCTGACAGATGGAGTCAAGACCACAGCCATCTGACATGGTGAGTCTCGCGTATACCCTTGACCGGGGTGATACCCTTCATATCGTCGGCTCACTCCTAGAAGCGGTAAGCAGATCGTGGATATCTGTGCTTATCTTGGCTAACTCTGGTCAAGTCGCACACAAGGTAGAGCGTCTTCATAACAAATAGTTGTGCAGTACTAAAGCACAACAGGTTGCGAGATGTGACTGAAAGGAGATCGTGAGACAAAGTGGACTTTGGAATAGCCGTCTCCCGTCGGCCAGCCTACCTATTCGCTGCCATTCGAAGCTTTCCACATTTCTGAAACACGGACCTCCCCAGTTGTTCTGGCCACTATCAGATGATGCCAAGCTTACGGCATCCTGGCCGCATTTGCTAAGGTGTGTACTTTACGGACCAGCAGAATCCACTACCACGTGGCTTAGGGCAGAAACACAATGCGCAGAAGGGTACCATTTCAAGAAGCTGCTTCTGCGGCGTAGCGATGGAAAGATGTCCTGGAGGTTAACCAAGAACAGGTATCTGTTCAGAGCATCAACATTGAAAAATGCAACTATCTCTTTATTCGTAGAGATTGATCTTTCGGACCATGGACGCCAGTGCATGGAACAAGACGACTTCGGGTCATTACACTACCACTCTACGCTTTTCAGCTTGAAGATGTTTTGCAAAGACATCGTATTAGCAACATCATCGTCTGGCTCCCTGGGCTTCGAGTTGCCTCGCTCATCCCTTTTATCCATTTTCCTATCAAATGAAGATGCCTGTACGGCATGTCGTCAGATATTAAGCAGAAGCAAATCAAAAGTCTAATGAATGTCCGATCTTCTGCTCCAAGCGCCTCCAATCAGCCGTGAGCTCCGTGCTAGTCTGACAAGGCATGGGGAATGCAGAAGAGGTATAAGGTATAGATAGTGGTCGTAACAGTCGTGAGATCTGGTTTCGTGGCGTGGTTGAGGTCGCTGCCTCGGGGCAGATTGTGTAATTGTTCCGGGGTAGCTTTTCTAGCTGATCTTCATGTGCTTGAGGCTGACTCTCTGGTTGAGTTTGGACCTGCGAATGATGACGCGGCAGCATTGAGTGGTGGGACGTTTGCCGTGTACACACTGGAGGATCGCCTAACGTGTCTTTGCCCACGCTGGGCAGGCATAGATTTTGCTGGTACTCTTACAGACCCCGATCTACCTTTGACAAGGTGACCACTTTCGACCTTGTCCTGGATCATTTCATCGAGCATCTTTGACATCTCGTCCACTGATTCACGTTTCTTGTCACCTGCCTTCTGTGGAGAGAGTAGGCTTAGTGGACTGACTCCGGTCGAGGTCAATTTTGTCTGTTCCTGCGCATTAGACGAGGAAACCGGCCCACCCGAGTCTCCGTCAGTCTGAAATTGTGTACCCTTCTTAGCCCTAACTTCGGCAGCTGTGCTCTCTGGACTTTTGTCGGCCACAGATCGTTGTCGCACGGCAGATCGGAGGGCAGTTACTGTCTTCTGGAGGTCAGCAATGACGGCGTCCTTTTCGTCCAGCTGCTTTTGCACATCCAGGTCTTCCTGTCCTGTGCGGCTGAATCCGAGTGACGTCCGTGAATGACTAGATCGTCGTGCCTGCAAAAGTCGTTTCTCCAGGGTGGCAACATATCGATTCTTATCCTGAAGATCTGCCTGAAGGGCTCGATTTTGAGCCTGCAACGAGGCCATACCGTCTCCGAAATCTGCCACATCATCGTCTTCATCAGCGAGCAATGGAAGGTTCGGCATGCCACCACCAATAGAAGTCATCGATGGATGGCGGCTGACTGAAGGCCCAAACGTGCCCAGCGTAGAGTGACTGGCAGATGACCTGACTGATCTCGACGGTCCTATATCGCCTACGGTTCCAGTTGACAACCGCCCATGCATACCAAGTGCTGATGTCATGCCAGAGTTTACGCCTGTCGATTTCGAGCACAAGATCAACCGGTTCAAATGCTCAATGCGCTCTTTAAGGGCTGTACGGGCGAGTTGCATTTCGAGCATTTGCTCTTCATGACGAGTGGCTGCATCACGCTCAATCTGCACTTCTTCGAACTTGTCCTCTTTACTGTCCGTCGACTTCTTTTGAACCTCGAGCTGAGTACGTAGGTTGGCTATTTCAGCCCGATAGCGCTCCAAGAGACCAGCATTTACCCCTGACCCTACCTCTTCCACAGCTTTCTTGGCATGGCTGACAATGTTATTCTTCGCTCTAGCAGCGAATTTCAGGGTATTGAGTGTTTCCATGGTATGGGTGGTAGTAGTGGCGGAAGGACCTCCGTTTCCAATCTGAATCGTGCAAAGGATGGATACAAGAGAGGTGCCTGAGAGTGCAGGTTGCAACAACCGAGTCAGCTTGCTGTCTCTATAGGGGAGGTGCCGACCATCCTTGTCAATCAAGTTGCCGTTTTTATCTTTGGTTGCTGATAACTTCGAGATAACCGTTCCCAGCGTAAGCAAGGATTTGTTGATATGAGCACCCTCCTTTTGACGCTCCTTGTCGTCGGCTGCACGTTCCGAGCCAGCCAGATCGATCAAACTCAAAGTTGAGACTCGAACGCCGCTAGGGAGCATGGCCACTCGTTTGCTCTCTTGAGACATTCCACTTGCCACACGCTCCCTGCTCTCGACAACAATCTGAACGACGGCATGACTTCGCGAACTTCTTGCGTTCCACTGAGTACTACCAGTGCGACGTGCTAGATCGCCTCGATGAATGACACGGAGTAGTTGTGTAGGACTCTGAACAATCTCTTCTTTAAGTGGTGAAGCATAAACACCTCGGCGACTGTCTTCGCGAAGTTTGATCTCTTCTTGTGGCGCGGCAGTCCCAGACACAGGGCCAGCTAACAGATCGTGAATTCTTTCGTTGTAAATTTCGAGATAGCTAACTCTGAGCAAGAACTCGCGATGTGGTGTTTCGCGAATATAGGAGAAGATGTCAGTAATGGCTAGGGGAATTACGCCCGGACTGGACATAGTGCCTTGCATAGAAAACGTCTTTCCAGTGCCAGTCATGCCGTATGCGAAGACAGTCCCGTGATAACCCTCCATGACCCTACGCACGAGTCGTTTGGCAGCCGCATCGTAGACCTTGGCGTTGTCGTCGTAGGTTCCAAAGACATTGTCATAGAGATAATCACCACCTTCCTTGCCACGGTATGCAATCAGTGAACGCCTTCCATCGACCATCCACTCTCCCTCTTCAGCGGCAGCAGCGTCGGGAGTGCTAGTATCTGGCCTGACACGGACACTCACGATCACGTTGCCTTTATGCTCCTTCCCTTTAGTAAGTCTCGGACTGGGCAAAGCTTCTAAGATATCTCTTGTTCGACCCCGATCATCATCGCCTTCTTCAAGCGTCGTGGCGCTGGTCGAATAAGAGCCATTTGCAGATGAACTTCGACTCTGAGGTGGAGAAGGCACACTACTATGTCCATCTGAGGCTCGTTTGCTGGTGGCTAGGGGGACGGTTGGCGAGACACCACCGTTGAGGAGAGAAGGGACCTCGGACAAATGATACAAACTCGAGGCGTCGCTGAATCTAGAGGATTTCCTCAGATTGGAAGTGGTAGAAGTGCTCGTTCGACTTGCATCCGAGGCACGTTTTCGAGGCGAAGTAGGCGACGCCAACGACTGCGCAGTGGAGGGACGGGAGGCAGCATTTGGAGGCTGGGGGAATTGGCCAATACTGACTGTCTTGCGGACAGTCTGAGGTGTTGGCAAGCCCGTCTTCTGCTTCGTGGTGGGCACTTCAGGAGTCGAGCACACTGCACGGCTGTTGGGTATTGCAGATGGACGCGACGCTGTTTTCAGCCTCGACGGGGTTTGTGGCAGACTCTTTTTAGCGAACCGCGACTGAGGAATAGCAGGAAGAGGTGAGGTTGGTGGGTCGGCAGCGGGCCGTGAAAGAACGGGCAGAGACATGTCGTCTCAGCAAGCAGCCTGCGTCGCCGCCAGTGTCGTGAATTTGCTCACGCTACCATCAGCAGAAGCAATGCTTTCTCGGCAAGCTCATGCACACTTGCAGCTGATGACTGATCTTAACTTCGAGTGCTTTCCAAGGGAGAACAGGGGTGTCTCCGCTCCTTCCCAACGCGATATCGTGAACAGAGAGTGACCGAAGGAGTGACTATGGACGTAGGATAGTCGTCTGGAAAGTGCTGCAGCTTGCCGTATTCACCTTCCGATCAACAACTGTAGTTGGGGTATCTCTTGGTTGTGTTTGATAGTATGCCACGTGTGTTTTGGCTCTTGCATATGCGATTCAGAGAGTGATTCAAGTTTGAATTGAATGTATGTGGGCAACGACTGACGAAACACTTTGCAAACTCAGATGATGCACAAGGTACTATGCTCGACGAATGTAGAATCGTGCAAACTCGACGATTCGGGGATTTTTCGTCGACAGCGCCTGGGTTCTCGCCCTCTTCGTCGTATTGACAGAAGCAGGTAGCGCACCACGCAAGTCTCTTCTCGGGGCACAGCGAGCTGGAGACAGTGAAGTCCCCTTTGCTTGTTGGTCTCTGGTGCGCGGCCCAGGAACCAAGTGGGCACTCTCGACGAACTTCGAGCTCGACGCACGGATCATGCTCCAGCAGTTTGTTCGTGGTGCTGGGTGGATTGCTCTTAGTGCTTGATCACATCCTAAGCTAACCTCTTTGCGCCTGGGAGGGATGCAGGCACGCCTTAAGTGTTCGACCGTCATGCATTAGCGCGTTCTTATGTTGCAAAGTGTCAAGCTGTTTCAACTCAATTCGCTAAATCTACCAGCAAGTATTGGCCTTCGTCACCGTTTACTGGCCGCTTAAGCTTCATGCAAGGCTTCACACTGCAACTCCGCAGCCAGACCGATTGGACCAAGAGCACGAACTGTGATTACTGTGATATGCACAATTTCGTTGATCGTCAACAAGGGACTTGCTGTGAGCAACGATCCAGCATCGAACATTGCTCGGCATCAACACCTCTGTGACTGTATGCTCGTGCTGGGCAATTTTATATCCTAGATCCTTGCTTCACAATTCACTTTTTCGCTTCGCGGCCAAAATGCTCCGGTACCATCGTTCCCTGCAGATCCACCACTGGACGAAGTGACATTTTCTACAGTACACAGAGTCTGACATTCAATCACAGTACTCTCGTCGCCGCCGGGACATGCTCCTATCAGCCCAGAAAACACCGTTCACATAAGTAGTGCCGGGCGCACGGTACCCAAAATTTTAGGGCTGGTCTCGAGAACTTCCAGCCACCATTTTCGCGGGCACAGAGTTCGCTCAGAAATGCTGGTGGGGTAGCCAGGACTTTGTCAATTTCTTCTCGTTAAGAATTTTATCCGCAATGCCGCGGTCCTCCACTCAAATGAGTGGTTCCCCACTACTATCCTGATCGTCGGGCGTGTTTTCAAAGCAAATTACGCTGTGCTATCGCTCGGTTGTGCTCGTACAGTATCTTTCCGCACTACATCGCAGTGCAATACTTAAGACGTTTCAGAGTCGAGCACGAATGCAAGATTACTCGTATCGTCTGCTTGAGTCTGAATGCTGATCATTTGCAGTCGAGAACGCTGCTCCTCTTGTCGGTACCTAGTCTACTCCTGTATCGATTCGAAACACGAGTGGTAGCTCTCATTATCGTGTACGAGCAGTACGAGTAGCCACGTCGAGAACCAAATCGATGTCACCTTCCAACATAGCTCGATGTGTTGGGTTTTTTGGCATTCCGTGCTATCTACCACATTGCATCCCAATATTGGACCACGATAATTGTGTTGATCCCATGAGCATCATGCTTTACCAATACCACTTTCTAAGTTCGGAGATTTTCCCTGGCTATCGAACCGGCTCAACTCCCTTTGGGTGGTCCGCACTAGCTGAATTCTAGCTCATAACTCTGATTATCGAGCCCACAATCAACTATATAAAACTCGTCAGTATTAAACTTCGTCAGCCACCAAAACTGTTCAAGCTAACAAAAACCAGACAGATCAGTGCGAAGTTTATTTTCTTTTTTGGGTCCCGACTCGGTTTGAGTTACGGTAGATTGAAATTGACAAGCTAAGGATTATTGTCGTTAGCCAGATCGAAAACTATCTCGACGCATGAAACACCAGTCACATGGTGCACGGCTGACCTACACATTACTGGAGAATCAAATTCCAAGCCAGAAAATCAATCACGACTGCCTGTTACATAACACAAACAATAGATACATTCTCTAACGAGATGCGACAATGAGATGATGCCTCAAGCGGGACGGCGAGAACATCTTTGGACGATTCCAACGTTCCCACCAGGGAAAAACTTTCGGTCCTGAAGTCACATTCACCACTGCGAGACCGGAAGATTTATTTGATCATCGCGTGCACTCCAAGCTCGTATAGATGGCCTCAATGACGAAGTTGTGCCTCCTGTCCAGGAATTGATGGAGAACTCTTGCAGAGTGGATTGTAGACCTTGCGATATGCTGGTTGACTACAGTACAGCTGACAACGAGCGCGGCCGAAGGACGCTGTATCGGACGCGGCGCTGTCGACATACGCGCTGACATCGCCTTCCCTTTGTGTACGCCAAGTAAAGAGCGTGCGCTTTCGCTGCATCTCATGCTCGAGCCGAAATGTCGGTTGCATAAGATAGGCCTACATGTTCTATGCTAGCAACTACAAGGCATAACGAAGATCCTGAACCTGAAAATGAAACGCGTGAGGCGATCTGGAAGATATCGTGTTCGTGAAATGTCTTCGATCGATATACAGGATTCGACGTGTAAGCCCAAAACCCATCACTATATACACTTCTAGATTCGTACCCATCATGACACGCAAATATGCGACAAGATCCTTACATCTCCTTCACTGGTCAACCGTCCGATTGACTCTGGTTTCTCTGTTTCGCTCGCTCCAAAGCAGAGTTGATTCTAACATGATGATCTTTGTCGCCTCCAATAAAATCCCTGATATCCTTGATGTAGCTGAAAATCTCACCTGGACCTCTTTGGACGCTGCTCAATCGTCCTTCAGCCTCGTCCTTCAGTTTTTGATCCTCTTTGACTTTCTCATTATACAGCTTCTCAAACTCTTTTTTATCAGCATCTGCAATCGTAGCTTCAGCAAGAAACATGGCAAAATCTGCCTCGTTTAGTGTCTTGTCTGCATGTGAGGACAGTCTGATAAGTTCCTTCGAATCTTGGTCAACCATGGCTACAGCATCGTGCAGTAGATCGACAGTCTCCTTGATGCCTCCTTGGCCATATAATAGATGGTCTCGATCTTGACCAGGAGGACCATTACTCTTAGATCCGAGCACGATATCTCGAAGTAAGGATGCCTTGTCAGATACCTCGTCGATCCATTCCTGATTTTCAGCAAGACCCCTTACTACAGCGCGATCGAAACTATCCATGAGCCTGTTCGCTCGCTCATCACGCTTCCGGGCCTCCGACAGGACTTGCATTGCCTGTGCCCTGTCAAAGTCCTTCTCGAGCTTCTTCACTCCTGCTGTATCACCATTGGTGTAGAGTATCGTCAGCTCGAGCCTTTTACGCCTCCTTTCTCGCTCAAAATGTGCTTCAGCAACCTTTTTCTGTCGTATCTCGATCTTATCGAATATCTGCAGCATAGTTGACATTGCATCAGTCAGACTGGCCTTCACCATCGCATTGTTGAAACCTTTCAAGTTTTCGCGAATGATACCTGATGCACTCTGTGCCTCAAGATCGAGTATGTCCAGTACCTTGACTCGAAGTGTTTCAAGTTCTGCGAGTTCTTTCTCCAATCTATTTGTGACCGTTTCGAACACAGCATGTGTGAAGCTCTCTAACTCATCCTGATCTTCTTGGTATTTCCGGCCAGCTTCTTCGACCTTGAAGTCCTCCTCAAGGTCAGCTATATCAGCGTAACCTATCTCGTTGTCATGGAAAAGTTCATCGATTCTGGACTGACTCTCGGACTCCCGCCCTGCTCGTTCCTTGTCTAATTGCGCCCTGTGTTTGCGGTTGTCCTTGTCCCAGCTGACAACAGTACCATGAATGAAGCCGAAATCATCCGTGATGACAGAAATTGCAGTATTGATGGGGGCCATCCTTGCATGGTCCTGTATCGCCGTGCTTAGCTGGGACACGTCAGTTGGTAGAAGTTGTCGAAGCGATTCGAAACTTTTGACCATCGGTGGCAACGACTGTTTTCGCTTCAGAGGAGTACCAATTCTCAAAGGCCCAGGCGCATCCGATATTGGAGCGGTCTGTGGCCGTCTGATAGCTTTGCTCTGTTGTCGAAGCAGGCCGATGAACGCTTCTTCCTGCTGTTGGCGAGCTCGTGATGGTGTTGCACTTTGTGTACGGTCTGGAGCCGTTATGGCTAACAGCGGGCCTTCTTGTGACAGCAGGCGTCCTGAGTCCAATGCCTGATCTTGTCGAAGCTTTGTATACGCTTGGTTCACAGGGTTTGTGGGGCCTATTGTTAACGAAGCAGGTTGAGAAGTATCAGCATACCTGAAAGGTGTGTAGGCAGGGCGTGGAGGCTGAAAGTGGATGGGTGCCTGGATTGTGGGAGCGCTCGCTCTGGAAACAGGGTTTGCAATTTCAGGAAGCTCAGAATATGCTGGGCTTACAGAAGGAGCGCGATTAGCATTAATTGAGGAAAAGTCAGGCGTCTCGTAGTCATCAAGCGTCATAGGCGCGTTACTTCCAGGCGAAGGAGGCTGGGTTGTCTTTGGCACAGGACTGGATGATTTAGGTAGAGCTGTTTGAAGAACAGGGGTTGCTGATCTGAGTTGAGCGGGTGTCCTTGTTGGTAGAGGAACCTTTGGTCGACCACCAGGACTGTACTCTGCATCATCACCATTTGCATCCACTACCACAAAACCATCGTCACGCAGAGCCTGTGATGCGTCTGGCTGTGTATCGATCTGTGGTGGTTTGATACTTGTGGTGTGGTCGTCGATTGATGGTCTTTTGATATCTCGTGCTTGTCTCGATACACCCTTGGCCTCTTCTTCCTTGACCTTCTCAGCTGTTCTTCTAAGCTCTGCAAGTTCACTGGAACGAACAAGTTCTGCGGGCTCAGCGTTGAAAAGAACACTCCGAAGCTTCACCTCTCTATTCACAAAGTCGACGACTATTTTCATCTTCTCCTGCTCTTTTTGGGTAGCCATCTCCTGTCGCAGCATAGTAGCATAGCGGTTCAGACTGGTGCGGTATTCGTTCTTCAAATCTTCATACGGATCAACTTCTCTTGTCTCGATCTTGGTTTCTACCTTTGTCTCCAACCTCACGACAGGAGGAAAGTCAGTCTGCGTTTGGATACTTGACACTTCTCGTGGGGATGGGGGTTGAGGTCGTTCTCGAGCAGCCACTACTTGGTTCGGAACCACATTGCTTGTCGAGGTCATCCAAGCGTTCATGACACTATCGATGGTACCTGATCTGGCAGGTGTGCCAGTGGAGGTCGTAGTAGTCGCATCACTGTCCGGTCGCGGACGTTCTGTCAAAGGACCATGATGAGAGGCTGGCGACTCCAATGGTGACCCGATCTGTTGATAGGCATTTTGCGACGACGGTCTAGGAATATCTGCAGCAGATTGCAGGCCCTGTCCATAGCTCTGAGGGCTTCCCCGAATTGGAATCACATGAGCTTGCTCAGGTGTGACAGTGAAGGAGTGCGGATCATGAGGAGCGTATGTGGCTGGATGCAGTTGAGATACAGAGTGCCTTTTTGGAAAATCATCGAAAAACTCGCCAGCACCAGGGTAGTGCTGCCAATCAGAAGGGCCGCCTGAACCGAGGGCGGAGGGACCAGTCGTTGGTATAGAGGATGAGTGGTACCGTCCATGAGATTGTGCGGGAGGAGGTGGATGTGATGAGGTACCATAAGCTTGTTGTGTTGGAGGAGTAGTGTATGGTACCTGCCAGCTCTGATGCTGATGCTGCTGCTGCTGCTCTATAGGTGACACTGGGGCATCGTAGATATCGTGCGATTGCTGCCAGGCTGGAGCTGAGGGTCGATTTGGCGTGTATTGAGGGTTCGAAGGCTCGTAGTGATGCGAGGCCGGACGTTGAGAATATTGCTCGTGAGGGTAGTATTGGTTCTGACCAGCAAGTGGCTGTTGCTGTGGTATAGCGTACTGAGGGGGTCTGGGCGGAGGTACTGGAGGGGCTGGCTGCTGTGGTTGGCTGGTCCAACCTGTCTGCTGTCCAGCCTGAGCACTTGGTGGGCGATGAGGTAGAGCTGGTCTTAGCGCATTGTCCAGACCTGGATCAAGGTACTGGTTGTGGTTGTATTTGACACCCCATAAGGAGGTATCATACTGAGTCGCATTACTTTGTGCTGCGTTCGGGAATCCGCCTGGCGGAGGTGGAGGAGGTGGTGGTAATGGTGGCTGTCCTGGTCCATGGTTGTATCCTTGAGGACCAGGAAACGGCGAGGATGGGGAAGGAGCAACTGGCGAAGACAAGCGCGGATCGCCCCATCCTACCTTACGCGGTGGTGCCTGCCAGTGCGGTTGAGGGGGCCCGGGCGTGTGCTGAGAGAAGTTGTAGTGTGCATGCTGACTATTGCTCGAATTCATTGTCGCGCGCTATCGTCTTCGAAGGCTTTCGTGGTCCGAAAAGACGTACATATCAGTTGATGAGGCAAATGCATTGCTGACTTGCGATAACTTCGATATAATGACTGCAAGACACGCTCTGCGCCCAGCTGCCGTGTCTCGTTAACAGGCTGCAGGGACCGATTGCATGCTCTCCACGCCCCGCCATGATCCGTCCCAGTGCTATTTTGGGCTTTTAGGTTCGGCTAGGTCATGATCTACATATGTTCTTCCCGGAGAGCTTCCCAATCAGTATAGACATCTGACACCTCATCTAATTAGGGCTATCTGTCGTCTCTCAAGTGCAAGATGAGCTCGAGACGCGATGCAGACCTAGCCAATGTGCTTTGAGCAGTTTTGCAAAGGACGCATGGCTATTTGTGTGCAACATCTGCTGTGACTATTCTTGACTCAAATCTATAACAACTCGTCCCTGCAACTGCATCTTGTCCATCCTCTCGAAGACGTCGGTCAACTTCGACATGGGCTCGACTGTGAAGTGAGTCTTGACTATTCCTCGTGCCGCCATGTGCATTGTCTCTATCGCGTCCTTGCGATTGCCAACAGCACTGCCAACGATGCGCTTCTCCTGCACAAGCATAGAACCTGGATCGGCACCTGCGATAGGTACTGGCTCACCCTCAGGAACACCAACACAGACCAAAGTTCCACCAAAGCGCAACATCTGCAAGGCTTGACCGTATGCTGCATTCGATGCTGTACAGACAACCACACCGGCCGCGCCGAGTCCGTCACTGGAGGCCGCCTTGACGTCTTCCACAAGCTTGGCAGTTCCCTCCTTGTCTCTGCTGTACTTGCTGATGTCGAAGAATGCCTCGGCCCCAAGCCCTCGTACAAACTGTTCCTTTTCGCCAGAGTCGATGCCCTGCCCAGGTCAGTAGGAGATATGTGGATCATGGCAAAGTACTCACAATCATGCGGAATCCCATTCCATTTCCAATTTGAATAGCTAAATGTCCAAGACCACCACCCGCTCCAGGAATCACAATCGTATCACCCTGGAATGTTATTAGCTCGGCATGGTCCCGCATGCTGGTCTACTTACTGGTTGTGCACTCGTCTTTTTCAAACCTGCATAGACCGTCACACCTCCACATAACAGGGGAGCTGCAAGATCGCTTGGAACACCATCAGGTATTGGGGTGACATAGTGTGCTGGTCCCAGAGCATATTGCTGAAAAGTGCCCGGTGTGAAATATCCACTGATCTTTCCACTCAAACAACAGGCATCTTTTCCTGCCAAGCAAGGCATGCAATTACCGCAAGTGCCAGCCATCCATTTGATACCAACACGGTCACCAATCTTGACGCCCGTGTTCTCAGCCCCCGGGCCCAGGGCGACGACCTTGCCCACGCCTTCGTGGCCTCCCACTTGACCTGCTTGAGTAGGAGCTGGTAACCACGTCCACCTGTTGCACATGACAGCCTGGTCGCTGTGGCATACGCCCGAGTGTGTGAGGTTGATAAGAACCTCGCCGACACCTGGCTTTGGCGTCTCGATCGTTTCGATTTTGGTGGAGATCTCGCCGGGCTTGTCGTAGACGATAGCCTTGTGATGTGTTGGAACCTCGACAGAACCCATAGTTGCTGTGGTATGTGATTGAAACGTTACTAGAGACTGTGAATAGTTGCAAGTCGTTCGAGCTGCACGCAAACACGAACAGATGAGGTAGCTGGGCCCAGCTCTGCAACTTCACCTCTTTATACGTGAGCTGCCTGCGCACTCCAATCCCGAGGGGTTGTCATGCCTAGGCATGTCTATGCTCATGTATTGCTTGCGGGGCAAGGTAGGGTTTCACACGTGGCCTGTGTACAATTTGGGGAAGTGAAGCCAGTTTGAGAAGTCAGATCCGATGCGGCTGGTATTACTGCATACCTGAGTCGGTCTGTTTCGATAACTTCCCCTCATGTACTGATACCGCAAACCTGTCGTGCATGCAACACAAGCCCAGCTGTTGAGGATCCTCATAGCGAGCCTAGGATTGTCATTCGCGGACCTGGCCAGCGGGCCGAGGTTAATTTGTTGCTCTGCCATAGCAGGCCTCTTGAGAGATGCAGCTTTGCGGAGAGAAAGGAAGTAAGATCTGCCAAAAGAAACATTTTATTCAATGCTGAAAGTTTGAATCTTTTCGCAGCCACATTGACGCAAGCACTGATCTGCCGACGTGCTAGCCCGGTTGAGCAATTGGTATTGTCAACTTTTATTTGAACTTCGCTGGACAACATCGACGAGTCAACGACAATGATCAACTGCTATGCATTTCTTGTCCGGGTAAGTCCAACTAGTCGTTGATGTGATCCCAAGCAATTCAAATTACGACTTGTGACGGCCAATGATATGGTTGCACCCACGCTGGTGGGTGTAGCACAAGCGACGTCGTCGTGGTTCTTGTCCTACCAACTCGCTTCTGTCTCAACCTGCCTTGTCGCGCTCGTCTCTGAATCTGAATCTGAATCTTACAACACCTCTCCTTTGCATTTCAGTCCTGTTCTTTTCTCCGAAGTGCTCGAAGCTCCTTCGACTGTCTGCACTTCAATTAAATCCCTGACTGGTTATGGCTCAGTTCGATGACCTTTAGGCACGGCCCAGATGGACGGTCGCAGCTTCACTCGCTCTGTCTAACCTCGAGAAAGTATCATCACATTGCAACACCTCATCTGTACCGTTTCGTCAACGCTCCCCCTAACTTGCTATCACTTGTCAAGACCTTTGTTGTGCACAATCCTAAATTGTCTCTTCTTGTGAAAAACTCTCTTCTGTGTGGATCGCTGCAACCTAGTCGTGGCTCCCAAAGATCTAGAAATAATCGAAGACAACATCCGACCCGGAATAGGTGCAACAAATCTCGAAAAAACCTGCATCGAACAACCCGTGGTCCTGGTACACAAGACGACTGCACGAAATAATATCCCTCTATTGTCAAAGCTTGCAGGAGCTGAGGTTTGTCATTAGAAGTTGCTTCCATGCCGAGTACTTTGACTACTTGGTGGACAAGTACAGTGATGGACAACCATTTCTCGCGAATCTCCGGACAATGCATGTGCTGCACGTTACTAATAAGAGATATGGATACGAAATCAATGACTACTTGTCCCTCCTCAGACTGTCTTCGACAGCAAGAGTCCCCACTTGCGGATACCACGTTTTCGAGATGTCGAAGGACGGGATTTTTCCACATGTGAGAGAGAGCTCATACTCAACGATACCGGACTCTATCCAGACGGTCTTACCTCGCTTATTAGGTGCTGTCCGAACCTTGAGATCCTTTACTGTGCGATCGGTAACGATAGTCGAGAGATGGTGAAACTCGCAATCTCACTACAAATCTCAGAAGCACTTTTGCCTCTACGGAACACGCTGCGGATGTTCTACCTGCATGATGCTGTGTATACACTTGAGGAACCTGGCAGATACAATGGGATGTCTGTTGGAAGCTTTGAATGTCTGAACAAATTAGAATTTCTAGGAATCTGGCAAGATGATCTGACAGTGAAGATAAAGGATGAGAAGACTTGGTCCCAGGCAGGACCTTTTGTTCACAAACTGCCAAAGTCTTTGCGAACGCTGTACATCGAGGAGACGAACGATGTGCTGGATCACGACTTGGTCGAACTTGCAAGATCAGCAGCGACTCAACTCCCCAACCTGCAAGTGGTCAAAGTCGATCACGAGGTCGGACTTGGCATACATGGAGTTTTCGAAGAGGCTGGGACGAAGCTTGAGAGACTGAAGGATTGTGAAGCGGAGCTGGCATTTCCTTGCTCCTGGTAGTAGCTGTATGCGTTCGAGATCTCCGAAGTCGTAGTTGGGCTAGTCATTGCAGAGCTGGGTCGAACAGGAACGTATACATTAGATGCATGACCATACAAGCACGATCTCGTGGTTGAGATTGATGGCGCGCGACCACCGCGACCTGACGACTACCATCTCCATACATTTGGAGCGTCAAGTCCGCCTTGGACACAATGAATTAGTTCGGGGGAAAACGCAACGTGAATTTTGTGTTCGTGTATGAACCTAAGGCTATAGAGAGCTTGCCTAGATGCGCTTCATTGAGCCAAAATGACTTTTCATAGTCAATTACTGCCTGGGGCTTCTGGCAGGGGCTGCCTGTAACGAGCTCGATGACGCTTGCGGGAGCACGTTCGAGACACGTGCTCCGAACAAAGCCAACAAGAGATTATTCGCATTCTCTGCGATTGACACACTTCTTTCTTTTTTTCATTTTCTTTTTCATTCTGCTGGACAAACTTACAAATCCGGGTCATTGTGCAATATCGACTACCTTTTGGCTGACCTGTCGTCCTTGTTATGGTGCCATGTAATTGGTGCCTCGTGCTGCCAGTATGCCGCGTGGCAGTCAAACCTCCTGCTATTTGTACTGGTTGACAATTCATAGTCCAGCTTGACTTGAGGCTTCAGCTCATCAAGTCGTACCCATCACTTCGTCTGATCATGCTTATACTCATCATACGAGGGCTTTGTCGTTACAAGGCTTTTGCTATTACTTACGGTACCGGCGTACCCTCAATAAGATTGGCGCCGACGGAGGTAATCGCTCAATGTCACAATACAAACGAGCTTGACTCATTCCATATGGAAATTTCTGCTCTGAGCAGCATGCACAACTCTTTCAGGTCGGCAGTAATGTTACAGATGCCACTAACGAGGGTCGCTGGTTGCTGCACATGTAGATATAGGGAGTGGCGCAGTGAACAGATCGTCTTGCGTCTTTCATGTCAAGTAATGTCCGAGAATCATGGCAAGCATTCGTCCAATGCTCCAGTTTCCCGCAAGAGGAGGGCGCTTCGGCAATGTCTCGGCCTCGTTGAGCTTCGGCTCGAACTTTGCGGCTTCTGACCGTTCCAACACGGACGAAGGTGTAGAGAACGTGGGAAACATAATTGCTGTTGGTGGTCGATGTGTGGGCATAGGGCGACAGTTCCATTCTGATATCCTGTCTCTGTCGTTCCATCTCTTAGTTGTTGCAAGCGGCTCCTCGACATGCTCCATACAATCCAGAACAAGTAAGCCAAAAACAGCATCCGACCTAATCCAATTTTCAACCCATTCGCTGTGGCACCGTCTGAGCTTCTTATAGCTATCAGCCACTTTTTGTGCTATGACACGTTTCAGGTCGTCGTCCCTATTCATCAGCATCTTGAGGGAGGTCGTGCAGATCTTGATCAAAGTCTCGTGGTCCAGCTTCCTGTCACCAAGACTATTCAAGACGCGATTTCGGAGTTTGGCAATGCCATACTTGTCGGCCATGATGTACATCTCTATATCTGTGTCTGTTGCACTCCAGCGACGGTCGATCAGCTTGTCAACAGTATAGTTCTCGACGTGCTTGTTCGTTTGCATGATCTGAGACAGAGTTACACTGCTCGCTTGTTTTGACTGCGGTCGGGTTGAGTCGCCGTTCTCAGGTCGCTTGCAGAATCGTGCTTGCGTGTAATCGTACGAGCCTGTGTAAAAGAACTGTATCGTTCTGCCTACCATCCATGGTTCATCATCGTGAAGGTATACGCAGTGATCTTGTGTTTCCTTGAACGATTGCGTCAGTTCTTAATCAGTCACAATTAAGGTCAAGGTATGGAATTTGTTGGTCACATAACTTACCTGCCAGTTTCCACTGACAACAAGGCTGAAGAATCTAGAATATTTACTAAGCACGTCTGAATGTACCCTCCACACATAAGTGCCCAGGCGTATTTCGAAATTTGTGTCCGTCTGCAAGGTAGCGACTAGCACTCTATGAGGCCAGCCAGGCTTCGAGATTAGCCAGGTCTGTGCTTCATGTTGCTGAATAGGTATATCTATAGGAAACGTGGCTGGGTTGGTAAAACTGGCGAGGGGAAATAGGTGGATGGTCGCCCAATGTCCTGTGGTCATTGCTCCAGAATACCAAGTACATCTCACAATATTTTGTGTGATCACTGTACAACATCGGGTTATGCAGACCGATTCAAGTAGTTATGGAAGGCACGTTTGACAAACGCGGCAAATAGGCAGGAAGTAGGCAACTGTCGCCAAACCTTTAGGCTTCTCCACTCACTAACGGAGTTTGCTAAGCATTTCATCACATAAACTCGGCAGAAGAATACGATAGCCATAAACTCAGCCTGGCTCTACGGATGACAGCGTCGGCGACCAGCACAATGTAGAGGACGATCAGATGTGGCCGCAGACTAAAAAGACAAGCTAGAGAACAACCTCTTCGTGCCTTTTACCTAGGTTTTAGCAATTTCCTTTCTCCGCAAGGTGTTCCTGCATTGACCTCATTCACTACTATGTACCTCAACCGTTCATGAATTCCAGTCTTAGGCAAGGACCACCATTCTGACGCGTCTTTTCCCTTTTTCACGAGCACCACCCTTCTCCTCCGAGCTCACACGTACCTTTAGTTGCTGGAAAAGCTCAAACGTCTGGCTGTTCAAGTCCTTCTTCGATTTCTCAAAGACTGTCAGTGCATAATTCTCTGGTTGGAATTCGCTTTCCTTTCTCTCCAAGTCTCCATCCTTTTGGCTCTTTGCATCTTTACCTGTCTGCTTTTTCGGACTCAGTTCGAAGTCCTCAAGTCGCACAATACCTTCAATACCGAACTTCGGCACAAACACGACGATACCATTTTCGAATACTCGCATGACATAGCCGTCTTCGATAACGCCCTCGCCACCCACTTTCACTTGGCGCTGCTTTAGTGCTTGTCCTACATAATACTCAATGCTGGCTCGTCCAGCATGCTGTGCATTACGATGTCGGAAGTTGAGATTGCGGCAGACATTTTCCAACTTGTTCTTGTTTCGGAGACCTTCGTCGACAGTTTCAGAGCCCTGACCTTCGTAGCTGATAGCATATGCTAGTTGGCGATGTACAAGCAAGTCAGCATATCGACGGATGGGAGAAGTGAAATGTGTGTAGATTTCCGATGCCAATCCATAATGACGAAACTCCGGTTCAGCGTGTGAACCACTGCAGAAATACTCGGCACTTGTCATGCAACGTGTGGCAAGGATACGGATGAGCGTGTTAAAGAAAGGATGTGCTGAGTCCACACATTTGTCGAGACTGTCGGCTAGTGCTCTTGACGAAGAGACGTCGAGCTCGAACCCACGCATACGCTTGAGTTGATCACTAAGTTCAGCGAAATTGGAGGCTGGAGGCGTCGCATGCCGTCTGAGAAGTGCTGTTTGAGGAAACACAGACTGGATCTTGGTTGCGACCGTAATGTTGGCAAGCAACATGAATTCTTCGACCAGGCTGTTTGTCTCAAGACTGGCCTTTGTCTTGACGTCCGCGAGAGGATCAGCCGTTTCGTCGCCTGCCATCTCTGATGATTCGATACGCACTTCTGGACTCGAGAGATTGAGAGCTCCAGCTGCCATACGCTTTGCACGAAGCAGCTTTGAAAGTCGGAGCAGATGGCGCATGCCTTGTGTAAGATCATCCTGAGCCGCAGTGTCGTCAATACGCTTTTGGGCTTTCTCGTAGGAGAAACCTTCGCGAGAATAGATCACAGACTTAGTGAAGTTTGCATTCACTATCTCCGCCTCAGGAGTTAGCTCCCAGATAGTCGAAAAGGCATAACGTTCAACATTGGGCTTCAGGGAGCACAAGTCGGTACCCAGTAGCATTGGTAGCATGTCGATACGTTTGTCGACCAGGTAGACGGTAGTGCCACGAGCTGTCGCTTCAGCGTCCATAGGATTGTTGGGACGAACAAAATGTGACACATCGGCGATATGTACGCCAACCTCAAAGTTCCCATTTGGTAATTGTCGAGCATGTAGAGCATCATCAATGTCTTGACATCCAGGAGGATCGATCGAGCAAACCAGGAGTTCACGCAGATCTTGCCTGCCTTTCCAACCAGGATCTGATTTGTCTTGAGGTACTTTCCAGTCGTGACCCTCAGATGGAAGACAGTCAAGTACAGCTTTGGGAAAAGGTCTGTACTGAACATCATATTCCAGCAGCAACGCTTCGGTCTCGGCCTCTTTTGTTTCAAGTTCGCCCAGAGACCTCAAGAAGTGGCCAGATGGGTATCGACTGTCACGATCCCACGCATCGATCGTAGCCACAACTCTTTTGCCAACCAATTCATCCACCTGCCTGGTTCGCATCCGAATCTTCGGTATCTTCCTGTCCATCGGTACTAAGAAGACGGTTTGCTGACGATTGCCAGTGCCGGATCCAGCGTCCACAGTACCAACATATTGCCGCCAGCTTCGTCTCATGACACCTACGACTTTAGCAGTGGGCTGGGCACGATCAGCACCGGACTGATGAGCTTTCTTCACCTCATTCTGCAGAGCCGCGCGTTCTGCCTCCGTTACGATATCTTGAGGAGAGTCTTCATCATCAGCGCCCTCATTCCTGTTCATAACGTCTTCGTCAATGATCTTCGACGAGGGCTGCTTCCACTGGTCTTTAGGCAGAACTTCGACAACGACCACATCACCGGAGACTGATCGGTTACTGCTTTCTCGACCGAGGATAAGGAGTGGCTTGTTAAAGGCTGGTACCTTGACCGTACCCTCCAGATAGTTATACTGAGAAACATGGAAAACACCCTGGTGCAGAGTGCTTTGCTTCAAGCCGGTCTGTACACGTGATTGGGTGTAGTATTCTGGGTAGATGAGCTCCCCTTGTGGTGCTCTGTGCTGGCTCTCAGGGATCAGATCTAGCAGATGCTCTGCATTATCGAGACCACTGATATACTCCTTCAGAGAGTACACTTGCAATCCCTCAGCCTTGGCCTTTCTTCTGTTCTCGGCATCGTTGGTAATAATTACGATAGCGGGCGTACTCTTCTTAGCCATCGTTTTTAGATGAGTTGCGTACCACTCCGCACTTTTCCTGATTGCCCGATCATTCCTGTCGTTCACGGTTTCTCCTTCTCCTCTCAGTACATTGGTCTCGGCCCGAAACTCGTTGAAAAATAGATAGAACCTCTTCTCTTCGCTTCTCACTAAACTCATAACACGGTTGTAGATAGGCAGGGATCGATTGCGCAACTCTTCGAGGACAGTCTGAAGAACAATTACATCGTAGAACGCGTCGCTGTGTTCGAGTAAATCTATGCCTGTAAGCAGAATATTTGTGTCAGGCACAGTGTAGTGGCCATCAGGGAATGTTTTCGTTTTCGTAGGTGACCGCGAAAGAACAGGTTTAGGGACATTGCCACTGGCATCCGCTGCAGCATTTGCAGCGCAAGACGAACATAGCTGCGAAGAGCAGGAAATGTCTTTGCGTAGATACTGCTCCCGTACCACTTTCTGTACACGACCACTTTTCAGAGATCGTATGAAGACTTTGGAAGATATGTTGGCGGTGCTGTCACCCAGACTACGCTTTAGGCTCCTCATCGAGAAGATTGATGGCACAGAATAATTCTCTGATAGCAGGAGAATCAGCGACGTGTGTAGGATTTCCAACGACTGCTGCGAATATTTGTTGCTCTTGTCCTGACGTGCCTGGGTAAGGCATCCAGCGTGAGCTCTTCAAGGCAGGAATTAATGTGGTGCTTTTTCGTGGACAATCGTTATTCAACGAAACTTTCCGCTCTCCAGATAGACAAGCATTACAAGCTTATGTGGAGTATAAACAGTAATTCGCGTGTATTTGATGAGACGCCTTTGGCACCCACCAGTCAACTGGATGCTTTATCTTCCATTGGCGTCGTCCATGTGACGATGAAGTTTTACCAAGACTGACCTTGCTTGGTAACAACTACTAAGCAAGATAAAGAAGAGCTAGCTCATATTGGACGCGATCTACCACATATATCCGCTTATCTTGCAATGGCATCATCGGTGCTTTGTATGAGCTGTCGCGTACTACCCTACTCGACATTCACGTGCGGGTGTTACTGACCTACAACATTTTCGAGTTTCCGAATTCTGCTCTCCTTCCAAACCCAGCACGGCTTCTACCATCGCTCACCATGCTGACCGTTCTGCGTCTTGTAGCCTGCCTGTCGTCTCTGAGTCGATCACTGGTGCATGGGCTACCAACACTGAGTGAGCGCCAAGCTTCTGCTCATAGAGGTGCCGTGGCTAGCGAGAGCGATATCTGTAGCAGGATTGGAACTGATATCCTTGGAAATGGTGGCAATGCTGCTGACGCCCTTGTTGGTACTGTATTCTGCATTGGGGTGGTCGGTATGTATCACTCTGGAATAGGTGGTGGTGGTTTCGTCTTGGTGCGTGCGCCAAATGGCTCTTACGAGTTCATTGATTTCCGTGAAACAGCTCCAGCAGCTGCGTTCCAGGATATGTATAACAACAATACGAACTTGAGCATATTCGGTGGTCTCGCAAGGTATGTTTCGAGCGAAATGCTGCCTCCTGTATATTAGGCTTATTAGTGAAAGTGGTGTACCTGGCGAGGTTCGAGGACTGCAGAAGATACACGAGCAGTATGGCTCGCTTCCCTGGAGCGATGTCATGCAAGGCGCTATTCGCACCGCACGCTATGGCTGGAATGTTACTGCAGACTTGTAAGCGTCTCCGAAGACATCAAAACAGGCTTCACTCTGATCGAGAGCGTGATCATGGTCCTCATCCTGAACTGATACAGCATATAGGGTCAGATATATGCGCTCAGCCAATTCCTCCGCACAAGTGCCCAACTTTCTGTGTGTGGAGCCAGCATGGGCAATCGATTTTTGTCCAAATGGGACTTTGGTCGGACTAGGGGACACGATCTCCAGAAGGAGGTATGCGGATACTCTTGAGACCATTGCAATAGAAGGTCCAGACGCCTTCTACTCACCCAAAAGTGCTATTGCGCAAGCCACTATTGCAGCATTACGAGCAGCGAATGGCACCATGACTTTGACAGACCTGGCGAATTATACTGTAGCTGTTCGGCCCGTCAACAACATCACCTATGGTGACTACCACATCTTTGGTACAGTGAGTACCCGCCTGCTCTCTACCAAGTCCGTTCATGAGCTTGTCTGAGACTACTTTCTGAGGTAACACTCGACAGAGTGCACCAAGTTCGGGTGCCATCGTCCTGTCGACCCTAAATACCGTCTCTGGCTATAACGATTTCTTTACCGCGGAAACCACGAATCTCAGCACTCACAGGCTCGATGAAGCTATGAGGTTTGCTTATGCTGCAAGGACGGAATTTGGGGATCCATTGTTCGTGGCTAATATGTCACGGTATGAGCAGGAATTATTGTTGCCAGCTACAGGAGTGGATATACGTGCAAAAATATCCGATACTCGAACCTTCAATGTCTCTTACTATGACCCATCTGGCCTAGAGTCGCTGGAGACCCCCGGCACGTCCGCTATCGTGACTGCGGATGCAGATGGTATGGCAATATCACTCACTACAACGGTCAATCTCCTTTTCGGCTCAAATCTCATTGTGCCTGAGACTGGGGTGATAATGAACAAGTGAGTCTGCTCGGACGCCTCCTACCTGAAACAGTTTTCCAGCTAACTTACGTCAAGTGAAATGAACGACTTCTCCATACCGGGTTCCTCGAATGCTTTTGGATATATCCCATCGCCGTCCAATTATATACGTCCAGGCAAACGTCCGCTTTCCTCAATCTCACCAGTGATCGCTGACTTTGGCATGAACCGAACGCTATATTTCCTCACCAGTTCAGCAGGTGGCTCACGAATCATCACAGCGAACATTCAGAATCTCGTTAATGTCCTTGATAAGAATTTGACAGCCCCACAAGCTCTTGCTCAACCAAGATTTCATGACCAGCTCGTGAGTCAAGTCAGTTTTGAGTACACGTATGATAACGAGACGACTGCCTATTTGAGATCACTTGGTGCCAACATTACTTGGGTTGCTCCAGGTCAGAGTACAGCTCAAGGTATAAGAAGATTACCTAATGGTACTTTTGAAGCAGCAGGTGAACCGAGACAACTAAACTCCGGAGGGTTTGCTGTATGAAGAACACTATGTGTCCATTCATAGTACAGGGACAGTGAAGAACATGGTGGCTCGGTGATATGGGGACAATCACTGCATTCATCGAAGCGACCTCCAACACGAGTGTCTACGTTATCAAAGGAGTGTAAAATTGCTGTGGAGTGTCCAGAAACATTGCTTAAGTCCGAGTATGTCGACGTGGTGAGAACCGAGGTATTCACAAGCACTTATGCATTTTTGTGCAACTGATAATAAATCACCAAATCATCACTCTTACCACCTTTGGCTAGTAGTACCATGTCTTAGTGAGCTTAGCTAGGCTTTATCGTGCTGTCATTTGATCAGGGGGTGCAGGTGGATCGCGTAAGTATGCAACTACCAGAGACAAACAAAACACAAGCATCGCGATTTACCCGAGCCGACTGTGGGGTTCACTTTCTAAACAAAAGAACGTGATTACCTTCCACGGACATTCCGTGAGATGCAAGAGGAAAGCCTTCCACGGCCCTTCCTTTGGGCAAGAGAAGTAGTTCTTGCCTTTACAATACTTCGTCTTCTCACGTATATAAGCGATAATAGCCCTCGAATCACGCTTCAACATCGGACTGCAGTGCACTTTCACACTTAACAAGTTCTTTCCTCCAAGGGATCCAAAACTCGTACTAGACCATATAGAGATCTCAAGGATCTTTCTCTCGTCACTCAAGCACGGTGCTTTGATCTGGGACGAGTGTTTGTTAATCTCACCTTTTCCGAGGAGAAATCGAATTTCTTCACAATCCGTCGATTGAGATGACAAGCGAACAGCACAAATTGTCACTAGGTGGCAATGGCACCTCTTCACATACACGAAACACATCATCTTCGAGACTTTCGAGAACAAACTCGTCCTTGTCTAGCAATGGCAACGATCTCGAAAAGGGCCACCACAGCCATCCTGACTCTGATCACGATAATCAGCGTGCAATACCTGTGATCGACACCACAGACACGGCCGTGGAGGAGAACGAAAAGGACACCATCTCCCGGGTCGTTAGTGTGACGACCGGAAACGTTGTTGATTGGAATAACGCATCGGATCCACGACGCCCAATAAACTGGACTCCAAAGAAGAAGTGGATGAACATCTCAGTCATATCTGTCCTCACATTCCTTACACCGTTAGCATCGTCGATGGTCGCACCTGCTGTTCCTAGCATGATGCGAGATTTTAGATCAACTGATACTACGATAGCCTCGTTCATAGTCTCGATATACATCCTCGGCTACGCGGTTGGACCCTTGTTTATTGCGCCCCTATCGGAAATCTATGGCAGACTATACATCTACCACGTTTGCAATATTTCGTTCATCATTTGGAACATGGCTTGCGCACTGGCACCAACCTCATCAATTGCTTCCCTCCTCATCTTCCGCCTGTTGGCTGGAATTGCAGGATCTTGTCCCATCACGATTTTTGCTGGCAGTATCGCCGATGTCTTCATCCAGGAAAAGCGTGGTGGTGCCATGGCTATTGCTGCACTAGGCCCGTTGGTCGGACCTGTCATTGGACCAGTTGCAGGCGGGTTCCTCTCTGAAGCTGCTGGATGGCGATGGGTATACTGGGTTATCACCATCGCAGCTGGCGTGACCGCAGTAGGGTCGATCATCCTTCAGCGAGAGACTTACGAGCCAATCCTACTTCAAAAGCTCACGGACAAGCTGAAGAAGGAGACCAGCAACCCGCATCTCCGCAGCAAGCTCGATAACGGCTTGAGCAAGAAGGAGATGTTCAAGCGAGCCATAATTCGTCCCACGAAAATGCTCGTCAGATCTCCTATCGTGCTAAGCCTCTCTGTCTACATTGCTGTCGTTTATGGATACCTCTACTTGCTTTTCACCACCCTCACGCCCGTATTTGAAGGAACGTACGGATTCGGACCCGGACCTGTGGGCCTGGTGTTTCTTGGTATCGGAGTCGGGTCATTTGCTGGACTTGTTATTTTCGGCATAATGAGCGACAGACTGCTCAAAAGCCTGACAAAACGGTCTGGCACCGACGAGATGAAGCCCGAGTATCGTCTGCCTCCTCTGTTACCTGCGAGTCTAATCATTCCGATTGGACTCTTCTGGTATGGTTGGTCTGTTGAGAATGCCAGCAAAGTACACTGGATTGTACCGATTATAGGAACAGCGTTAGTAGGAATTGGGATGATCGGAAGCATGATGGCTTCTCAAACCTACCTTGTGGACGCCTTCACCGTACATGCCGCGAGTGCGATAGCTGCCAATACCGTTTTGAGGAGTCTGGTCGGAGCCTTCCTGCCGTTGGCAGGGCCCAAGCTGTACGATTCCTTAGGTCTAGGCTGGGGCAACAGTCTACTTGCGTTTATTGCACTGGCGTTGTCGCCTATGGCGTGGATTTTCTATCGCTACGGTGAAATGATACGGAAGAGATATGCCGTTGAGTTCTGATTAACGTATAGGTTTGCAATGGACAGCATCTTCAGAACAGTTTAACGATACCCATGATCCCGATGGTCTGTGTTTTTTGACTACGTATGTACTCAAATCGAGGGTCCTGGTGATCAGGACAGGTCAGTTCGAGATTTGAGGCTTGCTGTGTTGCGTGTGGCTATGCACAATAATGGTCAAGAATGTCTGAATCTGAGCACTGAGCACTGAGCACTGAGCACTGAGCACTGAAACACCATGGGTGTCAAGAGCATGAGGAAGTGAATCTCTTGGATGTCTTCGATGAGAGACCGCCTACTGTAGCTTTCCATTGCCACGTGCTGCCAGCGGCTCGGCCAGTGAAAGACATGACGAACAACCTGCGGGAGCCAAGCGATTAGCGCATCGTAGATTGAGCGAGTACGGTCGCCTCGCCTCGCTTCGAGAAACACAGCCATTGAAGCTCATAAGAAGAATTCCTCTTTCATGTTTGATCGCTGGTTGCAGAACTCTGACGCTTGGTATTTCTTGGCCATCTTGCTGCTACTTCAGCGGCAGGAACACAATCACAGCAGTATCAGCCCACTGCTCTTTCCTGTATTGTCGTCATTTGTGCTGACGTCTTTTTCGACCCCTGATTATACAAGGATTCCAAACCACCGTGCCCGCCAGCGTGGGATATGCATCCGTTGCTTCTGCCCATATCAATATCTACGTACCCACTGCTGTTGATGTCATATGCTCACGAATCTCGATTGACAGAAACAATGAGTAACTACTTTGTCATGCTGGTGCTTGACAGATATCTCTCACTTATCGATCGAACATCCACATTTGGAAATCTGGCTGGTATTCCTCTCCTCATAACGACCCAGGTCCATCTATTGAATCACCACGGCTTGGACGCTCGATGAGACCGAGCCTTACATCGTCTCTCAACAGTGAGGTCGCTGCTTGACCAGAAAGAACCACAACTGTTGTCCAAGCGCATTTGATTCCACCATGACCTCTGCCGAGCGGCCTGCCAGTCAGGGCAAGCGACGACATTCGGTTCAGACTCGTCACGACTTCGTTGCTGTAACTTCAGGACAACAGAAACGTCGACAAAGTGTCATCACGCCAGACGAGTCTGATATATCTGTCAACTTTAGCGTGAGTCTGTACTGAAGTTTGCGATTTCGAAAGGCCACCACGGCTGACATCGGTCGTTACACGACACAGGAGCTATGGGCCGGTCTTGCCATTTTCAAGAAGAATGACAAGGAGGTTTCAGTTGGAATAGCAATCCACGATGGAACCTATAGTGTGGACTTCGCGGTTCACCAGGTCTCTGTAGTTGAGGGCGACAACGTTGATGAACACAGCGGTACAATCGAAAATCATGTTATTGGAAGCCTTGCCACCTATCGAAAAGAGCATGTTTGTAAGCTACTAGGCGCAGGTGTGACTGTTGAGCTTGATTCTGCTGCTCCCAAACTATGCTCGCGATTGTGGGCTGAGCTGGATATCGTCCCCGTCGTTTTCAAGAGCACTTCCATACTCGATGACAATACTCCAATTGAGAACGTGGATGAGCTTGCAGACTCGGCAGCACGCAAGTGTTTAGCGTGAGTAAAGGTCTGTAGGTTGCACGTATGGACGAGGCTAACTATTTCCAAGCACCTTTGCACCTACAAAGCAACCACGTATTGCCATCAATCATCACAATGAAGTACAAGTTGATATAGCTGGACAGATCCATCTTGCAACGGCAGAGCAGTATCAAAAATCTGTACGGGAGCCAACATGGAATGCCGTGCAGAAACACATCAAGGCTGTCAAGGACAAGAATCTACGCATCGTCTTCTTCAGTGCCACACCACAAGGTGGTGGTGTCGCCTTGATGCGACATGCACTGTTACGCTTCGTTCGCCAGCAGGGTGTACATATGGAATGGTATGGACTGATGCATGTGTGATATGCCTGCTGACTTAAGTAGGTTTGTGCCAAAACCGAGACCAGATGTCTTCCGTATAACTAAGACTAACCACAATATCTTGCAAGGTGCTGTACCACCTGATGTCCGCGCAACCGATGAACAGCTGTCCAAAATCAGTGATTGGATTACAGAAAATGCAAAAAGGTATTGGCTGCAGGAAAAGGGCCCTTTGAGGCCGCGAACTGAGGGAGGAGCTGATGTGATCATTGTTGACGATCCACAAATGCCGCAACTGATCTCTATCGCCAAAGAGCAGGATGAGCAACGACCAATTCTTTTCCGAAGCCATATCGAGGTTCGAGACGATCTTGTGCAGGTAAGCCGAAGTCTATTGCGCCCAACTTCAACAGACATACTCACTAGTAACAGGACGAAGGAAGTGCTGCCGCTCATGTCTGGAAGTATATGTGGCAGAACGTCCGGAAAGCCGACATGTTCATCAGTCATCCAGTCCGCACCTTCGTTCCTAGCGATGTTCGCCCAGAAACACTCGCTTGGTTGCCAGCGACAACAGACTGGTAAGTCAAGATTCGCCACAACTGGTGCAATACTAACCTCCCTAGGCTCGACGGCCTGAACAAGGACATGCAAGACTGGGACGTCAAGTACTACTTGCACATCCTCCGGCAGCAGTGCCAACAGCAAGGCATGCCACAACTAGCATATCCGAAACGTCCCTACATTACACAGATAGCTCGTTTTGACCCATCCAAGGGCATCCCTGATGTGATCAAGAGCTACGGAAAACTCAGAAAGATGCTCAAGGACTCCGACGTATCTCTCAGCAAAACCCCACAGCTTGTGTTATGCGGCCATTCCTCGATCGACGACCCTGACGGTTCGATGATCTTCGACGAAACCATGTCCTTGATCAAAGACCAGTTCGCCGAATTCCGAGACGACATAATCGTCGCGCGTCTCGGACCAAGTGACCAAATGCTCAACGCCATTATGTCCATGGCGAAAGTCGCCTTGCAGCTGTCGACGCGAGAAGGTTTCGAAGTGAAGGTCTCAGAAGCACTTCACAAGGGCAAGCCGGTCATTGCATCTCAAACTGGTGGAATACCATTGCAAATCGAGCACGGCAAGAGCGGCTATCTTGTGCCTCGGGGTGATCATGATGGTGTCGCGAAGCACTTGTACGATCTTTGCACAGATGATGAGCTGTATCGGCGCATGAGCGACTATGCCAGAACTCATGTGAGCGATGAGGTGCACACTGTGGGGAATGCGTTGTCATGGCTATATCTCGCTTCGGCAGTCTCAGGGACGGAGATGCTGCACCCGAATAAGAGATGGGTCAACGATCTGGCTAGAGAAGCTGCTGAGCAGCCTTATGGCAAGGACGAGCCTCGCCTGCCTCGTCATTTGTCAACCTGAGCATGGCTTGCTAAGCATATTGGGATATTGGCGCCAGTAAACGTATAGAACAAAGACACAGACATAGACATCTGGGAATCAGAACATGCGAGTTTGACAGGCTGAAATTGTTGTCCTTGTGCTAAGCGACAGCTAATATAGAGAATCCTCAGCTGATAGATAGACTGCCAGAGATTACGAGCCAACCCTGGCAGATCGTGATTTATCGCAGATGAACTCGGCCTAAGAGCAGCTCTCGAGGCAGATATGTCGACGGGCCCCCTCGCACTCTTAGACTGTTTTCTGAACATACTCAACAGGCCCCACATAATGATGTCTCGCCTTGAGAACATAGTAGATCGCCCCCAAGATCATCACCGACGAAAACGTCAAACTCGACCAATTCATAGATTGTGGTGTCGGATGAGCCATTGCCGGAAAGAAGCTCATCACCCAGCCCACTGCCAAGAAACATAATGATAGAATGTTGATCGGAAGGCCCAACTTGCCCAGCTGGAAAGAAGAGGGAAGAAGTGGTTGGCCACGGATTCGTCTCAGGGTAACGCAGAAGATCGAGATGAAGTATGAGATTAGCAGTGCGCCCAGGCCGAGAGACAAGATTTGATTGAAGGCCACGGTTGAGCCGATGTTGACCAGGGAGAAGAGGATTGTGAACATTGCGGTGAAGACGACTGCGTTGAGAGGAATCTCGAATCGTGGCTGAACTGTAGCGAACCATCTGTGGAAGGGGACTCCTCCGTCGCGAGCAAAGGCCCAGAGTTGTCGTGATGCCGTTGCCATGTTTGTCATTGCATTTGCGGTTGATGAGACAGTGAGGATTAGCGTCATTGCAGTGGCACCGCCTTTTGATCCAGTTGCGTTGTAGAAGACCTGAATGAAGGGGAAGCCAGTGGGGGTGGCAACGATTTCTTCGAGGTCACCAAGTGTGTAACAGAAGGTCCTATCTCTGGATTAGTGGCGTTAAATGACGGTTATGTACAGGTACATACACTAGCATAGTGAAGCCCAGCACGCCGTTGATTGCTGAGGTCCAGATCATAGCTCGAGGAAGGATCCTGCCTGCATCTTTCAATTCTTCAGCCATGTGCACTGCGGCGTCGGCACCGAGCAGAGAAGTCAAGGGTGTAATGAGGCCCACCAGGACCGACAAACCAGCTGGCGAATTAGATTAGTGATATAGAGTCTGCAAACAAAAAGTTTAGCTTACTCGAATCCCAACCTCCGAGATTATCGAACTTTGTCCAAATTTCGTGTGAGTTACCACGCGGTCCCAACACCCACAGTGGTACCAGAATAGCCACGAAACCACCGAGGTGCAAGCAGAGCACGAGACCTTCGATCAACGGCAGGTGTCGAGCCAGAAAAGTATTGAAGACAAAGACGAAAAGTGCCATGGCCATAGTGAGCAGAGTACCGTGCCATCTTGCGTAGACGTAGGAATCATCATTCAGTATGATAAGACCTTGTATTTGTGTTCCAGCCAGGAAGCATCCAATAGCTACTCCACTTTGCCAACCCAGGGTACAGAGCCAGCCGATGAAGTATGAAAGTACTTTCTGGGCACGGCGAGGTGCAAATTCTGTTGATGTGTGAGCTCAGAAACCCGAATCCGCCTGACCAGTGCGGTACTCACAATGAGGTACGTGTAGATGAGCCCGGCTGTGCCACCATTGAAGAGCCCAAATGCAACGACACAATGTGGCTATCAGTTCGTGGTCCATGATTTCCTAGAAGGTGACTTACGAAAGCATGGTTTGCCACGAGCTCATGAGGATCATTGCGAAGCCCATAATAGAGAGAAACCCAAAATTACGCTTTTCAGGACAAATCAGTCACGATCCTGGCATCGAGTCAAGCATGCTCACCCGTAGCTCCTGTTTCCTGCCCAGACGTCGCATGTGTTCAGCGTCTCTGGAAGTACCGGCCTTTTCCACAACGACGACATCGGCACTAGCAAGCTCTGTGTCGTTGAGTCCATGGTTGGTAATCGTTGTTGACTGTAGCTTGTCGTCCATGGTGGTTCGAAGCCAGGTAGAATCAGGGAAAGCCGATGTGAAGATCAGAAGAAGGGACGGCTTCTACGATCTTTACCTAGAGTTAGTTCTGATCACACATGCGCAGGTATTGCAGGATTGATGAGAAGGATGACTCCGAACTGAAGCTGGAGGCTTTCGACTCGGCTCGTAGTACTAGGCACTTTGAAGTAGCGTGTACATGGTCGCATTGTGCCAAGGCATCTTAGACTGACCAGGACGGGTGGATGCTACAAGGATGTGAAGCAGCTAAAGTCCTGGCGACACATGCTGACCAGCATGTCCTGAAGATCGCTTCTTGTATTAGCATGACTCTATCGAGCGGTGACCAGTCCAGCCCAGTTGACGAAGCGTCGAAAGCAGCTCCTACTCCGTGTGTCAGCACAGATTGATCATAAAGCAATATTCAGCTTTCATACCCACCTTGCGAATGGTCATAACGCACCATGTGTTGATGCTGCCGTGGAGACGTGACAAGAGTGACTATGGACCATGAGCCCGCTTGCCTGATAGGTCAGGGAAGCCGGAGAATTCGACACTTGTTCGAGATACAGGACTTTTGAGATGATCAACGCAGCCAAGCGAGTAGTGAGATGCATTGAGGAGCCTGGATGCCGATGGTGGTGGTGGTTGAAGACAAACCAGAACCTGGTCGCGCCTGACAAGCGCCGCAAGCACCGGGCCGGCGTTCCGGTTCAAGCAGGTTCAACCCCGATTCTCGACTTCAAGTTCGTGCAGACTTGGCGGGACTGCGACGCTGAAACGAACTGATCGTGCAGATTGACAAAGCACGATCGGTGCAAGATCAGACCTGCAACATCAAGGGTGTAATACGCCCGCCATTGTCGCAACCACACAGTACTCTCAGTACTACATGAGAGAAAAATGTATTATATTTTCAGGCAATTCAAAAGACGCTGTCGCACTGCCAGTGATGGAGATATCCCAGCAACGAGCACGCCAACACTGAATGGGTTGAGTCGCGGAACATGCCACCACGATACCTTGCTCCGACTCTGCACCGCACTACCTGGCGCCCCTTGTCTGACCTAAGACTGCATTCACCATGTCCTGCCATACCACAGTCGAAGAAGGCACATCCCATACAGATGCTAGCGGCGCACTAAAACCACTCATCACACGGCCGGACACATTTCCCGGCTCAGACGCGTGATTTGACGTTGCGGTTTTGTTCTGCCTCCCTGCACTTCCCCTGTGAACTTTACAGGATTCTTGGCTCATCAAAATGGCTTCAGAGTTTGACGAGCAGAACAGACACGAAAGACCGGATTCATTCGGGCACAAATCGTACTGATGGAACTGCAAGATTCAGCTAAGAACTCACAGGTTGTTGGCAGTAAAAGGTACTAGCAGGCGCCGCAAGCACCAGCTTCGGACGTATTGGACTTGTTCTTTCTTGCAACTCCTCCCGTGACGTGCTTATGCTAGCGGCCCAGAGCCTGGCTGTCACTACGCCTTCTCGTTACTTGACATCCTTGGTTTCGCAAGCAGATCACCGTGCTTAATGTGCACGAAATCCAATCCTCTAACAACATCGGGAATCTGCCTCGAGGACCATCGCATAGCGCGACTATGGAAGCTCCGAATTTAGGTGGTGATAGATGGTTTGCCATCAGCAAAGACGACCAGAGAGGAAAGGTGCTGGTTGTTGCCATTATCTGTTGTGTCTACTGTCCGATGATACTTGCTCTTCGGACTGTGTCTTCGTTGAAACACCTGGGCATGAATGATTTTCTGGCTGTGGCTGCTACAGTAAGTCGAACACACACCGCAGGCTCTCGATTGCACTAACTGGCTTGCTTAAGTTTACTGGAGTCATTCAGTATGTAATCATATTCGCTGGAGTTGCTCGTGGGCTTGGACAGTCATTTGATGTGGTCAGCTTGTCTGACGGTCGCGCACTTGGGAAGGCACGTACACGATCTCGTTTGCAGGCCACAAGTTGTTACTGACAGTGAAGCAGCTGGTAATAGCTTCCGAGCTTCTCTTCTTCGCGACCCTCGTCCTCACCAAATGCTCAATCGTGGCTCTTTTTCGGAGACTGTTCAGCATCGACATGGAGAGGCATCTCATACTCTGCGATGTGGTGTCAGGCATGTGTGTCGCATGGGGACTGGGTGTAATATTGACAGCCACAGTCAACTGTGGTCCGCTCGCACAGGTTGGCTACGAAAGGCCTTTCTGCTCGAACCTGGTGTGTCCACCTTCTCCGTACTTACATATCTCAGCATCTGCTTACATATGTCAGAGCGGAAGATTCACTGGCATAGCAATCACAGACGCGGCCAGTGAGATCCTGATCTTCATTCTGTCTGTAGTTGTGGTGATACCACTGCAGATGGCCGTTGCGCGGAAAGTTACAGTCGTTCTCTCTTTCTTACCAAGGCTTGTGTAGGTCGACTCCCAATCCCTCAAACAGCTTGCTAACCTCCGTACAGCATTATCGTCCTAATTGCCTTACACGCGCAGTCCGTTCAACGGCAGGTCACCTCTTCAAGCCCGGGTACGAACCTCACCAATGCAGTTGTATATCGACAGGTTCAGCTCATCTATAGCATTATCACCGCAACACTACCAGGTATAAACCGCAGCCTGCGGTTATTCAACACATCGATAGGCAATAGCTGGTGGCAGACAACCTTGACGTCAAGCAATGGGAATCACACAGGAACAAATTCGAAGCGCTCGCTTACAGGAAGAGAGGGGATCCCATTGGACACCATTGGTAAGAGTCGCACGCGTGGTACTGCGTCAGCCATCAAGACAAGGTCAAGCGACTCGAAGCCGATCAAACTGAGACCAGACCTGAGCGAGTACAACATCACGACTTTCGATGCGAGATCAGGTCATTCTCATGACAGCACGGACAGCGAGGCTAGGATAATCAGAAAGTAATCACAATGGCTTATTGAATATAGCGAGTCTGCAAAGACACCATGAAAAATGTAGTGCATCAACTCTTTCCTGATGCAGAGGACTTTGCCATAGAGGCGACTGCAAGCAGCTAAAGTCGTTCCTATGCCATGCTGGTCCAGATGATTACACGTTGGTACCAACATACCACACAATGAACGGAGGATTTTGTCCCGACGTGCCATTCCTCGAAGAGCCTTGCTCGCACTTCTGGTATACTCGAGCGAGAATTGTCCACAGAAGAGCATGAAGCACTTAACCTTTCGCTAAACGCTCGGCAGGAAGGAGACACGGCAAGTAATCCACTTAGCCACATGCCACTCAGGCTTGCGTTGATGTCGCACTAGCGCGGACTAGGATGGTGTAAGTGGCCCCGCTTCGAGGTTCAGGCACAACAGGCTCGCTTGCTGAAAGTCCTTGGGATGTCATACACAAGACTCCGGCGACCGTCGTTTGCAACACGAAATTCGCGCAGTCGATCAGGTTCGAGTCGCTAGACCGTACTAGTAGTACTTTCTGTCGAGATGTCCCGCTACTCCATTTTCGTGGCGCCGTGGTCTATGAAGGCGGCCGCGCGTGGACATCGCCCGTCTTGCATCGCGAATAAATTTGCTATCGATCAAGTGGTCAAAAACACACTTGGGACTACACACAGTAGTAGGAAGAGCTTCTACAGGAAACACTACCGCAGAGGTTGCTGTGGTCGAACCAGCTTTACGAAATCTCGATTGTATCTGACCGAGACTTTCGGCAGTCACGACGCGTACACCTCGCGCATTCTTGCTCGCCAGTATCTTCGAACCAAGCATTACATGAGACCAATCCTGACTCAGCATTGACGATCCGTGAATATTTGCTTTTATTTTGCTTTGATGATGAAGATTTCTGCCCTTGCCGAGCTCGAGTATCCAGTATTAACCACTCTTTCACGTTGTCCCTGATATTTCCCATCAGCGGCTTCCATAGCCTCTTGATGAGATGCCCCTACGTCTCGCAACACACAAAGACCTGCCTGCTATAGTTCATGTCTTCACCCAGGCTTTCTATGATGAGGAGCTCAATGACTACTTCTTTCCTTACCGCAAGCAATATCCTGATGATTACATCCGGGCCTACTACCATGTACTCCTCGAGAGGTGGTGGGGCTACACAAATTTATTCGTCGTGAGCTACGACACGCCAGAGTCTGGGTCAACTCTGCCCAATGATGAAGTGCTCACAGGTCCCAACGGACAAAAAATCACAGGCGTCGCACAATGGTCGAGAGTCGGCCTAGGCAGCGAAAAGCTCTGGGGCATAGGAGGCTGGTGGGATCTCAGGAGATACATCCAACCACTCGTCTCGCTCGCCCTCCGCATCCATAGAGCTCTCATACCAAACCGTGCCGCACGCATGCCTACCACAGAAGACCCTCGACCAATGCAGAAGTGGTTGTTTGGATCTACCGTATACCCATTCATACAGCAGTACTTCAGCTGCCGTCCAGACCATTGGTCGCTGGAACTCCTTGGTGTCTTACCTATCTATCACGGTCGTGGAATTGCTACGAAACTCGTGCAAGAAGGGTTGGACCGTGCCAGAGAGGAGCAATTACCCTCCGTTGTGATAATGGCAGCTGGACTGGAGGATTTCTATCGACGTCTTGGATTTGTTGATTTCGTTGGGTACGCGTATGAGCCTGACCTGACGGAAACGAAGGTGGACGAGGACGGCAAAGAGAGGCAGATTATCAAAGAAGTGAATCCTCTGAGGAGAAGAGGTATCGGAGGGGGAGGCATTGCGTGGACCGAAAGCAATAGCTGATCAGAAAATAGAAGAACGAATGAGTGTCTAAGAGACGAATGCGAATGAGTGTGTACCACTCTCTCAGCACTAATGATAAAGGCTGCACAAGGCAGGATCGGTTTCGAGTGACATTCGGCATCCTGCGGTCAGTCGCTTTGTCTGAAGGACCTGCAGCATTCCACCAGGTCCAATCTCCTGATTGCGTCGGCAGTAGTCTATACACGAGATAAACCGGCGTTTCCGCACGCTAGAGACCATAAGTCTTCGCTTCTGGGAGTCAAGGATGATGGATTCTCACGACTACTAGGAAGGTCTGTTATCTTTGCCACATTTCGAGATGACAGCAGAAGCCTGTTTTCATTGTTGCTATGTGCTTTTCCCTAATTGGATTTCTGCAGCAAATAGTACATGACTACGGTACGATGAGAACTTTCATCGATCCATACGTAGATGAAAATCAGAGTACGAAAGACGCTCAATTTCAACAAACTCTTCAGGTATTTACCTCTGAGGAACCCCTCCATTAACTCCGTGGTTTAAAACAAGAATATCCTCGCCGATACGAGACGAATTCCGAGCCTCTGAGAGCACCTTGAAACATCGATGGAAGAATCGCTCAGACTAATCACACTTTTCTGACGTCCTGTCCTGGGTCGGCCGTCCCCGCCGAGGATTGAGATTCCGTCCTTGGACGTGCCTCCGGCACCAATGTCGGTGCTATCCTCCTCTTCTTAGGCTGGTTCCCATCTTCTCTTTCGCTTTCGCTCGCCGGTTCTACGTCTCTCTTGCCAAGTACACTTCCGCTGATAGAAGATGCAGCACTGCGATGCCCTGGCTGCTGGATTCCTACTCCCATTGGTGTGTGTGGAGGCGTTGTCATCGATGGCACAGCAACTCCAGGTATCGAACTCAGGATTGGTGTAGGCATATTCCCAGGTGGGTTGTACACGGACGTCATTGTCGCAACAGACGACTGCGAATTTGATCTTGCAGGGCTTCCTGGCCTCATCTGAAAACTGGTTGATGAGGGTGCAGGAGAAGGTGCTGCAAGTACTGGGAAAGCAGGAGACACTTTTGCAAGCCCTGGTGACGCTAGTGTTGGCGTAGTCATAGGTGTTTCCTTGCCAGCTGTGGGTGCCAATAATGTTGTTGACACATTTGGATGTGGATGCTTGTACGTGGGATGTTCTCCAGTGTAGACGGATCCAAGCTCTCCAGGAGCAAAAGATAAGGTCGAGCAGAAGCCATCACTCGAGGACATTAGCAACGTTAATCCATCGTTCGACCACGCCAGGTCTGTGAATGTAGCATAGTGCAGATTGCTCACGACACAAAGTGGAATGGTCTGCTGCGTATCGTAGAGGAGAACTGCATCTTGTGTGGCTACAGCGTAGACCATGCGGTAGGGCAAGGCAAAAGCCGGAGGTGGACCACTGTTTTCAGTTTCGCCAGGTTTGGGTGATGATGTAGGTCTACTTATCTCACTCCGTACTGAATCGGAGTGCATAAGCGGAGGAGGTTCCATGAAAGATGTAGAAGGATGAGACGGGATAACAGCCTCGGGAAGTGGGAGTATTGCTTCGCTTTGTGAGGAAGTATCAATGGTGATCTGTTGGGTTGGTTTGACATGGTTTCGGAGGGCATAGAAGATGGGTGAGCATCTTACAGCAACCGATGGCTTTTTGTGACCTGGCAGATGAGCCACTGGTGGTTTATTGAACCCAGCTCTTGTATAAATATAGACAGTATTTGTGGTATCTTCACTGGGTCTGCCAAGGTCGCCAGGCAAATGATGGAGTGATTTGTATTGACCGGAGGGGGTAAAGAGCAGACTGCCGTCCGAGGAAAAGGTCAGCCTGCGGAAAAAGGATGTCAATGTTTCGTTGTGGTACATGTTGGTATTTCGAACGGCAACGCCCATAGCTGCATTCAAGCTTGGTGAATTGATTTCTTGTCTGACTGCAGGTAAGGGTAGTGAAGGCGCAGGCGAAGCAGATCGACGGAGAGCAGGCGATGACCCAAACGACGATCGTCTACTGGACGCTGTGAGAGGGGGATCCATAGGCAGAGGTGTGGTCATTGGGGTTCCTGGGTTGGATGGCGCTGGTGAGGCTATGGCTAGGCCTGCAGCACTTGCGGTTGAGGAATGCCTGTGCGTGGTAGGATCTACAGGAGCAGGACTCTGTGTTGATATTCTTCGACCAGGCAAATCCATCTTGTTAAATTTCCCATGTGTTGACAGCGTACAGCTTCCGTCTTTTAGTTTCAAAGCATATATATGGACTGTTCGATCCGATGATTGTGTTGCAACGAACTCGTTCAGCGGATCCCAAGCTACGCCCTGAATGTAGTGGTTGTGCTCAGCTATTGCTCGGATAGTATTACCTGAGTATGTCTTAGTTAAGTCCGCCGCAGCTCTGGACGAAGCTTACCGGAGTGTGAGTCGATGATTCTGGCAGTATTGTCCATGGCGCCCGTGATAAAATATCTACCGTCTGGCGACCAGGCAAGATCATATATTTCAGCTCCTGTGTTTGTCCGGCAAGTTGTTTTGATCCGCCAATGCTCTTTGTCATCTGCATGATCCTCACCCATGCCCAGCATGGGTGCATCAGATGGGGTCCACAGAATCACATTCCCGTCGTCGCCGGCAGAAGCAAGCATTTCACCTTTTGGACAGAACCTGGCGACATTGACTGTTTGTGTATGTCGAACCAGCGTCGACAGGAACGAGACTTTGGCATCTTCCCCGTCTCTTTCGAGCTTCCATAACCGAATATTGTTATCTGCTCCAGCTGTCGCTAATCTACCTTTCCCGTGAGGATCGAAGTGAACGGAATAGATGGGTAGGCTATCTTCATGCCAGGAAATCAAAAGAGGTGCAGCCTTCATATTGTAGGCATTCTAGAGGTCCAGCAATTGGGGTAGGGAGAAATCTTATAGCAAGATGTACGGGTAAGGTTAATCAGAGATCACATTATGAGCAAGGAAAGCACGACCGGCCGCTGGACAATTGCATGCATGACCAAGGCACGCCAGAAGCACGTTGGAAGGGGAGAACGGCCCCTCAGACGCGTCGACAGATGGCAGCTCTCTCATTGGTCGCGCAGACACGTCCAACACACCACTAGCCTGTTTCCGTGCCTCGACCACGTTTCAAATCCGGCCAAGTAGATGGAAGAAGAAACAGGCAGGTCAAGCTGTATTCCTTCGTTCTCGTCAGCCATTAACAATTTCGAGTCCTCTTCATGCTCCGAAACACTTGTGACATTCATTTAGGTATAGCTTTAGGCGCTGTTTAGCTCATCCGTGCCTCTTTTCGCCTCATTCAACGTGCTACTCTTACAGTGAAGGTGTAACGCGTCCAAGCGCGTCAACAAGCTTAACGTTGTGTTGCTCTCAAAATCGCCTTGACCAAGTCTGAACTCACTGACTTGAGGTGTTCAGGAAAGAAATGCGCGTGATCTCATTGACCAATCCCAACCCCGATGAAACAACCCTTGCCGTGTATGTTTAAGATGTCTGCGTTTCGCCGATAGCATAAGTACACCGTCTTGAGAACACCGTCTGGAGAGAAGGAGTTGAGAGTGAGGTGAAGACGACTAGAAGCTTTGTGCTGATGGTTGAGCAGGCTGATGTATGTTAGTAAAAGTTTCAACTTTCCGGCAATTCAACTTACAGGGCTGTTGATCATACTGTTCCTCTGATTTCGGCCCTTCTTGATGTGGTTCTTCAATGCACTTGAGTCGAGAGGTTTGAGCAGCTCGAAACTGCATAGCAGATTCGAGGATACAGACATGACAGCACCCCAGTTGTCAAATTCACCGCAGTACTGAGTTCGTTAGTGGATATCTCATCTCGGTATCGTAGAACTTACATTTGGAGCGGAAAAGACAGTTACCAGCAAACGATCGTTGAAAAACTCATAGCCATCCTCGACCACCATGTGCGCTCGACAGACAAGATCAAAGTCGTGACGAGCGAGAAAATCAATAATCACCTTCTTGCCAAAACAATAGCTGACGCCTCTTTCGTTGCTCTCCCAATCCTGCTCCATGTCTGCTGGATCACTCCAGAGCAGATCGTTCAGTAGCCCATAATCCGGTACATCTGTGGGTCGCGCAATATTCCTGATGTCATCCATGTGTGACAAGCTTGGTGACAAGCCTCCATGCACACAGAAGATCTTGTCGGCAACAATGCTTGCGATGGGCATGCAGTTGAAAGTATCGATGAAGCTTTTCCAAACCTTGATGTTACACCTGCGCTTGCACTCGTCGTAGAATCCATAGACACGCGTAACATTGGCACACTCATGATTTCCTCGCAGCAGAAAGAAGTTTTCGGGATATTTCAACTTGTAACAAAATAGAAGCAGTATTGTTTCCAAGGACTGCTTACCTCTGTCAACATAGTCCCCCAAAAACAGGTAATTAGATTCTGGTGGGAAGCCGCACATCTCAAACAGTCTTATCAGGTCATTATATTGACCATGGATATCGCCGACAATTTTGACCGGAGCGTTGAGCTCGATGAGAGCAGGCTGCGACATGAATACCTCTCGAGCTTTGGAGCAGACAGCAGTGATTTCTGCATTCTTCAAGCAGACCGCTTTGGTAACCTTGGTCGAGTAGCCCGAGTCCAAAAGGCGAGAGATCATGTCATCTAGATCCGGCTCTGACAGATCCTGAATTGCCATGCTGCCACCTGGCGAGGCACCTGGCAAATCTGCCAGTCGGGCTCGTAGGGAGGATCTGGTATCAGAGGCACGCGGAATGACCTGACCTTCTCGTTTGATTAAAATACTTTCGCCAGCCTTCTGAGTGGCGGAGTGGTGATGCGCCATATGTGGTCCCTCGTCAGACACGGCTCCAACCTCGCCAGTTCTCTTCGCCCTGTTCACGTCTTTGTGGCCTTGACCAATGGTCTTACCTCTGGTAGGTGAGGGAGGACGTACTGGAGTCTGAGTCCCTGGTGAGGGAGCCTCGTCGTCATCGTCGAACACAGACGTTGGACTTGCAGCAGAAGTGGACGACTCTTTGGAAGTAACACGATTAACCTTGGAATTGACTGAGCCCGAACGATTGGATCGAATGGAGCCTGTATCTCCACCATCAAGACTTGTGCCGTCCAGATTCGACAAGGCAGAAGCCGAAGCTCGTGGGCTGACTGGGTCCTTGTCATCGCTTGACTTCATTTTTCTACGCACAGAATTGCGGAGACTCTTGCCCTTGCTTTCTTGAGTATCGCTCTTCGAGAAGGAAGGATACTGTTTGAGGCCATCGGGTACGAGGTTTGAGGTCGATCCATTGTTTGTAGGCGTGCGAGCTCCATCGCTGCCTTTTGACTGACCCTGACCCATTTGCAGGTAATTGGCGCAGCGCTTGAGACCAGGCAAATACTTCTGTTAACTCAGGTCGGGTGGGGCTAGGGCGGTTTTAGCAGTGAGAACAGCAGAAGCTTAGAGGACTTCGTTTTGGCGGTTGGAAGCGGTCAACTTTGAAGCGAGCACGATGGCTGTGCTCGGTGCCGGATTTTATCGTAGATAAGGAAAATACGCAGGTCGTAGGTCGACGATTCTACGTGTAGGATAGCAAGAACGACGAGTCGGGAACATAGGAAGGGTATGGGGGTGCTCGGTCGACTATAAAGAGCGACTGACTCCTGCGCTCTTACTCCGTCACGTAAGAGCAGGAAACATATATCGATAAAAGACGTGTAGATTTAAATGTTGATCTCGGATGTGCAAGTTATTCTGGCGCAGTCTTGATCATTGGGAGGATGACGAAAATGCCTGGTGGATGGTGGATCTGGTGCAGACTGAAGAAAGCGGTGGAGGCTGCTTACCGCAGGCTAGGGCCGACTCAGCCTAGAAGCTACCCCTTACTGAGACGTCGAATTCCTACACACGTTTCTCAGGTTATCAGCGTGGGTTTTCTTAAGAATGGCTCAAAGCACTAGTGGTCGCGATAAAAGAATGATGGATGATTATTTCTGAGGCAGCAGGCGACTTTCAACGACAAAGCCCATTGAGTGATCTGATAGCGCGAACGCCCAGGAAAGCTGTGGCAGGTGGCGGTGCTTGGCAGGACAACGAAACCCAGTAAAAGCGGCCCAAGCAGGCCTGGAGCAGGCTTGGGATGTCTTGCCGACCCTTCAGTTCACCGGCACTCGCTTCCTTTCCTCTCCTTCTGCCTGAATTGTTCTTGTCCCCCTCCTTTGCAGCACCTCTTGGAAGGCTTGTTCGCGTCGAATCAGGCAATCGCAGCTGGTATTTATATGACAGCTCGTTTGCGTCTTTCGAATAGATTTCAGCAGAATCCAGGTTCATTGGATCACACCTGCGGTTCTGGTACCAGTACTTCCCTAGGTCCTCGTTCCTATACGGGATGTGTTGTGCTATGTTTCAACCAAAAATTGCACGTGCAAAGCTTGACTTGGGCATCAAGGACCGGAAAGGAAGCTTTCTTGTACTCGAATTCACTGCTTGCAGATGCCTCAGGCTATCTTGACTATATTTCTGGACAACCCCCACTATGGTTTTCTCAGTTGGATGTGACTTTCGGGTCGCTTCTTGCCCATGTGCTTTATTCTTTGGACCCTGAAGATCCATAGTGCTACGTAACTTTACGTGCTTGTCTAAGAAAAATAGAAAGAACGGTCAATGTGTTTGCTGAGAGGACTTATACAACTTTGTCCAATACTGTAACCTTTCCACAGCTTGCTACCTCTTCGTAACACAGCTTAAACTCAGTTACAAGCAGATACTCACTCTTGATAGTCAAGCACCGACTATCACTGACTTCCTCTTTCCTTACCTACCCTAATATCGCTCAACCGCTCACAACATGGAGCGGAAGAACCGTCCTACCTCCATTGGAAAGCCTCCTCATCTCCCACAGCCTACGGTAAACTTGTCCAACAACGTTGTTACAGCTACCCTGCCCACAGGCGAGTCAGCCCAGGTGCACCTCTTCGGTGCTACAGTGACCAGTTGGAAAACCTCAGATGGAAAGGAGAGGTTGTTCTTGTCAACTGCAGCAGACTTAACAGGCAAGAAACCGATTCGTGGAGGTGTTCCAATTGTCTTTCCAGTCTTCGGTCCACCTCCTAAAGATCATGAGACAAGCCAGCTACCCCAGCATGGATTTGCACGAAACAACACCTGGGAGTTTATGGGAAAGAGCAGTAGTGAGAGCACGGACTCGAAGAGTGACGACAGTGTGAAGCTAGACTTTGGTCTAAGCAGCAGCATGCTGTCCGAAGATACGAAAAACAAGTGGCCATATGAGTTTGGACTGGTCTACTCGGTCACTTTGAGCAAGAGCACCCTCAAAGTACAGCTACAAGTGCAGAACAAAGGCGAAAAGCCATTTGATTTCCAGTGCCTCTTCCATACCTACTTCACTGTCAATGTAAGTACAAGATGAGCGAGAACAAACCCACATACTACAGAGCTAACACATCTCATAGGACATCTCACAAACCACAGTATCTGGTCTTGAGGGTACACAATACATCGACAAGGTTCAGAAAGCCCAAACGTTTACCGAGAAGCACGATGCCCTACCTATCGAAGGCGAAACAGACAGAGTCTACACTACGCCAGCACTACCACCAATCGTCGTTAAAGAAGGCGGCAAAGAAACTTTGGTTATAACTCGAGATTCGCTTCCGGACGTCACAGTATGGAACGGCTGGGTAGACAAGATTGCAGGCATGGGTGACTTTGAACCGAAGGATGGTTGGAAGAGGTATCTTTGCATTGAGCCTGGTTCTGTGAGCAGCTGGACGAAGCTAGAGGCGGGTGAAGCCTGGGAGGGCAGCACAGTCGCTGAGGCTAAGCTCTGAACGACGAAGTATAGCTACGTAGCCTCAAAACCTGCACTATCGCAGCGGGAGGTTACGAAAGCTCACGACTTTATGCATGACGAAGACCACGTCGATGATTGCAAGCCTGCACAGAGATCACCCCTGTGCACATCAAGCTAGCAACTCTACCAAATTACAATAGAGCTATAGAAAATTCTTTCAACGACTACGCAAGACCACACAAATCACGGTCTTGCCAGTATCGCGTCCAACTACGTACAGCTCATCATCGATTTTAGTCCTTGTCATCTAAAATTCTCTTAGGCACTACACCCCTAACCCTATCTACACCTGCTAATTCACCACGTCTCCCCTCTATCTGGTCCTGCACATTGAGCTTGTTCCACAATAAATAGCTCGTCGTGATTAGCACTGGCAGACCTATGATCAGGCCTGTCCATCTTCGACGCAGAGATTTGAATTCGGCGTTTCGTAAGAGCTCATCGCGTGACATTTCTGTTGGACGCTTGGCTTCAGCGCCGGTTGGGACGACTCGAGGCGCTGATGAAGATGGCATCGATGAAGGCGTGGGCAGTGGTCGCGGTGGAGACCGGCTCGCTGGCGATGCGGATGATACAGATGGTTGTGGTGGTGAAGTAGCAGCAGACTGATTCTGCACCCCCGAGGGTGTTGTGGACGGCGGTATTGGTTTGGAGGATGTCTGAAGGAATGCTGTGGACTGATACGACGGTGGACCATTTTGGTGTGTGGTATTCAAGTTGCTCTGAGGTAGAACTGAAGGGGACTGCTGAGTGGGTGGAGCTCTCGCAGTTGAGCTCTGTGAAGCAGTATGCATATTATGTGCTGAGCCAGCCAGGGGCTGTTTACTGCGAAAAGCTGAGAAGTCCCTCACAGAGTAGCTAAGCGGATCGACTGTTCTAGATGGTCTTGATGGTACCTGCTTGGCTCGCCCTTGAGATTGCGCCGAATCAGGGAACGAAGACAGACTATAAGCTTTGAACGCCTTTGGTGGAGTGATAGGTATCGCGCTTTTTCGGACCTTGATACTTGAGGGTTTCGGTGGTGGGAAGCTAGACATATCAGTGACGCCTGCGCCTGATACAATGTCGTTAATGTCTATCTCTGGGCGGTTAAATGCAGCGCGGTCAGAAATCTTGTCGGCCTCTGACACAACCGGACCTGGATCTGCTACCCCAGAAAGAAAGGAATCGAGGAAGGAGGACGGTTTCTGTGCTGGTTTGTCCGATTTCAGTGTAATTTGAGACAGTTTCGTGCTTCTTTGTGCAGGTACATCCTCCGGTCTTTCGGGAGAACTTGTCTCCTTTACAGCTGGACCAGAAACATTGGTTGGCGAAGAAGTGAAATCACGACTTTTTGTGATAGCTGACGCATCGAGAAGAGGATCGTTCTGTGCTTCGACAGACAAGTCACCCTCTGAAATATTCCTCTGCTTCGCAGTACCAAAGGCTGTCGCTTGCTGGAGAATCGATGACTCTGATACGTCGCTTTTTGGCTTCGACCTCGACTTCGACGATTTGCGGGTCGCAGATGAGTTGGTCAACTCCAAGAGATCATTATTTTCTCTCTCGGTAATTTTGGTCTTCTTCTGAGTAGCAGTCGTCCTTGCTGAAGCCGTCTTCTCGATACTCCCAATGGTGCTGAAAGAACGATTTATCGAAGTTTGATTGATTGATACAGCATCTGGCTCGGTGGTTGACACCTCTTTATTTGCTTTCCTTGGCCTGCCTCGTTTTTTGATCACCAATTCAGTGGCCATGCTTGCCTTTTTAGATACCGAAGTCTAGGTTGAGTGGTGGCTTTTGCGTACTATGATGACAACTTTATTGAACAGAGGCGCAAGAGCACGCGTCGAGAGGTTCGTGGTGGAGACTGACGACTCTTTCTGATTGGCAGACAACTTGTTTCAGGGGTTGGACAACATTTTGAAATCGACTGACAGACTTCCTTTCTACACGTAAACACGTGTTTCATCCTTTTACAGTCCGTCTGTTCCTCTATGGAAAGTGAGTCCTTGTCGCTTGACTCGACCATTGGACATAACAACTCCTACCTGGTTGTGATCGCCGAACAGCGGAGCCAATCATTACGTATGCAACCAATACTCCTTGTGGTTAATGCATCTCCTTCGCTGTTCCATCATGAACAAACAACGTTGATGCATATTGAAGACATTGAGAACACTGAAATTGTTGCTAGGCATGCATGGTTCAACCACCTTATTCTGCTTGAAACACCCAAGCTGTCTACGATATTCAAACTGAGCATTTGTTGACATCAATTAAAACTACAAGCTCGGCAATGGATACAGAATCCCGTACCAACTCCAATATAATGCTGATGTGCATGCAACGTCTATCTTGAACACTATGCTTCAAACCGCAGGATCTTGGGGTTCTTGTGGACGAACCAATAACTTGAGTCTTGGTCCACCCTTTTTAGGGGTTCTCTTTGGGGACTTCTCCTTCGCTTCGACGTCGACTGGAGGAGACGACGGATTGGCTTTTTCTGAGTCTTTCGATACTCCCTTATTCGCAGTAGTTGGCTTTGGGTCATCTTTACCCTCCTTGCCTTTTCCTACCCGCCTTTCGTCACATTTGCAGTACTTCGTTATAGCTGCATTTAGATGTTCGGTGAATTGGGCATCATCGTCCCCAGTATCGCGTGTTGTTGCCGCGATTTCCGCAAACGTAGCGAGGAGTTCGGCTTCGTTAAGGCACTCAAGCTTACACTTGGATGTCTTATCGAGACCAGGTAACGACTTCTTTGGTTTCTCGCCAGGCCTAGCGTCTGCGTCTGTTGAGTCATCTATGCCGCGCTTCTGAGGTGACGCCGAATTATCAGCCTTCAAGGTGGTGGCTCTAGGACGAAGAGTCCTGTGCGATTTTTCAATGTCTGTGTTCCCTTTCTCCTGTGGACTTCTCGACTTCCTCGATTGCTGTGTTTTCGTTTCTCTCATATCTTGACGGGGACTGGCGTCTGTTTTCTTCTTTGGTGTCCTCTTCGTTGGTTCCGTGGCAGCTGGCGGCTCGGGACTACTTGATCTGACGTCGTATTCATGCTGTGACGGGCCATCAGCCAACCTGCTCGACTGCGTGGCCTTCACCTTTCGCTTTTTGGCCGGGCGACCATCGTCTTGCTGAGAGTCGTTGGTGTTCTCAAGACTCTTGCGCGTCGACATCTTGAGTATGATCTTGCTTTTCGGGGCAATGTTATCACTCGATGCTACTGAACTCGCTGTTGGACTGGCAGTGCGAGCACGTTTGTTGCTTTTACCTTGTGTCGAACGTTGAGTTGATGGTGTACCAGCTTTACTACTGGTGGCTTGAGAGCTTCGACCTATGGGACTCCCGGAATTCGTCTCCGGCTCCCTCGTGCTTTCCTTGCGTCCAGTATCGCTCCGTGTACCGTTGTTCTTCTTCATTTGTTTATATAGCTCGTTGCCACAATCAACATCCATGGCTTTGGCAGAGGGCTTATGAATTCGTCCAGATCTCCTGGGCTCGGCAACAGGCGTATTTTGATCCGCTTGTGAGCCACCAGGCGCTTTTGCTTTCTTCATGTTGCAGACCTTGCTTGGTGACAATGATACGATCTTACTGCTCGCCCTGGTTGTTGCGCTAGTTTGAGAGCACACGGAAGAACTACGAAGCTGAATACTGCCAACGTAGTCCGGATTAGGTGTGGTGACAGCAGTAGGCGTTGTGCTTGCTGAAGTATTCACTAGTGGGTCGGTTGTATCGCGCAGAGCATCGCATCTATCTGATCGAGTAGAGTATATACCCAGATGAGCATGTGGTGTAGGCTTAGGTACTCGAACCATTGTCGTAAGCATCGTTGATCGCTTGCGGACAGCAAAGCTTTGTCCGACTTGTTCGAGCATCTAATTTAGATGAGGCTGTTAGGGCCACGATGCCAGGAAGGATCAGTCCTGTTTGCGGAGCAAAGCGATGGTCTTCATTGTGCTAGATCACTCCGAGAAGAACAAAGCTCTCCCTAGCGATCCTCCAAAGGTTTCATGCCAGTTCTGCGGCGGCGGCGAGTAGAGATATGCCAGTGGTATGTGTTTTGTCGGCACAGTCTCGGTGTTGTTTGCTCTTGTCCATCCTACACTCGGTAGCTGGAGCAGCAACTGCAGCACCCGCCACAGATTACTTTAAGAAAGGGGAACAGGAAGGAGAGACAAATGCTTTGCGGAAGGAATTATAGCTAGATGCTGTAGAACAAGAATCTGTGTCTCCAGTTGTGGACTACTATATCTACACTGTTTGATGCTCCTCCCCAAGTCTTGTCCATTGGAATCAATACCAACTTTCTTGCGCTTGCTAAGTCCAACTCTGCCGTCCGTTATCAACCGTCACTCTTTAGACGTTCTGTGAGCCGATAGCATCAACGACTTGTCAGCTAGTCCCGTATCATATCCATTGGTGAATTCTGGGAAAGTCTCAGTTGTTGTAGCGAGTGCGGGAAACCTTCCTTCTTGAGACAAATGAACACGGTTCAGGTGCACCACTCTATACAACCTCACCACGAGTGTTCGTGAGTCGTCCTAGCCACAACTTCAGGATGAGGGTATTGGGCAACTTTTTGACGCTGGCTTTGTTCGCATTTTCTACACCAACTGTACTGGGCGCAAGCTGGACGTTCACGGATGCAACAGTGTCTGTGCAGAGTAAAGGCTCGGGTGTAGGAGGTGCTCGAAAGGAAAGGTATAGACGTTCAAGTCATGGTCGAGTGATGTACTAATTGGAGCAGCCTCACACCTGGCAAGCCATTGGCTAAACCCATTGAGTTGGGGTCGAGCGACAGCCTCAAGATTGTGCTCACAACTCAAGAAGGAAAGACTGCCAAACGACCGCACCAGGCATTCTTGCTACTCAGAGATGGCGCCTCGAATCTCGACCTTTCGTATCCACTAAGTGTCAAGGAATCAGGAAAGGCCAAGGTCGACTTGGTATGAGGACAAGAAGGCATAATTCGAAAGCGCTGGCTAATGGGGCATGTAGACACAGAAAGACCTTCCTACACAATTTCTGAGGAGCAATGCAAAGATAACTGCGCATCTGGTCGTTGCTTCTTTCGGCTCTTTCACCGGTTACAATTCTCTCGCTTTCAACCTCAATGTTGTCACGGATCAGAACATACCGGCTAGTACGACTGAGAAAGCCCTGAGATATGGGAAGTTGCCAGAAATACACCACATCTTCAGAAGTGATCCTAAATCACCTAACATTTTGATCAGCATTGTCTTCGCACTTGGAGCAGTCGCGGCGTTACCCGTCCTGCTCGGTGCAGTAAGTTCCAATATCCATCGAAGATCAAGTGCTGTTACTGATTGTTCTAGTGGTTGTTCCTTGGGGGCAATGTCAATCATTTCCAGAAGGCCCTGTCAGATGCACCCGTCGCTCATGCCTTGTTTGTTGGCTCAATCATAGGTCTCGAAGGCATACTGTTCATGTATTACTCAAGCTGGAACCTCTTCCAGACATTACCTGCTCTATTTGCAGTTGGCATGGTAACCTTCATCAGCGGAAGTCGCGCTCTTACAGAAGTCCAAGATAGGCGACTTGCAGGTCAACGATGAACTATGACCGCGTTTTTGTATTATAGATGACTTCCAAGGATAGACAAAACAGATCGATTGTGCATTTATGTAACCCATTGCGAGTGGTTTCCTACTCAATAGATCGTATGATGCGCCCTCTCCTGTTCCTCGAAATTTTTGAGGTCAACTCAAATGTTTACAGCTTTCAATAGGTACAGACAGATGCGACGAGATCAAAGATATTGTTAGAGATAGCCGAAAATTCAGTGCCTCGCAGCATGAGTTGTGGACAGTCATCGTGGTACTGTACTTCTGACACTCGAGAGATGTGCTGTGCTGTGCTGCCAGCGTCGCATGTAGAGAACCTGAAGACGGTTTAACCATCAACGTCGTTCGTGCCGACCACAATAAAGTCTTCGGCTCCAACGCCGTCTCACCGCTATTGGTCAACATACCTCGGGACATCCAGTCTTGAGAGAATCTCGAAAATGCTTTGAAAGCAGCATTGTACAGAGAATCCGCCCTATGTCATTTCCAAAAGTCGCTTTAAGCCAGGAGATCTGTCTCCAACTCATGTCCCTGCACTTTGTTTCGAATCCTCACATGTGGCTGTCATGTCACGAGCAGCAATTCACATGATCTCGCGCTCGCGCTCGCGTAGTCCAAGTCTAGAATCTAACACAGAAATCGACTCATTACGCAGAGACCACCAGCATAATGCTCCCAGCGATGGACCTAAACCACTTGAAAGCTCGAACGAATCTGGAATATCACCTGGTGTACAGTCAGACAGCCGAATGAATTTGACCTTCGACACACCTTTGCCATCGACCATCAGTGACAATTTGAATCTCAATAATTACGACTCCCCGTTCAGGTGGTCGCGAAACCGCAAGAACATATGCCTCATCCTTTCTTGCGCCGCAACATGGGCAGCTGCCTACAGCGCAGGATCATATTCCATCGCCTCGGGACCTCTCACTGCCAAATTTAACATATCTACCGAGACATTTCAAACTGGTGTGACAACATGGTGTGTTGGTTTTGCGGTAAGCCCTATGTTTCTTGCACCACTGTCCGAACTCAATGGGCGAAGACCGGTGCTCTTGTTCAGTGGATTCATGTTCTTCGTTGCACAAATCGGGTGTGCACTCACAAACAGCTTTGCGGGCATGCTTATTGCTAGATTCTTCGTTGGTGCTGGGGCCAGTACATTTGCAACAATTATAGGGGGAGTGGTGAGTGACGTTTACCATGCCGAGGAACGCAACACACCCATGGCGTTGTACTCTGCGTCTGCATTGGCAGGTACGGGTTTTGGACCTCTACTAAGTGGTTTCATCATTGGTCGGACGACCTGGAGATGGGTCTTCTGGCACCAAGTCATCAGCTTAGGCATGATCATGGTCGCCATAGCCGTACTGTTTAAAGAGACGAGAGGGTCGGTGCTATTGAGTCGGAAGGCGAAGAAGATCAATAAGTACTTGGACAAGTTGCAGCACGAGCAGATTGGGGACTGCATCTCCTCGTCTGAAAAGACAGGACCACAGTCGATGGATCTCAACGTACGCTACGAAGTTGCGGCTGACGCATCTCGCAAATCCTTGGCACATCTACTCTATTTGTCACTTACCACTCCATTCAAGCTCCTCGTGACTGAGCCAGTCGTGTTTGCGTTCTCCCTGTGGGCCGCCTTCGCGTGGGGTTGTCTCTACATGCAGCTCAACGTCTTACCTCTCGTCTTCGAGACCAACCACAATTTCAATACCCAACAGCAAGGATCAGTCTTCACCACTCTCATCGTAGGCACACTACTAGCTGCAGCATTGTCCATCGGCCAGGAATCAATTGCTCGAAAGCACTTTCCGAAACTGCTACAGGCTCCGGAAGGACGTCTATACTTTGCCTGTCTCGAGGCTGCATTATTGCCCATCGGCCTCTTCTGGTTTGGCTGGACATCATACTCTTCTATACACTGGATTGTCCCCTGCCTCGGTATTGGCTGTGCCATGATGGGGATATTCTCGATCTACCTTGCTGTTTTTAATTACCTTGCTGATGTTTACCATCGGTATGCAAGTAGCGCTTTGGCTTGTCAAAGTTTCTGTCGGAACATTTTGGGGGCTGTGTTTCCTCTCTTCTCACGGATTCTGTTCACAAGACTAGGGTTTCCGGCAGCGAGCAGCTTATTGGGTGGTGTGGCGGTGCTGTTAACGATTGTACCATGGATACTCGTATTCAAAGGTGAGACGATAAGAGCGAAGAGTAAAGTTGCAAGTGAAGTTATGAAGGTGCATGGCTCATGATGATATCTGTCGACTTCGTGTCTCTCCGAACCTCTAAGTTGCTACTTGTCTTCACAATAGATATATGCTGCGAAAGAAGTTCCTGAGAGCCAGGACTTCCTTCAGATCTTCAGAGGCCGCTATCTGCTGTACACTCGGATCACGATCGTACTCGAAACGCTTCACACATATCTTAGAAGAGTCATGTCCTCTCCAGCGACTTTGCGCACCACAGACTCAACCAGCGACCCTGAACTTCAAATCAACGGCGGTGCCAGCGAGCTCCGTACAGCGGAGCGTTCAGCTCAGGGAACCATCACGCTGAGACACGATGCCACTGCTCACAGTCCGTCAGTACGAGCGCCTGTCGCACACGGTATTTCAGCAAAGCCCAGGAAACCACTCATTACCTTGTCCAAGCATGCCGGAAAGAGCGTGAAGAGTATTTCAGCGAAGCAATATATCGACGAAGAGGAATGGGGGGACATGGACGAAGGCGATACATCAGATGAAGAATTCACTTTGGTCGAGCACGATGATGCAGAAGCTCTGATGATATACGACAGTCAAAGGCTACCAGTCGAATATGCTTATGGCAGTCTCCTCCAAACGCGACTATGTACAAAGATTTTGCGTGGAGATCCCTGCAGACAGTGCTTGCCACCTGTGACAGCACCTGGTGTGATCGACGAGCAATCTAGTGGAAGCGATGAGCATGTGAGGTGGGCGGATAATACTCAACGATGTGATGTGCAATCGAGCAAGTAAAGTTTGATCAAGAAAGACGTGGGCAAGGAGATATTCAGGCTGCTTGGCCACCCATGTATTTGAACATACGATATGGAGTAAAAGGTCGGGAAATGTCAACAGTATATTCCGGGAAGTGGCGCTCCAAACAGGTCGCTCAGCTAGTCTCTATTGAACAAAAAACGAAGCTTACAGTCTACGAAGTCGCATCTACCCTCGACTAGTCTTTTCGTTCGCCTCTTCGCCTAATGAATCTAGGTAAAACGCTCTATGCCCACACCAAGGAGCCCACAAGGACGAACACAAGTCCAGCTCTTTAAACCAAATCTCAGCAAACCCCAACCTTTGACAAAATATTGTGGCCCTTTCCACATCTCCTCAAGACACGTACTCCCTCCTCGCCGCGAAACTAATAACCTTCTCCCCCAAATCAAATACCGCAAGCACATTATTCAAGAACACATCTCCCAAAATATTAACCCCTCCCAAAGCCCCAGCACTTTGTATCCCACTAATACAATACCGTCCACTGACGTCAAACCGCTTAACCAGATCCTTCGGATTATGCCAGAACACTATTCCGTCAATCTGTACTCCTAATGGTGGCGCGACGGCGTCGCAAGTCACAACGTAGAAGCCAGAGGAGGGATCGATGAAGGTGGGTGGATCGAAGAGGGAGTTGTAGCGCTGCGCTAGGAAGTTGGGGATGAAGGAGAGGGTTTTGCCGGAGTCGAGGATGTATGCGCCGTTTGCGCTGCCGGGGACGATGCGGTTTGAGATCATGGTTGGTGAGGTGGTATTAGTGATGGGTATGGTAGTGTTATTGTTGTCATTGCCTTTGGGCTTCCTGCTGGGTTTTCTGTTATTCTTGCCACGTCCTCTGCCTGAACGGCCGCGACGTGTCAGGGTATTGCCGTCGGGTATCAAAGAGCCTGCAGGTAGCATCACCAGACCCTCAATGCTCATCAAGTAGTACCTGAACTGATCATCCCCAGACAGTACGTCAATCTCAGTCGTAGCAAATCGAAGATCAGTCACGCCAACCAGATCAGGCTGTGGAATACCACCAATAGTCAGGAACCCTCCAAAGCCACTTCCATTCTCATCACGACTTAGTGCCAGCGCGAAAACGGGCTTCGTCAATTGCTGCTTGAAGAACATGTTGTCGATCAGACTCGGATAGATGATCTGATTACAATTCTTGCCCTGGCCACCAGGTCGGCAGTACACACCAAGAGTGGGGTTGGTGCCGACGTATGCAGCCGTTAAAGCAGGGAAAGCCAGTCCAATGATACCGCTTGTTATCCCGTCTCCTTGCCACCCTGCTTCTTCTGCTAGCGAGATTTGTTGCTGGGAGACTGTGATGCCGGCGAGGGTCACGTCAACTGTGCCGAATGTGCCGATCAGGAACTCTCCATCGCCGTATGTGATATTGGAATTCTGATCTTCGATCGATCGGAAGTTGCTGTCAGGGGTATAGGTTGGGCCGAAGTAACAACGCTCCCGAGGGATGCGTTTCCGGGTGATCACATCGAGGCACTCAAAGGACGAAGATGCAACCCACGTATCTGCGCTGCCGGTATCAAGGACATGGAGAAAAGACTGTCCACCAATCGAGATGGGAGCAAGAAATGTAGCGGCCGTCGCGCGAAGTATAGCATAGCCCTTCTGATAGATCCGGCTTTCCGAGTCCGTAAGCCTGGAGGAATTGAGAGAGACTGGGCCCTGAGCTCGCTTCACGTTGCGAAGGGCTCGAGACGAATGCTGGAGGTCATGCTTGCTGCGACGCAGAGAGATGATCTTTACGGCAGTGGAGTCGTCGAGTCCTGCGCTTTCAGCGAAGCTAGATCCGACCTCGATGGGACTTGCAAGCAATGGAATCAGGAAGAGGCTCAAAGAGAGCAGCTCACGAATGTTGACCTGCATTGCTCGTGTGCATGACAAGGACGTGATGGTGTGAAATTTGGTGCAACCATCTGTGTATGTGAGTCGAGACATACTCCCTTGGTTAGTAGCATGAAGTCATGGTGTAGGTATAAGATTGGACTCACCTTGTACAGCCCACAGATCAGTCAATGCAGCGAACTCGTCAACGAGTCGGCTGAACATTCAGTGCAGGGTGTAAAAATATGCTGTGGCACAGACCTTTGTTGAAAGACGATCGTCTTGGCTGGAATGCTTCAGGTATGCTGTAGTTAAGAGAAAGGGAATCGTGAAGATGTAACATTAAAACGAAAAGCACTGCATTCAATTATCCGATACTGCTCTGATTGCGCTCAGGTATGTGCTCTGTCCTCTGCTTGCACCTGCCTTTGGATTATGGTTCCTTCCACCGTGCTAGCTGATATTTAAAACCACAATAGCAACACCAACACCAAGACCATGGCTAGCGGGCCGCATCGCCGCTCGTGATATCGTAAACGCCATACACATGTCACCAAAAATCCAGGTGCTAGTCCAATGTCTTACAAACTTCGAGGGTATCACAAAATCAGCGTTCAAGGAAAGGTTCCAAACAATGTTAATAAATATTTGAGTAGCTGTACAGAGCCAGTGGCAGGATAATATTCCAGAGTAGATGTAGTATTTAAGAACTCACAACGTATCCAGATTGTTGACCCTCTCTTTACTGTTATTATGTGTCCAGGTGAGAAAGTCGAAACGGTCTTTTCCTGTCAGAGAGGTCATGGAGGCAAACGCCTTGATCTTTGTAGGTTGTTGCTGAGTGTATGAGTCGAATTTGGGCTCGAGGATAAGTGATCTTCGATATTGGTTATGGACATTGCGATCTCCAGCTGCTCGTACGCGAACGCATTCATCCTGCAACCAGGTCTGAAGCTCATCAACCGAAGTCAACTTGTACGGTATCTGAAATCGTTGTAGATCCGAAATGATTTCTGCGGTTCTTGCATGTTTACCGAGGTTGATTACAGAGATGGTACCGTTGCCAGTCTGAAGCTCGCGCATGGCGGGGTTGCCTTGATCAGTAAAGATAAGATCTGTCCTGTAAATGCCAACATAAGGCAGACAGGGAAGAGCAGCGCTCTCGAAGCGCCTCCGAAGGCAAGCATAATTCTTCTCGTGACTGCAGATTTCTGTGTGATAATCATGCATCGACTTCGTCTTCTGTCCAACAAGTTCCCATGTCTTTTTGAGGCGTAAAATAGCTGTGGTGTTCAGCGATGCATTAATGGTCATAAAAGTTTCGTAATTGTGTAGCTCAAGACATTTGGAAGTTACTTTGATCCATTGCTTCAGTAGCATCGCTCTCTTCTTAGTATCCTCTAGCTGCAATATCGACTCAACTACAAGGTTGTTCAGGTCTGTGGATAGTTGAGCCATGGCTCGAAGGTTGACAGCGAGCGAACTAGATGGCTTAGTAAACTCGCAACCAAGTAGCTCCTCCGGGAGTACTGAACAGAAAATCGCCGATGTTTTGATGGTAATTTGACGGGCCAATTCCATAGGATCGAATTCTAGAATACTCAGAGTTGAGGCACCCATCTTCCACATCTTCAAAGCGTTAAGCTGACTCTTCGACAGAATTGAGGGTGGCGCCGGCTGATCGGGGTCGATTTTAGATGAACCGACCGTGTTGGTTTTGCCCATGGCAGATAATATTCGGGGTACAGCCGGAGCATGAGTAGTGCGAACAACATGAACCAGATCCAGCAGCCGGGAGCCTGCTGATGGCAGCAACTGCGTAACCTTTTCCTCGAAGAAGCTTGTAATGTATGGTATAGTGGGTTCGTCACAATCATGGCGCCAATGCGATTCGAGCCAGCCTTTGAAGACATTGGAAACTCTGAGCCGGACAGGATGGGAGATTTTTGGGCAAGCCTCGATATACTCAAAACGAGCAACTAGTGCTTGAGCAAATTCGAGAGGGTTTGCAAATAGTCTGAAGGTCAGATATACCATAGTGACGAAGCCTGAATTAGGTGTTGCTTCGTGCGACGTCAGCCGTTCTATGATGGCGTTGAGGCTGCCACCAATGAGACGGCCTTCGGAACTGACTACAAGCTCGTGGGCGTAATGATGCTCCAGTAAAGCATCGTCGTCGTCGTCATGATCGTCGTCGACCTGTTTCGGACTGTTTTTCACCTGCGCATCAGGGGACGTTGCACGAGTCGAAGTCTCCGAGATGAAGCTGGGACCAGAGTAGCGTGGAGACGAGACAAGAGTGCTTTCGCTCTTATGGAGCATTGTTCGTGCAAGAGATTGCTCCTGCTGAGCGTGCGCTGCATCCGCATGATAGACATGAGCAAACGAATCCGATGTTGGACTAATGGGGCTTTCGGCCAGTTGTGTGCACGCGCTGCTTTCGCCACATTCATTAGACGGTCCGAGATCCTTTAGAACACTCAGTCTGGATGAGGAATTCCCCTCGAGGCTTAGTTGTGTCCCTCGTGCTAACGAGCATGGTGCCAGGAGCGACTCCGTGGGTGAAAGTGAGTCAGCGTTGGATATGGAAGCGACATCTGACGTATTGACACGCAACTCGAGCTCGAAATCTCCGATATCTTCAAGCAAGACTCTAGCCTTGGCAACACAACGGCCTGCGCCGCTCACGCAAGCAGTAGCTGCATTAACAAGGCGTGCACCTTCACCAGGCAAATAAATCATATCATCGTCCTCGGTATGCAAAGGACGAAACACCTCTCTTGCGGCATGGACCAAGGTAGTGATTCTGTCATACATGACGTCTTTGGCTTGTTGAAGATCGTCCGAGTTCAAGGAGTCGTGTTCCAAAATGATTTCAACGACCTCCAAAAGTTTGCGGCAAGATTTCACAGCTTGTTGTGTTGTCAAGAGTAACTCGGATGATGAGCGAGATTGCATGTGCGAACCCAGGAAGGAAGCGAGAACACCGAGAAAAGCGTCGTAGGTGTCACTGAGTTGTTCAGAGGCCATGTTGCCTTGACGAATATGCAGGTTCCTACTGGTGTAGGACATGCGATGTGTCACTGTAGATGGCCTCGAAATGGAAGCAGGACGAGTCCTGGAGTAGTTCATGCTAGGACAATTCGAAGGTCTTTGGCTACCGTAGAGGCTGGAGCGTTTGCTGGCAGGGCGAACGATGCTGGCACGCGCCGTGGTTGGAATGATTGGAGAGAGTGCTTGGGGCGAGCGAGAGGTGAATCGTGGACTGCGAGTGAAGGCAACATCTTCGCTCCATATGTCGAAGAAGGTGACTGCGCGAGTTACGACCTGGAATGCCTTCAGCAGGAGGTCATCCGAAACTTTTTCATCGAACTCGGGCGATTCAGGATTGAGTCCAGTCAGCTGTGCAGATTTTGAAGCCTTTACAAGCAAGGAAAGATCGGCCAGAAGGCCTTTCCTCGTTCTTCGAATACTGTCGTATTCTTTGACCAAGACAGCATCTCTTGTAAGGCAGTCGGATTTCTCTAGCAGGAAGCGAACGCCAGCGACCATACCTCGCATGTAATCATGGGTACGGTGCAGCTCAGGAACGTCTGCGTTGTCGCTGCGTATAATGTCCCAGAACTCGGTCAGTGCTTTGAGCAACGGTCGCATGGTTGCGTAGTCGTATGGCTCGCAGTAATTCGTAGGCAGCCAGCCTCTCGCCCCAGTCTCCAATAATGTGCCATCGGCCCAGCCATTTGTGTGAATAGAATGAACCAACACAATGTCGCCAGAAGTCAGAGGGATGGTCACGGAGGTCGAGGAAAACTGGTCCTGCGGCTGGAAAGGATAGGAAGCGCGAAGGAAATTTTGGAACTTGGGTCTTGGTGAATATGGCTCCTCTGGCGCGTCCGGGAGTTCCTTGTCATGGTGAAGTCCGGAGTCCACCTTTGCGGCGAGCTGAATGCTCTCGCTGAGATCCTTCTGACTCTTCCTAATGTTCAGCGGAGCCACGTGAACGCTGTTGTACCCTCCTTCTTGCATGGTTGGACGACTGATTGATCATGCATCCCACGACCTGTAGAGCGCGTCCAGTCTGTAATCTTTTTCGAGTGCGATCGGTTGTTTGTTTTTGCGAGAGGGGGCTGGTCCGGAGGAGCGTTTGGAATGCCCAACCGCGGAATGAAGCACGGCCCTTGATCGGTCGAGATCTGTACAGATCTTACTACAGACCTGAGGTAGACATTTTGAGCAAGTCTTGCAGTGGTTTTTCGTGTTCCGAGGTAGGTTTTGAGAGATGTGCCAGGCTGGTTCGTGAGACTGGCTACAGAGCCAACAGACTGGTTTTAGGTTTGAGTTTCAATAGCCTCAATGCTCCGCAGGAGGCAATCGACAACCCTGGCAAGGAAGGAGCGACTGGGGTAAGGGACCGATCTGGAGAGAGAGGCAAGGAGCAACGGTGTACTGGATACGATGTAAGGTAAGGAAATCAGAATTGATGCATATTGCACGACAGTTGTCCTGCTCATAGCTAGATCTAGCTATCGGCGAATTTAGGACAGCACGATGCCCACACAACCTGGGCTCGCTAGCCATTGTGATTTCTGCAGGATCTGACGCTGGCTTTGCTTCAACGCCTCGTCTTCACCCCGTTACTAGTGGACATTGGGACGGAAACTTGAGCCCGATGTTCGGGTGGTTCGCACTTAGGTATGTGTAGCGAATCCACTGTGCACAAGCTGTTAAACGCGATGATGCCAGTAACAGCACGCGTTGCTCGTGATCAGCATAGATTAGTGTTCCTGCTAGGTTCTGTTTTTTAGTGCTAACGAATCTTTAAGAAAGCAGGCTGAAGATTCTGAAGCACGCCAAAACGAACATGGGAGACACTCCCTTGCTCATCACGAGAGAGAAGAGGTCAATGGGATAAATCGAATTTTGGGGCTCGATCAGCCATTGGCTTCTTTTTCTCCGCGGCAGATACATGGCGCTGCTGCCAGTGGAGGCACAGCTTCGTACCTTTACGATTCGGGTTTAGGCACAAACTCAGGGAGTCGGTCTCCGGCAGAATCTGTCAGTGGAAGCGTTCCGATCGTCACTCATTTCCCGAGATGCTCATTTCCACAGACTCTATCTGCTTAGCGCCACACCATTGGGAATGGCAACATCTGTCTCGACTGGCGACGATGCGTGCTTACTTCGGTGGCTACATTCATGACAACATCTTTGGATGTCACAGTGACTGTTCAGCGAACCTGGAAGACATGTCTGGACAACTGTCAACAGTTACAACCGGCACAAAGGATGAGTTGAATGTGTACGTTACATAATCGTAGTGCATCTCCTTGATCGACATTCAGCATTAAATATCGTAATGACCCAGCTAGACAAAGAAGTGCACATGCCAGTTGCCCGACAACAGCACGATCGTCCTTGTTCAGTTTCCAAAACTCAGCAATCTTATCTCGAACATCAGATCGAGAACCACTGGAGTACGTGGACTTGCGGTGCGTTGACTCCGGCGTGCCTTGCTTGTGATGGATACGTCCTTTACTGAAGGCTTTGTGCAGAAGTACACTAATCGTATGAAAAGAGATCATTCCCTTGTTGAAGTTCCCAACCTAGGCGTGAGGGGATTCCACTCGACCAAGCACCGATGTAGTGCCTTGGGTGGTTGTCAGAAGTGTAAAGGTCGTCAAGCACCACTTACGAAGGCATTGAAGAACAATAGCCGATCACTGACGCCGACGATCACATTTTCCAAAGGTGCATGCCACCCATCGCCGAGCACGAGCCAAGGTTTCGTAGTTGTACTAAACGTTTTCGTGCCGCTTCGTCACAGTGCTATCACCTGAACACCCTTGCTGTGAAGAAGCCTCGCCTAGATGCAGAGCGCGGCACCGAGCCGGGTCTATACCTGCTACGACAGCCTTGCCCCCCTCTGTATGTCAATTCAGGTGTTTCAATTATCTCACATCTTATCTTCTTCGCTTATCGCTCGCGTGTGCCGCGTGGCGAGGACACATTTCTGGTCTTCTAACCCATTCCAGGTACCGGTCAGCGAGGAGAATGGGCTCAATCCGCGTTCGAATGCTGGTTTGCCCGCGCTTCTCCTAGCGCTCCGTACGCGTCTTCAAGTCGACATGCACTGCACGTTGTCTTGCCATGCATCGCTTGGACCCATTCTGCGTGAACTCGGAGAATTTTGCGATTCCAGTGAATGGTCACCGTGCTTTGGAGCTCGCGATTAGAGGAGAATGCTTCTGCATGTGAATGAATTGCCGGTTCTCTCTCTCCTTGTCTCATTGTGGCTGGGAGGGATGAGCACGTATCTGCTCCTGCTTGTTGCTCCACCCACTATCTTTTATCCTTGCGACGACGCACTAGAACCACTCTGCCTGATGCACTGCATACATTTCGATTTTGGTGGACCGCGAAGCTGTTCGACGTGTCGGACGGTCTAGCCGACTCACAAGGAAGTGGCAAAGCTAGTCGATATGCTTGGCTGTGTCTTTTGCACGGTGCAAGCCGACCTCAGCGCATCCCGTTGGTGCAAGGTCGATGGAAATCCCATGTGCAATGGCCATGTCCTGGTACTTTTATTTCAGTATAGGAAGCGGCCAGTTGCTCGATGGAGGCGAAGCCACACAGCAGGTTAGAGTTGGTCTCAACGACTCTCAAAATTTATCGTAGTGTTGCCAACTTCTTTGCCGTTCCTCGAGGAATTGAACGCTAAGATGCCGTCTTCTGCACGAAAGTTTGCCTCCAGGTCGTATTTGAACCGATACACGGTCATGCTGAATTCATCGCTGTATTCGCTTCGGTCGACGTTTGATAAGCTTGTGAATTGAGTGATTACGACCCCCTCACGAACAATGCTAACGTGATCCGGACGCTCTGGTGGCACATCGAGGGGGCAGGAGTACAAAGTCAACTTGCTGCGCCACTCCTCGCCGTCTTTGACGCTGGTTTTAACAGTTCTCGCTACCTTGAAGTCAGAGTCGATTTCCTGTCCCTAAGTTATGTCAGCACAATACTGATACCACGTTACATACAGCGCTCACCTTGGTTACTGTCCAGTGCATCCTTGTGCACAGCTTGTGGCCCTAGGAGAAATGTCAGCCCTAAGTAACATTGAGCAGGACCACAGGCCAGGTGTTTGCTGGGCCGAAGCATCCAAGCGTATTGGCCACATGCAATCACGGCTTGACTTTCAACGATAAACGAGTCACCGTATTGAGTTCGATATGATGATCATGGTGGATGGGGACGAGGGAACCCTTGATGAAATCGGAATATACTCACTGTGTAGATGTCGTGATATGCGTCCTCTTCATCGTCAATGCCTTCCCTGAACGCGCAACCCCAGCTCCAGCCATAGCTGCGCTTAGCAACTATGGTCGTTGGTCGAATGCCTTCAAGGCCTCTTAGAACTGCGCCCTTGACGATGGCCGCTTGGCTGATGAATATGTTAGCGGCTCCGACTTAGCCACGATGACAATCGTGTATCATACCAATCTGTTGGACACGTAAAACGTCTGATATCGTTTGATGTGCACCACGATTTGAGGCGAGCGTTCAGGTATGGGGAGTCCCCGAAGCCGCCTATCAGAACAACGCGATTAATCTTGGCGTTCTTTCTCGCAAGCTGCGCTTTTTGTTCTTCCACTTTCTTGATCACACTTTCCACCACAGGATCAAAGAACGACTTCATTTCGTGTCTGACACAATGTTAGTCGGTTGAGCGATCGTCAAGCCTGAGTTTCGTGTACCTTGCCACTTTTACAACTTGCTCATCTTCATCATATTTGATTGACGCAACATCCAGGTCAAGTTGTATGGGACCAATTTCAAACACATCTCTCTCGTCGCTACGGTCACCAAAGTTTCGCTTGTGCGACTCGAAGGATTGCATGAACAAACTCCCGGGACCGCGTTTCTTTGCGTCAAGGGCAATGTATGCCTCGCCAAACTTTGCTTCCATCCATTGCACGAATGCGCGATCAATCGCGGTTGCGCCACACTTTGCACCTATGTTCCTGTCAGCCTCCGTGCCTCGCCATTGTTACAGCAATTCTACTTGCCTGTTCCCACGCATTTCTCACGATGTGTCAGATGAGGTGTGACGGTTAGGATCTCATAAGTGATTAGATCCACAGTACCGCCTCCGCAGTCACAAATTAACACATACTCTCCGGGCTGATTTCACTTTAGTCGTTGCGAACCACTTGGCCATTGACACTCACCTTCAATGGGTCTAATGCAGTAGGACCCAGCTATTCAGATCGTTAGCTCGGAAGCCGGCCACGACATACAAAGTACTCCAATTTGACCAGCAATACCAAGGCTGGGTCGAGAGCTACTCACATAGGGTTTCAGTGCCCAAAGGGCAGCCGCCTCAGGCTCGGTAATCATCTTGACAGAATCTCCAGGTCTACTCCCAAACCCTGCGCGCAAGGCAGCTTCGCGGGTAGCGTTTTGAGCGGCGTCGGACCAGATAGCTGGCATTGTCACCCAGACCTCGATGGGCAGATATCGCAGAATTTGAGCAAAATCCCTCTCGAGTATTTGCATTGTGTGTCGATAAACCTCCGTCATGAAATCGGCCACAACATCTTCTGCCGTCTTGTTTGGTGGCAGACCAAGGAATCCTTCAGCACCGTACATTTGACGCAGCAACGGATCGTCATGTTCGGTCAGTCGGACATGCTGATCGAGCAACAGCTTGGTCCATGCGTACTGCTTGAGACCTCGAGTACATTCGTATCCCCAATGGTTCCTCGAGATTTTCTGCTGATTCTCTGATGCATAAGCAAGTATCGAAGGGGCCTTCCACGATTGGTCTCGATGGTTCGGCCACCTTGTTACAATCACAATGTCGTCGCTTGTTTTGTTGGAGGTCACGTAACTAATACCTGAATACCTCAGTAACGCAAGTAGGCTTTTGGAGACTTTTTCTTACTGACCAGTATAAGTTGTGCCATAATCGATCGCTACTATCAGCTTGTACGGCTGATGAACTCCAGACACTGATGGTGTTGGCGACATCACCGACTCCCTCGACGGCTTCATTCTCCTAGAAGGCCTCATAATTGTGTGAAAGAATGGATACGTCGCTACTACTTGGTCAAACTGAAAGAACGGACGAGGTTACTCTTGAAGTCTTCAATCGCAACACGAGTTGGTCTATACGGCATGCTCGCTCTTCACCACCAGCTAAGCGAAGCTGCAGCTTCGCCTGCATGTTGGACTTTTCGAAGGCGCAAGGCATAATTATGCACTAGCAAAATTACAAGTAAGTACAGTAATTTTCAGCGACGAAACCCCACTATCGAAACGATTCATCAACCACATCAACACATGCCTCGATACAAGTTAGGAAGAGCTGCCAATATGACTCTGTACAATAGGTGTACCCTGAATTGGTTGTATCAATGGGCTTGATCCTAGTATAGCAAGATTTTGCAAGTTACTGCAGACAAAATTGCCGTTGCGACATGCCACATTTGGTTGCCGTACACACAACCTATAGAGTCTCTTACCAGCCAGTCGGCAACACGCAGAGAGGCATGAGCGACACCACCAAAGCCGGGTATGACCCGCAAGTCGTTTCCGCGGATGAGGTACAACACGTCAAGCCATCTACATCTAAGCAAGAATCAAAGGACAACATAATGAGCCAAGCACCTGAGGGTCGTGTCGAGCCTGAAGCAGATGCCTCGAGGCAGAAGCGAGATGCTGAAATAGCAGCTATAGTATCTGAAAAGTATGTGTTTCCTAAAGATGCATCGGTCAGCAGATGCTAACGGTGTTGCCTCAAAGGAAGATTCTGGAAGCAGAGTTGGCCCAAGTGAAAAAGGACATGTCCATAATCGAAAACCAGCTGCAGTCCTCCAAGAGGGAGCTATCGTCTCAGAATCGGGCTTTACAGAAGCGTTTGCAAAAGGCCGAGAGTGACTCCAAGACGGCCAATGTCCGAGCAACAACCAAGATTACTGAACTCGAGGGTAAACTCTCTGCGGCAGAAAGCAAAGTCCAGCGTTTATCTAGAGAAGCCTCTGCCACTATTGACTCCATGACTGTCACACATTCACAACAAACGGCTGAATACGATGATCAAATCAGGCAGTTGATGGACAGACTTACATCTGATCGATCCGAGGGTAGATGGAATCCACCGCCCGACGATGAGATACGTCAACGACTATCTATCTTGAACAACGATATCAGAGACTGGTCGAGAGATTGGGCTGTCCGCAATCCCAACTTTGACCAACACTTTCAAGCAGAGCTCGTCAAGTTCTTAGCTGACTTCATTCGCATGGATCGCGAAGGACGATTGCCATCATATTTCAGGAAAGCCCCCAGGAAATTACACGATAAGTTGTCGGCTACATTACTGCATGCGGCTGTTTCAGATGAGATCCAGGATAGCTTTTTTGAAAGTCCATTTTTCTGCCTCGGACAGCTGGAACAGCATGCGATGGAGTCGATCTTCAAAGACTTGACGCTCGGTAAGTGCCAAAAGTCGAGTGACGGGTACCCTGACTAACCTGGTAGCAGCAGACCAAAGGTCTGCCCATTTATGGCGAGCATCGTTATGGCGTCAGCTACATCCGGTACATGTAGCGCGAGTGCCTAATAACGTTCAAACTGTATCGGACAAGGTCAGGAATCGCGTGGAGAAATATTGCGAAGAGATAGAGACAAGTTTCATGAAGGGTCCTGTCTCAGGCCTATTGGCACAAGTCCGTTCGGAATCCGAAGCTCAAACACGAAATAATAAGCTGCGAAAAATCTTTGTTTCGGCTGCCACAATCGCGACGAGCTTATGGACGCAGCAGTCATACCTAGAGACTTTCGATCTACCAGTAATCGAAAGTCGGAAGATGGTATACAAAACCTCTTCAATCCACATGCAAGGCCACCCTCTAAGCAAGGTCGATGTGGAAGACCCTCGTCATGATGGTCGGCAGATCGTGGCAGTAATAAGGCCAGCTCTTCTAGTATTTGATGAAGACGACTCATCTGGACTCGACGGGGAGCGTTATCGGGTCTTGGCCAAAGCCATTGTACTTCTGGACGATTGTAACTAGAGCTGCGAAGAGAGGTGTGCCGTAAATGGCATTCCGAGTGATTACTGTCTTTACAAGAGATAACACAGAAACTCTCTGTAAGGTGGATTGAATTTGACCTTGCGGAGGCAGAGTGCTGGCTCTCGGGCAGTGAGAGCGCCGTGCGGGCCCGACTGCAAGGTCGATGATTGGGCGATCGTGCGCCTAATTGAGGGGAGTATTGCGCCTTCTGAGCCTTGTTCAGGATAACGAAAGTGATAACCAATCCATTCCAACCACGTTTTCCGACTAAGAAATGCACGAACGATATAGGACCCAGCCAGCATTTTTGGTGCGAGGCACTTGTCGTTGATTGGCGAATAGGCTCACCACCTTTCAGCTACTCGGTCCATGCTTTCGCGCATCGCTACCAGAGCACTACGAAAAGGCACTGACTCCAAGTCTTTTTGCTACAATGAGGCGACCCCAGACTTTACTGACTCCGTCGATCGGCAAATTATGCTGCTTCATATGTCCGGATCAAGAATCGCTCCTCGAGCTCTGTTAAGCCGTGAATCTTATAGATAAGGCACTTTGACTTTGATGCTATGTCTCTTGGTAAGTCTGGCTGTTCTCGGCACCACTAAGGCAGACTCTATAAGCCATTTGAACAGGCAAGGTTTCACGTGAGAGTTGTTGTTCAATGTGATTATCTTTAGTAGGGGAGTCTGATCTACAAATCTCAAGGCAAAGACCTTGAAGTGAAAGGACCTTTTGCGTCTTTACTCAGATCGTCTCACTTTCAATCTCGTTCAAAAAGTGATTGTGACAACGACTGTTATACTCGAAGCCAAATACTCCTTCCATGTGAGGACTACAAGCTTAACTGCAGCAGAGTATCTTGCGACTTTCAACGGCAACACGTGGTTGACTCCGTTGCCCCCAGTTGACATCCAAGATGAGGCGAGACAAGGTCTTCGTCGGTGTGATGGGTGTGACTGGTGCAGGCAAAAGCACCTTCATCAAAGCTGCCACTGACGATGAGAGCGTTGTCGTCGGCCACGAACTCACTTCGTGTAAGACTACGATGAAACCTGATGTTTGCATCCCTACTCACATAGCTCAGGTACAACTTCCGTATGCCCCTACACCTTTACGCTCGAAGGAAAAGAGGTTGTTCTTATCGACACTCCGGGTTTCAACGACACCTTTAAGTCCGAAGCCGAAGTACTCAAGGAGATAGCATCTTTCCTCGGCAAGTAGTCCCACAAACTCGCATGGTTTGCTGTTCGTGGCCAAACACGGGTGTGGTTTCATTACGTTCCTGAGCTAATTTTGAACAGAGAAGAGCTACCGCGACAAGGACATAAAACTTTCAGGGATAATATACATGCATGCACTGGAAGACAGACGTATGAGTGGCTCATCTCTACGCAATCTGAAGATGTTTCGACAGCTTTGCGGAGAGCAATCTATGCAGAATGTTATTATGGTCTCCTCGGGATGGGACCTACTCCAAATGACAGGACAAGAGCGCCAGGGTGAAGCCAAAGAAGCTGAATTGATATCGAACAAGGACTTTTGGCAGCCAATGATCAGCAAGGGTGCTCGTTTAGCACGATTTTTGAACACGAAGGAATCTGCACACTCAGTAATCTCAAAACTTATCCCAGATCCTCCCATTGTTCTACAGATTCAACACGAACTTGTGGAAGATGGGAAAGACCTCGCAGACACGGCTGCGGGTGTGACAGTCAACGAGGAACTTGCTAAGCTTCAAGCCAAATATGAACACCAGCTAAAGGAGATCCGCGAAGACATGACTACTGCACTGAAGGATAAAGACGAGGAGATGAGAGGAATTCTCGACGAAGAACGAGCCAAGTTAGAAAGACTGCGTGATGAAGCACGGCGAGCCCAGGACAGTCTACGGTATGCACAACGCAATGCTCAGCGCCGGCATGAAAGTGAACTGCAAGACTTGCGACTGGCACTCGAAGAGAGTAGGAAGGAGTCCATGTCACAACGCGAAAAAGACCAGCGAGCGCTGATGGAGTTGCAGGCCTCCAAAATCGCCGATAAACTGGAATTCAACGACCTCGTTGCTCAGCTCAGAAAGCAAATGCAGACTTTACGACGGGAGGAACAAACAGCGATAGAGACGGAGATTGTACAAGCTGAGCAAGAGCTGGCAGCCGAGGAAGCCGCATTGAAACCACAGAAGCCCAATTTAGATCAGAAAGCCAAACTTGCTAAAAAGGAAAAGAGGAAGAAGAGAGCCTTCAAACTAGCCATGAATGTTGCAGGTGTCGTGGGTTCCGTTACGATGAGCGCGTTGGGTCTTGGTTTCCTTTCGGGACCCTTGCAAGGATTGATGTTAGTATACAACTTGTTTTCTCAGGCGTCAAGCTGACAATGGTGGTAGTGATTTCAACGGATCCAAAGATGAGCAGGCTCCAGCTGGTGATGAGCCTCCGGCGTACGAAGGGTAAACTTCGAACAAGAGGCCGATGCGAAGCATTACTGGCATATGGCGCCTGAGGTCTATATTTGCTTGCAAGCGTGTCGTATTGGTTTCTATTATAAGTCGTATCATTTCCAGCCTTATTTTTGTGGGGAGCGCGTCTTTCCCCGCACATTCCACCGCGTTTGGCACGGCAATAAAAGTAATGTCCATGCTAAAACTCCGAGACATTTGCGGCTATACTCCAATGATCGGCAGGTAGGAGGAAGCAGCTCCTGAGATGATGACCTAAAGAGCCGTCATTTCTGTCAGCTTCAAGCTAAGAAGCAGAGGAGCGGTCAGAAACGAGTAGTTCATTCATAGTGTGTTCCATCGTAGCCACTGTGAAAACAAAAGGTTCAGAACATCCCTCACTACAGACTTGAGTTGCTGGAAGCCAAGCACTAGCCAAGTATCTGTCTATATCAAAGTATATCCGTCACAAATCTACCTCTACTGTTCCAGAAACCACGTGCAAACATGGGCGACGCTGGCATGCCACAGGCTCTACAAGAGAGCGTCAACTCGACTAAAGTCTCCTATGCACAGCTAGGAAAATGTGGCCTACGCCTCTCTGTACCTGTCCTAGGTGCCATGTCCTTCGGCCACAAAGACTGGCAGCCATGGGTTGTCGACGACGAAGCCGAAGTCGAGAAGCTGCTTCTTGGTGCTTGGGAGCGCGGTCTAAACACCTGGGACACAGCCAACGTCTACTCCAATGGTGTCAGCGAAGAAATGATCGGTCGAATCGTGAAGAAGCACAATATCCCACGACACAAATTGGTCTTGTTGACCAAGTGCTTCGGTACAGTCGGTGAAGAACCCAATGTTTCGCATATGAAATTCGGTGGTGAAATGAAAGCGAGCAAGGACTATGTCAATCAGGGAGGATTGAGTCGACAGGCTATCTTTAATGCGGTCGATGCTAGCTTGAAGCGATTGCAGATGGATTATATCGATCTACTGCAGATTCACCGCTATGATGCTAGTGTGCCAGTAGAGGAGACCATGAAAGCTCTAGATGACCTTGTGCGAAGTGGGAAGGTTCGATATATTGGTGTGTTGGATCTTATGCTGCACACGAACCCATGCTAATAAGAGAACAGGTGCTTCGTCAATGTGGACATACCAGTTCGCGAGAATGCAAAACATTGCCGAAACCAGAGGATGGACTAAATTCGTCAGTATGCAAAACCACTACTCATTGTGCTACAGGGAGGAAGAGCGCGAGATGAACAAGTACTGCCACGAGACAGGTGTTGGTCTGATCCCATGGGCACCGCTTTACAGAGGCTACCTTGCACGACCTGTAGATTCCGCTCAGACCGAACGAGCCGAGTCGCTAAAGGGCAATCCTATGGCTGGTCAAATTGGTGAAGCTGACATCGAGATTATCAAGAGGGTCGAGGAGCTAGCGAAAAAGAAAGGTTGGAAGATGAGTCAGGTTGCGCTTGCCTGGATTATTCAGAAGGGCACCATACCCATCGTTGGTTTCAGCAACATCTCGAGACTTGACGAGGCGGCTGGAGTGAGAGGCAAGGAATTGACGGAAGAAGAGATGAAGTGGCTTGAGGAGCCGTACGTACCAAAGAATATCCTCGGTCATAGCTAGAGGATAGGCTTATGAATGTAATCATAAGGCTTCTGTCAGTGAGTTCGTTACAAGATTATCAGTCTCGATGATGTCCACGTATCACAAGAATAGTATATGTCTCCTTCAACAATTCTATCAAAGAGGGCAAAGAGACCTTTTAAGAGGCTATATTACCCCACTTCGATCTACTATCTTCGTACGTCAAAATTCTCTCGCATACCTCTTCGCAGGTGAAGCTTGTCTTGATCTTCAAGAGAGCAAAACGACTAAGAATAAAAAGTAATCTAACGCAAAAAGTAAATGATTGAGATCTCTCCCTCGGGGAATCTTGGAACAATTAGCATTGTCTGAGTTGAGATCTTTGAAATAGTCACGTACCGAACCCCGGTCTCCCGCGCTTGTAGGTGTCCCTAAGACATTGACAAGCGGAAATCATGACCACTAGCTGCGACGAATTAGCACCCGAATTTGGGGCCAGGATACGTCGAAACTTACACCAAGGAAGAAGCCTATCTGGTTGACCAGACATCTTGGACTGATTTAGTGGCAAAAGATGGTTGGCGATGGATATATATCGCATGTTTTGTGCGGACTCTTTATGCCAAGACCAAGTCCGTGGGCCGGATGTTCCGCAACACCGCGAGATGCAGTACAGGGCTCAAGTATCCTCGAAATTTCACGACGACGACTTGATAAGACTTTACATCTGTGCACCAACACAATAGATTGCTATCTTAATACCCACTCCCATCGTCCAAGCCCGGCAGCACACCTTCCTTCTTCATTCGTGCACTAACCTCATCAACGTCCTTCCAGACTCGCAGGATATTTCCACCCACAACCTTCTTCACATTCTCATCACTCACACCCATAGTCAAGAGTTCCGCGACGAGATCAGGAAACTTATCCACACCGTCTAGACCTTGGGGTGTCAGGTCGCCCATGCCATCGTAATCACTACCTAGCCCGACGTAGTCGTACCCAATCCGCCCTCCGATATACGTTATATGTCGGGCTACCTGATGCAAGGTATTGTTCTTTATCACGAAGGTAGGTAATGAGAAGTGCGGTTCGTTCTTGAGAGTATTGTTGTTGGACGACACACACGATATGAATTCCGGAGAGAAGTTGACCATAACTAGACTCTTGCTCTTCGGCACAAGATCAAGAATATCGTCCCTCACATTCCGAGGATGGGGACAGATTGAGTACGCTGAACTGTGGCTGAAGACAACCGGAGCTTGGCTGATTCGCTTGTCTGTGCTCAGAACAGCCTTTTGCGTCCAGTAGCTCGTATGGCTGATATCAACTATCATGCCTAGACGGTTCATCTCTTGTATTACACCCAGCCCACGTTTCGTTACTGCGCCCTCCTTTGGTCGCAAGATATCATTGACGACATGTGGAGGTGTCCTAAAGTCATTCATGACTAACGCAGCATCCGCGAAAGCGTTATGACAGTTCCAAGTCAGTGTAGCCATGCGGACACCTAGCGCATAGTACGATCGCAACATGCTCATGGGAGCAGAGGGTAAGACTTGATGTAGCCCTTCGATAGAGATCGGGCCGAAGAAGGACTTGGTGTCGTGCCACTGAGCCAACATATTAACTCGTCCACTTTCATCCCCGCTAGATAGGTTCGTGGCACTTGTAAAGTCTTGCGGGTACTGCTTCTGTAGATTGTTTAGCAGATCTATCTGCTCAATTGTATGAGCAGCAGCAGAGGCGTAGTTCTCATCACTCATGTCATAGCTCGCATTCACCGGACAAACGACAAAAGCACTCCAAAACGCTCCTCCTACTTTTCCAGCCCGCATTCGTGGCAGATCGACGTTCATTGGCATCCCGCCATTCTCAAAATCTTTCCTGAATTCAGAACCGAAGATGTTATTCTTGTATTTCCCACGAATGAAGATGGCAAGGTCATTGTGACCATCGATGAGAGGTGTCGATGTCAGGATGTCTTGAACGCGCTCTCTAACCGTCCTTCTCGCTGGCGGTGACGGCGCAGGATGCGGTCTCGATGTAGAAGAGGGAGTTGCGCTGGGGGGCCATGTGCTATGGGGCTGACGGTCTCTGCCTTGAAGAACTGAAACAGATACGGCAAAGACAGCAGCTAGGAAGATAACGCCGAGTACAGTGCGAAATACCTTGGCCATGGCACTCTCGAATGTGTTGGACGTATCATCTTCACTTTCTTCGAGGCCGTTGCCAGCATAATCGTATTGAAGCTCATCCTGGCTCTTCCATGACTTGGGTGTCAGTGCGGAGCTGTCGCCTGTGGGAATGGCTGAGCCATAGCTGATTTCTGAGGAGTAAGGTAAAAGACGATGCTGGTAACTTATCTCAGGTGCAGGCGCATAGGCTGGAAGAAGAGGATCCGTTTCTGAAGGCATGCCTGGATGAAGCTGGGACTACAGTCCATTGTGATACTGAGGAACGTGACCCGGCAACACCTGAGCATGCAAGGCGTCCAGGCTCTTATCAATCAACGTTCCAGGCTTGTTCAAGTTGCAAGGATGGTTGCATGAATCGATACTGCATTTGGCAAAGAGCAGATGCCTCGGCCTATGCAAAGCGGCGTCCTCCAAAGACTCGAATTTTGATACACAGGACTAGATGAAGCAAGATTGCATAAAGACTTCATGAATTGTCGTTCGTGTAATATCGTACGAATGGGAACAGCTACGACTATAGTTGTCATGAGAACTGTTAAGACTACCCAGCCAGCATCAGACACACGGAGTCATTCCAGAGTATTTGCTTCGCAGAAGTGACTGAACTCGCTAAATCGCTACACATTAAAGTCCTGAATTGATTGTATAGTTTTCCGTCCCCCACGCCATTCGTGCCATCAAGCTACGGTGCCGCCCGTCACCTCAGCCTGCTGAGGTATGACCACTGCTTCGTGGTGATCCTGTGCCGGAATTGGTTCAGCTTCATCCTCATCATGTCCAGCATCAGTTGCATGTGTGACGGCTTCTAATATGGTTTGTTCTTCAGAGGCTGGAATCGCATCTGGCAATGTCGGTTGAGCACCGGATTGTTCTTGTGATACGCCACTTAGACTTTTCCTGCTTGCAGGCTTCTTCGATCCAAGCGACAATCTTCGATTTGTGGCTCGAGGTGGACTATCAACTTGCACTTTCTCGTGGGCTTTCTGTGCACTACTGGCGGTTGCACGAGTCATTCTTGCTAGAAATCCTTCGTCGGCCGGCTTGTGAACAGCGCTTAACCGAGATCGAGTCATGTCTTCACCACCATTTGCTAGTGACACCCTCGAGGCCTTCTTTGCTATCGAAGACTTGGTAGCTGTGTTCGCTACCCGAGGTGTTTGCGTATTCGTTGATCTTCGTTCTGGCACAGGGACAGGGTTTTCCGTGGCTGTGCTTGGACCCTTACGAGCTGTCGATGCTGCTGTAGTAGCTGTTGCAGCAGAGGGCAGCTTCACTGGTCTTGTTGAGCTTGGGGACTTTGGCTGGACTGTTTCGGAAGTTGTTGTGCGCTGTTGTGCATGAGCTCTCGATGCAGCTGTCGGCTTCGAAGCAACAGAAGGAGGCTTGACAACAGTCGCACCAGCTTTCTTCTCCGCCAGGGGTGAAGTGTCCTTCTTCGTTTGCTCCGGCTTCGTTCTTTCCATCTTTGCTTTATTAGCAAACTGAGTTACGCCTGCGATCTTGTTGACACCGCCTCTAGGCTCCACACGAGACCCAGGGCTGTCAGAGATGCTTGGCGAAGTTTGTGACTTCTTCTGAAGAGTAGGAGATTTCTTGAACGGTCTCGAGCTTTCCTTCGGCTTCGAAGCAATTGGTTTCATATCCAAGCTGCTTGGAGTCGGTTTCGCTAATTTCGACTTGATGTTGGCAACAGATGGGGTGCTGGTGGGGGGTGGTCCTTCCGGCTCAATGTTACCGCTCAGAGGTGCTGCATTTTCTGTGTGAGCATTCATCTGTGGCTTTTCCGCTGCCGTACCGTTGTGGGTGTCTTCCATACTCTCAGATGAACCATTGACTGGTGGCAGAGAAGAGGTCTCGAATGCAGAGCCTTTCAAAATGGCCCCGAGCTCTGATCCTTCAACCGTAGATGTGTGTGACGCCTCGTTGGTTGTGTCTCCCATAAGAGCTTCTTCTCTGACCTCCGCCATGCTGCTCACGTCTGAAGTCTTTCTTAATCCCCACTGAGAAGGTTGTCCTGCTTCCCCTGATCTTTCGACTGCAACGAAACTGCTTCGAACCTTGCTCACAGGTCGACTATTGGAGGAAGCGAGGGAACCGTTTGGAGATGATCGGCCTCGACTCGATGGGGATGTGGACTGGTCGCTGGTTTTGTGCTCAAACATAGCACGTAGGTTCTTAACGCCGGCAGGTCCAGTACTACCAGTCGACATGACTGAGAGCAAGGTTAGCTGGGCTCGGAGTATTCCTGAACTGGCACATGAGTGATATGGGACGTCGTCAATGAACAAAAAGTAAACATTCAAGTTTGGGAAAAGCTTCGCAACATAACCCAAGGAGCTGGTCTCCATGGACAGTGGATCCCTGCGAACAGGCCAGGGGCTTCACATCGCGCTTCTCACGTCGAAACGCGTCTGAAACACGAGAGTTCATAGGGAAATACAGGGTACTTACACAAACGGCCGCGCTACTCAAATAGGTATTCTATATCGATGTGAATAAAGGAATTTAAATGAAAGGGACAAAGAAGAATTTTGATGCTTAGAGCTGCTTAAGGTCTGACGCAGGTCAGGAAACTGCGATGGGGTTATGATGTACACCCCTATCTGAATTGTACTGCGGCTTACTAGCCCCGAAATTGTTTCCGGGGAAAGCCCAAGCACTTAGTGCTAGACTCCCGGAAGCTGTCGCCGCCCCAGATTAATCTTCCTCAGTCGGCGCATGTATTGTTCCATTCGTCTAAACCTCGAACTCAAGAAAGCTGTATGTTCAAGCAAGTGTAGTCCCTGACTTCGCGACCAGAGTGATGGTAACACTCCTGCCGTGGTTAGATCGTGCTCTCGATTATATATCAGCCTCTGAGCTCATTGCCCATGGTATCGTCAGATACGTAGCGCTTGCTCCACTACCCATACGAGAAGGCAGTCATCCCATAACAGTGTTGGCAGGCAGTGTCATGTCTGTTTTCCCTCCTTTCTCGTTGTCCACAAACACACCAAGTCCAGAAAATGCCCGGAGGAGATTCTCATCCAAATATGCCTCGAAACTATATCCCCATTGCTGGTACTCCTCATACTTCTTGTTGCGACTGAGTACAGACTCAAATTTATCGTCCTTGCCGATGTGGTAGTACTCACGGTCTTGTGGTATATCTCCGAATGGGTTGTATGGGGATAGAGCCTTCGGGACGTACCTCTTCCTCAAACCTTTAATCAAGCCACTGGCGTCAGGGTATTCACCATCTTTGAGTTGATTCTTCGTCTGTGCTTTACTGTTCAGTCCATTCGTGTTCTCAAATTCTGTCAATCTTTTTCGTGTAGCAGCAACGTCCGTTTTCAATGCCAGGTTCAATGCCAACAATTCTCTCAGCTCCAGGTAGTCATTGTAGCTTTTCAAGTCCTCGAATGCAGATTCGTATCCTGTTTTGGGGTCTGCAACAATACCGAGTCTGGAGAGTTCTAACGCGTCGTATACTGACTTCGTGACTTCGAGTTGGCGTTCGACCTCAATATCTTCGAAAGTCTGAAATTTCCAGTCTCGTTTCCAAAGCTGTTTGTTGCAACCAGACATGGGACATTGAACTGCACCACTTGTGAATTTCCTGTCGACACAACCTTCACAAATTCTGTGATTACATTTTGTACTCCGCTTAAATCGCAGATTAGGTGTGGTCTGGGCTGTACTCTTGCAAATAGGACAGATATCAGTGCTGGACGCGTAGCTAGCATCCAGCTTGTAATTGTAAGCGCTCATGACGGAAAGACTTATTGTGCATATGACAGGATTGCTGGCTGGTGATACCGCTCCAACTGGTTTCAGATAATTGTATCGGTAACCAGCACCTCTTCAAGGTCTAGCTCCAACCTGCTAGGCTGTCATCCTTCTTCACTTTGACCACATACAACCAGGAAGCGATTGACGAAACGAGAATGTGCATGAAGAATCATACGTCGCACTTCTACAATGAAGTGAATCTCACAAAGGCCATCATCTAAAGTGTCGTGGAAGAAGAACTTATTGGAAGACTTGCTGACAAAGTGATAAAATACGGTGGCTCCCCAGCCAGGAATCCTGCCTGAGAGAACGCGGTCCTCGCCTGACACTCCGGCAATTCCCATAAATTTGAACGGTTGCTGATTAAAAAGGTCACCACGATCTTACAGACTCGCACTTGATGTCTTGATTTCTTTCTCTCTGCTTCGTATCGAGGTCGCTCAAGAGCAGTGACGAGACACCTGGTTTTTCGATAGACTGCAATCTTGTACTTGAGGTGGCTATAGATACTTAAAATTGAGGTATCTACGTGAGATTCTATGCAATTAGATTGTCTGATATACCACTTGAGCCAGCTTCAACGTCACTTGGCATCGATACCGTCTTACTTAGCATGCTCTTGAAATGCCTCGGATGCTAAGCGACCCAAGTCACGCTGTAGCATGCTTGTAAAACCAGGCGTCTGCTGTTCCATCATCTCGATGTCAGCCTTTTCTTCCTTCATGATATCATCCTGGATCCATCGAACGAACGTCCTCCACCGGGCCGGCTTTGAGGTCTGCATCTCTTCAAGATACTCGAATCCCTGTTCAACGCGTCGCGGGGTGAACCACTTCTCGGCAGCGCTGTCCACTGATAGTATCTTCTCATGAAAATTGTCGGGACCGCTGCTGGGTTTGATACGATTCTCAGGACCAAAATTTGGGCCCTTAGTTTTCAACCAGTATTTGGCATCTGATCGACCTGCTGGAACGCCAGGCTTCCAAACAATACCTTCGCCCATGCTGTTCCCTATGCCGAATTTGGCGGCAAAAGGGCATTGCTCTTCGACTGCATCTGCTAGACGTTGCATCTTGAGCAGTGCTGGGTTAGTGAGGCTGAGATTGTTAGTGTCAAACTCTACGACATACTGCGGTACACGGAGGACGCTGTATATTGCTGCTTCGGGAGCCTCAATGTCTGCATAGACTGTATCCTGCTGCCAGCTTCCGTTGATCTGAACTGCGAGAATCACAAATCGATGAGAGAGCTCAGATACGCCAACGTTCTTTTGGACCTTAGGGCCAATCCACTCACCTGCAACAATAAGTGGTTTTGTGTAATCAATCTTGACCTCTGGATTGTGGTCCTCGAATCGACGCAGTACACGAGTCTTGAGATCTTGTAACGTCTCAGGATGCTCTGCAAGATTGCATGGCCAACCGTGTTGAGAAGCTTCGGGTGGACAGGTGCGATTGCGTGACTGAAAGGTCACTTTCTGCGGCGTAGTAGTAGTGTCAGCGATCTGGGTCAAGCCTGAGATGTCGAAGACTATGTCCGCGTGCATACCATGAAGCTTGGCTGTGCCTTCCATTGTAATCACATCGGTCGTTATCTTTCCTTCGGTCTTGAGTCGCTGTATCTGATGCAGGAAGTCTTTCACTTTGCCAGAGATTTTTGGGAAGGCGTTCGCGCCGAGTTTGTAGTGAGACATTCTGTAAGTTAACGTGATATTTGTCTTAACTTGGGTTTGTGTCTATAAAAGTGCTTTCTTACGTTGAGTTATTGCCTGTAGTTCCAAGTTTTTGTATTGTAATTGAGAGCAGCATCCTGTGACGGAAACCTGATCTTTATACTGCAGTAATCGATCGCAAGTAAAGCCGAAGTACAGCTACAATGGTAAGAACAAAACTTCTTTATCTCCCTTTGCAGAAGAATCCCTCCACATTCTGCGTGTATGCAGTATGACAATGAAATTTGTGCTAGAACTAAGACACGACTGGTCTCGGTCGATAATCAGCGACAGCAGCGATGCTGCTGACGGATCAATACTTGTCGCACATCCTATTCATATCAGCTGTTTCAGAACTCGAAATTTAACTAACACTTCTCAGCACATAGTTAGCCAGATTCGAGATTTGCGCATGCTGTTATTACTACAACAATTCATTGAAGAGTACGACGGCCTCGAAGAACACCGTAAGTCCGATGTGCGTGCTTAGATCTGTATAAGACGAGGTTCTGAGCATCCTGCACAGCAGGCCGTCCTAAGCTAGTGCTCGCCACAGGAGTCTCAATGTACGATTCGGCTGCTACGCCGCAAAAGCGCACACTTAGATGATCCTCAGACTGGCGGCACAACGTGTTGGTCTCGAAGCTGACCCAAAGTCACTGTGCTTCTCGTGTCATGAACGATGCTTCTAGACCGAAGCGGACACTTCTAATTGCTGCAACAAGCAACGGCAACATCTTGCTCGTACAGCTGGTTGCTGTTCTCGCCGTTAGATGCAGGGCTGAGATGAGCGATATCCAATGAGGGACGTGATGCATGCGTATGTAGTTAGCCCGTTATGATGACAAGAACGTCGATCGAGGCCAATCCGATTTGCATAGCAATAACGGTTGTAGAGCTGCATGCTATGAGTAAAGGAAGCTCAGCCTTGTTGCTCTTGAAGCCAGCATGATCGGAGAAGTTGTTCTCTACTGTTAGATATCTTGGCATACCATGCGGCGGAACGTGCCTCCTCTCATGTATGATGAAGCACCAGTTGTAGATAAATTGACTCGAACTTACCTGTCCAGCGAGAGACTGTGACTGTTGGTAAGGATACCTTTGTGAAGCTCTTTGTTTATTGGGCTTTGTTGAAACAGCCACACTCCGTATAACAAGCGGATCAGTTCGGCACCTTGAGCCCTCGTGGACTCCTCGTAGATCGTCGTGTGTAGTGCAGGCCCAAGACAAAGGCTCGAGATAGCCAAGGACGGAGACGCGTAATGGTCGGCTGTGCATTGATCGCAATAAGTGGGTCATACAAGATGAATGACCTAGAAAGAACGTGTCGCCAAGCTGTTCGGTGGATCACGGCAGCTTCGCACCTCACGTCGCCTAAACAATCTGGAACTCAATTGAGATTCGAGGCTCTGAGTTTGCCCTCAACTGGACCACTACATTTATCTAACAGCGATAGTACTTGAGCAGTGTTTTAAACATCAGCCGGAACTCGGATCTGGTCGAGACAATAAGCGCCAGCTTGAAACCACTGACTAGTACTACTAGCTGCAAAATGCGGAGCCTCCTGCGACGCGTCCGGATCTAGTATAGTTATCGTTCTAGCATTGGCGATCTGTGCATTTGCGGGGAAAGCTGTCAATCATGACGTACTCGATCCTTTTAGAATATGAATAGCAACCGTATTCAGTCACACAAACAACGTGAATCGAGCCTTACCTGAACGATGACCTTGCCCAAAAGTGATACCATTTTCGTTGTCATCCTGTATAGCAGCGCTGTGGATGAGCGTGTGTAAAGCTCAGACTGGCGGAAATACAGAACATTCAAAGAGTACTTCAGGTCGAAGTGCCATACTATGTGTCGCGTAATGCTTTGTAATTCGTGATTTCTGTACTTCAGTGGCAGGTCATGGCGAGCTCGGTGAATCTTGGCCACTTCCCCCTGATCAACTCAGTGGCAGCATGACTTCCATCTAGACTTTTCTTCGCCCAACTCGGTGATTGGTTGCGCCAAGTTGTTTGTTTACAAATTAAACTTCATGACCTCCAAGCTCTCCATTGTCCTTCGAATGTCTCCTTGGCAACATCTCGGCAGGCTCGCAGCATGGTGACTAGGATAATCTAAGATTTGCCCTGATGTGGTACAACCATGGCGTCGAAGCGGCATGACTGGCTCGATCTTGAGCTAGAGCCCAGTACGATGGTGGAGCATTCGAGCTTGGTTTCTCATGGCTCACGTCTGTTACGAATGTGATTCCGACCTGCGAAGCCTATTTTACCGAAATCGATGCAGAGCTGAAACGTAGAGCTTTTCTGAGCTACAGTGTCATCCGTGCTGTGTCTCAAAACCAGCTCACATCCCACAACACTTTATTATTTGTTCATCTTTTGTGATTATTGCCTATTGCATTAGTAGTAAAGCACTTTCCCAAGTCCGCACCATGAAGTACGCTGGTCTTGTCCTGGCTGTTGCCAGCACTGCATTCGGTCAATCTTTGATTGAAGTGCTTGGTGGCCGACCTGAGTTGTCGCAACTCACTGGCTTGCTCAATTCGTCTGGCCTGGCAGGTGATCTGTCCAGCCTGACCAACAACACCCTCCTAGCACCCAACAATGCCGCGATCGGAGCCTTTCTGAACAGCTCGACCGGTGCCGCCGTGGCCACGGATTCCGCTCTCGTACAGGCGATTCTCCAGTATGTTCTCTGATGTTTGGTGTTGCATCGACACTGACAACGATATAGGTACCATGTCCTCCAAGGCAATTACTCCACCGTCAACGCGACTGCTTTCATCCCAACACTGCTCGTTCCTCCTCAATACACCAACGTCACAACCGGCCAGGTCGTGCAGGCAAACGCTACGGGAAGCAATGTGACTTTCTTCTCAGGATTGTCGTCGAACTCTTCGGTGGTGAACGCCTCGATCCCATTCTCGGGCGGTACTATTCATATCATCAACAGATTCCTCACTGTCCCACAAAACATTTCAACGACTGGTGTTGCTCTCAATCTCACCTCTGCTGTAGGTGCGATTGGACAACTCAACCTCACACAGGCCGTCGATTACTCTCCAGACCTCACTGTCTTCCTACCCAACAACGCTGCTTTTCAAAGAATTGGAGGAAATCTAGCGAATCTGACCGTTGAACAATTGGCTGGTATCTTCGCCTACCACATCGTCAATGGTACGGTTTTGTACTCAACAGATATCCAGAATGGTACCAGCGTTGAAACCACTGGTGGAAACGTCACTCTCACTCTTCAAGGTTCAAACGTCTTCGTTAACAATGCACGAGTCATCCGACCAAACGTCCTGGTCGCTAACGGTGTCGTCCACGTTATTGACAGAGTCTTGAATCCTGCCAACACGACCGCAACACCAAACGCTAGCACAACGGAGGAAGCGTTCCCAGGTGCAACCAGCGCTAGCAACGAGCCATTTACTTCGGGCGTTCCAACCCCAACTTCAGCTGTCCCCACAACTTCAGCAGCTGGAGGTTCATCAAGCTCTTCTGGTGGAGCATGGCGACCAATTGAGACTGGAGCCATTGGTATGGTCGCTCTCTTCGGTGGCGCTGCAGTAGTTATGAATATTTAGATTTGTCAATCATGACTTCTGCAAGAAGCAATGTAATGACCGTGGCAACGATGATTGGTCCTTGGCTTCAAATTGATGATTTTCTGAACGATTTGTCCATTTCAAGGATTATGTGTACCTATCAAATTGTGTGGTTATAAGACAACATGGTACACGAGCCTACAAACAGCTAGGAGATAGATCAAAACGAGGTCACGAGATTTAAAAAGATAAGGACGTTCGCAAATGCTTGGCATTTTTTTCCCTTCGCGCAGTACATTCACTTTACCACATTTCCAGTATACCATTGATGCTGTTGTTCTAGCATGCCAATGAACAGCACGAGATGTAAGACAGCGATAAATAAGAGCATAAGGCGCTATATTGAGCTCGTGGACCAGCTTCCGTCAAGTAGCCCGGAGTTGATGCGAACAAAGTAAACGTCGAAAGCTGTATACGCGAATATGTGCTAGTTGACATTGAAGCATTCTGTCTTCACGAGATCTGTCGAAGTTGTCTGTCGTATAGATAGTCCTGCCTCAACATAAAATGTGTCAAGGCAGGGTGGAGTAGACAAGGGCCTGCTAAAACCCATGGTTCTGCTCTTCCACTTGCGATAATGAGACTTTGGAAGGTCTCAGGACCACTTCTTGAACATGGGGACGTTTGAATCAAGAGGCTTCCTGGTGTGGCACGAAATGATATTGTCCAGGTAAAACGGGTGAGAACTCAACTCTCCAAAAGCCCTGTGTGAAGTTTTCAATACATTCGCAGAAGCTCGACTGAAGTTGAGCGAAACTTTATGGTCGCTAAAGAGCGCATCGTCACGTACCATCGGATCATACGTTTTGAAGAGAGACAGCCAATAGGCATGTATCAGCAATACATAGATGAAGAGAGTGTTGCGAACTGATCAAGATATGGAAGTCGAGGAAGGAACGATGCGATTTTGCTTGAAGAACTACAAGGACGCCAAGCCACTTGACCAGACCGAGACTAGCTCCTTTTAGCACTGTATGAATTGAAGTCGAGCTGCGGTTCAGATTGTGTTCCTCTTCTTTTTCTTTTGCATAACACTATTCATAAATTCATGAACGCATTAATCAACCGCTAGATCCTTTTCAATACAATAGGCTGGTTGGTCATATTGGCGAACTAGAGCAAATTGGCACTCTTAAGGCTCTTCTTTCTGACATTCATGGGTGGGGGAAAGAGTCACCTGCGTGCCGGCCATCACTTTCATCCACTTTTCGCTTCTCATTTCATGTATGTATATAGTCGCACGTTGATTTAAAATAAAAAATCTATGCCTCTAAGCCTGAGAGATGCCGGGAGAATTTACCATTCCACGTGGATCACCGGTTCTTGTCTCATAGCTCTACAGTATTTTCTGGTTCTCCCAATCCAACGCTATCTCCAACCACCACCACTACTATTTGGACTGCAAACACCATCACAACCCACTTTCTCGACATTCACATTACGCAGTCTCTGCGTCCTTGGTCCTCTCCTGCATATTGTGGTTGAATCGTCACACGATCTGCTTCGTGGTAATACATGAAGAGACACTGCGCCCCTCGACGAACTTCGGGCTTGTGTACAAAATGAAGCTGCTGACTGTAAATTTCCTCACATGCGCGGTCAAGACCTGCAAAACCTCTAGCGAATCCTACCCGTTACATTTCCGCGATGCTCAGCTTGAGCAGAATCCTCAGACTTTCAACCCTCTATTCATTCGCAACATCTTGTCACGTCTGGACTGGTCGGCGCTGAACACTACCGCGAACGAGCTCGGTTTGACTGCTATGCTACCTGATCATAACCCTGCCGACGATATGATGGTGGACAGCGAAGGTGCGACCGAGGAAGAGAAGAATAGAGCAAAAGACAACGTGATCAGCGAAGAAGTCTTGAAGAAGTTACATACCTTCCTGGTTGACACAGGTGTAATTGAAGGAAAGCTGGTGTGCGGGAATTGTGGCTTTGAATATCCTATCAAAGAGGGTGTCGGAAACTTTTTGCTTCCACCTCACCTGGTGTGAACTCAGCGCCAGCAAAATACGAATCACTTTTTAGAGATGGTCCAACACTTAGAGATTTTATGGACTCTTACTAGGCATTCTCTAGCACGCGGCAGATGATCTCAGTGTATTCCTCAGGACCATATTGGCTTGTGGACTACTTGTCAGGTCTGACCATTGGATCACTGTGTGAGTGAAGAATGTTTCTGGACAAACAGATACCGACGAGCGCTTGCCAACCTTTTGTAAACGCAAGAGGGAACAAGACTATGCTTATTGTGCCAGGAATACAGATGAGACAACGTATAGTTGTCCATCTTGCAATATTGTGCCCAAGCACTCTTCTCTCATGTCTCAGGCGACTCGCTTTGATGAAAGCTTAGCTCAGCTCAGCTCAGCAAATGTGTTACCGCTTAACAGTGTTGTTACACACGTCGTACGAGCATGGACTAGCAGAGACTTTAGCAAATTTCATTGTGCTGCGCTTCCTGAACGCAGTTGTCGTGTACAAGGTACGCTACGCATTTGCTCTCATAACGGGCTGGATGCCAGACCATCACCAGGGCAGGCTCGATGTAAGAATGAGCTTTAGAGTTGTGTGAAATGCACTATATAGGAATCGCACTCATAAGAAAGAACTCCATGCCCTTCACACCAGACATCTCCGGTCCAACCAGGCTTACGCGACGAGTATCCCGATATTCTGTTCCGAGAGCATCTCATTGTGCTGGGCGTTAATTTGGGCTGCATCGCGTCAACTATGTCTATCCAGACTGCTAGTATCACATTCAAAAAACACACTGCCAGCCATTCTCGTCAGTGCCGTTGCCAGTTCCAGTATAGACGTTCCGTCTAGGATATCTACAGTGCCTGCGTTTGAATGCCACTCCTTGACTCGCATTGTTGTTCACCCATCTGATACCTTCGATGTACTCGGGCGCTTGACCGTCCTCAACCCAGCTAACAATGGCTTGCAGCACGTTGTTCGTCGGTGTACTCACATCCGCGGGTCTTCCTAGATATCGTTGCCCAACATCAAAGGCTCCCGGTCCACCAGAGCAGTGAGACAAGCCACTAATTCGAAAATACCTGTAGAACTCATCAATCACATTAGGCGGCAGTCTCATCGTCGAGCTCAGATGGCTGTAATACCTTCCAGAGTTCTCGCTTGTAATTATCGGATCTTGTAGACCGTGATATGTCAAGATCTTACCACCTCTCGAGGCGAACGGTGATAGATCGCCATTCCACGTTGAGATATTATAGGGATCGAGCTTGTCGAGGTACGTGAAATCTGCCTGGTCGAGAGTGGTAGGATCCCAAGAAGGATCGTTGTACACAGCATATCTGAACCAGTCTACTGTGTACTGAAATATCTGGCCGCCGAATATGAGAGGGTATGCACCTGGATGACCACCTGGTTGCAGACGAGGATAGATCAACGTTCCCGAAGCGTTATAGAGCGGTTCGAAAAGCTTGACGGCTCGATCGTACTGGCCGCTGTTGAGACAAGCTGATGTGTTCGTTGCGTCTGGCGAGCACAGCAGAGTTTCGAGTTTAGGTTGACAAAGATCAGGATCTTCTAGTATGCCGTCAACCGCACCATCGATAGAATCACATTGCCGGATGACTTCGTTGTTGATGATGGTCCAGAGATTTCTAGTGATGAACGATGCTGAGGTGTTATCAGTGCCTGCGATTAGTGACAACCAACCGGACCAATCTGTCAAGTGGTTGAAGTCGAAAGCTGGAGCGCCAGCAACGATACCGTCGAAGTCTTCGTGGAACATTTGAGCAGACTTCATACCCTGGCGTCCTCCTGTAGAACATCCGAGATAGTATGAGTGGTTGATCGGTGAGGAATAGAACTGTTCCGTGAGTTGCTTGCCGACCACGACACCTGTATGGATTGAACGATAGGCGAAGTCTTCCACTACTCCTGGCGAGTTGAGGAAAGGTCTACCGCTCGTTCCATTGTGACCGTTGTTTGCACCAACAACAGCGAAGTTGTACATGTTGGCATATGCGATATCAGCGTACTGGATGCAACCAGCAAGTCCACCATTGCCTGTAGAGAGGAAGCGGCCGTTCCAGTTGGTGGGAAGCCATGCTTCGAGGATGATATTGGAGGTATTAGAGGTTCTCACATCCATGGCTACACGACAAAAGTCTGTGCCATAGATGGATTGCCAGTTCTGGTTACAGGACGCGTCCTGAAAAGCTGTTAGTAATTGAGAGAAGTCAAGATTTAATCCTCTTACATTATATGGGAGGCTTAGATTGGTGCCTTTCGGTACAAATTCAAGTACGTTGACCTGGACGTTAGGTATCGATGGCTGGAAAGACTGACATTGCTCAGCGAAGCTCTGAGCGTAGCTAACACCAGCTAGCGTCAGTAGGCAGCACAAGAGCAACATGATTGCGAACCACGTCTGCTGGCGGAGCATGATCCATCGCCATGTGAAGAATGCAAGAGCCTGTTGGGTTTATATAAGTTGAGGAAAGCCACCTGTCTATTGCTTTTTGCAACAGCTTCGGATGCGTTCTAGCTACAGCGAGCAACAGTAGTGTGGTCCATACCTCCACTCGTAGGCTGAATTAATGCAGGTCGGTCTGGCTGTCGGCAGCTGTGAATGCAGCTGGATGTGTGAGTTAAGCATTGAATCTGGGGAAGCCGTGTGGAGTCCAGACACAACGAGTTTCTTGAGAACGATCGTATTCGTCGGGTAAATACAAAATTAGGAGAAGAGCAGGGCAAAATGGGCTATGCTGTACAACTGCAAGCTATACAAGGGTGCTCATGAGAGCAAAGCTTAGTGGCACGGCATCGTTTGTTGTTGCATGCTGATCTCGGCAATTGATAGTCGTGCTACCGAAGTGACATGGAGGGCCTCATGTTGATGCCTAGATTTTGAGGCACAACAACGACCGGCAAAGAAGGATCACACTCAAGACGTGAATCAAGGGACACTTGGAAAGATTAGGCAGATTCGGCAATGCTCTTCGTGAACAATACCATTGATCGAGATGCCTCGCAGCAAATTGGATGTAGTGAAGCTTACGCAATGTACATTTCAGCGGCTCAGAGAACTCCAGGAATCTCGGGCTCGTCCTCGCTCCTACTATTGTCCCTGTCAAGCGTGCCCCGTTCTCGAAGCCCTGGATCCTCTTTCTCTTGACCTGACGTCCGAGTTTTGCTGTTACTATCTGTAACATATGTAGCATATCTACTCCTGCTCCTGATCACATGACCGTACCGATAGAAGAGATATGGCAAAGGCGTAAGCAAGACACTAACACAAGCCATAATCGTGAGTGTCCAATGAGGACCTAGGTTTTGGTAGAAGGGAATGCCAACCACAGTCATGCCTCCACTTATCGAATATCGAACCAGTGTGTTGAATGTGAGGCCGGACGCGGCGAATTGGGTATAGGTGTCAATCAAGTACTGTTTTTGACTCGGTCAGTATCAGTCGAAGGATACGGGTTCAAACTGGGGACAGCATCTGCTGTTGACATACCATGTAGTTGGAAAAAAACACGCAGATAATGCCAAATCCAAAGAATACGGATGCAATGATACCTGACCAGATAGAAATTGAAGGATAGCACGTCCAAGCCATCCAGAACAGCGATATGGGGACGAATGGTGCTCCAATCATCGCATACCACAATCGAATCTCAGGATCGAAGCTGGATTTTCCTTCTTCAGCTGCCTTGTTCGCAGCCTTGCAAGTGATGCGGTATACGATAGGAATAATCGCACTTGCAGAGAGCACTCCAATCGCAATCGCAAGGAACAGTGTATAAGTCATGCCAGTACTTAGGTTGTAAGTTTGCTTGAAAATCTCTTCATATCCACCGAAGAAGGTGAAGAGAACGATGTAGACAACCGACAGATAGAGTGTACTTAGTTGAATGACCGGTTCATACCATGCCATCACGAAAGGTCTCATGAGTGCCGTTTGAAGCTGTCTGACTAAAGGTATGCGCTCAACCTCATGCAGGGCTACATATCGGTCATCACCTGTAAGTCGGCGTAAATGCTTGGCTTTCCAGCTGAGGAGGACAGGCTCGTAGGTCTCGGGCTGGAAGGCTAAGAGGCAGAAGAAGACTGTACCCGAGAACATCAAGGCAATCCATTCAGACCAGCGCCACGTGTGCAAGTGTGGTGAATCCGGAACCCAAGCGCTCATGACACTTCCAAGAACCGGGCCTGTAAAGCCCTGCATTGCGAAAATCGGAAAGATGTAGGTCTTCTCCAAAGGATTGAAGAGATCGGAAATAGTGCCGCCAGCACAGACGAGTGGAGCTGTCATGGTGGTCAGCTCGAAAATTCGCAAACCGCCGATATAGTACCTCATTATCGCAACGAAGACTTTTGTGGATTACTCACCTGAGCCAGCAAAACCTGCCAGGAAGCGGAAAACAAGTTGTGCGCCAATATTGGGAGCCAGCGCAGAAGCCATGAGGAATATGCACATCACACCGAGCGTCGTCAAGTAAGTTCTTGAACGTCCAAGGACCTCTGACACTGGACCAGCAACCAATGCTCCGAAGCCAAAGCCAGTCAGGAAGTTGCCCACACTAAGTGATTCGACAAGCGTGCTCACATGGAATTCTGCGGCCGCATCCGGAATTATTGGTGAGTCGATAGGTGCGCAGGCACCAACAAGCAGCGCCAGCAACGACACCATGAGTAGGGGACATAGTTTTTGCTTGAAAGGCCAGTTTCTCGGATTCTGAGTGTCATCAGGAGCATCCCAATCAACCACTAGCACAGGCCGTCCACCAACAACGCGCGTTTTCTGTTGCGAAAGACTGGGTAGGTCTCTTGCATCCTCGACCTTTTCCTCGAGCTGTTTCGCCAATTGCTGTCTTAAATGACGATACTGTAGATAAGTGGCCATGGTGGGATGATAATAACGATGAACTTGATTTACTCTCCTAGCGATAGTTGCCTTTGAATGCCCGACAGAGGCTCCTGCGTATCTATGGTTCAAAAGTCAGGGTTGGAAGTAGCACTGTGTTCACGTCAGACTGACAGCAGTCGCAGAGTCACAATTCATTAGTGAAGTCAACAACCTGTCGCGACCCTCATATTGTTTGCCTCAGGTCTTGCCTGACTTCAATTTCTGGAGAAAGAAGCATGCAGAAGTCTTGTCCGACGAAGGCATAAAGAATACAGTGGTGTGCTATGGAGCTTATCGCATCTTACAAATGTTATAGCCGGTACGAAAGCCGGTTATGTACAGAGTATGATGATGATCGACAGATCCTGTGCTGCGTAGTGAATGACCAGTCCGATGAGCTAACGATACATATTGTAGTAACAATGATGGAGCCCACGCAAAAAGACGACGACGAAACTGGAGCAGGAACGAAAGTAACAGGGCGTATCAAGAACTTGAAGGTGATAAGGCCTTTTCGCCTTGTGCCTCAGGCAGGACTGTGTTCGAAGCGTTGCTCGCTGTGGGCACAAACCCAGCGTGAATATTCACCACTTAATTAGTTGGATATGATTTCTTCGCACCGAGCTAAGCTATTCGCAAAGATCAATGCACTACTCAATCTCAACAGTGGGTTTACACATTCACAACCTAGACGTGCGCCTCGTCTTGATGACGTCCAAGTCTGGAGCGACGCGTCTAGCGGCGCTCTCCTTAGCACCATGACTCGTGGCATTGCGAATTGAGGATATCGTTTGAACCGCCCAGCAAGGAGTGCGAGCCCTTTACAGATACATTGTAACTCATAAGTGATCGACTTGAACCTATAACGTGCCTAGTATTTGGTTACTTTGGAAGAAGTGCTCGTTATACTTCGGAATTTCCACAAATGAGTATGGTACTTGTATGACATCCCTACAGAGCTCCTAGCCTCATGTGACGCTTCTCCAGAGAACTCAATCATGGGCGTTAAAGCTTGTCGGCATGGCTACCTCAAACCAAAAAAAAAAAAAAAGGTTGTTTCAGTCCCCAGCAACACATATTGTCCGAACCTGGACTGTTACCTGGGAGCAAATCTGTCGGACTCTCAGATCTGATACCCAAAAGACGAGCGCAAAAGATCATGGAATTTAAACGCCACCCAGACAAGCACTAGAAGTGCGGAATTAAAGCTCGCGACTCAAGCACGTTTTGTACATACTGCATCGAGCTACGCAACAAGCAACGACGAATCATCGTTAGCAGAGTTTCCTCAAATGGGATCTCGGCAAGTATTGTCCATAATGTGCTTGATCAGCTTGCCGTTCGACCTGCACCTCGGAAATCTCCTCTGCGCAAGACTGGTGCCGTATAGCCGTGCATTGTGTTTCGCTATTACATGGTTCGAGACAACGATGGGCAGAGACAGTGACAACCCTTTTCAAACGTAGATACGTATGTTGCAATCTTCTTCTTCGATATGATATGTATGGACGTCTTTCCTCGTTTGTTATCCGAGCAGTCAGAAGAGCTTAGCATTTGACAGCTCAGCATCCACAGTCCATTATGGACACTCTCGAACGCATACTTTCGCGTCCTGCCGCAAAGCCATACCGGTCACGCAAAATCACAACAGATGGCGACAAACCATTCCTCAACGATGATGGCTATGTCGACTTTGCTCCAGACGACATAGAAAATCCCAAAAACTGGTCCAAGACGAGACGATGGTATATCAGCATAGTGTCGATCTCTCTGGTTCTTAATGCAACCTTCGCATCGTCCAGTCCCTCGGGTTGTTTGGTGGGCATTGCTGAGGAATTTGGCGTGAGCATCATAGCAGCTGGCCTAGTTATCACGCTGTTCTTGCTTGGATACTGTTTCGGGCCCTTGTTCTTTGCTCCGTTGTCAGAATTCTATGGCAGGAGATGGATCTTCTACATAACTTTCGTGTCTTATCTTTCCTTCAATTTCCTATGTGCATGGGCACCAAATTTCGGAGCACTTCTGGTTGGCCGCTTCCTGACCGGTACTTTTGCTTCTGCGTCCCTAAGCAATACTCCCGGCGTCTTCGCTGATCTCTTTGGAGTGGTGGAAAGAGGCAATGCGATGGCTGTGTTTTCGCTGATCACGTTCGCTGGTCCAGGTACCTCACCAGCGATATCCGGCTTCTTGCAGTTGACGAAGGACTGGCGTTGGTCGTTTTATGTGCTCTTATGGCTTGGAGGAGCTACTCTCGTCTTTCTCATCACGATCCCAGAGACACATGCTGCTACTGTGCTGACGAACAAGGCTAAACGCATCCGTCGTCTGAAGATACCAGGCTACGAAAACGTTCAGTCGCCAATCGAGGCACAAGGTCAAACCTTGGTGCAAATCTTCAAGGTTACGTTGACTCGACCATGGATCATTCTTTTCGATCCCATCTCCTTCCTCATCGCAATATACATCTCAGTCACCTACACATTGCTATACATGCTGTTCTCAATCTATCCTATTGTCTTCCGGCAGATGAGAGGTTGGAATTCAGGGGTCTCAGAACTGCCCTTGATAGGCACCGTGCTAGGCGCGGCGATCGGTGCTGGTGGGGTGTTCATCACCTCACGAAAGACAGCACGGAAGATCGAGGCAGGAGAGGAGATCACACCAGAGGATAGATTACCGCTGGCCATGATAGGAGGTATCGGTTTTGCTATCTGCATGTTCTGGTTTGGATGGACTGCGAATTTCAACTCGATTCACTGGATTGTGCCGACACTCGCCGGAGTGTTCTTAGCTGCCTCGATTGTGCTGATCTTTGTTTCATTTTTAAACTATCTTACAGATACATATTTAATCTACGCTGCATCAGCCATCGCAGCAAACACAGTCGCGAGATCTGCAGCTGGTGCGTCGGCACCACTATTCACGAACCAGATGTTCAGGGCTTTGGGAGTAGGAGGAGGTGCAAGTTTGGTTGGTGGTGTAGCGGTTTTGCTGGCCGTAGTGCCTTTCGTGTTCTACAAGTACGGAGCGGGAATCAGGAAAAGGTCGAGGTTCGCACCAACACCGAAGAAGGATGAAGAAAGTCAAGAGGCGGACGTTGACAATGAAGAGAAGACTTCTTCAGGCGAAGACAGAGCTTCATCGAGAAATCGCAGTGCAAGTACTTCTTCGACAATATCTGACTCCTCCGTCACTGTTCAGGAAGGAGGTCGGGAGCATGAGAGTCCGAGGCATTTTGCGGAAAAGGGAAAATTGGACGACGTTGTATGAGCTAAAGACCAGCCGGGCGAAGGGTGATCCAGAGGTCTTGATACAAAGTGCTAGGCGTGCAGATATTGCGTCAACTCCATAATATTGAATCAAAGATGCAACTTCTTGTTCTCCTTGTGCTTTCCCGCGTTGTGTTCAAGCTCAATGAATTCAGAGTCTCTTTGGAGCAGCAAACCAATGCGAGATAAGATGGGAAGTCGATACTAGCTCTGACTTGAAGCTAGCAGATGTGTTTGCGAATCCCAACATCACTTGCGAGCGACTCCTATCTAAGGACGTGCTCACTGGAATTCTGCTTTTCGGGCCGTCCTTCTTTGGTTTTGTTACGTATTTCTCACGTAATCTTTCGGCCAAATTTTAAGAAGCTGTGCTCGAAGGTGCTGATCGTCTTTGGTCTGCCATAGAATTTGTCCTTCTCGTGAACGCAACTAGCATGCACATGCTGAACAGAGCAAATTGTTTGTGCCAAAGGTCAATTATGAGCAGTGTTCTATGGAAGCACTTGGCATAAGGTTCAGGTGGTGTTGTTGCTCCGATCTTCTTTTAGCTGCCTGTGCTCTTCCATTTGAGAACAACGTACTCGCACAGTAGTTCGTCGTCCCAGTCTCTAGTTTCTGCCTGCTCTTGACCCTCAATCTCACACTCCAGTCCACCCTCTTCAAGTAAAGTCCAGATTTCGCGAATCTGCTCAAGGTATGCGACACGAAGTGGATAGGCTAGGATTGCACGAGCACTCGGTGTACGAGCGAGCCACGTCAGTATCACACGAGAAAGAAGTTCTGGATGAGCGTCATCGTAGATAGTATCTGCAGCTAGTATAATGTTTGCCTTGGTATCAGCAACATCAAACGTGGCACCAGACTCGAGGGTCAAGATTTCAGGTGTCCGCCAGTCCAGCGAGCCGCACTGAACCTTGCTGGCGATAGGCCCAAGCGTGTTAATATTCAGGTCAACGTTCGCACGCAATCCAGGCACAATGCCCGGTAAGTCCGTAAGTACGGTCTTGCAACATAGGATAAGTGCTGCTGTCAGGCCGACAAGTCCTGTGCCAGCTCCAATTTCGAGCACGGGAATCTTCTCTTTCTTGTCAACGAGCAGTCCGAATTTGTGCAGTTGACGAGCCAGAATAAAAGAGGCAGTCCACGTCGTCAGATTGAGGTTGTCGGCGCGGATATCAGGTTCGCAGATGCCAACAGTAATGACCTCCCCGTCGCCGTTGAGCGGAACAGCGAACGACTTCGTAGCATTTGTTGGTGGCATCGATGTCGAGAACAAATTGGCGATTGCGACTTGGAGCCGAAAGATTTCGAATAAATCGCAGGAACAAATGAAATTGATCGTCTAGCCATGTACCAAACAACAGGCTCCAAGGCAGCAATTGCTCAAGGAGATTATTGGACCATCCTCTTGTAAACTCGAATGCTTCCGACTCTCACCTTGTGTTACGAGTTCTAATCCTTGTATAAGATTGCAATGGTTTGACCTCATTGAAACTTCCTAGCAATACAGAATTCTACGTTTTCGCCGACCTGAAGTGATAACCCGAATCTCACCACCGCCCTAGTGATTGTCTCTAGGTGCAGGATATTTCTGAGCCAGTCTCTGAAATTTGACAGCACTTGGAAATACCATTCCTTCACTCAGCGGTCCGACCTCCCTCCTGAAAATATCTTGCCAAGGTGTTTGCGATTCAGGTACCTTGAAGCCGCCGTTCTGCTCAAGACTTTCCCGCCTCTTCTGCAGTTCTTGATCATCCAACAGCAACATTACAGTCCTTTTGTTTAGATCAATTCTTAATCTATCGCCATCTTTCAAGATAGCCAGGTTGCCTCCTGCCGCAGCCTCAGGGCTGGCATTCAGGATTGAAGGGGATCCAGATGTTCCTGATTGCCTTCCGTCACCTATGCATGGCATTGCCTGCACACCCTGCTTGAGTAACCTTGCTGGCGCATGCATATTGACCACTTCTGCTGCGCCAGGATACCCTAATGGGCCGACTCCACGCATGACCAGGATCGTCCTTCCATCAATTCCGGTCGCTGGATCCTCAAGCCTAGCGTTACAGTCCTCAGGTCCATCAAAGACACAAACTTTCCCCTCGAATGCGTTAGGGTCCTGCTGGTTCGATAGAAACTTGTGCTGAAACTCCTCCGATATGACGGATGTTTTCATGATCGCGCTGTCGAACAAATTGCCAGTCAGATGCAAGAAGCCGGCGTTCGTCTTCATCGGCTTGTCGTATGGCAAGATGACTCGACGATCCCAAGACTGGCCTTCTTCTTTGGCATAGTGAGCTAAACCTTGGCCTGTACAAGTGATTGCATTCGGATGAGGTAGTGCCTTATGTGCAAGTAATTCTGCAATGATTGCGGGTAAACCACCAGCACGACTAGACATTATCAGCACCAAGAAGTCAAATGTAGATGCGGAAAGTTACACTAAAATGGCGACTTACTAGTATTCTTCACAAAGGTACTCTCCTGCAGGCTGCACATTCAAAAGCAACGGTTGACCATAACCAAGGTTATCCCAATCATTCAGGTCGAGTCGCACACCAATGTGCTTAGCAACCGCATTCAGGTGAATCGGAGCATTAGTACTTCCACCAATCGTGGTGTTGACGACAATAGCGTTCTCGAAGGCCTCACGCGTCATGATATCGGACGGCTTTCGATCTGCGCGTACCATTTCAACGATCTGTGTACCAGTCTTGTAGGCGATTTGAAGGCGTTCTCGATAAGGAGCAGGTATTGCTGCACTGCCAGGCAGTGCCATACCTAATGCTTCAGCAAGCGCATTCATTGTTGACGCCGTGCCCATAGTATTGCAGTGACCTGCGGAAGGTGTTCTGTAGGATATCAGCACTGCCAGCCAGTTTTGATGCACGACACGTACCCTCTGGTGACCATATCGATCATCTGTCCGTCGTCAATGTCTCCTGCTGCATGGAGCTCGCGTGCTTTCCATAAGATCGTCCCGGAGCCGATAAGATTCTTGCCCATGTAGCCATTGAGCATAGGACCAACATTGAAACATATAGCAGGTATATTCTGTCACCAATTAGCACCAATAGAGGTCTAGAAAAGACAGAATCGAGAACTTACCATAGTGGCTGCAGCCATGAGAGCCGCAGGTGTAGTCTTATCACACCCTGTCAAAAGCACGACGCCGTCAAAAGGATATGCGTGGAGCATTTCCACCAATGTCAAATATGATAGATTGCGGTCAAGCGTCGCAGTCGGCCGCCTCGAACTCTCCTGGATTGGGTGCGTAGGAAACTCGATAGCAATACCACCAGCAGCGACTATACCCTCCCTTACACGTTTAGCGGTTTCTAGGTGATACCTGTTGCAAGGCGCTAGGTCTGAGCCTGATTGAGCGATTCCCACACTGGAAAACAGAGTTAGCGAAGACTTCCCGACGTTAAAAATCATTGAAGACTCACATCGGCTTATCTGACATTAGCTCCTCGTATGTTAAGCCGTAGTTCAGATACCTATCCACATAAAGCGCTGACATTGCTTGATTATTGCGTTCATTGAACCATCTTGTCGAGCGCAGCTTCGAAGCCGAGGTCGAGGCTTGATTGTTGCCCTTCGAGATTTTCTCCTCAAGCTCCTTTGTCCTTGACCGAAGGGCAGCTAACTCCTTGGTGAGGTCTTCAATGTCAACTGGATGACTACCTGATGCGCAAGGGCTTGAGCAGTCATTGCACGCTTCTCCTGAATCACAGCTCATGGCGAAGGTCCCTTGGTGCTAGTGGTAGATCTTCTTGGTCGAAGGTACATAAGGACCAATACAGGACTTCTTAGATGAGAGTAAAACAACGACCAGGGACGACCCCATAGTGCTTTTTGATGCTCGGCCTCAACTCCGCGTTTCAAATCGGTCTCCAACATTTGCCGGCCTCGCTACTATTGTGCCGACGGAGTGGGTCAAGAGATTCATGGCAGATATAGCTCAGCCGAAGGGACCGGGCGACTATCACGCTGCATTGTCGAGACATCTGCTGTTGTGCTCGTAATCTGTTGATCGTGGTTCGTGGTATAGGTAAGGTTGGTGAAAGGGATAGGTGCTCGGGAATTAGTGCTATCCAGGCTAATCTTCGGGTAACGGCCTCCTTCTTCGAGCCCAAAGTTCCAGATGCAGATCGGAAGGAGAGGACCGTCAGACGCTGCACTTCATTTTGATACATTGAGAGAATGCAGATTGCGACATGAACGGTGCTTCACAAAACACAGGAAAAAATGATATGGCTGGAAAGAGTGACCTGATAGCGAATGTAGATATGTGACTAGGTGATATTGCGAGTGAACCCTGCTCAAGGATCAATCGTACCCAGATGATCCCGAGTATCTATCGAGCTCATCATGCTGGATCGAGCCTGCGAGTGTAGAGACATGCAGACACTGCAAATGCCCCATACAATACGTGATTTGTCCAAATTGCCCGCATTCAGACAGTGAGACGGCAGTAGCAGTTGTGCAAACCTAGAAATTCGCCAGCATGACAAAAATGGTCGTGGTAGTCTGGATAAAACTCTCGCGCCCTATATCAGCATTTCCTTGAGCCACAACCTGATAGCACCTTCCTGCTTCCTGTCTCCCAGCTCTTTCAATTTATCCTGAGACTATAGTAACTACTATAAGACCTAGACCTACAGCTGTAGTCGCTTTCTTATAGAGCTTTAGTCGTATAATGTTACGACCGTGCGCAGAGCCTGCGTGTCAGAATCAAGCCTAGTATTCGTCTAAAAAGGTCGCCAAAATATCACCAATGTTGGTGATCGTTTTGGAAGGCTTGGCATATAAGGCTGTTACACCGCTAGGCGCAGGCTCTGCGCACGGTTGTAACACTAGCTAATGTTGTTCATTATCAGCTCTAGTAGTTTAGTATGAGGATTAAAAGACATTATAACTACACCGATCATAGAGAGTACAATGCTGGCCGTCGTAACGACTATAGACCAAAAGTAGAGGCCATAATAAGCATTAAAAGTGGTAAGGATAAGCAAGATGAGCTCGAGCGCGTTGTAGGAAGCAAGAGTTGTGCAGATGATAATTATAAATATCGACCATCGTTAGTGATTGGGCTGAATTTGTTGCAGTGATGATAGCGTACAGTAAGTGACATCATAGTGGCCCGAATATTGTGTTGGTGAAGCCATAGAACACTATCTTGCAACATCTTTCACGTGGATTGTGCCCATAGAACGTCGACTATTTGCTGATACATGAACTTTGTGCAGCGGAAGCACAAGAAAGTGGTAACGGCCTGAACGAGGGACCGAAAGCATTGGGGACAACTCACAGAAAGGCAGACATTCGTCTCCACCGCTTTGGATAGACTCCGGTCATTCGCTTGTGTCAACCTTTCAGCTTCAAAGGCAGGAGGCCGAGCAGCCTGTGTTTGTGAAACGTACGAAACTGTCAACTCGAGCTAGCATAACAACCAAGGACACCTTTCTACTCATTCAAACCTTAGAAATCTGAAGTGTAACGACCCTGTAGTTGGTCGAACCACGACGCCAGCAGCAGAGTAAGCATAACATGACTCAAAAGTTCTGGCTGATGTCCTGTAAGATGCGCCCGGTCATGTTTGACGTTTAAGAGGCCGGAAACGTCAAATGTCCAAGGAACAGCGATGCTGGCCTCGCTTAGAGTAAGGCCAAGGCAACATTTTCCAGATCGAGCAAAACATTGCTACTTGGCTTTGTGCTGCAGGTGCAGTGAACAGGCCCAAACGAATTATTGTGTAATTCGCAAGAAACAGCTATGCCCTACCACCAAATCAGTCGCCGGATTTCCACTCTTGGGTTCCTGTCTATGAAGCTGAAAATATTTTTTGTCAAGCAGTTCTTGAGAGATCATACACCAACGCGCGTATACGGCGCAAGGTGGCTCCAGCTGGTGAGGAAAATGACAGAAGTTGAATACGAGTGCTTCGAGACACCTGTAACGTAGCTGACGCAGCATTAATGATGGAGGTGTCCGTGTAACGCAGGTCGTGGTAAACTTCGCCAATCTTCGAGCAGTTCCACAAACAGTGATCATTCTCGCTATGACTCAAGGAGCGTCCATAGAATCAGCTTCAACAGTATTCCGAATGTGCTTTCTTGTGATCTGACAAGCTCCGAAACCATGAATATTGATATGTATTGAGAGGGTACTGCAATGTTGGTGAGTTTCAAGAACGATACTCCAGTGTGACCATGTGACGCGAGACTCAAGCGTTGTGGTACAGTACCCCGTGGAAGTGGATACAGCTGCGGGCTAAACCGATCATGTTTGCGTGCCGCTGAATCTCCGATCCACAATCTAGCGGTCATTTGTGCTTGCCTGCGGCAACCTTGACCGCAACAAATAAAACAACTCATGCTCGGCAACCAATATATGTTGACTGCATGGAGTCACCGCTCGATGACTAAGCTATATGATATCTAACCTTTGGTGTCACAGATGCAGCCTCGTCCCTGTTCGGCACGGCACTCGAGTGGATGTTGCAACATGCTAGGCCCGAAGTTTGGCAGATTGTGTATTCCTAGGACTATTCCATAGGAAGCTTGAGACAGCACGGGTTATCTGCGCGGGATTCGCCCGATGTTTCGGTACATAGACCGTAAGCATGAAAGCACGACGCGGATGAAACCGCCACGAGCCAGAACTTTTAATTACTATTTTGGCCATTAAGTCAGGCCCTCCCCCAGACCGCAAGTTTTTGTAAAGTGCGATTTAACCTCAGATCGTACGAAGTCGAGTATGAACCGCAACGCAGTAACTCGATCAATGCAGCTGCCACCTGGAGCCTGGGACTCACATGTCCATGTTATTGACGAGGTAGGCTGGAACCTGAGGATGAACCTAGACAAAATGCGGCTCAATGGATAGGGTTGTAATGGCAACGTTGCTGATGATTGTTGGACAGGACTCATTTCCCTTCTCCGCAAATGCACCATATCGGCCAGGTAAAGCAACATTAGAAGACCTGCAAACCTTTGAGAGCGCACTTGGTGTTTCAAAAGTGGTCCTAGTAGCTGTCTCGGTATATGGCACTGACAACTCCTCTATCATGAGTGCACTTGCACAGCTTGGTGGCAAAGGTCGTGCAGTCGTTGCTATTGACCCATCAAAAATCACTGAGTCCGAGCTTTTGGAAATGCACAGAGCAGGCGTAAGAGGCATCCGTCTAAACCTAAAGACCTTTGGTCGCACGTGCGACAAAGAAATTCTCGAAGCCGAGCTGCTACTCTGTGCGGATAGGATACGAAAGTTCGGTTGGTGCATCCAATTGTACATTGGACTCGAGCAGGTGGCTCTTCTGCACGATGTCCTTCCGAACCTCGGTGTACAGGTCGTGATCGACCATATGGGCTCGCCGACTGTTGAAGAGAGGGTACAAGAGCAAGTTGGTTATGCCGAAATGATCGACCTGCTCCAAAGAGGGTTGATCTGGGTCAAGCTGAGTGGCGTGTATCGCTTCTCCAATGTTCCTGGCCTTGACCAGTATGGCGAGACTTTGATTCGCACAAATCCAGATCGAGTGGTATGGGCAAGCGACTGGCCACATACAGGAGGTACCGCCTTTAACATCAGTGGTGACGACAACCGTGTACAGCAATTTCGGAAGGTAGATGACGCTGGATTTGTGGTAAAATGCTTTGATTGGTGTGGGCAAGAACCACAGGTGATAAGAAAGTTGTTCGTTGAGAACCCCGAGACATTATGGAACTCGCCTACCGTTGGGGATGGTCTACTGTTACAGAAGCCCAATACCACACGTTCAGCAAGACTCGTGTTGCAAAACGAAGCTCGACTTTGAGGACAGGTCCAATTACAGGGAAAAGTCGCCGAATATATCTTCAGAGTATTCACTCCACTGCATGTTGTAGGAGTCGAGATCAAAAGGCATTCCAGCATGATCGTTGTTCATGAAAGAACCGAAACACATATCATGCACAGGAAAAACAGGCATAATATCCTTGCCTGGCTGCTGTGTGCTGTCGGCATTAAAACCGAAATGCTCGTGTGAATCTCTGGAGGAGTCTGAATCAGGTCCGGTGCACTGTGCGATCACGTCCAAGCTACGCTGGATGCCCGGACAACTGCTTCGAACAGCCGACAGTACACGGATGAAAGTGTTAAGCTCGGCTTGCGCTCCTTCGAGACGATCCTTAACATCCTGCACAGCAACTGTTGCTGCAGTATAAGCACAGTACGCCTGAAGATATGTGACTCTCGACAAGCCGAAGGAATTTTCGAGGCAAATGAAGAGAGCTTGAATGGCATCTGCAGCGGTACGGCATATATCTCTGCAAGTACGAACTCTCCGGAATGGGCGAAGAAGCAGAATTGTTGTTGCATGGTAAAGTAGACTGTGCTCAGTCAGTAGTGTTCGGTATAGACACAATTATCTTACTTTTGAGTAAGAATATGTGGACTTGGACAAATGACAGGAGTGTGACTCATCTGTAGTGCAGTGGGAAGGTTTCGATACCAGTTCAGCAGCTTGTCGCGAGTTGGTTTCACAAAATGAGCTGCGTGTTGGGTGCTTTTCGTCCCATAAATTGTTTGCAATATGTCGGTAATAATGATCGCAAGTTTGCAAAATTGGAAAAAGCACGCCTCGATCTGAGAAGGTACACAGGCGTTGTATAGCATATTTTCGGTCAGTCCATATGGCATCCATTTGCTGCTTGTTTCCGAAATTGGTTTATTGGTGGGAAGTTTCGACGGAGCAGCAAGAAGTGTAGGACTTCTACCAAGATACAGAGACATAGTTTTGTCCCATAAATAGCAAGACCACGCCAGCCTGTGTCCAATTCGATTCCTTCTGAGGTCATCCTTCTTTGCCCCAGAATGGCTTTTGTCGTTAAAAAGTCCGAGGTCGATTGCGCTTCTGAACGCCATGCCACTGTAGGTCCAAGCCTGCGACGTCGCACCCCTGCCAATCTCGCGAGCACTAAGCTGTAGCAGAGCCTGAACACGCGGGATTGTCGGCTCGCGGTAAATTTCGTGGCTGAGGAGGACCTTTGACTGTGCCAGCAGTCTTTCGGTCAGCTCGTGGTCCGTGAAACGAGTTGAATGAAGACAGATCACGTTGAGAAGTAGCAATGAGAAATATTCACCACCAGTCGCGCCATCACGCAGGAAGAGGGCTTTGTCAATAAACATGAAAGCTGGATGCACCCAAGTCCAGTGAATTGTTAGCAAATGTCGCACCTTGTCAGAAGGCAGACCGAGGAGCACGGCACAATTTTCGATAGCATTCTCTTCCCACGAAGCGATAGCCTCTTGATCGAGCATCTCAACGTCATGGCTGGTATGTGGCTCATGGTATAGTTCACTTGTTTGAGTATTCGTCTCGTGGCTCTGAGGAGCATCGACTGCAGATGTCGTGTTGTAGTAGGCATCTGCTGCGTTCATATCAGTCTCGACTCCTGACATAGATTCCTGTTGGTATCCTGTCCCGTCAGTCGATACTTCGCCGTCAACTACGTCGCCAGTATTGCTTTGATCGTGGGTACGAGGTGAGTTTCGTTGTAAATTCTCGATAGTTTTTTCGAGCTCCTGGATTTTTTGTGTCATTGCAATTGCTTGAGATAAGGATGGCGGCTTGTCATAGTGGCACTGCTTCCCATAAGCTAAGCACACACCGCATTCTGGTTGTCCGCCATCACACTTGATCTTGCGTGTCCGGCAGTTTACGCACGTCAATCTGGGCATTCCCTTTGATTTTGCCCTAGCCGAAGCGGGATTCGAGCTCCGCTGGATGTCGCTCGCCATGTTTCCGCTTCGTGACAAATATACATATACATATATATTTACATAGTAATGCACGAAGGCGAGAATTGAGTTGTTACATGGCGTTATAGGTAGATTTGATGTTGCTGGTAGTCGTGTTCGGTTGACGTCGAGAGAGTAGAAACAGTGCTATTGTTTTGCTGAACGTAGTGTAACGGAGATGAGTGTTCCAAGTGGAGTTTTTCCAAGCTTAGCCAAAACTCTGCCCGCAGAGACCTGAACTTTCAGCGCAGTTCTCGGGTTCCAGTGTTTAAAGGATTGGTGTTTGCCTATTAATTTTCCTGCCGGATGATCCATGTTGACGCACCAACGCCATGGATTATTGACGAAAAATGCTTGAATTTGAAAGTGTTATTGTTATCGTGAGGCTTTATCGATGATGAACGATGGTCTCAACAGTAGTAGCCTTCGAGCTGGAGTACTAACTCTATGATTTTTGGAACCCGAAGTACGAATGTTTTCATCAGAGACTGACAAGTCGACACGAATTGGTTCTCGCAGCGACCACTCCAAGTGGTCGCTCCATACACGGGTCTTGCAGATACGCTATGAATAGAATGCTCGACCAATTTGTAGACAAACAAGGAACAGAGCCACGCGCTCATAAGGACGATAATCTAGTATTGTTACACAAGACGATTTCCACACTCCTCGCCTCCCACCAAATTGAGCACAATATCTACCACGGCAAGACCACTTCTTGCTTGGTTCTCAACAGTTGATGCGCCAACGTGGGGAGTCAGAATGATGTTCTCCATATTCAAGAATCTGTCATAATGTTCTCTGGTTGGAGGTTCAATTTCTGTCGCATCAAGACCGGCGCCTCCAATCTTGCCCTCTGAGAGCGCATGGAACAATGCGTCTTCATCCACGATACCACCTCTAGCACAATTTATCAACAAAGCATTCGGCCTCATCTGATCGAACTCTGCAGCTGATATGAGCTTCGCTGTTGATTTGGTCAAAGGAACGTGCAAAGATACCACATCCGCTTCACGAAGCAGTTCTTGCAGGGAATCTACCCGCTTTGCTTTTTCTCCCAGGAGCTGAGGCCACGGTTCGCCCTTGTAATACGGGTCAAATGCTATCACCTCTCCCTCCATGGCTCCAATCCATTTCTTTGCCAATGCGGATCCGATGTTTCCCATACCTACTATACCAAGCGTTTTTGTGAATAAGCTTCGTCCGAGCGTCTGACTGCGAATAACTGTCTTGCCATTCCTTGTTGCGCGGTCAATTTCGGGAATCCGTCTCGCCAAACCCAGCGACAATGCGAGAGCCAATTCTGCTACAGCCTCCCCATTCAGTCCTGGGGTATTGTACACAGCAATACCCAGGTCTTTGGCCGCGTCAATGTCAATATTGTCAACGCCAACACCTTGTTTCACAATGTACTTCAGCTTCTGAAACGAACCAAGTTCTGCACGTCGAAACTGAGTTTCACTTCGGACTATGATCGCATCGGCGTTGGTGTATATGGTATCGAATCCACATTTTGCGCGGTGCAGGACATCAATATTTGGATCGCTTTCCAACCGTTCGACGGCAGCTGGGTGATATGGGTCAACAATGCCGATGACAGGACGAGCGACTTGTGCGATCATGTTTTTTTGTCAAATCTTAAAAACCAATTTTCTGGGTAAGTTGCATCTATGAGTGAGTCCGTCTCGTCGCTGTTGGTATTGATTGCAATATGGGTTCAAATATGCATATCTTGTCCAAGCAGTGCGCTTTAGGTGCACGGCTGGCTGGTCCGGATGAAGTCCTCGGACTGATCCCGCGCGAGATTTCGATCTCGGAATAACTGTTTCTGAATTAAGAAACGGATATTGCCGAAGTTCAACATAAGAGCAGGTACCAAAGTATGCAGCATCGTGTATAATCTGCCACGACTAACATTATCAGATGACAGCAAGAGCCATGACCAACTTGAAGTCGGTACTGAGAAGCCTCTCTGCATATTCCACGTGAGCATCATTGTCGTGGCATTGGTTACAGTCGAGAAACTAATCTGATTAGATGCGATGTCTCGGATGCACTGCTCAAACTGAAGCACCCGCATGGAGGCTTCATTCCTGGCATAACCATGTGGTCACCTGAGAGACAGCAAGGCGACACGAAAATTGTGGGGCCTGCATACACCGTCAAGTTCGTGCGCAACAACCATGAGAATGCACCGAAACCTCCCCAGCATCACGTTAGTGTCGTTATGTCCGGCCCGAGAACGAATCATTGACGTGCTTTAGATTGACACAATTCCCGAGGGTGCAGTAGTCTTCATCTCTGCTCCATCGGGGGTGTTTAACGCCGTCTACGGAGGCCTGATGAGTGCTAGAGCTCAATACTCAGGTGCGGTAGGGACAGTTGTTGACGGCTATTTTCGAGATTTACAAGAACATAGAAATCTCAGTTATCCAGTTGGTGCCGCTGTCGATCGAATGAGAACACGCTGGCTAAGATTCGTGCACAGGTTTTCGGCAGAGACGTGTCAAGCCCAGCTTACTATGAGGTTGCTCGACCCAGTGAAGTAAGTCTTGTCATAATGCCTGTTTCAGTTCACTAACTTCATATAGGTGAATGTGCCATTGAGACTGAGTGATCCTCGTTGCGAGATCACTGTGTCGCCAGAAGACATAATCTTCGCTGATCTGAATGGTGTTGTGTGTATACCTCGTGGACTTGTCGAACAAGTCCTGTCCTTGATTCCGAAACAGGTAGAAATTGACGAAAATATGGCGAAGGCCATCGCACAGGGCAGTACATTTGCAGGTGCGAGCAAGGAGTTCCGAGGCAAATAAGAACTCAGCCTTTATGTTACTACTGTCCGATCTTAATTGCGCATTTTATCCTTGTCATGGGTAATTCATCCTGTTGCTAGAGCTTCGTACAGGTAAGGGCATTTTAGCTATAATAAATAGATAGATCGATAGAGCAGCTTCAGGCGATTCAATAGACGATGAGTTATTATAATTATACAGCGTAATGGTAGAGTAATGGTGGTTGTAAAAACAGCGTCGCCATGGACGCGCACATCTAGCGCGGTGGAGCCAAATGTCACATTTTGTATGCGGAGGAGATGCTTACCTGTAATCACTACTAGACCATTCGTGAAGTCAGTTCTGAAATCTCGTCCCTTGCATGATGGGATGACCCCGATGATCGAGCTCGACAGTCAGGTCCTGACCGACGCCGAACACTGAAAGTTTGTGTCTTCCTATGCTAGCGAGACTTGCACGGGCCGATACCGAAATGAGCCTGCGGGCGCTGAACATGAGATCTCAGACAACCAACTCCGCAACAACGACTGAAAGCTTGCCGCGGTCGAGAAGTGTGTCTGGTGACTAGGTGACCAGATGAAGCTGACGCGGAGCCAAGCGCGCTTTCCTCAGTGGCTGTATTGCCTGACCCAAGAACGGAAAAAAGCTGGGGTCTCCAGACTTTTGCCAGGTTTCCTAAGTGGTTCCCCATGGGTGGTTGCGGTATGTGTCCATGGAAAGCATCCGAGCACTACAAGCTCAGACTTCGTACTTCTATCCACCCTATGAGAAGCGCTGAACTTGATATGCAGCACTGCTCACATCGTCGTGTATATATCAATTCCATATCCCATGCGAGGTTTTAGTCCTGGCTTCCCGTGCAGATCGAAAAGCCGGGCGCTGGTCAAGCTAGTCACGTTGTTGTGAAAATCTCCTTAGTCAAAAGTTCCACTTGCAAAACATCGACTCGAGCCATGGAGGCTGACAATAGCATGCCGCCGCGCAGCAAAAGCGATTGCGAAGCCAAAGAGATAGAGCGCTCGATCTCGTCTTCATCATCCAGGGTCGACACGACCTGGGAAAACTTCCCAGAGCAACAACGGAGAGCAGTCCTGCGAAAAATGGATCTGCGAATACCTCCAATCTTAATGGCACTCTACCGTAAGCTCCAAGCGAGTCAGCCATCAGGCTGAGCGCTGACGCACATAGTGCTATCGTATCTGGACCGAGCAAATATTGGAAATGCCAAGATCGAGGTAAGTTCATGCCACACTTCCCAAGAGCTTCCATACTGAAGTGGTTCAGGGTATGGCCAAAGACCTGCACCTTAGTGGCACACAGTACAATATCGTACTGTCCATATTCTTTGCCACATATATTCTCTTTGGTACAGTATATCACTTCACATCCTTGCCGTTTGGCACTGATTAGCAATAGAGATACCTTCTAATTACGTGATGGAAAAATTCTTCACTTTCCGGCCATCCAGGTGGCTAGGTATCATCACATTTGGCTGGGGAGTAATGATGACACTGGTAAGAGGCAGCGCCGTATTCTTGCTGCGCACGAAGCTGATGAGCTGAAGCATGGGATTACACACAATTTCAGAGGCATTCTCTCAGTAAGACTGATCATGGGAGCGTTTGAAGCTGGGTTCTTTGTGAGTACTCCTCCCGACACGTACAGGACTTGGCTGACCTGTTGTAGCCTGGTGCAATCGCATACATGACCAAGTGGTACACGAATTATGAGCTGGCGACCAGATTGTCGATCTTTTATGTTGGCTCGGCTTTATCTGGAGCATTCTCCGGCCTCCTGGCTTACGCCATCGCTAAGATGAATGGAGTGGGAGGCCTTGAAGGGTGGCGTTGGATCTTCATTCTTGAAGGTCTCGTCACGGTTGCGGTTGGTGTCCTGATCCCATTCCTGCTCACAGATACGCCAGACAACCGCCCGAGCTGGCTTACCGCCGAAGAAACAGACTATCTTATTGAGCGAATGAAGGCACAGAACGCAGGCCAAACGGCTGAAGAAGCAGGGAGCCATCTCAGCAAGTCAATGCTCTGGACCGTCATTACAGACTGGCAACTCTATCCACTGGCCATTGTACAATGGAGCAACACTGTGCCGACATACGGTTTGAAATTCACACTGCCACAAATCATCAAGAATATGGGCTATACATCGAGCCATGCACAGTTGCTCTCGGTACCACCTTATATTGCCGGTGCCATCAGCTCGATAGCCTTCAGTTTGTTGTCCGACAAGTTTCGAAAACGGTCGTACTTCCTCGTCATTCCACAGACACTGCTCGTCATTGCTTACAGCGTGCTGACGCCACTGTCGCCACGTTCCAAGCAAAACATCGGCGCATGTTACTTTGCCATCGTGCTAGCCAACGTTGGATGCTATCCCATCAATCCAGGAACCAGTTCCTGGTGCGCCAATAACACTGCACCTTCGGGAAAGCGCAGCATCAGTATTGCATATCTGATATCGTTGAGCAGTGTCGGTGGCATCTTTGCAAGCTACATATACATTGACAGCGAGGCTCCTGGTTATCCTACTGGGTTCGGGACAAGCTTGGCATTTGCAGCAGCGGGCATTTTTGCTGTGATTGGACTGGACATCACTTATGCTCGAATCAACAAGAGGCGAAGTCGAACGATGGAGCAAGTTGATATTAGGGAGAAGTACACCGAGGCGGAATTGACAGCTCTCGGGGACAGAAGCCCTCTGTTCCGATATACGTTGTAGTAGAGGTATTTCTGCCTATAATTGCAGCAAGGACGGACTGTTTGTCCACCGTAGATACTCTGCCTTCCACCGTCCCTGACCACCTCCACAATTCCGTGTGACGCCAAAATCTGACGAAAAAAGTGATCTCAGCTTGCACGAAGCCGATTCGTTGAGTCCAAGATGCGGGCGTCACATTTCAGATGCATCAACGATGACCTGCTTTTGTTGCGCAAACGTGAATATGATTTCAAAGCCACCGAGTCTGCTTTCCGAGGTTTCTTGCTTCTTAGCCCAGAAGTACTTCTGATGCTCTTCCGGATCGGGCTTGACTCTGATCCAGTTCCGCTTATCATGATTCAGTTTCTGCTCTTGCTCGGTCTCCACAAAGAAATCCGACTCTTTCACCATTTTATCACTGCTCATAGAGAAGAAGCAGACCTTGCTGACTTGTTGACCCACGTTCAGCACTCTTAAGATAATCACTTGCTCAAGTTCACATAGGGCAGCATGGACTATGCTAGGGTCTTCCGCATTCCAAGCACCAGCAGGGATTCCTCACCCGTTCGGCTTTGAGTCTGTCGGGACTCTCTGCATGAGCAAGCCTCTATCTTGCGCGTCCAAAGCATCAATGATTATCGCAATGAAGCAGATTGAGTTGCTCTTGTGTCGTTTTGCCATGTTCGCAGAGTAGGATTTGCTGACACTGCGTACCCTTCCAGGGGAGTGTGCAGCTTAAGGTTGGCCAGAATTTCTACCATGGTGCATGAACTCAACTCGGCAGTGTGTCAATCGTCTCCACTTGGAGGCAAGACCAAACGAAACCACTGTGACATGCTTAACCATCCTGCAAAGGCTCACATGTTCTCACAAAGGCATCAAGCGACTGGGCATTGGCGCTGCCTTCGCCGGGGTTGCTAAATGCAAGTGCTTGTGGATCCAAATGGTTCAGTTTCGCGCATGCATTGAGCACCTTTGAACGTTTAGTCCACAGCTGAAAGTGAACGACACAACAAGATATAATCTCTTCGCCCAGGCAACTGGTGGTGTAGATGCGAGTATGCAAGAATCATACTTTCAACCAATCGGAAACGGGAATTGACATCAACTATACTTTCAGGGGGACGTTTTGGACACTGCTGTGGTAAAAGTAGCCTGTACTTCTCTAGAATAGGTCATTCGAGGTAGCAACGATGCGATGTGTATATCTTTTGGTCAGACAATGGGGTGTACTTCGTTCTATCCGACAATCAAGATAGTCCTTTTCCTCTCTTTTCCATCACGAGTTCTTCCCAATTACCATTTGTTGTCACAGAAATCCCTTTAGATGATGCCAGGCCATGGGAGCAATCGACATTACGTATGTTTCTGCATACGATATGAGCACTCTACTTCAACAGTTTGCTAATATGAAGCCAAGAACTGGGAATAGGAGGACTTTATCAAGCAATGTTGCCATCCTACTTCGAATTTATGACCTGAGAGATGGCTCAATGAGTTACTGTGCTTCGATGTTTGTTCTATGGCAAGTCAGAGAAGCTGTGGAAGTAGAGGTCGTTAGGTAAGAGAATTGAGGGGTACAGTGACAACACTTCCGTGGCCGAGGCAAACGTCTGGCGACATGATACCATTAACCCATGATATGTGTCACCAATCGTCGCATGTGAAGATCTATGCATTGCGAATGTATCACATTGCAGCATACTAAAATACAGGATGTTTGAATAATGATCAATGCTTGTGTGAAGCCTTGGAAGCCAACATTACTCGAGTACCTGACTACTACTACCTTGGGCTGTTTTAAGATAGTACCACATGTATTTGTGTAAAAAATGGCAGCTCGCAATAGACATCCTGGCCTTTGAGTTTCAGGACCCCAGGCTGTTTGTTGACATTGAATGCTGCATACATGTGTAATTTCATGAGTCATTACATAACGAAACCTTCCACAAAAGACTGAGCACGAATATCTTTCCTGCCAAGCAACTGTTTAAGCTTCAAGTTTCGGAGGCTGACTGCCTAGCTCACAGGCTTGGTTGTTGGAAAGAGTTTGTTCTGTTTGCGCACGAAATATTTCGTAGCGTTAGTATGCTCACGACTACTACAAGTTAATTGCTGGGGTGAAGATGTTGCATTCGAGAACGGATGTGCACTAGCTATTCCGTGGTTGCTGACCTTGTCCAAACATGGCTCCTCTACGACCAATACCAAGCAAGTCTGCGCAACCGACAAGATCAATTTTAAAACAGAAAACTGGGTCGTCTTCCACAGCACTGCAGTCAGATTCGCTCTTCCCAACCTCAAAGAAGGACAAAAGACGTATCAAACATGCGCAGTTGATCTCGAAAGTCACAAAATCTACGTCCTCGGGACCACGGCGGCGAAGACCAAACAAGAAACTCGTCACAACCTTGGATGCTCTGGCGGACGCATTGCCTAGTAATGAGGACGGAGACAGCTCTGATACGACACGAAACGCCACAAGCGCTGGAAATGCAGTGGCTGACCAGGTCAACATAATAAAGAGAAACAGTCTAAAATCCAGGCCTGGCGCTATGAAGAGGAAGCAGAAACTGGACAATAATGAGAAAGAGAGGTTCGCAAAGAACTTGGCTCAAATATCCGTCCCGACTTCTGCAGGTACCACATCTGCCGAGAAGCTACGAGCTCTACGAGGATTCATCTCGCAGACCTTAGAGAAGAGGCCTGGAGTGGCTGGTGCAGGTGGTTGAACCGTCCCATTTCTACAAATGAGGATTTTAAAGAGCCATGCTTCATAAACTAATCATTTTGCGATGTCGTGACTTGTCTGATTTATCGAGCTACAACATATGCAGATCAGCATGTGAGCTTTGGAGTCAGCAGTGCCGGCAGTATCACCAATGTAAAATCTTTCAGTCGTCGTGTTCGAGTGAAGAGAGAGTCAGAGGGACTGGGACAAACAGGTGACGGAAATACTGAGAAGATGATGACAGGAGCCTCCGTACTTCGCAGAGAGGGTCTTGTGGCAGGAGGACCTGAATGATCAACAAACTGAAAGATTGGTACAGACCCTAATCTTTTTGGACAATACACACGATGTGAGAACATATGCAGAGCCCGTGCTCGAGGTTGCGAACGTGAAGTAAGGAGAGGCTATCACAGGACAGCAATTTTCACACTATGACATGACCTCTGAAGGTGAGCTATCCTTGCCTCTTTGTGTGCTCAGAATTTTCTTTGAGAAGCCCTATTTTGCTCACGTCTTCTCCCAAGTCTACGAGTGGTCAATGTACCTCTCATGCAGGAAACCTCATGATGTGGTTCCGTAGGGGTAGTCTCCGGTATCAGTACCAACAATTTGGTCGTAGAGGCTTGCGCAGCTTTGACGAAATATTGATCTATCTGTAATCTTGGCTTTTTCAAACTGAGTTGCCCCTCGGCAGACCACTTCATTACCAAAAGGTTCATGTAAGCAAGGAACGACTCCCGTCGGAACGATCAGCAAAATGACTCTATATCGACCACTAAATAGACAGCCTGATAATTAGATGTGTCCAAGCAGCAAGGACGATGCTCTCGGAAGAAGTCTCTGAGCCTCCCGACTCCAATTTCTGGCCGTACCGCATCAGAATGTCCCCAGTATGATCGACACAGAGGAGCGATGAGTTCGAGGTGAACGGTGATCGAGCTTTATTGATATGGGTAAGCGAACAGATCGTTGAAGTTGAAGAATTCGGTATCAGACAATACATTGCCGTCAAAGATTGGATCGAATACAAAAGGTGTTATCGAACGAGATGGACCAGGACCCAAGGACGGTATAGCGTTGAAGTCGAAGAAATCTTGCGCCAGCCAGTCTTGACTAGAGAAGTCAGTAACAGTATTGCTTGATAAGTCCACAGCCTGTTGACTATGCACGTTACTAAGGTGACTTGTGTGTGCTTGCGCATGAGATTGTTGTACCGGATCTGATGCGCTGAACATAGGCGATCTCCCATCCACCATCGTCGCATCTTCAGTGCCAGGTGTACACTGCCGGATGTTTCGTAAGGTACTCTCGAGGTTCTGTAGTTTGTGTTTCAGTACACACGGGATCTCCCAAAAAGCTTCGTACTTGTTCAAAGTTACAACAAGCAGATCGAAATTCGATTGAGCTTGACAGGAGTCGAAATTATGCGGGGCAAACAGCTTCGCTACCACCAAGCTGGCTGCCGAAATCCAGATAGCATTGGCAATCAGTGGATTGACAAATCGAAGGTGGTATGGAGCTGAATTGCGAACCATACGTGCCGTAAGATTCGCAGCGTCGATATATTTGACCCAAGCCTGTTCTTGAGCTGCTGTAGCTGTTGGGGTCGGATGACTGAACGACGCTGATCGTCCTCGGTCTGTCTCTGAATGTTGGAGAGCCATCGAAGCACGGTTCACCTCCCAGATGCAGAGCATCAAACGAGCAAGCTGCGACATGACGTGAATAGAGAACCTTGCACAGTCAATGGCTCGGGATGCGCCATCAAATACAAGTAATCGTTCCTTCCATTCAAGCTGCTCCGGTAATGCTATCTGTGCACATTGAAGACAGTTCTCCAGAAAGTCCAAAAATTTTCGCAAGTCTGGTACCGACGTCTTCTTCTTGCTTGGAAGCTGATCCGCGTGAAACCCAACTCTTTTCTGCCAAACCTCAGGAAAGGCGCCCATCTGGAATGCGTCGAACATGTAGGAATTGATTAAGATGAACCAGGTTTGCGGGCTCTGGTTACCACTGGCTGCCACCTCTTTCCACCTATGTGTAGCATCTGGCAAGAGGAAACAGCTGCGACTTTCAAACCCACGAAACCAGTCGTCGTCCGATACTGGGAGGCGTGTACAGTTCAGACGTTCGTCGATGGCGTTTGGCATTTTCCGAATCGTGCTTGTCGACCAGTTAGCTGAGACTGCAGAACACAAGCACCATTCACGTCTGACAAGACAAGACAAGACATGCAGGCTCATCAAAAACTTACCTCGCAAAGATATCCATCTCATAACAAGCCCACCATACTCGGCGACGTTCCTCGGTAAGAATAAACGTTTCATGCTCAATATCGTGGCTGATTTCTGATTGACCTTTTATTGACTCTACGTCGATAAGGTGTAGGCGTAGTTCGTAAGCGATGCGAATACATTCGCCGAGCATACGCCAAGTCCTGCCTCTAACACCATGGATTAGCTTCTGAAAGGTGACCAACAGGAAAGACTGCAGCAAGTGCAATGGCGGATCATCATCGAGACATCCTTCAACACATTTCATTTGCAGTCGACTCGAGATTTCGAGCATCTCTTTTGCTTCCAATGCGCTCGTCTTCAAGGAAGGTATGGTGTCTTTGTATCGTAGTGCATACGAGAAAAGGGCGGACAAGAATGCCTGAAGATGAGTAAGAGACGTGACGTCGCGCAGTTTGCGTTGGAATGTAGGTCGATGAAACAGCGAAAATGAAGTCATATATTCGAAATAGACGTCCAGCATATCCCAACCCTGCTGAGCAGTACAACCAAGCCCAGCGCATGCCTCTTGAAAGCGGCTGAATGACTCGATTGGAGAATCGCAACATTTTGGTTCTATCGTCCTGGTAGATTTTGGTACATGGTCCAGTAGCACGAGCTTAAGTAATGGATTATCAGTTTTCGCTGGCGAGAGGGGGCTTCGTGTGCTTGAAGTGGTGATATCTTCAGATTCGTGCGGTGATGAAGCTCGGACAATAACACTGTTTGGGGAAGGCTGTGATGTCGAAGTACGCTTATTGTCTCCTAGTTTGACACGTTTAGCGGTATTTTGGACATCAATGAGGTGGTCTGAGAGTGTTCGAGAAGACGAGGGTGGTGGCCGACGATGCGTTCCAGTCTTTGGGCCAGGCTTGTGCACGGTCAACTTCACCCGAGTCAGTCCAAGAAGTCGACAACTGCCTGGCTGGCATATCAGAGCGTCGTTGAGGCAATCAATTCGCAAAGTACTTACAGGATAAGAGCAGACCCTAGACGTTTTGGCACAATTGGCGCACGACGTCAACATTCGATCACATTTTATCTTCTGCGATCGACATCGGAGACAAGCATACAACGACTGGCTCGCGTCCTCTGACAGTACATTGTGTATCAGATCGTCTTCAGGCTGCTTCGGAGATGGCATTTGATTAGGCGTGAACGATACGCGAAGAACACTATGGCGTTCAGGATCACATAGGTAGGCTCAGGTACATTGTCGCTGACTTGAGCAAATTGTGCTGGAAGTATTCAGATCAATGCTTCGTACAGCATCTCTGATGCTCAGGAGGATCAAGCCGCCAGCACATGGACTAAGTAGTGATCTACGTCGAGGCTCAGGGCCGACGACTCCAAGTCGCGAGGAGTAATACCACAGTAAAAGCTTGCGAAGGTGTTGTTGCATCATTGTGCCTCAGGCACGCAAATGGCAAGGACGTCCAGCCAGAATCAATATAGTATTCAATTCCCGGTACTACAATGCATTGTGTATTTCGTATTTATAATCCTGTCCATTCGAGAGCGTAGCGGCAGGCATATACTATGGTTCATCTAGTGTCCGCTCTGCTCTGGGGTGTTTAGTCGAGCATAACGGTTCCAGCTCTTTCGAAGATGTGGTTCAAACTAAGCACATATCCTGTTCGAATACCAAGTTTCTACTTTGTCTAAATTGTCCTGAAGCACACTGCAATTTTTGGCTCCTTTTACGATGTGAGACTGATCAGGCCGGTATTTTTGCACTTTGTTTACTTAAACAACCCGGTTACACAACAGCTATTTAGCATACGAGATGTCTGCAATGAAGAAACGAGCACCCAAGGCGCCTCAAAGGCGCGACCCTCTGGCAGAACTGCGCATGTCAAACATGGTCATCTCGAAGCCTTTCCTTCCGGTCGAACTGATTTCACAGATCGTGGACCACCTGAGTGCTGTCGACTTGATTAGCGTCGCACGAGTGTCACGGAAGATGCACGAGATGGTCTACGACGATACACGCTGGGTACAACGGCTTCAGAGGATGGGTGTTTGGCATGACAACGAAGCCAGAAGAACAGGTGGTGCGGTCAAGCCGACCTCCGAGTCTCGACGCACTCCCACAATAGATCGTTCTTTGGTGAATGGGAAGGGCAGACCTCAAATACATATCAACGGACATGTACCGACTGACCCCAAGCTGGTACAGGATCGAGCAGTCGATGGCTTCGATACAGTATCCTTGTCGAGTCCACTGTACGACAAAAATAGCCCGGGAGACGCCATGACAGTCCTGAAGAATGTGCACTCGTCGCGTGGTCAGGCAAGGCAAGAATATGGGAAAGTGCATAAGCTCTTGTATCCTTACTTTCGGGATGCGCTGAATGCAACTCGTTTTGACCGAACACTAGTCGTGCAGGAGTTTTCATTACCTCAACACAGGGCTGAAATGTTCTCAAACATCAGAACCTTTGCTAAGAGTGACGTATCTTTGGGTGCTAGCAAACGCGAGCAGAAACTTGCAGACCTTATCTCTCAATTTGCTACAGCAGCTCTTCTCGAGTTTCGGTCCGGCTACGAATACAAGGACATCAAGGGTCGAATGAAGCAGTATGCTGTCGTGATGTATATCTTGGACGGTGGAAAGAGTGGTGTGGATTTGTTCTTAAATGATAACAGACTGATAGCGAATAAGTCTGAACTTGGTTCAGTCTCTGACTGTGTCGATTACTCACTAGGTTCTGGTCAGCTTTCACTGGAGCGAGTGCAAGCCTACTTCGACAGATTAGGAGATGCCTACCAGCGCGAAGCCGCTGTTATCAAAGAAGTGTTCCCACAGTCTACCGAAGTCTCTTTACTGTATCTGGAGAAGATTGGTGAGGATATCCTTGCACCCTTCTTGAGTGCTCTATTCGCTGATGCTCGGACGCGAAACACTTCTGTCTATCTGCGTGTAATTTCTGGCAGTCTTCACGCAACGAGCAAATTCGTGCAAGATTATGCCTTGCCTAAAAATGCAGATGAGTTAACAGTAACTCGGGCAAGCAATGTCCTGGTCAGACTATTCGCCCCACATCTCCAGCTATATCTCGAAGAAGAGATGGCATTCTTCAGGCAGAAAGCAGATAGCGAGGTTGTGAGATGGGATAGAGACTTGAGCGAACAAGCCGCCTCAACAGAGAGCTTTCTCATGTCCAACATCAATCGACAAGCTGACAAGAAAGACTTCATGTCCTCTTTCAAGAAAGTCGTTATGATGCCTGTCAGCATCCTTCCCTCCTTTGTATCTGCAAGGCCTGCCATACAGCGTACAGACAGTAGCCCTGGCACAACGCCTCGTTCTACAAGTCCCTTGCCACAAAGCCTATCGTCGTCTTTGCCGAACAAAGCACCCTCTGATGAGCTGGCAGCGAAAGCCGCTCTCATGACCTCGCGGCTCGATAACATCAAATCTCTCTTTAGCATCGACGTGGCGTTGAACCTTATCCACGCCGCCAAATCATCACTTGAGCGTGCAGCACAATTCATAGCACTCGGCGGGCCACCCGGCGATATCGCTCGCGAGAAGTGTTCGGAAATATACCTCATCCTCATTGACACGATCGGCAACAAACACGTCAAGACAGGGTTCGAACGAGCAATCAGACATCTTTCTGCCTACAATCCACGAGCACAAACACCCGCATCCACGGGCGCCCACCAAGGACCTGTCGTTGCACCACTAACCACTTTCCTAGAGCTAGTCAATGTCGGTGACCTGATCCAACAAATGCTGGACGTCTTCTTCGAGCAGGAAATCGTGCGCATGGGCATCGCTAAACGAGACGATTTCATTTCACCGCCCGTCAAGGAGAAGCGCAAATTCGAACAGATGCTCGATGAACACGTCGCGAGCGGTCTGTCCAAGGGTATCGATGTCCTCATGGACGAAGTCGAATATCTCTGCGCAACGGAGCAGCTTCCTACTGACTTCAACCCAATTACACAAGTTTTTGACGCTGACACAATCAACAAGAGGAACAGTATGTTTGGCATCGGCGACATTGACGTCAGTCCTACAAAGCCATGTTTGCACATCATCGATATCGTGGACAAACACGTAGGCATGTTGCAGGGAAGTACGGACAAGAGCCTGATCGATGTATTCGTGCAAGAAGTCAGCCAGCGGCTCTTCCAAACACTGGTAAAACACATCAAAAGACAAAGAATTAGTCCGCTTGGTGCGATGCGGCTGCTCTCTGGTAAGTCCTCCTTCCAGCTCTGTTTCACTCCTATCATACATATCCACTAACAACACTTCACAGATCTTACAGCCTACACGGCCCATATATCCTCATATCGCAACCCCAATCTAACCATCTATTTCAACGCGCTTCGCGAAGTCTCACAAATCTACCTCTTCGAAGGCAGGACGGATAAAGAGATTGAGGAGATGAGCAGTATAATCACGGATGCGGAGAGGTACAGAGGTGTATTCACGGTTGAGGAAGTGGTTGAGTTCGCGGAACGCAGGAGTGACTGGCTGGCTATACGGACGAAGGTCGAATCACGAGTTAAAGGGGAGAGTTGTAGCGTTATGTAGAAGCTGGAATCTTGTTTGTTGGTATATAGAGGCGGTGGGTCTCGATATCTCGCGTGGCTCAAGAAAGGGAGGATTTGATACAAAAGCTTACCTGTAGATCTTTGTCAGTATCAACCAATCTAGCTTTGACAAATGTGAGATGAAAGTGAATGTTTGCGTAGCTCGTCAGAAGGGGAAAGAAAAAAGGTCTCGCCATTTTCCTGGCTTACTAGACCAGGATATGCGATTGTAAAACTTGAATCAGCAATCTTGGATTCATCAGGTGAGCTGGGAATAGGTGGATTGCACCTGGGTGAAGTGGTAACGTACCTTATACGTGCAGTAACTTTGTGACTGACACAGCACATGAGAGAAGTGTTAGCTGTCACGTCAACACACCTCGCATAGTAAGCCATGTTAGCGATCGAGTACGCATAGTAAAGCTTGAGCAAGTCTGCGGTCAATTACACGAAGTAAAAAAAGTCGCGAGGTCAGGGAAATGCTCGGCGCAGGGAATCTGAGCTGCACGTGATCCGAAATATATACCTCCTGTGCATGAACGACTGAAGTCAAGTGCGGGAATTAGACAGTAAAGAAAGAGCAAATCGGCCTCATCGTCATTCATCGTTACTTCATCTATCCCGTCCATCACTATAAAGCTAGCAGCTAGTATGTATAGTATACTGCCTCACTGGTTTTTGCGGGTTCTTTTCTTTCTATCGAACGAGAACTTCAGATCGTCACTGTCGTCCGCAGAGACGTCACTATCTGGTATAGACTGAACCGGCAAGGTCTTCTGTTTCTTAGTGGCAGTGCTCCGTCCAGTCGGTGTGCTGCTGGCTGGTCTCTTGGCACCTTGCGCACTCCTCGACGAGGTTGTGGCTGAGCCTTTTGAGATCTGTGTTTGCGTCTGTGTGTCCCCTCCTCTTGTCTGTCGTGGAGCGTCAAGATCGACGGGGTGGTCAAGGACATGTTCAGCCTCTCTTTGCAAGCGTGTCGTCTCGGTCTCAGCTTGTTCCTCCAAACTTGAGTCACTGTCATCAGAGAAGGTCGTGTTCTCTCGTCTAACGTCTCTACGCATAGTTTGACTTCGCTGTGATGGTCGTCCTTGACTCTGGGAGGTGCCTGAGGGTTCTTGCTGCTCTGTTGGGACTTTTGCCCAATAACGATCGCCTAATCCGTAGTTTTGTTGCGTTACCTTGACCAATGGCACAATTATCTTGTTCCTGCGTGGCGTAGTGGCCGTGCCGCCGGCAATGTCCCGAGCCCTACGAAAGCCTTTGAAATTCTTTCGACCATCCCATTCAGGTTTCCATCCTTCACCACGAGAAGTGCTTGGAGCATTATCAGGTTTTTTGTGAAGCGGAAGGGCGAAGGTCTTGATATTCACAAAATTAGCAGGACCTTCCATGCCCTCATCTTCAGCTTGCAAGGCTTGGATCCGTTCGTGGTCGCGAACAGCCGACTCTTCGTCAGCTTCCTTTCGAGCACGTACAGCTTCACGCACGTCCAGCAGTTTTACTTTCTTTCCTTTCGATCGACCCTTTGTGTCAGGTTGGGCAAGAGCTGATTTGAGAGGTATGCCTTTTCGAGCTGCTTCTGCCTCCTCTTCCTGGTTCATCTTCCGCATGGCCGTAGCGGCAGGAAGCAAGTCGTCCATGTCTTCCTCTAAATCTGCCAGCAAGGAAGCAGGAGCCTGTCGTCGAGCTTGGTGAGAGGCCGGTTCGTCCTTGACGGATGCATCACTATCGTCTAATTGAGTATTGGGACGTGATTGTGTTGTCGACTGGGTTATCTGTGATTTGCTTGATTGGGGTTGGGGCGCAGACTCTTCTCCACTCTCGTCTTCGTAGGCTGCAATAGCATCAGGGTCAAAATCATCGTCGAAAATGCTGGGAGGTTTCTGGGACACTGGTCGAGGCCTCTTCCGAGGTCGAGGATTATCGTCATCAGCTGCAGAGCCTTGTGTAGGCTGAGATGTAGTGACTGAGGCTGTAGTCTGTGCAGGTACTGGCGACCTTGGGGTAGAAGCACCAACGATGCTAGCCGTAGCTGCTGAGCCATGACTTGAGCCATGCTTTTGTCCGCTGGCGACACTTTCAGCGTCCGGACGAGCTCTCTTCCGAGAACCTAGTCTGGTAGTCGAAGCATTAGGATCGAGTGGCTGGCGCAGCTGTGAAGCATCATTCGCGAGTACAGCGTCCAGAAAATCGGACTGACTCGCAGGCTCTTGACCGAGTTGGAAGCAAAGCTCCTGAATGTAATCTGCTAACCAAGAACTCTCATCTTCCTCAACATTGAGCTTTACAAGGATAGCCTTACCCGAAGAACCAATTGTATCTCGCACAAAGGTCAGGCCCTCTTCGATTGTGGTGGAGTTGGGTTTCGTGTTGAAGAGGAATGCCTTCCCGTGCCCCGTCGTGATTGGGGGCAAGAGTTGATCAAACTGGGATTGTTCAAAGAAGAAACAGGTATGTTTCTCGAAAACCTTTGCTCTTGCGGGATTTGGCTCGTACGCTTCTGCAGGCTTCTCTGTTGGTTCTTTGCCCTTTGGTGGGAGGTGTGATAGTTCTCCAGGCCAGTTTTCGTCGAAGTCAGCCTCCATGAGGCACAGACTATGTGGCTCGTCTGGGTTCGAGGGGGTAGCGGCATAGACCAGACTATCAACATAGTTTTCCGTGACAATACATCTCCCCTCGATCAGAGCCTGCAGAGTCTTAGGAGTATTTCGTTTCTGTGTGACCAGATGGGTTGTATGACCTGCCACATAATCAGGGACAGCCTTAATATCTAGCTCTTGAACACTTTGTTGCTTGATCTTCAGCAGACCGCTCTTGATCTCCTTCTTTGTCAAGGCGAAGGTGAAGACACGGGGCACCCAGGTGACAACCAAGGGTATGGGACAGGTCCCAGGGCGGATATTATTGATCTCATGCTTCAGCTCGGTGGAGGCATCCTTCAAGAATTCTCCATCAACTGTTGTCCCGGCCTTGGAATGATCTGTAATGGTAATCTTCGTTCTGACGTGTATTCGGCTGACATCTTCATCCTGTACCTGAGCAACAGTGAGGGTAAAATGCTGTCTAGAAATCGTCTTGTGGTCTAGAGCAAAACCAATTCCATCTTTCTTCACTCTACCAAACAAATATCGCTTTCCTGGTTTTATCCACACACGCTTTCCACGTAGGAAGTCGGCTTGTGTCTCGAGAATCCACATCTTGAACACATTGCAGCGATCAGAACGAGACAGCTCGATGGGAATCTGTTGTGCTTTGTACTTTCGAGTTGTAGACGTGCTTGCTGTTTCATTGGCTGTCAGGCACTTGTTTGCATGCGCCGAGATGATACGCTGCAGGCGCGACCAGTGCACGACTCTTACGCCAGGCGCCTAGTCGACCTGCCTATTCGGGCACGTCACAGAACTAATCTTTCACCATGCAAGCATTTTGTTTTGGGAGACTACAATATCTGACACGTAGTGTTATCTTAGCATGGACGCAATCGCGCAATACCGCACTACTACAGCTCGGTCTGACAGGTTTGACAGAAAAAAGAATCAATGTTTGCTGCCGATGCTCCATCGTACATGCAGACGTCTACTGCGATGAATGCCGGCGTTCAGCTGTCCTCGTGGCCAGCAGGCATTTCCTGAGAGCTCACTCAGATAGAGCAGAGGACTAGCATGGTGGTCTGTTGTGAGCAGCATCAACATCTTATAGTGCTTGACAGTTTGAGCACTTGAGGCAGGTCAGGTACGTGCTGATGGGCGTGCTGAGCAATTCGATGGACTGAATGGCTAGGTGTATTACTGTGTGCAGCTTCTATGCGAGATTCTTATGCGGCATGCCCAGCTACAGCTTTTGAGAAATCGTCAAGAAATCGGCCTTCAGCCAGGTGAATTGGCGCAAAACTTCCCTTGAGATCATAGGAGTATCGTCAACCCTGGTCACCACTCCTTCAGCACTGGTTTCTCTACGCATGAGTACCTCTACACATGACCACGAGTGTTGTCAATCGAGGACTTCCAAAATCTTTAGTCGTGTGATATTTCGAGAAACTCTTGCACCATCGCCAGTCGTTTGCTTGTCGGTTTGTTTGATCTCGTTTAGCGCTCGACTACGGCCTCTGATCCGCAACCACGAACCGGCAATCCGGGGCGGCTCCAGCCTGAGCTCGACCGAACTCATAAGTATCCACTCACTACTCCTCTCGATCTGCAGGTGTGGATTATGACGTCTGCCTTGTCTCGATCTACCAATGCAGCTCGCAAGAGCTTGCCAGACGTGCTACAAGTCCCGATAAGCGAGTATATTAATGCTGCTTCCCCTGTCAGAGCTCTCATTTCCATCGCACGAACCCTGGAAATCCTTGACAAAAACTATCCATCCCTTTCGAATACCAGTACCTGCTCAGTTCTGCCCTTCGCGCCGATAGCATCCTACCAGGTCCAGCACCATGAAGCTCACCATATCACTGGTCGCTCTTCTGAGCTTTGTAGCAGCTCAAGAGTCAAACATTTCTGCAGTCACAAACAACGGGTCCGCGGTCAGCTCGATCACTTCCTCTGTCGGGAGCTCTCTTTCCAGCCTCTCTAGCCAAGTCAGCTCAATTACCTCTGCCGCCGCATCCTCAGCATCTTCTTTGACCGCAAGCGTGTCTGGCTCTGGAAGCGCTGCTTCGGCCTCTGCTTCAAGCTCAGCTAGCAGCCTGCTTAGCGCTGCCTCGTCAAGTGCCAGTGCGGTACAAAGCAGCGCAAGCAGTGCTGCTAGCTCGATCGCAAGTTCTCAGGCTGCGTCACAAACTGGAGTGGCGGCAAGGCCTCTCGCAACTGCAGGCGCGATGGTGGGCGCTGCTGCAGTCGGACTCGCGGCATTGCTATAGCTATTTGGTGTATTAACTGTGGTTCAGGTATGAGAGTTTACGAAACTTGGCAGCTTGGTGGATTTGCTGTACTTGAGATGAACATACAAGATTGTAAAGTTGTGTTTCTTACGCTATGTGATGATTGGCTTACTGCGTGGTCGCCCACAAGATTCGGGTGCAGAATATAGTAACAAGCTCCAGTCGTCGCTGCTGTCTTTCAATTGATGTCGAATTAATTCATGGTCTACAACTGCTGATTTGACTGCTGACTAACACATAAAGTTCAACACCTTGCGCTGTGCATCTGAAGTATTGAAGGGTGGATCAGTAAACCTGCCTCGGCTAAATGTTATACCACAAGTTCTTTTTGTGTATCGGTGTTATCCATTGAGAATTCTTTTGCAAATGTTCTCACCACTGGTTCATTGCACGAAGTATCTCACTTGAACAGTCCTGATGACCATTGCCCCACCAAGCATCTTTCGCCCACTCACACGCACCTCTTTCCTACACATCTCGACAGATTGCACGTCAAAACAGCTCTCAAGCTCTAAGATTTCCTACCAGACCTCAGCTCGACGACGCCTATCCGCAACCACAAAGATGTTAATCCCGTCCACCACCTCGATGGCTTCCAAGCCCCGCGTCATCCTCGGTACCATGACTTTTGGTCCTCCTGGCACTGAATCAAAGGGCGCTCGAATTACCAGCCTCGACGAGTACAACGACTGCCTGTCCACACTATCTTCCAACGGCTACCTGGAACTCGACACTGCGAGAGTCTACATCGACGGCCAGCAAGAAGCGTTCACTCGATCCGCAGAGTATGCCAAGAAAGGCTTCAGTATAGCGACTAAATGCTACCCCCACACTCCTGGCTTGCATTCATCCGAACGTCTCAAGGCTACACTAAATAAGTCTCTTGAGCAGCTGGACACTAAATGCGTTGATATCTTCTACCTGCATGCACCTGATCGATCTGTGCCGTTTGAGGAAACACTACAGGCGTGCGATGAGTTGTTCAAGGAAGGTAAGTTCGTTACGTTAGGACTGAGCAATTATGCAGCCTGGGAGGTCGCAGAGATCTGCCAAATGTGCAAGGAGAGGAAATGGGTACAGCCTAGAATCTACCAAGCGATGTACAATTGTATCACAAGAGCTATGGAGACCGAGCTCGTCCCATGCTGCAGAAAATTTGGCCTAGGTAAGTACGAAGACACGTCGAAAAAGACAAGATTACTGACAACCTACTACAGACATCGTGATCTACAACCCACTCGCAGGCGGCCTGTTCAGCGGTAAATACTCAAGCCTCAACACACCATCTGAAGGTCGTTTCAGCGCCACAAACTCGAATCAGGGCAAGTTGTACCGCGACCGATACTTCCGACCAGCTTTCATTAAAGCTCTTGAAATGGTGGAGCCTGTCGCGAAGAAGCACAACACAACATTGATTGAAGTCGCTCTAAGGTGGGTCGTGCACCATAGTAAACTCAACATGGACAGATCTTCTGGAAGCAACGACGGCATCATTATTGGCGTGAGTAGTAAGAAGCAGCTGGAAAGCAATATTGAGGCCTTGGAGAAAGGTCCTTTGCCCGATGAATTAGTCAAGGTGCTAGACGATGCTTGGGAGGTTGTGGGAGGCAGCTGTCCGTCGTACTGGAGATAAGATATTGATGGGCTCCGATTTTCAGCAATATACTTCAATCTTCTTGACCAAGTGCAGACAGTCAGCCGACGCTGCTTCCGAACAGTCCTCTGGTTTGACATCATACACAAGTACAGACCTTGAACAAAGAACTTGTACTCGACCGCGTTTGTACAACACGTCCCATGCTTTCCCAACTACAATATCAAGTCCGCACACATGACAGACAAAGGATTTCACAAACCTTACTTGGTATTGTGAACCAAACAAGTCTCGCAGCCATAGTCGTCGTTTTCCACTATCGTCCAAATCCTTCTCAACCCTCTACCTTCTAACCCTCTACACAAGCTCAAGCCCACCATAACACCACCTCCCCTAGCAATTATCACACAATCCCAACCCAACCCCACCCCAACCACAGCCATGCAACCCAAACACATCCTCCTCCTCCTCGCAACAACCGCAACACCAGCCCTTAGTAAAGACACACCCGACGACCACGTCCGATGGTGCGACGGCCCCAAACTAACAGGCAAATGCGTCGACCTAGCCATCGCCTGGGACGGCTGTCGCTATATCTCAGGTAGTGGGAAGATGGGGCAAGCTGGGAGCAGTTATTCGGTAAGTTTGCAAGCAGAACACCTCGTGTATTTCGACCATGTACTTGTTTAGCATTGTTGGTGTTGTTGCGTGAAAACGTCTTGAAAGAGGAAGTGATTGAATGACACTGACTGTGTGCGTGTAACTATAGGCAGAGAATTCAGTCTGTCGATTATATACCGACTTCGAATGCAAGAAGGATGCTACAGGTCGGAATTTCTTCAACCAGGACATTAAGCTGAATAAAGACAAGCGGTACAACTCGTTCATGTGCGAGAAGGGGTTCATGGGATGAAGGGAGGCCTGCTATGATGGTTGGGGGTGTCGATGGGCGGGCTGGGCTGGGCTGGGCTGGGCTGGTTCGGGAACGAGAGGAGGTAGTACGTGTGTTTTGGCACAGTGTTGAATTGCTTTGAGAGCTTGAAGAGAGCCTGTAAGGTATTTGGATAACAACTTAGAAGTGCTATCCAAAACTTAAAGGTCCGATTATATTGACAGAGTTGGTGACCTTGAATTGCCATCCTGACTGATCATGCTCAATGATACCTATCGAGATTGCAATGCTTCTCATCATACGTTTTCATGTAGAGGGTCGATTTCAGCATCGGCCTCAGCCACATCGTCTTGTTCCTCCTCTTCCACCATGTCTTCCTCTCCACCATTTTGCAGAGCAATCTTACCTCCCATCGACTTGACTTTTGCTTGCGTCATCTCGTAGACATACTGGCCCATGTGCTCGACACCATAAATCTCCGTGCTCTGCGCATCAGCATCTACAAGCCTCTGCGTGGGAAACATTTCTCCCGTCACGATCTCGAGTCGACCTTCTGCATTGCCTTTTTGAGAGGCAACGTCCAACCCGGGCAAATCTGCAAAGACTGCTCTGCGACCTAGAACATATAGTCCGAGTCGAGCTCGTGAAAGAGCGACTGTTAATCTCCTGACATCGCGCATAAAACCCGCTGTTTTCGTTCTGGTAAGAGACAAAATAATATAATCGTTTTGCTCACCTTGGTACTTGTCGACTGTGCTTACAACTTTCGGGAGTCCAAAGAGGCGATTGTTTCTGCATCTGTGATCGAGAACGTCTCTGATCAAGGCGCATTGACCAGCATACGCAGCTAAGATCGTGATGGACTTGGCAGGGTATCCTAACAAGCGCATGTACTGGAACAGTGCCACAGCATACTCCGCCTCTCCTAAATTCTGGATGAAGTGCGGTGTTGGCTCACGCTCGCCATGACCCTGGTAGACAGGAACGTCAATGAACTGAAATTCATGTCTGAAGCCAGCATTAGCCCGTGCAAATTCCGTTTGTGACGTGATATGTGGTAAGTTGTGCAATTGGGGATAACGCCAGCTGAAGAGTTGTGTTATCGTAGGCCTACAACGACCTTGAGCGTCGAGTGTAATATGTGGGACCCCGAGACGTATTAATCGCAAGAACATAGATTGCTCCAGGTTAGCGTAATCCCCCAAAGCGTTATTCTGAATGATTGGGCTATTCTGAAGATGATCACCCACAAGCACCATACGTCTGAGTGGTAGCTCGCCAGTCTTAGTATCGGGGTTTTGCATAGCACAAGGTATGAAAGATTCAATTTCAGTGATTTGAGCTGCTTCCTCCATGATGAGGGTGTCATAATGAAAACCTAGGGAGGCTATTTCGGAGCGTCGAATGGCGGCATGAGTAGAAGTCATTGCAACAATGCGCGCCTCCTTGACGAGTAGATGGTTTGCTTGATCTCGAGGACTGCGCAAAATCTCGAATGGACGGATAGTCTCTAGCTCAGTAAAGATGCGGTTGATGTGATGTTCGCAACCACGTGCTATTTCGCGGCATTGTTCGGCTGTTGCTGTAGGTGGAAAGAGGTCCGGTATAGGCGCGTTAGCGAAGTAGTTGTGGAAGGAGAAAGCGTTAGTGATGGTGGACGCATCCTGAGCAGAGTTGGCAACGGACCAAAAACGGTGCCATGTAGGCTTAATGAAGACTTGGTTGAAGTAGTCAGCCGTCTCGCACGAATTGCCGTGCGCGCCAGACGCACCAATTGAGGCGGCCAGTCGATTGACCTCGCCGAGAAGTGTTTGCCGGTTCTCCATGAAAGACTCAACTCTGCCATACTTGCCGAAGGACTCCTCTGTGTCGAGTTCTCCTTCACCGTGGCCAAGACGAAGAAGATGCCTTTGGTCTATATTCAATGCAATGATCTTCTTGAACAACTGATTGAGGGCTTGGTTACTATGTGCTATAAGCAAGACTCTTTCCCGCGGAAAATTGTGATATAGGATGTTAATCAATTGCGTTACGACGTCAGTCTTGCCAGTACCGGGAGGGCCAACAATGAGGCTAAGACCAGGTTGTGAGGCTTGTATCAAAGCTTGAATTTGAGCGGAAGTAAAGCGAATCCGATTCTTCTTGGGCTCATCCACAGGATATGGCCCAGTGTTTGCTGGTTGATACGAAGAGATTTTGATGGAAGTTTGTCCTTCGTTTTCCACTTCCATTTGTCTTCGTCTTCTTTTTTTGGGATTTGAAGCTGGCTCGTGCAGAGCCTCAGCGTCAAGGTGAAGGACATAAGGGGGAGGCGGAAAATGATTCCCTTCATGGTGTAGAATTCCTGTAGGAAAACTCTCTTGCAAGTGCTGTTGATCAAGGAAGGTGTCGAGAAGATCAATCTTATCGACTTTGTCGTCGAGGTTCGGATAAGTCGCCTGGGATGGCTGGCCATAGCCTAGATAGACCTCTTGCAACCACACTGGCATCCTGGCATCGGCGAGTGCCAAACTTTGAATGGCCTCCAGCATTGGCTTGAAATTATTCTCTCGTCCAGGACGACGTGAAATCACGTTGATAGACTTGTAGATATCTGGCTTCCCTGTCTTCACTCGTAGGTTGTCAGCTTGAAACGTCTTGCTATCAAGGTCTAATAACAGGCGTCTAGTACGACCTCTGGGAGTATGTCCGTTCGTCAGGTGTTGATCTCGTATTGGCTTGCCCTTTTCGTCTTGTACTTGAACAACCTCGGCGGTTCTAATACATTGAATGCCGTGATTTTCTGGTCGATCTGGTAAGTGTGTACCGTTGGTACTGTTCTTGTCGGTTTGTTCTGTAGGTTTGACGGCAAGCAAGAAAACAGTATCTCTCGACTTCAGGTGGTCCCATTCAGATCGCGTGCGGTCATCGAGTCTGGAGACGTCGAGAACCACTTCAGCTCGAACGTGAGCTGGATCAGTCTCACCAACATTCGGTGGCAGTACATCGATAATAGCTGGTTTGTCGATGGGAACGGCCATTTTTGAGAAACCTGCAAAGTTAGTGCCAGCAAGAGGGTCTCGTGAAGGCTGTGGCCTCATTTTTCGCACTATACTCTCCATGTCCTTCCTAATTTCGTAGAAAGCCTCAGCCTGTTGCAGCTGGAAGGAACGCCAAAGAAAGTCAGTCAAGGTCAAGTATTGGAGGTTGAGCTTCGGTAAAGATAGTGGTTCCGACCCGTCATAGACCTCGTTTTGGACCAATCTCTCGGCATAAAGCGATTTCTCGGTGGGCAGCACAGATAATCGTTGGATGTGTTGATGAAGATCAAAATGGGCTGCGAACATCGACAACAGAGATTCGATAAACAAGGCACGACCAGTTCTGATGGTAGCTGACGGGGGATAGGAAGTCCGCAGATCAACTAGGGTGCACAGTTCTTCAAGCTCAGTGTCTGATAATGGGTCAAGAAGTGGGCGCAGATCTTCAGAATTGCTTATGGAAGCAAGATTGGAAAGAGCCAGAACTTTGAGTTTCCTCTCAAAATGTTGCAAAGCGACCTTCTGCAGCTTGATTAGAGCCTGGCGGCGAGCAGAGTCTCTTGTGGTTTGGACTTCACCTGTATCGTCGATTTCGAAGCAGCAGAATTGCTCGAAGAGAGAGGTTAAATCTCTAAGCAAGCTATTCTCCTTCCGCCTGTATAGGCTGGAGATATGTATCAACGAAACGATGTTCATGTTGCTTAACAGCACAATCGAGTATCGTCTAGTAGGCAATTGGCTGACTAGGTCCGTGAGGAACTCTAGAAAACGAGCGCAATACGTAGAGTCCGCTTTGGTAGCGGGATCGACGTCGAGCCTCCGTATGAAATCAAGGATCATGTTGAATAGCCAAGCTCTTTCCAGACGGAGGCGCGATTTCGTGGCATCGTCGGCAGCTTCGAAACGTTTCTTTTGTGAGCGCCATGCCTTTCTTCGTTGAGGGTGCTGGTCAAGCTGCGACTCTCTGAAGCCTTCCGAATGCAGATTCTCCCAGGTTGCAATAGAGACCAATGGAGCGCATTCTTTGCGGATAGCATCCTGCTCCAAGGATCGGAAACACGTTGAGATAAAATTGAGGCAGGTCGTGCGTGAGGTGATAGTACTAGAGATATCGAGGCTCAGGGAGAGAATGCGGCGAAAGAGCTGAGAGAAGCGATCGGTCGAATTGGTAAAGGCTGACCATTGCAGTAAACGAGCATTTTTCTTGTAGTTGATGAAGACGGCTAGGAGGAGAGCATGCTGGTGAGAGACTTCGTCACTGTAAGTAGGCCACAGCAGCTTTTCCGTGATCTGTAGACTGTCGAGCTTCGCCAGAGAGAGGACGGGAAAGTTCTCAGATTCAAGAGTCGACCAGATTTTGAGGACCAAATCTGGCTGTGCTCGCTTCAGAGTGTTGGACCATTGTAAGGACAGCTCCTCCCACAATTCAGCATTACTCATTGTGTTCCTGACTGCCTCAAGCAGTGTCTCGGAACTTGGAGTGCAATTGTCATTTAGCACGTTATATCACGTTGTGCTCTTTGTCGCATTCGCATCTTCGGTGTCAGTAAAAGTTCATGCGGAGACAAAGTCACTTTCGCTCTTCTTCAGCCTTGCGATGCGGAGCCTTGTGGTATCTTCACTCGCATCACGTCTCATTCCGCAATCAAGGGTCGAACTACTTTTTGGTGCTCTTGAGGCACGCGCCTCCTACTTTACTACACCCGTTACTCGAACGATATGTCCATAAAAGAGGTGCCGTTGGTGTCAGCCTATCGTGCTGTGGCAGAGAGCGCGACACGAACCGAAGCCGACAAGATCCTCGCCCAAGTACGATCGATACGAGCCAGCAGCGACGAGACTTCGGCTTCACACAGTGCCTCAGTCGAGACAGCTTTTCGAGAGCAGCTAACAGAACTCATCGCCTCAATAAATATCGAAGAGGACGACTTCTCGCCAGTGTGGTCTCTGCTCGATGCCCTTAATCTCCTCTGCGACAACGAGCTATGTGATTTCCCTGTGGGCTTCTACCTTGTAGAGGACCTTCTCGATAGCCAGACCATAAATGGATGTCGCAAAGTGTTTAATTATCTCGAATCAAGGCGAGAACGTATGACCAAGCTCAACTTTCACCCAAAGCAGCAAACCATCCTTCGGTGTTGCAATGAGTTGCTACGTCGTCTGTCACGAGCCGAGGACACTGTATTCTGCGGCAGAGTCTTTATCTACTTGTTCCAGAGCTTTCAACTTGGTGACAAGAGCTCAATCAATCTAAGAGGAGAGTTTCACACCGAAAATGTCACAATCTTTGACGATATAGCACCTAGCGGCGAAGGCACAAGGGAGACGGATGCCAGGAACGGAGAGGTGAACAAGAGCATTGACCTGCACACTTTGTACCCTACCTTCTGGGCTCTCCAAAACCTGTTTTCATCCCCTACAAGGCTATTCCAAGCACAATCCATGTTCCAATTCAAAGATGCTATTCAACAGACCTTGACCACTTTTGTCCAAGTTTCCAAAGACGCCCCAGTCTCAACCTCTACAGATCCCGAAAAGCGAGGTACAAAACGAAAGATCGATGATCTTAATGGTGCCCACTCGACGTTGAACTCTTCTGCTTTCAATCCAAAGTACCTCACCAATCGCGACCTCTTCGACCTCGAGATACATGACATCCAATTCCGCCGCCACTTTCTCGTCCAATCGCTTATTATACTCGACTTCTTGCTTGCTTTGTCTACCCAGAGCAAAACTAAACTTGCTACAGAATATACACAGAAGAGCATAATAGCTACGCTGTATGGCAAGTTCACTCTCTCTGAAGACGATCGTCTCTGGTGTATAGAAACCAGGAAGGACATCGAGCGTTGCCTAGAGTCTGACGGCAATGGCACTGAAGGTCGAATGTTCCTAAGGATGGTGAACATGGTGTTGTCAAGAGATAAGAATTGGGTTCGATGGAAGGTTGACAACTGTCCTGCCATCAGCAAACCACCTGTCACCCAGGATGTGTCGGAACACTCGCAGCATGAACTGCTCAAGTTGAATCGCAAGGCAAATGCACCTCTCTCAAAACCAAAAGGCTCTGACCAGCTTGCATTCTTGAGCCAATCCGAGTCATTGGATAGTATGAAGAACATGCGTCATGAACCGCCAACCCTGGAAAAATACTACAACGACATCCAAACACTTGAGTTAGATCTGGACTTCGCGACCGAGGACGAGAAAAAGGACATCGAAGAGCAGATGGCTGGTAAGCTGTGGCGTGCTCTACGCTCTGCCAAGGGTCGAAGATTCGTTCTTTGTGAAGAAATCAAGAATGGAGAGAACCTAGGAGCACTGGTAGGAAAATCCAAAGAAGAGCCAGTATCGGAAACCAACGGTGAGCACGTAGAGGGTATCCCGGATGAAGAGGGAAAGGGCATGCAGCAGGATGAGATCGATACCAGACCAGAGAATGAGGTTGTCGCTGGAGAAGCAGGTCCGTCGTCTGCAAACCCAGAGCCAGACCCTGTGAAGCAGGAGGCGTAGCCTGAACCGGAAGATATCTACCGAACGCGCTAGGATCCGGTATCATCTAGGTTCTTGTTTGCCTGCTAATTTCCATCTCTTTGCTGAGCCTGATATTGGCATAGCTTCACACGATCTATTTGCTGGGTGATCTTCGAACAATGTAACATTCACTAGAGGACGTTACTTTACCTAGACCCGAAACAATGGCGATCTGCAACTTCTTCTCCACACTGCCAGATCGTCCCGAACTCAAGTTGCGGCATCGACGTTGGGCAGTCGCGGCTCAGTCATCACATGTAAGTGTCACGGACCACTCCGCCTCTTACCAACCTACACATCACTTGTCAGTATACATCCAACAGCGTTCAATCAGTCGTTTCGGGTTTCACCTCTACAGCCACTCTCGAGGATAGTATATCTGCACAAAGATTGTCGCCTCTGTTGGAACCTGTACAACAGCTACAGCATATCTGTTTTGAGCACATCCTAGATTCCTCTCAGGTATGTTGACACGCTTCACGACTTCGTGCGTGACACTCGCCGCGTACATGCTGGGTTCTGAAGCAGTAGCACTGGTCGATCGACATGCCGCCGGGTGCGGCAAGCAGCACAGCAGCGGGTATAACTCAAACCTAGAGGAGCATCGACTTGTTTCCAAAGATGTCCTACGGAATTATACGATCTATGTTCCAACAAGCTACAATAATGATCCACGGAAGCAGTGGCCGCTCATAATCGACTACCATGGCAACGGAGGAAATGGCAGTCAACAGCACGACAATTCGAGGTACGATAAGTACACAGACGACTACCTGTTAGTGTATCCTAACGGCTATGAGGAGCATTGGCAGGGACCCAGCTATGCCGTTCCTGGTATCGACGATCTTCAATTCACCACAGACCTTCTGGCACATTTGCGTACCGAATACTGTATAGACGATGAGCGAATCTATGCCTCTGGAAAGTCCAACGGCGGTGGTTTTGTTGACACTCTAGCATGTTCTGACAATGGCAATGAGTTCGCTGCCTTCAGTATGGCCGCTGCAGCACTCTACACTGATCTGTCTGTGGACGGCTGCCCCTACAAGCGCGCTATCTTAGAGTCTCACGGTGCTGCAGACAATACTATTCCATACTCACCGACCAAGAATGGCTCAGGCGGCGCTCTTCCACAAGTTGCTGACTGGGTACGTTGGTGGGCTCAACGAAATGGCTGCGACCCGACTCAAGCGGAAGTTGTAGAGAAACCTGGATACAATCACACTTCGTATTCCTGCCAGGGTGCGAACGATGTCGAGCACTACAAGATTTTTGATCTTGACCATTGTAAGTCGTGCGTGATCTGCTTCTTCACTGGCACCATCAACCAATACCTCTGCATCACATTGTTTCCGTTAAACTAATCCTTTCACAGGCTGGCCAAGCAGTAGTGGTGACAACCACGACTACGAAAATCCGAGATGTGACGACTATTCCCTCGACTTCACGCCGGTAGTCCTCGAATTCTACTCTAGATGGACCCTGTCGAGCGCTCCAGGTGCCAAAGACTGGAGGATGTGGAAAGGAGATTAGTCAAGTTGTTTCGGCACTATTGCGTCTGCTCTATGCTTGTAGCTCGGAATGCAGTACATCGAATAAGTGTAGCAATTTAATAATGTCTACTGATGTCCGTGGTCAATAGCCTTGCTGTAGATAGAAAGGCTGTAGCCTCGACTTGCTGACAAGGCTCCATCAGACACTTCCACAGGCATATATGACATGTATTCTTTGTTCTTAAATTTCTATGTCGATAGTTTTCACATCCACCCAATTTACAGCAGCCTAGCATCGTCAATAGCTGGGATGGTTAAACTCAGTAGCGATGAGGACTAAAGTATGGTGCAAGAGTGTCGGTTAACTACCACTACATCGTGATGAAGTGGTTGCCTAACATCTTTGGCAATGCCGACTGCCCCTAACGACACAATGATACTGCTGTTCTCGTTCCAGACACTGGTAGTCTAGAGGACGTGTACATTGTTCCTGCTATTGTTAGGCAATCGTTCTCGGGCTTTTTTCGCACGGGTGCACCAGGTTTGCTTCAGACTAATATCATCACTCTTGACCTGCAATGGCGTGTTTCACTCCATCTTTGTGCAATCAGTGTGAGGTTCGAGACACGATCTGCGTCACTTTATCGAAACGTAGGAAACGAGCTGTGTCTCTGTGTTTCGACAAGACTACCTGACCTGCAAGAATTTTGCACAGCCAGGTCGTACCTACCGAACTGGCAGAAACCCATTGTCTTGAGGTAACTGAAACAAGTGGCCGCTTTGAACACCACTTTGAGAACCCACCTGGGCTACCTCGCTTTCTCGATGCTCACGCTAAACTTGCTCCAGCCACCAATTTTCAGCTCTTTTCGGGTAAAGGAAGGAACCTGCGATCCTCGGTGCTTCGCCGCCCTCAGCCTGAGTCTCGCAACGATTCAGCCTTCTCTCTCACAATGTCGTCCGATATCTCTTACTATCCCGTGGTCAACGTCATCCAAGCACTTCGTGATTCTATGTCGGCAACCGACACGACAAGTCTGACGACAGGGTTGCCGGCGAGCTCGTCGTCAGACACGGATGCGCTGGTCGCTGCCGTCGTCAATAATGTCAACCAACAAGAACTCGATGCATCCAATACTGTAGACGGAACTATTCAGCCTAGTCAAGTCGCCGAAAGTGCTCTAGCATCAATGCCAATTTTAAGTGAAGGACAGTCGATTCCAGGTCGCGTCCCGAAACCTCGAGCACGAAAGAGTCCTGGTTCTGGAGCCAAGAGATCCGAGCCCTCTAAACGCAAGTTCGTCTGTTCATTCTCTCACTACGGATGTGACGTCGCGCTAAGCTCCAAGAACGAATGGAAGCGGCATGTGTCGATACAACATTTACAGCTGGGCTTCTATCGTTGCGACGTAGGTTCTTGCAATCCCGACAACACCCCAAATGCTGCACTCAGCAAAAAGGTTTTCAACGACTTCAATCGAAAGGATTTGTTCACTCAACACCACCGGCGGATGCACAAGCCCGAAAGTGGGCCCGGTTCTGGTAACTCGCAAGATCCAAACAGTTCGGATTGGCGGGCGTTTGAAGACAGCCTCGAGGAGGTCAGAAGTCGATGCTGGCAAGAAAGACGCAAGCCACCTCAACGAAGCACTTGTGGTTTCTGCGGCCGCGTTTTCGAAGGTGAAGGTAGCTGGAACGAGCGTATGGAGCATGTCGGTAGCCATTATGCGCGTGATCTACCAGAAGCATCCAAAGAAGAACGAGAAGACGAAGACCTTACCAATTGGTCGTTAGCAGAAGGAGTGATCAAGGAAACTCCTAGTGGACGCCATGTGCTTATTGATCAGCCAGCCAGCTCGACCGATCGGTCATATAGTAACCGAAATATCGACATGGCCATGGTTGATGCACCACCAATCTCACCCACTAATGGACAGACAACGGATGGACAATTCATAGGTACGCAAATTTTACGCGATAGAAATATGCAACAGAGCGTTTATCCGTCGGACGATGTTCTGGGATCAGGACGGCCAAGCTCGAGTTCAGGTCAGCATCATGCTCCTTGCTTCTCCAGTTGTTGCGTTTCTACCTCCCATTCTATCGCACACCCTCAAGCGGTATAAAGTCCAAGAATTTCTGCTAACAGACATTTTTCACAGACCGTCTTGAGGACCTCATCAATACACTCATCAATCCAAAAAAGCCTCGAATGTCGAAGAGGCTGCAGTGGCGGTGTGTAAGTTGTGAATATAGACTCTATCATGCTAGCACTTACTGACTATCTGGTAGGACTGTGGTCTGGATTGCTCAGTCGACTTCGCCGAGGACAATCAGGAAGATACGCGCGCTTTTGCTAACCTAGGGAAAATATCTATCATATGTCAAAACAGCCAATCACCCTATCTCAAGACCAGCAAAACCGAGCAATACGAGATCATCCCCTGTAACGAACTTCACAGTCGCATTGCCCAGAACAATAAAATCGCTACAAACCACGCTCTTCCTCGAGTTGAGGAGGCTCCGGAGGATGATAGCAGTAAGATCGACGGTGACAGCACATTACCCTCTCTCTGAGGTGACTGTGAATTCTCTTTGTCATGTATACAGCAACGATTCTACACAGCATGGAGCAATTGACAAAAGGCGGTATTCTGCATTCATTCTATGTGTGGTGTCCTCGTTTCAATTTAGAAAAGCTCAGGTGCAATCGAGGATCGGTGTGAAGTGGCACGGCGTTCAATGTTGTGCACATTGGTCGATCAATGAACATAGATTACGACTTAGCTATAAGAGCTCGGCACGACATTTACTTGCAAATATATGGCTTGAAAAGTCTATGGACAATTAGAGCATTCGTTTTACTCAGAAACTATTCCAAACACACTTCAGCTCCAGCACGAACACTGCATCTTACCTACAGCAGAGCAGACAACCCATATTTTTGTCCAGCATAAATAGGCACAACCCTCCCAGGCATGATCCGCTCCGCCTCAACCTGAACCCTCCATCCACTACAATGTCCAGGCATCAAAACCTTCGGATCCAGCTTAGCCAGATCATTCGTAGTTTCCTGTACCTTATCCAGCTGCGCATCAGAGAGGTGAAACCCGCCAGCGACAGCATACAATGGAACACCACCACCAACCTCCACCGCGTGCCTTGACACATTCACAACGCCGGCATGGCTACATCCAGTAAACACCACGAGCCCTTTACCCCTCAAATTGCACATGACGAACCTCTCGTCCAGAATAAGTGGGTCAGCCTGCCAGCCGGCATCGCTGTCGTCTAGGCGGATCCCGCCGGAAATTCCAGTTTCATACAACGTGGTTCGTGGGATTTGTCCAGAAACGAAGAACATGTCGTCGAGGATATTGTGGCCTTGTGCGTTCTTGGTGACGGTGGCTCCTGCGGCTTCGAGTTCGGTGAAGGTTGGATCTGCTTCCAGGCTGATGGGTCCTGCTGGGGTCACCATGCCGCGGTAGAAAGGTCGGTTTGGGTGGAGGTCCATCGTTACGTTCGTCGGACTGGTGCTCTTTGATTTTGCTTTATTGATCATCTCGATTGCTCGCCGGAGCCCGCCTTGATGGAACGTCAGTCTTTGACTTACGGAAAAGTATGAATGATACACACCGGAATGATCCCTATGCCAATGCGAAAGATGAATGACTTCAATCTTACTAATCTCGTTCACTAACCCCAGTCTCTCGACGTTCTTCTCCCAGATCTCGCCTTCTGGTCCTGCGTCGAAAAGTAAAGTATGCTGAACATCACCTGCCGTAGCAGTCTATCTCAATCGTCAGTATCTCTTCTCACCACCGTACAGCTCTATCATCAACAACGGGAGATCCAGACACAGGCATAGAAGAAACACGCACAATCATCAAACTCAAACCATGCGCACCACAACAACTATTAGGCAACCTCAGCTCAAGCTTCGCATCCCCACGTGCCTTGGCAGCAGTCTCATCGAGTTCTGCAAGCCGAATATGTGCGAATCTTCCTGGGGCATGGACTTCTGGATGCCATGATGGCGCGATGTTGTCGAGTTGGTCGTTGATTAGGACGCGTATTTCGAGGCTGTCGAGTTGTGTGAGGGGATTCATTGTCTCTGGGGTTCTGGGTTGGGAATTACGTGGTAGGTTGAGTTTCTGGAGGTTGCTTTGTGTGTGGTTGGGTTTCGTAGATGTCTAAGGTCCTACAAAGCTTGCGTGTAAATATGCATGGTAACTTCATGTCCTGGTGGCCTGGTGACAAACATCCATCGTAGACATTATTCGCGTGCAGCAGTAGTGTAGTCACCAGATCAAGATGCCAGTGGTAGGCCTGAACTCTAGTCGAAAACCTTCCCTTATCCGATGTTGCACATTACGCATACGCATCTCCCACGACCGTGCCTTACTTGGGTCGAGTCAAAGTATCGGTAATTGAGGTAAGGGCAAATACTTCAATATGTGCTAAGCCATTCTACCCCACGTAGCTGTGTTGGCAGGTGTAGACATTATGTAGCCGGACGATTAATCGACCAACCAACAATGCGTAGGAGACTGGGAGTATTGGTATTTTTGTACTACACATGAAGCTTCTTTTGGCAGGCAGGCAGGTTCGCCGGTCCCTGTCGCGATTTCCCAATCTCGAGTTCTGCCGGTCGTTGGCAGTAATTAGGTTTCAAATACATTGTCTCGTTCGAATCACTACGTAGATGTTCTGAATTTCCAGGCACGATGAATCTCGTTCACGTGCAACCAGAACGAAGATTGGGAGAGCTATAACAACGTTCGACTTTAAGGAGAACAGTGTGGTCACGAATGCATCTACAAAGCCAGACTTCTTCCCACGTAACAAGGTGAAGTCGGAGCGGAGGCGCAATAACGAGGCAGATCTTAGAGCAAGACATAGAGAGAGTCGAGATCTATATCAAGAGACAAAGAGAAAGGGAGAAAGAGAAGAAAAAGTTGCGCTACTAGCGCTTTTCCTGCCTGCTTGTATTCTTATAAATCTTAGTTTCGTCGTCATTATTCATCGAAATCGTACCTCATGCATTGCTAGGCACTATCATCTGCGCCGCTGCGTTGTGTTCTGTTTTTCGTGTGTGTCTGGTGCCCAGGAGTAGCAGGACTGAAGAGGAGATGATATGTAGCTGTGCTTAGCAACGTGTAATACCTCTTATCCATCCTTGTGGTTGCATGGAAGTGCTTCTCCTACTGAGCTTGCAATCCCAGTGGTAGGTCGCTTGCTTTCATGTCTGGAGCAAGGCTGCCCTCGATACGACGCTTGGCCTCTTGCCTTTCCTCGTTGGTGACTTCACTGGCATCCTTCTGCATATCAGGTCTATGTGGTTCGACTTCGGGACGATGGCCAATAGACATTCCGACACGAATCTGATAGAACGTTAGTCAAGCTTCAACAAATAGCGCGGACGCAACATACCAGTGTCTCTAAAGCACCCTTGCTGTTGTCGATTAGGTCATCATCGTAAACCATCTGACCAGGTTCGAAGAACAAAAGAATCGTGCTACCACCAAACTTGAAATACCCTAGTTCTTCAGCTCTCTTGACCTTTTCACCTGCCTTGCGTGTGATCACAGTGCTGCCAACCATCATGGCACCAATACAAACATACATAACACGACCATGAGCAATTGAATCAATGGGAACGATGACACGAACGTTCTCACCGTACACGTCGAGTGCAGATCTGATGGCCATAGGATTGACAGTGTAATATTCACCTTCGATCGTTTTTGGTGTACCTAGCACGCCATCGACAGGAATGTGAAACCGGTGGTAGTCTTGAGGTGCCAGACGGTAAATACCCATGCTGCCGCCCTTGTAACGTTTAGCATCGAGAGGGTAGGCGTCGCCGAAAAGTTTCTCGATTGAAAAGTCCCGGCCTTTGACCCAAATTCTGGTTGCATCGTCTATCGTATTGAAGACTGTGGTCCGACAATCCGAAGGGCTCACAACAATTTCCGGCCGATCTGGCGCTGAGCATGGCCGTGCACCGGGCTTTAGGGCACGGTAAAAGAATTCATTGAAATTCCTGTATTCTGACACAGGCAACAACATCTCGGACATATCAAGTCGATGAAAAGCGATGAAACCCTCGATTTGTGATGCTGAAGCTGGATCATCGTACTTTCTGCCCTGCTTGATGGACAACGACTTGAGCATCTTTTTGATCCTCTTCTTTTCCATCTCTCTACTACCCAGAGCTTTGTAGAGCAGACGTATACCAAGTCGTACATAGACAGACATGCGCTCTTCATTGATCTGACCAGTGATTCGGTCTTGAACAAGAATATTGGCGGAATTAGCTCCAAGCTTGTAGCCGCCATAACTGACCTTGTTGATGACCTTTGAATACCATTTTCGCTGCGCCTGGGATTGCGTGACAAAGCCTCCCATAACAAGATTATTGACAGACCGCCAGTCCTCACTAGCACACGTTGCTATGTGTGTGATAATATCTGCGTCGGCACGCTTGTTGAGCTTGGGTTGATGACAGATGGGACACTCACGAACCTCAATGACATGCTCTTCGCTATTGTCATCGTCAGCCAAGTCGTCAGGAGATAGAATATCGCCATCCTCTCCTGCTTTGCCATGGTTCGGAATCGATATCGAGGGAACAGCAGTACGGCTGCTGCTCTCGTTGGTCGCTCGCTGAGTACTCGTTTCTGGTTGAGGAGGGTTCGTAGCAGACGTTTCTCCATTGGAGACCGATGACTGCATGTGCATAGCACCTTTGACCTTGGACGAAAGTGAAGGCTTCTGATTAGATTTCATCAACTGCTCTTCTAGACATATTATAGCTTGGTCAATAGTGATATCTGCTTGATCAAGTTCCTCGTTTCCTGAAGCGAAGCGTCTGAAGAAGCCGTCGATAGTTGATTCTCGTAGTGTCGATCCGAGGGAATCTAACATTGTGGTCAACTCGAGCTTGCTGATTCTTCGGCTGTCGTCGGCGTCATATTGCTTGAGCATAGCTCTCCAAAATTGCTGGCGCAGGGCGTTGTAAGGCAGGAACCGAGCTTGCAAGTACAATTTAGGGAAATGTTTATCTTCCCATCTATCCTGATTACGTAATTCGAGAGGAATGGTGTAGAGTTGCATAGATGGATCTTGAGGCGATGGCTTGTCGTCCTCACTCTCTACACTGGCGGTGGAAGGCACGCTTGTCGGCCCATGTCGATAAATGCTCGAACCTACGCCACCGTTGGCACCTGAGTCAGACTCCCGTTTCATGAAAGGGGGACGAGCACCATTTAGGTTCGTTTGAGCATCGTTCTTCTGCATCTCAGATCGAGCATCTTGCTTTATGTTTTGAGAAGACGACGATCTCGACAGAGGAAGGCGAAACTTTGACTTGGATTGTGGCGGAGGAACCGAGTATTCTTGAGGCTCAGGCAAGATGTACAGCCCAGTAGTAGGGTCTGGTTCCGGTGCGGTTTCGGTAAGCCTCGCAAGTGAAAAGACACCTGAAGCAATGAAATCATTCCCAGATAGATTGTCCTTATCCATGATGCTAAAAGTCATGGAGTAATTGAGTTCGTGCTTCAACACCTGGAAGACCATCTTTTCGTTATACACAGGATTCAAGCTATGCTTGACGACCTTGGTCCTGAGGACTTTCCTGCCCAGTGCAGTGACAACGAAAGGATCGCAGTCGAAGGAGGTGCGTGTCATGTTCTTTTCAGGAGGGAGATCTGCAACCTTGACAAGCTCCATGAATATCATGCCGGAGATGTCACTCTCCTTGCCGACGAATTCGTAGGCACGAGCAGCAATACTTTTCCGGCGTAGTATAGCAAGTTTCTTCTTCTTTTTCTTCTTGTCTGTAACGGAGCTCACATCTGACTGACTGTCAGTCTCGCCTTCATCAATAGAATCGAGATCGTCATCGTCCGCGTCCTCGTCGTTGAAAGACGTCTGACGTGAAATGGATAGCTGTAACTCATCGTCCTCTTCCTCGGCCATGATTTGGGATCTGAACTTTCGCATAATATCCTCGGGGCTGGCTGAAAGATTCGCGGAATCGACCAAACTGAATTGCATCTGCACCTCTCCTGACACGCTTGCCTTTTGGCCCTTGGATTTGCGTTTGGATTTTAGTTTGTACCATTTGGGCTCTGATTGAATACCTCCTCTTGCAAATATGTCTTCTACAGCAATGTCAAATTCTCCCATGTAGTCTTTGCCGAAACGATCCTTGTCCCAGCACACACATTCGAGGAGGGGGACGCCGACCAGGGGTAGATCGAAACAGACCTTCCATTCCGGATTAAGGTTCTTGCTGATTGAAGGTGTGCTCTGCTTAGAGCCACCCAGATGAACGACAAGGTATGGGTCACTGGTACCTGACTTATCCTTAGCCGCAAGACTGCGGCCTCGGATCACGTAGACCTTGAGGATTAGTGGCTTGTCGCCGTTCGAATGGGCCACAGGTGCTCTCGCTGGGCTCGAGTTGCGTGAAGGTTCTTTCGTGGAGTCATGATGCTTGCCTAGGTGGCTAATCCTGTGAGGTAGGATATTCCGCATTGTGAGAGGTATGCTAGTAGTGTGAACAAAATAGAGCCTGAGGTTTTGGCGTAAGGTGGCGGTCACCACGGCCAACAACGCTGGATAGATATAGCTACTGGAAGCGACGCGTGGACAGTAGGAGGGACGTACCGAGCACTGAAAAGGTGCAACAGTCCGTCCCACATGGAAGGGTGTCAAATAAGGGAAGCGACTACCGTGACCACCAAGATGCCAGGCCGATCACAGCGGGCATCGGGCGGCAGTAGGAATAGTACTAGCTAGTCTTATTGGGAGTGGGGGCGTGCGTCACCAATTCGGCACGAGTTCTGTTGCTTTCTCACTCCACAACCACTTCTATAGCAGAATACCGGGCATTGTCTCGAATCGTTGCAAAAAGCCTACATGGGAGCAAGGAACATTCCGAGAAACCACCAATTAATATGTAGGTTGAGCTTCGCATCGCCAATATAGCATTTGGGGATTGTGCATGTCCTCTCGCTGGACACGCGTTCATTCGCTTGAGAAAGCTTATCTGATGTCTAAAGAGACCGCAATGCAGCTTCACAAAGGAGCACATCCAGCATGACCATCGCTTTGGCTTCTGTTGAAGATCCGTCCAGACCTAAGCACGTAAAGCCCACCAATTCAAGCGTGACCATTCCCTGAAGGATGACCACGGCAAGTCGTCTAAACTAAAGCTTGTACAGGTCTTTTATGGGATTATAGAGTCGCCTTGATCATGACCAAGACAGCAGTCGCCATGAAGGAGATTTAACGCTGGAACTCATAGGGCTTTGGAATAACGATTTGTCTCGGTAAAGCCTTTCAGTCACCACGAGGTTGATCCATTACCTGCACTGGTATTAACCTTTCACTCGCCATTCACGTTACCTTTCTTTCTGAATTGTCGTCTCGTCGACCCATTCCAGTCGACGCCATCCCTCACAACCATTGTTGACAAGAGAAAACTCCAGTAGGAAAGCAATAGCATCTGCTGATCGTAAGAAATTTCCCCTTCTATCGACACGAAGAATATTGAAGAAGTTAAAGCGCTGGCGAATGTTGACGAGGTGGAGTTGATCGTTGTAGACAATACCAATTTGCACCAGAAATATACTGCTAGATTATGCCGTCAATGCAGTGAGATAGCGTGAGGAGGGAACCTGGCTTTGCCTACAAGAGAGCACATCGGTGCCATGCATTGGGTGATTCTGTTGTCTCCCGGAGTATCTTTGGAGAAGTCAGATGGAGCCGTTACCGCTGAGTCGACAACGAGACCACGCTCTATTTTCCACTTCTTGCTATAGTATCTTCAGCCATCATATATGCGAATCTTTGACGAGTGGTAAGGGTCCTGCAAACGTGACTCCTTTTGCCTTCAAGAAATCTCACGAATCTTGAAATCAGTTCACAGTGTCCTCGACTTGATCATGGTCACCTCGGATGTTCGTTACTATCCGTCACCAGCAAACGTGCGTTGGTTGATGACTCGCTGTTGTCACTCTATTCTGACACGCAACTGAAGATGTGTTCCCTGGGAAAGCCGGGGTGACAGCACCACAGAACTTTATAAGAAGTCCTTCTTGTCGATTCAAAAGTTTCTCTCATACTTCTACCATCCTTTAACAGATACCCAATACCTTGCCAGTACTCTCATCTCGACCTAGATTTCCAGAAAGTACTTCAGTCATGCAGGTCAAGAACATTCTCTGCACCGTCCTTGGCATGGCCACCACTGCTGTCTGGGCTGGTCCAGTCGACCAAAGCCCTACAAAAGACTCACTCGACACGTAAGTCTATGTTTTATTAGCGAATGCCGAGCTCACTATTAATCGCCCTACAGACGAGTGGTTCTTGAGAGCGCTCCACCAGTGTGCGACTACCGACTCACAGACAAGCAGGAGATTGGTACTTGTAAGAAGAACTCCTACGGGAAGTCCGTCAAGATTACGCCAAGTGTTTGCGAGGAATATTGCGAGTGCAAGTGGCACATGGAGGCGAGCAATGCCTTTATCTATTGTCAAAATTATGCTGAGTGCAACCCGGTGAGTACTCGGAGAGGTTGCTGCCAGGTTTCGCCATCGTCAATACTGACCGCTTAATAGAATGACATCGCAAAGATCTGTACCAAGAACTGCAGCTGCCCAAACTGGACCGACCAAGAGAGCTGAAGTACCTGAAAGCGAGGCTAGAGCAACAGGTTCTGTCACCGAGTGAAGGGACTGAGTAACAGCTCTGCTCGGTTTCGTACATCTAGATGGTGTGGGTTTGCGTATTTGCATAGATGAACTCACCATGGTTATGGCATGAGGACTCATTTCAGTCTGGGTGTAGTATTGAGATTGATTGACAAGCAGTAAGCTTTTGTCAAGATCAACCTCGTCGTGGTGGTGACTGCACCAGATCACACTAATCAATCAATTCATCAGCCTTTTGTTCTTCCGATGGCTATTGCGTGTACATGGCGAAATTCATTCTCTGTAGCATAAATCTTCTACACTCGAGATTGATTTGTGATACTCGACGTACTTGAATAAAACGCTACTCACGGGCACTGATATAGGACTCGTGCACGTTCATTAACCGCTGCAAGCTGTATCTGAACGCTAGAACCGGTCACTATTTTTTCATCTGTTGAAACTAGCCTGGTTCTAGTATTGCTCGAACAACCAATGAGTGACGAAAGATGCGCTCGAAGTGTAAACACAACTCCCGCCCTCACCCTCCACCACACTACCACAGCTCACACTTATAGTAACCTCACTGTCGCTTGAGAATAAAGTCGCCCAGTCAGACTTGCTATTGTTATTGGACACGACATGCGACCGCTCGACTCAACTCTAGACTCTTCTTGCTGAACGGCCTCGCTCTTTCACAGCGCGAAACTGACGCGAAACCCGTCGGCCTCATGACAGCACTCGTTGCGCGCCCTCCACTACAAAATTTGTCCATGTCATCAGTCCAAAGCGGGTCGCGAAGGCATAGTGCACGTCTTCAGCAAAAAGAAAACGTCGACCATGGCAGCAATGGGGCGATCGCGACAAGGAAGCCTCCAGGAACCAAGAAGCGGAAAGGTGCATTTGAAGAGGAGGACGAGGGATTCGTCTTCACAAGAGCGAAAAACAAGAAGGCACGTAATTCTGAGGCTGTACATACAGAGTCAGTAAAGACGTTGCCTACAGCTTCTAAAACGCCATCTCGCCTCGAGACTGCCGACGATGGCAAGAAACAGGAGAAAGAAGCACCCACAGCATTGGACGAGACAGATCAACCCCCGAAACAGAGAAGGAAAAGGAAAATGTCTTTCTCTACGCCGGCGCGGAAGGATCAGCAGCCAGCAACGAGGTCGAAGCGCTTGTTTACAGAAGCTGAAGAGATAGTGAATGATCTGGTTGTAGAGGCACCGCCACAACCTCAACGACCTATAACACGGAAAGAGGAGATACAGAAATCGAAGTCACCTGCTCCGGAGCAAGGAAACCTGCGAGAGCAGCCCTCAAAATCCGAGGTTCACACAAATCAGAAAGAGCCTCTGCAACAGGAACAGCCAAAGGAGGATCTGGAAAATCCCTCTGTAGATCATGAAGAATCACATTCCTCCACGAAAATAAACCTACCATTTGCAGATACGCCGGTAATATCCAGGAACAAAGCAATGCGAGAAGGAAAAGCTGGCAAAAACGAAAGAAGGAGTAGTTTAGGTCTTCGGGGGAGACGAGCCTCCTCTCTGATAGACTCGGGGAGCTCAAATGGTATGTGACGACAGAATCTGTTTCCAAGGAGGTCAGGACTAACTCATGTAGCACTGCCACATGCTGAAGTGAATGTTCAAGACTTCTACAAACATATAGGGAGCGATTTGCTGGAACCGCGACGCATGCGACAGCTACTTACGTGGTGTGCCACCAGAAACATGCATCCGAAGCCACAAGGCACGACATTTGAAGAGGCCAGCGCTAGGTCAGCTGCTCGTGTTATCGAAGAGGAGCTGCTGAAAGATCTTGCTGATAAATCAGAGATGTCGGACTGGTTCAACAGGGAGGACACAGGAGCTTCAGTTGTGCCATTACCCGAAAGGCCACATCCGAAGAATTTAGAGAACGCCACTAAGATAGTGGAGGTTGAAGAGCAGCTCAGAAGGTAAGACTCGTGTCACTGTGCATCAACGACAGATCACTAACGATTTTTAGACTACGTGCCGAGAAAGAAGCCCTCGAAGCATTGTTGCGCCCACCATCGATAGCCAAACCACATATCGTCAACCGTGAAGCGCATAGTCAGAAGGATAGCGAACTACTCTCCGAAAACGACACGAAAGCACTGGAACTACTGAATCCTGGCTCATCACTTTCCAATGAGATCAGCTCGCGAGTAAACCAAGTCGTCTCTGCTCTTGGTCCAGCCATCGACACATTTGCAGACGGCGTACACAAAATCAATCTATATAGGATAACAGCTGACAATCTGGCCAGCGAAGTGCTTTCAACGTGCGCTGAGAAGATAGCGCAGCGTGAGAAAGTAGGCAAGATGAAAGCTCTTGGTACAGACGAGGTACCCAGTCCACGACGAGATCTAAGTAGTGTACTACGTGGACTCAGCAAAGCAGGTAGATGATAATGTATGAAGCTCAAACGACGACGACGACGACGACGACTCCTGCCAATAGCGTCTACAGTAGGACGTTTTTCGCTGTGACTTTTCATGAGCTGATGAAAGCAGCAGAACATTATCGCAAGATACGTTTTCGTGGCTCTGGTTCATGGGTAAAGCATGACGTCAGTGACAGAAATGAGGACGACAATAGCATCGGCTGCGCCAATACGTCCAGCATGCGGCACAGGTATCACGCACATCTTGAAGGTCAAACAGGTGTCGAAGATCTCATTGTACTGGATACTCGAGTACGGCTGTACATGTGAAGGTACGAGAAAGAGTAGTGCACACAGGACGCCAATGATAAGTGCTGATCTTTGCACGTTGTCAAGATCACGACCTAGGGAACAACCTTATGACGTTCTGGCTGAATGGCATAATCTCTCCAGAGCTATTGGTGACGACCCGTTTACATGGAGCGATGCTAGCACGATACGTAGGCTTGTCAAGCATGACAAGCTCTACATAAAGAAGCTTGTTCGCAGACCCTTGTTCGTCTGCTTTGCAACCAAGCCAAGTATACCTACCATACTCACCGCGCATTAGCAGTATCTAGTACAGGTCTTAGCGAGGCAACAACAAAATGTCGGACAGCAACTTTGCGCCAGTACATCACCAGACTACTTCTGGAATGTCAGGTCACCACACCACCGGAGCTCACAACCTCGATAACTACAGCACAACAGGAACGAACACTGGTATCGATACGACGACCGCTGGCGCCAGTCACGACTACGCTCGCAGCTCTGCCGTAAACGACACTGACCGATCCGAGTTTCCTGGTCGACTTGGTGATCGCAACGATGATACAATCTCTCCCGCCGCTGAACCTATCTCTCGCGATCGACTCAATAGCGAATATGAGCCTCGAACCGAGATCACACAACAACGTGGCTCACTAGCTAGCACGGAAGGTCCATTCCACGCGCCAACCACAGAAGACGCAACCAGCAGCAGCGATGTTCCACCTGCGAGCACTGTTAGCCAGCAAAATGCACCACATCAGGGTGGAAGGATTGGAGAGGCGACGATGAGTGCATTTGGATACGGAGGATCAACTGTTGAGCGACCCAAGGAACATCAGGGCACGGCTGAGAAGATTCTGAATTTCTTGGGCGCATAGAGTATATCGTTTCCGTCAAGAAGTTGAACAAGAAGTATTTAGTTGCAGTAGCAAATCCACCATATTGCTTGAGACGAAGCTACATTTGTATGTTACGGATGCTCCAAGAAGGTTCTGAGCGTAACCCTTGACCACCACTCACCCACACCACCATAATCTCACCATAATCTCGATGTATATTTACGTCAGCCCAGGCCTGCGCCACATATTCACGGCTTGGTTTCGGAAGACCATGACTTTCCAGCCACAGATCATCGTCATTTGTGTCAATTTTTGTGGCGCATGAGATTGCTTGTCCATTTCCCGATCCCCAGGTCACCACTCCCGCCCAGCCATGCGGACTGCCAAGCTGGATAAACCAAGTTTCAGTGGTTCGACAAGTCGTCGGTGTCCCAACTAAGGCAGACCATGATGCGATGGCAGGCGCAATGAGGCGCTAAGAACCAAACAAAGGATGCGCCTCTACTGGACACTTGGTAGGTGCGGTGACACGATATAGATAAACGTGTTTCCTCCTAGATTGTTCCATCTCTTGTCCTATCTACGCTCTCAGACTACATAACCTCTTTCCAATTCTGATCACTTCGTCTTGGGTAACAAACAGTCACACAAGTCCATCTTACCAATCTAAGCACATTCACAATATGCCTTTCCTCTACACAAAGGTAAGAGCCAACGCTATTGTCCGCAGAATGATCGCACGATCATGCTAACTTTGCGCCAGAACTGGGGTGGAAGACACGGCGGTGGTGGTGTTACTGTCGATCGTCACGGTGTTCGACGAAACCCATTCAGATTTTCGCTCGGCCGATTCAGCTGTTTCCGCTAGAGCAAAACGACAAATGATACCCGATCGTCATCGAGCACAGACATCCCCATCTCACGTACAGTTCCAGAGATCCTGGCATGAAGCCAACAACCAGGTCACCATGAAAGAGTTGTCTTGAGTCGTGGGCTGAGCAGAGAGCAACAGATATGGAGAGTGTTGCTGGTGATCGATCACTAGATTCAGATGGTACAGCTCTGCTTGCTATCTACGATGTGATGAGTTTTGTTGGGGAGCACGGCGTTATGCATCCGAGATATTGACATAATGACAATGGCTTCAAATACTGAGCTGCACGAATTTAGTGCTTCACGTGAATACCTGAACGTTGCTGAGGCTTCCCCGTTACTGATGACTCTTGATTCTTGCATAGGTGGATGTCCCTCGAACACTCTAACATGGCCATACAAATCGCTCATGAGCTACTGAAGTCGCAGCCTGTATATGCTTCGATCAGAATATGGCAGAGCCGACAGCAACAAATACGGTAGTCCAGCGCATATCGATACCCAGTTTAATAACCAACGCGTTCTAGAGCCAAGACCATGAACGCGAAACAATCTTACGATATGCGTAACTGTTGGAAGGTGCCTCTGTCAGCAGACTCATCAGCTTCGTTGGTTTCATGATGTTTCGCTGTATAATCTCTGATCTTGATACATTGGTATAGTCATTTCATGACTATCCTCAGCTCTCTCTAAATCAGTCCACAGCTACCTTCTCTTTCCTCCGCAGTTCCTCACTACTATCGGCAGAGCTTGTGGCAGGCGTCATCTTTGCGCCGGTCGTGGTGTTCTCGTCGTCGTCATCCCAATCATCAGGCTGGTTTTCATCCCAATTGTCTAATTCCTCTTCTACTGCTTCTGTTTTCGACCTGCTAACTTCCACGACTCCAGTCTCTTGACCAAGACCTTCCTCGTTGCCAGCTACACCAGGACCAGAGGTCTGCCCTAGCTCGACATCCTCATCGTCTCCTTCGATGCCCTCTCCAGTAAGTGCTGAGTACTTCGCTCGACGTCTTCGTTCTAGATTGCGCTTGTGGTATGTAGCTGCCAGACCTAATGCGCATAGTGAACCAACAACATTGGTCAGTACATCCCAGGCGTCAAACTCCCTGTCGTTGGGCAGTAGCCCCTGCGCGACTTCACTTCCAATCCCTAGTACCAACGTGCAGACAACCAAAGTCAGGTGGAGTAGGCGCTTTCGTGCAGTATCAAAGATGAAATAGAAGGTAGCAGTCAGGGCAAAGAATGTGACGAAGTGTAAAACCTTGTCGCTTTGCTTCGGTATATATGGTTGTGCTGAGACTGGAGCTTGGGGAAGAGACGAGTGTGGAAGCAGGCCAGCTGAGCTGGCTGCCAGGAGTATTAGGAGGAATCCGACTGTGACGGGTCAGTGCTGGACATGGCAGACAGAAAGACTTGGAGGTCACATACAGGCAAAAGGCAGTCGAATGCGCATATTGAAATGCAACGCTCAAGTGGTGCAGTAAATGGTGGGAGTGCTGGCTCTGGTCTTGTAAACCATGACCTGCTTACGAGCAGTGCGTGTTTTGGAGGTCAGACATGTACCGGCACAGTAGCAGATCGTTCGAGAATTGTTTTCGAGTCAGTAACGAGTCGCTCTATAATGATATGCACAACCAACGCGAACACGTCGGAACCAGGAACAGATCATGCAATCGCTACAGTACAATTGTGCTCGCAAGTGAATACTACGACTAACTAGCTGACCGACAACCCCTGGTAGGCGCAAGAATTGCCTGTAAAGCCCGGAGAAATCTAGCGTTTCTTAGTGGGAACCACTGCAGACGTCCGTGTCCGATCGTCGCATCGGCGCAGTACGTAGGCTAGTCAGCCAACTACGGAGTAGTAGTAATTGAGCGTTCCTGACAACCACAACCTCATGTTCAGTGCTCGAAGCGTATGCGGACCTCGACAACAGCCATCAACCACGCCCACAATTCATCGATTCACGACTTGCAATCATCAGCGCTGGATTTAGCGCACTCGAAACTACATTCGACAACCCTTTTGGAAGAATTATCCAGACAGTATATCAAGCTGGAGCAGCGACAACAGCAGACGGAGGGGTGTGCCATCGGGCTTCTCCCGAGGAACTGGAGGCCTATACTGTCAGTCCTGCCCTAGGCTATGGCGACATGGCTACCGGCATCCAACAGCACTTATCATCACCGCCCTTCAGATGATGATTATTCGCATAAAATGCACAATGGCTTGTTGAAAGCGCATCCTCCTCATCCTCCATCGCGACCGCATACTCCCAATTTCTCGTCGGCCAAATTGCGTACCCTCAATGGTAGCGCACCCCAGTCCGCCCCGGATCCTGAGCCACCAGTTGAGGAGGATCCCCAAGTTCTCAAGTTCAGAGCCATCTATGAAGAGACACAAGCAAAGATTGCATCACTCTTCACCAGTACTGGTGATCTGATCGTGTCTGGGAAGCGCAAACTGCCCGAGTCCTTTGATCCTGCCGAGTCTGCTGCCCAGATCCCTGATGTCGTTGCGCCCGAAGTTCAAACTCAATCGCAACCTCAAACCTCCATACCACTATCAAAGAAAAGGAAATTGGACGACGACTATGACGATTACGATGACGAGGACGACGACGAGGACGACGCTGCCGCCTCACCACTCAAGGGAAAGTCCAACAAGGTCTTGATAGTCTCCGACCCCAACCGTCACGCAACCCCTGTACCTCGTCCGATCCCTCCCTCTCGGCCTGCCTCGGAAGCTTCGAAGGCTGAAAGTGCGAAGCAGAAGCAAGAGAAACCAGAAGATGCGCGCAAGAAGCTGGAAGAGGCCAAGCGCCTCGAGACTGAAACTGTCAAGGACATGTCTCGCCAATATTTCTTTACCCTGGAGAACGATCGGGATGCTATGCTCGACCAACAGCGGCTGGACGAAGCTGAGAGACGCGCTGAGGCAGAAGCAGAGGGCAATGCAAATCGCGCCAGTGTTGTACCTCAGCAGGGCAGTCTTTCCAGCGCCAACTTGGGCGCAAGCAGTCTAACCCTCAAGAACCTGATCGCTCGTATCGACATGTACCGCTCTGAAGTCCAAGCCAGCGAATCTGAACTACGCGCTTTGATGAGCGAAGTCCGCAAGAACAGGAGCAAGTGGGCCAGCGAGGAGAAAGTCGGACAGGAAGAGCTGTACGAAGCTGCTGAGAAAGTGCTCAATGAAATGAAAGCCCAGACCGAACATAGTGGTCCATTCTTGCAACCTGTGAAGAAGAAAGACGCTCCGGATTACCATGCCGTTGTCAAGCTACCCATGGATTTGGGCACCATGACCAAGAAGCTCAAACAGATCAGCTACAGGTCTAAGCAGGATTTTGTCGACGATCTCCATCTAATCTGGACCAACTGCCTGAAGTACAACAGTGCCCCCGACCATCCTATGCGCAAACATGCCCTCTTCATGCGTAAAGAGACTGACAAGCTTGTGCCCCTTATACCTGAAATCGTGATCAAGGATCGTGCAGAGATAGAAGCCGAGGAGCGCAAGCAAAGGATAGCAAACGGCGAGCTTGACGACAACGTCGAGGACTCCGACGACGATCAGCCGATCATGGCTTCTCGAGGAAGGACTGCACCTGGAAAGAAGCCAATGAATAGCAGTAAAGCTCCTAGTGCCAGTAGGAAGACAGTCCATGGACAAGACTCGACACCTGCTCCGGAGACGAAGCCTTCCTTGTCTCAATCGAATCCAACCATGAATGGCATGCGTGCCGACAGCGAAGCTGATGTTGGAAGTCAGGGTCACAGTACACCGCCACCAGGAACTTTGACGCCTACAGGCCTGGAAAGAGGTGCCGGTTCCGTTATCGATGCCGCCAGTGAGGTGCCTGATTCTGAGATTCCTGGCTTGCCCTTTGCTGGTACACCTCCTGAAGTTGAAGACGAAGATTACAGCTTATGGAAGCAAAAGACCAAGAAAGATCGAGCCACAATCGCTGCCGCCAGACACAGGCTTTTCCGAGGTGACAAGCTCAACACCGATGAGGAAGCTTTATTGCGCAGTAAAGCTGGTATGCGCCGTTGGCAAAGGCTTCAGCAGAACTCACTCTCTGCTCCTGGTTTTGACTCCGAGGAGGGTAACCAGCAACCTCAAACTGGACCTACATTAGCCGAGGGACTCGAACCAGAAGAGGAATCAGTGTTACCGGACTACTACGATCCATTGTCTGCTATTCCCGACCTCAACCCTAGCTTACGCTGGGAGACTGATGCAGAAGGACAATTGATCGATCAGAATGAAGAGAATCTTCGTCTCTTTCCTGCAGGTCAATTTACTGCGCCCCAGTCACGATTTTCGCAAAAAATGTACGAGAATATGCGTCAGATCCAAGAGACACGCAAAGTAGTAAGCAAAATCGGCATAGTCAAGCAAATGCAGTTGCAGGCTCAAGTGTATCAAAACCAGTTTCAGAAGTACGAGCCGGCTCCTTTCTTCGAGGAAGATGTGAAGGATGTTGTTGTTGCGGACGATGGCCCTTTAATGGCGCCATGGGTTACGAAAGCTGCTCTTACACGAACTATTGGAGAGGTCTTCTTTCATGCCGGTTTCGAGGAGTTCCAGCCTAGCGCTATCGACGTCGTGGCAGATCTCACCGCAGATTTTTTCAAGAATCTTGTCTCAAATTTTAGTAATTACCTTACCGAGGAGAAAATCAGCGTTCCTGTCGAGGAAGTGGTCCCAGCTACGCTGCCACGACCAACAGCGACAGTCAACAAAGACCAGAAAACAGTCCTCCGACCTGCGGTCAACAATGAGGAAGCCATCCTGCATGCACTGCATGAGAGTGGCCTTTCTATCAACGACCTTGATTACTATGCTCATGAGGAGATGGATCGTACGAGCACGAAACTTCAGACCATGTTCGACCGTATGCGTAGCCATTATGCCGACCTGCTCAAGCCTGCGATGTCCGATGATACCGCCACAGGCAGCGGCTCATTTGATTCTGGAGAGCAGTACGTTGGAGGTGATTTTGCAGATGACCTTGGTGAAGACTTCTTTGGCTTCAAAGAGCTTGGACTCGATAAGGAGTTTGGCCTTGTCAATCTGTCTGTACCCTTGCACTTGCTGCACAACAGGCTTTCCACCGCCGCACAACAAGCTAGCAATACTGGTGATACCACAGAAAAGATCTTTGTGCCGCCGCCACCATACCCACGAGTCAATGTTGAGAACATCGAGCGCGAGGTCGGGTTGGTTAGGGAGCACTTCCGGAAACTTCTCAAGCAAAACGGTGACAGGCCACTGCCCGAGGACCAGGACTTGCCTGTCAAACAAAGGAAGGGATATGGGAGAGCACGTGTTCCTGCCACGGGCAAGATCGAGGGCAAGGCCGTGGGAGGCAGTCCCCAGAAGAAAGCTCCCGCTTCAACTTCGAAATCCGACACAAAAGCAGTCAAGCTCTCCCTCACCAATGGCCTCAAGAAAGACGACCAGAAAGGTCGGAAAGACAGCACTACCAGCAAAGCTGGGGACGTTAACATGGCCGATGCTGACGCAGACGCAGAACCAGACCTGGACGTCGAAGTCGACGGCGTCAACGACGAAGATGAGCAGAATGGACCACCAACACCCAACCAGGAGCCAGATGCAAGCCCCGAGAAGAAGACACCGAGCAAGACTAACCTCAAGCAACGGCCTGGTGACATCCGCAAGAACAGCTCAGTTTCGGTGACCATGCAAAGGCAGGACTCCGGCCAAGACCGCAGGGACAGCATGACGAACGGCGACTTTAGTGCGTTCGTCAATGGAATGGATAGTCCGCCACCAAGCGCGCATGGAAGCGAGGATAAGAACACTACTAGTAGCGCTAAGAAGAAAAAGGGTAAGGCCAAGGACAAGGGTAATGATGATGGTATGATCAGTCCGGAGAGCTTGTAATTTACTTGTTAGACGACAGCAGCACTGTGTGTGAGATTTGGGTTCAAGATTGAATGGGGGTCTTTTTGTTTGGTTGAGTGTCAGGCCAAGTACTTTATTGTGTATATGAATGGACGAATAACGGTATGGAGTGGTTTGGTATGGTTGTGACATAAAAGAACGGGATTTTTGAGCTGGATGAAGATGTTTACCAGCATCAATGAGACGGGACTCTCTTTGTATCAGCAGGCAGGTAGATTGAAGGGGAGTTTGGTGGCTACGTACGATCTGTCGATCATCTATTGCTATTGGTGGTATGGCGGTAATATTGGCTGACCTGATGTGATGATGATGAGAGGGAGGACAGCATCGAACGTCCTTGATTGGAATTTGTGGTTAGGTTGACTAGATAGATAGGTATTCATCTATCGACTCGACTTAGTTACTCACCTTTCTGCCTACCTACCTGGAATACTGTCAGCCATGTTACTAGTAATTCTGTCTTATGCAGCTTGATCTGCAGTATGCTCGTCACGCTTGAAAGACGAGGAATGAATAGAAAGAGAGATTCGTGTGTAGATTTACAAAGTATATATTGCCTTTTTATACAGGAGTGGAAGCTGGTTTGGTCAGATAAAGCAGTATGTTTGGTTCATCGTGGCCAGTCTTTTCAAGATAGCTTATTCGAGGTCGCTCCTTCCTGAAGGTGTATCACGACCTGGAAGCTACGTGAGCGCCTTGACGTGCTGGAGCAGAGCCTGTGTTGATTCAGGATTGGTGTGCTTGCTCTTCTCTGTGGTGAGACACAGATGTGACCTTGCTTTGCTGACGCATGCATGGTGTCGATTCTCATCCTTCGTTTTCCGATGTATTTGAGCTTCGGGGGAGGGCACTTCCACATTACTGGTGCACAAATGCTTGGCCTGAATACACTTTGCACCTTGAACACTAATACCTCATACCACCTCTTATGACATCGTTCAAACCTCTGCCAGATGATCTCCCCGTCGAAGATTGTCTTATAGCTTCTTTCCTCTGCTGCACCTTGTCCCAGTTAATTCTCTCCCACCAAGCGGCCAAGTATGCTCTCTTTCCTCGCTCCAACAAGCCGTAGTCGGGAACCCACATATGTTGCCATACGTTCAAGCACAATAGAGGTTCTGCGTCTAATTGATCTTGCAATGAGTGTTCTTGGTTTCGAGCCAGGCTGGCGGATCCAGGAGTGCGACCGAGAAGACTGTTGCGAGACTGGACTGCTTCTGGAGAAGCGGGATCCAGATTGGTCGCTCTGTCTCTGTTCTGACGCAAGAGCCATGCGTCGCGATATGGCGAGCCAGCATTGTATGTGCACAGGATGCGCAGTCGGCCACCAGTATTGGTGCCCGCAGTCCTCTCCTGCATGAGCCAGACGAAACCATTCCCGAAGATAGCTTCACCGTGCTCCAGCATCTCTTGTCTCAACTCCGATAGAGAACTAAACCATTCATTGACATCACCCAACATCTCATCGCTCGGTTCGGTCTTGGTTATGGACAGACTGTCCCACCAGAAGTGGTTGAATGCCGCCATAGCAGCCATATTGTAGATGTGTGCCCTTTCAGGTTGGCGACTGAAGATTTTGTGCAGGTGCAGGGCAGAGTTGCCTTCATGTTCAGTTGCAGTGGTCTCGTAATTCAGTTTGTCAACCAACTCTTGCTGATATTCGGTCCACGTTCGTCGAAAGGTCGTGCGTGTGAGGAAGCCTGGCACACCATGTTCGTGAAAGTATTCTCCTAGACTGTTCCTTGAATCACCCAGGCCAGGGACGGAGTGCAGAGCGCGCCGTTGAAGACCGCAAGAAGAGAGGCTACCCTGTTGCTGCAGCAGGTAAGAGTTAGTGGCTTGCTACAGATTTAGTCATGCGCACAAGATAGACACTTACTGACAACTGCCCAAAAGATCCTGCGATGGCCTGCCGCCTTGCTATTCGCCGTAATATCATCTTGTGATGTGTATATGATGAGCTATACTTGCGCATCTGAAACTGATCGATTCAGTCCAAAAAGTCTCCAGGCCGTAAATTGCTAAATCCGGCTTAGTGCCTCGCGTCTGATTCGAGCCAATGAAAACCCTCGATTAGACGTCAATGAGCAACTTCTGCAACGCGCCTGCCTCAGTCTTTCATTCAGAAATTCTGTTTCAGCTTCTCTGCCGCCATGTCCAACCACTACTCTGAACTTCTTGCGACCGCTACATTGCAAATTCAGAACTCGTCCAGACCAATCTATGCGCGCCAACTCACTGGCTGTTCTTACAACTTCACCAAGCTGTGTACCCAACGCTCGTGAGGCTGTGTTAGGTACTGATCATGTCACCCCATCGACAGCTCAGATGCAACGAGTATACGAGTTGTGCTACGACATGGTCTGGTCAGAGCGAGGACTTTCTGCACTACGAAGACACAGGAAACACGCGTTCTAGAAGAGTTCTCTCTTGTTCTTCATGAGCCTCTGGTTCTGAACCCTTTCCTTTGTTATCCTTCCACTCCCTTTGTCTGTCCTCATTTCCATCATCTCACGTTTGTTCTCTGATTCACCAGCTTCTATTTGTGTGTCACCTTTCTTTACGTCTTTTCTAATCACTCACAATCGTCTCGCCTTTGCTGGTCAACGCGGATTAACCACCACTTCTTCCTAACAGAACTACTAATCGATACCACGAATTAATACCTCTCAATCAACATTGACTGCGAACACAACTAAGAGAAAATGAGACCCCGAGTCGTCGTCCTTGCTCTCACATCCATCGTCTCCGCAAGTGCTTACGTGCAGAACTGGAATGGCTCTATAGATCCTTCTGAAGCACTCCGGAGACTGGAACGTAGAGCTGATACCTGCCCTTCGGACAGGCCGAAATCTTGCTCATCTGTCGATCCAAAACTACCCAGCAGTTGGTGCTGCCCCTCAAGCGACACTTGCGTGCCCATTGACAGGTCCAAGGGCGCTATATGTTGTCCTCCAGGTTCCGATTGCGCCAGCATTTTTACCATCGAGTGCGATACGAGTTTGCAGGATCCTGATAAAAATGCTGGGGCCCCCATCTTCACAACCAGGCTCAATGACAAATTAGAAACTTGCGGAGACAAATGCTGCCCATTCGGCTACAATTGTAATAAAGATGATAATGGTTTCGCATGCGTCCTTAAGAAGGAGGATGCGGGACCAGCTACCACGTCCAAAGTTACCTCAACCGCGACCGCGACTGCGACGTCAGCGCCAAATACTACGACCTCGTCGCAAGCTCTGAATTCAAACGATCCTCCTCCCAAGAAGGAGAGCTCTTTCCCACCTGGCGTTTTCTTCGCAGGGTTTGTCCCAGGTATACTTGTCGGCGTATTGGCGACGCTAGCTTGGGTCGTCTATACAAAACGGAACAACAAGCCTATTGACACTCGTGGGTTAAATGTGCAAGGACACGGAGCACGACCTTTCATATCCGCACCTGTACAAGACGTACGTTCGAGTAATGGACGATCAGATTTCCTTGGCCGAAGCCGCTCTCGAGCTCGATCCATGTTTTCAAGCAATCGGCATACACGGACTGTCGATACATCTGACATAATGGCTGCTAAGATGCCAACCCCGCCTCCACATGGTCCTATCCCCGTCAACTACATTAACGATATGCCGGATGTGCCAGTCACTCCGGCAAGACGAGTTGCACGGTATCATAGTGACGAGTATATCCCTCGTGCTGAGACCGATTATGAGAAAAGGGAAATATCCCCAGTCAGCGCCAACGTAAGCGATCCTCATACCCACGAAACTATTCGCATCTACTCACCTGAGATTGTTCAGCAGCAAAATGCTGCACCAGTCATGCCACAAGCGCCTCTTGCATCCATCCCACCACTTCGAGGCATGAACACTCAACGCCGTGCATCACCAGACTACGACACAGCTGCACCTTCACAGCAGAGGCGCGATTCAGGAACTGGTATGGGCACGTTCGGCTCTCCCTTCCAGACACCAGAGAAAAAGCCTACGATTGTAAATCGACATACTCCTTCCATGTACGCCACTTACCACGATGCATCCACCTTGCATTCCCCCGAAGATCAGCAACCCATTCCACAAACTCTCACACCCGCACGTTACGATCCTAAGGCCAACCTCGCACCATCAGCTGCCGCCACACTTGCTTCCTCGCGCCTCAGTAAAGCTCGCCAAGGTCTTCCGTCACAACAGCAAAGCAAGCCTACTATACCTGCACGGCCCGAAGCTAGACAACAAATGAGACCAGAGACCCAGTACTCTGAATTCAACTTCGACCATGGTCTAGACCACGACGACGAACCAGAGTCTCCAATAGGAAGTCCGCCAAGAGAAGCATACAAGTCTCAAGCTGTCTCAAATCCATACACTCAGCCACGAGCCAATCCAACATCAACATTCGACAGCATGATACCCGCAGCACCAAGCTCACAATTCGACAAGAGCAAGCAAGACAAGCACGCAACGAACGCAACTACATTCACGACCATGCTGAAGAATGTCGGGTTCCCGGATCCTGGAGATCAGCTAGGCAGGGGCGTGCCGAAAGTGCCCAAGTTGGATATGAGCAAGGTTAATGGGAAGCAGGGTAAGAAAGGCATGATATGAGATGGGCAGCTCTAGTTGGCTACTGATAATAGCTTGGATGTGAAGAACGAATACAATGATTTGGATACCTGTGTTGCTGCACTATTAGCTTTGCAAGCATAGCGATGGCGCTTTGTGCTAGATTTACTTGGGATTGAATCCTAGAGAGATAGATCTGACTACTAATGGCTTGATTACTGCCCACTTATGCGTGCATAAGTACTACCAAAGGATATTGCTTCTCTGCATAGTACGTAGCCAACGTCTTCGCCGGGAGTCGCACCACTCTCAACGCCTTTTCGCTGCTGGTGCCAAACTGTCATCTGGTAGACCTCCTCGCTTCGTGCCCGGCAAACTGCTAGTACCAATATCATTCGTCTCAGTACTAACACGCCTATGCGGATACGTCTCACTCAATCCCTCAAAGCAATTATTGCTAACCCATATCTCACCATTATGCTCTCCTTCCTGCGTACAGCGAAAATAGTCATGTCTCAGGGCCTTTTCCGCAGTAAGCCTCTTGTCAGGATCATACTCAAAAAGCTTATCGAGAAGGTCATAGCCGAGTTTCCCAGGAGTTTTATCGTCGGGGTATTGCGCCTGTCTGAGTTGGTGGTTGTACCAGGTCTCAAGCCCCGTGGCGGGCGCTCGTGGCTGTAAATTAGTGGCTGACGGATACATGTTCGGAGGGATGCCGCCTCGTGATATGATGAGTTGTTGGAGTTGTGGAAATTCCGGCATGTAGACTAGACCGGGCCAGTCCTCGCGTTTGGGCATGCCGAGTATTTCGACGATTTTGCTCATTTGGTTGCGTTGGAAGGGCACGGTCTTTTTACTGTCCATTTTGGTTTCTTCACCTTTGAAGATGGGGCGGAGGCTCAGGAGTTCGGCGAAGATGCAGCCTACTGCCCAGAGGTCGATGGAGACGGTGTAGTGTCGGGCGCCGAGGAGGAGGTCGGGGCTGCGGTACCAGATTGTTACGACGACTTTGTCGCCTGTGTAGAGGGATGCGAGAGGTTTGTCGAAGCGCCGGGCTAGACCTAGGTCGCCGATGCGGACGGCACCAGAGCTTGTAACCATGATGTTCGCTGGCTTTAGGTCGCGATGCATGACCCAGTTTTGATGGAGGTAGTGAAGGCCATTGAGCAGCTGGAAGAGGATGGACTTGATCATGCTGGCTGGAATTGCTCTCCTTGGAGGTTGTGTGTGATGGTGTATGATCTGAAGTAGATCGTGCTCGCAGTATTCGAAGACCATGAAGACACATTTGTCTTCAAGAATGATTTCGACCAGGTGGATGATGTTCGGATGTGATAATTCGGTGCATAGGGACATTTCGCGAATAGCTGATTGTGACAGTCCAGTGTACTGAATATTATCACCTTCTTTCTCAGGCTTGAACTTTTTGATCGCATATATCTCTTTGCCGGTAGTGGGACTGGTAGGGTCGAGCTTTGGAGTCCTTTCGATTGCTTTGTAGACACGACCATAAGTTCCACTACTGATGAAGCCCACAATATGGTACTTTTGGTTTATCTTCGTTTTTGAGGTGTAGCCTGGCGGACGACGTTCGAGTCCATTCCCAAGACCGTCGAACGAGACATGCCCTCTTTTCTGGTATTGCTGGGCCATTGATAGGCCAGCAACGAGGCGAGACATAGCTAGAATTTCAGCAATATATCATCTTTGTCAGACAACTTAGATTACCGTAGTACAGCTCGTGATAGTCGTGCTACTAGCACACTCAATCATATGCGGAGTATCAATCTGGTCAGCTCATATATCAACATCTTATGTTGAGTATTACGAGGGCAACAGACCGGTCTGGATAAAGAGCCACGAAGAGCATTGACGAAAATGCGAGGGAGGACGGGCGTATGCAATATTCGTCCATCAAGTTCGAGACTGACGACGACAAGATTATGAGCTCTCCGTAAGAAGGTGAAGAGGCCGTGTCCTTTGCACCGCTGAGCACAGTGGCTCGAGCTCCAATTTAATCAGAATACAAAGGTCATGTTCAAGCTCGAGCAGTGGTCAAGGTTCGAACATTAGACGATGAATCCTTTTTGGGGCACAGTATTTGATGTTCTTAATTGCGTCGAAGCAGTACAGCGGCAATTAGGTACTGGTCACGGATCCTGACTTTCGTCCATGGCCCAGACTCGGTGCCAATCAATACGTGTATAGGGTCTAACGGTTTTGTGCCTGAATCATTACGCTTAGAACCCACAGGTTGAGACCTGAGGCAGCTGTAATGTGCTCCCATATGAGGGGTAATTGTTTACAAGTCGACGTAATTCCTGTATCGAGCGATAAAGAACAAAGATATACTCCAAGCTTAGGGCTGGCTCTTCGTTGTCTACTGGTTTACGTTCAATACAACAATCTGAGTACCACTAATAATACTCTACGATAAGATGGCTGAGTCACAGCAGACTGCAGGCTCTGCGCTGCAGACCGTGGTTGATTCAGACTCAGAAGCAGAAGATACCATCAACACACCTGAGGACTCACCCGAAGCCAGCACAGACGCGCCAGCCAAGAAGAAAAAGAAGAAGTCGAAGAAGTCGAAAGTCGCTGCAGCGCTAGGTATGGACAAAGGCAAAATAACAGAGGAGAAGGTCGACACAATACTAGACAACAATCCTGCGCTCAAGAGCGAGGTGGCAGGCATGACGCCTGAGCAGAAACAGCAGATAGTCAAGAATGCTAACTTGGAAGAGCTACTGACTGGAATGTCGTTAAGTGCCAACCAGAAGGACATGGCGTCCCACAAGTTCTGGAGCACTCAACCAGTACCGCGACTGGGAGAAGCCAAGGCAGATCGTGAGAAGCAAGCTGATGGTCCAATAAAAGACGTGACACCAGAACAAGTACCGAAAACGGCTGCACCTTTACCCGAAGGATACGAATGGGTTGAGCTGGACCTGCTGAACGACAAGGAGCTTCAAGAGACGTTTGAACTACTGAACAACCACTACGTTGAAGATGACAAGGCCATGTTTCGTTTCAGTTACTCAAAGACCTTCCTCGATTGGGCTCTAAAAGCACCAGGCTGGAGGAAAGTTTGGCACGTGGGCGTGAGAGCCCAAGGGAAGAGCCGCTTACTTGTAGCTAGCATATTTGGCATTCCGACCAAATTGCGTGTTCGGGACAAACTGGTAGACGTCGTCGAGATCAATTATCTTTGCATACACAAGAAGCTGCGGTCGAAGAGGTTAGCTCCGGTACTAATCAAGGAGATCACTCGAAGATGTAATCTGGAGGGCATCTACCAGGCCATTTACACAGGAGGCACTGTCTTACCTACACCTGTGAGCACATGTCGGTACTTCCACAGACCACTACAATGGCTTAAATTGTACGAAGTTGGCTTCTCACCACTACCACCGAAAATGACACCTGCCCGAATGGTACAAAGAAACAAAGTGCCAGAGAAGGTATCGACAGCTGGCTGGCGCGAGATGCAGGAGAAAGATGTCGACGGCGTCATGCAATTACTGTCGAAATATCTCAAGAGATTCCAGCTGGTTCAAGACTTCACGAGAGAAGAAGTTGAACACTGGTTTCTGAACCGCCAACAGGATCCCGAAGAACGAGTAATATGGACGTTTGTGGTTGAGAGCAAGGATAACGGCAGCATAACCGACTTTGCGAGCTTCTACAACTTGGAAAGCACAATCATTGGAGGCGTCAAACATAACAAGATTAAAGCAGCCTATTCGTACTACTACGCGACTAGTACTGGGCTCGATTCAGGAGAAGCAGGTCTCAAAGAGCGAGTTACGAGTCTGATGAGTGACTGTTTGGTGGAAGCAAAGAAGGCTGGTTTTGATGTCTTCAATGCGCTGACATTGCTTGATAACCCTCTGTGCCTTGAGGATCTCAAATTTGGTGCAGGCGATGGTTTTCTGCACTACTATCTGTACAACTGGCGAACAGCACAGATAGCAGGTGGTATCGATCAAAAGATGCTAGCAAGTGCCGATTTCAGAGGAGGAACAGGCATGGTTATGCTTTAGATGTAGATGCAGGATACCGCTAGGCTCGTCTCATGATTACGATTTGAACGACCGAGTGTAGAGAGAATCGTTCGATGCTTCTCGGTTGAATATGTGTTGTGCTTGGGGCGATGCAGCGTGTTCATGGCGCCTAACTTGGACATGTCAGAGTACGTTTAGGCAGGCAAACTCCTAAGACTTTCGCTCAAATCACACGCTGAGACCCCAACGCGTCCATCACTTGTTCATTGGCGGACAAGCACGACTGAACAGCGCTTATAGCACACCAGTCTCGAGCGTACGATGAGAATCGAAGTTCGACCATTATGTACACAAATTCACATTCGGTGTTCCGAGTGCGGTTCAGGAATCGTTTTCACAATAGACTGATTAAAGATGAGCTGAACATCACATGGCCAGTGCCTGACTAAACACGTTCCAAGTATTGCTCCCCATATTCCCCATTGACCAGTCGCTCCTTATCTCTTCTGACTCGTGATTTCGTCGCATGGATTTTCTTAAATCTGCAGTCGCAAGCGCGATCGCTAAGTCGAGTTCCTTCCCCTACACAATCGGTGACCGAATCGACCTTGATGCCTCAATATGGACTCTCAGTAACGCGACGAAGAAGGACGACAACTCACCCTGTTCAATATTTACCTTTGACCTTAATACACAACGTACCTTCGTCCCACTAGCCAAAAATGCTGCACGAAAGCTGAGAACGATACGGCATCCAGGAGTCATCAAAGTGCTGGATGTCATCGAAAATGAAACACATATCTATATCGCGACTGAAAAGATTACGCCCTTGAGCTGGCACATAAGGAGGAATAGTCTAAGCGAGGAGACGATAAAATGGGGGCTCTACAATGTTGCTCGTACACTAGCCTTTATCAACGGCGAAGCCAGCAGTATCCATGGTAATGTAAGAGTCGGTGCAGTCTATACCAGTGACAGCGGCGAATGGAAGTTAGCTGGATTCGAGACGTTGAGTTCTATGAACGACGATGAGGCCATGATCTATACCTACGGAAGCCTGGTACCTGACTCAAATCGCTATGCTCCGCCTGAAGTGGCATCTGGTGGTGGTTGGAGCGTGGTCAAGAAGAATCCTCTGTCTGCGCCCGACTCTTTTGGTTTGGGAACACTATTGTACGAAGCGTTCAATGGAAATTTTCCAGGGACAGATAGGATAGCACAGCCTGGCAAGATCCCTGCGAATATGGTTGCGCCTTACAAAAGACTTATCAACACGAATCCGAAGCTGAGGTTAAGTGCTGGCCACTTTCTAGAGCAAGGAAAAAAGTCTGGCAGCTTCTTCGAAACACCACTCATTCACATTATTGAAGGTGCAGACAGCCTGGGTCTAAAGAGTGAGGAAGAGAGAAACCAATTTCTGGCTGAGCTTGAAGAATTGACAGATGACTTTCCCGAGGATTTCTTCAAAATCAAGATCTTACCAGAATTACTCAAATCTGTTGAATTCGGTGGCGGCGGTCCGCAGGTCTTCAGTGCCATTATCAAGATAGGTGTAAAAATGTCAGACGAGGAGTGGGAAGGAAAGTTACTGCCTGTCGTGTTGAGACTGTTTGCTAGTCCAGATCGAGCAATGCGAGTATGTCTGCTGGACAATCTACCAGCCATGATCGATCGTTTACCTCAAAAGGATGTTAACAACAAAATCTTTCCTATGATGGTTACTGGCTTCACAGATACCGCCCCTGTTGTGCGAGAACAGACCGTCAAAGCGGTGCTCACAGTAATCACGAAATTGTCAGACCGTACCATTAATGGCGAGCTCTTACGCCACCTAGCAAAGACGGCCAACGATGAACAGCCAGGTATTCGTACAAACACCACTATTTGCCTTGGCAAAATCGCACGGAGTCTAGGAGCGTCCTCAAGGGCCAAGGTACTCATAGCTGCCTTTACAAGATCATTGCGCGATCCTTTCGTACATGCAAGAAATGCCGCCTTGATGGCTTTTGCTGCTACTGCGGATGTCTTCAGCGAGGAGGACTGCGCAACAAAAGTCTTGCCTGCAATTTGCGCTTCGCTGATCGACAAAGAGAAATTTGTTCGAGAAACTGCAAACAAGGCCTTCGATACCTATGCAAATAAGATAAAGCATTATGCTGAGACACTCCCTGACACTGCAGCACCAGCAGAAGGAGCCGCAAGACCTGCAACACCGACTCGTATGGGCAATCAGAATGACGCTTCCGGCTGGGCAGGCTGGGCAATCTCTTCTTTCACCAACAAAATATCCACCGCTAAAGGTGAAATGAACAGTGCTCCAGCTATACCAGTGAACGGAGCCACATCGACGCAGACCAGGTCGCTGCCAGTCAGCGGCCGCGCAACACCTCTAGCAAATCCCGTACCTGATCGTCCAGCAACTATCAGACTCGCAAGTACAACCACATCTCAAAGAACATCCGTCGAAACTCCCTCCGAAGCCCCTGTCGACGACGACGTGCTAGACGCATGGGGCGAGATGGACGATGACGACGACAACTTCTTCGACGCACCCGCTGCTGCAAAAAACAACACCTCGACTATAACAATATCAACCACAACGCCCTTTGACGATGGAGGTGAACCGGATTTCGCTGGTTGGCTAGCGGCGCAAAATAAACCAAAGGCAAAACCGCCGTTACCGAAGGGACTGAGTAAAGCCGCGAATGGCACGTCACTGGCTTCGCGTCCTGCAGCTGTGAGGACACAATCGGCTGGTCCTGGTGTTACGGCTGCTAAGAAAGCGGTGCCTGTGGCGAATAAGAGACCTGTCGCAGTTGCTGCGGCTACTAAGAAGGTCGACCTCAAACCGAAAGACGATGAGGGAGGTGATGACGATTGGGGCGCGTGGGATTGAGTAGGTAGACTACAAACACATCAAGTAGACTAATAAACACGACCCATGCCTTGGTGGATGATGACACTATACATATTATCACCTAGAACTCCCACCACTCCTGCGTCCAGCACATACCAGATCCATCTCCACTAGGACTGCAATACCTCAACAATAGCTTCCGCTCCTCCATCAACCAAGTAATATCTATCCACCGCAGATTTGTATATCTGGCTCGAGCTATTTCAATCACAGCATGTTCCTCGACCGCACTGATATGCTCTGCGATGCCATAGATGTCCAGCTGAGCGTCTGTATCCTCTCCAGTCGGTCGTTCGAGAAGATTCTTGACTAGATGTCTAGTCTTACCCGAAGCCTCAGGTATCGGTAGTGGTTGGAGGGGTGGGCCTATAGCGCTGTCGAAGCTGCAGCTGTGCTCGAGGTAGCCGAATGCACTGCTGGGGTTGAGGATGACTTCGCCGATGATGTGGAGGCGACAGAGGTTTGAGAGAAGTACTTCGTGGTGTGGGAGTGTTTTCCAGAGATGAGCCGTTGTGTAAGCGCATGCATGGTCGTCTTCGTCCTCTGGAGTGTCATTGGTAAGCAGCTGATCGTTATGGTCTTGCACATATTGCTCGAGAAAGTCCTCAATTTCTGCTTGGCCATCTGCCATGCTCTTTCTTATCAGCCGGTCCCTCGCTTCATCTCCTCGCTGCCCGTGTACATATGCATTGACGTACAAAGTCAGATAGAGTAATAAGTATGACATGTTCCGAGTCAATTTAAGCAACATGCAAGCCTGCTTTTCTGTATCCGTCCTTTGCAATACCTGAATTGTCTCGGCGTATGCGACGTTCCATCGCAGAAGTCTTGCGACATGAAGTTTTTGAGCGTCGCTCCTTGACTTCTCGTCCTTCCATACACGCCGTGGTGTGTGCATGATCGAGTTCACTTCCTCGAAGATCACATCTCTTGCCTCTTCCAAGCTAGTGAAGATTTTGGGAACAGGCGGCAGCGTTCTCAGATCTGTATACGTGCACAAAGATTCTCTCAGAAGTCGCGGGTCGCTGCCGAACAGTTCCCTGGCTCTCTGCTGTATTCGGTTCCAGAAGATTCCAAGAACCTCGGCGGGGCCAGTTGGTGGTATCGTAAGGTGCGAAATATCCCTATGGACCAGTTTCATCGGTCGATCCAGAAGGTATCTCATTCCATTGTTCATGTGCCGTACCGCATTACCGTAATTCGATTGGAAGCCTTCAAAGAGACTTAGGAGCAGTTCAGATGTCATGATCACATCCCTATTACTCACACCCAACCCGTTACTTCCCAATTCCAGGTATGAAGTAGACTCATCACTCGATGAGAGGCAGTTGAATGTCAGATGCCTTGTATGCTCGGCTTTGAGTTCTTCTAGCATGCATCGGGCCTTGGCGTAGAGTCGTATGGAGTGGCTGCAATACTCAAACGCTTCTCTTGATATACCATAAGTGAACCTTCGATGGACAGCTCCCACTGCGGTAGCGCAGGCAAAGAGGACAGGATGCGAAAGAGCTAGGTTGATCGAATAGGGTTGCCACAAGGTCGAGTCGAAATACGCGGCGAATTGAGGGCCTGTACGGTAGCGAAAGTGAGAGAAGCAGTGGCTCTCCAAATCAGTGATTGGCACATCAAAGAAGTTAGGAGTACGATGAATGTAAGACTTGTCACAGTTCGTATGCTTGTCTCTCTGTTCATGATTCCTGATTATTGTTTCTGAGGAGTGTGTTGTGAAGGAGGATGAACAGGTCGTTGTCGAGGAGGGACTCAAAGACTCCGGCTGCATAGTTGGGTAGGCTAAGATGAAGTCGGCAGCTGCCTTATCATCCGCAACGTCTGACCATGTTGACTCACTGTCAAGACTGGAGTTCAGAGCCGGGACCAGTGGTGTCACAAATTCATAGTCCTCATTCGTGGTTTCAACATGATGATTCGCTTGGACTACATCGCCGGTAGCCTCTAATAGATGTATACTGAGTATTGGTCGCGTCGAAGAAACAGAGATCGAGCTAGCATCAATTCGAGCACCGGAAGGGTATGTAGTGAGAACTGGTGGTCTCTCTAAGGCGCTCGATGAGTACCCATCACATTTACGGCCTGTACTGCTACATCGTGAGCAAAAAGGCTTCGCCACGTCACATTTTTTGCGTCTGATCTTGCATGTAAAGCAGCCGGAGCGCACTTTGTTATGAGTTCTTCGAGTACAGTGACGCTTCGCGGTAGTCTGTGCTGTGTCAAATGTTGCAGTAGTAGTCAGACTCTTGGGTATCGATGTTTGTGCAGCCTGCAATTTATATTCTGCTTGCGGGCTTAGCCTGTGCAACTTGTCTCGAGAACGATCGCAAGGTTCCTGGAGCAGTCGCCGTTGAGTTTGTAAAGCAGCCCGAGTCATGGTGCGGATGCCAGTTTGATACCGTACAGCTCCGGAGAGATGAGTATCATCTATCAGACAGACTCGTGATTGTCAGATCTGTCCTTGACTATGAGCGTGTAACGTGGATGGAGATTTGTCCAGGAAAGATGTGGTTTTTGATTATCCAATTCTTATCCAGAGTCGATACAGACTGTACTGCACACAACAAAGTGCAGGCTGTTCGTGCCGCAGGACTCCGATGAAGTGGAAATCTTGTCCATGTTGCATTCTGCCTAGGTATTTGAGGATTGTGTCAGAGAGTCAAGAGCGCAGAGTATCAGTGGTGGTACCTGCTGATTGTGCGAGCAGAGTTGGATGAGTAAGAAGTGGCAGTGACGATCCACATTTGTCGCCTGATGATTGGCTCGAGCGTATACACATTCGACCAATGGAAAAAGTGATTCACCGTGAGCATTCGCGAAGCATGATTTCTTTCGTGAGAACTCTGGCGAGCACATGGTTGAGCCGGAGAAAACAGACACTTGACTTGATTAGCCTCAAAGAAAGGACGAGACGTATTTCCAGTGAATTGAGAACACGCACATTCGATTCCATCCAACAGACATATATGGACAGAGCCCTGCGCTAGCATTATCGCTACATTACTAGGAGAAACCTCCATTGTATAAACCCCGGTGCGCCACGCTGTACAGACTTTTCCAAAGGATAGACAGTTGACGGTACATTAAGCTGAACTAGATGGACAGTGTACCAAGCCCACATGCTCCACTATACCATCACGTAAGCAACAGCAAGAGCCGCAGCAGCCACTATTACACTGCTAACTTTCTTGGATGTGGCAGCATTGACCGTCCGTTGCATAGTGCCGCAGCAGCTATCTCTGTTGTAGCTGACACCGTTGGCATCAGCGGCAACCTGGAAGACACTCCCGTTGAAGCTGCCAACATTGTAGAAATCGACCAATATCACGGTCGGTGGTCGGACCCAGTCCGCTGTGCAATTATTGACCATGGCACCTGCACTGCCATAACCCTGAACAGCGTTTGTCTCATTGAGCAGGGTCGACGCTGGAATAAGTAGTGACAGTCCAGCTATTTGCACGTCCACGTTGAGGTTGTGGTTCGCAATGTACAACCTATCGCTGCTAATCTCGCGGTCCTGGTTGGGTGGACGATCAACATTGCATGGGAAATCGCGATCCGTCGGCGAAAATGGCGTCTCCCAGAAGTTGGCGAATTCGTCCAACAACCACGGTATGGCGACTTGATCGGCTTCATAGTCAAGCATAATCACAGCTCTTTTCTGGGTAAGGATCATCTCACCTAATGTAGGCCAATCATTCAGTGGCATAGGCACGGTAGGCGGAGTATAGGCATAGCGGTCCAGGCCGGACTCGTATACTGGACCGGTGAAGTTTTGGGGTGTGAGCACATCGTAATTGCCCATCAAGACGGTAACGACATCGTAAGGATTTGCGTCGAGCCACTCACGAACTGTCGTCAGATAATCCACAAGTGTGCCGGCGTTCAAGAGATCGCAGGATGTATGGCATAGCAGCAAAGGTGCGGTATCATTAGGCTTGTGGACCTGAAATTGCAGCATTCGAACGCCGTCGTTCAGTTGGGTAGTGACGTCCAATTCTTGGTTGGCTGCAATGTTGCCTCGTACGGCAAAAGGTGAGTTGTGAGCCCCAACCTGTGTGATATTGCTATACTTGCGATTGCAAAATTCTGGGTAGCCATTACATGGTTGAGTGTTAGTTGGCCTGGCAGACGATGAAGTGGCCGTCCTCCCTGTCGCTATAGTAGTATTTCTAGCACTACCCGACAAAAGTGTTTGCGTGGCAGAGGTCGTGGTTAAGGCTGTGCCGTTCGTAGTGATTGTTTGGTTTTGCGGTCTTGCAGTGCTCGAGGCTCCAGCTCCTGACGTTGTGTTTAGGGTGATCGTGGAAGCATACGATTCGTAGGACAATTGAGAACCGGTGGCATAGTCTGCACCTGAAATGACTGAATTTGTGCCTGTCAGCACTATGGACGAACTGGATTGGGCGTACGACGATGCTGCCAAGGCAGCTATTGTCAATTGACGCAGCAGCATCGTGTCAGGGTCGAATAGGTTGTATAGCTCAAATGGTATTTGCGAGCGAGTTGTCTGCCTCAATACAAGACACTCATGGCAGGTCTTGAGCTGCAACTGAGGAGTGATGATGATCAAAAACGCAGAGAGTACTGGTCGAGGCGATCCCGGATTCGACGTGCTCAAGTGGGCGCAAGACGCGTGGTTAGGAAGATCCGGAAAACATAAGGTTTGACGACAGCAATGGAGAAGGAACCACAATAACAAAAATGCGTGTCATGCCAATACAATTGAAATGCACAGATTTGTTGATGAAGACAAGCAAAGCCGACGGTTTGTCTGTGAAAAATATTGGCGATGACATAACATTTTGAGATCCCCTGAGCCACTAGGAGAGGCAACGCGGTGAATCGGCCCAGGATGGAGCTCAAAAGGCACGCTGCTGCTCGCAAGTCCAGGGATAGGCCTGCTAAAGATAGAGTTAAGCTCACATCTAAGCACAGAAGTGGTTAGTGAGTGAAGGTCTGAATTGAGGATGACGTATTCTTTGTGGCGCCAATCCGCGAGTCCCCCAACAACGCCTTGTCGAGGACGAAATCGCCGACATTTCTTTCAGCGCACCGACCACAAAAGTGCGGCGGAAAGTTACTGTGCAGAGAGTTGTTCGTAAAACAACAAGCCGTACCCATATAGAATTCTGCTTGTATCCGTCGACTCCTGAGCGATGACGCAGTGAGAACGCGTTCATCTAGCTCACTGTCGTGTCGCTTGCTGCTTGTGCTATATTCACCCGTTTAGTATCCAAATCAATTATTCAGGCGACTTAGAGCCGGCAGCAGAGGCTTGCTTCGCTGATATTTCGTTTGCAACACACGCCATCGACCTTTGCAGTGCTGTTTCTCGAGCATCAAGATGGGTATCTTCAACCGACGCAAGAAGGTCGACGACGAACCTGGAGTGAAGGACAGAACCAGCTCAGACGACACATTATTAGATGACAGCGCATTCTACAAAAAGCCGACAGCTTTGCGTTTGTTCACGGTCTTCATATACCTTGCGGCATTAATATTCCTGATATTAGTCGAGATTGGCAACATCAATGGTAATGCCGTTATTCGAGACACATACTTTCTCAACATCAACCTACAAGATATCATACCAACGTCCGTACCAAACGCCGTCCTCATAAATACTATCGCTCAATCTTTGGGCTTGCACGATTTCTACCAAGTTGGATTGTGGAACTATTGTGCTGGCTACACCGGACAAGGCATCACATATTGTTCACCTACCCAGCTCGCATACTGGTTCGACCCAGTCGAGATAATCACCAGCGAGTTGCTAGTTGGAGCTAGTATTGCCTTGCCAACAGATGTGGTTTCCGTATTGGGTATTGTGCGCACTGCCAGTACATGGATGTTTGCATGCTTCATGGTTGGTACAGTGCTGACGTTTCTGTGCATATTCATCGCACCCTTGGAATTCTCAAAGAAGCCGAGATGGTCGCACAAAGCGAGGAGAATCTTCCTTCGATCTCTACCAATTATGCTATTGAGATTTGGAGCTCTACTGTTCACAGCAGTTGGAGCAGTCATTGCAACGGTTATGTTTGTTATCTTCAAGAACACTTTTGAAAGCGCGGCCGACTTCAACATTCAAGCCACACTTGGCGTACAGATATTGGCCTTTGAATGGGTAGCAGTCGGCCTGAATTTAGTTGGGTTCTTAATGTCTGTCGGCACCTGCTGCGGTATTTGTTGCTGCTCAGGCAAGAGGAAAGCGATCAAGAAGCAGGAGCAGGAGCACTCGCCTCGCGTGGAAGAAAAATAGAGATTCTTTTCAACGTCTTCGACCGCTGTAGTGATTGTGGTTGCGTAATAGATGAGGCATATTTGATCCTTCTAGCGTTCTGTAACGGCGTTCTGGTTCAAGTAAAATCGGATTGGTAAGGAAAAGCAATTCTTCCGCTGAATGAAAGCATGTACGGAATTCGGGTTCTTCTAGAATCGATCTCCCTAGGCTGTTGGAAGCTGCCCTTCTTTACAGCACAGCGAAAGCACTAACATAGCTGACACTGCTGTCCTTCGCAGAACTGACATTGCTACTTCGCTCATACCGCATGAAGCGAAATCTTCTCTTCAGTGCATCGTCGTTCGTATTTGTCTGCTGGTGTTGACCTTCAAGCTCTTCCACTCCTGCCATGAACACGCCTATCGGATGCCTGCCACAGACGGTATTGCCTGTTTCCTCAATGACTTCCAGAAACTCGTCATAGCTACCTGATGCTATTGCACACATGCAGGCTCGATCTACTTCGGCTATACTCTCGTGGATTTTCGGAGCACGTGGTGCTGCTGAACCTCTTATCATTGTACCTTGCTGCCAGTCGTGCTTTTTGTGGATATCGAGGGCAGCTGCAGAACCACTGACGCCGTTAGGAAGTGATTCAGGAGAAGTTGCTGGACTTGGGGCATCAGCAAGGTAGTAAGTATATGAGAACCTGGAACCCCAGTGGCAGAAGTCGGAGGAGATAACGAAGGCATTGGATTCATCTGCAATGTATGGCGCGAGCATAGCTCCCAAGGTCCGCTCTGTCGTGGCATTGGTAGCTCCTATCATGATCGGTACAAGCGGTGGATAAGACGATACTGCCTTGCTAGGATATAGCTTCTGCAGTAAACGATGTATGTAAGGATACTGCATTTCAGCACTGTGTTCTGCTTCGTCAACAGGCTGAGACATGGAAACGAACTTTACTGTCTGATGTCCTGCCTTGGCAGATAGTTGCGCCAGCTCGTGTATTGTTTCGAGATCTAGCGGTAGTGGATCTGATGCGAGTGGTGTTCTATTACCTTCTACAACCGGAAGTGCAGCAGTCCGAAGATGCCAGTGATGTGAAGGATGCAGCACAAAAATTCTTTTCGCTTTGGAGAGATCTAGGCTTTTGTAAGCCCAGGCTGCGGCAGGTCCTGAGTATGCATATCCTGCGTGAGGTGAAATTACCACACGAGCCCCACTTAGAGGTAGCGATCCATCAGACAGGGCATCCTCGGGCACTGCATCTAGCCATGCGTCGAGCTGTGATGCTAGTTGCTGTCCATTTGAAGAGTACCACGATCCGGCATGATCGGCTTCACGAATGCCTCTTGACATTGTCGGCTGGGATAGTGTGAGCTTGGCTTCAAGAGCGATGAGTGGAGAATGGCAGGTACGAGTAGGGCTTTGTCAGCCAAGTAATGCCCGTAAAGCAGTCAGGATCCTATGGCTCTCAGGACATCGATCGTGTATTGTGCGGATGGTACATATCAAAAAACCACGAAGGCATGGGTGATAAGGCATTGGAGAAGAAAGAGACGAATGAAACGCTAGCAGCAATCTGTTGCCTCGCTAAGCATCGTGATTGACGTCAATCGAGCAAGCACTCTCATTAGAATCGTTCTGACCACAACTGTCGTACTCTTCCTTGACTGACAGCTGTTATGAACGCTTATCAACATCAGTAGTAAGCTTGTATTGAATACTCCCAATATCCTTCTTCGCAACTCAGCATACATTTCCAGCGTGGTCTTTACTCGGAAACGTCCAGGTTATCGCGTCACAGACGCGTCGCGCACGCGTGAAATACTCTTTAAACTGATGGCAACGCTTTTGTATTCTAATCCATCATCAAAGCAAAGTTGTGCAACAATCAACATGAAAAGGAAAGCTAGTGAGCTCGACGAAGGTTTCAGCTGGTCGTCTCAAAATACGTCCACACATCAGTCGAGCCCGTCGTATGATGGGTTCGGAGGCAGGCATATCGACTCTAGAGTCGGATCTTTTCCTGCAAGTGACACACATATGAACGTCAGAACGCGCAAAAGGACTCGAGACAACCGTCCAGAGCTGGAGGTGATACATCAGAACACTCTTGCAAAGCTCTATGATGCTCAGAAGCACCCACAATCGTCCTTGGTCGTTAGGAGATCACCTGCAGATTTCATGGGTGAGGAGATCCCGCAAAGCAACTCTATAGCTCCTGCTCAGCAAAGTCTACACTCCTTTTTCAGCATCAGCCATTCTCAACCACCAAAAGCTAGTGCGACTGCCTGCAAAGCACCCTCACAATATGCACAAACATGCGATGACTGTGGTAACATTCTGCATTCTGCGACACCCGCCGACTCCGACATGATGGATGTTGACCACAACCTCGAGCTCTATCTCGGCGAAGACTATGAATGCACCAATTGTGGGAGAAGAGTCTGCGACGCGTGTGCTGTTCGCGGCGACCATCGAATCTGTCTTGAGTGCGCCATGCCAGGAGGAGGATGAGCTATCGTGGGACTACGGCAAGACGTAAAGTCACGCAGTGCAATCCAGTCTCGTCTTCGAAGCGGGACATCTCCGCACCATCGAGCAGACATGGTCGAACGGCATGACGAGTCTCAAACAGTCTCCAACCTCAGAGTTTCTAGAACTACCACGTTGGTTGATAGACCTTCTGTTCGAGCCGAAGTCGGGTCCTGTCTTACACGATGTAGCCTCGATTGACCCGGGTTGCTGCAACAGTAGTCTCCTTACAAGATTCGCGAAGCATTTGGCACAGCCAGCCGACCTTGCAGCGTAAATCACCAGACCGGTCCGACATGTCTGCTAAAGAGCCACTTGTTTGCGAACCCGAAGACCAGTCTACTGGTCGGCCAGCAACCTTCATCTTCCTCCATGGCTTTGGTGACGACGCAGAAGGCATTCCACTTGGTATGCGTGCTCCTATCCGTCAAGCTCTCCTCCTGTCCTAACATTACTTCTAGGTCTCGCCCAACAATTTCAATTTTACCACAAGCTACCCTATCTACGATGGCTACTTCCGAATGCTCCTCGCAACCAAGAAGCATCCTCCACAGCCTGGTATATGCCAAAAGCCCTACTGAATGCGTTGAAACCGCGAGTCCCCGGAGCAGAACAGAACGACGAGACAGACCCCGATGACGAGCCTGGCATACTAGAGTCCTGCGATACCGTCGACAAACTGGTTCGGCAGGAGACCGACCGCGGAATAGAACCAAGCCGCATCGTCGTTGGTGGCTTCAGCCAAGGTTGCGCAGTCAGTCTGGTCTGGGGCCTCGTTGGTAAAGAGAGGGACAACGTTGCTGGCGTGATGCCGTTGAGCGGCTATTTCCCACTTGCGGATCGTATTGCGGCATTGCGGAAAGAGCGTGGGATGAGTGAGACACCAGAGAAAGAGAAGGAGAAAAAGAAGTGGTTTTATGCACATGGAGCGCGGGATGCACTGGTCCCTCGGAGCTTGTTCATACATGGCAAGGAAGAGTTGGGCAAGTGGATCGATGCGGACAGAGACTTGGAGGAGCATCTTTATGAGGGCATGGCGCATAATACGACGAATGCTGAGCTGAGGGATATGCTCAAGTGGCTGTCTCAGGTTCTGCCGCCTTGATTCCAGGGTTCGCAATCGCCAGACAATTCGTGCAGCCCTAGACATAGGAGAACGGAGCACGAAAGAAGGAAGTTTGGTTTTGATGTTGTCCGTTACTCAATCTGATTTGTCTGACCAATCCTCAATCCGGAGTCATGCTCCTTCTCGTCAGGCATGACGTTCCTACCGGTCATCCATTCTTCCTGTACGCTTCCATATCACAATCTCAGTTCAATACGTGTAAGCGTACTCGTATCATGAATCACAGCGACGACCATCATTTAGGGCAGCTCTGTAAAATCAACCTCGTCAGCCAACTGATCGAAACACGTTATACCACATAATTCTTGCTCAGAACACCATCAAGGGATCGAATGGTAAAGTGTTAGTACTCACAGCACCACAACCGCTGCACGACTTCCCACCATCAGTCTTCGCACCACACTTTGGGCAGGAGCCGGGAGACATTGTGCTTGTTTTTCTGAGGACCGAAGGACAGGACGCTGAGTTCAGTGATCAATTTATTGGTATTTCTGGCTGCGTGGCTTCTTGGTCTGGTGCTCGCGAGACCAAGGTAAAGTGTGGAATGGGTTGGTAATCCTGTTGCACCTACTAGGCATACATAGAGAAGGCAGACGAGTGGAGGGATCGGGTAGGTTTGAGGCGGGGTCGAGATAAGATAAGATAAGATTGAGGTCAGCCCCCCACTGTGGAGAGTGTGCATGGCTGGTGGCCGTATCCTGAGCGAACCCTCAAGTGCATGTGAATCCATGTCTGAAATCTATTTGTCTATCTCTTGATATATACGCCCTACTTATGGCTATACACAGTCGTCCTCTCCGTTGCTCGTAGGTCTTTGTGGTAAGCCTCGACCTGATTCTGAATAGTCCTACAAGCTAGCTCCATGCGCTCTTGAAAGTGCTTCCTGGCCTCGACAGTGTCAAACAGGATAGAAACGAACTTTGCGATTTCTTCGTCAAGCTCCTTAGCACAATAATGAGCGGCGGTATATTTGAACCCATTCCCTCTGCGTTGCTTTAAGATGGAATACCCAAATACAGCAACGTTCCAGCCCTCGTTTGGTGACTTGGAAGTATATGTCCTCAAGCCCAGTCTTTTCTTCTTGTTCACTATCACGACTTCTTTGCATTGGCTGTTCTTAGCACTGCAGCGACATATATCGGGAGCAAGCGCGGTGTACTCGTCGACTCGTATGCTCGTGGCGGACATCAAGTTGTTCGTCTCCGTGAGAATAATGACTTGAGAAGGTACAGGTTCCTCAAGGAATGCTCCGCCATCGCCACTTCTCACAGATGTCCATCTATTGTTGCTTCTGAGTGTTGCTTCTGTCCAAGTACCTGAGGATCCGCCTGTTTCAGAACTACTGCCTGTGCTAGGCGCAGTTGCCTCAGATTCGTCGCGTGCGTTGACACTAGCACCTCTTCGGACGTCACTGAGAGGGTTACGATACATCCAAATCTGAATACGCCCGCCATCGGCAAAGACTTTGCCCTGTCCATCAAAGAAGCCCGTTTTCTTTCGAGCTGTTACAAGAGCTGGTAGGTCACAGCGAATCTTGAAGTTTGTGACGTGTTCCTGGAATTCACGCGCATTGTTCAGCGTCGTAAATGCCAATTCTTGAACCGAATAATCAGAAGCTGCTGCTTTCCAGATAACACTAGGCGCTGCGTTGGCTGACATCGCATAGATTGGGTACAAGTATACCTTGTGACAATCGATCTCATTCCTGTCGACTGTAGGTACCACTGGTTGCGCTTGACTCAGGGTTGAAGTAACTATAGCTAGTCGTAAACGGTTTTCCGTGAGACGAAATAGGCGTAGTTCTTGTACTCGTGTTTGGTCACGAGTTTTGAGCGGCGTTGACATGGCTAGCACTTCTCCTCCGGTTGCCTCTAGAGGACTAGGTACAGGCACTTGCTTCTCCTGCCATAGATTGACATCAAACCCTGATTCGTGCTGTCGCAATAGCTCTTCGTCACTAACCCGATCCAATGGAGTGTCTCCCTGGAGAAAACGTCGAGCCTCTTGCCTCACTCTGTTCTCCAGTATAGACGCCCAGGCTTTGTTAAGGGGGTCCTTGCGACAAAACGATCTGTATCCAGCATCGTGCGTAATACTCTCAATCAACCAAATTGTCTTAAGCAGGTTAAGATATTGCGCCGGAGTCGGACTTCGTAAAGAAGGTGGTTCAGCCTCAAACAATTGAGTTCCGGCTTCACAGAAAACCAGCGCAGCATCTAGGCGCTGGATGATTGTTGGGGTATCGTCAATGCTATCAGCGAAGCGGTTGGACACTGCTTCGCTTAAAAGCTCCGTGTAAGATTTCTCGACCATTGGCTGACCCGGATGAGCTTGTATGTTTCGAAGTAGTCTTTGGGTTTCTTCGTGACCAGCCTGTGTTACTTCGAGATGCACTCTCTGATTTTGGATGATTTCTTCCTTTCCTCTTCGTTGAAGTACGAAGTTTGCCTTGTGAAAGCAAACCTGGATTCGATCTTGCTGCTGGCGAATGTGTTCCTTGATAGTCATAGCCCAAATGATATTCACAACATATCCTTCCCTAGACTTTTTGAAGTGATCGTTTTGCGTGATCAATTTCTGGCACGAGGCAAGTGTGTCGCTAGCCTCCTTTATTGTCGACTGAAGGAAGTCACTGTCAAGATTGAAGCTGTCTCGAACAGCCATAGGTGACCGTGCCACATCCTCCACACCTTGAAGGGTGGTTGCCAGAGTTCTAACATTACCTAGGAACTCTGTGAATTCTTGAGCTTCTCAATGTTAGTTGGCGTTAACGACATGAACAAGACTGATTCACATACGCGCACTTGTATACTGACTTGACCCAACATTCCATATTCGCCAGGCGAGCCTCACGATCCCACCGATATCGTTAAGACCGAGAGACATTGATTCTTGTCTTATGGTTGCTCAGTAATAGGATTGCAAGAGGCAGCACACGGTTGGCTATTGACAATGTAGCACATCAGGTGAAAGTTGACCTTAAGGTAATACCGGTTGAAAGCCATGTGGCATCTGCTTCTAAAGCTATTGAGGAAACGGTAGGGCTTCGGTTTAGGTTTGACCGCAGCGATGAGGGGGCTTGCCTGTCAATTGTTGTGTCGCCTAACGTACGTCGATAGTAAGGCAAAAGTGCACTAGTATCCAAAGCGAGCAAAGTGGGGTTATCTGCCGAGCCACCACCAGTCGTGCGAAACCTACTAATGCACAGATGACCAGGATATGGTTGTGTGAAAGGGCTGAGCAGTGCAAGCCGGCCTTTAACGGGCCAACTACAGTTCAGAATATACTCCCTTATCTCGCAGGAAGGAAAACTTGGCTGAGACCTGCAGCCATTCAGGCAGATGGGTGACCCTGGCACATCATACACAGAATTGCTCAGCCTCAGTCCTGGTAGACTTGTGATTATCATATCTTCAGCTTCATGTCGCAAGTTGTGATCAATACCAATTAAGTCGAAGTTTCTGTATCGAGCAATATGGCAGCTGAAGTAGCCAACAAGACATCGAGGTCGGAAACAGAGACGGAGATTGCACCAGAGCAGGATGGTACAGCCTTCACAGAGGCAGAGCTGATCAATGCTGAAAGGAACCCGAACAAGGTCGTGACAACCCGGCCTTCATCGCTGGGGTACTCTTCGATTGTGCTGATCATTGTCAATCGCATGATAGGTAAGTGATCAGAATTCGATGGGATAAAGAGTGAAGTGGGCTGATATCTCGGAAGGTACTGGTATCTTCAAAACACCAACGACCTTAGCACATGGAACGCATTCGATTGGCTATATCCTCCTATTCTGGGCGGCCGGAGCCATTGTTGCCATATGTGGAACATTGGTCTTCGCCGAATATGGTTTGACAGTGCCTCGACTGGAAATCGAGAACGACAACAAACAATCGGTGCCACGAAATGGTGGTGAGAAGAATTACCTCGAGTATCTCATCAAGTCACCGAAGCGTCTTGCCACGTGCCTCTATGGTATCCCATTCATTGTCCTTGGTACTGCCGCAGGCAACGCACTGGTGTGCGCAGAGTGTTTGTTGCGTGCGACAGGGCACGAGCCTTCAGAAGGTGCTATCCGTGGACTTGCCATTGGTCTGGCTAGCACTGCTTGTCTCGTGCATGCTGGCTGGAGGACTGGCGGCGTTTATCTGTTCAACGCTTTTGGCACCATCAAGGTGGGTATGATGGTGGCCATGTTCAGTCTCGGCGTGGCCTACGCAGCAGGAACTTTGGGAGGATCGAATGAGATTGCGAGCGAGAATCTCAGCATCCACAACTCCATGGACAAGCCACTTGGTAGCGCTTTTGGCTACGCTGAAGCATTTCTGGCTGTATTATTTGCATTTGGCGGCTTCAATCAAGCGACCTACGTGTTGGGAGAGATTGATCATCCCCGACGAAAACTCAAACCTACCACGGTTTTGACAGTTTTGGGGGTCAGTATTCTGTATATTTTGGTCAACCTGGCTTATGTAAGTGCGACGAACAACGACCTTCACCAGTACTGATGATTGCAGATGATGGTCGTGCCAGCGAATGATCAATTCGAACCCGGATCAGACACAGTAGCAGCAACATTCTTCCTCAGAATTTTTGGCCGCAATGCTGGTAAGGTTCAGAATAGCTTTATGGCCTTCTCGAGTTTCGGCAATGTGCTCGTGCAGACATTTACAGCGTCGAGGGTTAAACAAGAGCTTGCGAAGGAAGGTATCTTACCTTTCACGAAGTTCTTAGCGACCAACAGATCATTGACGCCTAGATTCCTTAGCCGGACATCGAAGTCCACAGAGACATCCGATGCCACACCTGTAGGCGCTTTGATGTTGCACTGGACCTTCACGTTGCTACTAATTTTGGCAACGATACCAGGGAACACAGGTGAATCTTACCGAATTTTCACGAATTTGTACGCTTTTGTTGTCGATGCTCTCTTTGGATTTTTCATCGGCCTTGGGATGTTGGTTTTGAGGTTGAAGAAGACATCGCACTGGTCGCGGAAATCCGCCAGCAACAAATATACCAGCTTCGCTGCAGCTCTGATCTTTACCATGGCCAACCTTTTCCCACTCGTTGCAGTTTGGATCAAGCCTTCGGGAACGTCGGGCATTACACTTCCTGTTAGTTGGTGGGCGACTGGCACGATAGGAATGGGACTCTTGGGGTTCGCGGTTCTGTATTGGGTTGTATTGCAGTACATTGTTCCGAAAATATTAGGGCGGGATCTCGAGGTAGAGAGGGAATTTCAGTTCAAGAAGAGCCACGGTTATTGGGTAATCTGGCATGAGGTAACGAGCGTGAATTGGCGGACGAGATCTGTGTAATTAGATAGTATAGGAGGCGAGCAGGGAATGTTCATCGAAATGTGTCAGCACGCATGAGGTTTGTTTCCGCTGGCAGCACGCAATTGAAAGCCAGACATCACTTGCTCATCAAGCAGGTTTTCCGAACATGTTGCACTGCTTCCGAGACGAGTAGAGAAAGTGGGCATAGTTTGTTGGTGCAGTGGTGAGCAGTGGGAGCTGACATCACATCGAAGTACAATGAGTCGTGGAGTCGGTGTTTCAACAGAGCATAATGCTTGGAAATCGTGTTGCTGTCGTGCCGCTGAGTTATTGGCAGCAAACCCCAGCGGCTCGAGGTTTGATGGGGGACAATTCAGTCGCGAACTCGCTTGTTGCTCACTCGATTCATTGAGCGTCACAAAGGGCGCTCTTCCATCCGCACAGAGGACACTTGCGGCACAAACTGTGGACAGATGTGAGCTCACAATTTTGCAACAATTATGCGTGCATCAAAGTTTGGGACGAACATTGGAAAGAAAGTCGGTTTCAGCAAATCAACACATTTATTCACAAGCACAAGATCACGCAGTAACTCGGCTGGAGTCGCGACAAATGGCTGAGCCGCAAAGGATCAATTGGGTCCATTCCCGAAAGTATGCAGCTGCCTCATGTCTCGCATGACCTATCGTGACTGGACGTGCGTCTAGACGAAGTGACAGACATCCTGAGCTGTACGACAAACGAAATTAGATGTCATATCTTACATGCAACCCCCTCGAGAAGGATAAGCACACTAGCACATTGGCACCAAGGCCAGGATGTGCTCAGAGACAATCACACCCACGGTAAATGGTGGTCGTTAGACGCAGTCACATACGTATACTCCGAGCGGCATTGCTAAGTTTATGGTGTGCTTCAACTGCATTCCACGGAGCAGACAGGAATAGACGAATACACTACAGCGGTCACCATGAGCCACAAGCCAGACACCGTTAAGGAAAACAAGCCGGTGTGGTAACACACGAATATACATATTCGACTTCCTATAGTACAGCGCTGCTTCCTGACATCTGCTTCACGCACCGATTATCACTCCTGGCGGAATCTGATTAGTCGAGCTTGCAGATTGACGTTTATTGGCTGAATCGAGACAAGAAGGATGGATGGACATTCACCGCGTGTTATCAGCCTAGCCAATGAGCGCATCCGCCCGAGACTTGGATGGAACAAAACAGGGTCGCTTCGCGGCGTAAGCGCGTACTCGAGTAGCGTGAAGAGAGTGTGATTGTCCTCACGACGAAGACGATAAGGACTCTACGGCCAATAAACTAAGCGAGTGACTACAGTACAAGTACAAGGCCCCGAGTCTAGGTCTCTCGTTGCAATTGATGTTGTATGTGTCAGAACAAAGATATTAAGCTCATCTCCCGGATGAAGCATTTACTTAGTTTAGTACTGCTGGTACTCGTATGAGACTGAGTCTTAGAGATAGAGTCTATGACGAAATACAGGAGTTCAGGACTGGGACCGTGTGTTTGCTACATCGGCGGCATGCATAATAGTCCCCTGATGCAGTCGACAATGTCTGAGTATACACAGTTCTCTTCCAATGTCCTTCAAATTAACTCCCCGGGCAACGTTTATGCCTCTTGTAGATCATAAATGTGCATGGTAACAAAGACAGAAGCCACCCCACCGATACACATTAGCGCAAGAGCGAAGGATATGCGACGCGAGCATTCGTCAGTGTTCAAAACTCAAAACAGGGTCGGCAGTTGCGTCTGACACGCGCTGATACGCTGTGCGAGTGCTGCTAGCGACTAACAGGGCAAACCTGTCCTCACAGATTTTGCTCCTTCCCCTTCGGAAACCACGCACAAGCCGCGGGCGCTTACCACGAATGTCCTCTACCCGCCATGCTTGCTGTCGTCCAACCTTTGCAGATGCGTTCCTTTATTGAGTTTTTGTGCTTGTTTTGGGCTTTTCAGATCAACAAGACCGGAAATGGAACAGTGCAGAATGTAAGTAGTGCCGCATTCCAGTCCTGCACGAGGAATCACAATCTTATCCTCAAATTGCGCTTGTGAATAGGCGCACCGGCGCCTAAGAGTGGTCGCGCCAAGTTCTAGTCTACCAACGACGGGCTTCTGTCGTTCCGCCCGCGGCAATCGGCAATGGCGGTATCTGGGCCACGCGCACGCGCCAATATCTCTACGAATTAGCTTGTTGAAGTCCGAGTCGACGCCCACGAAGTCAACTCGGACCTGTTAACTTCGAGCTTGGAGCCTAGTCTGCTTCACAGGGATGCCACAGAATGCGCTTTCTGAGCAAGCCACTCGAAACGGACCGCTGGTGGGCTACCATATCTTTGGCTCTCTCTTCCTCCCTCCGTTGTCGCGTTCCCCTCCTCGATTGATTTGCATCTGCACCACCGCACTATGTTCTCTTCGTCTTTGCCTGCAATCACTGTGTGGTGTTGCCTTTCAAATTTTGACCTTGAGATACAAGACTGATTATCCACCAGGGCGTCACGCTCATCACAGTGCAGCACGGCGCTTCCAGTACAGCTTGGTCAAGCTTAGACGCGCTTCTGTCACTACAGCCGCTGCAACCGCAGACAAACATCAATACTCGAATCAAACAGCCGCAGCCGCTGCTCTACCACCCTTCTCTCTTCTAGCCGCTACCATTCATGCTCCTCAAATCTTGCTTCGATCAGACATCTCGAGCTCGTCCTCTGACGTCCGAGGCGCTGGGCCTTCGCAGGCGTCTGCAGTGCCATCGTATCTGATCCTGGTCCTCCTCCTGATTCTAAGCGCTGTGGAGGACGACATAATTGTTCAGAGCGTGGTGCGACATAATACTTTCGACCTACTGCTCTATTCTTGTCGCCCAAGATGACTTCAATGATTGCGACAATGCCGTCCACGATCAACTCTAGCAGTATAGAACATCGCCGTAATGGTTCAGAGGCTGGTCCTCGTGGTTTCACTGCCGTCAACATACCCTCTCCTCCGAGGAGTCGTGGTACGCATGAACAAAGGTTGGCAATGGATATGACTAACGCCGGCTCAGAAAGCAGTGCAGGTAGTCCTGGAGAATCTCCTAGACATGGCACTGTAAACCCAGGCCGTAACAGCAACACTTCGCATCCTTACATGAACAACCATGACATGGCACAGCGCAAGAGACGTCGCTCAGCATCTCCTACTCAGGACCCTCTTTCGCCGCCCCGTCGCTATGACTACCATCCTCCACGAAAGGTAGATGCGCAGCAGCAGCAGCAACATCTGGCAGATCGAGCTTTGCACGTTTTGGACGCGACTAACCAGCACCAAGCCCATAGCTACTACTCGACTACACCTAGTGGGCAGGAACGTCCAAGCTATGGTTACGATAGAGCATATAGTGGCATGAACGGAAATCATTCGCCTGCTCCACTTCCCGAGGATGGACGCATGTCAGAGGCCTATTCTAGGGAGCCAAGTGAGCAGCACTATGCTAGTTCTGCAAACGATGGTGACCAGGATAAGCAAGACGATGGAAATGAGAGACCCTCACCGATACAGACTGGTCAGAAGCGGAAGAGGAACTTTAGCAACCGCACCAAAACTGGATGTACGACCTGTCGCCGACGGAAGAAAAAATGCGACGAAGCACGACCTCAATGTAAGTCCCTGATTCCTTTTGTTGCGTCGTAGCGTGAATCATTGACTGAGATGGCTAGGCAACAACTGCGTCCGTGGCCAGTTCGAATGTGGTGGGTACCCGACGAATGCCACACGACCGACCAGTTGGGTGAAACAACCACCTCAGAAACAGCCAATTCTTCTGCAATCGAAAGAGAATGACGAACCGGGCTCGTATGATGGCAGTGAGACGCCCATCTCAGCACATCCCTCCGGTACAGATAGCTCCCATATGAGGCAACATTTGGCCAGGGACGGCCAAGATCAGCCACGTCCACAGCACACCTCGAATCCGGCCGCGCTAGCCGAATCACGACCAGCCTACCTTAGTCAACCACAACACCAGACTGGGTGGTCTCAACATCAAAACCACAACCATTCACCACTGAGTACATACACAGCAGATCAGCTTCCACCTCTCGCTGATCTTGCACGTCCTGAACCTCACTCAACACCTCAGAGACAAGCGTACGCTAACACTTCACAAAGTGAGATGTCACGACCACCACCACAATCGCATGCCGCAAGTCTGCCGCCGACTACAATGGCTGGACCACCTCAATGGCAACAACAACAACAACAACCACCACCTCAACCTCCACCTCAGCCACCTCAAGCAGCTTATCAAGCTACACCACCACAACAACAGGAATATGCCTCTCGACCTCCATACCCTCCACGTATCAATACCACTCAGCCACAATATGGTCCAGAAAGTGGGAAGATGCAGACTGCCAACACAGCCACGACGGCAAGCGCAGCCTACTCGTCCTACGACTCAAAGCCAGGTTCTCGAGTGTTCCTAAACGAGGACGTAGAGCGCAGCAAGATGCTTCGTGGTGCACCCTACAACTACTTCGACGCTACCTTGAAAGGAGAAAGACAGCGCTGTGCCAATGCTCTTCTTCGTTACAACAATGCTTGTCAACTTGGTTCCGGTATTTCAGAGACCGAAACCCAAGCCATGCTCCAGAAAGTGTTCGATCCCAAGCTGGACACAACCTTCAACTCTTCTGCGGCTCCTCGCGTCGAGGGTCATTTAGGTCCTGGCGTCAAGATCGAGCCTGGCTTCCGCTGCACCTATGGCTACAACATACGTATCTTCGACAACGTCTTCATCGGCGAAAGCACGCGCATCGACGACTCTGCCAAGGTCGACATTGGTGCTCGTACCTGGATTGGTGCCAACGTTACTATCCTAACAAACGACGTTGCCAAGGACATGGTACACCGCAAAGGCACAGACGGTCAGCAATGCACTGCCAGGTCCGTAATCATCGGCGCAGAGGTCGTGATTGGAACAGGCGCAGTCATTCTTCCTGGCATCAAACTTGGTAGAGGCTGCACAGTAGAGCCGTTCGCCCATGTTAGAACGGACCTAGCAGATTTCTCCACTCAGAGAGTCTTCTGTGGCCCGCAAGTCCCCCTTGGTGTCAATTATTGAGTGTTTGTTCTCATTTTGGTCCTCTTCTTCTTGGACATTGATTCTTCAGGACGTGTATATCTACAAGTTGAGTTTTTGGACGCGATGATTATGAGCAATGAGAGAAGCGAGATGAGATAGGATACGTAGTGCAGAATGCGAATAATGCAAGATCTACATTTCCGTTGTGGACATCACAACAATGAGAACTCATTGTCATACGAATCATCCACTTCCGTCGTACTACTGCAGCGGCCACGCAAAAGTGGTGGTAACACGGGCCAAAAATCGACCATATGTTGCCAGTGGTTATGGCCATAATTCAGCCCTAAATACACGGTGGAGTCTTCTTTGCTCTGCAGTTTGTTGTTTGAGAAATGTGCCAAAAAGGTATAGAACACGGCTGTCCTTACTAGCTCGTTTCTATGCCTTTTCCGTGATGCCTTAGCGCACGCACTGACGTACAATGTAGCCTCATTTATGGCCAGGCTGGGGTCGTGGGATGTCTTATCGATGCTGTGTCGTCAATACATGGTCAATGAAATTGATAGTTGAAGACAAGAATATACGGAAATATATGGTTTATCATTGTACATTCTGTGGTGTGGTAAAGGTACATCGAGTATACACTGTAGCCGTACTGGACAGTAACCAAGCAAACCAAGATGTCCTCAAGCATCACGGATCCAAGCCCGATATGCCTGACCAAAAGTCGGTGTGCTATCAAGGTCTACTGTATTCAGACCTGTTTGAGTGTGCAAATTGGGCGGCAGAAAGGACATTTGCGCGTTCAGACGGCCAGGCGTAGGTCTTTGGATATGTTTGCCTCTGCCTTGACTAGCCAAATTGCTCGACATGTTCGTGGTTGCAAGACTTTCGTGGGAAGGTAAACTAGTCAGGTCGGTAAGAACAACCATGCTAGGTCGACCATGTGCGCACTGAAAGGGCAACGTACACATTCTTAGTTGCTCAATTAGTACTGTACATTGCTTCCTGCTAAGTTCGTCATTAAACATGATTGCACTGCGGCAGGCTCGCGAGTTGACCAAGTCGAGGAGTTTGGAAGGTAGCGCGAACATGCTGAGATTTCGATTTGTAGTCTCGGTATAGGTCTCAGTCGATGGTACTTCTGCAGCAGGTTTCGTGTTAGTTGGCCAGGCAGCCCCTCGATTCCAGTCTTCAGACCAGAGTACTTCTCGGAGGATGTTGACGACAAGCTTCGGTGTCCCTCGGCAGCGTTCAGCTATGACAGCAGGGAGGCCATTGACATGTACTAGACGTGTCCCGGCTTCTGATTGGATTGGATCTGGATTCGAGTGTGACTGAGCAGTCAATAAAATATGGTAGTCGATTCCCAATGCAGCAAATCTTTGTCTTAGACCAAGAAGGCCTTGTGCCTCCCTGAAGGTGACTTCGAATATCAAGGGCTTGTCCAGCGTTACAGTGTCGGCTGTGTGTACTGATTGTAACAGATTCTCGACTTTGCATCGTTCATCAGCAGCATGTTGATCGACTAGAACAAGCTGGCAGTCCGTCACGTCACCAACCATGATTAGAACAAATTTGTTGTCGACTTGTCCAATGATGGTCGCGCAATCCAGAGCACGTTTGGAAACTCGAGGCGTGTCAAATTGAGAATGCACAAGCCTGCTATTCCCGACGTGATGCCAGTAAGTGTCGACGCGCTCTTGGTAGCTCTGTGTTCGTGGTGCAAAGCTTTCGCCGACCTCACTAAATAACGACAGAGATCGAATGGGCTGCTCTGGATGGTTGACGCTGCCACCAAGATGCGGCAGACTCTTTATGACGTGAGCCAGGGATCTGCTTTGCAAGTTTTTGTTGCGATTTTCAGCGAGAGTGCTGACAGGTCGTGATGAGGAAGTAATGGTACTACTCGTTTCTGCGGCCTCAGTTCGTGCAGGCATTACCATGCCAGTGCGCGAGTCGATTCGGAGCCGGCATCCTGTCCGTGGATCGATCCAGGAGATTGTGCCAGGCCCTTCATTCAGTTCTGAAAGCGCTGCAGCGCCTCCTTTTTCGTCTCCCGTACGATTAGTCGGAGCATTGTTCCTAGATGAAAGCGTCCTCGTGGGTGATTGTGTAGCGTGCTTATGTTCTTGACCAGTGGCTCCTCGAAACGGCAATCCTTTCAAAATATCATTTCCGATAGCACCACTACTCGATTTTATTCGTGACCAGTATCTGAACCTATCAGATGTCTCAACTGATCTGGTCGAAGCTGTCGTGCGACGAGTAGAGGACAATATCGAGTCTCGAGGGCGAAGGAGATCGTGGGTGGTCAAGAATTCATTTACCATTGATTGAACAAGGGTCTCAAGGAGGTGCAGAAATTCGTGCCTTTCATGAACTCGAATGCCGAAGAACTCCAGGTCGTCGATCCACCAGTGATCACTCTCAATCCAGAGCACAAACATGGGCCATCTATCAACTCCTTTGTTGATCGCGTGTCGCGAAGGACGGGGGCTTGCATGGGTGTTCGTAGTATGTTGTGTCGGAATACATTGTTCATTTGCTGAGGCGCCGAAATTCGATACTTCGAAGAGACGATTCATAAATTGCAATAGGTCGTAGCCTGTCTCCCCAGTCAGAGGTTCATGATTGACGGACACAAATTGAGTCAACTTGTGAGGTGCCGGTTCCAAAGATATCGCTGCACGTATATTAATGCCATCTGATTTGATCGTGCATGATTCCCAACAAGATTGCGATGAATTTCCAGCAAAGCCAGCCTCTCGCAAGATGGATATTACACTTCCTAGTGGTGGGGCAGCCACGGGCACGATAGAAGCTTGGGCTAAAGGGAACGTGGGCCTGTGCAGATACCTGCACAACGAGGACAGGTGCTGCACATCGATACCGAAAGGAAGAGTAGAAGCTAGGACAAGGCTCACAAGGGAATGTTTAAGTCGGTCAAACTCTGCTTGCACCTCGTACAGTGAGTCGAAACGTTCCGCTAAATGCTGCTTGCGCACGGGTAGGCTCGAGAACAAATTGTAGACTTTTACTTGTGTACCTGTATCCCTTCCTGGAAAATCCGACGAGGCTTTTGCATGACCTAACCGACCAGTGGCATCGTACCAGAGAACACTCGCATGCTCCGAGTCGTCGTCTCTGGACTCTATTGCCAATACAGCCACTCCAGCAATAGCAGCCAGATGTCGTCCATAACGACCATAGGTCTGTTCTGCTTGACTGCACTTTGAGGAACAGTAGGGTTGTGCAAGTCTTCCATCTTCCTCAAATTCTTGAGCAGCTATTCCATGGCCATTGTCGATCACTGAGCAGAACCCACGCGAATAATTTAGTGTCACCTTGATATTAGAGGCATGTGCATCCAAGGCATTCTTAACCAACTCGAGTATGATCTGGTTCAAGCAAGTAATCTGTACTGCCGATTTGATTTTTGTCCGGGAGATACTGTCTAAGGAATAAATACGCTTATTGGTGTTGGGCATAAGGTGTGTGATTTCCAAAAGCAACCAAGCCTATTAGAGAGAATAACCAAGACCTCTCGTAGTAGCAGGCATCGTGGTTGCTGCTACAATTTGGCCAGGATGAGCATTGCGTGCTTGCGGTAGAACTGTGTAAACTGCAAACTGTCCCTCGTGCGGAGGGTTCAAAGTGCAGGTGGAAGGAGCGCATGGGTGATGTCTGCCTGAGGCATACACATCATCCCAAAGACCAATGAGCGAAACGAAGCTTCGAATTCTGTATGAAACAGCCCTTCCATCCTTTCTCTTGCTCCCTTCCAGCTGCTTGAACAAATGCCCCAGTTACCCATGTCTCTACACGACTGTGCGCATGTACCACGTCACCGTTTCAGTTCCCACCATCTATTGTCCTGATCCATGGCTCGATCACAGCTTGCTTCTCTAGTCCGAGAATGTCTTCATCAACGGAAGTCTTCAAACGAATTCAACCAGATACTCGGGTTCGCCATCAAAAGATGGAAGTCTACCGGCCCAGATATCATAGCTGGGTTGGTCAGTGCTGTAGCTGGATTTTGTCTTGATAACGATGTTCTTATTTCCGGCTATCTGCAAGTCATTTTGATTTCACACCACGCCCAGTTCTCCGACTGCCTCTACGTCTTCATCCGGCACTGGCAAGTGTTTGCAGCAAATAATGGGGCACAGACTTCAGGATATGTAAGGTTGCTTGCTCAAATGATCACAGATCTTGCTGTTACCATCCCCAGCATACCACTAACTCCTGCTCAAGCTCGTAAGAACATCATCTGGTGTTCTAGATGGCTGCAGGCACTCTTCAAGCTTGCCACAGCTGGAGCAAAACATAACGACGAGCATATCACCTTGCTGGTCACTGCCCTGAGTGGCTTCCTCCTCACCACCTTGAACATTCCTGCTGGCCTCACAGCTGTAAAGGCAGCCCAAGATGACCTGGATGACCCGTTGAAACGAGCTGTTCGTGAGGCTATCCATGGGAGTATGACCGCATTTCCTGATATTTCGATGCAATTGCTGTCAGAAGCCCACAAGCATCCGGCACTTGACGAAACGATACGTCCCGATACAAACAACTCCCAAGCCTCTGAGATGGCTGCTATCAACTTCGAGAACAATGTCGCCAATTCGCAAATCGTCCCTACAAGAGTTGCGACATATGTTCTCCTGTATGACAAAGTAAGGTTATTGTGTTCCTTCTTTCTGTGCTTGCTGACGCCGGTAGCTTCTGAATTGCATGACCATTGATGACACTGCTTTGTATACCTTTCTTGATGTGCGGCATAGTGTAAGTTAACCACAGCTCCGCTTCGCAGAACTAACGCGATGCAGTCGGACACGGCTTTGATGTTCAACGACCTCTTATTCGCCTCATTCGATGCACTGACAAAACCCCTACAATCGCAGGAGGTAATGTACCAGATGCAATGTCGCATTTATTTGCACAACAGACTGCCCGCAAGCCTGGCTACAATTGCGCATTCCTTTCAGTCACTACCTACAGAACAGTACTTGCAGGAACTCTGGAATGACCTCACTGCTTTAGCAAGTCCGGAAGCTTTGGCCATTGCGAAACACTTTTTGCACATCTGCATTCTCCATCAAATGATCTCGTCGGAAACAGTACAGAAGTTGACAGGTGAGGATCCAAACGCGACCACAGCTAAAGGTTTATTTCCACGACAAGCATTGGTTGATCAGGTCAGTGCCAATGCCACTAGAGCACCGAGGCTGGTCGAAGAGTTGTGCAAGAACGATGGCAACGCTGGTTCTTTCAGCCAAGCGATCGTACAAGTAATGCATAGATATTGCCAAACCAGAGACACACAGCACCTGAAAGAGATTGCAAACGTGTTTGTTCGACAGCCCCAGGCCATCAATTCACTCACTATGTTTGTGACGCCTGCATTCTTCTTGGCTCCCTTTTGCACTTTACTCGACGAATGGACGTGGGATGACATTCACGGTGAATCTCAGCCAGTTTATGAGGAATTCGGTAGCATTCTCCTGCTGATCATGACTGTGAAATTTAGGCTAGGGCTTAGAAACGAAGAACTAGGACTGACGTCCCACTCTGGCTTCGTCGCGCACTTCCTAGCTTCAGGCCAGTCCGAGAAGTTCCTCAGTCAGATGAGTGACAGCGAGAAGTCAAATTTGGGGGCATGGATTCACAACCTGTACGAGTCTGAAGGCATTAGCGATGAGGTGACGTCGAACTGTAGTGCCAAAGAATTTTATTTAATGGTTCCAACACTCCTACGCCAAAGCATGGCTGCATTAGCTGCTGGCACGCTTCCGCAAGATCGCCTCGAAGGGGGTTTGGATTACCTCCTCGAGCCCTTCTTGTTACCTTCATTGCTGCCTTCGTTCGAATGGCTTTCACAGGCCATACTCAAGGATCGCAAGAGTGCAGCTATCATCCTTAGACGGCTAGCAAGATCTCCTGAAAACGCCGAAACGAGCAAACTGCATCGTACTATTATGGATATCGCTAGTGTCACGTTCAAAGCAGTCCTGGGCCAGTCATCAGAAAAATCACAGTACGCCGACATTCTGGAACTTTTCGATGGGCCTGCGTCCTTTTCTGTGAACAGTGGTGTGTCGGGAGCAGAGCTGACTGGGTGGACACATGAGCACGGCGGCTCCTGTGCTTACCTGCAAAAGGCCGTGAGAGATCTCATAGCAATCCCTAACACAGGTCTATACCAGCCCAATATTGTCTCTGTAGCTATGAGCATGCGAGGGCCTGCTGGTGTTATTCAAGCCCTAGTTACAGTTCTGGTGCAATACGCGGCTAACAACAATTTCCATCAAATGCTTGACATAGTCGCGACGCTTGTCGCATGCAGAGCACCAATAGGCATTACTTTGCGGAATTCTCTACAATTGTTGCATGCTAGACTCGCCAGTCTACTCAAAAGTGGCGACCCACTTTTCCCACAAGCGACCGTCCATCTTTATCGGCGGGTGGAATTGTACGCCAACGCATTGAGACCACACGCGGGAATAGACGAGAATCCCCTGGACAACTTGGATGGAATGGAGTTGCCCGAAATCGATCTTGACCAGGTTCCAGTAACCCTGGATGAATCTAAGAAGCAGCCTGCACAAACAACTCAGCCAGAGACTTTAGCAAACGATGCTCTTGATCAAATTCTGACAGAGACGGCCGAGATGAATCAAATGGACAACTACGAAATGAACGATGACAACAATATTTTCGTCATGGATCAGTATGAGTTGGGCGACATAGGCGACCTGGATATGACTATGTTTTGAGAATGTATAGCATCGCCGTCAGTGGTCTATCTATTGCAACGACTGAGCTCTATCTTCGAGAGACCGGTCAGATGCACACCAGATGACCAACTCGCATTGTATTGCGCTACCAAAAGCGCAGGGCCATTGACTATACCTTAGGCTAGGACACTGCAATTATGGTTACCTATGTCGCCCGGGCCAATGCACTCCTATTCGAGCTGTGGAATCGCTGCTCAAATCTTGGCAAGTGGTAATCGTTTCGGCAGAGATACATTCAATGCCCTGTACACAGCCTCGATGTATGACCTCGTTCGTGTTCCACCAAGTGATACAGCATCCATCTTGTTCATAGCATAAGCAATTGTGAGGCGGCGATCACTATCATACGTTAGCTCAGAACCTCATCCAAAGCCCATATCTGGGAACAAGAGGTGTGGATTTATGTGACTACTCACCAGTCAATAATGACAATTGAGCCTCCCCAACCAGTCCAAAAGCAGATGCGTCCACTGGGCAGCCAGTCTAACACCGTGCCTTTCGCAGGAAGACCAAATCCAGTACCGAATCTGATCGGCAAACCAATAACAAGGTCTTCGCCGTATGCTTGCTGATTGAAGATAAGATCAATAGTCTTTGGCGACAACAATGGCTTTTCCAGACCAGTCACATTTCCTCCCAAGGAGATCGGCGAGAGCATCCTCGCGATCGATCTCGCATTAGCGTGTCCATTACAAGCACCAAGATCTGCCTGTCGCCATCTCGGAGTATGCGCCACAGTAGCTTCAAGAGGTGGATTGGTAAAGGTTTTGAACATGATAGACTCGCGGCTGACGTTGCCTGCCCTAGGCAGAGGTGGAGGAGGTATCACATTTGAAATCCTAGACCAATCACTCTCTTTCGCGCCAATCTGAAAATCGGCCTGAAGCGGCCCTGCAATCTCCTCCTCGACAAACTGTTTGAAGGGCTTACCCGAAATTCTCCTCACAACCTCGCTGACGAGATGACCCATTGTCAAAGAATGATAACCCGAAGCTGTACCGGGCTCCCACCACGGCCTCTGCTTCGCAAGGAGATCAACCGCTTTCTCAAAATCGCAGATATCTTCCCAGCTTATCTTCTCATCCCACCCAGAAACTCCAGAAGTATGCGACAGGATATGCTTCACCTTGACATTCTCCTTGCCGTTAGCCGCAAACTCAGGCCAGTAATAAGCGACGTTCTGCTCAAGATCCAGCAACCCTCTTTCAGTTAGTATGAAAGCTGCAAGTGAAATCACCGTCTTGGTCGTAGACCATACATTTGTGATGGTGTCTTTCTGCCAAGGATGAGTTCGGGCTTCGTCGGTGTAGCCGGCCCAGATATCGACGACGTCCTTGGCGTCTAGGTTGACGCAGATGGAAGCTCCTACTTCTTCGCCGGAGATGACGAAGGATTTGAGGAGGGACGAGAGTTCGTGGAATTTAGGATCGTAGAAGCCTTGGATTTCTGCCATGGTATGTATTTACTATAGAGGGGATTAGTAAGTGTGCATCTGGCCGTTTTTAATCAAGTGCCCGGCCCGTGGAAGTGTCGAATGGGTCGTGTGATTATGTAGTACTTGAATCTCCTGTACTGCCTCTACCATCGGATATGTAGAGGATGTCCGCTGTTCATTACATGATTGACTTGGTCCAAGGAGACACTATTCTACAAAACCATCGCGGAAAGACAGTGCTACCGAGGTAAGTGAGGCACAGGTCTCCCGTACCAATGAAGAAGCTGCTGCAACGACGCGTTCGTTCTCCACAGTTGAGTAAGACATTGAAGTCAAATCACAATTGATTATGTTCGTATTTAAGTGCTACTAAACATGCATACATCATAAGACAATTCGTAAATCAAAAGAAAACATGGACGCATGCCATCCAACGTAAAACTCCAGGACCGAAAGGAACTGCCGATAATACCGTGCCCTTCTCGCAGCTAATAAGCCATGCTAGCGACCTGGTAGGTTTCCACTCTCTGTGGCCCTTTAAAAGTATGTGCACCTGTCAGAAGAGTTCCAACTCTTGGTGGTGGCCTCAACCCATCCGCCTCAGGTGCAGTCTGACTCCTGTCTGGCCTGGGTCTGCCCTTCCTCGACCCACGCGTAGTCAACTTCCTCTTCAACGAGGAAAGACCCCTCTTCAGCGACTGTACCGAACTAGTCGACATGATACTTCTGACACTGCCGGATCTCGAGGGTTTGATCTCCTTGTTCTTGTCGAATTGAATGACATCGTCATCGGCGTAGGGATCGTGTTGGAGGAATGGAAGGTTTTTGGGTGGTAGAACGGGTTCGCTGGTGTTTGCATGTTCAGTTTTGAAGACTGTGATTGTCGGTGGGGCGCTGAGAGGTTCGTCGAAAGAGCTTTTGTGAGCTGGTGAGGCGATGGGGTTCTTGGAGGTCTCCATGCTGGGTGTGATGGGAGACCTAACGGACTCTAATGAGTCCTGGTGTGTAAGTCCGGGAACAGTAGCGGAGTCGCTCGAGATGTTGCGAGTTGCCGTTGGTCTGGTCATGTTTGCGAGTGAGATGATAGTATCTCTTCTTTTCGGCGATCTGTAGTAAGCACTCTTGATTGCCTAGAAAGTTTGGGACTATGCTGGTCCAGGAATCTGTGTATGTAGATCAATATGTGCGTGATGCGAGCATGGATCAGAACCAGAACCCTGAAGAAGCAGAAGAGGCCCTTTCGGTCTTGTAGCTGGACAATTGCCCCTGATCAGGAGAGTGCTCAACACGCGAGCGCCATGGCGACCGGAATGTCCGTTCACCTACCTTAATGAAGCACAACTCGCGTGCATTTTCATCGAGTCGGATACTCAAGAGCTCTGACCACTTACCACATCTGTAAGGTGCATGCTGCCGAACGTCTGTTTGCCACGCTATCAGGAAGTCGAGGTCGAAAACAAGCTATTCTGGCAGCCCAGAGATACATTCTAGACGACGCTAGCCGGATATTTCTGTTCACGCAGCTACCAAGAACGCCCTTCTCAGAAGACAAGACCGGTTTAGGAGGAATTAGTGGTTTCCAAGAGCTGACAGCCGTGGTAGCGTCGAAAGCGCAATCTGAGTCAGCCAGCCATATCATTCGCTTATACAAAAGTCCAAGAAGCAACTGTAGTGGGCAGAACGACTTCAACGGCACCCAGCTGATCGACGCCATGTGTTGTGCCTCATGAGGCACTAGTGGTTTTCGTGGAAATTCGATCGTTGTGGATTTGTGTCATGATAGTGGCCGCTTCGTATAGTCTGCTGAGTCCGAGAATACAGCCAGGTTTTCGTGGCGGAGCTAGCATTGCCAATGGTACCAGCACGACACCATGCTCCTTTCTGCAAGATGGTGGATGAGAATGCGCCGCGAACTTTTTATCGTTCGATACCAACGATGGTTCCAGGCTCATCTGGTTGTCTTTATCGAATTAACAGGAAGGTGGTTGTTCTGACAGACTACGAGTGTCTTTGTGGTTGCTCTCAATCGACTGAAAGACACACCTGCTCAACAGCATTGCCAAAGAGCTAACCCGAGCTTCGCTGCTGGGTGAGGCACTCAATGTAATTAGCTTGACGACCGAATTTTATGCGCTTCAAAGTCCCTGTTAGACTGCTTCCGTCTCGTGTGGCGGTCAATCGGCGTACTAGAGGGCTTTTTTCTTCTCTTTGCACTATTATGAGATCACTAGGATACGTGAAGAAGATTTCCCCAAGCAAGGGACTGTGAGGCAACGAGACTCGTTTAAGAGAAGCATAGATATGTAATGGTAACATTCGTGCTCTGGGTGGTTACTATTGTGAGCCTCTAGAAATTGCTTCAGTGGCACTCTTGTGGGAAAGAACGAGGAAGAAGCGAGCAATCAATGAAGAGGAATGGTTTAGTCTTCGTTTTGCAGGTTCTCATTTACAGAACTTCAAGAGACCGCTGACTAGTATATACCATCCCCGCCTTAGCGTCTTTTGCGCGCCTATCTGCAGGACCGCAGCGCCCGGCTGCACTTCGCCATGGTGCAGATCAACCATGGCAGCGGCAAGATAGTGCAACGCAAACCTACCCACTTCTCTTGCTCGAGTATAAAACTCGTCTAGGTCGTAAAACTCTGCCGCGTTCTCACACTCCAGCATCTCGTCGGCCGCTACCATGATCTCCTGGCCATCGAAATCCTCCAACCAGTAGTCTGAAACGTCCCACGGATCAAGCTCTTCTAATTCTTGATCGACCCAGCAATATCCATTGTCTCGTAGGACACTGTTGAGCTGCGTCACAAGGGCATCCCTCAAGACATGCAGTGGTACCACTTCCTTGTTGCTAGTGATGTCTCTTGTTGATGCCATGACAAGATCAGAAGGAACGTTGGAGCCTCCTACCACTGTGAAAGTCTTACTGCGCAGCATACGGAGAGGGTTGCAGACTAGCCTGAAGACCTCCACAGGCACTTCTTCTGCGTCCTCTTGTGCACCGCCTTCTGTATCTTCCTCTGTGCCTTCCTCTGCATTTTCTGTGATGTCTTCGGTGGCGTCTTTTGGTGCGTCTGGAGTTGTGGTATCATCACAGGTATCAGAACGTTGTGTAGGCTCAGAAATGGTGTCGTACTTGAGGGACACTTCTTGCAAGTCTTGCAACTGATTCAGTACAGCGACATCCTCTGTGAACATACCAAGCCAAGGCTTGGTATGTTCGCGCCAATTGTCAAATCCATCTTCACCATGGTCGACGAACCAGGTGACCTCGAATTTCCACTTCTTGATCAAGCTGTTGATTGGGAATCTACTAAGGAGTGCCGAGATGGAAGGTTGACCCAGTATGTTTGCGCTCGGAGGAATAGTATAGTCACGAACGTCACATCTATAGTGCACGGTGACTGAGTTGTCTTCCAGGAGCGGCAGTCCTTCTTGTCTCAATTGACGATTCGTACGAAGGATCTCCACATGTAAGCAAGGGGGTTCGTTGGTAGATTGTCGATCGATCCAAAGCAGGTTCTTAAGTGTCTCGAGCCTTAATTCTGCAGGCAATTCGATCGGCAATGAGAATGGTGTGTTGAGAATGTCCTTCTTCAATTCCTGTTCGTCTGCCATCTTGGGTACGCCAATATACTGCGGTCGAGAATATATTGGTCACGAGGAAAACAACAAATCGTCGAGGTGGTGTTTGATGATCGTAAACACGGATGCGCGTCTTTCGATGCAGGAGATCAAGCTGCACTTTTTGAAAAATTAACTGTAAGTGGAAACACCAGTTGAATTGAACTCAGGCACGTGTGACACTGCCTACCACGCAGTGGAAAGTCTCCCAATCGACCATAACATCCACTAGGCACAGTGACCGGCAACAATCCTTTTGATAGAAGTATTCTCCATGGCCGCAATTCTGCACAGCTTCAGCATTATCAAGGTACCAAAGCCTGTATGCATAGTAATTATATAGTAAGCTCAATGGTCTCAACTGACTTTCTCACCGTCCTGACTGCTGAGACTAGCAGTGCCTTGGCTGTCTCTCGCAAAACCACAACCTGATGATATACTATATGAGGTTTGCTTTCATGGTTGCTCAGCAAAGAGCATGAAGAGTGAATGCGATTGTGCTTGTCAAGCTTGCTCGTATAAGACTTCCTGCCACAACGTCGAGGTTTCGAGATATCACTGCTTACAGTCAACTGTGTGACTGCTACCTTCCAGCAGGGAACATCTCACAGGGAGTGACAATGGGCATCGGACAGTGTCCAGAACTCTTGCACTAGTCTCTCTGCGACAAGAGGTTCTGACGACTGGTCATAGGTTCTGCTCTCCAGCACGAGTCCAACGCTGCCTGCTTGGTGATCACAGCATTCATCCTGCCTAGCACACCTCGGTATTTGTCGCGCATATTGTGGTCGAACTCCTTGAGATCTGGCACTGTCCACTGGTCATACAGTCGTCCATGAGTGTTGGGAGCGAAGAAGCATCCATGAAGGTTGATGAAGAGATGGCACAAATAGCAAAGGTACTTCGAGGTTCCTACTGTTCTCGGCCACAAGACTACTGCTTCGTCCATCATACTGCCGACTCGTTCTGAGTGCCGGAGGTCATGATCAATGACGAGTTGAATCTCAGCATGAACGTGACATGTCTTTGCCCAGGACTCATAAGCAATCTCTGCTGGGACGCTACTGTACGATGACAAGTACTCAAGCTCGATATTCCGAAGCACACGAGGGAACTTGTTTGCACATGCGACAAGGTCGACTGCTATCCTCCAATATGCCCCTATCTTTTCGAGTTGACGCAAGCACTTCAGAGTTCCAGCGATCTGTGCTGTGGGACGTATCTGCTCGAGTTCAGAGGCAAAATCTTGGATGTCTTGATCTTTGCAAAAGGCATGAGTCAACGTGGTGAGTATACACAACTGTTGAACGAGATCAGTGTCCGGGGTCAACTCGAAATTCTCATAGCATTGAGCGAGCTCATTCAGTCGGTCCACGAGCCTCTTCCTAAGATGCTTTTGCTTCCTGGCAGGATAGACATGTTGTACACGGTGTATGACATTAGCAAAGTCCTGCCATAACGGCTTCTTGTGGCTCTCAGCCAGATATTTGGGCTTGTCCCATCTTTCTGATCGAAGACGTCCTAGGAGTTTAGCCTGGTGCTGCTCTATAATGAGCCAAAGAATTTCGGTGGCGGACTTGGACTCTCCAAACGAACCATATGTGCTGACCTTACTTAAGTTACTGCAGACAGAGGCCATGGCTGACCGGACTGAGTTGTCGATGGTGTCAGCGGCTGCAATGCGGACGACGAGACGGGAGACGGGCGAAAGGTGTTGCTCCAAGCAGACCGCCGCAACACTCTGAGCACCCTCTTTGACCGCCGCAATAAAGGCAAGATCGTCTGCTAATTGCTGTTCTATCGTGAATGATAGACCAACATGGTTCAGGTCCTGAGCACCGAAGTCGTTGCTTGGAGTAAAAATCTGAACATTAGCCGGAACTGCGTTTGTGCGACGCTCGAGGTCAATCAGATGATGTCTGAACTCGCGTTCGGGCAAGTCGCGCCAGATTGATTGCTCGGGTGCAGCAGTACAAACAGGTATGCCAGAGTTGGCGGTCATTGTTGTGGCAGGGACGTTCTTGCAAATTCTCAATAGCTTTCTGCAGACCTTTTGTCCTGCTGAATTGAAATTAAAGTCGGCAGTCGTGGTTTGAACGAGCGCCTGCCACGAGGCAACATTCTTGACTTGCTAATGAACTACCGTTCTTGAACCTGCGATTACTTCTCACGCCACTACGACGCACACCTCGTCAACCGCACCAATCTCCATTTCGCGCATTGCTTTCCGAGGACTTTTCGAGCTGGATATCACTCTGTCAAGTACAGGATCTTCAAGGGCTAAATGCAATGCAATCACAGGAACAATAACGGCTCGCATATTGAGGAGCACAACAGCAAGACAGCAGGGTTGCTTCGAAACAGTACCTACAATCCTGATTGAGCAAGCGCCTTTCTGAGCTTCAAGCTCCATTCTCATCCTCCCCACACGCTATGTTGCACCAAAAAAATTGGCATGGCTGATAAGCATCATATTCTCGATTAGGCGTGCTCCTCTACCATCTTGGGCATGTGTAGCCGCACGAACGTCCTTCTCCTAGCCAGTGAGACAAGAGCATGACACGGAATTAAACGCTTAATGACGTGAAGCAAGCGAGAGAGCTAGAAGGTTTACCAAGCAAGATAAAGCTCGTGGAGCGTCAGCAACAGCGATCAACGTTCTCAGAAGAACTGCTGCCCGTTGCAGTATACAGGCTACATTCTTGAGTATCCTTTCGCTCCAAGGTCGCAATCGAGAACACACGCGCCTTCGAGGAACACAACCAGTATCAAACCTTTGTCAACATGGACAATACACGACGTCGCTCTTCAGTTCCAGGAAGGGTGCACACCTCCGTGATCGAAGATGCGGATGCGTTGGCGGCTATGGGCCACAAGCAGGAATTACAACGCAACTTCAGTACAATATCTATGCTTGGCCTTGCGTTTGCCATACTCAATTCCTGGACAGCTCTTGCAGCTTCGCTGAGTCTCGCGCTGCCAAGCGGGGGTCCAAGTGCTGTCATCTGGGGTCTTATCACAGCTGGATGCTTTAATTTGTGTCTGGCAGCCTCTTTGGCAGAGTTTCTGAGTGCTTATCCTACAGCAGGAGGACAGTATCACTGGGCCGCCATGATTAGTCCAAAAGGTTGGAGCCGGGGTGTCTCGTGGGTGACAGGCTGGGTCAACGTGTCAGGCTGGATTGCTCTGACGGCCACTGGTGGCCTGTTAGGTAGTCAGTTGATCTTGGGTGTCATCTCTTTCTACCACGAATCGTTCGAACCGCAGCGTTGGCAACAGTTTCTCATCTACATTGCCTATACGCTTATTGCCTTCCTCGTCAATACCTACCTGACCAGACTTCTTCCTCTAATCACGCAAGCAGCTTTCATATGGAGTCTTCTTGGGTTTGTGGTCATCAGCATCGCGGTGCTGGCCTGTGCCTCTCCGAACTACCAACGGGCTTCTTTCGTCTACAGCGATTTTATCAATACGACCGGTTGGCCCGATGGTTTGGCCTGGCTCTTAGGCCTCTTACAAGGAGCCTTGGCATTGACTGGTTTCGATTCCGTAGCCCATTTGTGTGAGGAAATCCCGGAGCCACACCTGAAAGCACCAAAGATCCTGATATACTGCATATTAATCGGGATGTTCACAGGCTGGGTTTTCCTGTCCTGTCTGCTGTTCGTGTTGACTGATATCGACTCAGTCGTGACATCAACAGCTGGTCCTCTGCTTGAGATCTTCTACCAAGCAACAGGTAATAGAGCTGGATCGGTCTGTCTGCTTATATTCCCGCTTGTCTGTTTGGTGTTTGCCACGATAGGCATCATGTCTACCAGCAGCCGGATGACGTATGCTTTCGCGAGAGACAGAGGATTGCCATTCAGCAGATTCTTCGCCAAGGTACATGTAGGCTTGGACACACCGGTAAACGCTTTAGTTCTGACAACAGTCCTGGTCGTCATCTTCGGTTGCATCTTTCTCGGATCGACAGCAGCCTTCAATGCTATCGTGGCTGCGTCAGTGGTTGCGCTGGGCGTTAGTTACGCAATCCCGCCGGCAATCAATATTCTAAGGGGTCGAAGGATGCTGCCGGAAACGAGGGCATTCAAGCTGCCAAATTGGTTGGGCTGGTTTTGCAATATCGTAAGTTGAAATTTCTTACCTCTGTCCCAAGTTAACACATTGCAACCAGGTTGGTGTCCTTTACTCGATACTTACGACGATACTCTTCGTATTCCCTCCTGCCATACCTGTTACTGGCAATTCCATGAATTATGCAATCGTAGCGTTCGCAGTCGTTATCCTAATTTCCGTGATTCAGTGGGTAGTAGATGGCAGGAAGAACTACAAAGGACCACAGATTGATGTCGGAGCAATGATCAATGGTGAGGTAGAAGGCCTGAATGTGATACCCACAAACGAGTCGAGTGGTACTGGTGTGGGTAAGGAGAAAAAATAACCAGCTGTGCACAATCGTTGGTTTGTGATAGTCGTGGACCCAGATCACTGATCAGTTGGGCCATTCTGGATCCTCTCTGCGTCTGAATACTGCCACATACTTATTGCCTGCATTCCTCGTGACCTTTTTCCCTTCCTCGGTTTCATCCTTCATCACTCTTACCATCTGATCAGCTTCGTTCTCCTCATCAGTAACTCGTTCCCACATTTCGCGCACATCACCAGCCTCTTCGCCTGCAAAATGCTTCACCATCCACTGATGCAGTTCCTCGACATCAGTAATTGTATATACCTTACCGCCAGGCTTCACGACGTAAGCGTACTCGGCACTTAGTTGGGCGGAAACAATCCGAGCTTTGTGCTTTCGTGCCTTGAAATGCGGGTCTGGAAAGCAAAGAAAGATTGACGACAGAGACGAGGCCGGAAAGTAGTTGGGAAGGAACTTCATCGTGTTGGTTCGGAGAGCAGAGATGTTGTGGTAAGGTGGGGAAGGCTGGTCCAGAGACCTGTTCGGTGGTAGGGGATTCTGCGAGCGTAGAGCAGCCACACGATTGACCACGTAATCTGTAACTTGGGTTCGTAGCTCCATGCCTGAAGATATGTCAGCTCCAATCATCATAGAATCGATTGTGACTGAAGATAGGAATCGAATTATCACCGACCTATCATGAGAGTATCTGGATACAATGGACTGAGAGCCACAATGAGACCACCAAAACCACAGCCAATATCCGCTACTTCGACCTGTTTCCTCAACCTAGAAGCAGTATCCTCTCCATTGTCCTGTGACTTGAAAGCTGGATAGTGGATGGTCCAGTCCATGACCTCTGGACTTGCAGGACTGTAACGCCGTCAGGTCTCCAATCTATGCGTGTAGTCCCGCACAAGATTGACTTACTATTCCAGAGCATGATCTGAGAACGGGTTCGCGTGAGCTCGCTGCCTGTAGAATTTCTTCTTTGGCATTGGAAGCTCGCCATTACCATTTTGATCTGCTTGAGCTTTGCGGTATTCTTCGCGCTTCTGACGTTTGCGAGCTGGGCCTGCCATGATGGAGTTTGATTATGTGTGAGCGGTTCTAAGCCACTGAGCAAGGTAGTGATTGAAAGCAGGAAGCCGAGGACTTTAGGATGGTGAATTACTGCAATGCAGCGACAGAAGAGCAGGGAAAGCAGAAATTTGGACGGTCGTGTAGCTCCTCTACATTTACGATTCTGTTCATACCAGTCTTGTGAGCTCTACACCGCTGCAGCTGCCCATACTCAGAACACGACTTATGTTGGAAGCGTTCGAGCCAAGTAATTTATTTTATCTTTTCTCCGACTCAACCACGACTGCGAATCCTGGTCAGGGTGGGTTAACACACTCGATTTACGGGACTCCGGGTCAAGAACAAGGCCTCTAAAAGATGAGCTACCTCGTCAGTACTTGAGAGGTCTACTCGATAGCGGTCTACGCACAGTAGAAGAGTGCGAGGCTAAAGCCGCAAGCAGGGACAAGACCAGTACAGAGATTGTATTTGCCTGGCGGCCTTGGCATCAGTTCCTACCTATCGGAGCCTGAATCTCTGCGGTACTGCAGCGTATGCAACTTTTTGTGAAACTCCGCAGGCCAACACGAAATTCGAATGGTACTCTGTCGTCGTTGCTATATTGACTCACACCTTTCGTCAGGAGTTGGACTTCAAGACAGACGTCCAAGATGGTAAGTATGCCACTGACCATCTCGAATTTACGGCTAACATGCTCAGGCCAATAATCCAACCCAGATCTTCGCCGATGATGTGCAGGAAGAGAAGGGCGAGAATGCGCGTCTCTCAGCTTTTGTGGGAGCGATAGCAGTCGGTGACCTTGTAAAATCGACACTAGGACCCAAAGGCATGGACAAAATATTACAGTCTGCATCCACTGGAGAGATAATGGTTACCAACGACGGTGCCACGATCCTAAAGTCTATAGCACTCGACAATGCTGCAGCAAAAGTGCTGGTGAATATTTCGAAGGTCCAGGACGACGAAGTAGGAGATGGTACAACGTCAGTCACAGTCCTAGCTGCCGAGTTATTACGCGAAGCAGAGAAATTGGTCAACCAAAAAATACATCCTCAAACAATTATCGAGGGCTACCGAGCTTCTGCTCAGGCCGCCCTTCAAGCGCTGGAGAAGAGTGCTGTCGACAACTCGAAGGACAAGGACCAATTCAGACAAGATTTGAAAGCCATTGCTCGAACCACACTTTCCTCGAAAGTCCTTGCCCAAGACCGAACACAATTCGCTGATCTGGCATGTGATGCTGTCTTGAGACTAGGTGGTACTACAGATCTCAATCACATCCAGATAATAAAAAAGCCCGGTGGAAAACTCTCAGACTCATACTTGGACGAAGGCTTTATCCTGGACAAGAGAATAGGCGTCAACCAGCCGAAGAAACTCAAAAATGCTAAGATTCTGGTTGCAAATACAGCTATGGACACAGACAAGGTCAAAATCTTCGGCGCCCGGATGAAAGTCGATTCGACAGGGAAGCTAGCAGAGTTAGAAAAGTCGGAGAAAGAGAAGATGAGACAGAAGGTGGAGAGAATCAAGGCACATGGAATAAACTGCTTCATAAATCGACAGCTGATCTACAATTGGCCAGAACAGCTCTTCAGTGAGGCAGGAATCATGTCCATTGAGCATGCAGATTTCGACGGCATTGAGAGACTTGCGCTGGTGACTGGAGGGGAAATCGCTTCCACTTTCGATCACCCAGATACAGTTAAGCTTGGCCACTGCGACGTAATAGAAGAGGTTATCATTGGAGAAGACACACTCATCAAGTTTTCTGGCATGGGTGAAGGTGGAGGAAAAGCCTGCACAATTGTCCTCCGAGGGGCTACGGAACAGCTGCTGGACGAAGCAGAGCGGTCATTACACGATGCTTTGGCTGTATTATCCCAAGTCGTGAAGGAACCAAGAATAACACTGGGTGGTGGCTGTGCTGAAATGGTCATGGCAAGAGCAGTAGAACAGTTGGCAATGAAGGTACCTGGCAAGAAACAGATTGCGGTATACTCATTTGCAACGGCACTCAGGCAATTACCAACGATCCTGGCAGACAATGCAGGTCTCGATAGTTCGGCACTGGTGACCAACCTGAGAACAGAGATCCATCGAGGTATGAGCACAACCGGTCTGGACCTGCTAACACCAGGTGGTGGTCTGGCGGATATGCGAGAACTAGGCGTTATAGAGTCATACAAGTTGAAGAAGGCAGTGGTAAGCAGTGCTTCTGAGGCCGCAGAGCTGCTCTTGAGGGTAGACAACATCATCAGAGCGGCTCCGAGAAGACGCGAGAGGATGTAAGTGTTGGTATTCAGCATGACAAGAGATGAATGATGAGAATAAGACGACACACTTGAGCGGTCGCATGTGCATTTGTGGTCTTGCAAAAAGTACAGGTAGATGCGCAGTATGATACCCATGGAATAGATGGCGATGAATACTTCACGTTCGACTCACAATTCATGGGATGATTGTCCAGGTTTGTATCTCATCCTTTCACTTGACTGACAATGCCTAACTCCAATGTGCGGGGACGATTTATCACGCCGAGGCACGCCCGGATATCTCCTCGTTCATACAGTCTCCCATACAAAGATTGAGCAATAGACAGGCACTTTACAAAATTTGAAACTTCTCTTACAACACGATACCTAGGTTCTGCAGAAGACACTTTCTGTATGAATTGATCCTGGACTTTAAGAGCAGAAAAACAGCATTGAATCTAGTCGAACTACGAACAAAATAGGCCTAGGACGCACTCAAGTACCTGGACCTCAGGAGTCTTAAGCACCACAAACCCGTGGTTGTCAGCCACGAAATACCCAGTTAATACGCGGGAGCATTGTACCTTTTCTTATATGTCAAACACGACAAATGGCGCCAATGGCGCTTTCACGGAATCTAATGTCACTTCCGAAGTGGACAGAATACTGAACATGGTCAACGTCAATGCCTTCATTAAAGGGGACACATCACAGGCACCATCCGCAAATCCCAATGCACCAGCAGTCAGAGGGCCTGGTAGAATGCTTGAAACGTCCCAAGTGCCAAATCCATCGGCAGTCGCACAGCCAGGGATACCAGCAGTCACCTCTACCCTAGCCGAATTCATTGCCTCTGCAAGACCTTCACTCCTGAATTCAACACTGCGAGAACAGCTGTCCGAATGTATACTCGATTACCTGGCTGTTACTGCCGCGGGCGCAACACTCGCTCCATCCTCAGAGCCCATCCTGAAGGGTACCTTAGCGTTCAATCACAATCATACTCTTCCCAAAGGCAGAGGCTGCACCGTCATTACTCAGGGGCAAACATACCCACCCCACATCGCAGCCCTATTCAACGCAACATACGGACACAGTCTTGACTTCGACGACACACACGCTGAATCCTCTTTACATGCTGGAGTCACAGCCATCTCCACCGCACTCGCAGAAGCAGAATGCCAGCTCCGACGAAGTCAAAATCAATCCGCGATAACGTCCGACGACCTCCTCCTTTCCATCCTGCTGGGGTACGAAATCACTATTCGTATCGGCATCGCCCTATCGACAGCCTCATACTCACGAGGCTTCCACAATACATCTGTCGCAGGGATATTTGGCTGCGCTGCAGTGCTCTCTGTCCTCCGTCGTCTCCCCTCCTCAACTATCGCCAACGCCTTCGGGCTCGCCGGTAGTAAAGCCGCGGGGTCAATGCAATACCTCGCCAATGGCAGCCACAACAAACGTCTCCATGCCGGTTTTGCTGCACACGATGCGTTTCTCTGCGTTTCCCTTGCGGAAGCTGGAGTGATCGGTGCTGACGCGATCATTGAGGGTGATCTTGGTTTGTTGCAAGGGTACACAGACCGAGATCGTGCAGATGTCGACTGGGACAGGCTAATAAGCAACCTTGGTACGAAATGGGAATTTCAAGATAGCGCATTAAAACCCTATGCTGGGTGTCGCATGACCCATGGCTTTGTCGAGCTGGCTGACAGTCTAGGGAAGCACATCCGAGAAGGCAAGTTTGCAGATAAAGGCGTAATCAGCAATGGTACGCTAGATGGGATCAAGAAGATCAGGTGTATCATGCCAAAAGCGAATATGATCCTGGTCGGGCAGAAGATACCTAACAAGGTCCACCCGGAAAATACTGTCGATGCTCAGTTTAGTGCATATTACCAAGTCGCAAACGCGGTCGTGTATGGCGGGACGCACGATATGGCCGCGTATGCTCCTGAGAGACTCAAGGACGAGCAGATACGAGGACTGTGTGATAAGGTTGAATGTGTAGTTGACGAAAGCATGAAAGGCATGAGTTGTCGGATGGACGTCTTCCTGCAGGACGAGGATGGAAATACTGTCGAGTATGTCAGACGTGATGTGCCTGAGCCTTTAGGTGAAAGAAGTCATCCTTTCGAGAGGCAAGGCGTGGAGAAGAAATTTCTCGGGTTGATGGGTCAGGTGTATGGGCAGGATTCTGATAGAGGAAGGAGGGTCATGGAACGGGTCGAAGATCTTGCGTCCAAGGATGGCAAGGCTGATGTGAAGGCTCTGATGGACCTGCTGGCGAAGGGACCAGATGCGACGGCGGCGCAAATCCAATAACGACGCGATGACTATGTTCCATGCTTGTTGCCTTCACAATCTCGACGTGTGTGATATAGTCAGGTCACAGCCAAGCGGCAGAGCTGGTCCGTGCTTCAGACTCCAGTTAGTCTCCTGTTGCTATAGTTCCAACAGAAGACTCTGGCCTATGCTTTTTGTTCTCGCCACCATGGACGATCCTTTGTCAACCGCAACCTTACCTGCAAATCATTGTTCTGGCAGTTCACTTTTAGTCTCAACCTGAGTAAATGTATTTCAAAGATTTTAATATGCCTGTATTAGTCAACCAACAACAAAAACAACTGGCCCAGCATAGGAGCATAGCATAACCCTAGAAAACTATCGGTTTCACCAATTCAATCAGAACATCAAATGTGCCAAAAGTACATATTCTATCACTTGTGTGGCCATCCACATCACAGCAAAATATTAAAGTGCACGGAAGCTATACAGCGTCAGCTGGGTTTCACAAACTTGGGCGACGAGAAGGGTTCAGAGACTGCTTCGGAGGCATCGGCTGAGAGGATGAGTCCTGTTCAGCTGACCCGTTCCAAGGAGAGTATTGTCTCTTGCGAAGATCAGCTTGAAAGTCCAGAGATAAAGTTGAAGCCAACGTTGTGCGACGCTTGCGAGAAGATTGACATGATCTCCAGTTGGGTGAATAATAATCCAGGCATTCGGTACCAGATAGTGAAGGAATGGTCAAACAACAAGCACTGAAAAGCACGGAGGGCAGTCGTTGATGGACGAGGTCGATGAAGTGTGGTTGGGACGTATGAATAAGATTGCGCTGTGGTAGTATTACAGCGATTGTGTATAAATTATGTTCTATATCTTCCTTGCGTGGTATCGACAGTACACATGCAGGATCTTCTGTTGATGGCTGCTGAGGAAGAGCATGGATCGATTTAAATGCTAGCTGTTGGTCGTCGAATCAGCTCCGTGTCCTGAAGGATTTGCCGATGAGTAGTCGCAAGTCACGAAACAGCGATCGACATCGGGAAGGGCCTCGGCACAATATTGTAATGTTTCTGAAATATCGTGAGCCCTTCGGAGCGGAGTCTTTTCGTCTAGGAGAACGTCGTATTCGACCCAAATGCCATCTCCAGCATGGTAAGCAGTGATTGACTTGAAGCCTGATACCAAAGGTGAGAATCTGAAAGCCATGTAGGTCAATTTCTTGAGTAGCTCCATCTCGGCCTGAGCGCCACAAAGATTTGTGACGTTTTCCATAGCAGTGGCTGACCAGTCATAGATGATATACAGGGAGAGGATGGCAGCACCTGCCGGGTCGAGCCACCAAACTCCAGCAGCTTTGCCGATAAGTGGAAAGAGCAGAGATAAAGTGTTGAAGTAAACATCGGTTTTACAGTCCTGGACCAGAGCCTGAACTTGAGTTGTTTTGATTTTGACGCAAAAAAGACCGATGATTCCTTTTAGACCAACAGTTCCCGCCATTGCAGCGATAGCGACAGCAGGCAATGTGGCAATTGAGTGGTCGCCTTTGGGTAAGAGTCTTTGGACCGACTCCTGGAGGATTTGTGCAAAGGAGATAATCATGATAACAGAGAAGACCAGGATGCCAACAGGTTCGAGTCGCCTGCGCCCCACGGGGAAAGTCTTCTTAAGACTATCCAGTCTCCAAGAGACCAATCTATTGGTGGTCCACACGATAGCGGTACACAACAAATCCAGGGCGGAGTCGAGTAGAGAGGCGATCAAAGACAAGGAACTGGAGGACAGAGCAGCAAAGCCCTTTGCAATTAGTAGGATAATGTTTGCTAGTACGTTGACGTTGATTGCCCTTCTTGCGGTCTTCTTGTCTTTCCTTCTCTTTTCTTGTACGTCCTGAGGTAGCATGCCTTCGATGTTCTCTCCACCATGCTGTAAGCCTCCAGCATGATCCATAATACCATCGTGATCGGCGTCAGGATCCATGCTGTCCATAATGTCGTCTGCCATGGCGCCGACGATGGTGTCGACCTCGAGCCAGTCGTCAAGTCGCTGGTTGATGCTTGAGTAATATGCTCGGACCTTTTTGTTCTTGATGTTTTTGATCTGTCGGTTGTCAATGGTGGTCGCGTAGAAGGGGGTTGTTCCTTACCTCATCATCGGTCTTGCGATACTTTTTGTACTCCTTTGTGTCGATGCCTTCGGTCAACTGCTTTTTCAGCTGCAGGGTAGTCTCCCGGCTCATGGCATCTTCCACAGCATCCTTAAACCTTGGCCTCGGTTTCAGCTTTGGGCTGGCACTGGACTCGAGGTCTTTTCGTAAGCTGTCCTGCTGCTCATCTTCGTCTTGTTGCCCTCTCGGAAAAGCTCTTCTGCCAACCATGATGCCGTGTTAAGTATCAATGTTCAACGAGGAAGGATATACCGCAACACATGTAGGAGTCGTGGTCGTAGCAACTGCGACAGATAGATGGCCTCGTGAGCCGCGTGGATTAGGATTCATGACGACACTTCGCGTTGCTGTTCTTGTTTTGAGGCAGGCGACAAAACTCAATGTGCCTGTTTGGCCGCTGACGAAGCCAAGTCTCGGGTGAGAAAGCTTAGACTAAGTGCTAGGCTTGAACGAGCTTGAGCTCAGGAACAATGAGCTCCTTGGAGCGCCAATACCCACCTAGAAATTCGGTTATCGGTAGCGCCTGCGAGTCCTTGCTTTTTTCGCGTCATCCTGTGATTGCATTTCTTACTCAATATGCACGTCCATCCTGGAGCTTACTACACTACGCCATTTCCTTGCAGGTAAGTCGTGTGTACTCAAGCCTCGTCCCGCTTTATTGCGTGTTCGGCGCAATACACAGCTCCACAAGACTACCACAGCTATGGGAGGTCGTGCGACTCGTGGCAGCACGGCAAAGTCCGCTCCAAAACCTAGTCAATCAAACAAAGTGAATGCAAGGTCATTGCGACCAAACTCCAACCCGAATACTCCAGCTACGTCGTCGAAGAAGAAGAAGAAGAGGAACCTCATCGATTTGACCCAAGACGACGAAGATGAAGTCGAATCATCACATTCCAGTGCTAAGAAGGCGAAGCAGGTCCAAGAGAAACGTCTCAAGATGTTTCGCAAGCAAGCACCACAAAGCTTCCTCACCAAGTTGGAACGTGCTACCAGTCAGAGGATGGTTGTAATAGGCCGTACGCGCTCGGGAGAAGGAGAGGATCTACATGAAGACATCGATATCGTTGGCACCACGGGAAACATCTACACTGTCACGGTCGGCCGTCTCCCCAGCTGTACCTGCCCTGACCACCTGAAAGGCAATGAATGCAAGCACAAGGTCTACGCCCTGGCTGTGGTCCTTCAAGCCCCATACGAATACCAGTATCAACGTGCATTGCTAACCCCAGAAGTACACCAGTTGCTCGCAGACGCACCCCAAATTCCTTATGCCGACGCAGACACGAAGGAAGATTCTAGAGGGAAGAGGAAGCCAATCGAAGGAGAGTGTCCCATCTGCTACATGGATTTCGATCCAGACAACAACGAGCTTGTTTGGTGCAAAGCCGCTTGTGGTAACAACATGCACAAATCTTGTTTCGATCAGTGGGCTGCCAGCCAACGTGGTCAAGGTGTGAAATGTGTATACTGTCGAACACCTTGGCAAAATGATCAAGGCGATCTGGCATCAATCAAGTCTAGTGGTGTAGAGAGCGGAGAGGGTTATGTCAACGTCGCTGACCAGTTTGGCATATCAAGAGCTCGCGATTATTCCTCCTATCACCAACCGTGGGCGAGACGAAACTTTGGATACGGTTAATAAATGCGAACACGACGTGCGCCACAACGCTTACGGCGACGAGAAGCACTATATAGACTTATGCCGAGCAGTGCAGGACAACCATCGAGGGCACACATTGTACATACTGCTTGAATGAGACCAAAGCACGACGTCGCACGCAGATCATCATGCAGACCTGAAAGAGGCCAGATCCCCATGGTCGTAACTTCTGCACCTGGAATCTTTCTTCCTTCAAACGAAGAACGATTTGCGCCCTCCTCCGACACTCTTCCAAGCCATCATCCTGATTGTCTCTACACGATCCAAATGCTTACTTATCTCGACGAAACGCAAGACGACTTCCCATTGAGTGCTGGTCAACACATGAACTTTCTATCTTTCCGCACTTCCTGCCTTTGCACAGACGCTCGGCGTCGCTATCACGTCTCTACTGTCGCTACCTGGCCAGAGCCTTGTAATACGTATTTGGGCGAGACGAGAGTTGCTTCCGCAGGAAACCTGATCGTATACACACACGAGACGTCTACAATATCGCAAAGCTTGTACACGTGACTCTCATGCCGCAGGCCAGGACTACTATCTGAGGATGAATTCTACTGGAACGACTGAATGCGAAATCTTCGTAAGCCAAGCATAGCGAACGCAATATCACGGCTCAGGAGATCAGCTGTACTTAGCGACATCGCCAGCCAACGGCTAGTTTCGACTTGGAACAGAACGTGGGGTCATGTTTCAGAATCTCGAGAAGGTTTCGCTAAGTGGGGTTTGAGTGACAACGAGTCTTCGAGATGTGGAGCAATCCACGATGTAAATCAGTTGACAGTTTCAGCCTTGCGAAGCTAACCAAGCAAGAGTTCCGTTTCTTGTACATTGACGCGAACACCTTTCGAATCCAATTTGGGGTTTGCCAGGAAGAAATCATGCGCCAGCTTCCTGTCACTCTCGTCTGTTCCTAACAACTCAAATCGGTACCTCCTAAATAATGTGGACAAGCACATGTGCATTTCTGCCATGGCGAGGCTGGTTATGTTAGCAAAAAGTTTCACATCACTCAATTTTGACTTACTTGACGCCTAGCCAACTTCGACTTCCTTTTCCCAAAGTGAAGAACCATTGCTTCATGGAAGGGTCAAGCCAGCGGTCAGGGAGGAACGTCCAACTATCCGGAAAGATCTTCTCGTTGCGATTGTGGTCGACGATCGTGCATGACATAGGCGTTCGTGAGAAAATCGTCCAGCCCTCGTACTGTAGTGCTTTAGGCCAAAGTTGAGGATTTCGCGCAGTCACGCCGTATGACAAGCGCGTGCCCTCTCGAATACAGGCGTTGAGGAAGGGGAGCTTCTCTACTGTGTGCAACGAAAGTGGCTTTGTGCAATCTGGGATAGCAGCAACAACCTCAGCGCGAAGCTTGGCGTATGTGGATTCTTTCTGGATGATGTGAAACGCTGTCAGAGACAATGGTTCTTCGGCCCTCAGCGTGGGCCGAAGAACCATTACCAACCTATCTGGCAGACTTTCCATCGCCTTCAAAGCCAGTGAAACTGGTTTGCAACGTGTCCAGCTTCGTTGGCCGCCATGAAGGGCTCGTCAAAAGATTCCTCAAAGTCTGGCGAGTGAGGGTGGTTTATATGCTTCGCTAAAGACATACGTGGTGATGACATCTCCTGAGAACGCTGTGAAAGCGCGGTTGATCTTGAAGCTCTTTCCATTTTGGACACGTTCGTCCATTTTAGAGCACAAAATACTAAACTTTTCACGAATGACGGGCTGGAATGCAGAGATGCGTTGCTTGGAGGAAAGTGGTGATAACGGGGTCTTCTGAAGTTTGTGCAAATTACTTTCTGGTGTCACGAGTATGGAATGCGGAATGTTCTGACGTTGTTGGAAGATATCGTAATTATCTGTACGACCTAGACCATACAATGTGTTCCAGAACCTGGAGTTAGCGATGTGCAGCTCGTGCGGCGTGATCCGTACGATGGGACCTGTTAACCAGGTCAATCGCAAGACGAAATGGACGCACTGAAGCACTGAAGCCTACGTACCATATTGTTTGTGTAGGTCTGAAATATAGAACGTAAATTGTCCTCGTTCGATGACCCTAAAATAAAACTCTTACTAACGAGTTAAACCCATCCGTTTGTGTCCAGAACATGCGGCCAAAGGACTGATGTACAGTCTGTATGCTGACAATGCTAAGAGATAGGCGACACATGCCGTCGAAAGCAGACCAAGGAGCGAGTACATCATTGCCATACGAAATATTGGTGTACGTAGTGAACGAGATTTGACCTCGAGTCGCGCCTTGGGAGGAACAGCAAAAGCGGGCACTAATTCTGGTGGAGTGTGTAGTGACCCTACTACGTACCTGCAAAGTCAAACGTTGGTTCGTACAAAAGAACCAATTTTACTCACGACGTATTGCGTACTCATGTGTCTCACGTTCGCCATACCGACAAGTGAAACTTCACTCGACTCATGTAGATTGTCTTGCTGCGTTGCTTGAGCTGTTCGATCAGTGGCGCTACCCATTCTAGGCACACACCGCAAGAGCATTTGACTCTAGTTGTATCTCGACGAGGTTGCGGTTCAGGTCATTGACGTTAGTTAGCTGTTTGGTCCCTCGCCTGCGTACTTGCTTGTGATAGCACTCAGCCTCATCGTCGGCGCTGTGAGTCCTTGTGGAGAATCATTCAGGGCGTTCAGGAAGGTGTAGTCGTCAGCGTGTTTACACCTCGAGTGTTTTATCAATGGTTGTCTATGCGGCCGAGTTGTTGCTGTTCTCGAGGTAGATTAATTTGGCTGATGTATGACAGACCACGGGGCTTTGACTGAGAATCTGCGTTCGTATGTTTGTCCGTGGGTTTCGTTTGCTGTTTGGCTGTCATCATCCCATATCCAAGTATCCGTTCCACTTCGCTTCCTCGGAACTTGATCGAGCTGTATTCTGAGCATGAACGCTAGCATATTCAGCAGAGCAACTTCGGCATCAGCGGCGATGGTTACATGAGAAGCACACAATACCACACGCCTCTTCGCAGGAACTATTGACAGCCAGTCGTTGTCAGGCAATGGCTCAACGTCGAAGTTCAGACGTTCACCAAAACCAGATTGTTGATAACTCGGATGCGAATCGGTCTCCGCATCGGTGCCAAGTCGTCGGTTCTCAGCTTTCACGAAGTCCAAGGTTCTGTGCATGCTCGCACTCCATAGTGTGATATTGCTATCTTCTGTGAAGATGACAGGCTGTGGAGGTTCTTGTTTCCACTGTCCTCCACTGCCAGATCGTGTCTCGTCGGACTCACGTTCGTAAAACATGTCGCCCACGCATAGAGTGTTCGAGTCGTAATCATACCATGACATCGAATCAGGTGTATGTCCTGGCGTGTGTATCACAACAATGGAAGATCCTTTGAAGGCATTGGATGCTTTGTCGTAATACTTGATTCGTTGAGCATCATCAATCCAGTGTGCGTCGTAGGAGGGGGCTCTGAGGCCTTTCAACTCACACAATGAGTGTTTCTGTAAGTTATGCCATGGTACGAGATAGCTTATGTCGTATGAGGACGAGTAGACTGTGGTGTCAGCATTTGCTTCAAGAAGATATCTCAGACCGAGAATGTGATCATAGTGACAATGTGTAGACAACACGATGTACGGGGTATTATGCGATGGGTTTAGAGTTAATTCCAGAAAGCTCGCGATGTTCCAAGTCGTGATAATTTGTTTTGACCTGTCCGCTTCTCCGACATTGGGAAGATTCAAACCTGTTCCAGTATCACTCAATATGATTACAATCGGCTGGTGTCTCTCTTCTCGATACAAAACTTTGACATATATGTGTGGATACTCTGAGTACTCGTCATGCTCACGAATCACATAGGTAGACGAGTTCGCTGTCGAGTAAAGCTGAGTAATTGTGTAGGGGCAAGTGCTGTAGCGATTGAGATGGCAAGGAAGACTTCCCATGACCACGTTGTATGTAGCAGAAATATTGGCTCAATAGATTATGACTGCTGTTGGTGCAAAGACGTTGGTTGTGGTCAGGAATTTGTAAATGCTCCTATCTTGGCCAACCTGCAGTCCTTGAAGGAGTACAGGACGTACCTGCTTGCTTTAAAAACGTCGAGAATAGTCTCTTTCTGATAACTACTACTTTGGAACCGCGATTCTCGCGTGTGCTGCGCCGAACGATTGATCTTTCCTAACACTCCGATCACTTCAAGCAGCATGAGTAAATAGAAGGTGTGACGGTTTGTGAATCAACATCCGCTAATGGTGCATCATTGGAGAAGAGACTTTAGTTTGGTAAACTTCCGAGAAACTGACGTAGACGCTAAGTTCAAGGCTCGACCGGCAAAGGTTGTCGATAAATGGGTATTGTTCTTCATTCTTCGCTTTCGAGCTTTTGACAAAACACCAAGTCACAAGGTAAGCACATCATAGTCGAACAATATGTCGAAAGGCAAAGACTTTGAGGTAGCGATTATAGGCGGTGGAATCGCTGGTCTAACATTAGCCATTGCTCTGAATCATCGAAATATACCTGTGAAGATATACGAACAAGCGCCAAAGTTTGGCGAGATCGGTGCTGGAGTCTCATTCAGTCCGAATGCTGTCAGGGCCATGAACAAATGTCACGAAGGCATCTACCAAGCCTTCGAGAGAGTCTGCACAAGAAATGAATGGTCATCGAAGCACAATGTCTGGTTTGACTACCTAAACGGCTACGACAAAACCCTGAAGAAATCTGGACACCAGGAAGCAGTATTCACGATTAGTAACTCAATCGGGCAGAGCGGAGTTCATCGTGCGTTATTTCTTGAAGAGCTTGTCAAACTCCTGCCTTCCGACATGGCTCACTTCGGTAAACGTCTCAATCATATCGAGGATGGCAAAGGCAGCAAGCTTGTAATGCACTTCGAAGATGGGTCCAAAGCAGAAACGGATGCAGTCATCGGCTCAGACGGTATCAAGTCGATGGTGAGGCAGATAGTGTTTGGTAAAGACCATCCATGTGCCTACCCGACATATACATATAAATATGCATACCGCGGCCTGGTGGAGATGGACAAAGCCGTGGCAGCCGTCGGAGAAGAAAGAGCTAAAAATTCCTGTATGCATATGGGACCAAACAATCACGTCCTCACTTTCCCTGTCAACCATGGAAAGATCTTGAACATCGTTGCATTTCATACAGCCCAGACGGATTGGCCTGACTATCAGAGATTGACCCGGCCTGCGAAGCAACAGGACGCCTTGAAGGATTTCGAAGGCTATGGGCCGAACGTAATTGAGTTATTGAAGCTTACGAAGCCAGATCTCGATATATGGGCCATCTTCGATTTAGGTACCCATCCCGTACCACAGTTTAACAAGGGCAGAATATGTATAGTTGGTGACGCGTAAGTGCAATTTCGCAAAGAGACTGTGTTATGTACTGACTTTACAGCTCTCATGCAACCTCGCCACATCATGGAGCTGGCGCAGGATTCTGCATTGAAGACAGTGCGGTCATGGCAGCTCTCTTGTCGGACAAGCGAGTACAGACTTCAGAAGACATAGAGGCTGCCTTTGCGGCTTTCGACAGCAATCGCAGAGAGAGGTGCCAGTGGCTGGTCCAGAGTAGCAGATTCATCGGAGATGCATACGAGTGGCGAGCGCCTGGCCTCAAGGATGACTTCAAGAAGATAGAAAGCGAAATTAACCGACGCAATAGTATCATTGGCGACTTTGATATAGACCAGGGGTGTAAAGATGCTACCGACGAGCTGACGAAGCACCTGGACCGTGCACGCCTGTAGATAGACTACAACTTGCTCGTGCTGTGCAGTTCCCTTTCAATGTACCTCCCTCCGTATTGTAATAAATTTTCACCATGTGAGTCATGTGATCACCGAGGACATGCATCCATCACGGTCAGACGGTCGAAACCGACAAAGACGCACTCTCACGACTGTTATGATCCAGGAGGACATCCAACGGCTTTCTGCTTTCGGGTTGCACTTCGTTCTTGGCTCAGAGCACCATACATAACATGGGCATGATGGGCAAAAGTTATCTACAACGCTCTCCATCGGCTGATCGGCCACATAACGCCCCGAAAGGAGCGCAGACGGACGATTGCAAGCACCGACCAGGCAAAGTTCAGCAGCCAAAGTTCACCCGAAAGCTGCTCGGTGCGCCTGGAGTACGTTTCAATGAGCAGGCGTCAAATCAGAGGCCAGCTTTAGATTCTGCCTGAACGTGTGTAAACGTCAGCTTGGATGGAAGCACCACGTACCACCTCTAGATAAACCATTCCACCTCAGCTCTAGTATCACAACTTCCACTTCCTTCACACCCGGCTACTTACCCGTATACATAACTTCTAGTTATTGCTCTGCAGCTGCCAGGAACACTTGTTTGTCGACCATAATGTCACCACCATCTCGACCTCTTCCTTTCGGGGACCGTCCACGAGGCCCACCTCCATTCGTCGTTCAAATCCTGAGAGCTCCGCTTACAGTCAACAATGTCATTGCTTTTGCCATTACACAGTCTGTTTACCGCAGCCGCAAGAGCGCACTCCTAGTCGGTAGCAAGCCATGTGCGGCACGAGTCAATACAGTCTTCGGACTCCTCGCAGTCATGTTTGCAGTTTCGATCGTTCACAACATCTTGACTGTCATGCGCTTCCACCGTATTCGACGTGAGGTGTTTGGGGAAAGTATGTGTGCCTCAAGAAGAAGATGGAGACAACAGCAACGTGGTGAAATCGTGCTTGACGACGAGGAGAGAACGGCACGCATGCAGAAGTTCAAGGAGATGGGTAAGAGGATGCCTAGCCTGTTCATCTCGAGTGGAGATGTGCTTCTGGCTGTCGGTTTCCTGGGCATGTGGGTCTTGACTACTTTGATCGCTAAGAAGGAGGGCAAAATTGAGCTTGGAGTGGCATATGCTAGTATCGGTGCTCTGGTCGCTTGGTAAGAACGCACCTTTTTTCCACACGGAAACGGAGCAGTATGCTAATAATTCACAGTGTTCTGAACCTCATAGTCGGTATGAGTGGATTGAAGTTCTGGGCTCGCAAGCGAAACCAGGAACGCGAGACAAGGATGGAGGAAGCTGAAGTTGCAGATGTCAAGGAGAAGCTACTAGAGAACTAGTCGAGCTCAGGAAGCAGAGCACCTAGAGACCGTCGACAAGCACGGCTGCCTTGCGGCGGGTTACTCACCAGGGTATACATTGATCGATACTGAGCGATATCACTGCGCATCGAAGTCGCGCCCATGTCGATATTCTTCGTAATACCATCCGCGAAGCACAGGATACAAAGCTTTGATCTCTTCGCGATAGTTCAGATGATTGGACATGGATACGGCACTACGAAAGCAAATAACAGCGACAACCAGGCAGTCTGACCACTTACTATGGACTCATCGCAGCTCTATAGCGCCAATACAGGCTAACATCTATTTGCACTACCACAAACAACCATCCATTTTTCAGTCTCTCTTTGCACCACTTCAATTCCCTGATCAATCAATTTCGTGATCGGCTGATCCGCATTTTCTTTGATGAAGTGGTGGTAGCTCGCCAGCAACAACTTGTTAACGTTGAACTTGGTGACACCATTTCCGATGCATTCTTGCGTCAGCTTTGGACTAAAGTCATTCGTCCCATGTAGCGCGAGTCTAGCTCGACCACGAAGTTGACTATGTATCCTCTCAAGACGTCCCAGATCTAGTTTTGGTCCTTCAGGAGGATAAACTCCGTGGATGTTGCCGATGCTTGGAGCAAGAATGTCAATATCAGCATCCAAGAAATCCTCGACCTCATCAGGTGAAGTCAGGAGTGCTTCAAGCTCCCCAGTGTCTGCGATACCGTCCTCACCACCGTTGATACGCCCACTTTCGGCCTCGACAGCTATTCCTCTTTCGTGGCACAGCTTTGTTAACTCCCTAGTTTTTCGAAGGTTTTCTTCATGCTCGTAGTGGCTCATATCGACCATTATGGAATCAAATGGCATGGTATTGACCACATCCCGAATCTGTTGTTCGTCTTGAGCATGGTCGAGGTGTAACGATATCGGGACCGATGCCGCTCTACAGGCTGCAGAAGCAGCGAAGACCAGAGAGGGCAGTTGCTTCAATGTCGAGGGGAAGAGGAGTAGAATGAGTGGTGAGTGGCTAGCCTCGGCCGCCCTGACTAGTGCTGTGACATGTTCGACATTGTAAGCGATAGCAGCCAAAACTCCATAACCTCCTTCATCGGCGGCTGCCAGAATTTGCAATGTCCGATTATTGGGCAGCGTGCTCGACATGTGGAACTAGTGGCGTTTCCCTTATTAGCTTTATCTTAGCGAGAGATTGCCTCTGGTACTTCTGCAGGGTCAATATGGTCGTGTGACAGCCATTACACGCATCTCGAACCTCGAAGTTATAGAGGAAAAGACACGATATTAGTCTTGCAACAATGCTTTGGCGGAAAGCCTTGGCCAAGGCCGGCGTTCATGCGCGATAGTCACTGATTCGAGGAATAGGCCGGCCTTGTACCACATGGGAGGTGGCAAACATCCCGGTTCCACCAAAAGCAAGTTTTGCGGGGGAAGATGCGTCTCCCACGCCTCGTCTCGAGCAGCTTTAATGCCTGTCTTCTCGCCCATCTTGTTTTTGCCTCGTGCTCCTATCCTGGGCCACGAATCGAAGTCTTGATAAGACATGAGCTCGCTTCATGGACACTGCGGTGGAAGAACTTCAAGATGTGCAGAAAAGAAGGAAGCCCCGGCCCTCACGTGGTAAAGGATTACGAACCACGACTGGATGGTAAGCATAGAATTTAACTCTATTTCCTAACTTCTGCTAAGATTCAATAAAGCCTCACTTGTCGGAAGCGCCGGTTAAAATGCGACGAGCTCAAACCAGCATGTGTATGTCATCGCTTACATGCATGTTGAAGATCTTTATGTGCTAATTGATCGTCAGGGCCAATGTCGAAAATCCGAACGTGATTGCTTGTATGCACAGGACCTTCCACCCGAGCTGGCACATCACTCGAGTCGAGGTTCTTGGAGTGCCGAAGATGCAGTGTCACAACACGATCTGACATCCCCGGTTCTTTCGGCTAGCAGCCGTAGAACGTACTCTGGAAACTCAAGTAGTGCTACTGCCCAATATGCTCCTTATGTAGTGTCGCCATCCGTCAAAGATTCTCAGCGTCCTGCCCCTCAACAACATACTGCCCAGCTATCATACCCCTTATCACCAGTCACGACCCGTGCTGGTTACAGTCATTTTCCCATTACTGACAAGACGCATTCCATCCAACAATCTCCTCAACAAACACAGACAGAGCTTGCAATCTCACCCGATACACAAGCGACGTCTATCACACCGGGTCAAGCACCATACGAATGGTGGGATCAGCTTGCACAGGATGCCATCAAAGATGAGAAAAACTACCTGGCCCTGAAAGAGAGTCATTCGAGATGGAGCTTTGAGCCCGTTGATCTATCTCGTTCGACTGCTCCATCCCCTAGCTCTTTCCTACACAACAATGGCAAACAGGAGCAAGCGCCACAAGTCGCACGACCTATCCCAGCTCGAGGTAGTGGCAGTAGTATTGGTGCCGATCATGACAATGTCGGAAAAGAGCCTTGGAATACCGCGGACCCACCTACACTGTCGGAGCGGGAACTCGAATACCTGAAGTATTACATCGACAATGTCGGTCCAATTTTTGACCTCTTCGATCCTGCACGGACCTTTACTGAAGTCATCCCGCATCTAGCCATGCGTAATGTCGGGCTGTTAAAGTCGGTGCTCGCTGTAGCAGCTCGCTTTAGGAGCTTACACGTCCAGGCTGGAACGAACTCCACAGAACACCAACGATCACCTGAACTAGGCGCTGAGGCTCTCGAAAATGACGACTTCGTCTCCACGCAGCTCTATTTCGACACACTTAGCTATTTGGCGCAGGCGATGCAGTACCCAAGCTATACTCGTAGCCAGGAGATATTAGCCACTGCTGCTCTGATCAGCGCATACGAATACTTCCACGTCAACCGATTTGCGGACTGGGAACGCCATCTGAAAGGTGTTTTCTGGATTCAGCGAAGCCAAGAGACGAACGGCGAGCGCAAGGGTGTCCCCGGTGCTGTCTGGTGGGCTTGGCTGAGACAGGACATCTGGGCAGCCCTTTGGCAGAACCGCAAGCCGCTGACAATCTGGGAACCTACCATACCAGTCAGAGAGCTCACCGGGCATGAGTTCGCCTCGCGTACTACCTTTCTGCTGGCCAAGGCGATCAAATATGCGACTCAAGAAGACAGGGACAGCGCAGATCTCAGTCAGCGTATATATGAAGGTGGCAGGTTCCTTCAAGACCTGCAAGACTGGTACGAGCAATTACCGCATACGTATAGACCTCTACCCATAGCTCCGTCAGATACCAACACACCGACAAGTGTCTTCCCCCCTATCTGGATCCACCCACCCTTCCATGCAGCAGCAATGCAGTATTACTATTCAGCTAAGATACTGGTCCTAATACATCGACCGTCAGCTGGTGGTGTCAATGCCCACTACGACAAAGAAAAAATGCTTAATGAAGCTGTTAGCATGATCTGTGGACTTGCACAGTCACCCACTGCTCAGGATTATCCCTCTGCCATGGTCCACTTCCAAGCTCTCTACGTTGCTGGCCAGTGCGTTCGCACCTCAGAACAACAGAAAGCACTATATGATATTTTCGATCGTGTATTGGAAGTCGCCAAATTCCCCACAAAAACATTACTTGCCGAAATCCAGAAGATATGGTCTACTTGAAAGACTTACTCGTCGTTTCCAGGACTTTCCTCGATCAGGATGGCATTCCCGTATTACGACGGCTCAACAGAATGTGTAGGAGCACGTATGTCAGAACGCCGACACCGAGCATCCCCGAGATGACGCCGAATCCCAACAGATACTTGGGCGCATCGTCTGAAGGGAATAACCAGCTTCCGTATATTTGAGCCAGGTTGCCAAAGGCATTGACTGTGGCCAAGGCAATGGCTCTGACTTCAGCGTCCATGGAGCCAAAGGTCGATGATGCGAAAGACAGTGCGAGCGCATTAGACGCCCACAGCCCTGCGGCCATGATTACAAGCATGGCATAGCGGGTTGTAAAATCATACACAACGCAGACCACAATCGCTGTCACCAACGATAACGAGAGCCAGCCTGCGATGACCAAACCGCGCCATTCTGGAATCCTATCACAAAACAATCCGGAGAAAGCAGTGCAAACGAATGCCACCACATATATCGGGACTGTCATGTACTGTGCTTCGACACTATCAGTGTAGCCCAGTCCCTTGACCAGGGTTGGATAGAAGTACGACAGAGTGGAGCTTCCGACAATGACCTAGCGGCAGCTGCCTTTAGCCAAGATCATGATCACGAAAGGCAGAGAAAGCGCGACTCACCATGTATCCTGCCACGAAGCCCCATACTCTCCGATCTCGCCATGCAACGAAAAAGCTCTGTCGCTTTCCTACCTTTGGCTTGTCCTCGGTTAGCACTTTGACGTCAGATCGCTGGAGCCTGGCCAGGGTTATCATCCGTTCCCTGTCAGTAAGGCTCCTTGTCGTTGCCGGAAAGTCCAGAAGGATGAAGCTAGCGCAAGCGGCCCAACCAACTGTGGCCACTCCTTCCACGATGAACAGCCACCTCCAGCCTCGAATGCCATGTGCACCTTCCAATCCACCTGTGATGGCTCCCGCCAAAAGACCACCGAAGGCACCTGATAAAATCGCAGCTGAGATATAAATCGAGAAGCGGGCAGACTGCTGGTTCCGAGGATACCAAGACGATATCATGAGCAGGATTCCTGGTGCAAAGCCGGCTTCAAATACACCGACAAGCAGTCGAAGGACTACTAGCTGGTGATAAGACTTGATAGCAGCCATGCAACACGTGAGAACACCCCAGATCGACATGATAGTGGGAAGATACACCGAGGGCCTCATTCTGACCAAGAGCATGTTACTGGGCGCTTCGAAGACGACGTAGCCGACGAAGAACACTACCAATGCAGTACTGTACTGATTGCTAGAAAGGTGCAGATCGTCGGACATGCCTGCCACCTTAGCGTTGCCGATATTGGTACGATCCTGGTCTCGGTTAGTATAGAGCATTTCTTATATCTCTGATCAAGAAGTAACGACTTACCATGTATGACAGAAGATACATCAGCCATATCGTTGGCATCAGAAAGAGGTCAATTTTTCGGACGAGCTTCTTCTCTTCTTCTGCGGTCCACATTAATGTGTTCAGTGATGCGAATGTATGCATCACATCATCGTGCTCCGGTGTTGCGGTTGACGACATCACTGTGACAGGAGAGAGTTTAGACATATCAACACGTTCCGTATTGTGGGAGGTGGGAAAGATGAGGAAGACATTGGTGTTCATATCGACAATATATTCTATTCAGCATGGTTGTAACTGTCGTGATACAGATTAGCTTCCTCCTAACGAGCGGTCAATGTCTCGTTTACACTGGCGACGACTAGGGCTTGATAATGTCTTCCCGAGTCAGCCCCGAAAGGTCCAGCTTCAAGTGAGGATGAGAGTCTCGGCATGAAGCACAGTGAAACTCTGGTGCGCCGAGTCATTCAAGTTTAGCAAATAGGAAGCAAGCCGCCAGACCCAACTACTTAGATCGGCATACTACGAGAAAGTCAAAACGATAAGGCTACCGTACCGCACCCCAATCCAGTCGAAGAAGTTGTGCGTTGCAGCAAAATGTTAGCACGTTTCGACCCGCAACTTTTTCTTGCCTGGGGACGTGCGTGGGGCTGTGAGAGAAAGCCGTGCTTGATTGCCAAAAAGCATCATCTTGATTGATGCCTCAGGTATTAAAGTCACATGATACAGCGTGGCTAATTCTCGGGGTATCGATGAGCGGAAACCGGCGATAAGCTGCGATACTTCCCGCTCCCCACGATTTCTATTCAAATACAACCCAAAATGAGCTCTTGCACTCGTCTCGAGGTATAAGATCCGATCTTGTCCGGATTGAAACTTACCGCCTCGCCCGTAGAAGAATGGGGATTGTAGAGGCAAGTAATTCTTGCAGCACAAGATCTCGCCTATCGGCTGCGCGTTTTATGAGTTCCTGCAGGTTCGCAGCACCCATCATTGTTCTCAACGTTCCTTGCCTCTTCAAGATATTTGATCCGGCGGAGGACGGCAAGTTGCCGAGGGTTGTGCCGAAACGGTAGGCTTATAAAGAGGCTATAAGATGTGGCGGCACGCCATGCACCTCGAGACACTCGTGGCACAGGAAAAGCAGAACGATAGTTCCGCGATTAGTGCCTTAGCCAACGCCTGAGAGCTGAACCGTTTGGTTCTTCCTGCAAGGTTCACAAGAACTTCCAAGTTCACTGAAGTATTTGTTCTTGGCAAACGGAAATCGTTTTCCCTCAAAGCGATAAGTATGGCTCCTGGGCTTGTTGCAGACCTTGGACACCTTGAACAGATAGATCCAAAGCAGGTTGACCTATCACTTGCTGTACAGGAGCTCAGCATGGCACTCACAGACGGCATGAAGAGCAATACAAAGATCGAACACGCGGCGGTGCAGCAAGTAACCCCATACTTGTCTACCGAACCTTCATCAGATCACCACTGGCGCATAGATCTGGAAGGCAAAGTCATTGCTATTACCGGTGCTAATCGAGGAATTGGTCTCGGCATAGCTGAAGTCTGCCTAGCCAACGCAGCCGGCCACGTCTACTCTCTCGACCTCTTCGAGCCCGACGCCTCAGAACACGCAGCATTTCACGAGCTCTCGACCAGGAACCCAGGTCGTCTTCACTTCATCAAGTGCGACGTCACATCCTGCGCCTCAATCAACGACAGCATAGCAACCATAGTCGCCGCACAAAAACGCTTCGACGGTCTCGTCGCAAACGCAGGAATGACAAAACACCAGGCTGCCCTAGACTTTTCCCAAGCACAACTCGAACAGCTATTCGACCTCAACGTCTTCGGCGCCTACCATTGCGCCACCGCTGCAGCTCGTACATTTAAAGAGCTTGGCTGCAAGGGCAGCATCGTCTTCACGTCCTCAATGACCTCTTACCGTCCCAACCGCGCCGCACCATCTGCTCCGTACGGCGCGACGAAAGCAGCAGTGCGCAACCTGACACACACCCTCGCGATGGAGTGGGCACAACACGGGATCCGAGTCAACTGTGTCAGCCCTGGGTTCGTGCGCACACAGATGACGACTTATTACGTTGAGCGGGACCGTGAAGAGTGGGAGAGGAAGATGCGGTATTATGGTGGGATGCCTCGATTGGCGGACCCACGAGAGCTCGGTGGTGCATATGTTTACTTGCTGAGCGATGGTGCCAGTTATACTTCGGGAATAGACATTCCTATCGCTGGGGTTGTGGGGGCTTGGTGAAGAGGGTTTATTTGCAAAGAGTTGGCGGTCACAGAACATTTCTCGTATAACCACCTGTTGTGTCTGCACAGCGCGCATGCTAGAGTACCAGTCTCGCATCACTTTTGGAGGTGTTGCATGTACTATTCATTCTCGGATAATTGACATTGAGCCCTCTGCCAAGCTCTTGTCTCTGCGCTCTGGCCTAATTCTCCTTTGCACTAACTCTAGTCTATGTACTTAGGAGCGCACATTGACGTTGACCTTCACCTTCACCAACTTCTGTTTTCTTTGCTTCACTTGGGAGGGACTGGTGAAAGAAGTCATGTTTGTAGGCAGGAGGGTTGCCAAATGTTGCGTGGACCTCATCACGCCTTCACAAAAGCAATGGTAGACAACTTCCCGCTAGATGCGGTAAGGGTTGTGCCTGGTGTGGTACGATAGAATCCACGTCTAAGCGCGGCCCTTCCTAACCGTGCAGAGATTTTGTGACCCAGGAAGCGAGATCTATATTGCGGGGGTATAGCACCTCGACAATTGCAATCGTCGCAGTCTGTGAGACAGTGACATGTGCCTCGTGTCTAGACTTTGGAATGACCTGTTAGGGACATAGGGACCGAGGGCTGCCAGAAGATATGGCGCAAGTTCGCTGTGCCATGCTAGCCTGAACCCTATTTTCACCCGCATCTGAGTGCTTCTCGTAAACTTGAGCATCAAGCTCGTTCTGGAACTAGCAAATGGTTGGTCCCCATATTGTGTTCCGGTGGACATGTCGAGTCGCTCATGGTAGTGCGAAGTGTGGACCTCGTTATACTTGCCCATCTTGACGACAGGCATTAGATCAGGCTCTAGCACCTATGACCGGTGCTAAAACATCAGCACTTTGAGGCTGAACCACCTGTCTTTGACCAGGAAGGTGTGACACCATGTCGTCTTGTCGCTGTAGGATGCTTGGAGCCTCTAGCTCTGGACGACTACCTACACAGTAGAGACAGTGCAAAGCGCATTGCATAGTTCTCGGTCATGGCTTCGTTGATGGCTATGACTAGCAATTGGTGAAGATGATGGGCGATCACAGTGCCTTTCAGCCTGCATCACCTCGATACCCAAGCCAATCCGCATGTGCTCCGGTCGAACTGGCAGAATGCAAGGTCGGCACTCTCGCCTCATCAAATCGAGTGATGTTCTGAATTGAGGCATCCATTACCTTGGAGAAAGACGCGTTCATCTGAGAGGCAGGACGTAGTCGAGGATAATTGAATGAGTCGAAGACGTCGAGATATTCGAGCTCATTGAGGCTAGTCAGTCGAGTTGACGTGGGACTCAGAACAGACCGTGGCCGTTGAGAGACAAGCTGGTTGAGCTCATACGCTAGACTCCTCATAGCTGTAAATGACCTTACCTGTTGTGGTTGATGTGTTCCAGAATGTGTCTCTCGTGCCTTTTGTCCTTCGTTGACGAGGCGATCAAGAATCTTCGCGTATCGTCCTGCGACTTCCCAATAGTGGCCCATTTGTTCGAGAGTGGATATGAAGAAGGCAATTTTCTCCAGATCGACTGTGCTTTCGGTAGCTGCAGCATGAACTAACAAAACCCGTGCGGCTGCCCAGAGAGAAAAGGCGAAGGGAGGGCCTAGTAAGTCGAGTCCATTTGAATCCATGACATCTTGTGCAATCGCTCGCAGACTTTCTACTGCTGCTAGACATCGATGCATTGCTTGTTGAGAAGGCATGAAGACACTGGAGCAGACAATAGGATATCCGGCCGCTGAGTGAAGTCGAATAATTGAGGTAACGAAGGCAGCGTGAAGCATAATCCAATTCGCAATTTTGCTGGCAGGATCTGAATGACAAAGCTGAGAGATGCGTCCATAGTCGCCTGGTAGTTGCGCCAGGAATGAATTCAGGTCGGAATCAAGCTCCACATATGTGTTTCTCCATTGCTGTACCTCAGCATGGCTTGTGATATCGACTGGCCGGTTGAGAAATTTGTGTATGCGACTAAGTATGCGGAGCACCTCACAGTGATATGCGAAACTGCCGAGATTGTCGGGATGATTCATAACTGTTTCTGTCGCCTCTGGCCACCGGAACCATTTTGTCTCTACAGGTTCGTTCTGTGAGAACAAATCATATGAACAGGGCAGAGGACGATCGACCTCACTATCATCAAGCGTGAAATTGAAAGACGTAGAGACAGTCGTGTATCGGTCAAGAACGTATACCATCCACAGCAATCTACGTCGTGCTTCGTTCTCGGTCCATGATGCTGGTTGAGATACTGCAAATGCCTGTAAGCAGCTTATCGACGGATATGGTGTGGCGGCAAGATATACACTCTTCTCCACATTCAAGCCCAGCTGAACAACATTCCGAGCAATCAAAGCCAGCAAATTCCAACCTTGGGGTCCGTTAGATGTTCCTAAAATGTCGATAGCAAGAATGACGAGAGCCTGGAGCGCGCGAATATTTGGATTCTCAAGTCCGTAGAGCTGTACTTTCTGCTTTGAAATATCATGATAGCGCCTTCTCGATGGACGTGTCAAACGTGGATCCCTAGAAAATCGAAGAGTTACCGCGACTATGGCATGAAGCAATATTCGATCTGGTTCCTCAAGGACAGCGCGACCGAAGAGTGTGTCGAAAGTGTTTTTGCGATCCAAAATAGGTGACCATGTCGCAACATGCTTGAAATAAAGGTCGACCAAGGAGTATAACAGATCGTAAGGTGGGAGCTCGGATTCTGAATCGGCTTGGCGACCATGGAATTGGAATTGTTGTGACTGTGAGGGAGTATCGCTTCCATCTCCTGCAAGCGATCGCACCGAAACAGTGTCAGATGGTCGTCCGTAATTGCTCTCTTGTCGCGACACTCCTGGTCTCCACGATGGAATTGGTGTAGGTGTGGATCTCGGATCTCCATCAATAATGGACGTTGCGCGAAATCGTCCTTGAGACCAGGCTGGTGACTGTAGCTGTTCTTGAACTTTGGCGACATGATCTCCTGCAATGTGGTCTTCAACCCTAGCACCTAACAGTTGAAGCATAGCCTCCATCCGGTTGACCTTTTCCTCAAGGTCTATTTCATAGGTTGCGCGAACACCAGGACGTTTCCGCTCCCTGTATACGCAAAGCCTTCCGTGACTAGAACACCAGCCGCAAGCAGGTTCTTCCTATATCATGTCAACATAACAAACGTCAGCCTTTAAGCACCATGTCGTGCATACCTTGTCGCATTTCACCTTCCTCGCTTTACATAATTCGCAGCTGTCCAAATTTATCAGCAACCTTGCCAAATTGTCCAGATGCAGCGCCATACGAGATTTTCATCGACCTTTTACGCTTCTTGTTCTGCGCATCATAGTCTCGTCCCTCATCACCACTGGAGTCCGCATCGCTTCCCGATTGCGATGCACGATCCACATCTCCGAGTCTATTGTGAGGAGGCAGAATCTGCGTGGGCAATCGCTCACCCACCACATCTGTCAACATCGTTCACAACCTCGCTCGAAACAGGAGCTTGCTCAAGAAGGCGAAGAGAGGTTGGAGGTCAACACCAAGAAAGAGATCGTGGCATGGATCCTCCTAAATGAGTGAATGGCCAATCCTGTGCATCCGCTGTAGCCGAAACAAAGCCTAGCTCCATCAACTTTGCTGCTGCACGATCGAGACCGTGGAGTGGCGGCTGAAGGGCAAATCTCTACACTAAGCAGACCAACAGCTGTTGCGAACAGGAGCAGGGAACAGCGTGTTATTGGTACACAATGCATACTGCAATTACTGGCTTGCATATGAATCTGTGAGTCTTCGGTTTAAACTCCTGGAACTTAATATGGCCATCAAGGTTCCTTCGAAAAGGCAGAAAGAGCGAGCCGCGAGCAACATCCTATTGCGGCCAGTGCCACACTATTGCGACCCGCGTTTGCGGGGTTACTCTCTACGAATTGAAGCCAACATGGAGTCAAGTTTCACGATACAATTGCATCCTACAGCTTTTTCTCAAACATCACGTGAAGTTCAACTGCGCCGGCGCTGCCATAGTGGCAGCGAGTTCCTGCCTTGATACGTGTAACGCCTGCATTCTCGTGCTTGCAATGAACATGTTCATAAATCAGCTAGCCCAGCCCTTGCACATCTGCACAGCCTTCTCCCACTTTGCAAACTTGCCGTCTCTTTCTTCTGCAGAGATCTTAGGCTTGAAGGTAGTCTTGCCTTCGCTGTTGACATCTTTGAAATCATCCAAGCTGTTCCATACGCCGACTGCTAGACCAGCAGCGATAGCGGCTCCTAGGGCAGTAGTCTCACGCATGGCTGGCCTGACTACAGGAATACCAATCAGGTCAGATTGTGTCTGCATCGTCAGGTCCGAGTTACACATGCCGCCATCGACTGCCAACTCCTTCAGATCGTAGCCAGAATCCTTGCCCATAGACTCAAGGATTGCTTTGGTTTGGAAGCAAGTAGCTTCTAGAGTTGCTCGGGCAATGTGGCCCTTTTTAGTGTATGCGGTGATGCCGAAGATTGTGCCTCTAGCATCGTCAATCCAATATGGCGCGAAAAGACCTGAGAAGGCAGTGACGAAGGTGACGCCACCGTTATCCTCAACAGTCTCGGCTAGTTGACTGACCTGGGCTGATGACTCAATGAACTCAAGGTTGTTTTGCAGAAACTTGATGGAAGATCCAGCCACAGCGATACTGCCTTCCAAGGCATAGTTTGGTTTCATGTTGTGGAAGTCGTACGCAACAGTAGTCAAAAGTCCATGCGTGGAGACAACTGGCTTTTCGCCGACATTCATAAGCAAGAAGCAGCCAGTACCGTAGGTATTCTTTGCCAGACCAGGCGCGAATCCTTTCTGGCCGACCAGAGCAGCCGACTGGTCACCAAGACAACCAGTGATTGCGATTCCTGACAGTACAGTAGATGCTAATGTGCCATAGGCCTTAGGATCTGAGGATTGCACAATCTTGGGCAGCTTGAGCTTTGAGGTGTCCAGCCGGAAGAAGTCCAACAGAGAATCTGAGTAGTTCAAGGTCTTCAGGTCCATGAACATTGTTCTGGAGGCATTAGACGGATCTGATACAAAGATGTTCCTCTTTGGGCCTCCATTGAGCTTGTAAACCAGCCAGGCATCGATAGTGCCAAAGGCAAGGTTGCCTTTGTCGTAGCACTGCTTCACAGCCTGAACATTCTCCATCAGCCAGAGTAGCTTGCTGACGGAGGGGTAGGTGGACAGTGGAACACCGCATATCTTTTGCAGCTCATCGGCCCCGAGTCTCTGCTTAATCTTTCGGACCAACGTCTGAGACCGCGTGTCTGTCCAGACAATGGCATTGTGCAAAGGCTCTCCAGTTGTAGAATCCCAGACCACGGTAGTCTCTCTTTGATTTGTGATACCAACAGCTTTGATGCTCTTGGCGGAGTGTCCTTGGTTCTCAAACTGTGCTACAGCTTCGTCTATACATTTCTCGACAGATTGTACAATCTCGTTGGGGTCGTGTTCGTGCCAGCTACAAGCCTTGTTAGCTAGCCCAGTACCTAGGACAAGTTCTAACTTACCCTGGCTGCGGATATATCTGCTTGAACTCGATCTGATGTGATGCCACGGGCTCACCAGACTTGTTGAAGATCAGGAAGCGCGAAGAGGTCGTGCCTTGGTCGATTGACCCTACGAACGATTCTTGTTGTGGTACCATGGTGAGGGATGTGCTTGCAAGCTGTTGTGTCAGGCTCTGAATGCGATGCATACAATGGAGTTGTAGCAAGGAAGAGTGTCTTATAAGACAAAGCAGAGACGAGTTAGACGAGCTACAAGCTCTCTCTTTGGTACCTCTCGGTCAGACCCCATGCCATGTGCATTGGATTGCTGGAGACGCACATGGAGAGCACCGCGGGGTCGCTCCAGGGGTCTCCATGGTTTAATTGGATCGTTCACGCTTTTTCGGTATATTCGGTGTTCGAAGAAGCATGGCAATGGGCCCCGCAAGTCGAGGCACGAGGTTACATGCACGATTACCTCGACTGGGGAAGCTTCGAAGAAGCCCAGCTTTGTAGATGCGGGCGAAACCGCATCACGTGAGACAGATCGGTCTTTCGCCGCGGTCGCAACAATTCACACTCCGCCTCCAACTTTCAAACTACGTATGTTCGAAAACTCGGTGTTGAATGTCCGTGCGATACCGAGCTATGTACTATGTACTCACGGACTACTACGCCCAAGCAAGATGGTTCGTCTTTGTTGACACGCAAAGGCCCGCCACAAGTCATCGGAACCACTGGTTTGGCAGACCTGTCGTGTGATTGAAGAAACAAAATAGCGCTATTGTGTGAACTTCAAAAGCAGCCCCGTTGTTGCCAAGTCATGACTCGAACTGTTCAATGCCTGGTGTCTCGGCTGACAGTATGAATGTCTAGACAGTTCGCGGCGTTGTTGTGCCGAATTTGCTTGAGTTGCTGTCATGCAGGTACAAAGGCCAAATGAACCCGAACACCTGGGACCCTATTTGTATGTACGCCGTCAATGTGCTGTAGCTAGATCTTAACTTCCCTTCTTATCACTGCTGAACACCGACATGGAGCCGCTTGCATACGCTCGGCCTGTATGGCCGGACACAGTCATATCAATGCAGTTTCTCTACGAGTGAAACCCTTGGCTATCCGAGTCCGGAGCGGCATTGACCGCGAGAAACAGTGCTGTGTGACAATTCCATATGCCCGGTTGACCATACCGTTCCATCGGTGGTCTGTGTTTCGCAAGTCGCAGGTCGCGAGGATTCGCCTATGTGTCATGTCTGTTGGTGGGCTCCGCATGGTCTTCCAGAACTTATGCATTATCTGGAGACCTCAGTGAGAAGACAGGCACGTGTTTTCCGCACTCGTGTATGTGTTGTCCTGGATGGTATAAGTACGGCCTTGCTGCTTAGCTGGTATCTCATCTTTGTCCATTTGTGCTTCATCACAAAGAATACGATAACCGGCTGCAAGCGTCACTCGATCCTTTGTGGTAGTGGGTATCGCACAACAACACATTAGCCATCAAGAACATACGAGCATTGCAGCCTCACCTCCATCATTGGCTATGGCTGAACACAAGTCTGGATTAGAGCAACCACATGCTGAGCATGGTGCGCCTATCGATCACGTTGGTCCACAAGAAGAAGTCGTTCAGGCACAACCAGATCTGTTGTGGAGCAGGATACGACACACCCTTCGCGAGCCGTTCTCCGAGTTCTTCGGTTAGTCTCCTGTGCCTGTCTCATGCACATACTGCCCAACGAGCTGGCAATACTAACACAAGCATAAGGCACCTTCATTCTTCTGATGTTCGGCGATGGAGTCGTAGCACAAGTCGTACTCAGTGAAGGGAAAAATGGTGAATATCAGTCCATCACTTGGGGCTGGGGCTTGGGTGTGATGCTAGGTGTTTATTGCTCGGGTATATCGGTTCGTACTATCCTTTGCGTCAGGAGATTGGTTGACTGACACTCCTCAGGGAGCCCATCTGAATCCAGCTGTAACCTTTGCGAACTGCTTGTTCAGGAAGTTCCCGTGGCGAAAGGTATGTCAGTAATCAACACATCACACCGGTCTCTAACGTCTTATTAGTTGCCAATCTATATGCTTGCTCAAGTGCTTGGTGCAATGACAGCTTCAGGTAAGCATACATGTTCTCTGATGTGTAGCCATTACTGACACGGGTAGCGGTCGTATACGCCAATTACAAGTCAGCTATCGACGTCTTCGAAGGTGGTAGTGGCATCCGAACAGTTCCTGGGTACTCGGACACAGCGACTGCAGGAATATTCTGTACCTACCCAGCACCTTTCATGACCAAAACAGGCATGTTCTTCTCCGAGTTTATTGCGAGTGCGTTGCTTATGTTCCTGATATACGCTTTGAAAGACGAAGGAAATATCGGGGCTGGTCCATTAACACCCTTGGGCTTGTTCTTCATCATCTTCGGAATTGGCGCCTGTTTCGGTTGGGAGACGGGATATGCTATCAACCTGGCAAGGGACTTTGGTCCGCGACTCGTCAGCTATATGCTCGGATATGGTCACGAGGTCTGGGCAGCTGGCGGATATTATTTCTGGGTTCCGATGGTGTCACCTTTTTTCGGCTGCGCATTCGGCGCATGGCTATACGATGTCTTCTTGTTCACTGGGGCGTCACCAATCAACACACCAGCCATGGGCTTGATGAGGCTTACACAGCCGAGAAAAAGTGTTTGGAGCAACAGCGAGCGTGTCCAGGTTTGAAGTGGTTCCAAATATCCTAACATTTATCATGAGGTATCAAGGGCAGTATTCTCGTTCTTCACTTGTAACACTCGCTCTACACAGACATGTATGCCTGCGCTCGGGCAAGTATGTAGCATAACTAATGGAGGTCACTTGTCGTCCTCCTGTTGTTTTATTCAGTTGGGCGTCGAAATGGCTTTTTCTCAGTTACTCGTACACGATCTTCTTTGGTCCGTCGAAATGTATACCTGAATTTCGAAGTCAGCGCCAGAGTAAATCAATCGTTTTATCGGAGTGGCACAGCTAAGGACTGTACGAGAAGGGTTGTTGGGAGTACGAAATATAGGGCAAAGCCAGATCAATGCACATATTTTGTGCAGAGCATTTGATGGGAATATCAAACTTTCAGTAGTTCTGACATTCTTCAGTTGCCTCGCAAGAACTTCGCGAGTAGTAAGCATGTCAGTCAGCTGGGCATCGCCATCAAGGAGTGCTCGCGTGTACAGGACTTCTTGGACGCAAGCAAGAATCAAGGCGCATGCAGCATGGCGTGCTCCGGAGAACCGTATACTGGTTACTAACCACAAACGGATTTGTGAAAGCTTGTCTTGAGAATACCAAGCTTGTGCTTGGAGCTCCCAGCACGCGCCTCTCTTCGTAGGACAATCTCTGCATTATCAGGACTCAATCAGTGATTGTTCTTGCCTTTCAATGCTGACCATTGCAAGATTGGACGTTCCATATCTCTAAACGACTTCCTGCACCATGAAAGATTCGAACGAATCACGTTTGACGAAACACCGTTCAATTCCAGTTCAATCCGGGGTTCGATCACCACTCGCCCAGAATCGTACGGATAGCGGCCCCTAACATTCACGCTAGATCCGAAAAGGGAAGCTCGCAAGAAGGTTGTCAACGACAAGATCTGGCAGACGTTGCATTGCGAAACGATTGTGACACTTCGGACTCGCCGTCCGACATCATTGCCATCATGATGGGGATGCACTTGACCACGACTTCCTGGGCACGAAAAGGTGATTCGTGGATCAACATCGAAGCAATAGTGAAGCTTCACAAGCTCAATCCACTTCTTATCTTATTTCATCTTCTGACTGCTACAAATTACCCTGTCCAGCATTCCACAATTCTGGCGACGATCGCTATCAGTGCGCCAGAGACCATGTGTACATGTACAAAAAGAGATGCAGCAGATCTCGTGCATAGCTTCATCTCCTTCCTTCGTAGTAGGACTTTACTGACTCTAGGCTGACAATTCTCACCATGCGCCTGTCATCACTTGTTTGTCTGTCGCTCGCATCTGCAGCCCTTGCATACAACAAAGCTGCCGTGGATGCCTTCAAGCGTCCTGCGAAGAAGAGAGCAGAGATTATCAAGAAGCACGGACACGCTGCTCATCCTGCCTTGCCACAAAAAAGGTCACTCGAGGCACGTCAGTCGTCACGTTTCCTGAACAATGCCACACAAAAGTTCGTGGTGAATGGTTCGGCCATTCCCGATGTCAACTTTGACATTGGTGAATCATATGCTGGCCTGCTACCTATCTCCGACAACCCAAATGAATCCCGTCAGTTATACTTCTGGTTCGTTCCTTCGATCAACCCAGCTGCTTCTGACGAGATTACAATTTGGTTCAACGGTGGCCCAGGATGTAGCTCCTTGAGTGGTCTGCTGACTGAGAACGGACCTTTCCTCTGGCAAGCAGGGACATTGGCTCCAACACCAAACTCGTACTCATGGTCCAACCTGACCAACATGCTATGGGTCGAGCAGCCTGTCGGTGTTGGCTACTCACAGGGAAATCCCAACATTACAAATGAGGTCGAGCTAGGACTGCAGTTCACCGGCTTCTACAAGCAATTCGTCGACGCTTTTCAGGTCCATGGTAGCAAGGTATACCTCACTGGAGAAAGTTATGCCGGCATGTATGTGCCGTATATTGCCGATGCTTTTATTACAGCCAACGACACCGACTATTACAACTTGAGCGGTATTGCAATAAACGTAGGTACATACACCGACGGATATTGAGGAGAGTGTTTCTGACACATTCGCAGGACCCTATCATAGGCGATGCTACCATTCAACAACAGGTCGTCATATTGCCATTTGTGGAATATTGGTCCAACCTATTCTACCTCAATGAGACCTTCATGAGTGACCTGCGTGACCTGAATCAATACTGCAATTACACTCAATACATGGAGAAGTACTATACCTTCCCGCCTCCGCAGGAATCTTTCCCAGTCCTACCAGATCCATACGCAACGGAGAACGGATGTTACCTCTTTGATTACGTCCTGGAGGCAGCTATAGCGGTCAATCCGTGCTTCGATCTTTACCACATCACCGCCACCTGCCCATTCGCCGTCAGTCAGCTAGGCATTGTCAATCCAGGCGACTACGAGCCACCGGGCGCACAAGTTTACTTCAACCGGACCGACGTACAGAAGGCCATCAATGCGCCAGTCGGAACAAATTGGGTAAGTCCACAATCAGGGTCGAGGATTATCGATCAGGTTCGAATGCTAATTCTTCCGGCAGATGCAATGCACAGACAAAAACGTTTTCAATTATGGCTACGTTAACAACTATACCATCGGCGACACATCACTTGGCCCAGCTCAAGATGGTGTACTCCAACGAGTAGTTGAACACACCGGAAACGTCATGATAGGGTCCGGAAACCTCGACTTACTTCTCAACCCCAATGGCACAGTCTTTGCTCTTCAGAACATGACGTGGAACGGTGCCAAGGGATTTCAGCAGGACCCTATGAAAGCCAACCAGTTTTACGTGCCATACCATCCTGAGTACAACGGTGGTCGCCTGTCAGAAGCTGGCTACGTTGGAACTTGGGGAGAAGAGCGAGGTTTATTGTTCTACACAGTACAGCTTTCTGGTCATGAATTGCCAGGTTATGCCGCTGGTTCGGGCTATAGGGTTCTGGAGAAGCTGCTCGGCAGAGTCTCCAACCTAGCAGAAGTGAGTGACTTTACAACTCAGCGTGGTGGTAACTACCAAGCCATGGGAACCTCCTCGCTCATTCCCAGTGCGAGTGCAGCTGAAAAGAACATGCTGCCTGTAGGTGCTATGGCGCATCTTCAGCGGTGAGCTCGTTAGATAAGGTTTTAGCACAATGAGACAAAGGTAATAATCAGTGATGTTCTTGATCGTGTGCGGTATGAATGCAAGAACGAATAGTGGTCATCTAAGACATCCGTGTCATGATCAATATATCTGCTCAAAGCGTGCTCTGGTATTGTTACGGCACCAAACTTATCTGAGACTAGCCCGCGTTTCGGGCTGGTTGAAATTCCGGGATAACGGGCCATTACCTCTATCTCTTTTACGTCAATACTATGTTTACTCGTACTTCTTCGGTCACTGGCAGTGCAATGCTCCTTGCCAGCCCGCGAGTTGTCATGGCACGTCACATGAGCTACTGAAGACTTGTAATTTCAGCGATAAACGTGTATACCAACACCTACATCATACGATCTCTTGCAAAACGTCACGTGCTCCTTACAGCAACTATATTGCCAGCACCAACACGAGGGAACAAGCTCCTGAGTCTTGGCAGAAGCATCGGGCTAAGTCCATACACCTCGACCTTACCAACACACCGCAACATCACGCTAGAACAGCCACAATGAGCAGCCTCCTAGACCTCCCAGCAGAGATCCGCATAAACATCTACCAGCACATCTTCGCCGACGCTAAACTAACCCTCCACGACTCCCACTGCTCCCTGACAACAGGCTTCGGCCGCAAAAGAAGCAACATCTTCCAACGGCGGAATATTCACACCAATATCCTCCTAACATGCAAGACATGCTTCGACGAAGGCCAAAAGGTCTTCTACGATAATCTTGTCCTGAGCCAGGAACATGGGCAATACAGCAGTATCTGGAATTTCGTGTCTTGTTTGACGCGAGCAAATGTCAAGGTTATACAGAATGTTATGCTGGACCAGCTTCGTGTCGAGCAGTTTCCGAGTTTGCGGACGTTGCTGTATAGCCAGACGTTGTATGTGGCTGTGGATGAGGAGAGTGGTTCGGAGGATTCGGAGTGTGAGCCGAAAGACCTCTTTAGCGGAACAGTTCGTGGCGATGGAATTTTGTACGATGTGTATGCGGCGAGGAAGTATTGTAGATATCGAGTTGCGGAGGCTATTGAGGCTCGGCAGATTGATATGCTGGCGGAAGTGTGTCTGATAGCCTGCAACGCGGACAGTCATCATGCTTCGGCGTATGGGTATCGCTCTTCGGCATTCAATATTATTACACATCTGTCTAGTTGTCCGGCGGAGCATGTTGAGATGGTATGTTCTATAATCGCTTGACGATAATGTTCTGTGGATACAGGTCAGCTGACAGTGTGCCACAGGGACACATCTACCTTGACTTCAACAAATCTAGAGGTTTCCTGGACAAGCACGGGAAGCAGGGACGAGATCTAAGCCTGCGGAGGCTATCGCAAAGTGAGTGAGAACACGAGTTGCATCTTAGGACAACGAACATGTCAACTCGCCACGAGCTGGTCCGACTCGAGCTGTTTTGCAACTGCTGTTGTGTCATAAGCTATCAGCGCTATGAGCGAATACCAGAAGTCCTCCACAGTCCTTACTGACCCCTGGCCGTTCTGCTGTTCGAGAAACCAGGATTCTGTCCACAGTATGGTGGCCAAGCACCAAGCACCAAGCACAGCTGGCAGCTTCTGAGCTGTCCTCCCAGATAATGGTTGCGTTGCAATCTGAGCGGCTTATGATGTCCATTGCTGTCCAGGCTGATGTTTTCAAGCCACGCAGGTTCTCCATCTGCCATCGCAGCTACCAGCACAAACCGTTCCTTCCGTCATTCACACCAGAAACCAAACGACCACTACGGCTTCTTCGGTCGAATGCGTTCATAGCTAGGGGCATGTTTGACTTTATGATGACCCTGACCATATTCGCGGTTAGTGCCATATGGCGGATACTTGGATCCTGACTGGTAGCCACCAGAAGACGAGTAGGATCCTTGATACGAATTTGGGCCGGAGAAGTACGCGCCTGAATTGGACGTCGACCCCTTGCCGTTGTGGTCGTTGCTAGACATTGTGGGTGTTAATGTCGAAAGTGCTTACGATATGTATGGATTGTGATGGGGTTTCTGACTTAGTTGAGATTATTTGCGGATGTGTTACTCTCTGAACAGGTGAAGGATCTAGGAGAGAGGAAGGTCTTATTTATGGTGGTTCATGCGTAGAGCAAAACGCCAGTAAGGGCTTGTGGTGAGTCGACTGACAATAAATGACAGTGTCATTGCCTCAGCTGTTGGAGGATGGAAAGCATTTGTTTGCTTGCGTGGACAGAAGTGTATCCACACCACACATTCCACCACGTACATAGACAAGGTAACCCCTTGGTATTGAGTCTTCAAAGAATTCGAGTCATCATTACGCAACGTCAAATGCTCTGGTTCTACCATTGGTGCACGTCTATAGGTATTCTACTTTGCTTCGCAGCTTTCAATCTCCGATTTCTTTCTTCGGGCAGTCTCGCGTATGCATCTGTGAACTTCTCAAATACTGATGACTGCGTCGCCGCCGAGGACACAAGAGTCGGTGGATGTTCTGGAGCTGTGACTGTATTTGCTGCTATGCATGGTCGGACTTGGACACGTGCGTGGCCATCAGATCTACGTACATCGTTCTCTGTGTCAGTCATTGTCTCCATTCGATCCTGTGAGAGCTGGACAGGTTGCAACCCAGGTGATGCCGCGCCATCTTCACGGCTGGACAGCAGCCATTTTTGAACCTTGGACGAGGAAGTCAGCTCGATACGCGATGGTGCTTCGGGGTCGACGGCAGGTCGCATTGGAGAAGATGTAGGCTGTTTTTCCGATGTACTTTTCCAAGGAAGAATACGTCGCTTCTTCTCGTGATTGGCGTCGACGATTACTGTGGCATGCGCGGAGCTATGCTGCTGCTCACGACCCCCTGGGCCAGCTGATGTCAGCGGTGAGTTGGCTGGTGCTTTATCGGCTTCAAGTGATCTTTCCTCTGTGGGTCCTGGCTCTGGTTGATCGATGTCAGAATCAGCCCGATGAACTTCCAACGGTGAGTCAGTAGAAAAACGTACCGCAACATTGTTCTCGTCATTCTTGCTGCTAATACTGTAGGAAGGTCGACTTGAAGTGCTGCGACAACCGGGTTTTGCTGTGAAGTGACCACTTTCCAGTAAATCCAGAACATTCTCAGTCACGATTCCCTTACTACGTTCGGGCCCTCTCACGTCCGTGTGGTAGTAGTCTTGATAGGCAACGACGTTTTCATTGTCATCTAAACGTCTTTGTACGTAGGCTTTGTACTCGCCCGCGTATCTATAGACAAAGTCGTCCCAGAGGTAGGGATGTGGCTCTCGTTGGGCTGATCGGAGTTTCAGCAGAGTCCGCAGGGTCTGCATGAAACATTTCTCATCACCAGGGTATGTTTTGTAGACGTGCTTGTACCTCGTGAAAACGGAGCCGCTATCCTGATTGTTTAGGCTGGGTAGTGAGGGACGTGATTGACGACTGCTTACTGGGTGTTCCTCAGCCGTTGACTCGTGATGCTGTGTGCCCGTGTTTGGGTTGTTATATGCCTCCATGCCTCCTGCACGACCGTGCTTGGCGAGCAACGGAGGTGCAGTGCTCGATCTGGAAGCCATTTTGATAGTGTTTCCTGCTTTTTGATGAGTTTCCTGGTGTGTGGTTGGCCGCCTGGAGGACGTGCTTTGTCGGTGCATCCGTCTAAACAAAATCCGCTCCTGATCTAGTCCTGCGTATGCAGGATCAACGTATGCTATTTTGGGCCGCTTTGCCACGGGCTGTCCTGATGCGTCACGCTCGATGCTACTAGCTGGAGTGCTTGTGACAGAAATCGATTGCACGTCCTTCGACCTGTTCACGTCTGCAGACAATTGCCAATGCACAGTTTGTGCTGCAGGTTGTGCGGTGTGACAGACTTCACGATCTTGTCTTGGAGTGTGAACTGCTAAAGGCTGAGATGAGTAGGAAGTGCAAGATTCGACGGTAGGTCGGAGATAGTGTTGCTTGTGCGTCGGTCGTTGATTAGTGTGCTGTTCTTCAGTGGTCGTCGGCAGACTTGCGTCAGGATAGGTCGCACCCACGAAGGTTGAATGGGGATACTCCTTCGGGGTGCTAATATGTTCTCCCGATGTTGTTGCAGCTTTCGGGTGGTAGGGCGTATGCTTGACTTGAACATAGGACTTCCGCTTAAAAGAAGTCGGCCGTGAAAAAGCTTGTGCGACAGACTTGCTAGAACTACTAGCGTAAGAGGCGAAAGACTGGTCCTGAGAAAGGGAAGGATCGTCCGCGGAGGCAGCTTTCGTGGTCTCGAGACGGGTCGACACTGCCGGTGGCTCGGTGTGCATGGAAAACTGTTGCGATTTGGTTAATGTGTCCCCAGCACTAGTAGGTTCGCAATGGGCACGACCATTGTGTTGATTCAGGGGAGGAGATTGTCGTCGGTGGTGTCGTTCAGGCGGACTGAGACTCCACTGCGTTGGGTTGACCGTCTCTTCGTCAGATTCAACGCTGGCAGGACTCCCGGTTGAGTCAGAGGAAGCCTGGGTCGAGTCAGGGACGTCTCTCAGTGTCTGGACTTGTGTGGGCTGAACGTCAACAGAAGCGACTACTGGCACAGCTTGGTCAGCCTCCTTAACCAAATTATCTAGTATGTCTGCAGGGAGGGTCCCAGGTCTTGCGGATAATCCAGCAAGAGGTGGCACCCAGGTCTCATCTCTGTCAAGGATTTCTCTCTGTCTTTTAGGTATGGATTTTGCCCAACGCAATGGCACAGACGGGTACCTTTTTGGTGGTTCACTTCTTATTTTTCTGATCCAGTCTAATAGAGTAAATGGTCCCTGAAGGTGATGCTGGGCAGACGAAGTCGAATTTGTTGCTGCTGCAGGGTCTTGCTCTTGAGCCTGAAAGATAGGTTGGCATTCAATCGACTGGTCGGAACTTGGTGGGCCATGGTCTTCGACTGGATCTCCGTGCTCACTGTTATCGTCACTATGTGATGGGAGGGCAGGCCCCATTGGCGTTGGCAGCAACTCGTCGTGGTTGTTGACTATGTCCTCGGCAAGTGGTGGCGTATCGGGTGGTAGTCGTTTAGCAGACTTGTCGGTCGTAGGGGCGTCCCACATTGAGCCATCTGAGCCGCTGGAGAATGGAGCTTGCGTGTAGAAAGCGACCTGGGATGTAATTTGAGACGAACAATCAGCCATAGCAGTAGTACCCCGTGCAGGCTCCGACCATGTGGTGCTCTAACGTAGTCAATAGACCCACATATAGCGCCCGCTGTATATGTTCAGGACACATGGTGCGACTACCAGATATCAGGCTGGAAACTTGCTGCACGAAATTGTGTTCGTTTGGGAAGTAGGTGATGCGACGCGTCTCGGCCAAGACGTGTTTAGAGCTGCGGGGAGGAAGGCGCGACTTTCCAGATTCGACCATGACGCTATGCACGGCTCCTGCCAATCGAAGCCTTGTTCATTGCACCTGTATACACATTCTATAGCCTGCACGTTCCAACCAGTGAAGACCACTCAAGATAGCGTCAGTCAGGCCTTTTCGACGTATCTGCACACTGCTTTCACCGAGCGCGGCTGACCGAGACCCTCGCTTTTCATCGAACATGTCACCTGGAATTCAGTGACGATTTAAATCGACGAAAGAAAATGGCTTGCTGGTAGACGAAGCATGGCATTCAGACTGACCAGCTTCTGGCTGTTTGGGCCTCTCCTCGTCTTCCTTCGACATGCCTTCAGATAGCACCTCCACCTCCATCTTCTCGCCTCCTCAGAACACGAGTCCTCGCCGAGCTCGTGGAGAGTCAAGAGCATCTCTCGCTAGCAATGCAGCCACTCGTTCTATTAGCCACCCGGCTAATGAACATGCCGTTCCAACGTCTGTAGTCCAGGACCTCACGAGCTTCAGCGATTTGACCGAGCCTCCTCCAAGCACATCTCAGCCAGAGAATAAAGGGTTGACTGGTGATATTCAGGGTGGCCTGTCCGGGTTATACAGCAAGTTTAAGGCTACTGTCGGAGGCGTGAAAGATTCGGATAGAACGATCGCTACAACGCCAACCATTCACACCACCCCAGGCACCAATACAAGCACAACCTCTGGAATGACTTCTCTGGTTCAGTCATCCCATGTGCTTGCTTCTGATACTGCCAACAAAATGGAACTATCCATGTCTAGGTTTAATCCTAAAGCCGGCAAGCTAGCTATGTCTTCTCCTGGCCTCCGTTCGCCCAATGCTGCAACTATGCCTGCTAATCTGGCCGATCCTGCTCTGACCGAGCTCACGATCCACGCCACGAGCAATGTAAGGTCCCATTCTCGCGCTGGCTCCTCTCAAGGTCTTGATGACTCCCATCACTCTGACCGTTCCGTCCTGAGTCCTTCTGACGAGCAGAATCTTCGAAAGGTACTTTCTAAGATAGATCACGACTCCCGTTCTGCTCTTCCGAGACACGAGCGGCAGCCACCTTCCTTGACACGCATTGATACTAAAATCTCAACTCATTCCAGGAATAATTCCGAGGTTCCTGCACAGATCCAGAAACCCAAAGACATTTCGAAAAGTCATCATGTCCCACAAACTGCCACCAAGGACGACCCTCTGATCAATGTTGTTCCCGTCCAGCACGAATCCCCCATTGATCGTCGTTCTACGCTCAGCCCTCTGGATCTTCTCGCAGATCACGATTCTGGCTATCAAATCACTGACTCCGTCACCACCCGACGAGCTGTATCACCTACTTCTCAATCAAAGATCTCTGCTCCAAGACCTGCTCATAAAGTCAGTCATTCGAAACTGCCTGGCTTTCAGGGCTCTCGAGCATCTTCCACAGATTCTGGTCGCACTTCTGGCATTCTCGCTGTCAATAAGGATACTCGGGCCATCCCAGAAGACGGCTATACGGAAGAGTACCAATATACACATTATCCTCGACCGTCAAGCAGACTCAGAAGTCGTCTCCTGGCTAGAGAATTCTGGATGAAAGACGAGAATGCCCGTGACTGCTTTCGCTGTGGCGAACTTTTTACTACCTTCCGTCGGAAACACCACTGTCGGATTTGTGGTCAGATCTTCGATAATAAGTGTACCGCTCTGGTTTCAGGCACGTACTTTGATCTGCCTGGACCCATAAGGGTTTGCAAACCATGCGAGGCCATTATCACCTTCCACGACGACGACTCTTCTGACTATTCTGAAGACACTACAGCCGCTGACCTCTCAGCTAGGCCTCGTACGCCCGACCATAGTTTGGCGCGCTATGACGACGACAATGTGTCAATGGTCTCGCAGAGCTTGGAGCACATCTCGAGGACTCCCGTAATGAACTATCCTGTACGTCGTGCTTTTGACAAAAGCAATCGCTCCTCTGCGATATTCGAGTTTGACGCGCCGGATCGTGGCTTGCACAGACCGAGCTCTTCTCGTTCCCTGAGGACAGCACATGCTATGACTCACGGCCACAAGAGGCATCATTCAAAACACACCCACATTCGCAGCCTGAAACCCTATCACGAGGAGCGAGTGCCCTTTCAGAGGCAGAATTTGGACGACGTGAAGGGCCAGAGGACATCAGCCTTTCACCGCGATAGCGTGATAGACCCTGAGCTAGCACAGTATCTATCGGATGATGCTTCCAGTGACGATGAACCCATTTTACAGCCTTCCGCTTCTTCCGAAAAGCTTTCCAGAAGCGGTCCCGACAATGATAGAACGACCATCAGTAGTCTTCTAGCTGCTGTAAGGAAGGGTCGGTCTAGAATTGGTGATCGAAGTATTGCTGGCTTTCTCAATCTCAACGCTCGCGACGCTGATGATGCTGCAAGCCTGGTGAGTGCGCGAGCTATTGATGGATCCAAGCCTTCGCGTAAGAGGAATTTGAGTGTCGCAAGCAGTGTTCATACAAGACCTACGCCTCGTGCAACAAGGGAGCGTTTGCAGATTGCTCTGCCAGTTGGAGCTGAAGCCGATGCCACAACAACTACAATGTCTCGAGGCTCTCGTATGATAAGGAGTGCTTCAATGCATGGTCTAGGTGCACCTAAGATGGAGCTCAACCGTGCATCGTTACAGCATGTCCACAAAATGCTAAGGCAATTGCTCAACCGAAGGAAGATACAAAAGATCTCGAGTTGGGAGAATGCACTTATGCCTATCCTTCTGAGAGCAACTGACGACGTTGACCCTGATGTCCAAGGTGGTGATGATCTTGACATCAGGCATTACGTCAAGTTGAAGAAGATACCTGGTGGAAGGCCAATGGACACTTCGTACACCTCTGGATACATATTCAGCAAGAACGTCGCCCTGAAAAGCATGCAGCGCACTATTTTGAGGCCAAGAATTCTGATCATCACATTCCCCATTGAATACGCGAGGACAGAAGCACATTTTATGAGCCTTGATCCTGTCATCCGCCAGGAGAGGGAATATTTACAGAATCTTGTCTCCAGAATCGCAGCACTGAAGCCGGATGTGCTTTTAGCCCAGAGGAATATTTCAGGGCTTGCTCTAGAACTGCTTGACAAGGCCAACATTGCTGTTGTTTACAATGTCAAACCTTCGGTGCTCGAAGCCGTTTCCCGCTGTACTGATACAGCGCAATACAGCTCGATGGATAAGTTAGCCTTGCCTGCCGAAGAACTTGGCACATGCGAGCTCTTCGAAGTCAGGACCTATCTTACCAATGGACGGCGAAAAAATTACATATATCTTTCAGGGTGCGATCCCAAATTGGGGTGCACCATCGCACTGCGCGGTGCTCCTCGAGAGGTGCTGATCGGAATCAAAGAGATAGCAGACTTCATGATTTATGTCGTGTACAATCTTAAATTGGAGACATGCCTAATGCGCGACGAATGGGCATCCTTGCCTTTGAGCGATGAGTCAGGACGAAATCTTGGAACAACCAAAGTACGAAAACAATCTAGTCCTTCAAGAGTGTCAAACGAGAATACCGTTTCTAGCGATAATCAGATCCACGCACAAGGCGAACAGCCGTTCGATAAGGAAGCTGTTGGTCCTGAGCCAGAGAGTGAAATGAAGGTCAAGAAACGAAACCCGAACGAGAACCCGAAGAATGTCCCAACACCAAAGTTCTATCAGTACATGGCGGACGAAGACGAGGACAAAGTGCTATCATCATCGCCTTTTGTGAAATTCTCTCCACCTTACCTAAAGACACGTGCGCAAGAGTTGGAAAAACGTGTCAATTGGCTTCAGAAACTACGAAATCAAGATCTTTCGGACAGTGTCAGCCCCGAGGAGAAGGCGAAGCAGAAATTTACTCTTATTGTACCAGAGATGGTGCACAATCCCTTCAAAGGTGCAAGCCGAAAAGTGCGCGAGATTGTGCATGCAGTACACAACTCGGAATACGAGAAGGCACTAGATCATTACCACGCCCAACGCAAATTATGGGACACGCTCCGGGAAAACAATTTCTATCTCTTTCAACCGGAGGCTCACCAACAGATTGTTGTGCTTTTTAGCACGGTATCGACATTCACGCATGTACCCTGCCTAGGTCCCGAGATCTTAGCTTTCAATTACTACGATGACTCCGAAGCTAGCTCTAACACCCGAGTGGAGGCAGACTGCACATTAGGACAATACGTAGAAGATCTTTGCTATAGAGCCAACGATATTTGTCCTGCTCTAGAGTCGTGTGGAAAGAGGATGCACGAACATCAAAGGCAGTATGTCCATGGTGAAGCTCAAGTGACCGTATGTCTAGAGCCCTACCCACCAAAACTTCGTGGCATGCAAGACGTGATATTGATGTGGAGCACTTGCAAAATATGTGGTACGGAGACGACTGTCACACCTATGTCTCAGAGCACGTGGAAATACTCATTTGCGAAATATCTTGAGCTGTCGTTCTGGAGTGCAGACTTACACGCCCGAGCAGGGATTTGTCACCACGACCTGCATCGGGACCATTTGCGGTACTTTGGCTATAGAGGTTTTGCTCTTCGTGTGCACTACGATGCCATCAATCTGCTTGAGGTTGTGGTTCCCCATATGCTAATCACTTGGAAGGTCGACAACGACCTGCTTTTCAGAAATGAAGTGTTCACTAAACTGGAACATCGAATCACGAGATTCATGGTCTCAGTCAAATTGCGATTAAAGAGCATCAACGTTGAAGCACTTCTCCCAGAGTCCGCAGAACCCTGCCGGAGTGCAGTTGAACGTCTGACACAAAAGGCGAATGAGGACCACATCGCACTCATCAAATTGCTGCAGGAACAATACACAAACTCTCGACATTGGGAAGTCATCCCCCTGAATCTAGCCATGCGCCTGTTGCAGCAGAAGGTGGCTGAGTGGGATGAGGCTTTCCTCAAGTTCGAGAAAGACTTCTTTCCATCGGAGAAAGATATAAGACGGCTTGCAACTTTACAACTGAAAAGGATTTTTCTTGACCGTGATGTCTCTGTCACATCGCTGACCAGTACTGACGAGCTACCATCTCCAACAGGTGTGATCGAGCCAGTCGAAGAGAAGGATCCAGAAAGCCCAGGCACTACACGCAAGCTTTCTCCGGAGAAGACTCAAAATGTCCTACAGTCGGTCATGGAGGAGCATATCGGCAGCAGTGCTTCCGCGGATGACGAGAAAGCGGGTCGTTCGGTAGTGCCAGTTCAACCACAACCAGTACCCACTACCGAGCGCCTGTCGATTCCTAACGACCTACATCGTGCCTCTACAGACCTAGGGCATCTTGATCTTGCTGTATCCGGGTCATTATCAAAGTCTGCCACAGTACCCGAGATTGAACCCTCTGATATAAGCCCGAGGGACAATGGCTCTGAGGCGATTATTTCTTCGAGTCCCAAAGAACGCTCAAACATACATGATAAAGAAGACGATGTTCCTGAGACAAAAGAGCGACAAGCCTCAGCCGACGAGGTATCCGGTCCTACAGCAGCTGCTAAAGAACAATTATCCGCGCCTGGACCTCCTGTCTCTCGACGTAGCACTATTAGCAGACCTAACTCGCCCATGCTAACCAGGGCACAATCCCAGCCCCTAGGATCGGTCCCACAACGTAAAGATTCTACAATGTCAAGGCAAAGCACGTTATCTGCCCTCAACGCACTGAATGGCTTCGGCTCCGGACTTGATCGCAAGACTTCTGACGCTCAGCAGGAATCTTCTCAGAAGAAGCTTAGCGAGCGTTTCGGGCTCTCTCAGAGCAAACACCACAAATCGCTTATACCACGTGCTATCAGCAACCGGAAGGATTCTCGAGTCTCAAACCTCGCAAAACATTTTGAGCAACTGACAAGAGAATTTGAGCAAGCAAGATTACGAGAGCGACGACTCAAGGCATCAACAGTTTCAAGATCACAAATCTATCCATCTTTTGCGCCGAAGCCGACAGTCGAAGTCTACAATACGGTTGATGAAGCCGTAAGTGCCGTCGACGATTCGGAAGAAACACTAGACATTCCCGAGAACAACACTGTTGACTCTGTCGAGACAACAGCCCAGGCGATGGCAAAGACCAATCGACCTCCTGCGCCAGGAAACGATGTTCATGAAGAAACCGATCACACTGATACCGCGCCTAGTGCTCCAGAACCTAATGTTGACTTGCAGCCATCGAGTCACGCACCGTCAGACACCGAAGACAAGACAGATACAGAGGACGACGAAATTGAGGACATTCTTCTGCCCGATAGTCCCGAAGATTTGCTGCGACTTTCGAAGGAAGATGTCGAGTTCAAAGAGTTACCGAAACATGAGCGAACCTCGTTGATGAAACTGCTAACGAACTTTTGGGCCGAACGTTCTTCAAGTGGTTGGTCGAGCCTAGAATATCCCCTATCAGCGTCTGACCACATCTTTCAAGATTGTGACATTATTGTGCGTGAGGACGAGTTGAGCTCATTGATCGCCTTTGCACTTGACTCCGAGGCGTACAAAGCTCGAATGCAAGAGATCTCGGCCCAGACGACCAAAGAACAACTCCTCGCAATGTCCAAAGAGGAGCGAGAGATGACACCTGCCGAGAGATCAATGAAGTGCAAGAACAGCAACCACTTGAGGTATGCCTTTACTGAAAAAGACGCGAAAATGCTGTGCAAAGTGTTCTTCGCAGAGCAATTTGATGCAATGAGACAGAAATGTGGTGTCGCCGAGCGATTTGTTGAATCCATGTCACGCTGCATGAAGTTCGACAGCAGAGGTGGAAAGTCCAAATCACTGTTCCTAAAAACACTGGATGATCGCTTTGTGTTGAAATCCCTGTCGCCTGTGGAGACGCAATCGTTCCTGAAGTTTGCTCCACAGTACTTCAGTATGGTATCGGAGGCCTTTTTCCACGGCATGCCCTCTGTCATTGCCAAAATGCTAGGCTTTTACCAAATCATCGTGAAGAACCCTGCCACGGGTGTGGAGCACAACTGGTTCCTCCTTGTTATGGAGAACCTCTTCTACGACCGAGTACCAACACGAATATTTGACCTGAAGGGAAGTATGCGTAACCGCAAGGTCAATGCAACAGGCGAAAGGAACGAAGTACTACTTGACGAGAATATGGTCGACTACATTTATGAGTCGCCACTTTTCACTCGCGAGCACAGCAAATTAGCTCTCCGCAATTCTGTATATAACGACACACTGTTCTTGGAACGTATGGAGGTGATGGATTATAGTCTCATGATCGCCATCGATGAGGCACGAAAGGAACTAGTGATAGGCATAATCGACTGCATCCGTACTTATACGTGGGACAAGAAGCTCGAGTCGTGGATCAAAGATCGAGGGTTCATTGGTGCGGTGGCTAGTGGTGTTGCTGGCGCAGCTGTCAGTGGCCAAAAGAATCGTCCGACAGTGACTAGCCCGAAAGAATACAAGAAACGCTTCAGGGAGGCAATGATTCGTTACGTACTTGAGGCCCCTAGCTGTTGGTCGCGACTTCGCACAAGAGAAGAGGAGGAGGAGGAGCGGCGCATGGCACGAGCTGAGGCGAGGCGGATGGAGCTCGAGAAACGGAAGAAAGATGAGCATGGGCACGAGGAGGATCTCGAGCAGCCCCATGAAGAGTCACATAACCCTGATTGATGGGATTGAAGCACTATCTTCTTGGACGCTGTTTTCGACCTATAATGGGATTATTCACTATAAGTGCAAGCAAAGATAGCACGAGTGTTGGCGACAGTATGATTTTGAGCAGGTCATCTTTGATAGCGTTAGCAAGCATTGGTTTTCCAATTTCCGACTTTTTATCATTGACACGCGACATTCTTTGTGTACTTCCTTCCACATGTATGCATGTCAGCTTCTCATTTCAGAACACTATTTGCCCGTGATATCTTTATAGTGACCCGCATGTGCTCATGGCTGGCAGTCATCTCTTAGCAGTCGAAGGTAGGATACTCCGAAGGATATGTGTCGGCTAACATTACCTATTTTGAGCCGCTTACCGGAACGACGAGTTGATGCCTGAGCCCTGGTTGACGCCAGATCTGGGCTCTCACATCGGGTCGTCGATGCCGCCATTACCTGGCCATAGCAGATGTTCGTACTGGTAGTCCCATGTGTACAGAGCCCACGGATCAACCATAGAGCTGGTGTTGTCTTGTGTTCAAGCAACGATCTTTGTCTTTCCCGAAATCTTTCAGGCATCACATCGAGCCATGTATTCGGTTGTTCCTGCAGGGACTGGATGTTCGTGGTTGCCTTCGCTGGGATGCACAATCGAGCCACAGTCAGTTTTGAGAGCAGAGGACTCGTTCGACTCCAATGTGGAATGCGATTAAGCATTTTCACGGTGACAAATTCCAGCTGAATATTCTTGGTTGAGCTACGTCATCCTGATTCTTCCCTTCGTTCCGGTTGACGAGTGATGCAGGAAATGATCTTCGGGAAATAAAACCCCATCGCCACCAATGCATGCCTATTCGTAGCTAAGCGAGCGACCGAGTCAGTGTGTCAAGGCCGCGAGAAAGCAATCGATAGCGTCCTCCTCAATGTATTCTAATCGCGAAGTACAATGGCGGAGTCTGAAACGGGCCTCGGCACAACAGACACAACACAAAGAAAGCGTGGGAGTGCCAAACGAACAGCACGAGCATGCGACGAATGTCGTCTCAGGAAGTCAAAATGCGATGGACTGAATCCATGCGAGGCATGTCAGACGACTGACAGATGTAAGGCCTGCGAGATGGGACCAGGACCTCCTGCTGACAATCGGCAGATTGCACGTACAATTTGTCCGCAGCGCGAGGCACTAACTCTGGTACTAGAATCCGTATCCTCGAGGATAGGCTCCGGCGTGCAAGAGCCTATCTTGTCGAGGCGCAACGGCGTACGCCCTCACTAGCTGGCGTCAATTTTGATGCACTGTTGGGTCCTGTTGAAGACGACTCTCGGCGACCATCGAGGCATGATACAGGCTCGGAAGATGACGCAAGTCAGGACACGCTGGACAGCATGATGAATTCTTATGGTCAACTTACCATGGGCAGCAATGGAAGGATGCACCGCGACTTTTATGGTGCAGCTTCCGGTCTTGCTTGGATTCAGAGGGCGGGAAGCTATTTCGAAGGTACTGATCGCGACCTTGACCAAGAAGCACAAGATGTTGCTGAAAGTGAGTCTGCCGCTGTTCAATTGTTTGATGCGCCTTTGCCAGGGACGCAACCACTACACGCGGACGAAACAATAATCGAGATGCTGCCATCCAGGGCGACTGCAGACAAGCTGTTGGAGATTGTCTTCAAGCAAGTGTACCCAATGTTCCATTTTCTCTGCGAAGACGACTTTGGGGAAACTATGGACAGAATCTACCAGCTGCATCCGTCCCAGTATGAGGAAGAAGATCAGGCCTTTATTCCGCTATTTTTATCAGTCATGGGTTTAGGCTATTTGTTCTCGAAGGAGGATCATGACAAGATGGGCTGCAGAGGCGCTGTTGCACAAGGGTACGTATCTTGACTTCATCACGGCCATTCTACTGACCTTGTTAGTATGCGACACTTTGTGGCTGCACGCGACAGTGTGGACATCGCGCAAGTTCGCACAATAACAGCCTTGCAGTGCCTTGTATCTTTGATCCTTTTCCTAGTCTCTACAGCACGGATGGCTTCAGCTCATGCTTTTCTTGGCGCTGCTTGTGCATCAGCCATGCGACAAGGTCTACACTTCAGATCAACCCACGATGCAAATTTGTCACCCAGAGAGAAGCGGGTCCGTCGAAGAGTATTCTGGTCTGTGATGAACCTTGATCTGTATATCAGCAGCATCCTTGGTTTGCCTCAGATCATGGATCTTTCAGCTGTCGACCCTGCTATCGATACGACCATCGAGATTGCCTTGAACGATGTCCAGAAGGCAGCATACCTGACACCGGGAGACAAGCTGGCATTGGCTGCATCCGCCAAGCACATAGAACTAATGCGCATCCTTCTCAAAGCTCAAGCAGCTCTCTATCCGAAACCGACAGATCCACCTGATTCGAAGAAGCTCAACGGCACCATATCAGTTAGCCTAAGCAAGCTCCAGAAGGTTGAGGATCAGTTCCGAGCCTGGGCCGAGTCGCTTGCGGATGTGTTATCACGTCCGGATGACAGTGAAGAAGCACAGAGCGTCAGATATGAGATCAGTATGTGTTACTATTTCGCTCAGATTGTCCTATACAGAGCATTTCTCCACTACCTAGCCAAGCAACATGAAGATAGTTCAATTGGTCAACGGCAGCTGAGTTATGCCAAAACATGTGTCAAAATGGCTAGAAAAGTCATCGAGCTCGGTGTGGAACATCAGAAGAGAGGCCTCCTGTGTCCAGCGTCTTGGAGCAGTGTCTACACGGTATGTTACTCACCTCGTCCTGCGTCGGTTCTCCATACTGACCGCATCAGGTCTTCATCGCCACAGTCTGTCTAGTCTTCGCCTACGCCACACGTCGAAAAGGAAGTTCTGCGCCCGAAATCAAAAGCGACATCGAAAATGCGATTAGGATGCTCTGTTGCACCGCTTGCACCACAGACACTGGCTCAGTACGATGTCTCGAGATTCTACGCAGGCTAATAAAACGAGTTAGCTACGCCGTTGACATCGACGTCGATGATATCTGCGCCAACACAGAGTCATGCTGCACAACAGACTTCTCGGACTTTGGACGACCTAACAGGACCGATGCGCAGACACTGCATATTCCAGACGGTGTAGGGTCAGATTTCTCGCAATCCCAAACGTCGTCGCAGAGCCAGAGTCAGGCACAGTTCGACAGTAGCCAGGGATGGAGTCTGAGTCCTGGTGCCATGCTGAGACAACCGTCATTCACAGGAATGAGCTTTGCAAACTACAATGCACCTCAATCGACCTTGCAGACCTTGCCTCCAGCCTATCCGGGCCAAGACGAGGAAATGATGGAGGTGCCGTATGGTGGGACTTTTAGCTGGCCGCAGCACGAGTTCCATGAAGCAGCGCTCAGAATGGGGCAGCCTGCTGAAGTATCGAGTGTTGGAGGAGGCGCGCAACAGCAATCGGGGGCGTCAACGACTTCGAGTGCACAGACGCCGATATCGTCCAACGATATTGCGGCTTTCATGCACATCAATCCTGTAGACGAGAGTTATCGCTTTCGGGAGCCGCGGAACAGATGAAGACTAATTGTCTTACACACGTGAATGTTATTAAAGTCTACATTATTCGTCATTCAGCATGAACCATCAGCACACAGAGCATTATTCGGAAATACGAAATAGTGATAGTATCGGCTTACCAGGCCAGAAAGCGTCGGCATCATTCATCTACGCGGGCTGAGTCGGTCTCGCCATTGCTGACAGTGCCAGTGTTGCATAGCCTCGGCCTCTCCCTCATTGGATCGCATAACACATAGCATTGTTGAGGTGAAGAAGCATGAGTATACAAATACATTGAACAATCCTTTCCAAAAACCGTGCCAGCGCTGAGATTCAGTTCCCCTCCTGCTCTCAGTTCAAAAACTTGCTTATACATACATTCCCAACTCGACATCATCCATCTGTACTGCCTGGCCATTTTTGCTCTGTACGTAATCAATCAAAAAGGCTGCGCATAAAGTGCATCCCAGTCAATTTCAGGAAGAGGTTTGCGTTTTGGTATCTGTGATTGGCGGAAGTGGTAGCGCTCCTTCCACGCTGCACTTTCCATGTCGACCCGATGCAATAGCTCCTTCAGATCGTCGCTCACCTCAATGTGACTGGATGGTGGCAATAGTCGTGACCGAGCCTCCTCATATGTCTCCATCACTTTGAGGATTGTGCTCTCATAAGACTTGTATATGCCTTTCGAAACTGGGAGGTACTCCTCATACATCGAGACATGCACCGCCGTGGCGTAATGGTGTAGGCTGTGCTCGACATCCCTGGCTAAGTCATACGCACGAGCAAGGTCGAGTCCTGAAGGTACGCACATATGGTCATACTCGTCAAGGCGCAGGCGGTGCCATTTCAGGAGCAACAGGCGTCGTTCGATCGCTTCCGCGGCGTATTTGTTCCTACCTTGCTCATCTCCCGCCGAGTCACAAGCCTTTCCAAGCTCCATGCATAGCCAACCAAGCTTTATTGACAACCCACATCCAGCAGGGCGGCTGTACAAGAACTCCTCGTCCATTTCGTCGCTCATTCGCTCATCCAGTGTCCTGAAGTAAGTGGATTCGCCATTCAAATAATCTCTCAAGTGTCGTCTACCAAGATCATATGCCATTGCCAAGTCTTGTCCTTTATCTCCGACCTGGTCGATCAACATCTCAACAAGGTGAATGGTGTCATCGTCAGCATCACCAAAAGCTTTCTTATACATTTCAAGGACTGCTTTCGTGTATCCAACTGCGTACGGCAGTGTAGCCAAGTTTTGTTCCCAGAGAATGGCAAGCTTGATTGCGGTCTGTAATGCTCGCCAAGGTGCAGAACGACCAAATCGCTGGTGACGGAACTCAGTAGCATACTGATCAAAGTTGTAACCATCAAATCCCCACTCAATTCCACGACTTCGGTCGTCTCTCATGGATCGTAGGATCTGCGCATTGCTAATGCCATAGTCGTTGCGCAAGCGCTGCCAACCAGCCATGTAACCCATGTATGCGTGGCGGAAGTATTCAATAATGAGGCTGCGATTGATATGCTCCTCCTGCTCGGTCATCTTTCCAAGGCCTTCAAGGCTGTACCCTCTCGCAAAAGCGAGTTTTGTTGATGCGATGAGATGGCTTAATTCGGGACCTACAGAACAGTCATTAAGTATTCCAGCTTCGATGAGTCCATTATGACAAGATATTGCATGAGGCAGACATCTTATGCAAGCGCGACGCCTTGACTCGAGTGGTCCAGGAAGGGGGAAGGCGAGATATACCATAGTGGCTGTTGTTAAAACCCATTTCTGGCCAGATGTACCTGACTCATCAGAAATCAGGGTCTTGGCTATCTCAGAGACGAGATCGTGCATCCATAGAGTTGTGGCACTCGTGTTCCTGATAACAGCTGCATCTCGTAATATAACAATCGCGTCAGAGATCGACACTAGATTATCGAACACTCGGCCAAGTGGGGTGTCCGGTCCAGCTTCGCGGAGAAGGGAAGTCCGAAGCTGCATATCGTCTACTGGCAAAGCGGAGGAAGCTTGCTTTTGCTTGTCGCAGAATTTATGAAATGCAGACGTGGCCCGAAAGCCTGCCAGGTTGATCTTGTCCCTCCTTCGTTCGCGTCTTGCTTCTAGCCCATCGACTTCAACATCAACATCGATTCGATCCCGGAGATCGGATGCTGAGATCCTCTTGATAGTCCCCCGGGTATAGGTAACGGGCTGTTGAAGAAATGCTCGGTATCGCGCTGCTCCATCGTGTAACAAAGTAACTGGTATAGATGATGGTTCAAGATAGGTAAGTATTTTGAGTAAAGCTTCAGCCAGCACCGAGCGCCTCTTCACGGATTCGATGGTCTGCATAACTGCAGCAGCCAAAGACAGATTGTCCTGGTGAAGAGATGACATATTCTTCTGTGTAAGCAAGCCAGTCTTCTGCGTAACTTGCTGCAGAGTGTCTTCAAGACTTGCTCCTGTAAAGAGCGCGTTTTTAACGATCTGTTCAATGAGTAAGGGCATTCCACCAGCGAAGTCGGCGACTTTGTGAGCAATATCAGCCTCCTTGTCTGCCGGGTTGACCGAGACGTCCGCTAACCTGAGCACAAGACGAACACTCTCTTCAGGTAGCATCTGTGTGACTTCGAGAGGTGTCGTATTCGGTGCAAGATCTCGTGCCATATGAGCATACCGGGTCGAGAACAAGACGTGACCAACATTTCCTTCAGGCACCATATTCCGCACATCATCAAGATTGCTCACATTGTCTATAACAAGCAGCCAGTTCTCCCGACTAAGCATCCACACGTGGAAAGAACTGTAGTCGGTTTCCGTTACCTTTCTCTGCATAAGCTCGTTCCGTGCATGTACTTGCATGAATGACAGAATTGCTGCAAAGACAGATGACTTACTGTGGGCATTCACGTATATAATGATATCGTAACCTCTAGGATTTGTATTCGTGCGAAGCTGATCATTGGCATACTTCTGTAACATTTGCGTCTTGCCAATACCGCCCATGCCCCACAGAGCCATGCGTGCTTGTCCCTTGGCGTTGTGCATAAATGCCCAGATGTTACTTAGATACTGTCTTCGGCCAGTGAAAGTGGCGCTTGCAGAAGGAAGACCGAAGTTCGTTCCACGAGTGGATGGCTGGACACCTGAATTTGATGTTGGGATTGAGGGTTTGACTAAGAATGTTAGCTATGACTATGCAGGCTGACGCCGCAATTCGAGGCGTACCGAGCACGTTAGCAAGATTCGCCTGCAAATCACTGACACCAGCCCTAATATTGTCGAGACAGTCAATCGTGGCGCCTTTATCGACATCGTCTATGGCATGATGGATGTCCGTTTGCAGATCCGCCAACTTAGACTTTAGTGTCCTGTGTACAGCATTGAGCGTAGCCTCTGAGAAAGTCAGTCTATACTGCACATAGTTGACGTCAAGCATACTTAGTCGGCCACCAGCAAACTCTCCATGCACGTCAACCGCAAAATTGAGGACGAGCTTATAGTATGTTACCAGAGCACTCTGAACATCTTGCGACATTGTGTTTTCTCGGAAATATCGCTCAAATCGTGTCATAGACTGCCTCAAGGTGCGCTCAGTACTCTCCAGCATCTTTGCTGTTGTTCCCAAATCTTTGATGATCTGCTATTGATCAGCAGGTCCTGATGGACAGACGGTCTAGCTCACACCTAGCAAAAATGACATGGTTCCTCCAATTGGAGCCATGAAGTCAGGACCTAAGTATAACCATCAGTTGTGGTTTCAGGTCGTTGCCATATAGCGATGTACCCATCCTTGCGACCACCGAGTCTAACACCACTTTATAGTGCCATGCTTGCTCGGCGAACCTGCTCAGGTTTTTGAGCCATGCTTTACCAACGTCCTTCGACCAGAAATCATTGGACTTTCTTTCGAGCTCCAGTGCATACCGAACCTCTTCAATTGTCTGGGCATGAAAGAGGTTTGCAAAATAGGCAGGTAGCTTTCCCTCCCTTTTCTTTTCCTCCTCAACCTCGTTGAGTGCGTGTCTAAACAGCTTCCCTTCGATCGTAGGCGCTTGAGGATTTGTCAGTTGTATCGCTAGGGCTTGGTGGACGTTGACGAGTTGAGCAGCAGACATCAGAAGTATAACAAGCTCTGCCGTTGCTGCATGGAAAGACGCAGATGCAGAACCACACCCGTGGCCAGCGACGATTGCTTGTCTTATATGCCATAGCATGCAACACACAGATTCGGCAGCATAGCCACTACAAGGCTGCAATGTGGTCGCACTGAGAGGGACGACTATAGACCTGGCCAAGGTCTGTTAGCCAAACAAGTTTTTGAGGCAAGAGTCGACAAGGCGCAGCCGTGAGTGCGGCCACGCAAGACTTCTTTCGCTCAAGTGGTGCTTGTATCGAGGAGAACCTGCTGGGGCGCTTGAGCTTTAGCTGTGATTGGCTGTACACCCCCTGTCGTCCTCCATGACTAATGCAGTGACGGCAAAATTCCAGGGGCCAACATCACATCCGATCCTGGTCTTGTGGTACTTTGTACCGCGCTAAACGCAGCAGCAAGCAACAGATAGGCGATAACAATGGTAAAAGGCTGAATGTGATGTGACCTGCGAGGCAGCAGATCAGCATGCTTTATCAATATATTCAAAACAACTCTTTCACAAGAGCCTTCTTGTTGATTTTCCCCATGGCGTTTCGAGGGATGCTCTCGACAACTTTCAGTTCCTGAGGGAGCTTGTAGTTAATGAGGCGGTCTTTGAGAGCACGACGCATGTCCATTGCACCCCAGGGCTTTCCACCCTTACCAGCTGTTTTGCCTTGATCACTGAGCACGATGACCGCAGCAACTTTCTGTCCCCACTGGTCGGAATCTAAGCCTACTACAGCTGCCTCTGAGACCTGCGGCAGGGATAGAAGTTCACGCTCGACTTCTAAAGCAGAGACTTTTTCGCCGCCAGTCTTGATGATATCGACGCTCTTGCGGCCTCTGATGAAATACATTGGTCCTTTGGCCCAGGTTTGACCACTTTGACCAGCAGCTTGTATCTCTTGCCTTGTAGCTACATCACCCGTCTTGAACCATTTTTGCTGACCATCTTCAGCATCCACAAATTCCTCTGCTGTCGCAGTTGGGTTTTGCCAGTATTCGGAAAAGATTGTTGGGCCTCTTAATTGAATTTCGCCCTCACGGAACCTTCCATCGACGGTCTTTTCGTGGCCTGGCTGAATGACCTGACCAGAGTCAACGTCGACAAGCCTTACCTCGACCGAGGGTAGAGGCCAACCAACACTAGCGTCTACACGGTCGGCAAAGTCAAGACCACAAGAGAGAGCCATTCCGACCTCAGTCATGCCGTAGCGCTCTAGTAGAACATTGCCACCACTCAGCTCTGTCCATGCTTGCTTAATTGGCGTAGGTAGAGCTGCAGAACCCGAGATATTGAGACGAAGGTTGGTTGGTGCTAGAGAACGTTTTGCAGCATTCTGAACAGTGTCGTCGAGACTGGAGAAAGAGCTAAGCAGGCGACTGTATATTGTGGGCACTACAGTGAAAAAGGTGATTGGAGGGATACCTGAGGTTGTGTTTGGTGTTAGGAAAGGTGCAGCGAATCGCTTCCAAGTGAGGTCGGCATTGAAGGGGAAGGCGAATTCAATGGTTGCTCCAGCTATCAACGGTGTAAAAAGTGCATTGACGGTACCGTGTATGTGATGGAGTGGTAGTACGTGAAGTAGATGATCTGCTTGCGAGTAGTTCCAAGCCTCGATCAAGGATTTAGCCTGTGCCATCAGGACCGAGGTGGATAGTACAACGCCCTTGGGTCTGTTTGTCGTGCCTGAAGTATACAGCATGAAGCCACCATGGCGTAAGTCTTTGTCCCTGAATTTAACATTTTCTGCCGACTGCGCACCAGTCTCGATTTTGGGCAGAACTTCAAGCTTGGGTTTTAAGCTGATATGTTCCTTGAGGACATCTCTCGCTTTGTCCTCGAATTTCTCTGTCGAGAGGAAGAATTTGGCCTTGCTGTCTTCTAGGATGTATCGGATCTCCGAGCTAGGGAAGCCATGAGAAAGAGGAAGAGCAATAGCATCGTGGGCGAGGATGGAGAGGAAGGTTACTTTGAACGTCAGTAAAGCACGGTGTTTGTGCATTTATGTTACTTACCGACGTAGTCGTAGCCATTCTCAGCCAGGAAAGCTATACGTTCTCCTCTTAGAGATTGTTTCTGTCCTCTCTCCCACAGAACATCTTTGGTCGCGGCAATGTCATGCAAAAGACTGCCGTAAGTGAAGGCTCTTCCTGACTGACTATGAATAACCGCTACTTTTGCAGCATCATGCCCAGCTAGAGTTTTGAAAATAGCCGAGTTTGGTAGAGTTGATGCCATGCGCGGGGAGGAAAGCTTCACAATGGTCGGCAGTCGTAGGAAGGGGCGTTGGGAGCTGCGCGCAAGGCAGTTGGTGCGAAGACAGGAAGTCGCCAGGTATGGAGAGACCATGCTGCTCGAGACTCGGACATGATTCTCTTCGAGCTCGATTCAAGCACGCGTTTTGCCGGCGTGGCATGAATGAATGGGGTCCTAAGCAGCGTAAAGGTTAAACATTTCCTTGCCGTCATCGGAATTCAGACCTCAGGAGTCCACATCCGAGTCTTTTACGCGTGATACCAATCACTCACAATCGCCATTCTATCAGACAAAGCCTCGTTTTGTGCTCGCGGAAGACCTAGCATCTTACGAATATTCAATGTTGTTGCGACCTCTGCGATCTGTTCGCTTCCCTCGCAGGACTTACTCCAGCACAATGAGTTCTATTACACCCCTTGAAGATACCATTCGGCAAAAGGTCTTGCAGATTCCTGCCGCATCGCCAACCAGTCTGACTAATGATGGGATCTAGATTACTGACGCTTTTCAACCCACCCTGCTAGAGGTCAGGAATGACTCTCACTTACATTCACACCACAAAGCCATGGTTGGGAGTACGTCCAAGGAGACACATTTTGCGTGCGTGTAACCTTTATTCTCATCGTGACTGGTTACTCATACATCGTAAAGATTGAACATCGTGTCTGATGCTTTCAAATCCAAGATGCAGCCTGCTAGACACCGTATGGTTTATGCCTTGCTTGACGACGAGTTGAAACGAGAGGGCGGCATACACGCATTACAGCTGAGAACGAAAACACCTGAGGAGGCAGACAGGCTACAAGCTCGTCAAGCGCAAGCAGAGCCATAGCGCTCCAGCACCTGCCTCGAGGCTTTCAGCATTGAAGCTCTAACGCCCAAGATTGTATAGTATTAAATAGCTCTTTCACCCCCTGTACAAAGTAATGACTTGGTTCAAGTTTTCGAAAACACAATGCCACAAAGACAATATATCCAGATCCTCGCTTGCTCTAACTCCGTCTCTTATCTCTTGGTAACCTCGACCGCAACAACGACCACGACGACGATGATAATGATGATGAGAACTGTTGTTACATAGTCATCAGCAGCCGAGCCGGATTGGAATTGTTATTACTGCTTCCTCGCCGAACATAGACAACAATGACAATGATGATGATGAGAACGAGAAGGACAGCAGCTAAACATCCCACAAGTTAAGACAAGGAACAAAGCAAGATACGGGAAGGGGAATTACTCCACGAGGAAACAGCATACGAAATGAGGAAGACTTACCAGCAATACCCAGGCATATCCACTTCTTCTTGCGTGCTGCTCGTGCTTTCTTTACGGCCCCATCTAGCTCGACGTTGGCTTTTGTGACGTGATCAGTCACTTCTTCTCCTCGTCGTTCGATTTCGGTCACGGGAGCTTCTTGCTGGATCACCAATGCATCGAGATCCTGGAACATTTCTGCAAGCTTGATCATGTCCGCCTCAATCTTCGCGATTGCTGCATGTCTTGCCCGCACGTTGTCAAGCGTTTCCCTGGCGTCTCCTCTTCGATCGCTGCGCATGAGAGCCTGGCTGAAGACTTGCTGATCAGGGTCCTGAATAGCTTCTCGTATCTCTGCCTCCGAAGCATCTGGTCGCACGATTAAGTAGTCTCTTCTCGTACGCTCTTGTGCCCCCTTTCTGAACTCTGAATCCAGCTTTTGGAAGTCATTGAGTGCTTGTTTTACAGCTCTGTCGACTCTGCCAACCTGAGGCGAGTTTCGTGGATTGCCTGATTCTTTGTCCTGTTTCATTCTCTTGGTACGAGCAACCAATTGACGAAATTGCCGCATGAGCTCCTCATTCCCATCTGTCACAGCTTTGAGTGACGCTGCGGTCTGTTTGTCTTGGACCGCATTAAGATAGACACTTTGCATCTGCCTCAATTGTTCCTGCTCTTGTTTAAGTTGCGCAAGGGTGGCGTCAATGGCACGAGTCTCATTGAGGATTCGGTTAGGATCTGTCCCATCCATATTGCTCATTTCTGCACGTTTAGTAAGTACGTCCCAGTCCATTGGTAAAGCTTTTACTGACCGTATTCCTGGCGATCATATTGGCCTTGAGTGTAGGGATTACCACCACCGTAAGATGTATCATCGTAAGGATTGCCGGCATGGCCATATGGACTCGGATCACTGTAGGTGTTCGATTGCCCGTAACCGGCTTGCTGACCCTGATTGCGATATGATTCGTACTTCACATTGAGGTCAGCATCGCTGCACATTTTCCGAAGCAAGCGCGTTTACGGAGAGCAACTTACAGCCATTTCTGATAGCGACAATCTCAATTTAGTTTATTGATTACAAAGTAACTCCTGATTTGATGTTGCGATTAATTGATGTCAAGCCACCTGGGCGAGATAAGCGTTCGAAGGAAATGTGTTGGACGTGAAGGAGAATAAGCGTGTGGACGCGGGTGCGACGACAGAACAAGGTCGTTCCTCTGGTAATTTTGGAAGCCGCGACCGTCTAAGAACTGTTGACGCGGAAGTAACGGCGGAGCCAGTAGATACAGCACAAGGTACGGTAGGCAGCTATCAATCCTCTTTCTGGACCGACTGCGAGCTACGACGGCGACGATGCTGAAGAAAAGAAAGGCAGCAACTTTCTGATTAGGTGACTGAACAGTTATGGATGAAACCTGACCAGACAGAGACCCAGAGCTGAGGGGGCTGAGCCTGGGAATTGCTTGGAGCGTAGCAGCATTGGCGTCCTCCACCATCCCACAGTGGTGCACTCATGCTCGACGGCTCTAAACCACTTCCGCCTACAGCAACACTTGAAGCTCTTTTTAGGCCGCCAATTGCTCCAGTCCCGTCACGCCGCTGCTGGAATCAAACCCTGCAAATCTGCACACTCCGCTGGCCGCAGATCACAAGAGTTTCAAGCCTCAACGCTGCAGATTTCTATAACTCGATCTCGAGGCTTGCAGATCTCGTTCGTGCTGTACGAACGAGCTGAGCATCGGAAACAGGATCTTGCAGCGAGCTGTTTCCAAAAACAAATCGCGGCAGACCTGGTAAGAGCTAGTCACGTTTGCGCCTCAGCTGGACAATCAGAAGCTTCTCCGAGAGGAAGGCTCCCAAATTTGCTGGCGCAGATATTACCCTTTTCTTACACGCTCGCTCGCTTTTCCCTTTTACAATAGCGGCACGTGCAAGTATCGGTGAGATTTTGATTACTCATCATATTCGAGCTTAACAGGTCAGTCTGCGCAGGCTATAGATGACGGTCACAGGCTATGGCTCACTACGATCTCGTATGAACGAGCAACAGACCTACCATCTTCGAGATTCGTCCCCTTCCTGCCAACCTTTCTCAGTGTAACCGAGTCGTCGCTTCACCTCCGAAACAGTATCTGAGTCTCCTGTGTTCTTGCCGACGTTGTCAGAGATCTTGATTGAGGGTCGCTCGTTGGCTTTCGAGATCTTAATAACAATATTCAAAGGCTTCGATTTCGCGTCGGGGTTGGACAACTGGTGGAAGTCATTCGTGAAGAATGTACCCACACCAAAGGAAGGCTTGAAGCCGTGCTGCTCGGCGATGTCTTTGTACTCTTTGCACCGCTCAGTGTTGAGTGAGTCGGAGAATACCAGTGTCTTCCCTGTGATCCCCTGTGAAGCATAGAAATCTGCAGCCATCTTCACATACTCTTTCGGGTCACCTGAGTCTTGTCGTATGCCGGCGAATACCTGAGCATATGTCTTCGAAGAGTCGCCTGCATCGCTGGGTATGTTCTTCTTAAACGCTTTGAAGAACGCAGGCGTACCAAACGTGTCCGTCAATGCAATCCCTAGCACTCCTTCACCAAAGCATTTCAACCAGTAATCAAGACCAAGCTCGTTTGCGTTCTCATAGTCATTCGTGATAGATGCAATCCCCATATACCATTCATGCGCAACTGTACCGACAGGCGGTATGCCATGCTTCATGGACAAGTATACATTGCTCGAACCTGTCAATTTGCCAGGTCTCTCCTTCTCTTTCGAAGCTCTACACAATCCCCCAATCACTACATCTTGTGTCTTAAGATCTCTTCTGCGCCGTGAACCAAACTCAGACACCATACATCCAGCATCGAAGAGCTGAATACCCTTCTGGTAAGCCTGCTCTTCCTGACCATCATGATTCCAATCCCGATCCACGAACTTGAAGTACGCTTCACTCGTCAACGCCAACAGTGGTATCTCGTATAGAATTGTCTCAACCCAGAGCCCCTTCGTAGCGACGTGTAAATCTCCGAACTCACCCTCGACGTTCTCAAAGCTCAGGTGCACTTGCTCTTCTGGCCGCAATCTGAATTTTCTCAGATACTGCAGGTACACGGGACTCAAGAACTTGCACTCCCGCTGCAGAAAATCAAGCTCAGAGTCTCGAAGCTCTATGTTTGCCAGCTTGGACACTTGTTCTTGGAGCCAGTCGAAGGCTTGTTTGGTCAAGCGCATCTGTGGTGTTCGGTTCGTGAAGGCATACTCGACATGGACATCTGGGAAGAACTTGAGGACGGCTGACTGCATGGTCAACTTATAGAGGTCTGTATCAAGGAAGGAGAAGACTCCCACTGGAAGTTCTTCACCTTCTGACATTGCGACGGGCTCGTGAATCTCGAATGGGTTGTTGATTGTGCTGTTGAGATGAAGGATTACTCAAGGTGGGAAGTAGATCAGAGACAAAGTGTTGGCGAAACACTTTGATGAGGCTCTGTCTAGTGGTGATATCCTGATTACAGTCATTTCGCTGGCAGCGTGTAAACAGGCACCTGAAGCGTGGGGAGCAGGTGTCACCTAAACACTTCTTCTGCAGTCACAACAGACGTCACCTCAATAACCCGAACTTTATCGGCGATAAACTGCCCGCTTGCTCCGCAGCAGATTGGGGCATGTTTATGATGCTATACGAAAACTACCTATTCACCACGGACAATAAATAGCTTAACGTCGAGCAGTTACATTTGAAGTGATGCTAAACAATTCAGGCTGCTCTGCTGGAAGTTGAATCCGTAGATGTTCTCCCAATATATTGACTGAGATTTGGGTCATGGCCATAAATGGGAATGATGGCCTTGCCCACCTCGACAACGTGTAGGAGCTGGGCAAGGTAGAATCGAATCGGAAAGAACGGTAGCGAGTTCATCCAGTTCGCTGACCGAGCGCCGATCGTTTCCACTTACCAAGCTCAAGACTGCTCGATAGTAGGCGCTCCTGTGAATTTGTTCTTCCGTCATGCATCCAATCCTCACATCTTACGTCGTGACGACAACAAAGACGCTTACAAGAAGTATGGTTGACATGATCGAGCTGCTCTGATTGATGAGGACGGTCGCCAGTACACAGCCAGAAATCGCATTGGTGTTTCGACCTAACCTGGCTGGATACATGAGTCAATCACAATGCCGTCTGCTCGTTGCAGGGCGAACACATTCGGTCAGAGTCTGGCGGCTATGGCCAGACTGCAATTTTGGCACATATAGCTTCCATAGCGGACGGTCGTGTTGCAAGGGGGAACACTGCAGCGGATTACTCGGAGTTCGACAATGACAATGTCCTGTTTCCTCGTCACTAAGCAGGACGCGACAATCCTTGTCGGGTAAATCGCCTTGCCTGCATTTGAAAGCCTCTTTGACAGGCATGCATTATAGAGGATCTCGACTCGCGGTGACCAGAGATGGCTGTGACTCAACCTTTCTTTACAACAGCATAGGCTGACAGACAAATACTTGTCATTGAGCGAGTATGTGGTCTGCTGAGAGATCGGTTCGACACTAACTTATTCACCTGCGAGTATTGCGTACTTCTGTGCCGTCTCGTTCTGCAGCAGCCAACAAGCGGTCAAGCCAGTTGTCGGCCATGACAGGATGCGGTTCTTGCTCCCCTTGCGGCCCTCTTTCATAGTCTGGACTTCGACTTCTTTCTCTCATACTCCTATCATCGTAGTACGAGGGTGGTGCACTGTCAAAGGCTAAGCTCGATCTTGGGGAATCTCCACGATGTGTAGGCACAGCCGTAGCACCTGTATGCATAGAGGTGATGTCCGTCAACCTTGTGGAGGGTACAGAGTATATTGAGGTTCGAGGTGAGGCGGGTCGAGCTGTGCAAGCATTCTCCTGGTGCACTTGAGACTGGGGCTCAGGTATCAGCTGACGCGGCTTCTCCTCGACAATCGTTGTGGTGCCCAAGAACACGTCGCAAACGGCTTCGTTGTATGAGGGTGGCGGGGCTTGCGTAGGTGTTTGCGTATTGTTCTGGGCCTGTTGGTAGATCTCTGCTACTCGTGCATGTCGAGCTTCGGCCTCAGTCTTGGTCTGCTTTCGGTCACTTATACAGCAGGAGAACAAACCCATTGCAAAGTCCGCTTGTACTACGGATCGTGCCTCAATGGATCATGTCGAAGAGGGTACACGACCGTCGCGAATACCAACAAGGCGTACGAGAGCAGCGCGTTCAACAGCAAAGACTGTCGAGTCAGTGACGCTTCTGAACAGCTTGGGAATTCGCAGAAACACGACTGCCTAGATGCCTGCTTACACTCAGTAGTGTGTATACAGCAGTGCAAGTCAGTCGGCATCGGTGGTTGGTGGCACAGCCCGAGACTTGGCATGATCAGCAAGCTTGGTATTGGGGGCTCTATTCAATTGCACTGCCCATCTGCCACATGTAGGTTGGAGGCAGTAATTAATCACTTCATCAAAGCACGACAGTTCTGCTCATAAGGCATGTAACCTTTGAAGAAGTTCACTTGCTTAGATACAAGACCTTCATTCTCAATCAAGACAATCCGTTAATTGGAATGTTCTTCGCGTATAGATTCTTAAACTTTGGAGTGGCGCGCCTGCCATTCTTCACCTCTAAGAGATCTTCTACAGCACTTGCCCACTTTACGAGTTCACTCTCTTTCCAAGCACTTTGTTGGAAAGACAGCGATACAGGCATGCCACACGAATCGAGTCCGATTGGAATACAGATGATAGGGTATCCTGCCTGTGCTGCGTATTGCTGTCCAATACCTCGTCTGTCGCAGAACAATAGAGCATCTAGATGGTGTACCTGATTGCTCGTGGGGTCCTGCCAGGACAAAGCTGCGTCGATACCGTTCTGCCTTGTCTGACGGCGGATATGGTCTAGTGCAGCTTGATATGTAACATTTCGAATACCTTTGGCTTGCACAATCTCCAGCAAATTGTCCTGTCCTGTTGGAAAGGCAGGGACAGTCCCAGGAACTGCACCCTCACTGCCATTGTTGTCACTGTTATACTGGACAATGTCCTCGAGTGACCTCATGTTGCTATCACACAGCTGTTGCAGGTAAGCATTGATGTCATTATAGGCATCTATCTTTGCTACAGTCCACTCAGACTTGTCCGGAGCACCGTGTTCCCAGTTCCAGCTTCCACTTGGGTCGATTCGTTCTTCCACGCTTGGCAAGTCAACCTCGACGATGTTAGCCCCGGCCTCACGCATGACGTCTAGCACTGCTGACGCAACAGCCTTGCAGTCTGGCGGACAAGTGTCCCAGCAAAGTTTCATGGGCAATCCAAAGTAAGCTCCCTTTAACTGTTCTCGAGTCGAAATGAAATCGGTGTATGAATCAGGTTGATACCTCTCTGAAACCTGCGTGAATTTGTCTTGAACGTCAATGCCAGCAATAACTGTTAAGCCAGCAACTGCATCCGCAACAGTCCGGCCAAAAGACCCTACACTATCCAGGTTTGTGCTGATAGGTATCACCCCCGATCTTGACGTCAATCCTACCGTCGGCTTGACGCCCACTACTCCATTGACTCCAGCTGGTCCTATTATCGAGGTGTCTGTTTCTGTGCCAAGAGCGATACTTGTTATATTCGCGGAGACTGCAACGGCAGAGCCTGAGCTCGAGCCGAAAGGTGTTTTACGAAGATCGAACGGATTCCTGACCTGACCTCCACGTGGACTGTATCCAGTTGAATAGGTCTTGGATCGAGAAGATGCCCACTCACTCATATTAGCATGTCCTAGTATTATTGCTCCAGCATCGCGGAGCTTCTGTACCACGAATGCATCTCTAGGTACTTTGCTACCAAGCAGAGCCCAGGACCCCGCCGTGGTTTGCATAGCATCCGCGGTCGCAATATTGTCCTTGACAAGCACGGGAATGCCATACAATGAGCTCCTGTCTTTCACTGCAGCACGATTGATATCAAGCTCTTGAGCAATTTTTATTGCGTCGGGATTGGTTTCGATGATAGCTTCGAGGTACGGGTTTAGTTGTCGAACTCTGTCTAGACAGTAAGCCACGTATTCCGCGATTGTGAAGTCGTCATTGTCGTAATGGGCTTGCAGTCTTGAAACAGTGACTTCTTCTACGATGAACCCTTTCAGTTTGTCCATATGTATAACACTCTGACATACACGCTGGTTGTTGTGAACATGTTTGTACTTTGACATCATGATAATTATCTTAGGAGAGTGCAATCTAATTCCCGGGGTACTGTGCGAGCATAGAACAGACATTAAGTCAGCAACTGCATGTCTAAGTGTTGCCGACGCTGAGATTTCTGTTCATGCGGAAAGTGGGCAAGCGACCACATGATTGCTATCGAACTTGATGTTGTCCTATGACTGAAATCGACTTCGTGGCGCGTCTTTTGTGGTAGCAACGAACGTCAGAGAAAGAACGACTCCGCTGGCAAGCATGGTTGGCTGTACAGGCGCGACGATTACTCTGTTGCCGCCCGACGGGGAAGAGTCGAAGACCCAGCTACTGCTTGTCTTGACACCTCTGGCATCTAGTCTTGCACACTAGCAGGCCTTGAAACCGACTGAGGGGCGATTGTCTTGGTCTATTCACAACAAGGCTCTGCATGTTCACCATAGCTTTGGCCTTCCAAAAATATTACAATCCGCGAGTGACGCCTCGTGCACGTTAGACAATGCACAATGCATACCGTCGAGCTAGCGTAGTCCGGCACGTCCAGGGGGTCGTTGACTGAGCGAATACCTTCAAACCTGGCTCGAAGCCACTTCCGACTTGCATAGCCTGATTGCACCAGACACAAATCAAGCCCAGGTGCTTTGCGCTCGAACACGATCGGATTTATACATCAAATATGCATTCCATCGCACTACACGTACGCAGATCTTGCACTCCTCTCCTTAGCTCCTATAAACTGGCTGACACCCACTGAAATGTCTACCCAAACTGTGGGACAAGAACCACCACAACTACCTTCGATTTCGCTCCGGCTTCATGAAGAGCGAAGTGGACGTGTGAGCCCAATCTCGTCCAGAAGGTCTTCAAGAGGAGCAATAGCGACTACGAATCAAGCTAGGCTGAAACGCAAGTCAAAAGATCAGAGCTCGAGCCACGCTGCCACTGCAAGCAAAGAGGATCATACATTTCAACCCGTCGACGAGTCTAGCTATGTTGTTGAGCTCCAGCCAGTCGACAAGGGATTTGGGGCATGGAGTTACGTTACAGCTGCATTTTCGATGTACATTGTGGTCTGGGGCTTTCCTCAAGCATTTCCGATTTTTCAGACGTACCTGTCCGCAGGCACCAATCCTAGATTTCCAAATTCTGTCGCAATAAGGTTGCTTGCTCCTGGATTGCAAGACATTGAGGAAGGCATCCTGTTCCCACTGTTACCTGCAGATAGTCGTTTCAGAAGACCCCTTGTACTCGTCGGAATATTCATCATTATCATTTCCTTGCTTCTCGCAAGCTACGCAGAAGAAGACTGGCAGATTGTAATTGCGCAAGGTATCTGTTTCGGTATTGGTGGTATACTGCTCAATTTCGTTCACGTATCCATATTCTCGGAGTGGTTCGACAAGAAAAAAGGACAGGCAATGGGCATTGTCTGGATGGGATGGCGAGTCGGAGCGCTGGCCTTTCCCATCATCTGTCAATGGCTACTGGATCAACATGGCTTCGAGAAAGCCCTTCACGTCCTTCTTGCACCGATGCTCAGTCTGCTCCTACCATGTATTGTGCTGTTTCGTGGCAGATATCATGCAGCCACTATAGCACTAAAACCGCCACAGCAACCTGTGTCGAAGAGACAAGCCCTTGCCACGCCATCCGTGTTCTACTATCTGTGTGCGACATGTCTGTTCTATTTGGTTGTCAATGTTCCCAAGATGTTCATTACCACATTAGCGGCAGATTTGAAGTTGAAAGGCTCTGACCAAGCATTGTCTCTGGTACTACTAGTTCTGAGTGACATGTTGGGCACTTACATCTGTGGTCATCTTAGCGACCTTATCCACCACGAAGTTATGACTGCATGCCTCGCAATCGCTACGTCGGCTGCAAACTTGCTGGGATTGGGTCTGGCTACCTCAAGAACTGGCGTATTCTTGTATGCGGTAGGCGTTGGCCTGGCGAGCGGCGGTTTCCCCAATTGCCTGTTCACATACTATGCAGATACTGCAAAAGGAAACGGAGAATTATATACAGCAATACACGGTCTCTTCAGCCTGTTCCGAGGGGCCGCAATACTGTCTGTTGGACCGGTAGGAGCAGAACTGTTGCGAAGAGCACCACCTATTGATACCACTGCGTTTGCCCTTGGATGATACAAGGTAAGTCCATTCTCGTTCATGCAAAGTTCTCTGCTGATCCTCTCAATAGTATCTACTAGCCTACGCATGCACTCTCAGCTTTGCGAGTGGCGCCCTTATACTTGCAAAGTATCTCAGGCGAAAAATTGTATAGTTGATCTGTTTTAGCATGAATCGATGTGTCAATAGCTTTCTTCAACAAACCCGCGACCTGATCACGAGTGCCAGGGCTCGACAAGGCCTGGCCGGGGACTCGTTTGTGCTATAAATAGTGTGCTCGCCAATCCCTGTGTAGGCAACCCGTACTTTGTGCAACACGGCCGAGACATTGGCGCCTACCCGTACAAAGCGGAAGGGAGCCAAGCTCGAGCGCCAATCGGATACGCTCATTGCGCGGGTAGGGATCATGAAACCTTATGATCTTCCTATATTTAATTTAGATCGAACTTGTGGTCTATCTTGAAACGAATTGCTAAATGATGGGTAATGCTAGTATGTCGTTGTCGGTATATCTGAACGACATGGCTGACGACTTGGCTGTTGTCATTCATTACAGCACATTTCACCATGAGCGTTCACGAATCAGATAATTTCGGTTTGCAGTCTTTACTTTCGCAAACCAGTACGCCAGCAACATCCGTTCGATCAAGCTTCGAATATGCTGCACCTGACAGTAGTGCCTGTTGCATGAATATCCTTGACGAACCAGAGGAGCCTGATGCTGATGCACTTGCCATACCCAACGAGCAAAAGTTCAATTTACCCTTAGGGAAGTCGCCAGGGCTTTCCAGCGATGTAAAGCGTCGTCTACATCAGAGAAATCCGTCGCAGACACGATGGGTCAATTTTACCCAGAGCTCTTCAAACCTAACGAGCGAGCTTTCCGATTTGTATCTTGATGGCCACGGATGTCTGGATCTACATGCTATGGGTACACAGATGCTAGGCGGTCCCATCAAGTGTCGGGACGGCAGCTATTTTGTATGGATCCAGACCACGATACCTTTCTTGGGCAAAGGCCAACAATCCTGGTCACGTTTGGAGCAATGCGGATTTAAGATGGTGGTTTGTCTACCTACACCTGAAAGAGCTGGAACCGTCCTTACAAATTTTACTGGCGAGGCGGAAATTGTCAAGCACATTAGCGAAGCCCTCACGGCTGGTCTGTTAGACGAGCATTCGATGGGCAAAGAAGCATTGTCCTGCGTTTGGGTCCTGGCCTGCTCTATTATCCGTGCTGTGAGTCAGCAGATGGATGCCGCTTTCAGAATCTTCGACCCTCTGGACCGTGTATACGACATTTCGAGAACGACCCATCTTCCGACTATGCTTAACCAAGCAAACGATCTAGCTCGCGTGGACCGTTATATAGCTGGTCTGGAAGAAATTCTGGGCTTCTTCAACGCGGTTCGCTCTTTCCAGCAGAGCCAGAAGCCAACTAGCCCGCCATCCCAGAATCTAAAGAACTGCTACTCACGCATTTCCGATCGGTCTAATCTCGAATCAGAAATAGCGAAGCAGAAGATAGTGCATGCACGGGAACTATGCCGAACACATATCAAGCAACACGAAAGTCACATACAGTTGACATTATCCTACAGCACAACGCAAATAGCAAACAATCTCGACAAAGGTAGCAGAATTGGTGAGCGCATCACGACCATAGGTCTTGTTCTCGCTGCCATCTCGGGACTGACTTCACCACTTGCCGTAGTGACGAGCTACTTTGGCATGAATGTTGTTGAGCTCGTAGAGGGTGGTGAGTCGACCCTCTTTGATTTTTGGCAGATCGCTCTGCCGATAGTTGCTTTATCTTTGGTCATCTTGTGCATCATCATCGTACTTTGTACAACAGCTTCATCACTCTCGTCCAGGAGGTCCGTAGTGCGCAGTCTGTATGACCGTTTACCCTGAGCTCCAACAATTTGTGTCTTTGCCCGGTAGTGCTACTGGTTTTGTTTTGGTTGTTAGCTAGTTCTAGGTCTCAAACGCCTCTGATTAACACTCAGTCATCTTCGCGCAGCGCGACGAGGGTTGGCATGAGAAAATAAGCTGAGTAACTTGTTGTATGCCATTATGAGAGGCAAGTTCGCGACACTGCTGAAATTCTTTATGCCACGACTCTCGTGAGATGTTCGTGTCTTTTTATTTTCGCAACCTAGTATCAGTGACGCAACATTGCGCTCAGAAATAAAGTTGCCAAAACCAGAGCGAAATTACGGCACAAGGCGGCATGAATCATCATTCTCTCCAAGCTCCAGCAAGCACTTCCCTACGTCCACATCAACTCAAATACCTCATGGACTGAAAGCTCTCAGCTCTTCGATCTCGCTTCCTTACGGCATCAAGCACTGCAATGACAGTCCGCTCCTCCATCTTCTCACTATACCGCCGCTGCCTCCGCGCAGCACGCACCAAACCCACCACCACGCGCCCACACTTTGAGCGAGTCATCCGAGAAGACTTCAAAAAGTACCAGCACTCAATACCACGCAAGGACTTTGGGACAATCGAGTTCTTGCTCAGGATGGGTGAGAGGAAGCTGGATAGCTATAAGTCACCTCATGTTAGGGATATTCGATGAGATTCTGGAGTTTTAGATTGTGTAGATGTGACTCAGGGCTGTCTGAGGACGAGGAACGAAGCTCGACAAGCATGTTTGGTGATGCCTAGTCTGGATTCAGCAGGCACTGGCTGCAGAGAGCTTGAGCTGACGTGCGTGGAGATCGAGCGAGATGAGGACTACGATATTGTGACCTGGCACGTAGCCATGACAGAATAATTTGAGGACGACAGCAGGATCACCGCTCCCTCGAATTGACTGTTGTCGGGCGAGGCTTCACAACTCTAAATTTGCAGCTTACGAGAACACAAACAGAGACGACAACTTGATGAAACGTCGAGGTCGACTTGATAGTCACGGAGACGACAAAGGAAACCAGGCTGGTAGACCGGAGTCGTTGTCTCGAACGTACAGAAACCACAGAAATATCTCATCGCGTCTCAGCATCAGCTGCGATATCTGCTTGTTGAATACCTTTCTAATATGTCCACGCTATATAATGCAAGGCAGATATCTCCCAGCTTCGGTAACGCTCAGGACTGTCAATGGTGGCAACAAACACAAAATGCCATTATGTGAAGACCTAGCCAAATTCTCCTTGGCCAACTAGCGCCCAAATTCCAAACTCGGAATGACGACAGGTCCGTATTTCATCACTCCTCCATAGCTGCCTTCACTCTGCACAAGAAAGTCCGCGGCAAGGCTCAATTTGCCGCTTCCTTGGGCCGGTCCAGCAGGTCTGAAGTTTCCATTGACTACCTCTGGATCGTAAGCCACAATAGCAACATATCCTCTCCTGGCGATTAGCCGTCTGTTACCTGTATTCGGCTGGCCATTTCCATCGACCGTGAACAACTCCATCATATCTTCTTTAGTGTCTGTGGGTATATGAGGTGTGGATCTTTGGCCATTGGCAGGGATGTACAGTGGTTTGTTGCTGTTGAGCATCTTGAGGATATAGCTATTTGGTGGAGCGGCGACTACGCTGGAGGAAATGAGTTGGTACATTGTCTTGTGGTCCTGTGGATGTGAAGGGTCGTGCACGAGCCCAGCACCTGCGGTGTTAGTTGAGCCAGATAGGACTGTAAATCTGATGTTGCGGTTGTGAGCAATTCCTTGCAGGGTGCGAATGAGATAGGTACGTTCAAGGTCCTAGTGAAAACATCAGCCTCGGTCTCTTTGGGCGCGAATCTTGGAGAGAACTTACCTTGCTTTCATGTGTCCACTGATCCTTGAGCTCATCCAGCATGTCGATATCGCCAAAAGGATTTAGGATACCGCCCATCAAGCCCGACTTGCCCACAGCACGCTTGACAGAGTCAAAGCCAGAACCAACTGCGCCTTTGGCACCAACCACACCGGCGACTGAGCTGGTCACTTTGCCAAGCATATTGTAAGCTCCAGTCACAGCTTTCTTACCAGTAGCCACACTACTGGCAAGCTGTTCCATGTTGTCTAACCTTGGATATATAATCGGCACCGCGATCATCAAGATGCAGTGCTGCACACTCTGTGGTAACATCGCTATTTTTGGAAAGATACCTTGATACGTTGGTCCGGCCATCACTTGATGCGGGTTGCGTTCGGATCTTGTGTCTGGACCTACAACCGCAACAGCTGGTCCTAAGAATTTGACAAAGTGCCATCCCGTACCAGTTATCGTAAATAAGTCGCGGTCATCGGATACGTTGCGGAGAATTTCGAGGGTGGTGTGATGCTGGAAGAGGAGATACATTTCAATGCCTATCCGGCCAATATTTTTGAACATATTGCTAAATTGCATGTAGTCTGGATATGAACCGAAACCGTCGAATCTGTTTCTATGTTAGAAACCAAGCAATTGAGCAGCACAAACACAGTGACTTACATATCATGATCGTCGATTTGGCAGACATGTGGTATCTGCGCAAAAGCTTCCCTCAAGTAGGGCTGGTCAAAGTGACTCGTGTAGTAATGAAAATATGCATGAGAGACATCTTCCTCATGTGCAGCAGTCCATTGTGCATTCTTTCGAGTGTCCTTGCCGGAGGTCGCAAGCCACTGCTTCAGCGAAGGAATTTCCTTCCATAGCCTGTCTGCGGATATCTGGCCACCGAGACCGAGTTGCACGTGGAAACCTCCACACTCTGCGTGCTTTTGTGTAATATCTTTCCACATATACCCAGGTCCACCCAACCTAGCTCTCTCATTCGCGCTAGTGCCCAGACTGAAGTCATTACCAGAAACTGCAATGAATCTCCAATTGGTCTCGTATCTGCCAGCAACCAGAAACTCATACCTTGTGCAGCCCAGGTGGGATGTGATAGCATAAGTCCACTTTGCTGGCCCGTCAATTTCCATTCTCACATCCAGGTCATATCTATAGAATGACCATCGCTGATGTTGTGCAATGTTTTGTGCTTTGAGCTGTCTCGGGTTTGGTGACAGATCAATGCTCTGGTGAAGGTGTATTGTTGGAGGTTGGGGGCCATCACTAACAAGCAGGATAGATCCATACCAGAAGCCGAGTTCCAAATCCATGTTGGTATACCTGAGATAAGGCCCAAAGTAAACACCGTTGGTAGGTGCGATTTTGTAAAGGTCGACACCACTTGTTGGTGGCGGACCAGTAAAAGCAACGGTTGTGGCACCACTCATAACGCTTTGCTGGTCGAATCCAGGACTCATCGGCAGACCTGGGGACATTAGAGGCTTGTGCATGAAAGAGAGGCCAGGAGATGCTAATGGTGCCGCAGTTCCTGTGGGCGACAGTGGTGTTTCATTGAGGTTCAATGGTGTAGGACCCTTAGGAAACTCCCACTGTGTCGATTGAGTGGGCAGATGGATGTAATAGTACTGGCCAGAATTGGAGTCTAGGTGAGCGATCCAACCCTCGGGAAGTGGTGGAGGTGAAGCTGGAGGTATGCTCTGAGAAGGCGCTCTCTGAGGTATTCCCGACTGCTGTATATTTATTTGAGCACCATTCTGCTGTACTGGCGACTGTGCTGATAGGGGACGATGATCGTTTGCAAATGCCGGATGCTGTTGAGGTTGCGGCTGTTGAATAGGCTGCGCCTGCAGTTGTGGTTGTGGTGTTGCTGTCGGTGCTTGCTGAGCCGACTGCTGATTGATGGGTTGCTGTGCCGAGAGACGTCCCTTCTCAGCAGGATACTGACCTGGACGCATGCCAGATACCGAAGAGTAAGCTGGCGGTGGCTCGTCCGCGACTGGCAAACGGTTGGTTTCATTTTCGAAAGGAGTAGTGCGAGCAGGGTACGGACTAGATTGTGATAATATGTCATTCGGTCTTGGCTGTGATTGAGATGCTCTACGTGCTGCAGACTGCTGAGGATGATCGCTGACTTCGCTGTCACCTTGATAAACAGTGGGTGCTGGATGTGGAGAGGCTCCTGGTTGCTCAGTAGGAGTCCAGGGTCTTTGAGGAGGTTGCGATTGAGCTTGCTGAGGCTGACTTGGACCTCGTCCTCCATAGTTCGCTGCTCTTGCCTGTGCAGCTGCGCTCTGGGCTTGCAATGCTGTCAATGTTCCTGCTCCTGCAATACCCGAATTTGCGAACCTCTGCTCAATATCGGTAAGCGGTCGGTTGAGGGACGGAGGTGGTTCGATCGGTGTCTCTGGTGGAGGCGGAGAGCCTCTCGTTGCTTTCGTAGTCGATGTGGAAGCAGTCGAATCAATGCGTCCTATTCGGTTCGGATCCCTGATGTTGAGTCGAGCAAAGGCAGCTTGCGCAGCGTTACCGATTGTTGGAGCAGGGAATGAGGTTTCGGAAGCAGGCGCACTTTGCGGTATGTTCGAACGTTGGAATTGCCTTTGGAAGAGGCCGTCCTTGTCGGGTGCTTCTGGACCAGGAGAATCTGGCAACGGCTTCGGCGCATTGGTGCCACGTCTTTCAGCCAGGGTTGGCTGGCCGGCTTGTAATTCTGCTGGCAGTCCTGGTAGACCTGGCATAGCAGCTCTTCCAGAGCCTGCTGAGCCTGCTCTTTGTACCGGGTCGAATGGAGAGGTATTGTCCGACCTGTTCTGTGGAGATCCTACCCGCCTCGGATCTGGGTACTGATAAGGAGAAGCCGCTCCATTTGCTCTGGCTGCCTGCGCTTTCAGCTGCTCTTGTCTTGCTCTATCGTCCGGGTAAGGAAGAGATGGCATAACGAACTGGTTTCCACCGCTTGGCTGTTGCTGTTGGACAACACCCGCAGACATGGTTGACGATGCATTCGAGGATCGCTTCTGGATACGTAAAGGTTCGATTATGGGGGACTCATTGGTAGTGTTCTTCCTTTGTAGGAACATCTCATCGTTAGGTTTTCCATAGCTGTTGGAAGCGCTCATTGCGCCGGTGGTTCCCTGTCGCGGTTCACGACGGGGTGGCCTGCTTGGGCAGTAGCGGGGCGATATGCCGCACAGGTGGATTGTAATGTACTGCTTGCACACTGAATCCTTGTTCTGCTGCTAAAATTGTCCTCGAAATGCGTAGTAGTCTGCTTAGTTGAAACGTTCGCGACCACGCATGGAAGGGTCGAAGATTGGCGGCACGACTCATACTTGCAACTGCATACGCAGTGCAACTGAGTAAGTGGTGCTCTCGACCTGCAGCGACGAATGACATGGCAGGTTCGCTGCCCATGCCGAGCATGATTGTAGCCGCTCGGCCAAGAACCATTTAGCTGCATTTCAGCTCACGAGCGACTGTCATTGGGCAGGAGCAGTGACTGTTGCTCATCGTCGATTGGAGCAGCGTTTAGATGGATGCTCGTATCCTCATTGCCAGACTTCGAAGCGCCGATATGGGTGGACCAAAAACATGTTAGCGATGATGTTGGATTGTACCCACGAATACGACCTTGAAAGTGTGACTTAGAGTTCAATTCTCTTTCGACGCCGAATGTTTTCGCAGAGCCACCTAGCTGACGACAACAGGAAGGTGCGCATGCCACAAGCCATGACTCGTGCGGATATGGAGCGTCTGAGCAGTAATGGTTACGCACAGCATGCCTGAAAACGTTTGGCGAGACTAAAAGTACATAAATTGCGAGTACGTTAAAGATGTCAAACGTGGGCAAGGAAAGAACCTCCATCAATCAATTCTCATCATTGCATATCAACGTTTGTATCGAACTTCCAAAGTCAAAAAAGAAATGCGGCATGTAACCCTTACATCATGGCCCTGTCTGCTTCGCGACTCCCCTCTGCCTCATACATCCCCACAAGCTGTGCCTCTGCTGCTTGGTTGGCTAGCTGACTCGGTTCTACCAATGCCTGCAAGACAGGAATTATGAAATAATCAAAACCAGAACCCCCATAACCCTAACTATAGCAAAACGGCAGCGAGGACTGCTGCAAGTATTGTGAAGCCGGTGAAGGTGGCTCTTGTTGCTGATGACATGAATGACTGTACAGGTGATGCAACAGGTGACGCAGCAACAGGCTTGACTGTGCCGTTCATCGGCATTGTACCGTTGACAGGAGAAATCTTGTTGCCTGCCTGAGGTGCAGCGCCTGCAGGGGAGACAACACCTGCTCCAGCACCAGCACCAGCACCAGCACCAGCAGAGACGCCAGCAGGACCAGCAGAAGCACCGGCACCAGCGCCTGAGCCGGCGGAGGCAACGGCAGGAGAGACGGTATTTGCGCCAGCAGGGGCAGCACTGGCAGCAGCTCCAGCTCCAGCACCTGCTTGAGCCGAAGCACCATTTGGACCAGATTGTGCCATAGCACCGGCACCTGATCCTGCACTTGCGGAGGCACTGCCTGGACCAGCTTGAGCAGCAGCTGCGGACGCTGGGGCCGCACCCATCGGAACTGCGCCCATTGGAGCTGCGCCCATAGGAGCCGCACCGCTCTGCCCGACTGTCGGGGTCTGATGAGCATATGGACCTGTTGAGCATGGCTGTGTAAGAGTGACCGTGGACGAATGTGGTCCACAAACTGTGCAAGGCACGACGGTCGTCTCGAAACCTGCTGGAATCACGGTCGGTGCTGGAGCAGCAGTGCATGGGCATTCGTGAGTGACGGTCCAGGTGGCTGGGACGAGGCCAGTCTCGCATAGCGAATCATAAACAGTTTCGTAGATGCCAAGAACTGTGGTCTTGCCATCAGGTCCGACGCTGGTATACTGACCTAGATGCACACCTGGCATGCCTGGGCCATGCGTGATCATCGGGCCAGAAGCGCCGCCATTGCAGTGTGGTCCAGGGCAGAAAGTGACAGTGGTAGGGAGAGTGATGGTGGTAGACGAAGCGGTGGGACAGACCGGGATGGTTGAGGTAATGGTCTGAGCCGATACAGTTGCTGCGAGCAGAGCTGCAAGTTGGAGACTTCTTGTTGATCGTTTCTGCATCTTGAGATCTTTCGGAAGGACTGTGAAAGCAGATGATAGGGAGGTGACGGAACGATAGACAAGGACTATTACAATATGTAGCAACGAGTGACTGGTAAAAGAGTGACTGGGAAACGACCGAAGACTCTGGGTGAGGAAACAATTACCAGCCAGGAACGAGTATGCTGGTCTTAAATGCTGAGACCACACGGGCTGGCCGAGCATAGGAATGTAAGGAATGCTGTTTTCTCTTTGGTAAACACAACAACACAAATCTGCAGCTTCTTCAGCACAGAGCATCTGCTGGTATGTGAGCATCAAGGGGATTGGTTGCAGTCATTATGGAATGGGTCGGCCGAACTGGACTCGAGAGCACATTCACTGACCACAATATTCAAATGCTAGATTAAACGATCGAAGCCATCTAGATTGCAATTTCAAACACTTACCTGCACCTGGAAGTACCTTCAATTTGGCTTGTTATGATGCCACATTACAACGAGGTGGCAAGCATTTGAGCAGCAACGCGCTCTTTGCTACAGCTCAACACGATCACGATATGTATCCCATCTTCGACACTTCTAGCTCATCGCCCTCAATGAAGAAGACCCAACGAGAAAGAAGCTTCCTGTCAAGGAAATATTATTACTCTCCAGAGCCACTGAGTCGATTGACCCATGGCAACACATCGCTGTCAAATGCTGAACGACGGTCGTGGCTCTGAGGGAATGTCAGCTTCTCTTCTAGTCATCTTGTGCAAAGGAACAATACATACGGCTCTGTTGCTTTTTTTGATCTGGAAGAAGGAAAAGAAGAGCTGCGACAGCGATCGCGAATTTTGTCGCGTCGACAGCCGATGGGTCTTGGCTCGCCTAAGCCTCATACAGACAAGCGCAATTTGCTTGCTTGGAGTGCTGCTCCAGGGGAAGCCTCTCAACTTCAAGTTGTTGAAGAAGCAGTACTAACACCTCGTCAATACTTCACTGGATGAAGGTTTGCGACACTACACGGACGCACTGCAGACGATCTCTTCGCATGACCCAGAAGCTCATCCGTCAAACTTCCTCATTAAAGTTCTTCATCATCCTTCTGTGACTATGTGCCTCCCCAACATTGAATGCAATCAATTCCCAAAACAAGATGAAGTCTCTTTTGTCCTCATCAGATACATCCGCTTTGAACTTGATCTTAGCCGCCAGTATGGTGAACTTTTCGTAGGTCATGGGAACACGTTGTTTCTCTTGGACCAAGGTCTTCAGACGACTCATCACATCTGTAATCATATTATCATCGCGGTCTTCAAGATTGTCATAGGCTGTTCCGAGCGCATAGAACTCTTTTTGCGCACTCTAAGCTTGTTGTGTAAGTTCTGACGATGACAACGAGGCTGTTTCTTCTTTAGTACGTGCCATTTTGTGCAAACAGTAGATAAGATATGGAGGAGATCGAAGTCAACACTGAACTTCCCTCTACTTATGAGTTTGGCTCGTAAGAGCTTGCTCTGACAATTACTCGTTAGGGACAACCATGATAATCACAATGACATAGCCACACGAAGTCGCTAAACACAGGCATCAAGTCTAATAGCAACTTGTGGCCTGTCTCTTATTCAGTCAACTCATCAGCCTTCAATGGTACTTCAAAAACGACGGCTCCATTGCGACCATTTTTCATGTTCAGCCATCTGCCCAGTCTCATTTCCTTACCAGTGCCTGCCACAATACATAGTCCTTGACACTCCCCTTCCTTCTTCCCACCAAACTCATTTACTGTCTCTTTCCTCCGCTCGAAGACAGCAAGACCATTAATAACACCTCGAATCGGTCCCTGATCATTAGGAGAGGATAGAGCCTTTGCTTCGCCATTAGACCATCCATTCATGTGTGCCTTTCCATCCGCATCAGAGACATCTGTTGATCCTCCTACTTTGCCGAGTGGCTCCAGGGTGCGTTTATCGTCACTAACCTTCCAGACCCTAATCCAACCGTCCCAACTACCACTTAGCACGACATCTGTGCCGGGTAATGCCACTAGACTTGTAATGGCTCGAGGGGTTGACCTGCGTCTGTCTGACTTCTTCAGCTCTTCGATGACCTTTGGATCGCTCTCGCTAGTCACGCCTTCTAGTGCTGGTAATGGATCAATACCATGAGCAGTTTGTATGGTATAGACACACTTTTTCTTATGCTGACTCCAAAGCTGTATGGCTCCACTGTCACTACCTGTTACGAAGTGATTAGGAGGAACTGCTGCGACACAATCCAGGCTTCCCGTCTGATACTCGTCGTTTCTGGAAGAGTCACCCAGAAACTTGAGCTGTGTCTCATCAACCACTCTCCACCACCTTGCACTACGATCTCGCGTACCGACTGACACGCATAGATCCTGTGACACAGCAGATATGGCAGCAACGTGATCTTGGTGACCAAACAAGGTCTCCACGTATGCTAAGCTCTCTTCCCCTGCCAGACTATATGTCTTTATGCTTCGATCCATGCTCGACGAGAACAATTGCGTACCGAAGCCTGAAGTGCTAGATGAAGAAGGTGCAAAGTCGAGGCCTACTACAGAATCTCTGTGCGTATGGAATGTTTTCAGTGGACGTAGGTCGTCTGCAGCCCATATAATTAGCTTGTTGTCGGCTCCCCCTGTCGCAACATATTTCCCATCCTGTGATGCAGCAAGAGATAGTATGGCAGCCGTATGCCCATACTGTTGCTGTGCCGATGCCCGAACCTTGACGCCTTTCACGAATGCGAGCTGTTTCGGCCTCCTCTTCACGCCATCTTGACCTTGTCTCTTTCCAGCGCTACGCGTTCGGGCAATTTGCGGAGACTGTATCTGCCATTTTATCAGAGTCTTATCTATGCTCACGGTATAGACATATGGCTTGCAAACAGCTACACCAGTCGTAGACAAAGTATCGGCTCGGAAATTGATATGATCGGCATTTTGAAAATCAAGAGAATTCGCAATGAGTCGAAACTGCCTTCCTTTCACTTCGTCCACATCTTCTTTCAGTCGCCGCGCAATAATGTCCTTGTCCAAATCTTCGGCATCAAACCCAGCTTCATCAACTTCTCCTTTTATCCTGTCCAGGTAGCGTTGTGCCAAACGGACTCGTCGTTCAGCGCCAGTCTCATCCTCTTCTGACGTCGCATCGGAAGCCTCTAGTGATTCTGAGCCAATATCAGACCCGGAGTCACTGCCTGATATCTCATCATCTCGCTCTTCCTCGGGTGGCGGCTGGTGTGATCTCTCTGTAGTGGCACTTTTTATTCTTCTGTCTGTGCTCCGGTTCTTCTCCACATCTCTTCGCTTGCGCGGTTGAGCCCGATCGTTTTCTGGTCGTTTTCGCTTTCTTTGAGAAGCAGGAGCAGTAAAGAAGGACGACATACTTGGAATCTCGAAAGAGCACGACGTCTTGCTACAGCTGAGCAGCTCGATCGCTCTTGCCTGGACTTTTGAGAAATTTCGAGGCCCACCTGAAATCTGAGGCCGAAGTTCTTCCGCTCGCCGCAGCTGCCGAACGTGGCCTTTCTTCATGGACGACGCGCCGCAGAGGTGCCTTCTGATGCTATAGATCGTCCATATTCCGCCCTCTATCACAACAAGTCAGTAAGCATAGCGAACTTTGTATACGGTTTTTAAGGGAAGTCGTTCCATTCTATCCATTGACTTGTCGTGTGTCGACCCAAGTTAAACCCTTCGAACCACCTTGCATCAACTCTAGGACTAAGCATAGGCTTGCACCTTGATCACTTCCCTCGCATATCCTCCAAACCGCAAGAATGGAAGTCCTGCTAGGAATAACGGGCAAGGACTTTGTTATAGTCGCCGCCTCAAAAGCTGCCATGCGTGGCGCCTCTATCCTCAAATCCAACGACGACAAGACACGACCACTTAACAAACACAATCTACTTGCTTTCTCGGGCGAGGCAGGAGACACGATACAATTCACAGAATACATACAAGCCAACATTGCGTTGTACAGCATGCGGAACGAGACAGACCTTGGTCCAAGTGCAGTAGCGAGTTTCATCAGATCAGAGCTGGCTAAGAGTCTGAGAAGTCGGAAGCCATACAACGTGAATCTGCTGCTAGGAGGTGTTGACCCAATCTCGCGAGAGCCCAGTCTGTACTGGTTGGACTATCTGGCGAGTAGTGCTAAGTTGCCATATGCGGCCCATGGTTATGCACAGTGAGTTAGTGCCACGTCAAAAACGTCAGTTGCTAATGTGATCCCAGATACTATTGCCTATCGATCTTGGACAAGCATCACCATCCAGACATCTCTTTTGATCAGGGTATGCGCATCCTACGCATGTGTACGGACGAGCTGCAAAGACGACTACCGATCGACTTCAAAGGGATGACAGTGAAAGTGGTTAAGAAAGATGGTATCCAAGAGGTTGAGTACGACACGAGCAAGCAGGTATTGAGTGCTTAAAAGACTGGAATCCTCGTCCGTCTAGCAGTGAAGTCATGTCGTATACCTTGGGCGGCACGCTGGATTTGTATCACGTATTGTCTACGAAGAGCTGGACTATATGAGGGCTCAGTTCTAGCTTTGCACTCATAGCGAAGGCGTACTTGTGGCTAAGCAATGATGATGTCAATGAGGACAAGCAGTCAGACACCAACTGCAAAGACGTCTGCCATGTTTTGAATTTCCTGCATCTGGTATTCACTACACCTAAGGGTATCATATGTCGTGTCACATCCTTTCGTAGTGTCATCACACTCAAGTGGTAAAAAAACACGCGAACGTGATCCATTGCTACGAGTATACAGGCGTAGTCCTGTTCCTCCTTCCGTTGCCGTAATTTCTAGGCGGAGCGCTTCTGAGGTCTATCGTAGGACGTGATGATGCCCTTCTATCTCTCTGATGCTGTAGTCGCTTCCGCCTGTCCCGTATTGACTGTGGCGGACCTATCGTATCATCCGTATCATCTGTCGTCGATTCTCGGGTTGATTGCGACCTCGGCTTAGGTCTCGATTCTTGTGCTGACTCAGATTGAGACTCAGACCCTGTCGCTGAATCTGAATTGGTTCCGGCTTCTGACTCTGAGCTTGAAGTTGATTCCGACAACTGCGATCCATCGCTGGTCCCTTCGTCCTCGGCCGCATCCTGACGAGCCTGGCGCATGCGCTCTTGTGCACGACGTCTTCTGCCAAAGTGTGCGACTATGTCTGCATCTGTGTCTTCATCTGTGAATTCACGATCTTCCGGATGATCTTCCTCTTCATCATCGCTGACTGCAATAGGTCGCCGCCGCCGTGTAGGTGGCGCAGTCGGGACATCTTCGTCTGAAGCCCAAACCTGTGCAGTAGGCTCTTCATCATCCGAATCATGTATCACGCGGTGACGAGTGGGTTGATGGCTATTGTGCATGGCTGCCCGGGCACGTCCATAGTCTTCCTGCTGATCGTCCTCTGCGTATGAAGTGGTGTCTGAGTAGGGCGTCGCAGGATCAGTAGGATAAGCGTCAAACTCAGCGCCCTCCATGTCGTCAACATCATCGTCAACTTCGTTGTCGATAAAATCGTCATGCTCGTCATATTGGTCAGGTTGTGAGCCACCAAATCTGCCACTACTTTCCCCATCCTCGCTCTCAGTCTCTACACCATAGAAATGCGGCGTCTCGTTCGGACGTAAGTCGCTCAATGCTACACTTGCCGCGCTGCTTCCTGATGCCAGTCCATCTTCTTCTTCTTCCTGCCCAGAAAAATCAACATCTTCATCATCAGTTGGTGCCCATCCACATCTGTAGCATTCCCCATCTTCTAGTTCCCAAGCACAACTTGGGCAACGAAACACTCCGTCATCGAGATCGCGTATTGGTCGTTCCATGCCTGTTATTGGGAGGAGTGTTTGCATCTTGAATACCCCCTGGAAAAGACCTGCGCCTTCTCGATCCTTGCTCAACATTTGTGCTTCTGCAGCCCTGTCTCTATCATGATCTGCAACTGTCTCATCTTCGGGAAGCAGTTCTGCTCGACCTACAAATAGGTGGGCCAAATCTCGCAGAAGGTAGTTGGGCGCAGGTATGATTGTAACGGTCGTTCTGCAGTCTGGACAGTTCCTGCTTCTGTTCCTTGTGGACGATCCGCCGAACCAGCTTCGCAGACAACTGTAACAATATGTATGGCCACAGCCAAGGATGTAGGGTTCGTAGAAAGGCCTGAGACAAATCTTGCAGAGTGTCAGACTTCGCATATCTTCAATGTGTGTTTGTAGGCTCCTAATGCCCACCGCTTCATTGATCTTAGCCATGGCTCGCAGTGAGGTTGTCAAATGCTTCAAGAACGTGCTGCTATTTGCGCAGCTTCGCGTGAAGGTCCTGGAGCGGCCGCACCTCCAATGCACCCTAGGAGAATGAAGAGTGGTACGTCGATGTCTACACTTGTAGATACTTGTAGATACTTGTAGATGTAGACCCAAAAGCCTAAAAGTGGCAGGCGCGTCAATCTTATCGCCTGAGGCAACAAAGATCTGCCACCTGCATGCTTGTGGGGAAGCCCTACACGTGACTCCGAGTCTCCCTCGTGGTTTCCTTGGCACAAGCAGATTTACCATCAGAACTTCTCAGGCGAGCTCGAGTTCATGCCAGCCATGCAACGGCTGTACGAAATGGCGGTTGAGGACCAGTCACGACGCGAAACCAAGTCCCTGCAGCTGTACTGGTGAGAGAGAGTAAACAGATGCGCTTGCTGGGTCTTCGCAGCAGCTCTAGGATATTGCCTGTAAGTGAATGTCTGTGAACGCGTCTCATCCCTAGCATCAAGCATGTGAACGTTCTCTTGTGTGAGAACGTGTCAAGCAAACAACAATATACGGCTGTTCGTTGCCTTCGATCGCTTCCACAGAAATCATCCGCGACGTCTTTCTAAGAATTTCCGATTTTCCGAGAAGAACTGCAATGGCAGACACGTCAAGGTGAATTACTGCTAGCTATAGAAAGTGGACAGCATTGATAACAGCAATATAACGAGATACCACATAGGTCGCTCGTATAGTCGACAGGATGTATCGATTGCGCTTATGTGGTTAGTTGAGGCTCAACTTGAGCATGCTTGATTGAAGCTTCAGAGATGGAGAGCTTAACAAATGACTATCTGCGGATCTTGTGGTGGTCCAATCGAGCAACACTCAGATGTGAACACACGAGTTATGCATCAAGCGATCTCATACCAACACACTAATTCCAGCACATCTCTACCTGTACGCAGTTTTGGCTAGCTAGTGAAATCTATGAGACAGTCAGAGGGCGGGCTGGCAATGCTTTTCAAGCGGAACAAGAGACCATCGCTCATCCTTCACCACTCAGTTGCTGCTGCAGTCGCTGGCAACACGGTACGAACCATACCCAGGTTCGTGGTAGGCGGCTTGACTCAACGGTGGTGCGAGACAAATCGCGCAAGACGATCAAGAATGTCGTAATGCACTGATTAGACGGCATCTGATTGGCAGCATACGAGCGCGGCAATGGTACTTCCACGAGTTGTCCTAGACGGGAGTCGATGCATGCCGACCTACAATTGAGTTCGTCAGTAACGGTCTGGAAAGCAGCATCTGCGTCACTTTATTGGTCGGCAGCACGTTCTTCGAAAAGCAAACGATAAGCTGCTAGCAACTGCTCAAAGCAGGCCTCGCAGGTAGTGCTGTCAATATTAGTCGACATCTGGGACGAAGAGACAAGAAGTGGTCAGGATACAGCGTGACGCCGAATTTCTGTGTCATACTCGTGCTTGGACGAAAGCGAGGCGCTGCTTGAGATACTCGAAACTGCAGCAACAGTACGTTTACGTACCTACGTTTGTCGGACAGTTTCTACATACCATATCTAAGTACCAGCATATGCCACAAGCATAGCCCAATTATGTATGCCCTGCAAGCTTTGATCGAACCTGCTCTGCCAGCTCATCTGGAAGGAGTACTGTGTTCGTGTCCTGATGTAGAGCTAGGATGGGTTGCTATATGTATGTATAGCCTATGGTCAACGATTGCTGCGGCCGTCAATCTTGCATACAGATGTTGCTATAATTGACATATGGTTGCCGAGCTAAGAGTTCACTGGTAGCCTGGACAAAGTTGAATCCTGGTGATAGGAAGAGCGTATGTGTAAGCGTTGTGCGACACGTGGTTCCGAGTCAAAACGCTGGCTGGAGTGCCTACAAACGAAGCGAATGAGCACAGTCGCTGAACAGGAGTCGAAGTGGAAAAGCACAAATCAGGAGGTGGCTTCAGCACGTCCTTCAAACAGTCTCTCACTCCAACCAGAATCCCACCAGTGCTTTGACGATCCACCAGCTTGAGTTTCCACCGAACTTGAGGAAGGAGCCACTCTGAATTAGGCGCCCGCGCCTTCTTGCCGCTAGAGCACATCCAGAAATGGTCTATCGGACCCCCGTTCCTTCCTAGTCGGCTCCAGTTTGGGGTCGACATCATTTTCTGTTGCCGCTCTGCATGTCGCTTTTTCGTTGTGACCAACAGACATCAACCATTCATATTCTCCCACACACCTCACTTCCTCACGCTGCTCGCTCCACCATTTGCTGCGTCTATCATCTACCACTCAGAGAGCCACTTGAAGTACATTCTGCGTACTTGGTTGACTCGCCAGCTTGCGGCGCCAGTCTCCTCCACTCATTGATCAGTTCAACCGCTCTTGCTTAACTCACTTCTTCTTTCAAGGCTCACCTGGTACCTTCCGCGTGCCGCCTTTCTTGCTTTCCTACCTAATCAAATTGGATTCAGCAGCTCTCTTGTTGCGGTCACGCCGCATCGACCTCGAGTGGCTTTCTCTGATAGATCTGTTCTCCCTCGCCTAATCACTACTACCAGATCTGTTTTCCTCACTTCAGGTCTCTGATCCTGTCGGGACAGCACTTTCAACCTCTTCAGGATCTGGCTGCCGACTCACTCGTTGTCGACGACCATAGATCTCTCCACGTCAAAATGTCTCCGACAGCAGTCACTAAACCAACCCTACCGCCCTTGCAAACACCTCGATCCGCGTCTTTCCCGTCTGAGATGTGCTCAACTCCAATCTCAGCATGTCTCTCAGCCGTGATAAAGCAGGAAGCTGATTTACGGACACCAATCACTCCACCAACAGCTTATACAGACTTCCTCAAAGCTTTGACACCAATACTAGCAAGTCCCCCACCAAGTGCCCTCAACAGGATGAACTCGGACGATTCAATCACGTCCAAAGAAACTACAACCTCGAATCCATCCACCAGCAGTAGCTTCTCTGGAAGAAGCCCAGCTGATACTTTCAAGTCGCCCACTTCAGCATATCCGCCGCCTACACCCCATAGTGCCTCGAATAATTCAAGACGAATGTCAGGGCTGAAGAGACTTAGAATACCACAGCAGCATTCCCCCATCTTTTCCCCATCCACAGCTGGTCCGTCACCACGGACTGCAATGTCAGGTGTACAGAGTGCGCTCTATTCGCCTTTTTCTCCGGCGGACTGGAGTTCAAGCCGCATGTTTGAATCTATTACCACTCCACGATCTGCTTGCCCCAAGCCAGTCAGTGTAAGGAGTGTTGTCACGAGGACAGTTACATACAAGAGGACAACGCCCAATCTCGAACCTGCTCCAAAAGGCAAACGGAGGAAAACTGAAAGCACGACAAGCAGTGTGAGGAGCACCACAGCTGATGCCTCGTCTGAAGACGAGGTAGAAAAGGAAAAGATGCCACCACCACCGTTGATCTCAATCAAGGAATCCACACCTGAAGAGATTGGAGCTAAGAAGATCAAGCTAGAGCCTGAGACAATCATACCTACTGCTGTTCCTGCAACGGCTACTCAAGTGTAGGGCACACCACCACCCATGTCCTACTCAGGTTTGCGCAAAATAGCCATGCCTATACACCTATGACTTAATGAGATATGACTCTTGTCGTTTAACTCAAAATCAATGATACCAGCGGCAGGCGCTCCAAGGAGTTTACTCGAATTTATGTGACTGACCGGCCCAACAACTATCTACTTCATGTGCTTGACAATACCATCCTGGAGATCTGTCTTGTCAGCACAGCGCGTCTCGCTTATTACTGGCCATATTATGGCCTGTTCGATGGGTCTCTCTCGAGAGGGCTAGGAAGGGAAAATATGGCTTCCTTTGTGGTGGAGCTAGCACTACAGCTCTATTTAGCCACTGGGATATTGGACCAGGGAAGCCGAAAGAATCTCACAAGGATGCTGGGGATTCCAGCCAGGAAGCGGCAGTTGTGGTACTCTTCACCGTTCATAAATTAATTGTGCTCTGGGAAAAACGATAGTCCTGCGAGAAAGCGAAAGGATCTACAGAGCAATGAATATAACAGTCAATATGCACACCATATCAGTGTTTATCGCCATCTTCCTCGGGCTTCTCAGGTTTGACAGTGCAAGTAGTATAGTACTAGTTTTCATTCATACCGAGAATGATGCGCTGACAATACAGAAGCCTGAGCTGCTTAGTACCTAACAAGTCTCAGACGAAGCGACTAACTTCATTCTAATCACCTATGCTGCCACCCACGATGTATGTCACTACGTACGAAATCAACCCTCCTTGCCATGGCTGTTTGTACTTTGCATCGGAGTACGGCTGCCACATCAACCGGCTCTATCTCGCTCGTGCAACCGTCGCGACCGGTGTCGCGTCAGCTTCCCGCTTGTCAAGGCTGTCTTTCATGTCAGTTCGTGTCACTATGCATCGTTGAGTTAGCGCAAGGCGTCTTCATAGCAGTGCGTTTGCATCCGCTAGTTCGCTTCGTACCAAGCTGGAAGCTAAGTACGTAATATCAACGATTGGCTGCGCAAGGTCATTAGTGGTGCACAGTACAAGCACGAGAAGTCACTTGCGCGAGGAGAATGTCATACTGCATGGACAGTGGACTGAGCTCAACCGGAAAGGGTTGTCTGTCACTGTTCGCTAGGTGTGAGAGATGGCCTGATCATTCATCCGAATCTGGTTGTATCACTTGATATTGCGGAAAGGACTGACTCAGTGACTGTTCGGAAGGTAAATCTGACTTTGTGTGGTTTGCCTCATCAGAAATCCACACCGGCTTGTTAAGTAAGAAATCTCGTGGATATGATTTGCTGGCTACGTGCTCGTCGGATTCGAATACCCGTGAGCTGAGTGCTTGACGTTGTCTCTATTGGTTTGTGTCAGCCATAGGATTGTCCGGGGTCATCGGGCACATCCAGCTAGAGGACTATTGCCAACCGTCCGTGGCAGCATGTTGATCTGCTCCGTTCGTACCCTGCCGTTGTTGCGTGTGCCCGCGCAGCTTTGCGTTGTGAAGAATCTGATAGTCGGGAATAAGGTTCCAGAGCACGCAAAAGGTGGTGGTATTGGTGGAGGTTGCTCTCCAAGTATCCAATGATACAGCCTCCAACTTCTAACCTGCATGGCTTGTCGGGTGATGACAAAGTCGTCCTTTGTGACAACATACTGTTTCCGACATTGTAAATTCCCCGACTCGGACGTGAAGCCGGATTCTTCATCATATCAATTCAAGTCGCTTGGATCTGAAGCCACAGCTTTGACGAGGCGACTTCTTGTAGGACATATCACACGAAATCGTATGCACGTCATCCAGCCGGTCCGAGCACGCTGTTCATACGCACGAGTATACATGTGATTCGTGGGCGGCAATCAGGAAATATAGTGTGACATGCCCATTCGACAGTGCAGTACGCGCCAGCTCGACGAATCAGAATCGCTCAAAGCTCTTGTGGACACATGAGACTGTACACGTAGATGTGCTGACGCAGATACTTGCTTCATATCACACGATGTAGCAGAGCTGCTTCCGCGTTGCGAACCGGACTGCAAGCTCATTTCCTGTGTTTTATGGTGGACAACTGAGTCAACAAGTCTGCCAACGAGTTGGTGAAGCCGTGTTGATCGAGCTTGCCCGGAACAGAAGTCATGGCCGGCAGCAAAATAAGACCAGACCTGGTCGAGACACAAGTTTGTGCGTAAATCGTCATCGTTGAAGTCGCTCAAGCCGTGTCATGCAGTTCTTGAGAACGAAAACGAGCTTAGAGAATATACGTTCTATGCCCACAGGCGTCCACATTCACACCTTTGGGGTTGTCGTTAAAGCGGCACGAGATCCTCAAAACGATCGACAAAGTGATTGGCTTGGCTGCCACATGCATACCGCAGCTTCGGAACCACACCATCAGGAGGCTAAGCCAAAGCCAATATTGAAACCGCCACTGCTTGAAAGAGCCACTAGAGGCGGAAACATTAGTGAGTTGTGATTCGTTGTCTCATGCAGGTTACATCAGCTGGGCGCTTAGAGATTCGATGCAAAACGTTCGAACTTCCAAAAAGCTGGAAACGCCAAAAGTACGCCAGTGTGACCTCAGCCAATGAGAGCTCACCATTGTGAGTGTTGTCGATCCTTCTTTTGTCGTCAAAGGAAAGTAGAAATGTCAGCAATTCCTGCCAGCGATGATCATGGAGTGTGCTAGCTTCTCTTCACAGAAAGTCGACGTTGTTGATATATACATCGGCTCATTCGAGAGGTGTTTGCTAGGCATAGAGATAGAACATGATTGCACGTCACAGGCTGCTTCGATGCGAACCACGTACTTGTAGTCAAGTCACCGCTGCTGGGATCACACTCTCAACATGCATAGCTCTTCTGAGAGCGTACCTGCAATGCGCTTATCCTGTAGTGCGGGTATAGCTCGTTGCTTCGGGGCAGAACTTTATTCTGCTGTCCATTGCCTCAACGGTAGTCTTCTATTGGCCGTGGTTCTGCGGCACCACATACTCTTGCTTGGTCCTATCGCTCGTTTAATTTTAGCTGTTTATCTCTTTACTCTTCGGCCAACGTGATTGCGTGGTGAACTCGACCACTTCGCAGATGATTTTTGTATTTTTTCTGTCATTTCGGTGTCACCCTCGAATCTGTTACAGTCACACGAGGTGATGTTCCAATTCGGTTACGAGACAGGTTGACTCAAGTCGCTAGAGCCATTCTCGCGAAAGCAAGCTAATCATACTAAGGAACATGGAACTGCGGCACAGAATCACTAGAAGCACTTAGCCTGGATCCGGTGCGCCAGCGCTTTCGTTGCTGCTGGTCGAAAGATGGTCTCAGGTGCGGAAGCGGAAGAAAACCCAAAGTCTTGGTTGATGGATTGCAAGTGACGATCTTGGCGCTGATCGTTTAGACGAGCTGCTTTGCGGTGTGATGAGATCGATTGTGCCTGTGTATTCTGGCGCGTTCGCTTCGAGCTCTTTCTTGTCGAATACAACGTCTTCAGGCGAGCCGAATACGGAAGAGGACGCGTAGTTGGCTTTGCACGGCAGTCTTCGTGCTCGGAGATTTCGTGATGGTCGTTTGGAAATGGCCCTAGAACCGCGGGAATTTGGACTGTGCTAGTGCTAAACTAGTCGTTCGCGCTGCATGATTGCAGTCTCATGTGATTCTCTGGTGGCTGCACCATCTCGTTAGGGGCTACGACGGAGATGGTATGAGAAAAGTTGGCTTTCATCCTGTACGAAGTGCTTGGTTCGGGAAATGAGTTGATCTTCACGGCTAGACTGAGGTCTGAGTGCAGAGCTAGACCTCTACTCCTCAAAACTCCCTACTTTGGCGTGGCACGATGTCGTGGAATGAGTTTGAAACGCGGTACGATATGCGAAAGAGGGCAAAATATGACTTGGTGTCGAGATAGAAGAGATTGACAGCGAGTCGTCGCATATTTTTATTCAGTATCCAGAGGCACCGCGGAATCTTCTTTCAAGGAGCAGCAATATTGTTGTCGAGGGCTCTTACCGTTGCGGCTGTGGTGCAGGAAGGAGGCACCTCTGCAAGTTTATCAGAACGGAAGCTGCTGGTGAATAGCCGAGTTGCTCTAAATTCTTCTACGGTAGCGCAACATAAGGCTCACGAAAATCATAGATAGCGAGCGAAACAGATCATTGTTTTTGAGTTCAACCCGATCATCCAATCAACCCTCTGATAACCTCCATCATTCAAACATTAGAACAACGAACAGACATAAAACTTGACCGTCTTTGACCATTCCATCCACAACTCCTGCCTAAACGCTCGACAAAAGACTTTTTCTCTAGTCCTACACCACTATCCTGTTCTGGCATCAGAGATGATTTTGTAGCTTGCCGTATTGATACTTTTCGGGATAATCTTTGGATACAGCGCACTCGGTCCTGTAGTATTTGGCAGATGGCCCGCATGCCCTGCGCTCTCTCTTGGCCACACATCGTCGTACATTTCATTCTTCTTGGTGCTGCCTGTATGCTCGGTTTCTATCCCATCTTCGAGTCGGTCGTAACGTAGTTCTGGACAGGAATTATTCAACTTTTCGACGATCTTGTCGTTCCAAATTCCTGTCACGATGCCGTCTTCTAGGTGCCAGTAAGGGTTCAGTTGCTGACACGGGCTATCCAAATCAATGTAGCGGAGTTTGACGTGTTGCAGAGCATGGAAAGCAGCAAGGCCGTCGATGGCACCCATCACAAGTCTCTCAAAAGCGTTGATGAACACAAGGTTGCTAATGCCAGCACCATCAGCCATGATTCCACCAATCTCTTCAACAAGGATATCGCCAGTCACTATGTCCTGACTCTTGATGCGCTGACGACAGCAGCTCTTCACCACAATATCCAGAGACTTGAGGGAGTGGCTTCTAGACTTATCGTGCTCAGAAGCCTCTAGCGCTGCGGTCCAGAAGCACTCGCATACCTTGCCAGTGTACGATAGCGACTCTAAACGTGGCGCGATGTGGCCGAGCTGCTCACACACATGGTGTCCACGCTTTTCAGGACTTGACCCGAGCACAGTGTCGTCTTTGCTAAACATACTGTCCAAGCTGATATCGACGTGCCTCAATCCACTTGGCAGTCTCAGCAAAATCTCGTTGATGGTAGTATAGGCTTCTGCCCGGGGCTTAGCGTAGCCGCAGTGCCACTCTGTCATGCAAGGTAGAGCCTCGTTGATTGTATTCCAATCTTCGAAAGATCGCATAATGTTCCAAGCTCCTCTCATAGCGAAGACTTTTATGTTTGGCAGAACACGTAGTTGCTGGTTCATGTATTGACCGAAGAGATTGTTCTTGAAGTGTTTTATCATGTTGCTGTTCTTACAGTGCCCGCCCTCCAACGTAAAGATGCTCGTAGATGGGAACAGGTTGCCGAGGTGGTCGAAGATTTGGTCCAATGTTGCAGAAGAATTGGAGAGTTTGAATTGAAGACCAGGAAAATCACCGTGCTCGTTGGTGCCTTCAAGCAGCCCATATCCTATCTGTTGTTGTAGCTGTTGCTGCTGCTGTTGCCGCTGTTGCTCGACAGAGATGACATTGGCCTTATCGCCCCACACCGGAACCCAGTATTCGATGTGTCTAACGTAGCCAGCTAAGTGTGGGTGACTTTGAAACCATGTCTGTGAGTCTCTCAGACCTACTTTTGTACCTTTGATCTTGATGTGTCGGTATATGCGCTCTTGCACCATGATTCTCATATCAGGCGAGACCAATGCCAACTCAGATACAGCTTTTCGTCTAGGGTGGCGCATCCTATGCGAGAGGCTGGTTGATGTCGACGCCGCGTTGACAGGACGTAGATCGCCGAAAATGTAATCAAGAATTCGATTCTGTATCTCTTCAGGTAAATCGGGGAAATTGGTGTGTCTCATTGACTGTGTAGGATTTGCACGTCCTTCCTCCGCGCCGTTCATCGTTGGATCGGTGGCTTTGTGCTTCTGTGAGTTGAGGTTGTCTTGTATAGTCAGACTGTACGCACTGCTGGTCAGCAGACGTGCGACACCACTGCCCTGGCCGTCTTCTGTGACAGCATGTGTCAGTGGTATCGAAGGGTTTCTCTTTCGAGGTGTCGTGAGTGGAAAATGGACGTCGTTCCTACTCATCCTCTGGCCAGGCGTCGAGTTGGACATGGCTGCTGACAATGTATCGTAGACGGAGCACTCCTCATTCGCAGCTGGAAGTGATGAAAGACGCATATTGGCAGAATGTGGTGTTTGTGTATCTACCGACGATCTTTTGGTCTCACAATCGGAGTTGTAGTAGCATTTTGTACTATTCGGTGAGAGAGTGACAACAATACGTTTGCGTTTGCAGTTCGATCGCTGGCCAACAATTAGCTATAAATGTACTTCATATGTAGCGTGTAAACTAGAAGAATTAATAAGTGATGTTTGGTACAGTACTAACAGTAGAAGAGGCGCAGTCCGTACAGGACCGGCGCCAATCTCCACCTTTCAACACCGAGTGTTGCAACTGCATATCCTTACAAGAACATTTGGCACACGGGACAACCGACTTGACACGACATATGAACTGACGCTGCTTCAGGATCTGACCGCAACAGCTCGTCGTAAAATTTAATAGACTAATGATTAAACACAGATATTGCAGACGAGCCACCATGCGCAAAGGTCACTCCCATATCTTTCACTTGCGGCGGGCCCTTGTTTCACGTGAGAACGGAATGTAGTCAACAAGCATATGACATGAAGAGAACGAGGGTATATTACGTTGTATGAGGACTGACTAATATCCAGTCTCGTATACAAACTTCTTGTGCTCATCCTATCTACTATACACCCCCAGTACTATTGGCGACGGAATCAGCCGTACTCTTTAGTTCACCGTCCTTGTATATCTGAATTGAAACAAAGCTCCGCAACAATCCTGGTGCAGAGCTAAGTGAATATAGAAGCTGTTCGTTGCCACATCTCACTCAAAGATACCCAACGTTCTTGATAGTATGATGTCGGTGAGGCAATGGCTTCACCTTATGTCCTTCTCGTCAGCTGGGCGGAGACGGGCACCGTCGTACCGCCTGAACAACTTGATGGCGCAAGGAACTGATCGAAGTGCCTGCACGGACACCAGCAAGCAGGTTCCAGCTAATGTTTCGGCGCTTAAGCTTCGTCATCGTCTCCAACACGGAGCTGACCAGCACCCCAACCCTCAGACCAGAAGCCGTCCAGGGATGGAGAAGTGCTGGACATGCTATCGTGGGTGAAGAGGAGCCAGAAACCGAAGACAGGCTTGGCGAGGATGTCAAGAATGGCGTAACCAATAATCTCAGCGTCGACACTGACGAGCTCAGCACCTTCAGCAAGACCCCAGATACTGGAGAGACTGTTAATAGCTGCTAAAGATTATCAAGGAGTAGACTTACATTGGGTAGACGGTCCAGAGAACGAAGGTGAAAGCAGCAAGGGCAGCGAAGAAGGCCTTGGTCTTGCTATCCTTGTTGAGAGCGGCATTTCGGCCATTGAAGACGATTTGGTAGATAATGACAAGGTAAGCAATGCAAGCCCATGTGTACCAGCCCCACTTCTGACCATCATTCTTTCCGTACGAAGCGAAGAGACCAGTCATGATCATGATGATATCGGCGACGATGGCAACAAGGATGTTAGCACCGTTGAGGCCAGCCAAGAGTGCGAGATCGAGTAGCAGAAGAGGAGTGGTCAAACTCCAGTCAATGTATCGCGCATAGTAGATCTCTCGGTGAGTGATCTCTGTTGTGTCTGGCAGACCGTGCTTGTGACTGATGGTCTCTGTAGAGCTTCTGAGGTTGATTCCATCGCCACTAGCCATTGCGAAGTAGGAGAGGAAGGCAAAGGTGGTGATGAAAGCAGTCAGAATGTGGAAGAGTCGCTTCGACTGTATTCCTAGTCAGTTGTGCTGATCACTGTGTCTGAAGCGAACTTACAGCCGGAACTCTGTAGGCCATGCCGTAGAAAGCCAACGAGGAGAGACCCATGAGCACACAGACAACCCTGCAGGATGTCAGAAAGTTCAACTTGATGATTAGAAGCCTACCCACCAGAGGGTTCGAGTACCAATAGCTGTAGCTGTGACATAGTGCTCTGATGGTCCAGGGACGACGGTTGGAATTGGAGCTACAGAGCTCATGGCCGACTTAATCATGTTGCCGTCGACAAGCATCTTTGCTATTCTTTATTTCTCGATGCAAATGAATATACAATGCCGAATGAGAGATGGAAAAGAATTCAACTTGTGTGGAAGAACGAAGAGCAGGCAGCTGTTAAGGTGAGTAGAGGTGGAGAGAACAGCCTGTTTTGCGTGGTTTGCGTGGTGATGCAACCACGAAGCTCTAGCCGGCCTGCACCTGCTGTGGCTAAAGAGCAAGCTTCCCTGTTTAGCAGCAACAATGCTGGCGATGTGCGGGGACATGCGCCTGCAAAGTTGCACGCATCGAGAGTACTGGCAAGACTGCATCCAATTCTGACGTGCCGCTGGAGCATGTGCAGGATGTACCACTTGCTCCAACCAATGATCGAGCTCGCTCAGACTTAGCTCACATCTCATACAGCTGTTGGCGGGTCGATCTGCAAGGAAGACATGCAGCAGGAGCTCGCTCAAGTTTGCACTACATCCGAGCGTTTCGAAAGCTCAACTTACTCGACGACTACGAACAAAAACGTGCTGTTTTCCAGAAATCTTCTCACACAGTCACCGTCAAGTACTAGTCAAAAAGGTCATAAAATGTCCAGTGAGTGTCCCTGGCCTGCTGCTTATCAGGATTGCTCGCCTTGAGTTGTTTACCTTAGAGTTTTCGAAGTGTTCGACTAGCGCATTGACATCAGACCATCATCCTTGAAATTCTACGAGCCAGCATATCTATCGAGCAATCACCCAAGCACTAATCTGGGTATTCTTTGCCAGTGGTAGTCTGCACGGCTATTCCAGGCAGTTACAATTAACCACAATCGTGACTATGCATATTGCTATCAGTAATTGTGAATCTCAAACACCCGTAGACAACGTCATGACTCGAGTGAGGCGCAGATAAGGTGTGCATCTTCCAGCCACAAAATTGCAGCGAACTGGCATCCTGCAAACACCTGACATCTTCCTTGCTATCGGGTTTATTGTTGTCCTCGACAAATGGCCTCGGCCAATTCTGAAATTCTCATCTGATAAGTACATGTGCTTCGACTCAGTTCATTGGGTTACAGCCTTCATGATTACCTAAGTGCCGATCTACCCCGCTGAGTGTTCTCGATCTCCTGCACGACATGCATTTGTATCTGGCCATCTGAGTGTATCACATGGCACTTTTGAGGTCTTCGATCGCAGACCACATCCTCCGCTGAAGTTATGTAGGACATGGCTTGGGAGGTATACACAGTATCATTATCTGCTCTTACATGTGCAGTCAAGCGATAGCGTTGACGGTGTTTGTACAAGTCTAATGTTAGATCCAATGCTGCACCGTCTAGAACGACGCCATCTCGATCCAGCTTGACAAGAAGCTGAATTTCCCCAGATCGGCTTTGGCCTCCCAAAAATCTTCCGAGTTGTCTCCGCCAATATCAATATCGGTGCTTTCATCTCTGAGCTTGCGCTTGAACTCTTGCAAGGTAAGTCTGCCATAGCCACCTCGTTCCTTAGCTTCCTGGTCAATGAAACGATGCTGGTGCCAGAAGCCGAGTAGAGCCGAATTGATCTTGATCGTAGGGTTCTCTTTGTCATCCGGTGTAGTCAATTGACTTGAGGCTTCGTTCGGCCGATTCTGAGGAAGTGTAGGATCGGGGATGTCCAGCTGAGACAAAGCTGAATCCAAAGCATGGTTGTTGTCCACCGTACTCATTGATACAGACGGATCATCAGTGGCAGCAGAACCGGCTGGCTCAGAATTGACAGCATACTGCTCGAAGAGTGTCCGTGTGCGTTCCTCGTCCGCGTCCAGGAGAGCTTTCTCCTTCTTCAAAGTAATCGATTTCAGCTCGTCTTCGTAAGCCTGAAGCTCCGCAGCATACTGTCGACGAGCAGCTCTGCTTCTCTTCGCGTCAATTGCTCTGTCCTCTTTGTCCTTAAAGAAATGGTTCAACATCTCATTGAAGGCCTCTTGTACTGCCTCATATATGATTTCAACTCCAACGTCTCGATCTGACTGGCTAAACTCAAAGCCACCCCATCTCTCATTGGCAGGAATATTCCTTGAGGAGATATCTGACTTGCTATCGGCATCGTGATCAACAGCACTGTCATCAAAACGAACCTTGGAGGATGACCGAGATCGAAACGAGGGATGGCCAGAATCGGATTTTATATGCTTCTTGCCTGATCCATTTGTAAGAGAGAGGAGATCGTCTGAACTATCAGATTCCGCATATCCTGCCGGCTTCTCAAGACCTTCTTCGACGTCACGGTAAAATTGTCGCCTCTGCCATCGTTCGTGTACGGCTGCCTGTTCGACTTCGAAATTATTAGTCTCAAGTTCTGCGTACAGACGATGTCTGGAGGCGGCCACGACCCGTCGACGATCCAATGGGTCCATAACGTCCTCTAGCGGTATATCTGCACCAAGGGCTTGCTGTACGTCCGACTCTTGTAGGTGGCTAGCAGGCCAACTGTCTGCGAGGTGGCCAAGCTGATCAATGCCCTCGTCTTGGCTTCTTGGACTTCCCATTATTGAGTCTTCTTCACGTAACATCGGGATTGGCGGAAGATGATGACCAGATACAACAGGCTCGTCCCGACTTTCTTGACTATCTCTCAAACGATGACCTCGAATTAAAGACCTCGTGTCCGACGCCTGCCGGGCAATAGCATCGGCTCGATTGCCCTGCATTCGAGAGTTTTCTTCGAGAACCTCGTCAACATCGCTGTCGAATGTCAAATCACCATTCATATCATGATGCTTCCCATGACCATGTCTCGACTGATGTCCAGCGAAACTGTTACCTCCAAAAGCAGCACTAATCGGGTTGTTGCTCCGTATCACCTCATGTACCTCTTCATCTGTCAAGAAGGCGTCATCTCGACTGTATATCATTTCGTACGTCTGTGTTTTGTTCAAGTCATAGTGAGCTTGTAGCATGCGCAAGAAATCTCTGCGATTGACGTAACCATCCTCATCTAAATCAAATGCTCTAAAAAGCCGGTTGATTCGTGCTTTGCGACTACCATCGTTAGCAAGCTCCGCCATACCTGCTGCAAAGTCCGAAAAGTTGATGAAGCCATTGTTGCTCTTGTCGTAGAAGTGGAAAATTCTGTCGTAGATGAGATTGGGCGTGGGAGGACGGTCAGCTGTCGTAGAGGTAAAATACTTGTCAAAGCTAGGTCTATCTATGACCATGCCAATTTCGTCAGGGTCATCTGGCCATTCCCTGCCTGCAATGCACTTGAACTGGTCGTACAATGCATCTAGATCTTGACGGTCAATATTGATCGTTCGCAATAACCTCATCTTCAATCCTTTGGGTATTGATTCCTGACAGGCATTCGGATTTCCAGGATACCACTTTGGCTGTACAAGCTTGATCTGACCTCTAATTGGAGCAGGTATCCTGATTTTGTAGAAGACATGAGCTTTGTGATGGATTTGTTGATGCTCGCAGGTCTCGCAGAGATCGTAGTCGAAGCAATTGGCGCAATGATAACGAGTGCCCCGAATTGGTTGCATCCCGCAACCATTACATTCGACGCCCCTGTGCTGGTAACCACTCCATTTCGCCTGCTCTTCACCTATTCGGTACAGCAAGTCAAGAATATTTTGACCTCCATCCTGCTCTTGTTCATCCCCAGTTAGAGACCCTCTTCTGCTAGGTCGATTTCTTCCGTTGTCCTGTCCAGATAACGCCTGGGCAATTTCTCTCGGACCTTGAGGTTGGAAAGGAGTATCCGGAGGAAGTTCTTCATGAAACCACATGTCCGCATCTACAATTTCGTTGCCGCGATCGTGCAATTCAGCAATGTTCTTGAAGAGCTCAAGGTCGATATCAGAATTGAGCTTCGATGCCAAAACGTCCGCGTCGCTGCCAAGGATGTATCCGTCTGGAAATTCTTCCTGCAAGAAGTTCTGTGCGAACCTTGCTTGAATGTGAAGCGAGAGTTGCGCACTCAGCTCGGACGAGAGATCATGGGCTTCCACAATAACATCCCGTATATATTCGAGTTTGGTCGGTAGAAGTATGAAGGTTTCACCTTGGGAGGCGAGCAGCTCGTTGTGGACGTAGTACTTGTTGTGATACATGCCGTAGCCTTCTCCAGAGGCCTCTCGCCGCGTCAAATGTTCTAATGCCCGATCAACGGGATCGTAGTCCAGCTCGACTGGCTGAGAACCGTGTCGCCATCTTCGTCTTCGTCGACGCACGGCATTACTGCGGTGAAGCTTGCCGTCAACAATTGACGGCGACTGGTTTGTAGAAAAGTGCTTGTAGCTGAAGTAGAATATGGCTAACGCGGCCGCTCCAGATGCAATGAGTAGAGCGCCGCGAGGGACTCCAGTTTGGTTCTGCATTGCCTTGACATCTTGATGGGATATCAACACTCAATTGCAAACCAAGAGGAGAGTTGCTTCAGAAGAACTTGGGGCGCAAGCACTACCGCAACTCTAAGAATGTTTTACATAGAGATTGAAGCAGGTGCGACCGTAATGTTTATTTGCTCTGTTTGTCACGATAATAGGATGCCGATCCATTGCAGTATCACAATACATGTACTAACATAAGTACTACTCTGTAAAAACTGCAAGTACCAGGTTTGCTTCATGATGCCACTAAACTTTGCTATTCACAGGACCTATCCCAGTGCACATGCAACCTCAATCTGCTGAGCACTGAAGAGTTGTTGTCCACCACATCGACTGCCCCTAAGGTGCTGCTAGTTTTCAGCAAATGCCGGACCTTCAATTCTTGTCAAACGGAAGAGGCGATGCAAAGGGATCTTCGCAAGAGTCCAGGTCCGTGCTGTAGTGGTGTATCTACCACAATATAAACCGGGCTGTAGGTCCTTTCCTGTAGCAACAACCAGGCCTGTGTACTGTCCCAGAATTCCGGCATGCCTAAGTCGTCATTAGTGTTAGTGAAGGTCAAGGTGATCTGTTCTTTCTGTCCACAACGCACACTGCTTGATCCAAAGACCGAACGCCTACGATGAGGCCACCATGCAAAACTGAAGAGAGAAACATGTTTTATACATTTTTGCCGAGAGTCCTAGCCTGCTATGAAGCACTATCAAAAAAACGTGATAGGTACGGATGATTGGATAGTGCTTGAACGTGTCGCCCAGTGCAAATCATGTCGACTAAGTTGGTCCAGCCATTTCGCAGTAACACAACTCGATCCTTACTCACGTAATGCTATGGTTTCCAAGAGTATTGGCGTCAAAATCAATACCTACTACCATCCCGATAGTGTCCTGCAGGTAGATGACCATGGGTGTCGCGACTGCTCGGAGGCCTTGTTGAGTGACGCGCTACTTCGGCGGTAGGCGAGAAGAACAGACTCGGCACACTCGAGAAATTCCTTGGTAAATTGCCGAGATCTTTCGTATCATGCGAGGGTGCATGTGGTTTCTGCTTCATATCTGTCAAAAGAGTATATGAAGGTTTTCCAAAATTCGTCTCGCCTATGCCTTCGTGCCTCCCAAACCTGCGATTGATGGACCATGACGTGAGAATGCGCCATGCGATGATGACCAACGCAACGAATGCGATGCAAGCACCAACAATTATAAAGACGAAGTTTTCTGGCAGATTTGTTCTATGCATATAGGGAGCGTTCGCGGTAGGTGGTACGGAGGGAGGAGGGTAGCTGTAGCCTCCAGATAGTGTTGGAGCATTGGTCAATGATGGAATGCCACTTAGAGAAGGGGCACCAGCGAGCGATGTAACTGGGGCGGAGGAAGCGGTGGACAAACTCGGGGCATTAGTGATCGTGTTCGAACCAGAAGCTGAGGTTGCTGTGGCACTCCTCGACGCTGAGCTAGAGGCGGATGCAGACTCTGAACTGGAATCCGTGGCGGATGCTGAATCTGTGCTCGTTTGACCGATCGAACCGAGAACATTACTTAGATTCGCACCACCGTCAGACTGAGAAGCAGATGTTGGCTGCGCGGACGCAGAAGTTGCGGTCGACATATCGTTGGGGCGTCAATGTGCTTCCCTGCTGCGAGTGGCTGATGCTGCTACCCGTTGACAGCTACACAGCTTGAAGAGGTGGTGCTGGTTCAGTGGTTATCGCTAATTAGATTGCACAATCGAGTGCTATATGCGCCTGAAAAACAGGTGTTTCTGGTCGCCTGGACTCTGAAGTAATGAGGATAGTTGGGAAGTGAAGGGCGGAAGGGTAAGGGTTGACAAGATTCGTGTTTGCAAAGTCGATTTATTTTCGGCCTGCTGCTTCTGGCTACGCGTGCTGCTTGGCCCCTGTAAGCGGAGCCTGATCTGCCACTAATATCCGGCTCTTTGGGCGATCGCATACTACCCAAAGAACTGGAAGCTTAAATTTTGTGGAGGTTCAACCAGATCGTGGCTGCGATACGCAATATTTCGTATCGATAGTCTTTTGCATCACGACTGTCTCTCGTTGCTGTTAACGGTTCTCAGCTACTCGAGCGTTCGCAGTCAGAGATGGGAGTTCAGAAGAAGACCCGCAAGTTCGCGACGGTCAAGAGAATCATTGGGCAGCGTGATGCTCGATTGAAGAAAAACCAGCAGAAAGCAGAAACAGAAAGCCAGAAGAAGAAGGATGATGAAGTGATTCGGGAAGTGTATGTGAGCTTCACTCTGATACCTGTTGCATATTGACTTTGACAGGCCTCAAGTCTCGTCGGCGCTCTTCTTTCAATATAATACTGCACTTGTGCCTCCATACAATGTTCTGGTCGATACCAATTTCCTCTCTCATACAGTTCAGAAGAAGCTTGATATGCTTCCTACCATGATGGATTGTCTCTATGCCAAATGCATACCTATCATTTCAGATTGCGTTATGGCCGAATTAGAAAAGCTGGGTCCCAAGTACAGAATCGCTTTACGTATAGCAAGAGACGAGCGGTGGGAAAGACTCAAGTGTGGTCATAAGGGCGTCTATGCTGACGACTGCATTGTCGACCGGGTACAACGCCACAAGATTTACATTGTCGCCACGAACGATCAGGATCTGAAGCGAAGAATCCGAAAAGTCCCTGGTGTACCTATCATGAGTGTCGCCAGAGGCAAGTACGTGATCGAAAGATTACCAGACGCCCCGGAGAAGTGAGCAACAACCATTTCCCTCCAATGAATGGGTATGAAGCAGAAATTTCCCAGAGTCTATGGAATGCATTCATCAAGATCAGCCAACGAGACACCGTCCATAAGTAACAGCCGTTGATGCATGTTCCTACACGCCCAAAAGCCTAGCAAAATCGAAACAGCTCAAGCTGTATGAGCTCGAAGCCCGGGAAAAAGTGCATGCAGCACTTTACTACCACCCCAACCTATCAATGCAAGACCTATACCCGAAATAACAAACATGGCTGCGAGGACTTTGTTCCTGAGATGGAATGCATCTTCCATCTCTCGCTTCGCCATCTTGCGTTGATGTGAGTGGTAGTAACTGTCTGCTGATCCGTGGCCGCTCAATACTTTGGAATAAGTCTGCTTGTCGATAAGAAAGAGTGAGACGAGAAATGAGATGAAGAGCAGCGGAGTAAGGAGGAAGCGAGATACCAGTGACTCTCCTGGGACATAAGTACTGCTGATGCTGTCTTTCGGGGCTGACATGTCTGTATCGAAAGTGCGAATGGATTGCGTTTGGAGAGTGTGATGTTCAAATAAATTTCTTTATGCCAGACTTCGAAGGGGAATCTGGTATCTGGTGTTTGCGACTGCTCGATCACTCCTCCAGTAGCGGGTTCGTTTTACTATTTTCTTTTCACGGTGCGAGTTATCTGTCTTTGCATCTGATTGTCCCTCGTGCCAATTCCAGCTGCCTTGCGTTTAGTCAGCAATCGTCATCCCGCACAATCGGCTGGGATAAATCCGTCTCCTGACTCCTATGCAAGACTTGGCAGACACGGAGGACATCAATCTCTCTTCATTGCCTCTAACGAGTCTTCAAAATGTATGCTTCACTTCCCTTCAATAGCACAGTGTTCGGGGAATGACACCACGTGGATGCACCGCGAACTCAACCACAACCACAATCTAATTCAAAACTCGACCACCTACGTGATAGTACCATATTTGATTACGACATGCCTTTACTGAGCTCATTCTTGCTCATTGAATCGGCCGCTGCCGCCTTACTCGCCATCTCCGCCCTTCTCATCACCTCTCCTACCAGAGTCCTTTCCTCAACAACCCTCTCTTTATTGGGCAGTTCGATGCACATCCGAACCGCAACATTCATCCCAGATCCTGTCCTGCCACGTTCAGACGGGTCTACCAGCCACTCTTCAAACCCATTGACGTCCCTGACACGTCCACTGAGAACGACACTCACCATCTCTGAGCGGGAGATCATCTCCTTGCTAGGCCTTGTCATAGCCGCAACAGCTTTCAGCACCATCATTCTAGCCTTTCCGTTGCGCTTTTCGAGAGCGGGCTTGACAGCACGCACGACCGACGATGCCAAGGTTGTACGTAAGTCGAGTACTGAAGTTGGTGAGAGCATAGCCAAGCTCAACCTGACTCAGACGACTTGGCAGGTCTTTGCTGGGATGCATGTGATCTTCGCATCGCTGCTCGTTGCATGGATGTACGTTTTCCGTAGCCAGAGAGGCATCGATAGAGTTCCACTATTGACGCAAGATGTTGATGCAGCGAGCCTGCTCGTGAATAACATCACTTTTACAATAGGGATGGTGGACATGCTGTTCTGGGGCTATTTGTACACGACTATCAAAGAGGAAAGAAGAGTGGTGCTGAGTGTTATGGAGAGGAGGAGATCAGAAGATGAGGAAGATGACGCGAACAAGGCTATGTAGAAGTTCCTACGAGATGGACCTTCGTGATTCTACGGTGAACTACGTATGAGAATGACATTCACCCTCGAAAAAAGAGCCCCGAAGACACCAGCATGACCATGAAGGTCACTAACCTTTTGCTCGCTTCCAATCAATCGAGTCTTGTTCACCGTACCATTCGTTGCTTGTCTCCTGCGACAGTCATGAGTAGAGACTATACAGAAAGGCTTCTTTCACAGGCAGGTCGCTTATGGAACCAGCTAGTCGTTTTTGCCATTAGTTTGTCGACCTGATACAGAACGGTTGGAACCACTTAGCGCTTTCGAAGGATTGGACTGGAACCCTGAGGATTTCATCGTGTCAACCAATCCTTGGAAATGTTGCGATTGGGCATGGGTTAGAAGACTTGACAAATCAGCTTTGGAGTCAGGGCGTACAATTAGCTAATTAGACACACTCTGCCTGTAATGCTGGTCCCTGTCGTTGTCAACAAGGATATATCATGAGTCAAATTGAACATCAAACGTTCCGATCTACTACGACAAGTACAGGACAATGTGTCCCATGTAGATATAGCTTCTGAATGAGAATCTCAACTCTTAGAGAAAGACCTGATAGCATGTCTGGCCACGGAAGAAGCCCTTTTCCTGGTCTCGTCGTTGTCTGCTTAGTGGTCGTCTCTCAACTATCAGATCGTGGCCCGTCTCGTCTGGCATGGCATTCTCGGAAAGACAGTGCACACTCAACCACTTCACACATTTGTCATGTAGTCGGAACACGAGGAGGACCACCCGGATCTGAACCAATATGCTGTTCTCGTCTATGCCTTTCTGGCATGACTCATCTCGTCAATAGGCCAATATGCCACCTGTTGCAAGCTTTCAGAAGCCGCAGAAGATGTCATATGATCGCGGCGCGCTTGCCTTCGCGAACAGGCTTTTCGAGTATGTGCATCCGGAGAGTCGTCAATCTACGTTACCATGTTCTGCAGGGCCATCTCCTTGGATTCGTACTTGGTTGGATGGCTAAGCAGAGGATAGAAGGGCGAACAGGCGCGACTTACAGCTTACTGCCAGCATTGGATACAGGCCTGAGGCCTCTTAGCATCGTGGCCCACGGGTAGTGCTAAGCGTCCAAAGTTGTGCAGCACAGGAAAGCCTGCCGAGCATTCAGAAGCACGTGAGAACGTCACAGCTCTTCTGCTGCTGCAACGACGTTGAATCGTGCTGTCATAAACAGACTTCCAAAGAGAGCCAGCAAAACGAAATATTGACGAGCGCCATACGTTGTTGCAGCGAGGACTTCGGTGCGCTACAACGAATATCCCGTCACGATTGTTATGGGTCAGTCGTGGTTTCGGCATTCATGTCCTTTCGAGCTCAAAAGTCGTCCCAGATTGTGATGCCTATGATGCAAATATTTTCAAATAACATCATAATGCACGAATTCAGCACCGTGAGCTGCGCATCTACATTGGAAATGGATGCCTTGAGCAAAATTGACTACCATAGTTCGAACCGCAGCGCAAGGTGACCCGCTTCTCTGCGATAACCTATACAGTCTACTTCCAAGACTTCTAGTTTCCTGCTGGGATGCTTCACTTTCAATCAGCGAGGAGCCAGGACGGAGATTGGCAGAGCTGTGTCATCAGTCCTCGGGCCACGGGTCTTGTGCCTCCCATGTCAGTCACTGACAATGAGTCAATGCTTATTGTGGAGAAAAAGAGCTCAGAGCTCACGGCTCGCAACGTAATCAACTACTGACGAAGATCAGACAAGAATACACACCGCTACTACGTCGACGAAGCTTTGGATGCCAGGGATTTTGGATGATCAAGTTTGGTGGTTTCAGTCCTCTTGTGCCTGATTTGGTTAGTTGATTTGCCTTCTTTCTAAACAGCCATTCTAACCAAAAAGTACAACAAAGCCCTCCAGCACACATACTGCTACAAAGCATATTCGTTGCGGTGCCAGACTCGGAAGTGATACCGGTACGAGATCGGTTGAAGCGACGCTCTCGGCCATGCCCCTTAATGTCAATCGCTAGGCGTTATGGTGAAACTTACCACTCGCTGCATTAGATTTCGGGTCTCATCATTGACTTTCTCATGCACAGCGAGTCATGAGCACGATGAAGGTCTTATTGTTCCTTTTCTACCTGCGCAAAAATCGCCATTGGACGTCGCATTGATGAGGAATACCAGAAATGGCAGGCAGTAGGCGGTGGCTGAGGCAGGCATGGTAGAGCATCAATTGCCTCCTTACAGTCGTCTACCCATTACTCTGCTCCGGGTGTGCCATAGACAATTCGAAAACTTCATAAATGCTGTCTCTTCTCACTGATAATTGTCATATCATTCTCAGTGCAAAACAGCTGCTTCCTTCCCATGCTGCTTACACTTGAACTTTGGGCCTTGAATTTTGCATTGAAAACACAAAACATTCTCATCTTTTTGGCGTCCAAACCTCCATGGCGTATCACGAAAGTCTAGAGTTCTGCCTTGCAAGACCATATCACAACATGGGTGGTGGCGCGCCAAAACCGTCGACACCAAAACCGTCGACGCCGAAACCAAAACCCAAACCGCCCCCACCCCCTTCTCGTGAGCAACCATTGCACATCAGTGACGGTCTGGTCCAAGCCATACTAACGTCGAAAGCTATCGGCTACAATGGCCGGAAGCTTTTCGCACCGAAACCAGCACCTCCAGATCGTGAGTAATCCCAGGTATCCAGAAGCTGTATACGTACTCACACTCACTAGCCAACGGAGATGGTTGGACAACAGCCTGCTTTCATCTTTACATCCTCTCCACGTCAAAGGGAAACCCACAGCCTAAGCCTAAGCCCAAGCCCAGGCCAAAGCCACCGCCCGATGGCACGTAACACCAAAGCTGGCGCTCTGAACCGTGCTGACGAGTTATAGCTGCACATAACCGATAACATCATCCCTATATGGCCGCACATCTGCTTTCGGTATCTTGAAGCGGTGATCTTCCTGTTCATTGAGATGATTAGGTCAAGCGAAGAGTACGCAGAGGTTGGTTAGGGGCAGTACGTTGAGGGAGAGGCAGCTATGCCTGAACGTGGTTTGGCGGGAACGTCGCCGACTATGTCTGTACAACAATCCTCGTGGTGGTGGCGGCGGTTCATTGTGTCAGATGGACGACCTTGCGACTTCTTTCTTAATTGTTGTTTTTAGTTTGGAGAATTCTTTGTGGTGGGAGATTTTGCGGGAGGTTTGTTGGGATGATTTGCAAGTGGTCATTACACAATGTACAAGATTGTTGAATACGTGTAACGATGCTTTTGGGACGGTTCCAGGCCGATGGATGAGACCAGCGATGACGGACAGCAGGACAGCTTGGAGTATTGAGTGTGTTTGTGGGGCTTCACGGTAGAAGCTTTTGGTGCTACGATCGAATTATCCTGACGGCTCTGGAGGTGTATGGTCCTGGTCGGTCTTATGTCTTCACTTTGTCGTCAGGATCTGGTACCACATCTGTAGGGAATACAGCGAGATAGAATTTCCTGAGCAATCTATCAATATTTTGGATGCCGAACTTTCGATCGTTGATGTCTGAAGGAAGCTCTGTTGACAAGCCCTCGAGATCATTCACTGCACCTGTCAGTTGACGGCTCGCACAAAAAAGGGATCTACTCACCGAATGGTTGGTACGATGATTTGAATCTGCCCATAAGATCGAATTGTTTGGCTGCATGTGCACGGACGCGGTCACGAGAGTCGTCCTTGTCCCATTTGCGCGGACCTTCAAACTTGTATCGCCACAGTTCAATGATAAGATCGTTGATATAGTCCTCAATCTCCTGGATTTGCTTATAGACTTCGTCTTTGTCAACTTGCTGACCACGACGGTGTCTAGCAACTGCTTTCTCGACTGCCTTGCTCTGCTGTGAACCAGCCACGATTATCAACACGATAGACGTGGCAAGTAATCTGTCACGGGACAATTTTGTGAATTTGTTGGGTGAACACAGGTCCTGGTAGTACTTGAAGGTAGCTCTCGTTGTGGCTTTGAAGAACTGAAAGAGCAAGGCTTTCAGGAAACGATCGACGTGTATAGGTGAAACGTACATGAATTCGCCGTTGTAGCGGTCCGCAAGACCCGTTCGCTGCAGCACAGGCTCGATTTCTTCGTGTGGCAGGTAGAAACTATGTCCGAGCATATAGACAAGCACTGTCGATTGAAGGGCATTCTTTAGTGCAGGACAGCGACCCAACACTACTTTATGATAGAACTGACAAACATCAGCGAAAACAGACCTGGGCCATGGCTTCCCATATTCTTCTCGAAAGAAGGTAAGATGCCAATCAAGGTCATCATGAGCTTCTGCACACTCGAGCCATTGACGAACCCAGAGACGAAATTCGTTTATATAAGGGACCAGATTACTAGTGTTCATTGCCGGTACAAGAGGAGGACTCAATATTTCTTGTGCCTGGACTTCGAAACCCTGGCCCTGGGAAGTGATTGGAAAAACTGACTTTTGGATGTCCTGGGGTCTTTTCGCTTCAAATCTGATGACTGGGATGGTCAATTCTGGAACATCAAAATATTGATGTAGGCGAATCAAAAAAGGTTTGTTCTCAGGACTTGGATCTGGCCCTGGCATTTTGTGAAAGAACTCCCCATTTTTGAGATCAAGATGGCCGTACATGTCCTCTGTATACCGTATTAGTTTGCGTCGTGTACACCGAAAGAGTATTTCACCCGTGAACAAGTGCTCGTGCCTGGTTTCTGGAAGCTCGTTCATGCAGAAAAAGTCCAGAGTACGTTTGCTCTTGCTTAGGCATGGACGGCATGGGCGTTTGTCATCACACTAGCTCGAGTAAGAAATTTCCCCGAGACTCAGTATGACATTTACCTTCTCCTTCATCACATGACACCGAGCACATGCCCCCATGAGTCTTACCCGTCGTGCAGAGTCTTTTGCTATGGGAGTTAGTGCACGCTTTCGACCTCGTCCATTGAATACCTCATCCACATCGCCGGCATCTGGAGGAGCATCAGGAGGAGCCCTGTTTTTCGGAAGCAAGAACCTCTGCCGCGGAGTCCGCGCCGTGGATCCCGGTGTTTGTGAACAATCCCAAACTTGTCTTATAGGTAAAGGACCGCCGAAGTGTGCAGAAAATGTCGTTTGTTGTGATGTTTGTGTAGTCGGAGGTTTTGAATAGTGGTTACTAACATGCATATTCTGCTGAGGCCATACAGGTACATGCAGAGATGTTGCTGCTGAACAAGTCAGCTTCACAGCTTGGAGAGCTCGGTTTCACGTACCAGAATTGTGCCATGCTGGCTCGAGGTTGTTTGTGGCCTCTACTATTGTCTGCTTCGTAAAAGACGATGGGAATTCTCCAAGATCACCACACGTCGCGAACTCCTCTGCTACATATGCAGACCAGAGATCCTCTGGCGGCTGGTCATCATCGTGATGCTCTGCTGGTTTCGTGAAATGTAGCTCAGGCAAAAGTGCAGGACTTGCACTGTAAAATGCTAAATCAGAAGCTTCCCCACCGAAATGATACATAAACTGTTGAGCTAAATAGCTCGAATTTGGATGTAGTGATCCGAGATTGCTTTCCTGTCGACTAGCAACTCGTTCTTTGATTCCATTATCGGGGCGACCGATGTTCCCTTCCAGAGAAGTTGCCGATCTTGGCTGTGTCGTCGATGACGGTTGCGTCTCGACAACTTTTCTGGTCATTGTGATCGCGAATTCTGTTGCAAAATTTGGAAGGAAAGCATTCTCTACATAGGCACACTTTATACTCGTTAATCTGGAATCAAGACCAGTTACCGTAGCACGGCTCACACGGTAGAGATGGTAGCGAAGACCTGATTCGCAAGTCCAGCAATGACGGTGAGCGACATGCACCAATCAGATGTTGAGTACACATCAAAATGGTCTAGGACATTCGTAACACGACAAGAAGAGTTCGGGGAAAGAATGTGCATGACATTGTCACCGATGGCCGGCATGGAGAAGGGGTTCTTGACCAGTCACCAACGAGCTGCGAAGCTCTTGGTTGAACAAGTTTGCACAGCCCGAACATGCTTGACGGTATATGCAAGGCGCTACTTGCGCAAGCGACAAGCGATAGCGCAGGCCAGAGAGACGTGGCTTTCACGAAACGGGACTTGCATCGTCTGGACTTCTTTCTTGTAGAGGTGTACTATTAGTATCGTTCAGGTGGTACTCAGCGGCTGAGTCTCCTCCGGAGCATGAAAGCGACTATATGCACGGGAAGTATGGTCCGACTTATGTGCAAGAGGAGAAATTGAAAAGAATGTGGTGGAAAATAATTGAACTCTGATCCACCCACAGTGGTAGAGTGGCGACGGGAATAACGTGAACCTCGTTACAGTTTTCTAATCAGATTATAGGCACTGTCTCAGGGCTCGAACAACTATAAGTGGTGCTGGAAACACGGTACTCCTGGGGACACTACCTATCGCAAAATCAAGTCAGGAATGTATGGCGAGGCTCGCATCATTCTTATCACCGCCCTGAATGGGTGAAGGAAGGGCGCTCTTTCCTCAAGTTCTCACCAGCGTTCTAACAAGTAAGATATAGTTTGAATTAACCCTTGTGCTAAGTAGAGAGATCATTACCGCTGGCCCGGCAAGAGGACATCCCCCATGCCTACCATGTTCGTCTCCTGTGACCAGATTTCCATGCAGGCACCACTTTAACCGATGAAGTCATGGCAACAGACTCGATCGCAGACATCGTCACACTCCCGCAAGGCAAGGGCTTTTAAGGCCCTTTTGCTAGTCACCTGCACTCTGGAACAGATAGAGTTCGCACGAAACCTTTCAGCTTTTCGGGGCCAAAGGATAAATTCCACGAATGCGGAGACTCCGGGGACTGCTAGTAACGTCGCAGCTGTCTCCTCCAGGCAGCAAGCCTCGAGGTTCTCATTCTCTATGGGCGTCGGTTATGATCTCAACACTGAACATGTGCGTATCTGGTGATGCCGTTGCATTCAATGTTGTGTAGCAGGCGTAGGATGAATAGGGTATACGGAGTAGACGGGTAGGGCTGATAGAAGTGTGGGCAGTCGGCCTGTGTTGTATGTAATGACCAAGTTACAGGTTGTATAGGTGAGACGTAAACATTATAGCAGAATACAACTCTTCTCCACAATACGCCAGACTCGCAAGGCATACACAAGGCTTAGGTCATCTACGACCAATACTGTGCAACTTCTCACTGCAGTGGAACACCGGGATGATTTTAAATAGACAAGCTCGAATCGTGTCATGCACAACTCGGCCCAAGGGGCGGTATTCACTTGTATTTCGTGTAATAGATTTGGGGGCTAACCGGTGAGATGCCGATCTCTGAGCTTAGCGTCCAGGCTGATTGCTCCGTTGTGTATCGGATTGATTCACATCCATCCAGGCCATATCACGAGTCACGTACTACCGGTACTGTGTACATGCTAAGGTGGTAGCGTGAGAGAGCCTAACTTTGGAAGGGAACAGTTCTTCAAAAGGTCGATGCATCTCAAGAACTTCGAGGTATTTATCTCTTGCCCATCGCTCTGCGCTCCAATTTCCCACGTCATGCTACGCCAAGCAGCCCTCACTCTTTTTGCTTGATCGTTTCTATGCTCTCCAAGCCTGCACAAATCTCATTCCTGGAAACGATGTACACAATCAGCACTGCCCCTTTAGAGGTATTCTTCCAGAAGCTTGCCTTATCAGGCGGCAATGTGACCTTACCTACATCGAGCCTGTTGCCCACCCACACAATCAAACATTCACACACGCTTCATTCACTTGTCTTGTTGAGACATATTCCAGTGTATGACTCAACCTGGAGAGCATTGCCTTGGTGCCTTGGAGTCAACCAATCCTGTCCTCGACTAAGGGTCGCGAATCCAACGATGAGGTTCGTGAACCTATACGAGCTTCTACACATTTCCTCTTTCATTGCACTTCTGCTCTTTTGCGTCCCCACAATGCTCTTTTGTAGCGTCTCTGCTCTTAACATTACCGCTTCAGATCGAATGCTAGGCACGAAACAGTAATGCCTTCACGGATGTCCACAACCGCCCCACCCAATCTGCTCGTTGCCTGGCGTCCTTGTTGCTTGTCCATGTCCACTGGGGCTCTGCCACAAATCACGCACCTCGACGTTGAGTTTGCCCTTCTCCGTATGGTTGCTCTATTGTTCATCTTGCTCGACTTGACTCCCCCTAGGCTGACTGACATTTACCAAAAGACCAATGACTGCCACTGGTTCACTGGAGGTCGATTGATGACTCTTGCCTACGTCAACGCCGACACTGGCCAGTTTCTCGAAGCACAAAGTCCCTCCCGCTTGGGACATGGCTTTGCCAAATTTCCCTATGCCGAAGCCTGAGTTGCGAGGCAGCAGGCAAATCGAAAAGTCCAATTCACCTTCGCAGCATATACCTCTAAGTCAATGAACTTCTGTGTGATTGTTGGTTAGTCACAAAAGGTCTCTTAACAGAAGGATTGAATTATATAACCCATCCTATCTGTGCCTCCTTGTCGTTATGTTGAAAGGACACAAACACAAGGCATATAAGTGAGCCCATCTCACAATCCAGCAGCGAGACTCTCACATAAAGCACACACACAACTCAGGAAAGACATCACCTAGAACGACCATAGCTGAGACATCAAGCAACTATCATGGCTCATGTAACGAGGAGTCTTCGAAAGGGCGACGGAGACGAAAAACCGAGACCCATTGTCGGTGAGTACAACGCCATTCTTCATGAGGTAATAGATACTAACCTGTCAGCTTGGGACGGACCAGTTCGTTGTCGGTCAATGGCAAAAGGCCCGAAGACATCGCCGCCACCACCACCACCAAAACCTAGGCCATCAACTGCTTGGAACTGAGGCTTTGAGATCTGCCCGTAGTTGCTGGTCAACAGCGAGCACTTCGAAAGCCGTGGCAGCTCATGTCGAAACAAAATCAATCACGGAGGAATGCATCGTTCCCAGTTACACTAAAAACTCAACAGAACGTGACAAGCTGGGTCTTGCCGCAACAAAGACAATGGTTGTTTGGATGGCGTTTGATTTTGCATAGCGGGAAGCGTTGACTGGGAGCGTTCAGCGGGTAGGTTGTTGCTGGATTAGACATGGTGTTTAGAATGTGGGATAGACGGATGACACCTTCACCGGGAAAATATTGTGGCCGTTACCATTTGTAGAGAGGGACATGTTCCATACCAAGAAGATTGTGTAGCAACACCAGGCAGAGATCGTGTATATTATACATTCTCCAACACCATATATTCCGTCATGTTTACCAGTTCTTGCATGTCTTGGTCCTCTTTCGGGCACGCATGATATATGATGTGGCGCATGCTGATAGGTCAGCCTGCTTTGGAACTTGTTAGGTACCGCGTGTTGGTTTGTTCGAGAGGTATCTTGCGAGCCAGATAGCACAAGGACGCGCAATCCTACGTTCGTAAAGGACTAAACCTCGTGAGATCTTAGTCAGCCGGTGATTATAGATGTATACAGTGTTCACCAATCTTCATGCTATGGTTTTTGCAGTTTTCCAAGTATGCTGTAGAAGCAATCGACATTTAGAGAAGAGCTTGGACAACATGGGATGTATGTTCCCGGATGTTCGCCAACCTTTTAGGGTCGTCCAAGTAGAGATGGATTGGATCGTGTCAGACGCGTTTGTTATTGACACAAATGAGACACCGTCGACTATGGAGAAAGGTACGGCTTGTTGAGAGGAGACTTCACGGACACTGGTGACATCCCAAAGGTTGAGAACTCTGTGCTCTCCGGACATACAACGATTGTCTTCGAATTGCCAGTTCTACACTGGGTCGAATGGCAAAAGTATGCCTGAGCAGTTATCGCTTGAGCTTTGCTGCCTCAGGATAAGAACGAGTAGTCTATACAAGGTCCGAGAGCGACGGTACAATCACGAAATGGTGCAATTGAGTAGAAGAGAGAAAGGATTTGTAGTAGAACGCGTTCCTTCCCCTGGCCTATACACTACTCATGGTGTCAAGCATATAAGCATTGGCAAGCGCTTCCCGTCGAATTTTATCCCCGGCCCATTCTGCAATTGTCGAGCTCAATCGGTCTCTATGCCTGCCCTTCACACTCCCTAGAGTGATTCTGTCTTGAGTACCTTTCCACCTATGATCAGGGGTTGCTTGTTGCTAAAGTTTGGGATATCCTCCATAACATCTTTTGTCTCTGGTGCTCCGACTGCCTTGTAGAAGTCGTCTTTGTTGTCCCAGATAAGCGTTGCCTGGGTGCTAAATTGAGGCTTGCTGCCGTCTGGTCCTCCAGCGAATTGAATCACTTCCCAGCCCTTCAGACCATATTGCTTCCATTTCTCGGTGACGAGTGGCATGTGGGTGCTTAGGTAGTAATCCATGTTGAAAGTGGCACCTTCATCGTTTGGATATACAACAAGGACTTTGACAGACATGTTGTTGGTTGTTTGTGGTTCGTTCGATTAGGTCAATTATAGGGCTAAGTTTCCAGTGCTGCTGCGTCGTTACAATGTACCTCAAAGAGTAGAAGTCTGGAAAGTTAGCACTTTATAGCAACCAGATTCTATCCAGATCGTCGCATGTTCGGACATTGAGACGAGGGGCTTCCTACAACACATGCTTTTGCGGCTTCACTCTCCGCACCTGCTGCTGGTGAGCATAGTCAAGTTCCGTTCCGAACCACAGACTGAGCAGGATCGCGGGGCACGTTCCTGAAACCTCGGTTCTACGGACTACGAGTATTGGGGAACGTGCTCGATATGTGCGGTTGTGAAACTGACAGACTTTCGGACAACCGATCAGTTCTTTCGCGTCAAGATCAACAAATCAAGCAAATATAATTTCTCGACTTTAGCAGCATAAATTCTCGAAATTGAAAAATTGAGGGAACGGATCTCTGGAACGTGTACGAATACAGAAGATCGTCACACCGCTACACGCTTTGCATCAATGACTAGTCGAAGACTGCATGAGAAATATAGTTACATCCGGACGTGCAGCACAAGCTGCAGAGAAGGTGAATCCAAGGACTGTGACGAGGCAGACTTGAACACGATATTTGTTTCAGCCCAATGAAAGGATTCTGCCTTGCCAGCTTGCCCCTCAGCTATCCTGGCTATGGCAACGTTACTCATATGGTAATACGGTGGCACAGCTTTACGTAGTGTATGTAGACGAATCGCTTGCGGCTCCCTTCCGAGACACAACTTCACATGAACACGACTGTCCCACTACAAAGACCCTAAAGAAGTCATGATCCATCCTCACAGGCGAGCTTGATAGGAGATCTGGACAAAGCGCAACCGGAGTGGAACGCTTCCCGTTCTTAGGCGTACAAATTAGCGTCGTCCCAGTATTGGGAGCAGTCGCAGAACTTCATCGAAACCTCTGCGAACCAATCTCTATCCATAGTCTTGACCACTGGACCGCTGACACCGGTTGCTCAGTCTCGCTGACAGCTTCTCAGCTTTTATGTCGGGCGCGAAGTGCTTGCTGTTCCTCTAGTGATTAGTGCACGCCCATTCATGGTGAAACCCGTGGCCGGCATGAAGAACGATGAAATAGCCACGAATCTGCCAGTATCGTCGTGGCAATTGACAACCGGTGAGTGAAGTACCACAGTATGCGCGTTGACCTAATTCTTGTCTACACGTTGTTCCATCGAATTTGCGTAATGAATTGAAGATTGGATGGATATAAGATTATGTCGGTTGCCTGTCTGGCTCAAGTCTGCTTGCGTTTCTACTGCTAGGTCAATTCGTCATGACTCAGCTAACTTTCAAGCAGAGACCAGCCTTGGCCGTAAGGCAACTGCCCAAGAGTCGAAGTTTGACACCGGAGTCTGCCTCAGAAGGCGATGACCAGGACTTCATGGCAAGAGTCAGGCGCAGTCCGAGCACTGGGCGTAGCAGAAGGCGCGGATCAGAACAGCCAGATTACCAACGAGCCATCAGACCAAGGGCAGCAGCCTCCAATGCAAACCTCCCAGCTTTGCAACAACCACTCTCTCATACACCTTACCAATCAGCTATCAATGTCACCTTCCGTGGACTACCGCCCCCTCCTCTGCCACAACTTGCAACATCTCAGTGGACGTCCAAACCACTCAACTACGCAGAGACACAAAGTCCAACAAGTTTAGGCACCCCCGAAAGTTCGACGTTGGCACACAAGGCGTTCGAGGTTTCCTCTCCGTCCACAATCGACAGGAATCGAACTCTGTCTCCTCTCGAGTATACTCCGGCGCAATCCATCTCGTCACTCGAACAACCTGGCAGTCAGGATGGCTTTGCTGCCATACTGGACAGCACTCGAAAGCGCAGTGACAGTGACTTGACCAATTTTCTAGACAAAACACTGCACAATGGTTCGTGCAATACCACCCTCTCCTCTTGGTCATGTTAACAGTGACCTGTACAGGGGCCGTCGAACCGTTGGCCGGTGTTGATGCAATTTGCGATGGCGACATTGGTGATTGGCCACCTTCCAGGATGCACGAATCCACCCCTCCTTCCTCCATGATGCTTCCCTCCGCTCTGTTGCATGTACGCGATCTCGATGAACCCTGGTCATCTCTGGAACTAGAAGAAGGTTCATCTCCTGCCGGCTCCACATCATCCCGTCCTGCTCCCTACCCGCAGCGAATTACAGAAACACCTGCTCCTCCAGTCATTCACATGCCATCGCGCGGTATTGCTAGAGCCGGTCGTCGTCAAGGACCGTTGTCCCACGAATCGCGACAAAACGCCAATGATGTACGTAAGGAACGCTCCTGCTTAAGATGCTTTGTCTACAAGGAAACATGCGATACCAGCAAGGACATCTGCCAAAACTGTTCCAACAAACAGCCTCGAACTTGGAAGCTGGGCTGCGTACGACCACGCTTGATGTTTAGAACTCAATACCTGCTGCCAGGTAGGAACGAAACAATCGTGGAAATGGCCAAGTGCTGACGAACTTTAGATATCTTAGCGAGCCGCCTCGAACGCAGATATATTGATTCCTTCATCCAGCACAAAGGATGGACTTGTAGAGATAAGCCGCGCTTTGCTCTCCCTCTGGAAATCGGTCTTGGTCCGGATCTGGTTGTTCCAGTAAGAGAATTCCTACCTGTCGGCGATTCCAATCGGCCAGCATATTTACCTGTGGACAATGGCAAACAGTCGACTGCCGTGCAAATTAGCATGTATGACCTACCTGTTGTTATCTCCTGCGACAAAGAAGAAGAAGCTGCCAACCATATTCGTCATTCCTTACTCAAATGGTTTCAACAGACAATCGACTGCACTCACAATAGCGACTGGGCGTGGCATTGGTTCAAAAAAGGAACGGACCTCTTTGCTGGCAGCGTCATGAAACTCATCTGCGAGTACTTCCAAGCCGCCATGCCTCAACACCGCCTTCTGAAAGAGGCTCTGGCCTTGTCATTCTTCAACTACATATTTATCTACTCGTTCAATGTGCGTGAGGAACATGTACCCACGTTACAACAACGCATCGAGGCCCGAATACCAGACGGGGCAGAATATATCAGTCCATCCATCATCAATCTCTACATCAAGATGTTGATGTTACCACCTCTCCGCGATGTTGTCAAACGCACCCTAAAAGGACTTGAGCTTCTTCTGCTCGAACAACAGAATGCTAGAATTTGGCGCCGCGATCTTATATTCTGCATTTCCTTCATCGTGCTTGCTTACCTTGGACGAACTCAGGTCTCAATTGTTCAATTCGCCAATCAGCCTTCATGTGATGCTACAAAGGTCTTAACTCATCAAGCCGCAACACAACAGGTTCTAGAGATGGAGTGCGAGGTAGCAGACCTTATCATAAAGTATCATCACCAGTTTCTGACCCCCAGCCCACGACGCAAGGCGTCTAGTGTTGTGGCGACGGAGGCTGAGCAAAGCTGCGAAGAACATGCTAAACGGTTCAACTTGATGGACAAAATCAGGAAGCTGAAAGTCGAAACAGCCCATACAATGCCAACTTCCTTGGATCCTCAGTGCGAAAGGGTTGGCGATTTCATTGCCAACAACACCAACCGGCTGTGTTGGAAATTCGTTCATAACGTTGTACCTGAACCAGGCCAGAGGCAAGACGCCGACACAGACATGACCCTATGATACGTTAACCAGAGCCAGACTGGTGATGAATAAGTACAACTATAACAACTCCATTCTCAACAGTAAATGTTCTGTGCTGAAAACAAATGGAGCGACAGTCTATGAGCTAGTTTATCGTCCGTCACCTTGACAGAACACAACAGGACCAAGATTTGTGCTCAAAGAGTTAGACACTCGTTCGAAGCTCAAAGACGCACGCAACACTTGGACACACCACTAAACACTGATGCACAGCCTGTGCGTACCAGTATGTAAATGAAAGTCATTCCCGAATCGTCAGTAATGGCAACACATAGCCAGACCAGCACTCTCCCACCGTAGAGGGACATTATCATCCAGGCCTCGACCTTCGAAGACAAGGAATAGCACTGTCTTATTCTAGCTAGGACACGGGCCTATGTGTTCCGAGAGGCACATATCTTTCACCCTCCACCCGGCAACTGCTACCACGTGCGGGCCCAAATTACTCTGGGACTTCTTTGCGTCCCCTTGACGGCTGCACTATACCTGAAAGAAAGTCCGGTTTAACCATAAATCGTCAAAACACACATCATCTCGATGATAGGCGGATATTAAAGAGCATACATAGACTTCCGTGCCTAATTACGTTCATCTTATGACACACACATTCGACGAGAAAAAGAAGGCTCATTCGAAAAGCACAAGCCGATAAAGGAAGCAGCGGAAAGCAAGCATGAAGAGACAGCAAAACTCGAAGATAGAAAAGCTCTGTGTTTGTGCACCCCCACTTCCTCGTGAAATTGTGTGACTTCGCTTCAGCCTTACAAATGTGCTCGTTCAAATATTTACGCCTGGTATCTCCCTCTCATTTCTCATAGCAAGTCATGTACGCCAACCGCACCCTTCCCAGCCGTGGAAACAGCAAAATGTCCTGAAGTAAAAAGCCAAGCATATACAGCACAGCACGAGCCAGCCGTGCTCGTGGAAAATTCCTTGCAATGGCTCTCACACCACGATCGCCAATAACTTGCTTCAAGTCACAAGTATTCCATCACACGTCCACTGTAAGGGGTGGATAGATTCACGACAACAATTCATTAGCGAACCAGTGTATGTCGTTAGTGCCAAATCTTGCATTCCAACAACCTCGCTGGCGATCAGACCTCCGTTTCAATCCCCTGTCCCTTCTCGCTATGCTCGAACAGTTCACCGACCTTACTCTTCGCCCTCTTGGCCTTACCACCCGCCCAATCCAGAGTCCGCACGCTCTTCCACTGCATGATTCCACCATGCTTCCGATGCTGCTGCTTGTGATTCTGTTTGAATTCCTGTATTTGTGCGCGTAGACCACGATGTCCGTTGTTGTTGATGTCGTGGTCGCCGATCACTTTATCTGTCATCTTGGAGAGACCGGTCTGCACCTTGGCGACGGGCGCTTTGATCTTCGAGAATCCACCCTCTTCGCTGGATTCGAGATCTGATCCGTCATCGGAATCTGTTCTGTTGGTGTGGGTTCGTAGTTTTTTCTTGGTGGCCTCGTCGGGATCTGCGTCTTTGTCGGATGGTCGTGACATTCGCGAGGATCTGCCGTTCTCTGTTTCTGTGCTGTTGCCGTCGTCGGAGCTGTCGGAATTTTCGGAATATTGGTCTGCTAGGTCCTCGTCGTTGATCGTATCTAGACATTCCATGACATTCCTGACATCGGCGTTTTGGCTCTTATTAGCGTGACGTTTGTGGTATCCGGAAAGACCTTTCCAGAACTTGAGAGTTATTTCGACTTCACCTAGTCCTTGATTGTCGTCCTCTAAGCCCTGGTAGTCACAACATGCTTGGGCACGAGCCAAGTTCTTCTTTCCTCCCTTCCACACACGAAGCGTTTTCGTTTCTTCTTGATCGTCGGTGAGCTCACTGAGCCATAATACACAGAACGCTGGTGTTTTGTCCGGACCTATGACTGACTTGCGGAACTCGATGGTCAGGGGCGACGAGTAGCGGTTTCGAACGGCCAGGAAGACGCTGTCGTCCCCGTCTTTGCTGCTCGACTGCCACTGCCCATTATGGTGACCGAATTTGGTCTTGCTTAGATTTGTCCGTAACTTGATTCGATCGTGCTTCAGACTCTCGTCGAGTTGTCCTGGTGACCGTATTGCACCCTTGATTTCAAGTGTGCCATAGTCCCAGCCTCGCAAATGTGGAGGTAGTTTGAGATCTACACTTCGCCATACTAGACTGATTCTCGCTCGCCCGTATCCAATTCCACCCGCAAGCGGAAACATGTCCATGATCTGAGATCGTTTTGAAAACAATTTCCACAGTGGCAGATACACAACGCCAAGTAAGGCATCGTCCTCTTTTTCCCGACTGTCTCGAACACTGACGATGAGCTCACAAGTGGTCCAGTCCTTGACAAATCTTTCGGTTCCAGCATTGAAGAAAGGCTTAGCATTTCTCGGCTTCGTTCTTGTTTTGTAAATCTTCTTATGATTTAGCGCGATAGTACAATAGCTGTCTGGTAGATGAGTGTCGTCGTTGTCTCCCTCGACCTCAAGATCGTCTCCATCCCTACTGCCCTTTTGCGACTTCATCACCTCCAGACCAGTGATGTTGTGTATCTGAATGCTCAGAATGCCTGATAGGTAGTCCTTGCTTGGTGGTGCTGAGATGATCATGTTGTCCTCTATCTCTTTGTAATCGGTAACTTTTTGCTGGTGAAGCTCATCATCGTGCTCAGGGTCGAGGTTGGCCTCGCGTAATTTTCGTTCCGATAATCGCGTGACATGCTTCTCAAGTTGTTCCTTGGAGCGAATGTCCTTCTTGTATGTCTGTTGCTGTAATTGCTGCTGCGTAATTCGTGTCTTTTCGAAATAGCCGACGGACCATGATAACGAGCCAGGCATATCTTCTTCTAAGTCCGAGCCCTTGAACCTATCTTCCCGATCGTACATCTTGCCTTTTGTTTCGGGATTGTGCATCAGATCGTGCAAATCAACCTCCACACGTCCGAGATCGTCATCGTTGGTCCACTTGTCGGAATCCCATAGCTGCAGTCTCAGCTTTTCGCCGGCGTTGAGTTCATCCGGTGAGACCATTATACTCGCCCATTCGTGCCAGTTTGGAGCTTGGTCGTCTTCAATGACTCGAGTCGAAGCTACAGGCTTGCCGAATTTGCCCCAGGACACTGTGACATAGGCGTCGCTAGCGCCTTGGATGGGACCAATACCGCCATCACCCTGTTTGAAATCACGAGCCTGTCTGATGAATATCCAGACTACTCCCCTACTTGTAGTATCTTTTTTGTAGTCCTCGCCCATCAACATATCCTTCACGTCTAGAGTCAAGCTCTTCGGAGCGACATATTCGGCTAATGCAGCATCGATGGCGGACTGGACAAAGGACGAGATCAAGGGCACGTCCATGAGGTTAAGGCTGTGTTTCGATAGTGGGACGCAGGATAGATCGGCTTTTGGTTGGCCTAGAAATGTGAAGGTACAGACGCTGAAGAAGGGTGGATCAGGAGTAAGTTGCATCCGGACGCGCATGATGCCCATAAACCCCCGCAACTCTACCCAGACTGGGACAGCAATACCACCTGGCAGGTAAAATTTGAGGTATAGATGGGCGTTCTTGGCTTTGCTTGCGATGGACTTGCCAGAAGAACGAGCTCTGTAGGCGAAAGCAAGTTCCATATTCACAAAGTCACCTTCTTCGGCTTCCATACCAGCACGCATCGACTCCTGCTCTTGTTCTTTCTGTTTCTTGTCCGAGTTCTCGTTGTCTCTCATTGCATCGGACTTGTTTCCTGGGTCCTGTTCGTCGGCTTCGGCGGATCGGTCTTCCTCACCTTGACCTGGTACAGTTCTATCGTTCGATTGATTCTCGTCTGGAGTCATGAGTTGGCCTTTCTCATTCACGGACTGGCTCGCGGCACCAGTTGGAAGCCATTGAATACCAAGAATCTGTATTGCTTCGCTGCCTTGCCCCATATCATCGACACTGACCATCCTTACGACCTTCGGCAAGGAAGCCTGCATAACATCTTCAAGGGTGTCAACGAGTGCTGCGAATAGATCTGGATTGATTAATGGCCAAACGGAACTCAGCCAGCTATTGAGCCAGTGAACAGACTCGGGAAGCTCCGAGTCGGAATTAGCACTATCTCTCTGCTCTTGCCTAGCAGCATCCCAAACCTCATCGTCCCACATGCCACTTACCTTTTGGTCGAGCCATCCTCGAACAGCATATACGATGAATCCGCCAACTCCAGCAGAGAGCAACAGTAACACGAAAAGAAGTGCAAAATGCGAGCGCTGGGAAGCGGTTGGACGAAAGACCCCAGAAACAATTACTGTGACAAGCGCAAGGCCCAAGACAGCACTCAAACCTGCGGTAAGAGCCAATTTATAGATGGAAGCCAGCTCTTTTTCAAGGTCTCTGAACGCAGGTGGAGGAAAGCTCTTCTGGAGACCATTGTGCTTACGCTGCAATTCGTGTTGCTCTTCATTCAGCTGGGACCGGTCCTTGCTTGCACCACTTAGGCCAGTGGCTGAGCGAGGATTTGATCCGGGAGGAGGAACGTTTTCGGGAGCATATTCGAGGTCCTGTTCAGTCTGGTCATGTATAACAATGGGTAGATGAGTGACTGGATCAGTGACCTCTCTTCCACCGGTTCTCTTGCTTTTGTGCTTGAAAGCCTTGCGCTTATCTTTTGGAGAAATCATGCCAGCTGCCTTCTCAGTATTACTCTTCTCTTGAGGCTTTCCCTTCTTGCCCTCGTTCTGGTCTGCTTCTGCGTCGTCCTGCCGAGGCTCGGGATGAGGTCTCCGTTCATCATTGCGATTAACAGCAGGATAAGGATTGTGATCTTGTGTACCCTCATCCTCGCCCTTGAGTATGGTCTTTGCAGAATCGTAGGCTCGTTGGGCCTTGTTATCGTCCTGGGAGTCCTCCTGTATATCTTGGGTTTCGCCATACTGGTCTTCGAGCTGCTTCCGATGTTCTCGATATCCGCGAATAGTAGGTATGGGATGTTTTCCACCATAAGGTTGAGTATGCTGGCGACGTGTAGCCTCACCTTCGAGATCACCGGACGACATACTGGGCTATTACACACACGCACGAGCTTCTGTCGGCGTCAGGTGTCAAGAAGAAGCCGAAAAGAAAACATCTTGCTACAATCAATCGCACAAAAGACACCTACGTTCCAACTTACCAACACGTACGCCTCCCTCTGCGGCCTCGTCATCCGATCCTGCCAGTGGTTGTTTCGCAGGTTCTGCTGCGGAGAAAACATGGCACAGTTGATTGAAGACGAGAGAAGACGTCACCACGAGCTGAAAGCTGCCGCTCACGCAGCGTTGATACAAAGGGGTTATGGACAATTCTTTCCGCCAGCACGCGACCCGATCTGTTTGCACTGCTCCACAGCCAAGCACAACTCTTTCGATTCACTTTCTGCAGCGGAAAGTGACTGCTCAGTTGTGGTTCAGTCGAGTATACATGACTAAAAAGCTTAACATGTCTGTCATAGAAGACGTTCCTGTCCGAATCCTCGTCGTCAACCCAAACACGTCTGAACACATGACACAGGCACTGCAGCCAGTGATTGACGACCTTGGTTTCAAAAATGTCAGTCCAGTCTAGCCATTTACCACAGCTGGCTCTCACTCAGGTAGGTGGCTGACTCGAAACTGCCCTGGTAGGTCCAGTACACACTGTTCACTTCTCCCACACCTGGTATATCATCGATCAATTCTCCGGACGATGCCACCGAGTCTGCGAAAGCGTGCCTGTCCGCACTGATCCCCATGCTCCCGATGCATGATGCCTTCCTGGTTGCATGCTACTCTCAACATCCACTTGTACCGCAGCTCAAACACGAATGTGACATACTTCAGCAAGAAGCTACAAAAGGTGCCGGCGGCGCTGGAGCCAGAAAATATGTCACGGGCATATTCGAAGCTAGTGTCGTCACTTCACTAGCACTAACCGGATCGAATACAAACGAGAGTTTCGGTATTGTATCAACGGGCAAGATCTGGGAGACAGCCTTGAGAGACGCCGTACACGAACTGTTCGGAGTCACCAATAGCAAGAGGTTCGCAGGCTGCCAGACCACAGGCCTCAATGCGAGCGAGTTACACGATCTCCCTGCTGAAGAGGTGAGAACCAAGATGAAAGATGCCACAAAACGTCTATTACAGGATGGCACCAGTATGCAAAGCCATGTTCGAGCTATCTGTCTGGGCTGCGCAGGAATGATCGGCCTTGAAGAAGCTGTTCGAGAGGCTTGCCTAGAAGAGCTGGGCGAAGAAGATGGCAAGAAAGTTGCAATCGTCGATGGAGTCAAAGCTGGTATAGGCGCCCTATTGACGCTCGCCAGAGGAGGGTTCTGAAGCTTGGGTTAACCCAGTGCTGCAACAGAGCTCATTATTCTTCAACGTATAACAACGAAGTCTTATCTAATCTCAGACCGCTTCTTAACATGCAAAACCACGTCTCGACCATCAACACCATAAACATTACTGCAGCACCTACTACCATAATCCCAACCGAGGTTGCTTGTATCTACCAGCTAGTAGCACTAACACTAGCATATCTCTCCGACAAAAGTACCGTTTTTGTTTTTCCGTTGATAAGAGCGTGAGAGATTTCCGAGACAAATGGTCGGCGTTCGCCTGTTTCACCACGGACTGGTCGAGACCCGGACTTCTGACGCAACGCGTTTTTAAGATAATCGCGAAGAAGTGGAGATTGTAGTTCGGGACCACGATCCGTAGTCGGGTTAGGAATACGATCCTTGTCGCGTTTTCCCCGGCCATGGGTCGCCCTGATTTCGATTTGAGACGTGTCTACGGTACGAGTAATGCTCAGATACTGTTGTCAATAACGTATATTGCGACTCTTATCTTTTGCTAAGAGAGAATCTAATGCTAAACAAGAGTTGCTCGCCAATTGATCTCAAGACCCACAATCCGTGCGCCTATGTACATGCATAAAGCTGCAACGTATGGAAATCCGTGTCAAATCTTCCGCCCTTTCCAACCATGCTTTGAGTTTTGCGCTCATGAACAGATAGGGTATCATAATCTCGGCCGTCAATCTTCGTCAGCCATCTCTTCAAGCGTGCGCACTCTCCCTCGAAATGATGCTCTGAACGCTTGAACCATGCAAATGCCTTACAACCCAAAGTTCACTACTGTTAATCCTTGTTCCCTCATCACGTCCAGCCAACAGACATCTAAGCTCTGCCCTGTGCGCATAAAGTGCTGGTTCTGTCGTTCATACACTGCTTGTAGAGCGCGTCGGGTGGTTCTCGTATTGCATCCCAAACTTTCCTCCTCGAGTTTCTGTATCAAATCCTGCACGAGTAATTTCTGATTGCCACTTGTGCTTGCCCAACCAGCCATGAACAATGGAAAGACGAGGAATCTCGAGCTCTTGGCTTGGGTTGACACGATTGCCTGGGAAACTTGCAGTATTTGTTGTGCAGCTGCTGTAATCTCAGGGTCGAAATCAGGTGAAGTGTCTGTCCTTTGACATGGCCACATCGACGTATGCGAATAAATCATACAGGCTCGATACATCGTCCAGGCATGGTGGAAGAGTCGCTGAGCACGCAGCGGGAATTGCATTTGTGCTAAACTCTGTACTGCAGGCACGGTCCATAATTGTCGCAGACCTTCCTGAATTTCCGAAATGCGACTCTGTCGAACTTTGATCGCCATAGCTTTCTGCCGCACATCAGCTGTCTCTAATGACGCATCATTTCGAAACTCATTGGCTAAAAGTCCAAGCTGAATGGCATGGAGAGTCACCTGATAGTCCAATTGTAGCACAATGGGGAGTGCTTGTGTTTCTTCAGAGTATACCACACTCGATCCATCGTCACCCAGAGGATACAGATGAAAACTCGGTGGTGGTATTAAATCGTTCTTCAACATGTAGCCCACAAATCGGCCAGAGCCTGTTCCACTTAGAAGTGCTTCAAGGTCGATGTTGCAAATCCACCAGCAAACGTACGGAAATCGCTCCCCACCAAAAATTTGTCGTCTCAAGAGGGCTATCCTCAATAGAGTTGAAATATGTCGAGCCCATATATCCGGATGCTCCAGATCGCCTGTAGCAACCTATAGGACGTTAGCGGCTTTGATGCTTACCGTAGTCCTGACTCACCTCATAAATTAGCATAAGAAAATGTGTGAGGAATGCACCATCTGAAGCCAAATCTTCTTCACTTCTCAAGGAAGCCTGTAGCTCAGGTAGTGTCTGTGAATAATGTTGCAAGGAATCCAATCTCTCTTTTCCGTCTTGCTGAAAGATAGCAAGTGAACCTACTGCCATCATCGCACGGGTAAGCTGCGGACATTACGTTAGCACCCACCCGTGGCTTCTTCATATTACGTACTGGTGGGAATTTTGCTGCAGCTTCATCCAGCAATTCAATGCTAGAATCTGGCTCGTGCTCAGGGGGTATGAGCTGCTTCCAAACATGGTCCCTAAAATGACGTAGTGTTGTAAGATCAGGACTTCGACTTGACCAGCCTTCGTCGCTGTCCTCTTGTTTTATCGTTGGGCGTGTAGTCGCAGCATCCAGATTGAACGCCCTCAAGTCCCGCATCGAACGTCTGCCCGAATCCTCGAATCGTGGTAGAATGACGATGTTTGGATCTCCAGCAAGAGCAATCCCCTCCATGACGGAATCGCGACCAAGACTGCTTGCGAGGGAGGTGGCAATAGATGCTCGTCGTGGCTCCATAGCTTCGCTTCGTTTGCTCTCGGCACCATCAGCGATATATTCTGCCAGGTGGTTGAAGGAATCTGGATTCACAATCACGTTGAAGGTTCCTGGTGGTGAGGCTTCTGCTTTGCGTTCACGATCTTCGTCGGTCAAGAGTGTCGCAAAGGGCGCAAGGTCGTCGACCGCAGAACCTACGCTAGATGGTGCAGGTGAGGCGCCCCCTAGTAGAACATTAGCGGACTGCAATGAGTACAGCAGGACTGACTGACGATCCCAAATTGCGCTGCCCCCAACAGTCACCTCTTGCATGCGCTCGACTACTCGAGGAGTATCATCTCGAAAGGATAGTCGAGGACTATAATCGCAAGAATGACCGAGGCGCGAACACTGCCCACAGACCTGACATGAATGTCAGCATACACAAGGCTAGTTTATTGTACACTTACTTACTGGACTAATCTCATCGCACTTTACTTTTCGTGTGCGGCATGTCCAGCATCCGGTACGTGATCTTGGCGGCAATCGTGTCCTAGGTGGAACTGTGGGTATAGTGAACCCTCCTCCTCTGCCAGAACTTGTCGAAAGCGGTTTGTTGTCCTTCGGCGCTATCGGTGGTAGACGAGGCTGCCTTCTCGAGGAGTCTCCGCGTTTAGTCTCGTCTTGCATCACAGTCAGGCATATGGTGCTGGACATTGATGGAGCAAACGACGTAAGCTGGTCGGTTCACGTAGCCATGAGCGTCATAAGTAGGAGTAGATTCAGTGGTCAGGCCGTGTTCAGTATCGTCAGTCCAGCTATCATTATCGTGATTAACCAAGAAGTGCTTGAGCCGGATAGCAAAGCACAGGTCGACCTGGCACAAATTATGTCTTCCTTGTTGAATTCTCGACTAGTCTTGCGGATTCTGGTGGACATCTCAAATGACAAAAAGGAAGAGTACACAAATGGTGGGAAGTAAAATGTTCAAGGCTAGAGCGGACGATGTCTCTGTATGTACCATGGCTAGAGACGGTTGTTTCCTTCCACGATACTGAGCGTCATCTTAGCTCAGCCACGGATTGGTTACGGAGCCTGCCTGGCCACATGGGAGTGATTCGCATGAACACACATGGCTTGCCAGCCAGGAATGGTCCTTCAGAAACGGTTTCCACAACAAGGAAGACGTGGTGCGCCGAGCAGTAGGACATGCGGCTGGATGAAAAGCATATCGGCGTGGACGCGCCTCGAGAGACTAGTACGAGATCTCAAGTGGTGGGCTAAGCGATAAACCCTAGAAACTTCCAATTACCGACAACCTCGATGAGCGAGGTGTGACCATCAACAGACCGTAGCGTGTGAGAGAAAAAAGTCTCAGTGGATGTTTTGCACTTTACGGAGCTGGAAAAACTAGATACGCCGAGGAGAAATTACGCCGACTGGGTTCCGACTTCCTGGTATCCTGGACTGGGATAGTACATTGCACCTTCCTTCCAAAGGGCATATCTTCCTTCTAGTAGGATTACTGCAATTCACGTACATACTTGCACTCACTACCGACTCTGGGCAAGGTGCCATGAAGACTGCCTTAGTTCATGAACATTATTCTTTTGAAGTATACTGAACGTCTTCCTTTGTACAAGACCTGTCCGACGGATCATTTTCATGGACTAGAAAATGGTTCGGGATCACCTTGTTTTGAGACAATCCGTCGTATTTGTTTGTAGCGGTCAGGCTACAACGACTGACTCACACCTACGTAGATATCTACACGAACAGACGCCACGGATCCACCTTAATGGCTTACTGTATGTACGTGTTCGAGATGACGATTCACGAACCGGTCTTGTACAAGATCCTCTAAAGTCCCTTGTTCGTGCTTATACGTAACCAAGGCTTTTTGTTGCTTGCGGGTCGTAGAAGAGGTCAGTACTTCTTCTGTTAATGTTTTCGTCCACCATTAATCTGATTCCTATACGGTTGACAACCCTGCAGGATATCTATCAGTCAGTACAGGTAGAGGAGAGACTCCCAGGTACACGTGAAGTATTATGTCTGCTACAGTATGCGCACTTTCTCGCTACATGCGGCAATAGGTTATTCCCTGGTTCGAGTACACCTTTTAAAGTCTGCACCGCACAAGCAGTTATGTTATGGTTTCGCTTGAAAATCTGCGGTTAAGATTGCAGAACAACACCTCTCCTACAGATATCATCAGTTATGCTGCAGATACCAGCGCTGCAATAAGCGCGTGCATAAGTAATCCACAAGCTATAGTGTACGAAACCGTGGTAAAGGAGCTGTACTATACAGCACACGCTCAATGTCATCCACGTGGGTAACATGGATTGATGCATGCAGCCCATAAGATCCTGGCGCACCGGAAGCTTTACTCCCGGTCAAAGAGGGGTGAGACCCTATAATCTTCGGTTCTACCTACTCCTAAAGTTCTAGCTCGACCTATTTCGCTGTTCTATTGGTCGTGGAAGCCGTTTCGATTATTTGGCGAATTGGCCTCGAACGCTCGTGCTCGTCCCAAGAGGTAAGGAGTTCTGCATAGACCTCGCGTGTCTCCCGAGAGATCGTGCGCTGAGACACTATTTTCAAAGCGAGGTTAGTTCGTGCTAAGCGAACAGCTTCACTTGCTTCGGCGTTTGAGGACGAGAGCTGATTGGCTGAATCTAGCCGAAAGAATGCCAAGGTGAGCTCATACAAGAACTTTTTTCCGGTATCGACAGATCCTGGTTCCGCATTTTTCCCCAATGTATCATTTTCATTCTTTTCGACAACATCTTGGATGAAGCGAGTTGCGGCTTCATATAGTGGTACCTTTGTCGTATTTGAACCCTGAGCATGGATGCGCTTGACGAGGTTCAGCGCTTGTTCCAGAATGACAGGCGTAGAATCAAGGCGAATTACTGCGAAAACACATGCGACAGCGGAGCGGAGAGTCTCCTCAACCAGATTGTCCCTTGATTTTGGTCAGCACAAGAACCGAAGTGTTACGCAAGAGATATGCAGGACTTACCTAGTGTGATTACCGCGTGATTCGACCTGGTCGACTTCCATGAGATCTGCTTCCTTGTCCAGGACATTCTCGACGACATCAACCAGGAACGGAATTACCTCCCCACTCATATTTATATCCTGTCGTAACCTGGTAAAGCCAGCTAATGCCTCTAGTGCGTGAGGTCGATACAATATGTTATTGCGCTTGGCTTCTCGAAGTGCCACCTTTCGCATCTGCGTACCTACATCAGGCCAAATTGTGCGCGCCTGTTCCACGAACTTAGGAAAGGCTAGCACGACCTTCTCCTTGCCTTCCCACGTCTTGCCACCAAGAGCCTCTTCGACCACCGGCCACAAACGAGCAGCGTCTTCTTTGCTGAAAACCTGACTAGGCTCTACGGACGAGACAAAGTTGGCGACTGCAAAGCAGCACGCATGATGTATTGGCCAAAGACTTGATTTGATGTGCTGAGAGGCCATTTCCACAATCTCTTTCAGATAGAGAAGAAGAGTTCGGGATCCACCGACATTGTCTGTCCATGCGGCGTCAAATCTCTCTCTTACATCATCGTCTAGATCTTGTCGTCCGATGAAGGTGAAAGGCAGGAATGAGGTAGCGAAACGCATAAACAGATCATTGGAAGCCTTGCTGGTAGCCTGCACAACTTCTCCTGCAACTGCGCGATGCGATACATCCTGTGATTCGAAATACAATTTCTGTATATGCTCGATGGTTTGTCGAACCTCTTTCTCCGAAGCTAGTCGTAAGAGGTAAGCCAAAGCTGTGCTGAAAGACTGGCTGATTGTCGCATTCCTGTCGAGAATGCTCTTTCGAGTCAAGCGCACGAAACGGTCTGCGAATTGACGAAATGCCGCATGATAGCGCACTACCAAAGTAACCATGACTCGACTCAATCCGACCCTTGAAGGTAGTCCTATGGTAACTTTGAACGAGTTCTCCAATTTCTTCATTGCGGTCTCTAATGGTGTCGACGAACGCTCAACTCCTTGCATAGCATCGGGATCGTCCGAGTCTTGAGAAACTGCTGTCAGGCTGTCGAGACATTTTTCGATAGCTTCTGTAACTGGTGATGCTCCAATACTGCTAACTCTCATGCTATCCAACTTGTCCGCAGTTAGACCATATTTGTCGGCATTCAGATGCAGATAGTTGATGCTCTCATGCTCAAGAGAACTCAAAGAGTTGACAAATGTTTCGAGAATTATAGGTGCGTAATTCTGCAAAGACCTTGGTGGGGCTTTCTTCACGATATCCAGCAGTGTGACAATCGCATACTGTTGGACTTCTTTGCCCGCACCCGCCTCTAGCTGATCAATCAGGAACGGCATGGCATGTTTCAGCATTGTTGTTGCACGTTTTGTTGTACCTCCTTCAACCTCTAGATTGCGCAATAGCATATTGGTCAGTGTACGACATAATTTCATGGCGGCGACTCGGACAGACTCTTTAACATCGTCTAGCACTTTGAAAGCCACTTTCCAGATATCGTCAAGATACCTCTCGAACTTCTCCACGTCCCTGCCTTGTACTAAATCAGAGATGGCAGCACAACTAGCCTCTCGTGCTCGCCACTCTCTACCATAAACAATACTCTGCAGCAGGTCTTCTATGATGATGTCAAAGTACTCGTCAATCGTGGCGTTAGAATCTTTCACTAAGGCTTTCCAGATATCGTCCATCGATCTCTGAACGTTTGGATTTGGGTCAAACCTGTACCTGAAAAGTTTAGGGTAAAACTTCTTGTTTTCTCGCAAGTAGTCCGAGTTAGCAAGCACACCTGAGAGACCAAACCGCCCGAACGCTGCTCGGCTTGTCCAGATAGCGTTGTTTGACGCAAGATTCATGAATCGATATACAAGACTAGGATCGCCCATTTCTTGTGCAAGACTGACAATGTCTTTGTACGTGCTCACTGATTGTCCATTCTCTGTCGGCAACGCTCCTGGCTCGAATAGCTGAGTCTCTTCCGTTACTGTGCCGCCTGTTCGAGCAGAGTTACCGGTGAATGACTGCACAAGATCACGAACAAGATCATCTCGGAGTGCTCTATCTCCTCTCTCGTACACGATACCAAGTCCACGAGAGCCAGTTTCCTGTACGATCTCATCGCGGTCAGATAATAGCCTGGAGAATGCAACTTGGATCTCACGCATATATGGAGTCAAGAGGTCTTTTGTAGTGCAAAACTCCACAAGCGACAAGAGCCATATGCCCGTCGCCTTCTTTAACGCTGGTTTCGTGGTTTTCGACCGTTCAAGAATATCTGACAGTAGACGCTTGAAGAGATCGCTATTGTTAGCGCCAGGAATCTCTGCATCTATGTCGAACTCAGTTAGAGTTGAGCTAGATTGGAATCTGAGTGCTGCAACCGCCAGCGCTTCGCCAAGCGCGAAGTGAAATTCTGCTTTGCGTACTTCATGCAGATCGTACAGCTTCTCCAGCAATTTCGATTTCTCGTCTGAGGAAAGATTGCGCCAGACGAAGGAAGCAAGCCGCCCCAAAGCCGATACAGCTGCTTCATCGTTCTCTTTCTTAGCAGCTCCAAGCAACTTATCGATCATCTCCATCACTGCGTCTAATCTAATAGGTGCGACGCATAAAGCAATTTGCCCGACGACAGTGCATGATGTATGTCGTAGCCCTTTATTTGTACTTGCCATTGTGCCACGACATAAACCCCATATGCCTGAAAGGACATTATCAAGATTTGAGGTCGGCTGCCGAAGTGCTCGCCTGCTCAAAATGCATGCAGCTTTCAGCAGTGCTGTCTCGACTCTGGTCTGCTCCTGGCCCACCGCGGATTGCCAAGAAATGCAGGCAGTCAAGGATGATCCAACTGACTCTTCCCAGGACGATGACAAGGAAAGGATCATGCCCGCAATTCGACAGGCCCAATAACGATTCTGTGGCGCCGTGTTTGAAGCAGTCTCCAGTTCCAGGAGAGCATCGGTGCTCAACTGTTGTAGTATTTCGTTGCTCGCGAGTGAGGACAACTGAAAGGCAGCTTGTCCTGAGTCAATTGAGCCCAATGCCATACCCTTGTAGCACAGCCGAAGCAATTGGACCAAGAGTATCTTGGGTATTTCTTGCAATGCATGTCTGAACGCCGATCTGGCCTCGCTCTCATTGTCCAGAGTCGCATCGATTTTTCTTTGCCAATCTGATTCGTCGTCGACACTAAAAGAGCTATTGTGCCATGCTTGAGACGCAATAAGATTGCGAGAAAACTGGACGGCTCCAGCGACCGCTGAAGGATGGCTCAACGAGGCATTTGATTTGATGGACACAACGCCATCGCCAAACAGCGTCTTAGCGAAGCTCTCGAAGCTAGGCATCGATGCGATTGGTTCTCTCGCTATATGACTGATTCTCAGGCTGGTAGTATGCCAACTAGGGTCCAACCCTCTATGGCCTTCCTCTACTACTTCTCTTCTTGTGGACGTTAGTGCAATCAGATCGATAACTCTGGCATCAACATCTGAGAACGGCAAGACCTTGTTCGCGAAGCGAACTGCAGGATATTGAACAAGTGTACGTGTTGCAACATGGTAGATAGGGTCCTCGTCACCCTCTTGAGCTGTTGCGTTCCATAGTAGCAAAGACTTGAGCTTGGCACGTTCACCCTCACTATCGATCGTGACTGCAGTCATGAGTCGACTGAGGCTTTCTTCTATGCTGTGTCTCACGTCTTTTGATGTGTCGCATCGCAAGCTCGTGAAAAGCCACGACACTAAGTCAAACATGATTCTTGGCTCGGCAGTCATTGGATCAGTTCCGTCCACCTGTGACAACTTGTCTTCAAGGCCGCACAGCAATCCGATGCTCTCGAACGCTTTGGCGCGGAGATCTGTATCTGAAGCAGATAGATTGGAAGGTGCTGGCCATCCCTGCATCTCAATGAATTGCTTCAAGCTCTCTCTGAGCTCTTTAGCAATGCGCCCCATTTCAGGATTCATGCGGACTGACCAGATAAGATATGAGAACATGGCCGCTCGCAGCTTGCTAGCTTCGAGATTTGTTGCCGGTTCACCAAGTTGCGACTGGATGATACCTAGTATCCTCTCGATCCGGCTAGTAGATGCTTTGCTTCTAGACAGCAGCGTAAGTATACGAGTCTGCAATTTAGGTCTGACGATGTTGTAAAGGTTCAAAGCTGGATCGACGAAGCTATCGTCTTCGAGATCGAAATCACATTGCTTGAACATCACATCAGCTCGAGCATTTGCTGCTGCATTGGCGTCCACAGAGAGAATGATTGCAGGCACAAACCTCTGCGCGTCGGTGAAAATAGACATGAAGATGAAGTTTGCAAGGTTGGGAACAATAGAGCTCCGACGAGCATATTGTTTGGTAAAGACAGGTAATAGCTCTTCTGTAATGAATGGTTGTTGACCCACTTTCGGATCGAATAGAAGGTAATAAGACAGTTGCTCAGAAAGAATGGTTGCCTGTTCAGAATCAAGATCGAATTTACTCTTGAGTGCTTGGTCGTCTGGACTGGCGTGCTCCGGGGGCCTCCAGCTAACAAGGACATCTAGTAGAAAGTCTATAGCAACGGTGAACATCTTCTTGCTGCTTTGATCTTGACTCGACAGCCGTATAGCGGATTGGATGACGGAAGGGAGTGCTGAAATTCCATCTTGAGGCGACAACCTGTCAAGACCTTGTTGAATGAAGAGAAGAGAAAATTGTTTGACAAAAGCGTTGGACGACTGCTGGAAAACTTTCGGGAGTGCCTCCACAGGTAGCTGTATACTCTGATCTATCTGTAGCCTCTGCTTTATGTATTGGCAGACTTTGATTGTCAGGTTTCGGTTCTGGGCATCCTCCGTCGCGAGTTTCAACAGTAACGGTGAAAGGAACTTTTGGAGTATATTCTGTAGCTTGTCATTTGAATCAGCGGCTGCAATCCTAAATTCAAGCTGCTCAATAAGGCGTCTCTCCCGAGCAAAGTCGGATGCGCTTGCCATGGCAGAGTACTGGAGTGAGCCTGTCAGCCCGTCAAGATTTGAGGGACCACCTGGTGGCAAGCTACCGCGTTGTAGGAAGATCAAATTTGTGTTCAAGATAAGGATTGAAAGTCAAAGCATTACTGGGAAAAGGACAGAAGACGATCGCCACCAACGCCAACGCTATGCAGTGATCTCAGCTTTCAGGAACAATCTAGCATGTAGATGGCGATTTGAATGCGCAATCCGCTTGAAGCCTACAGCGTAATGAGATGTGTTGCCATGCTAAAATCTTTGCCGGTTGTGCCTGCGTCTCAACGCTACATAGCGGCATTGTCGATTTCGAAATTACTAAGCATATCTCGAAGGATAGGAATTCGTCGAGCAAGAAGAATGTCACGATCAAAGTCTGAAGAGTGAATTGTCAATATTCGATTCCGTTCGGACGGGTCCCAATGCTCACTGAGCAAGCAGGAGGTCTGCAAGCGACTTCATCGGAGTGCATGTGTACCTGCTGACTGGCATTCACGAGGACTTTGTGCCAACCCGCGACCACTCGAGTCATGCACGTCGTTCCTATCGCCCGACAGCGATTGGGACACCTTCAGAACAAGCTGGGACAGGTATCCATACTGCTTTCCCATGCACCAGACTTTCACCACTCTCCTTCACAAGCAGTCTCTTGGAGTATAATATTGTTTGAGAAAAATACAAGTTCGTCCATCGCAACAAATCCCCGGCTTATCGCAACCTTCTGGCTTCACGTTCGGACTCGAGCAGACATAGGATGTCGTCAACCTTGACTAAATAAAATGTCAATTCCTCCATTCTTCGCAAAAGAGGGGCCATTCCACTGTACCTGGTCCCTTGACGTTTCGGATAATGCTTCGACTTGTGTCGTCCATGAATTCGACTCTAACTTGTGTAACACCTCCTCGAGAACCTACAGAGGTACCACATCAGTATTCCGACCTCTTTTCTCGGTGAGGCATTGCGCGATCACGCACCAGTTCGTCCTAATACCCTGGTCACCTTAACCAGCTTAACTGGCTGCTTTTGCGATGCGTCCATGTTGGAGGTTGTGTGATTGTTTTATCGAGTCGTAAAGTGAGTGAGGAAGTTCGGTAGTCACGTAATGTTGTTGTTACGAGTAATGTGCGGACGCAGTTGCGATCGGAAATCCAGGAAATCTTGGCGAACGGCTAAACTGTGGGACAATATCTCGCGGGGCTTGCTCAAAATAATTGTTTTTTGTTCCATGAGAGCGTCTGGTTAGCGTACTATTCTGTACGACACTTGTGCTGCCAATTGTTGACTTGACGTTGTCGTATAACTCTGACAATTATCCGATGTGCTCCTGTGTTTTACAAAGATTTGCTGCCCGAAGTCTAAAAACATCGTTTAATAGGGGGACGTAATTCAACCACGGCTTCCATCAGACGACCATTGAGTCAGCGAGGTTTACAGATATTCGAATCAGGTTGTTGAGCTACTTCGTTGACCAATACCCTTTACTTTGACCAGATTGCTCTACATCTTCGAAGTTTCCAATCACCATGGATCTCGTCAACCACCTCACAGATCGCATGCTGTTTGCTGTCCCTAAGAAAGGCCGACTCCAGCAAGCCTGTCTGGACCTACTATCCGGCTCAGACATCCAATTCAGACGTGAGAACAGGCTCGACATAGCCCTGGTCAAGAACCTACCAATAGCTCTGATATTCCTCCCAGCAGCCGACATACCCACCTTCGTCGGCGAAGGTAGAGTCGACCTTGGCATTACAGGTATTGACCAAGTAGCGGAACACGATATCGCACTACCGTTCGACGAGCCCTCGAACGTCGAGCAAATACTCGATCTCGAGTTCGGCAAATGTAAACTCCAAGTTCAGGTCCCTGAACAGGGTGACATCAAAGAGGCCAAGGATCTCGTGGGCAAGAACATTGTCACCAGCTTCACGGCACTGACCGAGGACTACTTTGCACGACTCGAGAACAATCAAAGTCGGAAAGAGAGCATCAACGGCACCATGTCACCTATACCGAAGCTGAAAACGAAAATAAAGTACGTCGGTGGAAGTGTCGAGGCAGCCTGTGCACTGGGAGTCGCAGACGGCATAGTCGATCTCGTGGAATCCGGTGAAACCATGCGAGCTGCTGGCCTGTGCGCCATAGACACAGTGGTCGAATCCACGGCTGTATTGATCAAGTCGAAAAAGACTTCTAATCAGAAACTGGTTGATCTGATCACATCACGAATCAAAGGTGTGATACAGGCACAGAAATACGTCCTTTGCGCATACAACGTGCCAAGAAGCCGATTACCGGATGTGACCAAGATCACGCCTGGCAAGCGAGCACCAACAGTGACAAGTCTGGACGAGCCGGATTGGGTAGCTGTGAATGTTATGATAGCGAAGAAGGAGCTGGCAGGAGTTATGGACAGGCTTGAGGAAGCACAGGCGACGGATATATTGGTTACACCACTTATAAACTCACGAGCTTCGACATGAGCTCTTGTGCTTTAATCTGGTGCTAGATCCTCTTCAATAGAACAATAGATTACTTTGCAAACATTCCTCTTCAATCTAGCCTCTATTCTATAGCAATGCGCAGAACAACACTCCACATAACGCTAATTAACAACCATTGCCCTTTATATACCTTCGACACAACTCCAGCACTCGTAACCCCACTCCCACTCCCACTTCCGCCAGTCGTAGCAACCAGCGTCCCCGTCGCCCAACTCGTCCCAACACCCGTCGCCCCCAACGTCGCACTCAAAATATCGTACGACGTAGTACTCCCCGTCCCAACATCCTGATAAACCTGACTCTGCACCTGACTCTCAAAGAAGATATTCCGATCGCTCCCGGTTCCCTCCACATTCCCCGGCGGCCAATACTCGCACACAAGCATGTACCCACCAACATCATTCATCCCGTTACACGGGTACGCCGCACAGCCCACCGTCTGCGTATGTTTCCACACCAGCTGCGTGAAATGGCCCGTTGCCTCGGTAAAACCTGTTAGCTGGTTGAGAGGAGAGAAGGTGTATAGATCGCGCTCGTAGCCCCAGGCGTCAATGGCGGATGTTACGTCTGGGTAGCCGCGCGCAAGGTTCTCACCGTAGCCATGGGGGCCGTAGGAGTGTGCCCAGATGCATTGGGAGGAGTAGTTTGCGGCGTAGGTTGCGAGGGACTCGTTCCAGGAGAGGTAGGTTGCGTTGTGTTGGAAGCGGAAGAGGTTTGTGCTGTTGAGGACTGAGGTGCGGAGGGTGAGGTCTTCTGTGTATTGGGGAGAGGGAGGGGTGGTGGGTGATGCGATGTAGGTTGTGACGGTGGGGCCGGCGATTGTGAGTGTGGATGCTGTTATGGTTGTTTGTCTTTCTTCTAGGAGGGCTGTAATGGGAATGATATGGAGGATCAGGCACAGGAGAGGCAGGGACATTTGGGAGAGGTATGGATCGAAGGCACGCCTCATTATCGGTATCTAACAGGTTAAACTCGAGGAGAAAAGCACATCAAGGTCGACGGTTCGTTTCCGTTCGTCCTGCTGTGTCAAGATGGATGACCAGCTGGTGCAGCACTATGAGAAGTAAGTGTGCACGTGTGGAACCTTCCTCTGCTATCAATTCATCGTCTCTGTGGTGCTCTGATAACTCGCTGTACGATTCAGACTGCCGACAATGCTGAACAGTTACCAATGCAGTTGGTGTATCTGTAATCTATCGCAAGTTCTGTTAGCTGTGAGACCATTGCATCTTCTGCATCTCTGCAACTGATCATGTCATCGCAGCAAATGCGCAGCAGCGTTATCGTCCTAAGCGAATAACAGTAAACCTTGCCATACTAGGTATGCTTTCTTTAGGTGCCATGGCACAATGCCACTACGAGTAGTAGTGTCCGGCCTATTTTGTTCTTGACACAATTCCGTAGTTTCTACCAAAATAGACTTGCGGGCTTGCATAATCTCTCCGGGCTTGGCGCCAACGGCTCATTACTCAAGGATGACAAATCTCCAGAAGCCTCATCACAATGACGAGCGACAATGTTCACAAGGAAACTCGTGGCATATTTTACACCTGAAAGGCAATGTCTTGCAATACTGCTTGATAGAGACAATGTTATGCTGTTGGGCTCAACACCATTACTTGATGCAAACGAACCGCAGATGGACTTTGTACAAATCTGCTCGTCCAGCAGGTATTATGACCGTCAACCATGTCTAAACAATATTTCCACGCCATATGTAGTCTCAACCAAGTGTTGTGGTGAAGCGTCAACCATTCGTATATCATTAGTCGTCTGAACATTAATGTCCAGTATAGTCGAGCCTTCCAGCAGCTCGAATCCCATCCACGAACAGATCGCAGTTGTTTAGCGAATCAAACTTCCAGTAACCACTCCCGGTGCGGTTGTATGGTCCCCAACCAAGCATTTCCTGGATATTACGCCGTCTCAAATGTACATCCCCTTGGATCTCGAATATTTGCGATTGAAGAGCACCTAACAAAGCGACTGCTGTGCGAATAAGGTAGCGGTCGCCCTCGAAAATCCAGATATCCCAAATTCTACACAAACGATCGAGATCAAGCCCATTAGCAAACACAGTCTTGAACATGTGTTCGAAGACTTCTCTCCCTGAGAATCCGAGGCCAGAGTTCTGTTGATCGAGGAAGAGATAAGCGTGAAGTTGTGGGAATTTGATATCCAAGGTAGATTTCACCTTATCATAAGTCCGAGCTGCAACTGCTTCGTCGCCAGTTTGGAAAGCAAAGGGCAAAGATCTACGAAAACAATTTGCCATGAGTCTGAAAGCTTCTGCCGGAGTCGGCACTTGAGTCAGCATGAGCGCTGCCATTAGCTGTACGCCGTAGAAATAGCCAATATCTGCCCTGTAGACAGTATAGGCTTCGCAGACATCGATTAGATGTTGCCAATGTAAGCCATGCCGCTGAAACATGCTTAGATCCGGAAAAGCTGTTTCAGCATCCTTGTCGATATCGGCAAACCATTCACGCAAAGTCTTTTCGTGCTCGCTGAGCTCTTCTGTAGGCTTTGATTTGATCTCCTTGGCCCTGCCAACAGCCAACGTGTAACTTTGATCCGTGAGGTTCATCGGATTCCCGATCCTTCTCTGCCATACAGCACCACGCAGTTTAGGAGGAATGCCACGCCAGCAAAGATCGTTCACTCTTTTATCGATCGTCAACAGATCTGTTGTCGGGTCAACATAATAGGTCCAAATCCCATGTAAAGAATCGCGGACACCATCATCTGTACGTCTTTGCTGTTTCAGTACGTGCTCCTTCTTCTGTTCGGCCTCGATAGATGCCTGCATCATCTGCTTGTACTGTGCCAAGTGTCGTTTCTCCTCACGAGGATCCTTCGGAGGCAACCAAGATGGCCTGGTCCTCGACAACACGGCCTCTTTCTCTTTTGACGATGGCATAAAGTCAAGTGTGCCTTTCTGAATAGGAGGAAGCGGAATAGCTCCAGGAGCGGAACTGCGGTGCTGGTTGATGATTGCTGCGTCAAGTTTCGTGCTGGCTTCGTGATGGAAGTCGAGTTTTTCAGCAATAATACGAGCTTCATGGTCAAGATCAGCCATGACTAAGTTCCATGACTTGGTTCTGCCGAAGCGCAGGTCACTCTGGGGAGACGTCGATGCGGAATTGGATTGTGCTACGTGGTTCGTGGCTTTATTGAGCTTTTGCTTCCTCTGAGTTGTCCCTCTTGAACCGTTCCGACTTTTCGATGGAGTATTTGGCATAGTGCGTGCATGGCTTAAAGGTATAGGCGCCGGACTTGAAACGTGCGTACGTCTTTCAGGACTTCCTTGCGCACTGGATTGTGGTGAAAGTCCAGCAAGATGCGAACGAGTGACGAACGGCGAAAGAGGAACATTGAAAAGACTGGTATCGTCCGGAAGCTCATCGTCGGAATCGTGGTACTCGGCCTCAATCTCGTAAATGGTTTTCCTGGTTGGCTGCCACGAGCCTCGACGACTGGGTAGTGTGAGTGAAGAGGCCGAAGTTGATGAGTATTCGTGTTGTCCTAAACGTGGAACAGACTTGTTCTCGTGCAGTGCAGGCGATTCGGAATAAGTTCTTTGTGCATTGTGAGAGGAATTGGGGTTTACGGTGGGTCTAGTGAAGGTTCTCTTCGTGTATGGCGTAACGGCCGATTTGGCAGTTTTACTTGTCAACTCGGGATATCGTGTCTGCTGGATTTGCAACGCTGCAAGTACAGGTCTATGTATAGGCTTCTGGTGGGTGTTGGGTTTATTAATGTGCTCGACTTCTCGAGGAGCACTCCTGGTGTGAACGGAGTGATTCTCATCATCCAATATTATCTCTTCAAAATTCATTGTTCCTGCTGACAAGTCGTCGGACACGGAGAACTGGGAGGCATGGGAATCTGATGTAAACGAATGCGAGTCTGTAAGCTCTGGTGGTGAACCAGGAGCAGTCATGCCCTTTGGCATAGCGAAGGCGTCGATATGCAAAGCAGGCGTTAATGAACGAAAACGAGATGGCTGGATCACAGACTCATTATCGAGGAAGCCCTTTCCTGTAATGCTTCTGTCGATGCTCGAGCAGTGAAATGCGGATCTGGTGTCGTGTCCGTTGATTACTGGCAATGCCTTGCGCTGGCTCGATGTCGCTGGAAATGGATAGTGCCAACGTACATGTATATTATGTTCCTCCTCTTTTACGGCTGGTAGGAAAGTTTGTCTGTGAACGAATGTGTTATTGGTGAACCATGAGCGGTCGTTGACGTGGACGAAGTTCGAGTCGACAGTGAGCAAAGCAGGATTGTGCTCCGCGTCCTGCACGAGGAATCCTTCAACATCTTGCACTTTTCTGATTGGGAGCTCAACCAACGCAGACGGAGAGCTAAATTGACCATTGCGGATTCTGGTCGATCGCGGCGCCACAACGACCGATGGGCTAAACTCAGGCTGGCTTAAGCCTCGCCACTTGAGCATCCTTTGCTTAATGACGGTGATATCAGTGTTTGACTGCGACAGGTTGTTCAGTGACTGGGGTGAGGTTTGATAGGTGTCGCAGCATGAGATCTGGTCCACACCAGCCGCTCCGTTTTCACTTTCCAGCAAATGTCGCTTACATTCTTTAATTGGGAAACAGGATCCTTAAATGCGCTTCGAGTTGTTTGCAACACAGATTCCTGTAATATGACACTCGAGACGCTTAATGTTCCAGATAGTGACTCGGTAGCGTTTGAAGATTGGCTGTAATGCTTGGACGAGGGGTCGACCTCAAGGCCGCAGCTGCGAGGAGTTTGCCATGTGTTGTATTGACTACTAACCAGACGTTCGTACAGCAGTTTCACCTACAGTCAGTCTCACAGACCTGTCGTTGAAGTAGTAGATCAACCCAGCCAGTGAGAGTCTGTTCTCCAAGACAGCATAAAAGTGTTTACTTTGCGGTATCCAAACAAGCACGAGCCATCACGCTACTTCCTCCACAGAGCATACCAGATTCGTCGTCAACTGCAACAGTCATCGACTTAAGAGTGCACGTATGTTTCAAGATGCTGGGATAATATCTTAGTAAACATAATGCTTCACTGCCCTGGAACCAGCAGCTACTGGACCATCCAGTACCTTTACCTCCTGGTTCATGCTATATTGCGTGTGTACCTTCAAGTCATGCAGCCACACCAAGACCTGCGGATACGAAGCATTCTTGGCCCGCAACACTTGCATAATCGCTACGGCAGCTATGCAGCAAACTTGATGTCGTGTCATGTACTGCTTATCTGTACTAGGATACTGCTTCATAGTGTCAAAGACAACGTTGATCAACTGCTCGATAAGACCAATCAACATCTTCTGACCTGGACGCCTTGATCGGGGCATACTGGCACAATGCTGGTGCAGCTTCATAGCGCTTTCTTGGAAGCACTCGATCAAAGTCTGCAGCACTCGTGTGCTACTATTTTGAGTTCCATCGAGCAAAATGCTCTGCAGCTGTATCCGGAGCGATTGCGCTACTCTTCGTTTCAGCTTTACTCCTGCCTGACCGTGTCTATCGATTGTTAATGTATTTGCAATGACATTGTCCTTGCGGACGCGATTCTTGCTAACGTCAAGAGTCTCGGTGTCTACAAACAGACCACAGAACGGAAAAGAAGTAGAGTTGAACAGCCGAGGAATTTGAACACCCTCGACGACCATGTCGAAATTGACAAGACTCTTCTCTGGATGGACACGTAATCCGTAGTCCGTGTCGCCAGACTTCATTGCCTCGACAAACGCAATCGCTTCCGAGCGTTGTGTGCTTATTAGCAGAAAGTCGTCGATGATCCTGAGGAGTACCGAGTTACGAGGTTGGAGGAACGAAAGTCTCGTCCTCTCAAACTCATTGTAGAAGAATGTGCACAGCATACTCGATAAGACGGATCCTTGAGGTATGCCTTCTGTTTGCCTGTAGTACTTTCTGTCGATTCGGATGAGGTTCGCCTGGATATGCCTTCGTAACAAACCTTCTGCTTGCTGCTTGGAGATGAACTGATGCTGATCCAGATTACTGTATATCGCCGCATTCTTTGTGGCCCGCGATGGCTCACCAGAGAGCAAACCATCTGGACAACCCACAGGTCTCGCCGCCTTGGAAAATTTGACTGACGTCCTCGGTATGTCACGGCAATCGAAGATCCTGCTCTCTGCATGCCTGGTTATGTGATATTGCTCGTGTTGAAACAAGCTACGGCTGAAGTCGAGCAGTTGTTGTTGAGGAATGCTGTCGAAGGCTGACCGAATATCAACCTTAGCAAAGTACAATGTAGGTTGCCCCTCCATACCAATCTGAGCTTTGAACCCAGCTAACTTTCTGTGTAGATCATGAATTGAGAAGGCACATTGATTGAAGGCCACATGGTTGTGTTCTTTCTCATAATTGAAGATGCTGAATATAGGTGATAGGCGAGTATTGATACTAGGGGCGAGAAATCTCCTACCATTGACGACCCTGATCACCCGACGGCTCAGGTTAGCAATCGGACGTGTCCCAGCTTCTTTGGGGAGCAATCGAATAGTGCTGTATCCTAGCTGGTCGTTTCGAAGTATCTGTCGCGCCACGTTCGAAGCCACTGGGGTCAGAGAGCTCATCATTGCCGACCTCAAGCACGGCTGACACAAACGCTTCCAGACATCGTGTCGGAAAAAGAGCAGTTTGTTTCTGTGGATGCCACTTTCGGTGACATAGAAGTTTGTAGCCACGAGTGGTATCAGGAGGGAATCGAACATATAATAGATGAATTCATTGAGTAGCTCAGCGCGTTTGCGGACGTCTGTAATTGCTACTTTGACATCAGACCCAACATGCTCTGGGGCGAGCCATCTGATCGCCTTGATCTTTAGCCCTTGGACGAGCTCATGCATGCTAATGGTCTCAAATCTCCGCATGCATGCAAATCGGTCCACACGATCAAGTACCTTGCGCCAATTCTCGACGCCATCACTACCTCTGCCAAAAGTATCACTTGGCAAGAGTCGTTTGATTGTCGCTTGGCAGAACGCAACGACATGGCATGTTGGCGTGGCATATGGAAGAAACGACCCTTCTCTTTGCTCAACATCGACCGGTTTACCAAGAGCTGGTTCTGGTACATCAACAGAGACTGTCCCGATCTGGGTCTGCAGCACAGTCGATTTCGGACTTAAGGATTTGGTATTGGCTACAGAGGATAGCCTAGCTGGTGTCGGTGTAAGAAGTCGACAGACTGTCACAGGACAGTAGTGTGCAAGCAATTGATTGTACGAGCACGATCTGTGCCTACGCTGTATTTGTTGGACCAGGTGAAGAACACCATGACGCAGTCGCTTAGGTATTGGCTTGGATGTGGCGGCCGGATCGTCCTCAACGTCCCTGCGAAACGAGTAGTCCTTAAATGGCTGCACTGTTTCCGTCCGGTCAGTGATGAAGGTGAACACGTTATGTAGCTTGAACTGTCGGGGAAATATGTACTGCAGAAGAACAGGGTCACCGACCTCGCTGCTCAATCTCGTCACTTTGTTAAGTACGTGGACCGGCTTTAGTCCGAATGAGACTTCTCCGTTGTGGTTGAGCGATGGTTTGCTATAGAGCATGCGGCTGCGCACGATAACGATTTGATTTAGCGTTCGACACGAAGCCGTCGTTGTATGGTTGGCATTGGAGGTGGTCTGAGGATTCGTGTCACGGCCACGTTGGAGGCATAGGTCGTGTATTGGAAAACCGCTAATCTGAACAAAGGTGTTCTTGTGGTCATTATTGCTGATGAACAAACCACAGTCTAAAAGGAGGCTCGAAAAGATGGCTTCACCATCGGCGCCCATGACGGTCATAAGCTGTTTCCATGGTTGTTGTCTCAATACCTCTACAGCCGAGTTATCGTGGCGTTTAATTATACCAGGTAGTATTGGTCTGCATTCATGTTCAGCCATCATAGATACAGTGACGCAACGTTCTAGTCCATGGCACAGGATGTGGTTGGGTTTTCGTGCAGTTTGATCGCTCTGTTTGAAGAGAAACCAGATTACAAATTCCACGACCTGTACAAAGTGAGCATTTTCCGTAGCTGCTCTGCGAGCCACTTACATCTTCTAGCGTAGTCTGTTGAGTGGTTGCAGAACCTGACCTAGAAGCTCGCTGAGTGGTAGTGAACTCAACGTAGGCTTGTTCTCGGCTGGTAAGGACTGGGGTGGAAGCTGTAGTCAGAAGGCCGACGAAAGTGTGGTTAAGCAAGTGACGGAAGCCAACGTTCGCACTTTCCAATTCAGCAAGACGTCTTCTACGCAGCCTGGAAGTGGTGGGCAACCTGTGAAGAACATATTCCTTCAACGTCTTCACCTCACGATAATATTGTTTAAGCAGTGGGTGGGCAACGGAATGACTATCAGTATTAGTATTGCTGCGTTCTGTCTCGTGGACCTTGGCTCGTTTATGATGCAAACCAGCCTGGACAGACGGTGCTTTACGTTTCCTCTTCGCCATACTGTCCTTGATCTTTTCTTATCTCATTGTGTATAAATCGGATGTGGTGTGCACTATCATTCAATTGGAGTCAACTGTCCTGTTCGATAGACACTCGCATTGTTTCAGGAAAGTAAGAGCATCGTACTTGGATGCTCTCTTTTGACTTAAGAGGTCAAGGCAATTGCTCAAGCACATTGGGGATGACGGGCTATGCCTGGTCGTGGGAGTACGACGCGGTATGTTCAGTATGTAAACACAAGAGACGCGTCTCTGCATATTGTTTTGAAGAGAACCGCCGGATAACGGACCCTTAAGAAAGCCGGCAGCAGACTAGCGTTGCAGCCAAGCAGGATCCACCCACGAGCCCGAAGTGAAGCTAGACTCCAAGGAGGAGTCCTGCGGTGCTGGCTTTGGCGGACAAAGCCATGGGTCGGCAGAATAGCGTGGTCTGTCAGAGACAAGCCTGCAATTCCTATTGTGAAACCATAGATTCATTATTGCTACATACTCAACGCCGTCGAATCACGTATTCCTCCCAGCAAGCTGACTCTAATTCGTCGTCGATAAGACCTTTGAGACTGGACGTGTTTAAGCCTACTGCTCGCCCTCGTGTTAGAACGATAAGCCTGGTCAACTTCTGCAGACCACCTTGGGCTTTAATCGCTGCATCTGGTAGTGCTTCAGCCCCGTCCGTGCTACAGCCGACGAGATCTTGACCCGATATAGAGATTGCAATCGGGAGTAGAGCTGGTACCACCACGGCGACGTATCGATCCACGTAAGCAGAGAAGACCTGGGCAGAAACACAGGCGGGAAGGAGACCGGCACTCACCAAAGCAAGACCCTATGAGTCTTTGGCTGGACGGCCAGATTGAACGTATGCCTTGAGCAAGTTCATTCGCCATCTGCACAAAATGATCAGGTGGAAAACATTCTTACTCCCTAGCGTGACTATATCGATCGAGCGCTGGACATCCTGAGCCGAAGCAACACGCGGCCTCTAAGAGCCACAATATGCCCACTGTGGTGCCTGGACAGGACGAGCACTATGCAAGCCCTAACCGTCGACAGTCGCTTCAAGCACAGACTAGCCTGGCGGATCGGTTGAAGAAGACGGGGCCACACTCACCTACTGCTAATAGATCTGCTGTCTACCTGCCTACAACCACGTATAGTCCACAGCAGTCGCAGTATCTCCCATCTCGAACGAGAACGCCCTCGCACTCCACCAACTTCGCACGAACAGATACTCCTCGCGCCTTTTCTCCACCACCACTCCCCAACCACGACACGAATCCGCCCTCGTCCGTGAACCCTGATGATTTCTACCGCGATTACACCCAAAACTCTCAGCTGGGCTTGTTGTCGTCTGCGACCCTCCATCAAGAGGCTTTGAGAACGTTGAACTCACAAGAGGAGGCCAAGTCAAGAGTCGGTAGCAACGGCAGCTATTCCACAAACTGGTCGCTAGACGACAGCAGAGACACTGCTCCTCAACCAAAGTTACTCAGTATAAGGTCAAGGAAATCGTCGGTCAAAAATCTGGTCGCCCAGATAAATGCTTCTTCGACAGCAGAAGTGCCTCCTGTTCCGATACAGCCGGTATCAACGACTTATACTCCCCAAGAGCCGACTTCTTATCTCTCTTCAGCAAATGTATCGCATTTTGGAGGTGTAAAGAAACAATCGCACTCTTCTCGACAATCAAGTGGGACACGCATCGCCCGCTCAAAGCCTGAAGAACCACAGATCAGCCAGAGGAGGCCACTATTCGGGGAATTGCTTCCTACTTCTGTCTCTTCGCCATCTGCTGGTTTTGGCATTGTGAGTCCTAGAACAAGGGCTGGCTCTGACAACTCGCCAATGCATAGTCCCAATCCTATGTTTCCGCCCAACTATAGAGACAGTCCATTCGTACTCTCGCCCGCTGTTTACGCCCCAACCAGTCAGGGGCAAGACCACCGCAGATCCCAAAGTGATGCATTGCACAACTCGTCGTATACCAATACAATGACCTCTCCGATATCTGCCCGTCGACCACCAATCACATCCCGGATACCCGTTGGTACTCGACGGCTAAGTGCTGCCTCTGATTCTGAAACCTCGGCGCCAAGTTCTCGAGCACCTTCTGCGTTGGACAAAAGACAAGTGACTAATGGTGCACTTAAATCTACAAACAAAGTCACTGGCTCCAATCAATCCTTGTCTGTTCAAGACCAGCCTGGAAAAATAACTTCTCCAGGCCGAAGAGGTAAGCCAGTGAACAGTCAGCAGCTCGCCTTGCAAAGAGGTGCCAAAAGTCCAACTCTTCGAGCTAATATTATTGTTCCTCTACCTAAAGTCTCGCCACCTCTGCGAAGCTCTCGACCTCGTTTGCCTGTTTCATCCGCGTCGACCGCTGCCTCTCGAGCTCGTATGGCCGAAAAATTTAATTCTTTGCAGAAGATCAACAATGAAAAAAGAGCTGCCCAGCAACGCCGTGTGAAACCCCCAGAGCTTACGGATATCGATTTGGATGCAAGAAGATCAAGGATAACACAAGCCTTGACTAAGTCTAGAGAGAGCGAAGAACTTACATCGAAAACTGGGTTCAGCAAACGTTGGGAGTCCCAAAGCAGAATCTCGTCACCCAGGCCTGGTTCGAGCATCAGCGACGATGTAGGCCCAGTTTTGCAGGCGGTTCCTGGTGCTGGCAGCTACGAGAAAGAGCAAGAAAGGCTCGAACATCAATATGATCAGAAATACGCCACAAGAAACGCGCTGCATGTTGTCGGTAACCCGCAACGTCAGATCGAGGAAGATGACTCTCCTACTCTAGGTCACGACGCGAGTCCTACAGACCACCCTGGTATGCAAATACAAACGAACCTACTAAGAATCCCTGACAGAGCCGAACCGCAATCTGCTGTGACTGATGCCACAGCAGACACTGAAGCCACCCATATCGATCCAGAACCTCAAGAAGACGCCGATGCCGCGAGTTTGCTTAGTCACGTTATGCAGATGCGTGACACAAGCCCCTCTGGCCAATTTCATCACTCTCCACGTACCTACGATGAACCAGAGGATCGTGCAGATGTCGAGTCGGTCAATCTAGTATTACGAAATACCACTTATCTTGACGATGACGAAGCCATCAAAAAAGGTTATAGAACAAACTTCTCTATTCCTGAACCATTGCCAGAAGAGCCCGAGGATAGAGGGTCGACCCGAGATTCGTGGACTTCGTCCTTGCATGACGAGGCTGACAACGACGATGGCTATTTTGCATCTAATGCATCACATTCAAGAGAAGAATACCCCGATTACAAGCACATGAACAATGGTTCCAACCATGGCGTCGACCAGGATGAGATGGATTCTTATCGCGATACGATGGCATCTGACGCTTATACAACCATTAACGTCGTTTTGCAGGAACACTCAAGCTCGGGTATCGTCGATCAGCAGTTTGTTGATGATGTCTATCAGAAGGTACTCGAGACTTGTCCTGAAATGGAGGAAGAGAAGAACTATGACTCAGCAAAAATCGAGCAACTTTGTCTTCAGGAGATTTTGCGCAGGCACGAGAGCGCTGCGCTTGAATTGCAACTGGCTCCAGAGGTCACCAGCCCTGCTGGCGAACAAACACCGCAACTCGAACAAGAAGAACACATTGCCGAGACGTACGAACGTGAGCCAGAAGTTTCAGAGCTACCTGCAAATGATGACAGTCTCCTCACTTTACCGTCAACCAAATTTCAAGGCCATCGTCAAAAACCCAGTCTTGATAGCGCTGAAGATTGGGCAGGCACGTCCCCATCTATTAGTGATTGGGCACGGTTTGCGGTCGACAACGAAACTCCGCCTCCACAAGATGTGGTACGAGAGTCTGGCCTACCACTGCAACAAACAGAACAGCCGCATGTAGAAAAAGTGTCCGAAAACCACAGCGAGCAATGTCACAGAAGTGCGCAATCCAATTCCATCCGTGGCACTTCTCAATCAATTGAAGTATTCGATGAAGACACCTCGGAACCTGAAGAATATGGTGTAGCCATCATTCGTGCACCATCTCGTTCGCCTCCGCCTCCTCCTAAGGACAATATACCAAGTATCGGCCAGATATCGAGAATCGCAGCTGAAACCACTCCCAACACGGATATTCCACAACCGAGAGTGCCTCATCGTATCACATCACTTAATCAAGTTGAAAGTGCGAGGTCCTCGCAGTCCACCTCCAGACCGCCTTCAGCAAAGTCTCGTACCGACATCATACCTTGGGAGAGCCGAGACCTGCCAGCAGACGGTACTAGTGCGGACGTTATGAGCCCTGAAGCTCGTCGATTGAAAAAGCGTAAACATATCATAAAAGAGCTTGTTGACACTGAGAACATCTATCAACGCGACATGCGCGTTCTGTGCGATATCTACAAGCAGACTGCTGCTGCAGCGTTAACAGAGGACGATATTAGAGTCTTGTTTGGTAACGTTGAGCAAGTACAGATTTTCGCGAGGGACTTTTTGACGGCGTTAAAGCAGACCTCCAAAGCATCGTACGTTAGCGATCGAAAGAAAGATCCAAAAGGGTCTTTCGAAGCAATGGCGCGTGCCAACTCAAGTTCGTCGACGCTGGCTTCGGCAAAGATTGATGCTGAGATTACTGATCTCCAAAGAGATCGTGAAACAAGAATCGGAGATGCCTTTGAAGGATCGTTGAAGGACATGGAGGTAGTATACGCCGAGTACATTAGAAATCGGCATGCCGCAAACCAACGACTTGAAGCGTTGCAAAAATCTACGACAGCTCAGGACTGGCTGAAAGAATGTAGGGATAATTCCAGCGACATTACCAATGCTTGGAATCTTGATGCCCTTCTGGTGAAACCAGTTCAGCGCATCACAAAATATCCTCTACTCCTCAGGGAACTGATTGATGCCACGGTCGACGATCATCCTGACCTCTCGACGTTAAAAAGGGTGTTAACTAATATGACTGATATCAACATACGCATCAACGATGTAAAGAAGCATGCAGAAATGCTCGATCAAGCTATTAACAGGAAGCGAGGCCAATCAGATGTGCGGACTGGATTTTCGAAGGCTTTCGGAAGGAGAGCAGAGAAACTCAGACAACACGTTGGAATCACGGAAATGTATGAAGACACAGAATACGACAAGCTCAGGATTGCCTATGACAACAATTACGTGCAACTCATGGTAGTTGCCAATGATTGCCTGTCGTACGACAAGGGCATTACTCAGTGGGTGAACAAGATGGTCGAGGTCGCAGCAGCAGCAGAAGCATGGGTTGACGTCGGCCACTCTCATCATCAACAAGAAGAGAGCAAACTGCGGCACTTCGCCATGATTGTGCGCAACGTGCACAATATCGCACTTCCTGATCATCTTGAACATCTACAAAAGAAAGTCATCAAGCCAATGACTACGACAGTAGATATTCTGCAAAAATTCAAGGACGACCCGAAGGGATTATTACACAAACGAGACAAGCGATTGGTCGATTATGCGCAGATGAAGAACAGGAAAGATAAAGGAGAAAAAGTGGACAAGAAAATGTCGGAGCGTATGGACCAGTGGGAAGCCCTTAATACTGAGGCCAAAGAGCGAATGAGGAAGCTTCTGAGAGCTACTGCACACCTCGTGCAATCGTGCCAGGGCCACCTTGTACAGCTTCAAATGTCATGGATGGTCATGATTCAGCAAAAACTCTCGAATGTAATGGGAATCAACTTGAACCGGCTGTCATTAGCAGACATCGAGAAGACCTGGCAGGAAGATTTCGATTTTCAGGAGGCATCCGCTCTCACGCTCGGAGTCTGTAATGGGTCGTTGATACTGCAAGCGGCGAACATGACGAGCTTTTTGACGCCGAGCTCGACGCTCAATGGAGAAGATTCGCCACGTCAGATGTCATTCAGCAGCCTCAACAACAATACCAAGAGATCGATAACCATAAACAGCGATACCTCGACTGTGCCAACTCTGGACTTTGGATCCAGACCTAGTGGCACATATACTCAGAATTTATCAGAAAGTCATTTCGACCGTCCATATCCGTACCCAAGCAATCGAAATAGAGCGGCCTCAACCACATCTGGAAAGTCTTTCCATCGTCCAGAGGTTCCCTCTCGAGCTTCGACAAATGCCAAGCACACATCAGCAAGCGCTAATTTCGCCAGGCTAGGCACGAGTCCGTCAATACCACAGGACGCCTTCGCTCCCCCACGGCTGAGTGTCGAAACGTTATCGCCTCTCATGAGCTCGTTTCCAGCTTCAATTCATGCTGAAAGACCTCTGTCATCGAATACGTTCTTCTCAGCATCTCCTGCACCCTCGCAGAATCAGCCTACAGAGCGAAGCAGAGGCTCGGGCGTCTTCTCCTCTGCACTTCCAATGTCTGATTCACCTGTCTCTGAACGACATCCCGCGGAGGCGCTCTTGGGCGAGCCGAAAGTCCTATTCACTGCGGCGAGTGTGTACGAATTTAATATCGATCGCGCACGACGCGAGGCAGGATTTCCCTATCTAACATATGTCACGGGCGAGATATTCGACGTCGTTGGTGAACGTGGCGAGCTCTGGCTTGCGAAAAACCAGGACGATCCTAATAAACAAATAGGCTGGATATGGAATAAACATTTTGCACGGTTGGCGGAATGAACATGCCACTGGCTGATAAGGTTACACCATTGTACGATATGGACGGTTTTTTCTTGAGGTTAAGCAGCGCGAATCTCGCGCTGCCTTTTTCCAAAGGTCGGATACTCTATGCCTCTAGATATTGTAGATTGATGACGACGTACATGCATGCTGAGCGTGGGGATGGTGTTATTTGTTACACCCTTTGAAACTATTTTCATAAGCTTGAACAATGGAAACAGCTTGTGCTCTCTTTCTTGTGTATAGTATTGATGCTGAGGCAGCATTCAAGCGAGAAACAAGCACGTATACATTTGTTGCTACTGTGAACAAGTGACTAAAGCTTGGTGCTGGCTCATCATCAAAGTCAACCGTGCAATAAATTTGATAGTCGTTTCAAAAGGCCGATCGCAGCGTACTTAGATCGTGGCTGAAACCACGACGTAATAATGGTTCTTTCGAGGTGGATGACGCTGCTAAGGTTGTGTTACCTCCACCACTGCATCCAAACAAGCAAGCATATTCAGGCTGGACTTGATCAAGTTCAAGTTTAACGCCGAGGACTCGACAGTTGTGCTAGTGTTGTTAATTTGTTCTCTTGCACACCTGCGCCGTTTCATCTGCGACCTAACACTCGAGTTGAAACTACCTGTTGCGTCCGTCATTGTGCACTATGTACTTGCCACTATCCAGCGGACAACCGAGACGATCATGAATATTTGGCATCAATAGGTTGAAGAATAAAAGAGCTTGAATCTACTTGGATAAGATCAAAAGCCTCACGAGCTAAACATCATGCATCCATTCGGTGGACATTTGAGCAGGCACTTTCGAGAGTCGGTAGGGCAGCCGTCACATTCCTTCCGTGTTACCACCGCAGCCGATGTCATTGTATTTCGTTGTGCTTGTGTTGGATGGACTAGCAAGTGCTTCTGTCACATTTGATCGTTCCTTCAAGCTATCAGGGTCTCCCTGCGAGGTTTAGAATTGTCGGCTAATCAAGATGGCTTCACAGCTTAAACCAGATGATACACCTTACTTGAGTTGTGGGTTTTGTTTGCAGGTGAATGGATAATGGTCATGCTGACACGTTACAGACTACGATGTGCGACGTACGAATCCCTTCGCCTGGCCTAAGTATTTCGAGACTGATGGGTGGCAGTACTCAAGATCGATATTAATGCGTTGAAGAATGACTGGCTTACAGACAATGTATGTGAGAAAGCTGAAGGACTACGACTGCGGAGAGTGCTGACATACTGGTCAGGTCATCACATTCTGGGAAGAGTACGTGACCGAGATCGAGTCGAGCGAAATGAAAGTCTTCTAATTGCATTCGATCCTACAGATTTCTCGAACGCGAATACCTTACAGAATTCAAGAACTCTAAGATCATCCTATTACGGCCAACCATGTCAGTCATGCTTGGGTTTGCGCAAGATGCAAAGGAGGTAAAGGTACGTTTCTAAAGACGTGAGATCGTGAACCTTGACATGGCTCACCAAGTGCCGCCTAGGCAGCAGGAGCAAGCACACAAGTTAACTTCTCTCTTCACAGGAAGCACTTCCGGATTTCACAGGCGTAACCCATGTGTTCCTCCCTATAAATGATTGCAACACTCCAAACCAAGCAGAAGAGGGTACACATTGGTCGCTCCTTCTCGTATCTGTCGTCGACGGTGTGGCCTTCCATTACGACTCCTTCTATCACGGTAACCAAACGGTAGCCTTAAACGTTACAAACAAACTCTCCCGTCTTCTCGGCATAAAACTCCGGTTCATACAGTTGCAAGACACACCGCAGCAGGAAAACGGCAGCGATTGTGGAGTCTATGTTTGTCTATTCATGAGACATTTATTGTTGAAGAGACTATTGATGGTAAGAACTAACGAGAAGGTGAGCATGAGCATGGCCGACAAGAAGATCGATGCACGAGAGGGGAGAAAGGAGATGCTCAGAGTCATCGAGGATCGTAGGAGAGAGGGCGAGAAGCGACGATCGTGAGTAACAATCCGTGTTCCACACTGTAACATCACCGAGACTGCATGCTAATAACTCGGACAGACTGAGCAAATCTCCTGCACCAGGGTCGCGGAAATCGAGGAGTCCACCTAGGATAGACAGTCCCATAGACGACTCTAGGAATTCACGATGATACTTCTAATAGACGAGGAATATAACAGGAATGACAATTGTATGGCAAGGCGATAATGGACGATATGGAATGTTATGGCTGGGTGTGCTTCAGATATCTGAATGAAAACATACTTCTGGAAATTCTCTGGGTAGTTTCCTACATCGTATCGTGGTACTGGTTAATCATATACGCCGATTTGGTTGTCAGTTTATGGCCTCAATGCTTGCCGTCCGTGAGCCAGCAAGTGCGCTGTCGTAATCGTGGAACAAAAACGACATGTACTTGTGATGAGGCTTGGGTAAATTCAGGTTATGTGAGGGTTCCTGAGGTTTCTGGAGGTTATCGCGTCAACCCGCTTCAACCCGCGTCAACCTCTCTCTACCTCTCTTGCCCTCGTAGGACCTCCTTCGACCCCTACTCAATAACCAATCTAACATAGGACGCCGTGTATTCTTTAATGTAGATACGTCCAGATGGTCGCGTTACTGTGAAGCAATCGACTTATTCCAGAAGAAAATACTGTTCTCTTTCGAGATTCGGGCAATTCCAGGTTACTACAAGAGGGTTTTGGAGGTTAAGGCATCAACGCGGAGTAACCTCCATCAAACCCTCCTTGATCTATGCGGTATCTCTCGTGAGTTAATCTCTTTCAGCTATTACTGATTTGATTTCAGTACGTAGACGATCATCGGACATTAGCCTTGTAAAGAGCAATATTCTGGAAAAAGGCATTGCACACCTCTCAGGTGATATGCAGAAACAGTGCTCGGTCCATACTGTATGAGCCACGAGTCGACGGAGGACGTCATGCTTTCTAGGGTTTCGGCAATAGCCTCGAACCTTGTAGTAGGAGTAATGAAAAGCCACAGACTCGAGTCGAGCAGACAGACTCGAAGTTCTGACTATCAGGTTTTTGAAGAGAACGAATCATGCAGGTACACTGTACACGGCTGAATGACCATTCCTTTCTCAGAAAAGGAAGAATGACTACCCAACGAGACTATTAAACTTTATTCCGTGATAGGTGCAGTAGAACGATGCAGACAAGTCAACTATACAAAAGAGAGATTTGCAAGGTCGTATGCTACTGGTGTGGTTTGGGAAAGCACGTCGCCCACTCGCCATGTATGAGAAGTACTTGCACAACGAAACGAACTCCACGCGACATGATTCGCCACGAGCTCGTGCATATGTGGCTTTTCGCTTGGGGTGTGATCTTCACAGAGTATTAACGATGGTGTCCTGACCCGCTTGGGCTTCATCTGTACACATCGTTTCAGCCTCAAAGACTGACTTAAACCACATCCCGTCCAGTCAAAGTGTCGGAGGCATCACAGCAAATTTGTGGGCGTGTAATATGGCAGATTCGGGGAGCCTCCAGATCGTGCCTTGGCCATGGTGTTCTGATGAGGAGGGGTGGCTTGCATATAGCTCATGATTCTCCTAGGTGGCGGACAGACTTGACGAGTAAGAGAGGGTGCAGCAATAAAGGACACCGAGAAACCAGCATAAGGGTACCATTTCAGTGACCTTCATGCCGTCAAACGAAGCGCCGAAAACAACGTTGTGCAGCAGTAGGAATATACCATCTATGATTGGTCATTACCCCTGCCAGCAGTATGACTAAAGCCAGCTTGCGGCTGACGTCGTTCCTTGGAAGGAATAGCGCAGGAGGAGATCTACAACTTGAAGCACATTACGACCTGCTGATCGATCGCTTGAATACGAGAGGCGAAGTCAAGTCGTTGCTCGGGAAGTAGCTCCTTTGCAGAAATACGAGCAATCCTTGAGACGAATCTGCGGCGATCGAAGCATAAACTTTCCCTCTTCCAGTATCTCTCGTGGCGAGTGTGGTTTGGAGGTCTTGGAAACGTGTCATTGTGTTGACTGTCGAGTTAGGGACTGTACCGACGTCCTGGACGAGACTTGGTGGTGGAGATCGAATGAGAACCAACTGTTGATGCTCTAGTATGCGTAGGAATGAGCACAAGACACAACTTTCTGAGACAGGTTCGAATGGTTTGAAGAGATGGGATGTTTTTAAGCCACACGACCAGTCTCCAAGCAGAACCGTGTTTCACAGGCACGACGGAGACCAATCGTAACTTAGCGCTTCTGGGACGAGCTTGCAGCCGGCAACGATGCAGCTGACGCCACAATGACGCGAATGGACCAGGAATTTGGCGGCCATGCCACGAATCTATCAGTCCTGAAATAGTCCAAGCCACCAACCGTTAGAAGATGCAGCTGGTGGAAGATAACAAGAATGTATCAATCTGTCAAGACTGATTCCTCTGGATTGTACCATATAAGTGTAACTTTGGAAGCAGGTGCGTCTGAGTACTGCAAATCCGTCAGCAACCATTGAACTGAAAGAAACAGCCCAGCCACCGATGACATCGTCTCACTTCGTTCTTCTGGAGAAGGCAGACTAACAAGGAAAGTGCTGGTACCGTTGAATTCTATCTCACATACGTAGTGTCGAGGCCTGCAATGAGACGTGGCTTTCGACAGTGTCAGGGACTCGGAGTAGTGGTAGAAAAACCGGCGCGGTGTAGGCAATCTAGTTACATGACCTCGAACAAGCCGTCCTGTCGAAGCCAGTCCTTACAGAATGATGGTCTTCGATCACTTTTGTATTGGAAGATCGGAGGTTTTCACGATGAGAGACATGGTTGGCCTGCAAGCGTGGCTTCAAGCTGGAGCGATGTGCGATTGACGTGGCTGAGATTCCTTCAGCTAGGCAAGCTTGACCCAAAGACGTTAGCTCTTACATTCACTGGCGTCCACTGGCATGGGTGGTACTCGCCCCAGTCCTCTTCAAGTTCCTCGTCCCACGACTTTTAGTTAGCCGACTGCCACTGCAGTGGCCTCAGAATCTGCATTGCGTCTTCCCTTGGAGTTGGTAACAGCAAGTTAGCGTCACTCCTTCCACCTAAACACTTCCTTCTCAATACGGGCTTCTGTTACAGACACAAAATCTGTCGTGAAATCGCCTAGTGTAGTATCGGCTGCTTCTCAACAGTAGCGACTTCGATTTTGTCGCCGTTCAATTCATCGATACAGCGCACCTTCGTCGACCTATTGCGCTCCCACCATACCTTCGCCTCTCTCCTCACTTGCGCATCTGCAACAGCGCATCGTACCATTTTTCTTCCTGTCAACCCCGAGAAACTCTTGACGCGCGAAATCCCACTGGCGGCGCATGTTCGTCTCTGCTGCAAAAAGACAAGCCTAATTACAGAAGGAACCGACTCACCGAGTGCTGCAAATACAGGTTCCTTGTCCAGATAACCACGATTGTTGGACTGCTGGGTAGGCACTCGCAGAAACAGGCTTTCTGTGCTGGAGTTGGGGTGTCAGTGGTTCGGTGTGGCTAGTTGAGGCTGTTGCCGCTTCACTGGAACTGTTTCTTCGGCTGTCAGCCACATCCTTTACATGGTGCTACAAGAGGTACGGATGAACCCTCGGTCCCTTGAGAAACCCTTCTGAACCACTTTGCAACACCTGTTCTGTTTGCTGCAATCAGATCGCTTGGTCATGTCGCTGGGTAGCCATGCCACCAGGACGATCATCACGAGCACTGTTTGTTGATGGAACCACTCTATGCGTGCCTTTGGATGACTATGATTTGCTTTATTACCGAAAACAGGTGCAGCAACGTTACATCAGACCTATGCTGACCTTATGAACTGTAGCGCCCACCTCTCTTGAGACCACCTTCTATTGATGGCTGAAAGCGAGTTTTCGCGTACTGTTCAAACACACATTCAATCATCTAGCCCAAATAGATTCTCAAAGCCTCGCCCTGCCTTCGAGGAGTCGGGAAGGCCGGGCAAACGACCCCGCCTGCAAAGCCCGGTGCCTATGACAGCAGCAGCAGCAGCAGCTCTTGCCCAGGCTAAAAAACGAAGCTCACCGACACCCTCAGTCCTACAATCTCCTAATCCACAGGCCGAGGCTTTGGGTGCGCTGATGGGCTTGACACAGAATGTCACCAGCCCAGCCATCCAACACCCCAAGCCGAATGCTGCCACTACCATGAGCCAGCCATTGGCTGTCGTTGCCGCGAATTTGCAAAGTGGTGTCGAGGGCAGTACAAGCCCAGACAACAATCTACTAACTAGCCCAGCAACCAGTGTAGGTACAGTCGGCAGCATACTAAATGTATCTGGCGCTGGCACATCTGTCACGAGTCCACAACCTGTAGAAGGTGCTCCCAAACCAACACACGATTCAGTCTCGCCGCAGGATCCTGGCAAGAGCGCCTCCTATCACACCCCATTCTTGACGCCTCAGATCTCGGATGCTGCTCGAAGGGGCATGAGCTTGCCGGGCTCTGCATCTAGACACGACGCTCGCTCGCCGTCGTCGAGCAGTAAGAAGCACAAATGCCCCTACTGTTCAACCGAATTCACCAGACACCACAATCTCAAGAGTCACCTTTTGACTCACAGTCAAGAAAAGCCATATGTGTGTTCGACATGCAACTCTAGGTTTCGCCGGTTGCATGATCTGAAACGTCACACGAAGCTGCATACAGGTGAGCGTCCCCACGAGTGTCCGAAGTGCAACAGAAAATTCGCCCGCGGAGATGCGCTTGCCCGTCACAACAAAGGTCCCGGAGGCTGTGCGGGCAGGCGATCGAGTATCGGCAGCTTCGGAGGTGACGAGGAAGGTGAAGGCGATGAGACCATGGACGGCATTGTCTACGGGGAGCCTGACACCATGGAGGATGAAGAAGGAGGAGCACGTGGTACACCGGTGATCCGTCGACAAGCACCCTCTGGAGATGACTCGATAGACAGCACGGCTAATTATCGTCTCCCGAGCACTTATCCCCCAATCCAAGGTCGACCTACTGGATCGTCTTTCCCACCTCCAGGCTATACCTCTTCGAATGCTCCACAACCCATCAACCAACACCCTGTTGGCTCGCGATCATCCAAGTTGGGCCCTGGCCCACCAGTCTTTGCGCACAATCCGATGACGGAGAGTCCGAAGCCTATAAGTCCAGCACAACGACAGAACACAGGGACTATGGACAGTGTTGGCAGAAACCGATCTCCAAGTAACCCTCAGTACGCCCCAGCATACGCACCACGGGGTTTAAGTGGTTCTACCTCGTTAGCCGTACCTCCGCACGGACCTCAGCTGCCGCCACCGCACGGGTTGAACCCTCCCGATTCAAGGTTTACTCTGGCTAGTCAAGCAGGGCCTACACACCCTCCAACACAACCAATTGGACCACCAACCCATATGTCTGGAAGTGGGCCATTGTCATCTCATAGTAGCTCAGGCCACGGTTTCTCGGCCCATGGTAGTGCTGAAGGACATCACCACAAAGGTGCTTTCCCAACAAATGAGGAACGTCTTTGGGCCGTTGTCAGAAGCTTAGAGCAGCAGATGGGCGGTATGCGCGAGACCATCGAAGCACTTCGAGCGGAAGTCGGTACTCTTAGAAAGACTATTGATCAGCAACGCACATGAATGTTGTTGAATCTCTCTACGAAGCACGCTCACGAAACGGTGTGGATCAGCACAGCCTTTGAGACACCACTTGTCCTCTTGGCGAACGTTGGGTAAGGACATCAAAAGCTCATTTGTATCTATTGGTTGTGATAGTTAGAGATTAGGTCAAGGATTTGAGAGAACGAAAAGTTGTTCTTAGCCAAAAGAAAAAAGCCACCCTGTAACATTACTCATGTTGATGACACAGAAAACAGCACACAGAGACGAGGTATGGGAGTATGAAAATGATTGAATAGGCGAATGATTTTACTATACCCTACACTGTAATTTGGATGTTCTTAGGACTCGATAAGTGTAAAATATGATTCAATTCAGATTGATGTTTGTACTTGGAGCAGCAGCCCGTTAAACCCCTCTACAATGATCATGTCCCATATGTACTACCAGTTGGAATCGTGCCAATGTATCTCCTCACTTTGTGAGATAAACGCGACTGCACTGGTTTGCCAGCAGGATGGAAGGGACGACTAAGGCCCAACAAACAGACACTCCGGTCGAGCATAACCCGAAGAATTACGCCGAGAAGCACAACTGGGTGAAACACCTCTAGACCTCCGCTATTGGCTGTCAATCCACTGGGAATACCCAGTGGCTTCCAGATCTTTTGGGAAACTGGACAACACTATCTATCGACGGCGTGCACCATTTCATCGCGACTGGTCACTGGCCTCCACCAGATCCGCAGGGAAACCGCGTCAAGCAGCGAGTCGTGGAGTTCCTGCTAATTTTGGGTTCAAGCATGTGAACGCTCCAGCTGCGCTTCCAAGCATTGAGTTCAGCCGCGGACCCTCTTCGTTCTGGACTCTGTGTATACGAGCCCAAGTTCTGCTATTCTTCTGTTCATTGCCTGTATACGTACTTCAATTGTTCTAATCAGCTCATATAAATACAAGAAGTCGTTTCACGCGCTACCGACTTGTCGCCATCGCTCAGCCCAGAACAAGAATGTATAAATTCGTCCTCCTTGCGGTCTCCGCTCTAGCGGGCCTTGCCTATGCGCAGAACGCGGTGCCAGCTTGTACGTCGCGAGGTGGTCCCTCTGATGGTGGTACATGTGCTAACAATGGCTGTCTCCAGGCGCAACAAGCTGTATCGTCCTCCCATCTAATTGCAATCTCGATCCGGCCTGTACGTCCTCCTTCAGCCGCTGACCCTAAGCACTGCAATCCACGAGAACAAAATATTGTGCATATGCTGCTCAATAGACTGCGAAGATTGTCTGCAGTTTACTGAATGGTCGGCTATGGTTGACGAGCTTCTGCGCCACCTCGTGTGCTTTCTGTAGTGGTTGCACGGTCCTGCCCTACTTCAGGAGAATGATTCCTTCCATTGCACGAAGACAGAACAGAGCAATACGTGCTTGCATAGCTACCAAAGCTGACCTGCTGCTTTTACAGGCATCTGCAACGATCAGCAGTGGATTTCCACTATCTCATGCTGCATCAGCACGAGCTGCGATCAGGCAGGACAACAGCAGGCTCTGCAGTACGCCCAGCTGATATGTACTCCTGTCGGCGCGACGCTGGTACGTACCATACTCCATCCCGCACTTCCGTCAGCCCAACCACTAGGCCTGCCGTCCGCGCAACGCACAATCATTGACTTCTCTTCCTCTCCACAGCCCAGCCAAGCCTCCTGCTCCAACTCAACCTCTGCTGCCTCCTCAAATTCAGGTTCCGCCTCTTCCTCAGCAACCACCGGCAGCGCCGCTTCATCCGCACGCAGTAGTGTCACAAGCGTTGCTTCTTCCGCCGCCAGCAGTGTGTCCTCAGCGGCTAGTAGCGCCGCTGCCTCGGCGACCTCAGCTGCAATGGGTCACCAGGTCGTGGCGGGTATCGGTGGTGTTTTCGGTGCGATTGTTGGGGCTGCTGCACTGCTGTAAACGCCTAGGAAGGATCTGGGGGTTTGTGGACAGCAGCAAGAATGAGCTTGGAGTTGATTTTCAATTGAGGGTGATGTGCTTGATTTCAGGGAGAAGGGACGGAGCTTGTCAGCGTGTCGCTCGGTGCAGTGGATATAGTACAGCGACGAGATATAGAGGCGTGAATGATATGATTCTTGATCTACTCTATCACTGTTCTGAATTAGTCAGATTTTACGACACCAGGAACTGGCTCGGCGATTTGGACAATCTTAACGAGAACTTGCCTCCTGAAGGGTGCAAGACGACGGTTTGGTCCGCCGGACTACGACAAATGAAAGCTATGTCGCTTCAAGAAAGTAGGGGAAAACATTGTTCTCCAGGAGTGATGATATACATAGTATTATCTGTCATATCTATCTTGTGCCAGGCGAAACATCCGAAATCGCCTGCTGACCTCTATCGAATATTGCTGCACTTATCATCAAGCATCTATGTGCTCCGAGAAAGATAACTTAGTGAAGCTTGCGTCATGACGGCAGCTAAATCCCAGACATTAGATGACTCACAATATAGTGCTAAAATGCTTCGACGTTGTCATCGGTGCCCTTGCTAGTCCAGGATGTGCTGAATAGTCTTGCAATCATTGTACATATATCGTACACACCATACCGCGGCCGAAAGCATGGCAAGTAAGGTCGTTGAAAAGAGTCTTTGTGAACACGCTTGAGCTAGACAGGCTCTATTTCTTGTTCCTCTCGGCCTGAGCCTTTTGGTACTTCGCCATCAGCTCTTTCTGTAGCTGTCCAGGCGCTCGCTCGTAATGGCTGAACTCCATGCTAAACTCGCCCTTACCTTGAGTCGCTGCTCTTAGGGTACCGCTGAAGCCGAACATGCCATTGAGTGGCGTGGTAGCATGGCATGTGAAGTCGTCTACGCCAACCTCTGAGTCGTTGATGACAGCATTACGCTTCTGCAACAGACCAATGACATTACCCTGAAATTCTGACGGTGCTGAAACGACTGTCTTCATAAGTGGCTCCAAGACGACTGGGTTAGCTTGAGCGAAAGCCTTCCTGAATGCCTCTTGTGTTGCACGTTTGAAAGCCATTTCAGACGAATCAGTCATGTGGGTAGCACCATCGTCGATGACCATGGTTGTGCCGAGTACTTTGTGGCCGATAAGAGGACCCTTTTCGCAAGCTGCGTAGAAGCCCTTTTCACAGGCGAACAGGAATTTTTCGTCGATGGCACCTCCAACAACTTGTTCTTCGAACTTGTTCTCACCCAGAGAAGTGTAAGGTTCCATCCATCCAGCGACACGAGCATAATCACCAGCACCACCAGTCTGTTTCTTGAGAATATGGTCAAACTCAACCTTCTGTGTAACAGTTTCCCTGTACGCTACTTGAGGCTGTCCAGTCTCGCAGTCGACTTTGTATTCTCTGCGCATGCGTTCCACATAGACTTCGAGATGTAGTTCGCCCATACCAGAGATAATAGTCTGCTCCGACTCAGCGTCGAAATGAACTCTGAAAGTCGGATCCTCGCGCTGAAACCGAGCAATGGCTTTGGAGAAATTCGACAGATCCTTGTTGTTCTTTGGCTTGATAGAAAGCGAGATGACAGGTTCTGGCACGAACATGGAAGTCATGCTGTAACCTAACGATCCGTCTGTGAAAGTGTCTCCAGAAGCACAATCAACACCGAAGACAGCACAAATTTCTCCCGCACCAATCTCTGGGATTTCCTCCATCTCATCAGAATGCATTCGTACCAATCGTGGCACTTTGACTCTCTTGTCGTTGCGAGCATTGAAGATATTCATACCCTTCTTCAAAGCACCTTGATAGACACGGATATATGTCAATTGACCAAAGTTTGACTCTTCCAATTTGAAGGCCAAGCCTACAAAGGGTAAGGAGTTGTATGGTATGAGCTTGACAGGAGCCTCTTTCTGTCGACGATCCAGAGCAGTATTTGCGACCTCGGATGGATTGGGTAGATAGTCGCAAACACCATCGAGCATGGGTTGGACGAACTTATTGGCAAGTGCCGAGCCAATAAAGACAGGCGTGAACTTGAGGGATAATGTTGCTCGTCGTACAGCGGCTTTGAGCTCTTCAGGAGTTGGATCTCTTTCATCGAGGAAGATTTCAGCCATCTCATCATCAACATCAGCCAGAGTCTCGATCAGTCTAGTCCGACGTTCGACAGCAAGGTCTTTGATATCGGCTGGGATTTCTTTTGTTCTTGTTATTATTTCACCGCTTTCTCCTTCGGCGTAGATCGTTTCCATAGTAATTAGGTCGACCAGTCCTCTGAAATTATCCTCAGAACCAATAGGGTATTGTACAGCAGCAGCATGAAGTTTCAATTTCGAATTGATCTGATCGACCGCTTTGAAAGGATTGGCACCCATTCTGTCCATCTTGTTTATGAAGGTTATCCTAGGAACATTGTATCTGCGCATCTGGCGATCGACCGTAATTGTTTGGGACTGCACACCAGACACAGCACAGAGAATCATCACAGCTCCATCCAACACTCGTAAGGCTCTTTCAACCTCGATGGTAAAATCGATATGTCCAGGTGTATCGATCAAATTGATGTGGTATTTCTCACCATCTTTGACCCAGTCACAGAAGGTGGCAGCAGACTGGATGGTAATGCCCTTCTCTCTTTCAAGATCCATAGAGTCCATCTTTGCTCCAACTGCATCTTTTCCTCTAACTTCGTGAATCTGTTTTATTCGGCCAGTGTAAAAGAGTACACGTTCTGTCGCTGTCGTTTTGCCTGAATCGATATGCGCCTGGACACGAATTAGCACCGAAATCCCGACTTCTCGACACATTGGACACTCCATACCGCTATACCAATATTCCGAACTTTTGAAAGCCTCTTCGCCTCCTCAGTTGACATGTTTTCTATGATCGTCTCCTGAGATAGTGTCTCTGGCTCTTGTGCCTCCTCTAGCCTGCATCTGTCAGCTTCCTGTTTGTGTTCCAGATTGAAAAGCGCTTACATGGCGGCTGCTGCAGCAGCGCCTCTCTGCTGCTGCCATTTTTGACGTAGAGGCGATCTTGCTAAAGGTTCTGATGTCCTTAATTGAGGTGCCAGCACAGAGGTTGAGGCGCATCTTCGACAGATCCAAGACTGTGCTGTGGATCGATGTATGTTTGCAGCAGCTCTCGATGAGCGCTGCACCAGCCGAGATGCCCTCATCGTGACCGCGATAGAAAGCAAGAAAGAGCGAACGGAATGCAACGAATACGCCCGTCTCTACAATAGCAACTGCGATCCAGCCATAACGGGCAACTTTTTGGTGGAGTCGAGGTCAGACTGCCGAAGAATTTCCTAACCACTAAGGGACGAATCATAGTACTGGCCTCGAAGCAGGCATGTGAAGGAAGTGTACTGTTCTATAACCACTATCTATGGGTATCACTCGCTTGTGCTCTAATCCATCCGCTTTTTGCCCTCTTCCATATAACCCACGTTGGTCTGACTTATGTTTCGTACGCGCTTAGCATTTCCTGGGACTGCCTGAAGGACTTTAGCCAGCACAGGGTCTTTCTGAGCTCGGGTCATAGCATTGGAGAAGCCTTCTATCGCGTATTGAGGCGTGTTCAATTTTGGCCAGTTCACGAATAACATTCCGTTGGCGAGAATGAATTGTGCCGACCATGCCGCAACACCAACGCAGAGAAGCATGAATATTCGTATAGGCCATACTGTTGCGTCCGGTGCTCGAGAGGTCATCAAGAAGACGAAAACGATGAATACCATGGCTGCAAGGATGTAGGGAACAGCTTGCACGACCAGCGGTCGTTTGTCGACAAAGGTCTGTGCTGTACCGACTCCAGCAGTAGATGGCAGGTATGCTCCAAGAAACACGTCGAAAGCATCCTGTCGAGGTCCATCAAGGAAGTTGTTCTTCACGTATCTCGTCACCGAGTTGTTAAGATCTTGAGCCATGCCCATCCGTGTTCTATTTCCGGTTCTTGTAAAGTCGGTCTTCAGTGCTCCGGTGCCAGAGTATGATTTCGAAACAACATCAGCGTTGTCGGCCCAGATATTTCGGTAGAGATGCTCGAAGGCGAGATCGTCGCTGACCTGGTCAGATTGTGAGAGAACACCTGCATCTTGCAATTGCTTGGTCAAAGCCCATCTCCCAAGCATACTTTGCACCACGTTTGTTCTATCGAGGCAGTCCATGCAGTTGGTCCTCACCACTGCCGTCTGCCGTAACCGCACATCGAGGGCCTCTGTATTGCCTGGCATTTCGACGCCCTTGAAATACCCGCCCTTGTTAAGTCCGTCCATAAGCTGATCAAGGAGGAGTTGAGCTCTGTGCCATTTCAGGCCCTTCGTCTCATTGTGGAAGTCAAAATAAATGTAATGGAGTTTGTCCATGCGCTGCTTCCCCCCCTTCGGCTCAATCTCGTGGAACAACTCTGATGTCTTTCTGTCGGCTTCAACATCCTCCTCGGGTGCGCTGACTAGAGCTCGCACCATTTGTTCGTATGCTTTCTTGACGCGTTCTTCACGACCTCTTTGGTTTACCAGGTTCACAAGATAGTTCTCACCATAGATTCTGATTTGCTCGAGGAAATGTTTCCTTGCAGCCTTCTGAGCAGTATCAACGCCTCGAATTTGAAGTTTTGGAGTGTAGTGCAAATCGTTGATTTCTGCCCAGAAGACTGGTACACTACCACGAGTTTGCACATATGACATGATCTGAGTTTCTGAAGTTGATCCTGCAACTTTACCCGTTGAAGTGTCGCTGCCAGCATAGCCTACAGCAGGTCCTGCAGTATCGTTCAAGATGACGATCTGCTCGGTTTCGTTATAGTTGGATACGTGACCGTGTTCATCTATACCCCTAGAGAAGTATCGAGTACCACCTCTGTGGCGTGACCTCCTGGTCATCAGAGCAAAGGTAAAAGTGGTGCTTCGGACCTTTGCAGGTGTAATGCGCAGCATGCCAAACATGATGGGGAGGATATAAGGATCTGCACCTGGTTGCTGTCCTCCTCTTGTGCCACTTCCACTGCCTCCTCCCAGCCTGAAGTCGATCAAATCGGTCTGCACAAATCTGTTCCAGAAGAAGCGGTCGTCTGCCCTTGTCCATAGTGGCTGTGAGAGGTCGGCCTGTGCTTGTCTCTGGAAGGAGTTGGTGAGGTCGATGGAGTAGGAAAAGTACATGGGACCGTTGTGCAGCAGTAACTTCAGGTACGTGAGATAGGTGTCTTCGTCTGGATCGTGTAGAGGTCTCTCTCGCAATGGAAGAAACTCTGTCGCAACTACTCGATATACCATATGTCCTCGCAACCTGCCCATGGGCTCAGCTTTTGTAATAACAATAATGTACTTGTCGAGCTTAAGCTTGATAATCCCCAAAATGCCAGCAATACTCGATACCCGCTTCGTTCCCAAGAGTTGGCCATTATTCAGTCTGATGTCGCCTGATGGTCGCTCGACAACCAATGTCGGCGCAGTCGTATTGGAGGGGGATGTGAAGGCATAATGGGCGCTCGAAGCATGCACGTTGATATCGCGGAAGGGAAGCAACCCTGCCATGTTAGAAGGATTCTTCCAAGCCCTCCTTTATCCCGCAAGAAAAGAACGAGCGCAAAGAAGAAATAGTGGTAGTCGTGAACAGTGTGCGATATCTGATAAGCAAAGGGCAGTCACAGCAACGACGAGGAGTGGGACGTGACATCTCAAGCTTCGTCATGGGACAGGGTATCAGCCACAGCAAGTGACCAGTAAAAGTCATTCTCCAGGCCTTTTTACTCCGGCCGAAGTCTCCATTGCTCAACTAGTCTGCTGTGCATTGTCACTGCCTACACGTCGAACGCACCATTATAACTTGTGATTCTTTGGTCGCTTCATCGAACGGGCACTACCGGTTCACTACGTTATTGGTGCTACTACAAACACTCGACTTGAACTGCGCACTCAGCTGCATCTTCGATTTACCTGCGCCGAATTTCGAAAAGAGTCCCAGACGCCATCGTCTAATCTGTATAACACACCTCAAACATGGCGGCAAGAGGGCCAGCTGGTCGTCCCGGAGCAGGCGGCAGATTTGCTCAATTCAAACTGGTATTACTTGGTACAGCAAGATGGCCTCCAAACAGTGCTGGGTGCGATCAGCTAACTTTATCACAGGTGAATCCGCGGTTGGAAAGGTATTGATCTTGTGCTTGACCAGCATATTCAGCCACTAACTCCTTCAGTCCTCGTTAGTTCTGCGATTCGTCAAGGACCAGTTTGACGACTATCGCGAATCTACGATCGGTGCCGCCTTCCTTACACAAACTGTCACCCTGGATGAGAACACCACTGTGAAGTTCGAGATATGGGATACTGCCGGGCAGGAACGATACAAATCTTTAGCGCCAATGTACTACAGGAACGCCCATTGCGCTGTCGTGGTCTACGATATTACACAAGCTGTACGTAACAGTTTTCGAATGTACTTTCCTTTATGCTGACATGGACAGTCATCATTAGACAAGGCGAAGTCGTGGGTAAAAGAGCTCCAACGGCAAGCCAACGAGAACATAATCATTGCCCTTGCTGGTAACAAGAAAGATATTGTCGACGAGAACCCTGACAAGCGAGCGATACCGGCTGCAGATGCTGAGCAGTATGCAAAAGAGGCGGGTCTACTATTCTTTGAAACATCGGCAAAGACTTCGAACAACGTCAAGGAGCTCTTTACTGCAATTGCAAAGAAGCTACCACTAGATCAGGCTGGCCCAAGAAATCTTCGAGCAAATCCCAGGACTGGCCCACTTGACTTGAGGCCAGAGGCTACACAACAAGGTGCTGGAAATTGTAACTGCTGATTAGGAGCGAGCGACAATGCGAGCAGGCTATTACAACAGACGAGTCTCTCTCATCAAGCAATCAACCCAAATTTTCTCATTGTGAAGTGGTTAGCAGGAGTTGGTGGGTTGACTGGACCAGGTATTCATGTCCAGCTGCAGACACTTCCGCCGGATAGTCATTTTGGCAGGAAGGTGTTGGTATAATATATTCGACATTTCATGTTTTCCATGCGCACCGTTTCTTTCTGCTGACTAGGCAATTTCTTCTTTCCAGCTGACACCACAACCTTCTCGCTTTGCTTTCCATGGTACTATTTTCCACGATGCAAAGAACAGGCTTGCGACGCAGTACAAACCAGCACTCCTGAGTGTGACACCCTGCACGCTGTCTAGACGTTCCAGCTTGCAGGCAAAGACTGCCATCCAGCTGAGGGTTTCATGAGATTGTCTGAGGTGATGGTGGTCAAGAAGCTGGCAGCAGTTATTGCTCTTTGTGTCATGCTTAGTACTCTCTTCCTTTGTTCCTTCTCTCTGTCTGAGGTGGTTTCTCGTGCAAGGTAATAACTAGCCACTCCAAGGGTAGAAATTTATATATGTCTGTGGCTCTTATGCGACACCGTAGTATTTACCCTCAGGCACTCCAGGTCTCAATTTCTTGTCCTCTTCAATAAGTTCCACCTCAGTCTTGCAGTTTTCGTGTTCGACTTAGTTCGTCACAGCGAAGTCAGACACATCTTACATGGCTAATCTAGATGTCGCAGACTTATTCAGAAGGATCTGCTAATCACTATATCGTCCTAGGCCTGGCAGTGCCACAGAGTCCAGATCAAAAACCACCAACAATTGACGTTCTGAGAGCAGCCTACCGGCAAGCACTGCTCAGATATCACCCAGACAGAGCTGCAGTTCAGAAAAGATCGAAGGTACCTGCCAAAGCTGTTTCTGAAGAAGCGAGGCACAGCGTCGACGCTATAGTTCAAGCTTATGAGACGCTCGCCAATCCAACTTCACGTGCGGCCTATGATGACACGCTGCTTAAGGCGACAAGCAAAGCAAGGATTGTAGCAAACAACAAGGACAAACAAGTTGTTGCTTTGAGCCTGGAAACTGTTGATCTGGAGGATTTGGACTACCACGAGGCATCCTCTCAGTGGTCGAAAGGCTGCCGTTGTGGTAGTACATACACAGTATCCGAGCAGCAGCTAGAAGACGTTGCAGACGAGGGTGAAGTCATCGTTGGGTGTCAAGGCTGTAGCTTGTGCATAAGAGTGGTGTTTCATGTCATCTAAGGACACGAAGTGATGCAAAGAACGAGGAAGACCTTTGTCTATGCGTATAATGGAGAACACATTCCTCCTAGTGTGTACAATCCCCATTGCGGATTTTGTCGAGCTTATTGAACCTCTTTGTGTGCGGTTCATGAGGTAGTGCAAGCCCTCTTCTGTGCTTCACTTGATGGGAGTATTTTGTTCTTGTAAGCAGTCGCGTCTCAAGGACCCCGCAACGCGTATCGATATGACGCCTGCGCGCTGAATAAATTTGAACATTCCCCCAACTCACTTGAGCATTCCTCTACAGCCACCTACCGCTAAGGCAAACATACAGACTGCTCATCTCCAAGTCTCTCGCTGACTGCCACTTGCGAACACCAAATTGTATGCGGCCACAGTCGCCACACACAAGATGACTTCAAAAACAGTACAAATCGAATCGACAACACAATTCTCGAACCTCCTCTCCTCGAGCGCCATCGTAGTCGCTGATTTCTACGCAGACTGGTGTGGACCATGTCAACAGATCGCCCCCATATATGAGCAGCTCTCGGCTCAGCTGTCCCGACCAAATAAGATTACCTTCACAAAAATCAACACAGATAGACAACAAGAACTCTCTCAAGCATATGGAGTGACTGCGATGCCAACCTTTATGATCTTCAAGAATGCACGCCAAATTGAACATATCCAAGGCGCCAACCCTCAGAAGTTGAGTACCGCAATCAAGAAGGTGGCCGAGGAAGCAAACAAGATCGATAGTGGAGAGGGCTCAGCAGGTTCATCAGGACAGTACTGGCTCGGTGCGGCGCTACCGAAGAATTACTACGATGTAACGGACCAAGTGGATGTACTGGGTCTGGAGCTACTGAATTGGGAAACTTCAAAGGGAGGCGCTAGGGCGATATTTAATACAGCGAAGCCCAAAGGTAAGCAGTGTCCGTCTTGATGAGAAGAACGAACTAACAACTAGCTAGAAAACGACGACAAGGATTACGTCGAATCCGACACCGACGAACAACTCATGATATATGTACCATTCCAATCTACCTTGAAAGTCCGTTCTTTACACATCACATCCGCGCCCACAGACACAGACGATGACGAGCAGCCATCGCGGCCAAAGGTTCTCAAGATTTTCACAAACAAGCCTCAAGCTCTTTCCTTCGACGATGCCGAAAGCAATGCCGCCACGCAGGATGTAACGCTGACAGAAAAAGACTGGGACCCTAAGACGAACACCGCTAAGATCGAATTACGGTTTGTGAAATTCCAAAACGTCAGCAGTCTAGTAATATTCGTGGCGGAAAGCGAGGCAGATAATGAGAAGGTCAGAATAGACAGAATCAGGATCATCGGCGAGAGTGGTGAGAAGAGAGATGGTAAGATTGAGAAGATAAGTCATGACGATTGAGTACTGTTAGGAAAGGAGGAAAGGTACAGCTTGTCCGGGTGGACCTCATGAAAGAGGCGGGAGGATATGATCTTATGAGCGACGTTTTAGATTGCACGATGGAATGACACGAGCATGTGGTCACCAATTGCAGGGACTTGCTAGAGTCAATATAGACAATATGCAACTTCTGATAAATTTGGAAAGCTCTATCCAAGATTTTGCAGCTCCGACCACAAAGCCCTGTTCGTAATGGTCGTGCCACGTCAATTCGTGATACCGGTTAGTTGGCAGTGTCCCGGCCCTCGCTCTTGATCATACGTACTGACAAGGTCTGCCAGCTAAGAACAGGCGCGACGCTTCGCTCGGAGCAAACATGCCAGAATGCTAGGTAACACGCACGCGCACTCGCCTCTACTGCTCCCTCAGAAGATCACAAGGTACCACAGCCACTAACATCGCACCGCTTCCATCATCCACGCAAGCAAAAAAACACCAAAAAAGTAATGTCCGACCCCAAGCATTTAACAAGCCCAGAACACTCGACGTAGCCACTAAGAAAGGTTTAGAATCTCAGCTACCAAAACGTCGAGGAGATCGATTTGCAATTTTTTCTTCATCTGTGCCGCCATTGACACTTGATTCTCGTCATTGTGAATGTAAACGGTCAAGCAACACAGGGGTAATTAAAATGGCGGCGCCGCACGAAGAAAGAAGAAAGGGAAAAAGAAGACCAATCGTTGAAGATGAGGTGTTCAGATGTACAGAGAGAAAATTGTGCCAAGACTTGGTAGCGTGGATTTGTGTTCACGTGATTGAAATGGTTGTTCGAGTTTGAATAATTACTGATAGAGATTGATTGCTTACTTGTTAATTTTCTTTTATATAGCCGATGATGAACGATGCACAATGCATTACAAACAAAGATAGGAAGAGAATGATCCTCGTGTATACTGAGGATGTGATCTCAATCTTGACTAGATTCTGAGGCTATACTGTCATGGGACAAGATTCTGTCCGAAAAGCGAGAAAAACGTGGTAACGTTTGTGCTTTATACTTTACAATGTGGATGCGAGGCTCTGGCAATTCAATGTGTCAGACTGCGTGTCTGAGGGACAACGGTTTTGATGTGGCAGTTGCGGTATTGAGGGCGCCTCAAGGCTTTTTCTTCTCTGGGAAGCTCGAGCAGGACTCGACTTTTGACCCAATACGCACGGCTTGACGATGGAATGTCGTTGTGTTGGACCGCCCGCCTGTATTCAGATATTTCTTCGGGAGCTGCTTACATTCTGCAAAAAATTGGACGGTATCGCGCAGCTAACCACGAGTCTTACGCAAAATCACGACTGATGGCTCAGCCGTTCCTTAAAATTTGTGCGTGACTCTCTTTTCTCTTTTTTTATATTTTTTTTTATGATTGTCCGATCGAAGTTTTAAAAGCCAGGTGAAGACCACGCAGATAGAGGCATTATACGTTATCTTCTTTGGGCGCAAGGCTATATTTATAGTGGATACACAGACCACAATCCAAGCACGCAAGGCAAGCGAGACTTTCATCAGCTCACCACCTGGTCCTCGAAGCGAAGCTAGCAACGACTACACCCTACTTTCGTGCCTACTTCATGCAATGCTTTGAACAAAATGTGAGATTATAAAGTATCGTGGCGTCAATGAGCCCGAACAAGTCGGACTATTGTTCGGAGCGATTGAATGCCACCACGTGTGCGCCTTATACGAGCTCAAAAGACCCGACGTCGACTTCACCTGCTTCGACTGAATACGAAGACAACAAATATCTCCGGACGGGCCTGAACGGCTTGTGAACCTGACGGAACGTCTTGTCGGTAGGTTCTCGTTCAGTGTCTTCGTAATCAGAGAAATGCAAGATTATCGCCCTCGTGTTGTACGGACCACTGGACCCTGTAGATGCCCTGCAAATGCGTAACGAAGAGGTGATCAATCTACACCACAGGACATGAGTATGAGCTAAGAGAGATCAAACACAAATCTGTACAGGCCTTTTTTATGCACGGTGGCCGTGCCTTGTGCTTATCTCCATCTTGACGTAGCTCATTTGGTGTAAGTGTGGTCGAGACTCGGGCAAGAGCTTCTTCACCAGTTTGGTTGAGATCCCGCTGGACCTTTCGAGAACTAAGGGCCCAACATCGGCTTCAATAGTGATCGAAGCGATACCACATTCGGACAGAGCTTCAGTGAAAGCCAAGCAGTTGACTGGTGGCGAATAAGATCGGCTGCGGCAACTGTTCCTGGTAGGTCAGGTCTTCGTGAAGCCATCTGACGTTGCCGACGCCTCACTGTGACCAATGTTCGTGGCAAAAGAGAGCAACAAGCATGTGCTTCGAACCTCGTTGCAGCCACCAAAAACTGTCAGCGGAGACTCAACGACATGCAAAGCACGCTTGCAAAGCCCCCGAAGCCATGGCACTCGAGACCAAGCTTGGGAGTAGCCAGATGGACATGCAATCTCCCCGGAAGCACTCCGCAGGTTCTAGTGCGAGCGACCAAGACTTAAGAGTTGGTTTTGCCGATTAGCAACAAGAAGTGAGCCTTAGCTCTACCAAACCTAGGGATTTGAACAGTGGGATCCGCAGACCTAGATTGGCCATCAGGCACCAAGCCGATGGCCTCGTACAAGATAAGTGCTGGACTGTCCGGATCGAGAACGAAGAAAAACACGTTGAGTGTTGAAATCTAGAGACATTCAGAAACAGTTCTGAGAAAGGAAATGCCTTGCGTCAGAAGAAAAACCTGAAACACAAGTTGCAGATGGAAAGACAAAACGGTGGCAAAATTTCGCTGTACCTGCATTGGCTTGCTGGGCTGTGAGCGCGTTCCTGCGTTAGTCACAGTCAAGAGGGTCCAGGTAGTATTCCGGCTCTCGGCTCAGGAACGAACAAGCATAAGAGGTGCCTGTAGTACATATGGATACACACGAATCGAGTACCCGACTGAGTCTCGCTGCCTCGACGATGGCTCTCCATCTTCGCCTCTACTCAACATGACTATCACATCGACGTCGAGCTTCTTTGACCCATATAGTGCTGGACTAGCGACGAAAAACAAGATCGGACGCTGTGCCTCTAGCTCAGCGGAAACACATTACCCAGAAGCCGATGCAGGTTTAAATGAGCGCCATCGTTGCACCGTCTCTCGTGCCGTTCTGTTTAGTCAACAATGATCGGATAGCGACCCAGCATTCTCGAGGGGTTTGATGCTATTCTTGCCAGGCTTAAACTCACCTTAGCTGCATTAATTCCAATAATCTCATGCAGCATTTCTCGTATTGAGACCATGAGATAGGAATAAAGATCAGCATCTAATTTGCACACGGCAGTCAATTGGCTGCGAGAGCACATGCTTCAAAACGATGTGTCTACTTCGGCTGTATGCTGATATCATTCAGCTCTTTTTCAACGCAAGATGATATTGGTTCGTTTTACGTCAACAGCCATCGTTTTGGCACTGTGGCACACCACTAACGAGGTTGGTGATAGTGGACGAGCAGGGTATCGATGAGGCATCGTACGTATCGATAACGAAGAGGCTAGAAGCTTACGAAGGACCGTCCACGTTCTGCACCACAGAATGAACGACATCGTTCCAATCGCCAATGCACTGGACGGTGCAGCCATCAAATCGAGATGACAGAATTTTCACACTGACATGCTTGGATGACTCGGAAGCTGAAACGCAGTGCCTGCCAGAAGCAGGAGATCAGTGGGGAAGCAACGCGTCTACTGCAGAAATGCATCCTTGGGGTCCGCGCTTCTTTTTCGCTCAAAACAAACGTCGCGTCAGCAAAACTTGTCGACGTGTAGTATGTAACTTCAGGTCCAGCAGTCACGCTGAAAAGCTGCCGGTGGCGTCACGGATAATCGTGGAAGGCATCGTGATGCAGCCGACAAACTGGACCAGTCTCACTTTTAGCTGCAAGCTGTGAGGGATCATTCTGGTTCCGATGCAGTTTCCTCAATGACCGAGGGAGTGAGACGAACGCGACTATGTCATTGAACCTGTCAACTGATGCTGGCTGCAAACCCCAAGCTAGGATCTAGAAAGTTTACCAATGGGTAGAGCACCAGTCCGATCTGCCTTGCGAAAAGTGAAGTGGTTCCAATAATGCCAACTAACATATCAGCTTTTTAAGGCGACTATCTGGAACAGAAATGATGTGGCCATCAAGCGTAGAAAGCACTCGTTGATACTTGACACGCATCTGGCTGGATGAACATATCACAGGCTCTAAATTCTGCTGCATTATTGGAAGAAGCACTTCAGCTCATCACAAGCACCGATGCTCGCGAGTTGGTGTTATTGGTCACGCTAAAAGGCGTGACGCCTCCAGTAATAATCGCGCGACAGGAATTGAGTAAACTCAACGTCAATGAAGCAGCTCTGATTCGAGGATATTGTCTTTACAACGATGCAGGCTTTTAAATCCTACAGAAAAATGTCAGAAGAACATGCTGCTATTCGCACTCGATTCCAGCGTAGATGTGACGAGCCTATGATCGGTACAACGTCACACAGAAGTCGTCCTCGTGAATTCTTTGGCTATGATGCAAATGTGTACAACCACGCTGCAAACCCAACAGGTGACTGAAGCCATCACTAAAGCCTTCATATCGCTTGCCGCTCAAAACCAATAGACCATGCGAATCGCTACGACGTGCTCACATCTGGCTGGCACATCGTTCCAATCATTTCTCGCGACAGTCTTCCTTCTGGTGACAGCCACGCACAATCCTCCTGGACGACACGAATGGAAGACAATCAGGCACGATGAGGTAAGATCAGCTCAAAAGTCAACATAGGAATGCTACAGAAGCCAAATGTAGCAACGAGATCACCAACGATGACGAATGGCTGTAAGGTGTTTCTTGTCCCTCATCGCTGGAGAGCGTGGCAGAGACCAGGATACACGGTCAATGCACCTCATCCGGGCGTAGATGCAGGAACAAGACACCCTCGACACAGCTGAAAGGGTCATCGCGTCCAGCAACCCAACGACGATCCACACACGGGAAAGTTAGAGGATTAGCGTGTGATAGTGTTTGTGAAGAGCCACCGAGATGCAGCTGGTGGTGAGACCCGGCGTTTCCACTCAACTTTAGCTGCTTGCATGGATGTGACCGCGGACCTGAAAGGCTGCTCCACAACGCTACACTCTTCGGTCCATCCGCTCAGCGCGCAGCTGGCCATACTCTTTTTGTGCCAGACTCGTCTGTCTGGGTCGATGGGCTGGGTACCATCTGCTAGAATCAATCGATCATTTCTTATCCTACTCCTCCACCTCATTATCTTTTCCCTTGCTCTTCATATCAAGACATTCTTTCTCCCCGCAATCGTCGTCCTTCATTTTTTGGTTTACTACACCCTGTTTCTCGAGGCACTTCCCGGATCCTGCTCATCTGTGTATCATTACCAGCTTGACATCATCCAGTCTTTCCTTCAGCCTCTTGCTAACACTGTATCAATACCATAATCCTCCCACTATTGCCAGGAAACATTCCTTGTCCAGCAACAGCACCCAATCAACATTGTATCAACGAGATACCTGTATACTACCAACAACCATCGATCTACATCCCGAGAACTCCATTTCGAGTTCATTTTCTTTGTCGAACTTTGTACCAGCATTGTCACCGTGATTATTCGAAGGCTCTATAGAAGGCTTTTTGGTTAGAAGCTTGCAGCACAATGGATCAGTATCAGAATCAAATGGCTCAATCACAGATTCAGTTCTACCAATACAGGCCAGAGTCTGAGCATAGACATGCTGCAGTCTTTACACCCATGCCTCAAGAGCACCAGCAGCCAGTATACCACCAGCACATGATGGCATACCCACCAGCTCACTATACTGCTCCTCAATACTGGCAACCGCCGCCACAAATGCAGCGAGGTCATTTCACACCTCAAAGGATCACGACACCACACGGCTCACCACCATTGACTCTATCGGTCCCAGCATTGAAGATGATGGATTACAGTGGTCATATGGATCACATCCGATATTTCAATTCACCTTCCCCACCAACACCATGTCTTTCTGCTTGCCCAAGCACTGCCAGCAGTCCACCAGCAAGCAGCTTCCAGCATACACCCACCCACCACGGTTACTTCAATCTGCCAATCAAACATACAAAGGAAGATCTGCAGGTTCAGAACTTCATTTTGCAGGAGACATGGGAAGAACCAACTCGTAAGTGCTGAAAGTAGTAATAGTGAAAACGTCAAACTGACTTGCGTTGCAGAAGTGCACATCTTTCCCGACGCAGTCAGTGCCAAGATCGCTTCCGGCTGCACTTCCCCTGCGCTTTCTTCGGCATCTCCAGCGTCACAAGCTTCATCAGCACCTGTTGCGGAATTTGTGAACTTGAGAGATCTTACTTCCGGCTCATTCTCTCCATCGTCCATTGTGGCTACTGTTACTACCACTGTTTGTCCACCGTTGCCAACTTTGTCAACAGAGGACGAAGAACACAAACTTACGTTCGGTGGTGTTGCTACTCTTCTTGTTTCTTCCCAGGATAAGTGTGACGGCTCATTCACTGTAGAAAATCCTTCCTTCGAGTCCTCCTTCTGCTCCGAATTCGATTCAGAGGACGAGTTCAGCTTCGTTAACTTCGGTGAAAGTGAAGCCGCTTACCACACTGAGAAAAAAGTGAGACTGACCGTCGAAGAGGAAGAATTCGACATCCGCAGCCTTAGCAGCTTTGAAGAGGAGGATTGCGCTCAAGTCGGACTTCCGTCACCACCATCGTCTCTGTTTGACGACGCTTGCTGCGGCAAGTCACACGGAAAGAAGATGTCACGGGGTAGCGTCAACTTCGACTTTGACGAAGCTCACATCATGAGCCATAGTGAAGGTCAACAAGCCTCAAGCGTTGCCCACTCAGAAGATGCCTCTGGCAATGCTCAGTCCAATGGTATCGATACTGCTGCTTCAACTCCCCAGCCTTCAGGTGGTTCGACCAACAGACGAGGGCGCAAGCAGTCGTTGACAGAAGACCCAAGCAAGACATTTGTATGCAACCTCTGCTCTCGTCGATTCCGCCGACAAGAACACCTTAAGCGCCACTATCGATCTCTTCACACCCAGGACAAACCTTTTGAATGCAATGAATGTGGAAAGAAGTTCAGTCGAAGCGACAACCTTGCTCAGCATGCTCGGACACATGGTAGCGGTGCTATCATTATGGGCGTGCTCGAAAATGGTGAGCTTCAACCTCGTCTTCCTTTCGATGATGAGATGGGTCAAGTTCTGTATGAGGCTGCTCAAAGAGCCGCTGCCGCTTCGTCAAGTAGTGGCAGCTCCTCAGATTCTTCGTCGTCCGAGGGCAAGCGAGGTATGAAGAAGCGCAAGCGAGATGACTTGTCCTTGTGAATCACTATATCATGTGCTGAACATGTACACGCTTCTCACGACCTATACAACCACGATGATATGATTTACATGCGACACAAGACACTCTTTACAGACGGATCAAAAGAGCGACATACAACACCAGGGACTAAGAAATGCCAACGGCACGATCATGTCAACTTTGCACAACTTCGACCACAATCTTTAACTCAAACCATTTCAGCTTTCGATGCAGCTATCCATGAGTTAGCTCTTCGTTGAGTCTCAACACTTCGGATAGACTTCAAAGTCATTCAATGTACTATCTATTCATCCATTCACATATTCACCGCTTCGAAGTTGCATGCATAGGGGATGTTCGAAAAAGACGGTATAGCCACAGCTTGACGAGGAAATAGATTCATGCTGGAAGGAAGACAAAGACATTATACGGGCTTCACCTCGTGGTGAGCTCACTGGTGATGGCGCACGAGCAGGGTCGTTGTGACCTTAGGATTGTTTCCATGACCTTGTAACAATAGAACATAGCGATCTGATTATTGTACACTGCCTAGTGCCTTTGATAGTCGTCAAATAGCTTACAAACTATTTCAAAAGCAAATCATTCCCACCGTTTGGTGATACCTGTCATGCCTCCGATAACCATCCAACATCTACAGCGATAGCTATTATTTCAGTCTGTACTTTCATGTAACCTCGCTATCTCTACCTTCGGTCGGATCTGTACATCATACTGCATAAATCTCGACGCCATGCAGATTCACCGATTCGAAGAACAAAGTCCTAAAATCCTTGCTCTGCATGTGCCACAATTCAGTAGGGGTACTGTACTATGGGTCCGGACCACACCCACGATTCAGGCGATGACAGTGGTAAATATAGAAAGCGTACTGTTCACAGGCATTTCCTTGAAAGGTACTATTATGGTCTTACTGATGGTTGCACGACAAGCATGCGTAAGTCCTCAAGTAGAAGCTTGCTCTAGATACTACTGCGATACTGTGCTACTTGAGTGAGGATTTCCAAGCACAAATGTGTAACTTCTCGCTACTAGTATGTGACACATCTGAGATTTTCAAGTTGGTTCAGGATCAAAGTGGCTGCTGAATCTGGAAGACGTGCTTATGCTGGGGTAGAGCTCTGACCACCAGAGCATCCTGGTGACTGCTTCGTCCCAGGATCTCGCTGTTCTCTGCCCACACACACGCGTGCGCAGAAGAGGTCCGAAAGTGCTGACAAAAAACCTTCCCAGCTTTTTCTCTCGCGGAAGCGGAATCTCTCAATTGGCTTTTCTTCAAGCGAAAGTTACTCTACACAGCCAATCCAGGCTCGCTACTCGGCTAGAATGGAAGCGACCCGGGGCCTGGAAAACACTTGCACGAGGATGCTCGGTCAATATCTGGGGAGCACTTTCGCTTGTTGTCTTATTACCTTCCTTGTTTCTTTTTAGTTATCCTCGACTGTGTCACCGTGCATGCAGAGAGAAATAGATACCGAGCCGAACCAAAAAGAAAATGCCTATCGTCTATCGATTGAGATACGCCGGCTGTTTATCAGCTTTGTTCCACACCGGAAATTGGATGACCCTATTACAGTAGTAGTGGGTGCTAAGGGCAAGCCTCGTGAAGCCTAGAAATAATGCTTGAGACAGCCTCCCAAGCCCGGTCCATGCACTTCGCTGCTTTCGTCTGGAGAGCACGTCTACTCCATTCGGTGTATGCCTCGCGAACAGACTCGGAAGATATGACGGGCGTGCGGCGTGGTCTCCTGTCACAGAACAGTGGGGATGTTCTTTTTTTTTTTTTTTTTTTATGTCAGAAAGAAGGTACAAGTAATCTAATCGATAGAGAAATGCGTACACGTTTTCAACACTTTTTTCCAAGCGAAACCATGCCACTACGTGCCGCACAGCTCTCACACACCAATTAATTAGGATTTCAATCACTCTCAGGATACGATCCTTTGCTTCCAAGTCTTCCACACCCGGGACAACAATGACAGGGTAGGTGGACGCGAGTAGTAAACATTCTCGACGGAAGCGTCACAGCCGGTTTCAATGTTCTCTCCTCGATGTTCAGACCACGTTCACATCCGCACACTCCGAAGTACATACCGAGCGACCCGATGTCATAAAAAGTCAACGCTCGGTCTTTTGAGGCTTTGAAGAGGGTTCGTGGCTGTCTACTGACTCAACTCCATCGCAGCGTGTTATTTTTACCCCTGCCCCCTGCATGCACGCTATGTTCTAGACACGTGACCATGCCTGGATGTACTCCGCTGTACCAAGTAAAGCACTATCTTCACGTTCTTGTGTGCTGGCTGTTTAGACTTCAACCCTGGAGAAGCGAGGATGAAGTGTGCCAGGTCACATGGATCGTCGTGATCGAAATTGCCTCGAGACGCGAAGATGGATCGACACGTTTGCACGATCACCAAATCTGACCATGTTGAGAGGAAAATGCATCTATTCTCAAGATTACCGCAGCTGCCACCTCTTGAAAATCGTTGTTGTACTCGATCGACGCTTCTGGGCACACGTTCGAAGCTGGCGACGTCGGTGTTTGTGTAGGAGACGAAGAAGTATCACCAATTTTATCCCTGCCTGTTGACGCCCATACATGAAAACATGGTACTTTCGTCGAATTCTTTATCAGAGGCATTGTGTCGAGCCTATCTCCTAGGCCTTTCACGGAGGACAAGTTGAGGAACGAATGAGAGCTCGTCAGCTCGCAACGGAAGCTTTGAAGTTCAGACTCGGGCACCATTGGTGAAAGGAGTATTGCCTCAAGTTTTTCGATCGTGAGCGGCACACTGTCGCAATCGTGTGCCGCTTCGCTCGTGACGAGGAGTGCGAGAAAGAACGTAAACTTTCTTGAAGACATTGCTTCGTTGCTGGATGTGGTATCGGCGTTATCTGCATGGTGCTCTAACACGATTCCATGAATCGACCATGACTGATGGCCTTCCTGCTTGAGCTGACGAACTTTAGAACGCCGATTGCCGTTGTTCGATGACAGACCCGATATACCTGTACTCCACCATTCGATTGAAGCGTGACGAGGAAGTTCCTGGACTTCTGCTGCGATGAATGTTGGGATGAAATACTTCTGAGTCTCAGTCTTTTGTCCCAGCATGCGGCCATCGGCTTCGCGAAAGTCCTCAATGATATCGTAGTTGGGCAGAACGTGAAGATGTTGCCCAATACTTACACTGGACCTTGCAGAAGCAAAACCACGGTTCCTTTGTAGATCCCAAATATCAACTTCTTCCTCTTCTTCCTGTTCGTCTTCATTCAGTCCCAGATTCTGGAGACTTCTTGCTCGGCCTTTCTCATCGACAAGATGTGCTTGCATCCAGATGGTCGCAGCTTCGCCAACATTATGCAACATAGGCCTGTTGTCCTGCTTACTCGAGTTTAGGAAAAAGGCTTTACGTGCAAGGTAAGCAACACCAGCTGGTGCCCATACATCAACACCTCTTTCCTGTCCGACGCGCCACAGGTGTTGTAGTGCTAGTACCGCTTGTGACGAGAACGACTCTGGAAGGAATGACAGTGAAGCTGGCTGAAGTGGAATTTGTCCAGCCATATGCACAATCTCAACATAAACTTGCCCATTGCTAACAGCAGATGCTGACAACTCTCTATCAGTGGGGACAGATATTGCTTGGGAGTAAGGACCGATGTTGGCGGGGGCCCAATAACTTCGTGACTGCACATGCAATCCTTTACGACCTTTGCTAGTGTCACGGTCTTGGCTAGGATCAAGCATCAGCGACAAAGATACTAGTACACCTTCTGGCAGAGGTACGGCCACTGTAACCCGAGCTGGCGGATTGGCTAAGCGTGCTGGCCATATGCTTTTACTGTATACCTGGTTGACGGATGCAAAATCATCGATCGACCTTAGGAGGAGTGTGACGCTCACGACGTTCAGCACTGACATTGTTGGTTGGCTCGAATGTGTGTTTAGGATCTTCGCAAGACTTTCAACTATAGCCTCAAGCTGTGTAGCCGCTGTTTTTTCCGTGACGCAAACCAAGTTTGATACCTGAGTTGCGAGACACGACGTTTCGAGCGAGTAATTCGTCTTCTGTTGAGCTGAGTCAGATAGCGACGTGGCTGCAGCTTCAGCGGGACGCTTTTGATCCCCAGCGTGGTCGCTTCGTGTATTCAGTATCTCAACAATGGCATCAAAACGTCGATCGAAACACGCAGGCATCGGTACGTAAGGTATACTAGTCCTCTCTTTCGCAACAACACGTGCTCGCTCAAGGACTGCATAGTGTGTTCCACCCTCAGCACTATAAGACTTAGTTGAGTCAAGTTCAATACGCATCTTCCATAAATTGCTAGGTCCATCAAGAGCTATCGTTTCATACTCTCCACCTTCCCCAAGAACGGCGCCACGCAACGTAGCCTCTTCACCGAAGCCTGCACAAAATCTGGACAGTCCAGATATCAGTCTTTGTCGCGTGCCTGGCTCGGCCACATTCGCGAACAACAGTTTCTCGGAGATGCCGCCAGATGCAATTTTTATGATACGAGCATCGTAGCCCGAGCTATCCATATCATCCAACAAAGACGTTAGTGAATCGTCGCGGTCCGGAGGTGGTGGTAGAAAGGGATAGTGCCATAGATATGCAAGAGGTATCAAGCCGAGTCTTGTAGCCACCGACTCGACTCGAGTACGTTGATAGGTACTCAGTATAGCACCAGCACTGACAGCATTGGCCTCTGGATGTTGAGTCAGGACATCGCGAAGGAGGTAAAACATGTCCTCAGTCTCATCAAAATCAAAAGTCCTTTTACGGTCAACGTCATTGCTAGCAGTCTCTATAGCGTTGTAGTACTTGCCAGTCTGACTCGCAGTACCTGTGATCTTTCTCCTGTAAAGAGGTAGTTCTAGTGCTTCAGCATAGAGTGAAATGATGGAATGACCCACTGTCTGATACATAAAGGAGTTGAGGTCAGGCCCTTCATCATCTCGGCTTCCATCTTCTGGTATGGAGGGGCATAGATTTGCAAGAGCCACTATTTGGTGGTCATTTTCTATGCAGTGTGTTAAGGAATACAAAGAGTCTTTCCCACCTGAGATCAGGCCGATCACCTTGAGCGACATGATTGAGCGATGAGCACGACTGACTTACTAGCCTTTGCTCGAGCATTGGGCCCGCACCAAACCAATGATAGACACTTACTATGTCCTATAAGCTCGAGACAAACGAAGCAACTAGCACTCCCGAAAATGATGGACAGTAGAATGTGACATGCAGCATTGCGAGTGGAAACCTGTGCTAACGTCGCAGCGGCTTGCCCAAGTCTTGATCGTTTGCTAGGAGCACATATGTAGCAATCAAAAGGTAAACCACTCTGGCAAGCTTGACAACAATCGCAAGAAGGAGCTTGGGACGAGCGATGACTTTTAACGCTTCTCGACCAATACTTCTCCGCTGCTCCTCGATCAGATACTACGGTGGGACATACAGACTTTCGGCAGGAACAGTTCTGCAAGAAGCGTGCGTAAATATCCGCAAACGAGCAGGTGTTCAGTTCCTGCCATGTGAAAAGAGCCCTCGATATGTCGCTTCGTCTGTGTCTGACTTACTCTCAAGTAGTCCGTGTTAATTGCAAACGTCCTCCATGATTGATCAGGCAAATTGGGCTTCATGAGTGATCCAGACGTATGTCTTCAGCCGAACAAGATGTGAGACTGCGACGACCAGTTTCTACCTCTTTCTCGCGGTCACCACATCCCTATCATCGACGAAGTTCGAGTCTCAAGCAAGAGGAAGGGTCGATTTCCGGCCCTGACACTACTTTCTACAATGTTGCCAGCACGTCTGACAGTACAGATGATCATGCTATAGAGGCAGATGATGAGAAAGGACCACTCCTACGGCTACCAGCTCCTCCACTTCGACCACACAAGGGTCTGAAAGGACAGCTTGATCCCTCGATCGACCTGACACCAGCGATAAGTCCAACTCCTTCACCAGCAATCGAAAAGAGTGGGTTCGTTTTCACAAGCAAGGTTACAGCTCAACAGAAAGACAATGCCCGACAGGATAAAGATGAGCTGTACGCTCGATACATAAGACGAAGGCGGGCCGAAGTGGTGCGCCGACTTACTGAGGCAGTATTGTTGTTAACAATTGGTGGTTTGTGTGCTCTCAACCGAAACACACGTGCCGAGATAACCATACCTGGGGTTGTGCTTGACGAACCAGAGATGAGATACAAGCTGCTAACGTGTTTTTCTGTCATCGTCTTCCTTTGCTATGCTATTTATCCAGTTCAAACAGCCTTCAGGTTCTACGTCTCAGGACGAGGTGCCGTGGCAGCTTTACGGCAGGGCTTCCACATCCCTTCACGCTTCGATACAGGAATTCTTCTATACCCGATTCTGATGCCGCTATTCATCACGCTTTCCCTTGGGAACACCTTCGTATCTGCTCTGGTGAATGTCATTTTAGGACTTGCATCCATGCCACGGCAGATAATACCTTCTGCTGTTAATGGAAGTGGCTATCTGCATTGGATGTTGTCATTAACTCCTATTTCTCTGTTATGGCCACTGCGATGTCGGCCGGGGATGTTGAGAGTTGACACGGGACAACCTTCTGTAAGTTTCGAAGAGCTTAGCTTACTCTTCCCTGTCCACCAAACTGTTGTAAAGGTCATTTCAGATATGGTTGCGACGAGCTTGGACCCGTCTGAGGTGCAATTACTCTCTGCTGGGCTCATCAATCTACTTCTCTTCGCGTCGAGCCCACAGGCGCAAATTCTAAAGGCACTGCTGTGGGTCGGTGGACTCGGTCTCTTTGTATGCTGTGAATTCGCTCTTCGGGCGGAAGTTGCTCTGGCAAGAATTCCCGCGTGGAAGTTCGCACGCAATCGGCCTTCGAACAGAGGCATCACGGGTCGCCTCAACAGAATACTACGGGCAGTCTTGCCAGAAACGCGATCTGTCTTTGCAGTATCAGTCACATCCGATAGTGAGGATGCCATCTTACCGAAGGTCAAACCGGTACCAAGAAAGCCACGAAGAACAAGAACTGCAGCATTACAGGATGACTCTGTCTTGCATAGAACCATTTCTGCAGATGAGGGACCAAATGGGCTTTGGAAGAGCACCAGTCCCGCCCCTAAGATCAGCAGGTCGTCAACTTTCTCGATGTATGGGCGCGCGACAAGCATGGCAGTTAAATTCAAGAAGATTGCCGAAAGTCCTAACCCATATCCACGGCTTAATCTTCTTCACGCCCAGGCATTGAAAATTCTCCTTGCTGTGTACGTGTTTGCTGCTACAGCACTCATCATTCTGGTTCCAGTGAGGTATTTTATCTCGACTAACGCCCTACATGGAGCAGAACCGATAGGCTGGGCAGTCGGGTACTTCTTTGGAGACATTCCCCAGCTACGAATGTTTGTGGTTAACAACAACCTCAATTGGTGGATCAAATTGCCGCCAAACAAGTCGCAGGTTTCAAGTTTGCTTGACCAGCACTGGGTTGACAACCTGCGCAGACAAGACATTGGTGCAGCAAACTACCGTCTCCTGCTTGCAGGATACTGCGTCTTCGTGGTTGGTATAGGCATTCTTGCGGTGCTGCAGCTGCAGAAAGTCGTCGAAGTCGATACAAGACGAAAGGTATTTCACGGAGTCATGGTCGCAATGCTTCTGCCTACAATCCCGATGGATCCTGTTTTCTTTGCGCTGGCGCTCATAATCGTTCTGGCGGTCTTTTTGATGCTTGATCTTTTCCGAGCGTCACAGTTGCCGCCCATCTCTCGGCCACTGACGAACTTTCTCGCACCCTACGTTGATGGCAGAGATCACCGAGGCCCAGTAATCGTGTCACACATTTTCCTTCTTATCGGATGTGCAATACCACTTTGGCTGTCGTTGGCAGATATCCAGCAGACCGAAGACGCAGTGTCTGAGGGCTGGGAGGTGTCCTATCGTAATTTGAGTATGGTCAGTGGTGTGATATGCGTTGGAATGGGGGATGCTGCAGCTAGCCTGGTCGGCCGTCGTTACGGCAGAACAAAATGGTACTGGGGAGGGGGTAAAAGTCTCGAAGGGAGTGCAGCATTCGCAATCGCTGTTTGGGTGGGATTGATGGCATCATGGCTCTGGTTGCGTGCGGGAGGGTGGGTTGAGTTCAATGCACGAGAAGTACCCGGAGCAATGTGGAAGGCACTCGCTGCAGGTACAGGCGCTAGTATCATGGAGAGCACTTTGACAGCAGCCAACGACAACGTGGTAGTGCCGATAGGGCTGTGGTTGCTCGTGAGAGGACTGCAATTGTGAAGACCTTGCTCGAGTATAGATATAGAATGCATTCACACTATATGACAAGACTGTTACCTCAGATAGTAGCTGGCATGAATGCTGTGGAAGCAGCGCATTGGTGCTAAAGCAGCTCAACCGTGACGCGAGCGTAACATCAAGGCCGCTTCACACCTTGTATCTTTCGCAAACAGCTGTGCACAACCTCAGCCAATGTTACAAAGCGGTTCAGAGAGTAGTTTCTGGTGGTGAACTTGTGTCTGTCCTCTACGGCTAGGTAACAAGTGTCAACACTACATTTCTTTACACTTCATGCTTTGGCAAGCGACGGAGATATAGATCAGACACGAACAGTTGGAATTTCTTATCGATCCTCGTTTCGTTTGCTCCAGCTGACCACATGTTTGTGCACACACCACGTAACGAGGAGTGTGACGGAAGTGATCAAGCGGCCTACCCCGGATTGGGCAAGTGCGACGGAGAGCGCGTTATCAGGGTTCAAGCGACGATCATCGCGCGATAGTCTAGCTTGCAACTTGACTGGCCATCCACCTACCTGGCCGAGTGACCACTGCACCAGGCAGGTGGCATTGAGGACTCTTCGTACCTCAACGTCGCTGCTCTTAATAGTCTCGTTGTCTCCTGCATCCAGTGATATCGCTGGCTCAGTATTAGCAACATTGCATCCTTAAGACATTGAGGCGGACTGAACCCAGCCAACCTCGTCCAAGTACCAAGTACTGCGTCACTTTCACGGTTGTCGCTGTTCCATCGCCGACCGCTCGTACTACCACATCGTTTGCCTAGCAGCCTGCTATTCTACCAACAACCAACCAACATACGCTCCGCCTACCTGACCCTCTCAGCATTCAAGCATTGGTCCTTTCGAGCTCGTCAGCCAGCAACACTTCAGCGCTTGCGCCTCGGTGAACATCGTCCATTTGCCTGTACCCTATCGCTATCGTCTATCCACACCTCTCGGTGATACAACATCGAACATCACCCGTATTTTCCTCATGTGCACCATTCAAGGTGCTCTTGTGATAGGGTGATAAGAGCTACAACCATTACCATCGAGCTTTCGTTGTGATAAGAAGACCTCGTGCAGCGTTGGCTGTATCGAGTCCTTCATTATGGCGTCGACCACGGTTCAACCTCAGGCTCAGCGTCGATCGAGAGAAGACAGAGTTGGAAGCAGCTTCAAGAAGCAAGAGGAGATTGGACGAGGAAGCTTTGCAACTGTCTACAAAGCAACACATACAGTATGTCCATCTTCCCCTACTGCCCAATTTACTGACTGACGAACAATAGGACGCTTCGGGTCTCGAAACGCTAGTGGCAATCAAATCTGTTAATATGGGCAAGCTAAATAAGAAGTTGAAAGACAATTTGACCTCTGAGATTAGTATTCTCAAGAGCCTACACCATCCTCATATCGCTGGCCTTATCGACTGTAAGGAGACTAGCCAGCACATCCACCTCATCATGGAATATGTTGCTCTGGGTGACCTGTCGCAATTTATAAAGAGAAGGGAGCAGATCAAGGACAGTGACTATGTCGGCAACATGATGGTCAAATATCCCAATCCAAGAGCTGGCGGTTTACACGAAGTCGTTGTTCGTCATTTTCTAAAACAGCTGGCGGATGCTCTGTCCTTCCTTCGGCTACGAAACCTCATCCATCGTGACGTGAAACCACAGAACCTGCTTCTCAATCCTTCGCCAGAGTATTTCGCTCGAGCTCAGCCGAGTCCCATGCCCTACCAGGTCGCAGACGATTCGCTTGAGCCAACTTGCGGCATTCGATCACTTCCCATGCTCAAAATCGCCGACTTTGGTTTCGCTCGATCTCTACCCTCCACATCGCTCGCCGAAACCCTGTGTGGCTCGCCCCTATATATGGCTCCTGAGATTCTCCGTTACGAAAAGTATGATGCAAAGGCGGATTTATGGTCTGTCGGTACTGTACTCTACGAGATGGTTACAGCTCGACCTCCGTTCAGAGCTGCTAACCATGTTGAACTTCTGAGAAAGATTGAGAAGACGAACGACGTAATCAAGTTTGGTGATGACATCGTGGTGTCCTCGGAGATGAAGAAGCTGATACGTTCCCTGCTCAAGAGAGATCCTCGAGAACGAGTGTCTTTTCCCGACTTTTTCGGTAATGAGATCATTACTAGGCCTATTCCAGGACTCGTCGACGAGGATCTGCCACCTCAGATCAGCACTGCGAGACCCACCGATACTGCTCGAAGACGCTTGAGCCGAACAGAACCGGCTGATATGGCAAGACCAGGCAAGATTCAGGAGTTGGAAAGTCCATACCAAGACAGTCAACCAACACGGGCTGACCCAGTACGGCGTCGATCATCCCTCACAACTAACAGACGCCTATCCAACTTGCAAGACACCAGATCTGTGCCTGCAAATCAACTCCTAGACGCTGCCAGTCCGAAACGGGAGGGCTTTGACAGCCGCTCGCCGAGTCCTAACATCCCTCGACCAGCTTTCAGCTCAACCCGAACAGCACCTGGCAGACAAGAACTCATGGGCACCAACCCTGCTCCAGCGTCTGAAGCTATGACCCGACAGCCAAGCGGCGGTCGACCTAAGCAACCATCTTTGCTACGACAACAAGTACAACAGCAACATACAGACCCAGAGGCGGAAAAGATCGCACAAGACATTGCTTTTGAAAGAGACTACGTTTTGATTGAGAAAAAGGCTGTTGAGGTGAATGCGCTGGCTGATGAGCTCGCAGCTAATCCTCGTGTCAATCGGAACGCCTATGGTGTATCAGCACCTGCGAACACAAGTGCAGGCACTATGGTTCGTAGAGCTACACAACAAGGTCCACCAACCTCGACTACTGGAGCACAAACTACTGCTTCACGAGCTGTGCAGATAGCACAGGGCAAAAGACCAGACGGAATGCATCAAAGATCGAACAGCTATGAGCGTCGATACGGTCCAAGTGCTGGCTCTGCTACATCCGCCATATCTCGTGCCCTGACCCTGGCAAGTGGTCGACTTTTTGGTGGTGGCTTCTCTCCCCCTGTCAACTTTGGGCGAGGAGGACGATCACCCCCAATCGGGTACAACCCATTTCCAATATATCCAGGCACTGGTAGCAGTCTCATTGTCGTAGGAGACTCAAAACCTCTCGCTGTGGACGAGGACACAAGATATGTTCAGCAGGTCGAAGAGCTAGCCACTAGAAGTGACGTCGTCTTCGGTTTTGCTGAAGTGAAATACAAGCAGTTGACTCCTGCTATTCCTTCACCATCGCAACCCAGTCTCGGTCCTAGAATGCTTCCGAATGAGGACACAGAGGATACTGATGCTGCTGCCAGTGACGATCTCACAGTAGAAGCTCTTGTGCAGGTCTCCGAAGAGGCCTTAGTGCTCTACGTGAAGGCTCTGACTCTACTGCAAAAGGCAATGGACACTGCAGGACGCTGGTGGAATCGCAAGAAAAGAGATGGCGATAATGCAGCGATAGTTTCGGCTCGAGGTGGAAATCCTTCGACAGCAGCTTCCCAGCGCATGAACAATGTCGTTCAATGGACACGCAGCCGCTTTAACGAGGTTCTGGAGAAGACTGATTTGGTACGTCTAAGGCTGATCGATAGCCAGAAACGGTTGCCAGAGGATCACGCTTCGCATCCTAATAATTTACATGCTGTTGGTTCCAGTGCAGGCCTGGGCACATCAGCAGACCAAGTTGTTGTTACAAGCGGAGTAACTGCTGAGAAACTGATGTACGATCGAGCATTGGAGATGAGTCGCACTGCAGCAATCAACGAGCTTACAGGTGAAGATCTGTCAGGATGCGAGATAAGTTACGTCACGGCTATACGAATGCTTGAGGCGGTGTTGGAAAGCGAGGACGAAGCCGAATTTGCATCTTCTCTTCGTGCAAACAAGCAAGATGGTGTCGTGGGTGTTCCTGGCCTGGAGGCTGAAGATCGAGATACTGTTGTACATTGTAAGTGCTCAATTGCCTTTCACGGGTTATATGCTGATGTCCTCCCAGTGGTCAAACACATTCGCGGTCGACTTGACGCCTTGCGCAAGAAGTTGCATATTATCAATAAACGAGCTTCGGCACCAGCTATTGGCACACCACGGCAGGCTAGTCCACCAATACCACATCGCACAAGCAGTCCAATGCTGCAGAAGTAAAAGGGCGTCTGAGACCACGTTCTCAGCGAAAGACTACCGTGGGGAGGTAGATATGATTCTTCAAATGTTCATTTAAAAATTGATAGCAGGAGTATGGAGTTTCGAGTTTTGGCGTTGGTAGAGGTTGCTTTTGCAAAGAAATTATACAGGGGTCAGGTTTCATGGATGACGGTAAGCAACGGTTTTGGCACGACCGAACGACTTCACATGACATGGATATGAAAAGATACCCAAATTTAACATCATCGCATCACAGAAAGAGCAGGGCGTTTGGTGAAAAATTTACACTTTCTATTACTGAGACGGTATTGGGGCGAACATGAATAGCAGGCGACGGCCCGGCTTTGATGAGATCTGGCAGGAGCTGCTTTCGGTACGATATTCAGTCCAGTGAAGAGTATGCAGAAGCTGTCAGGAAGCAAGAGCTGGACAACGGGGTCAGGCCGTTTAGGATGTATGCTTGAGCCTAGAGCAAGCAAGTCTGTCATCTAGTCGCATGTAGAGAGATCAATACAATCAGACATCGAGAGCTTTGAGTATGGGTCTTGTAACTACTAGTACTCTGCAACACTGCGTGTACTTCATCGACGTAAACTGGTCTAGATTCACAGGGCGTGACATCGGACATCAAGATCCTCACGCCGGCATAGCAACTGCTTAAGTTGAAATGCTTCATCGGCATCTACTTCAAATTCGTCGGACTGGGCCAGGACATGGACGAAAACTTTGTATCTCAGCGGACACCGCATGTAATGTTCTCTGGTTGAAGCTCAAGTATTCACGATTGATGGTGGCAGGCTTTCAATTCTTGACATGATCAGATCTGATATTACAGACGAACCAGGTCCTTCGCGGCTCTTTAAGACATTCGCTAGACTAGATATCCCGTTATTGAGTTCTCCTTATACGATACCACTCATGTATTTCATACGTAGCATCGTCAGATAGCGCTGTACCACCTTCGTTCGCAAGACGTTTTGCTCTGAAGCTTCCACCACCATCGTGCTTTTTGACGAAAGAACCACCAACTCCCTGGATGCACAGCTCTGAACTCGTTCAAATACCAGATTTCTTTTATTTTCCTGTTAGGTCTTATTAGCACGTTCTCTTGCAACAACGAACTTCAGATCTCACCCACTACTTACCACCCTTCGAACCATACGCATCCGAGTTGATTATCTCCTCCGCCTTCGGCTTCGACCCCGATCTCTGATCATCTCCATATCCCGGCCTACTATACGGCGCCGTCTCATTCTTGTTCATCCCCGAACCCCCACTCACAACCGCAGAGCCCTTGCTATCCTTGGGCGGATCTCTCAGGAATACGCTCTCCTTGTCACCCTGCGTCGTGCCTCCATAGGCCTTTGTGTGCGTTCCTGTTGCTCCAGCGTTGGTATAGGCCTTCTCGATGTTTTGGACGCCTTGGGTGCGGGCGCTGACGAAGGGCTCTGAACGGGGAGAGGGGGGTTTGTTGAGGTAGAGGGCTAGGGCGCCGAAGACGGCGACGCCGGAGACGATGAGGCCAGGTCGGCGGAGGAAGGCGTTGGGTTGTTTGACTCGGGGGTTCTTTTTGGGGGCGTTGGGGTTAGGTGGTGCTGGGCCGGCGGACATGGTTGCTGTTTGGAGGGAGAGGTGTGTTTTTACAGGCGATTGAGGTCTGCAACTGATGCTCGATCTGCTTAAGTTGAGATCTGGTCCTTTTCGAGCTTGAGGACGTAGGTAGTCAGTCGTACTCGAGAGCTGTAGCTTGGTTGGTACTGTCAACAGCTGTATCGCGGATGTGCTAGTTCGAAGTGGTATACGACACGTTCACTGATGTTCAGTCTGAGAAGCTGGAGTGAAGGCCGGGAAGCTGGAATACTATTCAGCTCCAGCAGCAATGAAACTACGAAAATGATGCAGCCCGGATACTTTCCCCTGGCCTTAGAGCTCCATGCAGCACGCTGCTTAACGATGCAAAGCTCCATCTGTTGAGCTTGAGCGTCACCATGACCTACAATCCGCTCAGGCAGTCCCGACCAACAGTCATGACGTCGTAGGCGATGCCCCCACCGCAACGATTTCGTGCATGTTCAACGAAGTCACCCTTCCTGAGCGGAGCTCTGGGCGACTTGAACGCCTTCCAGGATGCCCTCTTCAGCTGGGCAACTTGGGAGATGAAGCTATGATATGTGTCAAATTGGTCTTGTGAAAGCGAAGGTCAAGAGCATCGATACTCATTGATGTGCTACAGGAAACGACGTTTAGCAGACACGTGGCCTGGTAGACCTGGTGTCTGCATCTCAGGAGCGGCCAAGTATCGAGATTTGCTCGATTTAGATCAATTGTGACGTGTGTCGGTATAGATTTCCATTCCTGAGGTGTGACAATGTCGATAGTATGCAATCCTGCCTCGAGGCCATGGCAGACAATACTGACTACTGCCATTCTAGGCGTTACCATCACAGAAACGAACCTCACGAACAGCAGGCCTGCATTAGGTCGTGGACAATCCATTTGACTACGACTTTCCCAGATTGACAAATGCTTGTTTATTTCACCGTAGTGTTCGCAGACTTAATAGTCATGCGGTTTCGTGAAAACACCGAAAACGTTGTGCCTACAGTCGGGCATCAACCAATTTCCGAATCTATGCATTCAAGGATATCTTCGTTAGTCCGTGCTATCCCTTGCGCTTGTAGTCAATTGCTCGTTTCAAGGCCGCATATTGCCAGCATGTGTAGTAATCGCTACACCCTAGGAAGCGGCTGCCGGTTTCTCCTCGTTCGCAGAGCTTTCACCCTGAACTGGAGCTTCAGACGTCGCCTCCTTCTTAGCCTCTGTTGGTGCACCAGCTTCGCCAGCTTCACCATCACCACCATCAGAAGAAGTCCACAAGGTCAAGTTGTCCCGCAGAAGTTGCATGATCAGAGTGCTGTCGCGGTAGGACTCTTCGGAGAGCGAGTCGAGTTCGGCAATAGCGTCATCGAAAGCTTGCTTAGCCAGATGACAGGCTCGGTCGGGTGAGTTCAAGATCTCATAGTAGAAGACTGAGAAATTGAGGGCAAGACCTAACCGAATAGGATGTGTTGGAGTCAACTCTGTCTGAGCGACGTCGGTAGCGTTCTATATCATGTCAGATTGTGGTTGCGGGACAGTCTCGAGTCGCTTGAGCATACCTTGTAAGCCTCGTGAGCAGCAGTAGCAGCAGTCTTACGCTTCTCACCCGAAGCAAATTCGGCAAGATAACGGTGGTAATCACCCTTCCTACACAGGGTCAGCATTTGCATTACCGCAAACTGTCTGTTTTGCTTACATCTTGTGGTAGAAGACTTTGGACTCGCCAGATTCGGCCTTAGGAATGAGAGCATCGTCGAGCACATCGAGGACGTCCTGGCAGACCTTCTCGAGCTCGGTCTCAATCTTCTGTCGATAATCTCGAATGGTTTGGACATGCTTGTCAGAGCCTTTGGATTCTTCCTTTTGCTCAATCGACGAAATGATTCTCCAAGAAGCCCGTCTTGTGCCGACAACGTTCTTGTATGCGACCGAGAGGAGGTTTCGTTCATCGACTGAGAGCTCGCCGCCTAGCTGCATGGAAGTTAGAATCTTTTCAGAGTGACCAGCAGTCGGACTCACGTTGGCGACCTCTTTCATGTAGTTGACCATTTCATCGTAGCGCTCAGCTTGCTCGCAAAGCCTCGCCAGGAAGGTCTTGCTGCAGAATTATTAGACAGTCTACAAAGACGTCGGCCTTAGTCCCGTACCTTTCGCGCTGTGAGAAAAGGATAATGTCAGCATTCCGGTCTTATCAAGGTCTCATGGCAGGATGTGGGACAGTAAACAGTGCATGTCCCACCAATCTTGGAGAAGCACTTACATCTGAAGACATATTGATGGACTGTGTGTGCGATCAAAGGGTTTGGAAGGTGATTGTAATTGTTAAAGAGGCGCAGGTTGTGAAATGTCTCGAGAGGGAGTCAGAGCAAGACGAAGTCACAGCAGGTGTATGCAGGTTGGTTTGTGGTGCGGTAACAGTTGCGGTGATGCGAGCAGGCTAAGCACCGTTGTTTAACATGGAAAGCGAGGGAAACCCAAAAGCAAGGCGCTAAGACTGGCTTAGGCACAGAAAGCACCACTAACCACCACACCGTCCAACCAATCTCTGCTCTGCCTTCCGTCACCAAATCATCTCCTAACTTCCTGTCAATCGCTCCTGCTCCTGCCTTGTTTCAGAACGATGAAACACAAACGCTACTTCTTTGGATAGTACTGGCCTCTACAAAGGCAACACTCCTGTCAAGCACAGACCAACGATTGACCAGGTGGTGTACTTGCGGCCTTGAATTGATGAGAAACAGAATTAGGTTTAAGCACGTGCTGTGAACTCCAAGTACACCGCTTGCCATAACTAGTGTTTAGGTTAATAAGTTGCTGGAGGATTGACTATACTTCCAGCAGCGAACAACTCAATAGAGGCGCACCTCTAGTAAGCTCCGTGTAAACACGCGGGGTGATACCTTCAGTACTTGCCAGAGCGGTCGCACACCTTCACTATCTCGATCATCGTATGCATCAAGATGCTGTCGTGAACCATACTTTCTACCTGACAGTGGAAATTATTGCCGGCGATACGTCTTGAATGATCACATTCAGCGGCAGCTACACGATTCAGCACGACCTGGACGACGATACTCAACTTGGATTGCTGTTCACTCAAACACAAGCGTAGTGACATCTTATCGCGCAAAACTCTGCTTCAGTTGAAGAACTCGAAGCAGAGGTCTGATAGGGATGGTTTTTGCAGGAATATCGAGAGAGAGTTGGAGAGCGGTCCACTGCAAGCGTTCACAACGACCTCGTGCGTTTTTGGCGGACCAAAAAAAACGTGTCTACCGTGTCCTCAGAAGACTTTCTGGCCTGGTATTGCTCGATTTCATAGAACAACATCGTGTCTCCCAACTCCATTCCTTCCTACTGTAGGGTCACAATCTCATTCTTTATACACCGGCGCCCTGTCGCGTAGCCGTCTGGACGGCCTGCAAGCCACTTCACGAAGCATCTGTAATTATCGATACGATCATCTCCACTTCAAAAAGTAGACATAGATCACTCCCACAATATGGACCAGTCATACACGAAATCTACCCAGCAGGTGCTGGAACACTTCAAAGTCAGAGAATCCCAAGGCCTGACCTCACAACAAGTCTCGTCGTCGAAGGACAAATATGGCAATAATGCTCTTCCAGAAGATCCTCCTACACCCCTTTGGCATCTCATCCTTGAGCAATTCAAGGATCAGCTGGTCATCATACTTTTAGGCTCAGCCGCAATTTCATTCGTGTTAGCGTTATTGGAGGATTCGGAGGATTGGACTGCCTTTGTTGACCCTGTGGTGGTAAGTGTTAAGACGCGATTTGTAAGGGATAGAGATTAACCGTGGTTCAGATCCTCACCATATTGATCCTCAACGCAGTCGTTGGCGTCACCCAAGAAAGCAGTGCCGAGGCTGCAATCGCCGCTTTGCAAGAGTATTCTGCCAACGAGGCGACTGTTACTCGCAATGGAGTTGTACAACGAATCAAAGCTGAAGAGTTGGTTCCTGGGGACATCGTTACGGTCGCTGTAGGAGATCGAATTCCTGCAGACTGCCGATTGCTTTCCTTCCAAAGCAACAGCTTTGCGGTAGACCAGGCTATTCTCACGGGTGAGAGTGAGCCAGTGAACAAGGACACACGAGTTGTTAGTGATGTGGCGGCTGTCAAGCAGGATCAGATCAATATGCTCTTCTCTGGTACAACCGTGGTAACGGGACACGCGACAGCTATAGTCGTGTTGACTGGAAGTTCCACGGCTATTGGCGATATTCACGAAAACATTACTTCTCAGATTTCCGAGCCCACTCCACTCAAAGAGAAGCTGAACGACTTCGGTGATCAATTGGCCAAGGTCATCACTGGTATCTGCGTCTTGGTATGGCTCATCAATATTCAGCACTTCAACGATCCTTCACATGGCGGCAGTTGGACAAAGGGCGCGATCTACTACCTCAAGATTGCGGTCTCACTAGGTGTAGCAGCTATTCCTGAAGGACTCGCTGCTGTCATCACGACCTGTCTGGCGCTCGGAACAAGGAAGATGGCTGCGAAGAATGCCATTGTACGTAGTCTGCCCTCAGTCGAGACTCTGGGAAGTTGCAGTGTCATCTGCTCAGACAAGACTGGCACCCTAACCACTAATCAAATGAGTGTCGAGAAAATGGTCTTCCTCAACGAGAGTGGCAATGACCTGACGGAGATACATGTAGAAGGCACTACTTTCGCTCCCGAAGGCACTCTCTTCCTGGATCAGAGGCCTTACAACGGGCCAGCCGTGTCTTCCAAGACCATGGCTCGATTAGCAGAAGTCCTAGCTTTAAACAACGAGTCTCGTCTCTCGTACGACTCAAAGACGAACGTGTTCTCACAGATTGGACCTGCTACAGAAGGAGCTCTTCGAGTTCTGGTCGAGAAGATCGGTACTCCAGACGCCAGCTTCAACGAGGCTCGTGCCACTATCCCCCGTTCTGCATGGACTCACTATGCAAGTGCACATTACGAGCAAAAATTACCTATCCAAGCCACTTATGAGTTTTCGAGAGATCGGAAGAGTATGTCCGTCCTTGTTGGCACAGGTGCAGAACAGAAGTTACTTGTTAAAGGAGCTCCAGAATCGGTTCTGGAGCGTTGCACCCATACACTTGTCGGCAAGGATGGCAAGCGTATAGAACTCACAAAGGGCCATCTTGATCTACTTAACGAGGAGGTTCGTCTGTTTGGAAAGCGTGGTCTGCGCGTCATGGCGTTCGCCAACATCGAAAGCGTCGTTGGCAATTCAGCTTTCAGATCCGCCAAATCAACCAAGGAATATGCTGCGCTTGAACAAAACATGACCTTCGTTGGTCTTGTTGGGATGATTGACCCTCCTCGACCCGAGGTACCAGCTTCTATTCGAGAGTGCAAAAGCGCAGGTATCCGTGTCATAGTCATCACAGGTGATAATCAGACGACAGCCGAAACGATCTGCCGCCAGATCGGTGTCTTTGGCATCGACGAGGACGTACAAGGTAAATCTTTCACTGGCCGTCAATTCGATGCTATGTCGGAAGAGGAGAAGCTTCATGCAGCAAGTGTAGCAAGCCTCTTCTCACGTGTCGAGCCGACTCACAAATCCAAGCTGGTTGACCTCCTGCAGAGCCTTGGCGAAGTGGTTGCTATGACTGGCGATGGCGTGAATGATGCACCAGCTCTCAAGAAAGCAGATATTGGCGTTGCCATGGGTACTGGTACCGATGTCGCAAAGCTTGCCGCCGATATGGTCTTGGCCGACGATAACTTCGCCACTATCGAGGTTGCGATCGAGGAGGGCCGCACGATTTACAGCAATACTCAACAATTTATTCGCTACCTCATCTCCTCCAACATTGGCGAGGTCGTCTCAATCTTTCTCACCGCCGCACTGGGTCTGCCCGAAGCTCTCATTCCCGTTCAACTTCTGTGGGTCAATCTCGTCACTGATGGTCTTCCGGCCACAGCTCTTTCCTTCAATCCACCTGATCATGACGTGATGCGAAGAAAGCCTCGCAGGCGAGACGAGGCGCTTGTTACTCCATGGCTGTTCTTCAGATACATGGTGGTCGGCACCTATGTTGGCGCTGCCACTGTCTATGGTTACGCATGGTGGTTCATGTTCTATGAAAACGGCCCGCAGATATCCTTCTATCAGCTTCGCAATTTCCACAAATGCAGCCTAAGCAATCCAGTATTCAACAACACCGACCCGTTTTCAACTGGAAAAGCAGTCGACTGCGGCATCTTCTCACCTAATGCTATCGAAACACGATCTGCAAGCACAATCTCCCTGTCTGTACTGGTCGTCATCGAAATGTTCAATGCCATGAATGCACTTTCCTCCTCAGAGTCGTTAGTCACGCTGCCACTCTGGAAGAACATGAAGCTCATCTATGCTATCATGCTGTCCATGGCACTACACTTTGCTATCCTATACGTGCCCTTTTTGCGGTCGCTTTTCAGCATTGAGTCGCTGAACTGGGTAGAATGGCGGGCCGTCATTTTGATGAGCGCACCTGTTATTGCCATCGATGAGGTTGGGAAGTATTTTGAGCGCAAGCTTTATTTGGAGGATATCCCGAAGAGAAAAGCTGTTGGACACATTGCTAATGGCAAGGTCAAGGGTAACTAATCAAGCCTTTCAGAGGTGGCGGTTACAATATAGACTGTAATAAACCTCGCTGGCAACCGTTTAGAGCAATAGAGCGTTCCAAACAAGCACCTTGTGCATCGCAAGATATTTTTCAGCAAATGTAAAGCAACACATAATTTGTAATGTCTCCCCGGAGTGATAGCGGTATGACCAGTACAACAGGAGCCAGCATCTTAAGACTTCTTAACCAGGCTGCCAGAGATATAGGTCAATACCGCCTTGCCAAAGTGGCGTTCGATAGAGACAGTCTCCCAACGCTCTGATGTGTTCTTCCTCAACATCTGCTCAATATTCCTTGTCAGCGAGCAATCACCAACAAAGTAGCTCCAGCCCAACAACATATACACTGTCTGAACTAGTCGTGCAATGACCGAGCCTTTCGTGGTTCGCCATGCATTAGCTGTATGTTCAACAACCAGTAGCTTCCCACCTGGCTTCAACATGGCATGCAAATCGGATATCGTCCCTTCCAAATTCGGTACCGAGCACAACACCCTCACGCAGATTATGGCATCGAACATGTTATTTGCAAGTGCACCTGGCTCAAGAACCTTGTCTTTCAACAGCTCACGTGTGATAGAAGCTTTCGTGGCATCAGCACCAATAATCCTGTACTTCGGTCCTACCCTTGTTGAATCAGCGTTCTTGCGGAGCAGTTTATGCAATTCCTTCGCCGGCTCAGCTCCGTATATCGTCTTGATCTGTGCCGCAGCTGGATTGTAATACAAAGTCTGGTTGCCACTTCCAGGGCCAATTTCCAAGACCGTACCCTGTGCCTGAGCAAAGGTTGAAGGGACAAGGGTGGCAGAGCCGACAAGGGCGACTGCTGGATCTGGCGGTGCACCAGAGATTTTGGTCCAGAACTTGCCAAATGCTCTACCACGAAGGTCGCTAGGTATTGTACCATCTTCACGAAGACCAATGAGCAAGGTTTGGATATAGGCCTCGACTGCGTAGTAGAGGATGAAGCCTGGGTCAATGAGGCCAAGCACGAAAGACGGGAGCATTTCGAGGAGGGCCATGTTGACGTGTTTGGTGCCAACCCTTGATACTGGTGTAACTTATACCTCGTGCCTCCTTACTTAAAACGTCGCGTCCGTACGCCGCCGCAGAATGACTTTGTACGTTCCAGTAGGTCAATTCGGGAATATGTGCTCTGATTCTTTTATATGTCGTCGGATACTTTGCTTGTGCTTCGGAGACGTTTTATCACTGGTAACCTCGAGCTCTTGAAAGTTTATACGAATCCAACTGCTTGGCGTCGTGGATGCGACCATTATTCAAGCTATGGATCACAGTTTAAGGCATTATCTCTTTCGTATGCAGATAAATGCTTCTCTTGAAGCGATACAAGAACGAGCAAGCTTCTCACATTTCTAATGCACTAACAACACCAACCACTTTCGATGTTTATTCGCACAAAACAATGTCATTACATTTTCATACCGACACCTGCGTTTGGCAATACACGCTGCTTGGCTGTCCAGAATTAGTTGCTGTGTATCAGTCTGCAGCAGTAATGCATCGCCCGTGAGACAAAAGCACCGAAAACATGCGAGAGAATACCCCTCAACAAGATTCATCTCGAGAGTATCTTTCGTTGCCCAAGTGAGAGTAACGACACAGGTCAGTATATACGTCATAGTACCTGTCAAAGATACCTTGATTTCTGGTAGGTCCTGCACTATACAGGACTAATTCCCTGCAATAGCTCTAACTCTAACATCCCTGCTACAGACGTGCCTAGGGTATCATGCACACTCGTAACGAGATGCAGCTGGAGATGTCCGAGAGCTCACCGAAGGGATGTCTCGGTATACATTTCATACACATCCGTCAAAACAGCTCTGTAAGCTATCCCATACCGTTCTGGTGCTCGTGAACGTGTCAGTCAACCACCAACACTTGTGCAACCAGCTACAATGCGCTTCTGTCTAAAACGCATACTGCTACTAGCATTGATTCCATCAGCGCTCGCTCAGTCAATATCAGCATTCTTGCAGTCCACAATATTTGATACGAACAATGGTTTCTCAATTTTCCCATTACTGGAAGATGTGGGGAGCCCCGATCTCTTTCCTATGCCCCTATGCGGTTCTTTCCAGCTTGAGGAAAGCACAATAGAGCAAATGCAGGCTGCTATGTCCAATGGCACATTGACGTCAGTGCAGCTGTGTCTATGTTATCTTCAAAGGACACTTCAGACAAATAGCTACATCAGGTACGTATAGCATCAGCAAGAGAGCTAGACATTAATGTATACACAGCTCGTTACTACAATTCAACCCTGAGATGTTGTCTATCGCAGCTCAACTTGATGCAGAGCGGCAGGCAGGGAAGGTCCGAGGCGTTTTACATGGTATCCCATTTACCATGAAAGACAACGTCGGTACACGGGACAACATGGAGACCACGGCGGGCTGTCCGGCACTCCTAGGAAGCATCGTTCCACGGGATGCCCACGTAATTGCTCAACTTCGAGCTGCGGGGGCAGTGGTATTTGGTAAAGCAGCGCTGAGTGAGTGGGCTGATATGCGTAGCAGCAATTACTCTGAGGGCTACTCACCTCGTGGCGGACAAGTCAGGAGCGCTTACAATCTCACTGTAAATCCTGGTGGTAGCAGCTCTGGCTCGGCTGCAGGTGTGGCGGCAAATGCTATAGCAATCAGTATAGGTACCGAAACAGACGGCAGTGTGATCAACCCAGCAGAGAGAAATGCATTAGTCGGCTTCAAGCCCAGTGTAGGTCTGACCTCGCGAGCAGGAGTTGTACCCGAGTCTGAGCACCAGGATTCTGTGGGCACCTTTGGTAGGACTGTCAGCGATGCTGTTCATGTTCTGGATGCTATCTATGGTCCTGATCCACGAGACAATTACAGCCTAGCTCAGGTTGGACATACACCTGAAAAGTCTGACGGTGGATATGCTCAATACTTGGCCACATCATCCGCTCTTGTCAATGCCACCTTTGGCCTGCCCTGGCTATCGTTCTGGCAATATTGCGACGAGCAGCAACTTACAACACTCATCTCGCTCATTGGGCACCTTGAATCTCTTGGAGCGACTATCATTAACAACACTGAAATCTTGGACTACGAAACAATCGTCAGCCCAAATGGTTGGAACTGGGACTATGGTACTACCCGTGGCTACCCAAATGAATCTGAGTTCACTGTTGTCAAGGTCGATTTCTACAACAATATAGCCACATATCTTTCTGAGCTAAACAACACAAATATTCGATCTTTGCAAGACATCGTGGACTACAACTATGCCAACGATGCAACTGAGGGTGGATATCCTTATACAATTACAGACGAGAACGACACGAGCGTACCCACTGGCCAGGGTATCCCACAATTCTGGTCAGGGCAGGATAGCTTCTTGGCATCACTCAATACTTCTGGTATCCAGGATGAGACATACTTTCAAGCACTAGACTTCACTCAAACCAGCACAAAGACAGGCATCGATCACGCACTTACAGCTTATTCTTCGTCTCCTCTGTCAGGGCTCCTTGTCCCACCTGATGTTGGTCAGACCTACCAAATTGCAGCTCAGGCACAGTACCCTATGATTACAATACCAGCTGGTTATAGAACCAACGGCATGCCTTTCGGGATTGCGCTCATGCAATCCATGTGGCAAGAGGCAGAGCTGGTACGGTGGGGCAGTGCAATTGAGGATGCGATACGTGGTACAGGATTTGGAAGAAGAAGACCAGACTGGAGAGACTACCAGAGTAAGAATCTGATATCCTTCTATACTGCCGAGTATTAGAAGTCATGGTATCGCAGTTCTGGTCAAGGTTGGTGTCATTGTTTTAGGCGAGCAGCTTTATAGGTATCCTCTTATCCTCTGCATTGTTCAACTCAAGAGGTCTCTAAGTCAACTGTTCGAAGTGTTTTGCACACGTGCAGTGGTGTCCTGGTTTAAGCTCAGTGCCGCTCGTTACGTAAACGTCTCCTCCCGGGGTTCGAGCTGATTGTTTTGTGGTGAGTAGTCAGTTTGAGAAGAGCAGGAATGATTTATGGTACGTGAATATTGTGCGATATCCTGATGTAGGACCCGCCCAGACCAAGATCTGCGAGAAACCAGGGAAGTGGGTCGATCGGGACACGCCAGGAGTGAAGGACGTTCATTGGCCTCTGGGTGTTCTCCATCTTCGCTGTCGAGATCGTTCTTCCGCTCGCTGATGAATCTTGGTGCTTGAGGCTCACGTTGCGCAGTCGTAAGCACTCAGCATGTCTGCACCAAGTTTGTTTTCTTTTCACTTGTGCCCATCGCAGTCTCAGCGAACGTCGCGATAGCCGCGAGCGATACGCATAGCACATCACTAGCGAGATGGCTCTAGGCATCCTCGAACCCAAGGAAACGCAGGTGGCAGGAACTGTCCATGTGAAGAGTCAGGCGCAGAGTCACACGGAAGCGCAGGACACAAACAGAGCACTCAAGAAGGACAAGACTGGCACGATCATCCTTGTGCCTCAACCTAGCGACGATCCAAATGATCCTCTGGTACGCATATCCTTCTAGATAGCCTTGCACCATCACTAAGAGATTCGTAGAACTGGCCGTTATGGCAGCGCGATGTTATCCTCTTCATCCTTTCCATCGTCACGGTCGTTGCTACGACAGCCTCGCCATTGTTGGCCGCCGATTCCGTCCTATTAGCCATCTACTTCAGGACAACTTTCCAAAAGGCTGCTAACCTGACTGCCTTCCACTTGGCAGGCGTCGCTGTCGGCGCCGTCATATTCGTACCATCTGCAAGAGTGTGGGGCAAGAGACACGTTTTTCTCCTGGGAGCACTGCTTATGTGCGTGACCTCTGCATGGGGTGGGTCAACACATAACAACAGGAATTATGCTTCACTATTATGGGCTCGTGTGTTCCAAGGCGTGGCTTTGGCTCCCTTTGAGTCGCTAGCCAACGCCGTCGTTGGAGATCTGTACTTTGTCCACGAACGTGGACCGCGCATGGCATTTGTCAATACGGCTATTTTTGGAGGAGCTTTCCTAACTCCTGTCTTTGTGGGAATGATAGCAGCTCATATCGGGTGGCAGTGGTCCTTCTACCTGCTGTCTATCTTCTCGGGCATCGGCTTTCTGGCTCTGTTTTTCTTTGTTCCAGAAACTGCCTTCAGACGAGCAGACTCCCTCAATACGGACATGGTTACGACAGCGACATCATCTGTGGTGACTGAGTCGTCAGCTGCGAGCTTAAACTCAGACGAGAAGTACTTGCGAATGGCGACATCTGCGGGCACTGCTCCAGATACTGCTAGAAGGGCACGGGATCCCTATGTTCGGCGTCTGCTTCCATTCAACGGCAAGAAAAGTGACGATTCGTTCTTCAAATTACTTCTACGACCTTTCCCATTATACCTGCAACCAGCTGTGATATGGGGTTGTCTGATGCAAGGCGTTATCATCGGTTGGACTGTGATGGTGGGTGTGATCTTGTCGCTTATCTTCCTCAGCCCACCCCTCTTTTTCACCGAAGAACAATCTGGAAAGATGTACACTGCAGCGTTCATTGGCGCCATGATGGGCCTGGTGATCTCAGGTGTTTTCACCGAACTTGTCACCAGGTGGCTGATTCGACTGAACAACGGCAAATATGAACCCGAGTACCGCATTTTGCTTGCTGCTCCAACCTTGGTCTTCACTGCTATCGGACTCTATGGCTTCGGCATAACTTCTGCGAATACTTACAGATACGGCTGGCTGATCCCTGAAGTGTTCCTAGCATTCATTATTGCCAGCATGGTTATGGGCGCTGTCGCTTCTGCCCAGTATCTGTTGGATGCACACCGAGACATCGACGTGGAGATATTCACGAACCTCATCATATTCAAGAACATCTATTCTTTTGTGCTAGCGTATTTCGCCTATACCTGGATCTTCTCTACAGGCATCAAGCATATGTTTGTTATCTTTGCAAGCATCGAGGTGGCTATTTGCTGCTTGAGTATACCAATGTATGTACTAGGAAAGAAGAATCGCGCCTTCTTCCAGAAGCACGATATCCTTGGAATAGCGAAGTTGAGATAAAGGAAGGATAATAGATGTTCAGGCCGCTTTTCAAGGCTTTTGCCAAACCTCATGAACGTCCTATACTCAGCTTGTGCTCACTCTACTACGAAGGCTGATCCGACCTCGTCCACTGAGTCGTCTTGACCTAATAATAAAGGTCTCGTTCGATCCACACGGATCACGGCTAAGCACGAAGATTAACTTGCCAAGCTTCTGAGCTGCAGACGACCTGTAAAGCTTGTCACTGACCCGTGGGTGCGAAAACATAGTATTTCCTTTGCCTTGGGAATTGGCTTGAACCACTCTACGAAATGTGGCTTTTCTTAGCTCAATCAGTGGGACAACTCGCCCGTGCCCGTCTATCTTGCCCAAACGGAGATGAGCAACGCAGCGGATACGAGAGCCTCAACGATCGGATTCTTGCATCGGAAAAGTGGTCCAACCTCTGCATCGAAAAGAGCTATAGATTTGACAATAAGACGACATGCCCGGTTGGAAGAAACAGGATTCAACACGTCGTCCTCGTACAGGTAGGCGCGTCGCAGTCGTATTCGAGTGGAGTAACTGCTGTAATTTTAATCTCGAGAAGCAGAACCACACGACTTTGAGGCCATCGCGCTAATCCTTACAGACAGTTGGTGTCAGCTTGGCACTCCGGAATTGGCCATACGGAGAATTTCCATGTAACTTCGCCTTGTGGAAGCCAGGGTTTGACCTCATCCTGGCACCGTTTTGTATCCCCCTGATGTTTCAGGACTTCTGTAGATCAAAAATCGATCTCAGACTCTTATTGTTCAAGTTCACTGACACTCGCCGTCGTTATCCTCCAGGTCGCTGCCTTTGTCGAGTCACTGGTTGACTTTGATGTCCACTCCTTTTCCAACAGCAAAGATATAAGCAGACAGAACATCGGAATTACCATCTAGCAACAGGATATCAGTCGCGCCTTGGCAGCCTTCATAAAATTGTGCACATCTCGTCACGATCAACTGCCAGTCTCCAGCTGAGGCTTCATTTCGGCATTTGACATGTAGCAGTGTTTTGGCAACTCAAAATGACAGCAGTAGCGACCGCAACAATGGAGCAGTTGAGCCTAGAAGAACAAAACCAACCCATGGATGCCGCACGAATCATCGAAAACATCAATGCGACAGTATCTGCTCGGTATACACTCGCGATGCCAGCTGCCAATCTACTATCCTCCACGAGCAGACTTTGTCCGACATGCAGCCAAATTTTCGATGCCAGTGCTACCATTTCGTCACCACAATCGCCTTCCTTACACGCCTCGAAACCTGGAGAGGTTGTGCATCTAAGTCTGGACAATGTCGCTGAATCAGCCAAGCGAGGATGTCACCTCTGCTTAACGGTGTATATGAACTTGGACCCAGCTGCACTTCGAGCTTTCCGACGCTATGTAGACTTCACGAAGGGACAGGCATCACCGGACAGTAGCACCACCAGTATAAGCTGGGGCTTTGTCAGCATCGTGCCTATCGCGCGAGATCAAGCCCGTTTGAGCTTCAGATGGGTGCCACGAGTGGAAATAGACCAGCAAATCTCAACAACCGCTTCTGGAACCTCAAGGAATACGTTCCTCCAAAATGACACTCGAAACGAGTCACGAAACACTGTCGACAGCAACACGAGCTCTATGGCAGGCCGTATGACCTCTGAGCTAAATGTCGAATTGATACTTATGAATCCTATTTATGCAGTCGAGCCCGGCGTGAGGACGATTAACTCGAAAGCAACAAGCACATCATCTGATGAATGCTTTGAAATTGCGCGGCAATGGCTTGAAGACTGCTCCTTCGATCATATGAAGTGCTCAGCGACCGAAGGTGCAGGCGCTATTCAGAAGCCAACATATTTACTCGATGTCACAATTAGGGGGCCAAAAGGTGCCCCAGGTGTAAAACTGGTGGATGGGCAATTTCTCGACCCCTTCACGGAGTATGTAACATTGTCCCATTGTTGGGGCATTTCTCGGGATCCTGGCATGAAAAGAGTACGGTTGCATAAGAAGACTTTACAAGCTCTTCGGCAAGGTGTTGCAAATTCGAGCTTACCCAAAACTTTCGCACACGCTGCCATTGCTACTGCGCGTCTAGGTTACAAGTACCTCTGGATAGACGCGCTGTGTATCATGCACGACATGGAACAGATGGTTCTTGATGAGATTGCAAATCTGCCACGAATATATGGCGAGGCCACACTCAATCTAGCTGCCACAGGGGCTACAGATGACACTGCCGGCCTCTTTTTCAATCGAAACGTGTTCGCTCTTCAACCCGCAACAGTTGAGGTAAGCGATGGATTTGGCATAAGTAGCGGTTTCTACAAAGTCCTTCGTGGAACGATCTGGGACGATCTGGTTGATAGCTCACCTCTCGCACAAAGGGCTTGGTGCTTTACAGAACGTTGTTTAAGCAAACGAACACTCCACTTTACGCGAAATGAACTCCTCTGGGAATGTCAACAGATGTGCTGCTCAGAAGTATTTCCAAAAGGTCTTCCCGTCACGATGAAGACTGCTCACGAACAAGAACGGCGCAACACTACCGTTCTACCATTACCCTCCTCACCAAGTCCTGCGTCTGCAGACAACAAATCCCTTCTACCTGCACCAAAAATCTCCTTCAACAAGCGTACACATCACCAGAGAACCGCAAATTGGCACATCCTCGTCGAGATGTACACCGAAGGCCGACAAACCTATACCTCCGACAAACTCCTAGGTGTATCCGGCTTGGCCCGACAATACCTCAGTCGCAACCGCCTCAGACCTCACGACTACGTAGCAGGAATGTGGCGACCGTCCCTTCCACACTCCCTCCTCTGGCGCATCCACGAAGGCGGACGCCGACCACCCAGATATCGCGCTCCAACATGGACCTGGGCCTCAATCGACGGTCGCGTCGTCAGCCCAGCACCCTCGCACGCCTCGAAACAAACCTGTCTCGAAGTCATCGACGTGTCGGTGACAATGAAAAACAACGATCCCCTCGGCCTCTGCGAGGGCGGCCGCCTCAAGGTCCGCGGCTTCATGGGTAAAGGCTCACTAAGACGGACGCGCGACTACTGGGGCCACTGCTCGTTTGTCCTACAGCCACAGGCCACCTCGCCCAAAGTCAAAGAGATAGGAGACGTGCGCTTCGAGAACGCCTGGTTCGACGAGCGACTCGTCAAACTCTCCGACGAGGGCGCGGGCATCATGGTCGAAACGCTAGAAATCTACCTCCTTCCAGTCATCGACGTGATGGATCGTGTTGAGGGGCTCATTCTCTGCGCCACTATGAAAAAGGGAGAATTCAAGCGCGTGGGCTTGTTCGAGATCAGTAACGGGAGTGGCATGAGTACGAATCCGGCGGCTGTGATTAGTCCCGAGCTCCATGGACCGATACAGACGAACTGGGATCGTTTCAAGAGGATGATGAAGGGGACTGAGGAGATGATGAATTTTGAGGAGAGGTTGGATCATACGAATGCGTATTGGTTTGCTAGTGATTATACTTATACGATTAATATTCTGTGATTTGCTGGGGGGCTCAAGCACAACGATGTATATTTGGTTTGATGATGTATGAGGCCGTATGTTTTGGGAGATAGGCAATTGTGTTCAAAAGGTGATCTCTTGGTTGCTGGAATGGGGACTTCGTGTTACCCAGCAGACATATTGTGTAGAATGAAATTTTCGTCTGTGCAAAGAAGACCGTTGGAAGGCGTACAAGTTAAACGAGAGTACTTCCAACAAGCAGGACAATAGAAATGGTGATCCTGATCCACTCCCCACTGTGTATCTATAATCCTAGCAAAGGATCTGCTCACCAGCGAGAAGCTGTTGGATCTTGCTCTTGCCCTACTCCTCGCCGAGCGGTGCCTCGAGTGTATGCTTCGCCACATAGTAGAGCTACATAGTGGATTAACTGGTCTGGACTGCCATCACTGAAGGCTTCCGAATCTCGTGATCTGGTGTTGACGACACAGCATCATAGATCTTTGTTCATCCCGTGTGGTCCTGATAAATGCGGTAGCACCCTGGTTCTTCTGCGCACGACGGACTCCACACTTCGTGGTTGTACTTGCTGAATGGCTACGATGCAAGCGGGCGTCCGACGGGGTGTAAAGATAATTCGTAGTGAACTGCTGGTCAGGGGTTTATTGTTCTGCCATATTGTTTGTCCACGTTTACAGCTCATCTTTCTTGACACCCTTGATGCCTACCAACTCAGTCTCGAATATCAGCGTGCTTCCAGCTGGAATGGGACCCATAGCGTTCTTGCCGTAGCCCAATTCAGGCGGTATTGTAAGCTTTCGTTTCTCGCCGATGCACATGTCTAGCAGACCTTCATCCCATCTGTATATGTCAGCCATGAGCCCTCCAATGTACACGTTCCCAGGGAGTGCTCGCTTACCCTTTGATGACTCGGCCCGTTCCCACCGCGAAGCTCAAAGGTTGTCCTCGATTGTAAGAAGCATCAAATTCGCTCCCATCAGAGGCTAGAGTACCGCGATAGTGCACATCAATCTGGTCGCCGGACTTTGTCTTGCGTGTGCAGGTGATATCAGGTGTTTGGTTCTCGATAATGAGACCGTCGGGGATGGCGATTGCCAGGCCGAGTAGGGACAGGAAAGGAACCAAGAAAAGCATGTTGAGGATTTGGTCGTGATTGTACTTGAAAGTAGAGCGGAAGTAGAGTAAGGTCGAGAGCATGTGTCGGTGGCTGCCGAGGGCGTGGGCCGTAATACTGTGAGGCAAGTCCGCCGATTACGTTAAGTACTTCATATGCCTACGAGAATGCTCCAGGGGTGTACAACCCCCCATTTTTATGAGCGTCGGGACATGTTCGACGGCAAACGGATTCCTGGCACGCTTGCGACATGCTGAACACGTCCTCAACCAAGCTTTGAGATTGTGTCAAACTTGGCCAATTCAGCGGCACGTCGCTCAGGGCAATCACTATCGAGAAAGGTCCGCATCACATCTCTAGACTGTAACCTTTTTGCATCACTATGAAAAGGACGACTGCGGATCTTCATGCCTCTAACGTGCCGTCACCGATACTACTTGAAGCAGCAGGTAAGCGGTGCTTCGTTAGCGACGCGACTGATCCTATTGAGAGGCGTATCGCTCGTGCAGAGTATCTGGCCAAATTACGGTACTTGATGCCCCTCGGTGGCAAGTCCATTCCTGAAGTCGAGGAAAGAGACATTTATGTTACTGTGCGGGATAATTATGAGGTAAGAGTGAGAATCTACACACCGACTGGGGGTCGACGTTTACAAGGAGGTGGACCTTTAATGCTCATGTTTCACGAAGGAGGATGGACGGCCGGAGATCTGAGTGACGAAGAGCTGAATTGTAGATTGTTTGCACGTGAGTTCGGTGCTGTTTGTGGCAATGTCGAGTATAGGTACGTTTTGTACTATCCAATCTGCTGTGATGAGCATTGTCTCCATGGTATCGATCGATGTTAGCTGAGTCATATTGATGGAAAGGACCGATCACAGACTCGCACCAGAAGCATATTTTCCAACCTGGATTCATGATTGTATAGACGTGACCAAATGGGTGACGGAAAATGCTGTATCTCTTGGTGCAGAACCTTCCAAAGGTTTCATTGTTGGAGGCAGTTCAGCAGGTGGTAATATTTCTGCCGTTCTTGCCCAGTTGTCAAGGTTGGGCTATTTCAAAGTACCTATCACAGGTCAATATTTGTCGGTGCCACTCATAGCACCATTAGAGCTGTATCCGCAGAAATACAAGGAAGATCTCCTAAGCCCGTATGAGAACATGGACGATCCAGTTCTCCGTTATGTGGGCGCTCAAAGGCTGAAGGGTGAGTAAAAGGTTGAGGCCGTGATTTGGCCTCTCCTCAAGCTGCAAGAGCAAAGGTTGACTGAAGTTCTCATGACAGATCTCCAGACCAGGCTGAACGTCGATACAGAATCGAATCTGTTTTCACCCCTGGCACGACCATCATATCCGCCAAGTCTCGTGGAGGATACGTTTCCACTGGCACCAGCCTATATGCAGGTGGCAGGTCTAGATCCGCTAAGAGATCATGCATTGATATATGATCGCATACTCCGTGATGAGTTCGAGGTTGAGACCAAGGTCGATTTATATGATGGGTTTGGACACATGTTTTGGACCAATTGGCCAGAGTTAAAAGAGAGTCACGCATTTGTTGATGATACTGTCAAAGGCATCCGATGGCTATTGGAGCATGGCAAGAGCGTGGCAGCTGCAGGTAAAACACGAGACTGAAAGACTTGTTGAAGCGTTTTTGTCAGCTAGCATGAGAGTCCTATGAGAGTGATCACGTCTGTAGCTTTTTATGTGATGAAAGTGCCGATTGTTGAGGTCTCATGAATTCTGGAGAAAAGTTCCCGTTCGAGAGCTCGATTACACCTCACGGCTACTCGAGTCTCCATAGATTGTGAATGCGAACCCATCACTTGATACCTCGTAAGGCTGGCGGCTAGAATACAGACAGACGTGGACATCTCCAGGAGCCTGCCTCTTCGACTGCTCGAGAACGGTATTGACCTCTTGTACAAACTCAATGAGCTTTATCAGCGGTCACTCTCAGGGTCTGCAATATCAGCATAGAAACCTAATGACATGTGACGATCAGGTGCTCTTGCCAACAACCAACAATTTTGCTCCCCACTCGTGCTTTGAGTGGCCCGAACGTCTCGCTAGCCTGTGGGCAATGTTCCTGCTGTGAGTTGTTCTGCGCACATTCGTCATTGCTCGATCGCAGTCTGCCAGATTGTCTTCTTGAGTGAAAGAAGAGCGAGTCACAGCCACTCAAATTCTGGGGTCAGACAACACGATATATAGATCTGTTACCGAAAATCAAGGCGCAACAACATCTTCAACGAGCATCCCACCATCCGGCCGAATCTAGCGCCTTTGCTGCTATCTCGAACGCTGCACACGACCTCAGCACGTTTCCTGCCTGCTACCCCATTGTTGTCGTACCACATACGATCGAAGCCTCAAGTTTGTGCAGCAAGGTCATTGGCCGTATATCAAGATGTCGGGCGAGGCGTGGTTATATCTGCTGGCAGTGCTTATAAATGCGGTCAATCTGTTTCTTCAAGTCTTCTTCACCATCATGTACAGCGATCTGGAATGGTATGCTTTTCCCACCAGTCAATAGACCAAGCTGATATTGCTAGTGACTACATCAACCCGATAGACCTTTGCAACCGCCTGAACACCTATATCGTACCTGAAGCTGCTGTCCATGGATTCCTGACCTTTCTGTTTCTGATTAATGGATACTGGTTGGCTTTACTGCTCAACCTCCCATTGCTTGCTTTCAACGCGAAGAAGTGGGTACTGAAAGGCCCGATATTCGAAGAGGAGACTGATAGGATACAGGATATTCGACAACCAGCATCTCCTAGACGCAACCGAGATCTTCCGAAAATTGAATGTGCACAAAAAGGTCAGCACTTGTATTGCTAGACACCGAAAATTTCAGCTAACTTTGCTTCAGGAATCTTTCATTAAACTAGGTTTTCATCTGCTCATGTTTTTCTTCTACCTCTACAGCATGATCGTGGCATTGATCAGGGACGAATCCACTTGACTGAGGCAAAAAGCATCCTACCTTACGAACAGCCAGGAATACTCCTAGATGGACGAACGCCCAAGTATTCAACACGATCATGCGGCCAAGTGGCGGGCGATCAATCTCTTCGCGAATGACCCAGACGACCTCCCCGCAAGCACTTGGGAAGTATGACCCTCGAAGGCCCGACTTCTACAGCAACCCAGCCTCGAAACATTTGGCAGTATATGTAAGCGGCATAGTATGCGTGGATGAATCTACTAGGAGAAGTAGACAAGTGATTTTGCGGATTCAGCTTTGGATTCAGCAGCAAAACGTTGAGCTCCCAAGCTGAAGTTGGCTTAGATATGCTACTTGTTACCTCCGAGCTTATACTGCCATCGTGCCTGCTCCTGGACCAGTGGTACTGAGCGATTCAGCGAAAGACAATCGAGTACTCACTGGCCATTCCTCGACGGATATTGATGCTAGATGTGTACGAGGTATATCCAAACATCGTATTTCACTATAGTCCGTAATATCCTTTCTATAAAGTTGCAGTAATGCCTCAGGTATACACATCACCTCCGGTGGTATTTTTCTAGAGCAATGTTACAGTTGCGATCTTGTTACCAAATTCCCATTCATCAATTGTAAAACACATGCAAGCGCTATCATGGCCGGAATTCTAGGTGGGTATGAGTCTAGCGACGATGAGGTGCATACCACAAGGGTGTCAGCACCTCTAACAGCCATTACAGCCGCGCCCGAAGTTTCAACAGAGGTTGGGTCTCTTTGTCAACTTGATCTTCAGGACATATCTAACGTGAAGCAGGGCTCTAAAGAACTCCAGATAGCACTCGCAAACCCAACCAGTAATGCGCTTACCTACAATGTCACATATGACAACCTCGCTAGACCCAGTCAAGGTCCCGTGAATCCTTTCAAGACTTCCAACGGCAATGCGCTGAAGCGAAAGAATGTGCCTACTGGACATGCTGAAGAGACAAGCATTTCTGATACTGTCTTCAACACCCAACATCGAACTTACCAGAGCTTGGGCTATACACAAGATCCTGCACAAAACGGTGCTCTGATTGGAGACCAGGCCGCGCTCACCAGGTATGGTGGTAAGGATGTCGTGCAACTGGGCCATAGCAAGGCAGAGAGTGAGAAAATCCGAGCTAAGCGGCAGAAGAAGGGCGACAGTAGTATCGTGGATGGTGAGAACGCCTACATGGGTCCATGGGCCAAGTACAAAGGGGACGACATTGCCTACGAACATGCCTCAGAACTTGCAGACCGAGAACTAGCCTCCGATGAAGAGTGGGTTGAAGAAGAGGAGGAAGTCGGCCCAGTTGCTCCCCTACCTAAAGCCGCGACAGATTACGCTGCAACCGATGCCTCGATCACAGAGACGACCCAGTTTCACGGTGAAGAGCTGTACGATTATCAGAGAAGAACATACATGCATGTGCCACAAGATCTCGATGTTGATCTGCGGAAAGAGCAAGGCAGTATCCAGAACTACCACCCAAAGAAATTGGTACACGAGTACAAATACCACAGCAAACCTATTACATCCCTCAAGTTCATACCACGATCTTCGCATCTCCTACTCTCCTCTTCCGCAGACGCAAAACTGGCTCTATGGGATGCTCATCATGACCGCGATTTACTCAGATCGTATTCTGGACACACAAAATCGATCACCGACACTGATTGGTCTCCAGACGGAACTCATTTTCTTTCTGCGTCCTACGATCGCTACATGAAACTTTGGGATACTGAGACTGGAACATGCATATCAAGGTTTACCACAGGCAAGACCCCACATACACTTCGTTTCCAGCCGAGTAACGGTGGCGTTGAATTCATAGCAGGTATGAACGACAAAAAGATAATTCAGTATGACACGCGCTCCGGTGAGCTTGTTCAAGAATACGATCATCATCTGGGACCAATCAACACGTTGGTGTTCGTCGATGAGAACCGCAGATTCATGAGTACGAGTGACGATAAGAGCCTGCGAGCCTGGGAATATGGCATACCGGTGCCCATCAAATTCATCGCTGACCCTTCGATGTTCGCCTTGACTCGTGCTGCACCACATCCGAGCGGCAAATATGTCGCGTACCAGTCTGCCGACAACCAGATAGTCGTCTACGCAGCAGGAGAGAAATTTCGCCAAAATCGCAAAAAGGGTTTCCGTGGCATGAACACTTCTGGATATGCTATTGATCTAGCAATTTCTCCTGATGGAGGCATTGTTGCAAGCGGCGATAGTGGTGGGTACGTGTGCTTCTGGGATTGGAAGACAGGAAAGATGTGGCATAAGATCCAGGCGGGAAGCCCAGGTCGAGAAGTTGGCCAGGCTGTGACGAACGTGGCATGGCATGGGCATGAGACTAGTAAGGTTGTCACGGGTGGCCTAGACGGGATCGTGAGACTATGGGACTGAGCAGCGTTTCTCAAGTAAAGGTCTTGGAAGCCTGCTATCCGGTCGATGGGTCGGGTATTTGGACAACTTGGTGCATTGCGCAAAGCTTCAGACGCAATTTATTCATGCTGGACCACGATTGACGATAGTGAAAGTGTTTATCTAAAGCTACAGGAACATCGATGAGCTCTCAGGCTACTGGAAATGCAAGGCGTCTCAATTCTGGGAAACGGCGTACACAGTCTTTTGCAGGTTCGTGGCACAAGGAAGCCACTTCAACCTCATCGAGCTCTCGAGAAAATCCACCAGTTTTGTCATGAGCCCAGTGACGCAAGCTCTCCGTCATAAATCCGAATTCCACAAGCGGACCCACACTATGATTTGAAGGTTAAACTGGACGTTGGATTGTTGACCACTTCCAATTATCAAACCCCCATCTTCAAGACCACGAAACACTTTACATAACTGCCACAATGACCGCCATCTCATATCCAGACACGCCTCAACCCTCATGGCACAACACACCCTCCGGCACAATGACAGCGGCTGTTCTGAAAGAGAATCCTTCACTCGAGAAATCGCCTCTAGATAGCTTCACATACCAAACAGACTACCCCAAACCAACACTACCGTCCCGAGACTGGTGCCTCGTTCGCGTCCGCGCAGCCGGCCTGAACAGAGCAGAGCTCCGCGGCCGTGCAGCTCTACCACCTGGAAAGGGTGAATTGAATATATTCCAGAATGAGTACCACGAAGACCCGCCAGCCATACTTGGCGAAGAGCTCGTTGGTGAGGTCGCTGAGGCAGGTTCCGACAGTGGATTCCAGGTTGGCGAGATAGTAACGGCGTTCATCTATGGTGGTGGCAAGGCTCACGACGGTGCTTATGCGCAGTACTCTATCGCCCATAAGCGGCGACTGTATCGGTTGCCGTTCAAAGATAGCGCGGATGTTGAGCGTCGAACAGGATGGAATGTTCTCGGTGCGATTCCAATGAGTATGTGGACTGCCTACGGTAGTATTTTTGAGGCTGGACGACTGGGCCATAGAGGAAAGGGCAAGGACGAAACCCTGCTGATTCATGGTGGAACGTCTAGCGTTGGAATCTGGGCCATTCTGCTAGCGAAGGAGCAGGGCTTTAAGGTCGTCGCGACAACGCGCAAAGAGAAAAAGACTCAAAGACTGAAAGACGCAGGTGCTGACCATATCATTCTCGATCAAGACCTCGAAACATCCATCCCAAAACTCTTTCCTGATGGCGTTGACGTCGTGCTAGAACTGGTGGGTCCGGATATGATTCAGCGCGCGTTATCGTGGACAGCGAGGTATGGAAGCGTGGTGTGTACGGGAGTTCTGACGAAAAACTGGGATGTAGAAGGGTTCAGGCCCGCCATGATTCCTACATGTCGCAATCTTACGTTCTATGGCATGACGAATCGAGGGAGCCTGGGGCCGGACGATGAGGGACTCGAGCAAGTGGAACCAACATTGAAACATGTTGTCGAGAAGGTGGAGGATGGAACTTTTGGGAAAGAGGTCTTCTTAGATAGGACGTTCGAGTTGAAGGACATTGGCAAGGCGCATGAGTATATGGAGAACAACGAGGCTGTTGGGAAAGTGGTGGTATTGGTTCCTTGATGGGGGTAAGCTATCCCTGGAAAGGACTGCGTCACTTCCTCCCATAAGCGCATTTACTGAGTTGTTCGCTGATGGCCTCGCTGTCGATGAGTGCATACTGATCTAATTGTTCTTCGACCAGATTAACTGATCCTATCGAGATCCGAGTCTTTTTAGTAGCTCAATTTCTCCCGAACATGTTCCTCCACATATCTCGTCTAGCATGGTTTCCCTCGACCTGTCGACTCGAGCTCTCAATGTACAGCCCTTCCTTCCGTACGTCTCCTACTTCCCTGATAGCTCTGATAATGCCATCCTTAGCTTTCCATTCTATATCAGTCCAGTCGTCGCTGTTCTCATCGAAGAACACTTCGTAGACTGCGACTTGCCATGCCTTGCAAACGTTGACTGCAGCGAACAATGACCGATCACGCCCATTGGTAGATGCGAAGGATTGGTGAGAATATTGAAATATCTTGTGGAGGATTTCTGGTGGAAGTTGAGGTGGGGTAGCACTGTGCACAAATGGGCTTCGGCTTGATGCATAGCTTCTAGACACACGCGCATTGTCTTGTGTCATGTTGACGTTCGATGAGAAGATTGTTCGAATATGAGTGAGCTCTTATATGTGTCTGCCGATAGAACTTCTGATGTAGTGACTGCTTTACCACGATGAGTGGTTTCGGGCTGAAGGAAGCCTTGGGAAAGGAGCTGACGCACGAGTGTGGTTAGCACAGCTGGTAGTGGTTAGTCTCGGCGCCAAGTCATGTAGTGATACGGTTTGGCAACACAATCGCTTTGACTGTCTTGCTTGCAAACCAGGCCATGTCACTTGTTGCCATGACTGAATAGGGTTCTTTGGTGTGCTATGCTTCCAGTCCCAAGGATCGCATAGTCATCGAGACGTGCCTGTATACCGCTGGACAAGTACTCACGTTCAAGTAGTCTTTGTGATCTGGCTTTGCTGAGAAATCGATACGCTACAGCGACACGCCCCAAAGACCTCGTCCTCCGCATACCCCTAAAGATCCTGTCGTAGGAGCCCAACTTAAATTGCTGATTTCATAAGGGCAGTCCCAGACTGCTGACGGTCCTCGCTCTTGGCCTCTTTCTTGTCCGCCCTGACCTGCTGGGTGACCCGGTTGTGGTAGACTTCCAGTGGCGCTACTCACCAAATCCCAAAGCATCACACAGCAATCATCAGCTCCAGAAGCAAGGATGCCACGTTGACTGCTCGACCATTCGATGCAATTCACACTCGCACCATGACCCTTTAACTCAAGGAGTGCTTGCCCAGGTTGCCGCACGTCGAGCACGCGTATGATGTTGCTGTCCTGGGAAAATGTTGCTAGAAGATGTGCATCGTGAGGAGATGCAGCAATGCGTAGTAGTGGAGGAGGGAAAGAAAGACTATGAGAGCTGGAACCTCCACCTCTGGTCGGTGACGATGACATTGCGTCTGGACTGAGAGCTGTGACACGTTAGTAAATTGACCAGGCAATAGAGAACAACCTACTCTTGTCTTGTTTGTCGTTCGGTTCGTATATGATAGTGCTGTGCTCGAGAGATCTTAAATCGAACATGCGAACACTCCCGTCAGCACCGCAAGATACGAAGACATCCACACTCTGAGCACAAAAGCGAACATCAAAGACCTCCTTGTCGTGAGCAATAAGTTGAGTCTTAGCAGTCAATGTCGGGATGTCCCAGATGGTGCAGGTAGTATCAATGGAAGAAGTGATGATCAAAGAAGGTTGGATAATGTTCCAATCAAGGGACGTGATTGGAGCAGTATGTTCAGGAGATTTTGAATTTGAAAGTAAAGCGAGGGGCGACAGTTTCTGTAGAGGCACATCTTTCGAACCCTGCCTTGTAATTGTGTTGGAGTTATATGAGGCGGCCTCATTTGGTAAAGACCATAACCTTAAGTGGTCGCCGGACGTAGCTAGCAGATCAGTACTCTGCTTGTTCGAAGAAGGTGGCTCCCATAAGATCCTGGTTACTGGGTAGGCGTGGTTTGCTTCAGCAGTCTTGACGAAGTCTATCCCTCTTTCTCCTTGCGGCTTTTCGGGGTCTATCTGAGTCTTCTGAGCGTCCAAAATCTGGATATAGTTGTGGTTGTCCTCCAGATAGCTTCCAATAGCAATCTTGCCAACACCAACATTCGTCTTTGGTGGCCACTTGCACCAATCAACAGCAAAAATCGGCCAAGGGGCTACATAATTGCTGTTTGTGGGGTATGGGACTTGCTCTTCGAGTGCAGGACCACCGGGACTAAGCAAGGATTCTGCCAAGTTGGCCTCTGTCCTCTGTCTAATATCTGCCAAACCCAGGGGAGAGTATGACTGAGGTCCGAATGAAGAGGATGACGGGGCGTTGGAAGCGGAGGACAGAAACCTCGACGTGTCTGGGGTATTGTTTGAGAAGGCCTTGTATTTTGGTGTACTTGGGTCCATGTTCCCAGGACTTGACTTGGAATAGCTGTGTGCTGTACTCAGTGGAGGTCGTGCCGACAATGAGGACTGCTGTTGCGGGTCTTGCAACTGGGTAGATATCTGGGACAATGGAGGTAATTGAGGCGGCTGACTCGAAAGGGTTCTTGAATGACCAGCCTGTAGGGGACCAGGTATAGAGGCAGGAGGATGGCCCGGAGTAGGAGGCTGTATTTGCATGTTGATATTGCTGTTGCCATACGCAGGAGGAGCGCCATAGTGAAATCCGTCACTCATTGTAGGCCCTGATATGGTAGGTCGTCTCGAGGGTAATTGGGCAGCTGGACTTTGGGGTATGCCTGCGTTCTGCTGCTGGTATGCTGGAGGTGCGTACCTCAACGACGACGACCTGCTTATAGAGCCATTACTGTAAGCAGGGTTGTGTAAGTGATACCCCTGCCCTTGCGACTGCCCTTGGTTCTGCGCTGGCTGCCCGGGCGACCAGCCTGCAGTATTGGGTATCCCTGCTGATGCGAGAGTCTGTCCAGATTGGTATACCGCGTTTGCGACCGAGTAGAAATTGTGCTGACCTCCAGCTTGGCTCGAGTCGTGCGATATTGAATGCGAATGTTGGGGATGATATGGCATACTCGTGCTTAGTAGGACTGCTAAGTCACACCCTCTCTGACATGTGCTGAAGTGGTAGACAAAGTCGCGCCTACACAAAACAGCCCACGAGAAACGGAATAGTGGCTATCTAAAGTTCCAGGCATCACGGCATCAATCACACAGGGCTCCCCGGACCCATCGCTCCTTCCTCAAATCCCTCTCATCCTTCAGCTGGAGCCTCTGTCGATTCTGAATCGTGGCAATATTGCATTCATGAGACATCAGGTCTAGCCACATCGGTCATCGGAGTACAAGCTTGCACAAGCAGGTCGGGTTGAGTACGATGGCTGAAAATACCTCTACTGCAGTTCCGGAGGGAGATATTGCCGATCCACGAGCCTGTCATGGCGTTTTACTCTTACCTGCTATACCACTACCTACTTCTCCTGAGCAGGTGAGAGAAGCCTACAAAGATATACTAACCCAGACACTCAAACAGCTTGAACAAGAGTTCCAAACTCAGAGCTCATCACCTATCCTCAGGCTCGACATTGACCTCTTGTTCGATGGTGGGTCAGAAGTAGCGAGAACACCTCTATTCCCTTCTCTTCTTGGGTTATTTGCTGAACTGTACACTCTTGTATGTATATGTGCTAGCCAGTGTAGCTTGGATCTCGATTTTCCACGCGGAGTCGATGTTCGGATATATGCAATAGACGCTCCTCATGCTGAGCCGCGTCAACTTGAGGACAACAACGCTAGCCATTCTCAAGTGTCACAGAACTCTGCGACTACTACATATGGACCACTTTCAACTATCGAAGCCTTCAAGTCTTCAAGGAGAACTTATCTACGGACATTTGTGCCAGGCCAACAGGCTCTTCGAGAGTCAACTATTGCGCGTGGTTGGGATAAATACTTGACCGGATCCTCCGTGCAGTACATAAACTCCTCACAACAAATCAATGCCCAAACTCTTTACAACACAGTATCTGCGGACTCACTGGGCAAGAAGAAGCTGAGGCTACATACCAAAGTAGCAGTGGGTGGAACATTCGACCACTTGCATATTGGTCACAAACTCCTGTTAACAGCGACAATCTTTATCGCACAACCAGGTCCGGAGAGCCGAGAAATCACTGTTGGCATCACAGGCGACGAGCTACTGGTCAACAAGAAGCATGCCTCAGTGCTAGAGTCATGGGACACCCGTCAAGAAAAGGTCGCAGCATTCGTCGAATCTATTCTTGTCTTCCACTCCGACATTCCATCAATCCGGACGATCGAACACATCGACAAGCCAGGTCCGAACGGCAAAGTTGTCAAAATCACATACGACCCTGCTGTACCAGGAACCGGCAAGGTCACCATTAACTACGTCCAAATATCTGATCCTTTCGGTCCCACAATCACTGACGAATCCATCACTGCTCTCGTCATATCTGCAGAAACTCGAGCTGGTGGTAAAGCAGTCAACGACAAGCGAACCGATAAAGGCTGGGCACCGCTTGAAGTATTCGAGGTCGATGTACTTGATCCTGCAGCTATTGAAGGTGGAAAAGCCGCGGAAGCGACAAATTTTGCTACGAAGATTAGCAGTACTGAGATTCGCAGGCGCTTGGCGGCACCTACAGACAGACAGCTAGCATAATGACAACCAATATAAGTGAGTCGGGGTTTGACATCAACTCCTTTCAAATATCTTGATGGTAACTCATGTGGCTCAAGTATATGGGCTTGGCCAGGTCATAATCGTCAGATTGGGATTACTCCCGATTCAAGCTTGTAAGTAAGCACTAGAGACAAGAGATATTCTTCAGTCGTGGGGTGTTCTGTTTTTAGTTCTAAGAATTACTCTATATTGTTGCCATCTATGTATCAACGATGGTCGTAAGGACATCTATCGTTCCTGTGCCAGTCCGAAATCCATGCTATGCAAGTTAAGTATATTCAACATAATTCCCAACCAGTGCTGGCTGCTAGTAACGCCTCGTCCGGCCATCTGAAGTCTTCCTAATGTTAATCTAATGTCCCGACGTCGTTTGAAACAGATTCCATGCTGTCCTCATCAGATTCTCCAAGTCGAAGAGGCAGATAATGTTGGTAGAAGCGCTGGCACAGAAACCTTCATGGGCGACCACTCACCCCATCCCGAAGTCGTACAAACAGCCGTCGAGGTTATCGTCGTAGTGACTGGTACACTAACTGTAACTGGGACGGTTACCGTACTGACAGAGGGCACATTCTTCCACTCACTCCAACTGGTAGTGATTGCTTGCGGCACTGTCACCGTCGTGGGCACGATGACCGTACTGACGATGGATGTTTTCGATACTGTGATTGTCGTTGGGATTGTGACTGTTGTTGGGACGACTACTGTGTTAATGACTGGTGTTTTCGATACTGTTATCGTCGTTGGAACCGTGACGGTCGAGACAACCGCAGAGGCTGTACTTGATGTCTTCCAGACGCCCCAGCTACCAGTAGCCGAAATGGTGTAGTTCTGACTCTTGGTTACTGTGATTGGAACCGGCGTGCTGCAGACCGACGAAGATTGCTGAGGGCAAGAAGCAATTGAGGTAATGGTCACTGTTGAGGCTGGTGGTGGCGGTGGTGAAGGAGCAACCGTCGTCGTACGCCATTCCGACCAGCTTTGAATTGACGTGATGACGGAAGTGACAGTTGATGGAGGTGGAGGAGGGACCGATTGGATGGACGTGACCGTAGTTATCTTAGTGACTGGAGGTGGTGCCGGAATGCTCGAAATGACGGTGGTTGTGATTGTGGCCGCTCGCAGAGGTGGTAGTGTGTTGGTGATGACTTTCGTGACCGTCTGAAGAGGAGGTGGTGGCATAGAGCTGGTCACAATTTGTGTCACTGTCTGAGGAGGTTGTGGAGGAGGACACGTTAACTGCGACCAGTCAGATGACGAAGTCTGAGCAGGTATAGCAGGCTCCGAAGAAGAATTCCATAATCCCCATCCTGCATTTCCCCTGCCCTCGCCATGAGCTTCGGCATGACCTCCGAAACCATCAGGAGGACCACCAGGTAGTGCAGCAGCCGAAACAACAGCGATGGATGCAGCAAAGTAAAACGACTTCATTGTGGTTAGTAGTTACTGTGATCAAGCAGCAATAGGAATGAGTAGTGACAGTTGTACAGAGGTGATAGGTAGTGATTCGTTAGTCGTGTTGCTCTTGGTTGTGTGTGGTGAAAGAAGGGCATAGACTGGACGAACAATGTCTCACATCTTATACCCGTATTGCATCTTCCGGACCATGTGCCATGAGTCGTGTTCAGCCCTCGAAGGCTGGTACGGACCAGGTGTACTATTTTGACAGGGTAAGACAGGCATAACATACACAGCCTGAGGGATGCTGGATGGAGCAAACCCTTGTGATCTTCTCGGGCAAACGAACGAGGCTGGGCTGTCTATATCCACACTTTAACTCGATCTGACAGAGTCAGGCGAGGGGTGAGCCATCAGAAACATAGGAGCATATCGAGTACACGTCTAGTAAATTGATTGCAGCAAGGAGTTTCGTGTTTCGGAGCTTCGAAATGCTGTCAATTTGGAGTTGCTGGAGCATGGTACAGTTGAAGTCGCATCACCTTTTCGTCTGTATTACATACACAAACAATCGTGCAATAGCGTGAAGTCTGTCGTCGAGAACTTACTTTCAGAGAGTGCTAGCATCCTCGTTGTCCTCGTCATCGTGCCAAAGATAGGCTGGTTGCGGATCTAAAGATGAATCAGGCAAAATCCTTGCAGTACCGATGTGACGATCGCAGTCTGACAGGTGGTGGAGGCTGGAGAACGTGTGCTAGGCGTGGACGTCGGAATGGGCAATGTGGTAATACGCGAGTCGAGGCAGGAAAGTAGCGAAGCTGACAGCCTCATAGCTGGAACTTCGGCGACAAAGAGTGCTATTCCTCATTGGATAAGAAAAGCCGTTGAGTGTCCACAAACTAGTGGTGCCTCTAGCTCGGCACCTTCCCTCACTGACTTTCAGGTACGGCAGGAACATCCCCGATGACTGCAATGGGCAACAGCTCGAAGAATGTCTCAAGTTACAACATCCGTAGTCAACATCTCAAGCTCGTCTCCGTCTCGAAACGACAAGTACAATCCTTCCTGTTCCAACCTACTCATGTTGCTCTATCTCGGGCGAGTACTGAATAAAATTCGTTTCGAAGCACAACTTTTTTCTTGGTCGGTCACCACTGAGGCTTTCGCTTACTGCCAGCCCATCGCTTGTTGTCCTAACAACACCTTTCACAGCAAGAAAAGCGAATAAGCGAGAGTATAGTGTACCAGCCTCTCGTGCCGACAGAGAGAACAAGGATCTCAAGCTTGATGGAGGTAACACAGAGATAGTGCCTTGTCATATCCCTTTTCTTGCATGTGTAGAACAGAGTTTAACTATGTAGTCAACAGCCAGCTGCTGCAGTGTGAATGCACCTACGGCTGTTCAACAGCTTTGATGCGATAGCAATTGCTTTGTAGCGACAATTGCTCCTGCTCTCTGCTCGATGTGATACCCATTTCTTCCCGGGACAAATCCGCCCTATTCTTCTCTCATCCGAGAGCCACGAGGATTAAACAGCAAAATACAAAAGAGCAACAAGAGTATTAGTTTGAGGATGAATATTCACGTAGGATTAGCTACATCCTGGAGACAACAGACTCGGTTGCAATTGTCCTGGTATGTTCTTGCATTCCGTGCCTGCATGTGGCGCTCACTGCAGATGCAGATCCCATTCGTTGATCTCGTAGCGGCTCTGTATAGCTCGCTCAATCAAAAGGAAAATCTCGTCGGCGACTTCAATTGTCTAGCCACATTCCCATGTAGAAACACCAAAACTCCCTTGTCCCCATCATTCCAGCGTGTTGACCTAGTCGACCTCAATCAAGCCTTGCCCGTAAAATCAATCTCCCCCTCCCTCAGTCCCGCCTCAGGGTTCTTCTCACACGTGCACGCATCAGCACCTCTCTTCCCGCAAGCACACTTGTTTCCTGATGGTGCACTGTTCTCAGTCGCAGCTCGATCGCAAGTACATTCACCAGCAGGTCGTCGCAGGCAAGAGCATCGTGCTCCGTCGGTCTTGTTCTCAGTTGCTGCTTTTTCGCAATTGCAGTTCAGCTGTAAGAAAGACGAGGTTAGATAAGAGTTCAGGTGAAGTAAGGTAGCGGCGTGATACTTACAGCTGATTGCTTGCCGCATGAGCAGGTGGACTTCTCCGCGCAGACACACGAGCCGGATCGACCACAGCAGGTTGCTGGTTTGGTGACCATTTTGATGGATAGGATGTGTGGTTTTATGTGGATATGTTTAAGTATAGGTCTGTTGAAGTCGTGCAAGTTGTAGAGAAGACTTGGAAGTTGATCTGGCTTTATGATTTACTAATTTACGATTGTTCTCAGTAGCAGCAACCTGCGTCATCTTATAGCGAAAGGACAGGAACCGGCAAAGGCAAGAACATAGAGTTCTGACTATTGTCTGATTTCTGATTGGCTGCTTACTCGGGGACCCTTTCGGAAAACGCCAGGAACACGATTGCCTGGCGGACACTGGCAGGAAATCGACGAATTACAGTCGCTGGATTTTCGAGAAGAATAGGTCTCATGATCTTTTGCTCAAGCACATATAATGACACTGCTATTGGCTGCTCATATGGGTTCTGACAACGACCACGGCCCAGAGCATCACAAAACCGGGTATCACTTCAATCATCGTGCTGACTCGGGCGTCAATACAGTCACCTGATGTATATGCAGTTAGTTTGTTTCGTACCTAGGTAGGCATAACTCTGGCCTTGTCGATTCAAAGATGGACGAAGATATACGAGGGAGTGCTGACAACAATGCACAAGATAGTCCATTGTTGTCCACAGCAAACCTGTCTTACCAGTACAGGCTCATCCATTGTATTCCAGACTTCTGTACCTGCATGTTTACCTTGAACTCCAGCCTCTGTAGGGCTTAGCCAGACCGAATGTCACGGCTCAATGAAATGAGATCTCGCAGAGCTCACAATCTGACTTTGCCCGCTTCGAGCGATTCCAGGTCTTGAGTGGTGAACTCTGTGTAGCGATCACTTCCTGGCTTCAGCCAGTACATCTTGTCAGAGCTGCCAGAACCTCTGATAGCTCGCAGATCGATGCCCTGGTTTCTGAGTTCGGTCTTCTGCTGTTTGTTGTTGCCTGTCAGGACCAGCTTGTGTGCAACCCGAATAAAGAGTGGTACTGCATATTTGGGCAGCGAGTTCGAGGCATAAGTGGCTAGACCTTCTAGAACTTCGGGTTTCGGAGTGTTGAGACTTTGGAGAGCGTCCTGACGCAGCACGACAGCCGCACATCCTGCACGACCTTCGTATCCAGGAACTTTGACACCATAGATATTTGCTTCATGCACAGAGCGATGGTACCCGAGTACCTCACCAACCTCAGCAGTAGATACGTTCTCACTCTTCCATCTGAAAGTATCTCCTATACGATCGTTGAACCATAATCGACCTTCTTTATCAAAGCGGACAGTATCACCAGTACGGAAGTAAGCATCACCTTCCTTCAGCACGTTTCGTAGAACCTTGCTACTCGTGGCAGTTTTGTTGCCGAAGTACCCCGGAAAGCTGTCTTGTAGCGTGGAAGCATCTAACACAAGTAACAATTCACCAACGTCGCCTCGAGGGACTCGTTGACACAAACCGGTGCTGGGATCACGCCACGGCTGCTCGGTATCCCAGTCGACCCTCACAATAGCTTGGCCTCGAGTTGCAAGAAATTGTCCGATCGCACCAACAGATCCTATTGCACCATCCGTGAATTCGTTCCTGTTGAAGTTCCAGGTAGCTCCTACGCCTTCTGTAGCGCCGTATACTTCAGCTATGGTTTGAATACCGAATCGAGCTTTGAAGGGCTTCCAGACATCAGGTCGTAATCCATTTCCAAACGCCATGCGCACTTTGTGATTCTTATCTTCTGGCGATGGCGGGGCGGCCAGAAGGTATCGCAGTGTTTCGCCCACGTATTGTATGACAGTGGTATTAGTGCTTCTGACTTCAGGCCAGAATTTGGAGACTGAGAACTTTCGGCTGACGACTATGGTAATGGCACGCTGAAAGCAGGCATTGAATCCTAGGGTGAACGCAGTCGTATGGTACAACGGCATGCTGGTATAGAACCGATCCGGCTTTTTCTGCTTGACAGACCGCAACTCCATGAGTCTAGCAGTCAAATCTCCAGCTATTGCAAGTCTTGCCCATGGTACGATCGCAGCTTTTGGCATTCCGGTCGTTCCAGAGGTGTACATCAGCACGGATATGGCAGAAGGCTTACTGATGTCTCGTGCTGCATCAGGCGCTCTGTAGGGAGGAAAGTAGTTGAGCGACTTCTCGAGACCTTGTTCGAGGACAGCGATCTCAAGTGGGAACGCATTGTTTCTGAAATTCGACGTTGAAAATGCTTCCTTGACTTCAGGTGTGAGGGCTCGAGCAGCGACTTCTGGATCGAGGATGAGAATACGTGCGGACGAGACTTTGACGCTGTGAATCAGTGGCCTGGAAGTCAAGTTATGGTTGATGAAAGCTGGGGATGCGCCTAGCGACCACACTGCCAGTACCAGAAAGAGGAAAGCAGGACCATTCATAAAATCCAGTGCCACGATCTCGCCAGCAACGACGTTATGTGTTTTATGTAGCCAGCCTGCGTAGCGCAGCACAATGTCGTAGTACTGCTTGAACGTCCAGCTCTTCCCTTCGTAGATGAGGAAGACCTCGTTGGCGATCTTGGGATCGGCGACATGTTCTTCGAGTTTGTAGAATAGATTGGCCCTGCCTTTCTGCAGTCGTTGGTTGAAATCTCTTTTCGCAATTGCGAAGCTGCTCAAGAAGTGGTAGTCTGATGAGAGTCGTAGCTTTGCATTCAGATATGCTCCCGTCGCAACTGATGCAGCAGCGACGGGCACGGCGGCGAGCAGAGACATGAGGGATGAGGCGAGCAGCTGGGATTGTCTTGAACGCTATGCTTCTGGCTGCGACGGTGCGTGGACTGCAAGTCGGAGGATGGGTTAAGGTCCGTTTGCTTCTGGTGATAGCATGGTTCGTAGAGAATGCTGGCACAGCGAGGTACTTCGCCATTCCATGGTTGTTTCTCTACGACAGGGTTGTTCAACCAGCAGGCTCTGACGCACGAAGAGGATCTGAACGGCCGGAGGTGAAACAACAAATGCCGAGGCAATTGACGTGTTCGAACCAAAAACGTGGGAAGTGCGTACTTTCCTCGTGTGCCAGGCTACGATATTTAGAAGATCATCAACGACCTTGCAGCAGTAATTCTATGATACTATCTCAACTTGATACAATACTCCGAGGGGGGGGCTCCTGGTGAAAGCTTATGCTTTTGTGCATTCTACGAGATATAGATATCTACACCCACCTCGTTGTTCCACCCTGCCTCTAGACCCGTGTCGTCCCAGGCGCCTTGCACATCGATCTCTATCAGACCCACCTTGGCATTGGGCCTTTCGGTGTCGTCTTGAAGAGAAACACCATCAAGGCCATCCGTATTTATGCTGACTCTTTTTCTGGGTACGACCACTCCTTTCATCAGTACCAACAAGTTGTCATCAACCGTGATTGCGTCTTCAGATCCTGTGCATTGGAACCAAACACCCAGCGTTCCTAGCGCTTTTAGTGTCACATCAGCTTTTAGCCTGCGCTGCACAGTTCGGTGTTTCTCACTCCATGTATCTTCATCAGCATCTGCTGGTCCAGTGATACTGAAGCGACTGCCCTCTAGTGCGCATGCTCCCGTCATCTTGCCTAGCAGACCAATAACAGCGACGTCAAATCTTCTATCACCATCAAGCACAAATGGTCCGTGTACTGGAACTGCACTCCAAATGTCATACCCACGTATAGGTAAATTACCTTGCACCAGTATGCCACCTCTTATCGGCAGCACTGGCGTAATTGGCCGTGTAATCTTCCTTGATACATGACTTCTGACAACCCAGGTCTTCTTTTCTGGGTTGGCAGTATCGTTTAGATCAACTCCAGGTATCCTCGTAATCGGAAACAGGAAATTGACTTCCCTCTCAGCCACGTTGAAGACGCCAATCATACCCGTTCCCACCTCGGCCCGTCCATTGTAGCAGCCAACCTTGAGGACTACTCCGGATTCATAGCTGTCGTAGATTCCCAACGTCTTACCTACCGTACTTGGTCTCAGCACGACTGTATCACCTCGTGGGTTCTTGGCTGTCATTTGTTTGATGAGGTCTACGTCGCTCTCACCAGGATAGTCTGTGATATAGATTGGTCCACCACTTACACATCGTGCTGCAGCGTGGAATCCGGAGTATGCGTGGCTTGTTTGAAACATGTCCCAATCCGGCAGAACATTGAGGTGCTGGACAAACAGTGCAGTATGTGCGTTCGCAAAGACGTGCCATGGATGCGATGTCGGTACGTTCGGAAAAAAGTCGTCGCTGTTCCGTAACAGGATTCGAGGTGTGTTGGTTGGCAGAAAGGAATGAAACAGAATTTGTGGGACCTGGGACATACACGAGATTGCTTTGCCAGATAGATGTCGAAGATGTGCTTGCGTCCATGCTGACTGATACGCTGTAGTGAGTTCGCGACGGTCTTTCGTGTTTACCAGGAGATCTAGATAGAACTGCACGTCCGTCTTTACAGCTGAGATGCCCGATTGTGACAGAAACGAGTAGAAGTCGGAATAAAATCTATGCACATCTTCTGGGTCAATTGTATATCTTTCACCTGCCGCTGGTGTACCTTCTGCAAGCATAATTTTGCGCAACTTGTATTTGTCTTTGATTTCGCCATGGTCGGGTGATATACATCCTACAAAACGTTAGCTCAGAAAACTGTATCATTCAAAGTCGTAGACGAATCTTTGTGGAGACCGATGCATGTTTAAGAGAGCACTCACCCCAGTATCCAAAGAGAGCATGCCAGACCGCTATGTCGCGTATATGCGGGAAGCGTTGCCGTATCTCGTCAATGCCATGTTTAAGACCATTCGGGAATGCATGAGGAGTTGCTTCGAAATCAGTCATTGCTCGTTGAAATTGATTGTCGACGCCTTGGGTGCCCGTAATCGACTGCCAGTTGTCGTCGATAATCATGTTTGCGATATGGATGTCATTATCTTGAAAATGCTGAAGGGCTTTTATGATCTTCTCCTGATTCAAATCTTGTCCCAATGAATTCCACGTGCAGTACGCGAGCGAGTCGTACCAGGATGCCAACCACTGTGGTGTAGGGTTGTCGTTGCTAGAAGGGTCACGATTGTCATGTATATTGGATATGAGAATTGTGTCAGCCTCCGATTCCAGGGACTCGTGGCGTACGTGAGTTGGCAGCGAATGTGCCGATTCTTGATATGCTGCCGATGTCCTCACTTGCTTCCGCATCTCGTACATGACCGCGGCGTTAGCTGTATGAAAATCGTAGGCCGATGCTGCAAGAACTTTGAATTTGCGATCCTTGCCGGTATCGTTCCTGGCTGCCACCACTATGTTACCTTCGTCGTCTGACTTGAAAGTCGTTAACACTTCGTCGATGCCATTTATGGCCAGCAGCACAACATGCAGGCCGTCACTGCGGAGAAACGACAACAGAATAGCTGGTTCTGTAAGCCGAAAGAACTCGTTTCCATGTCTAGGTGCAAGCCATGGTGACCATATCCTGACTAATGCGAACCATCTATGTGCCGTGACAAGCTTTCCCAGAATCTTGCGTTCCTCGCGTGCATGGTCGCTCTCAAAGGGTATGGTATTTACGGATTCACAACTGTACAGCTTGGCACCTGGGGCCTCACTAGCTAACTTTCGCGTGTGCCATCCTTCGTGTAACTCGACTGGAGAGCCGCCGAGGTAATTTGGATCGACCGGTGGTTGCAAAATGACCTCTCCGTCGCTAGTGCCGAAGACATCGTGGACCCATGTCCAGTGCTCATTGGAGTTTATGCGATAGCGAACAGTAAACCTTACTTTACGACCTTTGTATGTTCTGGCTTCTGCTGGAAAAGGCGTTGGGAGACTGCCCTCGAATGTGTAGCGATGGAGCCCACTATCTCTGTTGTCGCACAGCATTGTGGGTGTGACATCGGTCTTGTTAAGTGCAAGGGCTCTCCATTCGTCGTTGCTTGTGCCATAGCACGTGGCGTGGTCATACCATATCGCCACCTCCCAAGGTTGATCCGGTAAGGACGTCGAAGACTCAACGACAACAGTGAACTCGAAATGCTTCCTTGATGGCGGAACAATTGTGACACCACCCAAGGGTGGAAAAGTTGTGATCTTTGCGAAGAGAGCCATCTGACCGGGTCTCCAGAATTTTATTTGTGAAGGCCTCTGCCCACCGTCGAATGTGCGTACTCCTGATAGTGAGGCTACAGAAGCCATATGCGAAGTATTCTCATGACTTGAATGATTGCCCAGCAAAAATGAAGGTGGATTCTACTCGAGCAAGCGCAAGCAACATCGGTGGCGACGAGATCGGCGTATGGCTAGATATCAGCCAATAGGGCCAACGGATAAGAGATCTCCATTCTGAGATTGGACATGGACTCAACTCTCTTCATGGTTCTTGGTTAGAGTAGTGACCAGGGTATGTTTTGCTTTGGAAGGAGCTTTGGAAGCCAACATGTGCTGGGAGCGTGCTCAGAATCCACCATTTCGGTGACCAACATTTGGGAGCGAAACTCTAATATGCTTCGAAATGACGAAGGTGAACATGCTTGACGGCTATCGCCATGTTTGCGCCTTCCGAGCCACGGCCATTGCAAGGAGGATCGTGAGTATATTTCCGGCCCCGTAAAACTGCGCTGCTGGGTGACACACCGGCAAGGAAGTGGTTGAAAGATTGGCGAGCAGGTTATCTAGACTATTACCAAACATGTTCCCGAAGTGCTTTTGTTGAAGAAGGAAAACGGTCAGTCAAAGTTTCATGCTAGCTGCCGAAAGTCAAAATTATTAAAGAGGTGGTAGAATATGTCATCACTCTACGGATTGTTCATGCTAGAGAGGGTAATAATCCTTGAGCTCATCATCTTCAGCACTGAGCTCAACTGCACTATCCACAAAATCAATCGAAAGATCAACCTTATCTCTGGGCAGCCGATAGACCAGGTATTCCCGCGGAGCTCTCACTTTCTTTGCCATGACTTCCTGCATATACTTCTGCACTTCAGGTAGTGGTTTGGCGGCACTGGCTATGGTAGCTATAGTGCGGCTGTTCGATGCACGCACCACGATGGTGGCTGGCTCGTAATACTCGGTTTCAGGCTTCCATTTGGTTGACATGAGTTGCGCTTCTTCAGTAGTGAGGTCCTTCATTGAGGCGAGGATATCAGAACCTTTACGTTCGACGAAAAATGAACAGGTCATCTCGGTACCACCATACTGAGTATCTAGAACCGCATACTCTGGGAAGAGCCAGCGATCTGGATTGGCGGATTGACCAGCAACAGGAACGGAATTTAGCTCAATCACAATATGTTTGACAAGTGGTTCAGGTCGTGGTTGAGTAGGATACGAGGTGTATTGTGGAAGTGCTTGAGTTGGATTGAGCGGCGACTGACGGTAAACTGTAGGATGTGCCGCAACAGTCGCAGTCGCAGTCGGCGTTGGCGTAGGTGTCGGTGTCGATGGGGACGACTTTACTGACGGCTGCTTTTCTGCCTGTTGGCGCTTGACAATTGCGTTGAATTCGTCGATGTGTGCCTGGAATTCGCGTAACTGATCGGGATTTGCCTTTGATTGAGCCACAACCTTCATCAGCTCTTTAAGGTGATTGTCTGTAGCTGCACGATTGGCTAGCATCTGTATCACAGGATCTGTTGCTTTCGCGCCACCAGGAGGTGTTGTAGGTCGACTCGAAGCTAATGCTGGCGAAGGATCTGCAATCGGAGCAGGCGTCGATAGTTTGGGATTGTTGCTTGGAGCGCTCGGCAGATTACTGACCACAGGAGCATGTACAGAGGGCTGTGTCACTGATGCAGTAGGAATTTGAATTGATTTTGCCGTGGGTGTGTTGGCAGGTCTATAGACTGGAGGCGCCAAGCTCGATGTTTCTCGTACCACATAGAAGGTGGCCTCGAAGGTGTGTGGTTCGACAATGAGTGTAGCATTCCCAAGCTTCTGCATCGACTTCACGTCAGGGTTACCAACTGGCTCTTCGACAGGGGCCTTTTTGCGCCTGATTGGTTTGGTCCAGTACTTTTTGAAGACACCATCGCAGAGCCACTGCATACGCGAGCGATGGAGCGAGGCAGCAAGGATAGCGCTGTCCGCAATGGTCTGGTACTGCTTGTCTGGCACATCTAGACTTTGTCTTTCGATCGAAGTGGGCAGTGGCCGTGTAGCTGTGAGTCGAGTAGGAAGGATCTCGTCGGCGGTCGATGTTGGAGTCGACGTACTCCTAGTCGGCGTCGCTACATGTACAACCTTGGTCTTCTTCTCAGACCTTTTCTTTGCTTTCGTTTCCGTGTGTAGAGGAGTCGCGGGTGTAATGCTAGCTGGAGTTGTAGGCCTCAATGGTGAACTCGCTCGACGCTTTGCTGCTGAATCTCCACGTTGTCGAGCAGGGAGGACTCGCCTTGCTGGTGTTGCGGTCGATTCTGCCATTTTCAGTTGCAATACCTGCACCACAATTGACCTTGCGCAGCATCACAACGGAAATTATGCGGCTCGTGGTTGTGAACGATGCGCATTCTAGATTGAAGAAGGAAATCTGCAAGGCACTGCGAGGATTCTGGTGGAGACTTAGCATGATTGATCAGTCCTATCGACCTCCATGATTTTATTCCCTGACCGACTACCAGTACCACATTCGTAGGCTTTCCATGTCTGCAGAGCACACAAGAAGACAATGTAGTACTGAGGCCATACAGTCATCACGATGAGATGACTATCCTAGGTTGATCAGCTAATCACGACTTTCGTCGTCGACAATGTCTTCCAACTGGTTGAGGCATTGCTTCTTAGGCCTTGCACTATCAGGCGGCGTGTATGTGGCAGCATTAATAGCTCTGACAATACCGATAGTACAAAAGAACGCAACTTATGCTCATAATGTCAATCCAGCTTTATGGCAGAACGTGTCAAATGTTGAGCAATTCGGATTCATCCATCACCAGGTACAACCATTCACAATCAGATCTACGGACAATGTGACCCTCTACGCATGGCACATTTTGCCAACCCATCTATATCGCGAACACAAGGACGCGCTTACTCAGCAGAGCGATTTTGGAGTGAAGCCATTTGAGAAGGCTGCCGACACGGTAGGATTCCGCCTGCTCCTGGAGAACCCCAACAGCAAAGCCATTGTCAGCTTTCATGGGAATGCTGCACATCTCGGCTCTTCGTATCGGCCAGCGACTTATCAGCAGCTCTTGAGCACGTCGACACCCGAGCACCCAGTACATGTTGTTGCTTTCGACTATCGAGGTTTCGGCACAAGCACCGGCACGCCTAGCGAAAGAGGCGTGATTGACGATGGGATCGCAGTAGTTTCTGCACTCTGTGGAAAGCCTCCAACTCTTGCTCAGTTGAACCGACATTCCGAAAGCTCTCCGTCAGCCCCAGCTCTTGATCCTTCTCAGATTATCCTGGTCGGCCAGTCCCTCGGAACTTTTGTGTCTACAGCGACCCTGTACAGATGGACCATAGAGCTTCAACAAGCTCCTCTCCGAGCTCTGGTTCTGCTAGCCAGTTTTTCATCACTCCCGAAACTGCTCGACTCATATTCGATCAAAGGCTTCACACCACCGATCCTATCTCCACTGACGCCCTATCCATTTATGCAGACGTGGTTCCGCAAACGTATCGTGGACAAATGGGACCTGGCTAGCCGACTCCAGGAAATGGTCCTGCTTAAGGACCTCAAGCTAGATGTGACAATGATGCATGCTAAGGATGATTGGGAGATACCATACAGAGAAGGGTACACAAATTGGCTAGCAGTGGAGGAAGCTGTGAACAGCACTGGCACATTCACAAAGACCCATGACGACCTTACTCACCCTGAATTTAGTAGAACATGGACGAGTGATGATGGCGCAAAACGAGTACGGTGGGATAAGGTAAGGCACGGGGGTCATAACAGGATACCTACGAGTGAGCATCTCAAAGTGGTTTTGTATGACATTCTTGAGCGGGCTCAGTGAGCCACTCGAGGTCAGAAGGAGAAGCACGCAGCTAGTAGTCAGTACAATTCTCACTGATCTGATCCAATATGAAGCCTGAATAGAGCTAGTGTCGCGTAGATTGATGTGCTCGCCAAGCAGCCCAAGTGCATGTCGGAGTTAGCGCATTAGGAGCCTAGCGCCGTGGTTCACGAGTTCCCTCGAATTGCATGCTTCGAGCCTCATTGACCATCACGCGTTCTCGAACAACACTGTGCTCACTGTGCTCAGCAGATTCTTGACGAATCTACCACTGTAGCAAGAGTCTAGATACTGCCTACGAGTCTCGACAATGTCCGAAACAACACATCACCATCAATCATAAACGAATAGTTTGATGTCCTGGCGCTCGAGCGTCGAGGCCCATGTCAACCACGAATGGCCACCATGATCAGACCACCAGCCTTCCTACCTTCACCTCTGTCCGCGAACCTTCGAAACGTCAGCATAGCTATCACAGCCATGTTGCCTCAAGCGAGGCTAGCTCTAGTAGAAGTGCTGTGGAACGGAGTCATACGCGAAGCGAGAACGATGGGCATGGCACCAATGGCGGCAGCAACATCTTGTGGAAGGACCAGATGACCAAGGATGACGAGGCCGATCGTCTGCCACAGCAGAACAACACGATCAGACGGACTAAGAGAGCATCTGGCGGCTTTCTGCTTGATACTTCCCCATCCTCATCGCGCTTATCCCGATCTATTCATCCCCCAAAGGATACCAAAGGAAAGGAAAAGACCGGAGCACATGGGTTTCCTATACCGCGGCAGAGAGTTCAACTCGATGGCCACGACTCTAGATCGTCGCAGCGAATATCTTCTCATACCTCTGATGTGCAACCGGACACCCTACACCAAGACCGTTTGTCTTTCGATCCCAATGCTGCAGGTCTCGATTCGTATGATTTTCAGCAGAGTGGTTTGATAGAAAGCTATCCGAGCGCTCCCTCTGGACAGCGCAATCCTTCCTATGGCTTTGACACAGATCCTACACAAATAGTGGAAATGGCTTTGCGCCTTAATGAAGGTCGCAGACGACAACAATCCGCAAGACGACTCGTATCGACCCCTATCGAACCACGACGTGTAATTTCTACTGCTGTCTCCAGCCCTCTAAGATCTTTCTCGACTGCTCAACGAAATCCAAGCCTTCATACAAGTGAGGTAGCGAGTGCTTCCCTCGGGCAACAAGACTCCTCGCCTGAGCAAGATCTGGACAACTTATCAGATAACATGCAGATTTCAAGAGCTACTCAAAACCGAGTCAGCAAGGCCAAAACATACTTCGAACTCGCTTATGAGCATCGACGATTGCTCTCCCATCTGCCTCCTCTACGCTCGCCAGATGTCAATTTCGATCCTCAGAAACCTGGCTACGATAGCAGGAGTTACAACCCTCTACAGTACTGTCGGAACAGGAAGTTGAGGTTTCGCGAAAGGCAACCTAGAAATTCCGAAGGAGAAGGTTGGCATGACGTTCTCAAGGTCCGCGCATGGGTCGATGCTGTAATTAGTAGCCATGTTGAGACCAGACACGATCCTCGCGAGTGCGTTCGCTTGCCACCATTGACTCTACATGATAAAGATGACCAAGACGAGGAAGAGTGGAAGGCCAAAGCTGCCACCAATGGCAAGCCTCGCAGGCCAAAATCAGACTGGGTCACCCACCCTGGCGACATGCTGGCTGATCAGTGGTGGACAGAGCAGGGCTTGAACAAGCAGAAGATCTACAATTGCAACAATGAGCCCATCTTTCCACCTGGAACAAAATTTCGCTTCTCGGGTTGGCGCAATCGCACTCCCGTCGACGTGCCGGAAGAGCTCAAATCGTCCTCGCCTGAACTCTCTCCCACTATTGACAGAAAAGACTCGATTCCTGCTCCCCCAGATTTGCCGGTTTTCGAGTCCGCTCACAAGGATCATGGCTGGGGACGAGCAAGGTCCAAGTTTGGCCACGCTCTTAACAAGAAGTCGCAAAATGCTAAACAAAAAGTCGGCGACATATTCGATACTAGTAGTGAATCGTCGAGTAGCGACGGAGAGCGCAGGCAGTCCAGGGGCAGGAAACGTTTGACGAAGCGTCATGAGAAATTTGACATCCCAGACGGCGATCCGTTCGCACATGCAGTACAGCCTAAGCTAATCGCGCATGAGGCCACATCGAGCCTCAATTCCTCGAAGCGTGGTTCTCGTCACGACTCAATAAATCACGCCAATCCCTCGAAGAAGCATCATCGAGATGGTCCTTTGATTCGATCTGACCATATTGAAGATGAGAAACACAGACTGGGCAAACGTCGCGCTTTCCTCAGCAACATCAGACTCGATTCGGACAACGAGCGTGGCCGAAGCTCTTTCGATTATGAATCCACTGCACCACCTACGCCTGCTATACCAAGCATTGCCATCAATCTGTCTCCTCCGGTCAGCCGATCACCTTCACCAGGCACAAAGCACAAAAACTCATTCTTTAGCGTTGTGAAGGACAAGATACCTGGAGTGAAAGACAAGGTTGATCATACCGATTTCGCAGCAGATATAAGCTCGCAGAGGTCGAAAGACAGATCACACTCGCGCCCTCACATTTTTGATGTGTCCAGGGGTACCAGCCCAATGAGCGGAAACGTAGGCAGAGGTACAAGTCCGTTCACTCGCTACCGGACGAGGGCTTCGATCGACGAGTCGTCACTATCGACTACTGAACCGCATAGCAGTACGTTCAGCAAAGCTAATATCAGAACGACTCAAGCAGCCGCGCAACGACCGCATCGTGTTCGTGGCATATTTAAAGGTGGTCGCATAGCTGAGCTTGTTGGCAATGAGGTGTCTAGGGTAGGAGACTTCATCTGGAAGAGAGAGCCACCACGTCGTAGTGACATGACTGAAGAGGGATCGACCTCTGGCTACGAGTCTGAATCGGACGAACTGACCGATCAGGTCGATCAGGAACCCAAAGCTGCAACTCATCTTGATAGACATCATGCTCAGCGCTCTCCCACTGGTGGGCAAGCTGCCACACCTGGTTCTCCTGCTGCAAGTCCCGAAACCAGGGACCTGCCGCAATATCACATACAAGGACTGCCAAATTTCACATCGCCCTTTCAACGTGATCGCGATGAGCAGGATCGTAAGAAACGACCTCGCAGCCCAGGTGGAACACCACGAATATACGAGCCAGCAGACGTGAATGACGAGATCGATCCTGTATCGACAGGCGCTGCTGCCAGGCGCGCGGATAAATCACCTCGTTTTGGCCGCCTTGCGCCTCCCAAGTTGGACATCCAGGCGGCGACGCCAGATGGTCGCCGACGTGGGAGCTATGGCTTTGGTACTGCTCTCAATCTTAACCGTACGAGAAGTGCATCGGAAATTTTCAACAACGCTATTGGCGGTGAACCAGCTCGCTCAAAAAGTCCAAGCTATTCTCGCCCCAGCTCCCAGTCACGTTTTCCTTCTCGCTCCGGTGCAGAACTCAGACGCACTGATAGTGGGGAGTATGGTGGCCGGACTGGCAAACCCGTTACTGACCGTGACGTTCACCGTGTGCGCTCGTTGTTGGTCACCCTGGCTATCAAAGCCACTAACATTGCTGACTTGTGCGATGCGGTCCCAAATCCACAATCGCAGTTCCTATACTCTGCTTTTCGAAGCACAGGTGCGACGAGCGAAGAAATCCGCAAACACTTCCCTATTCGCAGACGCGATGAACACTTCGTTGCAGGTCAGCATCTCGTGTCACACCTTGGTAAGCAGGGTAATATCTTCAACGATCGGCTCACCCACTTTACGAGCCATACCAGCAACAATTTACACAAAGAAATACAGATATTGGAGGACAAAGCTGACAGTGCGCTATTTCCTCGCTTGCAAAAATTGAGCGATACTGCTGGTCAGCTAGCACAGAAACTGACCACGACCTCGACGCTCGCCGTTAAAAGTGTCAACGACGAAGTCAGCGAGGCGATGCGACTCAAGAGAAGAGGCACCATACGCTTCAGTCGCTGGCTTGGTTATAAGTTGATGGAGATTGGGGTCGTGAGTGCTTTGTGGTTGATATGGTTCGTTGTTACAGTAATACGCTTCGCCCTGGGAACTATCAGAGGAGTCTGGGTTGTGGTTGCTTGGCTGTTTTGGTTGCGGTGACCGGCTTGTGGGTGTTAGCCACTAATTCTCAGCCGCGTAACTCTTTGAATCATGAATGATGGCCCTGTTAACTCTTTATTCACTACGATGAGTGGCGTTATAAAAGTGGCATTCTTTTGAGCTCAGCAATTTTTATCAGGATTGCAGGATTGGCGGCGTTTGTTTTCTCATATGATACCAGAGTTCTAATTTAGCTACATGCTTATTTGACGCAAGTCAAAGATGTTCATAATACACGCCTTCTTCTTACATTTCAATGTGCTGCTTTCGATCTAAAATCACGCATGCGAAGCATGACATGGTACTAATTCGGGTAGTGTGATCGAGATCAGGCACCAAGTTCACACCACAGTCTTTCTAGGAAATTATCTCGTTTCTCAAAATCGAGGGTGCCTGCTGTTTTGGAATCGCGTTGACCACATTGGCACTGGACTCGGCCGAGAAGGATCCACCTTCCTCACCCCTTGTGCAGCAACATAGTACTCGTTAGTACCACGCAATCATAGCCTGGGTCGCGTTATGGTCGGTTGCTTGATAAGGTCTCGTACGGCAAAGGAGTTTGAACGCAGAAGGAGGGAAATTGATATAAGACCGAGTATCGCTTCGTCTGTTGTGCAATCTTCATTAACGCCAGAATCAGCACTTTTCAGCCTTCAGGAACTTCACTCGAGTCGTCCTTGCTCAGTAAAATGCCCACCTCCGTCTTCGTCGTCGGCGCCTCCGGCACGCAAGGCAGCGCCATCATCCGCGCCCTGACAACCCTCAACAAATCACGCTCTAATAACCCAATCACAATCCACGCCCTCATTCGCTCAACATCCTCCCCTCCGCAATCCCTTAACACAGACTCCAACGTCAAACTCTTCACCGGCGACTTCGACGACATCTCATCCCTGAAGGCCGCAGCTACAAGTTGCACAGCCGCCTTCCTCAACGTTACACCCGTATTCACAGACCTCACCGCCGAAGCCCGCCATGCCCACAATCTCGTCGAAGCATGCGCATCTATCGCCTCCCTGAAACGCATCGTCTTCTCGCCTGGAGCTGTACTTCATCGACCAGCGGATGATATTGTCTGGTCGGAGTACATTGACAAGAACCCCCAGAAATGGATGAGTATCTACACGAAATCCAAACAGGCGTGCGAGACGGCTGTGACCAGCTCCTCGACGACGAACTTCGAGGAAGGATGGTGCATGGTCCGCGCCACCGCCTTTTTGACGAATTTCCTCCCGCCAGTTTCCAAGTTTATGTATCCCGACTTGGAGACGAAGGGGATCATCACTGCTGCGTTGAGAGAAGACCTGCAGATTTCGTATCTTGATCCTGAGGATTTAGGGTCTTTGGTTGCGAGGCAGTTAATTTGTGATAAGGAGGAATGGGAGACGCGGTGGAAGGGCAACTTTGTGCCGGTTGCGAAGGAGAATTTAACGCTGGGGCAGTCGGTGGAGAAGATGAATGCTGTGCTTGGACGGCATGGTGTTAAGGAACGGGTTGAGGTGGTTTGGATCGGGGAGGAGGAGGCGCGGACGAAAGGCTGATCAGGGTGATATGGTTGTGGACAGTCAGATTTTTCAGAATAAGTATATGCCGCCGGTGGAGATTGAGGAGGTGCGAGAGATGGGTATTGATGTGGATGGAATGACGAGTGCTGATGCATTCTTCGAGAGGGAGGTGGAAAGGCTAAAGGCTGCGGTTGGTGCTTGAATGCGTATGTGAGATGTGATAATGCGATCTGGGGTGGCAAGTTTTGTTCTGAAGGATCGCGATACAGAAGAACAGGGTATGTCAGCGAGTAGCAGAGTATGAAGCTTCGAGTAGGTTTAGGGGGGGAACTCGTGGTAGATAGGATGAAGCTCCATCTCATTCAGAATTTGTCATGCATACTAGTATCCTAACCTCTTCAATTCATTCTCCGTAAAGTCCCAGAACCTGTCAACCAGAGCATTGTCATTCGATAGTTTCGTCCCAGGACCTTTCTTCCCCACAGGAAAGTACATCGCACCATTCTCGACCCTCGCCTTCTCCGGCTCCGTAGCAGCCCAGACCTGAGTGAAAGCACCGTCGTATGGTGTTTTGGCTCCGATAACGATGTCATAAAACTTCTGGAAGTAGCCATAGAATTTATCTTGACCTTCAGCATACAGGTTGTCCAGTATTGTGGTCTTCACTCGTCCTGGTGCGATTGACACAGAGGTAACGGATGGGTAGTGCTTTGCTAGGCCTCGTGCATGAAGGACATTAGCGAGCTTGGAAGTACCATAGCGGGACATCAGGTTCCCACCCGAGCCAGAGACCTTTGCCATGTCTGTCTTGACTAGCTTCTCGTCAAAGCCAATCTTGGGGTCTACCATTTCGTATGCACCACTTGAGACGTTGACGACGCGCACTTCGGATTGCTTGGCTGTACGAAGGAGGAAGGGCATAAGGAGGTTGGTCAAGAGTGCATGGCCCATGTGGTTGACTCCAAAGTGAATCTCGTAGCCATCTTTCGTCAGACTCGGTGAGGTGCCCATGATGCCAGCGTTATTCATGAGGACGTCTACACGATCGGTTTCCGACAAGATCTGTTCGGCTGCTTTTTTGACCGAAGCAAGGGAAGAAAGGTCCATCTCGACAAAGTGAACGACTTCATCGATAGACGTATTACCTTTTCGGAGCTCTGTCATTGCTGCATCGTACTTGGTACGAGAGCGAGCGGTGAGGTATATTTTTTGCGGGTTGTGAGGTGCAAGTTGCACAATGGATTGGAAGCCCAGTCCTATATTTCCGCCTGTGACGATGATTACCTTTCCACTAAGGTCTGGAATGCTGGTCTCCGGTCGGAAGTGGTAGAGATCTATCGTGCGGTTCAGGACGTTGTCTAAGGCCATCTTGCTGAGGAGCGAGTCTTCTTACTGCACTTTCCTAAGGGTGAGGAACTTTGTTATCGGCTGGGACCTAGAGCGTATATGTACTATTCGCACGGGAGGCCGTGCTCGATTTGAGCATGTTACTCGACGATCGAAAATTAGCCGGAAGCATTGGCCACAGAGCAAGTTGACGACGGCATTCGTGTCGTCAAGTTGCTGTTGTTAGTTGTTTCGAGTTCGTCCGAGCTCGTCCAGCATCGGACATTGTACCGCGAGGCGCCTCAACCACAGGCAGCCGTCCTTTGTACCAATGAGCTGCTACATAGCGCATCGACTATTATTACGCTAGAAGCTGACATGATACAGGAAACATAGGGTAATGCTAATAGCTTCGCGTGTGCGATCGGAGTGCAGTGAGATGGTAAGATGAGGAAGGTGCCATCCGTGGGATCCAATTGCACACGTGATCGATCTTAATCGGACAGCAACACTCAGGCTCTACGAACTTGAAGCAGAAACTACATTCATGAACCAAAAAGATGATCAACTTCTAATCTGGTGAAGATTTGTGCTATTGCTCAAGGAAAGAAGGTTCGGTACTGTCAAAAACATAGAATGGATTGACAGAAACCGAGTCTCCCAGCTAAACGCCTACTCAATGCCGCAATTTGTCTCAATGGAAGCATTACATGACCTAGCAGTACCCTAACAAAAGATAACAGTATTTTCATCCTTTATTGCCACAATTTCTCGTACTACAAAAGGACAGCCATTCCGAGGATTCCTGCACCGACTGCAGCCATGCCACCGATCTGAATGGATGTAGCAGCGCCAGTTGAGGAGGAGCCAGTTGAGCTGGTAGCGGCAGCACTAGCTGACGATGCGCGAGAAGAGGCGGCGGAGGTAGCAGAGCTGGCTAGAGAACTGGCAGCACTGGTGGCACTGGCAACGAGGGAGGAAAGACTGCCAGTATCGGTATAAGAACCATATTCCGAGCTGATTGACGAAGCAGCGCTCTCAAGTGAGGCTGACAGAGCTGTGTTGGTAGCAGCCTCCGAGACTATCGAGTTGGCGCTACTGAGTACTGAAGAGTAGAGAGAGCTCAACTCGCTGTTGGTGGCAAGGCCGGAGGCGACCGAGCTGGCTGCGCTGAGGAGGGCAGAGATGTCGCTCTGTGCATAAGCTGTTGTAGCAGCCAGGAGGACGATAGGTGTGAAACGCATACTGGCTGTGCGATGTGCAAACGTGCTGTTGAACGAGTGTAGCGAAGAGTGATAAAGATAGTTGAAGAGATTGAGATGCTATATCTGTGTAAGAGAGAAGGAGAGGAACAGAGACTTAGACGTTCTTTTACAGGAGCGGACGCCACATAAGTTTCGCCTGCTCACCTTCATGGCGCAGCCGGTCGTGGTTTCACATACGAGACGCTTGATGGTAATGAAGGTAAAGGGGCCACAGGCTGGTCAGGCCTACCTCGCTGTCTGTGTCACGTCAGAAAAAGGTAACGTTTGGCCTGAAGATCTGCTCATGGACAATCTAAATACGGGGTTCCAAGAAAACCTGGCATTTTCTCCGCGCCTGTGATTGGAGAAAATCCTTTCGAAACAAAATGGTCTGAAACGACGCATCAGCCACAAACGAAGACGTTGCTCGATCGTCAGCTGCACGCCGAGCTATGAGTAAGCTCAGTTTCCCATACCTCTTGACCCGCAAAACTGGCTGCCTAATGCGACAACTTGACAGACATTGCTTTTTATCCTTGCGAGGCTGCTTTGAGTAGTCCTTTCAGTTGTGTTCGCCGTGCCGAAAGATTTTGCTATGGAATCCTATTACTGGCTCGGTGGCTCAGTCTATGGAAGTTGACTTCAAGAAATTGTCGAGGTCTCATATTGAGTGGTCTCGACCCAGGGGCAACATGATGATCTGAGCAACTGTGCACCGCTTCAAAGTGCTTTTCGAGGTTGGCTTTAGATGAGTCGTGCTACTGACGGTAACTCGCACTAGCCTGGGGGAGACTGCGAACAAACTGCCAGATTTTTTACTGTTCGCTTGATGCCAGGTGAAATATGATCCATGCCGTTTGTTGAGTGTACAGGTACTGCTTCAGGCATACCGCTACCTATGCAAAGTATAGCAGTCCCACACACGTTTCAATGTTTGGTATCATGGCCACGGCAAGCTTATGCGGGGTTCGGGAATACCCCAGACCATCGATATCCTTGTTGAAGGAGCTCCAAATGGTAGTATAAGAGCCTAAAAAGGTTGCAAATGTAGGTATGGTATACCAGCTTTGTTATTTCTCTATCTCAGCTTCACAAAACGCCGAGCGGTTGCCAAGATACTCGGACCAAGTGTGGTCCCGCACAGATATCTGCTATGCCTGTTATCTACACTGACCTAAGGGACAAAGTAGTCTTGCTATCGGGTGTAGGACAAGCCCCACAAGACTACGACAAAGAGATCTGGGGCAACGGTGCTGCAACCGCGAGGATACTTGCTCAGAATGGAGCTAGAATCTTTGGTTGCGACCTAGACCTTCCATCCGCTGAATTGACAAAGGAACGTGTTGAGCAGTGCGTGGAGAACGCCGATATTACTGTGGTACAAGCCGATGTCACCAAGCGAAAAGAGGTAGAGAGTGTTGTCGAGAAATGCTTAACTAAATATGGTAGGATTGACATCTTGGTGTGTAACGTTGGCAAGTCTGCACCAGGAGGGCCCGCCGAAATGTCCGATGAGGTAAATTGACCCAGCGGCGTGCATGAACATCTTTGAGCTGACGTGAGGTTCAGGCATGGCAGAGCCAGCTAGATGTCAACCTTACGTCGGCCTTTCTCTGTACAGGTCAAGTACTACCATTTATGGAGAAGCAGAGCTCAGGTTCCATTATACTATTATCGTCGATCGCTGGCAAAGGGTAAGACATACACCACTCCTGCTGCAAATTGCTAACATATATCAGCTTTGCAGGTAGGTCACACATCGGCTACTCCACGACCAAAGCAGCTCTTGTGAATATGGCGCAGGCTATCGGTGGCCGCTATGCAGGTCAAAATATACGCTGCAATGCTGTCGTGCCTGGTCTCATCCATACACCTCTTGTGGCAAGACTTGCATACGAATACAACAACGGGGATTATGAAGGGCTAGTGACCAAACGTGGTAACTCTGTCCCGATGGGCAGGATGGGAACAGCTTTCGACGTTGCAAATGCTATTGCATTTTTAGCGTCGAACGAAGCAGCGGGCTATATCACCGGCACTCAACTGACAGTTGATGGTGGACTAACAGCTGTCGTCGGCTCTAGCCAGGCTGGATGAGCATTGATTTTTGCGTTCTCGATCTATCTGTTCACGATCGCGTCAATACTGTGGTGCCAACGGCCTTTTTCAAGATCAGGACCGCACTAACGGCGTCTACTTTCGACAAAAAGGCAAACACGGTTTCTGCTGCCGGTAGCTGGATCTCTCGTCAGCTCATTGAGGCTACACTGACTATCACAGAGAGTAGATAGTTGAGAAGAGAGTCAGATCGTGGCATACAAAGCATGCTGCCCGCAGTCTAGAGTCAGAGGAAGTCAGCCGGTGCATTCAAAGATTTCAAGGCATCCCAGCAAGACGAAGAGTGCCACCGATGAGTCGCGATGCTAGCGCTGCAATATCGCTTGAGCCATCGTTCCTGCCAGTGACAGTGCTAGTGCTAGTGAATTACACACAATCTCATGGTGCGCGCAGCTCCTCAGTACATAATTCCCTACAAATTTCTATCAATACTAAGCAAACTGCATGTGTGACAAGCACTAAGATTCGTGGATAAAGTTGTCGAAGCCTCAGTAACTTTTATGTGGGGGCAGTTTGTACACTCAGGTTTATAGTTTATACACGTGCTATAGTGCATCCTCGGCGTGAGAGGCCGCCAATAGCCTTGTGTGCGTCATTCGTTAGATGAAAAGCTGACTGTGCCTACTCATTAAGCGGACTTCAAAACCACTACTGCAAAAGATTCGAGATCTTTCAGCGCCTCGCGTGGGTATTAGGCGTCTGTTCGCTCGGTATACTCGACCATTCTTTCGCTGTCGAAACACATCCTTGATTACGCGATCGAAAATGGATCAAGCAGCAGCACAACCTCGAAAATGCCCCGGCCTCGATTGCAGCAATGATGCGAGCACTCTTCAGTGTCCAAAGTGCAAGGATATGGGTGTCGAAAGCTTCTTCTGCTCACAAGACTGTTTCAAGCGAAGTTGGGTAGGCACCTCAACCACAGTCTAAGTAGGACTTAGATGAACCAGCTCTACTCAGGCAATACTGACACGCTCTTCCAGGCAGAACACAAGACCTTACACAAGAGTACGAACCCTTTGCGGAATTTTGTTGCGCCGAAAGTTGTATCTAAAGTTGATCCAGAGACTGGCAAATTCAATCCATACCCAACATATCCATTCACTGGACCATTGAGGCCTGTGTATCCGCTCAGTCCGAAGAGAGAAGTCCCGAAACACATACCACACCCCGCCTGGTCAGTCGATGGAAATCCAAGATACTCGTTTGCGAAGAGAAACCATATCGAGATACTGGACGAGAAGGCGCAAAATGCGATGCGAAAGTCGTGCAAACTGGCTAGAGAAGTGCTTGATATTGTGGGCGCAGCTGTCAAGCCTGGGGTGACCACAGATAAGCTGGACGAGATATGTCACAACGCTTGCATAGAACGGAACGTGAGTAGCTGTCTCGTCTTCGAAACAGACAATGGATCAGCTAACCTTCTTAGTCATACCCTTCACCTCTCAACTACAACAGCTTCCCGAAATCGATATGTACTTCGGTCAATGAGGTGATATGTCACGGCATTCCAGATCAGCGGCCACTAGAAGACGGCGATATCGTCAATCTGGATGTGTCCTTATGGTGAGCAAGTTGCGCCCTCGGGAGGTGCCGTTCAACGATTTTACGGAGCACTAAACTGTATACAGGTTTGAGGGCTACCACTCCGACCTTAACGAGACATACTACGTTGGCGAAAAGGCTCGCACGAACCCAGACCTTGTACGCCTGGTAGAGACTACAAGGCAATGCCTTGACCTGGCCATTGCACATGCGAAGCCTGGTGTAGCCTTCAAGGAATTCGGGGATGTGATCGAAAAACATGCAAAATCACAAGGTCTTGGTGTGGTGAAGACGTACTGTGGTCACGGCATCAACACGTTGTTCCACGGCGCACCCAACGTACCCCACTACGCAAAGAACAAGGCAGTGGGACGACTGAGGCCTGGCATGACTTTCACGATAGAACCTATGGTGAGCACTGCGTCGAATCTCCTTGTAAGAGGTGAGTCAAGCTAACGAATTTCGACAGGTCACGTTAGGTTCCTACAAGGATAAGACCTGGCCTGATGACTGGACAAGTGTCACCGTTGATGGACAACAGACCGCCCAATTTGAGCACACATTACTTGTCACAGAGACGGGAATTGAGGTATTGACAGCCAGGAAGGCAGACAGCCCAGGTGGTCCGATAAAGCTCGACTCGGCTGAACAAAATGGCCATGCAGAAAAACCGACGTCGACTGAATGATATGGAGCATAACCTCGACTTACGTCGGAGCTCACAGTGTTGTAATCACCAATGGCACAATGGCCAGGCTCGCAGAGACGATGTGATGAAATCAGGGTTGGAGCACTTGTGCGACAGTGATGAAGGCATCCAGACACACATTGTTGCCACAACGACAACCAAATTTCGAGAGATAACCATCCTTGATCCTGGTGCATTACTCGTGCAAGCGTGGTCCAGAGAACGAACTGACAAGATAGTTCAATTTGTCTCAGACATGCAGCACGCTAACAGCGACAGCATATCCCAGTCACGAAGATGCCTAGCTCGCAACAGCAAGATTGCTGGCACTCGGAATCCGGAATAATATGCACAGAAGTACGATCTTCAGCCCTCCACAAACAAACGCCGTTGTTGATAAGAATGCATGAGCGAATGTCTCAAGTTGTCACGCTACGCCGTTAGAGTGGAGACCCTCACAATAATCCCGCATATACCGAAAACAATGATCGTCGATCGTACCTGCTTCTCCCTTTCCCGTGCCGTATCCTCCAGCTTGATTTGCACCTCTTTGTAAGCGTGAACTCTGTTCTGCCACCGGAAAATTCCTCCTCGACCGTGCAATTCGGAGAGTATTACCAGATCCAAGCAGGAATAATTGGTTAGGAGGAGAGAAACATTATGTCAAAATTACGTCGCGAATCTATTCTTTTAATAGCGGGAGGAGCCTTGGTTTTTACGTGAAAACATGACGACTTGCGTCTGGTACACGCATCAATACTCGTGTGTGCTGAGAGTGCCTATGTCTAAACGTCTGTATGCTGACCACTGCCCATCCCGATTGCTGTGGAGCCCCATTACTGATACATGTACTCCCTCCATGCGTGTTCTTGTTGTCCCAAAACACAAAACATAAAACTAAAACGTGAAAGTCATCAACGCAGGATTCAGCACGATAGGCATCAACAGATGACTACCAGCGACCGTGCTCATCGGAAGTATCGCAATAAAGTCCTTGATCCTCCAACTCCAGGGGACAAAGTCCGCGCACGCAAAGATCACCATCGTCACTATGCTTAGCAGTGCAAAGGCAATACTCCACTTGAACCGTTTGAGTACCTTGGGAACCTCGATGAAGAAATTGGAGAATTCGGCCTCTTTCGATGTCGCACCCCAGGTCATGTCGATCTCGAACATGTGCGCGAGCAGGGCGCTGGAGACGTGTAGTGATAGACCGCCGAGGAAGATGGATAGGAGAGGAATCCATTTGATGTTTTCGAGGAAGGCGCCGAAGAAGGATCTTTCGGAGATGCGGTAGCGCATGACGGCTAAAGCGAAGTTTCCTAGGCCGTTGAAGACGACGATTATGGATACCCATACTTTCCAGGAGTCGATGTAGTATTTGTCGAGGTAGCCTGTGGTATCTTGTTAGCACGAGATTTGTAGTGAGTGAATATAGGAAGGAAACACGTACCATTAAACCAGCCAATAGCGAAATAGTTGGCAAGTGTCATGATCCAGGCTGCGCCAATGGCATAGTATGTACCCTGTAGGAGTCGTTAGTTTTTGTCGTTGCCATTGGTTCCAGGCTGTACGTACAATGTATGAGACAATGGTAATCTTCGAGGTGAATCTGATGTTGCTGAACAGAAATCGTCTGAATAAGGGTGTAAATGGTCCTTTGTAAATCCACTTCCTGATAGGGTGAAACAGTAACTCGTTACAACCATATGCGTACTTCTCCCATCGAGCAAGCTCATCGTAGACAGTCAGTGAGACGCCTTCCTTGAAGCCTTCTCCTGCCCAGGCAGCGAGTCGAATGATATAGCCGTCGCACTGAAGTCGGAGCGACATGTCGAAATCCTCAGACACATGAGACTCTGACCAGAATTTTTCATAGCCGTCCTCGTCCATGTAGCTGACTTGCTGAATGGCGCTCCAACGTAAAATGGCGTTGTGTCCAACAAAAGGTGCGACATCTATCGATATGGTCAGTTGTGGCTCAAGAAGGGTGGAGTCAGGGGCGATGAAGTAGCGCCAGCATGCAGAATGACTTACCCCCGTTTGAGACAGTGTATTTGATAGCTGTGTAAATCATATTGGTAAAGAATGTAATGCCGTTTTCGAAAAAAGTGTTCACCACTTGCATCACTCCAGAGCTGAATTGCATAATTCCCACGTTCGGAGACTGTTCCATCTCGGAGGCGGCATCTAGCAGGCAGTCGGACGGCACTCTCGTGTCGCTGTCGATCAGCAAGATGTAATCACCCACACGGATGTTACCAGCGGACCAGGCACGAGGGTTCTCCTCTAAGACTTCCTGCAAGCAAGCGGAATATGCTTGATCCTCCTGGTTCTGGTTCCAGCCTGGTCGGCGCTCGTATCGTAGAAGTTTCTCTTCCACATTACACGACAGCATTAGACCATAGTTCATATTCGATGCTTTCTTGAACTTTCCACGACGTAGGAAGCCCTCGCTTCCGTGTTTCGGTCGAGCAGTCCAGCCGATATTGTTGTCGGCATAGAATTCCTTCCGCGCTTCTCGTTCAGCTTCATCGATGATCTGCATGCCATCATCGTTGATGAGAATATTGGCGGAACCACCTTGCAGTTCGTACGTCGAAATAGCTTGTTTAATGGATTTGACTGTAGGAGCGATAACGGAAGAAAGACCCTCTTTGTAGACAGGGCATTGGATTGTAACATGAGGAAGATTCGACCGCAGTCTCGGGGACTTCACTGCAGAGTAAAACTTGGAATTCGTTTGCATCTGTCGTATTGGTCCACAGCATTGAGAGATGCAGCCGACGATAACCTGAGCGAAAAAAAGTGTGAAAAAGACTTGGACAGGAATCAAGGCCAAGACTGCCAGACGGATGTAGGACTTATCGACTGCAATCTCTGTGGCCAGTGAACGAGCAGCAAGCCCAATCAGCACTATAACGATAATGAGACAAAAAGCCACAAGAATAGTGTTCAGTAAGTGTGTTGGTCGTTCTTGGGGTGCCGCAACCTGAGCTTCGTCATCCATGGCCATCATTTTGTTGTTGTACATTGTGTCATAAAACTCATCCTGATCGGCTTCGTTCATCTGCCAGATGATCTCACGCGTTTGTTCTTCTATATCAGTGGCTCGGTTGATCAGGTTGTTAGGGTCGTCATCCCACACAACCAAAAGCCCTAGATCGGCAATGAAGGCACCGCATTGTGCTGTTCGTGCCTTCGCAAGATCTGCCATGTTTTGGACAACCTGCATACGCAGGCCTGCTTGTAACGGAATATCTTGAACCCCGCGCGAAGAGGCTAGCAAAGTCTCGATTGTCCTTGACCTCACGGTCATCGCACTGGGCAAGTTCAGCTCCAAGCAGGCTCTGCCAAAGGCGGAGTTCAAGACTTGTGACGGGCATGCTAGATATTCACCCCTTCCGCGTCTCAACACCACACCTTCGTCCTCAGTTTGACCAGCCCACAACCTTGTGGCCTGCTTTTGGTATAGATAGTTCACCATTACTTCATGTTTGAGGCCTTGTAAGGTCGATACCCTCTCGCTGGGCTTCGCCTTGTAGCAAGGTCTTGTGCTCTCAAGCGTGCTCGTTGAGCCCTGTGTTGAATGCTTGATGTGATCGGCCGGCTCGATTACCTCTCGGAATTGTGTAGCAACCGACTGTGTACGTTGCGGCGGTTGAGGCCATTGCTGTCCCACAGCGTCTATGGGGTTTTCCCTGACCTGCACTATCTCTTTCCCTTCCCCCATAACGAATGACGATGTAAGATATCTAAAGGAATGGACGAACGAGTCGAACAGGTGTGCTTGCTAAAGTAACAAAATGCCCAACGTCCTTGACAAGCGAGGGAATAGACACCAGCTGACGTCGAGAGGGAGAGTAGCCAGCACCTGAACAAAGACTTGGATTGAGCCACGTGTAGTCACCATCTTATCAGTGAACACGGCATATAGCAAGCGACCTCCCTCAAAGCATCCACATTCACCTGGTCTGGCTTGCATGTTGTCCTTGGCAGGACGGCCCATCTAAGCAGGCTCTGTGTACTGAGACACAACATGGATGACCTCGTATAGAAAACGATGCTCCTCTGCTCAAACCAGGATCAGTCCAAGCAATGTTTGTGATAGTGCTACCCCCCAGTATTGTCATTTAGTGGAGGGGTTTGTCTTCATCTTCGATAGTACCGAGTCATACTGATGCTGATGTGACTTCGGCGATTTTAGTGACATGTTGATTCAAACGATCTGCACTCCGCCTGTCGACCTCGTGAGACGGGAACTGATACCTGCCTGGCTTCGAGTTGTGCTCGCCTTGTGCAGGTCGACACAGTGCTCCCTTATTCAGACTGGGTTCTCACTGCGCGAACAAGATTGATAATACGCAAGCCTCTATCACAAAACCCTGAGCTCAGCCGTGAAGGCTGGGATGCTTGCTTATCTCCTTCACCACTAAGAGACTAGCCAGCATGCGCGCTTTTCGTTGTCTAGGTACTTACAACACATATCAACCCGAGCATCCCTGCTCTCAAACAGCACTATCAAACCACATCTCTTCGCGCTACTGAGCCGTGGTACCGACATGAACAGATTGATGAGAACAAGAACTCGATGTACTAGTGTTGATAAGCCCATCACTCTACGGCGCAAACTTTGGCGCTTGCGCCTCAGTGACAATTACGATGAATGTGCTCCACCAGCATCAAATAGCCGCTAAGTTCTCGTATCAGATCCTGGCTAGCTACAGCCACGAGCTCGGCCAAAGATATGTCCAGGCTATTGCTCCCCATCAAAGCCGTCTCTTCTTGGTTGTCATTACTCCTGTTAGTGGTGCGATCGAGACATTCTCGTAGATACAGGTGAACAGCAGTCTATCAGGAAAGGGGAATCACCTGCCATCCAAAATCGTGTTATCACGAGGTCTACAGTGAAGCTCTGACCCAAGCATGCTGACTTATTAATTTCGAGAGATACCTGTCGTATATGACGCTCTCGTGGCGTATGAAGCGAGGATTGACCATCGACAGTTCCTACGAAAAGGGGGTTTGTACCCAGTCGCCTAGTTTCACGCCAAACCCTTAATGGAGGTTATCTGCCCGAAATGCCACAAAAAATGACAGGTACAACGTTTTCGTGATTGGCAGGAAGAACAGCTCGATGCCACTCCGAGATCTCGGCGCCAGGATGGTTCCACAGCGGACTGTTAGCGTGCTGGCTCGACTTCACGGAAATGCGAGTCATGCTTCTTGATATTGGGTAGACCTCGAACTTTGGATCTGGCATTGTGGGCTTCAAACTTTGGCTTGGGTCGACCATGAGATTGTTTCAAGCTGACCATCATGCTGCCAAGGTCTCTTGCTCCAGTGCGTTTGAGACCGGCGACACTCTGCCACTGACGATGTCCTTGATCGAGCCATGTCAGGCTGCTCGTAAACACTATTCCCTACTTCTGGCTATCTGGTCCGAACCTGGCCAGTTGATTAACACGAACAATCTCTGCAGATAACATGTGATTGAAACAGCCAATCACAGGTGTCTCCCGAGTTGAGGCTGGCTAACGATAAAGCAGAGCAACCAGAGAACGTTCGAGCAAGGTTCATGCTAACCAAACGGTCTCTCCTCGACCAAGTGGAGCGTGAAGTCTAAAGGGGTTATCTGGATATGTGAGATTGGCTTGGAAAGGTATCTCGGGAAGGTGAGACCTTTGAGAAGCATCTGAGTGGTCTGTTCTCCTAACGACTTTTTCAATACTCAAACTCTGTGCTATCCCATTGAGTGTGCCAGAATAGAACGTGGCAGCAGAAGTACTGCCCAAGCTATCGATTAAATCAATGAACTGGAGTTGCCTATAGCTAAGCCCCAACACAGTACCCCTGAGCTATAGGATATTGTGGTCGTTTGATACAGGGAGCGTCCATAACCTCTGGCAAGTGCACACAAATTTACAGCATCAATCTTCCGACCGGGCACAGAATGTCACTCCGATCACCCTTCGATCACGTCAACTCAACGTCTGTGAGTGTTGACCTTGCAAATGAATCTGTCGCGAGCGAGAAAGGAAATCCTTTCGACACACCCTATGGTTCTAATGCCCCATCTGCGGCATCTTCCCAGGTGTTCTGGGACAACAGAACACCTCCAGCAAGATTCTTTCACTCACGTCGTGTCAAGAAAGGCGAGGTTTCGAAACCTTGGCTGAGCGTCAAAGACAGCAAAGAGAAATGGATTACAATTATACCCCTCATAGGCATGCTTGTTGGTCTTGCTCTGGGTGCACTTCTTGTCTGGGATGGTCTCAAGACAGTCATCAACAACAAATACTGTCCTATTTACAGCACCGACTTCTCTGAAGGGCTTGACGAATCAATATGGACCAAGGAAGCCGAGGTCGGAGGCTTTGGTAATGGGCAATTTGAAGAGACAACAATCACTGATGAGAACGTCTTTTTACGTGACGGAATGATGGTCATTCGCCCTACACTTCAAGACGAAGCATTGATCACGACCGATACTGTCATCGACTTGACACAGCAAGGTATTTGCAGTTCTACTGAGTGGAAGAACTGTATCACAAGCACAAATACTACCAATGGCACTATCATCCAGCCTGTCAAGTCAGGCCGTGTGAATCTCAAAAACAGAGCCATCAAGTACGGCAGAATTGAAGTCGAGGCAGAGCTGCCTTCAGGTGACTGGCTGTGGCCTGCCATCTGGATGTTGCCAGTAAATTCAACTTACGGCGACTGGCCTGCCTCGGGTGAGATCGACATACTGGAGTCTCGCGGCAACGATCACACATTCGCTCAAGGTGGTAACAATATTATGTCCAGCGCACTACACTGGGGACCCGATACTGCCAACGACGCATGGTGGCGAACAAACAACAAACGTTCAGCTCTGCACACCACCTTTGCACGGAAATTTCACACTTTCGGGCTTGAATGGAGCGAGAAATACCTATTCACATATCTTGATAGCCGGCTCATGCAGGTCATGTATGTCAACTTTGATTCGAAGTCAAGCCTCTGGGACACAGGTGATTTTCCTTTGTCAAACTCTAACGGAACACGTTTTGTAGACCCGTGGTCTCAGACAGGCCGACCCAGCACGCCTTTTGACGAAGATTTCTATTTGATCATCAACTTAGCAGTCGGTAGTCAGAATGGGTGGTTCGAGGACGGCAAGAGCAAGAAACCTTGGGTCGATGGCAGCCCTACCGCGAAGAAAGACTTTTGGAATGCAAGAGATGAGTGGCAGAAGACCTGGGAGGAGGGCAGCCCAGAGTTGAAGATTAGAGCTGTAAGAGTATGGCAGCAGCAAGGTTATAATGGCTGTGAGAGTGGTATTCAATTGTAGTATTATTGGTTTTCATGTAACTTTGGGCGTTGAGCACAGTACACAACAGGGTAGTAGTATACGAAGCGATGGCTTATTTGTATAGAACAAAACGTTGACTAAAGTACTTCGAGCTAAGGATATTCATTGACTCTGCTAATTGACTGTAATATGTCCATTTATACCAGCACCGTCTACTGTAATATCCTCGCATCGCCAGTGACGGCTAGTGGATTCGCTACCACTTCCTCCGTCCCGTTCTCGAGTGAAGGTATTTTTGTGTTTCCCTCATTGTCCGCCACTATTTCCCTGATTTTATCTATGTGGTTGCAATTCCAGAGTCAGGTGTAGATTCCAAAATGCCGTTTTTCGCCTCACCCTCAAAAGTCCGCCGAATAACAAAAAGAATAAACTTGAGGCCAGCAGGGGTTGAACCTGCGACACTTCGATGACTCAAGCCTTGAGAACTGGAGTCGAATACTCTCCCACTGAGCTATGGCCCCCAATGTTTGAGTCATTTGTTGGAACTTGAATTCATATCAGCTTTGCAAGAGACTGTTCACAGGCAGATTTGTTTGTCACCACTGCTGCAACCCGTCACTATTCCCGATTCATTGATGCAGCTCTCCGGCAGGCAGGAGTGTGCGTCAATTGAGAAATCACTACTACCACTTGCAATCCCCCTCACCTGTGGAATGTAGGAAGTGTTTAGCCTCCGCTTCAAGGCGCAGTAGTTGAGACTTCCTCAGGGTGTGAGATATCAAACCTCTCTCTATACTTGATCAATCATCTCGCTCATTCATTCATTTCCCAGCCCTCATAGCCATCTCATCCACATATCTCCTCATCCCGTCCCACTCGGCCTTTCCCGTACTAACAAGATAACGTATCTGCTCCGTATCCGTCACGTCCTTGTTCCTCGAGAATTCGCCTTTTGCATGTGCTACTGGATCTCTCCTCGCGCCTTTATCTGGGATCTGGTAGATTGCGCGAACGATGGTGCGGTAGAGGGATATCACACGAGATCGAAGGAGAAAGTGCTCTAGGGAGAGTGGAGGTTTCTTGTTGGCGGGTTTGGTGCGTGCGGTACGTGGCTTGGGTGTTGGTGAAGCGGTGGATTGACTTGATCGTTTTGCGATGTTGGCGATTGGAGGGTCTGAGACTGGTGTTGCGAGTCGACGGGCTATTGTTGCGCGCATGGCTTTGTGATCAGGGCTTTGGAGGTCGTGTACATCCCGCTTCTCACATAGGGGGTCTGCGAGATGGAAGTGATTTCGAGGTGTTCACTGGTAGACCATAAAGTCAGTGACGGCTGGTCATGATGAATACTCGAAGTTCTAAAATATTGTGGAGCACTCAGTGCTGTTTGGAGCCAGTGGTAATGTCTGGCATTTCCAAAGTCTTTACTCCTCACCACAATAGCAGCACACCTTTCGACGAGAGCGTACAAGTACAAGGGTTCATCTCGACGACTGAGAGTTTATGGTTCTGCTGCATGAGTTGATGAACTTTCTATGGACGCTCTTGTACAATATATTACAGACTGCAACGACTAATCTAGTCCTTCCTCATTTGTGCATCTAAGACCACACCAAAGCCACCAGATCGTAACGACGCTTGATCTCTCCTCCTCTGCTCTTTTGTTGCCGCATTCTGTTTGCCCAGCTTACGGTGGGTTTCTTCTCCAGCCAGATCAGCCATGACCTGCGGATCAGCAGCAGTCTCCGTCTCATCTTTCCAGCCTGGACAGGTTTCACCGGAAGCTTCATACTCTTCGTCCGACACGATTTGTATAAATTTCTTTTTCCATTTGCCCACTCTCAAGACAATGAGATCGTCGACTATCAGCGGCGCATACCAGCTCCACTTAGAATCCTTGACAGCAACATAGGAGACCTGGTCCGTCATGGGTATGGGCTGACCGTCTTGACTGATACGTCCTCCGATGTAGACACCTTTGTTGTTGATTAGTCGTTGACCCTCGCTTCGAGATGCGACCAGGCCAGCTGACCACAAGACACGCGGAAGCGGCTGCTGCTCGACCAGCGATCGAGGTAACTTGATGTTAATGTTGTGAGTTGAATCCATGTCGAGAGGTGCAGCATGTTTGTTGATGGAGGGATGCAAAGCTGGTGGCCGACGGTCCTGAGAAGAGATCCTGGCTTCGGACTGCATCTGCTCTTTGACCTCTTGCAAAGATAAAGTCTTGGAGAAAGCTTGTTTATGCTGGTCTCTTGCAGCCTCCGCATCTGCTAAGCCATGGGCCAACTCTACAAACTCGAAAGCTAGTCTGTGTTGCGCGGTTCGTTTCGAGGCGTCCTGAAGGTGTTCCTCCATAACAGCTTTGATCTCGCCCATGGGCATGAAGGTGAGCATTTTCAAATACTTCTCGATGTCCTCATCAGCAGAACGAAGGAAGAACTGGTATAGATCGAAGCTGCTGGTTAGCTGTTTGTCGATCCAGATGGCATTCCCAGCGCTTTTCCCAAACTTCTCTCCAGATGAGGTCGTCAATAGGGGTACTGTAAATCCCATCGGATCACTTGTTGTCGCGAAACCTTGCATATCCGCCTCGTGCTTCATTTGAAATGCCGTGTTCGTCGCTACGATGCCCTTCACAGCCTCTGCACCTGCGAGAATGTTCCCAAATTGGTCCGCACCTCCGATCTGTATCTGCGTGCCGGTCTGGTATAGGTGCCACCAGTCCCACGCTTGTATGAGTGGATAGGATAGCTCGGCGAAAGACATACCATCACCCTTGGTGAGCCGGTTCTTCACAGAGTCTCTTCCTAGCATCGGTCCAACTCTTGTCACGCTTCCGAGGATCTTCATAAAGTCTTTGACAGTCACTTTGGCCCACCATTCGTTATTGTTTAGCACTCCTCTACGCCAGGCCCATTCCCTCGAGTATCCCCTTCTTTCGGCGTACTTCTCAATCCTGACGCTCAATCTTTTCAATTGCTCAAACATGTTCATCATATTGTTCCGGCGTTCATCCCGTTTCTGACCAGGACGTGCGGTCAACCGATCGGTAGGGTCGCCAATCGAGGAAGTAAATCCACCAAGCTATTACCTGTTAGGACCAGTATTTCGAGCGTTCGATGAAGCACTGACCAGAAAAGTTGACGCATATCCATGAATGTACATCCAGCCAAGCGCCATGAACGGCACCATATGACCGATATGTAGCGAGGCAGCGGTTGGGTCAACACCACAGTACACACCAACTCGGCGCTCGACCAGAACCTTCTCAAGCTCATCGCGATTTCCAACAACTTGATTGACGAGGCCTCGTTCTTCCAACTTCTCGAGCATGGATTTGGCTCGTCCATCTGCAATGTCTTTGGCGCGATCTTTCCATTCTGCCTCGGCGGTCTTGATTTTACGTAGATGCACTTGGGTGATCTGGCGCAGCTGCTGCTTCTGAGACATGGCTCTCAGCCATCCCTGACATTCTGTGCAGACGAAGGGTGCTCTCTTTACAATGCGCCATGTTGGTCGATTGAGCGACATTGAAAATATGATAAACCATGTTGTGCAGAAGCCCTAATTAGAAAATGCACGGCTCCCCAAAACTAGCTTTCTTTGGCGCTTCTTGCTCCGAGCGCGCGGAGATCATTCCCTCCCAGACCTCCTGTAGACCTGGCACGTGCCTGCCTAGAAATACTTCAAGACAAATTCCAGGCTCTACCTACCCATGAAAGTGTACCAGTAGATTTCAGAATGACGATGCGACAGATATATTACGGGGCGGCACTTTACGTGCTTCCCTCAGCACAGATGCGTACTGAGCACCTATTCAGGACTGCTTAGCACTTAAATCCACCTGTGAAGGCTTGCCTACCATACTACTTTTGACGTACCTCAAAACGCACTCACGGTCCGAGATACTAATCAGACAGGGACGACAGTCATGTAAGCAGTTTCTGGGCATCTTCGGACAGTTCTCGGGTTTGACTTCTGCACTCGCGACTTGGACCATACACTCCCGACAACAGCATTGAGCTGCTGGTGCTGGAGAACACAGATACTTCACAGCTGAGCCAAGCCTGACACGAAGAACAGCACGAACGAATCCAATACGATGAATACTGCCAGCAGGGAATGTTCTATGCCCACGTTGCACAACTACCCGACAATTGTCCTCGTTGCAGAGTGATCGCCCTAAATCCGTTCTCAGCTTTCATGTTTACCATCTTCCTAAGCCATGGATATGGCCACGCGAGGTTGTCCTTTCCGCCCTGTCTCCCCATGTCCTTCAACACGGAGAGATCTCAATTCCCGAGAGGTGCACAGATAGTGACAAAGGCATCGTTTATTAGCAAAGGTTTCTCCTTGGCTATGTTGCACAAACCTTGAAACACTTATCCAGACAAGAGCATAGTATCCCGAGCCTCCTGGTTCGATGACCAGAATCGCCGTTGCTTAGCGAGAACATGTCAAAGGCTGCCCAAGGACTGCGGAATGACTGGTCACTTCTGTCCAACCCTACAGAGGCCTGTCTCTCCAGATTGGCTGTCATCCTTGTGTACCTGCCCCTCTCATGGTTAGTTCCTGTGTTGGTACGTTCTTTTGACGCTTGAAATTGAGCTATTGTGAAAAGTACCCCCAGCTCTCGCTTGAGCTCAAAGTGACAGATCTGCCCGCTTCAACACCACAAACAGATCCGGCTGTAAGATTGATTTGAAGGTGTTGACTTGACCCATATCACTGAAACTTATCATTTTTGTTACTGTTCTCCTTGTGACTCCCAAACATGCTGCTTCCTTTCACCAGCGTCCCTCGCTTTCCATCCACGACACTGTCTGAGGCATACTGAAGCTCACCACACATAGCAGATCACACGAGTGGAGCGCCAAGGATACTTCTATCACGGAAAGATGCTGCACCATACCACAGTATGGCTCCACCAACCCAGTATCCAGGACACTTCGATGTGACTTCTCGTAAGCAAAACTCATACTGTTTGGAACGACTCATCTGTTGACCACTGTCAGTCCTAACCGTCATTTGCGCCACTCTCGCAAGCTATAATGCTCTCGAACTCATCCTTCTCATTTTCACAACCTTCAACGCTTATCATGGCCTCTACTTCTGGTCAATGGTTACTGCGACAGGAAGCATTATTCCCTACGTGATCGGGATGATTATCATGTTCTTTCACCCTCAATTCAAACTCGCAGCACTAATAGTAAACAATATTGGGTGGATACTAATGGTAGTTGCTCAGAGCGTTGTGCTTTACTCGAGGCTGGGCTTCGTGCTTGGCAACGCCCATTCGAGAATACTGGTCTTCACCAAATGGATGATCATCATTGACGCCTTCATCTTCTACACACTAGCTACAACCATTGTCTTTGGAATGCACTACTCAGGACTTCCGAGTTTCGCTGAAGGCTACATCTACGTTGAACGCCTTCAGATGACCGGCTTCTGTATTCAGGAATTCATCATTTCCGGACTGTATATCTTGAAGACACTCGACATCCTCCAAGCAGGAGAAAAGAAACAGGCGCGAAGGACGTTATGGCAGCTTTTTGCTATCAATGTCGTCATCGTTGCACTTGATGTAGCCTTACTTGTGCTCGAGTACTTGAGCTTGGCCAGCATACAGATTGCTTTCAAAGCACTGGCTTACTCGGTAAAGCTGAAAATGGAGTTTGCTATACTGGGCAAGTTGGTTGAGTCCTCGAGTCTGACTCAGCAGACTCTGTCTGTTTCTCTCAGCAACGCGATGTCGCTGGATGACCGGAATCCTTCGTTCGGAGTAATATCCAATCCGTTCTCTCCTAAGTTCAATACTTCAGCCTTAGCAACATGGCATGAAAAGAAGACAACAAGTTCGTTGGACCAAAGCGAGCACCAACGCCATGAGTCCTTCGGAACGATCTCGTACCAACCTGACACTTCTGAGGCACGACTGGTCAATACCAGCTCAACCACCGCACGTCCATTTGCGTCCAGCCGGAAAGGCTCCGATGCATATCACGACATGATTAAGATGATGACATGGGACGAGGCTTGACGTCAAATAGCGTGGCAGGACGAGAACATACATGTACAACATGTTATGCTTTTAAGCTGCAACGTCTGTGTGTACACGAAGATAACATAACGATGAGACCAGTGAAGACTAGTCCTCGGTCCCGTTTCGGATTTTTATTCGCGTCATAGGTGCTAACCTGGTTACACAGTAATCCTTCCTATCCAGAAAATGTTAATCTAAACCTTACAATAGATCAATCTAATGCATCGTCTGAATGGCACCGGAAATATAGTAGTTCGGTATCACTCCGCAACGGAACAAAATCACATACTACAACAGAACAAGCACTACGTGAAGATAGAACGTTACTCATGTACTATACTAGAACAAGTTACGCACTACAATACGTGGAACAAGGAGCGGACTACGATAGGACAAGGCGTGTTCTGCGCTGAAACAAGTGATATACTGCTGCAGAACAAGCAGTAGTCTACTGAAGAATAGGGCCTAAACATCTTGGCCTTGGTCGAGCACAACTTCCAGCATAGAGAATATCGTGCTAGGTGGATGCTGCACCTTCTTGACCTTCAACCGGGGATCAGCCAATTTGAACAGTGCTTCGAAGTCACCTCTACTTCTCTCCTTGGCCCCGTACAATGTGAACATGAGTATGTCCGTATGGCGCAAGAGCAGCTCCTTGTGCACAGGAACCTCACCAGGTCCATCAGGGAGAATCCGCTCACTCACAAACAGTTTCGCGCCTTTCTCCATAGCTGGAATTAGTGGTTGGATAATTTTGACACAGTCTGCATCTTGCCAGTCATGGAGGACGCGACTGAGGATGTATGCCTTGGGCTGTAGATCTGCGGGCTGGGGCTGGAAGAAATCGTGAACTTGGAAAGAGATGCGATCTCCTGCTCCCTGTTTCTGTGCTAGTTCTTTTGTTGCTTGCTCGTTCTCTGCGAGGTCTTGAATGAGGAAATTGACACCTGGTAGGTCCTTGAAAATGTTGGCCTCGATGTGTCCGTTTCCGCCGCCGATATCAATCTGTCTGTATTAGCTTGAAGGAACGGCAGACTCAGCTGGTATAAGGCCCTGGAATGAAGTCACTTACCACAAGACCCTCTCCAATACTAGCCCAGTCGAAGCCTTGAACGTATGGTGTGAAACTTGTGCCTACATATGCGCTGACGAGAGCTTTCATGCCTGCCGCGAACTTCTCGTGTCCTTTCTTGTCAGGATCGTCTTCCTCAAGGATCTTCCACATTCCTCTGTGGTCTGGGTCAGCCATCTCTACAGGTATTTGCATGTGATGTTTAGGCGGGTCATCCTGCCAGATTCTCATAGAGTTGGCAACCTCCCATGCACCAGTGTAGAACAATCTTGTGGTCCGAAGTTGAGTATATGGACTGAAGTCTGGTATGGCCGCAGAGAATGAAGTATGTGCGATTTGTCCAGGTGATGGCTCCTGGAACATTCCCATCAGGTATGCCACCTTTAGCTGTCGGTGTAAAAGCGACCCATTCACACCAATTTTGGCGGCGAGGTCAGCGAGGTGGATGGTTCCTTCCTGAGGTACAACTCTAGCGACACCGAGGTCGTCAAGAGTACGTAGGACTTCGATCTTCGTAATTGTTGGGCCTGCAAGAGATGTCAAAGTGTCTGTGGGACCTAGTGCAAGGTTAAGCATCATTTGAGCTGCATCGATAAGATCGGATCTTGTCTGTAATATATCCGGATGAGCAGCAACATCACGCCAATCTCTTCGAGCGCTTGCTTCGAAACCTGGCTGTGGAAAGCCATGTGTATCCAGCTGTTGTTGCAATCTTGTTGCGGCTTCTGTTATGAAGCGTGCTTGCTCTTCTAGGGAGGGTGAAGGTATTTTCGACATAGTACCCGAGATGGTTGTGATACAATAAATGTACTAACTTATTGAGTTGGGATCAAAGTTTTGCAAACACTCGTTGAAATGTAGCACTCTCCTGGTAGGATAAACAGCAGTTCCAAGCTCACCTGCGATCTAGGCTCGAGTATGCCTCGTCTAAGCCACTTCCTTCTCGTGTGCTGGGTCACGGTCAACAAGGTTCAGAAAGTTCTAAAGTGTTACTATCAGGGACACGTTCAACAGTGATGCTATTACAGTAAATTGAGTCAAACTCTCCACAGCAGGACCGTGGATCTGAGATACGCTTTTTGACCATTGACTTTCCGAACGAGCGTCACACTGCAGACTTGGCTTAAGGAGCACATGTCGAGAGCAGGTGTGTGTCGTTGAGGTCTCACATATTGTTACAGGTATCGCGATCCAGCAGATCTGCAGCCAGTGCCACATCCCTGGTTCTACCACGAACAAACAACTTGATGATCGTCGGCTGAAATAGGTTCTGCTGTTCGTGTCGGCTAAGCTGCCTCGCTTTCCTCCTTTCCTACGGTCCGTAGTACTCGAGTACTCTGGTTCGCTTCGTGTCTTCACCATGATAGGCTCGTTTCATTTACGACTGTACCAGCCAGAGCCAGACTCGAGTCAGTGCAGTGGCCGATCTTGTGTTCCGGCCATGAACTGGATGCCTGCTTCCTGATGTACGCTCGTGGGGACAAGACCATTGGTTGCTACGTGACCATCAAGTACTCTCAATTGGTGATACGTGAGGTTGCGCAGTGCTCAAACATGAAAGAGCTTCGTCTCGATCTCGGTGTTTTGGTTCAAACCGGTCACGAGAACCTTGTCAGCTTGTCGATGCAATCCTACTTGCTACGGACAATGCCGACAAGAGCTTGCCAACTCACAACCCTGTCGGACTCAATGGTTAAGAGGCTTTGAGTACACAGCGATATGATTGGGTAAGCGCGTCTTCATATCACCACGAACGCCTGTAGGGCACGAAATGAGCAGGCTGAGTTCGTGCGCCGTATAACAACCAATTCAGGCTTGTTGTGCTACCGCTTGACTCGAGATATATATGCCACAAAGTCATGTCTTCACATTGTCCGTTCAGATATTGTGGTTAGCATACGTCCAAGTTTGCACGACCACAGATCCTCCAACATGTTCAACAAGGACAATGTCTCGAATATGTCTGGTAACAGCGATGCTGCAACCGTCGGTGGTCCACCACTGCCAGATCCTAATACATACTCGCATGGCTACCAGAAGTTGAGCTGCTTGATGGCCAAATTGCCGGAGTTTGCAATCTATCGTCGTTTCGGAAGACTAAACAGTCTTAACCTTCTCTATTTACAGAGTGAGCTTCATGATCTTGAGGAAACCCTCTACAAGATTTCACAGCCGATCGCTTACAGTACTGACAAGCGGATAAGAATGGCGGACCTGGGTTGGAGAGCGCTTTCAAATACAGACAAAGCAGGCCCTCACAATGAACAGTACAAGCTGGTGTTGAGGATACGAGAAGTTCTCAAGGAATACAGTAAGTACTGCTGCTGGAATATGCATTGTGCTGACTCTATGAGATGAACAGCTTTGGCTTCAATCACAGATTACAAGGCTGCCTAAACCATACAACACTGACATTACCTGGCTCAGATCTTGGATGTTCGATCCACTTTGTGGTGGTATGCAATGTCCTGACCTCGAGTTCAAAGTATTCACTTAACCAACACTTGAGGAGCTAGTTGCCGTTAAAGCACGTGAATACAGCGACGCGATGACGACCTGGTTTGCCACAAGCTTCATACACATCTACCACAAATACCTCGGAAAATACATTCACAAGGTATGATATCATCTTTCGATTGTCCGGTCATCACTGACTCACAATGCAGGATTCGGATGAAGCCGAGTTTGTCAATAACATCGTCTATACCGAGCGAAGCAACAGCAAGTTCATGTCAGTAATTACGACAAGTTTATCATCAGCTTTCCCAGTCCTCTCTATTGTGATTCTTAATCAATGCAATTCGATCAACCTGCGCCTGGGCATCCTGACAGTATTTACCATCTGCTTCTCGGCTGTGTTAGCCTTTCTGTCCCCTAAGAAGAAACTTGAAGTGTTCGCCGCCTCTGCTGCGTCAGTATATATCAGATTCACCCTTAGTTGCTTTACTAACATTGTACAGTTATGCTGCCGTCAATGTCGTGTTCATTCATAGATAGTAATATAGTCATATTCTTGTTATGGTTACGATCTTACTAGTTCCATTTATGTTCTTGCCAAGTATAGAAGGTGACATTCATCGATGGAACGAGTTGTACCTGTTTCATGCTGTTTCTCTTCACTTTGACCTCTGACGTTTGTAACGGGAATGTTATTCTTCTATCACTTCTACTAAGCAAGCAAATGCATCGTTTGATGGTTGTACGTGTTCCAAAAACCATCTGTTTCCACTAACATCCTTGTTGAAAGCTCTCTGTCGTTGTTGCTGAATCTTGCTCTTCTACATTGCGATCAATCTCACTTCTTAGGGTGTAATGTTTTGGCACCAGGAAAATGCCGGGGCATTGAGGTGAATCGACGAACGAAGTCACGTCCTTCGTTTGAGGCAGTGTACAGATGCTCTGTGCTGTCCTCCTCTTGCTGTGGACCTGCGCCTGACTTGTCTTCTTTCGGCAATTGTGGTTGGGGGGAGGGAGGCTTTTCAGTGGAGGGAGATCTAGCAGGAGGAGGAGGTCTTTCAGGGGCAGAAGCAGCTGATGGAGCGTTACTGGCTTGTGGAGGATTGACCGGGTCATGATGCTAGTCTGACTGGCCTGTTCTCCGTCTGTAGGCCTCAGTGTTGCTGTGAATTCCTTGAGTAGCTGCGTTAATTGTGTCGCGAGTGAATGTGACGCTTAGGCGCCGAACGGCAGCGGTAGATATACCTTCGAGGCCGGAATCAGAATCTGGTGCTCTCGCGTCGGTACTTTGAGACCTTGTCGACTCAGTTTGCGTCTCACCAGACTCATTGGAACTCTCGACTTCTGCAGCATCCTCATTAGTTGTTAGAAGGTACATCACGCTAGGTCATCTCACCTGCTTCACCCTGATTGGGGATTTTGACTTGCTTCTCCCCTTTATTCGACCCAAGATTCTGGTTCTGGTTGTCTGTCATCTTGAGCGGGTATGTTATGGTAGTGAGTAGGAATACAGAAGACCACCTCCATCTCCGGAACTTATAGCCCATCAGGATTGCTGAAACAATGCAATGCTTGATTGATCTGTGTTTGGTGGATGTTTCCACCTGTGTCTAGCTAATTAAATACCTGTGTCTGCACGGTTATGTCCTTGATTATAGCTGGTTGGTTGTCTGTTTCCAGCTCGTCAGTTTTCTGTGTCTGTTGTTCGGATAATTGACTGTACTAATCTACTCATTGCCTCCCGGATGACGGACTGTCTGCGGGCAAGTATTCAGGGCTTTGTAGCTGCCGGTTACGTCTAGCTGTCTAGACGCATGTGTAAGTTGATCGCTCAAGGGCATGATTGTTCGATCATAGTGCCAATCAGATTCTTTCTGTGTTCGACAGCCTGGTCCATTTTGCTGGCCTATGAGGTTGCTTCATTATATCCAACTTGTCTCTCATTAACAACGAGTGCTGTTTTCAAACACACCAACCACTTCCACAATGGTCCTTGGCAAGTACTATTCAACTCATGATGTCTCGAGATATGTCAGCACCTCTTGATATAATAACACGGGTGGAAATGCTGAGATAAAGTTGTTGGAGCTTCGTCAGCAGAGGCCCGTTTCATCGATGGTCAGGATGTCAACAGACACTGTATCACCGTTACAGACAGGCTTCCTCGCCAGTAGAAAGGAGGAAAACAACAGTATTCGTTAGTTTTCAGATTTGACAACGAAGACATTCCTGTGCTGTATAAGACACGCATATGTGAAGCTAGACAACGCAAAGCGGTGAATAACACGGCGTAGGTGATATCGAGGTACTCTCGAGCCTTAACGGAAGCTATACTTATGTGGATTGGAGCTTGAGAAGGGTTTGAACACGCTGTTCTTACCGCGATAGTGACAAGCCTTTATGGCATTTCGTCCGAGGAGTCAGTGCTTCAGATTGTCGGCGCCATTCTTCAAAAGAAACACATGAACGGCGTTCAGCTCTGAAGGACAAGTCGGTGACGTTCAAGGTGGGCTCCTGATGCGACCGTGATGGCAGGAGTCCGGAGGCAAGTGGTCATTAACTCAAGGGAAGCTATCCGGCGGAGGCTCTCGGTTGATACGAGCAACTTAGCGACGACTTGATTTGTGTTGTGCTTACATTGTGTCGTAAACATTAGCATCTACAAAAGCAGAAGTGCTTACCAAGTTTGCAGCGAAGAAGTCTGTAACGCTGCTATGTACTAGTCAATGGCGTCGGCCGACCTGCCCACACAACCGGTGACGCGTTTGGTACTATCCCAACCCGTGTACCTTTGTCGAAATCGCGTGCCATGTCGTGCAACACATTGGGAACTGACGCTAGGCTGTAACAATCATTGAATGTGTGTTTCGTACAGAAGCCGATCCGAACTAACTTTGTTGATAGAAAGAGGTCAGGTATCGACTGCCTGATCCCTTGCCATGGGGAAAGTGTTATGGTTGTGAAAGTAAGACGCTTAAACAAAGGTGGTTACGGGAAATCAATAGGGAGCGACACAAAGCCCGGACTCAACGACCTGCAGAGATGTCTCGGACATGAACATATTTTGCGATAACTGCAAGTGATGGCATACAAGTATCTATCCTACAGAAAGAATGCTACGAATTCACAAAGACAAATGTATGCAGCACGACTTAATGACATGGCAAAGGCCCGTAGCTGGTCGGTATATGAGGTACTAACGTCTTCTACAAAAAGCAGAACTTCAATCACTTTGCTACGTAGAGACATCGCAACCTGAGAAGCGACGAAGGACGTGACGATACTCTCAAGTAAGCAATACCATTGTGGTGGTCGAAAAATTGCTAACAAAACCAGCACCAAGCAGCATACGACCTCTTCATCCCAAAATGCCAGTCACTCACAACCCCAAGACGGTACAGGCAAGATGGCGCTTGGTCAAACGAACGCACGACGAGAACCACGTTTGTTCTGACATCAGCCTCTTCACTGAACTCCAAATGCCACCCAATTCGCTCAAAACTTGGGGTAAGTACACTGTCTACGCCATTGGCACGGTTCGATTCAAGGTACTACAGGCAAGCCCTGGTACTCCCACTACCATTACACTCACAAAGGTCTTGTACGTTCCGGACTACAACCGTGACGGCTACGGCAATGTCATGCGTACTGATTCAACGTCGGACCAGCGGAAGCTACGACACACTGTCCACGGAGGCGATCGTGAGATCACAGTTCCTAGACATGGATCCGTTCTCGCTAGAAGCAATACTGGAGGCAAGGCTGAGAATGGCTACAAATTGATTACCGCCTCCACACGTTGACTATATGGCAGTAACAAAGGGTACATGAGTGGCAAGCCTCGTCATAAGGGCAGGGAGCGGAAACGTTATGAGGGTCGAAGGAGGGAGGAAGTAGGAACTAGAAGAGAGTTCTGGTATGAAAAGCGTGTGCGATGGGAATCGATACAGTGGAAGTAGGCGAAGTGTACGAGAAAGACTGTTTGATACCAGCGCTGGCGCTAGAGGCTACCTAACCGTGGTGTCCATATAGCTATGACAAAGCAAGATGCCCTCTAGGGAAGAGACTGAAAGCACTTTGTACATACCTAACCTTCGGTCCCATTGATACGGGAATTGCCGGTCTGCCAAGGCGACGGAAACATTGCACTGCATCGGACGCTTTTTCCATGCCTCATTCGGGGCCTATAATCAAGGTCCGGGCCCGTGGAGGGTCTCTGATGGAGCCCGGAGCAGTATCTCTCCGCTCTTCTACTCTACAATATAACGAATCGTATATTGAGTACGAACATGTTAGCGTCGATAGGAGAATTTCAAGGCAGCCAACATGATGAATACCTGCGTATCTCTTCGTTTCGTCATCATTGTCTTGCTGTCAGTCATGACTACGAAGAATGGCTGCGTCTCAAGCACAGAAGGATGCTTACAAAGTAATGCGGAGGGGCACTCGCGCCTGCCGTGAGTGTAAGAACACCTGGTAAATACTGGTGCCACAGGCTGCTGACTTGCATCAGGCCGTCGCCGTAAGATAAAATGCATCTACAATGATGATGCTAGTGAGATCTGTCAGGAGTGCGCTGCGCATTCCCGCGAATGTAGCAAGCAAGGCACCGTAAGAGCTAAAGGTCATCCGAGCTCGTCAGCAAAGAGCGTAAGGGTCCAGGTCACACGGCTGGAATCGGCTGTCGAGAAGCTTGAACGAGAGAGAAATCGCGCGGATGAGCCTAATCCAACAGTCGATGCCACAAGATCTGATAGGCAGTCCAACATACTACAGAATGGCTTCGATACCTTGGGGTCAGACTACAAACGCAAAGCTCCACCCGTCTTTGCGCTCTTCGACAATGACATTGTGAGAGCATTCGCACAGAACAGTATCTTCTAATCACTGACTATGAGTAGCTTCACCAAAAGGATGTTCTTGACGCATACACAATCGAGTTCCCAAGTTCGATACAATTTCCACAATCAACCCTATCCGATAGAGACAAATTACTGAGCACAATATCCAATATACCTAACATCCTCCAGGTCTTACATTTCGCAAGCGACTGGTATGTAAACGTTGAGGCAGTACCTTCGAAACAGGCTACACAGCTCTATTGACAATCCTCTCTACCTCTGCGCTTTCTTATCTGAATTGTCATGCTGCACAATCCTGTACCTTCGCTAACGTGTGACAGGTGGATCTCATGGCGAGAGCAGCACTTTGCGCTGCGAAAGGTAGCCAGTAACAGGACTCTTTACGATTTCGTTCAGTCGAAGCTCAGTGAGGATTCTCCTATCGCAGTTGCCTTGGGTCTCATGGCAGTCGCTATGGCTCTTGGACAAGTTCGACCAGGAATCGATGATATGAGCTTTAATTTACCAGTGCCTGCCAATCACATCACGAACCACATTCTCGCAGCCGTCGATCAAGTTATTTGTGATTCGAAGGAATATCAGCTACAGAACGATTCAATTATTCTATTCATGATGCGTGCCAAGCATCACACTGAGAACAATCAACTACGCAAAGCATGGCTGCGTATCAGACAGGGCATCAGTTGTGCACAAGCAATAAACTTCGGCTCATTGACATCAGCTGAACTGAGTGAGGAAGCGGCTGAACAGCAGCGCTTCCTTGCCTCCATATTCGAAATGGATCGCTTGATCTCCATGATCCTTGGTCTACCTTACGCTGTAGATCCTGCCTTTACCGATGTCAGAGCATTCAGTGTGATACTCGATCCATCTGTTGAAGACGAATCTCTTAAGATGCGAGCGTTGAGGAGAATCATAGCAATCACTGCTGGGCACGTCAATGATCGAAATGCTCAGGGGCATGAATGTCGCCACTTTGCTGACTCTACACAGGCCACGTTAGACATGGTCGCCGGAGCAATGCCGGTTGGCTGGTGGGATTTGGCAGCACAACCACTCTCTGGGCTTGCTGCTCACAGATACGAGTCAATCATGGTGCAACTTTGGTTCTGGACAGTCCAGACCTATCTTCACTTACCATACCTCATCAAGCCGAGAGAGGACGGGCCCTATCCGCATTACCGGCAACTATGCCTACAAGGTACACGTAACCTCCTGCAATCTTTTGTGTATCTACGCACGGAGCCTTCAGTTTCAGTTTATATGTGCAACTGTGATGACTTTCAAGCTTTGCTAGGTGCATGCATATTGCTTGTAGGGACATTGCAGAATGCATCGAAGCTCTTGGACCAGCCGGCTGGAGACGAAAGTCTCGAGACTTATGAAAGCTGTGCTAGTCTTGACGCCGACTTGGCGCTGATAGAGGAATTGAAAGAGATCTTTCGATATCGAATGCACGAACAAGGTGGTATAATCAGCAAGCAAGGTCTAGCTGTTTTAGAAGAGCTAACATGCTTCCTCTATGACGATGATGATCAACATACCGAACTAGATGGCAGTCAGACTGGATTAACAGGCATGAATATTGGTATCAACAGAGAGCAGAAGACGATCATGTTACCATACTTCGGTACAATTAGAGTTGAATTGACGAAGAAGATCCCAAAAAGGAGGACAACATGTCCGAAAACGCTTACAATGCCCACGCCGCCTCGCAGTACTTCAGGTTCTCAAGGTGATCTCTCACCAGGATTGCAAAGCCTACCAAAATTTTCACCTTCGTCCTTTTCTGAAGCTACACCTGATGACCTTGCCGATCAACCACAACCTTTCTTCGTTAGCATTATGCAGGCTAACCCTTATCATGGCACTAACAAGAACGACTCGGCTTTAAACACAGCTAGTGAAGTTGGACAGGACCTTGCTCCAGACCTGCCACAGATGGCTCCTATCGCTTGGGATCAGTGGGAGAACTACATGTTTAATCAAGAACTCGGACTAGACTGGAATTCAGGATCGCCTTGGACAGACACACCATTTCGATGATAAGCTTTTATGTCTGTGCAATACGCTTATGCACTCGATGGCCTCTCCACTTAATTCTTTGTATATGGTTACAAGCAGCCGGCAAGACGCAGGATGTATTAGTAGATTACTTCAGTATAGCGTTACTTTGAGAAATAGAAGAGCTTCTTCTTCATACTAGAAAACCTCTGTACTGCCTTCGAATTCTGGTTGTTTGATTGTAAAATGCTCCTCGTTCTATTGTTGAATCTCCTTGTATGCTGCTTTTTCTGTCGATTTGTACTCCGATACTATCGTAGTGTCGTTCATTCATGGCGTTTCTATCCAAAAGATCTCGTCGCAGATTCAATTCCGAGCTAGGGCAGTCAGTAACTCGCTATCCGGGGAAGGCAGTATACCTGAAGGGTCAAAAGGGATAAGTCCAGACTCATATGGGGTATAATATACTTTGACAAGTCTGCATTGATCCAGCAACCGTTCAGGTGAGTACCGCGAATCATAGAGTAATAATATCTTCGTTGCAAGGCTTCTCCCAACCTTGCTCAAAAATTGACATAGAAAAAGGCTGTTTTCATAGCCGGATGCTTGTACCAGCACCTTCGTCACTGTACATATATGCAGTCCGAGTCCGAACTTCACTTCTCGCTTGCTTGCTGCCTGTCTACTTCACAGCACTCCTATCACCCTCACTGCTCTGTACCTTCATTTAGCTCACCTTCCTCTTTACCTCTTCCACAGCCTCTCTCCCCTTCTGCTCCACCTTATTTACTATGCCTTGTGCCTCTTTCCCTGCCATATCGCCTTGCCTCTCTGCCTCGAGTTTAATGTTTTCCCATTTGGTCTTTCCACCCTGGTAGTTGTAGTCGTACCAGCGGTACATCTGCGTCAACTGGGCGTTGAAGTTGACAAAGTGGCAGGCGAAGAGGAGGCCGTTTCTCGGTGTTACTGCTAGGGCGTAGCGCATGAATGTGCCGCTGTAGAGGCAGAGAGCTGTTGTGAATTGAGGTGAGATGCTAGAAGGGGTGGTTAGTCGGAGAACTGCGAAACTTTGTGAGGTTGCTGTTGACAAAGCGCAGGTGAAGAATTACTTGGCTCAACCATAGCTGGACAACGGGTCGAGGTGGTCTCCCACGTCAGGGACTGTTGAGGACTCACAATTCAGGACTCTTCTGTGTGTCCATTACTGCTGCTAATGGAATACCGAAGTTCGAAGCTGGACCCCAGAAGTCTAGCAAATAAATACGTCAGTGACTGGTGCTTCCACATAGCTTTCTGCGTGCTCAGTCGCTGTCTACTGGCACCATGCGCATGGCCAGGGACATACGTGTTGAGCAGAAGTAATCCAACACCTTGTTGGAACGGATCTTCGCATTAACGGCTTTGATTGCGGCAGCCATTGTGTATAGTCGGAAGACACCTGGATGCTACTGTAACAGTAAAAACTACTAGGTGCTACCAAGAACGAAGTAAGAAGAACGGCAGCAAGAAACAATGCTCGGGAGTCAGAGTCCGTCGCGGCTATTCGGACTTGACCCCATACTTCGGGCCTTGAGTTCGCAAACTGGTTACTGGTCACGTGCCACGAGCTTCAGGATCAAGTCTATACAATCGAGGGTATCTCGGCAACCATGGCACGTAGAACCTTATTTGATGATCCCGACTGGCTGCCATTCTTCGTTCCGCGTCTCGCATTCCCAAAAAGCACCATGCCTTTAAAGCAATCATCTTCTGCTGCTCTCATCATGGCCCTTGAGCATCAATTGCTCATCTTCGTGCCTTGATTGTAGTGTCAAGTTCGTTCCCTGCTTATATGTAACGCCCCACATCTTTGCGCAGGCTGTGTTTCCTCGTACTTCGGTGCTGAATTGATCGCCCTGCCGTAATTCGTGCGCTCTCTTATCCTAGCTTTGACTTCGAAGCTTGGCGATTTCCAGAGATGCTTCGCATATTGCTCGATGCGCATTCCGATTTCCAATATTAACTCATAGCTAAGACAATCCGTTCATCTACCCCCAAAGCCAGGCGGTGGAGCACCTCTTCCGAAGCCAGGTGGTGGTTGAAATGGTGGAGCTTGACCAGAAAATCCAGCAGGTGGTCCTCCTGGCGGTGGTGCAGCTCTACCGAATCCAGGTGGAGGTGCGCCAGCAGGTGGAAATCCGAATCCTGCAGGTGGTGGTGGTCCTCCTCCTAGTCCAGCTACCGGTCCTCCAAGTCCAACAGGCAATCCTCTTCCAGCTGGCCTGCTAATACCCTGTCCCGCTTGCAGTGCAGCTGGTGCACCTCCAGGAGCACTCGTGCCCAGTCTAGCAGATGGGTCTGACGGTGGTGGACCCTCCACGGAGCAAGAGACAATGTTCGTTCCTCGAAGAATGACTAGACCTAATGTACGCTTGGCTTCCTCCTCGATATTCGCTGCTGCAGAGCCTGGCGCAGCCGGTGCTCCTGACTTCTGCTGTCTTTTGTGAATTTTTCGGAATTCTTCTGTGTCTGCAAGGACGAGATTCATATGTTTGTCAAATGCCAGCATTTGACCTGTCATTTGGCGACCGTCATTCAAGGTGATTCGCATACGGTAATTGATTAGATTTTGCTACGAGGATTCGTTAGCACTATATGCGCTTACCAGGTAGAGACATACCATCTTCCCTTGCTTGTTCGCCATGATAATTGTCTCGCGCCCAAAGGCGACTTGTTCAATGTGCAAAAATAAGTTCGCAGAAAGGCCGCAGCTTCTCTACGCTGCTCGTCGATGGCTGAGAATATCCTCACAGAAGAAATTCAGGCTCGAGCGGGCAGTTTCTCACTTCACCACAGCAACAATTCTTACAGCTGGAACCAGAGAACAATACTCAGGCTGATCGAATTGCTCGTTACCCGCATTCACAAAATCCGACCGCTGTATCCAATTTTGTGCTAGCGTGAAGACCACAACTTTAAACCTTAGGCAGAAATAGTGGAGCGCTTACTCGTCTTGGCGCAACGCACCAAAATTCCTTCGATTTGCCGACACGAGGCTCATCGAACATCCAGCGCACTCCTTCAAACCACAAACTCTGTCGCAATCGTTAACACCGCGTATCTGAAATCACGATGGCGGAAGGCAACGACAAGAGCTCCAACCCCATGAGGGAACTGCGCATTGACAAGCTCGTCTTGAACATTTCAGTCGGTGAATCTGGTGATCGATTGACGAGAGCAGCCAAGGTGCTTGAGCAGCTGAGCGGTCAAACACCTGTATACAGTACGCCTACTTCCCTACCTACGACTCGAACCACGACTACCAACTACATAATCGAGTCTACGTACTAACCATCCATCTACAGGCAAGGCCCGATACACCGTCCGATCCTTTGGTATCCGAAGGAACGAGAAGATCGCAGTTCACGTCACAGTCCGAGGCCCAAAGGCTGAGGAAATTCTCGAGCGAGGTCTCAAGGTCAAAGAGTACGAACTGAGGAACAGAAACTTTTCGGAAACTGGAAACTTTGGTTTCGGTATTTCTGAGCACATCGATCTTGGTATCAAGTACGACCCAGCCATTGGTATTTATGGAATGGATTTCTACTGCTGCATGTGAGTCGCCCATACTGCTTTGTGATGAATATCGATTGGAAAGAGCGGAAGAGCTTGATTGATGGACATGGAACGAGGTGGCTAAGCTTAACGAGCCAGCGAGCATGAGGAACGCTCTTGGAATGAGACGACTTTGAGCATGGGCTAATATGACGCTTTACAGGACTCGACCAGGCGCCCGAGTCGCACGACGAAGACGCTGCAACACCCCCGTCGGCCGATCTCACCAGGTTAGCAAGCAGGACACCATCAAGTGGTTCAAGGGCAGATTCGAGGGTATCGTAAGATAAGCGACGCATCTCCATTCTCTGTGGAATGGCTATGAGTACATGAAGAGGAACGGCACCAAGCACCTGGGACAAGATGAGGCAAAGACCTTTCGAACAGCCTCTGTACTGGCAACTAGGTCGCTGCGTGCGGCCTGAAGGGGAATGTGTCTGGCACTGCTCGGCCATGTCTTCTCATAGACGTGGTTGGACTCGGTGCACTCGTGGGACTGGTTTCTTCCAAAAGACTCTTGCAACCCTGCTAATTATAGCGTGCCAATTTTATGCATATTCAATTGCCCACCTATCTGCTCCTGACACGTTCTGAACTACCACGTTCCTCGTACAATTATGAAGTGACGCTTTGGAATAGCATCATGTTATTGTTGTTGCACAAATACGTAGGCCTGCTGCCCTGAAGAACATTTTACAGGACAGAGGGACGAGACACGACCTAGTCACTGGTGAACAACGAAATTCTGGAGAGCACAACGCAGTCTTATTCTGTGGATCATTGGACTGTTCCAGCAAGTCCAACTGCAATACTATGGCATGGCGTCTGTCTTCTATATCATAAAATCGTGCCCATAATCCTTTATCGCATGCAATTTCGTAACATGATCAATGTGGTAGCGTCCGTACTATACGATGGCTCAGCTCAAAAATTTCTCCTAAACTCCTTGGCCATGTCGTGAGCATAGTCACCGTCAAGGCGTTGCTGGAAGTCAAGATTCGCTGAACTCCACCATCACAGAGGCATTTTTGAGACCAGCCTCTTCGATAGTCTGATCTCGTACATTCATTAAGTTCGTACCCATTGCCACAACGTCGAACTCGATCCCTTCCCTGCCCTCGATGGGCGATGCTTTTAAGTATTCAAATATACGTTGAACCTTGTCCTTCAATGCAAATCGCCGAACGATGCGTCCCTCGGGGTGTCGAATTTGTATCCTCGTGGTTTCAGCTGCATTCGCTGGTGGCTCCTCGTGTGGTTTGTCTGATGGTATCTGTGCCCAGAGTGAAGGTGCTGCCGAGCCGTTCGTCTGTGTCTGCTCCGTTTCAACCATAGCGACATCTTTACCCTTGAGGTCCCCGACACTACGTGTCAACTCATCAGGATCCTCATCTGGTACCTTCAAAGAGCCTTGGCCAGCCATGCTGGCTTGCAGGGCTCGCTCCATTTGCTCTTCTTCTGTGAGCATATCCAGTGGCTTCTCCTTCTTCGCTTCTGACTTTCTCTTTGCGACAGGGTTTCGTGCGGTGTTATCCAAGCTGTACCTATCGAGAAATTCGTGCAACTGCATCAGAAATTCTCCTGCATTCGGTATTTTCCTTGACCATAACTTGACCTGTTCTCCAGTTCGTGGGTCGACAATTGCTACATGAGGATATTCGTCCTCGACCTCTGAATTGTGGAAATAGTATTGACAGTACTGGTCAGCTCGAGGGTCGTCCTTGCTGTATTGCAGGAACAAGAAATTCTCTGTGACTGTCTCGACAATACTCGGGTTATTCCATATATCTCTATTCAGTACTTGGCAGTCAAAGACCTTCTCGTTCTGGATATTGACGATCAACCACTTCTTTTCAGCCTTGCCTTCATCTCTTGCATCGTCCCATGATCCGTTAAACATGAGGCCCCAGTTGGGCGCAAAAAGGCGTGCAAGATGCTGTGCTCGTGAATTGGTTTCTGAAGCGCCTCCTGTTGATTCCGCTAGGGCTGATCGATCAGCAGCTCCTTCTTGCCATATTCGTGACGTGGGTTGTTGGTTGAATATACCAGGCGCACGGCGAGCACCTAGTCCATTAGCATAAGATCTTGTGTCAGGGATGAAGTGACAAAAATTACCTCTTCTGTTACTGAACGCTTGGAGGCGCTCTTGCACAGCATCGTCCAGCGAAGATCCACCATAATAATCTGATGCTCCTGGACCAGCTAATGTCTCTGCCTGTCGAGCTATTGGTGCTCTGATAACTTCCTCTTCACCTGCTCCACCGTACATCTCCTCCTGTAAGCGTCGAGCCATAGCTTCGTCGTCCTCCATCCCTGCAGCAGGTATGGTAGACCTACTTACAGGAACATCCTCTTCATCGTCGATGCTGATGGGATCTCGAGCGTTACCAGAGCCGACAGCCGTAGTAGACGACTCTGTGACTACAGGAGCGGGGCCACCAAGGTCAACTCCACCACTTTCGAAGAACAACGATACCGCCTGTTCGACATCGCCGTCTGTGACCTGGAGATATTGTCGAGCTCGGTCTGGTGTGGCATCAGTGAACGCCACCATCTGCGCGATGGCAGCATCCATCTTGTGAGGCTTGAATACGACTTGCTAAAGTAAAGAGGATCGTGCCTAAGGACTTTCTTCGAGGCGGCGAACAGAAACCGTTCGAGGAATCGTCGCCGAAAGTGTGCTTCGAGTTTGGTCGTATTTGCTCCAGATAATTTGGTAGTCAAGTTAGAGCAGCAGAGAGTGGGTTGATTCAACAAAAGAAAGGTTGGTCGAAGTTTTGCATGTATTGTTTGTAGTGGTGAATTATTACACACTTGTCGCTATTTGTTGATTGTTCTCGAAAGTCCCAGGCCGACACACGGCAGGCACGACCAGAATGACATAATGCCTGCGATTGCCCTGCAACACGCGGGACTGCGCTTGTCGATTCTGGTTAGATCGTTTTTGACCTCTTCAACTCCAAGTTCTCACAGAATTTCAAGTCGCTGATGTTCTTGTATTCTCGACATAGTATTCTCTCATCAGTCTAGACCAGTATGGATTGTTCTAAGTCGAACTGGGCTTGTCTATGAGTTGAGGAGATGTTATTACACGTTCGGTGACTATCAAATCAACTAATACAACCATTCAGTTTACATCCCACCAAACTCCTTGTCAAAGAGCTGGTCTGCAACTGCGAAACAATCGAAGCCGTAGATCATCTTCTGTACCTCGGCATCGGCCCAGCGATCAGGTACATGTCCCTTCCCTCCACTTGCACGCAAGGCAGCGAATGCTTTGTCCCGCTCTTCTTGAGCAGCACCTGCTCCAAGATGCATTTCTCTTCCTGAAGCCGCTGCCAGTCCTACTAATGTCTCTGCGCGCTCTTTTCGCACCTTCTCATATATTCTCAATGCTTTGCTAATACTTTGAGGTGATGCGTCTGGAATCTTAGCCATTACCACGCCTAATACTGCAGCATCTTCAATTGCTTGTGCTGCTCCTTGAGCCAGATGGGGCAAAGTAGGATGACAAGCATCCCCTACCAGGGCTGTCGTGTTTACCACCCAAGTTGGCAGTGGTTGGTGAACTCTGAGCTTCCATTCACATACCTCACCTTCAGGAACAAGGTCTAACATTCGTTGGATCATTGGGCAATAGTCTCCGTATACACTGAGCATCTGTTTCTTCGAGCCCTTTGTGGTATACTGAGAGTTGGTCGCTGAGGCAAAATTCACGTCTGGCTGAGTCGTCGAAAGATTGTATATCTGTTTGCTGGACACTGGGTAAGCAATGATATGGCGCCTCTCGCCTATCCACCGAATCACTTTGTCCGAGTCAATTAATTTCAAGAGTTCCGGGTCCCTGGACATCTGTTCTCTTGACAGCATGATTCGATATGCTGCTTGGTTAGTATCAATGATCTCGGCGTCAGCTTTCAGGTGCTTCAGCATAGCACTCCGTACGACTGACTTGATGCCGTCTGCGCCGAACAGTATATCGCATGTCACCCGCTGTGGCTCCTTACTTGGGTCTTTTCTCGGTATTGCCGTGAACGAGGGTCGATCACTCACCACATCTACATCCTCACATAACGTGCCGAAGCTGAACTTCACACCAGGATATCGCAAGCAACCATTCTGGATGCCTCGTGCGAGCGTCGAGCGATGCCCAACCATGTGCTCAAAACCGAACGCCTCCTTGATATATCTCAAGTCGACATGCGCCAGTTCCTCATCAGTGGCACCTTGCCTAATGCTCGTCTCGTTCAGTACGACTGCCTCCTTGGCAATCTCGTCCCACACCCCTAATCGGTCGAGTACCCTAGCCATGTTCGGTGCCATCTGTATGCCAGCCCCTACAAAGCCGAGGTCCGAAGCCGATTCGAACACATGGATGTCCTGGAAGCCAGCTGCTGCTAATGAAAGTGCTGTGGTCAGCCCGCCCATGCCCGCGCCAATGATGCATATCCTGAGACTTGCAATGGTTGAGTCGAGTCCCATGATAGGATTTTGTGGCGCCACTAGACTCATATTGTGTGAGAGCTCGGTGACCACTATCCAATATCAATACGCGTGAATTTTGTTATAGAATACCCGAAGTTTCGCCTTTGCAGGTAGGACACTGGCTGTCACTGCGAACACCTTGGCGGTCTCTCCCGAGGACCCAGTAAAGCGGAACGTGTTTGAGGATAGCGGAATTAATTCGCGCAGCACAAACCTTCTAGCCTTCTGGATGTATTGATGTTCAATTGCGTTTAGAGGTAGATCTGGAGGGTTATAGTAGACGACGAATGATCTCGAGATCGAGCAGGTATATAATCGAGCGACCCGTTACGGTACAAGTACGTGTGTTCATCTCGGCTGTTGAGCCCCGAATGTACTGCCCTGTCGCGGTACTATCGTGCTGGATGTTTATCAAAATTAAGCATCGACTTCTTCGTACAAGAGTGACTCTTCTCGTACGAAGAGACCTGTCTGAGTTTTGCACGCAACTCCTCACTTGCATTTCGGCAGATGACTTTCGATGCTCAGGCTAGGCATAGCGTGCTCGGCATGGACCTTCTCCAAACGCAAGCTCTGTAAAACCGACGATGTGAATGCAGTGCTGCCGCCAATATGGGCCAGTATCAGTTCGGCCGAAACTCGCTTTCTATATGCTGAACACTTTCCGCGATTCCATTTTCTAAGGAGCAAAGCTGACCTCCGCGGTTCTGGACGTGGCGTCTCTGCAACTTTGATAACGCTTGATGAGTGTCGCCGAAGCTTGTCCGGACAGTCGGCGTGGCTGTGCTGACCACTGTATGAGTACCTGCCTAAGAGGGAATGCTCATGGTATCTCAAGCTAGCTCTGATCTATACGCCAGTAATTCACACCACCGGCGTAGATAAGGACGACTCAAGAAAAAACGCTTCCACGTGGCTGTTTCGCCGGAGGTACGATCGACAGCATCTGGAGCAACTAGCAATGTACTTGGTATAGTAGTCGAGATGGTATACACACACGTGCTGACATCCCCCCTTCTGCAAAACAACCATTCATGCCCGAGGCCCACGTATTGTTTATTAACGCTAGTCCAACATCAAGGTGTACTACACTACCCCAGGCCCCGCCTCAAACCTAACTTTCTCTGAACTATCTGAACTTTTGCATGAGTTCCCAGGGCATGCGGGAGCAAACTTTCAGACCAGTGACTGATGTCATGCCATCCCAACTGAGTTTCTCCTTCATCCCGTTGGGTTTGCTGGACTAGTACAAAAGCTAGAGGTAGACAGCATACTCGTACTGTGTGTATCAAGTGACTCAGGCCATGCCTCTACTTCCAGAGCACATGTCAGCAGCACAACAATGCTCGCTCTTCTCTGCCGTCGCTTCGTCGACTGCCGACCACAGAGTTGAGCGCCACGAGCCAGTGTTTTTTTTCTCGACCAAGATATGTTACCAGTATCAAGGTTTTACAAAGATCGGGGTTTGTCCATCTGCCAATGGATACCACGGAGAAAAGTTTACACGGGATTCTAGCGGATGATCCCTCGGTTGGCACCACGAGACGTGATGTTGCACCCTGCTAATCGTCACGAACGCCTGTTTGCGATCTGCTTGGCGCTCGTATATCAGATAATACAGCCGCTTCAGCATTGTCTGCGTATTGTTGTCTGACTTATCAGATACATATATTTACCCACTCCAGCTGAACACTCCAAAATTCTGGGTCTATCACCACGTCGATAACTTGATTCGTAACAACCACTGGACTCCTCCACTAACTATTGTTAAATCAGACCACATCACAGGACTTCTTCTATACCTGACCAGAATCACCAGATCTGCGGCCACCGTCAGCTTGATCACAGCCAAGCACAAGCCGAAGTGGCACAACCGAGGTAGCTAGGTTGAACTGCTGCTCAATTTTGCCTCTGTAGGCCAAAGAGCTGCAATTTGCACGACAGCAACTGCTCAGCCATGACTGCAGGCCGTACAAGATCCATGGCAACTTCCACCATTCTTGGTTGTCGTCGGACGTACAAGATCCTCACTGTGTCTCGTTATCCCGACAAAGCAACATTGATGGTCAAGCGCTTGGCAGAAAAGATGAATGACAAGTACACTCTTATCCATGTCGCAAATTGTGAGCGTATGTCAAGCCTCAATCAAATGCAAAGCAGACTTCATGAAGCTGAAGCTAATACAAATAGGTGTCGAGGAAGTCTCTTTCCGCGTGCGCGATCTGCAGCCTGACATGCTTGTTTGGTCTTCGACCTGGACGCCTGAGCAAGTTGATGCGATATGTGATATTGCCAGGAAACTAGATCCAAATGTCGACCTCTGCGGACTGCCGGAAGAAATGCCAAGTCAGAAATCTGTCGATGTAATCTTGGCGAGGATGAAGACGAAGGGATTAAGTGCAGCTAATTCCGTCCCTGGTACGCCAGTATCAGCAGGGATGAGCGCCCAATGACAAGAGCAGAACCATCCTGGTTCGATGTTCTCGATAGCGTATATGGTATGAGCGTCGGCCTGCATGTCCTACTTCATTTTCATGGTATAATCGAAGCCATTGGCTTCACATAACCTGTTTTTCGCTTCATCAATGCACTGCCAGTAAAGCTGGACGATCCTGTTGGTGGAGACTCTGGTGGAGCCGGAGCTATGCTGTTCAAACATTCAGCCGAACCCACACAAAAGGACCACAAGGCAGATGTGCAACTCGGACTATCTCGTGCCGCATTGAAAGTCCAATAGTCTACTAGTAGCAGTCCGAGATAATTCCAGGAAGTCAGAGGAGAACGGAGCATCCAGCATGATGACGCTGCGCATAGAATTCATATTACACCGACTCCCCCAGATCAAGAATTCAGGCAATGAGGTCCGGACGATGGTTGTTCAGAACAGTACAATAATACTTTGACAAGTGATGACACAGTCCAACGTTCGAAAGGAATATCAAGCCACTCTCTTTTGGTATGTCCAGGGTGGCTGTTTAGTTCCCCTCATTGAAGAGCTTGTAGACACACTTCACTCCTTGGAGCAGTAGCGTGTGGCCCACGTTGTGATCGCATAAGACATGTCCCGGCATACAGATGGATGCAGACAAGAAGTAGCCCAATCAAAGTGGAGTGATATCCCGGGAGCCATGGCAACAAGTTGCTGAACGATTTAGATAAGCGGTACCAGTCGCAGAGAGCCAATACAACCAGCACGCTGGAGTTATCGGTCTCGTGACAAGGTCTTACTGATCGCAACTCGATAAGGTTCTGCCGCTGAACATCTCAATTACTCGAATCGACGTGTTGTGAGCATCGCCAAGCTTCTAGCCGGTCTGGCAGGCAGGCAAGCCAGCCCGGAAATTGTTCGGCGGTGTAAGAATGTCGTCGTGCTACAAGACGCGGTTAGTAAGATAGACGTCAGTTGCCTTGTCCAACGCGATCACAGTACCAGGTCTCGATACAACATTTCGTCATTCATGTAGAGGGCCGCGGAACTGCACTCTGTCAATGAAGAATGGCAGAAAATCTACCGGGCAGTTCTTTCCAGCTAGAGCTCCGTATGTTAAGTCCCTAATGCGGTGCGAAAGTCCAACAGCGAACCGCGTCACATCTTCTCAATCATAACTTATTAACGCGGACGAGCATTGACCAGAGTGTTTTCTGGCAGGCCACAAAGACCCCAAAAGGGAGAGAGAGATTAGCATCGACTTCTTCAAGCAGTTATCAAGTGTCTAAAGTGTTGGGCGCGCGCTGTTCCCATACTCAGGCTTGCAACCCACCGCTTCACTGGTACCGAATCTTGCACCTCGTGTAGGAGGACAACAATGTATCTCGCACAGCGGTGCATACGCAGAATCTGGAATGCTGTTACCTTTTTCTCTTAATTGAAGCTCCATGAGGTGTCGTTCTGAGGGTTCTTACATGACCGACCAAAGCAACTAACCCGGGAAATTTTTGGCAGAGCGAGAGTGATCTACAGTACCTGAAGCTCTCGGAAGTAGCGTTGTTTTGCACCTGACCATACTCTGTTTAACGAGATTCCCACAATACATCAAGTCTACCGCATATCTCTTTGTCAGTTGCAGCGGATGGAACCACCAGAACACTGTGGTGGATACCGCTTGCATTTCGAGGGATTTCGGAATTTTAGATAAGGTCAGCTGATGATAAAGATCGACGGTACTCATTCACCACTAAAGCCTCACTTTCGAGAAGTAGCAAAGCTCGCTTACCGTCACAGCCCTAGACGCGCGGGTAGATCGGACGCCTGACGAGCCTGAAAGTCGAGTACGTCTAGTTGTCCTTCCTACTCTGTGTCGGTGCGTCGTTGAAGACCATAGCCGAAATGCGAGCTCCAACTCGTGAGACAGTACGGAGCAACTTCATGTCCAGATTGGCCTTGTCAGCTGACAGATCAAAGACGCTTGAAACGAACATTTATAGTCAGCACGAATAGTGATGTGTCTACTACCTATATGGCATTGAAGCAACCAATTCATGCCTTTGCCGCAAGTTCTCCATCAATAAAGAATGATGATCCTCGCTCCTTTTGAGTCCCGTCTTTCAGTTCACGACGAATCTTGTAGCAGAGATACACACCCGCCACTTGAGCAAGTGATTATTCATCAGGTACGTAGTCTCAAGCTTAGCGACTGTCAACAATGAATCGTTCAACGAAATTGACGGTCTACTGGACTAAAGGTTCTGAGATTAGGCTTGAAGATTGAGCTTGTGAGCAAAGGCCACGTTGAAAGAAAATCTCCAGTTTGTGCCTTGTCTCTAATGCAGAAGCTGGCAGTTGCACCATTCATAATCGAATAATGTGCACCAACAAGTCGTTGATTCCTGGCCGAAAGACATGGCCGCCTCGTCGAGCTGAAAGTCGCCCATGGTCCACGCAAGTATACGCTGTGTATAAGGACATTGATTTGCCTTCTCTATCAAGCTCAAAATGGCTAAAAGATGGTGCAGCCACAACCACAACCAGTGCTGTCCAGAGACTGTCAGCCAACAGAATCACATTATGTGAGCAATGATCGGACTTTTACGTGTTGAAGTGTCAATGGCAGAAGAACACGTGCGTTGTAACGATTCTGCGATATGGCTAGAGAAACAGAGGCCTCTGCACGCTTATATCGTGGCATGAACGGCGTCTGCTCTACAAAGCCTCTGGTCGTCTAGCGCGACGTCCGGGACGACTGGAAGGACGTGTACCGGAAGTAAGCAATGGACCAATGATTTGTATTAAAGACAAGCTTGCTTTACCGGAATCTGACACGGAAGAGAGTGATGCAGTACAAGATGGTCTTTTCTCAGGAGTATGGACAACATGATTCGTGCTGTGAGACGAAAAGAAAGGCGGAAGAGAGGCAGCAAAGTGGACAGCCGATCAGAGGTGCAGGATCGTTTAGCGTGTTTCCGGCATGCCAAATTTGGAGCTGTCCAGTCGGATGCTGTGCTGTTGTTAGGCAACCCCAGCCCTACCAGAATTTGAGCCCCTTCTCTCCCTTCACACGTTCAGGATTGGTACGTCATGATGCTCAGCAAACAATGAAGCGCGTCCATGAAGTGTGCTGCGACCTGCGCGTGCAGCGGTAAGTCCAGGTTTAGCTTTCCCCTTGCATCGACCATCCAGGAACTTGACCCTCACAACAGGGCACACCCTTCGTGCCTGATCTCGCCTGTAGCTTGATTTGCTTTTACCTTCCAGCTTACGCGTTTCGCCAGACACTCACTGCGACCTTGATGTTGCAAAGACTTGATTGACCGTAGGCAGGCTTGACAGTCTTTTGGAGAAAAGTGCGCTAAGAAAGCAACTAAAATATTCTGCCTGTTTCGCTCCACTCCAACGCCTGATTTCCTGAATTGGCAGCCTGTGGGAGTCATAGTTGCCTGACGAATATATGACCAATACTTGTGGAAGTGTCGTTCTCACTTCCTACATAACGTCACATCTAACCAGCAAGTGTCTTGTCTACTTCCTTCACAGCCAAAAAGTACAGTAAAGTCGTCGACTGAATCGTTGCCAAGGCATAATTACATACCCGCAAAAGTGCCTTGACGAGCTCAGCCTCAACTTATCCACATTTGAGCCACCCACTACATATACCAGACACTGTCTCTGAGCCAGCAACAATTACCGTTCTCGACCATCACTCCAGCATCAGATTACACCTACAATTTACTTTCACCACAAACATCAGTCTCTGACCGCATCCAACTTTACCAAAAAGAACGGACTACCAACAATATGTCTGCCAGCTCAGGATCGAGTTACTCCTACTCAGCCAGCAGTAGGTCGAGTGGGTCACAAAGTTCTCGAAGAGAATCGACATCGACACGATCGGACATGCGTCCAGCACCAAGACCAAAAGCAATAATCCATCATCACAACATGCCAACAAGGGAAACCATTCAAAGAACCAAAGACATGGATTCCAGGCGATGGACTTGAGCAACACAGAACGATTTGTGGAATTGAAATATAAGCGATGGCGTTATGGGAACACTGGTGATCATGTACGAAGACTTTTTGAGGGACAACTTGGGAAGGGCGCGTATTGGACTGAAGGAATAGACATCAGAAGATTTATCTTATGCACTTGAGTGCAACGGGGCTCGACTACTGCTATCGGCTCCTTGTAACATTTTTTGGAAATCAGGGAAAGGGGAACTATGCTGGACGCGAGTCTGTTGTACTTGTACCGTTAACTGCCTTGTGTTTCAGGACATTCAAATGAAATTTTGCCATATCATTGCACACTTCTTCCAGCTTCTGCTCCTCCGCTTGCGCAACATCGAGTTCCCTACTTAGTTTTGCTTGAAACAGTACTCTTGCTATCGTATCACAACCAGAAGCGGCTACCATGATCGCAAAACGTGTCGCCTGATCACCACAGAGTTTGCCTTTCGCATTTCTGCTGTAGATCTTCATGCGGTGCCGATCAAGGAAGGTGACGATGTTCGATCTTGCAGCAGCCAATAACTGAAACACGTATGCAAACACGGACGTACTGCGCATCACTTTGCATGCATGATGATGTACATTTGTGGAGGCCCGGGTTGGCTGCTAGGGTGTTTAGGTTGGTGATCTACCGGAAACTTCCAAACACAAACGCAAACACCTCCTTGATTAACGAAAGGTACAGAGCATGTGGTGTTATAGTAATTGAACATGGGAGGCATGGTGTAGTTATGTTCGTTGTCGTATGCGCTTGGGACATGTTTATACAGAAGTTTGTGGGCTTTGTCAATATTGGTTTCTCGTTACTTAGGGGGAACCTTGAAGCAGCTGGGTCAATACTCTTAGCGAGGCGATGGATATCACAGTCAAAATTCCCAGTAAAGCCGATAGTAGTGCCACAATGTGAATACCGCTAAGAGGACATGAGATGTGCAGCGATAAAAGAGGGAGGGATAATAGACCTTGATAACCATAGGGTGGATAATGACTTTGATTCCAATATACACGATTGTTCAGAAGATTGTACTTTAATTGAGGCTATCCTCCTACCATGAACGCTAAATTAACACCATTGTGAATGATTGATTGTTTCCTTAACCTCCAGCTTTTGTCACACATTCATGTTCTCGCACATGAATCACAAATAGACAGCCAGACCCAAGAAGAAGCTACCCATGACACCTGCAGCTGGTAGGGCTAGGGAATTGGCGGCTCCGGTCGAGCTTGCGGTGGCGGCGGATGCGGCGGACGAGGCAGCTGAGCTAGCACTGCGGGAGACAGAGCTAGCAGCGGAAGCAGCACTGCTAGAAACTGAGGCGACACCACTTGCGATGGCACTATTGGCGCTCGAGTTGGCTGATGAGAGGCGAGATTGGATAGAGCTGATGGCACTAGGGTTGGTGGCAGTGGCAGCCTCACTGCTCAAGCTGGCGGCTACGCTGTTGGCGGAGTTGACGATGCTGGTGGCTGCTGACTGAGCTGAGGAGATACCTGAGCCTGCGGCAGATGTGATAGATCCTAAGCCTGAGGTGGCTTCCGAGACCACAGAAGAAGCTATACCGCTTGCTTGTGTGCCCAATGAATTGACAACAGAGCTGGCAGCGGAGGTAATGACGCTGCCGACAGCGGAGGTGAGTGCATCAAATTGAGCTGCGCCCAGGGTGGCTGCGGTTGCGAGGAGGAGTGGTGCTGCGACCTTCATCTTGTCTGATTGATAGTAGTGAGGGTTTGGTGTCTGTTTAGTTGGGTGCGAAAGTAGTGAGAATTGTTTTGGTTGACGGCTATAAGTTTGGAAAGAGGAAAGAGATAACTGGGGAAATGAAACTGCCTAATTTATAACAAGCTGGCAACGACAAACGGCGCAGTTACTCCTGCCAGTCCTCGTCAGCATTAATGCTTGTCCGCAACTGCGACCAATAATGACGGGTACGTGATTTCCGTTCGAGCTTGCGGCTTCATGCTTGATTGCTTTGGGGCTGAGTAGGATGTGGCTAAGCCCAACTTTGGTCGCAATTGAAGGGTGATTACTGGTTTCCGCCCGAGTATTGTGGAGTGATGACGCTGTTCTGATGCTGCCAAGCGTTTCACAAGCCACGACTCCGACCTGTGTCAGAGCACCGTGGCGAGCAGCCTGAACGATACTGAGTTGAGAGTAAGGACCTACCAACTTCCAAAACTCAATGCTGTAGACGCGGCCAGCAAAGTGATAGCCAAGATTTCCGCTCTGTAAAGCTTGAGAGCAAGTACCAGTAAACTAGCTGTATAGCAATCTGAAAATGGCAGCAAAGTGATGCTTGTCTACTACTTCGAGAAAACTGCCAATCAGGTTTTCCAACAAGTGGACCACCGAATACCGTGCCAAAATGCTTGGTTGAAAAGGCGTAGGAACAAGCCGTCGAATGCAGCTTCCCGAATTGTACGACCGTTTTGCGAGATCTTGAGCGTCGATTGAAGCATGCATCGAAGTGGCCATTGCTTCTAGTGTGAAATTACGAATGAGACGTGATTCCTGTATCGAAACCAGGTGTGTATTCATTCTTCGGTGAACGGATGAAGTAGAAAGCTGGACAGACTAGATTGCGATAAAGAGTGTGTTTATTAAGAGGAAGTCATGTTTCCTATCAATCTTTGCAAGACTAGGATCATCGAGTCCAGCATCAAAGAGACAACGATCGAGGCCATTGTCCTCGTGGTAGAAAATTACCGCTATGAACGCGGTGGTTGGAGCTCACCACGGCTATAGTGCTTAGAATCTATTTTCAGGTGATAAAATCGTTCATGTTCATGTTTACTCGCTACCATGACTTTGCGCTCACAACTGATCACCACCGACGCAATCGTCAGCTCCCGCATACCCCATGGTGACTAATCCCGCCGAAGCAGATTCAAGCCCTCATCAATAGCTCCACGGCGATGCACGTACCACCATTTCGATCACTTATGATATGGGGATTGAGGCGTGATCCAGAAGTACCTGCTCTATCCGATGCAGCACTAGTAATGTGATGGCTCAAAAGTGGCCAGACTGTCGAACACTGGTATTGTGATATGCATCTTGTTAATCAGGCCCAACGAGCCGATTGGACTCAAGATCACAGCGCTTATGCAAGAAGGGCAGCGGCAATAGAACGTGATGAAGGCATTGAAGCAGGGAAGAAGTATGGAGCACGAGTACGAAAGTCTCAATCGAAGCAAGCTTCGCTCTTGTCATTACTGGTCTCAAGACTATCTAGAAAATTTTGATGGCCACGCTGGTGGCTCACCTTTCATCGTGCTATCGACGATGCGAGTTTGTCATGGCTCAAACCATGTCTCGGAATATCCTCCTCTTCTTGCGAGGCAGGGCAAAAACTTTGCCCATGGGGTATCTTTGAAATAAAAACGAAACGATTCTGTCTTCAGTCGCTATGCAAATGTAATAGTAAAGATGTGTGAGCTTTTTGGCACGATGGCTATACTGCTGTGAATGAGGTTCGCTGAATGTATGGTGGTCGTGAGACCGGTGAGATCTTGATAGGAAATAGATGCAGGTGTACATTCTCATGGTGAGCAAACATGATAGTGGTGTGTGGAACGGCTTCCCAAACGTTGTCTAGATGGCAGTAACGTTGTTCTTTTTCAATGCTTTGGCGAGCATGAGCTTGCGCATCCACTCAACTCTGTCCTTGCTAGAGGTAACAGCAAAATGGTGATTGCCTGACTTGTCAAACAACTTCTTGTCCTTGTTGTCCTCAGGAACAAGAGTAAAGGCAAAGCTAGGTTCTTTGGTTGCTGTTCCAGAGACCTTAGCAAATGCTGACTTGAGCTTGGAGTTTGATGTTATTGTGTAGGCGTGGACTTCATATTCGTCTACGTCGATAGTGTCGAGAACAGTATGGTTGACGTCACTGTTGTACATATCTAGCTTGTTGCCGTTGAGTTGAAAGTAATTATCTTGCCACTCGTGCCTTAGCATACGAGTGGTCTTTCGTTTTCGCATCCAACCTTCGTGGTTCGCAAGGTCGATTTCGCTGGTGATAGGTGGCGTCTCAATTACCGGGTCAATTGCTGGCAGAAAAGATGGTTGTCTCCGACGGCTAGGTTGAGTGGAAGAGCATCGTCGGATTGGCTCGAGGATGGTATTTTCTAATGGAACGCCATATCTCATCTCTGGTGGAACTGACTGAGAGACCTCGCGTTGACAAGGATCAATAGGAAGAGCAGTCACAGGCAAATCAGTGACTGACATAGGCGTGGCAACCCTATAGACGTCCACTGGCGAGGCAACACCACCATAATGGAAAGGATCTTTGCGAAGTGCAGCTTTCAGATCCGATTGAACCTGAGTTGGGTTGCGGAGAGCGGAGATAGGTGTCCTATCAGGGCTGTCGCTCACTTGTACCACAGACGGTATCCAAAGTCGAGGTAGTTCTTGTCGAAGGTTGGAAGATTTGGCTGCAAATATCGCTGACGGAGCTGAGGGTGGAGACAGGTCCTTTGGTCCTCGAGTACCTTGGAATTGGAGATACTGTCGGACATGATCCTGCGGGTCTCGAGGCTGGACATTGTTGAGGTTCTCAGGAGTAATAGGAAGAGCTACTGGTCCCAAGACATCTGAAGAGGCAGCCACTGACGGTCCAACAGTTGAAGGAGCGACGATTGACTTTGCATCCAGCTGCTCGACTTCCTCTGCAAAGTCTTGCTTGATCTTCTGAATCTTGCGTTGCTGCTTTTGCCGTTTTGCACAGTCTTCTCCCTTTGAACAGACATGAGGCTCGGGAAGCAGCTGCTCAATAGCGACGATAGAGATTGACTCAGCGGGAGTAATAATATCCCGCATATGTCTACCATGTCGAGATCTTGATCGCTTCTGAGCTACAACGTAAGTTTCGTCTGCTCGGGTGGTTCGAGATAGTGACTTGCTGGACTTTATAGGTGAGGCAGTCAGAGGAAGTTGATCTTCAGGGTGTACCATGCTGCTGTTGCGAAGATGTTGTATCGAAGACATAACACGTCTACGCTTGCCGAAGGATTCGATGTCAATCTCCTTGAGATCTTCGAATTGAAGATCAAGAAGTACGGACCCATAGATGTCGTGGATGAGGAACTTCTCCACTACAGAGGATTCAAAACCTGCTTCGGACATCCAGTTGGCTACCTGCTGTGGTGACCAATTCCGAACCTGTGTCTCATCGAGTCGGGCAACTGCAGCAGGTAGTGAAGAAACGCGGCGTGCTTCTGGCTTAGTGATCGGGACAGGTGACAGTTCAAGGACTTCATGAGAGCTGTGCGCGGAAGCTGTTCTGAATAAATGTGGTCCTACAGGGCCCTTCACTGGGACTGGATCAAAATGAAACGTGAACCCTCCCAAACCAGCAGTATCTGGAGGTGTAGGTAGAGCGTCTAGTGACGACGTTGTGGAGTGACTGTCATATTCTAAACTTGCTGGAGACGATGTATCGAAATCGTCCTCGTCGTCTGTATCAAAGATGACTGTGGCTTCGGAAAGAGGTCTTGGTGCTGTTGATCGCCGACCGAACATGGCAGGCATTGTTAGCACTTTCTGTTGCATCTCTACGGAGAGAGTGTTGTCAATGAGCACACCTTCCATGGCGATAGACAATGGAAGGAATGTCTTTGGTAACGCGATGAAGCTTTGCTAGCAAACTCGGTGACCTCAAGACCGTGTCCAGAGGGAGAAGATACCATATGTATAGACGTCTCCATGACCAGCATGGGGGCACGCGCCTCCGACCCTGTTGAGATGGTGCAATGTGACGAATTGAGGATCAAGAGTGTATCCTGAGACTCGATGTCGTGAATAGTAGTCAAGTGGGGCAGCAGGAATGTGGGCGGCAACAGAGAGCACGAGAAAGCGTCCTTGGATCGTAGACGAGTGAAGCTAATGCACCAGGAGTGCAGGAGCTTTAGGCTAGGACTGCACCTACGAGGATCGCTAGGTCAGTGATATGGCCAATGGAACATGCCGAGGGCATGAAACGGCAGTCTTCTCCACGAAAACGCTCCACCAATGATCGTTAAAAATAACTTGGTCCTTCACCGACTCACCAATCAAGGTAGTAACCGCCCGTCTGTTCGATCTTGAGTTTTGAGCACTTTCTCTCTCCCAATCAGTTTACTGGTTGCATGGCATGGGCACGTTCCCTCCCATTATGCGTGCCGTACCACATGAAAGCTAGCCCGTCGTCTAACCTCCTGTTTTCCGAAAGAGCTTAGGTTGCTCTCTTTGTGACTGATATGTGACCCATTATCCTCGACTAGCAACAGCCTGGTGCTCGGAGGTCACCTTTACAACCAGGCTCTGGAGATCGTTGAGATGGTGCTCGAGTACACGCGCGGCCGATCCTTCTTGAGTGGACTTACATAAGCTCCGCTACAAATCCTCAGATTTCAAGTAACATCCTTACAAGAAAGGAACATAAACCCCGACTCGAGCCCTAGCACTCAAGTAAAGCACGCAACACAACATCCCTGCATATACAGCTCTCAGTGTTCGACGATACTCAATTATGTCAGTGCTCTCGGTACATTTCTCAACCTAGAATGCACAACATCGGTAGGAGAAAATCTTCGGACATTGTAATATGCTTGCCTGGTCCTACCCTCTGCGCATATTTAACCATGAAGCTTCGAGAACAGGTCTGACTGCTCCGCGACACATTCATGAGACACAAGATGGAAAAGGGCTCAAAGACCCTGTCCGTAGGCCACGAAACCGTTAGAAACTGCAGGGAGGCCGTTGTGGCATAAGCATTATCACACTCGCGTGACGTCGATGCAGGTACTTCCAAGACTGTGTGACTTGACTGGTTGCATTGTTCTTCTTCACAATCAACACATTATCACAGCATGTGTTCCAGTCTTTTGTACTCAGCACGTGCATCTCGACATGGGTCATCCTGGCACGAGTTAATGACAGTATCTTGCACATTTTTTTCTACTAAGGGACAAAAGAAAGTTGGACGTGTTATTGAATGGTCCCAACAGCAAAGCAATGCAAGGTCAGCTAGCAGATCTACCACTCATTCACGATGACTGATTGCTCGAGCACAAATACTTTCCGGAAGCTGTCTTAGACTTTCAATTTATCCCTTCCACAACACTCGAGGACACCGAAGTATGGTGTCAGAGCCTCGGTCGCCTCGACGGATTATACCAGGTATGTTCCTCGCGCATCGAGGACTGAACACAGCTTCAGATGCTCGTAACGTTACTCTTCCGTAGACACAAGGAAGGGCTTAGGAGCATGTGTGCAGAAATACTGGTAGCTGAATGGTCTTCTTCTCACTTTGTGAATGCATCTTTCGATCTCATGAGGTGGCTGGTACCGATCACAAAGTTGATGTCGTGTAAACTTACGGACAATCTAATCACGACCAGCATGGTGGAAGGCTAGCACTACGTATCTTGGGAATAGCGGTTGTTGAGTTCTGTATCGTGTGAGAAGCGGTATGGAATAAGCCGAAATGGATATCCTGCAGCGGACCGTCAGTTCATCGGCGTCTTCATGTGCTGCCGCTAGTCTGCCGAAGTTCTCCAGATTGACGAAAGCTTCACAAGCTGGCCAACCACCTTCATTAAGTAGTGAACGTCGGATCAATTTTTGATCTCGGCCGTGCCTGGTGTGAATTCTAGACCAGCATCGCTGAGATGGCAGATAGTACGCAAGACCTTGGAACCTGCAGTACTATCACTGATACGTGACTAAGTTCTGCGATCTCTGCTCTGCCAGAGTTCACAAGCTGGTCAGCTCATGCTGTCGATCGGTCATCGGCTGTTTGTCATGACCTTGCATTAATTCATGATAATGTCGTGGTTTTGTGTCCAAAGAGCATGCATTCGTTACATCAGTCGACGTTGAGGCTAACCCAAGATGATTACCCCAGTCTTTAGTGGTCTGTGCGTCTTACTTTTCGCTAAAGGAAACTATCGATATGTGCTTGAACAGCACCAAGCTAATGCACGACAGAACTTGTCATCACAAGATGTGATAGGCGCCACGGGTCAACGCCATCGGAACTGCTCGTGACCAATGAGCTGTGGGAACAGGTGTGATTTCGTGATCTGACCACTTATCAAGTGCTGTGTCTGATTTACCTGGCCAGAAGCAGCACGTTCTTGACGTACTCGATGTTCTCTTGAATAGTGCTAAGCACAATCACACCAGCTATGGCGGTACAAGTTATTAGAAGCTCGGGGATGTTGAAATTGCTTTAGGGGCAGACTACACATTTTCATCTCCTCTAGCTGAATCTATCTGATGTGTAATATTAGAAATGGCCTCGATCAGGGAAACGTGCGACTCTCACCGAGTAGCATGATTTAGCCTTCGGTCTTTGCACCTCTACCGTAGTGGCTTTGTGCTTGTTTCTTATCAAAAGATGACCGAATCATTGGAGCAGTTTATTCCTGAGCATTACAGAGATCTACCAGTCGATGCGAAGCACGAGAGAGACAATGCCCCCATGAGTTGATTGACCAAGGCATTCGTACATCCACAATATCGCACGAGTCAAGGTATTCGGACGCGGGACATGATCTAGCGAGAGGACATTATATCCACCCAGCTGCTTAGCCTGGCAAGTCAATGGGGTTATTGCGTGCATATTTACATGTTGTGTCAGTCTCAACATATGCCGACCTGGGTCGTCCAAGAATGACGAGAACAGTGGCCGTGGCACTACTGTGTATACCCGTGAGTTTCGTCCTATGTTGTATATGGGTCACGAGGACGTATTGAGTTCCTGATATCGTGGAGGTTCGACATCTCTTCATACCAGTCCCAGATGTCGCAAGTCATCAACCATTTTAAATGTTTTGAAAGGGTTCGCAACACCGTAGTCAATGGTGCCAAGGTACGGGATTCGATAAGCAGCATACAAGATAGCCTTTGTTAGATCAAGTGAGCTTGGGAGTTCTGTGAGCACAAGCAAGCTCTTACTCGAGTACTGGGCCGTGAGTCAAATTTAGAGCGCAACCGCCGAGCTCTTTAGCCTCTACCAATCACTGGCAGCGACGACAGAGCTGCAGATGCATCGTTCATTCCAGCCACTGAGAGGCTGGACTAGTGGGGAGCTACCGTCCCCACCTCTTGCTTGGCTTGACCTTGCCCAACTCTATGCAGACAAACCACAACGCTTCATGCGTCTCTCGACTCATCCTGCAGACCTCAAGCCATCCACTCACGTCGCGAGCACCGGACCTCCTGCCGACCTCAACCATGGCCATCTTGCTTGCCTACCTTGTTCTTCCCTACACACCACATGACAGAACAATGGCGCCTTTCCCATGGCCAAACAGGCGCGATATCTTTAGATACTGCATCCCATTGTAGCCTTCCCATTCGCTCACCTCAAACATCTCCTGCCAGTTGATCCAATCACATTGTTGTTGCGCGCTTGACTTTGTTCTTCGATCTTCGACCTCATCTGGTGTGCACTGTCGTTACTGACAAAAATAGATTCTTGCATATGCAAGACTGCCGCGTTGATACTCATATACACAAGTCTCATCTGCCGCCAGCGTCTGAACTACCCGTTCTCGCTCTCAGAGGCAGGACCGCTGTGACCTTGTTGGACTTGCAACTTCGTTGTCGTCCTTTGGGCACTTTGCAAAGACAGCTGGGCTGACTTTGCGCATTCACTCCTTAATATCTAATTCAGCAAAGGTGCAACGGCGGTCTCAATCTGTTCTTTCGTCTACCAGGGACTGGATCCCCGTGTCTGTATATTGACCACTTAATTTGCAGCTTACTTTGAGCGTTCTCAGAAGATAGAAGATCAAGTTAGACAGTTCAATAGCGTTATGGCACAGGCGGCAGAACAGCAGGCTTCGGCGGCGGGCAAGGTATCGTCGCCAAAAAGTTCAAAGATGCACAGAAGGTCAAGATCTGGTAAGTCGCATGCGTCTCTCGCTCGATCGATGAATACTAAAGAATTCCAGGTTGCTTTACTTGTCGTCTGCGGCGCAAGAAGTGTTCCGAGGAGAAGCCTAGGTGTCGAGCATGCCGAAACCTTGGACTCGACTGTGAATACAAGAGACCGGCTTGGTGGAGTAATAACGAAACTAGGAGGAAGCAGAAAGACCTGATCAAGTCGCTCATTAAGCGTACGAAGACAACTGAGAAGGCCGCTTCACAAGAGTCTGGGAAAGTACAACCACATGCGAGACATAGTATGCCACCACCAGACTGGAATCCAGCAAAGAGAGCGGACTCGGAGGAATCTGACGACTTCGACGATGGTATCATGGATCCCTCCTTTCCAAGCACTCCTGGGTACTACGATCCGCATGCACAACAGTACTACGCTGCCTCATTTGCTCATCCAGAACTCTATGGTCAAGGCTTCACCTACGAAGTTGACGTGAAGACAGAGAGGCAGATGTTTGTCAACGATATCCCAACACGTAGGGACTCATCGATATCGACGTTTAGCACTTTCATACCACCACCTCCACCTCATTCAGTGCTGCCCTCTTACACCGGAGACGACCTTCTACAAACAGCTCATTTCGAAACGCCCACTGACTGGCACGGCGAGGAGGGACTCGACTTCAACTTTTTCGATTTCTCACATGGGTCGCATCTACCTCAGGCTACTCAAACAGCACAAATAGAAGTAGACGAATGCGATCAGCCTCTACTCAACCACCTCATCGAGAACATCCTACCCATGGTGTTCCCCATCCTCGAGGCCAACCAGCATGGATCTGTCAAATCAGAGGTAATACTACCAGCACTTGAAACAAACAAAGCATACCTACATTGTTGCCTCAGTGCTGCTGCTATCCATATGAAGTCGATTGGGCTCAATGCTGTCGACAACGTGGACGGTGACATTCTCAGGCACAAGTTCGCATTTGTGCAGGAAGTTGTTGGCAACCTAGGTGCGGATTCGAACCATCAGCAAGTGCTCGAAGCGACTTTGGGTATGATTTCACTGCAATGTATTACTGGCCACGCAGAAGATCTGGAAAGAGATATTCCCTGGCACCAACATTTTCAGGCTGCAGTTGAGCTTGTACGGAAGCTCGAATTGCCACAAATATTGGAACAACTGCCACCTCAGCCTCACGACTGCCGCCCTCCGTTCAACATGACATTGACCGCATGGATCGATATCCTCGGAGCAACGATGATGGGACGTGCTCCCGTCTTCGCCGACACTTATCGAAACAGACATCTCGCAGCAGGCAGCACGGGACTAGCTGAGCTTATGGGATGCCAAGACAATGTTATGTATCTACTCTCTGAAGTTGCATGTCTAGATGCACTGAGGTTGGAGAAGAGGTTGGACGACATCGGTGTCTGCTCTCACGTGCAATCTCTGGGCCAACAGCTGGATGCCACTGAAATGTCAAACGAACTAATTCAGCAGCCATACTCAAGCTCTGGTGCCATCAGACCACGCCAGTTATCGCGCAACATCACGGCGATCTTCCGAAAGGCACTACGGTTGTATCTATGTTCCTTGGTTCCAGGATTTGATCGATTCGGGAATGCTGCTGTCAATCTGGTACAATCAATCACGGATATGCTGCAATTTATTCCCTCTGGACCGGATGGATACGATAGGTCACTGGTCTGGCCTCTACTCATTGCCGGCTCGAACTCGACTCCAGCTTCAGCATTCCGCAGGATCTTCTCTGAACGCACAGAGATGTTAGGTGTGGCAGGCAAGACTGGTAATCTGGGTCGTCTCAGTCGACTGTTGAATGAGCTGTGGAGGAGAAACGACGAAATTGTGTTGTCCGCTACTGTTTGTGAGGCCACACCTATTACGGCTGGAGCTACAAGTCCCTTGGCCCTCGGCAACGTCAATCATTCGCCACTACCATCAGCGAATGCAAACGTGGCCCACGGTGCTAATTTGCAACATCGACTGCAGGAAGTTCATTGGCGTGATGTCATGCGTGAGCACTGCTGGGACTTCCTATTGATTTAGTGTCTAACTTCAAGCACTGAAACTAACGTTAATGCCTAGCTCGGAGCATGCTCTCAGCTTGCGACAATTACTCTACTGCAAAGCAGGCACGTCGAAGCAGCCGTCTCCGACGATCGTGTTCGACAGGTCTGCAGAAGGCAACTCAAATTTTGAAGTGAATCCAGTACTGGTCGAAGAAGCATGGCTGCGATCGAGACAGCTCTCGCAGAGCACCGGCGTTATAAAACTTTCGAAAACTACCTTACGAAATCACGAATCTCTATTCAGCGTCGAAATGTTACAGAAACTTCAGGTACAAGATAATATTGTATGTAGGGTCCTGCTAGACAGGCTGGGAAAGTCCGAAAAATCATATGTCGATATGGTCAAGGGCAGGACCCGTGGATATGGCTAGGTAATGTGGGGAGCATGAACGAAGAGATATGTAGGGGTGTGTAGTGAAGCTGTTCTAGGTTGCCTTTACAGCAGAGGCGTTGATACGCTCTTTCTGATTCTGGAGGTATACCGTTAAATGAGCTGCAGGCAGGAAATTGATGGAAGGAAACAAATAAACCAAGCACACACTCGTTTTCTTCAAGCGCTTCCGCTTCCTCTCCACATAATTAGCACTTTTGAGTTGGAATGTACTTTTGATATTGATATACTAATGACATTCTAGAGAGCGAAGGTGCACGACATGCACGAGTACTCACCTTAACAAAGCAGGAAACTGCCAGCTTGCAACTATTGCGCAGCTATCACCTCCCCATCCACCCTCCATCCACAGTCAATATCTCTCCATTCACATATCGACTTGCCTCACTTGCCAGAAAAATAGTCGGGCCCTTAAAATCATCCGGCGTCGCCCACTTACCCGCAGGTATGCGTTCCAATATTTGCGGAGCTCTAACAGGATTGTTAATCAACGCCTCATTCATATCCGTCGCAACATAACCCGGCGCGATGGCATTGACATTCACACCTTTACTAGCCCACTCGTTCGACAAGGCTTTCGTCAGCTGGCCTACGCCTCCTTTCGCGCTGGCGTATGCTGGGACAGTGAGGGCGCCTTGAAAGGTAGCTAGACTTGCGACGTTGATGATGCTTCCTCTGTGGCCGGATGGGGATGGTGTACGAGTCAGCATGTATGCGCCGATATCTCTGCAGAGAGTGAAGACGGTGGTCAGGTTAACTTGGAGGACTTCGTCCCAGTCGGCTTGGGGGAATTCGTGGGATGGATGTCTGCGTTGGATGCCGGCGCAGGTGATGAGGATGCTTGGGTCGTGGTTGTCGCTGAGGATGCGTTTTGTTAGGGTGGCTACGTCGGATTGTTTGGAGAGGTCTGCTGTGTAGATTGTTGATAAGCGGCCGAGGGATTGGATTTGTTGGTGGGTGGTTGTGTTGGTTTCGTCACGTTGGATTAGTATTATGCCTGCTCCTGCTTCAGCGAGGGCGATTGCCATTGCGGCGCCGATGCCTCGTGTGCCGCCAGTAATGACTGCTGTTCTTCCTTCGAGGGAGAATATCTTTGGGTAGGATAAGTTTGAGCTTGATGACATCTTCGGATAATTTGAGAAGGCTGTCTATCTGCGGTAGGCCTGCTTCGAGTTCTATAAGGTGAATCTCCTAGCTTAATTTATGAATAATTGACTTTCCTTCTGCGGTCTTTGTGTCTCTGTGCTTGCGAAAGTTCCAAACAGAAGAGTGAAGCCCTTCGTTTTGTTTAGCTTGTTACCTACCTTCCACTACTGATATGGATCGGCACGATGCCGGTGTGAAGGCAAGTCCCTTCATCTTCGGGAGATCGCCTAGGATAAGAAGCAGATGTGGAGTGAATCTCAATTACGTGGGATGCCACATGGAATATGGTGGCCTCATCGGACACTCATGAGTTTTCATAAAACTTGCAGCACAGATCACTCAAGCAATCTGGTAGCCCGGCTGACTGGTATACCAGTACACTATGAGAGGATTGGAATGAAGGACGTGAGCTATTTTCAGTTTCCAAGCTTTATGGCTTCACAATAGCGGAGCTCATCAGGATCCAATGGTACAGCCATGCAGTCGCTATCCCCACTGTTACGTCGATCCCAATTACAAGGCAGGCTCATTTGTGTAACCGCCTGAGCTGCGAACATTCAGGCGGCTTGCTCTGAAGACACTTTCTCAGTTTTGGACGTTCTCTACACTCATTCAGCGCAGCAACCTTGACATTGTCGACGAAGAGCAACAGCATCGTGCAGAACCAAGAGCAGCAAGAGACGCAGTATGCCACCTTTACCGGGCGAAGATCGTCTGGTCACAGTGTGAGTCGCGCTTTCCGCAACGCGATACGATTTCAATAGTCTAATGCATGCACAGCTTTGCTGATTGCCATTACTATTTCGGACAACCTACAGTGCGACCTTCGGTCCATCGATTTGACAAAGGTTCATATTTCTACATATACTACAATGCTACGAGAAATTCAAGCAGGATAGAAGTCGCAAACAATCCTGGCACTGCTGATCAGGATGCATTCAATGGATACATTGATACCTGTCGCATCACAAATTCCGAGCGCTTCCCAACGCGCCTGACGATCGAGGTTGATGGTGGCACCCCTCAGAGTCCGAGCTCACCGAAATCTAGTCGCGATCCACAAGAATGGCATCTCGCGACAGGAGATCCGAGGGACAGCAGCAGAACCAAGTACAGATTGCATACCATCGATGTCTACTTGTGGGCTCAGGACGATGCTCGACTGGTGCTGGAATGTTTCAAGAAGCTTCTGCCTGCCAAACAGCTTAATGTACCCGAATATGAACATGATCAGGGCTTCCATGAGCCAGAAACAGCTATGGGTCAAACTCCAGCGAACCAAATGAGCCCTGTTGTGCAGAATCTCGAGAATATGGCTGTGCACGATCCTGTGTACAATGGACAACAGAAGGGCGCCAATGCTGTCAGTCCAACTTCGTCCTTCGCGAGCCACAACATTCCTCCACCACCACCAGTCGGTGGTCCAGCTAGACAGCCGTTGCACTCTCCTTCCCCTGCTTTCTCAGACCTCTCTTCACAACCAGGAAGACAGTCCTCTATACGGAGTAACAAGCAGCAACCTGCTGATTTTGCACCTATGGCTTACAATCCTGCCGCACCTGCTGCGCCTGAGCCTATAGCACATAGAGAGAAGACGCCTCCACCAGAAGATCACGCAGGAGGTACTGGCCTCAACCAAGCCACAAGACACGATCAGATGTATGTTTCTGGCCCGCCACCTCAAGGGTCGTCACAAGCCGGCTACCAGATAGGTCATGGCGCGCCAGTCACTTTTGGTGGTGGATATGCTTCACCTCCTCCACAACAACCAGGACTCGCAACATCTTCTTCTTCGCATCAGCAGCAACTATATGCTCACACAACATCTCCACCACCCCCGCCCTCGATGACTGGATATAGTTCACCACCTCCTCCTTCGGGCTATTCCTATGGTGGTCAACCTGACCAACGAAGTTCAACCGGATCTGCGGCTCCGTCCTTCGGTCCAAATCCTACAGGTACACTACACCAAGACTCTCGTGGTTCAGCAGTGTCTACTGCTCCTTCCTTCGGCCCAGGTGCACCGAGCACACTTTCTTCACAGCAATCTCATCCTCACAATCACTCTACTGCGGCAGAACACTACGTTCCCCAAAGCGCTCACGATCCCATCCCCACACCTGGCACTCAGTTCTACAGCAGCTTGCAGCCCCCCAATAGGCCTCTCAGTCACGTTCAACCACAATACGCTGACTACCTCGCTGCAGGCAGTACACCTATCCAGAACACTTCTGCGGGAAACCTACCTCCTGGTGGCTATAGCCAATACAACTATGGCCAGGGGGCGCAGCAGCAGCAGCAGCAGCAGCACCACCACCACCAACAACAAAACAACGATAACCCATACGCAATACATCAACAAGTATATCGACCAACAGAGGCAGAAGCAGGCAGTCATCATAGGAAACAGAGCCGGACAAATACCGCAGACGGAAGGCACAGGAAAGAATCGACGACTGATAGAGTGGAAAATCGAGCTAAAGGCTTGTTCAAGCGGGTCGAGAAATATTTCTGAGCAAGAGATGATAACCTGTAACAGTACAGATGAGCGTTGAGCGTCCTGAAACCACTTAATTCAATTTACAGACAGCTATTCGATCTTATTCTGTCTCCGTTGTTACTGTTATCCCCGCCATCCTAAACAGGCTCAACTACAAAGTATACCTAAACCCGGCAGCAATCTGCGCATCCGTCGGTCCACTACGCCCAACATCATGCGCAGCATCAAGCTTCCCGTTCTGTCTGCTCAGATACACCCTCGTCACCGTCGCCACAGCAATAGCCCCAACCGCCGCAGCCATCAACACTAAAAACGCAACCAAATACCTTGGAGCACTATGATACAGATAACTCCCCTATATATTCGCCGTGTTACTCACGGCATTAATCGCCGCAATAGCAGCAGCTCTCTTGACCTTCGGCTGGTTAAGACTGCTCGTGATCCACGAAAGAATCACGATCGCTGTGCTATAGAAGGATGCAGGCACGAGCACCATTGCTACATATCGCGCTGCGGTGTTGAGGGTTGAAACCGCGATGATGAAGGCGAGGACTGTGACTGAGAGAGGGGCGACGATGTGCCAGTACCGCTCTTGTCGCTTGTCGGAGTGAAATCCGTTGATGAGCATGCAGAGCACGCAGAGCATGAATGGTGGGGCAGTCAGGCCGTACGTGGTATTTCGATTGAATCCTAGTGTTGACACGACGCTAGGGAAGAAGTTGATGACCGTGCGGCAGATATATGTGGATGTGAGGAGGGCCATCATCAGCCAGGTTTTTGGGTCTTGGATAGCGAGGACTAGACCTTGCCAGGCTGTTTGTTCGTCGCTGTTGTCTTGTTGGCCGAGGTCGCGCTCAAAGTTCCATTGGATGTATTCGCATTCGAGGTTGGAGAGGGTGAGGATGCGTTTGTTGGAGTTGGGGAGGATGAAGGCGAAGATCAGGGCGAGGCCGATGGTCAGGACGCCTTCGACGATGAAGTGCCATGCTGAGAGACTATGCTCTGATGCTTGGGTGTTGAAGTCATCTTTGTAGAAGGCTTGAGGCGGAGTAGTAGTGAATGTGATGAGGTAAAAGGCTACCGACCACGATGAAACAGAGATAACATGTTAGACAAGGCAAGACGGAGCTGTGCCGACCTTCGTTCTTGGTATATCATCGTGACACGCTAATCAACGCCGTTGCTGATCAAACACTTGAATGACTATCCCAGCACTGGTGATAACGCTCAATAGCCGTGGTGAGAGCAAGAAGATTCACACTAGTATGCGCGTGTGGCTTGTGAGGAGGTAGATCTCTTGGCACGGGGGAGTGCTGGAATCCGGGGCCCCCACAAATTCACTTTCAGCCTTTGTTCGCCCTCCGGAGGCCTTGATAGAGCGGCGATGGTCAGTGACTTGCTGGGCGCAGAATCTCGTGTCTTTGGTTAAGGTTTCTTCGGTCCATATTAAATCAGACATCCATACTAGCGCTGGTAAGTACGTCGGCGTCTCACGGCAAATGAAGTGAAGTCGAGCAATGGTAGGGGCGTAAGTTCGAAATGCTCGGACCTGCTCTCATGCAGTGCCAGCCTCCGCAACTTAAAAGTCACAAGACTATCGGCAATTGACCACAACTGCAGTTGAGGCTCTCGGCTATTGGAGGTCTCCGGCAATGTGCTGCCGACATAACGCATAAAGTCCATCCCCCCTCCGATCAGGTGGCCACGCTCAGCCAGTGCTCTGTAAAGCTTCAGCGCGCACCTGTATCTTACATAGACAGCAGCATGGCCGATACGACCAAATCGGTCGTGATCAACATGCACAAGGAAGACGTCAGCTCCCGGCTGTCGAGCGAAGACCTCAAGCAAGAACATCATGGAGATCGTGCTCTATCTATCATTGGCAACCAGCGTGTCGTCGTGACCGAAGAAGACAACCAGCGCATCAAGCGCAAGACTGACAAAGTCATCCTCTCTATCCTGGTATGGGTCTATTTCCTACAAATCCTGGATAAGTCTGTCCTAGGTTACGGCGCCATTTTCGGTCTTCAGACAGACACCAACCTTCGTGGGAATCAATACTCGCTCGTTGGATCCATCGCGCCCATCGCACAATTGGCATGGCAGCCATTCTCGTCATGGCTCATCGTCAAGGTTCCTCACCGAATCCTAATGCCATCTTTGTGTCTTGGGTGGGGTATTGCCCAGACATGTATGGCTGCGGCCATGAACTTCAAATCTCTGATGGCAGCCCGCTTCTTTCTCGGACTCTTCGAAGCAGGCTGTCTTCCTCTCTTCTCGGTCATAACATCTCAATGGTACCGCAGATCAGAGCAGCCAATCCGCGTGGCTTGCTGGTACGGCACAAATGGAGCAGCCACTATGGTGGCGGCAGCCCTATCGTACGGACTCGGACATATCAAGAGCGACTCACTACACGAATGGCAAATCATCTTCATGTTCGTTGGTCTCGTGACGGTTATCACAGCCCCGTTCATCTACTGGAAACTTGACAGCGACATACCTTCAGCTCGCTTTCTCACAGAGCACGAGAAGGCACAAGCAATCGAGAGACTTCGTGCTAACCAGACCGGTACCGGCTCTCGCGAGTTCAAATGGGCCCATATCGCCGAACTGGCACTAGAGCCCAAGACATACTTCTGGATTGGCCTGTCGTTGCTACTAAACGTCGGAGCATCAGTCACAAACACCTTCGGACCACTCGTTATTGCGGGTCTGGGATACGATAAGTACATCACAGCACTACTCAACATCCCATTCGGTGCTGTACAGTTACTCGTCATCCTACTTGGTTCGTGGGCTGCCTACAAAATCAAGTACAAGTCCGTGGTTCTGGCAGCCTTTTGTATACCCGTCATCGCTGGTCTGGCCATGCTCTATGTCCTGCCTCGCAACGACCCATCGAAACAAGGTGCCCTACTTGCCGGATACTATCTATTAGCCTTTCTGTTTGCTGGAAATCCATTGATCGCCAGCTGGATTATCTCCAATACTGGTGGTACGACGAAGAAGGTAAGCTTTCACAAAAACGGATTCTTTTGTGTCCTGCTAATAATCTTTCTAGTCAGTAGTCATGTCTCTCTACAACGCTGGTTCCTCAGCAGGAAACATCATCGGTCCTCTTCTATTTAACAAGAGAGACGCTCCAGCATATGCGCCCGGCCTCAAGAAAGTCCTTGGTATCTTTGTGGCGCTTGTCGCGTTGACTGGTATCCAGGCGGCGAATTTGATCTTCCTCAATAAAATGCAGGAGCGAAAGAGATTGGCTAATGGGAAGCCGGCGAAGATTAAGGACTTGTCGATGGCCAAGCATTATCAGCAGAGTGACTCGGACGTTGAGACGACCGAAGAGGCGCAGTTAGGAAAGAATGCGTTGTTGGATCTGCCTGATGGCAAGAACGATGAGTTTGTCTACCTATACTAATGCTGGAGGGTTTGTAATTCTCTCAAATGTTAATGGAATGTTTTGATCCCAGTATTGATTCTTTAAGATAGCTTGAATCCTGAATGTAGAGATTGTTGCTAGTCCAAGCATAGTATCTGCTAGGCCTGCCTGCAAAAGTAATGAGACGTGTATCGAGTTAAACAGTACCATGCACACCGAATCTATGATCGTCAACTTCCTAAAAATGCTGCCTGAGGAGATGCTCGCAACTCATGCCTGTCCAAGACTATCGAAACGGTCGTCTGACTTTGTATGTCTCGTGATCCAATATTACACTCTAATAGGCTCCATCTGCGCATTTCCTCTTGAGCACAAAGGGCTTTCCAAAATGCCGCTGATCAATCGTTGACGTCGCAAGGTAGGTCGTGTCTGAACCTGGTATTCGTGTCAGAAACATACTGTTGAAGTGGATTGAGTCATCTTACCTCATTGTCCGAACCAGCCTGCCAACCAAGTGAATCAGAGGTCGCCAGTCGGCCTGACCTCGTAAGAAGATTGCTAGGTATTCGTCGTAGTTTTGAGCCCATCCTCTTAATCTTAGTTGAAGAGTTAGACATAACTCGGCGCAGGCTCCTCATACCACCGTCCCCGGAATCAGTTCCTTTTGATGTGTTCTTCGCAGTCCCGCGGTTCACAAAGCTGTCTTCATCACTGGAGCCTGCAGATGAGAAGGTCTCTGCTAACTCTTCACAGGACATCTTGAGCAGACATAGTCTCGAAGACGACATATTGTCTGTGAGAAAAGGCAGGTCGCCAGTAGTCGAGAATCGAGGCATAGAACGCAACACCTGCGGATCCAGTTTCTCAAAATCCCATCGTACCGGCCGATCGACCTTCTTGTTGCTCTGTGTAGCGCCCTTCTCCTCATCTGAGCATTCTTCACGTACAGATGCCAGGGTAGGAAGATCCGATGATGTATTGGACCGAGAAGTACTAGGTCTTTGCGGAAGTGGGTCCGAGTGTAAGCGCTTTCGGGAGGCGTCTGGTCTCGCAGGCGAGATTGCTATGTGTGGCCTTGGCAATTTGCGCGGCGACATTGCTTGACAATGCTACACCATCTGCTGTTTCGGTCCAAAAAGATAAAGCTCCTGTGCAGTCGGAATGCCAAAAGCCGCAAACATAGGACCTTGACAGTGAAACGGCAAATATGTGTCACAGCAGGTACAATCGGAACAACCTGTACCAAACCTGTTGTGGTGCGCACCTTCCTCAACCTAAGGAATTTCACTGCTTCAGAATGCTCATGAACTTGGCAGGTAGGTACACGAAGGAAGTCATCAGCCCTTCTGTCTGGCTAATCTGGCTTCTGCTTCTTTTCGTTGTTCGACCTGACTGAGGAAGTCCATGCGATTCAGATAGGCTCCCTTTGCCTTCGAATGCTCGTCAAGCTCGTCTTTCAATCCTTCAGCATCAACGTGTGAAGCCCAATCCATCTTGCTCTTTTCCACCACGTTGAGTTTTGGACCCTTGAAAGTGCCCGGCTGAGCTTTGATAGAGTGGTTCTGAAATGCTTCTAGATTACTGTAGTTGGGATCGAATCTAGATATCTTGCGGAGTGGGCGTTGTTTTCCATTGCTCGCCTCTTCAGAGGGATTGGACTTGTGTTCTTGTTGAGCTAACCAGAGTTTAGCCTCAGCTGAAGACTTGAGCACAACCTTTTCTTCGACCTGGACCTCTCCTGCAAATTTGAACTGCCTCTTGATCGTTACCGTCTCTTCAAGAGCTGGATCGGGAAGAGCTTTCTTTGTAGTCTGATCTTGTTCGTTTGGAGACAATTCAGAAGCCTGCTCGCCTTCCATCCGCACTGGTGGAAGAGGTGCGGGCTTGTTCAACATTTCCCACAATTTATCCACATCTATGGTGCTTGTCTTCGTGCTCGCAAGTGTCTTCTTCTGTCTTTCTGCATGCTCAACGGCACGCATAGAACGGGTCTTCGCTCGCCAGGCATCGTCCGCTTCATCGTCGCTAGAAATATGGTCCGATTTCTTCCGCCTCTGTTTCTTCTTAGTCTTCTGTCGCTCCTTGATTGTCGCTTCGTCGCCAGAGTCAAGTTCTTCTATTAGTGGTTTCGATGGTGTGGCTTTCTTGACGGCCTTGGTGATCTTGCTGGCTGGTTCATCGTGTCCCGAGGAGGACACCGACTCCTGGTCTGACTTCCGTTCGTCAAAGTCGCTGTCTGCCTCTTCATCGTAATCGTCGTTCTCAATCTCTTGTTCTGACTCGACCAACGACATATTGAAAAATACAATTGTGTAGTCAGAGATGCGGGCACGTTTAAGCGCGCTTTTGACGCGTTGGAGCAGATCTAGGCTATGCCGAGGTGGTATTAGGCACGATTCTTGGCGATCGACTCTCCCAACGTTTCAGGCCTGACCATGAACGACCATCATGTCAAAACAGCTTGCAATGAAAATGTCACAGACGAAGCCTACAATTCATATGGCCAGGCCATATCGTGCTCTCGGTCCCATACCCGAGCACGTATCGAGTAATAGAGGGCAGCACTTGATTGCTCCAACAAGTTGTTGCTTGCCAAATACTCCAAACCCGTGGAGTAGTCAATCATTACAAAGGCGATACAAGCCCTATCGGCTCCAGCTGAGCAGTACTTTCACAATGTGCTTTCGCCACCTGTATCACTCGCCACGCCTGCAAGTCATGTCGGACTTCCAAATGCCAAGTGGACATTACCGCAAGTACTGGCCAGAGCCGGTCACATTTCACGACGGCAAGCATCTTACGCACGTTTCGACAACTGCCTCCAGATAACGGACGAGTGTGATTGGTATATAGTACTACTGAAACCACTAAGTAAACCTCTTCGGATCGTGTTCAGTCTCTCAAAGACACAATAGGAAACGATGTTGAAGCCAGCTCAAACCGCCAGCCAGCTAGGCAACCCAGCCTCGTCAGATGAATCATCGACCACAACCACAGCCGCTACAGTCGACACACCAACTGAGCAGGAGGCATCGATCAAGCATTTCGGCGATTGGCCTAATGCTCAAGGTGTAAGTGGAGCAGAATCAACAAGGTGATCCTGACGGCTGACATGAAAAGTTTGATACAACCTATGAGGAGCGGACACCAGTTGAGCTCTCGGTAGAAGGACACATACCTGCTTATGCTGCCGGTGTGCTCTACCGAACGGGACTTGGTCCTCGTGCGGTAGATTGTGGTGACCAGGGCGTTTTCAGAACTAGCCATTGGTTCGACAACTTTGCACAGGTATATTCACTAGAGAAAGGGCAAAGCTTGGTGTGCTGCACCGTGGTGGCCCCGTTTCCTCATTCTGTTTTGCGAAGCACTTTTGCTGACTTTGAATAGGTTCATCGCTTTCAGATACATACTCCCTCACAGGCAGGAGGGAAGGTAAAGGTTACCTATGTCTCCCGGTTGACCAGCGATGGCCTTATCGAGCAGGTAAAGAGGGACGGCACTCTCAAGGGCATGACATTTGCAAAGAAGTATGAACCTTGCAAAACACTGTTCCAGAAACTTCAGTCGTTCTTCACGCCGGCAAATTTTCTACCAAAGAAGCCACCAAAGCCCGACGAGGTCAATATTGGTGTTACAATGTCAGTCAACTATCCTGGTCTGGATGCGGTGGGAAATGCTGTCTCTGGTCCCAGTGATCAGAGCCGCATATCATCGCTCTGCACCAAGACGGACGCTGCAGTCGTGCAAATGCTGGACAGCGAAACACTGGAGCCACTCGGTCTAGCAAAGCAAGAGGTCCTCCACCCGGAATTGAAAGGGCCAGTGAGTGGCGCTCATGCCAAGTCCGATCCAGCGACAGGCGATGTTTTCAACTTCAACCTACAGTTCGGCTCGGTTGGTACTTACAAGGTTTTCAGGACCTCGGCGTCGACTGGCAAGACAAGCATCTTAGCCACGATCCGTCACACAACAGCATATCTTCATTCAATTTTTCTTACCGAGAACTACGCCGTCATCTGTATCTGGAATTCATACTTCAAGGCTGGTGGTATGAGCATTCTATTGAAGCAAAACTTGATTGAGGCTATGGAGTACAACCAGTCCGCGCCAGCTAAGTGGTTTGTGATTGATAAGCGACCAAGCGAAGAAGGAGGCAGAGGAGTGATTGCAACCTACGACTCGCCACCATTCTTCGGCTTTCATGCAGTCAACGCATATGAGTCTATATCTGATGATGGGGTCAAGAGTATAGTCGCTGACATCCCTGTGTACCAGAGCATGGAAGTACTGAATGCATTCTATTTCGAAAATCTGTTGTCAGACTCACCTACAGCTGGTGAAGTCCAAGGTAAATGGGGCGACTCGTTAGCACCAAAGTACCGACGATACAGACTTCCAGATATCCCGAACGAGCCACGAGAGGAGACCCGACACGCGGTACAGGAGTTCGAGCTCGGCAGGCGCGACACACCAGAATTGCCCACGGTCAATTGGTCAGTGTTTACCAAGAAGCATAGATATGTGTATGGCGTATGTGACAGTGGTGTTTCGACCTTTGCCGACAGTCTGCTCAAGTTGGACCTCAATGACAACTCGGTCAAAAGATGGAGCGTTCGTGGTCAGACAGCAGGAGAGGCACTATTCGTTGCCGATCCCGAATCAGAGGATGAAGACGGTGGAGTTCTCCTCACAATTGTGCTTGATGGCATCTCAGGAAAGAGCTATCTCTTGGTGCTTGATGCGAAAGACCTTACTGAGCTTGGGCGAGCCAGCGTGAATGGAGCGATAGGATTCGGCTTTCATGGTGTTCACGCGAAAGCAGCGTTGACTGCCGGCAAGGACAGATCTTTGGCTGCACATCTATAAATCCAATGAACTTGCTGGTGGAATTGAGGTGAATTGGTTTGGAAGTGGACTGCACCTGGAGGAGTTGAGGGGCATGTATTTCTTCTGCAAGTGGATTGTGTTCTAGTACTATGTATTGATGTATGGAACACTTCGTCCTGCGGCACATTTGAGCAAGCCTCATTCATCACACTCTTTTACACAGACTTGGAGCTACCAAGCGTGCCAAGAAGAGTGAGTAAACGTGCAATTCGCTCAACTCATTGTGCCTGAGGCAGTCGTGCCAGTGCTAATGACGTTCGACTTGGTGGCCTCGGCTTCACATGCACTGGATTCAGCAAACCAACTGCTGGCATGTGCGTGGTTCCTTCGTTCCTTCCACGAAGTTGTCGTTCAGGTGCAACCCATGCGATGAAGCTAAGATTTGGCCTTCCGTGCTGGACAGTGCGTCGACAACCAATGCATTTCATCTATTAATCATCAAGATGTGAGCTTTGAGCGACACATGGCTGCACAATCGAAGGAGGACCCTCTTATGGTCCTCTACATGCGATATCTCGATCTATTGCGCTCGCGAATCCGTCGCACCTCTCGAACCACGAGGTTAATAGCCGTTCTTGCGTTCACCTTGAGTGTTGTTTCATCAGGATATGGCAGCTACAAACGGTGGAAGAGGAGGTCAGAAGACAGAGCTCAAGGGCGAAAGCTGTTGCGCAAGAACAGCGGATTGAAAGGGAAAGATGGCGAGAGGACCATATTCGTGCCACGAGGAGATTCTATATCCAAGGTGGTCATTCGTCCTACCAAACCAACCACTTTCGACGCTCATCGTAGGCTCTTTTTGACACCACCCCGAGTGACTAGATTGCAGTCGGGCACCTCAACTCCTGCCCATGGACCACCACCACAGACGAAGCCTGGCCTCAACCTTGCTTTTTTACACCAGTTCCTGAGCTTATTGAATATCATGGTTCCAAGGTTTAAGTGTAAAGAAACCGGATTGCTACTCGGCCATGGCGTTTTTCTGATCCTCAGGACTTACCTATCGCTGGTCGTGGCTCGGTTGGATGGCGCTATCGTTCGTGATCTGGTGGCTGGAGAAGGAAAGTCCTTTTTGCTTGGGATCTTGAGATGGCTCTCTGTTGGTACTCTGGCATCCTACACAAACAGCATGATCAAGTTTCTGCAATCCAAGATTTCTATCGCCTTCAGGACTCGACTCACCCGATACATTCACGACCTCTATCTGAACAAAAACCTCAACTACTACAAGCTCAGCAACCTCGACGGTGGTGTTGGACAAGGTGCTGACCAATTCATTACTCAAGATCTTACTCTGTTCTGTACAGCCGCGGCGTCTTTATACTCTTCTCTAGGCAAACCGCTGGTCGATTTGTTTGTGTTCAATTATCAGCTCTACTTGTCCCTCGGCCCACTCGCTTCGACCTTGCTTCTATCGAACTACTTCACTACTGCGACACTCCTTCGTCGGCTCTCCCCACCCTTTGGCAAATTGAAAGCTGTTGAAGGCAAGAAAGAGGGTGATTTCCGAGGCTTACATGCACGGCTCATTGCCAATGCGGAAGAGGTGGCCTTCTATGGTGGCAGCGATGTCGAGAAAGTCTTTGTGAACAGAGCATTCGAGGATCTGAAGAAGTGGATGGATGGCATATACAACCTGAAAGTACGCTACAACATGCTCGAAGACTTCATCCTTAAGTACTCATGGTCTGCCTTCGGATATGTGATAACCTCCTTACCTGTCTTCCTACCAGCATGGGGTGGTCTAGGTGGGCGAAACGAGCTAGTCCCCACTGGTATCGAGGCTCCGAGAGAACGAGGACGAATGAAGGAGTTCATCACAAACAAGAGACTCATGTTGTCACTGGCTGACGCTGGAGGCAGAATGATGTACAGCATTAAAGACTTGTCCGAGTTGGCAGGATATACAAGTCGCGTATATACCCTCATCAGCACATTACATCGCGTTCATGCAAGTGCATATGCTACACATCGACGAACGAGACCAGGAGAGCTTTACTCCCTCACAGACGTGCAGGGTACACTACATACTGGCTTTGACGGTGTTCGTCTTGAAGACGTGCCAGTTGTGGCACCTTCGATGTATCCATATGGTGGTGATGAACTGATTGAAAGTCTATCTTTTGTGCTTCACAGTGGTGATCACCTCTTGATATCTGGTCCAAATGGTGTCGGCAAATCCAGTATCGCTCGCATCGTTGCAGGTCTCTGGCCAGTATATCGCGGTCTTGTCTCTCGGCCACGACAAGTTGGCATGGATGGTATAATGTTTCTTCCTCAGCGGCCATACTTGTCTGTCGGCACTTTACGTGATCAAGTCATATACCCCCACACCGAAGTGGACATGCGCGACAATGGCAAAAACGATAATCAACTACAGCAAGTTCTTGACGCAGCACGACTTGGCTACCTGGTCGACAGAGAAGGTGGCTGGGATACCCGCAAAGAGTGGAAGGATGTCTTTTCTGGAGGCGAGAAACAACGTATGGGTATTGCACGGTTGCTGTACCACGAACCAAGATACGCCTTCATTGATGAAGGTACATCCGCTGTCTCGTCAGATGTGGAAGGTCTGCTTTACGAGACTGCAAAAGACAGAGGTATCACCTTGATCACCATCAGCACACGAGCTAGTCTGAAGAAGTATCATACGTATAATCTGGTTCTTGGTCTTGGCGAAGATGGCTACGACTGGGACTGGAATCAGATTGGTACAGAAAGTGAAAAGCTCGGAGTTCAGAAAGAGGTACATGAGCTAGAAGAAAGACTCGAGAAAGTACCAGAATGGGAGAAGAGGTTAAAAGAGATTGACGAAGAGCTCAACAAAGTGCTTGTTGTGAGGATTGATGGCAAAAACGTTGAGCTTCCTGCAGAAAGCACTGTTTCTTCGCAAATGGAGCAGTCGGATAGCTCGTGAACTACTGTATCAATATCGGAAATGAGCTGGTCTGATCAGGAACGCAAAGTTGCAATTCCTAGACATATGCAGAGCTGACAAGTTATCGGCGTCGCACCAGACCTCCCCGCATAACTTCAGTCTCTTCACGTACTACACGGCCCCTTGGATCCAGGATCCGCTCCGTGCGCTCGTTCTCATAACTCGTATAACCACGATTAGGACCTGGACTTGGGTGACGACGAGGTTCATAGAAATTTCGATTTCGCCTCCTCTCAGAGTACTGTGAATGGTCGTCCCAATGTCGATGACTGTGGTTCGAGCTTCGAGAGCGATGGGACTGGTCGTCCTGGTGGCGGTTCCTCTCTCTCCTATATCCCGCCACTACACCGTGCGTCTGATGTGAACTTGTACAAGACATTGCGCTTCGTTCATCGCGCTGACTTCGCGTGCTTGTACCATGATTTTGTGGTCGGATCGTGGATTCGCTCCTCTGAGAACTTCGAGATACTGCGGAGGCTTGATCGTACCCTGAATAGCCAGATCTCCTACTAGCTCCAGATATTGCAGAGCTTTGTTCGTATCCTGAGTAGCTAGGTCTTCCGCTGGCGACAGAAGCATCTTCCGGTATGGCAGTCAACGCGTTGTGAGGGCCTGCTACTGACGTACTAGGTCGAGAATCTCTGCTGCTTCGAGAGTGACTAGACTCATGGGAGGAGGTCACTGAGCCGACGACGGATCCGGCATACAAGGAGCCGCCACAGGGAACTCCAGCATTCCAGGCTTGGATCCTTGAGGAATGACTGATGTTTGAACCGGTGGTTGAGCTGCCAGCGGGCCAGCCGCGATCGTTGACGCCAGCGCGGACTCTCAGAGGTGATTCTGGATCAGGGGAACCTCTGGATACCCTGCTTGTTGATTCGGAGGGTGCGAGGCTGCTTTGTCTGGAGACGTACGATCCGGAGTATCGAGACATCTTGGTATGCTATGGGGATCTTGGTCGATGGAAAGTGGGAAGTTGCAGAAATGCAGGGGTCCAATTATATGTGTTTAGCAGGAGGGCTGACTCAACACGAAGACGTGTTCCTACGTGTGTCAACAGGGTTGACGATCACTGCCAGTCACTGACAGACTGCATGGCATATAGTACAACGTTACCATCCAGTACATATGGACTGCAAGGGCAAAGTATTGATGGTAGCAGAGGTGCAGAGTCACGAGAAAAGTCTTACGCTGATACCGACAATGCTCTCTTATGCTAAAGGTCACTGTTAGCTTGCAAACGTTCACCACGCGTTGGTGTGGTTTAACTCAAACGCGAGTTGTTATTGAGGTGTCTGAAGCGTTGAAAGTACAGTGAAGGCAATCCGATTCATTCACAAAAGGTCAACCTAGCTACGTATACAACACATCCAGCTCTCCTTCCTACTCGTCCTTAAACCGCCTAAACTTCGTAGACTGATCAAACACCAACCGACCATGCCTGTTGCAAGTCTGGTACGTTTTAGAAATAGTCCATCCAGGAAAATCAGAACCACCACGACCAGGACGTGAAGTCTCATTGCGTAGGTCTACTACACCCGGATCTCGCGGATCGTCCTTGATATCTATACTGTGGATTGCTGGGCCTGTAGGGGGCTGTAAGTCTTCTGGGATGGTAGGTAGATGGGCGCTTCGTCTACTTGGTCGGGAGATCTGGCTAGATTGGTGAGATGGGGCTGTAGAGGCGGATTTGCCTGTGCGTGTGGACGTGGCAGAGTCCCGGTGAGACGATGGTCGTTGAGATTTTGAGGCTTTGGATGAACGATGAGATGATCTTGGGCTGGAGGCATTCACTACTGGTTGTTCTTCTCTGTTTTCGCTCGGCCCTGTTCTTATGCCACTTTGTGTACAGAGGTTGGCGAGACACGACTGGATATATGTGTATCTAGAAAGGCTTCGAACTGGATGTGGTTGGTAGAGGTTGGTTGGTAATGGTAACCCCAAACGCTCAATACTAAGAAGCTTGATTAGATTCTCATACCTGAAATTCCGCAAGCTGTGCCAAGTGAGTGGGCATTGGATGTCACGAAGCGTGACTGGAGTGGCACCACATATCCCTGCCTCCACGTCTATACTATAACGCCAGGATTCGCATATCTAGCACGTTAGCAAGGCTGAATATGATGTTTTATACCGGAGGTGAACGTTTATTGAATGTGTCAGCGGGAAGTAGAGCTTAGTTGGCAATACGTCTGTGTGATACTCCACAAACTGTTGGTATGTTCGAAGAGCAGAGACGTATTGCGCATGGAGTCTGAGTCAGGAGCGACCGCATGTGGCATCATCAGCACGCATCGAGACACAGGAAGCCCGCGTGGTCTCCTTGTTGGAATTGACAAGGTACATAGACACATTATCAGCAATTTTCCTTCGCAATCGACCATAGGGTTTGGAAAACAGGGGTTCCCGTTCGATCACCCGTACTTAAGCCAGGCGCCGACGAGTTAGTAGTTGGGTTGGAGACAACCAGCGAATCCTCGCTGTTGATTGTTTTGCTTTTTTGACCTCTCAATCGCAAAACAGGCAGATGACGTAGATCTGGTCAATCGACAGAAATTCGCTGACAAGCGCTTGATGTGGTGCTGATATGGAGTGGTTGTTGTTGGGTTCAAGTTCTCGATGTGGTTAGTGAGAATTATGCTTAGCGTGGATATTTGTTTATTATGACGGAAGTCAGTCAATAATAGTTTTGTGAGATCGATTGCCAGCAGCAGAGTCAATAGGGACGGTACAATGGCGTCGTCAATGCTCGACGGGGCTGCTACATATCTGAACAACCTTCTGCTTGCGCGTGGCTTTTTGCAGAACGGAGAAGCCATCGACTTCCCCCGGCTAGCTAGCAATGAGGACGGCATCGACAGAAACGCAACGACAGTACGAGCGATAAACCTGATACACGATCTGATCCTGCGACGCGATCGAGACGCTGAACAACGCGAAGCTCTCGCCTCTACCATTCACAGTCTTCGTACTGAGCAGTCGCAGTACGTGCTCGACCTGCAAAGATTACAGGATAAGAACATACAATTTCAAAATGAGCTTACAGCATCGGAGGCCCGACAGAGAAGTCTGATCAACAGTGCGAAGAAAGCGCAAAATCAGACGAGAGAGATCAAAGAGCAGATGCTGAAGATGAAATCCACCCTCGATCAAGTCCGAGCAAAGTCTATCAGCGACATTCGCAAGAGAGATGTTGAGATTGAAAAACTTAGGGAACATCTCAAAGGAATGAACAGAGGAAAGAAAGAGTCAGGATCCGAGAATGCAAAGCTGAGAACGGGCAGCGTACAGCAAAAACACGTAAAGCATGAAGCTCGATCACAGCAAGACCACGATACGAGCGAATGGTGCCTCGAGAAAGAGCCGAACGACTTCCTCACAGCTGTCCTTAATGAAACTACTAGTGAAAATGTGGCACTACGCAAGATTGTAGGAGATTCAATGAAATACCTTAAAGCTCTGACCGGATTAGAAGAGCAGCAGCACCAGAAGCCAGTCTCAGATATAGACAATGCGATTGGCATTCCTGGTCAATATCGAGACCGCAATATAGAGAATCCGACTTCTTTAGCCACTTCAGAGTCTCTAATACCGGTTCAGCAACTCGCGTCGTCCATGTCCGAAGTCCTCTCCCACTGCCAAAATATCCTCCGAGATCCATCCTTCGTCCCTATCGAAGAAGTGCAGGTCCGAGATGAGGAGATTGCAAAGCTGAAGACTGGATGGGAAAAGATGGCTGATCATTGGAAGGAAGCGGTCACGATGATGAGCTCATGGCGACAGAAGATGATGAGCGAGCAAGAGTCGGAGGCACATTTCAATGCTGAGGACCTCTCTACCATTGCAGCTTTTAGTCGCAGCTTCGCCACAAGACCAAATGGTTTACCAGTCCTGGATCCGATCGAGGAAGAAGAGTTGACGAGCATGCTCATCGAGCACTATAGTCGAGTAGAGAATCAAAGTATGATGTCGGACAACAATGAGGCCAGTCACAGTCATACGAGTCAAGACGATACATTGCCAGAACCAGAAAAAACAGGCACACCAAGACCTTCACCAGTTCGTATCCAGGTGGACGGACAAGAAGACAAGGAAACTTCGCGCGATATTACATTTGCACAAACAATTGCTTCTCCCGCCCGACGTGGTATAAAGCTCCAGAAACAGGATCGCCAAGCACCTCAACCACTTTCCAACACAAATGCGAATGCGAAGAAGCGCAAATCATCGGAAGCCAAATCGAGCCCACGTAAGCGACAATCCCTGTCCCCCATAAATAGAGCGGAAGAATCACAGATCGAGAACAATGCGACGGCCAGTAACGTCTCATTGATCGCGAGCTCGAACTCGACTGATCCACTATCTCTCGATATATCGACGCCAGGTGCCTCGGACGACGAAGACGACTTCTTCCTGTCACAAAACCAGTCCTCAGGGTCCCACGATTCGACTTTCCCACGTATGACCGTTGCCGAAAAGCTCGCTGCAGTTGAAGCAGAAGCTACCGAGGCGACAGAAGTGATTAGAAGGAGACAGGCGACAACGTACGATGAAGGTGACAAGCGAGCTAAGGACAGAGCGAGGAACTCTATGGCCAAGACAACAGGAGTGGCTAAAGGAGCTGACAGATCGAAAGATAAAGTCAGGAAGGCGAAAGATAGGAGGAGGAGTACATTAACTCCTGCTGAATTGGGCTCGTTGATGGGTCGCTGAGAATGTATACTGTTAAATTGGCGATAAGTAAGGACGTTCAAGCGAGCTCAATCTTTCTGTTCTAGTGCTCTTGCATCGACTAATCCAGTAGAGGTCTCTTTCATGAATTTTTGGGCGCGTACGAGCATAAACTCCTCGCGATCTGGTCGTCTATATCCATCTCAATGACTGAGATCTTGTTGTTGTCCTAAGTGTTGAAGCGTCCAGAAGTCTTCAAAAGCGCTTGCCCACGCTGATGAGACTGCTCATACTCTAATATCTGTCTCAGATTGCTTTCGCTAAAGCAACCCAGTTGAGTTAGGAATCACGTAATTAATGATAGATCGAGCTTGTGCTCCTTTCCAAGTCGATCAGTCTCCTAGCCGCCAAGATATTCTTTCGATTTAAGTGTTGGCAACCTTTAAGCTGTAGGTTGATTGAAAAAGTCCTGATCCAAAGCTGTAAAGAAAGGTGGTCGAGATCCATCACCCCTTCTTCCTCGCAATACTCGCCGCAACCTCCCCAATCTTCCTCTCCTTCCTCTCCTCCGGCCTCTCACCCTCCCTCCTCTGTATCTCCCTCCTCAACGTCCCCCAATACGCACCCCCCGCCATTGTCGAAACCGCAATCGCCAGTCCCGCCGCCCCAAAATAACTCGGTCGAAACATCCCCCTCTCCAACATCCTCATGACACCAAAATACCTACTCACACCATACACAATACTCCCACCTCCAGTCCCCATCAACATCCCCACAAGTAGCTGCTCACGGTTCTGTCGATGACGCGTTTCCCTGTCGATTTCAGCACGACTTTGGCGCGAGGACTTGGCGGCGTGGTCGGGGAGGAGATGGTCGATGAGAGCTTCGAGGTCGAGTTGGGAGAATCGTTCGACGGCGATACCGAGGGCGACGAAGCCGAGGCCGGTGCGGATCCAGGCGAGGAAGGTGCGTTCGCTGGCGAGGTGGTCGCGGGCTGTGGAGCCGGTGTTGGCGTATGTTGGTGGGTTGAGCGTTAGGAGGCGGCGGAAGAATGACATTATGTAAAGTTGTTGCTTTCTAAGACAAGGTGGCAGTATGATAGAGATAGCTCTCCCTCGAATACTCGTCAACTGAATCTAGTGAGAACTATGCGATCATATCTCTAGACTCAAATAAAGGGTTTAGATAGAGATCTTTACGAGATCGTTGTTACTGAGAGAGGTTCTGATCTTACACAAAGCTTATTGCAAAAGAACCTCGAACCTTGAAAGCTTCGCACTAGCCCACAGTATGACAATGTAATTACGATCAATTACGCTGGCAGTGCAGAGTCAATCATTCGGCTTCGGCATCTAAGCTTAGGTATCATCCACCTACGTCGTCCCTAGCATTTCGAGATTTCAGGACGAATCAACGCCTCGTTCGTGTTTAATTACAACTCGCTAGCACAAATCGTGCCCCAGTACGTTTACCATAAGGGCAAAAAAAGTGCAATCGTTCTTGCGTATGTTCTGCCGCCAACCAATTCCTGCTGCCTCACTCTGCTGCCACATTGGCGAATGTATCATCCTGGTGTCACATCGAATCAGAAGTTTTGATGGAAAAGCAACCCGGTTTCAAGATCTTCAGCTCACTTCGCTACGACACAAGTCTATCAGAAGCAGAATCCCAAAAACAAGACATTTCAAACCATGTTGGTCCACTATACATGCTTACCTACCACCGAGATCGTCTTCTGCAAGCAGCCCAGCACTTCGAATGGTCAAGCTGTGTCTCGAAACTCGAAGGTAACCAGGAAACATCATGGCTGCAAGATCAGATAGGGGGATCGAATTCGATAATTGGTAAGGAGGCTTGCTGCCGCGTACGTGTCACGCTCGACATGCATGGGAACATTGAAGTCGAAGCGATGCCGACACCACGACTAAATCACTTGAATTTGTTCCCATCGCGGGAAGTCCTCGACTCACACTTGCGCACCACTGAATATGAGGCGAGCGCAGACCTAGGTATAATCTGGAACGTATTCCTGGACACAGAAGCCACGCCGAAGTCAGCATTCACGCTTTACAAGACGACATCTAGGGAAATGTATACCGCTGCTCGCAATCGAGTTCACATTGCCTCATTGGCCTCACCGGAAGAAGTTCTGCTGTACAACTTGGATGGTGAGATCACTGAAGCGAGCCTTACAAGTGTCTATGTGTTCCGGCACGGCCAGTGGGTGACCCCTGGTATTCAATGTGGCGGCCAACTAGGAGTCACCAGAAGATGGGCACTTGAGCAATGTATTTGCCTTGAAGGTATAGTTAGAACGACAGATCTGGTCGACGGAGAAAACATGTGGCTCAGCAATGGAGTCAGGGGCTTCATACGAGCAAGATATCGATCTTCTCGACCTTTCGACGAAGGTAGACCGAACCATAAGACGACTCAAACGTCAAATGGCATGGTAAACATGAGTGGTGACATACGTGCCGATGTCGCTGACCACTAGGTGAACCTGTCCATATGCATACGGCAATTTCTTATTGCTCGTCGGCCTAAGGACTAATTGTATCCAATAGGTATGATGCATTGGTGCATGCTAAAAATCGTGTAGCTGTGGTATAACAGTCGCGGATACGGAGTGATATCGGATCTCCTGGAACCCTTGACTGTATAAGGAATATTCAACGTGCGTGCCTCCACCACAATTCTAGTCGAGGTACATTTCGGCAATATGTCTGAAATCGGACTATCAGCACGGCCAGTATCCAAGCATTATTCCTCTGGTCTATAGACTGCATCCTGACACAGTACGACAACTTTCTTGAACAGTCTTCGCCACTCCAGTGGATCTCCTGAAGCTTTGACAAATTCCACCTCTATGAGACCTTCAGCAGCAGTCTCGACCATTATCGAACCTGAAAGCTGACAACCTCTTCCATCGACTGTCTTGAGTTTGATCAGGCTCTCTGTGTCCTGCGCTGAGAACTTTCGAGTAGCCAGATTGGAAGGTACAGGTACGGCTAATCGTGTTAAAGACTCGAGGAGGAGTGGCATAAGTAAGTTGAGTGTATAGATCGAATAAAATTTGGTAAGAGGTGTGGCAGGCAATATGTCTCGAAAGTTGCGAGCGAGCTGGGTGCGAGACAGGGGCACTTGTGGATTTCGAGTAAATTGCGATAAAGTTGGCTCATCTTCGAGCCACACAGCTTGCGACGATTGGGTAGCAGGCCGGTCCGCGAAACCGGTTGTGAGAGTTTGAGGAGGCAGATTTGCAGGTTGGGTTGAAGAAAGGTGAGCATGCGTGCGACGATCAGAGGGTCTTTCCCAGTCAAACAACATGTCTTCGGCTGGAGTGACTGGTTGGCTGGATGACATGTCGTAGATTGGTGGTTTGAGGTAATGGGCAAGATCTAGATTCATGGCATCGCGGTCGACTCCCTGCTTGGATGGTCGCCGACAGTCAGCTAAAGGATCGACATCGAAGCTCACATGCAGTGATTGGAACATGTTGGTGGCAACGTTGATAGGATCAATAAGGCGACCTTTTTGATTCAGATATTGGTTCGATCTGGTGAACCAGGGATGTCGACGCACATCCTCTAAGCTGAAGCGAGAACGAGTATCGACTCTCATCATTCCACGCAACAAGGACAAGATCTCAGTGGGCAGTGCTTCCCAAAGCTCATCTTGGGGTCGCCCACCACTCTGAACATACTCAGCATACTCGTTGGGTCTGCCCCACTCGTCTTGCTCTTCGACAGGTTTCGACCAGGGTGTATTGCCTGCCAATAGCACGAATAGCACGACACCACAGGACCAGATATCGGCACAGTCAGCAGCATATCCTGGCCCTTTGGTAGTACCTGGAGCGCCACATAGGAGCACCTCAGGAGCAACATATGGGGGACTGCCACAAAGAGTTACAGCTTTCTTTCTCCTCCCACCGTACTCGAATAATGTGGCCATGCCAAAGTCGGCAAGTTTCAGGTCACCATCTGCGGAGAGGAGGATATTCTCGGGCTTGACGTCTCGGTGAGCAATCCCTCGGGAGTGCATGTAAGCTATGCCGTTGATCAGCTGGGTGAAGTAGACATGGGCAATATCTTCTGATACACCCGAGTCTGCTTCGATCTTGTCAAACAAATCACCACCCTCAGCTAGTTCCATGGCTATCCATATCCAGGCTGGATCCTCGCCATGATCGTAGAACTCGATAATATTTCGGTGAAGACCAACATGTTTGTGTAGGGTCGCCTCCATCAACAACTGCTTCTGTTTGATCTGGCCATGTTTCTCGGCAAATCTCTTATTGATAAACTTGACTGCAAACAGCGGATTATCCTCTCGTAAGGGTGCGGCTCGTTTGATGCTGTTCAATGATGTTAGTCGGCGTCAGACAAACCAGAAGAGATTTCGGACACTCAATTACCATGCATATGCTCCTGAGCCGATCGTCTTAGACACTATTCGGAAAGGCACTCTTACTGGTAGAGGCGCCAACTGCGAGTGCGGAATACCATTCATCGTGGATGCTTTTGCGGTCTGTGATGAATAGTATTACACTTCAAGTCGTAACATGCTTAGATTGCCAGCGTATGAAAAGCGACAGAACCAGCGCTGTTCATAGGCAAGAACATACCCAAATTTCCTGGCTTTGATGCAGGCACGCCGACACGTCCTGTTATTGTTGCTCACGCAACGCGTATAGTGGCCGATCTGGCGTCACGCGTTTCATTGGCCGGGAATGCCTCAATTTGGCCGCTTAGGAGCCGAGTCGTCCCTCCAACGCTCCAGATCAACAAATCCAGCTCAAGCAGTCCAACACTATACCTGCACTACATGTCCCTACAAAATCTCACGTCTTGCACGACCACTCAATCCACTGCGATACGTTTTTCACCACTTTTGAGTTATAGCACTTCGAGCGCACGGTTATCAGTAATCGTCATTGTTCTTCACTTGCATACCGAGTAATTAACGCATCCGGCCTGTTTCTGTCACTTGCTGCAAGCACATCGATCACCTAGAAAAGCATTTCTTCACGCTCTCGATCCATCATGGACTTTGAAAACTCTGCACCTAACCAACCGACCATGGCCGAACAAGCAAAACTTAATGGATCTGCTTCTGTCGCCAACACTCAATCAGTGACCAAGAGGTTAGATCTGTCCTGCCTGCCTACCACATCTTTCGTACTGACAGTAATATCCTAGACTGCAATCAGAACTCATGGCTCTCATGATGTCTCCTACGCCTGGCATCTCTGCCTTTCCAGACGCTGACGGCAACATGCTGCACTGGATCGCCACCATAGTTGGCCCTAACGACACCCCATACGCCGACCTCAACCTGAAACTCGACTTTCAGTTTCCTGCCGACTATCCCTACTCACCTCCTACCGTGTTGTTCAAGACACCGATCTACCACCCAAATATTGACTTCAGTGGTCGGATCTGTCTCGACATACTCAAAGATAAATGGGTCGCCAGCTACTCGGTTCAGACTGTCCTATTGAGTTTACAGAGTCTGCTCGGCGAACCCAACAATGCCAGTCCGCTGAACAACGAGGCTGCTATCTTGCATGAGAAGGACTTTGAGGAGTACAAGAGGAAGGTATTGGCTAGACACGTCGACCTGGATGAATGAAAGGACCTCGAGCGGGCGCTTGGCTATCATTTTGCTTTGGTTGATCGAACTCTGGTATACACATCTGCGGTTATTAATTTAGCGAGGCGCTGGTTAGTGTCTGACCCGGGTTGCAAGAGTCATCTCCAACCTGCTCAGGTTTTGAGTGCACATAAAGAGCATACAGTACGAAACGAAGTTTGATATTCCAGTCTACCTATGCTTTGTGATCTCGCACTAGAAGGAAAACGTATCCCATTGCCCATTTCTATGATCCACCGTGTGATACCTCAGCAATCCAGTTATATGTCCTCTGTGAGTAAACAGTTCAAAGCTCCTGACTTATGGTGGGACGACCCTTGGCTCCATCTAGGCCCTCAAACAACTCGACTCCCCAACCACTACTAGGATCATTAAATCTGATCCTCTTATCCTCGTTCGCAATCTCCTTCAACTCCTTCTCAGAAAACTTGACCTTCAACGCCTCAATATTCTCCTCAATCCGCTTAGCATGCGTACTCTTCGGAATCACAATCGTGTCTCGAGCAACGCCCCAGCCAAGAACTGCCTGAGCAACAGTGACATTCTTCTTGTCCGCCAGCGACACCCAAAATCTATCCTTTAGGATCGGTGGCAGATCCGGCTTGACATCCTTGTATGTTGGGTTGAGATTGGCTAAAGGTGAGTATGCAATGACTTTGATGTCGTGCTTGTGGTGCCAGTTGATGAACTCTTGCTGCTGGAGGTATGGGTGAGTCTCGAATTCGTGTGCATAGGGACAAATAGTACATGTTTTGAGAATTTGGTCGATTTGTCGTGGGGAGAAGTTGGATATGCCGATGTATCGAGCGCCATATGCACCGTTGCTGGCTTGGTAGGCGGATGCCAGCGTCTCCATTGCTTTCCAGGTGTCGACTATGCTGGTGTCGTCGTCGACGATGGTGCGTCCACCTTGGTCGGGCAGGAAGGCGACTGGCCAGTGCATGAGGTAGAGGTCCAGATAGGTACTGTTAACCTCTGATAGAGTCTTGTTGAACGCTTTGGGCACGTTCTCTGGCTTGTGCATTGTGTTCCAGAGCTTGGAGGTTAGCCAGTATTTGCTTCGGTCTGGAGATGATTTGTCGGATAGGGCCAGGCCGACATATTCTTCATTGCTGTATGCGGCTGCACCGTCAAGATGGTCGTAGTTGCTGTCGAATGCGGCAAGAATTGCGTGGGTAGCGTTTTTGCCCTTGCTGTTCCAGAGTCCTAGACCCACGGATGGAATGGTTGATATAGGTGAGTGAGATGGTGGTGAGGGCCTGATGGGCTCTTGAGGTGGCTTGGCTTTATCTGAGGCTTGCACCGTAACACAAGCTCCTAGGAGGGAGAGGACTGTGGTTGTCTTCATGGTTGGACAGAGCAAGAAGTAGGTGCTCGGCTGCAGGTCGAGTATCGGGTATCTAGAACTTGAGCTCTATCTCAGCACGAGTGCAAGCCCCTGAGGCTCACAAAGCAACTAGCAGTGGTGAAGAGCTCTAAGACTTGGGAGGTGAAGTGATTGTCCTCGATATTGTCGTCACCTTCCGGCATCCTGGTCGATCTGCGGTGCGGGACAAGCTACTCATATATGCAGCCATTCAGAACCGTGGACATGGAACCTTACTGACACTGGATACGCAGCTCCGATGTTCATCGTGCTGCTGTCTTTTTGTCATCTCCTCACAATGGAACCGTTGAATGGGGACCTGAGGGTTCACTATAGCTGCTGTGGTGTTTATGTTGGATGCAGTATGTTAATATCACTCGGCATCGAGACGAATTGGCCAGTGTTTTTTCCGGTACAAAGTTTATACAGGTTGAGCTCGAGTCTTAGAGGCAATAGCCGGTTGACCCGGCTCGATCACCGCTTTAGGCGATTACTTCTCCAGCCTTCTTACCTGAGACTGGCCTTCAGTTCTTGCAGGTAACGAGCGTTGTCCCAGTGCATGTCTCAATATTCTCAATCAATACGAGATTAAGACCTCGTTGGAGTGCGTTATTGCTCAGGCGGCATTGACAGTACGTACTTTGATTTGCCTCTCCCAATCACTACTACGGTTTAGTGGAAACCTTGACAAGTGTGCAAATGCGCTTCATTCACGGCTACTGTGCAACATCTGGCTCGACTTTGACACTCTTAAACCAGGACTGGACAATACTGGTATGACATCGGATCCGAAGACAACAACACCTGTGTCTGGAATCCTAACTGTTGTCATTACCACTTCACCGACTCCATCGGCCCCTTCGACGGAACTGCTTTCTTTAGTGTTTCAGTCATTCCAGAAGTATTGTCCATCGCTGCTTGAGTGTCGGTTGATTGTGGTGCTCGACACGTATGACAAAGTTGCAGAGACACCTCGGCTGAAAAGAGGCGTGGTAACAGCTCAAATAGCATGCGACTTTGAGCTCTATAAGGCTAACGTCAAAGAACTCGTCCTTGCGAAGTACCTGGAACATCAGAGTCATGTCTCAGCAACTCGAAGCAGTGGTGAGGCCGAATATGGATCAGCAGGGTGCGAAGACAATGTGGTCAATGTTTCTATTTGTCAGTTTTACGACGAAAGAGTAACATTCATCGAGCCGGTGCAAAGACTGGGCTTTGGTCTGGCTGTTCGTTCAGCTTTAAGAATCGTGAAAACACCTTACGTCCATGTCCATCAACATGACTGGACCCTAGAGGTCGATATCCCTGTTGCCAGTATTCTGGATGTTATGCAAGCACACGAGTCTGATATCAACATACCTGTCAAGTATATCTGCCTTCCATCTATACGTCTGTTAGAATATGCAACCCAAGACGACGTTGTACGCTTCTTGACGCTCAGAGAATTAACCTCATCTCTAAAGCGCGACTTCATACCATCACCACTCCAAGGCATTAGTGTTCCATTAACACCACTCTTCTTCTGGCATGATAAGCCGCATATAGCATCAACAAAGCACTATCTCGCCTGTATTTTTCCTTCCACGCTTGCTATGCCCAGAGGTGCTTTCATCGAAGACACGGTCGGACAACGGGCAAGGACACAGATGAAAGAAGGAAAATGGCACAAGTGGGCGTGTTGGCTATATTATCCGGCGGAAGGTCGACAATTGTGCCTAAGACATCTCAAAGGTCGAGTATGGCGAGGTGTCGAAGCTGAAATGAAGCAAAAGGAGATCTGGAAAGCTCAAAATGCTGGAGCCGAACCTTTGGAGGACATCGCAGTCGTTGCAGAGGTGAATTTGGAGAACTTGTTTTCATCACAGTTGTTGCTGTAGCCCGACGTTGAGAGATACAGATTGTAGATGCTTTGCTACACGGTTGTCTAAGGCCAGCGAGCACGCATGGCAACCACAGCTTTGGCCAAGATGCCAAATGAAGATAGTCAATAATACCAGAGAAAGATACTACAGCTCGCAGATGTTTTGGAGATGTTGCAATTGAGACCTACCTGACTCGCAATATTTGCGATCCCATGATCCGGGTCGTGACTGCAGCGAAACCATTGCAGTGCCTTCCCATGGAGGATCTTCGGCTAAGATTGCTCGAAGTGGCGGCACTCGTTCTTTCAATGTGTCCATCGTCCTTGTCTCTCGATAACGAGAACATGCTCGCCACATAACAACCACATGAAAGGTAGTCCTTTCTGCAAGCACTTGATCATCCGACCATGCCGACCAAATAGGGCAATCGCAGAGAGCCGAAACTGTGATCTCGAGCGTGTCTCGAATGCTATTCCTTCTGCACCTCGTGAGTCTTGTTGCCTTCTGATTGGACAAGCTCTCACAAAGTGCATATCCTGACTTGGACAACCTCAGTCAGGTATGCATGGCAAACTCTGATTACCCCGGATCACCCTACAATTTGGAAATGCTAACATGCATCAACCACGTTCCCAAGCCTAGACTCAAGCCACCCTTGCATACCACTGGCTCTTTCCCCTCGCGAACTCGTATGTGCCAATATCATATGTGCAGCTTCACTCCAGTTTCGGGACTTCACATTGCACTTCGATTGGACGATTGATGTTTGGATCACGAACTTCTCGGCAGCTTGACTCGAAAGTCACCCAACTCGAATTCGCTACCGAGGCAAGCGACCTCGGTAGCCTCAACATGGTTAGCTGGAAGCCTGCGCTGTATGGGAACGGAAATACTGTCGTCCAGCTGCTGTGTAGCGAATGGAGACTTCAGAATCCTGGCGTCGTTTAAGTGTCGCTCCACTGATGGCTAACGCGGGGCCCCAGGTTCTGTGTGGGAAGGTTCAAGTCTAGGCTCCCAAAGTCAGTACTAGCGTTTCTTGGAGTATGCTGGATGTGAATCGAGGCAAGTGTATGAAAGACATATGAGAGAGGGACGAAGTCTCAGCTGCTGAATCCTCTTTTCTCCATAGCAACCCTCCTGCATCAAAACCATGGCATCCACCATTGCCGATGAGAAGCAGATTCATCAGGTTGACGCACAGCACGTCGAGCGTCACCACAGTGATAATGAGCTACAAAAAGTCTCTACTTTGGGTGTCGACTTGGAAAACAGGGACGCTGTGAAAGGAGACAACTCCGACGGGCAGATAAACTGGACGACCAAGCAGATTCTGGCCACAATTTCCCTTTCTGCTCTCTATGTTGGTGAGTTCGTCAATTGTGGTTGTAGCAATATATGCTGATATTAGAGCAGGCTCGCAAATTCCGCTCTATTTCGTAGGCGGCAGCTTAGGATATATTTCCGCCGACATTGGAGGCGCAGATGCAGCTGCATGGCTACCTGTGGCTTATGCTCTATCTCTTGCAGCTGTTGCTCCTTTCTGTGGGTACCTCCAGGACTTGTTCGGCAGACGTAACGAGACACTGCTGGGAGGCCTGGTCTTGATTGCTGGAGTAATTGTTCTTGCGACGGCGAAGACTTTTGGACAAGGTGTGGTTGGTATGTGCCTTGCTGGCGCAGGTGCAGCTGTTGGTGAGCTGACCGCTTTGGCTGGGTAAGTACAACTACTGCTAGACAGGATAAGGTTTCTAATTTGTCCTAGTACTTCGGAGCTCGTACCAGTCAGCAAAAGAGGTCTTTATCTGGCCTTCGTCACATTTTCGATCCTTCCGTTCTGCCCTTACCTGATGTACTCCGAACTACTCGGACACTATCACACCTGGCGCTACTCGATCTGGATCTGCCTGTGAGTTACGAAACAAGAGGTTCTGGCATACACTGACGTTACACAGGATTTGGAATGCCTTGGCCTGGATCGGCATTGCTGTTTTCTACTTTCCAGAATCTCAAACAAGAGCACATGGCAGGAGCACTAGCGATCTTCTCAAGAAGATTGATTACCTTGGTGGCTCGTTATCGATCGCCGGACTGACGCTTTTGTAAGTTCGTTCATCTCGATCCGAGCCAGCACTAATAAGTCACAGCCTCGTCGCAATGCAAGCAGGTGGTTATTCGCATCCCTGGACGAGCGCCTACGTTTTGGTCACTCTGATTGTCGGCCTTCTCTTGATTGTTGCTTTCTGTGTATGGGAATGGAAATTCGCTAAATATCCGATGATAGTGAGTAACGTACCGTGCATCAGAGGCCGTGACTGACATCCTCTAGCCACATGAAATGTTTGCGGGACAAAAGATCGTCGGCATGGCATTCGGTATTGCCTTCGTTGCAGGTGAGTACAAAGTTCTGCTCGAAGATACTCGACTAACGTCTGCAGGCATGAACTTCTACGCTCTGCTCAACTTCTTCCCCCTGATGTTCTCCGCCGTATTCGAACCAGATCCAGTTCAGATAGGCTTGAAGGGTCTCGCTCCAGCTTTCAGCACCACTTTCGGGGCAGTGTTCACTAATGCTGCTCTGACGTGGTTCAAGGGAAATAATCGAGAACTCCTTCTTGCTGCCACAGTCATAATGAGTGAGTCGCTCTTTCTTGTGTTGTGACCACACTAACTTTCTTCAGCTGTATTCGGTGGTTCCCTCGCTGCTGTAACTCCAGAGACTCCTAAGCTGGCAGTTGGTCTTGGCACGATGGCAGGATTCGGAGTTGGTGGAGTACTTGTCCCAGCTGCAACAATCGCCATTACTGTCACACCAGATACTACCATTGCTACATGTGTCGCGCTATCTCTAGCCATCAGAACAATCGGAGGCTCTATCGGCTACGCTATCTACTAGTAAGTTCTCCCTAAGCCAAATCAGTGTGAACTTCGCTAATCAACCCGCAGTAACGTCTTCGTCAACAGGCTCACTCCAAGACTTCCAGCATACGTGGGCGCATACGCTGTCGAAGCTGGCCTACCAGTCGCAAGTGCCACAGAATTTGTGACTGTCCTCCTGACGGACCCTTCCAAGATCGCCACCGTACCCGGTGTTACAGCGGAGATCATCCAAGCTGGTGCGATGGGTAGTCGATGGGCCTACGCAGAGAGCTTACGAAACGTCTGGTTGGTGAGCATTGCTTTTGGTGGCTGTGCTATTGTTGCTTGCATATTCCTGGGGAATATTAGCAAGTACATGACCAACAGAATCGCGGCTCATGTCAAATAGAGCATAGTAGTCTAATTTTGCAAGTCTGCAGAATATCCTAATAATGGCATTAAATATTGAAATATGCTTTAATTACATGTTCGTAGTGATATGCAAATGTTTTGGTCCATCCGCCGTATTGACCTCTTGCTCGCCATGATTCTCCTCAACGACTGAACTCATTGCCCTTGAAGTCCTCGTCCCATACACAGCCCTAGCAGCCTTGACGTTCTGCTTCGCCATACCACCACCACCACCACCACCACTACTCCCCTCCCCACCCGTTTCCCTTCCCCTCGGCCTCGCCGAATACAAAACCTCCTCCCTCTCCCTGGCCCCCTCCTCCCACCCATCCTCCCGACTAGTCCAATGCCTCAACACAACCCTCTCAAACTCCGTCATCTCATCCTCCGGCATCCTCAACTCTTCCCTTCCCACCTTCTTCTTCACCCACTCCACCCCCTTCACTCTCCCCACAACCCCCGGCTGCGATACCTGCCATGGCGTATCAGGCTGCGCGTCCGCTTTCCAGATGAATGACCAGCCTTTCAGGGCGTCCGAGGCATAGTCGCCTTTATCGTCGGGGCCGGGGGCGTCGAGGGCCATGCGGACGCGGACGGAGGCGTGCATGGATTCGTGGGTGCCGGTTAGAGTGTGGCCGGTGGGGGACATGGTTGCTTTGGTGTATTCGGGGTGTTCCATTGGTGTGCGGGTTTGGGAGCCTGCGAGGCGGAAGAAGAGGGTGTAGCTGTAGTGAGAGAGTCGAGTCAGAGGTGGAAAGAGGTGGTAATTGTAGATTGGGGAGGGGTGAACTTACCTGTCGTGGATTTTGCCTGTGCCCCATGGTCGGAGTGGTCCGAATGTTCTGGCGCGTTCGATGGTTCGAGGGGTGGATGAGGATTCTTCGGTTTTGGCTTCGACCTCTTGTGCTTTCTCGTGTTGAAAAAGTGTCTGGTGGATCTGGCGGATGAGATAGTCGCGGTTGAATGTCAGTAGCTTGTGCTCTTCGAGCTGTCCGACCATCCAAGCTAGTGTTAGGTTTGCGATGTCGTCGTTGGCATAGGAGCCTCCAACATCGCTGTGAACACCAGGAAACCAGGTCTGTTTTAGGACTCTGGGGAAATGCTGCTCGGGCGGCTTGTACCAGATAGTAGGTGCGTATGATCGTCTTCGTTCATCCAGACCTAGGGCGTGGAAAGCATACTCAACATTGTCGAGTGCCTTTGTGTCTACAAAGGCGAACTCTTTGGTTCTGGAAGGAGGAAAGATGGCGAGACTGGGTATTCCCAGCGCACCTACTGTATCCCACACAGCGACACATTTAATTGGGATGTTCCTTCGACTGAGTTGCAATTTGTGCAACATCTCGTGGTAGGCAGGGTCCGAGAAGCTCGGCCTATCAGGCCAGGGTTCTGGAGATGAAGATTTCCAGCCTTGGACATTCTGATGCTCCCAGTCGTCGCACATCTCAACCAGATACGATAGACCTTTTGGTGTAAGTAGTCCAAGCTGCTTGATCAAGGTGCTGATGCTGCGGGCTGTAAAGGCTCCACGACTGAAGCCTAGTAGAATGATTTCATCATCGCGATGATAATTGCTACATATGAAGGAGTAGGCTTCACGAATATTATCCGCGAGGCCCTCTCCTGTAGCGCCTTGTAAGTACTTGCCGATCTGCTTGTAGTACCAGCCGCTCTGACCTGTACCGACGCCGTTCTGGTAGAAGGTGATTTGAGGAATTGCAGTTGGATGTGCCGGGTCATTGTTGTCGACACCGACAGGTGGTATGGCTCGGATAATGCGAGTAATGTTTGAGGGCACTTGATCGACACTATCAGAGTCCATCCATGTGCCATCACAGGCGACTATGATACGCTTTCGAGGACATGAATGCATTCGAGCAGGGTTGCTGGTAACATGCTCACAGTTGTCGTCCTCGAGGTGGGTGTCAATTGATGAATGTGTGGTTGCCATGAGTCTAGCAGGCTGAATGAATCGTCCCAACTCTTCACAAAAAGAATGTAGTTGTCTCTGTCAATACCTGGCGACTTGACATGAACACAAATGGGCTGTGGTAGAACAGTGTTTGACGGAGCAGTTGCAGTGTACTGGTACATAGCGAGACAATCAAACTGAATACACCTCGACATTATAAAAACGTACTTTTGTGCTCAGGCGGTCGTCCTCAAGCTGAGTCGGTGGTCCAACAAGGGTGCCTGACCCCGTACCAAGCACTGTCTGATCAACCTGGGGCGATATTGGGCATGGTATGGGTAGACGATGTGCATCCATGGCCCCATCAGGCGACATCCTGGACGCCCTTTGTTAAGGCTGAGGTGCACAAGAATAGGACAACCAATGAGGAGCCGCAAGCCATAACATGGAAGTCTGTCAGTTTGGTCAATAACGAATACTGAATCACACCTGGCCCCTGCCTTGTGCTGGTACTTGGTAGATGCGCGTGGAAATTGGCTACACGGATCAGCTTTGTTTCAGCAGCACGTGGAGATTTTAGGTTCAATAATTGGGTTACCTCAACCTCTTCCTGCTCTCGAGGGACACCATTTCCATTTGGCATTTATTACTGGTGAATTATATCACGAACCGGCTACGCATGGCGTGGTATACGACCTGTATAGAATTCCGCATGTAATTCATGCGATAGTAAGGGAGATCGCTCACCAACGGCTAAAATAATTGATTTGTCTTCATGTTCATGTTCGTGATCGTGAGCTGTGTCCCATCATGAGCGACACCCTTCTTCAGGCCTCTGACACCTTGAACAGCTCTTTCCTGCGCCCAACTTTGTATATGAACCATGATGCGAAAGATACCCTCAAACGATTCGGGCTCTCACCACTACCGCACTTCCATTTCCCTTAGTTTACTCGGAGCTGGCGTGCCCTTGTTCCTTCGGCCAAGTAACGTCGAGTTATCCAAGCTGAGCTCGAATGGTTGCTTGCTACGCTGGCCAACACTCTTCTTTGCCGCTGCTGCAACAGCAGCACTGTGCTGTCCATACCCACGTTCCTCCTGTTGTCGACTGCGCTGGGGTGCGGCCGCAGCACGAGCTTGTGCTGCTGCGGATGGCTGCGTGCCCAAGTTTGTGCTTCGCAACTTAGCCTCCATGCTGGAGACATCTGATGGTGCCTGAGACTTTGGCACTTTCGCTGGAACGTCCTCTTCATAATCTCCATCTTCGTAGTCGTCATCATCCTCGTTGAGAGGGTTCAGGCTACCTGGGACACCAGCGCCTCGATAACCTTGCTTGAAGTTCTTCCTGCGTTTCGCCTCTTCTTCCTGTCTATGTACAGCGTAACCAACGTCGAAAACTTCTCTCAGGTTGACTGCGCCTGGCGATCGGAAGTCGTTTCGTCGTCCTGGTGTGCCAGGGGTAGCAAGTGCGTATTGATCAACACCTGATGCGAGGCCGAATTCCTTCTGTCTTACGGCCAACGGCGTTGCCAGAGGTGGTGCGTCAGCAGCTGCGTAAGTCTCCTCGTTGCTCTGGCGGATCCAAGGATGATTCAAGAATTGCTCGATGGTATATCGCTTGTCAGGATCAACAGTCAATAGATGTGACACTAAGTCCTGCGCAGACTTTGAGATATCGTCCCACCATGGAGACAAAAAGGTATACTGGCCTCTTGCCACCTTTTCGGTTAGGACCTGAATCGATTCATCATAGAAGGGAGGGAAACCACACAGCAGTGTGTACAACACACAACCAAGAGCCCACATATCGACGGATTTGCTGTAGCGCTCGTCCTTTACTATCTCAGGAGCGGTATAGCCTACCGTACCACAAGGAGTCATGGTTGAGGATTCCCAGATGACTTTTGACAGACCAAAGTCTGCGATTTTAATCTGACCAATACCCCCTGCTCCAACGCCATTTACGAACTCACCTTCGTCGGCCTTGTCCTCGTCTTCGGGTCCGCGTGGTTTCGGGTTTCTTGTCGGAATAAAAGGTATCGGATAGAACAGTAAGTTTTCTGGCTTGATGTCACTGACTATGTTAGCTTACGCAGGTCTGCAAGGATTGACATCGACCTACCGATGTACCACGCCTTTCTCCTCGTGTAGATAATGTAGTGCTTCGGCCACTTGGACGATGACGTGCCGACTTAGCTCTTCGCTGAAATAGGTCAAACGCACGATTTGATGGAATAGTTCACCGCCGGGACACAATTCTAGAACGATGTAGTAGTATTGTTTCGACTCTGAAAAGTCGATCAGTCGGACGATATTAGGATGGTCCAGCTGTCGCATTATCTGGACTTCTTTGAGGATGTTCGCTCTCTGTTGGAAACAAAAGTCAGCTCAATCTTCGACGGCAAACGCGAAATCCTCGATATCGTCAAGAAAAGCGTCAGTGAGATGGGGAGTGTTTACCTCCACTCCTTTTGGTTGCTTCTTAAATTCCGGATGCAAATGAGCGTCGCCCTGTAATATCAACTGTGTTGGCATTTTGACGACAAGAGATGAGACGATACCGAGGACCTCTGCAGGATCGAAATGATCGTGGACGTACCTGGTTGGAGTTCATCTCGAACTTGCGGACCACCTTGATTGCAACCTCAGCACCAGTCTGAGTATCTCTCGCCTTGTAGACGTTGCTGAATGCGCCATCACCCATCTTTTCAATCAGAATAAAACGTTCCAGACCAGGATATCGAGGCATCTTGGCGGCCTTCTCCCTCTCATCAGCAACGAGTTGAGCCAAATCTGCCTGGTTGACCTGTAGCTTCTGATTCTTGCCAGCCATGTTTGCGGCACCACCGGCTGCCTGAGCTGCTACATTGCGGTTGTCGCCTGCTGCCATAGAGTATTCACCGATGTGACCTCCTGGTTGTTGGTAAGCCGCTTGCTTGTTGTGGCCGACTACTGGTTCGCTGATGCCATGGGGGAGTCTGGATTGTTGAGCATGAACGTTCGATACATTTGTAGTTGGGTGGTCTCGTGGGGGATCTGCGGCTCTAGCTTGTTTACCATGGCGGATGAAATTCTTGAACTGCTGAATGTGTGTAGACATTTTTGACGGATACTCGCAATTCTGCTTGGATTCGCAGGATGAAAGGATTGATGGTGGAGGTGTGAGATCAAGTATGCTGACCAAGCCTCTGTTTGCACTCAAGGAATGTTTCTTCGGCAGCTGCGGTGCGATGACGTCGACGAGCCTGCTTGGATATCCTGTGAGAACTACAAGTACGACCAGTCCAGACGCAAGTAGTCGGTAGGATCAGTGAGGCAGAAACGAAACTGCTGATGTAGGAATTATCGTGGTCGGCGTAGACACGGGTGTTCTCTGGGGAAAAGCGAAGTTCTTTAGGTAGGAGACGTTAGTGGTTGGTCCTGCACGATTACGCAAGAAGGTAACTAATTTAACAAGCTCAATCACAATGTTCGACGAGGAGGCTGCAAGTTCCAACGACCAAAGCAACTGTCTCGATAATGCAGGAAGAGTTTCCGACTAATGAATTGGGATCCGCTGGTTGGAATGCTCACCATCTACTTCGAAACACATCATTCTACTGTCCTCCTTGTTCGACTTGTACAAACGCGAGGCAAAGGCGAAGAATCAATGCCCAGGGCCCCTCGGGCTACGTCAAGGCGCCCCTCTATGCAGTCAGTCACCAAGTAAAATTATCTTTCGTTGCTGGTGCAGGAAAGTGCCATCATGGCGGATGCCTTGGCCTGCATCATGCTGTCATAGCTCCACCATCCACGCACCAATCGAACTGAATTGACATCATGTTACAAGCAGTCGCATCCTTTGTTTGGAAGCAGCGGCTCAGCTGGCCTTCCACTGTGTACTGTGGACCGGTTTGCACGTTTATAATCAGGACAACGACGCCATAGCAGTATCGAGATATTGTGCAGGTGATCAATTGCTTACCCCGAATCAATACACGATTCATATTCAAAACCATTGCTATCTTTATTGCTATTGTTGATCGGCATGAGGAATGCCGTGCTTGATCCTCTACGAAACTGGATCAGATTGTTACCGCTGATGATGACGGCAAGATCTGCAGACCGCACCACAATGCCAATCCGTGGCCCGTGAATCTAAGGCAAAGTCGCCAACGTTGTGTTTCGCCTGCCAGGAAGACGTGGTTATTTGACGTCAAAAAGTGTTTCGGTGATAATGGTACAAGAATAATGTACATATTGAGCCGTATCTCATAATCAAACTTGTGTATAAAAACTGAAATGGTATCGTAATTCAAAAGTCCAGACGCTAAAACAACAGAATTGTCCAAAAGGAAATATTTCCGCAAGAATTGTTATGTTGGGAGTGGTGACGGGTCGTCGAATGTATAGCGTAAGCTGAACATTATTTTGAAAAGTGCCAAATCTGCTGGACTTTGGGTAGACTGTTCGTACCATTTTTGCAGAGAGGCCGCATCCCAATCAGCACTATACATGGCGGCAAGGATGTCCTCAGTATTGGACATGGAATTATTCAATAGGCTGTCAAGTCGTGTAATAGCATCATCGCCTAGGGCCAGGTCTGCATGAGGTACAATGCCTCGTCGTCTGGCCTTCATGGACCTTCTAGAAGGTTGAGTGGAAGCAGCGACGTTGGCACCGCTCCTCACCGATGCTGGCCGGCTCGATCGAGGACATGCGTTCGGCAACAGTCCCTCAGGATCAAACAGTGGTGTTTTGTCGGATTCGGCAGACCGTGTTGGCGAGTTACTGGCTGATACTATCTCGGGGCAGTAGTTGTCTTGGGCTTGATCGGTCCAGCCATCAAAGTAGCCTGACTGTAAGAATGTTAGTCAAAGAACTGCTGCACGAAGAGCGTGGCTTACCCAACTACCATCTGTAGTCGAAGAGGTCGACAGATCAAAGAAAGACGTCTCTGAATCTAAGCTGTCTGTATTCTTGTGTTTCTGCCAAGCTGGGTATTCACGTGCCGGCGTGTTCATGTTGATATCGAGGTCGTGAGGCACGTACGTTGAGAGAATGGATTGACCAGCCAAATCATAAAGGAAGGACTTGAGTGAGTGACACAGATGGGCAATGAGGCTCAATGCGAATGCTTGGATGGCATTGGGACGAAAGAACAATGGATCTAATCTCAGCGGATGAGTGGTTGATATGTGGGTGATTGTCTCAGCACAAGGCCTGGGAAAAATCCAGTATGGATCAGCGGGTTTCCGAAATAGAGTTCAGATCTTGTTTTTCGCAACATCAACGCGCACAGCTTCTGTATGTGCACCGATGACTACGAGTCATGGCGATGCTCGGGCGTTAAACCGGCTCATTCTGTCAAGGAATGGAGCCAATTACAGCGCACAGAGCACTCTGAAAGATGATCAAACGACATGGATCTTGATATGGACTCCATTGATCATGACGATAACGATCAGTCCCGGAACGACTGAGCCGAATAAAGAGAAGATGAGCAAGGCAGTCCAAGTGCACAATAATTGGATTTTTGCCTTGATGAGGTGCATTTCTCCTTTAGGTACGTGCCAAATAGCGTGTCTCGCTAGACTCTTTTGATCGAATCAAGCTTATCTGAGTATAACGGTGCACGTCTCTCTGAGTCGGATTCGTCTTGTTCCTGCAGTAGCCTGGGACTTTTCTGTTTTAACTCGCGAGGTGGAGTCGACTGCCTCAAGAGTTCATGCACCCTGACAGGAGTACGAGTCGGTAATAGTATTCTGGCACCTGCTGACTTGCCTACGGAGTACAGTCAGAAATTGTGCTTCTTTTCATGCGTTGTTAAAGGCCTCCCTGGGTGAGTTGAAGTCAGGGCTTGTGCACCAGTACATGCAACAAAGGAAATCCTCAGGATTACACGTCATACTTTCGACCACGTTTAGGTTCCAGGTTCCAGGTTGCAGGTTGCAGAAGCTTTTCAGCAACCCAATTCCAGCTTGGCAAACTTTCCTATTGTCACGCGGGTGTGCAGGCAACGGAAGATCATGGACATATTAGCATGCAGATGCGATGCAACTTCTGCTTTGGAATCCGGCAATCTGTATGTCCACGTACGTACTAGGTACACTCGTGGATCCGAGCTTGCGCGTCACCCTTGTCCTTTGCCAAAACGAGGCAGTCTCCCTGCCAGGGAACATTCGTCGCTAGCTCACTTGGACGAGTGGTTTGCTTACGACTCGAAAAACTCTCAAGCACTCGTAAGAGCGTACCTGGTACTAGCAGACGATTGAAGTCCTTAGTTTGTTCCTCAACTGCCGATGAAAAATATCCGTATGCAACGCGGTTCTTATGTCAATCCTGATGCTGAAGAAAGTGGCTGATTGACTAGCATGATCGACCCACGGCGAGCTCCCAACACCTCCACCTATCTGCTCTGTACAAATACGCGACTTGCAGGGCTGAGTGACAAGCAGGATGAAGGGGTTGTCCTTGAATCGACGTACCAGTCACCTTGCTGGAACACACTTGTTGGTCAGAATCTGAGATGGTGTCGAAAGTGAACATGGTAAATGTAGCCGCTGAATGCGTGATTAGCTCATGTCGCAACGCACTCTTCTCCTTGTGTGTATGAGCACTGTCTCACCGGAACGCCAATCAGAATGTCAATCCCTGTTAAATTTATGGTTCAAATCTGTAGAGCAAAGCCGACGACGGTGCAGGTCGCACTGGTATGCAGTAGCTGTACGACTGCAGCACTACGGTCAAGCACGACCGCCTGGCTCACGATAATGGCTGGCACAACCGTAATGTCACGCCTCCAGTCAGCAACGTATCGAGCAGAGATCCGATGCGTTGGCCTGACGACGGTTAAGCTTTGCTTTCAAACAATCGAATCGCGAAAAGTTACACTATCATAAGTCCGCTGAAACATCTGGAACCCACATACAACTATGCAGTGACAATAGCATGAAGAATGACGATGCATCTAAAATGCAGTAGTGAAGTCGATCAAGCACTTCTACGTGAGCAGAGCGATCACGATACACAATGGCGCAAGCTGGTCCGACGGGGGCGGTGGGAAGGTTGAAGTCTTCCTTTGAGGATGCGATGCTTGCTCGGAAAGATTCAACGGCCTCAACAAACTCATCAGCTTACTCTGCCTATTCGAATGCTTCCAATTCCTCGCGGCTCGATGCCTCAATTCGCAACAGCCCCGTCACTTCGGGAGTGTCCTCTGCCTATATCCAGCACCGCAAGACTAGTGGACACAAGAGAGGCATCAGCGAGGCAATCGAGATATATCAAGCCCCGTCTCAGATGGATGAAGGTAGTATAGAGAACAGCCCAGATTATGTCTATCGCAGCATGCGACATTCCCTAAGACCATTACCACAACCCCCAAATACCTCATCGTCTCCAACCTCGAGTCGCTATCGATCTCCACAGCACGTGCGAAATAACACTGTCGACCACATAACACCTCTTGAATCCGAGAACCTAACACCTGGATCAAAATCACCACTCTCCTCTATCGAACCTGAAGCCAATTCTCCACGCCCTCACTTCCATCATTCCCATGCGGCTCCGCACAATTCAACATTTCTCGCTCCCGATTTGCAAGAACTGAAGAAGTCATCGACCAGCCACTTGAAAGCCTTGTCTAAATTCGCACAAACCAGCGATAACGATGAGTTCTCCCTATCAACACCAGCACCTTCGGTCGTCGGCCTCCATAATCGAAGACAACTCAAACGCACAGATTCTCCTCGCCAAGGTGCTAGGCAACGTAATTATGGGTTTGGCGAAAGGAATTGGATGGATAAGCAGCGTCAGTTTCTTCAAGCCTATGAATATCTCTGTCACATTGGCGAAGCAAAAGAATGGATCGAAGACATCATACATCAATCTATACCACCGATTGTTGAGCTCGAGGAGGCCTTGCGAAACGGTGTGACTCTAGCTGAGATCGTCCAGGCTTTTCACCCTGACCAGCGTCTGCGTATCTTCTGTAACACAAAGCTACAGTTCAAGCACTCCGACAACATCGTCTTGTTCTTCCGTTTTCTCGAAGATGTCGGATTGCCGGAGCTGTTCAGATTCGAACTTATCGATCTATACGAGAAAAAGAATATCCCCAAGGTCATATATTGTATTCACGCTCTGTCATGGCTGCTCTACAGAAAAGGAATGGTCGACTTTCGAATTGGCAACCTGGTTGGTCAGCTCCAATTTCAGGACCATGAATTAGAACAGACTCAACGTGGTCTCGATAAAGCTGGTATCAGTATGCCCAGCTTCCACGGTATGGGTGCAAGCTTCGGTGCTGAGCCTGAGCCGGAACCTATCGAGACGGAAGAGGAAAGAATTGATCGCGAACTACACGAGAACGAAGCCGTCATTGCAGATTTACAGACTCAGATGCGAGGCGCACTGGTTCGCATGCGACTTGGTGACCTGATGAGCGTCATGTGGGATCATGAGCACAAGATCGTTGAGCTTCAGGCCATGATACGAGGAGATTGGACCAGACAGGTCTCTAACTACAGGCTCGATATGCAGCGCTTTGCCACCTCCCTGCAGGCCGCTACCCGAGGCTTTCTACGCAGACAGAAAGACGTAGCTAGACACCAATTCTGGCAGTCGAAGCAAGACGATGTGCTCAAGATCCAGAGCTTGTATCGTGCAAATCGTGCTCGTAAGCAAGTTCACCAACTGAAAACAATGGTAAGCCACCATGATCAAGGTGTTCGCAACATCCAGTCTGCTATGCGAGGCCTTCTGGCTAGAAAGACAGCTGCGCGGCAAGTCCAAGCTGTGCAACGATCAGAAAGGAAGGTAGAATCTCTTCAATCCGGTATTCGTGGTCTACTCATCCGAAGACAAATAGCCCACCAGCATCAACAACTGTCACTTCTGGAACCGCAAGTAACTCGGTTGCAAGCAGCGATTCGTGCAATGTCTCAAAGAGACCATATTGCTCTACATCTCGAACGTCTCCACAGTATGTCTTCGATATGGACAGCCCTGCAGAGTGTCGTTCGAGCCCGACAGGTCCGGATGAGTATAAAAGCCACAAAGAAACAGCTTCTGAGCCATTCGCACCAATTTGTCAGGCTCCACACTCACATCAGAGCTGGGTTTGCGAGAGATGCTCATCACGCCTTGCTGTCTGCTCTCACGGCAGAGGCAGCTTCCATCGTCTCACTGCAGCACCACGTCCGCGCATTTCTTGCACGACAACGACTTGCTGACCTGCACGCTCAGCTGCAGCTTCAGCAGCCTTCTATCAAAAAGCTGCAAGCCGTTGTTCGAGGGCTGCTCTGCAGACACAGAATTGGTCAGGATCTGTCTGACCTCCATTTGCAAGAAGATTCCATCACCTACATTCAGGCAGCAATTCGTGCCACTTTGTGCAGGGGTAGGGTTGGGGACTTACTAAGCGACCTTGAAGAACAAGAAGATCCTGTTGTACTTTTGCAAGCAGTAATTCGCGGAAGACGCATCCGAGCACGGTTTGCTGAAAAGAAAAGATTCTACAAGGAGAACATGGAGAAAGTCGTGAAGATTCAAAGCGTCATTCGGGCTAAGATACAAGGTCAAGCCTACAAAAATCTTACATCCGGTAAAAATCCACCTGTTGGTACATTGAAGGGCTTCGTGCACTTGCTCAACGACAGCGATTTCGATTTTGAAGAAGAAATTGAGTTTGAAAGACTGCGCAAGACTGTGGTCCAACATGTTCGACAAAACGAGCTTGCGGATCAATACATTCAACAATTGGACATCAAGATCGCCTTGCTTGTGAAGAACAAGATCACTTTGGACGAGGTTGTCAAGCATCAAAGACACTTCGGTGGTCATGTTGGCTTGCTCCTACCGAACTCTGATATCTCATCAAAAGATCCATCTGACCTGAAGGCTTTGAACAAAGCTTCAAGACGTAAGCTCGAGCATTACCAAGAGCTCTTCTTCTTGCTTCAAACTCAACCTCAGTATCTTTCTCGTTTATTTAGAAGGATACGGGAGCAGGCGACTTCTGAAAAAGACTGCGAGCGTATCAAGCATCTTGTCCTTGGTCTTTTCGGCTACTCACAGAAACGGCGAGAAGAGTACTATCTGCTCAAGCTTATTGTCCGATCCATGAGGGAGGAGATCGACTACATATCTGACCTCGAAGAGTACTTGCGCATGAGTGCATTCTGCAACCGAGTCTTCTCCGCGTATACAAAATCTCCGCGCGACAGAAAGTTCCACCGTGACTTGCTGAGCGGGCTTGTAAAGAAGAATTTCATTGATAACAAGAGTCTCGACCTCGAAGGTGATCCGCTACAAATATACCTCTCAGCTATTAGCAACGAGGAATTGTGTACGGGCCAACGGAGCAGGAGGGATCCCAACATACCGCGTCAACAAGCAATTAAGGATCCTGAGACGAGACAAACCTTCATCTCGCACATGCAAGATCTTCGCGATATCACAGATCAATTCTTCTTGAGTTTGGAGGACTTCCTGAACCGGATACCTTTTGGTGTCAGATATGCCATGCAACAAATGCATGATGCACTATGCATCCGCTTCCCACAAGAGGACCCGTCGTTCGTTTTGCAGACAGTTGGTCAGTGGTTATGGCGAATGTATCTGCAACCTGCTTTGCTTGAGCCCGAAAAATCCGGCGTTGCAGATAGGGCTATGACACAGGAGCAGAAGAAGAACCTCGCAGTTGTGGCTAAAGTTCTCAATCAAGCTTCGCTCGGACGAGAGTTTGGCAGTGACAATGACTACCTACAGCCTCTCAACAATTACATCAGGGAATCTTCCAATCGACTTCTTACTATGTGGCAACATGTTGTGAATATAGCATCAGCCGAAGAGCACTATGACATTGATGAGTTCAATGATTTGTACGCCAAGCAGAAGCCGACGCTGTATATTAAGATGGCCGACATCTTTTCCATCCATCAGCTAGTCTCATCAGAAATTGCTTCCATATGTCCGAATCCAGATGATGTGCTTCGAGAATCTCTTCGCGAATTGGGCAGTGTAAAAAGCAACGAGTCAGACTTGATGAATGTCAGCTCCGGAGAGATTATGCTGACACTAACCCCGAAATACCTCGATTCTCAGGATCCTGATTCTGACATCAAAGCTCTCTTTACAGAGACAAAGAGATGTGTCTTGTACATTATTCGTATACAGGCAGGTACTAGTCTGTTGGACATCCTGGTCAAGCCTGTAACCCTCGAGGACGAGCAGAAGTGGGAAGATCTCGTCCGCGACGAGTTGAGTGCAACAAGCACCAAGAGGGGAGCGTATGCTGAGCTCTCCAATACACTCGACTTCACGACGTTGTCCTACCCCGATCTGAAACGCATAGCGCTGGAGAACGTACTGCAACTAGAAGCCATAGGCCGGCTTAGTCGATCTAATCAATTCCAAGACCTGCTCAATGAGATCGCCGTGGACATCAGAACCAAACATCGTCGACGATTGCAGCGACAGCGAGAGCTGGATAACGTGAAGACAACACTGCAAAGATTGAATGAACAGACTGTCTACCTCGAGCAACAACTCAAAACCTACAACGACTACATTGAGCAAGCAATGGTGACATTACAAAACAAGAAGGGCAAGAAGCGTTTCCTCTTGCCTTTCACAAAGCAATGGGACCATGAGCGAGAGCTACAACGATCTGGACGATCCTTTAAATTCGGTTCCTTCAAGTACTCCGCCAGAACTCTGGCTGACAAAGGTGTACTTGTGCATTGGCGTGGTTATACCGAACAGCAATGGTTCCGTGTCGATATCACCATTTCTTCGAATGAAGTGGGTGTCTTCACTATCGAAGGATCTAGTGGTAATATGATGTTACCTGGTGCCACAGCTCAAGTACCGCTGGACGATCTGCTAGGCGCCCAGTTCGAGAACAAGCAGTTCTTGGAATTCTTTGAGGGTCGATCCCTCAGAGTCAACGTCAATTTATTCCTTCATCTGATCATGAGAAAATTCTACAACGAATGAACTGGGACAACTTTCGAGCTCCTCGTTGATTGGTAGATTGTTGGCTAGCATTCGCCTGTGAAGGCTCGAGACACTAGGATTCTTGATTTTCTGCATAGCGTGTGTTTAGTGGCGTTGGTGTTGAGGAACATGGGCGGTTTTATGTCTGGGAACATACGTACCTTCACGTGTTAACGACGCTGATGAAGAGGCATGCTCTGTGTAGCTTTGTAAGCGCTAGAGTTAGTATATGATATTCGCGCCAATAAAAGTGACATACATACCTACACATTGCATGAAGTATCTTCCTTTCAGTACTTGCTCCAACCGACCTTCCTTTGATACCACTTGACTAGGGGTGATGGTGATGGACCAATACGCCTTTACTTCTGAGCTGGCGGCGTTAGGCATGAGCTGGTGCATCACACACACTCGCATGTGACAATGTTCGCGTTGTTGTTTGTGGGCTTCGGTAGGATTTGTGAATACGTCCAATCCTCTCAAAAAACGACGACAATGCAAGACATGGCTCAGTCAATATCGCAAGAGCTATACGTGAAGGAGAACTATTTAGTCTCTTCCCGCCACGCCTCGGCTCATAATGTATGATCGAGCCTTCAACTCCCTATGCTGGACTGATTGTGTTGGATTTGATATCCAGCTGTTTGCTATCATTACCATTAGCCGCCGCGTGTTTCTCTACCTTGGCAGATTTTCCCCCAGGTCTATCTTGCAAATCAGACAGGTGAATCTCGAGAATGCTTGGAGACGAGAAATTGTCGACTTTGGCATCATTGCCAACGCCTCTCCCATCTATATCATCACATGAGGTTTTCACGCCAGAGCAATGGGACAATCTTCTTTCGATATGTGAAGTCTTCGTGCCTGACCTGTCCTCACAGGCTGAACCGAATCTCGCCACAGACAGGACCATCGAGGAACTTCGCCAGATCCTGCCAGAGTCAGAAAGCCCCGACCTGATCGAGAAATACCTCGCAGACACAGTAGCAGGAAATGCAGACTTCAAAGAAGCACTACGGCGGAGGTTCGTAGCGCACGTGCCGGAAGATCAAGTGAAAGGGTTGGCATTTCTTCTTTCAGCTCTTGATACTAGGATTGGGTCACTGGCTATGACTGGAACTACGAAAATATTGCACACTCAGAATCTACCTGAGCGTTCTAGGATTGTACTTAATTGGGCGAACTCGTATATTGGGGCTCTCCGAGCATTGTATCAGGCGGCTGAGTCTCTAACAAGGTATACATGGGCGACACAGTCTACACTTTTGCACAGGCTACTAGACTATCCTAAGGTACCGAAAGATATTGAACGTCATCCAGGCTATGAGTTCGAGTTTCTAGAGTTTTCCGATCAGCCGGAGGACAAGACTGTTCAGGTTGATGCTGACATTGTGATTGTGGGATCTGGTTGTGGTGCTGGCGTGGTCGCCGAGCATCTCTCAGCAAGCCTATCAGATCTGCCACGTAAACTCAGAATCCTGGTGTTGGAAAAGAGTTATCACTTCCCTAGCTCGCACTTTCCTATGGACCAAACAGCTGCTGGGAACAATGTGCAGGAAGGCGGAGGAGGCCTCATATCTGACGACGGGAGCATAGCAGTACTGGCCGGCAGTGTGTTTGGAGGGGGTGGCACGATTAACTGGAGTGCTTCTCTACAGCCATCACACCACGTAAGGTCAGACTGGGCTACGAAAAACCAGTTACCGTTCGTCTTGTCTCAGGACTTCCAAGCTTGCCTGGACGAGGTGTGCGGGAAGATGGGCGTATGTCGCGCCAACGATCTTGAAGGACTGTCCAAGATAGAGCAGAACATCCCCAACTCTATGCTCCTGGAGAGTGCCCGTCGCCTTGGTCTTGCAGCTGAAGTCGTTCCTCAAAACACGGCTGGTAAGCGCCACTACTGCGGACGATGTGGCATGGGTTGTGCAAGTGCGACGAAACAAGGTCCCGCCAATTTCTGGTTCCCAGAAGCAGCCAAGAATGGTGTTAAATTCATCGAGGGCTGTTTCGTCGAAAAAATCTGCTGGGACTCCGTGAGCTCGGAACGCAAAGCAACTGGCGTCAAGGCGATCTGGACCTCGCGTTCTCGAGACATCATCCGCAAGCTCAAGATTAATGCAAGCTATGTCATCGTCTCTTCAGGAACGCTTCAGTCACCACTACTGCTGCATCGATCTGGTCTAACCCCTGAAGTCAACAAGAACATCGGCTCCAATCTCCACCTTCACCCCACAATCAACGTCCGAGGAACATATCCCCAACGTATAGATCCATGGGATGGCGCCATCCTCACATCAGCAATGACCACCCTCGACAACCTCGACGGAAAAGGCCACGGTCCCAAAATCGAGGTCATGCTAGGCATACCAGAATTAATGGCAGCAGTCCTCCCCTTCCGCCCTCAACTATCCACCACCGCCACAACAACAACCAAATCCAATGGCCAAACCCAGTCCACCACCTCCCTCGACTGGCGTCTCCGGATCGCCAAACACGGCCACAGCTTCACCTACATCATCATTCAACGCGACCATGCCGACGCCAACAACTCTCCAAAATCCTACGTCTACATGGATCCAGCTGACCCCCGTAAAGTCAGAATCAGCTATATCCCATCTCTCAAAGATCGTCAGCATCTTCTGGAAGGTATAATTGTCGCGGCAAAGATGCATTTCGTCATGGGCGCGGATTTTATTGATCCGACTGTGCCGAACATTTTGCCTTTCGAGAGACCTTCGACGAAATTAAGAAGAAGCGGCACAGCACTGCCCACCGACAAAGATCAACAGCACACAGATATGGAAGACAATACAGCCTTCACCTCCTGGCTCTCAACCCTCACCTCCACCACCTCTCCCTCTTCCTCCCTCATCAATCCCCAAACAACTCGCCTCGGCTCTGCCCACCAAATGAGCACCTGCCGCATGTCTGCCTCTCCCAGCACAGGCGTCGTCGATCCAAGTGGCAGAGTATGGGGCACGGACAATGTCTATGTTGCTGACGCGAGTATTTTGCCGAGTGCGAGTGGTGTTAATCCGATGGTCAGTACGATGGCGTTTGCGTTGTGGGTTGCTAGGGGATTGGTGGGGAGGGTTGGGCGAGAGGTAGGCAGGGGGACAGGGGAGGTAGATGAGTGATTGTCAGACGCCCGGATTATCCTGTTTCAGTTGGCCAATCTATATAACAGGAAGCACAGAGCTGATTATCGCGCTTCCCAGCACCTGAAGGGCTCTCCAGCTTTAGTAGAATACACTCATTGACCTCTATTTCAACTTCTGGCGTATATATTACAGGCCCTTACATTAAGGGTATTAGGGGTGGTGTGTAAAGGGCTTTCGGAGGGGGTTTTGAAGGTTACTCGAGGCTCTTCTAGGGGTTTCAAGAAACCCGAAAAAAAAAGCCTGGAATAAGTATTATTCATATTTGACAGGTTTCCTAAATAACCCGACAAAGCCTAGTATACTACCACTACTAATACCATTTTGTGAACACGACAAGTTGTTACAGAGAGGGAAAAGCTCACAGTACGTGATCAATAATATCGTGTTTGCCAGAAAACGTTTCATTTTGCATAGTTGTACATGATTCTCATCAGGTCTGCTAATCACCTGCAACTATTTCTTTGAAAAAGTACGCTCAAATCCAAAAGATTTCAAGACCCTTCCTCCTTCATCGCCTCGTTGCGTCATGTGTGCTCATATATAGTGTACTCAATATTTTAGATCATTTGTGATCTCATGTCATTCGTCTCGTCGTGTGTAATCGTCGTTAGGTTGCTGTATGTGCTCGCTGTAAAACAAGTTGAATCAAACCCCGAGACGCCAGTCATATGCGACCTGCGCATGTAACAAGAAACAGAAATACTCCTTCTCTTTTCAGGCTGGTTAAGCTCTTGTTCCTCCCTTCAAGGGACATCTAAAATGCCTCCACTTCCGCCTCACAACCTCAGACCTCTTCTATCTACCAAATCAGCTGCTCTAACGTCCTCAAGGATGTCGTTAATGGCAGTCGAATTATCGATTTTATGACCATTCGCATGTTCTAGCTCTTTCGTGTAGACGCCTCTATCATCAGGAAACCTCGAATCACTTTGCATCACAACTTCAGGACCAATACTCTTACGTAGTTGTTCTCTTCTCAGTTCCCTTTTTTGGTCTTCTCGCCTTGCACGGGAATTTGTCATTCGCTCTCGCAGACTGGCTAGCCGCCCAATTGCCATATTCAGGCTCAAGCTTCGCAAGGGTGGCACACCATAAAGCTTCTTGCCAGCTCGGAAACGTTGTAGCGAGGAATATGATGTCTGTTTGACAAGAGCTTGTTGTTGTGAGATGTGGTCATTTACCAATTGCCTGTGTTTTCGACGCTCGGAGACCCGTTTCATCAAAGATGCGGGGCCCATTGCGATCGAGCTAGATCGAGTCAATTTATGTTTTGGTGGAGGTTTTCTGACAATAGTCTCTGTTCCATGAACAGATTCAGGTTCAACATGTTGATCATGCTCGCCTCCTTGAAGTAGCCTACGCTGATGATTCTCGTCATCTGGCCAAAACGCCCTTGGTCTCCAAAAAGGGTGTAACGTACTGTCCAGCTCCTGGTTAGCCTTGGGATTTTTCGCGTTGCGAAGACTTATCCCACGACTGAGAGACTTGATGAACGATTCAGAGCGGTCTCGACCTTGAAGTGATGGACGAATATGCGACAAAGTACCAGTTCGAGACTTTACAGGCGATGTAATAAGTTCAGAATTAAGCTGACCATTGACCTCGTCCCTTGGAGTAGGCGGAAAGACAGTGAACTGAACTTGAGGTGGCTCCGGTGGTTTACGTGGATGTCGAAGTGGTGAATTTGCATTTTGCTCAAACATCAACAGTTGATCGCTTGTTCGTGGTGTGTTAACGTTCACTTTTGGTGCCGGCAAAGTGTGAGCACGGTGTGAAACAACGTCCTTCAGGGCTCTAACAGCTGGTGTTTCGGAGAGACGATTAGGTTTAATGAGCTGTAAAGATTTGTTATTATGTGGAAAGAAGTTAATGATTCTGGCTTCAACGATATCGGGTGAGGCGGACAGCATTGACGCTTGCGAGAATGGGGTGCCTGTCAGGGTTGCTGGCCGAAGCTCTGCCCACTCCTTCGTCCCTGGTATGATGGTATTGATTTCGATTGAAAGAGATCCTTGACGAAAAGTCTCCAGCTCGGGAAGATCGCCCGACCTGTGGCCATCGCCAGGTTGTAAGTCCTTGGGAGCTGGAGTCGGCGAGGACGATTGACGAGAGCTTCTCCTCAAACTAGCAGACAATCTTTCTGATTCCATTCGCTCAAGCGTGCTGCGCAAATCTTTTTCAGCCTGTTCACGTTGCAGAGAAAACTGTTCCGAGGTAATGGAATTGGATCTAGTGCCATTTCGCGATGTTGGAGTCGACAAAGACGACCGTCTGACAGGAACCTGAAGAGGTCGATCGATAGAAGGACTTCTCTCGTGCGAATCGGAAAATGCTCGCTTACGGCGGGGTCCCGGTGTTGAGACTGGGGGCATGTTCGAATGCGCGTGGGCAGAGGTGCCAGAAATGGAGCGGGAGTGCCGTCGACTGCTGCTTGCGGACGACTGTAGCGAAGAGTGCCTTTCGGGAATGACAGCGACTCTGATCACTTCCTGTTTAGCCCAAGCAGGACTCGAGCCCCAGCTCAGAGTTCGTTTGGAGATGTCCGAGCCGCTACTCCAACGATTTTGGTTGTTGAGCTTCTGCTTCTTGTGGATGAGACGATGAGGTGAGTCGGAGGTCGATTGTAGGGAGTTTCTGTTGGAGTGAGGTATAGGAGAGCTGACAGAACGCAAAGAATCGTTCTTGACGACCTTTCGCAAAGTGCCACGCTTTCGCGGTTTGATGGACGATTCTACCACGTATGCCTCGACCGCAGACGGATTGGATATACCAGACCAGCGATTTGTGGCGCGCTGCTCCATGTGCGTCACGGTTGGACCTCCATCATTCCAACCGATAACATTAGCGAAAGCTTCTGTAGAAGCTGAATTCTGTAGGGTGTTTGTGTGTTTGAGACGATCGCGTAAGCTCTTATCTCGCTTGACCACATGTTCAGCGGGTACGGTAACCTGGTCGTATGTACTAAGTCCAGTCTCGACAGGTGCTGGAGGTTCTTGGTCGTTATGACTAGCATCCTTTTTGACTAAAATGGGCTCGGCATTGTGGTCCAACTTCGACTGCTCAGCTGGAATATCCTTCGCCACAGGTGCAGCATTATTAAAAGCATTTTCCGTGTCAGCAGGCAGAGTGGGTGAGGAGGCGACGTTGTCGTTCCCTGTGACTCGCGTGCTTGCGCCAATTGCCGACACACCCACAGGACTGAAGGACCTGGTGTGGGTACCTTCGAGATCTGCTGGTGGCAGGGCTGGTAAAGGAGGCGCTAAGGACGCATCGTATGTCACTTTAGGGAGAGAGTAATCGTCTTCGTCGTCGGAAAACATTTGTTCGCGCGCCGTGCGAAAGGACTCGGCACGTGTCGATGCCATTGAAGGGCGAAGACCGAGAAAGGGACGAATTGCGACCTTCAGCTGCTCGCGAGGAGGTGTATGATCTGGCGTGGGTGGACTATGCCCATTAACCGGAGTGGCAGGAAGTGATCTGAGTTTTGCGACCTCGTCATTTTCAGCAACCGGACCATCTCCTTTCGTACGGCTTATCTCGTCTTCGGCAGTGGGTGGTGTTGGCGGGAAGTCGGGAGATATGGGACTCGAGACCTGGGGTTCTGGTGCTGCAACATGCTCGAGGTGCTCCGAGTCAGGGATAGAGTTACGGTAGAGTGCTCTCAAATTACTGGCGTGGTTGTGATCTTTGCGTACAGACAATGTCTTGAGGGGCGATCGTAGAGGCGCCTCAGGATCTGACGACAACGGACGGCCATGAATAACATACTCGTATTTACGAACCATTTTGCGCCACCGATTCCAGGTGTGTCCTTCTTGCGCAGTGCGGATGACTAGGTTATCGCATGCTGTTTAACTGTCAATACCCGTTCACATCCGCCGCATGTTGAGCTCAAATTGTGTAAATCCTCAAGGCTATGTAGCGGCGCAGGCCGGGTGAATGTTGTAATGGCAGGCGCGATTGTTTAGGCGGTGCAGCCGGAGTGTTCGACAATCACGGAAGTGCGACACTGTACGTAGCAGAATCGAATCAGAGCAGTCAGGACCGCGAATAATCGGTCCAGATGGCTACGCAGTCGAGGGAGTCGTCGGAAGGGCGATGCGAAAGACTTCGCGGACTTGGATCGATATGCTTCACGAGCAAATCGCCTCCGGCGCAATGCGTGACGGCGCAGCGCAAATTGAGATGGTTGATTTATAGATATTGGTGCAGATCGTGACAGGAACTGTTTCGTTGAACGAGATCATCAAGTGAAGTCGAAAGTATAGGTTTCGGACTAGCTCAGGTCTGCGAACCTGTAACGTCTGAGGAGTCCGGTATAGGCGAGTCAAGCTGAGGGAGTCTTTGCACGAGCACTGTTCAGCTGGGTTATGTCACAGGCTTGGCCAATGATGCTGCAAGAGTGCTGCAGTCACGAAAAGGGTGCCTTGAGATCTATATCTCAAGGCGACAACGACGAAGCGAATGGCTCGATCGACAAGGCGAGAATTTTTGGTCTGGCTGGACAATACTGTTTGAGCAATGATGAGCACGAATGAGAAGAGGCCGACGAACCTGAAGCTCGAGTTCGTGGACGCGTGGGAATCCATTTTTGAGATGGCTGGCGACTTGCTGCTAAGCATAATCCTGGTTCCCAGAGCACTGTGGAGCGCCTGGACACTTTTCCGAATGGACGCACTTAGGGGCTAAGTCGGCAAATTTTATTCCGTCTCGTGCTTACGACTGGTCACTCGCTTCGTGGCTGTATGCAAGCTGCAAGCTATTCACTTGTTTCACTCCAGCCAACCAGGGTATCAAGCTCAAACGGGCGAGTCCTTCTCCTGCCAATATATCAATCCACAACACCATGCACAGACACAAATGGCAGGAAGAGTGACCACAGCACGAGGCACAATCGTCTTATTATTCAAGGCTAATAACCTACCAGTTGTGAGGCAGTTGGCCGACAGGCAGGTCCGGCCATGTATCATCATCCTCGTCTGTGGTAGATTCGTCGTCCTCGTCCTCGAACTCCCCCGGATCGTAGTCGTAGGGTCCAAAAGGCCCATCGAGCAATGAATCAAGCTCTGAGTCAGACTCGTCCTCGTCCCCAATCTCATCTCCACTATCCACGTCGTCATTGTAACTCATCTCCCAGGTCTCGTCGCCTCCAAATCCCCCTTCTTTCAAAGTCGACGGTACCTCGTGCATGTGAGACTTCTTGTGGACATCATAGAAGCCTGGCGCGATACAGACGTGGTCCAACGGGCATTCGCCGCCGTTGAGGACGTAGTCACGAAGCTTGGTTCGGAGTCTTGTATTGTCTGGGTCCGCATCGGCCCATTTATTAACGAACCAGTCCTGCATTCCACCATTAGTGAAAGCCCCTCCAAGTCCAAACTTCTCGAGTTTGAGATGCCTGCGCATCCACTTGAATAAATCAACCAGGCAAGCTCTAGGACCCTCTGGCTCTTCCGGCACCAGAATTAGCCCTCCCAGTTTTAACGACACCAGGCTTTTCGAACAGTGTTTGAGTATGCTTTTCACCTCTTTGCTTGTACATACTAATCCACTCAATTTCAGATGTCGAAGCTTGGGACTCCAGCTGAGGCGTGCCGGAGTTGCTGTAATGTCGGACCTTCGAGCCGCGAAGAAGGAACGGCACGCTCGACCAGATGTGAGGTCTTCCATATGTTGGCCAATTACCTCGATCGAGTCAAGCGACTGAAATGAAATCGTCAGAGATTGGAGCTGTACCATTTCTTTCAAAATGGCCTGGAGATTGCAAAAGGTCAGTGGAAGAGGAAATTTTGGGTCACGGCTCGGAGCTTTGAGTTGAAGTGACTTAAGGTTCGCGAAGGTGCTTCTAAAGTATGCCTCGTGTTTGGCAAAGTCACCTTGTAATAAAAAGGGCCCCCATCGCAATCCGACAAGTTTTAAGTTGTCCAGATGTCGGGGCAAGCAGTGCAGCGTCATCAGCACAGCTCGGCTGTATGTGCTTCTACATCGAGGCTGGCCCCACATGCCCTGCTCGAGCCTCGTGTGCTCGAATCGACCACAAGTCTCGTCCACTATTTGAGAGTAAAAGTGTGGAAGTCCCCCATCACGGGGCGAGTGTAGGTGCTCGTACGTTGAGGGGAGTGCGTCTTGCACCGTGATCGAGGCAAGGTTGGGAAGAGAGGGAAAGGCTCGCTGGAAATAGATCACTTGGGTTATATCGTCCATGGGATTTTCAGCCTGTAGATTTTGCTTGTGCAGTTTCAGAGCACGTTCCGTCACAATTCGTCGTTCCTCCTCGCTGATGTCTTTACTGTATACCGACTCCAGTCGCCGCAAGATCATGTCCGTTAATCTAAGAAACCGGGTATTGTAGTGTATGCTCTGCACAAACACAGCGAGGCCTGGTGAACTTGAGACATTAATGAAGCGTTCAAAACTTCGAACGTGGGGATATATCGCGAAGTCACGAAACAGCTGAGGTGTTGACCATTTGTTGCAGAGTCTCGATGTTGATCTTAGTGCTTTGAGTGATTTCTTGTCTAGAAAGTTCCAAACTTCTTGCAGCAATTCCGGGGGCAATGAGAGCAATTCGGTCTTTTCGGTGAGTGAATCCATGGCTCGAGGATACTGTGATTGAGAATGAGAGTTGCTGAAATTAGGCGCAAGCACTGTCGCTGCCGATGTGGGCGAGTGCTAGATGTTGTAAAGAGACATTGCCTTCGGCTGAGGGAGCCTGCAATGCAACGGCGCCAAAAATCGTCTGGATAATCGCGATAAGGGTATAAGTACGGAAACGATCGAACGTCATCGACGCGTAAAACGCGCCTCGAAAGCCTGCGACTCGAGTCGTGTATAGTATGCTTCATGGTAGTAACTAATCATACATCTCGCCGTTCATATACAACTATACACTCCTCAGACTACTCTGCATCGCATCTACGATGCTGTTGTTAAGTGCATGTATTCCCGCGGTTCTGACCAACGCTAGAGTCGAGAGGTCTCCTCCTGAGCCACGGCTTGTCTACCAGGAGCCATATGTACCCAAATTTCCTCTCTGCCAAGCGCCTGTTGTTTCTGCCAATATTTCTCTCTTGCATGCGGCGCCATCCTCTTTCGTGCTTCATGGTCAATCTTCAGCCTCACGGCCGTCCATTTCTTCTTGGGCTTGTGCTCAGAAGGCACTCCAGGTATCAAATCGAGATCGAGGTAATTCTTCGATGGCAGATTGCGACGAAACACCGCTTCTCCTTCGCCGTCCTCCTCGTCAAAGTGTAAAGTCCGCGACAGAAAGTCAAGTGACACGTCAATGTTGACATCAATCGCGCGTACAGGATCCATGGTCATTTTGAGCACATGGTTAGCTATACGTGGGTAGAGGATGCAGAAATCTGACTGCGAAATGTGGACGGTGCCTCGACATGTTGTCAGCCAGGCTGGCTGGCCTGCTTCTCTTGCCTCCTCGATGACTGACTTTGCTATGTTGAAATTGTCTTCCCAATACATGAAGGCTTCAGAATTGATTCCCAATAATGGCACAGTAATATGATGCTCAGAAGTACCTTTTTGAACTCTATGAGAAACTGTTAGGACGGGTCACACCGGTAGAGATTTACGAATTTACTTACGGCGTTCCCCAGATATCGTAGATAATGCCCTGGCTAATATAGTTGTACTTTTTGCTATTTCGGAGCATCTCAACCGTCGTCGTCGACCCGAAAGAGTGGCCTACCATAGTAACATGATCGCAATGTAGACGATCAGCCCATGTATCAAAGTCGACTCCATCCAATCCTAACGAGGATGCACCTCGCGCGCCAGGTCGTCGCAGGTTGTGCTGTTTCAGTGTCTCACCTCTTCCTGCACAGATTTCTGTCATCAGATAGTATGCTTCGTCGACCTCAGCTACTCGCAAATTGACCTGTGCTTCACGAAGCTCACGGTCAATCTCATGATCCGGACTTGTGTCAAATTTGTCGCTTTGTGCGAACAAAAAATCCACAGTCTCATAGGAACGCTGCGTCTCCGGTTTCGTATGGTGGTGAGCTGCTACTGCTGCCTGTGATTCTCGCCTCCGTACAGAGCCTTCTGGAGGCAAGTTTACCGTTGATCTAGGTCCACTGCCATCCCGGTGCTCAATAGCGCAAACGATAAATCCATGACTGGCAAATTCTCCGCAAAGACTGCTGTAGCATGTTCTCGTTCCGCCCATGCCATGACTGAAGAGGATGAGAGGGAACTTCGGTACTGATGGTCCTTTCGGAGGCACTCGGCCTATGTTGGTCCCAACTTCGCCACGGTCACGCCAGTCTCTTTTGTCATCAGGCCAATGTTCTGCAAGTCGTGCGTTACGATAAGCTGGCAGCTTGGTTAAAATGGTCGTCATCATGAAGAAGAGCATAGTCGGGAACTGAGGAAGAGATGCGAAGTGTGCATAGCCCCCTGCTGTCGAATGCCTTGGCCTTGGTAACCAAGTTGGTCGACCATTGTGCTGTGATTGTGCTTTTCTGACGCGTGCGTCATTGGGTGTATCAGCATGTGCAGGGTAGTAAACTGTCAGCAGTACCGTTTCTGTCGTGGTCATTAGCTCAAGACCGAAAATGTATTGACCATTACCCTGTTGCGATAGTGGACAGCATGTTGACTGTTCGTGATTACTTACCAAGAACAAGTGCATGCCTGTGTCGCCTTTTTATACCGGAAAAATGTCTGGGTTCTCTGGCTGGTACTTCAAGGTCCAGCACACCAACTTGATAGGGTCCCGAGTATCGTGGAAGGCGCCCATAGAATGGCAGCTTGTCACGGATGCTATTTGGCGGCCTAGGCTTTCGATCCTTGCCCACTGACACATTGTGTCGTGACTTTTGCTGCTGATTCTTAGGATGCCCTAAGACGTATTCTGGGAAGACGTCGGACAGATTGACCATCTTGCTGGTTCAACCGTCTCATGCCAGGTGATAATGCACAACCGGGCTCGGCTGAGGTTTGAACTCCTATAAATTATTCTGAAAGTGTCACCATTTCGATGTCCTCAAGCTGGAATTGTCTTCAACCATCCTCGAGGTCGTAACAAGGACGTCCAGTTGGTGTAGACTGATTTTGCTGTCGCCGCACCATATCAAATAAATTCAAATCCCTACAAATTGATTGACTGGGTTATGACGGTTTGCACCCTCTTGCCCCGGGCCGCTCTCTGCTGAAAGCTGAGCATCCAAAACTTTGAACCTTTTACTCGTGCTTAGATGGCCCTAAGCCGGAGTGCGCGGATCAATAAACGTGGCTGCTCTGACGTCAACCAAACTATAAGTGTATGCACAAAAATAACTGCCAGGCACAAACGGTTCACGGAAAGTAGCCATATACTAGTAGCGAGCGAAAATGGAGTATTAAAGGTACTATAGCATCCTGGAAAGAGCTAGTCCTCGTAGCACCAGCCTCGACGCTGCTGTCAAGACCACGGTCTGCTTATTTGATTGTTACAGCCGAGTATAAAATACCGAAGCATCTAACTCACGTGTCAAGCTCTACCAGATCATGTGCCAGAGCTCGATACTCATCGCTAAGCTGGTTCATAGTGCGAATTGGTGTAAAGACAGCAATGCTTGCTTTGGCTGCAAGAACAACCGCATCGAAGAGATGACCATTCTCTTTGAGACTGCAAACTGGTCGGAAGTGAACCACTTAGAAGGTGGAACAGGTACCAACCGCTCGAGCTCGGCCTTGCTCAAGGGGCTACGAATCTTCGCCGGAACTTTTAGCAATTGGGTGACCTTTTCTTTTCCGGGAGAAATTGCATTGTGTCGTAAGTCTAGAAGGCACCAGGATATTGAGGGCCCTAGGCCTATTTGCAGAGTGATTTCAACATGTTTCGTAGCCTGGTCAGTTCTCGTAGTGGCAATTGTTTTCAGGCATTTCTGTCACAAAACCCATGAGATGATTGCTGTGCAGTTTAACTGTACACAGCCTGCCACTGCCATTTCGCACGAAGAACTGCCAGAGCACCACTCTGAGTTTCGACAGTACGTCCACGACCTCGATCATTCGGATCGCCACTACTGATCAATGAAGATGATATTAAAGCTGGGTTCCGATGGTCAAAAACACCCGCCGGCAGCGATTGGTTTCCAGCAAGGCTTTCCCATTCAGCGATATGCGCAGTCTGATATGGGACATTCCACCACATACCAAATAATCCGGCTTGATTCTTAGTGGCTAGAGCAGCATCAGCGTTATGATAGATCCACTTCGAATAAGCGGCGCATCTTTCGAGGTGATAATGATAAATCTGATCGTCTAATCCACCTACAACAAGGCGGAAAGCCATATCTTTTTCTGACGCACGTAAAGGTCGGCAAAACTCAGTAAGATGAAGGAAGAAAATTCCCTTGAAAGTTTGGCCGTCCTGGCTGCAGTAGAGGCCATGGTCGCAAAACTCTTCTAGAGTACCACCACGACCTAGACCTCGCCAGATATTATCCGTGTTCGGCCAGCCTGTGGCTCGAATAACGTTGGTGATCAGCTCATGCCCATCATCTAGATAGGAGCGTGCTCCAGTTGCGAGCCATAAGCCACGACTCGCCGTGAGCATAACACCTTGGTTATAGGTGTATACCATCCTGTCTAAATCGTCACAGTGGCCCGTCCCTGGATTGATCGTACCATTGGGGAAACGATGCCATCCTGTGACGTGGAATCCATCCTGGTAAAGTCCAGCTTGATTACGCATACCCGACTCTTTCAGCCACTTATATGACTTGACGGCATTCTCTAGGTGTGCAGGATTGTGCACTTTGTGATACTGTTCCTGCGTGCTGCTGATGAACGGGGCTGAATTGTTGTCTCCAGGGAAGTAAAGATACATGGATATGCTAGCCGCAGCGAAGAGCTCGTTAGTGATGGCATTCTTGTATGGGTTGAGCGAAGGATTCCAAGTCATTCCTCCATTACAAAGAGATTCGTCCCATCCTACAGAGGCCAGCTCGTAGAAGACTCGCGCTCGATGAGCCGCCATTGGACTCAACTGCAAGCCATGCCAAGGACTAGTCTCGAATTCCTGGCCGTTCTCATGCCTTCTGGCATACATATCAGCAAACTTGGTACTCTCTAACCAACCAAGGACTACCCAGAGCATATCGTCAAAGGCTTGGTTTCGCAGGGCGAAGACATTTTCGCCAAAGTAGAAAAAGGCTGTTTGTGTATAGTATTGATTGACAACATTTTCCCACTGTAGAAGGTCTGAACACACGCCTCCAAAAGACAGATCAAGTCCATCCACAATGCCGGTCAGCGTAGCGGAGACATGGGTGCCTGCAACTGCAGCTGTCCAGTCTATAGCATCACCCCAAGTACCCGCGAATTTATCAAAGTAAGTTTCCTGCATAGCTTCTAGGGCATCGAGCACATCTTGCAAAGCCTCACTGCTATTCTTGAACGTTGCCGTCCTGGCTGTCTCGAGGAGGGGTCGTTGCGGATCGTTGACGTGGGGAGCCACTGCTGGAATACGTGTAGCGGCCACTGGTGTGAGATGCGCGCAAAGGCTCACCAGTATTGTCGCAGCACTGAGCTTCCGCATCTCGAAGTTTGTAGAAATTGTTGCCACTCTAACAAGGTGTTCTCGTGTTCGACCACCACTGGTTACCGTCTGCTCATTGTGGTGGGAGTGGTTCAATCAGCTTTGAAGAGGACAAGAGACAAGCAAGAAACCATAGTCACCTGCCATGCCCAAATGCTAGATGACCTCCTACCTAACGACAGCAGAGACGGTGTGGTCGAGCACCTTCATAGGCTTGGGAGCATGCGACAGCTGGCAAGACAAGCAATCCAGGCAATCCTTGTCCGCGAAGAAAGCACATTCCTCGGCAGTCAATCATCGGGTGGCGGCTAACCCCGCCAGGGTTGTGGAAACCTCTTGCCTATCACGACCTTGTAACTTTGCGTACCTGCTGCATCCAGAAGGTTCGGTCAATGCAGGTCGTTACCAGTAAGAGACGAAAAGTGAAGACCATTTTCATAGCTCAGTGTCTGAAATGTATAAGAATACCCAAGTGTTAGGGCTTGCAGCAGCCTTAAAGGAAGAGGGTGGTAATTACATTGTGCATTTCAGGCACATACTAGACTTCAGGTACTACAATGGTCAAACCTTCCGCGCGCAGTGCAAGTAAGTAAGTAGTATATATTTGCAGTGCTCTCTCAATGGACAGATTTGCGAATCAGAATCGCAGGCTCAACCATGATCTATGAAAGGCCCTTGACTAGCTAAGAAGCATACTGACTGTACCTCCAGTCGAAAACGTTCAACGCTACCTAGTATGGTTGTTACCGAAATTTACGAGCTTCGGGTGTGATAGCCCCACTAGTGACGTTTCATCAGGGGCTGTAGGCTTTGGGGCCAATACGAGGCTGTACCCTGTGACCTGAATACTAGTACTTGTCAGCCTAGCCGTTCGTGCCCTGACCATGCTGTCGTGTCAACATCGTTCTAACTCGATGGTCCGTCGATGATGCTTTGCAACAGCGACGATTTCTCATCTTACTTTATACATCGGAATCTGCGTCTTCCATCTGCACAATGAACATCTTTCGCATTCTTGGGGATCTGTCCCATACAGCGTCCAAGTGTATACTGATATGGGCCATCCATTCCAACAGAAGCGCCGAAGGTGATGACAACCTTGTTCTATATGTTTGAATGATGGAACTGATTGCATTGCAGGCGTTTCCTTGATCACACAGTTCCTCTACTTTCTGGTCTTCATTACTCGATACCTCGACCTGTTCTGGATCCCACCCAACTGGCACTGGTGGAACTTCATTCTCAAGAACTTCTACATCTGGACCTCTATCTACATTACATACATCATGACTAGGCATTACGCGAGGACAAGAGAACGAGAGAAAGCATGGAAGCTGGCTATATACATATTGATCTTCTCTGCGGTGGCTGGTCCGATATCGAGCGTTCTATACCGTGTTACCTATGCTGGGAAGGGGACAGACTTCACTGAGATCCTGTGGGCCTTCTCTATTGTGCTGGAGTCTCTCTGCGTGGTACCCCAACTTCTGCTGCTTAGACAGACGAGCGTTCCAACGGTAATAGACTCCTACTACCTCGTCACTCTGGGATCATACCGTGCCTTCTACATCCTCAACTGGATATGGCGAGCCGCACACAGTGATTACCCAGATGCGATCTCTGTGGTATTTGGCATCATTCAGACAGCCTTCTACATCGATTTCGCCTGGGTCTATTATACCAGGCAGCGAGTGAAACTAAGAGGTGGCACGGTCGTCGACACAGATGATTTGAGCAAAGGCTTTCTCGTCAACAGATTTGCGAAGGGTCGACCAGCGGATGAAGATGCCATTGAGTCTGGTGATGCAGATGGCGAGCAAGACCGATCCAAATTCAATCAATGGGGAGCTAGAGGCGTTTCAATCAGAGCTGATGATACGCTCGACCAGCATGACAGGCCACAGAGAAGCTCAACCCGCCCAGGTTCAAGTGAAGAGACAGTGGCCTTGACTGATCCCGACCGCTTTCTCTCAGACGACGATGACGATGATGCTCCTGCGATCGATGTATCTGCGTCGCACGGGAGATGATGGGATTAGTCAAGGAGTGCTTCTCTTGCGTGATCCATAGAATGAAATCCGAGCCTCGCATATGAATTGCGCCTTCCTAAACATCAAGCTTTCATCTTCCGTACAGTACTGTACACTAAAGTTCAACGTCCAGCGATCTTTAGCGCGTATCTTTCGTGTCGTCATTAACTTCGCAATTGTCCTTGTATGACGAAGCAGCAGCTCAAGTCCTGAACTGTATTGCTGGTCATTGAAGCACCTTCACCAGTGCCATCATCCAGAAGTAGCAGGCCGCTGTTCTGCTGTACGACTTGATTCGTGCATCTGTGCATGGTTGTCAAATGTGTATCATACTACAGCCTCGATTACGTTCGCTATATTCAACACATCACATCGGCACGCATATCTCGAGCAGCTGTCAACCTTCCACTGATCATTTATACTCACTTAGCAAACGAGCTTTCAGGATGTCGTCGCAATTGACAATAACCTCAAAGAGCACATTACCTTCAGGTTATGAGATGCCTGTCTTAGGGTACGGTGTATATCAAACACCCTACGATGTCTGTGAGTCAGTGGTAGCACATGCACTACGAACAGGCTATCGACACGTAGATAGTGCACGAGTCTATCGAAATGAGCAGCCTTGCGCGGAAGCCATCAAGGCTTCGGGGCTGAAACGTGAGGATATCTTCTTTACCAGCAAGATCGGCCCACGCGACATGGGATACGAGAAGACCAAGAAGGCCATTCAAGCCTCTTTTGCCGAGACGGGCCTTGGATATGCTGACCTCTTCCTCATACATGCGCCTTATGGCGGCAGGGAAGCCAGGCAAGGCACCTGGAGGGCATTGGTAGAAGCGCAAAATGATGGTCTTATTCGCTCTATTGGTGTGTCAAACTATGGCGTCCATCATCTCAATGAGCTGAAGCAGTATATCGAAACTTCTGATATTGGTGGGAAAATCGCTGTTGGTCAGTGGGAAATCCACCCATGGCTACCCAGACCTGACATTGTGCAATGGGCACGCGAGAATGATGTCGTCGTTCAGGCCTGGAGTCCTCTCGTGAGGGCAGAGCGACCAAATGAGTCCATCCTGGGACAACTCGGCAAGAAGCACAACAAATCATGGGCTCAAGTCCTAATTCGATGGAGTTTGCAAAAAGGGTATGTTCCTTTGCCTAAAAGCGTGACGCCCGCGCGAATTGAAGAGAATGCGAATGTGTTCGACTTTGAGCTGGATGAAGAAGATATGAAGAGCCTACACTTCCCTGATTCGTATCAACCATGCAGCTGGGACCCTACCACGAGCAGCGACTAGGATTGCACCAAACCTCTAAACACGACACCTGATGTTGTTTGACTTTCTAGCAACTGCTACTTAGCGAGGTGCAAGATACCTCCCTTTGTCCTTTCGACCATCCCAACTCACATCTAGAAGCTCTTGTTTGCGGCCGTTGACAGATCCGAGTGCCTTCATATCACTGTCCTCTAGCAAGTCCCAATCCTGTTCATCCTCAGGCGCTAAGGTTCTTCGGCTACCAATCCTCTTCTGTATGTACGCAACAAGATTTGTGGCCATTGCGGAGTCTATCAAGCCCTCGTCTTTCTCTCGAAGGACTCTTTCGCGAATCGTGTCAAGCACAATGAGCCTGTCACTCCTCTTACCAGCACCAAGCCCAAGTCGTACGCCTTCCTGCTCCTGCATCTGTTTAAACACAGTCTCAATATCCCCTGGATGGCTTCTCAGATTCTTCCACATCTCAATTCGACATCTGATCTCATTTTGCGAGTCTGGCTCATGCTGCACTTCACGAGCGATGTCCGTCCAATTGGCCGGTATCGTTGATTCAGCTGGAGTTGGCCACACTTTCGAAATGCTGTCTTTGGTAACATCGATGCTTCCTGGTGAATCCGACTTTGGCGCGTCTCTGACTGTCAACGACTTTCCCCGGCCGGCTGATTCAGGCCCACCCTTGACTGAGAGATCAGCATCTGAATACTCCTCCAGTGCTGAATCATAGGGCTGCTTTTTGCCTAGCACGGCTCTCTTTACCTTCGACAACCAACCGTCATGAGGACCAGCACCACCTCTCGCTTCAAGAACTGCACTAGGCGTTGGCTCATTCACCCGTTTGTTGCGATCACGAAAAGAATGGTCTTCAGCATCGTTGTTGGAAGCCTCTGTCTTCCGAATGGCGACTGATGACATATCATTGTCATTACTGGGAACATCGCTCGTTTCAACTGAACTCGGTACTGTGCTTATGCTCTCCACTGCGATGCTAGATCCTGGATCTGGTTTCCGGATAGCGGTATCCATTGGCTCAAAGCCTTTCACTGGTTGTGCGTCGGAATTGCTAGCGTCTCTTGACGACCTTCGCTCAAATCTGCAAACTGCCTTTGAGACTATGGGCCTGCTTGCAGAACTAGTTTGAGACGTTGATAGCTGAGGATGTGCTTCTCCTGGGCTTCCTGAGGTCTTGTTATCTGTATTGCTGGGTTTGATAATAGGCTCGATGATTGCAGATTCACCTTTACCAAACTCTGTTGAACGACTACCTTGGCCACTGTCGTCAACGTCTATCTTTCGTCTCACTCTATCTCTCTTCTGTCGTGGCGCTCTACGCCAATGCTCAGAAAAATCCCAGCTTCCATCATCAAACAGCAGAACCTCCTTCCTCGCACGTTGAAACGCTCGCCAGCCTTTGCCGACAACCCTTTGTTCGTCAATTCCAGTCACAGGAGCTAGGTCTTGAATGATCTGTGGCGCTAGTCTATTGCGATGCACTGCATACACACCCCTGCTGTATCTTCTGTTAGAAACACCTTTGAAGTCTTTATTTTTGGCGATGGGTATGCTCCACGATGGTCGCAATATTGCTCTGAAAGCTCGCTTCCAGGTCCTTTTTGCAGCTGGCATGATTCATGTCGTGACAGAGTCAGGCTCCGTGGTAGTGACACGCACAGCAATTTATGGACAATGGTTGACAGCCTTGTTGGATGCCAACGAAGGAATCTAGTGGAGAGCATCGCCACCAACGTCTGTCAAACTGGTGTGATATGTTCGTTTGAGCAACATTGGCGGACGAAGGCAAGTTTTAGCGTAGCATACACAGCGACAGCGTGTATGTTCACCGCCTGATATGTACTGCGGCATCGTCAGGTGAAAATTGGCGGCCACTACATCGTATGGTGTGGTTGTTGCAGTTCATGTTATTGCAGGGGCATGCTACTCATGTACTGCGTGAAAGGCTATCAGTCTATTCGAGAGGTGCGAGGCCACGTTGAGTTTTGAAGCTGAACAAACCGTGTTATTATTCGGAATAAGCAGAAATGACATTTTCAAAGCATACTCAGCAACTCCTCAACATTGTTACAACGTAGGTATGAAACCTTGAGAATTCTTCTGCTGCTCCTCAAAAGACTGCGGAAACGCCGCAATACCCGCAACAATCCCAACAGCCATGATCAACACACTAATAATACTCCAAATCACACCCCAGCACTGACTCGACCCACCATACCTCTTAGCAAACTGCGTCGCATCCGAGCTATTCACCTTCCGCCAGATTAGATCATCACAGATATCCCAAACACTATACAGCGACGACATAACCCCAATAAACAATACCATAAACCTCAACGCCTCGGCATTCGAAACGAACCAGAACGCCACAAGTAGACCCACAGCAGTCAAGATTGTGAGGATGGTAAGCCAGTCCTTCTTACCCCACCAGAGCGTCAGGAGGAAACACGGCCCAAGAACAATACTGGCGACTTTACTGGCGACGATGTCGAAGCCGCAGAAGGTGAGGAGAGCGCCGACGATTGAGGAGCCTAGGTAGCCGGCTGGTAAGGTGATTGCGCTGATACCGCCGCGCATACGTGTTACGCCGCCTTCACGTGGGTCAAGGGATATTGACTCGACGTGGCCGCCGGTGCAGCAGGCTGTGATTGCGTGACCGAATTCGTGGAAGGCTATGACTAGCATCTACATGGAGTGAGTTGGAGCAGGACGGGATAGGTGCAGGGGTAGATTCGTACCTTGAAGGGCCATAGGATATAGTGAAGATATGGGACATTCCATAGAATCGCAATACCGACGACATATGCGGCGATGGCTCCCAGGGTGACTCCTTGAGCTCCTCTGACGGTCAGATCTCGTTTTGACACATAATGGCTCGTCAACGCTGATCCAGCTGTGAAGAGCGCTTTTCGTGCAAAGATCTCGAGGCTTCCATGTGACCTCTGAACCGGCGCCATAGTCACCAACGCTCGATGATGCCTTTCGAGCAAGTATCACTGACGGCTGGTGTCCAAAGAATGTGTTGGTATACTACGTATTGAATGATAACATGTTTACTGATTCTCGAAGCCATGCCAAGAGTGAGTAAGGCGTAGTTCTGTAGTTGCTATTTTGAGCCCCGAAGATTCCGGTTGCGCAGTGCAGCGGCAGAGCAGTGGCTGAGGTGGCAATTACACGCGTCGCGTAATTATTGGAGCTCCGACCGCTGGGGTTTGACGGCGGGACACTATTGCTGTCCATATCTCGCCTAGCTTCCTGCCTGGCATTTTGCGAGTTCTAGCAGTCACTGTCGCAGAGATACAACGATTGAATGGGTAGACATCATCCAGGTGTCGGTCTGTTATAGTCACAGCATCTACGAAAGATACTTTGTATCATCCAAGGGTGTTGGAACTAGCCAGACAACAAGTCTTCTCAAGCTAGATTAAGGCATTCGTCCTGACCAAGTTCAGCTCATCTACAGCCTTATCATCAACCCGAAAACCACTTCCTCTTCTGCTCATCATTGACAACAACCAAATCCTCAGCATCCATCTCTTTGGGCAACTCAAGCTCGTCCTCGACCAGTACAGTGGCCACAAAAACAGGTTGGTCCATATTGGCCTTGATAGATTCGTATAGTGTTGGCGGTGCCTCCGAAGCACCTCTTCGTGCACGATCAGTAGTAAGCATTGGCGCAGTGAGCCCTGATTTTGGCTTCTGTGTCTCACCCACGAGCCTGACACCCCTTCCCTTGACCTTCCACATATCTCTGGCAGTAGGGTCCGTCTTCCTTCTCACAATGTCACCGATGTTGAAAGGTGTGGTTGCAATCAATTGCTCTTCCGTGACATTGAAGGTAAATCTTTCCTGCTCAGCAGGCTGAAGCACATATCCGTGAAGGCTGGCGTCGGTGGTAGATTGCTTTACCTTCGCAACTCGATACAGAGTGGTCGGGGGCAGCGTGAGGCCATTCTCGAACGATCCTTCCGGTCGGCTTGGGTGGTTTGAGGTTGTGGCAAACGGACTGGAGTGCTGGACAGGATTGATGCTGGACGACTTGGAAGGCCGAACGATTGGAACTGCAGATGCGTGCACGAAGTCGCCAGGTTTGAAGCGAGGATCTCTAGGCTATAGAAGCTTTGTTAATCAACGATCAAAGAATTGTGGGCGGGTCCGAAAACAGCTTACCTTGCCTTGAAACATGCTGAGAGACTTGCACAAGTTTCTCCCGGTCTGGGCCAAGAATGAGAAAGGTTGTTAAACTTCCTCAAGACTGAAAAGCTAGGAAGTGTTAAAGAAGACTGAATGTTTCCATTTGTCGTCAATCCACGTACAAACAAGTTGTCAAACATCATCGCGTTATGGTTCGTTCTGCGGACATGCATGTCGTCTGTCTTCACTTAGATCGTGACAATCAGGCAAGTATTATGTCAACAAACGCCTGGCTTCCACAGACTGACCAAGGACAAATCAACAGTGTATTGAGTTTGTGTGCTGAAGAAGAGGTCCCATCTTCGAACCACATATCGACAAACATGATGGCGTGTGTAATCAACTTTCTTACCAGATTTAATTCGACATGATGGGGTATAGGTGAGTTACTTTCATGTGTGTTCAATGTCAGAGTACGCTAGAGGTGTAGTGAGGCGTGAATCTGAGAACGAAGCGATGGTTGGACGACCCATTCGGAAATGCAACAAACCGGCGAAGCTGAAGATTTTGAGCCGAAGCTACACCCATGAGCAAGTAACGATAACTGCAAATGATCAGTATAGCCAAAAGAACGAATATATGACGCAAAGAACGCAATGCAATGTCTAGTGATTTCGCGTATCGAAGCTTGGTACGTTATATACACGGTAGGCTGGAAGTGGTCTTGGCTCTAATTTATCAACTCATCGATACCAGTAATCGGACTTGACGTAGTCTGCCATGGTTTTTGGCTCTTCGTAACCGTGATGGTGGTGGTGTGGGTCGTCGGGTGGTCCAACATATTGCATCTTGTAGACACTACCGCACTCGTCACATCGCTCATATGGTCGTGATTTCGAGACCTGAATTTGTCAATAAGTGTCAGCGCCGATGCAGAGCAAAGAAGTTGCTTACAACAAGCCATCGAACGTGGTGAGAATCAGCGGGAACACCGGTGCAACCACATTGTAGTTCATCACCTGCAGATCGAACAACAACTGGATCATCCATCGTTCCTGAGTACCAGTGAGTTAAGTGCCAGACATATCTCGAATTCTTTTTCACATACCAATTCTATCCGCTGGTAGTGGTCTCATGTCAAAGATATCAATGCCCTGCATCTTGCCCAGAATTTCCAAACGTTCTAGACCAGTGGCTTGTTCGAGATCGGTAGGCATGGTACCTGGCGCAGCACCAGGAGGTAAAAGGTCCTCCTCGGTCTTGATGTCTGTTGCACACCGCTCGTATTAGTCCTTTGCTAGTCACCCGATTCTCGAGCTGCGGGTGCTCGAGTTCGTGCTCTGAGGAGGATGTTTCTCACCTTCGAAAGCGATCAATTTTGCTTCTGGGTCACCTGGCTTTGGATCCCATTTTGAGACTTCCTTCCCTGTCACGCAAGCCTGTCAGAAAGTTCTATCTCTTGTTGTCTTGTAATTCGAGCGGCCTATGCGTTTTGACCAGCTAGATATCAGATGAGCTTGACGTACATCGAGGAGCAACAGTCGCGAAGGTTCGAGGTCTGAAGGAGGTCGTTCGTAGTGGTACACGCTTTGCCAGAGAGACGAAGCTTCGTGCCACCGACATATTGGGCCGTGACAAAGTGGTGTAGAGCGGAGAGTCGTCTTTGAGGTGCGGCAGGAGATAGAGTAAACTACGTTCCTGGAAGTCACGACTGAAGCTAAAGCTCGCATGTGGCCTGAGATTCAAGGCATCACGCCTGCGCTTTTGTGGTCTGACTATTTGCAATTTACACTTGCACTTCTACATAACACAACAACAAGTAGGGTAGAACAGACGACTCATGTCGTAGCTAGAGAGCACTTGTTATCACCATCACTATCCTTTTCTCACAGTTGTGCACATCGAAAGTCGTGGAAGCCTGAGGCAGTATTTTGTAAGCTAAATCACGTGGTCTACTCTGGAGTACTATAGCCGATAGATTTGTTCTTGCGTCTCCAACGCCATACACGATCTTAACCTCGATTCAAATCATACTCTCGTCGCGTAGAGGGTCACCATGGCCAACTATCTCGCCTCCATATTCGGTACAGAACAAGACAAAGTCAACTGCTCTTTCTACTACAAGATTGGCGCCTGCCGCCATGGCGACCGCTGTTCACGAAAACATGTCAAACCATCATATTCGCAGACCATTCTCCTACCTAACCTCTACCAGAATCCAGCTTACGCACCAGGCAATAAGATGACTCCATCGCAGCTACAAAATCATTTTGACGCTTTCTACGAGGATTTCTGGTGCGAAATGTGTAAATACGGCGAGATTGAAGAAGTGGTAGTGTGTGACAACAACAACGACCACTTGATCGGAAACGTATATGCACGGTTCAAGTACGAGGAGGACGCGCAGACTGCCTGCGACGCGCTAAACAGCCGGTGGTATGCAGCTAGGCCGATATATTGCGAATTGAGTCCAGTCACCGATTTTCGAGAAGCATGCTGTAGGCTGAACAGTGGTGAAGGTTGTGTAAGAGGTGGATTTTGCAATTTCATACATCGGAAGGAGCCTAGTGCAGAGTTGGACAGGGAACTGGAGCTAGGCACGAAGAAGTGGTTGAAGGCTAGAGGCAGAGATCAGAGGAGTATGAGCAGAAGTCCAACTCCTGAGCCGACTCGAAAGCGGTAGTATTGTTGCAAACACCGAAGCGTAATATGTACTACTTGTGGAGGAGAAGGATGGAGATGCGTCAGTACCATCTAGGTTTCTTCTGCAGAAGGCCTTGTTAAAAACTTTATCCAAGGCCTTTTCAAGTTGGCATCTGCGACGCATTCGAGGCTTCCAAGTTACGTTGAGGCTGACCAGACAACAAGATTGAAAAGCAAGGAGTCCTGGGCGTTGGGAGGAGAATTCGTGCTTTCAGCCACGGGCAGGTAGCAATACCCTGATTCTTGGGAGACTCGGTTTATGTATCCAACGACTGGAGGAACGTTCTAGTATCGAGTCTACGAGACGGATTCTAGAAGTGATGATCTCGACAGACATGAGCTGAAAAGAGTCTATGCAACATTCTATCGATGGCGAACTGCTCTTGCAGATATCTTCCGAAGTACTGGTAGGGAGTAATCTGTCGCTGGAGTCCAGGATCAACTCAGTAGGCAATGTCTCGACTCGATAGAATAGTGGCGGTTGCCAAACTGAAGTGTCGTTGTCCGGCATCAGGGACATGCCGAACAGAATCGGATATCAATTTATTCGCAATAAGTAGACATTACAGTTAGATGATATTCCCTGAATCACATATATGCAGGTCGGGTAGTAAATAATTTATACTGTTCATTACCATACAATCGTGTATATGCCAGGTTTCCTTACGTGATGTGCTTGTAACCTGCAAAAATGGCAGTAAGTTGATTTGTATGGATTGATCAGCTCTTGTCATCTCACTGAATAGTACCAGGATGTTCCGCAAGAAGGGTTGTGCGCAAAGCCTCGCATTCGCGGTTCGGTGTCTCGCCTTGAACTTGAGTGGGTATGGTCGTGCTACTTAGCTAACGTACATTAAATGATTGCCTTGTTCTTCAGAAGTGTTCTTTTGCAATCACGAAACACCTTCTCAGAAAGTGTATCTCAGCTCCACATTGGCGTTTTGAGACCTGAAACTGGAGATCAAGAAATTTAGAGTTTCAAAGCGCCACGATCGCTATAGCGTTCCAGATTTTGGTGTAGATCATCATTCCAGACATCTGGCTGTTACTCAAGAGATAGTTCTGGCATACGAGCCTCGCGCGACGCTCAGAGCCTCTCGTCTCGTTCAGAGGGATTCTGAGAGCAGGTCGGAACGACATAGATTTGTTCGTATTTAGTGGAAGGTGCAGCTGCGACTAAATAAGCTTTGCGATCGGAGTTTAAAAAGCCCTGCGAAGTCTATTTCAATTATGTGTGTAATTCGTGCTTGCACGTACATAAATTACTGGAGTGTAGATGTGCAATCTCTAACATTAGCAACTCGCGTGCTGACGTTCAGGGCATCTCGTACCGACGGCGAGTATAGCAGATTGGGTCAATGCCCGTTCTTCTTTCCATCACTTGTGGAGAGCCAAGCAAGGCCAAGGATCTCGAGCGCGTGAATGTGAACAGGGAAGTATGTCATGGTCGACAGTGTTTGTGATCAGAGCGGTGAGAAGCTCGCATTTATCTGCAATTAGAGGATGATATATACGTATGGTTTCTGTCACCATAGATGAATCAGACTGGACTGTGCACAACCTTTTGCGCGTGTGGGACCCCTAAAGAGACAGGGGACTTGCAGCACAGAGAGGAAAGCTGTGCATACCGTAGGTTTTCGGACTGGACGAGCTACCGTTTGTTCGACGGACTCTTTGTTCCAGTGAGAAATTCGAAAAGGTCAACAGATGGAACGAGGAGAGGATGAGGACAAACGCTGGATGGCTGAAGCCATGGAAAACGTAGTGGTGGGGGGCAATTGAGTAGCACAAAGCGAAGTCGAGCGCAGGCTACGCCGTTCTTGGTATTGATCGTCTATGCGCTAATACGAGAAAGTGGATGTTGGTTCGGCTCTGACAGCGCCCATAGGCTACCCAATCTCGACCTATCCAGCTTCGCTCCCTATCCTTTGAGCAGAGCATTTTGGGCGACACACGCTCGTGGCCCATTGCATCGTCCTGCGCTTCTATCCTGTTGTTCATACGTAGTCGTTACGCTTTTGTATACTTTTCCGGTCCCAATTCTCGAATACTAATACGACCTCGATGCGCCTAAGTCTCCGCTGGCTGCTATTCCCTGCATGAGCGATTAAGGCAGGGTCTACGAATAGCCTCTTCACCACTCCGAGTCAGCAGGTCCGCCTCTCTTACTGTTACCACTGGCATACTCGTATCTGCTCAAAGTCGTTGGCTTCGTTTCTCCCTGCCGCCTGACTGCGAGCGAGTCCTGCCAGATCTACCTTCGAGACTCTTGGTACCACTACGCGCGCTCCGTGCCGAAACGATCTCTGTCGTGTAGAAACCGTGGCCCTCCCTCATTTCTGCTACCACTGTTTTCGAAGTCGATTTGGTTCGTGGACTACTGGACCAACTTGGCTGGTCTTCGACAAGAGTTGTGCTCATGAAGGTGGTCAAGCAATAACTCCTCCGCCCATGGCAATGGCTCAAGCCAACACAGCGACTTTGGTGGCTGCGACCAAATTGATCGCTAGCCTTGGTCGAGGCAATCCTTTTCAGTCAAACATCAACCAACATGGAGACGTCTTTTCTCTACCAGGGCCATCAGGTTCGGCCAAGGACAATTTAGAAGCAGAATTATTAGCATTGACATCAAGAGTACGATACCTAGAACAAAGGGCTGATGTTGTTTCAAAATCTATGCCCGATACTCCTGGTGAAGTCTATCAGCCATCGTCTCCGCTCTCGAAACCAGTCGACCAGCGAAGCAATTCTTCCATCGCGTCTACAGACTCCAATGGAAGTCGTTCTGAACGCGGACAAGGAGGCTCGGCTGATTCCAGACGGATACACAGCTTGTTGGCAGCAAGAAACGCACAGCTTCGCTCTGAGGGCGAGCGCAGCGTTAGTGAAGATGACATAACTTTGCTCCGCGAGCACATAACTAGTCAAGCCGACCAGATTCGAGCCCAAAAGAAACTCATCGATGAAATACATACTGGTCTACGAAAGTCCGAAATGCAAGCTGCCGAAGCTTTTCAGAGAGTTGAAAGGGAAGAGGTCGGTGGGCTGGAAAGAGAACTCAGGAAGCACATACAAGCCAACGAGGCTTTTCAAAAAGCTCTACGTGAGATAGGCGAAGTCATAACACGTGTTGCGAACGGTGATCTTTCTTCCCGCGTCCAGATTCAGGCTACCGAGCTTGACCACGAGATAGTCAACTTCAAACACACTATCAACAAGATGATGGACCAACTCGAAACTTTTGGCAGCGAAGTCACCCGTGTGGCTCGAGAGGTGGGCACCGACGGAGTTCTAGGTGGTCAGGCACAAATCGAAGGAGTTCGTGGCATATGGAAAGAGCTCACAGACAACGGTAAGTCCTTCTCGTTTCGCAAAACTCTAGCTCTAACATCTCACAGTCAACATAATGGCCAAGAACCTTACCGATCAAGTCCGAGAGATTGCTCTTGTTACCAAAGCCGTTGCAGATGGTGACTTGAGTAAGAAAGTACAGGGTCGCGCCAGGGGTGAAATATTCGAGCTGCAACTAACCATCAATACCATGGTGGACCAATTAAATACCTTTGCCGCTGAGGTCACACGCGTAGCGAGGGATGTTGGTACAGAAGGTGTTCTCGGCGGACAGGCCAGGATAGAGGGAGTACAAGGCACTTGGAATGAATTAACTAATAGTGTCAATGCCATGGCCGACAACCTTACTACCCAGGTCCGAGATATTGCGGCCGTCACAACTGCTGTTGCCAAAGGCGATCTGACAAGGAAAGTTACCGCCAACTGCAAGGGTGAAATTCTCGAGCTAAAAAGCACTATCAACAACATGGTGGATCAGCTTCGACAATTTGCTCAAGAAGTCACCAAAATCGCTAAGGAAGTAGGAACCGATGGTATTCTTGGTGGTCAAGCCACAGTGCACGATGTCGAAGGCACCTGGAGGGATCTGACTGAGAACGTGAACGGTATGGCTAATAATCTGACCACCCAAGTACGCGAGATTGCAGCAGTGACAACGGCGGTTGCAAACGGAGACCTGTCCAAAAAGGTCGGGGCAGATGTTCAGGGTGAGATCCTGGACCTCAAGTTAACAATCAATTCCATGGTTGATCGTCTCAACACTTTCGCGTTCGAGGTCAGCAAAGTCGCACGTGAAGTCGGCACCGATGGTACTCTTGGTGGCCAGGCTGAGGTTGAGAACGTCCAAGGCAAATGGAGAGAGCTCACAGACAACGTGAATGTCATGGCCAATAATTTAACTGGCCAGGTACGAAACATCTCTGCCGTCACACAGGCCATCGCAGCTGGAAATTTGGACCGCAAGATCACTGTCTCAGCACAAGGAGAGATACTGACTCTGAAAAATACCATCAATGACATGGTCGATCGATTGGCTACGTTCGCCTCAGAACTGCGAAGGGTAGCTAGGGATGTAGGCGTCAATGGTATCATGGGCGGCCAGGCCAACGTTCAAGACGTCAGCGGACGGTGGAAAGAAATCACGGAAGACGTCAACACCATGGCAGAAAACCTGACAGGACAGGTCCGTGCATTTGGCGAGATCACTGACGCTGCTACCGAGGGCGACTTCTCGAAATTGATCAGCGTCAATGCATCTGGCGAAATGGATGAATTAAAGCGCAAGATCAATCAAATGGTGTCCAACTTGAGAGATAGCATACAAAGGAACACTGCAGCACGGGAAGCTGCAGAGCTTGCGAATCGCACCAAGTCAGAATTCCTGGCAAACATGTCACACGAGATTCGAACGCCAATGAACGGCATCATTGGTCTGACACAGTTGACGTTGGATGCTGACGACCTCAAACCACACCCCAGAGAGATGCTGAATACAGTTCACAACCTGGCAAATAGCTTGCTGACAATCATTGACGATATCCTAGACATCTCTAAGATCGAGGCAAACAGAATGGCTATTGAGGCTATACCGTTTACGGTCCGTGGAACAATATTCAATGCTCTGAAGTCCTTGGCTGTCAAAGCTCATGAGAAAAGCCTCACATTAGGATTTGAGGTCGACAATTCGGTTCCTGACTACGTTGTTGGTGATCCTTTCCGACTGAGGCAAATTATCCTGAATCTTGTCGGCAATGCAATCAAATTCACAGACCAGGGCGAGGTCAGAGTCATTATCAAGAAGTCGAAAGAACTCGTTGGAAACTGTGCAAAGGACGAGTTTCCCTTCGAGTTCGTGGTGTCAGATACTGGTATAGGCATCCAGAGCGACAAGCTCGATCTGATATTTGACACGTTCCAACAAGCCGATGGCTCAACCACACGAAAATTCGGAGGCACAGGACTTGGTCTATCAATATCAAAGCGATTAGTGAACCTCATGGGCGGTCAGGTATGGGTCACCTCAGACTACGGACACGGCAGTGCCTTCCACTTCTCGTGCATAGTCAAATATGCTACCGAAGATATCAGCGTCATCAGCTCGCAGCTATATCCGTTCCGCAAGTACAAGGTACTGTTCGTGGACAAGGGAGCAACTGATTTTGGCACATATCTACCAAAGATGACAGAGGAGCTAGGACTCGAAATTTCCTCGGTAGAGGATGAAGACAACATACCAGAACCCGTGAGAACGATTAGACGTGGTAAGAACGGCGATTTTGGGTACGATGTGATAATCGTTGACAGTCTGGACATTGCAAGAAGGCTACGCCAGCACGACAAGTTCAAGTATATACCCATGGTCTACCTCAACCCAATGGTGGCAATCAGCCTGAAGACAGTACTGGAACTGGGCATAGCCTCATATATGACCACACCATGCAGACTCATCGATCTCGGCAATGCGATGATCCCTGCGCTTGAAGGACGATCCACACCTGCCATCAAAGACTACAAGAAATCCTTCAATGTACTATTGGCCGAAGACAACGAAGTCAACCAGAAGGTAGCGATCAAAATCCTCGAAAAGTACAACCATCAGGTGACCGTGGTCGAGAATGGTCTTGAAGCATTCAGAGCTGTTCAAAAGAATCGATTCGACGTAGTGTTGATGGATGTTCAGATGCCTGTGATGGGCGGCTTTGAGGCTACCAGGGAGATCAGACAATACGAAAAAGAACAAGGAGTTGCACGAACTCCAATCATCGCTTTGACAGCTCACGCCATGCTGGGTGATCGGGAGAAGTGTATACAAGCGCAAATGGACGAATACCTATCCAAACCACTGAAACAAAACTTGCTCATGCAGACCATTCTACGAGTGGCCTCGGACGGTGTGCTGAAAACTACTGTAGATGGACAAAGCAAAGGGCACACCAGAAACAAGTCTCTGGCAAGCGCACAAGGCATAGTTGTCACAGAGCCCAAACAAGCACCCGCTGGACCTAGCACCACAAGCCTCAGCAACCGGCCTCATCTCAACGAAAGAGCTTTGACTACGTCAGGACCCGTCAATCATGGGAGTGCTGAGTCACCATCAGTTAGCATGGATAGTGAATCGAATCCAATGGATCATCACGGAGCGGTACGACTCGAAGCAAGATACTTACAGCGATCGCTGACATGATGTGCAGGTTTTGACAAGACACCACAGTCAATGAGACAAGAACAACTTATATTGCGACGGATTGAGTTCTGAGATGCTCTGGCATTTGGAGCTCCGGAGTACAGGGTGTCTTCAGGTATAGCATCGATGCAGGATCACGTTAGTACGTGAGGTATCAGACCCCGGGTCGACGACACCTCCTAGTGCTCCGATACTATACTTCGTATCGAGTTCAGGCTATTATCTATAGCTGATTGACTCAGCAAAGGGCTTAAATTCCAGAAATATGCGTCCATATATTGAGCTTAAGAGAAGCTTGCGCAGGCAGCGTTAGGCATATCATTCGGAGTATTGGGTTACATTGTCACGACGAGGAAGCTGAGTCATTATTCTTTCGGCGACGAAGATTTTCACAGTGTTGTACGATTTGTTAGGTACTTGATGCTACCAGGTTATGCCCTTCACTATGAACCGCGTCGTGCGCTGCTTATGGCTTGCTGTTGTTTGTTGCTCTTTCTAACTGTGTGCTCGACTGAACACAAAATTCTACATACAGCAGGTGCATTGTCAGCTTTATCATTGAACTTGATCCTCCGCTCACTGTAATACTAGCAGTAACATGTTTGAGGAGCCATCATGCTGTAATGAATCGCCCCCAATTTCTCCCGCTCGATTAGGATGCCGCCTTGCCGCATCCCCAGAGCTTATTTAGTGGGGCTAGACGTTCCCCCCTAGCACGACGAAGTGCAATGACATTACAGCCGCTGCAGGAACTTCCCGTGCTCGAATTGTGCAACACAAATCTCGCTTCGTTCGTCCTTAATGGATGCTCAGTCTCTACCAGTCGCTCCGCAGTCGACACAACTATTCTCTGCAGGCAAACGACAACGCGTCAATACTGACGTTGACGAGGGGGACCTCAAGAGAATCAAAACGAGCCCCGAAGAACCCTCCTTTTACAGCGACAATGTGCGTCGTAAGCTTGCAGCCACGACCCGAACAGGTCAGGCATGCGATCGTTGCAAAGAACGAAAGATGAAGTGCGACCCCGATCCTATAGCGTGTCAACCGTGTCGCCAGAAGAGTTTGAAGTGCTACACTACGGATCGCGTCAGTGGTCAATCAAGAGAACGTGGTCAATGGGACAGGGCTGAGAACGAGGTTGGCTTCCTGAGAGGGCAGTTGGCCTATTACCAAAAGAAGTACGGTCCGACTACTCAAGACGCGCTCTCTACACCATACTCGATGCTCTTCCAGAGTCCCTCCTGTGAACGAAGCTCAATCACTTTGGATGGACATAGAGATGCTGGAAACTCGCCGTCTCGGAGTTGCAACCTTCCCGATCCTCAATATGTCGGTTGGCCTATCTCAGACGGCACTTTGTACAAAGGCCCGGTTCAAGGTACCAAAGCAGATATTCTTGATTGGGGTGTAATGGACAGCGGTGGATTCGAGTGCGACCTCATGCGGCCGCCCATGAACGATGATATTGACTTCTTCAATTTCTCTACTCCCTCGGTCCTAAAGACTATCCACCAACGTCAGAAGATTCATAAAAACGATCTACACCTGCCTACGAAAGCAGAGGCCTTGGCTATGGCAGAGACTTTTCTGACTGTCATGTGGCGGTACTACCCGGTTGTTCACAAGGGTGATTTCATTGACCTTGTCCATCATCTCTATGACGATTCCCAGCAAGTATCGTTGTTCGAGGAGATTCAGGTCATTCTGGTTTTTGGAATCTTAAAGCACCAGAACGCCATCCGTGTGCAAGCAAAGGCTCGCTTGATCAACGATTCCTATCGCTATCTTCATTACGGATTGGGAAGCTTTCCTGACATGATGAAGAGCTCCAGCTTGGCTGCTATGCAAACTCTGGCGCTGATTCTAATGCAGTTTCGGAACTTGCCAAAGCCAGGCCATACTTGGCACCTCGCTCAAGAAATGCTCATCAAGTGTATAGACTTAAATTACCATCGCGATCCCGACAAAATTGATCTGTCTACAGAACAGCAGAATCCGCTGGCCAAGGAGCTCAGAAAACGAGTTTTTCATGCTATAATTGGCGTTTGCATCGCAACGGGGTGTCGCCTGGGTCAACCTGCACCATGGCAGTTCGTTCAATGGGATGTCCCACTTCCAATGGCTATTCTCGATTCTGAATTGTCAAGTACTGGTATTCAAGCCCAACTTTCAGGCCGTTGTGATTTTTGGCCTTGTATCCAACTCTCAAAGCTCCTACCACTATACACTGAGCTCCACAATTATGTCTTGTCTGTGAGACGAGAACCTGTTGAATACCTGAAGATTGTCGACTTGTTGCAGAACAAGATTGACGCCTGGAGAGAGGACTGGGACACGTCTATTGTGAATGAAGAACCAGACGCCTCCCTCACTGTCTCTACCCTTTTGATCGACCAGTGGGCTGCAGAGTACACCCTCAATCTCCACCACCCCTCAGTTTGCCCTCTACAAACACCAGAAGTCCTCGAGAGAAACCTTGAACTTTGTCATAGAGCTGCGAAGAAGATGCTCGGCTACTTTCATACACTATCGAAACAATACAAGGCAGTAGATTTCACCTGGCACTCAGTGGTAGCATATACCCTTGCATTTGGTGTAACCCTGCATGTGTATCGAAGGCGGAAAGGATCCTCTGTGTCGCAGGACCAATTTAGCAACATCAAGAACGAGCTTGCTGGCTGGATGTCGCTAATGGCGTATGCTGATCTCGTCCTCAAGACTGAGAAACTGCTTTATAGGCAATTCGGCCCTCTTGTTGCTCAGGTGGAAGACGAGCTCTACGAACAGATGATGTCCAACGCACGCCTAGACGTACCCAGTTCGAAGTCATTGAAGGCCATCAATGGATCGATGCCCAGCACATCTACAACTAAACAGCAGCCATCCCCACTACTACACATCAACTCGACGTTTCAAGAGCATTCCACGCCCCTCAATGAACAGCAAACTCACTTTCCACACCATCAGCATTATTCGGGGTTCGACGCAGCTTCCAACTTCCCACAATCACAGACGCCCTTGCCTCCAGTGTCATATCACACGTACAACAGCACACCCGTAACGTCATACGCACCTTTACCAACTTCACTTGCACCATTGCTGAACGAAGCACCACCCTCTACCATGCAGTACCAGTATCCCACAATCTCTGTGCAGGATCCTGCGATGATGTTTTCACCTCACCTCTATACCGATGCGACTGCTGTATGGCCAATGCCTGAAGAATAGCATAGTGGATTTACACCCTGACTATCGATTATCTAGACGGTCAACCTTCTGGACAATCACCATGTAATGAATGCACACTTCAAGCACTGAGGTACAAAGTGAAGGGCCCAGAGCTTACTCGTTGTTGTCGTCTCTGCTTTGCATTTGGGACGATCTTTCGTCCCAGCCCTCCTGCGCCTCACTCCATGCACTTATGACCGCCGGCTTGTCGGGAACGTCCGCTTCATTTATGTCTGCTGATTAGGCTCATCTCTCTGTATAGAACCGAAACTCTCCCTACCAAAGCACCCTTAAGAGCAAGCCCACTGTAGACCTGCGGACTTCGACTCTACAGACATACTCCGAAGCGAAGTCGACAGGGTAGACTACCGGACAAACTATACCTAATGCGGCCTAGCTCGCCCGGGGCTCGAAGATTGAATCGCGCAATCCAAGTTGTAGAAGTGCTCTTGAACGTTATTGTCATCTTTCCTTCCGGGCTTGCTGTCGAGAGTCTTTGACGCTCAATGTGCACGATACTCCGGGCTTCGTAGGCGTCTCTGGAGCAAACTATGGTCAACGGGACACCGACAACACGGAGCAGTGGTCTATCCAGAACCACATCCACCTCTATACCCGCTTCACGACGCAAAGCTATACGCTCGAATGCAGGTATGCTACAATCTTTCTTTACACGGTCATTCCCCTGCCCACATGGAGCGATGCGTTCTTCGCGACTGAGAAACTCGGTGATGTGGGAGACGCTGACAGAAGACGAGGCTCCAGATGTGATATCTGGACCCAAAGAATTGCATCATTTGCACTTATCCATACACATCGCAAATTTGTCGAGCTAACGGATATTTTGTACCACAGGATGCATCACTTGTCGAGCACGCAAGGTACTTCCACCTCTGATGGCGTTCTCCGTGAGCCACTCACATCATTAGGTGAAATGTGACGAGAGAGTCGGTGGATCGTGCCTCAATTGTGAACGTCTACACCTTGAGTGCCAGAAGGCTGATGGCACGAGGATACCACCACCACCCATTGCCGCAAACGAGGTCGTCCAATCTTCAGAGCCGGCACCTAGCGAGGGTGGATTGAAGCGAAAGCGCACTTTTCGATCTTGCGCGCAGTGTCGCAACGCGAAAGCCAGATGCTCAGGCGATCGACCAGCTTGCTCAAGGTGTAAGGAACGAAGGGTTTTCTGCGCTTACGAGGAAGACTCAGCGCCGCAGTGGGAGCGAATTGTTCAGTCCGCTCGAATTTCCGACACGGCGCACGACGATACCACTTCAGAGGACAAGGATGCGACTAGTAGTCCTGCTCGCCAGACACCAACTTCTACCGATATACAGAGTCCTGCCCAGATGACAACAAACATGTCTATCGAGCAACCGAGTGGTAATGCTAATCTACCAAGCTTGCCACCCCCTGCAAGGTCGATTATTGGACAGTCTGCTTTTGACTCAGAAGAGGGTCCCGATTCGCTAGATTGGTAAGTCATGTCGAATTAAGAGGTCTGGTGTACTCCTGCGACGCTCGTGGCGACGATACGATCAGGATTTGCCTGTCCCAACTACTCCTACCTTGTCATCGGCAAGATGATGTATCAGAGCGAATATTGACTCAATACAGGCTCTTCAAACCGCACTTGCCAAGCCGTCAGCGTGTAAGGATGCTTGTCAAGGAATATTTTGAGCACGTACACCCGCTGAGATGTTATGCATTCATTCACCGGCCCTCTTTCCTTCAGAGGATTGAAGAATCTTCAAATGAGGACCATGCTCGGAATGGATTGTTACATGTTGTTTGTGCCCTGGGTGCCAAGTAAGTTTCCGTGCATACTGACTCGGGTTATTGTTGTCCAGTTTCACGAGATTTATTCTTGACCCTGATCTGCCTGCTGCAGCATTCTCCTATGCCTCCCTGCTTGTTCAAGTAATTGACGTATGTATTTACAGGTTCTATGCACTACAGTATAGCAGTAGCCTGAAACCTCTTTCTTCACGAATGATTCTTTCGGCTGGAAACGAGTGGGCGAAGAAAGCACAATCACTGCTCGCAGCTGAGCTTGGTATGATTTCGGTCCAGAACCTGATGTCAGCTGTCCTGCTGCATGACCATGAAATAAGGATCGGGAACTACGCTGGCGCATTTGTGCTTACTGGTACCATTACCCGCATGGCGCAAGCACTCCAGCTCAATCTGGAATACTCAACAGATATTTTCCACGATGAACCAAACAACGGACCGACGGTGTGCTCGAAAGAAGCAAGGAGACGATTGATGTGGAGTTGCTACATATTGGACACATTGATTGGCAGTGGTGTTGATCAATTGACTCTGTTCAGTGAACCGGATATCAAAATCCAGCTGCCATGTAATGAGCGCAACTTTGTCCTTCAAGTGCCTTGCGTCACGGAGATGTTACCCACAGGTCAGCCATTGCCGTTCATATCCCCTAAACAAATTCCACCTCGAGTGATCGACAACATCGGCATTGTGGCTTTATATGTTCGGCTGATAGCGCTTCGTAAGCAAGTGCTAAGGTGAGTTAGTCTGTCTGTTCGAGCCAAAGATAGATATGCTAAGCGGACGATAGATATACCAAGCAACTGGAGACAGTGCTGCCTCCATGGTTACCCGAATCTGAATTTGCGAAGCTAGACAATGCTTTGCATGAGTGGTATCAACAATTGCCGCCCAGCCTTCAATTTACCAGGGCGGCACTATATACACGACGAGAATCTTCACAGCTTGGCGCGTTTGTCTTGCTTCAGTGTACCTACAATTGGACAACGGTAGACCTATATCGAATAGCTCTGCCGAAGCTGTATCGATTACGACCACCTTGGAAATGTAGCGAGGAGTTCCGAGCACGATTGCAGGAGACCATTTTCATCCATGCACAAAGGTGCTCGACGGTGCTGGCCGATGCGTCAAGACACGGCATAACAACTCTGGCGGACACGTGGCTGCCTACGATAGCGTTCGATGGCAACAGGTTGATGCTGTACTACATCACACAGATTCTGGGGCTGGACACGGAAAAGGGTCAAACGGCACTAGCAGACTGTATGCCTTATTGTCGCAGCAACCTCGAGCTTCTGAAAACCATGCAGTCGATGTCGGCTATGGCGGAATCATTGTATCCTACAGCTAAAGAAATGTTGAAGAAGGCAACGACGATTCAGCAGATTGCCAGGTCGAGGGAGCGCGGGTCAGAACAGGAGATCATAACAAGAACCAGGGAGAACACACCGGACCACAACGGGCCTGACTACGTGTTACAGCCCACGACCGTGTACAGAATGGCGAGGGACTCGATCGCAACACAAGAGAAGCATGCCTTTGAAAAGACCCGAGCACAACGGTTACGACTACAAACACATTCGGCAGGATCCAATTCGCCTATGTCGCACAGTATATCTGCGGCGTCCCGAGCTCAGCCACCGAATCTGAATGCCTGGATAAGTCCGTCGTCAGCAACAGGTCAACTAACCCCGTTACCACCAAATACAAACATGCTTCAGCTGGAGCCGACAGCACCTCCCATGCATGAATTTGACAACTTCTTCTCGGCGAACGGGTTCGATGGTACTTGGCAGCCAGCGGAAACAGCGGCCACTGCATTCGATGCTAGTGGGCTTCCTGCCTGGCTGCCTGCAATGACGGACATGTATGCTGATCTGAATGCTGGACCGTGGCCAATGGGAACGGATATTATGAATGGGTATCCGGGCTCAGGTCCTGGCGCGATGTGAAACAGTGAGATTGTGCAAAAATGTAGTGTACTGGTGGCTCTTCGTAGGCACAACAGCATTAATGATCATGGATAGGACACGGATGAAGAAGTGGAAGAAAGCAAATAATAGTTGATTATCTATGAACGATTGTGAAATAGAGAGAAGCTTATGTAGCTTTCTGAATACGCTAAAAACAGGCTAAAACACGCTAGTAAGTGACACGAACGTTAGTGGCCTGAATGCCTAGCTCACGTTCAACAACGGAGGACAGTCTAAGTGCGAGCGCTGAATGTGCCAGTGAAATTCAGGCCATAAGGCATACAATCGTCTGGCAATACTTCGGAAGTACCTGAGTATCGGACTTGAAAAAGTTCCAGTCGTGGTTTGCTGTAAATCATACGAGTAGAGGAAGGTGCAAACGTTGTGGTCTTGCTTCATACAGTCGATTCTTTTTGGGTAGAAAAAGATGGAAGGCGCGTCCGCGATCGATTAGCTTGAACTCGTGCCTCTATAACTATCACTCTCGCAGCATGGCTTCAGCTTTCGCATCGCAGCTGCAAGCAATTGCGGCGAACTCGACCCACGAGCTTGACCTCCGAGCACGACGCAATGCACACGCAGAGTCGCTTCTCTTCGAAAGAGATGTCGCCGTCAAACAAGACTTCAGGAGCATCTACAACATCTGTATTGATGGGCATCGCGAACTATGCCAACTCGACGAACGATTCCACGATTTCGACCGCAACCTCTTCTCCGAACAAGCCCAGGATGAGGACCGTGAACAGATGACCAAGGCAGAGAACGATGCTTTGGATGAGGTCCTGAAGAGGTGTCTCATACTGCTGGGGAGCAAGATCCTGCTGAAATCTTCTCAAAAAGCTCTCGAGTGGCTCGTAAGAAGATTTCGGGTTCACATCTACAACGTCGATCACCTTCTGCTTAGTCTGCTTCCTTACCACGAAGTTGCCATCTGGGCCAACGTTGTGTCCATTGTACCTTCTGAAAAGATCGTTGGCTTGTGGAAATTCATTCGTCCATACCTGAAGACGACCTGGAATGTGCCTCGCCATGCTGTGGCCTACGCTGCTGCCAATAACGACGCCTTCTTCACTGCTCTAAACTCCTACATCCTCGATACATGTCGCCAAGGTCTCTCCCATCCCACCTTGATGACCTTTTGGTCTTCAATAGTCGTCGAGGCCATTTCCAACAGGTTAAATCAAACACGAAGTGGCAGAAAAGAGGTGCAGACTCAGCGCATTGATGACCTCCTTCACAAGGTCTTACCTCTATTGAGCGATGGCTATGAGACAACAGGCTGTACAGACCTCATCGTTACCTGTTACACAATCACCCTCGTTATGGTTGCCAAAGCCGACCTTGCTGATCACCTTCTTGATGCCTTTCTATTGGCCATTGCTCAAACCCTCGTCCGATCCGACCACAATGCTCAAGCTGCTCTTACCACGATGAATATTGTTATGAACCACAAACAGGTCAAGAAGGTTCCAAGAGATGCACTGGACATCCTCGCTCGCTTAGAATCGTTTGGTGTCATTACGCGTCGTGTCTCCGAGCAATACCAGATGAGGACATTCTTGCTTGCTCTCATCACATCCGCTATGGCTCAAATCAAGCGTAGGAATGCTCACGCTCTTGCATCTTTTGTGGACAGTCTCGTACGCCTTGTACATGACCTGTACCCATCAGGCTCGCTTGTCGAGGTCATACAGCCAATAGTTGCTAAAGTTCTACAGCTTGATGCAGCCAACGAACGCGACCTTCGGGTGCGTGAGGAGCTTGTTGCAAGGCTGCAGAGGTTGAATGAAGACGAGGCTCTATCCATTGCAATAGCATCAGCTGCTGCTGAAGGAGAACACAATGCGGCCACCCTGGAAGGTCTGCTTGGCATGACCATTGTGCTACCAGCACAGAATCAAACGCCTGAGACTGTAGAGCACGATGTTCCTATAGCTGACGTCGACCAGGTCTCTGAAAATGCAAGCACTCCATTTGCTTCTCTGCCGTCAACATGGCAGCCAGGATCTTCATGCCTGGCTATCGCTCAATCCGATACATTTGATCAACTTGCAAAGACCTTTGAGAATTGTCATCGCTTTACCCAGCTATTTGCTGACTTCTCAGCCTTAACCATCTGGACCTCAGTCTTGAACGAACAGATGTTGTGGCAAACGTTCTTACTCAGATTCGCCTGCACTGCCGCGAGTCCGCAGGCAAGATCTAAAGCCATACGCCTGCTAATGCAGAGTCTGCAAGCTAATCCTGCTTGCGACGTACAATATTTTGTCCCGTACACTTTGGCTCTACTTACTGACGTTAAACCGGTTCGGAGAGCTGCATCGGAGCTACTAGAATCTGTTCGGAACATCTCGTCTGAAGCTCACCTTGAACCAACCAACAAAACGAGCAGTGACTTCTATGGCGATGAGACAGCTAGACCTGTTTCTAGGTTACCACGGTCACAAATTGTATCTCTTTTGGCTGATGTAGTCACCCCTGTGCTGGAGGAATGTCTACTCGATCCTTCCTACATCGCGAAAACGATACAGGCATACCTGCATGACTTCAAGAAGCCTCATAGACAAGCCTTGTGGAACATACTGACGCAGCATGCTCTTGCCACACCGCTCATCAAGATCAAGGTCACCATCCTGTCCATGTTGGAGAATGTTCAGAAGATTGGCAACAAATCAAAAACCAAGACTTTGTTTCCAATCCTGCAAGAGTGGTCGAATTTGACTGAGCCACAGACTCGAACACTTAGTATGGAGGCAGGCATAGAACTACAGGTCATTGATACTGCCGTTGTGCAATTGGCTGATGTTCATGACAAGCATTTCCTGGAAAACTTTGCCGAAACTGCAGCATTGTCCGAATCGAAGTATCGCAGAACGCTTGTCGCCTCCGTCTTCGAGCATCTGAGACGGGAATGGGCGACATGTACTGAAGAACAACAAATGTCAATTGCAGACATGTTGTTCGATATGGCCTTGTCGGTTCACGATACTTTGGCTTCTGGGGCACAGAACGTCTTGCGGTCTGTTGATTTATCCATCGGAAGCCTCGCCGTTCTTGTCCAACGTTCTCAGGCTGGTGTGAGCGATGTCAAGGCGCCTCCTGCCAAACGCAGAAAGCGATCTTCGTCCTCCGGCACTACCACGTCTCGTGCTGATGCTGTCAAGTCAATTGACAATGCGACGGCGAAGATTGGTCTCGTACTTGAACTCGTCGAAAGCAATGCCCCCGAGTCCAAACCAGATTTGCTTCGCAACATGTTTGAGCTGCTCACATCCCTCAGGCAGTTGCAGCAGAACCGGGTTGACTCGCCGTACTTGCTGAATCTATGCCTGGGCACAATCTATACCATGGTCAAATCATCCAGGTCGAGAGGCAGGGTTATCGATGGTACTAGTATCAAACCAGAGCTAGTCACGGATTGCTTGCGAAATTCTGACAACCCTCAAGTACAAAACGCCGCCCTCCTTGTGCTCGCCGCTCTTTCGACGGTTGTGCCAGATCGGATGGTGCATAACGTCATGCCCATATTCACTTTTATCGGGCACAATATGCTATCTCAGGATGATGAACACTCTATTAACGTTGTCAATGAAGCGATCGACAAGATTGTGCCAGCTCTGCTCGAGAATCTGCGTCGAAGTCGTAATGTACAAAGCTACCAAACGTCAGTGGCGACGATGCTAGCGAGCTTTATATCAGCTTATGACCATATTCCTCTGCACCGAAGGGTGACATTCTATCAGAAGCTACTAAGTTGCATCAACGCAGAGGAATTTGGCTTCATGCTAGTAGTCCTGCTGGCGAATCAGCAACGAAAAGACAAATCACTTACAAAATTCATTCAGCAATTGGTTGGTGTATTGCCGGCAGTAACTCAAATCAAAATCTACCAGCAGATCTTGATTGTCTCCGTTGATATTTTTGCACCTACTACGAAAGTGGCTGCGATTGTCTTCAACATCCAACGATCTACTCCAGAGATTGAGAAGCAGCGTTGCGCCGAAGCTTGTGTGTCCGTAGCGGGAGAGATCCTGAAGAACCAAGCTCTAGTAGCAAATATCAAAGGGTCGACCAGCGATCAAATTGATGATAGAAATTTGATCAAGCAAGAGTTCCAATCAGCTTTCCGAACCACTCTATCATCGATACGAGCCATGAAGAACGTCAATGATCGGGTCGCCGCGCTAAGCAAGGGAAATATGGATGACTTGCTAGGTCTCCCGAGTTTGCCGGATCTTCTTGAATCGTTACACTCCGTGCTGGACGAGATGCAATCCGAACTTCGGCCGCAGGCTCTTCATATGCTGGCTATACAATTCGACAAAAAGAAGACGAAAGTCAGTCGGGCCAGGGAGATTGCCATGGCCATTTTGAGCAAGTTGAACAAATACCTCATAAACACGGCCGATGAGACATTACTGCGGGCATCATTGATGTGTGTTGACCGCATCACAGAAGCATATGGCAGAAAGAGTCCTGATAATGTTATTGCTTCGGCACAGCATATACTGCTCGAAGTTGGCTTGTACCATAAGGACGCCTCTGAGAAGCGATCGATATCTGTTGTGCTGACCATGGCTAGTATGCTGGAGGTGCTCAAGGAAGGCTCCGTGCCGTTAGTATCACAGACCCTGGCACAACTTTCGCCACTGCTCGATGGCTGCATTGAAGGAAAATACACGTCGACGATGTTCAGAGCTATCTGCACACTTCTTACATCTGTCTTCGCAAATGTGGCCTTTATGGTGTCTAAGGAGCAGCTCTCGACAATATTAGGTTCTGTGATTCAAGCCAAAAACACAATCACAACCAAGGATGAAACAGATTACCCACAGCTGATCAGAACTATGGCACGAAAGGTTGAGTTGGAAACGACTGTCAACGCCATTCTGCCACGACTTGAAAAGATTGCCGATCCTTCAGCGACGACCCAGTATTTGGGTATGCTGAGCCAGGCAATCGATGCATCTTCGAAATCAGTGGTGATGAAGTCAGCCGAAACTATCTCGCAAATATTCCAACTTGTGCTACATGCGGAGTCTAAAACTGTACCGTCCAAGCCAGTAAGTGTTGGTAAGGGCAATATCCAAAGTATTGTTCTGCAACAACTCAAAGAGACATGCATTAAATTCATCTACAAGATGAACGATACAGCTTTTCGTCCAATTTTCGAATCCTGGATTGATTGGAGCACGGTCTCTGATGCCTCACAAGGAGGATCCGACACGACCAGTCGACAGATTGTGCTCTTCGACCTTCTTGCTCACTTCTTTGATACCCTCAAGGCCATCGTTACATCTTACGCTTCTTATCTTCTCAAGTCGATCTCTACTATCTTGCAGTCAGTCAATTTGCCAACTTCTAAAGCAGCTTCGACAACCTCATTACCGTTAATTACCAACACTCTTGTCCTTCTCAAAGCAATAACAGCACACGATCAGGACTCCTTCTTCTCCGCGCCTTCCCATTTCGATCCTATAGCTCCTGTACTTATTGCCTGCCTGAACCTGGCTGCCTCAAAGAGCACACGAGCTTGCGTATTCAGCCACGTCATTCCGACAATAACATCCCTCGCGGCCGCGACCATGGATTCACCATCAACACACAGCGCCCTTGCACATCACATCGTGCGACTAAAGTCAGCATCTTCGGCGCATGTGCGACTGGCAAGCATCCGTGCACTCATCGCCATGACTGAGGACGAAGACCTCGGTGACGAATTTGTTGCGAACGTAGTCGGTATTGGCGCTGGTGAAGGTGAAGGCGCAAGAGGAGGTGGCAGTAGCGTGGGCGAGATTATGGTGTACGTGAACGAAATGCTGGAGGACGACGATGAGACTGTTGAGCATGATGTTAGAAGGTGGGTACAGATGGTAAGAAGCAAGGTTGGTGAGGACGCTTTTGAGGTGTAGACAGATACCTGAATAAAAATGTTAATTTTCGGAGGCTCCCAAAGATACTGTCTCAACACATTGTGATTTTTGTGCTACAACGCTGATCAATTTCGTTGCCCTTGTAGACTTTGTTTATAGCGTTGAGACCTCAAATTAAAACCATACGCATTGCGCACTCTACGAAGATAAACGTGCCCTTGGGATGGGTTGATACCACATCCAGACAATGTTACAGAAAGACACGTTTCCTCGTGTCGCAAATGTATTTCCAAAACAGGTCTTCTCGCTCGACCCTAGCACATCTCCAGCAACAGACACGTCCTTGGTTTCTGGTCTATTACAGTAGAAGAAGCGATTTTACCAGCAGGTTAACAAGTTGTGCATGCGAGTGAGTATACATACAGCTTCCTGGAAAGTTTTGGGACATTCCATTTCATTTGCATTGAAACGTAAATTCATTCAGCTTGGGAATTGGCTCGAATGTGTAGGAAGCGAATGGTAGAGAAGTCAATGGATTGATTTCATGCGTAGATACGAATAATCCGTACGATAATGACACGGATGCGAAGGGGCTTTCTTTCGCCATTCACGATCTACTTCTTGACCATAGACAAGATACGTACGTAAGCATGCTCCCAACATGCTATCGTCCTGTACCTTCGTCAAAAATGCTTCGTGCCTCACCTATAACAACAGAAGAAAAAATTTGTGCAGGGGATATATGCCCTAAAATTCGACCCGAATTTTGCCAACCATGACGTATGCTTCTTTCCCCAGCGCCAACGCTAAATGCTTCGTCAAAAAGGTCAAATTACACCCTTTGTTGTGATTGTATGATTTCATCTCTTTGATATTATATTTTCTGTCTTTGCAGTCATGGTCGCCATTCCTTGCTCAAGGAACGTTGCCGTGGTGTGTCTAACGGCGATACAGCCGAGTCAGCTGTACTGGCTGGAGTTTGTTGTACACTTTGGTCGCTATCTGGCGATGTCGACGTTGAAGTATCCTTATCTGTGCAGCCGTTGACCATGGATGGCGAGCCTTTGTCGCCATCGTCCTCTTCGGGAATGGTCGCACAGTACTTCTTTAACACTTGTTTGAGTGCAGGTCTGCGGATAGGTTTCGCCAGGAAGTAATCCATACCACTTGCCATACACTCATCCTCATTCGATTTTTCAGCAAAAGCAGTCAATGCAACGATAGGTGCATCGAAGCCCATGCCACGTATCATCTTGGTACTTTGTATGCCATCAACATTTGGCATTTGGACATCCATGAATATCAAGTGAAACTTCTCACCTTTCTCCATGCTTTCCCTAACTTTGTCGTATGCCTCTTGTCCGTCCTTGGCTATAGTAACGTCGTAAACGTCTTCGAGTTTGAGCATGCGGAGAACGACTTCCTGGTTTATTTTGTTGTCCTCAGCTACCAGAACACGTACTTTGCTGCCCTGTCGTATTGCCTCGGATTCTGCCTTTTTCATGAGCTTTAGATCAGTGGAAAGAGTGTGAGGTGCTTTTGGTCGGACATCTTTGGCCACGAAAGGTTGTGAGAGACCAACGACTCTAGGTATCTCACCGTATGGCAAGGGTGGACTATCTCGATCGGCAGGTGAGCCGGCGGTCTGGACTGTATGCTTTTCAGTAGTGGGCATGATAGCGTCCGATCCACCAAGAACGACAGAGTCCATGCTTGAGCGCTTTTCTGCAACGTAGCGCAATGGTATACGCATACTGAATTTGCTGCCTTTACCAACCGTGCTATCCAGCGACAACTCACCACCCATCAATGCCGCAAGCTGAGCACAGATACTTAAACCAAGACCTGTTCCGCCGTATTTCTTGCTCAGTCCTAGATCGCCTTGTACGAACGGCTCGAAGATCTTTTTCTGCTGATCTTCTGGTATGCCTGGACCGGTATCCTCCACTTCGAACTCGAAATCGAGGACTTTCGCATTGATTCGAGGCGGCGAGGTCGATCGTTGTCTAGAGACAAACTTGTCAATTTGCGCTACACCGCCAGCCACATTGATCTTGAGTTTGGCATCACGTGGACGCTTCTTCAGTATCGACGTCTGCCCGTCTTCAGAATCACTGTTACTGCCGAGTCTATTTCTGTAGCCGGAACGCAATCCATCGTCGGAATCACTACCGCCTGTGAGTGAAGTGTCAGACGTTCTTACCCGCCTTTTGCTGGACACCTTTGACCTCTTTGAGGCGTTAGAGGATTTTCGCACACTCCCTGCCCGGCTTGGGGTTTCAAGGTCAACCAGACCAAGACACCTAACACGAACAGTTACCGATCCGTTCGGTGGAGTGAACTTTAAGCTATTGCTCGTGAAGTTCATAAGTACTTGCAGAATGCGGTTTTTGTCGCCCCATAAACACATATCCCTCACTTTACCAGTGCCTTCGGGTCCAAATGCTTTGTCTAGAGTGGTATCAAAGTTACCAAAAGAGTCGTTTGTTCCCTCGTATAAAACTTGAAGCTTGATTTGACCTTCTCTAGCTTGACGATCGAAAGTGGGCAACAACTGAGTACTTAAATCACTGAGGCAGAATTCAGTTTCGTCGATAGAGAGCTGCTTTCCGACCTCGTTTTTACTGAAGGTTAGCAGGTCGGTCAAAAGGTGCAAGAGGAGATCGCCGGATTTGTAGATGGTGTTCAGGGTTGACTGGATCTTAGCAGGATCGGTCTCTTTCATACATATCTGAGTAAGACCTAGAATGCCGTTCAGAGGGGTCTTGAGCTCGTGTGAGATGTTGGCAATGAATAAAGTTTTGCTTTGATTTGCGGCCTCTGCGGCTAGTTTAGCCTGTTCCAATTCCGCAGTACGTTCTTTGACCCGTTCCTCTAATCGTTGATATTGCATCGCCAGCTCATCAGACATTTCGTTGAACTTGGTGGTTAGATCAGTCAGCTCATCGTGAATGAGATGGCGGCGTTCGGGTACTTTGCTCGGTATACGGAATTGCCTTCTTGAATTCGGTGAGCGAGTATTGCGTTGAGGAGGGCTTGCATTGGTGGCCCACTTGGTTACCGATTTCAGGAAGCCTTCTTTCCTAGCCTCGGCAGCATCGTATTCGCCGTCGTCACGTTCTCCGTCTAGATTGCTTGAAGTTTCCGAGTATAGACTTGAATCATCCGGCTGATATGGCTCAACGGTCTTCTGTGTGGCCGCACGAAGCTGTCGAATCGGAGCAACCGAATAGTGCGCCAGGGGAAAGGTCAAAATCAGCAGAGCGGCAAAGACGGAGAAAACACATATTAGAACGATGTCCCTGAGACGCTTGATGGGCTCAATGGTTTCGTTGTAGTCCTGCTCCACGACCAATACCCAGTCAACCAGAGGGGTCCTAATCTGGGCCCAACCAACAGCGACTCTACTGTCTTGTTCGTTCCGAGAATCCAACAATGCACCAGCGTTGTTGACGTTATTTGTATCTGATTGCCAAGCACCCACAAAAGCAGGAAACGATGTAGCTGGAAACGGAGTCGAGGAATCTTCAAAGGTTGAGCGTTGACTGTGACGTTCTCGAATAGTATCGTTGTTGCCGGGAGGAAAGACGTACTTGACGGAAGCCTGCTCGAGCAATGAGCTCGTGTTGTCAGCTCGGACATCGAAGGGGAATTTGTTGTCGTTCGTGGTAGGACCAATGACTAGGACTTCGCCAGTGCGGCCAAGACCTTCAGTGGAATCTCTGACATCGAACAGCATAGATGCATTGACGACGACGGTGAGCCAGCCTAAGATATCAACGGAACGGGCAGTGTTATTCGTAATAGCAAGGGTAGCCGAGAGCAAAGCAGCATCGTCACTGAGTATCAGGGGACCATCAATTAGTATGTGGTTCCATTCGATACGCCTACCGTTAGCCTCGACGTAGTAAGTGGATTCATTAGGTGTGCCGTGATAGGTAAGGTTCGGGTATAAGATGGGAGGATAACCTCGACCAGGGTCGCCAAGGTAGACAGCAGAACCGTTTTCGTGCTGATAGGGCAGTCGGAGAGAGCCGTTGACAGTACTACTAGTAATGTTGACAAGGCCGTTTGTGCCGGCGCCGTCACCGTTGTCGTAGGCGGGGAATATGCGTGCTTGGAGCAGAATCTGCTGATTGGAGAGGGCACCGTCTAGATCGGACTGTGTTCGTGCCCAATTCTCATTAGTGTTGTTTCCTAACAGCCGTCCAGCAGGGTCAGTAATGATTCAAACGTACAGCGACTATGTTTATGAAATTATTTTCTAATGTACCGTTTATGTACCGCTGCAAGGCCGATTGAATGAGGACTCTAGTGGCCACCGATCTCGTCTGGGATTCGTAGAGGAGGATATTGGCCGACAACTGGGCGGCTTTAAGGCTCGCGGTCAGTGAAAGGCCAGATAGTCGGACGTCGACGGTGAAGTCTCGACTGCGAAACCACTATGTCTGTCAGCGGTTATGAAGTGTAATCTGGAGAGGGAGAACTACCGTGGCCAGTGCCAGTACCATTAACGAGAGTAAAGAACATGTTATGACGAGTAACCCCAGCTGCTCTCGAATGGGAATACGCATGGTTGGCAGAGGATGCGCACTATCGCGAGAAGTGGTAGTGATAGTGTTGGTCGCTCATCATCGGCGGCTGGTCTCTGGTCGTAGCCCACCAGCCCAGGGTTCTCGTCGTTCCTCTGCTGTCGGAATAGCGCTTGCCAATTTCGAATGTTGATTAGGTTGTGAGTATCGAGGATGATGGTGGTGGTGGTTTGGTGAGAAGGGAAGTGCTCGAGGAAAAGATTGCTTTCGCAGGCGCGGCAGTTTAAGCGAGGGTGACTCGTTCCAAGCACTTGCAGCAGTCTGTGTTCAGCAAGGCACGTAAATGAAAAGCCCAGGGTGTGCACGGTCAGCGTGGTCTGATCACGAAAAAGTCCACGGGCGATCGTTGCGGTGTTGTGTATGAATCGTTACCACCTCCAGGATCGTCGAATGCAACGTAGTGGGCGCGTTCGAGATGTATCGAAGCGACCAGTAAAGGTCCAAGAGACTGTACCGTACATAGACACAAAATCGGAATACGAGGGGAGCGCATAGAGGCCAAGGTTCTCTATGGATCACTAGCTTTCTCCCTAACCTCGTTGAGAAGGAGCTTGCCCACTATCTTCGGCTACGAGCACACTTTGGCTTGTCTCAACCAATATTTTTACTTCTTGTACCCCATGCTGCTCCATCTACACGAGGACTTCGACCAGAAGCCATTTGAGCCTCTTCGATGTGATAGGTTGTCACTAAGCCTCAAAAGCCCTCTGATTCGAGCCAAGGCATCTGGCAGGTGCCGGTTCGACAGGACTTGCCGACTAGACAGGGCTGGTCCTGTGTATATCGATCGTGCCTCTACTCGAGGGGATTTCCTTTGGTGTCAAATATCAATCGTACTGTCTGCTCCCGTTCGCAACATGGTTGCTGACCGCCAATGCTCATGTACAAGTTCAGAAAACGAGCTTTTCTGGTGTATTTCTTGTTACTCAGGCTCCTTGTACCAGCCCCATCTCATCGACGGGCAATACCTCCGTTCTGCATTGTTACAACACAGCAAAAAGTTTGTATAGCGTGTCACGAGGCTCAACTTGAATAGGGTGTGGTATTGATCTCGAACACTACGGCATCGTGTTTGAGGTCTTGTCCGGTGGCCGCCACAAGGCTAGGCGTGACAGCTGTTGTAACAAGAAATATGGTGTAGCTGTTCGTACGACTACTGTATCTGAAATCGAAGTAATATAGGATCAGGCAATTCTCAGTTGAGTCTTGGCCTGGGTTTGGACCTATTCTTGGCTTTACTGCGGAGCCCGTACAGTAGAACCACCAACGTGGGTTGTCTCAATAGTGCCAAGCTTTTCAAGCAGTCTACTGTATCTCCTTCCCACATCTCTTCGTGCTCGGCTTCATCTCGTAACCTCGCGCACCGGGATGTAATCCTACGTTTCGTGATATGGCTGGCATGTCGACTCTTGTCCTGATGGCACGGAAACCGGTCAACGAATGGCCTAGTCGGAGCCGCTCGTCATCACTCCAGACTACGTGACATCTTGCTCATTCAGATGTCGTGCATGGTCCCCGCATTTCTCACCCGATCACCAATCCTTATGCTGTGCCTTGCCACTGCCGCCTGTTCAACTTTGCGCCTCGTTTTGCCGTGTTAGCAGCAAAACAGCTGAGATGTGTCTGAATTGCTCATTCTGTCAGCACCAGAGTATTTGACGTCTTGCCTGCGCGTGTTCCGCAGCGACTATCAACCCTTTTTACCGATGATGCTTTTGTCCAAGTACCGAACTGGTTGAGTAGGTCGTGGAAGAAATAGGCAAAGTCATCACGATGTCGAGTATAGGTATGGACCAGATCGGTTGTATCCTCTCTTGGCTAACGAACCACGATAGAGGTTGTCGCATCTGTGAATGATGTTGCAAGCGCAGGCTTCACACTATCCCTCATCCTCAATGCGATAAGTTGCGAAATAGCGAACGCTCCCTGCGAGATCAAGGCTATTTCCAAGAGTGTCACCCTGTACTCCCTCCTGCTCAAGCAAACCGCTGCTGCTCTCGAGAAGCCTGACTCAGTTCACTCGGAAGAGGCGACCCGCACCACAGAACAGGTATTGGAAGAGAGCAATGCCGTTTTCGATGACATCAATGCCATGCTTGAGAGAGTGCGTACAAGGCAAACCGATGGCACGGTGTCGCCCTCGATGCCGCAAAAGATAAGATGGTCCTTCAAGAAACATTCAATCGAGTATTTGCTTGGACGCTTGGATCGCTTACAGATGAGCCTCTCTCTGATGCTTCAGATAATACAACTCGGTACTACTATGGCCTCGACCTCGCGCCACGACCCACCCGAAAGAGTTCGATTGATGATGGCCAAAGTATCGAGAGAGCGTGTCGAAGCCCAGACAGTCCTGCTACAGTATTTTCAGGAAAGCCAGACACTTAATACGTTATATATGGCGGCTCGGGAAGAGGCCACCGAATACATTTCGCCTCTTGACTACCAGAAAGACGACAGAGACCGTAATGCTTTCACTCTAGTTTCTTCGCGCAATTCGCAGATAACCAAGAATGACGATGTAGTGCCTCCCACGGAGACTGGCCTTGTCACAAGTCAACACAAACCTATTCTTACTGGCTTAGGCGATAATTGGGCTAGGTTAGGTGCGTCAAAAGAAGAGATGGTGCGACGATCGGAAGAGATTACCAACCAGCTGTTGGAGAGGTGGACAATCTGGCGACAAAGGCGTGATCAGGAACCCCGCCAGGCTCGCTCGACACAAGATGCGCAATACAAATCTCAGGTGCAAGACTTATACGACGAAGAAGATAGCCCATTTTACGAAAGATTTCAAGAACGCGAGGACGGTGCCGCCGGCAAGTATCTTGAGGGGCCAACGACAGATTGGCGGCATCCACATTCCGCGGACGCGAGGCAAGAAGCACGAAGACTACGGAAGGCGTACGAGCCATATCAGCCAAGTATCGAGGGCAGTAGCGACATAGATGCTTCTCCCGGCAGCAACAGCTCAAGAAAACGTCCCCCAAAGAAACACATCATCGATTCTGATCCAGAGACATCCGACTCCGAGCACTCAGCAGCAGAAGAGAAAACACGACCGAGAAGAAGGAGCAGCGCTATTGTGGTGCCTGTACGCCAGAGGTCGACATATTACGACGAACCCGCCTCTATCTCGAAGTCGTACAATGTTCCTTCCGAGCTGCCAGCACCTCAGCCATCGCGGACCATAGCTAACACCAGTGCGGCACGCCCGTCTGTTTCTACATATGGCCAGCAAACATTGCAACGCCCCTTCGCGTCGCCAGACCAAAGCCTACCACGTCATTCCTTCTCATCGCCAACACCTGCACACACTCATAATAACTCATTCTATCAGCCATCTCCTGGACCTGCTGCACCAGCACAATACTTCCCTTCATCTCCCCAAAGTCAAGCCTTCCCACAAGCTCAGGGCCAAAATCAGCAATCACGTTACACACCAAGACAACAACCTCAAAGTACTAGGTACAATCACCCGCAGCCCCGACCACCTTCTCGAGAGGGGACAGTGAGGCCAAGGTCTCGGGATGGAAAGCCTTCCAGGTCTCCCTCGAGATTGTCGCGTGAATACACAACAGCTGATTACAAGGCCTACGAGGAGGAAAGGAAACGGCACAAGAAAGAGTCAAGGCGCAATCTTAGCAATGGTGCTGCTAAAGGCTTACTAGCAGGTGGTGGTATCGCCGTTCTCTTAGAAGCATTGGATTCTTTAAGCTAGTGAATTAACCAGTTTTGGCTCGATCAGTTTCCCAACCACTGGTCGGTCTACCTGAACATGTTGTTTGAAGCCGAAGAATATGATTGTGGACTTGTGATATATGTGTTTCTTATGCTGACAAAATCTCAGAGTGCAATACTGCAAGGAACCTACACATACTCGTGAATGGGAAACAACACGAACTGGTTTCCTGCATATGTGATACTGCAAGTCCCAGGTTACTGATAGCGTTCAGAACTCTCCTGGCGGCCATGATCGGCTGGGTTGCAGCTGAATCGGCGCTAAAACCAAGCTAAGATCTCAAACCCCGTGGCGCTGACATCATCATCCATGCCCCTGCGAGCTTCCGCTGAATTCACAATGATGCGCAAAGGGCAGCAAACGTCGAAGTACTCGATTTGAACATCACAAGCAGATCAACTACTGATGCGAAGTCATCACCATATACTACACCAAGCATTAACGTTTCGCACATCGTCTTTCTGTCGCAGATCATTCGCGTCGAGACCTGCTGTTGCATTGCAACCCTTCGCAGCGCGTCCAAGAAAACCATCGAAAAACCCCTCCAAGATGCCAGCCTTGAAACGCAAAGCCGCTCCAACTGAAAGCGACGGCATAACCCTTAATAAAGACAAATGTGAAGAGGTAGACGTGGCAGAAGAGGCGGCCGCATCTCCCTCGGCCGTAAAGCGTCGCAAGGTCGATGAGCACAAAGTCAAGCTCGACTACGCCGATCTCAGTCGCTTTCAGGAGTCGCGCATTGCAGAAGAACACGGCATCGTCGAGCGCAACTTCTATCCACCTGTCATGAGCTTGAAACGCGCGAAAAAGTACGCGACTGGCGAGATCGAGAAGCCCTTTACGACGTTAAAGAAAGCCTTGGCCGAAACGAAACAGCAAAGAGATGTGATTGAGATTGGCGATGCTGTGATACATTGGTTCAGGATGGACATGCGTCTCGGGGACAACAAAGCACTTTCCCTCGCAGCAGAAAAGGCAAAAAGCAAAGGAGTGCCGTTGATTTGTATCTACATTCTTTCGCCGCAGGACTTCAGAGCGCACTTTACGGCGCCGGTAAGAGTGGACTTCCTGCTGAGGAATTTGGAAGTGGTACAGCGAGACTTGGCCTTGCTGGATATTCCGCTGTATATGGAGACAGTGGACAAGAGAAAGCGCATCCCAGCACGTTTGGTCGAGTTGTGCAAGGAATGGGAAGTGAAGCACGTGTTCGCCAATATGGAATATGAAGTCGATGAGCTGCGCCGCGACGCTACTATAGTGCGAGAGTGTGCAGCAGCTGGAATTGCTTTCGATGTCCTGCACGACGGCTGTATCGTAGAACCTGGGATGCTAACGACTAACGCTGGAGGACAAATATCTGTCTACTCACCATGGTACAGAAAATGGTGCAAATACATTGCCGACCATCCAGATACTCTCAAGGAATATTCAAGACCCGAACAAAATCCACCTGAAGCACGGCAGAAATACAAAGCGCTCTTCGACGTACCCATCCCTCCGGTCCCAGAAGACAGACAACTAACCGACGAAGAAAAGGAACGCTTCCACGGCCTCTGGCCCGTCGGTGAAGACGAAGCAATGGCCCGCCTAAACAAATTCATCAAAGAACGCATCAAAGTCTACCACACGAACCGCAACCTCCCAGCAGGAAACCACACCTCGGCAATCAGCCCTCACCTCACAGCCGGCACCCTCGCCGCACGAACATGCGTCCGCGAAAGCCTCAAAGCAATCAACAAGACAGTCCCAACCGACGACCGCGAAAATGGTTCCATGAAATGGATCGGAGAAGTCGCCTGGCGAGACTTTTACCGGCACGTCCTCTGTGCATGGCCGTATATCTGCATGAACGTCCCTTTCAAGCCCGAGTACAATAACATCGAATGGGAATATAACGAAGAGCAGTTCACGGCCTGGAAAGAAGGCAAGACCGGGTATCCCATCATCGACGCCGCGATGCGCCAGGTCAAACACATGGCCTACATGCACAACCGTGTACGAATGAACACCGCCTCCTTCCTCGCAAAACACCTCATGATCGACTGGCGCATGGGCGAGCGCTACTTCATGGAAAACCTCATCGATGGTGACTTCGCATCCAATAACGGCGGATGGGGGTTCTGTGCATCTTGCGGTGTCGATCCGCAGCCATATTTCCGCATTTTCAATCCTCTGCTGCAGAGTGAGAAGTTTGACGAGAGTGGTGAGTATATTAGGAAGTGGGTGCCGGAATTGAAAGATGTTAAGGGGAAAGCGATACATGATCCTTATAGTCGTGGGGCGGGTGCTATTGCGAGTAAGAACGGGTATCCGAAACCGATTGTGAATCATAAGGAGAGTCGGGAGAGGTGTTTGGCGAGGTATAAGGCCGGGATTGGGAGGGCTACGGCGTGATAGAGGTAGCCGAGGAGATGGTATATTGCCGAATAGATTGTGGTCTTGAAACATCCTTCGTCGTGACTGTAGCTGCATTTACGTACCAGTATCTCATGGTCTTGTGTGGTAAGCCTTCTTGTCTCGACTCTCTTTGCTTCGTTGGAGATAGACCTTTATCACCATTGCTCGTGACACAAGGTTGCCCGAATTCACATTATTACCAACCAGCTGACACGAAGACCATAGATGTCGACAGGAGAGAGAACTGATCCTGCTCTGACATCCTCCTCTGATTTGTACATCAAGCAGAAGCCTTCTGGTCTCTCAAAATTATAGCCGAAAATAAAGAATAATACAGATCTCTGTGCAAGATGACATGCTGTACTTCTAGAACATCTCTTATACATTAGAATTTGCTATTATCTGTGATTATACAGCACTGTACCCTCCTCTTGAACTACCGCCCGTGACCGTCTCAACCACTTTTCTAGACCAGTCCTTGAATAGGTAAGGGACGTCTCGGATCGTGTCGCCGTGGGGAAGCAGGTCCCAGCCTCGAGCACCGTATCTGTTATAATTGAGCCAAGAACCGAAGACGAGGTATGCGGCGATACTGAGGAATAATCTAGTATATTGGTTAGTAAGAGAGCTCAAACGGGGCGCGATATGAGGAGACGCACATCAAGATAAACCAGGTGAAGAAGCCCCAGCCCGCCTTCTTCGGCGCATCGTCGTCGCCGTGGTCGACGTTCTCGCAGGCATATTTTGTCTTCCAGGTTAATCGTAGAACGTCCATTTTGTCCTTGCCGTCTCCTTCCTGTCCATAGCTCACGAATTGTATGGCGTTTTTGGGATCTTGTTTGTACCTTTCGCTGGGATCTTTCTCGTCGCCATCGCCGTTGTCATCGTCATCGTCGTCTTCATCTTCCTTCCTTTTGTTCAACGATCTCCTTCTGTCCTCTTCGTAGCCCTCATTCCCGGTCCACTCAGCATCACATATAAAGCTCACGACGGCTTTCTGTTTCAGGTCGTTGTGTCTTCCACCATGTAACTCGATATCTATACCCTCAGCGTCCTTGTTGCTTGTTTTTAATCGTGTAATCATGGGGTCTAGTGCTCCACCATGTGCCAGATCGTATGCTCCTGCAACACCCACTACGTCGCTGATTAACGGATGCTCGACATTTGGATCGTCTATGGGGTTCCAGGTCTTGGTTACGCCGCAAACTGTATCAGAAGCCATGCATTAGTCCTAGACTCATCCGCGTTTATTGCTGTAGCCATATGCCACCCAACTTACCTCTCGTGTAACTAGGACACGCGTCGCCCTTTGCTACCCCCTTCGGCTTCTTGAGTGCCTGGCATATGTCTATTGTCCACGTGGTATTTGATTTAGCCGGGTGTGCTTCTGTGTCCTGGACGAGGATTGAATGCGCTCCTCCCAATTTCGAGAGATCCCATCTCTGTTTATCGATTTGTACATTACCGCAGTCGAAACTTATTGCACTAGCAAAGGTGGAAAGAAGCCAGAATGAAGAGATCGTGGTAGTATGTAACGAAGGCAACATGATTGTCACGCAAGGATGGTGATGGTAGAAGTTGTGTCTGTGATATAGGTGGGAGATGGACGAGATTATTTCGAGAGATTGCTACGCTCGCTCGATATATGATACCGAAGGACAAAGTCGTTGGTTTGAAGTCAAGGTGTTTGAACGCAGTCTGTTGGCTGGTTACAAGCAAGCAGGATGCAAATGATCGCATGTCCAAAACTATGATGGCTATTCTTCGTCTTTGGCAATTTTGGTGCTCCGTGATCTTGCAGGTACGGTCGAGTGGAACGTTTTGCTATGCATTCACTTTCCTCCCTGGTGCAGTGCTTCTATCTACAAGATGGGCTGCGAGTGATTGCGCTATGCATACAAAGACGAGGTTATCACGGTATTACTGCGGCTATCGAAGCAGTTGAAAACTTCATTTCGGTTCGATGAGCAATAGACGTGTAACCTTGTTCCAGAGCTTCACATATAATGTTAAACAAACAGATTCTGCCCATCCATATGATTCCATCACATTACACAACTCCTCAAACTCTTGCACCGGCGGAGAAACTTGCCTTCTGAGCTGAACCAGTACTCCGACTGCCTTGTCCTCCACCGAACTCAGCTTTCTAGTCAGTGATAGAATACCAACACAAGCAAAAAATATCTCCAGCTCGTGTAGATTATAATTCCGGAAGAATCCTTCGCTTCTCAGATTCTCAAAGCGCTGCCAGAATCTCGCCTCTAACGACCGCACACTCGGCGACATTTGTCCATAGTTTCGTAGTAGAATGTGGTTACTAAGAAGGCATGCTAATATAATGCACTCGTCGAGCGTGTTGGACTCGCTCATTTTTGCGTTCAAGCACGCCAGTCGATATTCAACGACGCTTGCGAGATAGGCGAAATATGTCGCTTCCGAGCTTGTACCTTTGCCTTTCGCTGCTCGGTCGTATATCTTGAGCAGAACCCAATAGCTGTTGGCAACCTCCTCAACTTCAGCCGAGATCAGTCCACATGCTAGGAGCTGGCTATAAGCACCACCGGGTTTTGGAGCCGTGGTAGACGTGACAGGTGGTAAGTGCATCTTGTACTGCGGCATGATGTTGTACATGATGGCTCGAGTATGATCTCCCAACATCAAGTTGTCCGCAACAATGCCCTCCATGCCTAGGTACTGAAGCCCACCTCGTTTCTCTACCCCTGCTGCAATCAGCTGCAAAGGTGCCGAGAGATCCTCTTGCCCGTTCTCTGTTGACGCAAATGAGTTGGAAACTATTGCTAATGCTGTCACAATCCTCGCGTCTGAGGACTGGCCATGCGCCAATGCTTTGCGTTGAGCCGACACGACCTTCAGCTGTAAGTCGAGAGCCAATTGGTCAAGTGTGCCCGTACGTATCTTAGAGAGTTGTGTGGCTATTACTGAGAGGACAGCATAGTGGAGAGCTTCATCATGCCAGTCGCTCCTCAAGATAGCCGAGTATCTGCTTCGAGGGAACAGATGTCTTTCGGGGCCTCGAAAATCTGAATTCCATCGGAGCCATCCTTGTGCATAGAGAGCTTCGTATTCCGGAGTCATATGAATAGGATGTCTCGCAAACGGGTCAACCTTCTCATCGTCAATTTGACGAAGTCGAGTTTCTCCATCTTGACGTCCCCGAAGCCTCCTTGCAAAGTATTCGTGCGATCTTAGTGGGCATCGAAACCTATTACAGATTAGGCATTGCCGTTGAATGACTGACCTCCGGAGTAGGCTTGGTTTGCCAGTGTGTTTACAGGATGGCAATGACATCACATTGCATGTCGAATATCGTTGCCTCTGAACTTCTGTCGTATACTCATTGTGCTTGTGCATATCGGTATATTACTCTGGTACTCACTACATGACCACAGACGTGCTTGGTCGAAATCATGGTCCTTCGAAATTGGTCGGAAGATGAGGGAGCAACGACTATTGTCAAGTGTCACTTGGGGTGCCCTGCCCCCACACATGGCTTCATCACATTCCAAGTCCTTGTAACAGAGTTTGTACCATCGCGACCTGATCGTCCGCTAGCAATGTTGGACAGGTTTGCCATGCAGCCGATTCCAGGAGTTGGAGTTGTCGATGTGCATAGAATATTCCGCTAGTTGTGTGCTTCGACAGGAGATCCACGTCGGCTGTTTCTAGATTGTGTGACAAGAAGACCGTTACCTTGCCATCGCGAGAATTGGAACGACCAGCGATCATAAGTCGTTTGAGAGTGGAGTTGAGGTCGCACGTTCTGTGCATCTCCGGAGCTAGATCTAAATTGCTGCTAGAGAAAGGAGCAAAATGCTGGAAGTTGAATTCCGGAACGGGATGAGCATTATTACGGATATCAAGATAGATTTTGTTTCTTCGAAGGGTATCATAAATATTTGCAACGAAAAAGCCAGTCTTCAAGACAAAGAGTAAGTATCCAAAGACCTGCCCTATAACCAAGCTCATCATGTCGACGGCATTGCTAAGGATGTTCTACCCTCTACCACATGCAAGCCCAGAACAATAAAATGACCAAAACAACCATACTCGGACTTAAGTTGTCAAGTCCACTCTTGGTCTCACTCTTCATCGTAATGTGTGTCCTGTTTCTAGCTAGCTGTTCGATCTCAGGTGTGACAAGCCCAGTTCTAGCGACCTCTCTCATCTGATCACCAAATGTTGCTAGAATATTGCTGCTTCGTCCATTGGGACAGAAGACCACCTCAAAACCTCCTCCCTGTGGTAAGACAAATGTGCTGGTCTGATCGTCGTATGCATAACTGTATGCATCAGGACATACCTTCTTTGCCTGCAAGGAGTAATAACTTGGTTTGCACTTGTTAGGTGAGTTGTATGATCCGCTGCAGCAATACTTGTCATCATTCCACTTTGAGCACGCCGAATAGCACGGATTGAACATTGGTCGAACGATGTTGTCGTCAGGATAAGGATATACTCCATCACCAGGCTTCTGAGGCGGGTTCAGCTGTAATGGCCAAGGACACCACTTAAGTACGTTCCGACTGGACAGCGATCGCTCGAGGGGTATTGGATACGTATCGTTCGAACCGAAGGTGGCATCTGGCGCGCCGGAGCTATCTGTTAGGTATGACGCTGTACCGATACAAATCGTGTTTGAGAGGTTCGGAGGAATGTCTTGAAGTGCCGGGTCACTGGTATTACCACCCAGAAAGACGATTCCCATTGGCAAGTTATATCCATCTACTAAGGAGATGTCGTAAAATGCTTGGCTACTGGCAGAAGCATAGGTGAATTCTGCCAAGGTTGCTGGAGGATTTCCCTATAAGGAGTGTCAGTTGGCCTGATACACGGAGGACCACCAAGGCCACTGACAGCACCTTGGCATTCGACGAACGCGCCACAATCACCTGATTGGCATGCAGCTCCTCCTTGACCTGACCGAGGAAGACTGCCGTCCAGGTTAAATGTACAATTGGTTCTTCCCCATACTCGACCTTTCCAGTCTGCACTGACGCTCTGAGGTAAGCTGTCTCCCGGCTCTAACCTGAAACCCGATCTCTCAGGACCTATTCCGGATTGTGTAAGAATCGCAGGATATATCGTCTCGGCGCAGTAACTCGTAACCACAAGAGGCAGGTCGGAATTCTGACGGTTTGCCAGATGTATAGGTGGCTGGTCAAGGTGATGTATTGTAGCGGCTGGTCGAATGAAGAACAGTGATGCTGTAATGAGGTGTGGTAGCCAATCTGAGGTTGTGACCATATTGCGGAAGTCGCTTGTTGTCCAGCGCATGTTGATATTGAGCCCAGCTATATAGTTGTCTAAGCTCGATTATCGCCAGCGTCTCGACACTACGTATACTGGCGACACTGTTGACAGCAAAGAAGCACAAATCCAAAAGCACAAAGGAGTGATTACATTAGGTTGCTGAGGTGTGTCGTCGTGTTATGCAGTGGCTGCTGGCAAACTGGGTAGTAACATGATGGCGCTTGGCCTCAAGCAAGCACAAGTGAGAAATGTACTTGCCATGTTTCGTTCCCCAGTTCTGAGAGGATCATCATTGGCAACTTCCTTGCAAGTGCTCAGAGGAATGAACTCTTTTCGAATGGCTAAACAGGTCAGGAACTACGTCACAGCTCTTCTTGGCGCGCCCGAGCACTTGGTGCGTCAATCTGTTTTGAGGTCTCCTTTGGCCAATGCACTGAAGCTTTGTACTGCGTGTATCTTCAAGTATCATCTACCATCAAGAACAGTGGTACAGAGAGGACGCTCCCAAGCGCCTCTTCTAAGGGTGGCTTGAAGTATCGTCATACCACAATCCAGCCAGTAGTTTTCGGACCCCGATCGAGTCCAAGCTCGAAAACAAGTCCATAATGCATATAATCAAAATTGTGGATCAAATTGAACTTCAATCTTCGGAACCCAAACGGTTCTTAAGGAGCCGTGAGTACACATATAAAGTCGTGTCTTCGCAGCCAAAACTAACATTACTTAGTCTATGGCGCAGTGGTAACGCGTCGCACTTGTATACCACTGATAGCTCATAAGCTATCTAACGCTGCACATGCGAAGATCTTCAGTTCAATTCTGAATGGAGGCATTTTTTTACGTCGAGGTTTTGACTATTTTCTACATTATGCTCGAAAGACATGAATCTGGCTAAGCTCAACTCCACAGCTTCGTTTTTGCTCAATTATGACAACGATGCAATGCTCTTACAGTGCGTATGAACATTGCTCTAGAATCTCAAGTACACCACCCGGCGAATTCCGGCCCGAAGAAACACCCTATCAAAATCATTGGTTCATTCAGCATGTCCGTAGAGCGCCTGACCAAACATAATTGATGCACCTACAACCAATCATTTCCCGACTAGACCCCTAGCCAGTTTCAAGACCAGACCAATGCATCTGCACATGCGGCTCTTATGCATGCAGATGCAAATAGATGTAGTGGCGTTCATAACGGCTTCTCAAGCTGTCCAAACCTAGAATTCGACAAGAATAGTACTCGAATACGTAGCTTGTCCAGTGACGATGCTGTGATACTCACTGGCTTTAATATACGTGAACTCATGAGATTGAAGTTTGTGGTTGGAAAAAGAGAGTCAAAGTGTTTATGCTGTCATTCCTCGAAATTGCTGAATGCAAGCAAGCAAAAATGCTAGCACGTAGTGAAATATATACGTGTAAAAAAGTCGAAAGTCTAGTGTGTGCTCCTTCCACACCCGTCCCCAGAGCAATAGCTCATTGTTCGAATCCTTCGTTTCTTCTTCCATCAGCCCGTAGTCTTAGGTTTCGTGTAAAACCAATATTCTGTCGCGTACTGCACGCTGAAGTATGCAGGGCTGCTTTCACATGTTGGAGGTGCCTTTCCGCCTGCTGTGTTGATTCTGTAAACTGCAACGACGTCCCCAGTCGTGCCAAAAGTAGAGTTGAGTAACAGCCACGGTACAGCGCCAAATCCTTGCCCATGCTCTCCTTTTGGCGCATCCGCTGGTGCTGTTGAGTTTACAGCGAGCTTCGCTTTGGTAATGCCAGAGGATCCATCAGTGATGGGGATTGATGCTAGGTTTGCGACGTTGATTGACCTCGGCTGGCTCATATCGAAAGTTGGAGTGCCATTGGAAGTGAAGTAGTGGTGTCCCGCAAGTGCTAGATTGGATGGTTCTAGGTTGGCAACTGGATCTGCAGGCAAAGCATATTCAAGTGCAAGGCCAGGAAGCATGCCAAGGATGTCTGGATAATTCGCCGCTATGCAAGAAACGTTGTATAGAGAGGCGATGGCACCGACTGCCTTGGGTACGACATCTTTTGTTGCTAGTGAACATGTATAATTCTGTATTCGGGTTAGTCTGAACTAACAGACTTCAAAGAACTCGACATACCTGTACGCCTCGACCGACCACGACTTCGGACAACCTCCAACTTGGATCTGGCAATGGTAGTGGTGTTGGTGCAACTGGCATCACCGCCTTGGAGAGATCACACGTTGGTGGGCTGCTGATGGCTCCAGCTTGTCGCGCGATCTGAATATGTCTATCGACAGCCGCATAAAATTCGCCCAAAGCAGGTGACCAAGAAACTAATGGAGCGGCCAGCGCCGAGGAGAGGAAGATCGAGAGAAAAGCTATCGACCGCATATTCGCTGTTGTGTGTGTTCTGCTCGAAGTATCCTCTTTCCTCTGTTGGATGATCGCGTTGTTATCGAGTTGGAAGGTTGGTGCAAGACAAATTGGACAGGGCACAAGAGAACAGTTTATTAGTGTGTTGCTGAAATCACACGACTGGCTGACTAGCAGAACAGAAGAGCAAATAGATAAGGAAATTCGTTATTATGACTGAGATGGCAGGAACGTATTGTGGTAGACGGAACGGGTAGGATGTGGAAGACTGAATATGCAACCTTGCAGCAAGCAGATATATCAATGTTCACCGTCACGCAAGAACGGTACCCTGCAGTTTGATGTAAGTATAGAATAGCTCGATATGTACGCGCCGCCATTTTGCTGTTAGTCGGTCGTAATCTATATGAAAGTGGATCGGTGGGTTCGTGGCAGGCAAGAAGGATGGTTGGCCACTGGGAAGCTCTTCGTGACCAACCATATTTCTATTCCAGGTAGGACTGCTTGTGGTTGGTGGAGATTGCGGATGGCTGATTACAAGGATCTGATCTGACGCTGCCGCCGAAGCTTAGCCTTCTTGAGAATGGTGCGACATCGATCTGCAAGCAAGCAGTGCCATTTCCCCGCCATTCTTCACAGGCTATTCGAAGGATCAGCGCCGCAGAATAATGCTGTCCAGGCCCGATTGCCAGCAACTTGGGATGCAGCCTCAATGGACGTAGTCATTACCGCTTGACCAATGGTTATTCTCGACGCGCAGATCCAGCGAACTACTGTGGTATTGGTTATGTATTTCTGACTCGCTTGGCGAGTAGACGCCTAGCCAAGTGCCAGTTCGTCTCGTTCTACACTCAATCTTGATCGTGGTTAGTAGCTGTTCAATGTGAGTTGCTAGTCTTTCCTTTGGCTGTCGTCAGCTGGTCGAGAGTGGTGTCAATCGAACGGCTTTCTCTGCCATAGGACAAATACAGTGTGTGTGGCGCAATGAACTGTCAACCTTATCCGAGATAGCCACAACAACCGTCATACCTCGCCAAAGGTAATGCTGCGAAGTGTGGCTCAAACGTTAACTGGTGAGATTCTTTCTCTAGTGATAGCCAAGCAACATTGAATAGATCCTCCTTCGCTCGCAACACAGCGAACATTACAAAGAGCAAAAGGTAAGCAGGTGGGTTCCTGGTTCAGGAAGGATTCCTTCAGGCGTATGTCAGCATAAGGTAGTTCTGTTGCCTCATTCTTGGCAGATCAGATGTGCCTTGCTGGACACGCAGAGGCGACCATCTCAGCGGACGACCTCACAATGTGTATGAAGAATTCGAAGCTCGCTTCGCGTTTGCGCGCTATCAACCGACATCCTCCTGCTGCCAATTTGACGCGTCCTTCATACCTGCGGCACCGGCCACCATCCCGGCTGAGGTCGCGTGGCCAGGATGACTCGATACGACTGCGACAGCGGACATCCAATATAGCATAAAGAAGACCAGGAGGTGCAACGCCACGCAGTAGCCGGCGAACAGGTTGCGACTTGTTCTTGTGGCGAGGATGATCCTGGTCAGCGAGAATACTATACGCTCGGCCATGTTCATGCGCTTGTAAGCTCTTGTGGCTTCGCGGCCACGAAAGGCCGCAAAAGGTGATATGTTGGCTTCGTACTGAGCCTTCCATCTGCCACTGTCGTCAGCCGCGACATCAGGAGAGGTGTGTGAAGGGTTTTGTCCCAGGGCGGATGTAGTCGCTCCACTTCTACTATATGCTGACACATAACGTGTACGTTCATATAGGTTCAGGTTATCTTTCTGCAACGAGGAAACTTCCTGGCGCAAAGAGGTGACGGTGGCATATGTCTTTTGCAACTCTTCTTCTAGTTGTTGGGTCTTCTGCTTGAACCGATCTCGTTGTGCCTGGACCATAGGAAGTATACCAGATCCGCCACCTAATGGCTCACCCAATCTGTGTGAATCACCAAACAGGCCTCGTTGTGTGCCATCAAAGCCAGATATAATGGATGATGTAGGTGATGATCTGCCTCGTCGACTCGAATGTGGATACCTAGAGACGTATGTGCCTGCTACAGACATCCCTGAAGAGGGCAGACCATTAGCAGCCTCCTCTTGCAGCTGTGTCAAGTCGTTCTCGAGACTAGCAGACAGCTTTTGCGACTGATCGAGGTCTTTCTTGGTGCGCAAGAGCTCTGCGTTTAGATCGTCCAGCTGCTCCACCAGCTCTTTGTGGGAGACTCGAAGCAAAGTCAGATCATTGCTTAATTTTTTGTTCCTAGCAAGCAGTAGTTGCTCGAGCGAAGTTTTATTGCTGTCAGACCCGTCAGCATCCGTACCATCCTCGTCAACGTCGGCGTCATCGTCAACGGAGAGTTCTATAGATCTCAGCATGTCTAGCTCCCTCCTGATCTCGTCATAGTCGGAGTACTTCTGTAGTTTATCACGAAGATCTTGGGAATCTTCTTGAGCCGATTTGTGCTGACGTTCGAGATGCTTGGTCTTTTGTTCGGTTGTCCTCTTCTCGGCTTCACGCTCAAATCGTATCGAATCGAGGCGACGGAGCAGGGTTGAATTCTCTGATTGTAGGCGAAGGATGCGGGGATCTTCGTCCGCCACAGGGGCAGCCCGAGATGTTGCTTGTGCCAGCCCGATCCTCAATTGATCGTTGCGAGCCTCTGTCTCGGCCAGTCTGGCACTTGTCTTCTCCAGGTCAGATGTAAGTAGCTGCATTTCGGCTGAAGCAGCCTTCTGAGCTGCACTCTGCTGTTCATCCTTGCCCAATCTTTGAGCCACCTCATAGTTTGCTCTGGTTTCTTTCAACAAGCGGTCTTGATTCTCCAACTTCTCCTCGAGCGTTCGCTCTTTGGCGGCCCAGTTGTGCTCTTTTTCGTCAAGGACTTTCTTCCACAAAGCCTCTATCTCATCGGCCTTCTGCGCAGAGCCATTCTCTGCTTCCTGTCGCCTTTGACGCTCAGCTTGTAATTTAGCATCAGCTGATTCGAGTTCCTGCGACAGTTTGTCGAGCCGCTTCTTGAGTTCTGTATTTTCGGAGGACAATCTAGGCAAGGTATCTTCGGACACTACCAGGGCCTCGACGGAGGCTTCGAGTAAAGGAAACGGGTCAGGAGCTTCGGAGATTGTAGTGTAAAGCTGTAGAAAAGCTGAAGTCGATTCTTTGCCGTGAGTGGTGAGTAGGTCTACAAAACCCTGATAAGTCTTGAGAAGAGTCTTGTATTCAGTAAGCTTTCCAGCATCGTCGAGCTTGCGGAAGTCCTTGGTTTTCTGAGCCACTTCTTTACGTTCAAGCACTGCGTCCTTCTGGTGGTTGACTATGTCAGTGGCTGTACCATCAAGCTGCGAAATCAATGATGAGAGACCGATACCTGCTATGATTCAGCCTCCTCTCCTTGGGATCAATCGTCTCACCTACTTCGCCATGCAGCAATCGCTTTCTGGAATCTGTTCTCCACCACTACCCCTCCACTCGAAGCAGCAACTCCATCGTCTTGCTGCGCTACTTGGTCGTTAGGATTGATTTCTGCTACCGCGACTGCGTCCATCTTGTTCGGCCAGTCGTGCGTGTCATTTGGTGGTGGTGCTGTAGAAATTGTTGTCAAAGAAGCATTAAAACGGTAACATACAATATTCTACATTGACTGAGAAGTACATCCGACCATTATTAGTTGAGCCCTGCGAAACGAATTAGTAAATGCTTCTGAGTCTACCAAGTCTACCACTGGGCACCTTCCACGCGTCGTCGGGAGTTCTTTTTGGTCAAGGTGGCCGCATACGTAACCGTAGTACTGGGCAGGAAGCTGGCCTATTCTACTCTACCTCTTCACTCAGTATAAGAAGCAGTGGTCATGAGCGATGAGCCAGTCCGCAAGAGACGCAGGCTGCAAGTGCCTGAAGCAGGACCTTTTGTACTCAAAAAGGTACTGGATGACATCCCACTCAATGCGGACGGCCCCAACGAGGAAGTATCAATAACATGTGTCGAATTCTGGAACGACAATCTCTACATTGGAACTTCTGCCTCCGAGATATTGCATCTGGTTTGTTTACCAGCACAGGTCGAAAATGATCAGCCTCAGTACATCCTGGCTTCACGACTGCAGCCGAGTGGTCACGATGCTGATAGTGGTAGCCAGCCGCCAGGTGTTCAACAGATTCTGGTCCTGCCTGGACCACTAAAGGCGTGTGTGCTTTGCAACGGCACCGCTTCCTTCTACTCGCTGCCTGAACTTAGTCCAGCTTTTCCAAACAGGGAGCCGACGGGAGTGCAATGGATTGGTGGTTTCGATGAGAATCTCGGCGCAGACGACCCTGACGGAACTTCAATCATGATTGCAACCACCAGACGAATTCTCCAGGTTCGAGTGGGAGATAAGTTGAAACCAATTCGGCCTAACATCGAGTACCCCGAATGTCACGAAGCCGCTCGTAGAGACACCATCGCCTGTGTTGCCAATGCGACCAGCTACGCTTTGTTGGAGATAGAACATCAGCAGAAAATTCCCCTCTTCGACATCTCTACTGCTCCCATTCTGGACGCCCCGCAAGACAACCACTTGGTTGTACCACCGATCACGGCTCAAGCCCATACACGAAGCAGAAGTTTGGGTGATTTTCCGTCTTCTGCAACTGCTTCTGGTTCCTCAGCACCTGCCGATAGAGCAATTTCTCCTGTACATACGACAGAGACTACCTCACGCTCCGGAAGCCGTCCTCGATCGTCCACCGCAGAGACAAGCCCTACGCCGCCTGCGAGGCAGCAACGATCCGTAAGACCACTCAAACCACACGTCATTTCAGCATTCACCAACGAATTCATGCTTACCACGGGGACGACTCCTTTTGAGCCTGGTGTGGGCATGTTCGTCAATCTGGATGGCGACGTCTCGCGAGGTACAGTTGAGTTCGATTACTATCCGCAAGCAGTCATGTCTTGTACTTTTCAGGATAAGGATCAGTCTACCATCGATCTTGATGAGAACCAATTTATTGTTGCGCTGATTGACCGACCTCATTCGGAGAAGCTTGAATATGGTTTGCAGATCCAACAGCTAGACTCCAACAATGATAATGCTACATCAAAAGTGTGGCTAAGACTTGCATACAGCGATCATGACCTCCAGATCGGCAAGGCTGGGCTCCATCGGTCGGTCAGTGTACAGCGTCATGCTTTCCAAGAAGTCGCCGACCTACTTCAGGCTGTCCGTTATCAGCCGATAAATCAGTCTTCTTCAGAGCAGCACCCTGATCCGGGCGCAAATGCTTTAAAAGGAACTGCGCAAGAGCGAGGGGTCTCTAAGATAGATGCGAATGGACGCGTGGATCCGACGACTGAGTATGTTGCCAAACGTGCTGCAGAAGAACTCAAATTTGTTCAACGTCTAGGTCATACTGTAACACAAGCAATGACCTGGTGTGGCGAGAACCTCTACCAGGTACTACCCAATCCACTACTACTCCAGTTAGAAAGCCAGATGCTCAGTGCCATCAAAGTCGATGACAAGGGCTACCACCTCGAACAGGTCAATGTACCTCAAATCCTGTCCTTCCTAGGCAGTGTTAGGAATCGCGAGGCGCAGAACGAGACAGAGTTTCTTAGTATCAAATACGCTCGCCAGAAAGCAAGCATGATTCTATTCGTCCATTTGCTTACTGGACTTAAGAACAATGCGAATCTCAAAGCGGCGTCTAAATTGGCAGAGAATGCACTTTTAGAGAGCGAGCTCGATCCTAGAGTGCCCCTCTCGCTGCTGAACCCTCTTTCGTATGAGGTCTTGTATGGGTCAACTGGTGTCTGGATTCAACAAGGCCTCATCGACTGCCTCGAAGGGTTTGAGTCACCTATGGTGAACCCTGAAGATAGTCCTGCGGAATTCTGGATGATGATCCGGCACTTTCTTAGCACTTGGCAGGAGAAAAGAGGTGCGTCTGGCAGCATCAGCGACGAAAAGGCCATCTTCGACAGCGTGGATGCAGCGTTGCTACGTCTACTGCTCTACCAGGACTCCGTCTCAAGAACTGATGGCGTACAAACTGCGACACGTGTAAAGCTGAATAATGTGGTCGATCACTGGAAGGGTGATTTCGATCGGGCTGTTATACTGCTTGAACATCACAAACGCCTTTTCCTTCTTAGTCGCTTGTATCAAAGCAGGAAATCTTCACGAGACGTTCTGCATACCTGGAAGCGCATCTGTGACGGCGAAGACAACCTAGACGACGATGTTGCACCCGAGCATGTCTACCTTCAGATGAGAAAATATTTACCTCTACTTCGTGACACCTCACTCGTCAAGGATTTTTCTGTGTGGCTGGCACAACGTTCGCCAGAACTGGCTGTTCAAGTCCTATCTGACGACAACGGTCGTGTCAAATTTGCTCCTGCAGAAGTAGTCTCTTTGCTTAAGGAGTATGCACCAGGAGCTGTTCAGCTCTTCCTAGAGCACCTGGTCTTCACTAAGAATCTGGACCAGTATGCTGACGACCTGGTCGGCTACTATCTTGACTCTGTTTTGAGTGTGCTCGAACATTCCGATCAGGCACGACAATCACTTGCTGAAAGCTACACAACCTACAGAGCATTGACGTCTCCAAAACCGACTTACCTTAATTTCATTCAGGAAAACGCGCCCGAGGAGCCTTGGTGGCAGTCGCGGCTGCGGCTGCTGCAGCTTCTTGGCACAGGAGGTTATGCTGCAGCAACCGGCACCAGCAAAACACTAACGTACTCCGTCGACATGGTCCTTGAACGGTTGAAACCATTCAGCACATATTTAGTCTCCGAATCGATAATTCTTGATGCTCGTCAAGGACGTCATAACGAAGCATTAAAACTGCTGGTTCATGGGCTTGGAGACTACGATACTGCTGTTCGGTATTGCTACTTTGGCGGTCCGAGCTCGCCTTCCACAACCATCGACACAAGCATGCTTCCGTCATGGACTCAGCAAGAGCAGCATTTCCAGGCCCTCTTCGACGAGTTCCTACGAATTGAAGATGAGGAGGAGCGCCTAGATAGAACAAGTCATCTGCTGGGCACTTTCGCTACGTGGTTTGATCCATTGACAGTTCTTGAGTCTATTCCTGAAACGTGGTCTATTTCTTTACTTGGCGAATTTCTGCTGAGGACTTTCAGAAATGCTGTGACTGAGAGAAACCAAGCTATTATCGTTAAAGCCCTGAGCGCTGCGCAGAATCTGCAAAAGCAGGCTGAATTTATTGACCTATGTGAGAAGATGGGTTCCAAGCTAGAGCTCGACAGCAGCACCACAAGTCGACCTTCAGATGATATCGAAGTTAACACTGCGCCTACATAAATCGAAACTCCAGGGCGTTTCTCCAACATCTGACTGCGTCACTTTATTGTTGCGAATGTGATTCCCAATGACAATTGACTGCTTGATCACTTCAATAGCGTCCTTGTGGCCTTGCGGCCCTGCAGAGCTTTTGAATGTGAAATCATGTCGCTTTTGCAAGGTCACGTGCGACTGGAAAAGTGAGGACCCAGGAAACGGTAAGGTGGACTTTGGCTGTCCTCAATTGTTTCGAACACTTGACGACTTCATAGAAATTGTTCTCTTTGCTATATGAGCATCTTATCAGTCATGCCCCCTTTCATGGCTTATAACAAGTGGCTCAGAAGGACTACTACTGTCGGGCTGTATGTGAGGATAACCCTAGCTTTTCTGTCCTTTAAACGATCCACTGGGATGTTCCTCCATCAATCACAAGACTTGAAATTGTGTTCCTGCGAGTACATTTCGCCCTTACGAGCCTGCCACACATACTACCGTCGACCAACATGCCTCACACTGCCACATAGCCCCAGACGGCCTTTCCTCCTCTAGATCTCATGAGCGGATATCCCTCTTTCGACTTGACAGCGAGAAGATCGAAGAACCAGTCGACATCCACGATGTCTCTTGGCTCAGCAAGTGCCGGAGATTGAGAAGTACATAACAAATGCCAGGATTTGATCTTTTACAACAGTACAATTCCTCACGCTGAGCAAGAACAAATTCAGGGAAACCCAAAGCAAGAACGTTGGTACAGTCTGCGAACCTCCTTGCTGACTGATTGTCTCTGAAGTTCACCCTCGAAATCGTCGTCCTGGGGTCACTCTTGTATGAGTGAGCACACCGTTGTCCGCATCCAACATGTCTATGATACTCGACACACCACAGACGGCCTGCTGAGTGGGACGAACCGCGCGCTGGTCAATTGAATCAAGCCACAGAAGACCGATATGATGCACGGATTACATCGGTTGTATTCGTGGAGGTACTCGAAATTGGTGTACACTCAGGGCTAGCACCTTTCCACAACCACGACGACCGAACAACATTCGTCAACATTCATTCTACAGCGAGCCTGCTACCTTGGGATCTGAAGCATAATATGATTTACAACTCTATTGCCAAAGTTCTTGACACATCTGACGTCTCGAAGTGCAAAGATGAAGCTTAATCGACTGCGACGGAAGATGGACAAGTAATAGGATGTTTTACACGAAGCAATGAAACAGGATGGCAACAACAATTTCAGAAAGATTTCTTATTGCTTTTTCATTTAATGAGCGGACGCACTATAGCTACCACGACCTTCGCGTACTCGATCTCCTCGACCCCCCCCCCGCCTCTCTCAAATCCCTCCTATCTCCAAGTGATGATGTCTGTGGTCTAGTGCTGTGGTCATATCAGTATGTTGAAGGCCCACGAAGAAGAGCAACATACACCGCAGGAAGAGCACTTGCACCCACTGTCGCAGGTGGAGCAGCAGCTGCAGCCTGAGCATGGGCCCATGTTGAGTTGTTGGTTGTGTAGTGGTTTTATGGTTTGGTTTTGTGAAGAGGAGACTTGATGATAATTGCGGATTGTTTATGGGAAAGAAAGAGAAGCAACAAGTGGTTGAGCTCTGGCACGCCTTTAATACCTTTAGAGCTTTGACCATCAGCTGCAGTATCCTGCGGTGTGTCACATGGTTGTCGTCTGTTACTGTTGACTTGGTGTAACATCAACGCGGAGTGTCGAGCTTGTGCCTGCGTCGAGCTCATGATTCGTCCACAAGCTGGTTCTGGAGACAACGCGAAAAACAACTCATATCCAGGTGGACAGACCTAGACAACTGGATAGCTCAGACGACTTCGGATCAGCAGAGATGGTGTCGATACGGATACCATCGTGCCATTGAGCACTCAGCTGAATGGATATGGGACATCCTAGTGCCCACATATCTGCGATGCAACCAATGATAGATAGCCTTATTGGCAGACATTATCCCACCCCCACTGGAAGAAGGAATACCAAGTTCGCTCTCGTCACATGGCAAGATGACCACTGGGCACGATAGTTCTATATATGCTGCGTAGTGGTGTGGTAAAACCTGCCATGATGTGCTCCACTGTGAACTTAGATCATGATTCGTCGTGGTCACCCCACCCCACCCCGTCTCGAAGGCCCCAAGCACGGCGAGAGGTGTTTCTGGGACGCTAAGCGGGCCGCGACGTGCCCCTCGCTGTGTTACGTTGCACGGGACATAGTGGGTGTTGGGAGCATGTCTGAGGTCTCAGCATGGGACTTTATTTGTGGCCAGAATTGCCGTAAACGTGAACAGAAGAACAAAGACTGTCACAGAACGGATCAATGGTTTAGGCTTCATGGTATGATTGTTTCCACCAGCTACGATGCCAATACTTCGTTTGACAGGTGCATACTAGGAGGTCGTGGCGGCATGTGGATCTGATTGGAACCAAACGACGAACTTTGAGTAGACACTAGAGATAACTGACACATGATTCTAGGCTTCCACCCATTGCAGGAAGCACGCTCAAGTCCATCGAATGATATGTGCTTTCCGCGGAGTGTGCGAGCTGGAACGTGCCTGCCGGAACCCAAGTACCTGACCAACGACTACTCCTCCAGGTACGGCTGCCTCTTTCACATTACAATCATAGTGTTACCACAATCTTCTTCCCTGATACACCTGCCTTTTGCTTCTTACATGCCTCCTGAATCGCATCTACGCCGTTTCCAACAACTTCTGCAGGTGGTGCTGGGACGAACTGACCAGAAGCTAGCGCTTTAGGTAGGAAGTCCTCGTAAACAGACTTGCCGACGAATGCATTCGATCCAGCAAAGATGGTCAGAGCAAGCACTACTTGTGTCAATAAGAGCTTCTGTACAACTTTACACCGTCAACGCACCTTGCTTCGCCTGCACTTTCGCTGGCAGTTCGTCGGGAGGCGGCAACACGGTACTCAGGATTCCACCACCCATCGAGCCAATGACCTGAGCACATTGCATCTCACTCTCTCTTGTCCCAATAGCTAAGCAGCGTCAGTTCGCGTATCTCTTCCAAATGTCCAATCTATTACTTACCATCATAACCGCCAACGAAATCGCCCGTGCCTAGTTCCGCGATCAGATCTCCCACAATGCTTGGACTGTTGTAATCGAATGCCTTGGCCCCGAGCTTCTGCACCAGACCAAAGTTCCGTTCGGAACACGTTGTGACAACGGTCAATCCCGAAGCAACGGCTAATTGGATAGCAGCAGTTCCGACACTTGCGCTACCTCCCCAAACAAGAAGCGTCTTACCACTCTTCGAAGGTTTCGTGCTCGGCAGGTCCAACTCCAGACATATTTCTTTTTTCGGCTGGTATAGACCAGCTGCAGCAGTAGATACGGCCAGTGGTAAGACAGCCGCGTCCTCAAACTTCATAGAGTCAGGAATAGCAGCTACCGATACCTCAGGTACAATGACTTTTTCCTGATCCGGAAGTTAGCTCAGGAAATCAGATTGGGCAGAATCTCAGCCAGTCTTCGGCACTAATGTCAGGACATGTTCCAAATTTACTGACCTGGAATCCAGCCTGTTCAAGCTTCTTATTAAACAAGAATTGAGAATGAGCTAGAACACGCTGTCCAGGCTTAAATCGAGTAACACCGTCACCAACGGCCTCGATCTCTCCTGCAACATCCTCGCCCAAAATGGATGGGAACTCTTCCAAGAAGTATCCCGAGTCCTGAACCTTCCAGTCCACTGGGTTGATTGCAAGTGCTCGGTTTCGGATCAAGACCTCTCCCTTCCCAGGCTTCTTGGTCTCGATACTATCGACGCGAAATGCTTTACCAGCGCCATCGAGGAAGGCTGCGTTGTGTTTTCCCGACATTTTCTAGTCTATGTTGCACTTTTGATCGGTGTTCTTCTGTTAGGAGATCAGTCTCAGAGTTCAGTATGAGATACTACTGTGTGTTTCCGAGATCCGTATATACATTTCAATAACACTCACTTGATATTGATCAGGGCAATGGATTTGTCATCGCTGACGTCAGAGAGTTCGTCTCCATATTATGCACAAGGATGTGCTTGCCAGCGCGATAGTCGCAGCAGCAATGTCCATGTTGCAACATGCGAAGAGGTGCATATACCGATTCATGTCGGCCATCAGACATCTCCTATTGCTGCTGGGCGCTTTCAAATCAGCACTAATACCTTTACGATGATCGACGACTAACCGTTTTAGGCTAGATTAAATTTCTACGTCCTGGCAGTGTTTCCTTTTCCAAACCATCACTCACGTCTCGAGATGGACATCACGTATGTAGCTCGGGAACTCATCGTGAAATGCTAACAATATATGGCATGAACAACGAATCGGGAATACTATGATATTTGTACATATACCTATTGTTGCCCCTATACAATACATCTGCTCATTCATTCCACGCGAACATGGCGGACTTGGAGTGTTCTGTTTTCCGTCTATCTTCTGCTCATTTCTCTTACCTCCCGGGATACCAGGCCTCAGATTTCGGTGGATTGTCATTCCAGCCATCGTTCTTCGGTACTTCAACGATTATCTGCTCATAGCTCCTCCGAACCTGAATGCCGTTCAGTGGGACCTCGTCGGTCGAGGTACGCTTTGCTTCCGGCCACTCATCGCGACCTTCTTCGAGGACGGAGAATTCCAACTTGCTTGTAGGCATCCTTCTTTTGTTTGGTTTGGATGTACCTATAGTGGCACGTCCTGCACTCTGTGCGCTTCCCTCGTTTGTGCTTCCTTGAACGCCGACGAGTCGCAGGAACTTGACGAGGAGAGGGCGCATTGTAGGTAGGCATGCGCTGATGAGGGCGACTGATACTTCGACGTGAGACCATGTCGTTGGGGTCTTTAGTGTATCTGAGTATCGTCAGTACGTAGTGCTATGGGTATGACAGGGGTAACTTTACAGGAAAGGTTCATCGGATTGAGTTGGAGTACTGTAGTGAAGCGGTATATGCTGGCCACGATAACGAATGCTCCAAGTAGGAAGATGCCAGTCAATGCCAAACGTTGAGCAAGCCTAACATGAAGCTTCCATACATGGTACAGTGGCATACACAATATGATGGCATCCTGGAGACATCGTTAACCTCTTGACATAGAAAACCGCAGATTTGACTTACTGTAACAATGTTCGGGACAGCATTTCCAATAAACACTGCCCGGAGGTTCAAGCACTTGCCCGGAATGGTGAGGTTCCATGCTCTTGGGATTGGACTACATTGAAAGACACCTGTAAGTCTGTTAGTATGCTGCAAAGAGAAAGGGCATTGGTGCTGACTGACAGATAAAGATGAACATCAACGACCAGACGACAGTGATCGTGCTCAAGATCCATGCCGCAATCTTGAATGACCTCAAAACGAAGACTCGGCAGTACATGACCAGAATGGCAACCTTGATCGTAGCCAAAGCAACCACGTACACGATCTCATCACCGTATATGGCCTTCCCAATCGTAAACAGAGACTCTAGAGGGACGTCTGCTGCCTGTAGACCCAGACCGTGCTCGATCACTGTATTGGGTTAGATTTCAGCGAGAAAAGCGGAAAGGTTCCAAGCACCTACTGACGGCGTTCAAGGCGAAGTTGATGAACACGAGGAACATCGAGACAAGCACAAGCCAATCGTCCCATCCACATTTCGCCTCGGAATGGTGTCGAGCCCAGAATCTAAGGGCTACAGATGCGACTGCAAGAACTGTGAAGGTGATGTCGATACCGTAGAGCTCAGCCTTCATAGCCTGCTGGTCGGTCAGACTTGCTTGGACAGCCATGTCGATAGTGAATGGTCAGTACTAGATTTGATAATGCTTGTAGGCAGAAGTAGACCAGACGTATGTTTGTCTAGGGGACAAGAAGGTACATATGCTTGCGTCAATCTCCTGGAGTCTTCCCCAAGCTGGGTCACTCGTCTTGAGGCCATGGCAATCCGGGCTTTCTCCAGATAATGATAAAGACTATTGCCCAACCCTCGTCGTTGCTGTACTTTCTTTTCTCCTAGCTCGCTCAACGGCAAGAGGCGCTCGCCCCAAACGGTTTCCGAGCCGCCTCGAGGGGCGTGTGGCCACGAGTGATTGGTCGGGGAAGTATCGAGCACATCGAAAGAAGTTGAGGCCTGAGCTCCACTTTCTTAACTGACTTTTAGACGGGCGGGCGGACATTTGTTACGAGCAGAATGAGCTGCGGAGCATGCACCTGCCAACGATGTGGTAAGGGCAGCCACACTCGCGTACAAAGAATGAGACACTCTGAGCGTTGTGGAGTATGACTGAAGAGCATGGGTTGGACGATCGACAGCAATTTCTGCAGCACTAGTACAAGGCTTTGGAGCTAGTATCGAAGCTTCTTAACGATGCCTGTCGACAGAGTCGCTCCTGCAGAGTCGTTCCTGCGTTACTCACAACGCGACTGCCGAACTTCGCTCCACTTACCATAAGCTTTGTGCTGAAACAAATGTACTATGGTACTGTGCTGATCATTCCCCACTATAGATCTTCACTGATGCGGAGTCGACATGTTGAATGTGAGCATGAGCACTCTGAAGATGATCTTGAAGCACTCGCACGAGGTATACACCATCATCTGCAAGGTATAGCCACCAGCTTAGCCAGATCTTAGTTAAAAAAGATGAGGCCGAGAAATCTGCGTTCATCTAATAACGTCAGTCCGAGTGGATCTAATGGCGAAGTTTAAGATACGAGAACTTAGCAGAAGACAACTAGTGGCAAGTAACATATCCATAGATTGTCTGAGTTTTGACTCTCGACCACGACGTCGAACATGTAACGGCCGACTTGTGGGGAAGTTACAGAAGACTGATCAAGCACAAGGATAGCCACGAGGACTAAACGCTCTGCAGGTTACTTAGCTACCTTACTTGTGTGCAGTTCCGTCTTGGGTTGCAAAATCACACTTTCGGTCATCTCTACACAACATATCCCAAAGCCTTTGTCCGATAGTTTCCCTCCTCAACCAAGTTCCAGATGGCCGCACAGACGGCCCATGTGCCTCACCTAGGGGGTATCGAAGTCTCCTACCGTGCTACGAAGCATGACGCCTCCAAGCCAACCCTGGTTCTTCTACATTCGTTCATGACCTCCTTCAACCTCTACGACGCGCAATTCGAGTCATCCTCACTTGCAGGCACAGCGAATCTGATTGCCGTGGATTTGCTAGGACATGGCAAGACGAAAATCAGCTCGGGTGTCGAGCAGTTCACCTACTGGGACAGTGCTATCATGACACTTCAACTCCTGGACCAACTGAAGATCGACAAATTCTTCACATTGGGAACAAGTCAGGGCGGATGGATGGTAATGAGGCTAGCATTGCTCGCACCGTCACGAGTAAGTTTCCGTCAACATGATCGACAAAAGCTTGTGAATTTCAGTTAGCTAACAGACTTTGCCTTTCTTTTTATGCAGGTACTTGGTGCAATCGCGCTAGGCACATCAATGGATTCTGAATCTCAACGCACTCGAGACCTTGGCTGCTGGGATATTGCGCCCATCGGCGACTCCCTCATCAGTGGCTGGTCGAGCAAAGACCCAACACCGGACTTCACCCTCGACGATGGCTTCGTCGGTCTGCTCGTCCAACTGGGAGTCGGTCCAAACGCCGATTCTGCACTCGTCCAGTGCATGTCAGCAGACACCAAGGCCAATTATACTGGCGACATAGGTCGTCGTCGAGCTAGAATGTGTGCAATCAATCTCCGGGATCGCGATGGCCTGCATGGAAGGCTGTTTGATATTACATGCCCAGTACTGTGGATGCATGGATCTGACGATCAGGTCTATAGTGTCGCAAACGCTCGTGAGGAGATCAAACTCTTTGTCAATTCAAAAGAAGCGAACGTGATCGAGGTAAAGGGAGGTCAGCATTTCCTGAGTGCCTCTAATCCAGGAGAAGTGGAACCAAAGGTGATCGACTTCATCAAGAAGCTTAACTCTTGACATGAGCCAAATATTATAGTATATAAGGCAGTGATATGCGAGGAACGAATAGACCCTGGTCGCTCCTGAACTAGTGGCTCTTGCCACAGCACGCTAATGCTGCACGTGCCGCCTCGTACTGTTGACGTCCTCAATGCATACTGCCAACAGGGAAAAATTGCTTTCTTCCGATCATTCTTCCAAAGACTCTGCCTTGTCTTTACCCTTCTTCTTGTTCCCTCTCCAGCCTCCTTTCCATAGACAACAAATGCCATTAGCATGACACCAGTCCTTCACCTCACTGACGTCTATCTCACGATCTTCACCAATCGCACTAAACCCTTCGGTATTCAGCCAAGCCGTCAATTCTTCAAGCACGATTGGATCATAAAGTAGGATCTTCTCATGCCAGGTAGGATTGGTATAGTGATTGCGGGCAGTGTTGTCTGGCGGAGCAAGCTGGATTACTTCTAGTATGCGACTCGCTAACGGGACGTCTGTACTGGTGTTCGAAGTATTAGACGTATCAGGTTTGAGGGCCGGAAGCGTCTTGGCTCCCAAGCCACGACTGCGGCGCCTTTTTGGCGAGGGAGAGAGTATATGGACGTCGTCGAATCCAGGTGACGAGTCCTTGAGAGGCACCGGCATTGTAGGTGGTGGTGTCAGCAAGCGGTCGGCCTTCTTGGTCTCGATTCGAGAAGAGGACGTTGCTGCAACCCCCGTGCCCTTAGCAGGAGCGGTAGCTGAAGGCGGCTCATCATCGGCAGAGCAATCGTCGTTGTCGAACGAGAGGATGTTGGTGTTCAATAAACGATCAGAGGTGGTGAGAATGGGTGTCTCGATGTCACTGATGTCGAAGATTTCATCGTCGATTGTGCCTGCAACTACTGCGCGTGACTTCCCTTTCTTTGTGTCCTTCAAGTTTGCAGGGTCCTTCACTTCTGATCTCTTCTTACGTATTTTCTTAAGCTTAGGTGGTGGTCGAGCAGTAGTGTCGTGAACTTTGTCGAGAAAATCACCAGTATCCATTGTCTTCACAGGCTTCGATGCTCTCTTGGTGGCCTCCTTCACAACCTTCCAGTCTACACCATGTTGGTCAGCCCAGCGTTGATCGAGTTTGTCAATCATGGTCTTCCGTGCGCGCAAGCGCTTGAAACCATGTGCTTTCACGGCATCCTTGAGCTCTTCATCTGTCCAGGTGGCATAGTTGGGTTTAGGCGGAGGTTTTCTTTGCTTGGAGCTCGTATGTACAGTCGTGCTGGGTAAGTTGGCATTGTCTGCAACCGATGCAGGTTGTGAGATGTCTAATGCATTCGTTCTCTTAGAAGCGGGAGATCTACAGGAGGTCGAAAATGATCGAGCTTGTGATCGAGGTCTGATCGCGCTTGTATTGTACGTAGAAAGAGTTTCGACATTGTCAGCATTTATCATAATGGCTTTTCCTGGTTGAAGTGTGCCTAACAGAGCCAGACTATCTTCGGCGCTGTCAATGACTGGTATGCCTACAGCTTGCTCCTGCAAGACGTCTTTGCCAGTGAAAACGTCTTTCAGGGCAGGCAGCTCCAAGTTATGGTCGTTATGCAAGAGTGCTCCTTCTCCGTCACGAGTCGCGGCAGTCCAAAGGCTCTTGTGGCCTCCATATCGATAGACACCATGCCGCTGGGGTGTGGTAGATAATTCTGAGAAGATAGCTGTTTGCTGAGTCCGAGGTGGGCTAGAGTTTAGATGGGTCTCAGATTGCTTGATAGCCTCAATGGTATCTTTCAGTAGTGCAGGAGGCTCGTCACCAGCGAGTTGACTAGCAGTCGCAAAGATGACGTCTTGAGCTTCGAGTGAGCTCAATACCGTCTCGGGCGATCTCAGTCTTGACCTTGACTGCCCTTTCTTCGACATGCTTGTCTTTTTGGCGACTTTGGTTTCGAAGGTGTCTAGATCGCGATCTGCGTTCATGTTTGCTTGCGTAGAGAGGAGATATTGGAGCATTGGATTGGCATGATCGACATCGTCGTCCAAATGGTTGGAAGTCGCGAGTGCCGTGATCGTACGACTCTTCTTCGAGGGTGACTTTGCACGAGCAGGCGTCACACGCGGGGTCAACTTGGCGGCAGCTGTAGAGATACCAACGCGTGTCTCGAAGACAGCGTTTGTAAGATCTATCTTACGTCGTTTCGAAGCGCCAACAGTTTCGGAGCTGACCAATGTGCCATGTTTGTCACTGGCGCGGTTGTGGTTAGAAACGCTAAAGACCCTGGCTAAGTCGAGGCCAAAACTCGACTTCTGAATATCGTCTACGTCGACTGGGAAACGTTCTACCGACTTAGTGGGAGTCCAGTTCTTCTTTCTTGAAGTGGCGCTCATCAGATTCAAGGGCTCGAACTTGTCGGCTTTCTTCTTTCTTCTAACATCGGCCGGCAGTACCTTGACCACTGTGCAGTCTGGAATCTCGTCCCAATCACTGGCGGGTTTCGCTTGATCATGGTCAGTTGGTACGAAGGTCGGTATGTCAACAGCAAACTTGTTTGAGGCAGACTCGGCAGTTGCTGGAATTCGAGCTTTTGCTGAGTTCAGCCTGAAATTGGGCGAGCTGAGAAGGCCAACGGGCACGTTTTCCGCACCTGGTTTTGGTGCTAGAACGTGCTTCGCAGAGATGAAACCAGTTGAGAGACTATCTCTTGTCGTCAAAGATGATTTATAGAGGGTTCCCGAAGCAACAGCGCTGCTGTTGACAGTTCCTTGGGGCGATCTCGGTGGGGATACGACCTCGACTTGTGTTGGTGATGGTGCGAAAATTCGTGTCGGCGAGGAGGAGAGGACAATGACTGAAGACATGCTGCGCACATATAGGCGGGTCCATTGATGCGTCGTAATACTAGCCACGACGTCTCATTCCTGCTCAACTGCAGCTGAAAGGTGATAGTCTCACACAGATTGGAAACATACCGGGACTATCGCAAAATGCCCACTGTCTCGCTCCTGCGCCGCTGTGAGCATCGTCCGCGACGCCTACAATGGCGGCAACAAACACGCAAAGGGTATGGTTCGAACGCCTAATCACGTGCGAAACATTGCCCAATCAATGGGAAGTCCTTTCATAGACAATCGCGCACAATCATACTTCCTCCAATATCCAATCTGGAAGGTTGTGCATATTTCAGGACCCCGACGATGTAGGATGTGATAGCTGACATGTCTATTGCTTCTTGCTTGACTTTGCAGCCTTGCGGGAAGTGGCTTGACTCATATTAGGCGGACTAGGCGATGTGAGGGTGGCTCAAAAGGCACATGATTTCGCCTCAAGAACGCCTTAGCTCCTCCAACACTCGCACGTGGTAAGCCGATTGATGCCTGGAACTTTTGAAGTGCACATCTTCCGTGCCCAATCATGCTGGAGCTTCTGATCATTTTACGAGAGGATTGTCGCTCGTTCAATCGTTTGATATGCGCCTACCTGATCTGTCATGTAGGACTCCATTCGATGCCTTCCCTCGGATTGAGCCTCTCTGTCTGCAAGTCATTTCACTCCGGGTCCACACCCTCGTGTCAAGCCTTCGATGAATTAGACAATTTCAAGCAATTCCTACTAAGAGGTCTCACTCTTCAACTTCAACGTTCTCGCGATAGCACGAAAGAGTTGTTCAACGCCTTCGTTGACCTTGCCTGTTCGTCGCTTCAACCAGCCCTTGGCTAGGCGTTGTTGTTGTCAATTACCATGCCGTCTTCAGCATCACGAGACCGTCCCAGGTCTCATGGCCGTCAATATACCGATGACGAATGGGAGCGAGTCAAGCAACCATTCTTCCACTACTATATAGAGAAGAACATGTCTCTGAAGGAAGCAGCGAAGGTGATGGCGGACCGATTCAACTTTGATGCTACTTTACGGCAGTGGGAACGCCGCATTGCCCCCGAGAAATGGAACATGCCCAAGTACGCCAATCGAGACGAACGTCTGAAGCAAATCCAGGAAGCTGGTAAATCTTTACTCGAAGTCAGCAACAGAGGACGACGTAGGAGTACCGCTTCAGACGGCCGACCAGCTTTAAACGAAGACAGAAACTTGCGAAGGTTCGCTCGAAGAGAGATCAGCCGAGATCCAAGACCACGTGCGAAGTCTGTCAGTGTGCTGTCTGACGATGCATCTGATCAAGAAATGTCAGGCACGAGCGCTGCACCCTCTCCCGCAGCTTCCGATATCTACACGATGGAGTTGCAAGATTACACCTCCTTTCCTGTACCTCATTTCACGGAACCTGATGGTGCATGGGTATCAACCTTGCCAGCATCCCAAGGATCAGGGCCTCCGGAAAACGACTTGTATGGTGATCTGAACTCGCACAGCAATTTCTCAGTACCCCGAATCTTTCTCTCCGGTCCGGAGGAGAAGCCTTATATCACACCTGAAATTACCCCAATCGAAACACAGTCTCAAGTCAGTATGTATCGTCCACAAGTCTTCCTGAACGGTATAACATTGCCGCACGATGAACAGAGCCTCAATAATGCAGAATTGAACATCAGTCCTACCATACGACTGAACTCGCCACCCGACCTCGGAAACAACTGGCCCATGCCGAACCATTTTTCTAGCACAACACAAAGAACTACCGAAGGCTTCCCCGAATTCAACTTCAGCGAAGTACCTTTTGAACAGTTCATCACACCAGGAGAACCTGTTATTAGACCGAGCGATTTCGGACAGTTCAACCAGCTAGATGCATTCGATAATGCAAGTCACCAAATGCAAGACCCTGTTATCACTCCCATTATGCCTGAGGATACGTTTCCCGACCTTGATAATACGCATGACGACGTACACGCCCTGTTACAAGAACACTACAGCAGAACTGTGCAAATGGTCCGTGGCTGCCTACAAGGTTGTCAGAATCTCCCAGGAGGTGATAAGGCGATGAGGGAGGGTTTGCTTCATCACCTTCGCCTGTTAGAAAGAGGCATACAAGCTCAGAGTAAGTGCGTATACTGTTATCTAATATTCCACTGACGCTATCGCCAGACCGGGAAACTGACAGGAACATACGCAACACGTTGAAGGATATCTCCGTGACGCAGAGAAGGGCTAACCGCAGTATATACGAGCTTTCAACACAACGCAAGAAAAAGATTGCCGAACTCAAAGCACAGCTCGCCGGTAAGCTTGTGATCATGTCATTCATATATATCACTGACGCCTCCCAGCTCTGACCGAACCTATCGAGGAGCACTCTTCCTTCGCTTATGGATGAATTCGTACAGTATTGCGCCCTCAAAGAACAAACCACTAGTAGAGACTTGGCAAAATGACGTACCTTTCAAATAGAAACCACCCAAGGCTCAGAGGTCACCACGACAAACAAATGGAACAAGAGTTATAAAATGCCTACAATGGTTGCAATACCATCTATCACATAACACATCGCATTTCGGATTGCCACAAGCTACCAATAACGCTTAGCAAAATGTTGATCCTCCACGATGAGACCACTCTTTTGCATGACACGGTTGAGCTACTCGGCGCAAAGTTAATACCTGCACAAGAAAGCCCAGCACGAATCAAGGCAATTGTGGATGCAGTCAAACACTCTGGAAATCATGAGCTTCGAACGATTTCAGCAAGCGAGGAAGATCAGAAGACAACGATTGCGCTTGCTAAAGCCAACCACAAGCCTGAATACATTGAGCATATTCAGAACGTCTTCAGTCAGTGGCTGAAAGAAGGTCTAGTCGAAGCGCACGAGAGTGTCCTGCCAGAATGCTTTCGACTACAAAACGTTGCCAATGCTAAACTTCGGCCACCAAAAGACATCTATGCTCGAGCAGGTTACTATGCTTTCGACATGAGTACCGGCATATCCAAAAACAGCTGGCAATCCATCGTTGCATCTGCCAACCTCGCTGTACAGGCAGCCCTGCTCATGGCGGAAGCCCCTACCAACAGCAAGAACCCCTTTCAACAAAACTCACCTAAACTGAAATCTGTCCTCGCTCTCTGCCGCCCACCTGGCCACCACTGCACAGGCTCTCAAGCAGGCGGCTACTGCTACCTTAACAACATCGCCATAACAATCACTACCTTCCGCCAATTCACTCACTCCCGACGTCTCCGCCGACCAAGCAACCCTAACTTCGCCTCAGTCTCCACCCTCAAATTCGCCATCCTAGACCTCGACTTCCACCACGGCAACGGCACCCAAGAGCAATTCTACATGGACCCAACAGTCTTCTACACCAGTATCCACGGCCAAGACGAGTTCCCATACTACACCGGCGCAGCTTCCGAGCAAGGACCATCGAGTTCACCGGCTTTCGGCACGAATCTAAATCTACCGCTGAAGACAGGCAGCTCGTTCGAGGAGTACTTGGCAAAACTGCATATTGCTTTAAGTGCCATACAGCAATTTGGCGCGGACCATTTACTTGTTAGTCTCGGCTTTGATACATTTCACACGGATCCGTTAGGGAAATTCCAAATCGAAACACAGGACTACAAGGTCATGGCGAAGACTGTAAGGGCCATGCTGAAGAATTTGCCGGCTGTAATTTTGCTTGAGGGTGGGTATGTGGTTGATCGGTTGGGAGAGAATCTTTTGAGCTTTCTGGCTGGGTGGGAGGAGGCTGAGGGTGCTTCGTGAGCTGTATTTCAGTTGTTAGCGATCATCATATGAACGACTACTAGCGTGCTATGCCTTCATACAGCACATGGCAACGAGCTAACCGACCAGCATAATTCGGGTTCTTCGGTTTTTCTTTCGTGTTCATATTTTCCTATTTTTTTGGTACTTGTCCTATCTAGTATGAACTATTCTGAATAATGTATCATTCCTGAAACGAAAACAAAAAAAAACAAACCATGTGTCCTCCCCAGCTGCCCAACTTAACGTCGAGCGAACGTGCATCGGGATAAGCGTAAGTTTGTTCACCTGGTACACCCTAGAGAACTCCAGCCTTTGTGCCGGCAGTCTTTACTTTTGACTACGAGTATAATCGGCGCACTTTGAAATATCCTCCGGTAAAACTGATACGGTTTTGGTACAAAGCTGCCCAGTGGCAGTATAATGCTGGATTCCCTTACACATTCGGAGGCGCGCAGCACAATTGAGTCTCTGTGCAATGTCAAAGTGCTGCTGGGAAGTTGTTTCCATTTGATAGCTTTCTTCTTGGTTGATTGGCTGGTCGATCAATCGATCTCTAGTGCCATTCAACCTGGTAATCTGATCAGTGTACCTGTGCGGCCACGCTTTTGTGCCATTCGTGTACCCAGCTGCTTCACGGCTGTTCTCGTACGAAGCCGAGTCATGTCAGCAACGTCTTAAGCAGGCCTCAGTGTTTGGGTCGTGGTAGTGATCGTTCGGATCAAATAGATAGAGCTCTTCTGAGTCATGTCGCTTGCTAATCTTTATGCTCCCCAGCATGCATGTGCTCGTTCAAGAAGGCGCATGCGGCGTAATTGGTGGGGTTGCAGCTGATGCAGCAGGAGCGCCATTAGGAGCAGGGGCAAGTCGTTTAGCTGGTGGTTCATCAACAGAAGTGTCGCCATTTGCAAGCTTTCTCTTTCTACTCGGCTTGGAGGGTACAACTTCACCGGCTGCAGTGTCAAATAAATCATCCGGAAGCATCCAACCCTTGCAAGGCACTACTTCGAGGAAGTGCTTGCTGGGGTCAATTTTGTCCCAAGTATAGCATCGATCCTTGAACATCTTTGTCTCGACATGAATATCAAGATTCCTTGTTTGCTCAAGCAGAGGAGTCGGATCTATGCCAATGTAAAATGTATAGGTGTAGACAGGAATGCCGGTATCGATCTTGGCTGGAGCTGCATCGTCGCCGTTGGTAGCTGTGCCTGCGCCACCAGCGGCCACCAAGTCTGGATCAGTCGACTCGATCATTGTAGTCTCGGCGATCTTGTACTTCATTTCTCCTCTGCGTACCTGTCTCACTTGCTCTTCGTTCTCGCATTGGTGCTGACGCTTAACGGCTTTAATGAAAGGACGCGCAAGCATGATCATTTTTGTGTTGAGATCTAGCGCGCCGACAAAGTGTCGAATTTTAGACTCGACCGCGCCAGACCAGGCTTTTGCCTCCTGCGAATCTTGACAAGCCGTGATAATGCTCAGATAATACTTGTGGTCCTTGGTGAAAAAGGTATGCTTCTTCAAGAGGTCAGCCCATTGGGCTTTACCCTCAAAGATATCGCCTGCAATTTTGAAACCTCGATCAATTTCGCGCAGAATGACTGCCTTGTTGGACAGAGTAATGTTAAAAGTTGCGCACATGCTAGGGTAGGCTGGAGTTATCACAGGCATAAGGTTCTTCTTGTCGCCAGGATACAATTGTGGATTCCACGTCCTCTGAGGTCCCTTCTCGATGTCTTGTAGCTGTACCGGAGTGGGCCAGTTCCAATGCTTCAACACGTTGAAGAACTTGTGTACCAACGTTGCTCCAATTGCTTTGGGATACATCTGACATACTCTTCCTACTAACATGGCCCATGCAACTCCTCCTGGATAACCGACAATATTCGCATAAATAGCTCTTCTCTGGGCCCATAACTTTATAGCACGCAGGGCGGTTCGGAAGGTCTTTTGCTCGGGGACAAGTTCGAGGATCGTGTCGGTGACACGGGGCCCAGTCACAGCTCGGATGGTTGCTTCATCGAGACCATCAAGAATTTTGTTGTCTCTCAGCTCGAAGTCGGAAGGAATGGTCTGCCTGTTTAGCGAGGCGAAGATCAGATCAATTTCTATCCCGTTGACAACAAGCTTGATGATAGGAACGAAGGCATCTGGCACAGCTGTGCAGGATGTGACAGCCTCAGGGCCAGCAATTCGTCGCAGGATATCCGGAAAGAATTCAAAGAACTGTTCGCGCGTAGCACTCTTCGGCGCAACAGCCAGCGTATCGATATCCGAGCCAGGACCGTACACACCCAACCTGTAGCTGCCATATGGATAAATCTTGCCGCCTAACTGGTCAAGCTGATTTTGTGGTAGACCTTGTCGGCGGCCAGCTTCTCTGACAAATTCTCGGTTGGCTTGATTCAGTAGCCTCAACGTTTTGATACGCTTCTGTGTCTCATCATGAGTCTCGTAATTATTGTTTTTCTTGAGTTCTTCCACCAGTTCAGCGTTCTTCTCGTTGTCCAGAGGTGTAGGCAAACTCGTGGACATAGGAGGAGTTAACCCCCATTGCTTGGTTGGCTGCGCCATATTTCGGAGGTAGATACTATCGCTTGTACGATTCGGGACGAGTAGGCGACAAGATCAACATGTGATCACCGACGAGGTGTCATGGAGATGAGAGGCATCAGTGACAACCCTTGCCTCTCTTTCACCTGTGACACCAAATTGTTTGAGAAGTGCTCGCCTGCCCCACGCCCCACAAATAAGTCAATGAAATATCAGTGAAGACTTCCACCTCTTAGTAGGGTTTGTGGTTGCGGATGGAGTGGCTGGAAAGCTGGGACACCACTTAACCAGAACTTACGCCTGCTGTGCAATACTGCGCCTGGCTGCCTACTAACACTACATACGCTAGTGGTTATGGTTCAGGGACAGTGACAAGGTTTAGAAATGGTAGCTTTGCCGCAACCAGCTGCGGCGGCCACGTCCCGGTCAGCAAAAGTGTCAGTTCCCATAACAAATCTGCGGGCGTGCCCCCAACGTGGCGGCGTGCTACACATGTTTCTGGCGTAGCAACGACTGAAGTTGTACACTCAGGCCATCGATCAATCAGGGGCAATGCGAAAGACTGCATAGGCTTGCGACTTTCAGCAACAATGCCTACCGTCGGACCTCATTTTACATATCGTGCCTCAACCTCCTAATGGTACTTGGTGAGAAGGGTCAGCTGCGAAGGACAAATTTCTATCATGTACCATGGTGTCGCTGATCTAGCGCTTCGATATGATCAAAGTTGCTGGCAGTATCCAAAGGTAGACACTCTAGCAAACCTCACTGCCTCTAGCAAGCTAGATCTGCTTGAACGACGAGATGTCCCTATGCAGTTGGAGTGTCTCTGAAAATCTTAGCCAGTCTCTCATCGAGCCACTTGACATCTTCCATATTGCCTGGTGGCCCTCCTGCCCAATGTCCCCAGATTGAGGGGAAGATATCAAGAGTGCCAACGTCTTGGTTCTGTATCATTGTTAGCTGCTTTTAGCGCGAACGCAAGTGAAGAAACCTGAAGACAACGCAGCATAGGTAGTTCCAGTCAACTACAGATACTCGAGACACACTTACCATGCATTTCACCTCATACTCAGAATCCTCGGGTCTGCTTCCAGTCAGCTTGGCAGTTCCACGCATAGAAAAGATGGCATCTCACGGGAAGTAAAGATCTGTCTTACTGGGGAGCACCAGTGTTTTGGCCTTGATTGCTGCCATCGCCCTCTCAAAATCACCATTGTACGGTTCCTGCTGGCTGACATCTCCCGACTGCCACGTCTGTAGCATTACTAGCAGATTCTCTGGATCCTTTGACAGAGCCCAGGCTTCCCAGAAATTGACCATGAAGTCCTCCAGGTTGTTGGCATTATAGAACTTTTCGTGCAATTTTCCACGATAAAATGCCTGGGAGAAGCCCCATCCAGCATAGTTTCGAGCAAAGGCTTTAAGTCCCACGGTGCGCTCTTCGTCGGTCCAGGTTCTGACTTCTTGACCTTTTGCTTCGATGCGTCCCTTTCCAGATCCTGCGCTAGATAAGCCTTTAGCGGCGATGAGGGCAGATTTGACGCCCTCCAGAAAGACCTGATTATGCAGCGACGTCTTTGCTGAGCCACAAAAAGGGACGCAGATATCCATAAAATCAGGGTATTGTGTGGCCCATTGAAAGCTCTGCCCTGCGCCCATAGACCATCCTGTCACAGCTCGAAGATGTTTGATACCGAGCTTTTGTGTCAGTAGCTGATGCTGAGCACGAACGTTATCATAGAATGCGATGTGAGGAAAAGGGCTGTTGGATGAATTAGAAGGTGAGATGGACTGGCCATTGCCGAACAAAGCCGTTATGATAATGAAGTATTTGGATGGATTGAGTGTTTTGTCCTCTCCGATAAGCCATTCGTTGTCACCGATTGAGCCAGAATACCATGACGGATAGAGAACAGCAGGCAGGGAGGGCTCCCCAAATGTCTTGTAGGCTAGCCATGTCAGATTTTGTAGTATGTTGGCACCACCTACCTATGAAGGCACCAGGCAGTGTCTCGCCGTTCTGCAGGCCAAAGTCCCCCAGATCGTAGGTCTCGTAATCAGGCATGGTCGTTTTGTTGTATCAACAGCGTGCTGCGGGGGCTAGTCTACAAGAAAGAGTACCGATGGGCTTAATCACAAGAAGGACGTCAGTGACCACAAGGCAAGAGCATGTATCTGTATCAAGTCTGTTGTCTAGGTCACTGCCACGTCCCGGTCAGCAAAAGTGTCGGGAGCACGCCCGTAGTTTCGTTTGCTGAGCGGGACGTGACTGCATGATATCGCACTGATATCATACGACGTCGTAGCAATTCTCCAAGAACATCGCAGGTAAATTTCCCCATGGAGTTTGTGCTTTTCTTACACCTTGCTGATAAATCTGCTGCTGCGGGGGTGCGAAGAGGTACAACAAAATGCAAACCCTATCATCGGAAGGGTATTTACTTATCGAAACCTTGGCTTTGCTTGCAGCTACGAACTTACCAGGGACCGCAACACGCTGTGTTTAACTAAAGCTGTCGAGTAAATTCCTGAAGATGGGCGAAGCTTCTTATTCTGCGCCACAAGAAGCGCAAGAGAAACATGATGCGGAGGTCGTAATCCAAAGAAATCCTCACGGTGACTTTGCAAAGGTACAAGCATCTCGACCAGACTGGGATCATTCCAGAAATTGGACGTATACGAAAACAGTCGATACCGAATGGAAGTATGGCAGCGGGTCCAACGACAAGTCCAATGACGATAAGAAGCACGTTGAGATAGACCCTAATGGCCCAGGACGAGAGGCTCGTCTAAACTACAAGCTGTTGATATCAGCTATCATACCGCGACCAATCGGTTTCCTATCGACGCGCAGCAAGGATGGCTCAAGCACCAACCTTGCGCCATTCAGCTATACGCAGATGTTCAACCACGATCCTCCTATCTTTGGGGTCGGATTCAGTGGCGGATGGGACAATGCAAAGGATTCGTTGAAGAATTTGACTGAAAGTGGAGAGTGCGTGATCAACGTTATCTCCGAGCACTATATCGAGGCTGCGAACTCGTGTGCAATCGACTTACCATACGGGGTGTCGGAATGGTCGGCGAGTGGCTTGACACCTGCATCATGCACAATAGTCAAGGCCAGCCGTATCAAAGAGGCGATCTTCAGTGTTGAAGGGAAGTTGATGTCAACCCAGGAATTCGAATCTCGTGTGCAACCAGGGAAGAAGACTGGCGTTCTGGCCCTGATAGAAGGTGTACGTTTCTGGGCTCGAGAGGACGCCATAAATGAGGACCATAGTCTGATAGATCCCGCTGTTTTGAGACCAATTGCACGACTAGGTGGCATTACGTATGCACGAGTGAATGACGGTTTCGAGCTTCCTCGACCCATGATGAAAGAAGAGATCAAGCAAGGGAAGCTGGAGGAGAGCATGTTGAAACCGAAGGTGCCAGGACAATGACTAGCAAAGATTTAGATGAATAGGACTTTTGGACTTTGTACAGAATAGAGATAGTATGCACCGTTCTTGATAGGCGCATTGAACTCGAGGAGGGATGATTGAGTAGAGCATATTAAGCTCTCCAGGTACCAGGTACCAGGTACCAGCGGATGCGCTAAAGCGTCCAGATGCACATCATTCATGGAAGCCGCTGCTAGCGCCAGCCCAACTGCAAGGGCGCTTCTCGACTTCCTCTGCAATTGGCTGCCCATCCTACAGGAACGGATCTCCAGTATTAGACCGATACGGGATAAGGAGAAGAGGAAGGGTCGATTGATGAATTGCGAATCTTTGTACGCTCGAGTTGTGGCAGGCACACATCTTCCCTCGTTTTCAACTCTTTTTCGTAAATTTTGCTTTCGTGCATGGACCATCATACCAGAGAAGTCGAGAGATGATTGGCAAGCGCCGTTGCTACTCTTTCTCGTGATCGCAACCAAGGCTCGAAACAGCCTTCGTGCCAGACGCGAAACTGCACACCTCATTGCCATCTCGACTCATGATCAGCAGCGCATATCAATAACTCTTTCAGTTCAGCAACCATGGAAGCAGCGCCTCACTTCTTACCACATCCTCTGAACAGAGCCGAAACCTATTCGCCCTCCAATTCGACCGTTGGTAGTGACTGGTCTGGAATGAATACCTACAACGGTGGATTGCGCCCTGATGCATATCCTCCTCCTCCTCCTCCACAGAGAGGTGACTCAATCTCACCACCTGATATACACGGCAATAGCTTCGAGGCTCGCCCCCCAAACCGTGCCCAAACCTTTGCAGCTGTTTCTCCCGTTGAACAGTACGACCGCCGAGGACCCTCAGAAAATGGCTCACGCGCTTCGTCAAGAGCAGGCTCTTCCAGAAACAGTGATATGTCCTTAAGAGATCCCAGGAGCCAAAGATATCAAAGGGCTGAATCTGAACTTCGACAACATTACGCAGTTTTACGAGCCTATTTGAAAGGTAGTGCTGCCCAGCCTCCAAGAGCCAATAAAGCGAGAGACAAACTGCTTCGCCTGTCCCCCGTACAGTTCCACGAATTGAGCACAGATGTCTTCGATGAGCTACAACGACGGCAGGCTGCGCAACCCCTACCCGGTAGACCTCCTCGCATGGATAAAGTTCCCCCTTTCCTGCAACCCAGACCTGATTTCCACGAGAAGCGCAATCAAGCAAGGCAGAAGCTTTCTTCCTTGCAGATTGCCCGTTTCCGAGACCTTGCTACCGATGTTTTCTGCGAGCTCGAGAGGAGATTTCCCCACTTTAATCCAGAGAACAAAAGAGAGAGTACCCGATCGCTATCCAGGGGACCTGCACCAAGAGTTCCTAACGGCATGCCGCCGGCACTTAATGGCTTTGGCCCGCCATCGAGGTCGCATACAGCCAACACTTCGATCTCAAGCAATGCCGGCCTACGCCCTCGAAACGGCTCAATTCCTCAGCTCGATATCAATGCTTCCAACGAGTTTGGACGTCCCATGCCAAAGCAATTCCAAAGCAACACCATCACTCCAAACAAGAGCACAATGATCGAGGACGAAGATGATGACAACAGTAGAGGTACAGGAAGCTACAGCCGTTCCAGTGATGCCTTTGCTTTGGAAAGTAGTCTGAAGAGCTCGACGAGTAACCGCGACACCTCTGCTACATCCATGACAGGAGCAAGCAGGGACACAAAATCTGTTCCCCAACTTACAGATGACCTCCAGAACAGAGTTGCTGATCTAGAAAGCAAACTCGAGGCCAAAGACGTAGAGATCAATGAGCTGTCTAGCGCAGCAATGTTGAAGGACAAATTGCAACAGCAAGTGGATCAGGTGGAAAGTTTAAACAGCTCCTTGAGGGAGGAGATTGAGAAACTACGTATAGAACATGCATCTCTAGCCTCACAAGTGGCAGCCTCTGACGATAATGGGTGGGAAAACAAGCACAACGAGCTTGAAGAGCAGCATCAAAGGCTGCAGTCCAAGTACGATCAACAGATGAAGATGACGGACGAAGTGAGCAAGCAGTTTAGAGCTCACATGGCCGAGATGCGAGCAATGGCAGATGAAGGTAGTGACAGCATGCAAAGGGAGGAGCAGTTACATGGCGAGGTTCAGCGTCTAAAAGAGGAGGTCGCAGAGTGGAAGGCACGGTATACCAAAGTGAGAAGTCAAAAGAAGGATGCAAGATTGAGTACCGTTGGGTTGAACAACGATGATGTGGAGAAGTCTAAAGTCCTGCGAGATCAGTCTTTCTACTCTTCCGATGGCTTGGTGAGTGATGTGCATCTTACAAGGTTCCAGCTTTCCATCAACGAGCTCTTAAACAGTGGTCATGGTCCGGACCCTGCAGCAGTCCTGAACCACGTAAAGGATCTGGTATATGCCGTGCGAAGCATCACGGGTGATGTCGAGAAAGCGATGGATGGCGAGAAGGACGATGAGCTTGCCAGGAAAAGGCGCAAGATGAAAGCCAAAGTGTCGGCAACAGCCAACAATGTCATCACTGCGTCCAAGAATTATGCTGCAGCACATGGTATTTCACCTGTAAGCCTGCTTGATGCTGCAGCATCTCACTTAACAGCAGCTGTAGTCGACCTTCTGCGCAATGTCAGGATTCGACCTACTCCAATAGGTGAAGAAGGTGAGCTGACAGAGCACGACGATCAGCACTTGACACCTGTCAACAAAAATGGATACTTCAAAGTCAACGGCCACGTACGGAAGTCGAGTGAGGCAGACAGTGTCTATAGTGCTCTGAGCGATCCATTGGAACCTGATCCTCGCACACCAGTTGGACCTGTCCAAGATGAGTCGCGTGTCGACGACAACAATTACGGTCTTGGTATCGATGCTACTCATCTCCAGCAAGATGACATTGAACTGGAAGAGTTGAAAGTGAGTCGCCTACCACATCTTCCTTGAATGGCACTAACACGAAATCTAGGTTTACCTCGGTAACCAAACAGATGTTCTTGTACAGAATGTCCAGACATTAGTGAGGGCCGTTCGCGATGATGGTCGGACTTCCGTTGTTCGAGATCACGCCAATGGTATCCTCGATGTTGTTGATATCATTCTTGCTGCAGCTGAGGGTGGAATGGAGCAGCCGACCTCTTTCCGAGCACTCTTTGTGCATAAGGTATCAGGTGCATACGAAAAGCTTAGTCAAGGCAAGATCCAACTGGAGAATGAGGTGCAAAGTTCAACGCAACACGATGGGCAGCCTGCGGCGACAGGGGTTGCACAGTCATTTCCGCCCTTAGCTTTCCAGGTTGCCAAGGCAGCAAAGGACCTGACAGCTGATGTCGAAAAAGTCGTGACAGGTGAGCAGGCAGATGCAGATGACTTCAGCTGAGAAAGGGAGATCAGATCAGATCATTTGTGCTTATTGCAGCAAAGTTAGCGTAGCCTTTATACCATAGAGCGTACTTGATAGGGATTTGGGTGCAGTCCTTTCGTATTCTGAGAAGCAAGATTGACTGCATCATCGACTTAGCATGAACTGTCTTCTCATTCTCAATACAAGTGCGAGAGTCGTGCGTCAACCATCGCAGCTTCCTTAATACAATTTTTGAAAAGCGTATAAAAGTGGTCTGCAAAGTCTGAGTCAGTCTAATTGTCGAACGGACCTTCCATGAATCAGGACTTGGCGAGGACTCGGTGAGCTGTCGAGCTCATCTACCTCATCGATGCTCATCAACGTCAATCTCAATCGCAATCTTTCATATTCAATCAAGTTCTTGTACCATCGTCTTTCATCTACAGTGCCTTCTTCTGTACTATCATCAAAACGGAATCAGGCTGTACCAATACTTTGTATCCAGGACTACAGTTTGCCCCTGATCTCATAACGACCTATTCGAAGCTGCTCCCTATATCTCTGAGCATCAAGACAACTTCATGTGAGTGCTGCATTGCACCTCCTGTCTCAAGCCCAGCCGTGACGACGTGCTACGAAATGGCGACCATGAAGCTATAGGTTCTTGCGCTGACTCTTTACCACAATAGCCCGAACGAACCAGACGTGTCCTCGCGACTTTTCTTGGCAGAGCCTTGGACCCCGCAGCGCTTAATATTCAGGCCGTATATCCTTGTTGCAGCCATGCCCCTCCGCATGTCAGGTCCGTCGTTGTTGAGATCATTCAATGCAGCCCCGCCATCATGCAACCGGGCATTTCTCTCGTCGAAGCTTACCAGTCCTCGATATTTCTCCTCCACCTCATTCAACATGACCAAAGCGTGGTTTGATGTCGAATGGAGCGATGCCCGACTGGATCAGTCGAGGAAGCAGGCACGAGCACAAGGCGAGACGATACCTTCACGTAAGCTAGCTGCATAGCACACCCACAGGCTTGTCTGACAGATTCAAAATGCTGACGCCTTACAGCACATCGTGGCCGGATCGAGTTTAAGCTCTACGACGATGTAGTGCCAAAGACAGCAGAGAACTTCCGAGCACTATGTACAGGCGAGAAGGGCTTCGGCTTCAAGGAATCCAAGTTTCACAGAATCATCCCACAATTCATGCTCCAGGGTGGTGACTTCACACGGGGCAACGTGAGTGCACGGCTCATGCAAGACTAGCTGGTCAAAATGCTGATGTGTTTGCGACAGGGTACAGGCGGCAAGTCTATCTATGGTGAGAAGTTCAAAGACGAGAACTTCCAGATCAAGCACAGCAAACCTGGTCTACTCTCCATGGCTAACGCTGGTCCAAACACGTGAGTCGAATACGCGAAGACTTTGCCTATTTCATCAGCTAACGTCAGCCAGGAATGGATCACAGTTCTTCATTACCACCGTTGTAACGTCGTGGCTGGATGGCAAGCACGTCGTTTTTGGCGAGGTCACTAATGGTATGGATGTGGTGAAAGCGCTCGAGGCGACGGGCTCAGGCTCAGGTCAAGTCAAGTTTGACGTCAAACCCACCATCGTCGACTGCGGTGCCGACTCGAAATAGAGAACTGAACCCGAGCTTCGTTCCCACAAGCAGAATGTCCTAAGTTCCTCATGGACATCCACCAAGATACACGACGCGCTGTGTCCCCACAGCAGCGTTAGAAGAAGAGGAGCATATAATGGCGTGGTCCTAGCAGACAACGATACACACGTCCATCTGTCAAGACCTCAGGGTGTTACCCTGTTCAAAACACAACAATGTTCCGCGTTTCATCTCCATGGTTTCGTCTCACACACTCGGTCTCGAGTCTTCCTGCGACAGAATACTTTTTTCTCCACACTCTAGCTAACCCCACCTCTAGCGATCACTTACTCCACTAACGGAGCTAGAAACATTCCCGAACATGTAGTATTGTCTTGGCTTGTGCTTGCGGCTGCTTGGGCAGCAACGCGCCATGCAGAACATAATTATCCAAGCAAAACAACGTCTCACGTGCATGGGTCGACAAGCTTGTCGAGGGTTGGTATTGTCGGACACAAGAAGACGTTACTCAAGCTTCGAGGTTTTGAGAGAGACAGTCTTACAACACTTCGTATCTGTTTCATATCATGTTCATTACAGAATTAGAAAGACACGCTTTTTATGTATGTACGTTGTGCCGGCCTGCTCATGCAACGCTCCTCAAATGTGCTGGCTGCCGTGAGCGCCAGAACGCCATGCGAGACGTATGCGACCAATTGAAACAAAATGCATGTAGCGCCACGCCTATATGACAGGACTAGGAGGAAGAACTAAACACCTCCAGCTAGCTTAACTAGTCCCATTCGTCATTTTTAAACTCACTGGTACGTTCAAAGCACCACCCTGGGCTCTTTTGTATGGCTCGACAGCTGCCGAGACTGGCGTTGTCGATCGTGTCGGTGCTTGGCTCCTGTTGTGAGCCATGTGAGCCCGGACGAGGTGCCCTGCTGCAAGGGCACTGCATAAACTCAACTCGCCTGCTAGTACGGCGGCAGCGACTATACGTGCTAGTCTTCGAGCATTCTCGCCTGGCGTTGTGGGGTGTGCGCCTTTCACACCGAGCATTTCGAGCATTGACGATTGTGCTTCGAGAATAGTGCCGCCACCGATAGTGCCGACTTCGATCGAGGGCATTGATACACTGATTTGTAGGTTGCCATTATTACTGATGCTTGTTAGCATGTTTACTGATCAGGGAGAGGGGTTAGACTTACTTCTTCATGATGGTGATACAATTACTGCTCTCCACGTTCTGCGCAGGGTCTTGACCCGTAGCGAGAAATACAGCAGTAACGATGTTTGATGCGTGAGCATTGAAGCCACCTATAGCTCCAGCCATAGCACTGCCAATCAAATTTTTTGAGGTATTGAGCTCAACTAGCGCGTTCACATCACTCTTGAGAACGTTTCTGACCACATCGCCAGGTATGATCGCTTCCGCCACAACACCTTTACCTCGTCCGTCAATCCAGTTTACGGCGGCGGGTTTCTTGTCTGTACAATAATTTCCAGACACCGATATAATTGCCATATCGTCGAAACCACACTCCGTGGACATGACATTCAGGGCTTTTTCGACACCCTTCGAAATCATGTTCATACCCATAGCGTCTCCTGTTGTTGTCTTGAAGCGAATGTATAGATAAGTGCCAGCTATTGCAGTCTTCAAGGACGAGAGACGAGCGAATCGACTTGTGGAATTGAAGGCTTCCCTCATCTTGCTTTGTCCATCATCAGAGTCGAGCCATACTTTAGCTTCTCCAGCTCTAACAAGAGTTGGGAAGCCCACGCAGGGACCACGAGTCATACCGTCAGCCGTCAGAACAGTAATGGCACCGCCACCAGCATTGATTGCTTTGCAACCTCTACTTGTGCTAGCCACAAGCACACCCTCTGTTGTTGCCATTGGGATGAAATAACTCTGTCCGTCAATGACTAATGGTCCTGCTACGCCTAGCGGCAATGGCAGATATCCAATGACGTTCTCACAACATGCTCCATGAACAAGTTCGTAGTTATAATCTCGATATGGTGCTTTGGATCGCTCCAAGGACGAAGTAATGGATGCTGTAGCAGGTGTCCGAGATATCATAGCTCTGCGAACTTTGACAGCTCTGACGAAAGAATCCAACCGGGTCATTACGCCAGGGTTCTCTAAAGTCTTTTCGATAGCATAACCAGGGATCTTTCCCTTCAAAGACAAATCAATCAGCTCCTCGTCATTCAAGTAGGCAGCTTGCTTTTCTTTGAGCATCAGTTCTACATCCTCTTTCGTTCTTGTATGACCATTCGCTTTGGGTGTCTCCGGTCTTTCACTTCGTACAGCAGGTGGTGGGTTCAATGGTGCCAGGTTAGGCACAGCAGGCGTTGTAATTGGTGTAGGGGTGTCTTTCAAGCTCCATCTTGCAGCGTTGAACAAGTACCCATTGAGAATCAAGCTCAATGTCAGTGCGATTAATACCCACTTACTCAGGATAGGATCTTCCAAGCTCTGGAAAATGCTCTCGATGACGTGACCGCCCATGGAATGCAGAATATGATTGTAGTCGTCAAAAAATCCCAGGTCATCATCCATTGGTATAGTGTTTTCCAGAGCATACCTAATTGGTGAAAGGACAGTGACGTATGCCTCGAGCTTCTTGCTTTTTGCTAGCACGTATATCGCATCCAGACCATTTTCTGCAACTTTGTATGGATCTATTGGTGTGGGTGCTAGGACATTTGAGATGGAGCTTGTGGGTGTTTTGGAGTGAGAAGCGCGGAAAGGAATGGTAACGAGATTGATAATGTTGAGAAGAACGAAGCCGGTAACCATCCAGATCTTGAACTTTGGCACAACACTGGCTTTGATCTTCTCGCCGAAAATGTTGAAGCCCATGGTGCTGTCTGAAGAATCGTTGTTCGATGCCACATTCTCGGCAACACGAGGTTGAATACCGTCTTCTTCGAGAGCCTTTCGGAGCTCGACATGACGTTTGATGCGATTGATTTCGAGCTTGATGCAGAGGATAGTGGTATAGAAGGTGAAGAGGAGGACACAATCGAAAAACAATATCCAGGCAGCCAGAAAGCAGAATTGACGTAGACCACCCTGAACACCGGAAGCAGCACCTAGAACAAGGATGAAGATTTCGATGACATAATCTCTCACGATCTCGAACCCGACTTCCTTGATAGCAGCTTGGGTGGCTTCGAGCACAGAAGCAGGACCGCCTGGTGCAGCCATTGCAGAAGCAAGGACGTGGCCGTTGGCTCCACCAGCTTGCCTCTTTGTATCATAAGAAGCTGACAGCACGGCACGGGTGAGCATGATAGCCTTCTCGAAGCCGATCGTGACGACAAGGAACGGCAGGCCTTCAGAGAGCAGGACCAGATTTATGGGAACACCCATCTTAGTGGTTGTGACCAGACCAAACAGGAAGGCGAAAACGCTGTTGAGCAGGATAGACACAGCTAACCAAGCCTTCGAGCCAAGTCGCTTCATGGACACAAACATAGAGATGAAGGTCAAGTGCATAGCCAGATAGCCTAGAGCCATAATGACAATGTCGAGGGTTTCAGCATGTTTCAATAGATCAATGAAGATGGTCCAGCCGTTCAGGAGCCAGTTACGATATGAGCTTGAACCAGTGGCCGAGTGCCAGGCAGCCTGCATCCTCCACAGTTTCGTCTTGTCATTTCCTGACTGAATCTCTTTCGCACTCTGCAAGAAGTCGGCAAGCTCTTTTTCAGGTACATAGTAGGCCAGACTCGTGTCTTGGGAAATATGGGTCAAAAGGTTCGAGGTACTGGGTACAGAGATGGCAGTGATGTTTGAGGGATGAGGAACGTATTTCGGAGTAGACTGACCAGCATAGTCAGGGAACACAAATGTTGTCAAGGCGTAGTGTTGTGCTCGTGCTTGTGCTAATGCAGTGTCTGCATCCTCCAGGGTACGCCATTTCCAAGCGGTATTCTTGGACAGTTCTAGAGTACGGCTCCCTTTGAGCAAGGAATCTATATCCACCTTCTCGTTATCCGCAGCAACCTGCACACCTGTATCAAACAAACTCTCTTGCAACAAGCCCACGTACGAAGTGCTCGCAAGCACAGCAATAATGACCAGAGTGAAAATAGGTGAGGACAAGCTCAGTCTAGAAACAGAAAGGAGTGTGGACGTGATTGCCTCGTAAAGGCGACCATTGTTGCGGCCGATGTCGCGTAGCTGCTTCGGCAAGAGGTAAGAACCTCGCATGGTGAAGGTTTGTGGGGAGAAGCGGTGAATGGTGAAGGAGGAAATGCAGGATCGGTAATGTGGAGGCCTAGCTCATACCGTCGGGCAGAACGTGTCGACAACCGAGTGACGACGGTGAGCAATCGAAGTGCTCTGTTCGTCCTGTTCAGGAGGTTGTGTATTGATTAATGCAACACTGCTTTGTGCTGTAAGCAGTCCGTACTTTTTGCTACAACTCTAAAGAAGCAGTACCAGTACCAGTAGGGATAGTGAAGTGCACCCTATCGCACGGTCAAGGATTGCTGAGGGACTGGAAGCGAAAGTGACAGCGTCGGGTATACTCAAAGATGTAGCAACTGCCAGTGTCTCGACATGCTATTGACAATTCCATTGCAGCTTCTCTGCGCCGTTGAACAATCCTAAATTTTGGGGATTTAGTGGCGGCCAAAAGCCTCCATGCGATGCAAGAAAGCCAGTCAACCGACCAACCAAACGCCAGCTCGTGGGATGCTCCTTCTCGGCTTCCACAAATGCAGGTCGTGCCACCTGTACAGATCTATTCCAAGCCTGGTTTGGTGCCAGCTCCCCGTCTCTCGGAATGGCTCAGACTGGTTAGGCACTGATTTCTGCTATCCACATTCTGCAGGAACCATCAATCGTCCCCACGCATAGCTCGGAGTTTCTAGTCAGTCAGGGAAAAACTTTCGTGTTGCACCAAAATGATTTCTTCGACAATGGGTACGATAGCCTATAAGAACTCGACGGTCAATATGATACCTGCATAGATGCCTATATCAACTACGTCGGAAGGCGCTTGGGTTCTGTGTCATGCCTAGCTGTAGCGTGAGAGTGATAAGCCACATGTGCGGTGTCGTCATTCCCAGTATCGTGCAAGTTTATTCCTTATCCTCTTTATCTATGTCGCGGCCAGTCAGAGACCAGATCAACAGACTGAATATCCTCAAAAAGTAGAAGAATTTTTATATTCAGGGTATCAAAACGTAGATTTGTACATAAATTCATTATCATAAGCTCATAATTGGCATAAATTCCCAGCTGCCCGCCCTGCAACACAAAATCAGGCGCATTGTGTACTTCTGCGGCATAACAGAATAAAAGTGTTCTTGTCGAACAGAGTTTCCCCATCTTCTTCCTTACCACCTGCTATCGCAACTCCTTTCTTTGCGACCTTCGTCGACTGAGTTGCGGCAACAGGCCAGGTCAGGCCAGCCAATAAAGCCAGGCACCTCAAGACGCCATTCTCTCGCTTCAGGTTCAGCTTAAGCAGGAACGCTGAGGAATGGGGTTCTGAATAAAAGGTTCCATACTCTTCTGGCGCGTAAGGAACCAGAGGAGTTGGCAGTGACATGCTCCGAATGGGTTGTTCAGGCTGCTACATCCTGTTCGTCGTGCGGGTTTTTGTGGTCGCAGCTCGTACACGATTTGGTGTTGTGCGCTGTCAGTAGATTATGCACAAGACGTCGAACGTCCAGAGTGTCATTTCAAAATGCCAGTGTGGTTGATTTCGTCAAATCGTAGTATTGGCTTCTTGTCGAGTGCAATACGGGTGCACTGCAAGGAACGAAGTCCACCTCAGAGAAAGTAAATGCTGAAGGTCCAACAATACGTGATGGCCTATAGCGGTGATCTGTGTGTACGTACGTCCCTCATATAGACATGCAACACATATTCTGGGAAAGTGATTCGAGGTGTCAATGGTTCTTGTTTTCGCGGATTCACAATGCCTTCACTCCACCTCTTCGATTCGAAATAGCTGAGACACTTCCAAGTCTACAATCAGCTCTCTTGCATTGTTTGTCCAGTAGTGGTCTTCGCCTTTCGTGTCAAGAGAGAACTGTAGTGCTTCACGAGTCTGTGCAATGGCAAGTTGGACATTTCCCAGCTGAGCATTGCTCTTAGCCACAAAGTACATCGCACCGTATTTGATATCTGCCAGCCAAGGCTCGTTGACGAGGGGATCCGATAAGATGGCCATGTACAAGTTCAGGGAACCCATGAAATCGCTGGCGACAAATTTGCATCTTGCCAACGAAGACAACCTGAGCAGGTTCTGAAGCGAGCTTGAACCGAACGTGTGCTCAACTGCAGCCAAGTCGTGAGCAAGAAGCATTTCGGCGCTTTTGTGCATGCCAAGATCAGTCAAGACGCGACTGTGAAGGCGCGCCAGCTCTAATGCAATGCCGTGATGAGGACCTATGCTTTCATTGAGTCGTTGTGTCAGCATCCTTACTGTAGCCTCCAGCAACCACGGACCCTGGTCGTTGGTTTGTCGCAAAAACTGGATTAATTGAGCTATGGGATGGCCTGACCAAACATCGTTCGCCCAGTGCGCCATCTCCCTTAGAAAGCTGCTTGCGGATGCGGCTCGATCCGGGTTAGACATGTTGTCATTCAACAGCAAGCATAGTGAGATGAGTAGCCAAGGATCTCCCCTTTTCAGCATGTCCGCAAATGTGAACCGAGCTTGTTTGCTGAGTGCGAGCGCTTGTGATGCTCTGTTCTGCTGTTGCAGGGTAGCTTTGGTGCAAAAGATGTCCCAGAGCTTGTTGAAGCGGCGATTAGCTAGAGATTCCACCGGCTCGTGAGGCATCGAGCTTAACGTTATGTCGCAGAAATTGCGCACACCGAAGAGGAAAGACTGAGTTGCAAACTGAAGTCCAGGAGTTAGTAACAAGTTGGGTGATACTTCAAAATCACCCGTAGGCACCAAAGTCAGCTCTTCTTTCACCTCTTCACAATCTGCCATCTCAACATCTCCATCAGGCTCTTGAGAAACTGTTCTGTCGTCGTTGATCCATCGCGCGTCCGGGAAGAGGCTGCCGCCATATTGTCTCTCTTCGACTGGCGAGCCAAGCAAGTCGTTTCCCGAATAAACGATTCCAGGCGATAAGACATTCGATTGAGGTTGACACACACTCCACGTGTTCATCTTCTTCTTTCGTTTCAGATGCCTTTCAGCATCTTCTGCTGTGACGATCCTTCCACCGATGGTGTGTGCTCGATGAACACCTCCGTCTTGTGCTGCCGCTCGGAGGATGTCACCAGCATCCTCATCCTTGATATATTTTTTCAAGTGCCACTTCTTGATGCGGGTCTTATACATCTTTTCCGTTGCATAGAAGCCCTCCTCGCGAAGAGCTTCCATGGTTCGCTCTAGTGTCAGTCCTTCATCAATGTAATAATGAACAATACGTGGTTTCATGGCCTCCCATGAATCCTCCGGGTATGTTCGTCGGGAGTTGACCCCATTCGGTATCGCCATGATGGTTAATTAGTTACATGGACTTGACACCTTCAGCAATTCAGTGTTAGTGATCAGACATCTATCAGAAAATCATCGAGACGGGAGTTGAAGTGTTGAAGTAGAAGTATTCGTCAGCCAGAATGTTCCCATGACAAAAAGGCCTGGCCGCACAATAGGCGCTAAGCAAAAGTGCCGCTAGTCCTCAACAAGAACCGGTGCAGCGACTGACCAACCGGTCAGGACCTTCATGGTCGAAGGAGCTCGTCAAGACACATGATGGAATCAAACACAAAACTCGAAACGTCATTCCAGTACGTTGACCTGGTCCATGCCATTGCTACCTTGGACGAGCACATGAGCGAAGAAACATCGCGTCCCAGATCGAAGGGTTTCGAGTTCCTACTCACTCTATTTCTGGAAGGTACAGCGATGCCCACGACTGAGTGTCAACTCATCAGCACAGCCCCCCACCTTTTCGCCTATCAGTGGTCAGCTCTGCCGAGAGTATGCGCCAACCGCTTCAAGGTGTTCGCGCATCGCGTGCATGCTGCTTAGCGATCGCATTGTGGTGGAAAGGACTTTTTGTCGTTCGTGTCTGTACAGTATGCAGAATGTTGGCTCAGATTAATCTCGTCATTGTGAGAAGACGATACTCGAGTATAGCATCACAAGATGTATGCCGTCATCAGAACTATTTCGTTTGCTACGAGTACGACAAGGATAGCACTGCCTGTGCAGCTACCATTCATTGGCCAGCTTTTCACAGTGTATGGTCCTACACGTCCTCCTATGATCGCCTTTAGCCTTCTCGTATGCTCTATCGCCGTGAAAGGCAATGCTACGTGAAGCAAATGCAATATGTGCTATGCCGAGGTCGTTTGTCTTCATGTGCATGACTCTGAAAATGTCTCACTATCTGGCTGTCTCGAATTCGACCACAATAAAAAATTTGCAAACATTTTGCCTTGACTTGAGCCTGATCTTAGCTTATTCCCAAGACAATCGGCATTCCACTCCTGAAGGCTCGTTTAACTTTCAGTGTTTAACAGAAGTGTGATATGCCAAACTGGTTCCAAAGCTCCGAGGAGCATACAACCAATGCAGAGAGGTTCTGAGACTCTGTATGCGGTCATCTGTCGTCGTTCGACTTTGACAGCAGGCCGCTCTCTGACGATGTGCAAAGATATCTGATCTGTCGAAACATGTCTCGTTAGGGACCGGGAAAGCCGCGCGTGGTCTTGTGATATACTAGAGAATCCGCCATGGTCCAATAGAGTTGCTTCTACCAATTTCATCGCTTCGGTATACGAAATGGATGACCTCCAGTACTAAGCACATAATCGTCCAGACTAATGACTTCGGGCGCTGAGAACATTAAGTAGAGGTACTTCAATGTACCGGATAACCAATAGCTCTGCAAAATGTTAGTGACGACTCCAGTAATGCTGAAGGAAAAGCTTGCCTCGGAAAATTCGCGTTGCTGTAGTTTGCCCTTGGTGGTTACATCAGCAGCTACCCTGTTGCCATCGTCGGTCTCAGTAGCTTTTTGGATTTCCTGAAAAATCTTCCACGCGTTGTCGCGGTACTCCTGGTGTCCTGTAATCCTGTACAAAATGAACATACTTTCGATTGCCTCAGGGCGCAGAGTATAGGATGGATCACGAGCGCTGACGAAGCCCATCGGGAGATCTTCGCGGCCTTCGTAGGTGTTGTCTTCAATCGATTTTCGCCATCTTGTTTCGTCCCATTTGCAGCCATCGAGCTCACAAGGTACCATAGTAAATGCTTCAGGCATGACACCATGTGGAAAGGCCTTGTGAGTCCACATGCAGCCGTTAGTCAACCGTGCTCCAAGATTGACGTGTTCCGTAACGTTGAATATTTTGCCAACGAGTGCGAACATACCGCCTGCAAAACAAGCTAAGTGCTGAATTTCTGGGTCCAGCGGTTCTTTGTTGGCAACACGAAACGTGCCAGGGAAGACGACATCCAACTTTCTTGGTGTCATAGGACGAAATAGAAGCGTTCTGACTATTGCTTCCGAAGCACTACGGTACATTTCTTCATATCTGCTGTCTGTGCCACCAAGTAGAGCATACATTTTGACAATGTTTTCATATGTGACACCAGATGAAACGCCGAGGCTAAAGACGTTGTCGTGGTTGAAAGTCGTGTCCTGCAGATCAAAATACGAGGGCCACATCCCAACCACCTTGGTAAGGTTCTGCCAATCATGTAAAACGTTTACGATGCGCGCAACCGCATCGTAATATTTAGCATTCTGTGCAACCTGAGAAAGGCGAGTGAACTCGAGAAATAGCCCTGTTGCTGATGCTGCCGGCTGGTTCTTTTCCGCTACGAGCTGACCATTCTTAGCCTTCTCAAGATCCAGCCAAACTGATGGCATGCGACTCGGGGTGTCGAAGGCCATATACAGCATGTCGCCTAGCTCTTGCGCTTTCGCTAGTAGTGACGCCTCTCTGGAAAGGTCGTAGGCAGATAACAGGCCCCCAAGATACCGTGTGGTTGTTTCAAGTATTTCTATCGCCCTACGAGACGTTGAGCTCCAATCGATCTGGGCTATCACTCTTACCGCCTCCTCAAATTCTTTCTTCATATCCATGATCCACAAGGTATCGAGGGAGTCATTCAGCGTTGCAGCGTATGGACTGAAGGGATCGTGAAGTGTGATCTATGAGGTGGCTCGTTCCCTCGGCCCCAGTTCTCGCTGCCTATACCCTGTCCATGACTTTTCTGCAACCGTTCTGACAGCTTTACATCGTGCATACTCCACGCCGATACCATAATGATGTGGCTTGCCAAAGACGTATTGAATGCGTCGCAACCCGTGCGGAGCTTGGGTAGGTAACGGTTCTAGCAATGCAACGGGGAAGTGAGGGCTGAGGGTTGACCAGTCAAAACTGCTTCGTTCGATGTCGATGGGCGCTTCTGGATGGTAGAAAGATCTTTCAAATAGATGAACGAAGGCAAGCACCACAGTAGCGACAAAGACCCATCGAATTGTCCGGGGCGATGCAAAAGTGAATGCTGTATCTGGCATATCTCAATAGAGCTCACGGCAGGATGCAATCGAGAAGGAAGAAACAACACGAAGATAGTGCTCGCTGCTTCAGCAGTGCACCGCAGGACACGCGAAGCATTTGTGCAAGGACGTTAGCCAGGTGCATACCTGATTTGATGTGCACATCCATGGCGCGTTCGACAGTCAGCTCGAGGCACCAGGAGCTTCGAGGTCGATGGAATAGCCTGACGATCCGGCACGATGAAGCACCACTTCTGGCCTGTCTTGGTACCTGGGGCTAAGCCCGAAGCATTTCCGCCCCCATGCCAGTGCTTGCGAGCATCAAGAGATTCAAGCCGGGACATTGGTTTGAAGCTGAAGAGTACTTATCAGGTCCTAAGAGAGTGCTCCAAACCTGAACTTGAAAGTTGAGATTCAAGGTGTGGAGAAAATGCAAGGTTGCGACGTAGGACACCAAAAAGTGCAAACAACTTCTGTGCATCCCGACATCATGGTTACTCAGTGCACCAGCTCGCTGGCAGCGTCATCTTCATTTTCATAATTTTGGCCAACTATTTGCTGTGCGCCTGAAATGGGACTTTGGCAAGTCCGAGACTCCTGAATATAAACAGGGCAGGGCTGCATGATGGAAGATGCTGATTGGCGATGATCATCCCTGCAATCGCTCAATCTCCCACAACGTGCTGCTTTGGTGCAAAGGCTACCGACTGGTATTGTCGCAGTTCATCCCTGGCAGAAGATGTCTGTGCCACAAAGTCTTGATTATCTGTGCGGTGTGGCCAGACGAATGTCGATGTTGCTGTTCCTAGGCTCATAGAAGCATGGTAGGACTATACTTCACCGTCCATCAGCGAAGATATCCAGATGGGTGTTCGTTGAAGATATGAGCAAATACTACATGACATACCGTGCACATGGCGAAAGGGCTTTGGCAGCATTTACGCGTCGTCCATTCATCTCAGCCACTGCTCTGCTCGGGTTGTTCTGTACAATTTTATGGTATCAAAAACCATTCAGCACCCTGCGTAATCAGGATCGGCGCTCTGGATTTGATGGCCAGTGGCACTCAGCAAGAGACAAGAACAATTTGATGCTCGACGATAGTCAATGTACTGTTGCTTTTCCAAGATTGTTTGAAGAGGTTTCGAGGGCAGTGGAGGGTCGGAAACTCAGTCATATCACCAGCGAAGAACTCGACGAAATTGAGCCCAAAAATGGCTATGTCAGGGCCATGATTTACGATCAAGGACTTTATGTGATTCAAAAACAGGGCGCGATATATTCCCGAGAGCTGAGCACTCTTCACGCCATCTACCGCGCGATACTCACCTCGCCGCTTCCTCTGCCGAACATTGAGTTTGTATTCAACACAGACGACATAGTCTTCGAACCTCAACCGCTCTGGGCTTACGCTCGAAAAGCAGAACATAACCATCTCTGGCTAATGCCGGATTTTGGTTTCTTCTCCTGGCCTGAAACACTGGCAGGCTCTATGCGCGAAGTTCAGCTGAAGGCTGTAGAAGAGGAAGACATAAGGCAACATCCGTGGCACAATAAGATCGAAAAGGTCTTGTGGCGAGGCGCAACCATGGGCCTTGCACTAAGAGATCGTCTGCTGTCGGTCACAACTGGGAAAGAGTGGGCGGATGTTGTGGCCTTGGACTGGCACGACAAGGACAGCATGCAACATGACCTCAAAAGTATGCCCGAGCACTGCGACTACAAGTATCTCGTTCACACAGAAGGCAACTCGTACTCTGGCCGCCTAAAGTATCTGCAAGCCTGTCAATCCGTTGTCATCGCACACAAGATGGACTGGATTCAGCATTACTTTCCGTTATTGGAAGCCACTCGTGGGCCCAACCAGAACTACATTGAGGTTGATCGTGATTTTGACGAGCTCGAATCCACGGTCGATCGTCTACGTAGAAACGACAAAGAGGCTCGGAAAATTGCCACGAATTCAGTGAGAACATTTCGAGAACGGTATCTAACAGCCGCTGCGGAGGCTTGCTACTGGAGACGCCTCATTCGTGGTTGGGCCGAAGTCAGCTTCGAACCAGAATTCTACAAGCTTGTCAATGGCACGAAACAGTGGAGGGGTCTGCCCTTCGAGAGCTTTGCTCTTGAAAGACGACTTGAATGGGACCCTTACTGAAAGATCTGCTAATTTGAGGGTTTTCAGTTTTTGTGATCCAGGGGATCGAAACGCCTGATGTAGGCCAAGCAATTCTTTCCAACCACCACCTGCCCACGGCATCACCTTGCTGTCGCCATAGCTAAGGTTTGAGAAAGCCTGGTTGACAGCCAGTTGAACTATAAGAGCGTCGCGCGCTGATAGGGCTAGGATTCCAAGGTCGTGGTCATCGAGTATCACAGCCTGGATCGTGTTGGACCAGCAAGCGAATATTGAAAGCTGGTTCAACAGAGCCGTAGAGTCATTAGCATTCTGATCAGCGCTTATGAGATCAATCCAGCAATACATGCCCGGAGCAAGCGCAGCTATGTCGGGATGAGCCACCGCTACGAAGAGCATGTGACATGGAGGTGAAATATGAACAATTCTCGTCTTAGTGCTAATGAGCAAAATGGTGTTCTGAAACCAAGGTCGAGACCTTGGACAATTGGGGGAGTACTGGGAACTCGATATGTAGAGCAGGAGAAAGGATAAATGTAGGCATGACAAAAATAAATACATCACGGTACCATCCATATGAAGAATGTGCTTAACTTGGTCTGGTTTGCTAGCAGGGCTGCTATTCTGACTCAAAACGAGAAGACCGTCCTTTAATGGACGAAATATAGCACAGATCTTCTCACAGCTTCGAAGAGTCAGGGTAATTGTAAGGACATAGACTATTAGGGTCGTTTGAGTACAAGAATCGGCACAAAATATTGTTTGATTCTTGCCATGCCTGGCACAATCTTCACACCGTCCACGTTTTAGACGACTTGAGCAACAGTAGCTAGCGCAAACAACTGGGAAATGCAGAATTGTTTCTCTCTCGAAACCGAAAGTTTGTCTGCCAAAGGCATGGATTCGCATGTGAGAGAGAGACTAGGATCGTATAGTGAGAAATCCGTATAATGTCAACTCTGAATTTCGACGCCTGGAAAATGGCTATATGCATTGTATACCCCTGCTTTTGTCTGAATATCGATGTGACCTTCGGACCGTCTATGAGTACAAACAAATCATCTCAGCACCACTTGCGCTAGATCAAATCCACCTCCTGCCAGACTCCCAAGCACCAGGATGTACCGCCTAGTGTTCATGGGATGCCTCGCCGTGGTAACCAACAAGCTTAAATCTTCCGATCATTTCGCCAACAGTAAAAAATCCAAGTACTTGGGCTAGTATGATTGCGTAATCGGTCAAGTGGGTGCTGTTGGTGTTTCGTGCTTGATGTAGCATTTGCTGTCCAGATCCTTCAGGGATCGCACTGGTGATAGATCTTGGGTTTCGCAGGACGTTCGTCACAGGTTGGAAGAAGGACTGAAAAGTAGAGATCGAGCTAGCAAACGTTAAGACGATCCAGATACTCGAGCAAGGTCAACTTACGGAGGAGTCATTTTCTGGTGCTGTACCATCAGTCTGGCCAATTCGAGGCCAACTCTAGTGTAGTGAATCGTGGGTGGTATTAATGCTAGTTCCAATCAGTCCAGGTCTTTCCAACGACAAAAACGACGCGCCATACATTCGACAAACTTGATCGCCCTGCCTGTCCGGCCACCAATTCTATTCAACGCAGCGCTTGCGGATGAGGCAGCATTTGAGATGGAAGACCCTGCGGAGCTCTGGACTCTGGTAAGTCCCTCCGAAGCCTTCGATACAGACGCTTGAGCAGAATCTTTTGCAGAGGAAGCGGCCTCGCTAGCCTTTTCAGCAGTCGAGGCCTGTCGAAATTGTGGCCGTCGCAGGAGGTTTCGACTGTGTCTGATAAGAGCGCGTGAGCTAGACATGCTTGCGAGGGTGGACGACGGTTTGGATAGTGACAAGAGATGTCGTCGGGTAGGTGAACAGTACCCGCAGCTTGACTATACGGTTGGAGGTGTTGGAATGAAATCTGCCCGATTGTGGTGTAAGCTGTCTCAGCAACAAGTTGAGCTTCGCAAAAGCTCGGGGATCCACGCCCGAACTCCTATTGGATACTTTGCGGCAATCTCTTCGAAGCTGCACATTCAATGAGGCTCTACAAAAAAACAATCCAAGACGATCTTGTCTGGTTGCTATGATTGACTATTCTCGTGTCTTCCGCTACGCTCATGGATCTGAGTCAAAGCGTAGAACGCGTGGTGGACTATCTTCTAGGCTCATAAGGGGATTTTGCGGCACCGGTCAACTACAAGCAGCAAACCACACGACATCCTAATCTGCTACTATGTCCATTGTATGGGTGCTGTACTTACCTTTACCTTCGACTCGAATAGATGCGTCGATGGCTCAAAAGCAAAATCGTTTCAAACTTCCAACGGATACCAGGAATGTGTGAGGTGAAACGACTGGTATCGAACTACTCTCAGTCCGCCTTCCGCGCGATGGGCCCCGTCGCCCCCTGCCTAAGTCTTCAGATTTTGCACCTACTAATATTCACATGACTGCAGGTCGTGTTATTCACCCACGTCTTCTTTCATGAGTCTTTGCATGTCTACCAGTCCTTAGGCGTTGTGCTTGCTGTTTGTCATTCGCGTACTTGCTTCGGCGTTCTTGTTGCTTCTTTGTTGTTTCTGACACAGGTCGCGGTTACTGACTGACTGCCAGGCTGCCACACCAGCCTGTCAACTTTTCGCATCAATCAATGCCTCAATCCCCACGCTGTTCTTTTTGAAGCGAGGAAATATGCCTCGTCATTTCTGTTGTCAATTTTGTCGGTTTTGGCACCACTGAAGGATGACCTCGAGCAATGCAAAGGCGCACAGGCGTAGTCTGAAGGAGTGCCTCAAGGCCATTCTTCCCCGTCGCCAGGACAACCATAATCACCTGACCCCTACGACTGAAGCTAAAGACGGTCCATCGCCTTTGCTCTTACCTACCTTTGGCAGTCTCTCAACTCTTCCTGATTTCAATTCGACCAAACTCGATATTGATGGCTATAGCGTCTCGGGTTTAGAGGATGACGACAGTGCTTCAAACAGAAACCAGACACCAAGGGCCTTTAGGCGTATTGTTCTTGCCAGCAGATCCAACTTGAGCCTCAATCAATCTGTTACTCAGGAAGCCTACCAGTATCAAATCGGTCTTGCGAGCTTGGCACAAAGATGCAGTACTGTGAAAGATCAACGTCTAGACCATGACACTGAACAGCACTCTCCAAATGCCACCAATATTCGGAGCACCCGATCTGTTGTTCTTGCGCCACCAAAGGCAGGCGGTGTTCTGCCTAACTCATTGAACTTACTGTCACCACTAAGCCAGCTTGCTCATGCGTGCAATGTGCCAAGCATCTATCGCCAGGGAACAAGCTTACAAGCAAGTCTTGCGACCTTACCGTCAGGTATAAGAAGCGCTTCGACGTTGAGGTTGCAACGGTCGACGCAGGACTTGCGTTCCGATACACAGCAATACGCAGACTCTCCTCGACAAGAAGTTGCAACCGATCTGTGTATTGACGGATACCTGCCTGTGAAGCACCCAGGGCAGCACGATCCGCGAGACTGTCCCAGTGTCAACAGACCTGTCAAAATTCCTGATGTTGTCTCCAGATCACGCCGATCCGTTGAGGAGTCAAGCGAGATGCCTTCCACCTTATCAAGCATCAACCACTTCTCATCATTCTGTGTCTTAGACGCGGCGACCCCAGGATGCCCGATCACAGCAATATCGGCGGATCTACGAGAAGTGCTTGATATTGGAGAGCCGTTCTGTCTGACCAACGCAGCCATGGGTGAAATTGATATGGATACGATCGCAGGACAGGACCCGGAGGGCAACATCGTAGTTCATCTTGTTGTCTACAACCCCTTGGTCAATCCAAGTAGTGGCCGTAGCCGATTTATACTGGCGGCTCTGCTAGATATCACCCCTCTAATGACTGACAGCAGTCCGGTACCGGATTTGGAAACCATATCCGAGGAGTCAATGGTCGATGAGATATTGTCGACACCACCTCCACTACTAAGAAGAAGTCACGAACCAACGTTGCCTCAGCACAGCTTGTCCTCTGGAGACTTGTTAGAGGGATATTGTTCAGCGGATGAGCTTGCGCATATCTTCAGGCCTTCAAAAGACGATATCTGGCTCGACATTGCTGTTGAGGAGACGCGAAGATCTGTCAAATCTGTTCCTGGTACGCCAGAATTCGAAAGCAGTGCATTGCATTCAGGTGACGACATTCTTGATCAGTTTCTCGTCAGCTTGCGGGGGCTGTATTTCGAGTTTTTCCTGCTAGGCAAGTCGCCTTTGGACGAATCTTCATACGAAATATGCAACGTTTCACCCGCAGTATTCGAGCGCCGTGAGTATATTGAAGGGCATCTTACACAGACCGCACCATTGGACAGGGCGTATCTGGAGAAAAACTTAACTCAAGCAAACAACTTCAATATGGCAGTTCGCTGGGGTAGAGAAGGCATCCTCAAGCAGCTCTACTGCATTCCACTATTTGGGCGAAGTAACGTCACCTGGGTATGCTTTTTGGTAGACGTCGAGCTTGCGCGATCCTTGGATCTCGACTAGTTTTCAACAGGCTCACGTCGTGCTGTAGTAGCATCGCTTCGGACAAAGCACATCGTTCTTACCTTCGCGCCGATTGTGGTGCCAGTACACAAGCTAAATCGAATGCGGAAGGTGCGGCGGTTATCTTGAAAGTCCCAAGAAGAGTAGTGCTCCGAGGTGCATAGGAATGGCCACCAGTCCGCCGTTCGCTTGCACGATACGACCGCAGTGTAAAAGCAACAATTGGTCCGAACGAGAGAGCTCTGGCTTACAGACACTTCAATACAACTTGCTCTCGCGACAGAACTCCAGCCAAATGTCGCTCTCGTTCACGCACCGCTTACGAAGGATAGCTCATGTAGAGCATGGTCGTTGTTTTTGCTTGAAGATGGCCTGCTGCTCTTGCACTTGAAAAACACCGTGAATCTAGTAGGGCCGAGGAATTCCAGGCTACTTCCAGGCTTGGAGTGGCGGAATCCAGGCTTGTCGCAAGCAATTCCTTTGACCTATGACGGCAATGGAATAGTATGGAGACACGCTAGAACAATACAACCTTGGCCTTGAAAGTGTTACCACAGCTGTAAGAGGTTAGTTGCTCACATTTAGCCGCTTGTTGGTCATCGGCACTTTGCCTTCACCAGACGAAGGCTGAGCGTTTCCGGCACATTGGCAAATAGGAACGCCTGAAGAGGATAATTATTTGCGTACCCGTCGCGACTGGCTCCATTTCGTTGGCGAAGACATTGTTGGTGGACCATCTGCACAAAGCCATCTCAACACTCAAGGTTGCGTTATCCGATCAAGAGCCATGCCTGTCACGAAACTTGTCTCATAGTCACGGTACTTGCAACGTCCCATCCTTCGGGAATTCAGGCGCTGTCACCCATGTTTCCTACATGGTTGTCTAGCGAAGCCACGTTTATAGTGCCAGATCCATTCTTCTTAGAAAGTTCTGTTCTATGGTTCATATCATATACCGTCCTATCCGAAGCACTTGAGTCGATATCTTCTCCTCTACTGCTATCAACGTCAACAAATTGCCATAAAGTGACCTGTATATTACTCTGCACACGTTCGTGTTGAAGGAGATTCATCCGATAAAATGTTCAACGAAAACTTCTCATTCGCGAGTCATGCCGCGGAGCCACTGTCGACCAGTACCGATATTTCTCCATACAATTCTCGAAGCTCTTCACCACATCACATAGGTGTTCCAGTTGAAGTTCGACATACGAGGTCATATCGAGACACACGATACGACACTTATCGACCCCGGCATCCATCAATTACTGCCTTGACCGCACAGCTTGAATCACATGCTTTGGCAGAGCGAAAGCTATCATATACATCCGACTTTCAGGACGAACTATCTCCGTCTGAAATTCGGTCCGCAGTAGACCAGGACGAAGGGTATTATGAAGGACCAGAAACTCCTAATACGGTTGCATCAGACGATTTTGACCCAACATTATATGATCTCAGCATGTCTGACTTCAGCATGACTTCGTCACCCAGACCATCCCTCTCGCTAGAAGCCCAAGCATATTCGTCTCATAGTGTTCGGAGGCGACAGCGACAAGCACTTATCAGACTACAATGTCTAGCACACAGAACACCAGACCTAGCTATGCTCATTGAGGAATGTCACCCAAGCTCACTGCCAATGCCGAGTGAAGTGACACCAAGATCGGGAAGCACCTGTTCTATCTCGGCTGGACGTGTCGAAAAGGAGAGGAGGCGCAGCAGTGCAGTGGTCAAGAAATCACCGCGAATGAGGAAGCAAAGGTCTTGATGCACAGGATCAATGTTGGAGGTCTGGATTGGCGGCTCGGCTGATTTTGGAAAGATTCGGGCTGGCTGAAGACGAACCTCTTCTTGTGGCTTTTGTTAAAATATGATACCCTCGATAGCGTTTGATTGAACCGCAAAAAGGACAATAATGGACTAAGTGGACCCTAACTATTCTTGCATTTGAGTCTACTCGTTCATGCAAGCTGTCATTGTTGTCTTGATACACTTCGTACTAGAACCCAGTAACGTCTCATCAGATTGACGAACTCTTCGGACTTGAATGCCGAACCTAAGTCCTACAGATGAGTTTGGTTCAGCCCAGGCAACCAGGAGTCGTCCGCGAGATTGTCAAGGTCAAACCTCTGAACGCATTCACGACATCCTCACTGCTACCAAGAAACTAACGATTACAGCTGAATACAGATCGCAGGCTGTATGCTTCTTCTCCCGTTTCCCCACGTGCTGTTCAGGATGATCTCGAGATCGGAAGAGCTTGCCTACCTCGTGGGACTGACCAATGACACTTCCGGCCGCCACGCACGTTCATGCAAGCCACGAGGAGTTCGTCACAGTTCAGACCGGGCCTAGATCCCCACGAAATCTCCTTCCCGGTTAGGCCCGAAGAGCTGTTCCAGGACATCGGAGAGAGCAGCCTCTGGCTCATCAAGCCACAGCGGAAGGAGTTCCTTTCGGAAACTATCCAGAAGAGCAATTTCATTGTGCATGATGGACACTCAGCTAGATATGCATGTCGTGAACCTGTATGACGACATAAGGAGCTTGATAGTTGAACCAATGAAGCATAGCCTCGAGCATGTCTTGTCGAGCATGAAGCATCAGTTATTGCTCGAGATAATACAGTTAAGAGGATCGAGCAAGGTGGTCATTCGTATTGCCCATTCGAGTCTCATCGTCTGAACAGACTATTTCGAGGTTGGCAAGGTTGTCGCAAGCAAGCCCTAATTTTGGAACTTACCTCATTGATAGCGCTGGCTAGTGCCTACCAACGCTCTGCGGTAACGAACGGGAACATGCCGTACGAACCACTTGAATCCTTGTCGTGCCGCAGGTCTAGGCATCAGGCATGGCTCACTCGACCCGTACCAGTTGTTGGAAGTTGGTCGGTTAGTCTTGCTGTCTTTCGCACTGTATGATATTGCCGGCGGCAGACTGCCTGCAACTGGCGTGGTGCTCACCCGTGCCGACGGTGAGCATCGAGCTTGCCTACTACTGGTACTACTCGAGCAGGAGGCTGAGCCTGCCAAGCCTACGTTGCTCGAAAAGCCGAAGTTGAACCATAGAGGTGTCCACCATGAGCTGTTCCAAGGCTTGGCGTCTTGTGCGCAGTCATCAAATCGCGAAACTGAGTCCTTTAACCTGGCTGCAGTGCTTTGATTTCTTGACATCGTCGCTCCTCCAATCGCCGCGTTCTTTGCTACACGCGCTCGAAGCTCCAACGGTTCTCAATCCTCTGTTGAGCTCAGCCCACCTTGCAAATGAGAAATTCGGAGTAATCTTCACCCTGTCCGCAAGGACATCCACCTCATGTTCTCTTCGAGGGCAGAGCCCGGAACTATGCGCAAGCGTCCGCCGTGTAAACGGTCGTGGCTGGCATCAGAAATTCAGCACGCTTCTACGGAAGTGGTTATGCTATGGGAGAGCCTGCACGAGGATTGCATATGCTTGGCTTGCCAGGTGTGATGCTTTAGTGCAATCGTGGCGGAGTTGCAGTTCATCTGCGACTTAATTCGATTCTGATTACTCTGAAGGAGCGACGACCGTCCTCTTTTTTTTTCAGGTCAGTACATGCTGTTAAACTGAGGAGGACAAAGATGTGGCTGACTGTGGCCCACCCCCATGCGTAGTATCAATCAGACTGTTGTTGCTTCGCCTCGCTTGACCCGAGCGTCATACCGGAAACGGCTGTGCGGACATAAAGAGATGAGATACAAGCATCAAATGACACATTTCATTGCATCAAGCTGTCTGACGAGCCTGCACACGCAAAAACGACGATTGTGATGTCCTGCTGATGCTTTAGAGCTCACTGCTTCCTTGTTGCTCCGATTTAGCGGCGAATTGTTTGAACGTGTCCAGATCGACTTTCCTCAACGCACTGTCCTCTGTCGCGTCCAAATCCACCTTGGGTACTCCGTTCATACCAATCCTTCCATCTTTATAAGCCGAGAAAGCCTCCAACCATCGAGAAGTGCAGAGACACCACTTGCAACCCTCTTTCAATCCCACCACGCGAAGGTCGTTGCCCTGCGACGCTGAATAGTCAAGAAATTCCTCTGTCACAACACCTGCCACAGCATGGTTCCCAAAGTCTGCGGCTCCAGTGCGGCAATATCCATCTCGATAATAGCCAGTCATAGGTTGCTTAGAGAAAAGCCGTAGTGGCTGCTTGAATACTGCTTCTGTTAGCGAAGAACAGATTAGAAGCAACGAAGAGGGTGCACAGACCATTGAGTGGATTATTCGACATACTGTCTTGTATCTCAGCGTTGATTTGTGATGAAAAGAGCAGCACAAAGAAGTATAATATTGCTGAGAGCCTCATGATGAACACGATGAGGAGCAATTCAGACGCTTGAGGAGGAGTATGATTCGCAGTTATGTTCTCCCCAACTCTGACGTCACCACATATTGCTTGCTTATCATACAATACACACAAAATGTCCGTGCATTACCACGAGAGCTCATCGGAATTTTGTCTTGAACGAGTCGCTCTTTGCCATTGTCTCAAGATGAGCACCTCGATAACTAGTCCGACCAACTCCTCGATAATCTCAATCATTACACATGCAGAATGTGGCTACCACCAGTTGAGCTGTTGGAAAGTCACAAAGAAAACACTTGCTTGTGTGAAGAGTTGGCGGTCTCGATATTCATAACTAAGCAAGCAGGTCTGTCGTGGTACAATTTGACTCAATTGGATTCGCGCAACTTTCGCATTCTCTTGCTCTAGCCCTACACCTCGAAATGTTCACACTATACTTTCCGCCAATTTCCAATGTCGTGATCTTGTACGTTTTCCACTAATACAAACAGTTCAGCCCAAGTCCAGTCGACTTTGTTTAACCCAAAGTCAAAAATGCTACAACCACACTCTTCTGGTTCACATTCATATGTCGCGCAGTTGCAAACAACGATGTCTCAATTGCTTCATTCTCTGAGTGGCGCATTAATGTCTGCCACCTCGCTTATGGGCAATGGGCCAACACAACAAAGACCAGTGTGTTAGTCAAATTTGGAACAAAGACGTTCTAGTGCTGTTAGATTTCAAGCTGTCTGATTGAAGAGTGCTGCTAGCTGCAAGCGTCTTGTTCTCGATTTTCAACTTCCTCTCTATTCTTCAAGATGGCAGACGCTCCCCCTGGCCTCATTGTTGTGAACATCATCTCGGTATCGCTCATTCTAATTACTGTTACTGTCCAATCGCTTCCGTTTCTGCTTTCGATGGATACTTCGGAAAAAGTGTTTGGAGCATGCGTACTAGGAGTATTGTCACTACCTCTGCTCGTGAGAATTGAAAAATATATTCGACAAAGACGACACTCTTCAAAAAGGCAACCAAAGTATCGGAAGCCTAGCACAGTTCGATTCGCTGACGAGAATGAGACGACGACAACAAAGTCGTTCTCGAAAATGTCGCGACGGAGCAGCGATTTTGGGCGCAGATTCCTTCTAAGTCCCAAGACAGATGCTTTTCCTCGACTATTCGCAAAAGGACCCGGCCCTGTGTCCCGTCGATCGCATACGCCTCCGGAAGTGTCAAGTAGTCGTAGCCACAGGGGACTCACTCCTCCTTCGTTTAGAGGTGACAACAGGCTCACATTGACACAGACACGACAACTAGCCGCACAACGCATCTCGAGTGACGATCCCGACCAGCTTTACCATGCACTTCGCATCATCTGCCAGAGAGACGACATTAGCGCAGAGCTACTTGCCCAGGCTGCATCGATATTGCCCGACTATCCTGTCATTGACTGGACCGAGTACCTCTGGATGCGAGAAGCTGACAGATGGTATGAGACGTTGACTGCTCGCTCTACTATCAGCCGTCGTTCGCTCACCTCTGACGGCCTGGCTCGTCTTGCCGCACGGCATCCCGGATGTCCTAATATTGATTGGTTCAAGTATCTCAACCTTCGATATCGACGAGAAATCAAAACACAGACCAGGCTAAATTCCAACAATGATGCTCATAGTCCGCCTCTTCCACAAGCTCCTCCACGTCCTGCAAATGGGTTGCCAATGAATGAGACTTCGTCGAAGCCTGCTCGTGCCAGACCAAAGGTTCAATTCAGCCAGCCAGATGTGCCGCTTCAGACTAGAGTTCAAGAGACAAAGCGTTGTGCCAGGGACGTCGATCAAGCATCAACCGAACCTAAACGTAGAAAAGGTACAGACGGAAAGACTTATCCTGCGCAGTATGCGTCCTCTCTAGTTAAAGTGCCTGCGCTTGGGTTGCCAATAGTCACTCAGTGCGTGGTTGATGAAAGGGATTTCGACGTTATACCCATAAGGGGCGAATGGATGGCGTTCGATGAACCAATTCCGAAAGAAGTTGTGAGCATCGATGTGGTCATGTCCGGTGCGCTCAACCCTCTTGACAAGACGGCGCTTGAGATGGGCACCAGAAGGCAGCGATTTATAGAACAAGACGACACTGTCCAGCAGGATCAACACGGAGCGGAAAGTCTGACAGATCCTGCCGTAATGCCGTATCGACTGGTAAAAGTGAAAGAAGTCTTCAAAACGGTCCACTTCTTTAATCTCGAACAGGCACGTCGCCTCCTGGTCGACCACTACCCTGGCCTTGATCAGGATGCAAGGAACTACCACACAACGAAAGAGGCATTGTGCACGATATACCGAAGTGCAGAAGCAAGAAAAGCGAAACTCACCGAATACACGACCCAGAAAAGAGCCTCATCCAAAACTCTGGCTGAGCGCGCAGCTATCGCACAAGAAGAAGCATCACTCCAAGAACAGGCTGACCGGCTTACTTTACAGCAACTGGTTCAATACGGCGGCATCTTCACGGAGAAAACCTATGTCGCTAATCATCCTGACGAGAAGGAGAAGTTATGCCTGCCTTGTCTTGTCCACTATCCGGAAGATTTGTTACCATTACGTTTATGTGAGAGGGGGATATCGTCTGAGGAGGTAGAATATTGGATGGACGTGTATAAACACGGAAAGAATTTCTGGGATCAGCACGGCGGTCATGATGAGCTATATAAAGAATATGGACTGCTTGAGAATTGGGGGTTTGAGTCTGAAACATCTAATGCTTCTGAGCAGTGGCAATGACCTTGATATATAGAGACGCTACTTGTGTAAATAGCTCAATCGGAAGACGTCTTGCAGGTCTTGCAATGTAGTGCATAGTGGTATTTAATGGTGCTGGTATTTGTTTCTCTGGCTCAGTTGTTCTCATTCAGGCTAGCTTATTTTTCGGCCTTGGCAAATCGAGTCTAGTGGCATGCGGCAAAGCTGCAGCTCCAAAATTCTTGAGCCAAAAAAGTTCGTAATCGAGTTGTTAAGCAAGAATATCGACACATTATTTCATACTACCGAGTACCAACTTCATCGTTACCTGTCTGCGAAAAAGACAACACAAGCATCGGACACGAGGGCCAATTTTTACGACCTACAGAAGAAGATGCCGCCACCATTTAGAGGCGGACGAGGTGGAGGTGACAGAGGTGGACGAGGAGGATTTGGCGACCGAGGAGGGCGAGGTGGATTTGGTGACAGAGGTGGCCGTGGTGGTGGAAGAGGTACTTCAGTCGTATTTGGCGGGTTTGCTCAAGACTAACAATCATTCAGGTGGTTCCTTTGGAGGTAGAGGCGCACCAAGAGGTGGTGGTGGAAGAGGCGCACCACGAGGCCGCGGTGGAGATCGTGGTGGACGAGGTGGTAGAGGAGGCGCCAAACCAGGTATCAGAGGTGGTGCCAAAGTCGTCATCGTACGTCGCTCCAAGAAGCGCAAAACTCTCCCAAAATGCGTGCACAATACTCAGAGTCTTAAGCACTGACACAACCACTCACAGGAACCCCACAGACATCCCGGCGTCTTCGTCGCCCGCGGCGGCAAAGAAGACCTCCTCGTAACCAAGAACCTCACCCCTGGCGAATCCGTCTACGACGAAAAGAGAATCAGCGTCGACTCCCCCCCAACACCCGGCACAGACGGCGAAACTCCCGCAGCCACAAAGACCGAATACAGAGTCTGGAACCCCTTCCGATCGAAGCTCGCAGCCGGTATCCTCGGTGGTCTCGACGACATCTACATCAAACCCGGCGCGAGCGTGCTGTACCTCGGAGCAGCAAGCGGAACATCCGTCTCGCACGTCGCGGATATCGTGGGCCCAACTGGACGAGTTTATGCCGTCGAGTTCTCGCACCGCTCTGGAAGAGATTTGATTACTATGGCGACGCACAGAACGAACGTCATTCCGATCATTGAGGATGCGAGACACCCGTTGCGGTATAGGATGTTGGTTGGCATGGTTGATGTGGTGTTTGCGGATGTGGCGCAGCCTGATCAGGCGCGTATCGTGGGGTTGAATGCGCATTTGTTCTTGAAGGTTGATGGTGGTGTGTTGGTGTCTATCAAGGCTAATTGTATCGATTCGACGGCTAAGCCTGAGGTTGTGTTTGCCAATGAGGTGAAGAAGATGAGGGAGGAGAGGATTAAGCCGAAGGAACAGCTTACTCTGGGTAAGATGAAAAGCTCCCTTCAAGTATCAATTTTGTTTGCTAACGATTGACTATAGAACCCTTCGAGAGAGATCACTGCATCGTTGCTGGTAAATACCAGCGAGCACAGCAGTAGATGTACATTTACAAAGCGGGTCACGTCGAAATGTCATCTTTGGGTACATGGAGGGCAACGGTGTTAAGGTGTACTGAGGACTGTTCCTGTTTACTGGCTGGCTTGGCAGATTCACCATTGTGAAATGCTACCATGCTAAGAGAGAATGAATCTGTGTATGTGTACATTCCAAAATGCCTGAACAACGTGTTTTCAGACTGCTTGTATCTATGTTATACAATCTTGCTATAAAGACAAATTCTTGCGATACGTAGAAGCCAGAGTAAATACTGACAGGACATTGCATCTAAATCTTGTCTGCCGCCAGCCTTAAACACCCATAACAAGATCCAGACTTAAGAGGCCAATGAAATCACGCTCATGCAATTACATCTTCAATCATCATCATCACCCCATATCCTTCTCACACCAGCCCCCTGTCCATACCTCTGCACATCGTCACTCATTTTCCAGAACCCAGTCGGTCCACACGGGCCATGCCTGTCAAAATCCTTATCGAACCAATTTCCCAGTATCCCTCTAGCACTCTTCAACCCACCTATCTGTACGCCCTCACTACGCCATCGTTCCTCTCCACCAAAGACACTCCACGTCGTCCACCGAATGACCAGGTCATCTTCCGGCTTCAATCCCGTAACGGTCTCGCTGGATATCTTCTCCGCTGTGCTGTACGACGGAGTTCGATTTTGTTGGGCTTGGTTTAGGTAAATATGATTCAGGTTCGAGCTCGAGGCGATAGGATCGTCGACATCGAGTTCGTGCTTTGGAATTGCAGGTGCAGGGTATGCTCGGACTTGGCCTATGATTGAGTAGAATGGGTGAGAACCTGGACCGGATATCATGTATCTGGGTAGACATATGGGATATGGAGGGGGAATTAGCTTACCTCTAATATGCGAATTTGCATTTGGATCCCACCGCACATGCAGGGATCGTGAGCGGCCTTCGAAGTAGACGATGGGGTATCTCGATTTGCGCTTTGGTGCAGCGGGTGTAGCAGTTGGTGTGGAAGCTGATTCGGCTGTCTCTTCGGTACTGTTCATCGTGTTCTCTGTCATTGGGTCGGGATCTTCGCAGGTCCTGGTCGCGGCGGGACTTGATGGCTCACTGCCTGCAACAGTTTCCCATTCCTCCGCTTGATCTTCTTCTTCGTCAGGCCATTCAATCCTCGTCACCCACAGCTTTAATAAAATCAACCTATAGGCCTCGTCTGTTTGCACTGGATCGCGCTCCCTGTGATCCGGTATTTGGGGGTTTGAGAAATTGAAAGCAAATAAATCGTGGTAGTCGAGAAAGTTGACAATACGCATCCAGACTCCTTTCACACCGTATGGGTCCTGTGTTGCAAACACTGCTTGCTCATGCTGGAACAGAGCCTCCTTTCTGTCCTGGTAGTGCTCCTCGAACCATTCTAGAGTTGGTACGCCGTCATGTCCTTCATCGCTACCGTCTATTGTGCTGCCAGCTGTGGCCGCACTGCTCTGTGCATCGTCGTCCTTCTTGTTGGTTGTCTCTGTTTTGCTTGGAAATGATCCTGATGCTAAACCCTGCCACATCTCGTGGTCGGATCCTCCATTAAGACCCATACCCCAGGTGACGCTACCTCCTATCTCACTCCCAGTACGCTCAATCAACATCCTCAACCCATAACCAAGCACGATGTAGATATTCTGCACCTTCTCCCAATCAATTCTGCCACTGCCGTCGTCCATGAATGGACCCCAGAAATTGCTCAACTTATACTTCCGTAAGTCGTATAGTCTGCTTCGAGCATAAGGATGAATATAATGGGCACCTTGCATGTCCACGTATTCACTTTCGCGTACCTCGAGGGGCAGAGCTGAATAGACATGGAGCCGAGCCGAGAGTTGCCGCAAGGCTATACTGCTAGCTGGTTCGTCGTACGGTGTGCCGCATCGTCTGAATAGGGATGATTGTCGTAGAAGAGTGCTAGCATTGCTCCGACGTGTGGCGTGGTGAAAATGTGAGGCTAGAAAGTCGGTATTGGTGTGTGGTCGATTGCTTGTAGTTGAAAGGAGTAGTGGCAGAATTTGTGAGGCAAGGAACTGCCATGCGGATCGCTACAGAAATTAGCCTATGCCTATTCTCGATGCATAGTTCCAATAATACCTTAAGATCATGATCTGGACTCTCCAATATCTTCTCGATTTGAACTAAGTTTCGAAGTGCAAGTCCCCACGATTCAGGAGTGCGTCTCGGCTCATTCTGCAATACTCAAATCAGCTTCTGCACATTTCGCAATTCGCAAAGCTATGGTCCTCCTCGCTTGCTCCTTGATATTAGTGGCCACATACGAATGTGCTGAGATAGACCCTCTTCCATAGAAGGTCGTCCCGAGCTACAAAGTCTCGCAGGAAGTGACAAGTCTGAGCTATACTCGCCAGATCTATAGCTTCAACGAAAAAGAACAGATTGTGTAGAATCTCCGGAGATAAATCTGATAAGGTTGTACTGGCCATAGTTGGGAGGAGTCGAGTATACCACAAGCTCAAGAAGAAGCTTGCAGCTATCTAACTATTGTTGCATAAGTAGGGTAAGAGCTCGACGGATTATTAGAGGCCTGCTGAGGGTAAGTATTATGAAACGCTCCGTTCGCAGGTCCTCCAGTTGCTACCTCCGACAGTGCACACCGAAACTCATATCACACTTACATATGAATCTAGCTCCAAGTTTCCACGTGAACAAATTCTATCGTTCTTCGGCTCGGTTTAGATGTTTTCATTGGGAAAAACGCAGAGGTATGGCGTGGTGTATTGCAGTACTATTTGATTTGGGGACTGAAGATATATTGCAAATTATCATAAAGAACTGTGCATCGTGAAGCAGCGGGTGTATGTCGCTGGCATAGTCACCAACCAATCGGGAAGGTGCGTCGTGAGGGGTAGATTCCGTACCAATGGGTATATCAGTCCACTACAACTATGAGTACTCCATGACCGCTGGGTTTTAGTAGCCAACAACACCTGAGAGAAGAGCAGAACATGCCTGCGACGAACATGAAGCTCAATCGAAGGCGGTCTCACAAATCTAATGCGTGAAGTTGTGAACTGTTGAGGATAAGTAGGAGGAATTCTCACCACGCCATAATCCATACACATCAATAGATTGAATTGGAGATAACCTTTACACACTCAGAAGATTTGGTTATTATGAGCTACAGTTTGTACTGCCCAGATGCTCGTGTATATGTCCTGCTCAGATGCTCACACCACGGCGAACTATCTGACGGTGCTAAGGAATAGAAAGGATTGAGAAAGCCGCCCTCGATTGCCAAACTCCATAACTCCATGCTCGAGTGGCAACACGTGTATAAACATTTGATACCGTCTTCATGCGGGCCCAGTCCCATACCTATACGTGCCGCACATATTAAACACCCAGCTTGCCTCCATACTTGTCCTAAATTGAATCATATATGTCCTCGATCTCCCTGTCATTACACCACCGAACTGATTAATTTCCTCGTCTTCCTTCCAGACGTTCAGAGCAATACCTGTCTGCATAACCTTCTCGAAGCACGATTCTCCCAGTGTCTCGTCCAGTAATACAACGTCTTTCCTCTTGGCAGCAGTAATCAGAATACGTTTCTCTCGACCATCTCCATGCAGTCTGTGAGGTGTGCTACCCGATGATGGAAGACGATAATGTTGGCCCCGCGGCTGTACCATTGCTGAAGGGGGGTACGGACGTGGTGTTGTCGACGTTCCAGGAGTCGGATGTTGTGACTTTACTGTAATTGCGGCAGGCAGGACTGTGAGGAGACATTGTCCAAGAGCTTCCCATTTCTGTCCTTGCCTAACGAACAGCCGAATCTTCATGTTGTTGACCATACCTCCCCCATTGGCTGCTTCAGCACTTGTTTGCGGCACATTTGGCCCGTCTGGTCCGGGGATGAATCCAGCTTGACTGGCTGGCACGGGTGTGCTTGCACCAGAGCCTATACCGCTATTGCTGGAGGAATACAGAGAATCACCGGTCACAGCAAAACCTGGCCTGCGAATCACTGAAGATCGATTGATTGAGAATGGAGAGTTCATACCAAACTTCTTCAGAGCGGAGAATGCACTAGTCGCGCTGTTACCGCTTGTGGCCGTATCAGCAAGTGACGTTGGAGGTCTCGAGGAAGCACGGTAACTGCTCTTTTCTTTCGACCCGAAGCTGAACCAGGATCGAGTCCGAGTCTGAGGTGCGTCAGGTACAAACCTAACGGATTGTTCCCGCGCTCGGGATCGAGCCAATTGGGCATACGTCAGGTTGTTGCATCTGGCCCAATTGATTAGCTGGTATAACTTTTCACATTCTTGGACAGTCCTCGATCTGAACATAATATTGCTGGTCGTGCGGATGGTTGAGTTTAGCGTCGGTGGTGACCTGATAGTGATGTCGAGCGCTGTGCCCTTCCTCAGTGGCACTATAGGTGTAAGCTCGAACTCCACGAGTGGCGACTTGTTCGCGATCTCTGCAGCTTCATTCTGGCCCATCTCCCAATCAGCGTCATTCATTGGCTGTGAATGTGCAGCACTCATAGGAAAAGCTTGCACAAGGCCAGGTGAGATCACAATTGAGCACTCATCTTCCTGAATCGGTTCCCAAACGCCTCGATCTGACCACGAACAGACCATTGCGATTGTTCGCTTTTTCTTGTATGCCGGGAAGGAGGATGGTGGTGGGGCTCGTCTGTATGGTCCATTTGAAGCGGAGTCAGATGGATCTAATGTCTTTGCTCCAGTAGATGGAGGACTTGAGAGCGATTTCGACCCCCCATGAGATAGCCAAACACTGTTCTTCTTGACATTGACCAAAGAAGTTGGCTCGTCCTTGAGTTCTGATCGAAAGTCGTCTTCGGACATCTCTGACGTGGCGTCGGTTTCATCACTTTCTGACTCTGTACCACTTTCGTCACTAGATGCTTGATGCTCGGGCTTACCTATAGCTTGAACACCATCTGTTCCAGTCCAAGGTACGACGGCTGGTTTCGCCGCCTTAGGACTCGAAGATATGTTGTAGGGTGTCCCATGCACCGGTGGGGGTGGGGGAGTCGCAGGAGCGTACTGGCTTTGCAATGTAGAGGCTTCGTGCCTCGATGACGGGCGTGAAGAAATCGAATTATCAAGTAATGAACCCAAAGTCGGCCGATTCTCATGTTGTGTGATTGAACTGCCTCGTGGCTTCCTTCGCAAACCGGTTATGGAAGCCCACTGCTCTCGAATCGTCTCGGTCAAAGGTGTAGATGACTTCGTTCGAGAGTGCTTACTATGTGGTACTTCCTCACTCGGGTTCTGCTGTGAAGTTGTCGCGTTCTGACCTTTGGCATCTGGTGTCACGATCGCTATGTCAGAGTTAAGCGCGCCAGACATCAAAGGTTCAGACACCCGACTTTGCTGAGCCTCGATAACATCAATAATATTGCTCCGGATCTGCTGATGCTGCACCTCCACATTATTCTGCTTTGTCGAGTCCCTAGTCATACGTTGGACAGCTGAAGAGGTAGTATAGTGGCTTTGTTGAGAAATTGTCTGTGAAGAATACTGTTGCTGAGGAACCAGCGGCTCTGGATGAATGTTGGTAGAACCACGGCGGATGTCTGTTTTCCTGGAAGATCGCAATATTACGGAGGGGTCACGAGCATGAGCTGATACAACAGAATGTCCAGGCGAACTTAATGGAGATCGTGTGGGTGTCTGATTCGTGGTAACTGCGTGATGATAGTGTTCAGGCAGACTACGCTTCTGCAGGCCTCCGCCCATACTCAACTTGATGTTGCGCTCGGTTTGCTTCGGGTCCGATGCTTTTGCCTGCGGTGGCCTTCTGGTCAGAACGACAGACGGTTCGCCGATAGGAACATCAATGTCTGAGGGCAAGTTGGCTAAAGCTGCCGCATTGAGCAGTGGCTTTGGACTGGCTGGAAACGGCCGTGGACTGCATTGTGGTTCAATCGGTACGTGCCAGCTAGGAGAATGGTTTAGCTTTGAAGGAAGAGGATTCGAGCCCAGCATATGCAGCCACTCCGTAGCAGCTGTTGAATTTTCAGCTCTCAACGCTAGTAGCTCGAGCCACGTAGTTCCAATACCTGCAACCCCTTTGACCATCAGCACGAGCTCATCCTCTGCATGATCTCTTCTTGATGACACGTTAGTGAGCTGTATTGGTTGAAAGAGCAACCACTTGGACTCTTCTTCGACATGACAGATGAGAATGTCTCCGCCGTTGCCACCAGGAAGCGGATCGTCTCTAAGCACTATCTCGATTTTGCAATCCAAACGTTGTCCAGTAGAATGATATACTGATAGATCAAAATAGTCCCTTGCTCGAACCTTCCGCTTCTTATCGACAACGACCGAATGCAAGGGAGCCATCGTCTTTATGTCTCGAACCTTTGTCGGGTCAACAGCAGCTGCCGCCTCGTCCTCTAGCCGACCTTGCTCCTCGCCGTGGCGTTGTTTGGCTCTCTCGGTGAGGTCGGCAAACATGTTTGCAACTTTGTTCGCTTTTTCGTGGTTTGGCATGGCATCTTGAATGCTTGTGAAGATCTTGTACATTCTCTTGATACGAACCAAAGGACGTTTTTGCAGGTATGCCACATCCACCTTTTGTCCTTGCTCATTCATCGCATCGCCATCGATGTCTCTCGCTAACATGTCCTCTCCTGTCGATTGGGCATCATGCAACGGAGCAAGATTCACGATCACGTCTTGAAAGCCTAGTTTCCAGGCCTTCACATAATCTGAATATGATTTGTGAGCGGTGACGGCCCAGGTCAACAATCCCTCAACATCCTGATCCCGAAGCGGGATGCGGTGGTGCAGGTTTTTCAGACGCTGCAAGGCCACGCCCATATCAATGATTGGACGCGTGAAGCTGGCATCATCTACTCTGTTGTCAGAGAACAGACCTGCAGTAGCCGCAGCATCCGCTTTCGACAGCAGTGATTGCAGCAAGACGGGTGTTACGCCATCAACTAGAGTCCTCAGCTCTCGTGTGTATTTAGGCTCTTCTTCTTGCAAGGCTCGCATTGCTTCGTGAATGACGGTTGCAGTTGAAGCAGTTTGCGGTTGCGCTGCATCTCGCATTGACCGTGTAGACTTTGTGGCTCGTGGCTGTGATAGGACTGAGAGCAGATCCTCGTGTGTAGTCAACTTTCTCTTTAGGCCTCGCGAGGAAGGTCGAAGTGGTGGAATATCGACATCCTCTTGCTCGAGAGCTTTGCTCGCTCTAGAAAAATTCTCAACAGGTATCGAAGGTTGCGACTTCTTTGGTGAAATGTCACGGTCCGGTTGGATGGAGTCTTGCCGATTGAGATCGGCGGGAGATAGCTTCTCTTGTGGTGGTGTTTCGTCCTGCTTGCGTTCACGTCGCCTACGAGTGGACCTCTCATCTGTAAGTCGCGTGTTTGATGTATGATGATTGCCTTGCGCAAGATTATCGGGTTGCGGAGGCGCGGAATTCACGCCCTTGCTTGAATCGTCACATACCTCGAAGCTGAATAACCTACGTGATACATTCGGCGCACTGTCGCGGACCCCCAGTGGTGAGGGTGGACTGATAGCATCCCAGATTTTGTTCGGATTCTCCACTTCGAGTATAGGTGGTTCTGATGGTTTGACGGAAGCCTTTTTGTGGCCTGAACGGTGTTTCAGAGGCTTTGGAATGTCGCTGGGAAGAGGCGTAATGACGGGCTCGGCATCAACAAAGGGGTCTGTCAGGTGAGGCTGGTCATCAAGCCATGCTTCAATGCTTGGAATGCGGTTGGTCGGTGCAGGTGGCAGGTCATTCCGACCGGTAAGTATTTCTCTCGTCTTGATCAGAACTGCTCGCTTTCGAGTTTTAGGTTGCTCTGCAGTCTCTTCGTTCAACGGCGACCTACCCAGTGTCTGCGCATATCTGCTGGGTTGAGCCTGGTGAGTGATTGGCCTATCTTGCTCGCTCGACAGGATCCCATTGTGTTCTATATTGAGTCGACCTACATGCTCCGACACTGACGGTTCCTCCCCTTCTGCACTTTCCATGCTTCGTGCTGATGCATGTCCAGCGTCGTTGATTTCCGAGGCAAGCCTAGATTCAGGGTTTGCATAAACACGAATGCCATCCTCGACGAGAGCATTTTCACCGCTAACTCTAGCACGAGCTTCCCTCCTGCGCTTTCGGCGCTCTTCTCTTTCAGCACGACTACTGTTGACATTGCGAGCTTGTTGACTGCTGGTGTCATGTGGTGATTCCTGAGGGGGACTCTCTGGTTTGGGAACACTTTGAGCTGATTTTTGGTTGCTGGTATTCTTCTGGTCACCTCTTGTGCTCCGTCTCTTCTTCACCCATGCTTGGTTCTGCTGCTGAACCCATTTCGTGCTCCGCCTTCGAGGTGTGGATTGTGAATGCTGCTCGGTTGGGGCCTCTGCTGATGGCGATCGCTGGCGAACAGGTGTTCGACAAAACTGTGAACGAGGTTGTGAATGTACGCTGAGAGCATCAGGGTCGACAGCGGCGGTTTCGTTGACGGACTGCCACTTCAGGATGCGATCCTGAATTGTAGCAGGCCCAATGATGGTTGTGCCTTTCCTCCCTACATCACGAGCCTTAGGATTCTGGCGGTCTTTTCTCGAGTCGGTGGTTGTCTTGCGCGTTGAGGCAAGTTCGGGCATTGGCTATTGGCATGTGAGATCCGAGCTCAACGAGGCGGATGTTTGTTCAGGACCATCTGAGACTCGACCAGGGACATTGATGTAAGTCGTGGTGGTGCGTGCGCGACGTCTGGTTCTTCAACTATCTCAAACTCAGTGACAACTACAGACGTTTCGGACACCCAAGATATGCAAGGTGAAATCGTCTATCGGCACCGTACTGTACGTGGAGCCCAGGCGAAGCTTGCGCAATACAAGTGACCAGATCAACATGCGAATCTTGGTGGTGTAATCATTGGCTACGTCAAACTCTTTCGGGTGCTGCCCAGAGCAACCGGCAGCCACGTTTGGAGCCTCTGAACGCCCCGATTAGGCTTGAGTTTGAGGCTCCAAAGCTTCTCTCGCCTGCGATTCTTTGGAGGATGTTGTTGATCTTTGATATCGTTGTTCTCAATATCACCTTCTTGGGCGACGCTCAATAACATCCAATATCTCGCCGATTGCTTCGAGCACATACAATCGGAGTTGCCTGTCACTTACTACCTACCACACTGAGACAATCTTGCAATGGACCAGGTATCCCGACTAGCCCGCTCCGTATCCGATAAGAACTTGGTTGGTCACGTTTCGACCTGTTTCAAACCCTGTTCAGTTTGACTTGACATGCCCGTTCATGCTTGGCTCTTCGTTCGGTGTGGTCGACTGGTATATCCTCTTCACTTCTTGCCAGCCTGCGAAAGCTTCCATCGTCGCCGCGCTGCTGTCGTACAGTAGTTCTACTGCAATCAGTATTTGATCTGTGCTGGTTAACGTTGAGCTTACTGCTGGGCACCACGAGCCAGATGCCGTTCAAAAAGACAAAGTAGAACCAGAAGTAAAGAGGTTCTGGACGACTGTATGAGACGTTGCGGCCATACAACTCCAAGAAACACGTCGAGAAGTACAGTAGATCACCATACAGATGACCTAACGACACGACCGATTGTAATGGATGTCGCCATGGACTCGAGTGTGCGATCGAGTATGCAGTCAGATAGGAAAGCGGTCCCCACAAGACCACTGTGATAGCTTCTGCACAGAGCACGAAGGGGTCGCCAATGAGGTATCGTGAATCTGATTTTGCATACTCCTTCCACAACTGTGCAGAAAGGTCTTGCTTACCCCTTAACACTGCATGGTTGAAAACAAAATACCCTTCGAAACACACATGTAATGTGCCACCTGGTGGTTGTTAGTACTCTTCGAAGATATTGCGTTACTCACTGACATAGCACAAACCACACAATCATCAACCTGTCTCCAAGGCCTAGCTTCCTTCCTGTTCTACCAGACATGTACCACGTCGCCCCAAGTATGGCTACCCATATGGCGCCAAAGGCCGAGATCATAGAGATGATGCCGCGATCGTTGGGTACATAATCTTCAAACACAACGTTCGTGGGATAGTATGGATGCGTGGTTGTAGTTGTAGTTGGTCGTGCCTGCACACTTGTGCTTCTGCGGTACCACTCCATGATACGTCCAATTCTCTCCCAAAGCTTTGTCGCCTCAAGGAGCAGACTTTGGTGTTTGATCTGTATTCAGTGAGGGCCTGGCGGGCACATCATACTAACATATGGAAGATACCACCAATCTCAGAGAAATGGAGGCAACTGTCGCAATTTGGTTCTTGGCTGGAGAAACTCTTACTTGTATCTTGGGCTGATTGTGTGCTGCACTACTGTTCCTGCCCTCTCGACTTTTGCAAGTACTCTCTACACATCATACCATCGTACTTTTCCTGTTACAGAAAGCAACTTCGTGAATGTTGACAGGGACGTGGCTGCCTTGACCTGCAATACTGGCAGTGCTCGAGTCTCGTGGAACCGAAACTCCTACGTTAAGATAGACCTCTTGGACCCTGGCACAAGCCACACAACCTTGACAATCGCTAAGTTGTCGTTCTCATTCACCTATCTTTGTTCCTTCGCTGTTTCGCAATTACTTTCCCGGTGAATTTGAGGCCTGAGGACACACGTCTTCTACAGTTTCAGGTATTCACGCAGCACGAACGCCGTACCTCGTCATTGTGAACAGGGGTCTTACATCATGCCGTTCATGGCCGTGCTCGATTGGCCGCAATATGTCATATCTGGGGTCGTGTTAATGTTTGGCCGAACCATCGAAAAGCTCAAAACTTCAGACACGGGCATTGGACCCGCACAAGCTGTACTTCACCTCACCACGTTATGCATCACGGCCATTCCTTGTTCTCAATTGCGCCATTTGTGGCTTTTTACACAGCATGAAAAAGGAAGCAAACCAAGTACCCTGTTAGAACACCTGTTCTGGCCGAAAATCACGCGCGTGGGGCATAGTTCGGATCCTCTCCTCGAGCTCAACATTTCCTCGATCGACGAATTTGCCTAACTACATCTTGGAAGATGCAGATGTTGTTCTAATTCGTCCCTGAACGTCCCGCACTATGGACCTTGTAAGTTCCATACCTCAAATCTAGATACATATCGACGTATGGCAGACAGACAATACATGCCATGACATTTCGGCCAAAGGCTAAATATACGGGCTGTCGCTCGCATATTCCTCTTTCTTCGTTTCTCGTTGTCCCTCTATAGATCCTCTCTCTGGCATGCCGGTTTGAGATCGGATTGAGTCTTTAAGCAAGTTGTCTGGATCCTGGTAAAAGGGATCCTAAACTTGTGTGATACAGTCCATCAGGACGACTTATTGCCTGTTGGCCAACCTTGACTTGTAACATTGTCTGTTGGTATAGTGGTGATACTCTTGTCATATTTTGGCAATCATCAGTCATGGCGCAGACTCAGAAGCCTATATTCTGCGTAACGCACCCACGTGCCTGCTCGACAGCCTTCGAGCGAGTATGTAGCTTGGGACTATCCCTCGCAGCTGATTTACTGACGTTACAAGGTGTTTATGACAAGGAAAGATCTTGCTTGTGTACATGAACCATTTGGAGACGCTTTTTACTACGGGTAAGCACGCAATCTACCGGCTCATCGGTACTGATCACAGGCAGACCTGAGCGATTGAGCGTTCGTTACGAGAACGATGAGGAAGCACGAAAGGCTTCTGGATTCGGGGATTCCACATATGCAACCATTTTCGACCGACTTGAGCGTGAGGGTTCTGAGGTATAGTGCCTCCCATCTCGCCCAGTTCTCCACGAGCTGCGCTTGCGTCTCGACAAAGCCGCTTCCACATGGATGTTAACCTGTCTTGCAGGACAAGCGTGTCTTCATCAAGGACATAATTCATTACTTGCTTCCGCCCGATGCCAAGCCTCCACAGCTGGCTCCCTCTCTTATGCTCAAGAGGCGCGGTATTGGCACGCAGAGCAACGGCCACACGACCAATGGCTCGGCTAGTCCCAGCAAGGACACTGTCCCGTTTCCGTATGGTACCCCTGCTGAGCCGGGCAACCCAACGGTAGTGCCTGGGGAACTGCTCAAGAAGTTCCACTACACCTTCTTGATCCGAGATCCACACTATAGCATCCCGTCATACTATCGATGTACAATTCCGCCTCTCGACAAGGTCACCGGCTTCTACAAGTTCTATCCCTCAGAAGCTGGTTACGATGAGGTCCGCCGTGTTTTTGACTACCTGGTTACTGCTGGACTTGTAGGACCCAGCTTTGCTGGAGATGCGGACGACGGGAGTGTCAAGTCTGCAGGATCTGATGGTGCGGATAGTGTTGGTAGTTCGAATGGCCACTCTGACATACCTGACATTTGTGTGATCGACGCAGATGACCTGCTGGACAAACCTAAGGAGATGATTGAGGCATACTGTAAAACGGTCGGTCTCGACTACGATCCAGACATGCTCCATTGGGAGGATGAAGAGAACCAACGACGTGCCAAGAATGCATTCGAAAAGTGGAGAGGCTTTCACGAGGATGCAATTGACTCGACGGAATTGAGGGCTCGAACACATGTAAGCCGTCGATTCTCAAAACAAACAATATGCTAACTGTGGCAGAAGAAAGCGAAGAAAACTGAGGATGAGTACGATCGCGAATGGACACAGAAATACGGATTGAAAGGTGCCAATACCATTCGTCAGTGTGTGGATGCAAACATGGACACGTACAACTATCTCAAGCAATTTGCTATCAGTGTGATTCCGAAGCACCACGGCTATGACCCTCATGATGATTGAAACGGCTACTCGACTCTGTATGAGAACGGAAAGCAAAAGCTGAATGGATTTCTTATCGTTACAAAATTTGAACGTGTTAGGTATTGCCCTTCATATCTTTGGGATTAAGTGGATCGTTCATTTTGCAGGTCTATGCCTCTCCAGGCCCTGGACTTTTTATTCAATCCACTCGTAGAGAACGCAACCATCATTTGACCTTCGTCGAACAATGATGTTGGGATACACTGAAGATGGCTATGTGTTTAGACACTCGCACTCCAGTCACAATGCAAGAATCAAGCTATCTCACATGAAGCGGTACAGAGTAGGTGAATTGAATCCTCATCCGTACGGAACATTGAAGTTGTTGTAAAGAGGTAATCATAATTGCCGCTGTTTATGCACTTGAAAGCCATGTTTTCAGGCGACTATTATGTACACCAGACGTTGGAAAGTGCTAGTGCTTGCTCGTACTTACATCGCTCCTTCTGGAAGGCTCTACGTCACACGTGTATCCCTGAGTGTGTTCGAGAATTGCTACCTAAATATCCAAAATCTGGTGAGAGTGGTCTGATTGCTGGCAACATCACGCATATATCAAGTCTCCTTTGTTTCTTCCTAACGTCGTCTACAATCATCCTAAACGAGAACGAACGAAAATCGTGAGAAATGGCCGGAGCAGGTCTACAATTCACTGACAAAGCGGCTCAGGCTTTGAGTGCAGCTCAAGGCCTTGCAGAACAATACGCTCACACACAGATACTGCCAGTACATCTGGCAGTGTCTCTGTTCGACCCACCTCCAGACGAATCGAAGGATCAGCAGAATGTTGCCAATGCCTCCCATAGCCATGCTTCAGCACCTCTATTCAAGCAGGTGGTGGAAAAAGCCCATGGAGATACACAATTGCTCGATAGAGCACTGAAGAAGCAGCTTGTGCGGCTGCCCAGTCAAGATCCACCACCTGAACATGTCACCATGTCTCCCGCATTGTCAAAGGTTATACGGTCGGCTTCAGAGCTCCAGAAGACTCAGAAGGACAGCTATATTGCCGTCGATCACCTAATCTCAGCGATAGTGCAGGACCCAAAGATAGCATCTGCTCTACAGGAAGCCAATATCCCGAACACAAAGCTCGTCGATTCTGCCATACAACAAATCCGAGGCACAAAACGAGTCGACTCGAAGACGGCCGATGCAGAAGAAGAAAACGAGAACCTGAAGAAGTTCACCATCGACATGACCGCAATGGCAAGAGAAGGCAAAATCGACCCTGTTATTGGCAGAGAAGACGAGATCAGGAGAGTCGTGCGGATTCTGTCAAGACGAACGAAGAACAACCCAGTCCTGATTGGTGAGCCAGGTGTGGGTAAAACTACGGTCGTGGAAGGTCTCGCTCGCCGAATCGTTGATGCAGATGTGCCAGCAAACTTGGCACAATGCAGATTGCTGTCACTCGACGTCGGTTCTCTAGTGGCTGGCAGCAAGTACCGTGGTGAATTTGAAGAGCGCATGAAAGGTGTCCTGAAAGAGATTGAATCTTCTAAGGACATGATCGTCCTTTTCGTGGATGAGATCCACTTGCTGATGGGTGCTGGTTCCAGTGGAGAAGGCGGTATGGATGCCGCTAACCTACTCAAGCCCATGCTTGCTCGTGGTCAGCTGCACTGCATCGGTGCCACCACTTTGGCGGAATACCGAAAGTATATCGAGAAAGACGCTGCATTCGAACGTCGTTTCCAGCAAGTCTTGGTCAAGGAACCAACTGTTGCAGAAACCATCTCCATCCTACGTGGACTGAAAGAACGATACGAAGTTCACCATGGTGTCACGATTCTGGATGGTGCTATCATTGCAGCTGCCAACCTCGCTGCTCGATATATCACCCAAAGACGCCTTCCAGATTCAGCCGTGGACTTGATAGATGAAGCCGCTGCTGACGTTCGGGTTATTCGAGACTCACAACCAGAAGCTCTGGACAATATGGAACGAAGATTACGACAGCTAGATATCGAAATACACGCACTACAGCGAGAGAGCGACCCCGCTTCGCTTGAGCGACTAGCAACAGCCAAGAAGGAAGCTGCAGACCTCAAAGAAGAGCTTGCACCACTGAAGGAGCACTACGAAAGCGAGAAGCAACGATCCAAAGAAGTCCAGGAGGCCAAGCAGAAACTTGACCAGCTTAGGACGAAGGCTGCAGATGCCGAGCGTTCGGGCGATATCCAGACAGCTTCTGACCTGCAATATTATGCCATTCCCGATGTGCTAAACAGGATTGATCAGCTCGAGAGAGAAAAGGCTGTTGCCGAAAGAGAGCAAGCAGTACGAACAGGCAACGACGACAATCTTGTCGCTGCCACGGATGCCGTGGGACCGGAGCAAATTAACGCGATCGTCGCCAAATCGACTGGCATTCCGGTTACTCGTCTCCGAGCATCTGAGAAGGACAAAATCCTGCATATGGAGCGCAACTTGATGAATGTTGTGGTTGGCCAGAAAGAGGCTGTCCAGGCTGTCTCGAACGCTATCCGACTACAACGATCTGGTCTGGCAAACCCCAACCAGCCTCCGAGCTTCCTGTTCTGTGGTCCTTCTGGAACAGGTAAAACGTTACTCACCAAAGCATTGGCCGAGTTTCTGTTTGACGACCCAAAAGCCATGATTAGGTTCGATATGTCCGAATATCAAGAGAGACATGCTTTGTCAAGAATGATTGGTGCTCCACCAGGGTATGTCGGACATGACGCTGGCGGCCAATTGACGGAAGCACTTCGACGACGACCATTCTCGATTTTACTGTTCGACGAGATCGAGAAAGCTGCCAAAGAAATTCTCACTGTGATGCTCCAGCTCATGGACGATGGTCGCATCACAGATGGCCAGGGACGAGTGATTGACGCGAGAAACTGTATTGTCATCATGACCTCAAACCTCGGCGCTGAATACTTATCACGAAGTAATACAGATGGCAAGATTGATTCAACTACTCGGGAACTTGTCAACAATGCTCTGCGGAACTACTTCTTGCCAGAGTTCCTCAATCGTATCAGCGCCACGGTCATCTTCAATCGACTTGGTCGACGCGAGATTAGGAAGATTGTCGACCTTCGACTCAACGAGATCCAGAAACGACTCGAGGCGAACGATAAGAAGATTCGAATCATTGCATCAGAAGAGGTCAAGGAATACCTCGGACAGGCCGGATATTCACCCGCTTATGGTGCTCGACCACTACAACGTCTCATCGAGAAAGAAATCCTCAATCGTCTTGCTGTTCTCATTCTACGCGGAGCAATTCAGGACGGCGAAGATGCATACGTCGACTTGGAAGACGGCAGGATTGTGGTAAGGGCAAACCACAGCGATAGCGAACTTGAGGATGATGAAGACATGGTTGATGAAGAAGATGCCGTGTTAGAGCTAGAAGATGGTCCAGACACCTCCATGGACCTTTATGAGTAGACGAGAGATGAGAAGCTCTGTCTATGATGAACAACGAGTTATGAACGATGATTTAGATAGTATAGGTAGCGAGGCGCATGGAGTTGTGCTGACTGGGTTGTCAGAGCGATGCGATCGCATCTGCTTTTTTAGATAGTTCTACAATTGTATGGTCGTACAATGCGACAGATTGTAATATACAATGAGCGACTTCTCATCTGTGTTTTCCTGCCTTTTCGTATGTACAAAAGACTTCGTACAACCGCATCACAGAAGTCTTCTTATGCTATTAATCGTTCGACACCAAGATTGTCGCCTGGTCGTTGCCGATCTCTATACATCGAAGCTTGCAAGTGTTCAGACAGCAGCTCCTAAATTTGTGTCTTAGAGGACTTTATAAGCCCCGGGCCAATTCCTCCAGGTTTGACGTCATGCCCTAATTAGGACGCGTCTCGATGGTCTCATCAACGCGTTCCCCGCGATTGATTGGTATCTCCTGCGCCCGATAAGATAGCTAACCTACCAATAAACAGAGTGTCGATCAGCACTATGTAACCGTGCTAATGCGCACCCAAATACTCACGTAAAGCTCACACTGAACCAACGTCGAAAACATGGCTCCCACAAAGCGAGCACGACCAAGTTTCTCACCTCCACGACCTGGTAAATCTAAATCTGCGAAAGGCTCTGCTAGAAAGAGCACTGGAAAGGCGGTCTCGACTTCCAAACGAACGAATGGGATCAGTAAATACCAGGGCGTAAAGGGTACGCGACAGGCTATACTAGGCAGCGATGACGATGAGGACGACACAATGGACGAAGATGAAGATGAGGACGAGGAAGAAGAAGAAGAAGAAGAAGAAGAGGAAGTGGAAACACCAAGAAATCGCGGTCGAGGCAACAAACCTGGCGTCAGATCTTTCATCGACGACGCAGCCTCAGCTGAAGACGACGAAGAGGAAGACCTGGACGAAGGAGACGAAACAACAGCTACGCCAGCACCAGCACCACGACAACAAAAGCGCCAAACCACCACAAGAACACTCCCAACCAGCAGTCCCGAACCCGACACGGTCATCGCCGAAATCATCACAGACCCACAATCCACACAATCGCCCATTCCTGAACCTCTCGTCCATAAAATGCTCGAACACCAATTCGAAAACCCTGGGAAGACGAGGGTGAGTGGAGCTGCAAGAGATCTGGTGACGAGGTACATTGAGGTCTTTGTGAGGGAAGCGATTATGAGAAGTGCGTTCGAGAGGCAGGAGCTGGAGAAAGAGAGCGGAAGTGGTGGGACAGGGTTTTTGGAGGTGGGGGATCTGGAAAAGGCTGCTGTGCAGTTGTGTTTGGATTTCTAAGACTGAGGGCAGGAATCGATGAAGAACTAAATCAAAAGACCTAAAGAGATTGATACTGGACGTGTTAAGATCATCAACGTCGAGGGGTAATCGGAAGCTTCTGCACGTTACGCGCAATAACATTAAGGTACAAACAACTATTCATACAAGCCCCCATTCTAAAACATATGGTCTCAGATATCCTTATCTAGACGGCGTCTCAACACAACACCATTACACCATCTCATCACGCCCCTTCTCCGGCATACCGACCAGACTCTCCGGCACATCAGCACCATCGACTCTCCCATCCCTACTCGCAAGCACATCTCTCTCACCTCTCAACCTCTCAATTCGACGCTCAATACTCCAGGTACAGCCAGCAACCACCAAACCAATAGCACCAACGCACAACATCACAACCACAATAGCCAAGCTCGCTCGATTCTCTGAACAGATCCTACCGAAGCCAGTAGGCACAAATCTGTTCTTGTCCGAGAGTGTAGGCAGCTGAAGCAGTGAAGCGTCCTTGTTGAATGCCCTTGCAGTATTAGAGATGGTACACGTGAATGACTGGATCGTCTCGCGTTTCGGGCTGGTGCCGTGCCCATTGACGGTTAGGCCGACCGTGTTGGCTGGACCGGTGGTGGAGACGAGAGAGGTGAGTGTTTTGCTGATGAAAGAGGAGAAGATGGCTGCTGGACTGCTGGTGGCGGAGTAGACCACGGTCGTGAAGCTTAGGATCGTGGAGAGTACGCAAGTGGGTGCAAAGATGGCGGTTTTGGGGGTAGTGCGTGGATTTGGGCTCGGGAGCGCTATTATGATGACAGTGACGATGGCGAGGAAGAGTGTGATGACACCGGTGCTCAGGCTGAGATACGTGGGGACCAAATCGAGATCCGTTGGCCAGAACGATAAGTGCCAAGCTGGGGAAAGATGTGTCCGGTTGTATTGAGCGAGGATGTCTGAATTGAGACCTGTGAGAGTGGCAGATGCTCCGAGAAGGAATACTGTCACCACTACTCGAGCATATCGCAAGTACGCAGTATGCTTCAGGTAGGTGGTCTCTTGCTCCGTGCTAGCAGCATGACGATAAAAGGTAGCCTGCCAAGGCGTGATTGGACTGCGAGCTACCTCTGGCAAGGCATTCGGCGTTCGCAACGCACGAGCATTATCCGAATCGACAACGACGACGCCGACACTGGCACCTTTTTCGTCGGGGTCTGGTGTGCCTCGCGCTGTTGGGGATGAAGAGGCTGTATCTGAATGGCAGATTGAGAGTGATTGCTCGTGGTTGTTACCAAAGTTGGTGGCTCGTGGTGAGATTGGTGACCGTAGTGAGGTCTGTGAGAAGCGGAAGTTTGAGAAGCGATTGTTCTTTGGTAGTGGGCTCTTCATGGTTGCCTTGTGGCTTAAAGAACTGATGTGAAGTCGGGAGTGTTTGAAGTCGGATGATGTTTAAGGTTGATAGAGAGTGTCAGACAAGTCTCAGCCAGGAGTAGAGATGTTTGATCGAGTTGAGGCGTGGGAGCTGATACACAAAGAGGCTCCTAAGAGTAGTACAATTGCTTTGCCTTTCAGAGACAAATGATGAAAGAATTGTACTACGAGAACCAGCTCCGAAGCACAACGATTAAAGAACAATAATTATCAGTGAAGAACGAGAATTGAGTATCAGATACAGGAACAGCGAATCCGCTGACATTGTGCTGGTATATCATGTTATGCTGTCTACAGACCGACATCTACCCTGCAGATGAGGCTTGCAGACTTGTCGGTTACTCTGAATTCCTTCGTGAAATGGTGGAAGCAGATTGGCGAGCATCAAGTGACTAAGGAGCAAATAGTGGATTGGCCTTACTATTACAGCTAGTATGCAGCGCCGTGATGCTATCGACAGTAACGCTACTAACAGTGGGCGGTTAGCAGTGAGAAGACACGCGCTTTGGTAATGCGAAATCTGAGGAAGGAGTGTAAGTGATGTTGCTGGTGGCTACTGGACATGATTGAAACACCAGGAAGCGCCTATATTTTGTCTTGGCGGCGCTGAGTAATATAATTGGCTCGCTATTTCGAGCATTGGAACACATCTATTGCGAGTAGAACACTAGTAAACGGCCTAAGCAGAGACCGTGTGCAATGCATGCTTCTCTTCTACCACGCACATAGAACGTGCACGACATAATCAGTCGCTATATCGACATGAATTTGGGGTTCTTGTCTTGACATCAAGAAGTAGAAGTCTGTTTGCTGTAAAGGAGACGTTAGTCAATTCGATGGCCGCTATTCCGATTGCAGCTTCTGGTCCTTGGGCGAGCAAGCGGCGTCCTGCAGCCATAGCGAAGCGGTTGCACCAGATCTGGAACTTGACCTCTTCCGACTGATACTTCCGTTTTTTCTGCTGTTGTGCCCGCTATCAAGCTTCGTACGACTTATTTCGCTTAAGTTTGGATTGTAGCTAGAGTTGGGTGTCATGCAAGTCATTTTTGAGCTTTGGTCGATGAAAGTCAGCTTCAATTGCTGATTGTGGTAGGTGCATGTCCAAGCTCGGCGAAATAGAGCATATAAGTGGATAACGTACATACAGCTTTGAGGCGATGCAAGGACTTCCCTGCTCGGCTACCGAGGACTCAGTAGAATGGTCAGTGTGCTGTGCAAACAGCAACTTCATTTCTCGAGATAGCAATGCCATCGACGTTCGATGGTCGCTGGAGCTCAGATCGTGCATAGGCAGCAATCTTGGAGGACAAAGTCCCTTGGAAACATGGGGTTGGGCCCAAAGGTAGACCAACTTGCAAGAATCTCCATAGCAGTGATAGGTTTGCTTTGGTTGGATGACACGTTTGCTAGAAATTTTCAAGGAAGATTGAACATGTTAGCAACCTTTTCGAGAGCTTCGACTTCTGCCGGGTTTGTTACTCTTCCCGTCAAAGGACCCTTGTTACTGGCAGCCAGTCGCCCATTGCGTTCAAGATGTGATCTTGTTCGTTGCTCGATGTATTGCCTTCTTTCTTCTCGCCGTTCATCCTTGGCAGTATCGAGGCCGAGCTGCATGCTTCTCAGTGTGGCCAACCTGGCTCTAAGCTCCGTAAGAGTAGTTTTGAGAGCGGGCAATTGCGAAAGTGCGAAATTCGTGTTTGTGGCGAGTGGTAGCTGACCTGAGAATGGTTGCTGTGGTAACTTGCCAGGCATAAAGGACATGTTGGGTAGGGTTTCGTCCTTGCTATCTCCATCGAGGATACCTTTCAGCTGAGCTAGTATTGTCTCGTTACGACCGTGCTCTGAAGCGAGGGATTGTGATACCATTCGCGATGCAGCAAGTTTTCGACGGAGCTCTTCTATCGTATCGAGTGACGGCGCATCAGCATGTGACAGAGAGATACCCTCATGATGGCTCAGTCGTATCCAGTTGACGAGATCCTGTGGCACTGACAGGATGTTCCTTAAGGTGTAGATCTCGAAAGCATCGAACCTCTTATCGGCAGAGGATGTCAGTAACGTCTCAAGTTGATGAAGACCCTCTTCGATCTCCTGCTTAGCATCGGCATACTCATCATTGACTTGCTGATCACCGTTGATCGATCTCGAGCCCTTAAATCCTAGTCTTTCTGGAGGTAGTGAGACTAGTCCTGTTTCTAGTTTCTCTATGCTTAGATAGATGATAGTATTGATCGAATTGAAGACATCGTCCACGAACGACTGTATCGATCAGCTTGAGCTTTCGACGAACTACTTCCTGCTTACCAAGGGTGTATAACCCAAGTATTCGGTCAGTAAGGCTGTGGCTGCAGCAGAATCGTCAGAAGCCATGAGGACGACAGTATCAATTGATATGATAATGATTTCGGACGCGTTACCTCTATTGTTTGTAGTTTTGGCCAGATACGGAAAAGCGTGTAACACCAATCCAAATCGTGCTTGCCCTGCTAGTAGTTGGAAGCTAAGCAAAACTCCGGCAAAATAAAAGGATTCCACTAATCACAGGAGCTTGAGACGTTGTCATTCGAAAGAGCTTGGTGTCAGGGTCATCATTGATACAGGAATCGAGTGCTTCATTACAACGAATACTTGTTGCATCAGAATGGGAGGGCCAGGGTACGTCGCGTCGAACTTGTAGCAAATACACTGAATAACACCGCCTTCATAGGTCCGGCGGCTTCAAAACAGCTCCTGGCGATACGGAAACGCATTCGGCATGGGACATCATCGCTCAAGATCCGGATTCCGGGCAGGTGCGTTGAAGCCTTTTGAGTCCATCCTAAGCACGTTATGAGAGGTTTGAGAAATCACCACTACTTCCGCATTTTCGAGATAGATGTTCTCGTTCCGAATATGCCTTGTTTGGAGCACAAAGCACAAATGATGACCGAATGTCGTGGGTTGACCTGGCGGAGGCTCACTAACAGCTACCATGACAGAAGCTTGCCCAAGTGAGGTGCAAATACTGTTCCCGAGAAATGGCCCAACACACCTCCCGTCAAAGAGCCCATCTGCTGACTTGCGAGCAATACCTTGAGGCAATGAAAGAGGCAGGGATTATGAATAGCATTACCCAGCAAGCCGCTGATCCGGCAAGCTTCTTCAAGAATTCGAAAGTCCTGCAAGCTTTTGGCGAGCCAAAACCGCCGAAGATCCTCAAGATGGGCGAAATCTCTACAGCAGTGAGAATACAAGCCTTGGCTTTGGCTGAAGCCCATATCTCTCTCGAACGCATACAAGAAATTACTGGCATCGATCCTAAAATTGTTGCAGGCTTGAGAAAGCTCGCAAGAGAGCGAGGTTACGACCCAAACGTGTCTATGGTGCTCAGAGAAGACTATGTGTGGGACCCACCTAACTCCAGTAGGCCTCGTGGTCGACCGAAGAAGAGGAAGGGCGATGACGACCTAGATCCAGAACTACAAGTAGTGGCCACAACGCCGACAGCGCCTTCTTCTTTCGGGGATGGCACGCCTCAACTTCCACCAGGCAACTGGAACTTCATGACACCAGTCACTGGCTACACAGTCTCCTAGGGGCCGCCTATGTATACGTTTAATGTCTTGTCCATATATACTGGCGCAATGGCGTTGAAAGACTTTTATTGACAGGAACTAATGTGGTAGGCAGACCTGGGACGGTGTTGTTCATGTCAATGTCATCGACATTCAGAAACACAGCTTTTGATGATTCCAATTGCCTCTTCGCTCGAACCTGACCATCAACGCATGCATGTTACTGGTACGATGCACGAAGTGGACGAGATGGTTTCGATCATTTGCCAATGCAAAGCCATGCAGTCGGTAATTCGAGCTTCGTCTCACAATATATGCACGACCGTGTGAGGTCAAACCATACTCCCACTAATCAGAGTCTCTCATATGTCTACCTTGGTGGCTTTTGTTGACCATTAACCTGACATTATTGAAGTCTGCCTTTTCAAATATAGATTCTAGGTCGTCGCCAGCACATGTTCGGGGTAGGTATTTCCTCGCGTCACGCTGACCATTTTGGCGACCCCAAGCATCAAAAATAACGCTAGCCCGATTAGATCAAACAGGAGTCGACCTTCTGCGACACAATTTCTTACATCTTCGTGCGTCAGAAGTCTCTTCTCGAGCATCACATACACTCTTTGATGTGCCTTCCAAGCGACTTACTGTCTCTCTTCGTGATGCAGATGCTTCAAGAAACACCATTGGCCTCAAAGCGGCACTGTACTATTTCCGACACATGAGACCGACTTTCAAGCATTCTCGAACACTTCAGCCTGCTTTATGGTATCTCGAAACCTCCAAAAGGTGGCTGAGGCCTTCGTATTAGGATTCATGAGACTGAAAACGCAGGAAACCCATGGACATGTAGTAGCAAAAACAATGCATATGCTTACATATTCCGACACAACCGCCTTCCTTTACAGTTCAGATTTCAACCATTAACTGTATCTGCTAACTAGTAACAACACATTACCACATCCCTTTGGCTTGACGCCAGTCACTTTCGTATTGTCTTTCATCCCAGCTTAGGTCATCAACGTTACTCAATATCGCATCTGCGCTGGACGCTCATTCACCTAACATATCCTAATATCAACCATGCAGATCATCAGAGCAATTGTGGCGTCACTCTCGCTAGCTACTCTTGCATCGTGCACGGACACACCAAGCAGCTCCGGTGCTGAGAGAGTGGTTCAAATCGTTCAAGTCGGCGATGCGAACGGCACTCTGAAGTTCTTCCCTGAGAAGATCAAAGCAGATGTTGGCTCAGTGGTGCAATTCCAGTTCTATCCAAGGGTATACTTGCCTCCATCAGTCTTCGAATTATGTGACTAACCTCAAGCTAGAATCATACCATCACAGAATCCTCCTTTGCAGCTCCCTGTATTCCAATTGCTGCCAATCTCACCACCCCTGAACGTCCTGGACAGAGATCTGGCTTTGTGCCAGTCACGGCGGACGCTCAGTTTCGACCCATCTACAACTTGATTGTGAATGACACCAGGCCCATGTGGATTTTCTGCGGCCAGCAACCTCACTGTATCAGAGGCATGGCCATGGTCATCAACCAGAACGAAACAGACCCAGCGAAGACGCTAGAGAAGTACAAGGAGGCAGCTGCACTGTTGCCTCCACCACCTGGAGCTGCAGGCAGCTCTGCAGCATCCAGCGCACCTGCGACTGCAGCACCCAGTGCGGCGAGTAGCGTAAGCACGGTGACACCACCATCGGCAACCGTAACTGCTGGGCCAAGTCTCTCTGCTTCTGCAACGAGTGCGGCTGGTGCTCTAGGCGGAACAACAAGCGCAAGCATCGCGACATTCACTGGTGGTGCAGGAACGCAAAAGATGCCCGCCATGGTAATGGTCGGTCTCGTTGTCGGTGCCATGGGTGCTGTATTGTAAAAGCACCCCTCATGAAAAGGGCTTGGTTTGCCACAATTTAAACGTGGTTCTGTGTTTGATTCGCTGTCTATCAACACGCTGCAAGACGACATATCTGTACAATTTTTAGATTAGAACAAGCAAATCCTCATAATGCCATTCCTCCAGTTACACTAGATCCATCTATACTCAATACATCCTCTCGTGTAGACAGTTCAACTGTAGCCATTCCGCTCTGTGTCCGTGAAAGTTTATCTATCCTTCCATGTCTATCCCAGACAATGCCTATCTCAGGCCCATGTTCTGACATAGACGCCCCCAGCCGACTTCTCACCCGCTTGACATAACGCACTCTATGCATTGGAATCCACTCCTCTTCGCTAAAGTCCCTAATCCAATTACTCGCCGGCATCTCCTTCATCCCCTCAAAGCGCTCAAGATAGCCAACGACGTAGTCCTCAATATCCAGCTTCGGATCCCACCTCAGTCTGAACAAGATATCCTGAAATGGTCGGAAACGTTGCTTTTTTGAGTCTACGTCACTAGTGCTTTGCTCGTGTGAGTCTGATGGAAGATATTGTTCGTTGTCTTGTAGACGAGACTTGTCATTAGCAAGCTTCTTGCGACCGAATGAGCCGATTTTGGAGTATCTCTCGATGTCGGCTTCGGCTTGGGATTGTTGAGCTTGTTCTTCGGCCTTTTCTGATTCGATTTCTTGCAGGTGCTGCTGGGCTAGTGCTCGGAGTTGAGATAGATGATTTGTTTGTGAGGACGCCATGGTAGGCTATGTCTGCTTTGGTTAGTGTAGGAGGGTGTTGGAAGTGTTCGAAACGAAAGATTTGCTAGGCATGAGCTTGATATATATGTCTAGCATGTTGGTTCGAGCCTTAGATACAGGGCTACACTACTCATCGCTGGGAATGCGAGATCACTGCCTTTCTGTTGACTCATTACTATACCTGCTCCTTTACTGGTTTGTACTCATTGGTCCATCTGGACAAGGTCTTTTTGGCTATGTTCATCCACGATGACTCAGAGCTGGACAACACGATACAGAGTGGCGCCTCATTCTTGTAGGCATAATTTTAGCCAGGCTGGACGAGAGTACGCATCAAGATTGTGAGATAACAGTGATATGAAGTGAGCTTTAGCTCTCGAGATATACTGTAGGCGTGCTGAGGAATGGAAAGCACAAACCCAGACGCGCTCAATGCCTAAATGACTGGCGCATCAGGCCTAAAGTGGAAGCCCTTCGCGATGAGGGGAAAAAAGTTGTAGTAATGAGGTTCTGCACTGCCGATTTGACTGCATCGAATGTGACCACTTTTTCTTGTGTATATTGACGCCTGATCTACCACGTTGCATGCAAGTAGTATACTCCTGTTTGAGGGTGCGCTGGTCCGCATCCATTCCCCGACCTCTTTGCAGGCAAAGGTTTTTCTCAACTACTTCGAAAACCATGGCTCAGATTGTGGCGAGCACAGCAGCACCAGCATCAAATCCAGCAAAGAGGGTGAAGCTGACAGGAAGGGCATTCTACGAGAGCATCGGCAGTCCGAAAGTAATCGTAGCACCTATGGTAGACCGTTCAGAATTCGTCAGTCACGACGTCCCAATATCCTGAGCAACAAACTGACGAACGACTACGACAGGCATGGCGACTCCTCACACGATCATACCTCGACGAGCAACGGTCAAAAGAGCTGTTAGCATACTCTCCTATGTTCCACGCGCGCCTGTTCAAAGAACAAGCGAAATACCGAGATGCTCACTTCCAGCCTACGAAAGAGTCGCTGGTTTCGAAGGAGAAGAGCGAAGCAACACCATATCTAGATGGTCATCCAGAAATAGATAGACCGTTGTTTGTCCAGTTCTGCGCAAACAAGCCTGAGGATTTTCTTGACGCGGCACAGTATGTGGCTCCTTACTGCGATGCGGTGGATCTGAACTTGGGTTGTCCGCAAGGAATTGCAAAGTCGGGACATTATGGTGCTTTCCTGCAAGAAGATTGGGATACTATACACAAGCTTATCCGGACGCTAAGAGACGAGTTGGAAGTGCCAGTCACGGCCAAGTTCAGGATACAGGAGACGCCAGAGAAGACATTGGAATATGCTAAGATGATTCTTGATGCTGGCGCAAGTATCATTGCAGTACATGGGCGTCAAAGACATCAGAAAGGACACAATACCGGACTAGCAGACTGGAGCGTGATTCGGTACCTGCGCGAAAATCTGCCACCGGAAACAGTCTTGTTTGCGAATGGCAATATCTTGAATAACAACGATATCGAGCCGTGTCTTACAGCGACAGGAGCTGATGGTGTGATGAGCGCAGAAGCCAACTTGAGTGATCCTACTGTCTTTGCGAAGCCTCCGCCTCAAGATCAGAGCAGTAGAGAGTACTGGAGAGATCCGCACAATGCAGGAACAGGCGGTTACAGGATAGATGGAGTGTTCAGGAGATACATGGACATTATATACCGCTATGTCTTGGAACAGGAACCAATGATCCGGCAACCGCTATACTTGCCAACAGATGCGTTACAGGATACGACAAATGGATGTGCTCCTGTTTCGGATACCAGGCCCAGTAATGGCGTAAAGCGGTCAATCGAAGAGGGAGAGGACGAGGAGGACGATCAGAATGATGTCAATAACTCGGCTAAGTCGACCAAGACTTCGAAAAAGCAGAAGAAGAAACATAACAAGAGCGGCAAGGACATGGCAGCTGTGCACAATCCAAACCTGAAATCTATGCAGGGCCACCTCTTTCAACTTCTGCGTCCTATGCTAGCTAGCCATACACATATTCGAGATGCCCTAGCGAGGGCTCGAGCAGGTGACATTCAAGCCTTCGAGCATGTTCTGAGCATGGTCGAGGATGCTGTGAAGGAAGGTCTGAACGAGGAGTATGCTCCGTTGCACAATTTGAACAGCAAGCATCCCAACGAGCAGAACGAGAGTACTCTGCACCCTACGAACGATGTCCATGATACAGCTCACGGTGTTAATTGCGAGAGTAGTGATGCGGCGCGAGAGCGCTGTAAACGTCCGTTCTGGGTCTGCCAGCCTAATGTTCGCCCTCTGCCCGAAGAAGCAATCAAGCTTGGTGCCATGCAGCTGAGCAAGAAAGAGAAAGAAGCACTGGCTCAAAAGGAGATGGAGGGAAGACCCATGGCGGTTGCCACCCTTGCCGAGGGAACGAGTCAATCAGGTGTCTCCAAGAGCTCACTGTCGGCAGAAGAGGAGAACGATAAGAGCGTGAGCCAGCTGGTGGAGAAAGAGTTGCCGAGAGAAGAAGCATTAGCGTGTGGTTGAGGACTCGCTCTAGACTCCCGATGATCTTTCTGTGATCATTCGCCTCGCTGCGCTCACTTCAACACTTCGATCTTCCAATTGCGAGACTGACAACTATGTCTGACACAACTGATGAGCCCCAAGGACAACGGCAGACACACCATCCAACCAATATTGTTCTGCCACTAGAAGTGACAGCCTGGTGGAGGCGGCAACTTCGTGCTACTGACAAGAGGCATCAGGATCCAGTATATTGACCGTGCAGCACAGTGACGTATGTTAGTATCTCACGTAGGTGAGCCTGCACTAGCTAATAATCGACTTGAAGCCGTTGTAGGCTTGTTCCATGTCAAAGGCAAGGTCGTGCGCTTGCTCCTCACTCAGTTCCTCTGTCGTTCTCATCTGATTGAGAGTGATTAACCATTGAATGATCTTGCCTCTGTGCTCAAAATCCTTATCGGTGACCTTGTTGACGGACTGGATAACATCTGACAGAAGTGGATGTAGAGTCGATTTGGATACATAGTTCAGCTTAAGAGCGTCCATGAAGGTGATAAAATTCTCCGTGGCCGCAAGAATGAGGCTACCAGAAGGTCCTGCTGGTACAACAGGAGCGGCAGAAGCGTGGCTGGCTTGAGGAGCATAAACCTCGGTTCGTGGTAAGCCTGCTCGAAGAGTCTCTGCGGCTCTTGGGCATTGAATCTAGGAGTTGTTAGTGTAGCTATAGAGGAGACAGGAGCTGACTTGCATCCCACTCGCGCATAAACGAGTCTAGATCTCGAAATTCACGCTCGACATTCTTGTCGCTCAAGATGCTTTGATACTGCTTGATCATCTTCGAGCATGCTTCAGTATACTCGTTTTCTGGCAACGCATCCTTCTGGTATGCTTTCTCCAGACCATCGAGCGTGCGGATAATGCTATAGACTTCAGCAAGCGAATCGATTAGGTCCCTCTCTGCCGCGGAGTCAGCCAGCTTGACCTCCTCGTCGAGGTTAATGTTAGCGGCTAAGGACGTGGTTGGAACATAATGATAAGGCGTGGGCGCATAGGATGGCTGCCTCGAGCCAGATTGAGCACCATACATCATCTCATCTTGCTAGAGTTTACCCTGTGAACGAGAGTCGAAACACAAGGCATCGCGAAAAGAGCATGTGCCTGTCGGAGAAACTTCGGCTTCGCATCTCGATTTCAATAATTTTTGTTACTTTGGTCCAGCGCAAATGCTGGTAATGCTGTAGATACTCACTTTGCAAGCAACCGTGCAAAATGGGCAAGCAGACCAAATCGACTAAGAAGTTCGAAAAGAAGCATCTCAAGGACACAATCGATCGACGCAAGGAGTTTGCGAAAATTAAACAGCGACACCAAAAGAACGACAAGAGGAAACAACGAAATGCTCAACAGGCAACTGAGCACGATTCCGATCAGGACGTAGAAAAAAGCGTTGCTAAGCACGAAGACGTGAACCAAGATGCTTTCTTCCAGGACGCCCCACCTGTACCTAGCGCAAAGCCGGGTAAGAAGCAGCCACAACCAGCAAATGGCAAGAGAAAACATACCGAAATAGAGGCCGAAGATGCTATAGAAGAACCTGCTCAGGACGTCGAGGTAGATGATGCAGAGGATGATGAAATTGATATGGCCGCCCTGGCCAAAAAAGACCCCGACTTTCATAAGTACTTGCAGGAAAATGATCCAGAACTGCTCGACTTCAACGAGCAGGACAATCTGGAGGATCTCGAGGTTAGTGAGGAAGAAGACGCACGGCCAAATAAGAAGCGCAAGACATCCAAGGAAGAGCCTGTCGTATCTTCAGTCACAACAGATATGGTCAAGAAGTGGAAGAGTGCAATGCAAGAACAACATTCAATCAGATCGTTAAGAGAAACCGTCCTGGCTTTTCGCGCTGCAGCTCATATGGACGACGAGGAAACTAAGGACCTCAAGTATGTCATTCCCTCAAGCGACGTCTACCACGAAGTCCTGGTCACAGCTCTGAAAGATGCTCCGAAAGTGTTGGCTCATCATCTGCCTGTCAAGGAGTCCAAGGGAGGCAAGCTCACGGTCCCAACGAATTCGGCTCAATTCAAAAGACTGTCACCCTTAATTAGAACGTTCGCGACATCGATCAACCATTTTCTTCCAAGCTTGTCAGATCCAGCCACCATAAGAATGACCCTGCAATCCTTCGAGCCTCTCCTGCCATACCTTCTGCAGTTTCGCAAATTCCTCAAGCAGATCCTGAGATCTGTCGCAAGTATTTGGTCCGACAACACTTCGGACGAGGCAACGCGTATTACAGCTTTCCTCATATTACGCAGGCTACTCACTATCGGCGACGCTGGTATCAAGGAAGCAGTTCTCAAGGCAACCTATGAACAGCTGATCAAGGGCTCTCGAAACACCTCGGCCCACACCATCGCTGGCATCAACTTGATGAAGAACTCCGCTGCTGAGCTTTGGGGTCTAGATCAGAAGGTAGCCTATACAACTGGATTTACCTACATTCGCTCAGCCGCTATGCACTTACGAACGAACGTGACCAAACCAACAAAAGATTCGTACAAGACGGTCTACAACTGGCAGTTTATTCACAGCCTTGATTTCTGGAGTAGAGTGCTTTCCATGCATTGCAACTCACTTCTTGAAGCCCAAAACGGGAAGCCGTCGGAACTGAGACAGCTGATTTATCCAGTCGTTCAAATCACTTTAGGCGTCATGCGACTGATCCCCACCCCAACATACTTCCCACTTCGTTTCCAACTCATCAGAGCCTTGCTACGAATATCACAATCCACAGGCACATACATCCCACTCGCTTCCGCCCTTCTCGAAGTCCTAAACAGCACCGAGATGAAAAAGCAAGCCAAAAACACAACAACCACTCTCAAACCACTCGACTTCTCCATCAACTTCCGCGCCCCAACAAGCTACCTCAAAACCCGCGTCTACCAAGACGGTCTAGGTGAACAACTCCTCGAACTCTTTTCCGAATTCTTCGTCCTCTGGTGCAAGAGCATCGCTTACCCGGAGCTCCAATTACCTGTCACCGTCATGCTCAAGCGCTGGCTGAAAACAGCGAGCAAGCAAAGTACCGGCAACAAGAACGGTAAACTCAATCAGAGTCTGCTTCTGCTTGTGCAGAAATCAGAGGCGAATGCTAAGTGGATTACTGAGAGGCGGAATAAGGTTACTTTCACTCCGAGGGATAGAGCTGAGGTTGAGGGTTTCTTGAAGGACGTTAAGTGGGATGATACGCCTATGGGTGCGTTTGTGTCGGGCCAACGACAGTTTAGGGATAGGCGGCAGAAGACTGTTGTTGAGGGGAGGGAGGCCGAGGGCAAGAGGAGAACGAAGGATAAGAAGGGAAAGAATGAGGTGGACGATGAGGACGAGGACGATATTGAGGTTGTATAGATGGCACAGTGGATCGGTGTAGTAATGACAAAATACGTGTCCGTATCGGCGACTGGTGAATCCACAAGTAGCTTGTCTTCTCAGTCACCTTGTGTCCTCTGATTTCTACGTCAACTTTTCTTACGAATACAGCCTGGTCAGCTTCGACATTTTTGGTTGTCATTGGGTTGTTTAAATATCCCACCCCACACAACGTAGTCCACAGTATGTAATGTGGAACTCATGCCAGTCGCTCGACACCATCTTGAAAGACTACCGAGCTGTTTGTATCCCTGTTCATGGTGCTCCAACAAAGCTCTGTCAACGTAAGTGTATACTCCATGTTCCAAACCAATAACAATCTTTCAATTTCAGCTTTGATGCCTCGGGCGACAGGACTCAATTATGTCCCTCGTTGCAGTGGTGGTAAAGCAACTTGAAGAAAGCGATTCATCGACGAAAGCCAGAGTGTCCTCCTCAGTTTTGCTTACGGTAGTTACTCTAACATGGCTTAACGATGTTAGCTCTTATATAGGTCTTGATGGTAAGCGATGAGCATTATAGTGCACTCTGGGGATTGAGGAGGACGCTAAGAGAGGATGCCAGTCATGCACTGAATCTACACATAGCAAGTAATTTTGAGTATGACCGTCTTGCTTCATCACGACGAGAACACCAATTGACATGTTGCGCCTGACTGGAAAGATCTGTAGTGTCATTGCAATTGTCCATAAGCCTTCGACATTGTGCCAGGTCATGCTTGTGGCTACTAGAGCCTTGCAGAAGGATATGTTTGTAGAATTCTTGTTGGGAAGAACTCTTTACTTCCTCTCAGAACAGCATTCACCTTCCGAACTTCCTCTTCTCAAGCCACCTTAGTGGAGGATAGACTATCGCCGTCCAGGCGAATCCAACATAGTTGCCCATATCAGCACCGTACTCTCCGACTTGCTTCGCCAGAGGCCCAATGTACCAGACTTGTGCCATACACAAGATAGCGCCTGCCCAGCCGATCAAGAATGCTATCAGAGCAGCCGCACCAATCGGCAATCGGCTTCTATCATTCCAGATATTCCAATCGTAGTTTTTCGTGCTTCTGCCCTTAAAGATCAAAAACTCTTCGAGCACGATGGCGGACCAAATGGCGACCCAGTAACCCATTAATGCAAGGAAATTTGTGAAAATTATCGCCAGATTGTTCCGTCCTGCCAGTGCACAAGCAAGGTAGATCATCACGCCAACTGTATTCCATATCACTCTTGGCACTTTTTCAAAATAGCGACTCAGGATCTGGAAATCAACACCGGACGAGTATGTCGGAGCAATCATGTTTGCAATCCCACCAAGTGCCACAACGACTGCACAGAACTTGCCAAAGGTACCCACATCAGAATATGCAGCGACTAGTAAAGCACCAGAGCCACTACCACCCTGTTCGTTGTGCCATGCCGACGCGAGCATAGAATTGCTGAAGATGCCTGACGCTATACCAATGCCGAGGACAATCGAGAATGTGAAGGAGATCCACAACCCGGCCAAAGTCGAGACAAAGACTCCGACTCGTGACGTAGCCGATGACCAATACACAAAGTAGTCCATAGAGAGTGGCGCGTATGTGATTGCTGCAGCAAGACAGATGGAGAAAAAGGAAAGTCGGTTTCCAGCCACAGTCCGTGTATCACCTACACTGGTGTAGGAGAGGTCGAAATACTTCGCCGAGACCCCATACAAGACGGAAAGTACGATGATTTGCGGCATCCAAGCAAAACGCTCGTAATAGTGAAACACTGCAATGCCAAATGTTGTGACCAGCCAAACGATAATCACAATGATGATTATGCCAACGACGACCGACATAGAACCATGAGGTGAGACGGCGGAGAGAACCTGTCCTCCAATGATTGCCACGACCAAGCTGTAACCCAACATCTGCAGGATATTCAGGATCACAATCAGTTTGCTTGGCCACCAGCCCATGCTGTATCTGCCAAAGATCATGGTTCTTATGCCGGACAGAGGTCCCCATGTTGCGATCCAAGCAACCGGTACAGAGCCGACTAGAGCGCCCAGTGTAGCACATAGGGAGGCGTCTGTGTAGGAGAGCTCGTAGACTGCTGGTCCAAGCATGCCTAGGGTGACATTGTTGACCACCAAGTTCACGGACGTCCATAGCACAAACACTTGGATGTAGGCGAAGAACGATGTCTTCTGCTTTTCATGGTCCTCCACTCTTTGAATACCTCGGGTTTCGATGTTGTATTTCAGTAACGTCCTCTCGAATCGATGTAGTAGTGATCCAACGCCATGTTGGTTATGTTCGGAAGCAGAGTTGAGGGTGCGCCTCTGATCGGATTCGTGAGGAGATTCGGGTGTTGCTGTGTGAAGTGCCTTCTCAGCATCGGCTCGGTCAGCAGCGGTAGCCATGTTTTGCGGGCACTGCAGGCTCGTCAGCAAACAGTCTGAGACTTGTGCCACCCAAATGGTAAGCACAATCTAGCTCGCAGATGCACGGGTCCGGCAGATCAAGCTTTTGCTCTATGCTCGACGTTGCAATAAGGTGGCCAATCAGCCAGACGTCTTGCTCGGTTCAGATGGTAATTATGCACAATTCCTGCTGGCCAAAATGCGGACAAACACCTGTTCATGCAAGTATCCAACTGTACGACTTTCCGTTAACAACATCAAGTCACGTACGGAAGATGTGGCAGAACAGACTTGGACTAGAGATGAGATCGTCCTTATCTTGAGCTGCCTCTTAGAGAACGTATGTCTTGAGGAAAGGAGATAGCTGAAGTACTGAACTGGAAGAGAGGTACGGAGGACGAGATACGCGATTGCGACACAAAAGCATTGGTAGCATGGTGCACAAAAGTTAGCAGCCAGAATTGGCTGCAACTCGAGCGCGAAAGAATTACAGTAGTGGGGAGGATGGAGGACGAATAGCTTTTCCTTGTGACTGGAAGTGAAGAACTTTGATGTGTCTTTTCGTGCTCCGATTGGTCAGAACGATCGTGGTGGGGTTTGAATCAACGGTCGTTTCTATGGACTCGGGGAGTAGGAGATTATAACGAGCTCAGTAAGCGTGACACTCGACTCCGAATGGTATGACTAAACGTTTCTCAATCAAGCCCAGTAGACTGTCATCTGCAGACCACATTGCCATAGTGAGTCTGACCGTGACTTCTTCACCATGCGACCAAGCTCGTGTTTGATAGGACCACGTGGTGCCTGCTGTCGACACCGATACTCGGCCACAAGGTACATGAACGTTGTTGAAGTTGTTTGATAGAGCTAAGAAATGCTCTCACTAATGAGCAACGAAATTTGCTGCAATAAGTGGCCCAGCTTTCCACCGTAACGCCTCGCTAAATCGTGTAAAGATGTGATAATGATTAGGGGGTCTTGAAATGATCCTTCGCAAACTGCTCGCAAGCCTAGAAGAACGTCAACTTCGAACTTAGTGTTAGAAGACACTCCTCACCTTGGCTGGTTTACCTAGTTTCGCACCTATTACTTTCCATTTATTTGCCTCGTATTCCTTGATCGCGTCCAATAGTGCTTTGGTCTGACAGATATCAACTTGGTTCGAACAGTTGTGGGTATAACGTACCTCATCCTCAGCAAACTCTGCGTAGTGCATGTCCTGGACACCAGATCAGAATTGTTTCTGTATTGTGAGAGCACCCTACTTACCTTGTACCAATGCTTCTTGACGCTTCCCTCAGTTCGATTTGGAAATTGCTGTGCTGGTATCAGCACATAGATCCTCGGCAAACGAGTTAAGCCTGACCTTAGCTATCTCGCTCCATGTATTGCCAGCATCGCGCATGTGTTTCAGTCTCTGCTCCTCTACTGCTGTCCAAGGTGTATTGGTCCTGGTACCACGTTTCTTTCCACTATCTTCAGATAGCAATGCTGGAATTGACAAGCTTGTAGAAGCCTCTCGTTCAGCTGTTGACGTAGTTGGCGGTGGTTTTACATTGAGGGGCTTTGGCTCGGCTGCTGGACTTCGAGAAGCTGCTCTTTTACGTGGGTTCAGGATAGAGGATGTTGGTGGGGGTATAGTGTTAAAAGTAGTCGAAGGCTTGCTAGAAATCTGAGCAGGTACAGATCCTTCAGTCGACCTCGAAGGTGATAACGGGCCTGAGTTAATAGTTCTAGGACGTTTCGCAGGAGGTGGTGTACTATGATCAGTTCAGTAGCTGTAAACGAAACGAAACCAAAGCCCAAGATCTTGCATAAGGTATGTGCAACAAGGACAACTTACGACATGCTGGTCAAGCGGAGTATTGATTAGGTGTAGTCAGGACTCAGGCAAGGTGCCAGCGACATTGTAGATAGGCGCAGTGAAGGTCATCCGGCAATTCGACCAACAAGCAATAACCAGACAGTTGCTCGGGAGCTCAATGGTCCAGTCGCACAATTTGCTGGAACAGGTGATGCCTTGTAGAACAAATTATATATGTTGTTTGTTGGTCAGAGCTAACCGAGAGCACTGCAGTGTAGGACGAAGATCCAGACACAAGAGCATCCAAGCTCGCCAATCAGCCTTCAATCAGTTAGTATTCGAAGCATGAGGTATGATATCTGCTATCAACAGCAGTTCTTTCGTCAACACTGCATCATGACAGAGCTCAAGACGAAAGATAAAGTGGTTTCATGAGAATAAACCTTGCAGTAATGTGAATATCGGGCCAGATACAGCTGATCAGGGAACGGATCTTCTGATATTCACCCGGTCACAAGCCATACACATCAAATGCACTTGTCTCGATTGCACAGGTGTACCTCGTCCATGTTGCGGGGTAGGAGGCAGTACATAGGTGGAAAGGGCTGAAGCTCTACCATGTACCATGGGCGCGACACGAGATTCTGCTACCATGCAATAGTACCTACGTGTTGTACTAAGCAGCGAGCCAATGTCATGATGATCATCATGCAGCAACGGTTTACCAGCACCCGAACCAGAAAGAGGGGAAACCGTGGAGGACTGACGCAGGATCAGGGTTAGACGGCCAGCAGTAGTCTTGTAAACCACTTGACCTTTTGGAGCTTGATCGATCTAACATCAATACCGAACCAATAGTATTGTGCTTTGCCAGATAAGTAACTGTTCTAGTCGTCCTCGATGAGAAGCTGTGGTGATGGCAGGTGTAATACTGTAGGCTGGTATGACGTGGAGCATAACATGTATGTGCTTTACAAGAACAGAGTCTTCGCGTAGTGCTGGACGTTGACCGAGGCAGCCCGACGATTGTCTCGTAGTCGTGCCTAGTATTTAGGACGAGTACTGAGCATCTAGTAAAACTCGATCTGTTTCTTGCAAAAGAACACGGTTACAATCATGCGGCTGTACAGCAGTAGCTAAAGCTGTCGGGAAAGTGCAGCCTTTGGAGGTACTGACAGAAGGAGCGTTGACAGAAGGAGCGAGGAGAAACAAGTAAGGCACGAATCCACGTGATCAGCATTGGCCGCCTGCAAGTCGGTGGTCGCTTTCCTTTTGCGACCGCAACCGCGGTTACGAAAGGTAGCTAATCACAACCACGACTTCCTGTTACTCTCGTTGATCTCTTACCCGAACACTCTCTTTTCTCGTCGAGCCTTCATTGCATAACATCTCCCTATGCTTTGATGAGCGCGCCATTGACTGTCACACAACCCTGAAAACGCCTCCGTACCTGTTGTTCGCATGGAATTGTGCATGTCTCAAGGACTAACGGGTTCCTCGATGCAATGCGTGACGATTCTCTGGGTCCGACATTTGACTTGACCCACTGCAGCGTGGACACTCGGGGCATAAAGCTCTTTCAAAGATGTTGCGGATTGAGCAAGCTTGCTGATCTTGTCTAGTGAGAAGTTTGTTACTGACTTATGACGAGTTCCTATTACATGTCAGCTTTTGCTCTCGGAAATCTGCACAACAACGGCGCTTACATCGTATCTCTTTGCTGACTTGCCCAAGAACAGTCTCATAACGACTCGACCTCTCGATAAATATTTCGTATCCTCTACCAAAGTCACCACGCGCTTTCCGTCGCCCATCCTCGATTGTAGTAGCTGGGCAAATTCGACCACTTGTTGCCTACCTCTCACAAAAGTTTCTCTATCACACCACGCCCCACAGTAAGAATCCTTCCAGTTTTCAGCTTGACAGGTGAGCTTGACAGTCTGAAGATTTCTGACATCTTGAGCCGTGACTTCAACGTCACTCACACTGAACTTCTTCAACAGATCACAATTCAGCTGCCATTCCAAATGCTTGATGTGCTGATAACTGGGATTACCACTAGTTACACGGACTGGTAACCTACCAGCAAAAGCTTGAAAGGACGTTCGAAAAATGGTGTGTCTGTAAAGGACTGGTCGAGCTTCAAAGAGTATGGCTTTACAAGTTCGGAGCAGTTGTGCTCCTCGATATTGTGGACGAGACGTTTCTGTGTTCGCGGGAAACATGTCGGGTTCCTCTACCTCGCCAATATCTTGCCGGCCACCATCAACGTGGACTGTGCCACCCCCAAAGAGTTGTGCATAGATCTGGAGCCTGATCTCGGTTGGCAGCTGCAAGAAAGACATGGTGTCGAGGATTGATACTCAGATTCTCGACAGAAACAGTCTACGAGAGTAGAAGAGAAGAACTCACAGATGGTCTTCCAGGTCTTCAATCTGTGTGACTCTCCCGACATATTATCTTTTCTTTGTCCACATACCACGCGAGATTAATCCATGCTCGGACGCTCCGCTAGTACCAGGGTTCCGAGACTAGGGCTCAGCTGGTGATGAGGCTAGCCCGAGATCTAGCAATTACTTTTCCGGATTGACTTTAGTAAGCTTACTCTGACACGTTTCGCATTTTACTACTGTATGTCCACGTTACCTCATACTTCACAAAAAGACATGGACGCTTATATCCTTCCACAATTCCCGCGCATAAAGTCTTTAATGTTAGTTGAAAAAAATCTCACGTTGTAGAGAATTAGCTACCTCGTTCACGCGCAGAGTGTCACCGCTCGTCAGTATCTTATCTTGATACCGACCACGTTGAGAGTCTAGCGTGATGGGGCTGCAGATCAACTCGTTCTTTCTGGCCGAAAACGTGCATAGCTTTCCAACCTTAGTTTGCTTCCTCGCTTATCTACCGAGCAGCACAGTTGTGTTTTTTAGTTGGTGACCTGACGAATCACAACCACGTATTGTTTCCTCCTTCACAGGTATGTGAACGAGGCCCACATCAGAGCGTCTCAGCTGGCGACCTCCACCCTCGACTACTCAGGTCAGGCTTCGAGAATCAAAAGTCCTTCGACGTTTCCAATGGACCACATGCTCTCAATCTGTAGAAATACCTGTACGAAACCGGATGTGCTTGGGCGCCACGTCGCTTGGTTGGTGCACAACTTTTCGACCCAACTTGGCACGAACCGGCAGAACACGAGCTGACCGGTCATCGAGCCACTCCCTGTGGACGAATGTATTCCAGGCTTATCAGTTCAGCCATGGGTTTCTTCCTCCTACGAACGCCCAGACTCTGGAAGCTAGCACGTTCAACGACACGGCAGCCCCTGACTTGCTCTTTACCATCCTCGTCCAATATTGTGCCAGTGCCATTGGCCATACGTTTGAACCGCGTGCTGAGATGATACAATGGAGAGACACTCAACCTCCAAAGTTATGAAACGTCTACCACGATTACAGTTGAAGGAAACACGAGAGATACTTCGTGGACACCTCAAAAATATCGGAAACAATCACGACTAGTCTTATAATAACTTGTTTGGTCCGAATGGAAAGGCAGGAACTACCTCTTCGCAAGCGAGTAGACGCACCTTCTCTTGCCAGGAGACCGCCCGGAAGCGACGCCTGACACGTGCAATGTGGTTGCTGTCTCTGATTCATCGCTGACAGGATGACAGGTCGTTCTAGATTTACTTCCAAGTGATTTCTTCTTCAAGTTTCCTCCTTCCGCTCCACCATCAGCCAATCCTGTTCCTCCTCGTCTATCAGCTCTTTCGCTTGCAGTAAACCCGCATCTTCTGAAAACTCCCGCAGTTCGAACTCATCTTGGTGTCGATTTTGGGGGCTTCGACCCACCCTCAGCAAGATGCTGTCACTTACGGTCCTTCGAAGTAAGGACTCCACCCTGGAAATGGCCTGAATCCAAGAGCCGCCAGGAATCGAGGGTTGCTCAATCAAGTACGGTCTGTCCTTGAGAAGGTAGAAGGCGTCGACAAATCTCTTGGCAAGCTGGCCGATATCGTTGATGCTATAGTACTCGAGCCTCTGAACAAGAGCACTGATTTCCTCTCGTTTCTGCCGATGAATTCAATACTTTGTCCGAGATACATTGTGAGGAAGTCCACTTACCACTCCAATGTCTTCTAGAGCCGGAATGTACTGGCATACCAGTGCAGCCATATGCGGTCGCCGCATGTCAGGGTCGGTCGACACCCTCCCTAAATACTGGATGCGCTCTCTGAATCCTTGCAACAAAGCATCTCTTCGTTCTCGATTGCTTAGGGTCTGAGCTCGCGCCAATGGTGATTCGTGGTTTCGATTCGACTGCATTGTATCATCTATTGATAGGAGCCGAAGGAGTCCAGTCTAGGCCTGTTCCTTTTCAAGTTGCTGGCGAAGAAGGTGGAGTGAATATCATCAATGAACCAGTCGAGAAAGTAAGTCATAATCGCGACTGCTCTGGTGACAGATCGCAGAGAGTGTTTGCACTCAGTGCTACCTGCCAGTGTCATCCTGCTATGAGCTGCGTCAGTGAAAGTGTGAATAAACAGTAAATAGTACTTACACTTAAAAGCATAGAAAGATTCCTTTAGTTAGATCTTGGAGCGTTACTAACAAAGGCTTTCCCTCGGACCTAAGCCATGATGCATGTTCACACGTAATCTACCGTCGTGAAGAATGTACATATGATGCTGTCCTTATTCTCTTGCTATATGATGTTCGAGGTAGACTGGGAATCTGCGGAGGTCCTATTAACCGAAAACATGGCCTTGCCACGGATTCTAGAATTTCAATGTCAAAACCATGGTAAGGCCATGTTTTTCACGACGTAATACACACGCACCATGGGCTCGCCATTGACATGTGCGCTTACCACACACGCACCACGCAAGTCGCACCGCTGCAAGGTACAATTATCACCGTCACGAGTCTGCTCGGGTCGATTAGATATCGATATATTCAGAATACCTCTACACTAGTATCTATATACACAGCCTAATCCATATTCACATTTCTAGGGCAATCCGTTGTAGTTGCTCTCAGGCACTTACATACTTTGCTCGACGTGATCGTTCCATCTTATTACCTAAGTAAAGCTCAATTTTGCCTGCTTTCTCAGCTGCTCCGTCTTCTCCTTACCAAACTTTCTCGTCTTCCTCACCAGATATTCTGCTGGCTCGTTCTCGTCTTCACTCGTTACAATTTTTTTTGACTTTGTACGTTGCGTTCGAATCTCCTCTCGTATCTCGTTGCAGAACTTATCTCTTGCCTCCTCGTCGATATCGTAGACCCCTTCATGAAGACGAATCACATCCGAGACGGTCTCAACTGTTATACCGAACTTTCTCTTACACCATAGTAAGAAGCCTGGCTTGTTCCAAGTCCCACAATCAGCTTTCTCTACCGCATGTGGCTGTTTCCCTTCTTTGTCGAGTTTCTTTAGCCTGACCTTATTATTCGAATCCGGGTTGACGACGATCAGGCAATGCTCGCAATATAGACGTCCATTTTTCTTGTAGAAACACCACATCCGAGCTTGGGACTTGTCTGGTAACTGGCATCCCTTGCCTTCACACATGAACTCATCTGCTGTAAAGTGGACACCTGCTATAGGTATCAGGATTCCCTCCTTCTCCCATTGCTTCAAATGGCAGTTTCGACAAAGAACGGCGTTGCCGAGCTCAGGAATAACTTTTATCCTATCAGGAACTCCCACAGGCGGCAATTGTCTGTAACACCACCAGCAGTGGACTGCAGTCTTCTTTGACTCTAGTCTATCGATGATCTTCTGCCGACGGTGAAAGCCCATGTGATGATGGTATCTGAAACAGGTCATACAGAGGCATTCCATGCTCATGAACTCTCCTTTTCGAAGGGGTGACCAGCATGGTGATTCAGTGACAGGACAGTTAGCGACTGGATTGCAGCATTTTCTTGGTGTATTGCTGTCAAACCTTGTGTCCCTTGGAATGCCTGCTTTCAATGGCAGGACCACATTCAAGCCTCGAACGTCGTTGAACTCGATTATACCATGGCGGCTCCGAAACTTCTTGACCCAATTGGCGACACCTGGTGTTCGCCAATGACTTGTCCAGCTCTCTACCACGTTAAAACTCGTGATTACCTGCACAAATGCTTCGAGGCCAAAGCAGTAGCATCGGTGAAGGTGGGCATATTGAGGCTGTACTTTTGCCACACGAACGAAGTTAGGTCGGAGACCTTCTCTAACCCCACGTAGATACCTCTCGTGTTCGAACTTACCTTCTCTCGACAAGTCTTGGAAGTAAGAGAGGATTCTGCCAATGAGACCTGCTGGTCTACTCCCGGGAAGGCCAACACTAGTGGCGGAGCCAGCATACTATGCAACAACGAAACCCATTGTATTGGTAAATAGGTCCATGTACGCTCCCCACTCAACGTCATCCTTAAGTACCTTTGGTAAATGTAGTAGATGCTCGGGTTTAAAATCCTCCGCCATTACTATATATATGAATTCATCGGTCAGTGTGCTGAGGATATAATTTTCCCATAGATCGCGGTCTACGCGGCTAAGAAATGCAGCGGCAAAAAGGGAGACTGGTGCTCCTTCCATTGGTAAGTCTGAGAAAACGTTGAAGGATAAAGTAAATTGCAGAAGCTCGTCGACGAAAGCTCGGGCAATCCTTCGCATCTTCTGCTTACGTTGTTCTAACACCGCTATAATAATATAGTATCAGCTTCCACGTCTTGTCAGATATCATATCAATGCATAAAGGGTATTGTTAGCTAGGAAGATGGATGGAATAGTGTAGGGCAGATAACAACTAGTTAGGCTTAGAGTATATGGCATTGTGATGATGCTGTGCTCAGGGGCAGCTGAACTGTGGCTTTGCCAGGGTTTGAGTCGACACATCAAATGTTGTGGCGTTGTGCTCTTGATTGGTCTTACCAGGCTGCATGTCTACAAGTCCTGGCCCCGCCGTCTCCGCATATTGTCCCTTTGCATTTTCCCACAATTTCGAACTCTTCGGTGGCAACCATTGCTCCCATGGGGTAGGTAAGATATTCTCTTCGGTACTCGGGATCTCGGAAGGCACGGAAGATACGCTGGAGACCGATGTAAGCAACGAAGACGGAGTCGACGACGTAGAGGAGGAGGAAGAAGTAGAGTTAACGACAGATGGTATAGATGTTCTTGCTGGCGTCGAAGGCTGTAAGGTAGAGTCTTGAAGGATGAATGGTCTAGGTATATCGAAGTTGCTTGCATCTTGGTCTTCGATATCGTGTTCGGTGCTGTTGATGCTCTCATCTCCAGCTAAACGAAATTGCTCAATGTCCTCGACGAGTTGTAGTAACTTCTCTTCATATGAGGACGCCATCGTTATGCTTACTGGACAATCAACCTCGTCAACAGTCGTACGAGAAGGGAATACAGCTATTCGTCCCAAATCCATTGTGCGGTGAGCACGAAGTTTCCGAGGGAAGGAGCTGCCATAGCTCCTTCCTCAAGACCACCCAAGAATGTACAACTCACTACTGCGAACTAATGACTATCTACCCAGTCGCCAAAATAACAGGATCTCGATCTCATGCAAACATGTCTGGTAACAAGGTCGACATGGAACTCAAAAAACATAGCTTGAACATGAGTCCAGCAAACGCTGTACCTAGAGAATTTGAGCAGGCAACCTGCCTGTCCAGACTTGGTATAGAAGTACTTTGTTCAAACATGGTAGCAAAAGAACAGCCTTGGCACGAATTGTCACTAACAACTAGCGATCAACGTTGAAGCGCCGTCAATGTATCTTCACCATCTATGGTTTACACGTACAGATCCATTCTCGTTCAGATCAAGTACGAATCGAGACACCCACGAGCCTGCGTATCTCATTCCCATATCCCAGTTCTTACGTTCTGAAGGCATGACGCCTACTCCAAGAAGAGGCTCTGGTCAGGGTAGAACGCCCAGTAGTCGAAGCAACGAGAAGCGAAAGACAAAACATGGCTTATCCACTCCCCCATCCTCGCGCGGTAACAGCAGAAAGAAGAACAACAAGCTTCTAGCAAAACTCCAGCAGGTCCACGAGTCCCTCAAGAAGCGCAAGAAGGTGTCCCCTAGCAAGTCCAAAACTGACCGAAAAACTGATACGGAAGAGGCAGTAGAGACGTCAGCAAATACTCAACCATTAGCTGCTGATACTGCAGGAAACTATGACTCCGATGCCGTCGAGGATGAAGAACAGCAGCCTGCTGCACAAGACACTCAACCCGATCCACTTGATAGTGGTGATGAGGTCGACCTCTCAAGATTAGCCGACGCAGGTAGTGAGCAACCAGTCAAGAGAACGTCCGCAAAGACTGATGATGGCATGTCCACAGCTCATCAACATGATGCTTCCAGTGAGGATGACTCCGGAGAAGGAGATGGCGTATCTGTCCATGCGGTCTCTAGCGGCGACGAGATAGCAGTCTCCAGTGGCGATGAGATGGTCAAGCCGACAGAAGACCCAGTGACCGCACCACGAAAACAAGCGACTGCCACTTCGCAGCGCACAAAAACCCGCTCGCAATCTGCTAAGGAACAGCCATCGACTCCTCATCATACCAAAGGCCTTCTCAAACGAAAGACGACTCCTGGCTCGTATGCACCTCCCGAAACCACCGAGGATGATGTAGAATCTGAAGCAGAAGACGCATCTGATGATGAGTACATGGGAGATGCTGTTTCTGATTCAGATGTAGAGTCAGAGCAAGATGCTGGAGGGGAGATTGACTCAAAGGCGGCAGCAGATCTCATGGATGTGGACGATGAAATTGTGGTAACACCAGCAAATCCTCTGCCCTTTCGAGGACGAAGACCATCCACGAATCAGCAGAGATCTATAGCCACGCCACGATCATCGCGGGCATTACAGACCATCAGCAAGAGCCGACCAAGAGAATCGGTCGCTCGGGCAAAGCAACGCACTGCAGAAGAGTCCAAACCACCAAAGCCGTTCGTATGGAAGAATACATATTTCTTTCGTTTCGCGCCTCGCCGGTACGACATTTGCCTGCACCCTTATCATGCCGACTATCAGCTCCCACCCAACGCCAGGGAGCTGAAACCACCACCAAAGACTTACGAGCGACCTCGAGTCAGCCTACATGTTGGCATTGTCAGCGTCCTAGCACGAACACAGAAACGGAAGGTTGCGAAAACTGGTGGGATCAAAAAGGTTATTGTTCCCTATGGTAACGATGCTGAGATGGTGCCAGCAGTTACCGAGACCAAGCTACGAGATTCTGTCACGAAATCTTTCCTCGGCATCGATGAGGTGATCTTCACAAGATCTATGGAGGACCCAGAGTATCGAACCGAACAAGAGGCAGCATTTCTTGCACGATTTCAGAATCTCGATGATACGGAGCACAAACGTGTGATCGAAGAGTTCACGAACTGGCGATACGAGCGAAGACGTAGCGAGTACGCTGTCATTCGCCGTATCATGAGGGAAGGCTATATGAACCTGTTTCATCCCAATTCTATCGTGCGAGCTCAAAGCACAGTTGAATCTCTTCAACAACTTTGGCTTTTCATTCGTGAAGAAGAGCGACTGGAAGAGGAAGAGGCCATACCTGTGCAGTATGCTGGGCGGCGTAGCGAACCTGTCATCGAGTTGGCAAACATTCCAGAACAGAAGCTTATGGCTCTCAAGAAGATATCTGGATTGAAAGAGGAAGATGACCTTGTTGAGCACGCTAAGTCCACAGTGAAGGCGAAGTGGGCAAGTCAACAGAAAGCTTGGGATAAAGCTAAGAAGCCCAAAGGTCCTCGTCCACACACAGCTCCAGCGGATCTGAGCAAGCGGTTTCGCCAAGCACACGAGCTCGATGAGGAGTATAATCTGGAGGAAGAAGCGATGGAACTTGTCCAAAAATGGATTGATTCTTGCAAAAGCAAGCCAGGCCGTCCACGAAAGCACGCTGCACGCGACTCTGGCTCCGATGCAGATAACAGTTCTGACGATGATGGTACTCAGCGCAAACAACCTACTGGCAAAAAGAAGACTACTACGAGCTCGAGAAAGCTGGCATCACCACCGTCCGAATCATCATCTGAAGACGAGAAAGGACCTGATTACCGTGATTTGGTGAAGGATCAGACCAGAAAACCACGTCGCCGAAGGAATTACGATGGTTACAAGACTGATGCACTTTCAGAGACCGAACCTCCTACAGATAGCGAAATGAACATGAAACCCAAGAAGTTGAGGGAAGTACGCTTCGGTGACAAGAATTACCAGAAGACGAATGCTGTAGCAGCAGCCACACCCTCTACAAATACTGGCCAGGCCACCAAGAAGCCGACTAGGTCGAGTATCAATCCTCGTTTTGCCAAAGACAACATCAATAGTGACTGGAAGGATGTCGAGCAGGCCGTTGAAATACCTGACATCACAAAACCTTTCGGATACAAGCCACCAAGCGCACAAGCACAAGCTAAGATCGCCGATGACATCGAGGTTTATTGGCAGATCTATGGAAGTTACAAGCATCCCAAACTTCTGAACACCCCCGCAACTGAATTGCTTTGCGTTTTTCATGCTATGATCCTCAGTATGAAGAGTCTCAATGGTTTAGGCGCAGAATTTCCTGCCATCGAAGCAGCACAACTTCAGAAAGAATTCAATCGACCCGTACACCAGAACGTGAGAAACACAGTAGGTGCGCAAGCAGACTCGAACTTACTTGTCGATATTGGTGCATCGGTCCTTACGTCCTACATGCTACGGCATCATGACCTCCTCGTTCAGGTCGGATGGCTTACACCCGACGACACTCCACATCTGCTGCCTGTCGCAGAAGGTCAGGGAAAGAACATGAACCAGCCCCAGATATTGTTCATCTACAACAACAACATCTCAGAAACAGTGCCAACGGCAATGAATCACTTCCAAGGTATTGCCGCTAGAGCACTGCTCCCAAGCCATACCAGAGTCGCAACTACAACTGAGGAGGTTGAGCAAGCAACGCCATCCAAGACTTCAACAAACAACAAGGCTACGCCTGCTACAGTGAAGAACACGTCCTTCATTCGCCCAAGATTCTCTGAGGCAATATACCGCGAAGTCCAGGAAGCATTGGATCGAGATTGTTGGAAACCAGAGCAAGTGGTGATGGAGAAAGACTTCAGATACGCTGGTAAAGCCAAGGTTCTAATCTGTTTATGCAAGGATTATGATGGCGTCAAGCACCCATTCTTAGCCTACATTCGGGTGTACATTGACGCACATGGTTGCCACGTTGTTTCCCAGGTTTCTCGTGAGATACAAGAAGGAAAGTTCAGAACTTCTGCATTGTACGATGATCATGCTAGCCATTGGGGTCAAGGGGCAGAGTTTGGCGCTCGGTGGGTGACCTATTACGAATGGTGTCGCCTAATGAAAGAGTACAAAGGTGCCGGCAAGATTGTACTCCCGCTACGAGACAGTCAAGTCCACGGTGCAGTGATGAAACTGGATGAAGTCGACCAACACCTGGAGCAGAACCTCAGTCGATGGAACTTTGGTCGTAAATTGCGGTACGACCTAAAGTATACCACACCTGATGAAGGATTCATCCCAGTCGGCAAGAAGTCTGTTAACGTGATCATTGGCTACAAGGACGCTGATAATGAGGACCATACTAAGGATCTCCACGTACGGGTACAGCACAACAAGGATGGTCACTATCGGAAGTCTGAGGTAGCGCAGAAGATTAGAACCGCAGCTGTTCGTCATCCTGATGGTTCACATCATGTTCTTTGGGACAAGCTCCGTGGACAGGTCTGGAAGTCAGATAAGCAGACATCACAACTACTGGACGAGCACGTACGGTCAAACGCATTAAAGACTCTGAAACAGCTGATCGAGGCGGAGATCACACTTGCTAGACTTAACATATACCCGGTTGATCATGCGACGAGCACCAAGTACAGGAGAATGCTAGACGGTGAAATTGAGATACCAGATCCAGTCAGTGTTGGTCGCATCCCTGATGAGACCCCGACGCGAAGAAGAAGCCACTCTCCAGACTCAAAGGAGCAGGACCAGGAGCAACCATCGCACAAGAAGTTGAAGATGGATATTCTTAGAGAGGCTCAGGCAGGAGTAGGCGATATGCAGACGGAAGATGTTATCGACATCGACGATATCAGTGATGCAGATGACCAAAAGCAATCACCAACTCCTCTACCGAAAGAGACTTCATCAACTACGCAGCAGGCGCGCAGCAGCCAAGACAAGAAGATACATGAGTTGGAAAGTTCTGTGGGAGGGAGTACCGATGAATCTACTGGTTCGTCTTCGCGACGAGGACGAAGAGGAAAGAGAGGCGGTCAACGAAAGAACAAGGTTGCAAAGAATAGGATCGAGTAAGGAGTCTCCATGGTTGAATGCTACAAGTCAGAGTCAGTGTGATCGGGGTGCGGGCATCATGACACAGATTGACCTGTATTGTAGACGCGAATCGTGGCGAGGAAAGCAATGAGGCAGGTTGATGTTATTGCTGAATACTGTGGGACGGCCAGCAAAATGATGGCAGGGCCACTATGAAATGCTGGCCAATCCATAGAAAATGAACTGCCAGCTATTGACATTACACGTAGTCTGCTGCTGCACACACAATAAGCATGTCGTCTTCTTAGTTTCGCTGAACAACCCGCATAACTGCTACTATACTCCTTCTGCTTTCTCGCCTCGAACCGTTTGTTGGTCTATCATAGTTATGCATTCGAACATCTTCGGCTGACTATGTAATATCTCCTCTTCGTACTGAAACTCTTTGATCAACTATGCGAATTTTTCGTGTTCTCGCAGTAAAGCATTCGGATGGTCGAGCCTTATGCTGATGACTGTTTAGTGGAAGAATCGGCGTAGGAGGGCGTTCCCTTTAGTGATGGGCTTGTTGTTGAGTTTGACGATACTGAAGTCTGGATCGTGTTGTAGGTACTCCGAGACATGTAATTCATACCAACGTGGGTTGGCCAGGAAGTCATTTCTCCTACGTAAACGTAGGGATCTCCATTACCTCGACTTTCTCGAAGCTTACCACTAACGACCAGAGTGTATGGAGTTCCAATTTGTCGGTAGCTGTTAATCATTTCCACCCATTTATACTCTGAGTCCTCGAACACATGGATGACGCAGAATGTAGTTTGTCCAGGAAGAAGGTGTAGGAAAAGTTGATCTGGTATATCGCTATTCTTAGTTCGAGTGGATAGGACAATAGTAGGAGGGATTGCGTTGGGTAGAAAGATAGGAGTACCGGTCGCCATAGCGTAGATTCGGTTGAAGTGGATAGTGAACTTTGCACGTAGAAATAGTATAACAGCGAGAAGGGAAAAGCTTTCGTGGTGAGACATAGTAACATGTTTTTAGTTGGTACACAAAATACAGAAGATTTTCTGCCCTCACTGAGTGACGGTGCACACTTTGTAGTACTTCCTTCACTAGAGATCGGATGATGGTCCACCCTCAATATTCCTCTTGTGCATACTAATACCTATGGTTGATGCAAAGAGAAGAATTCGCATTGCATAGAGAGACTTGTTGAGTATCCCTCTCATGGTGGTAGGATGGCCTCGCCATGTCTTCTGTATCGATTACTTCCCAGAGTAAGTAATATTAGGCTTGAACATGGGAAGACCGACTTTTGTGAGGTGAATCTATGGCGAAGCCACAATTTGTCAGGCAGAGCATGGCGTTGCCAGGATCGATGGCGAAGCTAAGTAAATCTCCCTCGCGCACGCGAACACGTGCACGGTGCTTAAGTATACAACGTAAGATCTCCGTAAGATATAGAGTTTAAGATCTATATTCTACTATTATTAAGTACTATAATCGTGCGTAGAGACTACACCTAGCGGTATAATAACCTTATCTACTAAGCCTTCTAAACTATTACTAATATTAGTAATATTTTAGCGACCTTTTTACTAAGGCGAAGACTAGGCTTAATTCTAATAGAGTTAAACTTTCTAAACTTTCTAAACTTTCTAAACTTTCTAAACTTTCTACCTCTTAAACTTTAGATTTGTAAAGGTTCTTGCCTAGGCCTTAGCTTTTTAAACTTTATAAATATATATATATTATATAATGTATATTATATAATAAAGTTATTAAATACTAAAGACTTTTTATTACTTTAAATAAAATATACTTAACTTTATCTATAACTAGTCTAATAGTAAAAACTACTTTTATTGAAGGATATATATATATATCTAAATGTTACGGTTATAGGGACTAGGCTAGGTTAAGACCAGGCGGGGAAGAAAGGCACGTGATACTGTAGATAAGTAGACTACGTGTCGACCGCTCCTTAGCATCGCCCTTCAGGCGATGAATCGCTGTCACACCAGAGGTACGTAATTAGGTAGAATAGACTAATTGAGATAGAACAGGATGGAGTCCCCCGACACTAAATGCGTATATATAAAGGATATTCGCTATTATAATAAGTAACTACTAAAGTGCCTTTAAAGTAATTAATAAGGCTAAGTACTAGCGACTCTATTTAGTATCTTACGAAGTACTATAAGAATACTTCTAGAGAAACTCTCTCTTCTTGTTACGGTCACAGAGACTAGGCTAGGTTGAGACCTGGAGGGGAAGGAAGGCACGTGATACGATAGATAAGTAGACTGCGTGTCGACTGCTCCTTAGCATCGCCCTTCAGGCGATGAATCGCTGTCACACCAGAGGTACGTAATTAGATAGAATAGACTAATTGAGATAGATCAGGACGGAGTACCCTGACACTTCTCTACTAAGATATAATATAACTATTTTTATCTATAACTAGTCTAAGAGTAGAAACTACTTTTGATAGCTATATAGCTAGTATTAATATAATCGTTCTTCTTCCTACCTCTTAGATATTTCAGCCTAGCTAAATTGCAAAAATAAAAAGAGCGATATATAAAGATGAAGAGGGCGGGAATGGGCAAGTTAGCTTAAATTTGATGTCGATAGTTTGTGGTATACATACTTCGAACCCGCGCGGAATTACCCACTAGTAGACTCAATTGAGCTGAAAGCATCAGGTGAAACCTGAAACTAGCGCCATAACCACTCGGCCACCTCTCCATGGAGATGTGTGCGTTGTTTTCGACACAATTTTAGCGTCGAAACCCGGTGTGGAAAATATGATTGTGTCGTGATGTGACGGCCGAGGTTCTCCGAGCACAGAAGTGATTAGGGATGCGGAGAACGCCAGCGTAGAGCCTGGCCAAACCATTTCAATGTCTGTTGAGACAGTTCAAGACGGTTCCGTATAGCGAAGGTGTGTCGTTTGCCACGAGAGTGGGAGGCATAGCTTCAATGGACATCTAAGGGTCGAAATTGTCGGTAGAAATGCGCAGGATGCAGTCCACAGCTAGGTCGCCGTCGTGGAGAGAATCGGGAGCTCTCGCAATATCGGTATCTGATCTTCGGTAGACTCGAGAACGTACATGGAAGTATAGCTGAAGTGAAAGAAAGAGAGAGGTCCTTGAGGAAGGAGCTTCTGTGCACGTTCTATGGCAAGAACGTAGCGTCGCGTTGCCCTAGCGACACTAGCGCGATTTGTCGCCAACATCCTGCTCGAGCAGCAATCGTGCAGCTCAGTTGTCACAGATAGCGATGTTCGAGTTACTCGAGCCTCTTTGACGATCTAGAAAGCATATTCTGACTCGAACCCACGAAGCTTCATGAGCAATGTCCACCGTAGCTAAGGGCGAAGTTGAGGACGATGTGTCGCCATTTGAGCAGCAAACCCCGGATTCTTTACGAGCACGAGCACTTTCTCCACACTTGCACGACCTTCTCAGCACGAGCGATGAGCAAGACTTGAGCGCAGATAGCAAAGATGACTACTTCTCCCAGCACAAACCCTCCAAGCGATCTACATCTGGCACTTCGTCTATTTCATCCTTTCCGGCCTCGGTGATACACAATACGCTCCTTACGGATAACGAGGATGTACCCTCTCACACAAATGCCCGAATGCAAACGTTCACTCGCGCCAATTCATCTCCTGGAGGTGGTCATCTCTCCGCCTTTCGTCATTCGAGTAGTGTTCGAGCTTTACAGCTAGAATCAGAATATGCAGACTCAGACGCGCTTAGCTCAAGAGACAGTCCAGGAGTACGAAAGAGTCCTTACTATAGAGTAGGAAGTCCGGGTTCTATCCACTACTCCCCTACGAAGCGATCTTCTCGTCCTGCAACACCGAGGCAGCAAAGCACAACAAAATTGAAGAAAGAGTTTCCCTTGGTACTGCTGCATTGCAGTCTTCTGCCTCCAGCTTTCGCTACGGACGGTCCTTCGGTATCTGACGAGATCCTTGAGGCGGTGCTCCCAGAAGAGTACAGGAAAAGGTGGAAGATACTGCAAGACAAAGTAGCCAAAAACACGGCGATATGTCAGAGAGGAGTACTGATATCTCATCCTCGGGAGGACTATGATCTGCTTGAAGAGAGGCTCCTCGAAACACTTGAGCTTGAGAGACCAAGGATAAGAAAAGGACACTACTTAGGCAGCAGAAAGAGTGGCGGGAGTGACAGTGGTTTCGAAAGCTCAAGCCAAAATGGTACAGACGAGGGCTCAGACGGAGACCTTCCTCGGGAGGACGAGCCAGGTGAAAAGTGTCCCGATTGTGGCAAGGCAGTAAGCTGCAAAGCAGATCAAGAACGACGATGGAGGGTAAAAGTCTTCGCAGCCAACGGCCTCATGCGAGGAGATGCATGGGCAGCAGCTTGGTCAGAGATGGAGAAGGTGGATGTTGAGATTGACGTCTGGATGCCTGACGATGTGAGGAATCAAGTTGAAGAACGGCTGAAAGCACTACATGCGAAAAAGGAGGCTGAAAAGCCCGTGGAAGAGCCAATTGAGGTTAAAAAGAAGAGCAGAAAAGTCAGGAGCGTCACTGCAAAACTAAGGCACGACGAACGTATGCGAGAGATATATGGGGAGACTCCTAGTATGCCATCGCAGCAAGAGATCGATGGACTCGTCAATGAAGAACCGGTTGTTACACCCTCGACTGCACGCAATGAGGCAAGTGATCACAACAATCAGTCCACGCAACACACTCATCCGTCGACTGCCCGTATCAGTAGTGAAGATGCCACTCGGTTTCAGGTGGATCCACAGGAGAGCTTCGCCAGACTCATGCAACGACATCTGCAAACAATCTGGAACGACCAGAAAAATCTTGTCATCGTGTTTTTGAGCGTGCTGGTGTTGGTCTTTTCGATTCAGAATACGAAGAAGGACAATGCATTATCGCAAGCAACAAAGCCGTCTATTTCCGTGGCACCTTCAGAGGCGACGATGTCGCCTGAGCCGCCAAATCTATCCTATGTCACCACCACAGTCTTCGCTACGCCTTCTGGGGATCCTAATGCCTCATTTATGACGTACTCGAGCGAGAAGGGGTCGAGAATGGACAATGACCGATCGGAGCCTGTAGCGCTGCCAACGGATGAAGTTGACTCGCATTTCGAAGCAGCAACTCCAGCGCTCGAGTTTCTGACGGCCGATGAGCTGGAGAAGGTCACGGAGTTGTTCGAACCTGACTCAGAATCCACACGACTCTCCTCTCAAGTTGAGTCGGTGAACGTTGATTTGGAGGCTTTTCCAGGACTAAACAAAAAGGAGTCGACAGAGGTGGTAGTTGAGTCTCCTACCGACGTTCTTCTTCGAGAACGAGCAGAGATACCAATCCCTGCCGAGTCTCCTACGGATTCCATCTCACTGGCTGCCGAATTACTGCCTATCTCCGCCCTTCGATCTGACGAAGTTTCACCCGCTTCATGCCTTAGCATCGACCTTGGTGAACGCGATAGTGCTAGCATTGAGCAAGAAATGAGTGACGGAGGATCAAGCCCGAAAGCCGAATCATGACTATAACTGGTATTGGCGCTGTTTTGCACTCTCGGTGTCCTAGTCAAGGTCAGGTCAGTTTCAAAGGGTAAATATAGTTGACTGTCACTAGCAGCTTTGGTAGCGTTCTGAGCGAGTATATAATGGCATTACCACGGATCAAAGGCAGAGTCATGAACCATGCATGGACTTTCGTGTTTGAAATATATTGTCGACTGCCTCACAATCCCTGCACAACTTCATGTAGTCTGGTTAGTACGACGAGCATAGGGCTCGACTTCTGAACCACGAGTGCTATGTGCCCGTCGTTATCTGGCTGAAGCTCGAGTTCGACCACGGATTGACAAGCTGGCATTATTCTTTGCTATCATTTCGGCGGTTACTTGCTGACCTAGCTTTACGGTAGCTCACGTAGATATTTCTAGACGAGTCAACACACCCATCACGTTGTAGAGTCATAATGTTAGCTCTGCATTTCCTCGTGCTGTCATGGTGCTTCTGATTTTAAGTGCCGCCACTATCCTCGCAGTAAACAAATGATGCACGCTACTTCATACACAATCTCTAATGCTTCAAAGAGTTCACACCTTCTTCCAATTAACGTGGTTTATTGCGAGCAAACTATTAATCCACATGGCCAGCTCATCGACAGTACCTCTTGACTATTTGCAGGCTTGGCACGCATGACAGTGGATCCCTACCACGAAAAGCGCGACCATGACTCCTACAATCTCAAATCACTCCATGTTCATGCAACTACACACTGGCAAGGAGAATCAGTCGCATATCAGACTCATAGGTAGAGATTACGAGCCTGAGCGACGAATTCAAAAGAGCGAGACAATCACTTCAAGTGTGACTCCACAAACTTCGGTCCAGAGACATCGCAAAATCCACAGCCTTATCCTTGGAGCGCGACAAGTAGAATACAACGGCAGCGTCTCTGGCCAAGTCCTACCATATCTTCCGAGAGCGCCGTCACTGTTCAGAGAATTACCAGACGAGGCAGAGGTGACAGTCTATCATCCCTCTCCTCTGCAGAAGCTAGCTTTCACGAATTACTCGCTACGAGCAACTCGACCGAGACCAATCGTACTTCAATCGCCAGTGCTAGGCTCTCGACCCTCGACGATGCCGCACGCTGTGACCGCTCACACCGGCTTTCAAGCCTTGATACTATGTGGCCCGGGTATTGGTCTCAGTACTTTCACTAATGTGCCAGCGGAGTACCCGAAAGCACTAGTATCAATCGCTAATCGGCCTATGGTATGGTATGCTCTAGACTGGTGTTATCGAATGGGAGTCACAGATATCACTATCATCACACCACCTGCATCGAAGAAGCCGATAGAGGCTGCCTTGGCTCAACACCCAGACCTTACTGCTCTCCCTTCGCCAAAGCCCGATCTTTTAGCCCCTGCTGACCTTGAATTCAACACACCAACAGCAGAGCTGCTAAGACTTCCAGAAGTGCAGAATGTCATCAAATCAGACTTTCTACTTCTACCATGCGACCTGATATGCGATATACCTGGTGACGCCCTATTAGAATCGTACCTGATAAGCATGGCTGGCATAGCTGGTACAGGTGCCGACTTCGGAACTCAGTCACAACTCAAGACACGGAACCAGTTTGGACTCGGCGCAGAAGGTAGTGGACGACGTGGTGGGCTTTCCGTCTGGTACAATACGGTCAACAGAGAGGAAAGTGTCAAAAAGGAAGAATGTGATTTCATGGGCACGGTTGCGCTCGATACCTATCATAAAGCACCATTGCAGAAAGTTTCAGAGCTACCTGACGGGCGACTGAGAAAGCTCGTCTGGACGACTCCAATGTCTGAAGTATTCGAGGAAGCTGAAGAAAATAAGGCCTGGAGGATTCGACAATCGCTTCTTCGAAGGTACGGCTCAGTCAAATGCATGACTCAATATCGCGATTCGCATATATACTTTTTCCCGAAATGGGTGAAGGAGTTCGCAATGCAGAACGAGGATTTCGAGAGTATTAGCGAGGATCTGGTCGGTACCTGGGCTAAGGCAGAGTGGCGGAAACCAACCTTTAGAGCACAATTTGGAGCCAACAAGATCTTCAAGAAAGCATCGGCACCCACAACAAATGGCACGGGTACTGAATCTCGCAACAAGAACATTGAAGAAGAAATAGATCTATTATCACTCAGCAGCACACAAATTACACAACATGTACCAAATGCGACGCAGCTCAAACCATCACAACCCATACAATTCGCTTCCCGTGTGCAAGGAACGAATCCAGAAGACAGCATGATATCGACCACAACGGACGAGTCAACACAAGACGACGAAGACGGCCAAGGTAACGAGCAAGACTCATCTATACCACACCTTCCACCCATGCTAAGCTTTATGCTTTCCTCAGCACCATCCGCGCCACTTGTACGGCGTGTCGATTCAACGCCACTACTACTCTCCGTCTCTCTACTCCTCGCAAAACTGCCATCACACGACCAGATCTCATCAACCACAACACCCAGCCCATTCTCCCATCCCTCCAAGATCCACCCTACATCACAACCCCCACAGCAGGTTCGTCTGAACGTATCCACAGCAGATTGTCTGATCGCGTCTAACACGACTCTAAATCAGCACTGCACAATCAAGCAATCCTGCATTGGTAGTAATTGCACCATTGGTGCCGGAGCACGGATTCAAGACTGTGTAATTATGGACGGAGCGCAAATTGGAGAGAAGGCTGTAATCAGTGGAAGCGTGATAGGCAAGAAAGCGGTCATTGGTAAGGGAAGTAAACTCAAGGATTGTGAGGTGCAGGATGGCATGGTGGTTGGTGAGGGTGTCGATGTGAAGAATGAGAAGTTTTTGGTGGGTGGCTTCGAGGAAGGCGATGACTTTGGAGAAGAGGATGATGACGATGAGTAGAGTCGTCTTGTTTTCATTTAGCCTTCTGCGATAGAGTATCATGGTGTTACGCAGCAGAGTGCGGACTCTTACGGCTCGCTGATGCGACTACCAAGCTATAGGGTTGTGGAATCCACATTGTTTCATCAACAAGAGGAAGCCTCGAACATTTACCACATCAAAATATGCTTTCTTCTTATAACTCTACTATATTCAATTCTGGTTCGACCTCAAAACGAAATTTCTACTGTGGCTGTTCATCCTTACAACCATCATCACGCGCTGATCGAGCTGCTGACGGCTGAGCTCCACGTTCAAGCTCTTCCACCTCAGCAACAATCTCATCCAGATCAGGCAACAGAAACTCACTTGTCAGCCCTTCGTTCCACTCATCAATTTCCGACGATGGTGTCTCATTCAACACTGATCCAGACGTACTAGTTGCCATTTGACTCACAGCCACACCCGGTCGTGCCTGCCTTGCTCGCACCTCTTCACCGTCCTTGACCAGCCTCTGCTCCCTCTCATTCCACCTCCACCCACCACTTTTCCCACCCGACTTGCGGACGACACGACACCCCATAATCACCATCCCCTTATCCACCCCCTTCAGCATATCATACAACGTAATCGTCCCCATCGTCGCAGAAGTAATAGCCTCCATCTCCACCCCCGTCTTGCCATCGCAAGACACAGTCGCCGTGACCGTGACACCACCATGATCCGCAATCAACTCACCCACCTCCTCACTTTCACTCCCCTTTGTCCTCGTACGATACTCAATCCATCTCTCCTCACCGTCAAATGCCTCGATATCAACCGTAATCCCCGTGATACTCAAACTCGGATGCGCAAGCGGAATTAAGTTGGGAGTTTGTTTCGCGGCTTGAATTGCGGCGATTCGAGCTACTGCTATTGCGTCGCCTTTTTTGTTGTTTGCGGCTGTGAGGGCGGGGAGGGTTTCGGGGTGGGAGAAGAGGAGGGTTGAGATGGCGGTTGCGGTACGGAGGGTGGGCTGTTTGTGGGAGATGGAGATCATGTGGGCGGAGCCGGTGGGGGTGAGGTGGGAGAGGGAGGGGAGTTGGGAGGGTTCGGTGGTGGTGTCATTGTGTTTGAGCGAGTGATTGGAAGCATTGTTGGGTTTAGTGCTCGAGGAGTAGGCTCGGGAGTTGTGTGGGATATGTTGGTGTTTAGGTGAAGGTCGGCAAGTTGAGTAGGGACGTGATTGTAGTGCTGGGAATGGAGGGCAACGTGCAAGCAGATGGAGAGGTATGGTTGTTTGCTGCAACCTCATTCTGGACATCGAAGGGGGTGTCGGGCTGGGGGTGTGTGGCTGACGCACTGGAAGGGTTGAAAACGGTACACGAAGCTCTATACAAGGCACAATTAGCCAGTAGCCCATAGCAGTACAAAAAGTACAGAGGTGAAGTGCTTCTGTAGAATCTCAACAATAGAAATGGTATCAAATGTTTTCGTTGGTGCTGTGTAGCAAAACAGCGCTTGAAAAAAATCACGCTCATCCTCCAATCAATATCATAGGTCTGTTTTTCATATTCTCGAGCTCACCAATGCCAGCATGCTTTTCTTTCTTCCTCTTAACAGCTATACCAATAACATCAAGCAGTTTGGCTTCATGCTCAGACACGCCCAGAGCGCCAACGCTCCCAGCAAGACCTTCACGTCTATCTGACTCTAGCTGTTTCAACGCTTCCATGGCCTCGAGATCGAATGGCTTACCTTGGTTTGTCTCTCTTAGAATGTCCCTAAGTGAGACCTCGGTGTCTCCGAAGAGACACACTTTGAGATTACCATCGCTAGTAATTCGTAATCTGTTACAGGTACCACAGAAGTTGTGTGTCATGCTTGTAATGAACCCAATCCGACCAGCGAAGCCTGAAATCTTGTAAGTTTTGGAAGTGTCGTTAGGATGATCTTGCACTCGATGAACGTCAGGGTATTGTATCCTGATCAAAGCAAGCATCTCCTTGAACGACAGCATCTTCTTCTCCGACCACTTATTACCATCGAAGGGCATATACTCAATGAAGCGAACCTCGAGGTCTTTGTCTCTTCCCAGTTCAACGAAAGGTACTATCTCCCGCTCGTTCAGGCCTTTCATCACCACACAATTGATCTTCAGCTTGATGCCTGCACCTAATTTGTTCATTTCGAGTATGCGATTGATCGACTTCATGACGGCATCGTGACCGTTCCGCCTCGTCATCAAGGTGAACTGAAAAGGGTCCAATGTGTCGAGACTGAGATTGACTGCTGTCAACCCCGACTCGACCATTGGGTCCAGTTTTCGATGAAGTGAGATACCATTCGTGGTTATACAAAGCTCTTTCAGGCCCAGCCGCCGCAGTTGACCCAGCTCCTGCATAAGGCTCACAATGTCTTTGCGCACAGTCGGTTCACCTCCAGTCAAGCGAATCTTGTTAACGCCCTGTTTCACAAACAGCTCGGAGAGATAAACGATCTCTGGAGTTGTCAGGTTATGTTCAGGTGGTGACAACTGGATGCCTTCCTCCGGCATGCAGTAGACACATCGCAGATTGCATCGTTCGGTAACCGATATACGCAAGTAGTTGTGCTGGCGTGAATAGTTGTCCGTTAGAAAAGAGGAGAATGGTCGTGGTTCAAGCTTGTCCTTCAGATTGTCTATACGTCGTCGCTTTCGTGCAGGTTGAGAGGGCTGGTCTATACGGTGCGCCTGCCATACCGGCGCTGCGGTCGGATCTCGTTCGATTTCTAGAGGAGCCGCAGTAGCAGCAGTGGCAAGACCACGTCGTAAGCATGGGTTTGAAGTGGTTGACCTTGTAGGCTTTGATACTGCCAGTCTTCCAAAAACCTTCATCATCTGTCTCTGCGCCGTCTCTGCCATAGTGAAAGATGTTTCAGAGGGTAGACAAAAGACATCCTACCTATCGCAGAGCTAGAGAGGTATCATAAAACTTGGGCATTTCCATGCACTAGGATTTGATAAGCACTGGTAAAAGCGACAACCGTTCGGTCATCTCCAATGAAATACTTCGGCGACGGAGGTGCCCCTCACGCCCTGCAGTAATAACGAGTGCCGATCATTGTGTTTGAAGAGAAGGATTCGCTTCGGATATTACCGGTGATGTCTTGCCATATTGCTTGGACGTGTCGCTCGGGCACTTTTAGGCTCGTGCTCTGGTCAGTATTCAACATGACTGGTAGCTGTGGCTCATACTCGTGTATTTGAGGTTACGCTTTTGTGAACCTCGGGAGTGCCTTCCGTGGTGCAAGACGGGCACGTTGCAGCGTCAGAATCTAAGGATAGGATAACAATATACCATTATGTTCGAGCTGGCGAACGTGTATACAAGTCTAATACCAAATCCTGTGACGACTCCATACACCTCGCTAACAACACTGACGCATCCTGAAATCAACCATATCGTGGACTATGCTGTAACGGAGGAGAGAATTGCGCACCAGGCCAAGCCGGACTTGGACCTGCAGAGCTAATACTGCCATTGTTCAATAGCCCTCCCCTCTCAATCTGCTGCCTTCTAATCTCCCTTGGATCCCTGAAACTCTCGTTGGTGCTACTCCTGTCCCTGGTGATTCCCAGGTTGAACCTGCTTGTAGAAGTGTTGCTAGGAGGGAGACTGCCACTCCTCTGTCGACCTACACTCTGTTCACCTGGCAGATCAATTCTGTAGGTACTGCTGGTGTCGTCCATACTGGAAAGTCGATCTGATTTTGCCATGAGCAGCTGCATCAACTGCCTTCTCTGCTGCTCGTCGTCCGGAACCATATCGCGTACCTCACGACTGATATTAACTGGTAGTAAGGGCGACTCCATAGGTATATGCGATCGCCTCCTCGCATCCAACTCTTTGATTTTCCGCAATTTTCTGTATGTAATCCAGCTGAGTACACTAGCAACCGCAGTGGTAAGACAGGCAGCCCCAAGCGGCAGGAAGAGATATATGCGGTCTCCACGTTCGGTATTCCTCTTTAGTACACGATGGACAATGGTACTGAACAATCCTACGGCCGACGCAGTCAGAACCGGTATCAGCACTCCGTCGAAAGTGAAGATCAAACTGCGACTGAGGAACGCCAAAGCAGCAATACTGAGATAGCCCACTACTATGCCCGTCGAGGCCAATCCGGTCATGAAGGCGGGGGAGACACGGAGTTCATCGGGACTCGAACTGTATGCGATGGAAAAGAGGACATATCCTGCGAGCACGAGCCATGCTGAGAGGATAGAAAGGAATTTAAAGTACCAAGGTAATCGTTCGTTCTCGGTGTAAAGATCGAAAGTCGTTTCTCGAAGTTTGGTGTAGGAGCGTCCTCGCATATTGCGGCTGTGACAACGACCGTTAGGTTCAAGGCATTGAGGGCTCCACCTGTGGCTGTTGTACTCCAGAAAAGATGGTATAATATAGACGTTTTGCGCTGGTAGGTTAGTCGACACTGTCAATGGAAGGAACGATCAAAAGTATTCGATGTTAGCTAGCGAAAGACGTAGACACTCCATAAGCAGATGCGCTCGAGGGCGCCTAAAGACAGGCAATTGACCTGGCACAAAGGTCTGACAACCTGGTTGCATGTGCAGCAGCTGAACAGCACCAAGACTTCTTTATCGTTGTTGCTTGTTGTTCATTGGCTCGGACTGAAACAAAAGTCCTGCCACTGCACTTGCAACGGCCACAGCTAGAGCGTTGCCAAGCTCAATATGCACAACCGTGGCTCGGTGAACGCTGTATTTTAGTACTTGCGGTGGCTGGAATATGTAATGACATTCTGCAGCGGTAACACGTCCTGAGGCACCATGCCGATGTCCCTACCAGAAAGTTTGCAATAGTACTACTCAGACGGGCTTCCAAGTTACTTCAACGGTTTTGTCCAGTACTTGTCAGATCGTGGAGACTAATGAGCGAATTTCCAGGCACTAAGACGCCCAAGCGGCGATTGCTTTCTTGAATGACCTTCACTTTCCGTGGGAATAAAGTTGTAACAATCATCTTTCTTTCTGGTATCTGACACTTATGTCAACTGTTTGTTTCGGCCTGTGAGTAGTCCTGCCAATGAGCTACGTTTTCGATAATGCAAGAGCTTGAACGAATCTCGTCCAGCTTATTAAAGAGAACATACAGCGTGCGAAAATCATCTAGCGCTGGCCCTCGTCTCGGCGAGCCTTGCATGCGACCATGTCAGATGTTAAGACGTCGCTATATAGCGTTATCATTAGCGAGTCCGATTGCTTAATCTGTCTCTGGACACACGACCGGTCTCAATTCGGGTACCACAGCATGACACTAATGCCCGTTCCAACCATCTGGTGCCGATAATGCCAGGATGCAGTTGACAACTTCTAACCCACACCGAAGCGACGACGGACGCTCAAGCTGCATGCTTAGAGTGTACCATGCCTGTTTTAGCTAATGGCCTTGCCTTCAGCAGCAGCGTCGTCGTCATGAAGCAAATCAGGCAACACTGCGACTCCATGTTCGATAGGCGGTTGGCTGATAAGGCAGGCCTTTCTGTATCTTCCACCTGAGTACGTACATAAAGCTTCGGGAGGTCAGTTGGTACTTCTTTCACTACGAAATGTACTGATGCTGCGCGAAAATCAATTCAGTATGTGGTGGCGCACGTTTTTCGTTGTATCGTTTTTCTGCCTCATTCAAAAGAGTTGTGGAGCAGACTTTAAGCAATGTTACGCCAGCCTTGTACCTCTTCTGCCTCTCAACACCAGCGGACTGCCAGACTTCAATGGCTCTATCCAAAACCTGAGCTATCCTGATCCAATTTATCATGGCGCGGTTCGTGGCTTTCGCTTCAATGATGCTTTGGAGCAACGGCCTCTTTTCCTCACGGTGGAGGGTTGCATCAATGCATGTGGCTCACATGCACAGCTTAACGATGTCGTTGACGCATTTTCTATCATGACCACATGGGTTCTGCCAGTCGTAGCGCTCCTGAGCCAGCTTCCCTACATGTCTTTGTCAGAACGCAAAATCAAGAACTTGGAAGCATTCGGAAACTGGGTCGGGTCACCAGCTGCGGCGCTCACAACGACAACCTGGAACATTCTTATGATCCGCAAGTGTCGAATCCTAGCAAAGCCTAGTCCTGTGCACAGAGACACGCTCTACATTCTCAGCTGTATCAATCAATACCAGTATCCAAGACGGTCGAAAGGCGGCAACGATAATCGCAGGGACGTGGCACTGCTTCGAGGCATACTCTATCCCTACCTCCAGGACAGTGAGAAGTTGCCGGAAACTCTACGAAAGAAACTCGAATGTTTGTCAACCCATCTTGCTTTTCAGCTGCGTTTGCAGCGTCGCAAAGGAGTATATCCATTGTGGCTCAATATTATCTGGTTCCTGATATCATTTGTTTTCTCCATCGTTACTGCTTTTGCTTCGCTCGGAGACAATACCACTGCACATTCTTTGGCATTAGGTCTTCTACTTTCCTGGATGCCCACGCTGGTCCTGGCCACCATAATCGACCGCAACCCCGTTTCGGAAACAAGGTGTGGTATCCTGATACAACGCTGGCTCTACAACGTCGATGCTCTTTTTGCAGCAGAAGCTCTAGGGATGGGAAACATTCCGGAAATTCATGCTTCGAGCACAGGCGAACTTACTGTTGACGACTGTGGGGACGAGGACATTGGTCTGCTACCGATTCGAGAACCGGGAAACGTATACCCTGCACGTCGGCAGGATACTGAGCAACGAGTCGCTGCCGAATCAATCGTCAACACGAGGCAATGGCATAAAGGTGCGGAAATGCGGGACTTCTGTGTAGGAGACTTTGTGGGACAGGGCCGAAGGATGCGATACTGCGCGGTCGCTGATACGGTCTTGGATCTGATACTCCACCGCAAGATTCCACGATTGAATGATCTTCCTGGTGACTTCGAAGCCTATCACTTTCGTGAGGCGCTACCAAATCGGCCTCAAGAATGGTACCTGGTTTGGTTGGTCAGTCAATTTCTGGTCGGAGCAGGCTACGCAACTGCATTTGTGGTTTCGTTCAAAACTCCAACCATAGGCTTAGGCTGTCGCACCCTATCCTACACAACGTGGTACCTACTAAGCTTCTTCAGTTGGCTATTTCTAGGCATCTGGCAAGAACCACCGAAGTACGTACGCGTGTTTGCATGGATACCTAATGCTCTAGCAACACTTGCACTGTTCAGCATCATGCTCCTTCAGACAATCGGAGGGCTGAACAACTGTCGCTGCAAGTCAAGCACATTCGGCTCATTTGATTATGGCGGCTACATGGACTTTGAGAACGGCGAGTTTTATCACCGAGCCTATGCAGTACAGGAGGTCTGGGCTTTGGCGACAACCTTCGGCTTACTGATTGCTGGTTGTGCTATCTTGTATTTCGGGAGACGGTGGTCTCGAGACTCGGATTTATGGAGCGTCGATGAAGCTTTTGAGCCTCCAGTGGTTGAGGGCGTCGATCTACTTTGGTTGATCTAGCTTTTGCCTAGTACTATACCAGTCAACAGATACACCATCGCCTATAATCAATCAGGCAGAACCTTTGCTCAGGTGTACGTGTGCACGATATAGATGAAGTCCCAACCGTTCAAGACTTCCAGTTCCTGCAGAACCATCGTGCTCACTACACATGGACATACGCGTACATGATTGAGGAACTTCGCTTTATTGGTGCATTGTTGAGATTGTTATCTCTACCCCATTCGTGTGACTTTATTTGGCCCAGTAGGTATACAAATGGTTGTACATATTCAAAGCGCTATAGATAATGCCCAATTTTCATAAAGATGCTCCATCTAACAAGTCACATCAAAAAGTGGTACATTAGATGCCGGAACACCATCTCCAACGATACCGAATGAAATCTCCTGCTGGTTGGCGTTGCTGTCCTGCAACGTATACCACCAAACATTTCTTGATCCGAACAGATCACATCCAACTTGCTTCCAGTACGACTGAGCGTTTTCGACGGATGCGACTGCTAGGTTCGAGGTTGGACCAGATACAGGCCATCCAGTCTCTGTAACCCAGACAGGTTTGCCCTGTGAGACACCCTCAGTGGCGCCAAGGGCGTTGTAGAAGACTCCTTCAGCTTGGTCAATTGGGTTTGCTAGCGTGCTCTCGAAGTACGGGAATGAATTGTGGCCGAGCCAGTCGACGGCACCGATCACACCGGCGTTCTCGCCCAATACCCAGGCGGTCCAGGTGTCTACGTGACCGACTGGAGCACCAGCAAGACTGGTACCTGCAATTGTATCGCGAACTTGTTGGATGTAGCGAATGACGACATCGGCGCTCACGCCAACGCCAGCTTCGTTTGCCACGCCAGCTGGGCTGCTTCTGTAAAGATCCTCGCTACCAACACTGATGCCTACTACTCGGTCTGTAAAGGCGGCACCGTACTGGTTGATGGCATTGCGAAGTGCTGTGATTTCGTCGTTGAATACAGCGTCCCCGGCTGACGCCCATAGGCCGAGTAGGAGTTGTGTGTCTGTGTCGATGGCCGCTTGAATTGCAGAGATCGGGGTGTTTTGTGTGCCACACTGAACCATCGTGTACAATCGTGCTGATGTGAATCCAGAGTTGCCTACCAAAGTTTTGGCAGAATTGAATAGCCCTTCGAAGGCGGCCTCGTCACGACAGGCACCAACCCCATCCGTAGACCCATAGTTGAAGCCCTTAGATTGAGCTGCTGTCAGTGTCGACAAGAAGAATGTGCCAATCGTGGCGGCTCCTGCAAAAGTCGTCTTCATGATTGCTTGTGAGATGAATGAACAAAACGAAGGACTGAGAGGATTTAATGATATATTTGTACCTGCATTAGCAACGATCCATGGCGTAAAAAACTCTCTCGATCATCTCCATAATGAAGACTTTTACTGCATCAGGTCTCACTCGGTGTGCCACGCAAATGCACCTCAAAGTACAGCTTGGACCACATCATTCCTCAATGTCTTTGCGGAGTAAGTGGCAAAGGTGCTTTGCTGGAGCGATGGGCTGTCCTTTTCTTGGGGCAGTGACGTGCACGATGATGGCTCAAAAAAGATCGCCAAGAAAGCCAAGCTAGATTGTCTCAAATTTCTGGCCGATTGCACGGACGCTGCGGCAGGCTTCGGCTTCAAGCGCCAGCGAGCCTAAACTGGATTCATAATGATGAACAAAAGATGAATTGTGGTTGTGCTCTCGCCACTCTTCGTGATGGCAGTGTTTAGAACCTATCAATACCGCTGGGTTGGCTGTGATCTGAGGCTGCCATGTACATCATGCATTTGCACAGACGGTCACTGTGGCATTTGTCCTGTTAGCTACTGAGATTCACAGCGAGTTTTATAGGTTGACCCACATTCATTCCTCTTGCATGGTGCATGCGTACAGACCCGTGAGAAACAATGTCGCAGAACAACAGACCACCATGTCTAACATACGTGTATCCCAATGTGCCCTCAAAATGGTCTTTCCGACTCTGAACTCGGGATCTAGGATTGGAACTTGCAATCGACGCGGTATCCAATCACCATCAGACATCATGTGTGCACGCACGGCAGGTGGTGGCTCGTGATAGGCAGCGATGCCTGCCTTGTGCCTGTCGTGCACATACAACACATTTGAGCGCAATGTCAGCCGACTTCGAACTTAGTACTGACAATATGACATTCTTCGCTGTTGTACATCCATATACCTATTATGGCTATAATTGATGCTTACGAGGTTAACGTGCTTACACTTACTGATATTACAAAGAAGAAGTACCGAGAAGCAACAAGAACAAGATGGGAAGCATTGCCTGAATACGAAATACCTGGGCCGAGACCCAAGCAGACAAAAGCCGATTGTTGTCAAAGGTACATAAGTGCACAGTCAACAATCGATCCTAGCTTCGGCCACGATATACTCACCGAGTTTGCGGTTGACTTCAAAGTTCGTTGTGGTTTCACATTCGCCGACAACGACGGAACTGAATTTCTGGTCTTTCGAACATACCTTGATGATAACAAGATTGGGTCAGCTTTTGTCAAGCGTGAAAGATGGGAACGATCTGGAACCTACCGTGTCAGGAAGCGGAGTCGTCGCTACTGGCTTGCAGTGCAACAGAAATGGATCGAGCAGAACTGGACATTCGACTCTGGCCTGCATGGGACGTTGAGAATCGAAGTATGGAGAGAGCGCACCAGAGCGCCAGCCATTGGTAGCTGGAACAATCCAGATCTACCCACTGACAACAACGAGTTCGGAGACTTCATAGATCTGGCAGATGAAACCATCAGCCTCAAGACTAAAGGAGCAAGAGTACGCCACGCTAGCAGGATCGATCCACGGCCTATGGCAACATTCGAATTTGAGTACAGAAGTCAAGGTAACGCACTCACACGTGGTAGTGCTATGCTAACCGAGAGGTAGATACACTCAGGCAATTGGGAATACTGGAAACGCCCAAGGACACGATTGACCTAACGTTCGAGAGTGGTACAGAACAAGTCACTCATTCCGGGACAATCTCTCAAGACTACTCACCTGTGATTGCAAATGGCCATTCTGATCTGGTTCTAGACATCAACACAGACTGCAGCAGTTCAGACCTGCACAATCTCTTTGAAAGCAATCCCCTTCCCTACATGTGCGATGTGTGTCCACGGAGCACTAAGTCACTTACGAGCATGAAAATACATAGAAGCTTGGATCATTCTTTACCTTGGGATACTAAACTGGAGCAGCAGTACTGGTGGCGACCAACACTACAGAAGAAATCATTTTGGACTCACAAGCGTGCTAGCTTAGCAATAGATATCCCGCAGGACCTGGAAACATTGGCCGAAACGGATCGCAGATCACAAGAGACGAGCAACTATCAGTCCGTCATGTTCCAGCAAGACCACAGCAGTATTAACAAGCCCGCCAGGCTTGGTCGAGGTTTACATCTATCCTCTTCTCATCCTTCTCCAGCTACTTACTATCCTCGACAACAAGAAGAGGAAAAGAAGCAGTCTTCAGCAATTCCTCTGTCTTATCTTACTCAAAATACGCTGTCGGCCGGCCTCGGGCTCTCATACCCCACGAGGGTCAACGCGAACGACGTTGATCATGTTACATCAGTACTGGACGAGAATAGCGGATTGTTGAAACATGAGTTGAACGATCCAGGTATCAATGCACCAGACGGGCTCCTTGGCAATGGAAACTACCTAGACCCTAATATGTTATATCCGGACGACTTCCTGCCCACATACATGACACAACACGGCTATCTGAGCAATTGTCCTCACCGCGCTTCAGATGCTCCGGCGACCAGCGTTGACATTGTGGATTTGACCATGTTTGATTGAAATACCCAGGGCGAAACGACTCGCGGTAGTAAAGATCTACCAACAAGACATACAGGAAACCAAGCAGGCACCAAGCTTCGCTCACTTTACCGAACGACGCCTAAACAAAGCTCTACCTATCGTTGTCTAGTCTTCTCTTCAGCTTTCCTATTTCGTCTGGATCGACCTTACAACAGCCTCCCACCACGATGCCTTTCCATTTCCCCCTTTGTCTGATTTCTTGTACGAGGTCCGCTACCGAATCGCTCCACTCACCATCGTCTTCATTTACACCAACCCAGGTCTGAGTGGTGCTATCGTAATTTTGACCTTTACTACCATTTGGAGCAATTACTAGTCGTGGCAGGTTGACTTTCAACTCCTGCGCTGCGGCTTCAAATTTTCTGACTAGCTTTTGGAGTTTCGAAACTCTTGTACAGTTGACACCAATACCCCAAGGGGTTTTCATTTCTACGCCGTCTTCCCATTGCTTCTCTTCAAGCAGTGCTTTGACAACATTTGCAATACTGCTTCCATCTGGCAGCCGGTCGTCGTCGTTTGGAAACACACAAGTGACCCAGTATCTGTGAAGCGTTAGCTAAGAAAGAATGCCCGCTCCCGACTCAAGATGTTTCTCTAAGCCGACGTCGCTATATTGCTTCGTACTTACGGCTTAAAGACTTTATGATGTCGATTGACGTTAGCAGCTGTGCGGACGGCCCGAATCTCTTCCAGTCGTGGGATTGTCTCAAAGGCCACAATATCAACCTTGTCAAAGCTCGCCCAATACATGGCAATTCTTGCGACATGCCAGTGCTCAAGCTTTACCTCATCGCACATGCTCTCGTACTGGCCGCCATATTCTTGTGAGGGGCTCATAGTAGCACCATATGCTCCAAGTGACAGGGCGACGAGACCGGACTGGTTATTGAAAGCATGCTTACTTATGTCCACAGCAAGATCGAAATACTGGCAGATTTCTTCATAGAAGTCGACATTCTCGCCATTGATCTCAGTCTTAGCAAAACCATCGTAGCTTGCTTGGTATGTAGGCGTTAGTAAGATATCGACTCCTGCCTTCACAAATTCGCGCTGAACCTTCTCGAGCAAGTCAGGGTCCGTAAGCAGGAGATGGGACGACCACAGTGGTGTTCTTGAGTTAAATTTGATATTGTAGTCGTCTTCTAATGTTGTGCCTAACCCACCATCAAGGAGTAGTATCTCCTTGTCGAGAAGCGAAGACATGCCAAAAGACTTTCGTGCTTCATATTGAACCGCTTCGTATCCTTCGAGCACTTTATTAACCTCGTTGCGAGAGAACGTCATTTCAATGGCCGGCGAGAAATGCTTCCAGGCACGCCATGTGGGCTGTCAGGGCAGCTCGGAGCTATGCCGAACTCAAAACGTAAAGCTTCGATAGCCAGCGATAAGGTAAATAATTTCGCACCCGAGTTTCCAGATTGTTGCAGAGCATCGTTGTTGCATTATCTTGGGCAGTCACCGCGCGTATGACTTTGCCAACCGTATTCACCTGCCAGGACTACATCTCTGACCATCTCTGGAAGGCTCAAGCAAGCTGAGACAGCTCTTCAAGCACACAGACAATTTTGCAATATGAGTGCGGTGAGGTCGGCTCGACAGCTCACACGAGCTGTACAACCTCACAATGCGAGTCGATCGTTCTCGACTGTCAATCCAGGCACTCCAAACTCCAACCCACCTCGTCACTTTCTTTCAATACGGGATCTCACGTCGACAGAATTTAAAACCTTGATCGACAATGCTACAGCGCACAAAAAGACTCTACAGTCTCCCGATTACAAGTACTCCTCATGGAGCCTTTCGAGGGCTCTTGTAGGCCAAACAATTCCTATGATCTTTTCGAAACGCTCGACTCGCACTCGTATCTCCACTGAAGGCGCGGTTGCCGCTCTGGGAGGACACCCTATGTTCCTGGGTCGAGAGGACATTCAGCTCGGAGTCAATGAGTCACTTTACGACACCAGTGTGGTGGTCAGTTCGATGACAGCAGGCATCGTTGCAAGAGTAGGACCACACAAGGATATTGCTGACCTGGCCCAAAACAGTTCAGTACCTGTAATGAACGGGCTGTGCGATACATTCCATCCTATGCAGATCGTGGCCGACTTTGCATGTTTGAGCCAGCGACTGGGTGTATCAGCAGGAGACCTAAAAGGCATGAAAATTGCATGGGTGGGAGATGCAAACAACGTACTACACGATATGTGTATTGGTGCGAGAAAGCTAGGCATCGAGATGGCTGTTGCTACACCGAAAGGGTACAGTATCGCTGAGCATGTCAAGACTATGATCGACGAGGCTGGAGACGGAAAGATCTTCGAGACCAATGTGCCAGAAGAGGCGGTCAAGGATGCAGATGTAATTGTGACTGATACCTGGGTAAGTATGGGTCAAGAGGAGGAGACGCTGAAACGGCTACAGGCCTTCGAGGGCTACGAGATCACAGAGGAGATGGCCAAGAAAGGAGGCGCAAAGAGTGATTGGAAGTTCATGCATTGTCTACCTAGGCACAAGGAGGAGGTCAGTGACGAGGTGTTCCACGGTAACAGGAGCTTAGTCTTCTCCGAGGCGCAGAATAGGTTGTGGGCTGCTATAGCTGTTCTTGAGGCGTTTGTGGTCAACAAGGGTGATATCAAGAGAACGGAAGCATGATCGGGAGGGGTTTTGGTAGCTCAAACATATTTCAAGCTGCATATATAGAACATCGGATAGAAATTAGTAAGACCTCGAACTCCTCTTCGTTCCTGAGTAAATGGATCGCCCGTGACGTCGATCTTTCAAGTTTCACATGTCAGTGCCTCGGTGTCTCTTTACTACCTAAAGACTTTGGATCTCTACCTTACATACCGCAGCTACATATCGCGTCTTGTTTGACATGAACACGAATTAGCAAGCACATCATGGCGGTAGGTTGTGTTCTCCTTGCGTATAAAGCCTGACGTGGATCACATCGTGCTGACACGACCATCTGTAGTCACCAGTCCTTTCCCGCACACCCTCTGCACATTTCGCGCCTGGTCCGCATAGACGCTCTCATCCTAACCTCCAGAATCTTCATAGCCTCTCTCTTGCGCCTCTGACACCAAAGTATCCGATCGGTCCAGCAGATTACGACGCCTACTATGACCCCGTCACCAGCGAGCTACACACTAGCACCAGCCTCAGTCGCATTGCAGCCCTGCCGAGCCCGGGTGGTATCCTGAGCAACAGCCCAGCACACAGCAGAAGCGCAAGTAGGAACAGACTACGGCGGAAAGTCAAAAGTCATGTAAACATCTTTGAACCAGAGCGGGAACCAGAAAACCTGAAGGCTGGACAGGACGTTGTGGATCACAAGCCTGTTCCCTCAACAACTAAAAGTCAGCCGCTACTAGGAAAACTACGCATAAATCAGACGCCCGACCCCTCATGGCTGGTTCAAACGGGCCTCAGTCTCACGGAAAGCAGCAGGGAAACCAAAGGACAAAGTTGGATATCCAAAAGGGATAGCTCTACAAGTCTGGTAAATACCCCAGAAGGATATTTTGATTCGCGTCGTCAGCGTGAAGGACGTACACCAAGGAGTGGCAGAGCAACACCCGCACGAAGCAGGGTAGGCAGTCGCAACGTCAGCAGGAATCAGAGCCGAAGCAGACTCGGTAAGGATTTGAAGATGACAACAAGCACAAGTGTTGCGGGGGCATCAGCAGCCACGCCTACTCCTGGTGCCAGTTTCGCTACTGCTCCGGACACAGACGAGCGGATCCGAGAAGAGGACGAAGATGACGACGTCGATGTTGAGCCCAATTGGGCGGATCCCAAGACTCAGGCGGAATTAGCAGCACAGTTACAGGAGGAGCTTGCTGCCGAGTACGAAGAGGACGATGACGATCCGTATGGTATGCTCGACTTCGAAGGACAGGGAACTAATAGCGAGGACGAAGAGGAGGTGAGACAAGCCATGAGGAAGTGGAGGGTCGGAGGATGGATGGACGGGGCTATTGAGGCATTGTTACTAGTAGAACCAGGCAGAGCAGATGACGAGCCAGAGGAAGAACAGGGGGGACGACGGCGAGTGAGTATCAGCGAGGACAGCGAGACTGACGTTGAAGAGCCACCGGAACAGGTCAGAGGGCTGTGGGACGATATAGCCTGGCTAGGAAGGCTTTTCAGGAGGCACGTAATATAAGACGTAGGTCTTCCGTCATTCAGATACAAGTTGACTGATACTTTCTGTATTATTCAAAATGCATGGATTCTCCTCGAAAACAGGACAAACCTACCATAATCGCTACCTGTGAAGTCTCTCGTGTCGAGAAAGGTAACCTCTGGAAATTGTTATCTAGGTTAATGTGTGCCTACATACACTAGTCCAGGGCTTGATAAAGTGGTGTTTAAGCCCCGCAGCTAATAGGCTGCTACTCCAATACCCGAGTCACGGTCGCGTCATTGATCTTTATCACGCTACTCGAAGATAACTGATCAATAAACCACAACATCTTCCATGCACAGATAGGACATCGTCGTCCATCGACAATGTCGTCGCAAGACCCTTCACCCGCCCGCACAAGCGAGCAGACCCCGCTGCTCTCACGAACCGATAGCAATACTGAATATGAAGCCAATGGCCACATCGAAGAAGATCGAGCTTCCACATCGTCCCCCAAGAAGCGAAGGACACAATGGCCTGTCATCGCTGCCATAGGTCTCCTTTCTGTCTTCATGGTCCTGGCACTGATCTTTGGCTTTGCCACGCCATCTGCGGTCGAGCAGTATGTGAAAGAGGCAGTGCAGTTTGAGGCGGATAACATCAGTATCGAAAACTTTACAAACACTGGCATACAGGCACGAGTGCAGGCTACCGTATGGCTCGACGCAAGCAAGGTTCGCAGGAAGTCAACAAGAGATCTGGGGCGCTTTGCCACATACATAGCGAAAGAGGTCGAGAGTGGTGAAACCCAGGTAAAGGTATACCTACCTGGATACGACAATGCTCTGTTAGGAACTGCGCGAATACCAGGCGTAAAGATGAATATCAGGAATGGTCACTATAATTGGATCGATATCGTTACTGACCTAGACCCTGGTGATCCAGCAGGTATTCAAAGACTGGCGCGTGACTTTATGGATCACAAATTGAACAAGGTGGACGTGAAGGCTATAGTAGACGTGCCGGTCAAGACTGGTCTGATATCTATGAATCAGCAAGTAACTCAGTACATGTCGTTGGAAACATCAGATGTGCCCGACACACCAAAACCCGAGCTCCAGAGTTTAAGAGTTGCTGAATACCATGGACGAGAAGGAACACCAGGTGGAATCAAAGCATGGGCCAAACTGTCCGTGAAGAATGAATATCCTGTTCGACTTACTGTGCCTCCCACCACCTTCGACGTATTGTTGGCAGATTGTGAAGATGACTACCTGCACTTTGCCACTACGACAAATGAGAAGATTGAGATTATCCCAAAGCACAACATATCAGTGGCTGCTGAAGGGCTGATGACAAGACTACCGACTTCATTAACCACTGCTTGTCCAGGCTCGAGCAAGTCACCACTTGATACATTCATTGCAAGCTATATGCGAGGACAAGATGCTACAGTCTACATCCGAGGTGGAAAGCAAGGACCTGAAACACCAGAGTGGATTGGCAAGCTCTTGCGCGACACAATCATACCTGTACCACTTCCAGCCCGACCTTTCGACGACATGATCAAGAATTTCACCTTATCCGATGTGCACTTCAGCCTCCCCGAGAGCCCTACAGGACGACCAGTGCTAAGTGCAACTGTGGGTGTACTTGTTGCCTTGCCAAAGGACATGAACTTTGATGTTGACGTAAGTCGTGTGAGAGCCGATGGTGCTATCTACTACGAAGGCGAAGAAATGGGCAAGCTAGATCTGTCAACGTGGCAAGAATCTCGATCTCACAAGCAGGGTGGAGATTTGTTGGTCGAAAGCAAAGTCATCGATGCACCACTAGTAATTACAAATGAGGACGTCTTTGCCAAGGTTGTCCAAAAAATGGCTATCAAGCACGAGAGCGTGGCTATGGGCGTGCAAGCAGTGGTGGATGTAGATGCAACCACTGCTTTGGGTTCGTTCGTGGTTTCTGGAATCCCGTCCAAGGGCAAGATTCTTGTTGATCCTCCGAAAACTGGTGGCTTCACGCACGAGGTTGGCAAAATCAGCGTTGTCGACACTACTCCAAATAAGTTGACCATGAAAGCTGAAGTGACCATCACCAATCCAACGGACTACTATGCCAACATGCCACGTGTTGATGCAGCATTGTTCGTGAATGGGACAAGAATGGGAACTGCTTATGGTGGCGGGAACATCGTGCCAGGCAAGAATGACATTGTCAGCTATGTGGAGTGGGAGAAGACTGCTGTAGGAGCTGAGTTTCTCAGTCAGTTCATCAGTGGGTACAATGTTAGCTTGACCATCAAGCCTATGAAATTGCCAGGCCTGCCGGAAATACCCATGAATATCACGGTCGAGGTTCCACATATGTTCGGAAAGTTCTTGAAAGACACAACGGTAAGCGAAAACATACTAGCTATCTGACCGTGCTAATACTATTAGATTCATATCCTTTCACAAACAGCAACGTTCGTCCTCTTCGCACCCATTGCTATGTGGGTTACCTCGATACACTCAACTGCATACTACAACGGCAGCGACATTGGTAACATCAACTGGGAGTATCCGTTCGCAGTCAAGCCAGGAGACAACCTGACACCACGACTGCCGCTCGACTGGAACACACCTGGGTCTGGGCTCATTAGGGATGCGCTCGGTGGAAATTTGAAGATCACAGCACTGGCTGATATTGGAGTAAGAATCGGACAATGGAGGCAGGACATTTGGTACGAAGCTAGGGACACGGGAGCACATATCAGACTGTAAACAACAGCACATGAAGGAGGCTCTGGATATATATTTTGAAGATGATGTGGTATACGTATATAGTGGGATGTTCAATTGTATAGCGTGAATCGGACAGAAACAACACGAGTTTCGAACATTTTGAGAGGAGCTCGAGGACATCTACTTCACCTGAAAACGATCCCTTCACCACGTTGGACTGATTCTGACGTCTGTATCGATTAGAGTGAATGCATGCTTAGAAGCTTTCAGGATACATATAAGCTGGGTGTTCGGCGTCGTTCGTCCGTGGTAGGTGGAGAGCCGGGTCGCACCTTCACTCTACATTCGCTCAAGCGTTCCTGCCTTGAGTTATCCTTCACCGCGGAAGTTTGCAAGTCCTGTCTTCTTCTCCCCTCCGCCTGCCCATCTGCCCTGCTTCTTTCGGCTACGCTTCCAGTGTCTTTGACCTAAACTTACGCCGAACGCAGAATCGTTGTTGAGCTCCCTTTTAGAAATTGTTCACAATAGGCTGATCCCGAAATGAGACAGAGAGTGTTTACAATCTCGCCGAACATCTACAACTAAAACATTTGGAGCCTATGAGCTGAGTCAATCATGCCGGTTCTCCTGAGGACGATCGATGTTCTTGTATATCAGTCCGTCGCTCGCATCGCCCAGACCTGCCGCCAGCATCAGGCGGATAACTGGCAGGTCGATCATGTCGTGTCTGTACAGACTATCGTAACAATGTCCTAGCACATACACACTTGCACTTCGCCCGCAAAGCCCACGGTTCCTTAACCCCTCCACCGATCAGTCGGCGAGCTATGTATGCTATATCAGAGACATGTTCAGCACAGGCGAATGCGCAGGGGAAGAGCTGGTCGTTCGAGAACATGTGTGTCAGCGGAGGCAACGTTCTCACCAAAGATGCCCAGCCGGTGTTCGGCTTCACACCGCGAGTACTCCACCTTCTATAAAAGGCAGGCATCACAAATTCCAAGACAACTACTTCGCTCTGGCAGCAAACAGTCGCGGAGACACTGCGATTGTAGTCGCTTCTCAGCTCACAACGGTTGTTCCTCGTGTAGGAAGACTGGTGCAACAGTCAGACACTCCAAAATTGATCGGTCACTACGACAAACAATGGTAATGGAAAAAAAAGCGTGGTACATCTGTACGTGCGTATGCATGCTCACCCCGCTCAAAAGCTCGTACGATTCTCCGGAAACATTGATGCCATGCCGATACAACATGGCCAAGATAACACATGTTCTTCTTTGTGTCGGGTCCGAGTTTGAGGTTCCCATAATCCATAATCTTCCCGTGACAGAGACGTCGATCGGAGCCGCAAGTGAGACGAACGGGCACCTAGACGCTCAAGCTACGTAGCGGTGCGCACTCAGACCGACGATTTTCGGAGATATAACGTCAAATTGAGGTTCGAGCCATGGTCGAAGACGATACCTGTTTCAGAAGGTCAGTACGTCTCGAACCTCTACTGTAGCCTACATTGCCAATACGCATTGCCAGCACGTTTACATCTGTTACATGGTGCTGTTACATGGTGCGAGATGCTCTGTGTATGCATACTCAATCCGTTTAGCACGTTTCGATATACAAGCCTCAAGCGACATTGTCGACCAGCAACTTCGTTTTGTGTTTCTACCACTCACACATTCCTTGGGTGAAGAGGGCTTGCATCTGCCCTTTACTCCACCACGATCTTTGCATCTGGTTGTCGATGACGATAGAATTACAGCGCAATGCCAACACTATGTTGCCCACGTGCTGCATTACTATGATCAGGTTTACAAGTTCTACACGTACCGTAGTTAGCTCTGATTTGTGTCAAAGATAAAAGTATAGTCACAAAGTTACAGACCATGTATATTCGTCGACCTCAGTCCTCACCGAAGATCATACCGTATATACAGAGCGAGATGAATAGCATACTTCAAACTTAGCCTGGCTGAGGGAGCCCGCATTCGTGTACTTGTAACAGAACTCGGATCACGAAGCTGAAGCCATTAATGCCCTTCTGAACCGGAAGGGTGGAAACAGATCCTGTCGCTGGTTTGGCTACATCGAAGTTTTCGAACCAACTCCAGCAAACGTGTTGATTGCTTGCAGGAGCAACGAACCAAGTAACCACCCACGACAAGGACGAATATACAAGCGCGAGGCTGATCAGCTATGCCAGGCCAGATGTGGCATAAGACGAGCTCATGTTCAGCATCTCAACTCGCGTGGTGTTTGGTCGCCCTGATTTGTACAGCCGGATCTACCACAACTCATACTGGCATGCTGGCAGCGGGAATGTTTTATGCCTGTCTTGGCGGCTGTCTTGCCGAGCGCATGCTGCAGTATACCAGACACCATATTGGAGTAGCGACAACCCCTGCTGGGGAAATAATCAAGTCAATGCAATCAAGATCGATTGATCTATAAGATATCTAATGAATGATCAGGGCTCCGAACATACAACCAAAACTGTTCGAGCATGCGCTTCGAAGAGTGCATCTCCTTCATTTACGTACGTGGAAAGCACTATTACGTATTGTATACTCTGACCTTTTTTGCAGACGCGGTGGACGACATCCCCGCAAGAGCTAGATCAGATTGCGCTACGCTTGCCGATCCGACAGCACTATACCCCAGATTGGAGCAAAACGTTTGATAACGGATTCCACCGCCACTACAAGCACACTCAACGTCCTCTCTTTCGCGTATCAGTTCCGTACTGGCTGAGGTAGTCTTTCCTATCATGAGCGCCAAGCATTATATAACGCCAAGCAGAGTCACCACGTTATCACACGTTTATGAGCAAATTGAAGGTCATTCCGTTCAATTGCGCCGCGGAGGCATAGATGATCTCTCCGCAGTACAACGAAATGTTTGGCAGTCCAGACAAGGCTCCTAGTAGCCATATGAGTACGAGGTGGCTCCGATACTCTGGGCGGACCCCTCCAGGGTACCATTGGTAGAGCTGGTCGGCAAGCTCTACCTGGTTCAAAGTTCGCCAGGGTCCTACAGTACAGCTGCTTGGCTAAAGGACAGAAGATCTACTACATAAGTCTGAGGTCAATTCCAAATGGAGCTGTTGAGCGCCTCCCTTACTGAACACCCTCGACCACGTAGACGGATAGTTCTCATCCCACAAGAGCAGGACCTATCGCAGCAACAATGGTTAAAGAAGAGAAGTTCGTCCAGGAGGAAGATGTCAACTATGGAAGTCCAGCCACTGAGCGCCGCATGTCTGCGTCGGGACGTCGCATTTCTACTGTTGATGCTGTCTTTGGAGAGATCGTCGAAGGTGGCCCAGATTATCGCAGTGTTAGTATTTTGAGGTAAAACGAACTAGGGGACTGACAATCTTGGACAGGTCGGATGGATCGGAACAGTTGCGCTCATGATGAAGACACAGATAGGCCTTGGTGTGCTTTCAATCCCGGCTGTCCTTGACACGTTGGGCATGATACCAGGCCTGATCTGCCTGATCATAATCGCCATCATCACGACATGGTCGGATTATATCGTGGGAACTTTCAAGCTCCGCCATCGCTCAGTTTACAGCATCGATGATGTCGGCTATCTGCTTTTTGGTCGCGTTGGACGTGAGGTCTTTGGCGCAGTTTTCGTCCTATGTGAGAACGCTGACTCTTTGTGCTGTGAAGACTATACTAACGTGTGTCTGCAGTCTGGATCTTCGTTGCGGGTGCTGGTATGTTGGGTATCTCGATCGGGCTGAATGCTGTTTCAACACACGGAGCGTGTACTGCCATTTTCGTTGCTATCGCAGCCATTGTCGGGTTTGGCCTATCCAGCATCCAAACCCTAGGAAAAATTTCATGGCTTGCCTGGATTGGCCTGATCTGTATCTTAGTCGCTAGTAAGTTGCGGGTTCCAGTCACGTATCGAGTGGGCGACTAACAATTCTAGTCTTCACCTGCACAATTGCTGTAGGCATTCAGGATCGTCCAGCCGAAGCACCCACGACCGGAGTCTTCATCTCAGATTACAAACTTTTCCGCAATCCAACCATTACCGATGCTCTTTCAGCTTGCTCTTCTCTAGTGTTCGCATTTGCTGGAACACCAGCATTCTTCTCGATCGTATCCGAGATGCGAGAACCTCGACACTATACCCGATCACTCATCATCTGCCAAAGCGGCGTCACCATCACATACATCGTGATCGGCGTGGTGGTCTACTACTACGCCGGGTCGTTCGTGTCTTCACCTGCGCTAGGTTCAGCCGGTGTACTTATTAAAAAGGTCTGCTACGGCTTCGCGCTTCCTGGCCTGATCGTCACAACCACACTCGTCATCCACTTGCCAGCCAAGTACATTTTCGTGCGATCCTTAAGAGGCAGCAGCCATCTCACTGAAAATACATTCAAACACTGGGCAACATGGCTAGGCTGCACATTCAGCATCGCAGTCATCGCCTACCTGATTGCGAGCTCCATCCCCGTCTTCGGTGGTCTCGTCTCGCTCATCGGTGCTTTACTCGGAACACTCATGTCCTTCCAGCCCATGGGCGCTATGTGGTTGTACGACTTTTACGGCGAGTGGAAGGCGAAGAGAACGCCTTATTTGACTTTTATGGTCTGCTGGAGCATTTTCGTCATTGTTTCGGGCACGTTCTTGATGATCGGAGGTACATACGGCTCGATCGTTGGAATTATCAACTCGTACAACGAGTCAGGTGGTTCGGCTGCATTCTCATGCGCCGACAATTCCAATTCGGTAGCAGCATAACACTGAGCTTGGAAAAGTTGATGAGCATTCAGAGTTTCGACACATATATTGCGACAAGGAAGGAGGGAGACATTGAACAGGCGGTTTATATTTTTCTCTCTGGTCGAGGTTACGTGCTTATACGAATTCATATTCTCTATCGCGTTGTTACCACCAAAGGCTTCACAAGATCACTTTCTGCCACTGCAAAGGGTTGTATGAGTGCGTCCACTAGGATCTTTCCAACTTTTCTTATATCAGAGGTCGCTCAGGGTTTAGGGAGACGTCAACGAGTGTATCGTCTGTTCAGGATCGTAACACAACGCGCTTGGGTACAGTAAGAACACAAGGTACGCATGCCGATCTGTCACGACAGTCTTGTTAGTTGTGCCTGATATGCAGTGGCAGACTATTAGGGAACCGGGTCTGCTCGGCAACCAATGAGATACTGGTGTACCCTGCCCGCAAGCATACTGACAGTGGATGTTCGTCTAGGCTCCAAGACGTGTGCACGCGTCCACGAACATCTAGCAGATCGCGTTCGAATCTGTCACTTTTGCACGATGGTTACGAAAGCGCAGAAGCCATCGCGGCGTGGTCAGGAACAATGCAATGAGATGGAAATGGATATGATGTGGAACTGGCTGTGGCAGTGAACCGAAGTGCAATTGATCTCGCAGACTTAGTATACAGTCCTTGACTGAGAATAACGTCCCAACTTGGAGCGACACCACGAAAAGGCTGAGAATTCGGGTTCAATTCACTTGCCCAAGTCAAGGTAGCCAGGTGCACTATCTAAGCACAGAGCTAACATTCAGAATCACGTTCTTGGGGCACCCCGGGCTGTCATGTTTAGGGGGCGCCGATACACCCAGCAATCCTGATGATTGTCTCCCGGAATGTGTTACCAATTTATAGCTGATCGGAAAGAGAGGCTTAATCGGGACACGACCCGTAGCTTGTACTCCATATAGATTGTTAGCGTTGCGGGAACGACTGCCGAACCACGATGGATTCTGTGGGGGTAGAGGATGCAAACCAGGCTCGCTTCATCAAGTATTCTCGCCACAATCTCGTCCACTACTACCACAATATACGCCACTGTCGATAACCGCGATGTTGTTGCTCGTAACGAGTGGACCGCCTGGTCAGGGTGAATATGGCGAGATAGTGAGCGTAGCCGATCGCTTAGCTCGAAGAGTGCAGAAACAATTCTATGCTGCTGCTGACTCGGGTAATATGCAACCCTACGTAGAGGTGCAGCCAGCTGCGTGAGATGAGAGACAAGTCTGCAACCAGTGTTACAACCTGCTTCTTCCAGTATCAAGTGTCCTATGCAAATCTGCGACTAAAGCACGTATACCCTGCCTTGTCTCTCGCACCACATCGCCAGCTTTCTTCATTTCGTTCACCAGACCTACACCAGTGCCAGCCCATATAACAGCTCTGTCGGAGTTGATGCCGTACCCGCCGTCTTCGTGGGCAACAGCTTCACGATGGCCGTCTCTTATAGTTTCGATAGGGACGCCTTTTTCGTGCAAGTCACGCCAGCTATTACTGACGAGGGCACGACCGTCGTACTCCACAGGCCACGCATTTGGTCCTCTGAGCTCGTCGAATACTTTGGCACGGATAGTGCTCTGCGACCCATCTCGAGCATCTAGAATTCTTCGTTGATACTCTGGGTGCGGCACAATGGTTTCTGGACTGGCCAGAAATCTCGTGCCCATTACGACACCTTGCGCACCTAGTGTAAGTGCCGCAAGTGCTCCCCGAGCATCTACAATTCCACCACTTGCTAACAGATGAGGTATCTTGCGGCCATCTCCTGCCTCTGACAGAGCTTTGTTTAGGACATCGTTAACTTCAGGTAATTGGCCAATCAAGCTCGCTCCGCGTTCGATGCCATGACCTCCACCATCGCTGCCTTGTATAGCGAGGGCGTCTGGCCTAACGTCAGAGAGTGCCAGTTCCTTGGCCACCATCGCACCACCGCCTACCTGTATCCACACCTGGGGTGTATATCTTTCCTGCCCGTACAGCTTTCGAAGTTCCCTAGCCCATTCTGAGTAAGAATCTATGCTGGGTTCCTTTGCAGCGAAAAGCCAGAATACTGCTGGTGGTTTCTTATAATTTGCTAGCCGTGTCCCTAACACGTTCACGACATCTGACAATTTCATGAACGAAACGAGAAGCCCTACACCGACAGGGAGATAATTCAGATCTTGACTCGTGCCAAGGTTGTCGTCAACTTTGTTGTACGACAATGGCTCTGCAGCCAACGACCTGTCGACTGCCTCAAGCCATGAGTCGAGTGTAGATACTGGAGGTATGGTACCTAGCAAACCAAGTCCACCGGCACGAGAAACAGCAATAGCAAGATCAGGTCCTGCGAAGCCACCCATCGGTGCACTTACGATCAGTGGTGGTTCGGTCCATGGCAGGCTTGCATGAAGTGGAGACATGACGTGGATATGTACGTGCGCAATACTCGCTGAGTCGACGCTCAACATACTCAGAGGTGTTATAGTGCTTGATTTCAGTCGCTGTATTTTCAGTGGCGGTCGCGGGACCCGAACGCAAACGCCGCAAATACAACGAACCACAAATATTAGGACCTGATGTCTTTCCAAAGAACCATGAACATTTCCGAGGTGCTGGTTGTTATGGGCTCCGAGAGACTTGATTCCACGTGATACTGGTTGGAGAAGACACAAGCGACCAATAAGCGATGGTCGCCGATCTGCATTTTGGGTAGTATCGGAGGCCTTAGAGCAATACGAGGCATGTAATCTCTATTGCTTGCATCGTAGGTCACGAGTCTGACTATTTTGCGAGACTTTTGAGGTCAATGACACTAGCGACTACCTCATGACTGT